CAGAACTGCCCCGACGCCACCGCCAGGCGACCCATGCGCATCGCCAGCGCCCGGGATGCTGTCCTGCCCGGCGGCGGGTCTCCAAAACCCAGTTCTAGGACAGACAAAGCCGCCAGCAGTGACATAGACTCGACGATCCGGACCTGGCTGTAGCTGCTACCGCCGACACCGCCGGTCCTCCTGCCGCTGGAGCTGCTGCTACCGCCTCCTCCATCACCGCTGAAGACGCCTCTCCGCTCCGTCTCAACCTCCACGGGCACCCGCCGCAGCACTTCCAGCGGCAGCCCATACGTCGGGCCGCCGTCCGCCGCGTGCAGGCAGGCAACTCCGTACACCAGCACTGCATGCCGTACACAGCGCCCGGAAAGTGCCGTACGCAGCTGGGCTCGCGGTCCCTCGCCGACACCGTATAGAATCCTCTCGAGGGTCTGGTATGTGGACAGGAACATCACCTTCACATTTAACACATCCTTGCCGATAGAGCCCGCCGTGTCAGAGGTTGTCAGCAGCAGCAGCGCCCGAGCCGTATGCTCCATTACCGCACTGCTCTGCAGGCTGGACGCGAACTCCGACATGAAGGCGAGGTGGGCGGCCGGGACGGGCTGTTGCGGCTGCTGGTGACCCGTGGGACCTCCGAGCAGTCGGAGCGCGAGTTTGGAAAGGCATTCCGCGAGAGACATGGCTTGTGTTATGAGCACATGTCCGGCAAAGCGAATGCTAGCCATGGCTTCAACGGATGGTGGTAGTTGCTGGCCCTGCTCGCGTGGGCGCCGCTGCTGCTGCTGCTGCTCCTGCTGCTGCTGCTGCCCCCACTGGTGCGCTTCCGGTCCTGCGTTTGCCGCAGCTTGCAGGGTCTGGGCAAGGGCAGCCAGCTGGCGACTGCAGGCCTGCAGGCTGTGCGAGCGCAGCAGCTTGGTCGCCAGGTCCAAGGCCGAAGCGATGCAGCTGTCGTGGCGGCGTGCGCATTCGACCAAGTCCCTGACCAGAATGCAAGCTTTCTCCGAAATGAGGTTCCAGTCGCGCCAGCATGCACACTCCACAAAGATCTTGACCAGGATGCAGGCTGTCCCCGCAATTTGGTGCTGTAACCTCACATTGCGTGTGGCTGACTGCAGCGGATCGTATTGCTGGCGGATGAAGGTGACCACCAGCCGGAGCAGCGCGGAACGGAGTGACTCAGCCTCAAAAGCTGCGGCTAGAGCGCGCTCAGCACCACCACCATTCCAGTAGCTTATAATGTCTTGTAGGCAATCTGAGACCTCTTGCAACGCCCCGTTCCCAAACCTAGGGTGGGCCGGCTGCGGCTGCGGGCCTGCAGCTGGCGCCCGGCCAGCGCTCCTCACGCTAGCCGGCGGCCCCAGCAGCCGCTCCACAGCGCCAGGCAGCTGCTGAAAGCAGGTCCGGATGTGGGGAGGCAGCGGATCTGGGGCGGCGGCCGAGCGGCGGCTGCCCGCCTGACCTCGAGCACCTTGTGAGCGGTGCCGCCTGGGCATAGCTGGAGGCGACCTAGGCCGCTTCTGCTGGCTGCATGTAGTGCACAATCGGGAAAACTGGGAGGTTACGGCCTCAGGTTTAGACACCTCAGAGTTTGAGTGACCCGAAGGCGCGAACTGGTGTTGTGAGACAGACGCTTTTCGGCGACGCGGCCGTCTCCTAAGTGCTATCCTATACCGCTACCGCTGCAACGCTAAGATATCGTGACGATGGCTAATGTTTAAGCTCCAGAATGAGTATCAGTATTCACACTGTGCGCTATGCAAGCTGGAGGACGAGACGAGGCTGATGACCCAAGGACCATGCGGTGATGGCCACAAGGTTACCATGCTAGTCATAAAACGCGGAGCGTACAATGGGCTCAGCTTGGCCCAGAAAGGTCCATTAGTTCAGCATGTGTCCGTTGGATTGACCCAGATAGTTGTATTGGCCATATAGTATTCCCTCGAAGACGTCAGGGCTAGTTACCATTTAGGGCTACTTACCATTTAGCACATTATATATTTGCCCATCGTGCAGATAAGATAAGATAACGTTTGATGTGACGTGCGTTTTTTGCTTGCAATTTGGACCTTTTGTACGACGAGATCTGTCGTCGCTTTGTAGCCAGGCGCTTGTGCACGGATGTGTTAGCACTGTTGTGTTGCTGCGGCTGGGTACAACGTGCCCTGCATAATTGATCGGCCGGGGGTGCGCTTCTGGCGCGCCCCTTGGCTTTGTTGCTCTATGTAACGCTCTATGGATGACCTGCCTAGGATGTCTATGCAATAGGCTAATACATTTTCAAAGCATTAGCTCAGCGAACGTAGGTTACGCTTGCGCCAATTTGCAGCCTCCTTGCCCGGTCGCCGCGTCGTCTGGTCACTTCGTGCACCCCGCCTCTCTTCACCACCAACACCCTACCCTTGTTCTGCCAAAACGAGTTGTTCCAAGAAAGGAGCCCCTTATCGATATCTAAGGACTCAGGCAAAAGCGATGCCTGCGCACGCGGATAAGACCCAAAGACCGGCACCGCCAAGTACTGTTGTTTACCATTAGCCAGACAGCCACCATTTGCTCCCACCTGGCTTAGTTGGCGTTGCTGCTTGCTTAGCTGCAGTGCTTTATGTTCATCATGCTGGGGGGAGTGACGCTGTGTTTTTCGTGCTGCTGTGTCGGTTGAGTTGCTGTTTGCACTTCGTTGGCATGCCTTGACCTCTTAGCGCCTTCGTTTGCATCTCTTGCCAGTTGCTGCACTCCTGGTTTTAAGTGCGGGGGGGGGGGAGAGGGTTGCCTGTGCCGAAGTACTAGATCACCAAAGATAGCGCCGACAACCAGCCCAGGTATGTATCTTTTGGTACATACCTCGTTTACCTGTAGTTCTATACCTTGTCGTAACCGGGCCTATCGTATCATCATTTATCACTCTAGGAGGCATTGTGCATCGTCCGAATGTGGTCACACCTTTACGCCCGAACCGCCCAGGTCACTTGTTGAGCTTGGCACCAAACACCCGACAGGCTACATCCGCATCCTTGGCAGCTCACAACCCGCATACTACACAGCTCGCAATCGTTGCAAGGAGGTCACAAGTCACGTACTCAACCCACGCATGCAGCGCTTGTAATGCAGGCTCACAGTAATGCAACGCGTCTAGGTGCGACCGCAATGCTACCTAACATGGTGAAGCCTTCGCTCCCCTGCACATAACACCGGCCATCAGCCCAGCGTTCGCCCCCATAGATCCCAGGGAGGCAACAACCCCGCAGTTCATAATCCCACCGTCATATACACCACCACAGTTAACCGCATGCATTCGTCAGCACCTCACGTGCCAGCTAGAGCTCCAGCAGCCTGCCTGCCTGGCCGCCCGGGCGGCCCTCCGCCCCCGCCCCGCACCCTCACGGCTTGAGGCCCATGCGCGCCTTTTCCAGGATCTCCTTCCGGATCTTGGGGTAGTCCGGGAACGCCTTGATGACCTTGTGGCACACGTCGATGGCCTCCACGAAGCGCTTGGCTTTCAGGTAGTTGAAGGCCAGCTTGAACCCGACCTGGGGGCGCATGACGGCGTGAGGCGAGAGCGGGGAGCGGTAAAGGTGAAAGGAGAGGTAAAGCCATGGTCACCTCACTCACGCCGGTCTACCATAACGTGCGTGGGGGCATGCGGTTAACTCGGACTCAACAGTGCATCAGGACACTGGTGCGGTTTGCTGGCATGTTCTTGAATCAACAAGAGCACATGCTCCCCGCCACGGGGCCATCAGCAAACAGCAGGCAAAGACCTGGCACCTCTCGCCCACTGCACTCCTCAGGGACAGCCATCCGCACATCCCTTGCAGCCGGACGCTTGCCAGCAGCCCAGCTACGTACCTGCACTGACGCCTGGTTCTCGTGCTTCCATGCGTTCTCGTAGTGGCCCGCGGCGTCCTTGTACGCCTGCGAACAAGGGGTGCCAGCGTGAGCACGACAGCGTGAGCACAACAGGCCCGCAGCAGAGGGGCATGGTCGGGAGGAGGCTCGTGCTTGTACTTGAGGCACTTCTGGCACAAGTCCTGAGCCAGGTCGTACTTGCCGCCCTGCGAGCGCAGTTGTGCCGGGCGGCGCATGCAGCCATGAGGTGAGCAGGCAGGCAGGCGCCAAGGAAAGGAGGCGGCGGCAGCAGGATCATAGCTGTCCGTGCGAGCCGCCCCAGGGGCAGCCCAGCCGCTGCAGGCAGGCCAGGGTGGCCAGGTCGGTATCACGTCTTGTAACAGATACGGCCGTTCATCAGCCTAGGGGAGGGAAACATGAGGAGGAGGGGCGGGTGGGGCGCCATGGCGCGATCAATAACAGCCTCACCCCCCCCCCTCCCATATTCCATCGCACTTCATAGCACTTGCCATATTCCGGTCGCTGCAGCGCTGGCATGTCCCTTAACTGTCTTCGACCCTACCTGTTGTCACGCTGCCCTCGCACCGCAATGTACGGACACGTGCCACCAGACTCTCAGCCAGGCTACCGTGGCCTGCCAGTCGGACGTACGGTTGCCGGCCGCGGCTGATTGGACGATTGGCCTTCTCCCATTTCTGCCATATAACTGGCTTCAGTGCCAGTAATGAGACGTACCTGTCCGCATCTCATACTGAATGCTTCGCAAGCTAGGGGAGTCAGCTCTCCAATGAAACAAGGAGTAGTGCCAGCTTTCCATTCTAACAAGGGGTGTCCGTGTTTCCCGTACGGGATGCCAGGGGACACTGGTACGGATGCCTCGTGGGTCCGGGGCTTGTCATGCGGCCCTGCCCTAAGCAGGGGACTACACTCTCTGCATCCGTCTGCGGCTTGTTAACACCCCTTTGTCGGCTTACCGGTATTTCCAATGCAACTGACACGCTGTTAGTGGCTCTTCTATATGCCATCGGGACGCACGAGAGTATGTGGAAAGTACGATGGTACGAACTACCGGTATACCAATACAAGGTTTGCATGGCTCTTCTTGTATTATGCTGTGCAGGCGTGCCGCAGGCTCACTTCTCGCTCAACAACGCGGCTTATCTAAGAATATTACATTCAAAATACATTTAAGCATGCACAGAAAGCTACAGTTGGCGATAGTACAGCTGCACAGCAAGTAAGGGCTGTGACTCAATGCACACACAAAGAATCTTCCGTGCCACAACGCTCTAAACACTGCATGTCTGACCACAGCATCCGCAACAAACCTAAACCACCAAGTAACAGTCAATGCTCAAGTCAGTTCGCCCCACGCATCTCACCGCACAAAAAGCAGAACGCATATCCAAAGGAGCCCGTTGGCGCTTACACCTTCTACCGGTACCATCTCAACAATCCAACATGACTACCGGTGCATGAGCCTCCCCCCTAGCTCCACAAACATGAAGCGACATCACTTAACCTCCCAACCCAACATCCGCAAGCCATGGACCCCACACGCCGCATATAGTGCAGCGCCCTGCACACCGAGTTAAGAATGATGTGGCCGAGTTGGTCAGCAACACGCCGCAACGCGCACATGTGGATGAGGCAGCTGTGAAGGCAGCCTCTTGCTGAACACGAAAAGCGCAACTTGAACAGCCGTACATGCGACCCCACCACCATCCAGTTGCCAAACAGCTGCGCACAGCGCCTTGCGAAGGGCACTTGCCACACCCTCCATCCTTCTTCCTTTCTAGCTGTTGAAAGGTGCCTAAGTATTATATACACACACGCGCAAAGGCCTAAATGAATTGACAAAGGCGTCCATAATCAAATACCAATACCCGGATGCTGACAAAGCACACAAGGCAGAGCGCCGTACCTCAAAGCACCAAGTACGAGAAGGGAATGTATCCTCTCGCATGCTGACATCACAAACGTTCTCTCTTCTCAGAAAAACCTCTCCCACACATTACTCTCTTTTTCTCTCAAAGCCTAAACCGATTGCAGACTAGATTGCAACCTTGCTCGGCAGCACAGCGTTGTCGCACATTGGGCGCAAACGCGGTGAGCCCCGTACAGCCCGGTACATAGCATGAATGCAGTCCACTTCCCGCGAGCAGTAGAGACAGCAACGACCAAGAAGCCCCACACCCCATATCTCTACCCCTCCTCTGCAGCCCTACAGACCCCCACAGCAGCCAGTACCTGTCAGCCGCCCACGCATACATGTCGGTCCTATTAGGAGGTTTGTGTTCACTGTTACCTCGTCCGACAATTTGATGCGTGAGCTGAAACGCTAGCCCAGGCGTCCCCAAATGCAACCTGCAATAGTTCCGTTCAAGTGGCGGGGCACTGGCACACCACCGTTACGCCTTACTCAGACCTCGCTACCCTCTTCCTCACCTACGTGCTCTGCCAATCTCCGCTGCAAACCCTCCAGTCCCTCCCTCTCCCAACTCTCACCACAGTCCTCTTCCCCAGCCATAACCGTTCGCCGACGCTACGAAAAGGCCAACCGCTCGAAAACCTCCACACAGCGACACGACGACCAGGATTACAGTTAGTTCAAGTAATTCAAGCGCCGAAGAATTCTTCAACGTCTGTATCGCAGCTTGCTTTCTTCTTTTTGGATGTGTCACGTCCCTCTGGCAGCTGCCCCACCTTGTTGATAGATGGCGCAACGCACGGAGAAGTAGAATAGGGATTGTACAAATCACGCGGTTGAGATGACGGATGCCTGCCGAGCGCGGCCTGCAGCCAGAAGCTCGTTGCGGAGCAGCGCCAGCTTCTCCGGATTCAGCGAAGCGCTGAAACGGGAGAGAACACGCCCATCGCGGACGCAGTGGAAGTACGGCACCTGCACATATCCCGGGAAAGGAGGCCGCAAGAGCGAAAGAATTCAAGGTTTGTGTGTGTTGTTCCGTGTTAGGTATTGCTGTAAACAAGGCAAGCTAAGAAGAGAGGTGAGGTATGAGGTGACGGCCATCCAACGCATGCAGTGGAGCGGGCCGTTGCAGTATCCCTCCTGCCGCGCTTCGCCCGCCAGCAAAACGAACCCTCTAGTGGCTGGCAGAATACCAACCATAGCGGTAGCCCTACCTTGGTTACCTCGTTCTCCTCAAATACAGGTCGTAACGCATCTGTGCTGCCGTTTACTTTCAGAAACAGGACTTCAGGATGGTCCATCGCCAACTTCTTCAGCTTTCCATGGAGCGCCCGGCACGCATAGCAGTCATCTTGGAAAAAGTTAATAAGCACTGTTCGCCCAGATGCGCTCGCCTGACGTGACAGCATGTCGAGCTCCCTTGGAGTCGCAACAGCAACCATGTTGGGAGGCAGGGACCCTTCCCACCTGCGTTGGGACAAGCAACAGTTCTCAGGTGACAAGACATGTGACACAGCTTTGCAGCGCACCAAAACCGGCAGACGACAAGACAGGCGCGTGTAAAAAGTAACGCCGGCGATGGCGTGTAGGAGGGTCCCCAAGAGGGACAAGCACGGCTGATAACAACCTACCATTTCAGTCCCATGGCCTGTTTCATTTGCGCCTCTGAGCGCTCCCGCTCCCGCTGCCGGCGTCTGCGTCAAAATGCGCGTAGCAGCGACTTGACTTGCTGGCAAGCAAAATGATGAAGACATGAAGGTGCACTTACGCAGCTTCAGCTTCCTGTCGCCTCTTAATGGCATCCGGATGAGGCGAGTAGCTCTCAGGGTGGAAGACACAACAGCGAATGGTGCGAGTCTGCCGCGCCCTAGGTTGCGAATGGCACAGAGCCCTCCGCGAATTGCTAGCAATTGTAGTGCTCTTCATCCTTAGCAGGGATACGAGCAGGGCCTGCTAAAGTGGTCAGTTTCTTGAGGAAGTAGATGTTAGCCTTCGCTGAGGGTCCTTGCAAAACAATGGTGATATTACAGTTCCCTGAGGAGAGCAAACCTACGTGTTATCGAACTGCTGACATGATAAGGCGAATGTATGTGTGAGTCCTCGTATGGACCTCGCCGGCGAACGTACAGTACGGCGGTGGTTTCCATGAAGGCGACTGCCGTGCCATTATTCATAAAGAAGCCGCTGGCTTACCTGGTTAAGCCTACAGTTGAGTTTATGAGGACAAGCGACAGCAACTTTGTAATAGTTAATCAGAATTTACAAGCTTGCATGGCAAACCTGCCCATCAGAGTGCGTCCCCAACATTACAGTCAATAACCGATGTGCAAATACAGCATATTGCTTTCTGTCTAGGGTTTGCAGTGGGGCTTTGCTTGCATCCTTCTCCCCAGGCCGATCACCTTATGCAATTGATTAAACCTATCCTACGCTCTACACGATGCGTAACGTTGCTGGAAGCAGCGCGGGGGCTGCACCTCGCGCAGGCCCCATCATTCCCGCCCCTCGTCGCTCGCTTTTAGCGGTCCGCTGCGCCGCGTTGCCCATCGGCATTGACAGTGTTGGCAACATTATTAGCAGGTAGGAAATGGCCTCATGCGCCGAGGTAAATTCCAGGATCTTGGCGAGCCCGTCGTTGCAAACGGACGGTTGACCGCCGTCCGTTTTGGATTCACAAGTTGTGGCTCATAGACGCCCGACAAAGCACGGTTGCGCTATCTTTTCTCACGTTTAGCGCATATCCAAGGCTGTTATTGTAACGGTAGCGAGCGAGGCCGCGTAGCGTTTTAGGTCCGTCGCATGGCTTACAAGTTACATCGCGGTCGCTGACTACCGCAAGACGTCCTAGCAATCATCCTAGCAGCGGGTGCAACCCTCCAGATATCCCCGTCTAACTCGATCGGCCAGTCTACCAGCTCCCTGCCTTCCTAACTTACCGCTACCCCCCTTCCTTCCCAACCACTTTCATCCCCTCTTCCCTCCCCTCTTCCCTTCCCCATCTTCCTCTGTCTCGTGCGCACGTCCCTCGCAGCCTCTCGCAGTCCGCCCCACTGCCCTCCCTGCCTTCCCTGGAGCTGCTGAATGACCCACGGGTCTGGCACAATCTCCCCCCGCACTTCGGGTCCCGGGCCTTTGCGGATGCGGCGGAGGCCCTCGCTGCCCGTGCGTCCTCCCTGGCCCCCTCCCTGCCTCCCCCCTTGGACTTCCACTTCCCGCAGCTTGATTCAGCGGGTACGAATGATGCACGGCAATGCAAAGGATGCATGTGGCTGGAAGCGAGCGCCCCATCGCATCAATCGTGTCTGCGCGTCGCCTGGGCTATGAAATTGGATTTCCTTCTTTTCCTCTCTGTGAAAGTGCGGGGCTAGTACTTGGCACACAGCCCTCCTGCGTGCAAGCCACACACTACTACCTTCTCAGCACAATCCATGCCCCTTACGTCCTGCCCCCACCATCCTCAAAAGCCGCACTTGAAGGCGCTCTGGCGCCCCTCACCGCCGCCGCCGCCGCCGGCCTCACCTCCTCTTCTTTCTCCTTGCCCTCCTCACTCTCCGACCCCACCACCCTGCTGGAGCGCCTCCCCCACCTAGCGGACCCCGGCCTCTTCTCCACCGCCTCAGCCCCAGGCAGCTGGGAAAACCTCACTCAGGCGCTCCAAAACAGCGTCCAAGCCGCCGCCGCCGTCGTTGAGTCCGCTGCCGTCGCTACCGGTGCGCAACTCGCCGCCGCTGCCGCCGCCGCCGCCAACGACGTCGTCGACGGCAGGGCCGTACGCGACGTGGGTAGCGCGCTGACGGCGGCGGCGGAGGCGCTGTCGTCGGGCGAGCTGCCGCCGCACTTTGGAACCGCAGCGGCGGCGGCGGCGGTGCAGGCGGCCGTAGCGGCGCTGTCACACTGGGCGGCGGCACTGCTGGCGGCGGCGGGGGATGTCGCTGGCGGCGGCAGTCGGCTGGAGTTGCTTGATCCGGAGGCAGCGGCGGCTCTGACGTCAGCGTTGGGGGAGCTGAGGAGCGTGGCGGGGCTAATGACTGTGACACTGCCGCCGGTGGTGGCGGTGGGGGGTAATGCGGTTGCTGCGGCTGTAACAGCGGCCGGGGTGTCGTCGTCGTCGGCGGCGGCGGGTTTCGCTGCTGGCAGCGTTGCCACAGCTGCGGCGGCGGCGGCAGCTGCGGCGAGTGCAGAGGGGCCGCTGCGGGCGCTAGTTGATGCTATTTCGCAGGTGGGGCGATCTGTGTCACATTGGGTTTGGTGAAGAGACCTGGCTGTGTTTGTGGTGTTGTGGTGTATCTGAGCATCCCCCCAGATACTTCCGCCGAAGGCTTTCTTTTGGGCCCCGGCCTGCATGGCTGGCCGGGCAGCTAGCCACCCACCAGACGTGTCAGCCCGGCAGGCTCCTGTTACAGGCAGTTGTCAAGCAACCCAAGAGCCAATCCCGGCTGCCCTCGTCTACGCCACCCCCTTCAACGCAACGGACCCCCTCCCCTCCCCTCCTGCTCCGGAACCCGCAGCTGCAGGCGGGCGGGGCGGGCGGGCACTCCCCCACCACACTGGTGCTGCTGGCCGCACTCACGGCGCTGGCGGTGGCTGCGTCCGTACCGGGGGAGGGCTATGAGGGTGAGCGGGGGGGAAGGCATGAGGATGAGGTCTGGGGAGAGGTCTGGGGAGAGGGCTATGAGGGTGAACGGGGGGGGGAGGCGTGAGGGTGAGCGCGGGAGAGGGCTGTGAGAAGCCTGCAAGGAGGGGGGGAGAAGGGGCAGTTTTACTGCTGGGGAGTGGGGACGGGCGGGGTTTCCTCCCATTCCTCGCTCCCGTGTGGAGCCCTGACGGACGGCATCCCAGCGCCCATGGGTGTAGTCCAACGTGTGCAGTGCATCAGCAGGACGCCTGTGTGTCCCATTGACGTCCTGCTCCCACCGACGCCCCATGACGTCCTGCTCCCCCCTCCCCCGACGCAGCAGGTCCGGTGCAGCCCGCCGCAGCCGACGAAGACGCCCTCAGTCACGAGTACGACCCCGCCGCCGTCGCCGCGTACTTCTCCCGCCGGCCGCTAGCGGTGGCTGCGCGGGGTCTGCAGGTGGCGGCGGAGGCGGCGGGCTTCGGTGCGGGTCTGCTGCTGGACGTGTGGAGCGGGCAGGTGGAGGCGAGGCAGGGGCAGCGGGCGGAGCAGCTGAGGAGGGCGGTGGAGCGGCTGGGGCCGGCGTGAGTGGGGGGGAGGCGGGGGCGGGTTCGAGGGGATGGAAGGGGTGGGAGGCGGCGGGGTCCGGGAGATGGCTGTGGCGGGTTTCTGGTGGTTCCACAGCTCCCGCCTACCATACCTGCTCAACCCCCTGTGGCCCCGCCCCCTACCACCCCCAACCCCAGCTACGTCAAGGTTGCCCAGGCGCTCTCCACGCGCGTAGACCTGCTGCCCGCCGCCTACCTAGCGGAGGTGCAGCGGCTGCAAGACCGGGTGCCACCATTCCCCACGCAGCTGGCAGTCCGGGAGATGGAGAAGGTGGGGGCGGGTGGGGGTGGTTGGGTGGGAGGTAGGAGCAGGGAGACGTGAGGCTTCTTATGACGTGCGCATGCATTGATCAAGTCGGGGACCGTTTGGCCTGCTGCTGCTGCTGCCCGTGCTTCTTTTACCTTCGTCGCTGCTGTGTCGCTGCTTCTGTAAAAACCATTGTTGCTGCTTGCCTCACATCTTGCCGACGTTGCGCGGACCCCTGGTCTCGACTGGCGACCCCCTCCCGCTCCTCCGCTCTCATCCAACACATTCCTCCCTCCACCCCAACCTCTTCCCAGGCCTTCGGAGGGCGGCCGGTGGATGCGGTGTTCAGCCAGCTCAGCGAGGCCCCCGTGGCGGCGGCCAGCTTGGGACAGGTGCGTGGGGGGGCGGGGGGGAGGAGGAGGAGGAGCGGGGGGGGCTGTGGGTGCTGAGGGCGCGCTCTGGGTAAAGCTGGGGGGGGGGATGGCGTTTGTTAGGTGGGGCCCGGACGGGGGGACTCGGGAGCCCCAGGGAGGGGTTGCGTAGAAAGCAGTGGCTGGCTAGGAAACAACGCAGGAATGGATTGTTTGTACAAAGGGGTTGGTGGAGGAAGTTTGGGAGCTCCGTAGGTACGCATGCGTTCAGGGTTCGCAAGCCATGCCGGCCTGCCTTTCCACTGGGATGCTGCACCACCCCCTGCACACACCGCTCCGACCCTCCCACTACCTCCCCCCTCTCCCTCCCACCTCCTCCACCTCCCCACCTCCTCCCCAGGTGTACCGCGGTACGTTGCTGCCTGAGCTGGGCGGGGGCGAGGTGGCGGTGAAGGTGCAGCGACCCGGGGTGCTGCAGCAGGTGGGGGGGGCGGGGCCGGGGGTGGGGGGGCGGGGGGAGGTGGGGGGGGGGGGCGGGGTTCATAGGAACCACAAGTGAGGGCAAGATGGGGGAGGTGGGTGGTGGGGGAGGGTGGCTGCCGCATGCCGGCATGCACACATGGTAACAAGGGCGTTAGCAGCAGTCCCATGCGTTGTGAGCCCCCCACCCACCCGCCACACACGTGCCCACCCGTGTCTCCTGCCCCCCATCAGGGCTTGTCAGCTAAATGTACCACTATCACACCACACATTGGAATTTCTCCCCCCCACTTGGCCTCACTTGTAGTCTCCTATGGTTTGGTATGGTCTTTGACCTCCCCCCACCCCCAGGTGTCACTGGACCTCTTCCTCATGCGCCACGCAGCGCTGCACTTGCAGCGGGAGTTCAAGGTGGGTGAGCTGGAGGGGGCGGGGGCGGTTAAGACGGAGGAAACCGATGAGCTGTAGGACATGTAGGCGCTCCTCACCAGCGGGTGCAAACATGGTATAGGCGGTCCATCCCGCCCTGCCCTGACGGGGATCGTGCGGGATTAGGGTAGGGACAGAGAAACTCATCCCGTTCCCCACCCTTCTCCCTTCCTTGAGTTGTTATTGTTAAAAAACCGACCTCACCAGCACACACCTCCCCACCTCCAGACCTAACCTTACCAGCTTGGTCCGCTACCGTGGTGCCTCAATCCTCGCTTCCCCCCCCCTGCCAGACCCCCACCGACTGGGCCGCCCTGATCGACGCCTGGGCGGTTCGCTTCCTCCACGAGCTGGACTACCGGCGCGAGGCGGCGCATGCGGGCGCCTGGGCGGCCCAGATGGCTGCCGCGGGGGTGGTGGGGCTGCGGGCGGCGGCGGTGCGGGGGGAGCTGAGCGGGGAGTGCGTGCTAGTGACGGAGTGGGTGGAGGGTGAGTGAGGGGAGGGGAGCGGGGCTGGGGGTGGGACTGAAGGGTTATGGAGGGCGGAGAGGAGGACAAGGGGAGAGGGGGAGGGGTTGGGTGGTGTGTGCGGTTGGCTTTAGTCCTTCCATAGTCGGGTGCAGTTGCCCTCAGCCAACGGAGCCGCAGACCTTGCAACGCTCCTCCCCTCCCTCCTCACCCTACCCGCTCTCCCCCTCCCCCCCCCTCATGCACAATGGATATCCTCCCTCCCCCTAAAACAGGTGAGAAGCTGAGTGACAGCGCCTCCCCCGACGTGCGCGCGCTGTGCTCCACCCTGCTCAGCGCCTACCTGGTGCAGCTGCTGGGCACGGGTCTGCTGCACGCGGACCCGCACCCGGGCAACCTGATGCGCACGCGGGATGGGAAGTGAGTGGCGAGGAGTGGGAGTGGGAGTGGGAGTGGGGGTGAGGTGCGGTGATGTCGCTGGTGCGCTGCGGTTGATGCGTATCCTGATCCAGATCCTCCTTAGCAGCAGCAGCAGCAGCATGGAGGGATGCTGATGGTGGAGGGAGGTCATGTTGTATTCATCGTGGTGGCTCGCATGGCGCATGTGCCGTACAAAGTACGGCACGCCGAAACCCTCCGCCCCTCCCCCCCCCCCTCCAGGATCTGTGTGTTGGACTTTGGGTTGATGACTGAGGTGACACCGGAGCAGCGGCTGGGGTTGCTGGAGTTCATCGCACACCTCACCACACAGGTGGGAGGGAAAAGAAGAAGGCCCAATGCGTGGAATGATAGTGGGATACTAGACGCCAAGCTCCGAGTGAGTGGATTCGTTGGTGGGGTCGTTTCTGAGAGCGGTGTAGCCGCTCGTTGCGGGGACCGCGTCTGATGCTGGTTGATCTAGCAACCCCTGACCCCCGCTCCCCGCTCCTTTCCCCCTGACCTCATCTCCTTCCCCTCCCCCTACCTCACCCTCCCCCACCCGCCTCCCTTTGCCCCGCCTCCCCCCCCCCAGGACTGGCCCCGGCTGGCCTGCGATCTGCAGACGCTGGGCTTCATCCCCCCGCATGTGGACCCGCGGCAGGCGGAGCTGGTGGAGCCGCTGGGGCGGGTGATGGGGCAGCTGAGCGGGGGCGGGGGGGCCACGCGGGTCAACATTGACAAGGTGCGAATGCGGTGCCCTGTTCGGGTGCTGTAGCAGCGCAGACCGCCGGAGATGACATGCAAGCGTGTGTGTCTACTGCATTGTGACGTATCTGTAAGCGGTACTGTGTCACAGGTTTACACCTCTCCGCGGGTCGCAGCATGGCGTTGTTTAAGTACCCTGGGGGTCCCCGACTGGCCCGTGGGTCTGTGTCCAGCCAATTGGGCCGCGGAACTATTCACTGACCATACTTTGTTGAAACCTGGCCGTGAGGCGGAACGTACTACGTCTGTGTGTGTTAAGATAACGGCCGCGAACCGAAACGTATCGTGATTGCCGGATGCGTATGTGCGTATGCGTATGCCCCGCAGGTGATGGGAGACCTGCAGACCCTGGGCAAGCATTATCCTATACAGGTGTGGTGGGGGGCCGCACGGGGGCTGTTGCAGTATATAGGGGGTGTGCAGGCAGGTTGGAAGTGAACAGGGGAGGGGAGCTGTGAGTTAGTAGGGCGGTAGGGCCCTCTGCGTCAGGGCTGTTGCTTCCTATGAGGCTGTAAGGGGCTTGTGTTCTCCCTCCCTCATAAGGGTCATAACCATTTTGGGCGACCCAGTATCGGTACTGCACACCCTATTGGCACTAAACTCCTTGCTAGTAGCTCATTCCGGTTGCTGTCCTTTGTGTTAGCACTGCACAACTCTCGGCACTGTCCCCTCCTTACCCCCCCCCTGCCAGGTTCCCCCCTTCTTCGCGCTCATCCTGAGGGCGTTCAGCGTCATTGAGGTGAGGCAGGGCGGGGTGGGGGGCGTGCGCAAGGCGGGAAGGCGATCCCGGGATTGCATGCTGGGACGTATGGAAGACCTCTGTGACGGACCTTTTACAAAACCAGCAACCCCCCTCCCCCCCCAGGGTATCGCCCTCCGAGTGGACCCCGCCTACTCCATCGTGGCTGACTGCCTGCCCTACCTGGCCACCCGCCTGCTGGAGGACGACTCGCCGCGCGTGCGGGCGCTGCTGAGGGACATCCTGTACGGCAGCAGCAGCAGCAGTGGTAGCAGCAGCAGCGGCAGCGCTAGCAGTAGTTATAATGGCGGCAGCAGCGCCGCTAGCAGTAGTGGCAGTAGTACAGGTTCAAGTGAGGCTGCTGCTGCTGGTGGTGGTGGCAGTGGTGGCAGTGGTGGTGTAGTTCGGCGGCAGCGGATGGATGTGGCTAGGTTGATCCGGTTGGCGGAGGGCTTGGCGGCCTTCAGCACCGATGGACTCAGCAGGAGCGGCAGCGGCAGCAGCAATAGCAGTGAGGGATTAACAGCAGGGGGAGCACTAGTAGCAACAACACCAGTAGTGGTAGCATCAGCGGGGCTGCCAGCGGGAGGGGAAGCGCGGGGCCTGGCCAGGGCGTTACCAGCGGCGGGTGGCGACGGGGATGAGGTGGCGGAGGTTGCATCAGGGCGGAGAGCAGCAGCCACCTCCTCCTCCTCCTTCCCTCCTCCTGTCGCCTCCTCCTCCTCCGCCCCTGTGTTGAGTCCCGCGGTGGTGGCGGCGCTGCGGGCGGTGGTGCGGCCCGGCTCCTACCTCAGCGAGCTGCTGGCGGAGGAGGTGGTGAGAGACTTGGATGGGGCGAGGGCAGGGCGGGGCGGGGCCTGTAAAGTGAAGGGATAGCAGGCAAGGTGTAGGGGTAGCAGGGAAGGGGCGGCAGGGATTGTACCGGCAGCCTTCCTCAGCTGCCCCTGCCGCCCATGCCGCTGATCAAACAGTCGCCATCCTCCCCACTCCCCTCCTCCCATGCACCCCCCATGTTCCGCCTCCCGCCCCCAGGTTGCCGCGGTGGATGCGCTGTCCCGTGAGGCGCTGTGGGGGCTGCTGCGGGGGCTGCTGGCGGCTCCCCCCGCTGCCGCCTCGCTGCGGGGCATGCAGGCGCTGGGGCCGCTGCGGGCGCTGCTGCTGCCGCTGCCCACCCCGCTGGAGCTGGTGGCTAGGTGGGTGGAGGCAAGACCGACGGGGTGGACTGGATGGACGCTAGGGTGGGATGTGGGGGGGATGGGTGCTGGTACGGATGCAAGGCATGGTGCAGGCGATGTGCTCTCTTTATCATGGCAGTGTGGTACGACATGTTTTGATTCCCAACTGACCTCGCCCCCTGGCCTCCCACTTCCATGTGCGGTGTTACCTCTACTGCTACGGCACCCCCACGCCCCACCCCACCCCAAACCACATGTCGCTCCGTTCTTCACCTCCTTCCTCCATGCCCCCAACTGCCCCTGCCCCCAGGCTTGCCCCCGCTGTGGCCCCCACCCCTGATGACCGGGAGGCCCTGGCGCAGCTGTCAGCCCTGGCACAGCTCTCCGTGCGCCTGCTGGCACCGGGGGCACCGGGAGAGGCTGCAGCAGCTGGGGAGGCAATAACAACAACAACGGCAACAGCAGCAGCGTCAGCTGCAGCGGCGACGGGATGGGCACCAACAGCAGCTGCAGCAGGGGGGCCAGCAGGGCTAGTTGCGTACATGACGACAGCTGACAGCCGGACAGCCGCTGGTACAGCGAACAACCCCACAACCGCTGCTGCAACCCTGATTGCCGGTACAGGCACGGCCCCGCCCTTCCTCAGCCCCTCGTCTAGGTCCCCCAGCAGTATTGCGGCTGCTGTTGATGCTGCCTCCATCTCCTCCTCCTCATTGTCAGCCTCAACCTCATCTTCAGCCTCTTCGGGTGACCGGACACTTAGCACTTCAACCGCCAGGACAACTGCAACCGCCGCGGCGGCGGTTGCCGCCCTCACTCGCGTCCGACCCGCGCGCGTCGCTCGTCTGGCGGGTGAGTTGGGTTCGTTGCTTCCGGAGCTGGCGCCCGGTATACTGTACGGCGGAGATGTGTTCGTACGGGCGCTGGTTCGGCGCGTGTCGGCACGCTTGGTGGAGGCGGCGAGGGTGGCGGCGGCCGGGGGGACAGCAGGTGCCGGCATGGCTACGAATGTTGGTGGTAGTGGTGGGGAAGATGTGGGGGTTGGGGGTTTCGGAACAGGGGTAGACATGGGTGCAAGGCCAGCGGTGGGTGTGGTTATGGGTATGATGGAGGGGGGTGAGGTGGGGCGGGAGGGTGGCTTGGGAAGGAGTGGATGGGAGAGGTATGGAAAGGAGAGGTGTGGGGGGTAGCAAGTGTCATAGAGAGGAGCGGGAGAGCGCGGGGAGCAGGTTGTTAGTCGAGGTGTTACGCACCCCGGAATAGGTATGTGATGCAGGTGCGTACGGTGGGTTGTACGGTAGAGCGGTATCGCGTGTGGAGACTGGAAAGAGCATGTTGTTGCCATACATCATGAAATGCGTTTAACCCTGTGGCGTCAGGCAAGGACACCGTGTGAGCTTGGGGTGTGGAAGAGGGGAGGTTATAACGGAGTGTGCATGAAAGAGGGAAGGGTGCTTGGTGAAGGACAGCACAAGAGGGCGGATACCGGTATGTGTGTGCGAGGGGGGCCCTACCTGCAAGGGTAGAAGACTGTGATGAGGACGGGAGCAGCTGCGGATAACGGCGGGAGAAGGGGACAAGGCGTGAAGGCGCTGCTGAGGGAGAGGGAGAGAGCGCGAGAGAGGTATGATGTTGGTGAGAGGATTACGTATCTCGTGCGTTGCACGGCATGTTGATTTCATATGCAGGCTGAGGGCCATTGCGATGTTAGCTTAGCGTACCGGTAGTGTGTGTCGAGAGGGTTAAGTAGGTAGGTAGGTAGGTAGGTAGTAAGGAGGGTGCCGTGCGGCAGAACAGGCGTGGGCCAGGTAGGGGCTATTTCATTTGGCAACCCAACGCAATGTTGGCTAATCGGGGTGGCAGCAGACGGACGCCTGGGCCCGCACCTCTTAGCATCCTTGAATGGAGTAGCTTGACCCCTTCTGAACCGAACCTGTGTGGCGAGACTCCTTCCGGGTAGTGCTGTTAAAGGCTTGCGGCGGTGTGCGCGCCCCGAGCGCGGCGCAAGGCTGCTTTAGAGGCAAGGGTAGTTGACGCCGGCAAAGAAACTTTGAAGGGACAAAGTATAGCTGGCAGTCGATACCATCTCCTCGCACACGGAAAGGGTCTTAGAAGCAAGCTTTTGTTGGTTTCGGGTCCACGTGGCTGCCTGCCGCCCGGCCCTGCTGGCTTTACGTACATGCAACACCTCAGGCGCCGTACCCTGCGCGCGAAAGCAGCCGAACTGCTGGAGGCTGCCTGTATCCGATTTACGTGCAAGCTGAAAAAATGCAATTTGGTAATGCCATTCTGGGTCCCGCCAGTAAACTACAGCCTTGTTTAGTTGCTTTCCTTGCATACTGCATCGGCGCCACAACCAGTTTAACAGCGCTCTCTACTGTTTAGTGAATGAATGACAACCTAGATGTTATCCATTTTGGGACGTATTACTCTTGACGAGGTCGGCATGGCCTGTTCGCGTATGCGTCCTTGCTCCTCAAAACATCATAGCCAGGCATTGACTACAAACCATGATAGTACTATTAAGTACTTTCGGCCTTTGGTAGCGATTAACCGTTGTCCGGTGTCATGCCAACCGTCGCTCCATGAGAGGAGCCCGACCACCAAATGCCGGTCATCGTTCTACGGAGGGCTCTTCCACCGGCGACCAGTACCAAGTCCACCCGAGTTGGTCCCGCAGCGCTGTCCTCACTGCGGAGGGACCGGGACTGTCACCTGCGGCGACTGCGGTGGTCGCGGGCGCCTGTCGAGGGGTGCGTGTGGTAGCTTCCAAGTCCTTTGAGGCACCCTCCAGGCGTGCTTTAGCCCGGGCGCGGTCTCTCATGACCCCTACGCCCATCCTGCACGTCCGTGATTCGTTTCTTGGGTGGCAATCCGGCTCTTGTGCGGCTTCGGCAATCTGCGTACACCCGGTCGCCATATCCTTCCGCCCAGGCCTCCTAGCTTTCCGCAGACTTTCCCCCCTGAAGCCCGCTCCTAGTCCCGGCCACACACCCACCGTCTTATCCGCGCTGGTCGTCGCCAGCTGCTGGCAGTCGGGCGATATGGGGCACTTGAGGATGCGGGCGGTGTGCGCCGATCTGTGTTCCCCCCCTGACCACGCTGTGCTCCTCCCGGCTACCCCAATCCCCCCTTGCAGCCGGCTACAACAAGAGGAACCGGGTGGACATGGCCCGCATCATTGGTGAGTGGGTGACCGCGATACTGAGCAGCCTGGGGGTGGGGGGCGCCGTGTTGGAGGGCGCATGTGCGACTCACACACCGCGTCCGCGTTCCAGGTAGCAGCAGCAGCCGTACCCCGGACAACCCAGAACGTTGTAACCAATCTGCCCCGCTATACCAACCACCAAACCCTCCCCACCTGCCCCCCCTCCCCTCAGGCTCCAAATGGACCGCCATGCAGGAGACGCTGGGCTGGCGCCATTTCCGAGTGGCTCAGGTGGGCGGATGGAGGGACACCCTGCCTCCCTGCCTCCCTCTTCCCCTGCCTCCCTTTCCCTGTCTTCCGCGTATTTAGTTTTGTTGCCACGTACCTAGCGCCTCTCCGCCCCCCCCCCCGGCGGTGCTGCCCTGCTTCCTCCCACTTGCCACCCTTCTCCCCGCCGCAGCTCATCGGCTTGTTTGCCAGCCTCATTCAACACATTGGGTATTCTTCTCCCCCCTCCTGCCACTGGTTCTTCTTCTTCTCCTCCCGTCAGGTCCGCAAGACCGGCTCGGGGTCCGCATTCGTGCAGCTGCAGGCGAGCTGCGACCCCGCAGCGCAGCTCTGGGTGAGGGACTAGGGAGGGACTTGGAGGGGAGGGAGGGAGGGAGGGTCAGGACCCACGGGTCGGTCCGGGTTTTCATTCGCGTCCGGCCAATCTGAATGCAGCTGAAGACGCGCGAAGAACGCGAAAAGGTTCGACCCCAGTTTCGGTCCGCTAGTCCCAAAGGCCCTGCTGTCTCCCTCTCCAACCATCCGAACTGCCTGTCCCTCCGCTTGTGTGTGTCACCGTGCGCCCTTTCCCCGCCAGGTCAGTGCGGGCAACCTGCGCGATCGAGACCTTTGGGCCGCCGGCTGGCTGCAGCTGAGCCAGATGGCCGACCCCGCTGCCGCCGGAGCGCCCTGCCGTACATGCAGCGGCTCGGGCAGCGTGCCGTGTGGCACATGTGACGGCACGGGGGCGGTGATGCGACCACCTCCGGAGACACCGCCAGAGAGCTCGACACCGCTACCGCAGCCGCAGCCGGAGACGCAGCCGGAGACGCAGTTGATTGGGGCGCTGGGGCAGGGGTGTGGAGGGGGAGCACCTGGGGAGTCTCGGGATGGTTTGGAATGCGTGGGTGGGGATGAGGGAGTTGCGGTGTCGGCGGGTGGTGGAGGAGCGGCGGGGCAAGGAAAGGGAGACGGGGGATAAGCGGGTGTGTGAGGGGGGCCAAGCGGCGTGCTGGGTAGCGCCGCACGGATGGGCTTGGAGGCGGGGTGGTTGTGCATGAGTGCATGGTGTGTGTTTGGGCTGGGTTCAGGTGTATGGTTGGCGGTGTTATGATGGTAGCGGGCGGCTTGATGTGCGTCCGGATGTCTCCTGGGCGTGTGTTCTGGTGGAGGCTGATGGGTGGATGCGACTTTAGCAGCATTGCCGGCGCCACATGCATGTGGGGCTTGGAAGCTAGTAGGACTAGGGCAGCAGGGGGCGGCGGTGGCAGTTGCAAACCCAATCTTGGCCCCTGTCACGGGACTTCTTTCCCCACATGGCCCCTCCTTGCAACAGCCCTGCAACACCCCTGGAGCCACAACAGGACGAGTGCATACCCCATGCTTACAGTTATACGTTGTGCTTGCCTCTCCATGTTGATACGACCATAGACCGCAACCCGCGCAGGGGGCCCCGTCCGGTGTGTTAGCAGCTCTCCCCTATCCCTTGCGCACTTTGGCTGAAGCACCCCCTCACAGTGCCTTAGGTCCTTCATCCCCCTCTTCAGACAACAACCATCCGCCGGATACGCACTAATGTCAACAGCCAACGTGTTTTAAACTAGGAGACACAACTAGGGAGGGAAAGGCAAGTGTTGACATCTCTCCCGCTTTCACTCCACTGCGGCCACACGTCTTCGCGCCTGTCAAAATTGACGTGTGCCTTTACTTCAGGACGACCCTCTAGCGCTCTCTCTTCTGGTCCCAGAGCCCCGTGCTCCCCAGCTCCACCCCCCTGATCCCCCTCATCCGGAGCCTCCTCCTCCGGCCCTCTGTACGACCGTTCCTCTCCTCCCATGCGATGCCCTTCCTGAACCCCTCCAACCCCTCCTCTCATCCTTCTGACCACTCCTCCCCTCTCCGCTCCCCATTCCCTGCCCTCCTGCGCCTTACCCCACACCCATGCGACAGCACCCGGGGGCATACATCAAGCCATCGCTCACTCCACATAACCAGTACGTCATGCGGACACGCCCTCCCCGGCCCCAACCCACGCCTTTTGCCCTTCACGTATTTCCCTGTAGCCCCTCTCGGGCAAGGCATGAGCGAACCACGCTCCGGCGCCCCCTCTCCCCGCCCCGAACTGCCGGTACTACTACCAGCCCGCGAAACACAACAAACTACATCCTCGCTTCTTCCCAGCCTTCTGTACCTCTCCCTCATCCTTTCCTCCCAACTGCTCAGTTGAAAATGGTGGTGATGAACTTGGAGACTGGGTTGCCAGCCAGCACCGCCTCCCGCTCCTCCGTCTCGGACTCCCCAGGGGTGGCTGAGGAGGTGGAGGCGGTGGAGGCCTCCTGTCGAGCCTTCCAGGCCGCGATCCTGCGAGGTTGAGGCCCCCCCACCACCGGCAGCAGGCGCAGCAGGGGATCAGGTCTGCGATCCGTTAGTGGACGGCTGCAGGTACCTATTGTAACCCGTTAGTAGCTACCAAGGGCTACAAGGGCTACCAACACCTCCTTGGCTCTTCCGTGAAACAGGGTTACAATCACCCATGCAAACGCGTCTCACCCTCCTCTCCCCTCTGCTGCTGTATTAGCCCTAGTTTTCTGGGTCCAAATACTCTCACTTCGTGTCCCGCCTCCCCGCTTTCTTTTTTCCCCGCGTTCCCCTCCCTCACCATGCCTGTGCCTCGGCCTTGTCGCTGGCGGCCTCATCCGAGTTCTCGGCAGGCTTCGGCGCCTCAGCAGGGGCAGCAGCAGGGGCAGCGGGGGCCTGTGTGAGAGAGAGGGAAGGCAACGGTGCAGGAGTGGGGGAGTGTTATATGCACATGTGAAGCTTCAAGCTGCATGTTGCATGTTACCGTATCAGCCGCAAGAGGCGCATCAGACCCACTCTACCGCTAAGTTGAAGGCATACCGCATTCGGATGCTCCTCACCGGTGGAAAAGCGCTGCTTGCAACCTGCGCCCTCTCCCGCAAAACACACGCATCACATGCACAGCCCCCCACCTGCCAAGCTGCCCGAATCCTACCTCTTCCTGGGGCTGCTTCTCCGCAACCACAGCAGCAGCAGCAGCTACGGGGACCTCCTGGGTGGGAGCAGCGGGGGCAGCAGCAGCGGGGGCAGCAGCTCCGCCCGCCAGCGCTGCCTTGGTGGCCTCCACCACCGCCTGACGCCGCCGAGCAGCCTGCTCAGACTCGGGAGTGGGGGCCGCCGCCGGCTGGCAGGACGGCAAGGGGGAGGGCCCGGAGGGGAGGGAGAAGGGGCAAGGTGAAGAGAGGAGGGAGGGGGGGTCAAGGGAGGGAGGCATGCGAGCAGCCAAGCAACCCGTGTTGGTAGCACCCGCGTACTCCACGTCACAACCTCCCAGCGTCGTATGATGCCGGGGGGTCGTATCCTGGTACGGCAATACCAGTACGACATGTACTGCCCGCCTGCCTCCTCTAGCCGTACAACCCCTTACCTTGGCTGGCGAGGACTTCGGAGCGGGGGTTGCAGGAGCAGCTGCCGCAGGTGGTGCCACTGCAACCGGCGCCGCCGCCGCCGCCAACACCGGCTGCTGCTGCTGCTGCGCTGCTGCCGCCTCCCTCTCCTCTCGTTGCCGCTGCTCCTCCTGCTCCCGCTGCTGCTGCTGCTCTTCCGCACGCTTCATGAAGCCACCGAAGAAGCTCCCGACGTCAAACAGCGGTTTGCCGGCCTCCTGCTGCTCCTCCTCCTCAGCAGCCGCATCAGCAGTAGCCAGCACCACAGGCGGCTCCTCAGCCGCCGCCCGCTTGGGGGTTGCGGCTGCGGCTGCTGCAGGCGCCTGCTGCTGCCCGCCTGCTGCCGCCGCCTGCGCAGCTGAGGCGCTGCGCACCTTCCGGATGGCGGCTGCCAGGGCGGGTTCGGGAGCCCCCGGGGCCTGCGGGCGAGAGGGCAGGGGGAATTCAAGCCGAGCACAGGGGATGGAAAAAGAGGAAACATAGTAGGTGGGGGAGATATGGACAGCGGGGTAGCGAGGGCCAAGGGGAAGTGGGTTTGTTCATGTGTCTCATGCCCTGGGTATGTCCCCGGCATGGAGCGGTACGGCTGGTGGGCTGTGCGGTAGCAGGGGGCAGATGGGCTGCAGGCATGATGGTGGTGGTTTGGGACTTTGTCAAACCAGGGGCGCGCATGATGGGAAGCGGAACGGGTAGCCATGGTAGAGTATGCGGAGTAGGGTGTTGCTGAGCATGCCTACCGGGGCCTCCTCAGGCGCTGCTGCAGCAGGCGCCTCCTCCTCCTCGGCAGCTGGTGCGGCGCTGCTTCCAAACAGTCCGGCGAACAGGGGCAGCGGGGCAGCGGCCTTCTTGACCGCCGCCGCCTCAGCCTGCTGCTGACCTGCCGCCGCCTCGGCAGCGGCCTCCTCATCCGCCGCCTGTGTGCGTGGGGAATAAGCAGGGTAGGGTAAATTTCGCATATAAGGTTATGCGTGTACTATCAAACTTGTTGGGTTAGTAGCAGCCAGCAGCCAGCAATGAGAGCGCAAACCGGAGATGGGAAAGCGGGGCTCAAATGGCTGCCACATGCGTGCATGCATCAGCAGCTAGTTGACGTAGGATGTGATGTCACCGTGTTCCCTTCCCTCCTCCCCAGGCACCCACTTGCGCGGCTGGCTCAGGCTTCCTGCCGAAGAAGCCCAGCAGCTGAGCGGTACCGCTCTTGGGAGCAGCAGCAGCAGCGGCAGCTGCCTCGGCGGCTGGCGGCTTGGGGTTCATCACCTGGGCAGGCGTTGAAAGGGAGCATGGGAGGAAAAGTTAACCCTCGATCGTTGAAGCAAAGGGGAGAAGGGGCAGGCATGCTAAGACGTCCGCGGTAGGTGCCCTGGAACCACAACTGGCGTATTCCCTCCACTCTCGCCACATCTGCCCAGTAAGACGGACACTCCATGGTATTCATCTTTCCCTGCCCGCCTCCTTCCCCACCTCCGCCACAATCTCCGCCCGCTCCTTCTCCCCAAGCAGCACCCCCGCCGCCGCCGCCTTGCGTGCCCGCTCCAGCACCACCTTGGCTGCCGCCTCCCGCCGTGCAGCCACCTCCGCAGCAGACCGCGCAGCAACCAGCTGCGCCTCCAGCGGCCGAGCCTGCCGCAGCGCCGGAGCCACCTCCTTGCGTACGGCAGCCTCCTGCAGGGTGCGGGGTGAGTGTACGGGGGGGGGTCGGGGGTTTGGGATGTGGTGCGGGGGGGGGCTGTGAGGCCCCAAACGGGCAGCGTAAGCATGTACGAGTATCATGCAAACCGAGCCCCCCCAGCGTCGGAGTAAGCGCCAACCAGCCTCAACCACCCCAGCAGCCTCCAACCAAGCCCCCCTACCGTGGCCTTGGCCTCCTTCAGCCGTGCCGCCAGCTCCCCCGCCCGCTTCTCCGCCTCCTGCAGCGCTGCAGCCGCCTGGGAGGCGCGCTGCTGGGCCGCTGCCAGGTCGGTGCGAGCAGCAGCCACCCCCTCGCGGTTGGCCTGCTGGGCCTCCTGGGGGGGCGAGGGGAGGGGGGCGGGGGAAAAAAGAAATTCCAATGTGGGGGTTAGGGTGACTACAGGTTGAGGTGGGCGCGGATGTGGACACAAGGGCCATCCCTTCCTCCACCTCGTGCGATCCCCGCAGCCCGCACTGCTTCGCTTACCGCACCTCGCACCCGCCTCTCACCCGCCCTTCAACCTCCACTCCGCACCCGCACCCGCGACCCCCGCACGCCACCCTACCGGTGTGATCTCCTGCGCCACCTCCTCCAACAGCTCCTCCAACCCCCGCGCCGGCACCCCCGCCTCCGCCACCACCTCCAGCACCTTGTTGGCGGCGGAGGAGGGAGTGCGACAGGCGGCAGCCACCAGCTCAGCCACCTGCAGGCGACTCACCTGAGGCAGGGGGAGGGAGGAGGAGGTGGGGAGGTGGGGCAAGGCGGGGCGGGGGGAAGGGGTTCTCACGCTTTCCGAGGGGAGCTGGAGGGTCGCGGCGCATGTGGCGGGGACCAGCGGGCGGGGCCAGCACTGCCCTCCACGCGGCTTGCGGGCCTCCTCCCTTTTATTCTTGCGTTCCTCTCGTCGACCAGCACCTCCCCCCTCGTCTCGCTCCATGAAGAATTCCTATTCCTGTGCAGCACTCCACCCCGCCTGCCGCCCTGCCTGTGCCCCCTTCCCATTTATATTTCCTCCCCTCCACCTTCCTCCTCCCCCACCTACCTGCCCCCCGAACAGCGAGTCCCGGGGCCGCAGCACCAGGTTGTGGGTGCGCTTGTAGTCGTCGGTGGGGCGCTCCATGCCGCCTTGGGGGGGGAGTAGGTGGGGAGGCGGGTGGTGAGGTGCTGGAGCGGATTGGGTGTGTTGATGGGCGCGCACCCCGCATCCAGCCCCGCACCCCTGCACCTGCACCCCCGCACTGCCCCGCACATACTGCAAACCATGATGACGCCTTATCACACGGTTCGTTAGTCGTTTCCTCTCCCCTCCCCCGCCCTGCCCCCCACCTGGTCGCACGATGGTGTACTGCATGCCGCTGCTCTCCAGCGCCTTCTCCGCCTCGCGCTTCCAGCTGAGCACCCCACCCAGCAGGTTGAGCAGGCTGGCGGGGAAGCCCAGCTTGCCGGTGCCCAGGCTGCTGACCAGCAGGAACTGCCGCACACCCAGCTCGGCGGCGCGGGAGATGAGGGCCACACTGCCCTCGCCGTCCACCTGAGCGGGAGCAGGAGCGGGAATGAGGGGTTGAGAATGTTGCGCGCTTACCAGGTTTGGGCGCATGGAGGATGCAGGAATGCAGAGTTGCATGGGAGCAGCATGCAGCAAGCTGCATGCTGGGAGGAACACGGACTGGTTGCGTTGTATGCGGGGTTTGCGGCGGTGCCGAGCTAGCATCGAAGAAGCGAATGAGGACGGTGGGCATGCATGCATGCATACGGTACGCAGTTGAAGAACCCAGAGGGCTCCCTCCGGAGAGCTCTGCGTGCACACCGGCAGTGGTACCTTGCGAGGTGCGGAGAGCTTGAGCTCGCTCTCCGAGGCGCCCACCGCACTCACCACCTGGCGGGGTGGGAGGTGGAGGGAGATGGAGGGATGCGGAGGGGTGAGGACTTCAGATGTGGCAGAGTTAGTTGAGGGGTAGGATGACGCTTACAAAAACACGGACATTTACCCAGAGTACTAAACCCCCTAGGTTATACTTAAAAACTCCTTTCCCCCTGCTACCTTGTTAGCGGGTCCGATGGCGGCCTCAAAGCCCTCCGGATTGGCCAGGTCGAAGGGCACCACCGTCACCCGCTTGGCCTGCTCCGGGCTGATGATGCCGTACGTGAGGGCAACGGTGAGCGACTGCTGGGCAGCCTCGGGGTCGCGAGCGCCGGCGCGCACAACGAAGCCGCTTTGGAGGAGCTCCCTGGGGGTTGGGTGGGGTGGGTTGGGTGGGGTTATTGTGGGTTGAGTTGTTGTGGAGGGAGAGAAGGAGAAAAGCAGAAGACCAAGTTGGTGGGGGAAGGGGAGCGTGTGTCCTTGTTGGCCCCCTGGCTCGTACGGACAGACAGGGTGCTGTTACAGTGGCTCTGCAACCCCTCCGCTCAGTTCCCCCCTGCATGCTTGGCTCTCCCTCCCACCCACCTGACCACACGAGCTCCCGTGCGCCCCGTCGCCCCCGCCACAAACACCTGCAACGTGGCATGCGGGGGCAACGTGCACCAGCAATTAGGGCAGCACGGCAACGATAAGGCAATTTACTTGGCCACAGCTGCAAAAACGGCAGCTGACACGCATTCGCCCCGGTTATAGGTAAGGGACATCATGCAAGTGGGGATTGCCTGGGATCCTGCAGCTGGTCTCACAGCCCGTATGCCCGTACGTACCACGTTATCGTCGCGAGCATCCTTGGAGAAGGATCCCTTCTTCTCCTCCTTCTTAGACCTAACTGAAATGGTGCCGGTGCCCAGACGCGCGAGGCCAGAAAACAGGGTGCCTGCGCAAGTATACAACCCAGCATGGCGCCAGACGTGACCATGGACGAAGACAAAGATACACTTTGAACGGCTTGGGTTATAAACTTGAAGTATAGTAATTGTTTTAGTAACTGGCACGCGCAGCCGCACTGGTGTAGCTGCAGCGAGCCTGGCGAGCGCTTTGTGCTGCCCAACGGTACCATTCCCAGCTCACCAATCTTGGTGCTGCCCTTTGGCGCCTGGACAGCCTCAGATTCTGCTGCTGCTGCACGTACTGGCCTCACATGTCGAGACCTGGGCGTGTATTGAGGTATGGGACGTCATGCAAGGGAACGTTATCTTCGTCAAACAAGCCTCCCCTAAGCTTTGTAAACGATCGCTAAGTAAGGCTAGATGCATGCTAGATAATGCGCCGCATAGTGTACCTGGATGATGTGCCATAGGGTAGCCGCGAAGCGCGAGCGCTGGCTCCGCTGCGGGTGGTTCTAGTCACAGATGGCCCTGACGCTAGCGTTACCATGGCAAAGATGTAAAGTAATGTAACGTGTGTTCAGTGCTAGCTTGGTGCGCTGACATTTCGACTACATATGTACAGCAGATCAGTTCGTACGTTGACTCTCTACAGGCCTCCGCATATGCTCACCTTGTGAACTGATTATTATCTACACTTACTTTATTGCCTGGCCCGCTTACGGTTACCTGCCCTTAAAAGAGCACGTTACAACCTCTAGTGTAATCCGTTAGAGGGCAAGCATTAAGACTACGAAAGCACAATTGTTCAAAGTTTTACCTACTCGATGATTACAGGTGCACTTTCATTACAGGTCGGCAAGGCCGTTGGTAAACACCTTTCCCGCGCCGAGACCCAAACATTAACACCCATAGCTGAAGCATCAGTAAGGTGCAACAATAGCAACCGCCCATGGCGGGTCCATACTTCGGCACCAGCTCTACGTCGTCAACGCCGGCATGCTCCCTCCTGGTTACGCTCACCATCACAACCGTTGCCGGCTTGGTGCCAGGCAGCAGTGAACTGTACTTCCACAGCGGAGCCTGGTCTGCCCACAGCGACCACAACTAGCACCTCACCCAATGCGGCGCACCTGTCAACGCAACCTCAGCCGCTTGGGAGTTCAGCTGCATCATCATGCAACCCAGCCGTCCAAGGCGTGTTCACCACCCGATGCGGCAACCGCTGGCACGTGCGGCCCTACGATAACAGCGACTACGCTGCCGTTGTTAACATGCAGACAGACAGCTTCCACACTACCAACCCCGTGCCGTTCCTCAACGACTTTACCTACAAGCTCTTTCGCGCAGAGGTGGTGGATGCGATGAAACAGAAGACCAGATGCTCCGACCCAGAAGCCTTCCAGCTGCTAGTGGCTGAAGAGCCTCTCGATGCTGCTGCTGGTGCACCTGATGCTGCTGCTGATGACGATGCTACTGCCACTTCGGGTGAAGACATGTCCAGGACGGCTGAGGCGGTGACATCTACGGCTGCGTTTGTGACTGTCGACACGGTTACGTGCCATGCTAGCGGCAACAGCAGCAGCACTAGCGGCTCCTCACACCTCCCTGGCGGTGTCGAGGGCTCAGCCAACAGCGCTGTAGCTGCGGCAGCAACGTGCGATGCCAGCAGCACTAGCAGCAGCCACAGCGGGAGTACCATCACGCTTGCCACAAGCAGCTGCAGCAGCAGCAATGGCAGCACAGCACCGCCAGCATCTGCTTCAGCTGCTATGGCTGAAGCCACTACCGGTGCAAGCACCTCCGGAAGAGAAAGACGGGAGATTGTAGGATCCGTCGAGGTTTCACTCATGTCACAAAGGGCAGTGCTACGTATGCTGCCATCCCTAACCAACCCACACACCTCCTCGACATCCAACACAAGAGCGGAATACGCATACATAAGCAGCATGTGCGTTTCCGGTCGGTTGCGGCGACGTGGGGTTGCACAGGCGCTCATGGCCGCTGCGGAGGCGCAGGCTCGGCTGTGGGGGCAAGCCCACCTGGCCCTCCATGTGTATAAGGACAATGTGCCTGCCGTACAGCTGTACCGCAGTTACGGCATGCGGGTGCTGTACGAGGAGCCGGCATGGCGGCAGGCGCTGTTCGGGGGGCGGGTGAGGCTGCTGATGCACAAGGAGCTCGGGGCGGGGGCGGCTCGGGAGGTGGCGGGGGACAGCAGGGTGGTGTAGTTCGGCAGCAGGTGGTGTAGTCGACTAGTCAGCAGGTGGTGTGGTCAGTAGGTGGTGCAGTGCGGGAGTGTAGCGTTGGGGTGGGGTAGCAGTATGTTAAGAAAACTGGCCGCGAAAGGACAGTACAGTATAGCACAGGCAGGAGGCAATTCGGCAGTTGAAGGAGGTTAGAGAGCATGCGGGGCTGGGTGCAGGGTGGGATGCACTGCAGAACTGTAGGTGCATGCGGTGGACCGGGAGGAGGGGGGCGTGCTTGTGGTTGGGGCAAGGCATGCAGCCGGGGAGGGGGAAGCGTCCTTGTGTAATACTGATGGTTTGGCTCCAGCTGCGTGTTCGCTCTCATTTGGTTTTGGAGCAATGCCACATATGGGAGGCAGATCGCGTTTAGCGGTTGCTAGCTGCTTTTAGTGCTTGGCGGGGGGCTCAGGAAGCGGTAGGTAGGTAGGGTAGGGCAGCAGTGCCATCATCCAAACACCTCATGGGCGGTGTACGACCAGTTTGTCGTGAGGTCATGAGTGCTGTGGTGCAAGGAACTGTTCGCTGACGTGCGCAAGGGGTGTTGCTCTTCACAGGTGCCGGTATAGTTAGAGGATGTGTCGTGTGCCATGCGAGTAGTGCCGAGCATGTGGTGGCGATGGTGGTCATTGCTTGCTGTGTGCGGTGCGTTTCATTTCGCATGGGGGAGGGTGCAGGAGGCTGCCAAGAGCTTCTCTTGCAGTGCCCTTTGTACCTGGATACCGGCGATCGGGATGCATATGGGAGCCGAGGAATACCATGCAAGTGCTTCATTTATCGTTTTGCACATGCAGGAAGCATACATACGTGCGCTGCGATTACAGGTCGTGTAATCGTACCCCCGTCCAAGAAAAAAACATACATGAAATGTACCCTTCCCGCCTTCGAATCCATCACACGCCTTTGAAAAAATTGGATCTATTCTTCGCAAGCCGTTTCACAAGAAGGATCAGCCATTGAGCCCCTAAAGCTGTCGTTGTGTGCCAGCAGCCGATAGAAGCTGTAATGACCGTTAGTCGCACGGGCAAGTGACAGGTACACGAAACAAAACAGCACAGGAATGGCAGTGCCAAAAAGTAACTGTCCCAGCCTGTACAAAAGAGGGTCCCAAAGTCGTGCCATGCCTTTATGTAACTAGGAAAGCAGCGGCCCGGGTATGTATGAATCCTCGCCGCCTCACTAAACCGCACACGCAACCCCCTAGCTCGAATCTGAATTCAACGTCCCACGCCACAACAACTCTGACCTCACTCGGTTCGCCCGTCCCAGCCGAGAACAAGGAAACAAAGGAAGGAACACGGCACACAGCACAGCCAACAAAACAGAGATTTATTGCATCCCTTAAGTAGGAACGGCTTCTATGTAAAGGGCAGCAGACCAGCCGCGCAGCTAGTAAGCGGCGATGCGCCGGGGAAGGCGGCGCAATAGCAATTCTCGAACAGAACCTGAACTGAAGACCAGACACCGCGCAACTGCCACAGCAGCAGAACACATGGCGGCAACAAAGACCGTGTCACACTCGAAACTAACTGTTGGCCAGTTTCTGTTGCTAATACATGTTGCAACAGCCTACATCCTTGTGAAAAGCCACGCAACACAATGGTATTCCAGTTCCTAGTAATGCGCACTCCTAAACGTCTGCCTAACACCCACGTACTGTATCTAATTCAAAGACGACCAAGTGTCCTCCACGGCCCCATCACTCCTCCTCCTCCTCCTCCTACGCCTCCCTCTCCTCCCACACCTCTCGCAGCCTGGCATGCGCTGCCTAATGTGGTATCATGCGGGCAGCTCCGACGGCCCGAAGTCGCCGGACCACACCAGCAGACACGGCCCTCCTTCACAGCCCCGAATGTGACATCGCAAAGAACAGCACCCGCGTCCTCTTGAGCAGTTGTGCACGCACGCCATGTAGGAGGGTGGTGGTCTCGAGGCTCACTGTGCCACCGGGGTAGAAGGACTATCATCAGCAGTCGAACACACCGGTTCCCTTTCCACCGCATCCATCTCAAGCAGTAGAAAGCCCATAGTAGAGCATGCCAAGGTCACCCACAGTCGCGCACACACCACCCACGCCCACACATAACACATAAAACACATACTACACGGTCGGTGCAGCCACGCGGCGGCACCAAACGAACACACGAAAGACACATGTGCACATCGGGCCAAATGCAACCCAATAGCGATGACGGCTGCAAGGCTTTGGAGGGCCCTGAGGATCCAGACTTTCCCACAGCCCTCGCCTTCTGCACTCCTCGCCACAACATCCCAATCAATACAGTTCACATCGCCTGCAGCAAACCGTCGGATCCCGGACAGGCGCCATCTTATCTCCGCCTCCGCACTTTGCCGGGCCCTTTACATGCTGCGCACCGTTTCCGCACAACCAGCTGCCATCAGGTGCCCAACGCACGCATTCAGGCACATCGCGCACGCACGCGTCCGCTTATCCGTTGCGCCCACCTCACGACATCCGATGAGTTGAACACCACAACAGCGGCTCTCCACCCCTACCATCAACTCAATACTCGTATCGCCGCTGCCTCACCTCTCTCCAAAACAGACCCAGCATGCGTCCAGCAGCTCAAGCGATACTTCGCCGCTCGCACACGCATGCGCCTAGACCGACCAGCCCGCCGGGTCGGTGCGCCTGCGCCGGCAACTGCGCTCCTCCTTTGCCTCCTTCGCTTCCTCTTCCTCTCAACTCCGATCATTAAGATTCACGAAGCAAGAACCCTCTTCGCCGACCCCGACACCACACCATCAGACGCGGGGATCGTAATTCCAGTGCATTGCTGGGTATTCTTCCTTGGACCATGCGCGCACACCACACCCACGCACCGGCCGGCAAGCAGTGTCCACCAGTTCGTTCCATCAGTCATCTCATCAGGGCAGAGCTCCCTCGCACAAGGTACACCCGCCTCACCTGCGCTCGCCTCCGCTCCAATTCCCACCGCCACTGGCCCATAACACAGCGCTGCTTCAAGTCAGCACAAGAGCCACCACTGACATGAACAACAGCCCCTCCGAGCGCGGAAAGCAGTTGCACTGCCCCCCTGTCCTCTTCAATCCTCACTGACCCAGGGTCAGCCTCACACCGCAGCAGCGCCCAACCAGTGCTATCTTCCAGTCCAATCCAATCCACCATGCATCCTCAACGCATCCATAGCGGCCCCACAAGCAGGCATTGCCGCTGTGAGGGCTATACCCACACCGCACCCCCTGCCTGTGCTGCCTGATCCTCTTGCTGGTCCTCCTCCTCAATTCCACACACGCTTGCACACAGTGGAAAGCAACACGTACGGCACCCAGTGTGAGGGGAACCACAGCACCGCACTGCAGGTGGCTGCCACTGCATGCAAGCTGCAGCCCTCTCAGTTGCTGGGAGCCGCAGGGGCCCTTGAACCCAGCTCCGAAGGCAGCGGCACCGGCGCCGCCGCCACCGCCTCCTCGTCCTCTGCATCGCCATTCGCCGCCGGCGCCATTGCTGACGGCGACGGAGCAGCCGGCGGCTCCGATGCCGGCCCGCCGCTACGAGCATTCACCCGGCTCAATGCTTTGGTCCCGCTGCCCGACTGCGCCGCATCCTCTTGCAGAGGCTGCAACGCAGCAGCTGACTGCGCCGGCTGGGGCGGCGGCGAGGGCGGTGGCCGCAATACATGCACTGGCGGGCTGTCCAGTGGGCCTGAGGCGGCCCGGGGCGGTAGTACTGGCGCCGGCGCGGATGCGGGCGCCGCCGCTGTCGTCCCCGTCCCCGCGGGCGGCGACGGCGCAGCGCCGGACATGGTGTGCTGTCCGCCTCCTTCCGAAGCGTACGCAGCCTGGTACATGCCGCCGCCGTCCGGAGACGCTGGGAGCCCCATATCCGCGGGCTGAGCCGGTTCGGAGGAGGGCAGCCAGAGGGGGGAGGAGGTTAGGTGCAGTTGAGGGTCAGCGCGAGGCGGGCGGAAGCGCGTGGTGGCTAGGGGGGACGGCGGCGAGCGGGAGGGGCGCAGGGAGGGGGACTTCAAGCGCGACTGGGAAAGTGAGCGCAGGACGGCGGGGTGGCGGCTGCCCCCGCGCCCGGTGGTTGCGGTTGTGATGGTGTTGGAGGAGTGCGAAGGAGAGCCCGCAGAGCTGCAGCGACTGGCTTCGGACAGGTGGCTCGGGGTGCGCGCAGGCGGCATGCGGGCAGGTTGACCCGTGGGTCGCGAAGGAATGGGTCTAGGGGAAGCGCGTTGATTGGGAGGCGTCGGAGGCCTGGGGGGCACTACGGACGTCGCTGGGTGTGGCATGGCTGTCCTGCCGGCCTCCTGCGCAACAGGCGGCAGCGGCGGCACGGCAGCAGCAGCAGGGGCACAGCGGGCAGCACGGCGGGGTATGAGCCTAGTGGCAGGAGTCGTGGCCGGAGTTGATGGTGCTCTGGCGCAGGAGCCCCGTGCAGGAGCCACGCGGGGTAAGGCGGTGCGAGAATGATGCAAAGCGGGTTTTGCGGTAATGAAGCCGGGCAAGGTAAGAGGCTGCAGGCGTAACATAGGCTTGGAGACAGGTGCGTGCGAGTAGCAGCTCCCGCCCATCGCGCAGGGATGTCTTGCCCGGCGGTAGCAGCTTTTCCCCCGTGTAGCTCCACCGTTGAAAGCATCAAAGAAGGAAACATACTGGTATGGCTGCATGACAATGAACATGCTAAAGCGCAACCCGCCGCCGTACGCACATGCTGGTCCATGCCAGGACCTGTGTCACCCCCCCCCCCGAGCTTTCGGCGCTCCCACTCATCGGCTCATACAGCCTAGTTGCAGCAGCCGATATGCGCAAATGCCGCAACCCTCCATTCCGCTATAACCTATCCCTGCGTTGGTACGCTAGCCTGCTTCCCCATGCGTTAAGTACCCTGCTGTTCTGGGAATGCCTAGAGCTTACGTACATCACTCAATTGCCTATCCAGGTCTGTCTGACCCACATCCAAGACCCCAACCCACCCGGCCAGCCACCCCAGCCCTCTAGCCCGGCGCCACCCACCTGCAGGAGAATGCGGTAGAGCAGTCCCCTGCCCGGCTCCACACGCTCGCCCTTGGACTTCTTCACACGCGAGCCCAGCTTGCGTTCCGAGGTGCAGGCGGTGGAGACGGAGACGATGGCATGGTTGCCAGCGACGCCCTTGAACCTGCGAGGTTCAAGCAGGAACAGCAATGGCATGAGGGGGTGCATGCAGCGGCATGAAGCGGCGAAAACAAACGGCATGCTTAGGATGGGAGCTGGACTGAGACGCAACCACACGTCGGTGTGGCCCTTCCTAGGAGGTAGCAAAACCCCGCTCCCTCCCTCCCTCCTTCCGTTTCTCCCTCCACCTCCCCTCCCCCCCTCCGCACCTGAACAGCCCCAGGTCCTCCACCACCAGCTCATGCGCCCACAGCCAACGGAACGCCCCGACACGCCGCCGGATGCAGAACTCCGGCAACGTCGGCAGACAGCCGGGGGCGCTGTCCAGCATCAGGAAGGAGCCCCGGTGCTGCGCCCGAGCAGGCGGACCTGCGCCGCCTCGGAGCGCCGCCGGCAGCCGGGCGCGATCCATGGGCCGGATCCCCATAGGCCCGCTGGTAGCCACGTTGGTGTCTTGAGATGTGGCCATGGCCAGGGAAGCAGGCAGCGGTGAAGGAGGCGGAGGCGGGAGTCCTACGGCAGCAGCCATGGCAGCAGCAGCTGCGGCGGCGTCGCCTTCGCCGGCTGCGAAGCGGCTCGTCGAGCAGACACCTCCGTTGCCGTCGTCTGTTGCGATGTCCCACAGCGCGTTGAATGCGGCGCTGTGTTCGTGTGACATGGCGGACTCCAGGCTGTGCATGGCCATGGCCGGCGGGTGCGGGTGCGGCAGCGAGGATTGCGGCTGCTGCAGCTGGGAGGACGTGGCGGAGGTCAGGCCCACCGGGTCCCGTGAGGGGCGTTGAAGCTGGCCCAGCAGGCCTTGCGAGGAGGCTGCATGTGGCGCGGAACCGGCTTGCATGCGCCTAGAGGAGGAGCGGCGGGTGATGATTGGAAGCCAGGGGGAGGAGCCGCCGCTGCCGGGACGAGTCAGGACGGCAGGTGCGGCGGCGCCGGGGGCGGTGCCGGGGGCTGCCGCGGGGACGGCTCCTGACGCCCTTGTTGTGGGCTGTTGCGGCGACTGCTGCTGGGGCTGCTGGTTTAGGTGCTGTTGCTGCTGCTGGTAGAAGTGGTGTTGGTGCTGGTAGTACTGTTGCTGGGCCTGGTAGTATTGCTGCTGGAGCTGGTGGTAGGGTGCCGGCTGGTGTGGGGGTTGCTGGGGTGCGCCGGTGCGGTTCGGTTGTAGTGGCAGGGGGGACGCCACAGCGGCCGGCTGCGTTGACGGTGGCAGCGCTTTATAGGGGCTAGAAGACAGCCGTGGCACTGGGCCTCCAGCGCCAGCAGCAGCAGCAGCAACAGCGGAGCCGCCGGCACCCATACTGGCGCTGGGCATCAACACCCGCATGCCAGCTGCTCCGGTGTTGCCGCTTGCTGTGGCCTCTTGAGCAGGCCCCAGGAGCTCCTGTCGCGAGGTCCCGGCGATACGTCTGCGGGAGGAGACCCGGATCTCCTGCTGCTGCGGGTGATGCTGCTGCTCTAGGTAGGCCGGCTCCGAGCCCCGCGGAGCTCGCATCAGCGCCGACGGCAGCGCCAGTGCCAGCGGCACGGGCTGCAGCGGCATGTTGGCCGCATTAGCCACAGCAGTGCCCGTCGCTGACGTCAGCCGGGAACGCGGGGGCACGCCGGAGGCACGGCCTGCGCCGTTAGGGCTGGCCAGGTCGCCGGCGGCCGGAGGCGGCGCCGCCAGCGCCACCGCCATTCCCGCTGCCGTACGCGACACGTTACGGCTGGACATAAGCGCGCTGGCGTAGGCAGCGCCCAGGTGGCTTTGGCTCTGCAGCTGGTCCCGGCGCCTGTTGGCGGCCGAGCGACGGGAGTCCTGAAGAGCAGCCTCGACGGCGGGCCGCATGCGACGCGGTACGGAAGCGGGCGAGATGTCGTACCCGGCCAAGTCGCACAGCGGCACCTCCACAGCGGTGAAGCCGGGGAAGCTGCTGTCGGTGGCGCCACGCGCCGCCGCCGCCACAGCCGACGCGGCGGCGGAGGAAAGCGAGCGGGATGACGCCGCCGACTCCGGTTCACCAGGGTCGATTCCCGCGCCGCCGCCGCCGCCTCGATACGGCTGATCATGTGCCATAAGGCCTTCAAAAGTGGTACTAGATTGGCGAGTGATGGACAATTGCGTGCCGTTGTTTCGGTCGCTAACGGCGGTGCCGCTGTCGCTACTGCCCAAGGCGACCCGGGGCCTGGGCCGACCCATGGGTCCTCCGCTGCCGGGTCGTGTCTGCGGCCCCACTTGCACGCCGTACGTGCTCCCGGGATACTCGGACATCACCACAATGGAACCTAGCATGGAGGCGGGGCCGTCGGGGTCTGAGGGTGGACGCGCACGCAAGGCGAAAAGCGCGACCGCGGGAGCGGCGGGCGGAAGGCGGCAGGTTAGCAAGGCCACAGCTACCCCTCACTGCTCTCCCCCGCATGCAAGGTAGCCCTACCGAGCCCCTCATTTCCATTCCAACAAGGCTCATGGTCCATGTGCCGGTCTGTTTCTGTACCTCCCATCATGCAGCCCTGAGGCCCGCACCAGCCACGCACCTGTGAAACCCCATCCGCCGTCGTAGCAGCACGTAATCCCCAATCAAGCAACCTATAGCCCGGTAAACCTCTCAACCTCCTCCCAACCCACCAACCCACCACCCAACCCCAACCCAGCCCAAGCCACCCCCCTCCCAAACCCCCACCCCGCTCCCTACCTCCATCGTCGCCCCCGCCCGAAGACCGCTCCGCCAGCACCTCCGCCACCCGGTCAGTAGCCGACCCAGCCGGCCCGCACACCGTTCCCACGGCCCCAATCGCCGAGGACGCCACCCCGCCTCCGCCGCCACCTAGCGCGCAGCTCCCCACGTCGCCCCCGCGGGCGTCCTGCGGCATGCACCAGCGCGACGGTACGACAGCGCTGTTGTCGACGGCGGCGACCTGCCGTACGGGCAGCGCCTCCGCTGGCAGCGTCTCCGCCGGCAGGAAGGCGTCACGCAGCAGCTCACGAAGGATGTCCTCCACCAGGGAACGAGCCACGATGACCTGTACGACACAGGGGGGGTGTACGGCAAGAAGTGTGTACGGCAAGTTGCGTACGGCATGTAGGCTTTGGCTTAAACGAGCCGCGACAGGAGTATATGACACTGGATAGAGGGCAGTTGCATGGGGTGGGTGGAGGCATGAGCGACGGCAGAGCACGGGGGAGGGACATCGTAGTTGATCTTCCCTAAAACCCGCTTCCCACGCCCTCACCTGGCCTCCCTGCGCCGCGGCGTGGCAGTAGCGGGCGGCGCGGTTGACCAGCGGACCTGCAGCAGCAGCAGCAGCACAGGGCAGGGCAGGGCAGGACAGGACACGTGAGGAGGCGAGACAGGACACCCAGGGCGTGAGACATACGGCAGGACAGGACGATCCAAGGGAAGGAGGGCTAAGCAGGCGGTGCGGCAGGCAAGTCTGGCGCACAACCCCACTACAAACAACATATCGCATCCAGCAGCGACAAGGCAAGTCACCATGCGTGCCGCACCGCATCCTTCACCCCCCCCCTCTCCCCTCCCCTGCCGCCCCACCAAAGTAGTCCGCCCTCCCCGTAGTAGAGTGCGGCGACACGCGGGTGGGCACCCCCTGGTACACGCCCGCCTTGATGCGCGGACCGCGGAACAGCACCGCGCCGCTCAGCGGGTGCAGCTCCTCGTGCATGGAGGGCAGCGCAAGCATGGGGGTGGTCCAGGCAACCTGGGGGGGGGGGGAGGGGGGGGGTTCAAAGATCATACCAAACCATAAGGAACCCACAAGTTGGGGGGGAAGGGGGGGAGAAGAAACAAGCAAGCGTTGAATGATAGCGGCAAAGGGTGGTAAGCATGTGGTAAAGGGAAGGGGGAGCGCGAACTCGTGGTGGTTGGGTGGCCTCCAACCCTCATCACACCAAGCAACATTCCCCCCTCCCCCTCGCACCTCCATCATCAGCTCCTGCAGCATCAGGCACCACTCCAGCGCGTCCGAGGGCCGGGAGAAGGCGATCCTGGGGTGAGGGTGGGGGTGGGGGTGGGGGTAGGGGTGGGGTCAGGGAGAAAGCAAACTGTTGGGCGAGGGTAGGGGTGCAGCATGGAGGTATGATGGGGGCCGTGGGAACAGGGAGCAGGGGTGACGAGGAGTAGCCGCCAAGGCACTGCAGCACGGGCAAACAAAAGAATCCCCCGCTCCTCCCCTCCCTCTCTCCCCTTCCTCCTCCCGCTCTCCTCCCTCCCCTCCCCAGCACATTGAGTATTCTTCTCCCCCCCCCCCCGGGCCTCACATGTAGTTCCCCTCCTGCTCCTGGCACTCGTAGCCCCCGCACGACAGCAGGCTGCGCCGCACGCAGTCGTTGTACGCGGCCATGACGTCCAGCGAGAGGTCGCGGTTGACTGCGACCATGTCGGAGTACCTGGGGGGGAAGGGAGGGGGGGGACGGGGAGAGGGGAGGGCAGGAGGGGTCGAGGGGTATAAGGCGTCAGGGTGCCGCAAAACATGGGAGGGCTAATGTGAGGGGGAGGGGTGGGGTCAACCCTCTTGACGCCGCGAACAGGACAGGACATGGCATATTTGGCAGTCTCCTTTTCCTCCTCCTTCTACATCCCAGGTCCCTCTCCTTCACCCTTCTCCTCCCCTCCGCCCAGCCAGCATTCAGCTCGGTCGCTGGAGGGTCGCTGTTTCATCGCCACCCCGGACTCGGTATCGGTAGGGACCGCTAACCCATACTTGTTTTTGTGGCACCCTGCCGATTCTATCCCCATTGTCTTGCCCCAACCTGTGGCTTCCTATGGTTCGGTATGGTCTTTGACCCCCCACACCTCTCCATGCTGCAGAACACCAGCGTCACCAGCGGGAAGCCCGCGCGCTGCCGGCTGCCGGGGCGCAGAGTGCCCAGCGGCGCCACCGCGGAGGCGGGCGCGTTGAAGTAGCCGGGCGTGAGCTGCTTGCTGTCGTCAATCGGCTTGCCCAGACGGGCGCGCTCCTCCAGGCCCGGAACCAGCACCTGCCGGGGTTAGGGGGGTTGGTAAGAGCGGTTGAGGGGACCTGAGCTGCGCGTGGTGGCTCACCATGATTAGCACAGGCGTGTTACTAGCTGCACCCGCAACACCCCTTTGCCCGCCCCCTCTAGCTCCGCAAACCTCCCTCCACCCTCCCGCGCCCTCCCCGCCCCACCTGCGTGAGGTTTACGTACTCCACACTGCCTCCCGCATTCAGCTCGAACACCCCCATGTTGACCACCCCCACCGCAGGAGCCATGGAGGCCCGCCGCTGCGCCGCCTCGCGAGCCAGGGCGTTGAGCGCGTTGGTGGCGCGGGTGGCGGGGTAGGCCTGGCTGAGAGGGCCGGTGGGCACCTCGCGCAGGTGACTGCAGAGGGGGGAGAGGGGAGGGAGGGGGTTGGGAAGGGGGTTGGGAAGGGGGTTGGGAAGGGGTTGGGCAGGTGGCTGGGAAGGGGGTTGGGCAGGTGCGTAAGGAGCGGGGAACGAGGTAAGGAACGTGAGAGGGCTTGCTGGGCCTCCTATGAGGGAGGATGTTGCATCCCTTGACGCCGCCGGAGGGCCCATGGGCACTCACCCGACACGCGGCTCCCGAGGCGACCCGTACGGCAAGCTATCCGCGTCGGCATCGGAATTCGAACAGCCGCCTCCGCCGCTCCGTCGCGGCGCAGGCGACTGCGGCAGCACTCCACCCCGCCCGCTCGCGCCCACCACATCTGCCGACTCGGCCTTGCTGGACTCCTGGGATACCCGCGTCAGCTGCTGGTGACCCATGGGTCCGCCGAAGCCCGCTTGCACCAGTGAGTTCGGCGTCGGCGGCGGCGCCGTGTTCGCATTGCTGCTGCCCTGCGTCGTCAGCGAGTGCACCTGCGGCAGGCCTCGGTCGTACGGGCCCTCGTTCCCGGACGTCGCGGCATCGGCGGCGGCGGCGGCGGACAAGCCTCCGTACGGGAGCGGGCTAGCGGGGGCGGCGCCGGTAGCGCCGCCGGGGGCTGTGGCGGGTGGGTTGCGGGTATTGGCCATGGTGATGCTGGCGGGTCGCGGTGAGGGCTGCGGGCCGGGCAGCGCGGTGAGTGCGGCTGCGTCCGCTGTGTTGCGACGGAAGGTAGAGCCGCCCACCAGCTGCCAGGGCGTCCGCATGAGGGTGATCTGGAGGGGGGGATTGAGGGGGAGGGGGATTATATAATAAATGCAAACAACTAGAGTGAGGGGGGAGGCGTGGGAGGCGGCCGTGGGAAAGGCAGGAGGGATGTCGGTGGTGCCAATGGAGGTAGAACGGTGTGAAGAGGCTCAATAATTCAAGACGGCTACATCAGGTGGTGTGATGGGGAAACGCAAGCCAGAGACCCAACTCCGCCCCCCTCCATCCCTCCCCCATGCACCCCCCTCCAACCCACCGAGCTCGCCCGTCCAAACGTGGGCATGCGCGACAAAGTGCTCCGCACCCATCCTCCTCCTCCTGCCGCTCCGCCGCCGCCCGCCGCCCCTCCGGACCGCCCATGCGGCTGCGGCGACCCGCCTATCCCCACCCCCCCACCGCCTCCCCCCACCATGCCGCCAAACCCCTCCTCATCCATGCCGCTGGTATCCCCCCCATGCTCCAACCCGCCTCCCAGCACCCCTCCTGCTCCTGCTCCTCCCCCAGACGCCCCATGCTCCGAGGCCTCTAGTATCTCAGGCGCCGAAGCCAGGTCCACGGACTGTCGCGCCCGGGCGTTGTTCCGTCGCAGGTCCAACGACCCGCGCATACGCAGGTCCAGGGAGCCCCGCATGCGTGGCACGTGACCGGGGCTGCTTGTACGGCGCTTGTCACGGGTTAGCGCTTGTACGGTACGGATGCCCAGGTCGTTGAGGTTGTTGTGGATTGCGTTGAAGGTGTTTGCGTCCAGCAGGATCTGGCCTCCGTTGGGCAGGTCGGCCACTGCCTGCACGCGACGGTACACCTCCCCGCTGTACTCCATGCGCTGGGTGATAGCGTGGGAGGTGATGGCGTCGGTGACACCGGTGGCGACTGGGGCGGAGAGGGAGGGGGGGAAGGATGATGGGAAGGAGAGGGGCGGAGCCTTTAGCGACGGGGAGTGAATGAAAGTGCGGATGTGCATACCAACCAGGCTGTTTTAGGATCATACCGATATCCGGGGAAAGGGAAGGCGCGTGCAATTAGGCATCAAAGCAAAACCGTCCGTCTTACACCCTCTTATGGCCGTCCCCTCCCCCCGTGACCCCCCCCCCATTGCTTTGCCCTAACTTGTGGTCTCCAATGGTTCGGTATGGTCTTTGACCCCCCTCCCCGCTGCCCCCCTACCTCCCATGCGCACTCTCAACCCCCGGTACAGCACGTTGAGGCGCGTGTAGCGGGTCCAGTCAGCGAACTCGGCGGCGTTGGCGGCACCGTTGAAGCTGTGCGGGAGGGTGGGAAAGAGGGGTGGGGTGGGGGGTTGAAGAGGATGAGGCGGCGGAGGGCACATACCATACACGCGGCCAGTTCCTACAAGACAACCAACAATTCGTCTCCCTATACCCCACCACATACCTATACCCCCACCACACGCAAAAACCCCCGCGCTACAACTCAGTCCTCCGCCCTCCCTATCCCCTCCCTCCTCCCCTCCCCTCCCTCCCACTCACGTTCCGTCATGGTGCTTCACATCCGTAGCAAACTTCAGCTGCCGGCTGTTGTCCTGCGAGTACCCCGCACCGCCCTGCGCCCCGCCACCTCCTCCCCCTCCCCCACCCCCCGCCGCCTCCTCAATCCCGCTAGCCGACACCCGAGTGGGTGTTATGCCGCCCCTCGCCGTACTCAGCCCGCTGTGCTGCGGCCCCAGCAGGATGCCCGGCCCGCCGCCCGCTGCCCCGCCGGCCCCCGCCGCCCCCCCGCCCTGCGCTAGGCCCTGCACGTTGGAGGAGTGCGAGGCGGAGGTGGGCTGCAGCGACTCGTGCGTCTCGATGCAGGCCTTGTGGTGCCGGAAGAGCTCGCGATCCCAGTCGGCGTCTGAGGGGGGGGGAGTGAGGGGGGGAAGGGGGGATTGAGGGGAGGTACTGTAACAGGACGCTCTGGCTCGGGACCGTGTGGGGTTCTGTAACCCCATGAACAGTTCGCCGTCGCCTTGCCCTGTGTCTTATCCTTGCATACACAACACATCCCCCCTCCCGCCCCCTCCCAAACGCCCCTCTTCGTCGTACAGCTCGTCAGTTTCCTCTTTCTACCACCCCCGCCCCCTCCCCCCCCAGCTCACTGAGCAGTGCCAGCTGTGTGGTGATGCACCAGCCCACCGCGTCAGCCGGCTCGTGGAAGGCCATCAGGAAGGCATCACCCTGGGGGGGAGGGGGTGTGGGGAGGTGTGGGGGGTTCGGGAGGGGGTAAAAACACATAAACTAAAACAAGTTTGAGGGAGCTTGTAAAGTTAAGTTAGGTTGGGTTAGGTCAGGCTAGGCCAATGGCGATTGCTACCCACCACCACCCTCCTTGGCGCGCCCTCCAACCAGACCCTTTAGCCCCTTCCCTCCACCCCCCCTTCCCCCCCTTCCACCCCTTCCTACCTCCGTTTGCACCTCGTACCCGTACCACTTGGACATCTGCGACCTCAGCGTGTGGTCGTGCAGGTCGATGGCAGCTGCCATCAGGTCCGTGTCCCACTCCCACAGCTCGGTGCTGCCCTCCACTGGGGGGGGGAGGTGGGGGGGACAGGGAGGGGACAGGTTAGGATGAAGAACGCGGGCTCTCCCGCACCCCACCCACCACCATCGCACACCCCTGCGCCAACACGCCCACACATTCCCCACCCAGTCCGTACCGTGTTTCCAAGATGTACAGCTCCATGCCCCCATTCCTCCCCCCGCCACAACACCTCCCCCTCCCCTCCCCCTCGACATTGGGTATTCTTCTTTTCCCCTTCCCCTTCCCCTTCCCCTTCCCCTCCCCCTCCCCCTCCCCCTCCCCCTCCCCCTCCCCCTCCCCCTCCCCCTCCCCCTCCCCCTCCCCCTCCCCCTCCCCCTCCCCCTCCCCCTCCCCTCCCCCCACTCACCATCCGTCAGCACCAGCGTCACCTTGCACCCCCGCGTGCGCTGGCTGAACCCCGGCGGCATGCGCTTGGCCATGGCTGCCCGGTATCGCACCACCGAGGGCACCAGCCGCCACAGCAGCAGCAGCAGCGCGGCAGACAGCGCCAACCCGCCCACCACCACCAGCACAATCACCCACCAGGACACCAGCAAACCACGACCACCCGGACCCGGACCCGCCGCCACACACGTCATGGACACCACCCGGCTGCTGCTGCTGCTGCTGGTGGTGCTGCTGCTGCTGCTAAGCAAGCTGCTGCTGGTGTTGGTGGTGGTGCCGTTGGCAAAGGTGCGGTTGGGTATGTAGCCCGCCCCGCAGTTGCAACCCTCGAACTGCCAGTAGTAGGGCGACATCTCCAGGTGCAGCTGACCGCGCAGCAGCGGCTGCGGGCAGTGCAGGCTGCCAGGGCCGCTGCCGATGGAGGTGGTGCTGCGGGGGGTAGGTAAATCAAGGGGGGTGTCGGATACGACGCGAGGAAACACCGACACCGACCGTGGCCGCTGGGAGGCCCAGGCTACACAACACCCCACATCACCGGAGCCACTCCAGCCTCCAGCCCCTCAACCCCAACAGCCCTATACCGGTACCCCCCCACCTCCCTCCCTCCCTCCCCACCCACGTTTCCGAGAAGCTGATATACTCCGGCAGCCCCGCCTGCCCCGCCACGCCCGCCTGCATGCCCGTGTCGCGCAGGTTGAGGAAGGCCAGCCCCGCCCCCTGCCCCAGCCCCGCCGGCAGCTCCCCCACCAGCCCCGCATTGCCGCCCAGCAGCAGCACCTCCAGGTCGCGCAGGCCGGACAGGGAGGAGGGCAGCGAGCCGCTCAGCTGGTTGGAGCCCAGGTCAAGGTACTGGGGGGGGGGGGTAATATGGATGAAGATTCCGCATTAAGCTGGATTTTAGGATTGCGCATAGTCAAATTCGTTGGGTTAGTAGCAGCACACAAAGTACAAACCGTGATAAAGCTCCATAAGCTGGCGGCCGTGCTGAGATCATATCATTGGACGAATTACTGACGAGCTATAAACTGCCGTCTGAGCTCCACTGCATTGCTGAGCGCCAGTGCGCTGTAAGCTGTGGCTGGTATGCGGCTGTGTGCACCTAGACATCCCACCCGCCCGCCCGCGCAAGTGACCCCTGGGTCGAACTTTAGCCCAGCCCACCCACGACCGAACCCGACTAACCTGCGTAGCAAGGGAAAATTGTGCAACGAAGACGTACCAAATTTCGTTAATAGTGAGCGAAAAGCGTCCAGAGACACAAGAAGGCGGCGTGACGAGCGAACAGAAGACAGGCATGCATCCCTGTGCTGGTGCTGCGAGCTGCGCTGTATATCGACGCAGGCTGTATGACGATGAAGATGGCTGGCTTATCAGGATGAAAGAGACGGGACTATGCCGAGAGTTAGTATTTATGCGAAATGCGGCGATGCGAAGTACGGCATGGGACGAGCATGCTTAATTTAGCGCAAGCGCAGTATGGGTATGATGATCTAGATATGCAGGGGGTGCAAAACATGCGGCGTCAGTACTGGGGGGGGAGGGAAGGAGGGAGGGAAGGAGGGGAGAGAGGGAGGAGGCAAGGAAGGGGGTTGGTTCAGCTCGGCAGTGTTCAGTATACAATAACGAGGTGAGCAAGCGAGGAGGTGTTGTGGGTGGGATGATGAAGGTGTTGATGAGCTGCTGCCACGGCTGCAGCACCGCCCTGCACTCAGACGCTTCCCCAGCCCCCCCCCCCCAGCCCCCGGGCAGGGCGGGATGGGCCGGCTACCATGATGAAGCCTACATGTCATACAGCCCCTTAGTCGCCTCGTCGCTTTCCTTAACTTTAACCCCAAGCCCCCCCCCTCGCCTCCATACCACACATTGGAATTTCTTTTCCTCACCTCCAGGTGCCTGCACCTCAGGTCCTCGGGTATGCTGCCCCCCAGCTGGTTCCCGCGCAGGTCCAGGTGCAGCAGCGACCAGGAGGCGCGCAGCAGCGGCGCCACGGGGCCGCTCAGCCGGTTGCCGGCGGCCCCCAGGTAGGCCAGCGCCAGGCCGGCCAGGTAGGGCGGCAGGCTGCCGCTGAGCTGGTTGCTGGAGAGGTCCAGCAGGGTGAGCGAGTCTGGGGGGAGGGGTGGGGTGGAGGTGGGGGGAGGGTTAAGAGGGACGAATGCTCCAGGCTGAACGCACCTGCGGCGAATCCGTAACAAGCAGCCCTTCCCCTCCCTTCCCCGCCCTCCCCGCCCGCCGCACCTGACAGCGCCGCCCCCTCCGGCAGCCCCGGCAGCGGCCCCGTGAGGTTGTTGCCCGCCAGGTGCAGCGTCCGCAGCGCCCCCGGACCCGAGAAGGCGGCGGCGGGCAGCGAGCCGCTCAGCTGGTTGGAGTCCAGGTCAAGGTACTGTTGGAGGAATGGAGGGGAGGGGGAGGGAGAGTGGTCACAGGTAAGGAGGCAACCAATCGCTGCCACACAACCCAAGCATGCCGTCGCTACCAAACTCTTACCACCCCCTGCAGCCCCTACCAGGCATTCCAGCCATAGACGTGTCACACCAGGACTACCACTCCCTCCCAATTTCCCCCCCCCCCCCGCCCCCCCCACCTGCAGCCCCGGCAGCTCCAGCAGCTCCAGCGGCAGCGGCCCGCCCAGTCGGTTGCCCGGCAGCAGCACCGCACTCAGGTTGGCGGGCGCCCGCAGCCCCCCCAGCGGCCCCGACAGCTGGTTGGAGCCCGCGGACAGCAGCCGCAGCGCCGCCAGCGCGGGCAGACCGCCCGCAGCCGACCAGAAGGAGGAGCTGCAGGAGAGGGAGTTGTCGTCCAGCTCTAGGGCGCTGGGGGTGGAGGGGGGGAGAGGGAGAGGAGATGGAGGGTGGTGAGAGGAGGGGAGGAATGGGAGAGGGCAGGATAAGCGCAGCTGCAGCCCCGGGGGCACCCTTCAGCTGTGCAACCGTCGCCGCTGCCGCTGCTGTTGGTGTTTTTGCCCTGCCAAAAGGCGCCCATGTGGCGCTTTGCTGCAGCCCCCTACCGCCCAAGGGCCCAAGCCAACCTCCGCTGCGACGGCGCAACATGCACACTGCCACTCTCCCGCATTACACCCCCCCCTCCCGGCCTTCGGTGGCCCCATGGCGTCTACCAGGCCGCCAACCTGCCTTAACCCTGCAGCCATCCTCGGGCCGCCACCACCTACCCCTCCACGCCTTCCCAGCGCTACACAGGCACGCCCCACCACCCACGCCAGCTCACCGCACCGCCTGAACCCTCCATGGGTGCATGCCACACCACCTCGTACCCCCCCACCCACCCCATCCACCCCAGTACACGTGCGTCACCTGGCAAGCAAGCAAGCATGCAGCGGAGCATGCGCGTGCACATGCACTCCCCCCCTTCCAACCCGCTCCCACCAAACCGCAGGCAGGTGTACACTTCCTTGGTTCGCACTCACAGCAGTGTGGTGCTGAATGCGGCCCAGGGCACCGCCCCCAGGTCGCCCGTCATGTTGTTGGAGGCGAGGCTGAGCGCCACCACGCCCGCGGCGCCGTCGGGGCACTGCGGGTCCCCAGCATCCGGCAGGACCACGTTGTCGGAAACGATGCCGTCCAGGGCGCTGCTGAGGCAGCACAGAACGCCCTCCCACTGACACACAGAGGCGGTACTGTTCAGCCAGTTGCGCCGACGAGTCCAGCCAGCGCCTGCCCATGCGTTGAAGAGCTGCGTTAGAGCCTGTCGCTGGTCCGCCTGGCACTGTGCGTCGCAGGATGATGTGAGAATGCCGTCAGCGCTGCTCAGAAGTTGACGACGCAGCGACGCTCGCCGCGCGGTCGCCTGCTCGTAAGGATTCTGTGCGACTACGTGGCTGCGCCAGGCTGATAGGGACTGCTTCTCCAACGCGCCTTGGCGGGAGGCACAATTCGTCGCCAAAAGCAGCACCGACAGCAAGAAAGCTTGCAGCTGAACCCTCATCCGTCACTGTCTGAATTACGAAGGCAGTTTGCGTAGCGGCTACCCCATTCCGACCACAGCGTGTGGCAGAAAGAAGACCAGTGACCAGCCTTAGTGGAGCGGGGCTTGCTAAAAATCAATATTGTCAATTGTTGCATATCGTTGCCATGGCAGCTAGTAACCCGAGGAGAGGTTTGGCAATATTCTTTGGTGTCGGCAACAGTTTCTGCTCCTTGCTGTAGCTTGACCTGATAATGTCATAAAAGACTCGGCCTGGTAAGTATTACGTTTCGACCAACAATTGCCAACGCGCAGACGATGGGTTCGGAACTGTATACGACCGTAAGTTTTCGTTACGCCTACCTTATCTAAGCATATATGGAGGCAGTTAAAGGATACATATGCCTGCTTGTTATACAGGACGTAACCCGACCAAGATACAAGGAATGACCAGAATTGGTGTTCGCAGTGCGATATTCGGTTTTCTGCTAAATGACACCATGAACACTACCTTAGATAACAATATGGCAAAGGGCTTCTTGGTCTGGTTGTTTGGGATCTGCACTTATGTTGTCACGTGTGCACTGCAATCGTAACCCCGCAATCCTGACTTTGATTATTGGTGGATTGAAAATTTTTAGTTATGCACGCACTTTGAAGCATTGTAAATGCAAATGGGCTTGCGCTCTATGACTTGACGGCCAAGCTGTAACCGCGAGGGACCGGTTAAGACGTTTCAAGGCAAGGATTCTGCCTATACACCTCTCGTTGATATCTTAATGCAGCCTCCATCTCCGGTGCGTGCTCCGTTCTTCTGCCGTATCGAGTAGTAAAGCCAACATTTGGCTTTATAAAAGGAAAATCCTTTACCAGGACATACGCCCCGTAAGAGGCATGACCCTAGTTTTAGGCAAAGGACTAAGTATGGCCTGCATAAGAGCTCCCGCGCTCGTGTGCGCATGCGCTACCAAGGGCATGGTCTCAGCAGCGCACCTTGTTGGGTACCCTATTGGTATCTAAACAATTCGACAATTGACAGGCCCATTGTTGAATTCCCTATGAATACGTTTGGGGCAGCACTGGTTGAAACCCTAACCACACGGACTTCTGCTGGCGAGCATAGCAGCTCATACTGCCATCATCCATTCACCCAACGGTGTCGACCTGTCAATGACTGCCTTCATGAGCGGTGCGCAAATGCCGTAAAGGCGCAGCACAGACCCCTACCACTCATTTCACTATCTAGCCGCTTCCTAGGGCTTCACTTGCGGGGGTACCGCAATCGTACACGCCTTGCCCCCAACCTGGCTCCTACCCCATTACCCTTGTCCTACCGTAACACCTCTTCGCACAACGAACGCCCCTTCTTGTCGCATGCAGGTCGATGCCGACGACGATCAAGGAGTTAAGCTCCCGGCCACGTATCAAACATGCATACCCAAGTAGTCTGTTACCAGTGCTAGAGCACGTTCCATCATGCCTGGGGCTGCAGGAGACGGCGTTTCAGCGGGGGTTTCGCCTCCTCGGCCTCTTGGACTCTTTTTGGGCGTGGTGCAGTCCTTGGGTCAAGACTGGGTTGCAAGACTTCGCGTGGAGAAGCCGTTTTGTGCTGTAACAGTAGCATGTTGTAAGGCATGTGTGTTGTGTCCTAGAAGGGGCTGAGCAAAGGGAGCCGTCCTTCCAAATCTTGATGCCGTACTGGATCCAGTTTCCTCCGCTTACGCTGAGCCTTTCCCACATGGCTGCTATCTGGGTTCAAGTGTGTATGCCCCTAGTAAATGGTGGGTTAGGTTAGCAAAAATGGACTGGCTACTTATAGCGCAAGCCTTGAATCTGCTAGGTTGCATTCTCTACCATACAACAGCTGCGCTCCTGTCGCTGCCATCATTGCTGTTCTACTATCTAGGATTGCGTCGATGCAAAGGATCCGGAGATAAGCCTGGCTGTGTTACGTTTTACGAGGGCCACGTCTTGCACGTTCGCCGTGCACCTGTACATAATGAATTCCAGTAAGGCAAAGAAATATAACAGTAATCTTTAATGCAAACAGATGTGCATTAATGGAGGACTGGGACTATACTTGCTTGCACATGTCACAGCTACCCCAATGCTTCCTTGGCTATCTGCCAGCTAGCACCGACCAAGTTACAGTAGATGTTGTCGATGTTAGCTCTATGCCTACTTCAGCCGACCGCCGGTATATCGCAGGTATGCCGTGCGCATGGCGGTGTTGGACCTCGACTCGCCGCCCAGCTGGTTCAGAGCCCAGGCGTCCGACCACATGACGGCTGACGAAGCGCGCAAGTTTGCCAGCACCACAGGTGTGGAGCGGTGAATTCCGTTTACACACAACTCGTCTTAAACACATCGCTCTCAAGTCACAACCCGGCCTAACATCGACGACCTTCAAGCCTTCAAGCCAATGACTTGCTGAGCCGCCTGTTAGAAGACCTAATACTACCATGCAGGTCACATTTACCAAGTACTCGCCCCACAACGGACTAACCGTCATTGACTCGTCCGTGCACCTCTTTACTTATGCTCGTTTGCTGCAGGGCCCGTCAAGCTGCTCACGGACCCCATGACCGCCGGCTATGTCGTCAACCCCATCAGCGTGTACTACTGCTATGGCAACGCGGCAACGGAGGGAGCGGCACCAACCCTGGAGCGATGCATTGCTGAGGTGGGTAGGCTAGTTACCGCGTCTCGTCTGTTGGCCGAAGACCTTACCTCTGGTGATGCACCTGCAACGGTTATCATCCTCAAGGCCCAGCAATTGGCAGCTGAATACTGGTAGCCACCATCTGGGCTCTCCTGCTGGTCATTGGTTTGCCCCTTCAGGTGACGAACACGCCCTGGAACGAGCGCTTGACGTTTGTGTTCCGACCCGCGGGTCAGTCGGTGCGCAAGGCGCTGCACGTCTCGCCCCTCATGGACATGCAGAACACATGGTAGGGAGAAAGGGCACCTCACATCCCGGGGCTGGGGTTGGGCGACATAGGGTTGGGGGTGACAGCGTGGATACCCTGCATCGTCAGTACTCTCCTGCCATCGCGGGATGCATACGGTGCGCTGCCACTGTGCCGTGGTGGGCAGTGCTGCATTGGCGGTTTGGCATGTCTTCCCCTTCCACCTCCTTTCGCCTCCACCCCTCTACTTACCACCCCTCTTACGGCCTCCCCTTCCAAATCCCACGCCTCCCTGTCTGCCAAACCCCACCTCCCCCACTCCCTCCCCTCCTCAGGCACCTCGAGGCTCCCGAGCCCTCCGACCGGCTTCACCTGGTAGTCCGCGCCTCGCACCCAACGCACGGGGACTACTTCTACGCGGGTCTCACAGCCCGCCGCTGCGGCGCCGCTGTCCACAGCGGGGCTGCGACCACCCGCCCCTCCCCCCAGCACCCGCAGCAGCAGCTGTCTGCCGGGCTGCATGCGTGTGTGAATGAGGAGGCGGGGCTGGGCAGCCTGCTGCGGTACGGCTTCATGCCGCACCGGGTGGCGCTGCTGATCTACTGGCAGGTGGGTGGGCAGACTGGTGAACCGGGCGGGTAGACCCGCCGGTACTTGGGAGTGTTAATAATCACAGTAGGAACGTACTGTGATTGCCGGAAGATGAAGGCCCCACAGAAACGCCACAGGAGCCGAGGAGTATGGTGGCGTATGTAGAACTATAAATCCGGTACTGGTGCTGGTAATAAGTAGGACGCAAGGGTGTGTGTACCGCACCTATACTTCTGACGTCCTTTTGGAGCGTCCTCCTGCACGCATGCAGCAGGGCTAACACCGAACGAAAGCTTTGCAGACACGCAATGAGCGTCTGGTGAAGGTTACCGGGGAGGGAGCCTGAAGTAAGGCGTTGGGATGGTCCTGGGGTTGATCAACACTGTATATTAACACAATAGGTTTGAGGTGCTATATCTCTCACCACAGCGCACCCACTTGCTATCCCCTACCGTCCCCATCCTCGCCCCCAGGCTATCAAGCTGCTGTTCAAGGGGGTGCCCTTCTACCCTCCCCCCGACAAGGCCTACCAGCGGCAGCTGGTGACGGAGGAGGGGGACCCCCCCGCCGACACCCAGCCCGCCGATTGCACGACACAGCCGGACGCGCAAGGCAGCGACAGCAGCGGCAAGGGCTGCTGCGTCGGCAGCGGCTGTGGTGGCGGGGGCTCCGGTCTGTGTCCCATGGTAGTGGGGCTGCAGGCCTCGTCCGCCGCTTGCTCGGGTCGGGGGGCTGCTTGCATGGGGGCGGGAGCGGCGGCAGGGGCGGGCGGCGCCTCGCAGCACTCGCACCCTCGCAACGGGGTGGATGGGAGGCACTTCATGTGGCGAGCTGCGCCCAACTGGCCCTGGCGGGAGGGGTGATGCAGGGGAGCCGAGATGGAACAATGACCAGAGGGAGGTGGGGGGGGGGGGTGCGGGCCGCTCTTTGAAGAACGGGGTCAGCAAGGAGTGGCCCGCCACTTGGACGGAAGAGTAGCGAGCGAGCGCTTCTTGTGTACAGTGGGCAAGCGGCATGTGTGACCAATCCGCATGGGGCCGCATATGTGCTGCGATGCCGACTCACACACCTACAACCTGTAAGGTTTGTGGTTCGCCTTTTAAGAGCTACGTGGCGCAATTGTCCAGTGCTGCTGTATCGAGCGCACCGCTGCAGGATCCCGTTGGTTAGTGCGGTACGGCAGGTCACAAGAGGGTTCATTGGGGGGCATGTGTGGGGGTATGTATGTCCAAGTCCAATCCAGCAACTCACGGTGCGCCCCTGCGGCGGTCACATACTTGACATTCAGGAGTTGTGGACAAAGTCAGGCCCTTGACGGTGGGGCACTGAGTTTGCAACACAACTACCGTGGTCACGGCAACGACAGGCTTGCCGTCAAGTCCTCGAGGTATTGCCAATGATGTACAACTTTGTTGTACTTCCGTGCCCTGCTGTAAAAGGCACGCATCAGGATCCCTTGCAACCCGTCCGACAAAAACAAGGCAACACTCAGGAGAGGTACACTGAGGGCAATCCTTCCCAGTGGCAAGCTGGCTGCTGGGCTCGCCCCACCACAACAGCGGGGAGGTTACGGCACCTGCTTCCTTGTCCCAAGCACGTGATGCGGCCTACCAGCACCAGCAGCACAGGACTCTGCCTCCCAAGCCAAGTCCCTGCCTCCTCAGAGCTGCCTTGCTTTCTAAAAGCCGGTGCAACGCAACATAGCAAGGTGTGAAAAGCGCAAACCTGCCACTGACTGACCAAGCGCCGACTCTCAACTCGCCCTCAACTTCAGGCAGCTTCCCTCGCCCTTTCCACTGCATTCCCTGTGGCTCCTCAGTACATACGTGCTAACCAGGACACAGTCTCCCACCGAAACCGCAACCCACCCAACGCTGTCTCCCGTGCCACCCACGCCTCTATCCAACACCTCCTTCCAACCGCCGCTTCCCCTAGGAAGCCGCGTCCGTCTCCGCCTTGTCCCGCTCACTCTTGGCCGCCTTGTCCTTCTCCCTGCCCTTGTCCTTGTCGGCAGGCGAGGTGCCGCGCATGATGAATTGCCTGAGGAGGGGCGCGGGGGCCGGGAGGGGAGGCGGTTTCAGGGGAGCGGTTTGAGGGGCGCAACGCGCGTGCCATGTTCGTACAAGCACACCGGGGACAGCAACAGCCTTGTGCAGTTGACAGCGTGGAGCCGCACTGGTAGAGACGGCGGCTAAGTGTTGCCTTCATGTGCTCTGTGGTGCCCCGCCGCCTCCCCTCCTCTACTTAACTCGCGTTTTTCTGTTCAGAGGGGTCATTGGGGTTCCTCTTCGACACTCCCTCCTCGGCCCCTCCCCTCGGCGTTCATTAGCCAGCCACCTCACGTCCCCGCTCATCGTCAGCCTCAGTCACCACCCCACTGCTTTGCCGTAAACAAGTTAATAAAGTGGTTTGGTTTCTCTTCCCCCGGCCCCCGCCCCCTCCCCCGTCCCCCCCCAACCTGTGCTCCTCCAGCTCCGCCACCACCTCCTCCGCGGGCCGGTAGACGAGGTCCGAGATGCGCCACACCTGGGGGAGGGAGGGAGGCAGGGAGGGACAGATGGATGAGGTTTGGAGGGTGGACGGAGCAAGAGATTCGCGGTGATCAGGGAGACCGCGTCCAAGTTTTCAATGTGGCTGCAAAGCGGGCTCCCGCTTTGCGAGCAATGCCGCACTCCTCTCCCCAGCGTTTCACTGTCGACATACAGGTTGAACCACCCGAGCTTCCCCCAGCTGGCACCTCATCCGCAAACGTTCAGACGCAAGTGCCGTGTCCGACGACCAAGGCCTCCCCACAGCCTCCCAGAGGCTTCCCCCCCTCCCCACCATGCCGACCCAGCACCCGCACCCACCCCAAACCCCCGGACCCCCACCTGCAGGCTGCCGTCCGCCGCCGCCTCATCATCGCTGCCGGCGCAGTTCTCCGACACACTCATGATGACCCATGGGTCGGTGGGGTGCCACTGGAAGTCCGTCACGCGCTGGGCGCGGGGGTTGGTGATGGGTGGTGGGGTTACACAGTTGGGGTGGGGAGGGGGGCTGGAGAGAGGAGGAGGAAGGAGAAGAAGTGAACAGCAGGGACGCACCTCTTTCCCATACTACGCGACCCAACCTGATGCTCTACCCAACACCGGTCTCCTCACCCTCAACCCCCAACCACTCCACCATTCAGTAATCTTCGCCCACCCTCCGCAGCCGCCCATTCATCTATCCATCACCTCCACCCCTTCCCTCCCCTCCCACCCCCAACCTCCCACCAGCTCACAACTCACCCCCTTGCGGTGCCCCACGTGCTGGTGCAACAGCTGAGGCGGCAACTCATCCTCCGCTTCCGCCTTCGCTGCTCCCCTCCCTCCTCCTCCTGCACCTCCTCCACTCCCCCCACCACCGCTCCCTCCTGACGCCGTCGCCGCCCCATTCCCCCCCGCCACATCCCTCGCCCCGCTAGCCCGCGTCCTCTTCCTCGGAGGCGCAGCCTCCTCAGCCGCCCCCGCCCCTCCCTCGCCGCTGGCAGTGCTCGACGGCCCCAACTCCCCGCCCCCCACCCCCCGGCCGGTAGCTGCCGCCTCCGCAGCCGCTGATGTGGTCGCAGCCCCGCTGCTGCCAGTCGGCCTACTGCTCCTACCAGCACCCCCTCCTCCACCTACCGCTGCCCCTGCTGCTGTGGGTAGGTCTCCGGAGGCAGGGGTGTTGTTATCCAGGTGGGCGGTGCGGGTGAGGTCCCACAGCGCCACCGTGTGGTCCTGGGCGCCGCTGGCGAACACATGCTGGGGGGGGGGGAGGGAGGGGGAGGGGGGGGGACAGAGGGGTAAAGATAAGGAAACTGAAGAGGCAACTAACGAGCCGTGTGACAAGGCTGGAAGACAGATGGGGGGTTAGGCGGGGGAGGGACAAGGGTTAGGATGGGAGGTGGGCTTACGGGAGAGGGCGGGAGGTTTGAGAAGGGGAGGGCAGGGAATGGCGCTGAAGGGCTCTTCACCCCTCCCCCTCCCTTCTCTCCCACCCCGCCCCTTCCACCCCTCACCCCCCCCGTCACCCCGGCCCCCCTACCCTCGCGCTGGGGTGCCACTCCACGTGAATGATCTCTCGCTGCTCCGAGTTGCGGTGCGCGTCGAAGGCCGCGATGCGGTCGGCTGCGGCGCTCATGCGGCGGCGGTCCCACACGTGCAGGCTGCCGTCCTGCGCGCCTGGGGGGGGGTGGGGGGGGGGTGGAGGGGGGTGGAGGGGGGCAGAGAGACGGGGGGAGGTGGAGTTACAGGTAGTCACGTAGGGGGCCACGGCTGGCACTTGTCATGCGACGGTGTCATCTTTGCCCCCTCCCCCTCCTAGGTTGGCTCCTAAGTCGGGCTTTGGGCTTGGAGTCTCGGGCCTCTCCTTCTTTTCCTCCTCCCCCCTCCCTTCTTTCCCCACCCTCCCACCCATGGTGAAGCCTCGTCATACAGCTCTTTCAGTTTCCTGCCCACCCTCCCCTCCCCTCCCCCCCCCTCCTCACCCGTGACCACCATGTTATCGTCCAGCGAGCTCCAGTCCACACACAGCACGTTCACCCCCGCCCCGTGCGCCGCCTCCACACACCCCACCCGCGGCCGCTGCGACCGCACGTCCCACGTGATCAGCCGCCCGTCGTCCGCCACACTCAGCAACACATTGGAGGAGGCGGCGGAGGGGGCGGAGGGGGCGGATGAGGGGGAGGGGGAGGAGGTGGCGAGGGGCTGGAAGACCAGGTCCCCCACGGTGGCGGTGTGGCCCTCAAGACGGTAGCGGGCTGCGGGAGGGAGGGGAGAGAGGGTGGGGAGATGGGAGGGGAGGGTAAGGGAGAAAGGGCAGCACGAACCCGCACGTGTGCTGCCGGCGCCCGCCCCACAGTTCACAGTCCCACAGCCGCGTATACCTCCATGGGCAGCTGCTTGCACCACCGGTATACACACACACCACTCGCGGCCAGTTTCCTTAACACACACCCTACATCCAGTTACCGGTGCTGCGGGCGCTAGCTCCCTAACATAGGTCCCCACTCCATCCCCCCACCTTTCAGCTCCGGCGTCGACCTCCTGCCCCCTCCCCCTCCCCCTCCCGGCCCCAGCAGGCTGCTGACGTGGTCGCCCAGGTCCCACAGCAGCACCAGCGTGTCGCTGCCGCCGCTGGCGACCCGCGGGTCGGTGCTGGAGCAGGCGAGCGGGAACTGCGCCTCCTCCTCGTGCCCCACCAGGGTCAGGTCGGGCAGGGAGGGGTCGGAGGCGGAGGAGGTGCGCTGGCGGGTGGACTGGGAGGCGAGGAGGGGGGGAGGGAGAGGAAGGGGGAGTTACAGTTACAGTCTGTACGCGTGTACAGTGTGAAATCAGGGGTTGTGGAGTGAAGGAGGGAGGGAAGGAGGCGGAGGAGACTTGCACAAGGCTGGGCGGGTGTGGGTGGATAGCGGTATGGGTGGTGGTTTCTAGCCAGTTACTTGGCCAAGATTGGGCAAACCAGTGACCAGACACACCGCACAAACCCATGCGCTGTCAGACGGCTGCCCCCACCCCCCAGCCCCGCACCTTTCCCCCCGTGCTCGTCCCCGCCCCCGCCAACCCCGCCCCCGCCGGTCGCCTGTCCGGCTGCCGCTCCATGTTCCACAGGAACAGGCTGCTGGAGTCGGTGTGGGTGACCAGCAGCTGGGGGTGCTGGGGCAGCTCGCGGACCTTGTTTACCTGGATGTGGGGGAGGGAGCGGGGGGGAGGGGAGGATGTGCGGCAATCCGGGCATGGATCAAGGTGGGTAGTGCTAGGCAGGAGGGGAGAGCGGGTGTGTGCACACACAGAGGCACCCTGACACCACCAGCTGCGCACCTGCAGGCTACAGGGTGCACAGGTGCACTCCCCCCCCCGGGCGCAAGTTTGCCTGTTCAGCGGGCGTTTATGTCCTTCCCCTTCCCGCCCCCTCAGCCCCCCCGCCCCCTTCCCCAGCCCCCCCAATCCCCCCTCACCTCCCCCGGGTGGTATATGGTCTTCACGATGGCCACCTCCTGGCTGCGGCTCTTCTCCGTCCAGCTGCTCACCGCCTCGCAGGAGGCGACATGGGGCTGGGCGGGGAGGAGGGGGGGCAGGGGGGGCAGGGGGGAGGAATAGGGGGGGTCAGAAGGAGGGGGAGGGGGGAGGGGAGCACGTTGGTAACGGTAGGGGAGAGGTGGGGAGGTGGTCGGGAAGGCGGCTAAGGGAAAGCAAGGTGCGAGGAAGGCGGCTGGGCAAGAGGAAGAATGGCAGTGGGGGTGGGCGTCATCTTGGTAGGGAAGGGGTGGTGGGCAAGCCAGCAGACACTGGGGTGCTTGTTGCTTTGTTGCGTTACCACCTCCCCTCCCCTGCGTTCACCAGGAGCCTCCACCAGGAGTTGCCATTACCCGTTTCCTGCAAAGCCAAAGGTGGCAGTGCTCCTGTTTCTCTTCTCCCTCTCTCCCCCACATACCTTGAACACGTCAATGTGTGCCAGCACCAGCGTGTTGGGCCGCGACCCGTCCAACACCTGCCAGCAGGGGGGAGCGGGAGGAAGCAGCAGAGGGGAGCGGGAGGCGGCAGCAGGGGGGAGCGGGAGGAAGCGGGCGGAGGAGGGAGGAGGGAGGAGGAAGATGCGGATACAGTGTTGGTCATGGTAGTGGCAACTCGTGATAAGGAAGGGAGGGATGGGTAGGGTTGGAGCTGGTCCAGTAAATCTACAGATAGCCCATCCTAGCGCAACCCATGTCTCCCGAGGTTCCAGTAGCGTCCCGGTAGCGCCGAGTGCCTGCCCTCTTCCCGCCGGGCTTCCCTCCCGCCTCTTCCAGCTCGGCCGCCCACCTGCTCTGAAAGGTAGGCCTGGTACCGCGACTTGTGGCCCAGGTCCTCTACTAGGGGACCCCACCTGCGGAGGAGGGGCATGGGCGGGGCATGGATGGCTTCACCGTATGGATGTGTCTGTTGACCGTTGCTATTTACCACGGCGATTAAGCACGTGTAGCTGCTAAATTGCATGACAGCAGATTGAAGCGGGGAGTTTCCAGTGAGGAAGGGCAGTTGGCAATAATACAGGACAGCGACACATATGCTTGGATTGCTTGCGCCACGGCCGCAAGGGGTGTTGTCAGATGTCCGTGCTGCACTCCCCGGCCGCCCCAAAAGTAGAATCAACCATACCTGCATGTCTGGGTTGGGTAGGCCAGATGATAATGCATAAACCTGTGAACAGCCGGGAGGTCAGTTGGGAGGGTCCCTAACCTTGAGACGGCTCATCGCTTACTATGTCTCTGCTGCAATTTGCACATACCAGTCATATAAAACAGGAACAAGTCTCCTCTTAAATGCTTCGAAAGCAGAATCGCTCAAAAGGGGCTTCTCCGCCATTTTCCTAACTTGCAAGGTTGCATCAGGGAAGTTCCAATTATGAATATAAGGATGACGGCTTTGTGAATATCGTCAACACGTCAAGTGAAGATTGCGAGGAGGTCTCGGAGCTAGATACCAGCCGGCAACCCGGCATATTGCGAACAAGCATCGAGCTCGGCCTTACGAGAATAGAGACAGGCAAGCAAGGATTGGAAGCACTCCTTAGCGTAGTTTACTAACGCACCCCCTTCCCAACCGCAAGCCAAAACGTTTTTGGACGCGTATTCAGGTAATTGGGTGTTGCTTTTCTGCATTTCGACTTTGAGCGCCTTACGGCTCTATAGAAATCGTAGTGAGGAATCTGTGTCAAGACAGCAAGCGGTTGCTTCTACCCGTCCTAAAGCAGACAGGTCATTCACGGGTCCCGTCGCAAGCTCACAACCGCGACTTGTGTGATCGCACTGTGGCACACTCTTCGCACGGGTAATGCCATGACTACAAACAGTACCCACCATCCCAGCCATTTTTTACTTTGTGCAGGCCTAGCAGCAAGCCAGCTAACCGCAACATCCTGACCGGTACCCCTGTATGATTACCTCCAAGCGACCTCGATCTCCGACTCCAAACCGCAACACAAACAGCGACCCATCCATTGCTGCAGCTGCCTGCAACCCGCCTAAGCGCCAAGCCTTCATCTCAGCCTCCCTCAAGCAGGGCACCGACGCTCCTAACCAGCAGTCCGAGACAGTGGCCGGTCTACTCACATCCGCGGCCCCATTGACAAGCGCGGCATCGATAACAACAACTGCTGCTGCTGCGCTGTTGAGTGCTGGCTCACGGGCCGCTCTCGCAGCCATCGCGCAGGCGCAGACGTCCGGCGACTGGACGTCCCTTAAGCAAGCAGGAAAGGGCGTCAACAACGCCGGAACCAGCATCAGGGCCGCTACCGCTGCCGCCACTGGCGGTAACAACACCGGCGTCAGCAGCAGCGGCCTCAGCAGCTTCCCGGCCGCTCCCCGTCATCCGCTAACAGCAATTACAGCAGCGTCGGCAGCAGCAGCACAACAGCAGCAGCAGCAGCAACACAAGCAGCAGCAACTGCTGCAGCTCTTCTGGCGCTCCATGGAGACAACACCCGGCTCCGAAACCACCCTCCCCACTGTGAGGGCAACGGAGGTGGGAGAGGGAGGCGCAGGAGGTGCCGTACCTGCGCCGGCGGCTGGTGAGGAGCAACAGCAGCAGCAGTCGGCTGGCGGGGGTGGCGGGGGTGGCGGGCGGGGCCAAGCGGGTGGGGGCAGGCGGGGGCGCAAGGAGGGTGGAGATGCCGGCGGCGGCGAGGGCAAGGCGGGCAAGGGAGGTGGCGGGGGCGGCGGCGGCGGGCGGCGTAGCAGGGACGGCGGCAGCGGGATGACGTCCGAGGGAGGTGGCCTGGCGGATAGGTGGGTGGGGCTGGGGATGCGGGTAGCAGCAGCAGGCTACCCGGGGGCGGGTACCGGTGGGCGCTAGCAGAGGGCGCGTGTACGACGACCCGCTGCTAGCGGGGCTCGAGTTGCACGCTTGTACCCGACCCGACCTATCTTGAGGGCGCCATCGTGCCCGGCTGCCCCCCGCAGGTGCCCCACCCCCTCCCGCCCCACCCACTTCCTGGCGCTGCGGCTCTCGCACTCGCCCGGGGTCACTCAGGCAATCGAGAAGGTGCAGTGCGGGGCCCCCTTGGGTTTAGGCGCGACGCCGAAGGGTAGCTTCCTAAGGGGCTTTGCGTAAGGGCGGCACGACGGTATAACACACGAGCTCAGAGACACAAAACGCTGCTGCAATGTACCGCGGGGTACATTCTTAGGGCTTGGATTGCGGTTCTTTCAACCCTTGGTGTTATAATTTGCCACAGACCTTCTCTTGAGGCTCGCCAAACCTTTCCCACCAAACCTCTTCCACACCCCACCCCTGTACCACCCCTCCGGGCCCTCCCCAACCCCCGTACCACCCTTCCTCTGTGCCCCACCCACATCTCTTCCCCCCCTCCCCTTCCCCTCCCCTCCCCCCAGGTCCACCACGCCCTGCAGCAGCACCACCCCTCCCTCTCCGACTTCATAGAACCCGCCGTCAAGGCGCACCTCACACTGCTAGTCATGGCGCTGCATGTGGGGCCCACACTGACTCCGGCAGCCGCAGCAGCAGCAGCCAGGATGGGGCCCGGGCAGGAGGCGGCTGCTGCTGCTGCCAGCTGCCAGGACCCTCTGACCGCTCCACCAGTCGACACCACCACCACGCCCGCCACCGCCATTACTGCGCCGGTAGCCGCAGCAGCAGTGGTTGCAGCACCGCCTCTGCCACCCATCCCGCTCAACCCAGCAGAGGACACCCCAGCCGCCGCAGCCGCGGCTCCGGGCCTGCCCTCCGGCCTCGCTACAGCTCCAGCTACCCCCGCCCCCGCCCCCGCCCCTGAGCTCCAGCTGCCCTGGCGGCTGGTGAGCTGCCTGCAGCGGCTTGTGTCACTGCCCGGTGTGCTGCGGGGGGCGGGGGCGGACCGGGAGCTGCGGCTGGAGCTGCGGGGGCTGGGGGCGTTCGGGAACCGGGTGAGTGGGGGCCGGGTGGGGCATGGGGCGGGAGGTGGGGGAGAGGGAAGTAGGGGGAGAGGGAAGTAGGGGGAGAGGGAAGTAGGGGGAGAGGGAAGTAGGGGGAGAGGGAAGTAGGGGGAGAGGGAAGTAGGGGGAGAGGGAAGTAGGGGGAGAGGGAGGTAGGGGGAGAGGGAGGTAGGGGGAGAGGGAGGTAGGGGGAGAGGGAGGTAGGGGGAGAGGGAGGTAGGGGGAGAGGGAAGTAGGGGGAGAGGAAAGTAGGGGGAGAGGGAAGTAGGGGGAGAGGGAAGTAGGGGGAGAGGGAAGTAGGGGGAGAGGGAAGTAGGGGGAGAGGGAGGTAGGGGGAGAGGGAGGTAGGGGGAGAGGGAGGTAGGGGGAGAGAGAGGTAGGGGGAGAGGGAGGTAGGGGGAGAGGGAAGTAGGGGGAGAGGAAAGTAGGGGGAGAGGGAAGTAGGGGGAGAGGGAAGTAGGGGGAGAGGGAGGTAGGGGGAGAGGGAAGTAGGGGGAGAGGAAAGTAGGGGGAGAGGGAAGTAGGGGGAGAGGGAAGTAGGGGGAGAGGAAAGTAGGGGGAGAGGGAAGTAGGGGGAGAGGGAAGTAGGGGGAGAGGAAAGTAGGGGGAGAGGGAAGTAGGGGGAGAGGGAAGTAGGGGGAGAGGGAGGTAGGGGGAGAGGGAAGTAGGGGGAGATGCGAGCGCTGTACCGGGTGGGCATGTATGGGATGCGGGTGCGGGTAGGGATCGAGTACCGATAAGGGTTGAGTTCAGGGAACGTTTGTGAAGCTGTGTGAGGTACTGGGGCCGCCGTTTTGCCTACACTGGTGCCTTTCGTTGCTGGCACTAGAAGTACCTGCCGTTGACAGTCTCAAGCTTGATACTGTACCTGAACACATCGCGTGCTGCCGGTGATGGCACTCCTTGCTTGTTGCCTGTTGTGTTGTGTTTGCTGGCAGGTGCTGTTTCTGGAGGTGGCAGATGACGGGACGGCGCAACAAACACCCGCACCAGCAGCAGCAACAGCAACAGCGCCAATGGCAGAAGCGGCGGCGACCCTGCCCGTGGCTGCTGCAACGGAGGAGGCAGGGGGTCAGGCAGGAGGTCAACAAGTAGGGGTTGAGGCGGGGAGGGGCGGCGCAGCAAAGGTTGAGGCCGGCAGTGACGACGCGTTTGACGCCGGCAAGGCCGGGGCTGCGAAACCTTCAGACGGAGGCTGCGGCAGCGGTGCGGGCTGCAGCAACGGGACGGTTGCGGGCAGCGGCGGGGGCGGCAGGGCGGCAGTCAAGGAGCGTGACAATGACGGCAGCGGCAGTGGAGGGAACGGTAGGAGCGACAGCGGCGGCGACAACGATGGTATGCGTGCTGCGGTGATGCGGCTGCAGTCGGTGGTTGCAGCGCACTTCGGAGAGCTCAAGTGAGTGAGGGAGGGGGGCAGGGCGGGGTTCGGACTGTTGAAGGGGGGCGCAGGGGTTACAGGAAAGAAGCAGGGCGTGGTGTGGGGTCAACGGTGGCTAGAACTAACCCAACCGGATTCCTTCCTATTGGTCCTGTACCAGCACTTGCTGCAGCAGCATGCAACGTAACAAGTGCTGGCGAAAGCAAGATGAAGCCCTCATCCTCCCTTTCCCTGGCCCCGTGTCCTCCCTCCGCCTTTCCTCCTGCCCCCCCCCTCCCGCTGCAGGTTTGCTGAGGCGGAGCGCCCCTTCGCGCCGCACGTCACCATCGCCAAGGTGGGCTACCGGCCGCCCCCGCCGCGACACCAGCGGCAGCATCGGGGGGCCGGCAGCGGCAGCAACAACACGGGGAGCAACAACAACACGGGGGGCAACAACACCGGCAGCAGCAACACCGGCAAAGGCGAGGACAGCATTAACGAGGGCAATAACGGCTGGTAAGGCTGCGTGGGAGGCTGGCAAGTGGCTTAGCGCGCCCGTTTGGGGTGGGCACCAGAAGCCGGCCCTGGTGCATGAGTCTTGGAGTCGGTAGGGATGCAGTAAAGTAGTACGGTACAGTCAAGGAGGCGCAGTCGGACGGAGACCGGTCATCGGAATGTCGTCCGTGCGGCGCAACAAACCCTATCATGTTAGCACCGGCTATCGGATGCCACATGCAGGACTCTCACCACATGTGGCTTCCCAATCGCGCGCTCAATCATTCACTTCTGAGGGTCCCTGGGTCTTGTTCCTCTTCCCCCCAGTGGGCCGTCCGGCTGCGAGCCCGGCGCGGGAGTCCTCAAAGCTGGTGAAGGAAGCGTCGTGGGCGGTGCTGCGTTGGGTGGAGCCGCTGCCGCTTTGAATGCCACTGCTATTGCTACTGCTGTTACTGCTACGGCCGCTTCGATGGCTACTGCTGCTGCTGCCGACGGCGCTGCTAGCTCCGCTGCAACAGCAACGACAGTAGTCGCCGCAACCACCACCACCACCGCAACCACCAGCACCATGTCGGTTACGGACGAGTACGGCAACCACATCATACACGTTGCCGTACAACAACCTGCCGCGGAGGAGCAGCACCAGCAGCAGCCGCCCCAACAGCCGCTGAGAAACATCCCGCGGGCTGCCTACGGGGCTCTGATGGACATTGACGCAGGTGGGGGTGGGGGTTAAGCAGCAGCACAGGGGCCCCTCCTGGGGAATCGGCCCGGTCTATCGGTAGTCCGGTACTCGCGATTGTGTATATTGTGCAACTGTGGTAACCCCTCTCCTCTCCCCCCCTTGCTCCCCCCCCCAGGCTGCGTGCATGTAGACCGGGTGCAGCTGTGCGCCATGAGTGGCCGCCCGCCGGGGGGATACTACCGCGTGCTGGCGGAGGTGATGCTGGGGGGCGACCTGGATGCCGGTGGCGGAGGTGGCGGTGGCGAAGGCGGATGTGATGGGAGCATGGAGCAAAGCACCAGGGGCACCCAGGATTGCAGCCGGCCGGATGGTAGGACTGCGACCGATACCGATACGTCGGCTGCGGGAAGGCCGAGAGCGAGTGCGGCGGCGGGGTCGGTGCTGCGGCCGTACCCCGGGTACCACCCTGCGGTACTGCTGTCGGAGGAGGCGGCGGCGCTGCTGCGGGTGGCGGCGGCGGTGCAGCGGGCGGAGGAGGAGGCGGCAAGGGCGGGGGTGGCGGGCGGTGATGGGGGTGGGGCCAGCAGTGGGGAGGATGGGGGGCAGCGGGAGCGGCGGCGGGGCTGTGTGGTGATGTGAGCGGGTGCGGCTGGGTGGATGGTGCCGAAGCTGTGGGGTTAGGGCCAGGTGTGGGCTGTGAAAACAACAGGCTGGGGGGGATTAGATGAACTGAGCCGCGGAAACACTGACCCGGTATACTACGGGGGAGCGAACAGACATGCGTGGGCACACCTTCGGCAAGCACGATGGAGCAGGCAACCCAAGACTGCGACCCCCTTGCGAGTACTGCAGCACGCAAATGCCGCAGATGTAGTGCTGGGGAGCAGGAGGAAGGGGGCTGTCGGTAGGCATGGTACCGCACACTTACTCGCACCGTGTGTGCAGTGGGGGCGAGCAGTAGGGGAGGTGAAGTGCAATGCCTTGGAGTGCCTCTTATCCCGCATTGCGGCAAAACCGACGTCGCAGACCGACTTACGGTGTGCCTGCACCCACGGCATGTGTTAAATTAAGCTTTATGATGGGGTAGCGGAGCTTGAGCAACGCGCGAGTGTGAGCTCGTTTTGGGGTTGCAAGGGGCACGTTTCGGCTCACTGTGGTATTGCTCAGAAGGAGGGCCCGCTGAACTGGAGACGTGCCTCAGGTTACAAGAAATTATGTCACATGGAGGATGAGGACGCATGTGAGCCATGGAGGCCGCCTTCTTTGTACCATAGCATGGGCCATATGGGAGTGTCAGGACGTGTGAGCTGGTGCCACGTAGGGTTCCCCGCGTGGGGCCTGTGCTACCGGTTCTGACACCCCAGATGAGCCGCCTAAGCTGCGAACATGTGTGTGCAATGTGGAGATGCGCGAGTAATGTAAGACTGCTGTTTGCAGCAGCTGAACGAGTTAGGAAGACCCGGTGAACGAACTGGGCAGTGTGCTGGTGTATGTGTGCCGATATGGTTGTGTGTCAGAACGTGGTTGTGCGCGTGTGTTCCTTGTTGTGTTGCAGCTGTTGGCTACGGTTGTCGCTGGTTGGGAGCTGTGTCAAGTTGTATGTAAGGTACTGTGCTCAAGGCATCGATGCATGAGACGTCCTCTTTCTGTAAGCATGCTAACCCGCACAAATACGCCACGATCGCATACATACGCTTGTTACATGGCCTGGCAGACGACCCATGGGCAAGGATAGTCACGGCATGCGCGGACGCTTGCAATCGCATCACACATTTGTTCCATCTGACCATCTGACCATCATGCATTCGCAAACGCGCTCTATGTTATGCTTTATGCACCATGCGTTAATTTTGATGTCGACTCTAGGGCACAACGACCCGTCAACCGCCCCAACGGACCTGTCAAACCCCTGACACCCTCGGTACCCTTGTGGGGCGGAAGCCGGACACAACCGCGTACCTTTACAGCAGCTCCGCTTACCTTAGTGCTCACATGCACCATGTTTCCTGCATTATAACCCCCAGCTGTTATATACATAGTGGGAGCCCTTCGGCTTAATACTCCCGGCCGGCAACGATTTAAGTTGTGCGGTGGATTGACAGGCAGAGCCCGCCACCGGCTGTGGGGCCTCCCGACCCACAAACCCATTGTGAGTTAAAATGTAAACCCCGGAGGACATTCAGCGCTGGTGTATTATCTGCAGTCCTAGTTGTCCGTCAAGCAACCGGGGCCAGTGGGGAGCGATCTTGTCAAATAGCCCACGACCCATGGGTCGTTTATGACATCCTCAGACTTGCCACAATCCTGCCTAGAACTGGGTGCATTGGCATCGCATTGACTCTGTCAATACCTCGCGACCAAATAGCGCACCAGGACCTTCGGCGTGGCTAGCTGCCAACGCATAAGCTCAGCCCACCCTCCACGCCCACTTTCCCTTCTCGTAATACTCCTTATCCAACCCAACCCAACCCAACCCAACCCAACCCAACCCAACCTCCACGGCCGCCGTTGCAAGGCTTGTTTGCATTCCCGCTGCCAACCTTGGCCCCCTGACCACCTGACCACTCGCCCCCTTCACCTCCAGGAAAACATCCAGTTAATGCGGGGGGAGTGCCCACCCTGAGAACTTTCACGACACCCGCAACAGCAACAAGCAGCAGCCGCAGCAGCCAACATGATCTTCTATCTCACGCTGGGCGTGCTCTTCACCATCTACGCAGTGGACCTGCTGCTGCTGGTGATCGTCTCCGCCATCGCACGCAGCGCCGAGGTAGCCGCCGCCCTGCGCAAGCGCGTGAAGGAGCGCCAAAGGAAGAAGCAGCAGGAGAAGCAGAAGGAGCTGCAGGCCAAGGCGGCGGCCGCCGGCGCTAGCGGCAGCAAGCCACCAGCTGCCGGCAAGGCTGCGGCTGGGGCGGCGGGAGCTGCCGCTGGCGCCGTCCCCGGTGGCGCCGCCGCTGGCGGTCGCGGCCATGTCGGTCCGTACGGAGGTGTGGGCGGCGGTTTGGATTCTACACCCAGTGGAAGCAGCGGATACGGCAGCAGCAGCAGTACGGCTGAGGAGGACAGCAGCGAGGACGACGGCGTGCCTCGGGCTGAGATCATCACGCCACCACCTGCCAGCACAGCCATTGCCATCTCAGGTGAGGTTAGGGACGGCGTTATCGGTGGTAATGGTGTTTACGGAAGGGTTGTCGGGGGCTGTCAGGCAGAGGGATTGCGGTTGTCGTTCTACGGCTTCATCCAGCCCGATGATTATGGGTAACCCAGTATCTGTCAGTATGGTAACCACCTTTTCGCGCGCCGCCCTCGTTCCTGACTGCTCCGTTTAAAAGTACATGAACCTTCCATGACGTTTCAAAACTACAAAACAGCGCTGCCCCCAAACCCCCACTTGCTGCACCCCCACCCACCACCATGCAGATGACCCATGGGGCGGCGGCAAGGCGCCCAAGGTGCTCATCCAGCTGCCCATGTACAACGAGGAGGCGCACGCGGCCGCTATCATCGACGCGTGCTGCCGCATCAAGTACCCGCGGGACAGGCTGCTCATCCAGGTGGGGTAGAGAAGAGGAAACTGACGAGGTGTGTTAAGAAAACTGGCCGCGAGTAGGAACATACTGTGATTGTGACGAGGTGTGTGTGCTGGGCGGGCCGCCCAACAAACCCATGCCTGCATTGCCCGCTGCATGCGGCACATTGGACAACGCTAGGGTTCAGTATGAACGTGCGTGGCAGCCTCATGGCGTTTTGTGCCAGCATCATGCACGTGCCTCCTAGGCACCCATAGCTGGCGCCAACCCTGGGCTGCGCCGTGATGCCCCTTCCCCTGCGCTGCCCTTCCCCCCCCCCCCTTGCCCCTCTTGCGAAGGTGCTGGACGACAGCACCAAGGAGGCCGTACGACAGCGGGTGGATGCGGCCGCAGCGCTGTGCATCGAGAACGGCCAGCCTGTGCAGGTGAGGCGGGGTGGTAACGTGGGGTGGTACTGCTGCTGTGGGGCAACGACGGAAGAAGATCCTGCCTGTGCCTATATGCGCCCTGTGTAAACATCTATAATCCTATATATACTTGTCGCAATGCCATGTACTACGGCATACCATCGTACTAAGCGTGCCTTGTACGCACTCGGGCTGCTGCATGCAGGTGATGCGCCGCGACAACCGCTCCGGCTTCAAAGCGGGTGCCATGGTGGAGGGTCTGAACCGGGTGGAGGGACTAGGCTTCGAGTACTGCGCCATCTTTGATGCGGGTGGGTGCTTGGCTGGTCGGTCTCCTGCCCGCCAAGAACTGATTAGGTGCATGCGCCCTCCTCGCCGTTTCTTCACCGCGTTCCATGCAAAGTTGCAAATGACCTTCGACAGGAAGCCGCCTGGCCTGCATGCTCACCGTGCCCGCTTCAGTCGCCTCCACCGGTTCCCCAGTTAGCTGCGAGTCAAGATCGCATCTTCCCAAGTTGCCCACGCATTCATCCTTTAAGACCCTTCCTGCCACCCTCTTCCTCCTCCCGCAATGCGCGCACGGCGGCCGCAGACTTCGAGCCGCCCGCCGACTTCCTGGAGGAAACCATCCCCGTGATGCACCGGGACAAGAGCCTGGCCTACGTGCAGACGCGCTGGGCCTTCGCAAACGGCAACGAGTCATTCCTCACTTGGGCGCAGGTGGGCGGTGGGGGGGTTGGTTTGCCGTTTGCGCCCTTGAGGGCTGCTGTGGGGTTCACAGGAATACCGATACTACAAGTGACGGGGGGGAGGTCGATTACCCCAAAAGTCGAAGGTTGGGGGGGAGTAGGAAACTCCAGGATGGGATTGGTAACAGCAGGGTGAAGCATCATCAGGGACGTGCGCTGGGAGGTCTACTGCACCCCGCGTGCCCGCATGCTGTTCACCTTTCAATGTCCACTGCCGCGGTTCACCGTTCCCTCTCCCCTCCTCTTCCCTGATGCCTTCCCCATTATCCCCCCTCTTGCGGCCCCGCAGAAGGTGAACCTGTCCTTCCATTTCGATGTGGAGCAGCGCGCCCGCTCCTACCTGGGCTGGTTCTTCAACTTCAACGGCACCGCGGGGGTGTGGCGCATCCAGGTGAGCATGGGGCATGGGGAGAGGCGGCGGGGAAGGCTGTGAGGCTGATGGCGTAGCATGGGGGGGCCCATCTGTCATGCGGCTCATGTCCTTCAGACCCACCACTTGTCCAGCAATGACACGCGTATTACTGCCCCATTTCACAAGGACCATGCAAACCTCGCCCCACCCCCCCCTACCCGGTGGCATCCGCTGACACATCGCGCCATCTCAACCGCCTCGCTCACCCCCCCCCCGCCCCCGGGGCCCCAGTCCATTCACGACGCGGGCGGCTGGCAGAGCGACACCGTGGTTGAGGACATGGACCTCTCGCTGCGCTGCTACCTGCGGGGCTGGAACGCCATCTACCTGCCACACGTGGACAACCCAAACGAGCTGCCATGCACGCTGTCCTCCTACAAGACACAGCAGTTCAGGTGGGCTAGCAGGCTAGGCTGGGCTAGGCTAGGCTAGGCTAGCAGCTGCTGCTGCTGCTGGGCAATGTGGGCTGTGTGGGCGGTGTGGGCATTGGCATGCTTACGCTTCTTTCCCGTGCTAAGGCGCATGCACATACATACCTGAAGAGTGCGCTTCTCGCTTTGTTCTCAGGAGACCGGTTATGTTGCAATGCCGCCAACAACCCTCTGCCCTACTGTGCTTCACGCGGTTCACAGTACTCCTAGACCCGGTCCCTTCTCCCCTTAACCACCTAAACCACACTCCTTCAACCACCCTCCTGTCCCACATTCTCCCCATTCCCATCCCTGCCACCTCCCCCACACACATACCTCGCAGGTGGCTCTCCGGCCCCATGCAGATCCTCACCAAGTCCTTCCGGCACATCTGGAACGCGCGCAGCATCGGGCTGGGTCGCCGGCTGAACGCCTTCTGGTTCTTCATGCGCTACATCCTGTTCGCCGCCATCACGCTGGGCGTGCTGGCGGTGCCGCCGGTGGCGCTGTGGGTGGAGTCGTGGGACTGGAGCTGGCCGCAGATCTACTTCATCGTCTCCATCAACTTCGCGCTGGCAGTCTACCTGTGAGTACCTGTGGCGTGCGTGCACATGTGTGTGTTTAGGTGTAGGGGAGGGAAGGGGGAACAAGGAGCCATCTGACCTTGTGCTCCATGTGTGTCCCCCCCCCATGCCCCTGTGACCTTCGCCGCCTCACCCAACCCATCCCCCCCGTATGCCCTCCCTCCCTCCCTCCCTCCCACACCCCAGCTACATAACCCCCTTCTCCATCGCCTACCTCTTCTTCTCCATCGCCATCGGCTACTTCAAGCTGTGGGCCATGACCAGCGGGCTGCTGGGGCTGGAGAAGAGCAAGACGTGGAAGGTCACGCAGAAGTTCGGCGCTAAGCAGGTGCGCACGACGTGACGTAATGCATGCCGTGCATGACGTAATGCACGTCGTACAAAAGCCTACTGGGGCGCGCTGGGCAGAGCGCATGATGACTGCTGGCCTTACCTGCCTACCCTAAGCCCCATTTCCATCCCCCTTTCATTCCACTCCATTCCCTTGTCCCGCACCACTCCTCCATTCCTTCTCCTCCCCGCCCCACTCCCCTCAGACCGGCGGACTGTTCCACCGCATCCACCGCCCCTACGCGCTGGAGGCCTGTCTGGCGCTCTACTACGGCGGCATGGCGGCGGCTGCAGGGGTGTACCACAGTTGGATCATGCTGGGCTACTGCGGCGTCATGTTCCTGGTATTCCTGGTCATCAGCTTCGGGGATGCGTACATGTGAGGGGGGTGGGGGGAAGAGGGTGAGGCGGGGGAAAAGGGATTGCGATAGCGCCGGAGGGCGAAGCAGCAGTAAGAAGTGTGGCAGGCATGGAAGCAGGAGGCACGGAGGGATGGCGAGGGGGGGTGCTGAAGCCGCGGCGGGGGTTCACAGTGCTGCGGCTATTAGGGCTTGGCAGTTGGAGCCGCGTTGGCTGCTGGTGTGTAGGGGGGCGCAGAACATGTGTGTTGTGACTTGTGTGTAAGGGGGGGGTCAAATTTTGGACCAATTAAAACACGGTTTGGATGGCCGACTCGTGGCTATGGAAGGCGGGTGCCGTATATGACAGTAATGGTGGGTAACAATGCAGCCGGGCAGCGAGTTTTGAACTGGTGAGTACGACACGTCATGCCGTAGTTGCAAGGTGTAGGATGCGTGTCAAGATCTAGTACATCCCCTGAGTGGTGTCGGTGGGCCTGTGAAGTAGGAAAGGGAACTGCTTCTCACGGCTTCAGCATCTTCGGACTGTCACACTCTTCTACCTGCACTGTTTGTCGTCGTCGTCTGTTGCGGCGACGGTGTCGCGTGTGGACCATAGATTAGTATGCCATGTTTGTTCACCGGTTATGTCAGTTTGTACGAATATGTGGATAGCTACAGTAAGCGAGCCCTTCACTGCCATCCAGTTCATTACGGGAGACGCGGTACAAAGTGCAAAGGGGCCTGGATGGAGGGTTGTTGGCAACGGCGGTCAGTCATCGGTAAGCGTGCATACGCCGGCATCTTGCTTGCATGCACTGTCGCTGATGTTGGCTTGCTGGATTGAGACTGGGAAGGACAGTGAGCTGGTACGATTGTACGACAAACAGGAGTTTGATGGTTGACAAGTGCATGTTTGTATTGTGTAGATTTGTTAATAGCCGTGGAGGTAATGGTGGTGGTGGTGGCAGTGCGGGTCACGGGGCTTTTTGCGGGTGCATAGACGGAGACGTGGACACCGTTGACGGCAACAGAAAGTCAGGAATGCGCTATTTGGCCTGCACTTGTTATAGAACAGATTATGACAGGCTCTTACCGTTGCAATTTTGATGGTTGCGAGCCTCCGCATGCGGCTATCCGGAGGTGAGGCCATGAACAGCTGATCAGCAGATGACGACGGAGGGTGATGGTCTTAACAGGTGATACAGGTAGGGTGCCTTCGTCCCGTACGGCTCACCGTGCGGTGTGCCCAACGCCGTCTCCACTGCTATGCACGCCTGCACCCAAGTCGTCAGAGCCTGAGCTGTAGACGTACGCTATTGTACGAGGCGTCAGGCATGCCTCCGCAGGTGAGCGGTCGTTCGGCAGAAGACCAGTCGTCACATGACGACATTCATTGAAAATCACTTAGCCTCAAGTCGAGAAATCACTTCAGGTACATTGTGGGGCGTGAGGGGCTTCAGCTTCTGGCGCCCTACGTCACATCGCTAACCGTTAGTGGTAGCCGTTGGGCGTTAATGATCGGGGCGCGTCCAACCGGGGCCAATCCTCCTGCTCTGCGTGATTTGCGAAATACATCACTATCACACAACAAACCCATTACCACTAGCGACCAGACGCTTACGAGAACGTAGTTGGCTCAAAGACTTCACGGAGAAAGTTCCTTTCATGCATTAATTCAGTTCACACAGACTTGTAATTACCATGTATTCTTTACGAAGTAGGCATTAAAGCAGCTTAGAGCTAGCTCCCAGCAATGGCAGTCATCGTTAGTGAGCCACACAAGGAGCTTGTCGGTGGTGGTGACAATGCCAAATACGTTAAAGAATGTACAGAGATGTACCTTGGTGGCAAGGGGATAGAGAAAATTAGAGGTTTTGAGCCATTTGTCAACTTGGAAAGCCTATGGCTCAATAACAACAAGCTGAAGAAGCTCAACAACCTGGATGTCCAGAAGCGGTTAAAGGCTTTATATGCTCAGGTACAGTGACTGTGAGTGGGTGCATGTCTGCATGCAAGCAACGGTTTATTCGCGGGTGTTCGGGTCAAGACAGGATGTCATGTCATGGCATATCGACAACTTCGTCTGTGCGGACCTCACATGCCACATACTTAGCTATGTTCTGCCTCCCTCAGCACAGCCATCTCTCTACGCAACCCCTGCCTCGCCCCCGAACAACCTGACAGGACAACCAACTTTGCACGCTCAAGGGAAGCCTGCAGCACTTCAAGTTCCTTGAGACGCTTGACCTGAGCAATAACCAGGTATGCTATGCACACCGGCGACTAAACTTAACAGATGGGCCCCCTCCAGGCAAAGGGGCAGCCCCGGCACGATGCCTGGGCGGCGCCATCAGCAGCGGTGGAACGTCTAGGTGTGGAGCAGCGCAGATGTAGCAGCATGCGGCTACTCCCGGTGTGCCACGATGTCCCCACGCTAATGGAAGGCTGTCACGAGGGGCCGCCCCAGGACGCCCAGGCGGGGCCCTATTCGGCCTCCTGCGGGGCAGCAGTAGATGTTCCCCTTGTTCCCGACCTCGTGCCTCCAACGCTGCCGACCCGCCCCCCTCCCCTGCCTTCCCCCTCCCTCCCTCTCACGTTTCAGCTCCGAGACCTGGAGAAGCAGCTGCGGGTGCTTGAGAAGTTCAAATTCATCAAGGACCTCAACCTCAAGGGAAACCCGTGAGTGGCCCGTCTGGTCCGCTGTCCTGCCGTCTTATGGGGGCGCACGTAAGCACACCCCGGCCTCCGTCCCAGCCCCGCCACGGACTTCTTTCCCTAAAATGTGCTCCCTGCGGCCCATCTTAGCTCTCCTTTCTCCCCTGTATTTAACAATCAACAGAAAACCGCTCAACCATTCAACAGAAAGCGTTACCAACGTTCGCAGAAAACCACCCATTCCTTATCCCTCCCTGCACCTCTCTCCCTCCACCTCCCCCCCCCCCAGCATGTGCGAGGAGCCCGACTACCGGCTGCTGGTGGTGCATAGCATGCCGGCGCTGCAGGTGCTGGACCAGCACGTCATCACGCCGCTGGAGCGCCGCCGGGCTGCCGGCATGATCGGCGGCGACGTGGCCACCCTCACCGTGGCGTTCGGATGCCGCGTGCCGCAGTACGACCCCGCGTGGGACGAGAAGGTGCCGGAGCGGTCGCCCCTGGAGCAGCAGCTCATCAAGGTGGGGGGGGGGGCTGAAGGGGGAGAGGTTGTGGGTTATGGGTTGTGACCCGCGTTAGAGCTTACGGGGAGGGGGGTAGCAGGAGCAGACTATTGCTGCTTCTCCCCGTGCTCACTGCTCCACCTCCTTCCCTCCCTCCCTCTCCCTACCCGCACCCACACCTCGCAGGAGGCCGCCACCATCCGCGACACCCTGCGCCACGAGGCCTACATGCGCGAGCGCGGCATGTTCCTGCACGACCCCCACCCCGAGGTGCCGCGAGGGCCCTCCCTGCCGCCCAACGCCGGCACCGTGCGCGCCATGCAGGTGTGGCGGCAGCAGCAGCTGCTGCAGGAGCAGCAACAGCAGCAGCGGCAGCAGAAGCAGAAACAAAAGCAGCAGCAGCAGCAACAACAGCAACAACAGTCCCAACAGCAATCACAACAGCAGCAGCAGCAAGGGGAGGGAGCCAAGGGGCAAACGGAGTTGGGGAGAAAAGACGCGGGCGTCCTGGGTGTGGGGTTCGGTCGTACTCGGCTGAGCGGCAGCGGTGTCATCCTGACGACTGGGACGCCGCGGCAGCGCTCTCCCCGGTCACCTCGCCGCGGGAGAGCGGCCAGCGGCAAGGGCGGCAACGCAAGGGGGAGCGGGAGCGCTCGGGGGGTGCAAAGCGGGCGGAAGGATCAGGGGAGTCCCAGACGGGCAGCCAGCGCTGGCACCACGTCGGGTAGGTGCGGGGAGGGTGAAGGCGCAGAGGGAAGGGCAGCGGCAGTCCTAGGTTGGCTTGGGAAGGAACGGTGTTGGCTAGACAGCCTCGCAATGCTCCTGCAATTTCCCGCACGTTAAACCCCTACAATCCTAACCCTCCATATCCCGCCCACCTCCCACGCTGCCCCCCTGTCCAGACGGCTACCTGCCGCGGGACAAGCTGGTGCTCTACACCATGCGGGCGGCCCAGGACCCGCTTGCAACTGCCGGCAGCACCCCGGGCACCGGAGCCAGCACCCCGGGGGCCACCTCCTCCAAGCCGCCACCTGGTGGGTTGAGTGGACTGGATTGGCCGCAGAACCGACACCGCCGTGGGTGTTCTGAAAACTGGGATTGTGTGTATATGGTTCTTGCTTTCGTCAGCCACACGCCGGGACGTGGTATTTGCGACCCTACCATCTCCGAACATCCCCACCCGCCCCGCACCTCTGCCCTGCAGGCTTCGGCAGCATTCGCTTCCAGCGCGAGGAGTACGAGCAGTTCCTGTCGCAGCGGGCGGCCGGGTCGCTGGGCTGGGAGATGAGCCAGGCGGCGGTGCTGCTGTGAGGGGGGCGTCACGGAGGCCAGCCGGGACCCACCCACAGTGGCTTGCGTGGGGGGGAACTGGGGTGCAGCCGGGCGGTGGGTGATGCAGCTAGGGGACTTGCAGCTGGGAATGCACTGCACCTGGAGCGGCTAGGGGCGCCATGCAGGCTACCGTAATGGATCGAGGCTGCAGGCAGCTGCGCTGTCATGGTATCCTGCAGATACTGCTAAAGTACGGCATTGGACACAATACGACACGGTGGCTGTGACAATGACGGTGAACGTAGGGGCGATGTGATGAGGTGGTTGCGGTTGCATGTGCTATGTGGTAGAGGCGCCGGCGAGCGGCACAAGAGGAGGTACGACAGGCCCGTTGGCACAGCTGAGAAGCGGTGGCCTTGTAAAAGGGTGCAACCAGCAGTTCGTGTGACTGTGACAACTGACAAGGCTTAGTGCAGCGGGGTCCAGCAACTGCAGCTGCGTGGGCTGCAGCGCGAACTGTTGCTTGCGAGCTTTTGAACATTCAGCGTGGTGTAGCTGTGCCTGTGACGGCTGGACTTGCTCCAGATGTGATTTCAGGGTTATGCATAGCCGGCTTGCCGGGGTGTGCGTGTAAGCCCTGGAGGTCTGCTACTACCGGTAGACTGGATCACAGACCAGCAGTTGGAGAGCGGTAGCGGTTGGACGCAACCTGTTCTGCTGTCCTGACCTGCTATATTGCTACCAAAGCAGCGCTCCTAGTGTGACGTATACGAATAGACGCTAGCACCTGCACATGCATCTGGTTGTTGCTGGGGTGATGGTGAGGAAGCATCATATCTGGGGCAGAAGGCCCGGCTGGCGAGACCCATGGGTCGTTTAGGAGGGTGCAGTTCACACGACGTCAGGGTCGACCCACAGGGGGCTCTCACGACCGCGACCGGCCCCAAGCCAAAATGGCCCGGTTGGGTCGCTTTATGAGGGTCAAAAGGAAACCACACTTCAGTTATAAACATCGCACGTCATCGCCAACCCACATACGACACAACCACCACACCCCGCCGCCAGACCACACAGCCACACCCCCAATACCCTGTCTCCGGTCGCCGCCATTGCCACACACACCATCACCCAAGCGCCACCGCCGCAGCTGCCTCCCTACGGCCGGCAACGCAGAGGCCAGCGCACACACACAGAGCCGGGATAGGCGTCCAAAATTACCCCGGCACACGCGCGCACGCAGAATGCATGTGGCCACGACAGCACACCCTCACACCCCTCTGCCGCACCCCAACTCGCCTAGCCTCGCCTCAGGCCGCCACCCAGGCCCTCATAGGTCGTCGGCTGCAGGAGTGACTGATCGGGAAAACGTCACCAGCCGCAGCCCTTGCTGCTTTGCAGTGGAAACAGGGCTTTATGTTCCATGGTGCACGCGCGTATGCAACAGCTAGCCAGCCAACCAGCAGCTGATTGGCAAGCTAACTGCGTAAAGCGCGGCTGTGGTACACGTGGTCCTGCTCCACGGCTGCAAAGTCAAACACACCCAAAGGAGCGGTGTCGAGCAGCACTCAGCGCAGCACATACAGCGCAAACTTGTTATGAATCCATGATGTACAGGTTGGAAGCCGAGGTACTCAAGACTCTCGCAACAAGTTACGGCAATTCAAAACTGCCGCAGCTGTCGCTTGAGACGGGCGAAAAACGATAGTAGTGCGTTGTCTTCTCTGGAGGATTTGTTGTCGGTTCTTCTGCTGCCTTAGAGCACAGCTCGCGCAAACGTAACACGTGCTGCTCACGCGAACCGATCCAGGCGCACACTTATTGTGCGGCCATCAATCTGGCTGTTGTTCATCTTCTCGCACGCCTGCGCGGCGTCCTCCTTGGTCGTGAAGCGGACTGTGCCGAAGCCCCTGTTGGGAGTGGTTGACAGGAGGACAGGGGCGGACCAAAAGTCAGTTATGGACGTAAAAGGACGCGATTCCAGGGATCCTCTTTGTCCACTAACTACTATACATGTCAGCCAGACTGACAGAAACTCCCCTTCTGCCCAGCTGTATCCTGCTTGGGTACCGTAGGTTCTAAAGCAAGCATATGGAGCGGAACGTGACAGTTGAAGTTACTTCGCTTGCAGTAGCCACCTTTGCTTCGTGCCTAACGCACCTGGACCTGCCCCACGCGTCGTACACCACATCCGCGCGCTCCACCCGCCACTCCTTGAAGTGGTCCTTCAGCTGCTGCCACTGGCAGCTCCACGGCAGGTTGTGCACAACAACCTGCACGGCAAAGAAAAAGACCCAGTTAGCAGGCACTGGGAAATGATTGGGAAGTGCACTTAAATGGCGACGCTGTGAAGTCATAACAGAGATAACTGGGCGCCACCACCACTGCTGCAAGCCTACAACCACACCAACAGCAACATCCGCCGCCCCAGCCGCACCTGCAGGCCGGACGGCTCGCCGCTGGTGTCCACGGGAACGCCGCCCATGGGCATGCTGGCGTACGGCATGCCGGGCATCATGCCCTGCACCGCCATGCCGCCCCGGCCACGTCCCCTGCCGCGACCGGTGGGGTCTGCATGCAAGTCGCACAGGCAGCGGTGGGATACACACAGCTTAGTCAGTGGCCATGGTAGCATGGAGGTATGGTGATCGCATTCCTGACAAGCGGCAACGGTTTCTGGCCTTTCGGGATGGGGTTCGCCATGACTGTGCGTTATCGCAGTTTCTGTTTACTTCGTTGGTTCATGGTTCCTTCTCAACAAAACAAGAGCCAAGGCCGGCGAGAAGAGCTTAGGTGAAGCTGGTGCACTGCCAACAGTCAAGCTGCCTTAAAAAACGGGTCTTCCTCCCCTTTTTGGAGGTATGGCAGACATTGACAGCACCAACTATTCCCGCACCGGCAGGGAAGAAGTAGTAGCCGGGGTACATGGGCGGCATCTGTGCATAGCCGTACGCCGGATAGCCCCCGCGGGCGCCACGACCGCGGCCACGGCCGCGGCCACCGCCTCGGAAGTTCCGCGGAGCACCCTGAGATGTGGCGGGACGGGGGTTGGACAGGCAGTGAGCTACAGCAAGGTGCGTGGATTGGGGATGCACGCGACTGGGGTAGTATTATTCATGAGAGGTGTTGGCGTACGATGGGAGATGCAAGTCATTTCAAGGAAACCCTAACAGCAAAGGTGCAGCACAAACGTGCAGCTGGATGTGACCGACGGTTTTGCGTTACAACTGTTCGGAGTTGCTGCGCACTTGAGAAGATACTGGTCTGGAGCCAGGGGGTTTAACTAACCCAGCTTACCTCAGGCGCAGTTCCGCCGGGGCCCGTCACGCCCACTGCCTTGGATCGGCCATCAGGTCCAGCCTCAACCTCAAACTCGACAGCCTCTCCCTCGCGCAGGCTGCGAAAGCCCTCCGAGCTGATATTGGTCTGCGCGGCAACATGCAACATGCAGCGAGCAAGTTGACGAAATGTAGCAGTTAAAAAGATCGGATATCACGAAAAATTATAAGTAAGCACCAGATATTAGGGTTAATCGGCACCGCGGCTCAGGCGCGATGATAGCGGGCAGTCGCCCATGCTGCAATGGCGCGGCAGCGCAAGCAAGCCTGCGAGCCTAATAAGCGCTGTAACAGGATCATCCGGTCATTTTGTTATCCTATTTCCGAATCTCCGTTTAGGAAAAAGAGGCGATGCATTGGTAGAGCGCTTCCCCCTGCCCTCATCGACGGCTGAACGCCAACGCCCAAGGCCGCTGATGCCTGTTTGCTGACCTGGTGGACAAAGAGGTCTTCACCGCCTCCTTCAGGTGTAATGAACCCGAAGCCCTTAGTGGCGTTGAACCACTTGACGGTTCCCCGTTGCCTTAGCTGCTCGCCCATTCCCGCGACCCTCCACTCTTTAGTCTGCGGTAGGGGCCAGCTTTAGGCAGCGTGCAGCGTTGGCTGCCCGTGGTACGATAACGAGGTTGCCGCGAACCGAAACACGGGCTGCAGAACGAGAAAAGTGACGCCGAGATTGTACGGCACCAGATCTCTGCAGTACCTGACGAATGAAGCTGCAATGAACCCTTAGCTGCTACGATTTGCCATATCCGGATGATTCTGTACAAATTGCGTAGGGTTATAAATCCCGCTGAAGAGCATGCGGTGTGTTTGGGACCTTGCGGTCGACTATTCTAAATTACTTCATTTTGGGGGAGACAATTCAGCGCTTATGCTTGGTTTATGTTACAGATTATCATATGATGATATACATTTAAGCAGAAGGGACAGCGCCATAAAGGAGCACTCAACCACGATGCGCTACCGAACACTCGGCTCCAGCTTTCTCAGCGCCGATGAAAGGCGTGTGGACAGTCGGTTTCGCCACGCGTCAAAGGTTGGGTCAGTCGACGTGGTCGACACGCTGTCGCTGCGGAACTGAGGCTCGGCCGTGGTATCCTCATCCAACAGCATCCTGCGAGCGCCAAAAGCGGAGTTAAGAGACACTTTCTCGTATCCCTGGGGGATAAACTAGCTGCGCATTCCCAAATTCATAGGTACATATTTGCACTCTGCACTCGTGAAAGAGTTTACCTGTTGATGAACTTAGCGGCCTTGCTGCCAGGGCTGCGTGTGGGCTGGCGTGTGTCTTGCCGGACCTTGTTCACGGCCGGGCTGTTGTTGGCGCTGAAGCTGCGGGCGTCCGCACGCGCCTGGGGAGCAAAGCAGTTACAGAGGTTTAGACAGTCGTGGTTTTCCCCGCCATCCTTGCAATTAGACACGCAACCGGAAACTTAGAACCGGCAAGACCCACTCCCCTAACCATCCAAGGCCCATTCACATGCAAACAAACAGTAAACTTGCGTATCACAGTTGTCGGCAACAGCACCCCCCACCACGTCCCTCACCTCGGTCCGGTCGTACAGCCCCGCGCGCGTGTCGTGCGTGGCAGTTATGGACCGCTGGTACTCGGCGCGGGCCGCCCGCAGCGCGCTGAGCTCCGCGTCCAGGTCCGCTGCGAGGCTCTGCGCCCCGCTGCCAGCGGTGTGGGTGTTCCCGGTGGTGAAGGTGGTGTGGAAGGGTCGTGATGGAGAGTGCGTCACGCCGCTGCCGTCCGCAGACGTCACCTGAGATGAGGGTGATGGGGGTTAGGATGGTGCAAAGGAGGCCACTTTTGACCACGCATGCCGGAGACACCAAAGCGGTTTCGTCAATTCGTCAACAACACTGGACAATATATCAATATAGTACCGAGCTGCCCGGTCACATCACAAGGCCCAACGCGGGGGTATGGCATCCTACCACAACAATGTATCACAACGTCGTAGTGCACTCATCCAGGCAACCTACGATAACCTACCAGGTTCGCTGCGCCCTCTGCCGCTGCTGCTGCCGACCTCAGTCGCGGCGAGGAGGTAATGACGTCCTGCAGTGCCAGCTGCTGCCGCAGGCTGCGGGCCTCGCGATACGCGGCGTCCAGCTCAGCCTGCAGGCCAGGGAGCAGCAGAAGGAAGGGAGGAGCAGCAGCAGGAAGATAAGCTGGGTGGACATGGGTAGTAAAGCCGTTAGGGAAGAGGCCCCAGTGCCCTGCGCATGTGCGCTTAGGGAGCCTTAGGTTAACCACACATTCCCACGCCATGCTGTACTAGAGTATTGTAAGTACGTAACGGCTCCCAACTGGAGTTGTCACACACGGCTCGTGCCGTACCTGCTTGTCGTACAGCTCGGCCTTGAACATGGCCGCTGCGTCGCGCAGTGCCCGCTCCAGCTCGCTGCGACGTTTCGTCTCCGCGTCGTGCAGCGCTTGAAGGTCCTCCAACTGAAACGTATGAAAGGGTAGGGCGGTGGCTTTCTCAGGAAGGTGCAGGAATGTGGTTCCAGGAGGTGCAGGTGCAACCCTGGTACTCTCCGTAAAGCGCGATCTAGCATCACAAGGCTCTCCGCCATGCGCTGCCCCTGCCCCGAAACCCCAACCCCTCTAGCCCCCTCCCTGTTTCTTGCCTGCCTGGCCAGCTCGCCGCGCTGCACCTCCCGGCGCCCCTCCTTGCCCGCCATGTCCGCAAGCCGGGTGCTGATGCTGGCAACCTTGGAATCCAACTCCTCCTGCGGTGCAGCAATACCATACCGGCATAGAAGCATGTCGCCTCGAGCAGGGACGTTACGAGATATGTCACTCGCCCGCACGCTAACCCCCCACCCCACACCAACTCGCGACCAGTTTTCTTAACACATGTGCACAGGCATGGCTCTTCAATACGCCCCTCCAATCGAGACACCTGCAACCATAGGCCATGTAGCCTCCTAAAACCGGTACATGCGCTTTCCACGGCCCTTAATTACGCTGCATGCACAGCACACCCAACCACCACCTCCGTCAGCTGGGCACCTGCATGACATGCACCATGCGCCAGGGCACCCAGCCACCCGCACCACCGCCTGCCCCACCCACCTGCAGCGCTCGGTAGCGGATGGCCGCCTCCTCCTGCGCCGCCGCCAGCCTGGCGTTCCAGGAGTTGGCCAGCATCTCTCGCTCCGCAGCCGCCTTGCGGCTCACATCCTCCAGCCGCTCCTTCCACTGGGTGTCAATCTCCAGCTCACGTGCAGCCGCCTTGCGCTTCATCTCATCTGCAAAGCAATGAGTTGGTTGGCAGGTCAGGTGCAAACCAGGCCGAATTTATCCGGTTTGCGGCGCGTTGCGGCAGCCCAGCATCCGTTACTCTGATCGCAGTTGACCCTTGCGGACGTGCCCCCATTCACTCGCCACCTCCCGCACCCATACCCCGCAACGCACCCAGCCTCTTGCGGTACTTGGCCTCCACCTCCGCAGTCCGATTCGCCCACGCCTCCTCCGCAGCCGCGCGCTCCGCCGCCCACTTGCCACGCGCCTCCTCCGCCAACCTCGTCGCGGCCGCCTCCATCTCCTTCAACCGCTTAGCCGTGCTGCGTTCCAGCGCCGCTCTCTCCGTTGCCGCCGCCTGCTCCAACGCCGCCCGCTCGGAAGCCGCCGCCTGCTCCAGGGCGGTGCGCTCCAGCGCCGCCGACTGCTCCAGGGTAGCCCGCTCGGAAGCTGCACGCATGGTGGCCTCCTCCAGGGCCGTCTCCAGGCTGCGGCGGGTGTCCTCCAGGCGGGCCGACCAGGCTGTCTCCAGCTCCGCGCGCTGGGCTAGCAGCTGGGCCTCCAGGTGCGCGCGGTCGGAGTCGTGCGCGCGCTGCTCCTCCGTTAGACGCGTGCCTGGAGGGGACAGGAGCAAGCATGCGAGGCGTGTAACAATGTAGCAAGACAGTTTGTAAGGCATGATACAGGTAAAAAGCCCGATACATGCTTCAGGCGGCAAGCCCTGGAGACATAACACCCAGACAACGGAACCCCTTCACAGCCAGCCCAGCAGCAGCGCAACGTCCTTTCCCGCCCCTCTCCCGGCCACTCACGCCACAGCTGCTCCAGCTCCACCACCTTGCCCTGCCATGCCGCATCCGTCTCCCGGATGCGGCGCTCCCAGTCCGTCACCTCCTCCGCGAACTTGCGCTCGCAGGCGGTCATGCCGTCCCGCAGCCGCTTCTCCCAGTGCTGCTCAACCTCCTGCGGACACACAAACAAGCACACGGTGAAACCCCAGAAGAGCGCTTGCAAGTCTTGCCAACGTGACGGAGATCGTGCGGGTGGATATGTGGGTATCTTTGGAGTGGAAGATGGGGACACGCATGCAATCCGCCCGAAGCGCCGGTGTTCGGACCACACACGGTCCACACACACACACACACGTCCTTCGCCAAATCCGCAACGAGCGCTTCCGCAACACACACCCCGGCATCCACCCCCTCCCCACCCTCCACGCCCCCCACCTGCATGCGGCTGACCCAGCTGCGCTCCGTCGCGTCGTGCTTGTCCTGCCACGCAGTGTCCAGCTCGCGCAGCTTCTTCTCGGCATCCTGCCAGCGGACAGCGGGTTGGGTGGGTTGCACAAGCGTTACAAAATGTTGGTTGCAGGGGGGTTCGTGCAAGCTCTAGGTACATGCCGAGGGGGTACATGCCGAGGGAGTCCCAGAGAACTGAGCAACCAGTCATACCCAGCCCGAGGAACAAGAGATTGCAGCGCGCCTACGCAGGGCCATACCCAGGTGGGCAAGCCGGGACGTGTTGAAAAGAGGGGACATTTGCAAGGTCGCCGGCCCTGAGCTTACCCGGATCTTCATTTCCTGCTCCGCCGCTAGCCTGTCCACCTTGCGGCTCCAGTCGATCTCGATGGCAGTCTTCTCCTTGTCGCTGACCTCCAGCGCCTGATGCAAGCAGCAGCAGTAGCACGAACACGGAATGGAGGACGCGCGCTCAGCCAACCTTGCCACACGTCCTGACAGCCCCCAAAACAGGGCGTCGTACAAATGGACGGCCAAGCGAACAAGGGGTTGTTCCTACCTGCACCGCACGCGCTGCCTCCCTCTTGGCCGCATCCGCCAGGTTCTTCGCCACCTCCAGCTGGTGCTCCAGCTCCTGCAGGGGGAGAGGGGAGAGGGGCCGCGGGTTTGCGGGGACCGGGCTATAGATACACGCCAACTCAAGTGTGTGCTGGGTGGACTGGGGCCATGGGAGGAAGAACCCTAAGGAAGGCACGGTCGGCCAGGTGTGCGCCCTCTTCATCCCAAACCACTGCCAGCAGCACCCGGAGTGCCGGACGCTGCTGCCGCCCGCACCTGCTTGTCCGCGGTGAGCTGCTTGTTCTTGGAGGTGAGGTCGCGTATGAGCCGCTCCGTCTCCTCCCGGTCCAGCTCCAGAGTCACCAGCTGCGGAGGATCGGCACGGCACGTTGGATAAGACATAGAAGAAATGGCATGACGTAACTGTGCAGCGCAATTGGGTTAAACGGGGATACTGCGCGTGCACATGCTCGGGTACTGGAAGACGACCCGTGAGACTACTGAAGGACAGCGTGGCCTGGGAGCTACCGTTCCCGGTCGTACAGGCATTCACCATGCAGATTATTACAAGCAAGCAAAACTTACCCTCGCCCTCGTGTCCTTCAGCATCTTCTCCAGCCCGGTTGCCTGCTCCTTGACGCCCTCAAGCTCCTCCTCGAGCGAGGCAACGCGCTTGTCCTTGTCGCGGAGCTTCTGCGCGGCGGTGTTGCCCTCGAGCTGCGTCTGGTACTTGAACTGCTGTAGCTCGGTCTCAAGAGAGGCCGCCTTGGCCTGCGAGCAGGGTCGGGAGAGCCAACATGCTGAGAGGGCAACGTATAGCTGCGACCCAAATCAACGTATAGCAAGCAGCGACCCAAATGCTCTGGGGTCGGCAAAGAGCAGGCGCCTTTGCATGCTCCGGCTCTGGGTGCCGTCAAGATGCAGGGCTGTACCATGCAGCAAGGTATGCAGCTGTGGTCGTTCATCACAGCCGCGTGGCTCGCGGAACCATGCGGAGTCTCCGTCCCGCAGCCCCTCCCCGCCGCAGACCATCCCACCTGCGCCTCCTTGGCTTGCTTGTTTGCCTGCTGCAGCTGCTCCTCAAGCTCGCGAACCTGGTCCTCCGCCTGCCGCAACTGCGCAGCCTGCTCCTCGCAAACCTGCATGCGGCCGCATGCGCATGCGAGCGTAAGAAACCGTGTGGGTGCAGATAACGTACTGCAGGTGCTAGGTGCTTGGGAGCATGCGCGGTGCGTGCGGGATGCAGGTGCATGGAGCGCTTCGCATGCACAAGGGAGACAACTCAAGGGAACAGTTTCCTCCTCCATGTGATGGTGTGTATTGGCATCTTTGGCTCTGATATCCCTCGGTCATGACCCAATAGGTTTAAGGGTGAAGCATAGAACCCAAAACAAGCAAACGCCGGCTATGGGGCATGGCAGGGCCTAGCGTGCTTACCCTGTTTGCTTCCTCCCTGATTGCCTGCTCCTCCCGACGACTAGCAGTCAGCTCCTGCTGCAACTGCTCGATAGCAACCTGTGGGTGAGGGTAAGTGGCGGGCAGGGCGGCGGGCACATGTGAGGGCATAGCTCCACAAGCCCTGGGGCTGGGCTGTCGTGAAGGCATGAAGGCCATGACCAAGTCGGGTGGCCCAGACCATTACGTTCTATCAACCCGCTCTCTCGCGGTTCGTCTACCTGTGTTGGGTTTGTATCATGTTTTCCGTACAGCTACCTAAGGAAGGACAACAGCTCAAACCCACCAACGGTCGTGTGAACCCCACTTGCTGGCATTAACCGCTTACCTTGGTCTTGTACAGAAGTTTCCCGCGCTCCTCCTGATGAAGGTTATCCCAGCAGGGAAATTGGGTCAGGTGATGATAATTCAGGATGCCCCTCGGGCCCCTCCTTTCTTAACAACGTCAAATTGCTAGATCATGTCCTAGAAGCATGTTTGCCGTGGCGTGTGCAAGAGTACTCACTAGCTCTTCGTTAGCTTGCTTTAATTCCGCGTCCTTTTGCTTGAGTAGGCTTTGCAGCTCGCGCTCACGTGTGCCTCCGACAATGGTGGACATAGTGATGTCAGCTCATACCAAGTTCGTGCGAACAATTGTCTTCGTGCACAGTTGGGTCAGGAAAGTGGGTCAAAGATTGTCCACGAAAGACCAACACGGTCGCAACCAGTATGGTTCCCCAAGTAATTATAGGTTAGTATTATATATAATGTCCTTTAGGTCAACGACAAATGTCTCACAGGGTCACGGTCAGAAGCAGGCGGCGCCTAGGCGCTACGGTAGTGGAGTATTAAGCAGGTGTCATGTCATAAACCCCTATAGTAGATAACTTCTATAATACAAGGTTGGGCAACCGTGGGTATGGATAAATACGATGTGCGACGGTCGGAATTCCAACTGGATGTACTTCAGATGGTGAGCCAGTTGGTGCATGCATGAGCGTTCCGGGCTCAAAGAGTGAAATCGAGGACTATAAGGATACAGAAAGCATGTGCTACTGTGTGTCAGTTTAGGACATAGTTCTTGTCTTCTGGGTGCAAATGCACATTCGAGGGTGCGCTTAATATGGGCACGTGCGCCTCAACTCCTCAGCGCGCTGCGGGCAAGTCCAGTAATAAGCGAAGTTGTTTGTTGCTATGATAGTTGTTGCGCCTCCTGAACCCTGAGGAAAGTGGTCGTCACAACTAACGCAGAAGTCCAGCCATCGCCGCTGCTTTCACCAGCGCCGGCACATCCACCCGCTGGTCCCGATGACAGTGGACGTCTAGGCTTGCCACCTAGGGCGAAGCTTGTGCTTCTGGGAGACTCGGTGAGGCTGTCGAGGTAGCTCGAGGCAGCTCTGGCCTCGACAAATCCTTGTTAAGCCGCACCCTTCTCCTGGATTGGGAAGATGTGTGCAACCAATTTGGACACAAGCACTTCACGCTTACGCCTTTCTTCTTCACACCACTTCACCATCCTTACCCGTGACGCCGTGAGGCCCAACCCATGCCTTCACAACGCACCCGACTCGTCACCTCCGTCCCCAGCTCAGCTGCAACCTCGATCAACTTACCCCCTGCTCCGAAATCTCACAGTTGCGATACAGCATCCTCGCTTCCCCCGGCCCTGTCTCTCCTTACCCTGATCCGCGCTTACCGTGTGCGCTGCAGGGTGTGGGCAAATCCTGTCTAGCACTACGCTTCACACGCGGCTGGTTCGACCCTGGCAGTCGGGCAACGGTTGGCGCTGCCTTCAGCTGCGCCACTGTCACGGCGCCCGGCGGTGGCGGCAGCTGTAAGCTCGAGATATGGTGAGAAGCGGGACTCAGCAACCAGCGAGCAGCAAAACAGTGATTGGTGACCCACGGGTCCATAACTAGTGCATAGCGCCCTTGTGGTCAATCTAAGGGCATATAGATCATGTCCGCTGCAATAGGTATCGCTTCCTGGTATGTTTGCTACGCTGCCACAGCTGGCCTCCTGCCTTTCGTCAATCGCCCAGCACTATGATTCTATGTCCGGTGTTATGCCACATGTTGGGCCACTTGTCCCCATGCGGTGCCTGCCTCAGTGCCCTTACTCGCGCCGGGCTCAGCCGCCAATCCATGCAAGCCTACGTGTGTTCCCGAACCCCATGGCCCATGCACTCACCGTATTGCAGGGGCTACGTCACCATCCACAGGCGCTTGGATTCTACCATGCCTCCTTAATCCATCATGTCTTCACGTGCACCTTGCATCACCATATGCACCGCTACCTTCCTGTCCTGCAAATGCCAGCCCTACCTGCACCGCCCCGTCATCCCCTCACCACCCCTCATCGCTCCAGGGACACCGCGGGTCAGGAGCGCTACCAGTCGCTAGCGCCACTGTACTACAGAGGAGCCCACGCCGCCGCCATAGTGTACGACATAACGCAGCGTACGACACTTGTACGAGCGCAGCTGTGGCTGGAGGAGCTCCGGAGATACGCAGGACACGGCATGGGTGAGCATGCAGAATCGCAGGGGGGAGGGCCACAAGCCTGTGATGCATGGCAACAACTGGAAAGGGATGCGGGTTGCAGCATGCATGGTGTCCCAACACAGCCCGGAAAACCGTAAATGTGAGTGGTTCGTAGCTTGCAAGGAGTGTGCCCTGCTGTCCGCACACGCGTATTGCTCTGCACGCCTACCTCCTCTTGCAATGCACGGGGCAGATGCTCCTTGCGGTAACCGCGTTAAGTATAATGGTGCGGCACGTCGCTTTCCTTTCCCCCGTTCTCATCCTCCCGCGCTCCGCCCTCCCTCACTGCAGTCCTGGTGCTAGTTGGCAACAAGACGGACCTGGCGCTGCAGCGTCAGGTGGCGGAGGAGGAGGGCAGGCAGCTGGCTGACAGGTGGGTGCCGGTGGGGTGGCGGAAGGCGCATTCGAAGAGGTGGAGGGTGCTAAAGCAGCCGGGAGGCAGGGCAGCACAGAGGTAACTGCGCCATGGGCGGAGGATACCTTCCTCGCCCATGGTCCTTGCGCGTGGCCGCTGGACCCTTATTTCCGTCCCATCCTCCCTACCTCGAGCCCGCCATGAGCGTGAATGCCCGTCCTTCAACACCAAATGGCCCCGTCCCGTGCGTTCCATGTGCTCCCCTGGTGCTGCTGCTGTTGCCGCTGCCGCTGCCGTCGCAGCCTGGGAGCGCTGTTCGTGGAGACGTCTTGCGCCAGCGGGTCTAACGTGGCGGAGGTGTTCGAGGGCGTGGCGTCGCGCCTCGCGGGCGGACTGCCCGTGTCGGTGAATGCAGCGGCGGCGCTGCCACTGTTCTAGCTGGTCTGCATGGACACGAGGAGCCCTTTGATGGGAATTGAAAATGGAATGTTGTTCGGTGGAAAGTTTGTGGCACTTGGGTTGCAATTTGCAAGGGACGTGAGCGCGTGTTGGTCAAGGGTGGGCGCGTGGACTCGTGTAAGGGCGGCGAGGCTGTGGAGGGCCCTCTGCTTGCAGAAGCCCGATCAAATGGAGATGGGCATGCGAGAGAGTGATGGGAGTGCAAGTGGGATAAGAGGTTATGGAGGGAATGGTTGGCATCAGCGCACCAAAGTGCAGCATTCATAAATGCCAGAGATTTTGTTGTACGGTTGTATGTACATTATATCTTTTGTACTATAATGCGCGGTAAAGCTACATGGGGGTTGTTTGTATGATTTGCTGTGCTCTGCACGGCCGCAATCACCTTCCAACAGCCAGATGTTGTGCTTTAATCTCGTCACTGTTGGATTGCATGGCCGTTGTCTGGCGTTGACAGTTGGCGCAGAATCTTGCAGGACTTGTAGTTGGAGGTCAAAAATATTTGCAGAGTTGGGGCTTAAATATAGGCAGAGTTTGGAGTGCATCCAGCACGCCATGTTTGCGCTAGGCTGCTCTCTGCCTGACCTCTCTCCTAACTTGGGCAACGGTATCGTATTCGGGTCTTATGGAGGAAGGCGGCGCTCGTGTACATTCTTGGCGCATGGGCGGGTATGGCAACGGTCAAATGCTCAGCTTGTGCAGTGTCAACACAGCACAAAATGAGCTGCATATCAGGAATGTGAAAACGCATGGTTTCGCGCTGTTCATTGACACAATCACGCCAAGACTTATGAATAACTGGTCGCCCTTGTACCTGTCTACGTTAATGTAAAGGCTCATGGAGGCACGCAAAGACAAGCCCCACCGCCCCGTTTGAATTGGGCCAGTTTGCCGTTGGGTTTCCTCAACCATCAGGCTTTGCATGCGAGGTCGAGGTACGGTAATTGTACTAGTACGGCGGGGCAGGCCATCAGGGCAGTGGAGCTTGCGGGGCTGCACGCACTGCAAAGCAAAGGGCATGCATGGAGTCGCGGGCGGCATTAGGCAAACAGCAAATTAACTAGGAAGTTACAAGCCGCTCAGCAGGGGCCGCTCCCCAGCCTGCACGCTTCCGTTCTAGTACCCAAACGAAACGGGACCTACACCCAGCGAGACGAAAAAATAAAGCAGCAATGTATCCGAGCTCGTGACAGAGGCCCAACCGAAAACTGCGCATGCTGCTTGGCACAAAACTCCCAACAGGCATCTGGGCGCGCTTCACCCTGAATGTGACGGGAACCGGCCCGGTTAGGATCGCCTGTTGGGACGATCCGAGCAGCAAGCAAGAGGGAGGCCCCCCTGGCATAGGGCCGCATGGGGCCCATGACCGAAAAAGAATCAGTTCAATTCCTTCGCTATGTAACTGGCGTCGCTAGCACGCACAGTCCACAGCCCTGCACCGCCGAAACCGCTTGCAGAATAGCCCCAAGGAGCCGCAGAACTTCCCCGGGACTCCTCCTCCTAATAGCGGCCCTCCGTGACACGTGCCCGCACGGCACGTCCACCATCGCAAACAACGAACGGAACCACGCCCCGCTGCAGCAAAACGCTTTCGCGACCTGCTAAACACAGTACACCACTGCTTATGCCCGTCCACATAATCGCCGAGCACGCTTGGAAAGGTGCCAACGTGCAACTCTCCAGACTGACCCATGGGTCACTTCGCATTCCGTCCTGTCAAATCATACCTTGCTCACACGCTTACGAACGCAGGAAGCCAGTTGTCAATGCTTAGTATCAGCTCCCAGGTCGTCACCCATTCCATTCTCTTCCCGCCCGAGCACTTCATCCATGATTGTCGAACTCCGCTCAAGACCACACTCCGTGGATTTTCGGTCGACTCGCCTTTGCCGACCAGCCATAACGTGCACAGGACTGTCATCGTCAAGTCGCGATGTAACGTGTCCAAAAATAAGTCATCTTGTCAAGAGACGAAGACAGCGCCGCTGCACAGCACCCACTTAGCACAGCCGTTTTGCGATTGACAAGGATGGAAGCACCAGGCCAGCATAACCGTATCAACAGCACACAGCATTGCACGATAGGCGGTGCCGCTGCCGTACATTGCCAACCGGCCACAATGCGGTAACCATTAAGTGCAATCCGCAAAACGGCTTTGCCCCCCCATCAAACGCTCCACATTACTACTGCTTTACCACTGACACACAACTAGTCAAACGGAACCAGCCGAAACAAAACTGCTGCTTAAACAAACGTAGACCTGATACCTGTACTCCTACACCTAGGCCCCTCTCCCCTGACTAGGCCCCGCTCCCCTGTATGCTTTCCCCTGTGACAGCTTGTCTGTTCTGCACCTGTCCTAGTCTTCTCCTGCTCTAATAAAAAGCGTGGCCACGTGTATAGCCGGTGCACTGGTTCCCACTCCTCCTGTACACCACCAACACCGTCACAACACCGCTCGCCTCACGTCATCACGCTTTCCCGGTGCTGCCAGACGCGGTACTAAGCCCAACGGCTTCATGCCGACGTTCTCCCAACGCTCTGCTCGTATACTAGACGCCAACAGGGGTTTAGCCCAGCACAGGCGCCGCCTCTCGAGCCAATGTGTCACCTTCATGTGGGGTGGTAACATTGCAATGCGCACTCAGTTACTACCACACGCGCGAGCAGCGCTACTCAGCCCATGCCGTGTCAACGGCCTGGGCCTTACTTTCCATCCTCCCTCGCTCACGGTGCTTCCGAATCCAAGAGCCGTACGACACTGCATGCCGCGGCCAGGTGACCCCCTTGTCGTAAAAATAGCACGCATGCGACCCTGCCTGTGGGCCAACGAACCGCATGACGCCTCCGCCCGCCCCTCGCCCGCCCCCCTTCCACCTCTCCTGCTCCGCCTTATCCCAGTTCACTCCGAAACGCTCCGAAAGCCCCCTCAAGCTCCCGCCGCCTTATTCGTCCACACCAGGCGGCACATGCACAAGCGACGAGTACTCCGGATAGAACATCCGACTGGCGATGTAGGCCCGCATGGCATCAGGCCCCTGCCCGTACTTCTCCAGCAAGGGGCCCCGCAGGCGGCCCTCCTTGCCGGCGGCGCAGGCGACAGCGGTGGCGACGCGCGCCGAGATGTCGCGAATGTCCGCCAGGCGGGGGTACACCAAGCCTACGCGAAGAGGGAAAGGGTTGGAGAAGTATGCGGGTTACAAGGTAGGAAGGAGACAGAGGAAAAACTTAACCGCTAAACCGCTTATTGTGGCCCAAGGGGCAGTTGCAGGTAAGCCTGCCCCAGCCCATTATCCCCGCTCCCCCTACATCCCCTCCCTCCGCGCCTTCGGCACCATTCCCCGCGTGTCATATTTCGTTCATGTTTCCCACCCCCGTGTCCCTCTCACCCTTGGCCAGGTCCTCCGGGTGGACCAGCTTGGGCAGCGCCTCCGCCGCCGCCATCAGCATGTCGTCCGTGATCACCCGGGTCTGGCCCAGGAAGGATCCCAACGCGATGCCTGCAGGAGGGCGGCGGGACAGGGAAGGAAAGGCGAGGACGAGGTGCTTAAGGACATGCAACAACATGTGCCGCGAGTGCTTTTACTGTGCTGCGTTGGGTTGACGGGTGAGGGAAGGATGGGGTGAGGGGTACGGAATGGAAGGTAAGGGCGCGGCCACCTGACAGCGCCCAGCGTCGGATATCCGTGTTATCAATTATAAACTTACCAGGGAAGATGTACATGTTGTTCGCTTGCGACACCGCCACCGTACCCCCATCCGGCATCTGCACTGGCTGCTGCGGACTGCCGCTTGCAAAGATGGCTCGGCCCTTCGTGACCCGCAGCGCCTCCTCCGCCGTGCACTCCATGCGGCTGGTGGGGTTGGACATGGGGAAGATGATGGGTCGCTGATGCGGGCAGCCCTCCGACAGCGCGGTGAGGACCTCCTTGTTGAACAGCCGCCCCGCGCCCGCCAGACCGAGCAGGATGGTGGGCTTGACCTGAGGTGTGGGGGGTGGAGGTGGGAAGGAATAGGAGGAGGGGGAAAGGGGGACGTGATGAGGTGTAGTGGGAATGGAGTGGGGTGCTACTCGTGTAAGCAATGCATGTCCCCATCCTGCATGAAAGTTATCAACCTCTTGTACTAACTTCCGCAGGTCCAATCGTCAAACCTTCCCTTATGCGGACCGCTCGACCCATAGCACGACGTTCTGCTCCCCGGACCCCCTACCGTCTTCTAAAGGAGAGCAATGCTACGACCGCTACGGCGGCTCCTGCTGCCACCGCTCACACCCACCACGGCTAAGTCTATCTACCCACCCGTTTGATGACCGACAGCAGCGACTCCCCCTCGTGCTGCTTCTCTTCCCGCACAAACGGCTTCACAAAGTTAGCCACGTCGGATCGCTTCTTTGTGATAAGGCCCATATAATCGAGCACCCAGAAGCGCTTCGTCGCCTCCGCCAAACTGAGACCCTGCTTCGTCATGCCTGTAGGGAAGGAGGTGGACGGGCACCGTGGATGACGGCACATGACACAAAGGGCCAGGATAGTAGGCATCCCCGATGCCGCCGCTTTAACCGATATACGGAGACCCATTCCCGGGCTCGTCAAGCCCTTTCATACGCAATGTGCCGGCTGCGGCTACACCGGTACACACAAGCAACAGAGACACCGTCCCGTGCGCCATGCAGGATGCCCGCTTACCCGCGGCAATCATCTTCGCCACGCCCATGCCCGCCGAGCCCGCACCCACGCACACGATCCGCTGCTCCGTGAGCGCCGAGGGCGGCATGTTCATGACGCGCAGGGCGCCGTACAGGCCCGCCAGCGCTGTCGCCGCCGTGCCCTGGTTCCACAAAATGGGTTTCAAAGTGGGTCAGCACAGAGGACGGGCGCTGGATTGAGACCTAGCTGCTTTTCATGTCCCATACGCCATGGGACCGAGCCGGTGACTGGCCCTAACCTCCAACCATGTGGCGCTGCATGCTGCCATGGGGCCCCCAGTTTTGTAGCCATGCTGTGATGGAGTCTCCGCCTGGACGTCCCTGGTGCCGGTGCGGCCATGACACATTTTGTGGCCGCCCCTTTCAGCTCTTTTCCCCATTGGTGGTACCAGTATCCCTAACCGCATCCATACGATGCAGCAATGTACCCTATTGCCTAGCGCCCTATTTGCGCTATTCAAGGGTTGCAAGCCAGGAACAGCTGTGTGGTGTGTTTCCTTCTTCGCTGAGGCATGCTTCCCCGCTGCCCCACCTGGATGTCGTCGTTGAAGACGAGGTGGTGTTGGCGGTAGCGCTCCAGCAGGGGCACCGCGTGGTCGATGGAGAAGTCCTCGAATTGCAGGATGGCGTTGGGCCAGCGAGACATCACCGCCGTCACAAACTGCACACAGATGCACACAGCAGCGGCGGAAAAGGAAGTGCCTTCAGAGAGCCTCCCTGTGCGGCATGGGAGGCGCTTTCGGCATGCGGGAATGCGAGAGATGCTGCCATGGCTAAGCGGAGTAAGACGGTTGCATCCATCTCATATAGACGTTGTCAGGGTCCCGTTCGTGTGTTTACCTCGTCCACAATCGAAAAGTACTCGGGCCCGGTGATGCGCGAGCATCGCAGCCCGCCGTAGTGCGGGTTGGCTCGCAGCGTCTCGTTGTTTGTCCCCACGTCAATCACCACCGGCAGCACTTTGCTAGGGGAGAAGCCTGGGGTGGAGGAAATAGAGGATTTGAGCCGAGTTGACTGACAAGAGCGTGTGGGGGAGTTGCGGAGAGGGGACAGATGACATGGAGGATGAACGAGCGGGTGTGGGGATAGATAGTGCTAGAAGTCACTAGAGTCTCTGAGTTACCACCGTACACAGCAAACCATGTGAGCAGCCGTGCACCCACCTGCTGCCGCGCAGTACAGGTCTAGCTTGCCGATGGGAATGCCCAGACCTGGGGTTCAAAGAAAGCAGGACAGTGGTGCAGGAGAGGGTATTGGCAAGAGGTGGCTTCTACGGAGACAGGAATCCCATAGCCCTGTCTCAGCCAGGGGAGCTTTTCATATATGTCCGTTAACATTTAGTAACATGATGTAAGAGGGCATGCGGGGGAAAGGAAAGGAGAGGGGAACAACCAGAGGAGCCTGAGAAAGAAGGGGTGTAATAGCGGCCTCTTCGAAAGGCCCCGGCAGCTGCACGGCGCTACAGCGGCCCGATCCTGCTGCTCCCGGGCTGCTTCCCTAACTTGCCATTCACGCCTAGGTCTCCGAGCCCCAGGATCCGGCTGCCATCCGTCACGACAATGGCCTGTACCCGGGCAGCAGCGGAAACGCACATGGGAGTGGGCAGCGGAGGGAGGGAGGGCACGGGCGCTTAACAAAGGGCCACATGGATGGCGAGGCAGCATGCGCCTGGCTCCCGGGCTGTAGCGTCGCTTCTCCCAATTCTATAGCTGCAGGCAACCAATGGGTGTTGAGGCACGGCGCCATGACCTAGGCACGAGTGCACTGTGAGGTAGGATGCAAGAGCTGCAACGCCGCCGCATTGGAAAAGGGCCAGGAAACCCGGACCCGACTGGTCAGCGAGTATAGTGGTGGCGCTAGCGTCCGGGGCTCACCTGCACGTCCCGCTGCGGCCAGTTGTACACCATAGCGGCCTGGGGGGCAGGGCAGGTAGCGGACGGCAAGGCAAGGGGGACATGTGGGAGAGGGAGTGCCCGGGGAGCTGTATGCCCAACAGGAGGCGACCCCGAGTGCCCCGTGCACAGGCGCATATAGCCCAGCAGGCATCTGTCCCAAGCTTAATTCTCCACGTAACTTCCGCAAACCCACCATATCAACCCGTACTCTTAAAATCATTCCCACACACATTTTCCTCTACCCCCATCGCCAGTGCTCCCTCAATCAACCGCCATCAGCACCCCCCCCCAAACTCACCATGTCCCCCCGGTCTGCTGCGCTGAAGTACATGCCGCGGGGTCGGCGGTAGAGCTTATGGAAGTTGAGGCACACCCAGCCCACCGTGGGGGTGTAGATGATGGGGGCCATCTCCTGCGCGAGTGTGAGGCATGTGGCAGGGCGTGTGCCATGGTCATGCTTCTGGAAGGCAGCGGGCGATTTACGAAATGCTGACGGGGCTGCTAATGTGTGTGCCACAAAAAAGTGCTGGCGACCTTCCCGACACCGCTCGCGTACACACAACTCCAACCCCACCCCCCACGGCGCCACACCTCCCCAATCCCAATGTCGACCCACCGTGAAATTCTCAAACAGCACACGGTAAAAGAGCGTCTCGTTCCGGTCGTGCAGCGCCTGCAGCGCCTTCCACCTGCGCGCCATCTCCGAGGTCACGCCGCCCAGCTCCACATCCTCCGGCGGGATGAAGTGCACCGGGTGGTGGTAGTCCTGCATGAAGCGGGCTACCTGCGGGGTGCGGTGGTAGGGGCCGAGCAGGGGAGAGGGAAGGAGGGAGGGTGAAGGGGAGGTGGGCAGGCGCCATGACGCACGATGGAGGGGTATAGAGGGTCTGCGAGCTGTACGCGGGGAAAGGGGTCCCTTCACCGGTGATCCGCATTCCTTTATAAAGCCACGTGAGGCACGTGGACGCCGGTTTCATGTGCCGTCCTTCCAAGGCGTGCCACACGGGCCTCCGCGCTGACCCATCTCGCCCTCGCCATCAAGCCCCTTTCATCCACTCCCCACCCGTTCCTATTCTCATCTCTCTGTTCCTGCCCCCCCGCCACTCTGCCCCCCCGCCACCTGCAGCTCCATGGTGAGGCTCCTGGGCGGCAGCAGCCCCCGCAGCCCCAACCGGTCCCGCTCCGAGCGAGGGAAGGCGGAACCCTGTGGCGGCGGGGAGCAGGAAGGGTTGGGAAGTGAAGGCAACAATGCATGCGGGAGAGTGACACGAAGGCTAGAGGGTGAGGGCACTGTACCAGAACGATACATGCGACAGCACCCAACCCACTGGTCATATGGGGTTTCTGCCCGGGGTGTGCGCCCATGTATAGGGCATCACCCGGCCAGGGAGAGCAGCCCTCCCCGCCTGAGGAAACGTCTACCCATGCCGCATGCGCCATTCTGTGCGGTGATGTGGTGATGCCTTCAATAGGTCATCCCCAGCTGGGCTTTGCCCAAGGTGACACATACTCCCGTCGCAGTCCAGCTTCGTGGCCTCAATCTGAACCCTTCACAACAACCTGGCCGAGGCCTTCAGTGGCCACCAATGGAGCTGCCAACCGCCTAACTTAGTCCCTTTCAGATTGCTTTCCGTCCTGCTGTAGATCCTCGGCTGGGTGCCGCAAGGGCGCCTACCTTGTTGCACCAAGGGTCTTTGAGGAGGTCATAGCCTGTTTTCCGGACCACGTACGCCGGCGACTCCTGCCCGGGAACTGGAAGGTTCACACACGGGGGGGTAAGCAGGGTTAGAGGGATAGCCAGCATAACAAGTAGCTGTCCACGCTAATTCCATATGAAAGGGATAGAATCTAGCGAAAATCAGGCGCAGTTATGCCTGCAAGCAGCAAGTTGCTCCCCGCGTCCCCACCCCCGTAGCACCCGCGACCCCATTTTATAAAACACAATGCACCCAGCTTGACGTCCATGGGTAGGCAACTATACTGACGCAATAACGGCCTTCGAACACCGGCCCAGAACGTTCTCCGTTGACTGCTGAGTAATCGCACGGCGGCGGGCTGAACTTACTATAGGGCGGGACGTCCTCTGGTACACGATCAGTAGAGAATCGGTCATCTTCATGGATGTAGCGAACGAAGCCTCGCGGGGGTATATTGCTGGCGGCTTGCAATCCCCTGGTGAGCTGCGCCCAACGCCGGGGTTGCGCCCAACGCCGGCGCAGCTTAAGCCACCACATGGAATTGGTGTCGGATTCCTATAGTTAGCGTGTAAACGCGGTAGTTGCGAACGGTAGCAGCCGCTTAGTGAAGCTGTAAGCTAGATGAACACGCCTTTAAAACATGAATGCATTAATTTGAAAAAGCTAAGATAGTTATGACCACACTAGCACGCTTGACTCTCTGCCCTTATCTCACTGTGCACAGTGCCGTACTGTGCAAGCTTCTATGCTCTGGCCTGGAATTCTGTCACCTACTGTTTCGCTCTGTACATATTTGTGTTTTACTTGTGAGCCTTTTGTATTACCATTCACGCGACTTGTTATAAACTTGCGAAGGACTCGTTCAGGACGCGCCTGACCTACCGGTAGTTACATAGATTAATTGATCACTATGGCTGATAGGGTCTTAGCCCTGGTCCACTATTATGCCCGCGAAGGGTATCATAGACATGTACAGACAGTCTGCAACGAAGTGCTCAAGAAGCGTTCCGGTGACCCTGTGCTCACGTTTTGGAGGGCTTATGGGCTTCTTGTGGAGGGAAACACAGCAGATGTGAGTATGGCTCCAAGTAATTGGACTGGTCGCAGCCTGGTCTACGCACATGCAGAGAGTCCCCTCAGCTCCCGGCTCGCTATGGCTGCAGGCTATGCGCGACTTGACAAGCATTGCTGGTAACCCTGACTTGGAGCTTGCAGTCGCAGCGGCCCAGCTTATGGCGCATGAAGCTGCGAAGGTCCCGGACCATGACGCTATCATCGACCTACAAGCCAAGCTGGAGGTGAGTGGTGTTCTTAGAGAAGGGCAAGGTGGCGTGTACGCGTGCAATTCCTCACTTCAAGCCCGCTTTCGTTGAGACCGACACGGAGGGAGGAGGGTTGGGTTTGGGCCAGGGGAATAACTAACCTTCTACCTGGGGGCCTAAATGCTGTTGGGAGCATCAACCCAGCCCTTCTCGTCCGCATCGCAGGTCGAAGAGCGCACCGCCAACGACACCCCCTGCCTGCATCTGGCGTCCTTCTACCTGTACACCAAGAGCAAGGAGCGCGCACGCAGCCTGGTGGATCGGGTGCTGCGGAACCAGCCGGACCTGGTAGCGGCGCAGGTGGGCTGGGCGGTTCGGAAAGGGCAAAGCCACAAGGCCACGGATTACATGCCGCAAGGGCAGGGTACGCAGTCATACGGTACAGTGCAGGCCTGTGGGGTGGGAACGGCTTTAGCCTGATTGTGGACATCCGGCCATACGTGATTGGTAAGGGTAAAGGTTGGAGGGATTGGGGAGAGCGAAAAGGCTGGACATGTCAAAGGCTAAGGGACGCGGCACTGGGCCGTAGCTGCTGTCGTCATGGCACGACTGAGAAGTTGCGCAGGAGGCAGAGAGGCGCGCTAGTCCTGACGGAGTCAGCTGTCTGTGGTTTAGCGTCGTGCAGCTCGGAGCAGCAATCGGGGCGCAAGTCGCCGTGCCCTGCATGTTGCCGCGCCGCGGTCAGACGTGCACCGGCGACCGTGAGGAAGCCGTTGGCAGGCTGCTGGCAAGGTCCTTTCCTCCAGACAGATATCCCGCTTGATACCTGACGCAACCGGCGACGTTCGGGCCATGTAGTGTTTACAGTTCGCAGTGACAGACGCCTCTCTCCCTATGCTCCTGCTGCTCGGCCATGCCCTCTGGTTTCCTATCCGCATGATCTTGTCATCCCGGTACACTACCCTCTCCCCCCAATTCAACCCCAACAAACCCAACGCTCGCGCGTCAGGTGCTGCTGGGTTGGATCATCATCAGCCAGCAGCAGGACGACGAGTACGACATGCTGTTCGATGAGAGCGAGCTGGACGATGCCTACACGCAGTTTGAGCAGGCGGTGGAGCAGGACCACAACGACCTGCAGGTGCGGGTGGGGTGCATGGACCGGGTGGTGTGACCGTCGACTTGGAACGCCTCCTGACTACTCAGCCGGCCCCGAATCGGCCCGCCCCACTCCCCTGCCATTCAGCCCACCTCCATCCTCTTGCCCACATGGGTCGCTCCACCTCACATGCTCCTCCCTCCGCATGCGTCCAATGACCCCAACCCAGGCGCTGCTGGGCAAGGCCAAGGTGCTGGAGCTGAAGAAGCAGCTGGGCCCCGCGGTGGACGTGTTGGCGGAGATCAACGTGCGCTTCAGCTGGTTCGTGCCGGCGCTGGTGGAGAAGACGCGGCTGCTGATGGCGCTGGGCGACTGGGAGCAGGTGGCGGAGACGCTGCAGCGGGTGCTGTCGTCAGACGCGCAGAACATCATGGCGCAGGCGTGGACTTGTGAGTGGGGACTGGGAAAAGCAGTCCTCCAGTTATTCCGGGTTGCGCACGGTTGTGTTATGCCACATTTGTTCGTATTCTGATTCCTATTAATGTTTCTTGAGCACGCACCTGCTTCATACGGGACTGTCCCTTATCACCGCCCCCGGTCCGCAGGCATGATCTCCATCACCCGCGAGGGCAACAACAAGCAGGCCGCCAAGCAGCTGCAGGACCTGTTCGCCTCCATGAACCGCCAGGAGCCCAAGAATGCGGAGCTCTTCTACAAGATTGTAAGCTACGCACGCGGCATGCAAGGGGACTCGGAGAGGGACGAATGTCGTTGGGCATGGATCGATTTGCATGATAGCGGGCTCTGCATGAACACACCCAGCATGTTGCCCATCCGGCCTTTCTCCCCTTTTTCTCCTTCCTGTCCGCTTTATGCAGCAGAGCCCCCATTCTGCATACCATACCACGATTACCAAGTAATCTGCTGTGGCGCCGTACCGAGCCAACCAGGATAGCCAGTCAATGATCAAGCATCTCATCACTGTCCAGTGCGGACTATCCGCCTCCTCTGACCACTGCCCTACTTCTCCATGGGAACCTCCTCTCCACCCCCCCCCCATTCCCCACCCTCCCTCTGCGCGCCCGCAGTCCCGCCCCTTCGCGCGCATGGCCTGCAGCGACGCCACGCTGCTGGGCATCACCTACCTCATGGCGGACCGGGCGGTGCAGCTCAAGCCCGACCATGCGGCCTACGTGAGTACTACTGGGAGGGAGGGACAGCGGAAAGGACACATCCTGGGCAGCGAGCACAGGTTTCGTGCATGGAACTGAAGGTGACAGCCTTACCTTCGTTTCCCCTTGGGTGGCACAAGGAGGTCCGCCTCAAATAAGGCACCCGCCCATCCATTCATCCATCTATCATACCTAGCATTGCGAGCTCCAACCAAACGCAAACGAAACACTGCCTACTCGTCTCGTGACCCCGCCTGCCCGCTCCTCCTCTCCCTCTTCGCACGCGCGCACGCGCCCTCGCAGGTAGTGGAGGCCGCCACCCAGAAGCTGCTGATGGAGGAGACCACCAACGCCGCCGAGCGGTTCGCGCAGGCGCTGCAGCTGGACGAGCTGAACCTGGAGGCCAACGCGGGGGCGCTGGAGGCGCAGATCATGGCGGGGGAGCTGGAGCAGGCGGCGGACCAGGTGGGTGGGGGGCAGACCTTGGTGTGATGGGCTTGGGGAGGACGTGCACTGGGGGTGGGCTGCTGCACACGTCGGCGTAGGGCTCATGCCGGCCTTATGTTCATGTGCATGAAGCCATGGACCCCATAGCCGCATGGCATGCCGGACCTCCAGCCTGCCTCACCTTCCTCCTCACCTTCGCACCCCTCCACCTCCATGTTTGTACTCCGTATACTCCCTCCATACACTCACTTCCCTCCCTCAGATCCTCTTCCTGGAGGACATGTTTGCCAACGCCAACGCCGGCGGCAGCTCCCGGCGGCGCGGGCGGCGTGACGACATGGACGACATGGACCCCGACATGGCCGACCCCATCAGCGGCTCCGCAGCCACCGACAACGCCACGCTGCTCTACCTCAAAGGGCTGCTGTCGTGGAAGCAGGGCAACAACGCGGAGGGGCTGGGGCTGCTGGAGCGCTCCATCGCGGCGCTGTTCACAGCGGCGGGCGAGTACTCGGGGCCCTCACTGGAGATGTTTGGTGTGCTGAACCCCGCGCGCATCACCTACGTGGTGCGACTGCTGCTGCAGAGCATTGGCGGCGAGCCACGTGCGCCGACGGAGGCGCCCTCGCCGCTGATTAGCAAGGTGGGTTGAGCAGGATGGGGTGCGTGGAGTGGAGCGGAGCGGAGTGGAGTGGAGTGGAGTGGAGTGTGAGTGGCCCATGTTAGCGGTGGCTTGCTCTTTTTGCGAGTATTAGATGAAGTGCGGTTGCGTCGCAGCACACTTGCGTTGCGTTTCACACCCTCGTGGCCCATGTAATTGCAAATCCTCGTCGACGCCTTCCGCACCTGGCTCCTTCCCCTGCTGCCCCCCCCTGCCCCTCCTCACCTTCCTCCCTCGCCTCTTCCCTGCCCCCAGGTGACCCGTGCGCTAGACCTGCTGAACAAGCAGGCGCCCGCACTGCTGGAGTCCGCGCTGCTGCACGCGCGCGCGCTCTACCTGAACGGCACGTTGGACGCGGCGCTGCGCAAGGCGGGCGAGATCCTGCACATGAACCCCGAGGAGTCGGCGGCGCACCTGCTCATTTGCAGCGTGTACGTGGCACAGGTACGGAAAGAGAGGGAAAAGGGAAGGCTGAGGGAGAAGGCCGTTTAGTAAGGATTTTGGACCGGAAGGCCTGCGGAAGTGCTGGGAAAGAACCTGGGAAGCAGCCACCAGATACCCTGATCGGCCAAGGCCCCTCCGTCCCAGCATGCGCTGGGGGACCATCCCAATCCATGCTCCGTCCAATTACAAGTCCTAAACAGACGCCCTCCGCTCGCCCTCCGCCCACCTCCCTCATCTCCCTGACCCCTCGCCCCCCTCTCCTCCCTCTCTCCCCCCTCCAGGACAAGCCCGACCTGGCCCTGAGCGCGCTGGATCAGGCGGTGAGCAGCAACTTCGCGGTCCGCGAGACGCCGCTGTACCACGTGGTGCAGGCCAAGGTGCTGGTGGCCAGCAACAAGCTGGAGGACGCCAAGCGGGTGCTGGAGTCGGCCATGAACCTGCCCGGCGTGCGCACCGCGCTCACCTCGCAGCAGCGCGCCCGCCTGGGCCGCAAGGTGGTGGAGCCCACGGTGCATGAGCGCGCCACCATATACCTGCTGCTGGCGGATGTGCTGGCGCGCATCTCCAAGATACCGGATGCGCCGGAGGCGAAGAAGGTGCGGGAAGGAGGGTTAGAGGGACGGAAGGGTGAATGTGTGCACGCGCAATGCAAGCAGCTGCAGGGATGTGTTCATGTGTAGTAAGTTGTAGTATGGAAAGGGGAAGGAGAAGTGCAGGGAGGAGTAGGGGAGTGTAGGGTGTTGAAAGCTGTTGAGCAATGACGCGCGGCAGTGTTGAACTGGAGATGGAAAAGCATGTCGTGCTAGGTCATGGCCATCACTTCCACCACCTCCCGCTGCCCGCAGTACATCCAAGACGCCATCCGTGAGTTCGAGGGCACCAGCGAGGAGGTGCGTGTGACGGTGGCGGACTGCGAGCTGGCCATTGCGCGCGGCGACGTGGAGGGCGCGCTGAAGAAGCTGCGCCGCATCCCCAAGGAGTCGCCGCACTACGTCAAGGCGCGCATGGCCATGGCCGACATCTACCTGCGGCACCGCAAGGACAAGACCGCCTACATCAAGTGCTACATGGACCTGGTGGTGAGTGGTGGTGGTGGGGGGGGCACAACTACATTGGGAGTGCACCTGGGGATGTGTCCGTATGGGGGGTGGTGGTGTGCCGGGGGGCGTGTACCGGTATTTGCGGAGCGTCACACTTGGGTCGGATCCGTGGGTAACGGTTTGGCGATGCGTCTATCATCTGGCCATTGCCTGTCATCGCCCGCCCAGCTGCGTTGCTAGCCGACCCATTTCCTGCTCGCCTTGCCCCCACCTGCCTCCCGTCCCACCTCCCGGCCCCCCCCCCAGGACCACACTGAGGACTACGACAGCTACTGCATGCTGGGTGAGGCGTTCATGCAGATCCAGGAGCCGGAGAAGGCGGTGCGGGCGTTCGAGTCGGCGCTGGAGTTCAACCCCAAGGACGTCGACCTCATCACACGGGTGAGTCAGGAAGATGGTTACGGAGTGGTGTACCGGTATTCGAAGGCATGGAGGATAACAGTGGCAGAACGTGCAAGCACGAGAGGGAGTGGGAGCACCCTAGTGCCTTGATGTCAGCTCTTCCCTTGAAGGGCTTGCAATGGACATGCCGTGATACCAGTATGCACATTGACATGGTGCTGTGCCGCACCCCGTCGCCCACGCCCCCACGCCCCCATGCAGTGTGCTCGCGCGCTGGTGACCAGCCATGACTACCAGCGAGCCATCGACTACTTCACAAAGGCCATCGCCAACGCACGGGGCGGAGCACAGGTGGGGACACACCCATCGTGCATGTGTGCATCCGTCTTGGACTCCAAAACAACAGTACCGGTAGCTCTCCGCCCGCTAAAATTGCCTTATCATTGCACACCCGCAACCTTGCCTCCTCGAATCCATTACCCTTCATGCCCACCACCTCTCCCTAACCTAGACCCACCTCCTCCTGCCCTCTCCTGCCCTCTCCCGCAGTACTCTCTGCAGCTGGAGCTGGGCAACCTGCTGGTGCGGCTGCGGCAGTGGCAGCCCGCCACCGCAGCAATCAACAAGGCGCTGGAGCGCAACCGCGACGGAGTGCCGGCCACCGAGAACCTGCAGCTAGACGTGGAAGGGTGAGGCGGGCGCGGGGAGGAGGAAGGGAGGGCCCGGGGGGTTAGGACTTGGCTCCGAGACCGGCCAAGTTCAACCGGCTACCTTTGAGAGCAGCTACGGGAAGCTGCTAGACGGAGATAGCCCGTACCCGTATCCTGCCACCCTGTAACCTCACCTGTGTAACCTCTGCCACTGCCGCCTCCTCCTGCTGCTGCGCAGCTGGTCCATGCTCGCCCGTGTGCACAAGGGCACGCAGGACATGGACGGCTACGTGGCCGCTCAGAGCCGCGCGCTGGAGCTCCAGAAGCAGCTGCTGCTCAAGCTGCGCGGCGAGCTGCCGGAGGCGGTGGCGCTGCAGCGGGAGCGCACCGCGTCCATCTGCTTCGACCTGGCGGAGCAGCACAAGCGGGCGCGCAAGTTTGACAGGGTGAGGGGCTGGGGAGGGGGGACTGAATGTGTGAGGAAGTGAGGATACGGGGTTGCTGCACTTCCGCGTTTTTTCTTCATTCTCTCGTCCTGGCCCCCACCTCTCCCACGTCCCACCGCCTCCTCCACCCCCTTGGTCCCCCTCCTCCGTCCCCCCTCCCCCCAGGCCATGGAGCTGTACATGGAGGCTCTGCGGCACCACGAGACGCACGTGCCCTCCATGCTGGCGGTCGCCAAGCTGCACCTGGCCAACGGCGACACGGACGCCTGCCAGGCGCAGTGCGTCACGCTGCTCAAGCACGACCCCGACAACGAGGAGGCGTCCATCATGCTGGCGGAGCTCATGTTCCACAAGGTATGTGGGTGGGGTGTGTGGTGGGGTCTACTCCAGGGAAAGCCTCGAGGAAGGGCGGGATGACGAGCTGCATCATGTCCCTGCCTCCACGACACTCCTTTCCGCTCACACCGTGACGCAAAAACCACCCCTCGCTCCAACCCCCTCCTGCCTCCTCCTTCAGGAGCACTACGACACCGCCATCTACCACTTCCAGCAGCTGCTGGAGCGCTCGCCCAACCACTACGGCGCGCTGGCTCAGCTGATCCTGCTGCTGCGGCGCTCGGGGCGGCTGGAGGACGTGCCGCGCTACTTCACGCTGGCGGAGGCGGGTTCGCCCAAGGCCGTCATGGACCCAGGCTACCACTACTGCAAGGGACTGTACAACAGGTACGGCATGGGAGGCGGCGGCAAGTGAGGAGGGATGTTTTCTCTTCACCACCCAACAACTTGGCGCATGCGCGCGTGCCGCTAACCTTCCCTCCTCACCTCTCCCGCGTGCCGACACCGAACGTACCCCGATGTACCCCCCGCTCTTGCACCCTCTCCCCCCCAGGTACATCAACAACCCCCGCGAGGCGCTCAAGGAGCTCAACCTGGCTCGCAAGGACTCCCGCTGGGGCAGCTCCGCCATCCTGCACATGGTGGAGATCTACCTCAATCCGGACAACGACGCGGTGTGGGAGGAGAAGGAGAACGCAGACACGCCCGAGAGCCGGGAGGCGGTCGCCACGGCGCGCAGCTTGTTGAAGCAGGTGGGGTGGGGGGAACTGTTAGGGGGTGTTCCGTGGCTGCTGCTACGAGTGAATCTGCTGGTGGCCCTGGGACGTACCATGCGATGCCATGCATGCATGCACGCAATCTGCTGTTGGGAGAGCTGTGTCCAGCTGGTCCACTCACTCGCCACCCGCTCCTGCTCTCCCTGTGCAGGTCCGCGGTGCTGACACGGGCAGCCAGCGCTACCGCGTGCTGGAGTGCTACGCCATCATGGCGGGCAAGGACAAGATGGAGATCGAGAACGCGCTCAATACGCTGCTGGACATGGCAAACCAGGTAGGGGTGGGGTGGGGTTAGGGGGTCTGTTTGGTTACAACAGGTTAAAGTGCTATAAACTGAACTGGGTTAGGGTCAAACGACATTATGTGTTACCGCACTTGGACATACCGGGGTTGGGTTGGCAAGGGGTGACCGCTGGGCTGCTGCGGTGTGAGCGTGTTTGTGCAACCAAGCAACTCCTGACCCAGGCCCCGTCCCCTTCCCCTTCCCCTGGCGCCCATCCAGGATCCAAACAACGTGCCTGTGCTGCTGGCCATGGCCACGGGCTTCATGATGCTCAAGCAGACGCCCAAGGCGCGCAACCAGCTCAAGCGCGTGCAGAAGATCCAGTACAAGCCGGACGAGGCGGAGGAGTTTGAGCGCAGCTGGCTGCTGCTGGCGGATATCCACATACAGGTGGGGTGCGGGTCAGCTGTAGACAGGCAGGGTATACCGGTATCCACACCAAGGCTGTGCTTGCCAAGTGCAAACAGGACGGACCTATTCGTAGGACGGGTGGAGGTCGTGACACTGCCGCCTTCTCCTTTCCTTGACGCCTGCCCGCTTGCCTCATGCGCCGCCCGGCACAACTGCGCTCGCAGGGTGGCAAGTACGACCTGGCTCAGGACTTGTGCCAGAAGTGCCTCAAGTACAACAAGAGCTGCGCCAAGGCGTGGGAGATCATGGGGCAGATCATGGAGCGGGAGCAGGTGCGCACGCCCCAGACACAGCCATGTGGGGGGGGGGCTCAGGGTTTGACCATGTCGGGGCCCGAGGAGCCCTCTTGGTGTTCGGTGTTGCAAGCGTCCGCACGTGTCTCCTCCTCCCGACCATGTCCCCTGCTGCTGGCCTGTCGTGCTAACACTGGCACACCTTGTTCGCAGGCGTACAAGGACGCCGCGGACCACTACGAAAACGCATGGAAGCACGAGAACCAGGCGTCAGCGCAGGTAGGCGATGGCTGCTGGCAAGCATCCGGCTGCAAGGGATGTGCGGATGGCCGCCCCTGAGGATTGCAGTGGGCGAGGGGTGCCAGGTCTCTGCTTGCTGTTTGCTGATGGCCTCGGGGGGGCCGCATGCGCTCTTGTTGACCTAGAACATGCCAGCAAAGCCCACCAGTGTCCTGATGCACTGTTGAGTCCGCGTAAACCGCTTGCCCCACGCACGTTATGGACGACCGGCGTGAGTGAGGTGACCATGGCTTTACCTCTCTCTTTACCTTAACCGCTCCCCGCTCTCTCTTGCCTCCTGCGCCCCCAGGTTGGGTTCAAGCTGGCCTTCAACTACCTGAAAGCCAAGCGCTTTGTGGAGGCCATCGATGTGTGCCACAAGGTCATCAAGGCCTTCCCGGACTACCCCAAGATCCGGAAGGAGATCCTGGAGAAGGCGCGCATGGGCCTCAAGCCGTGAGGGTGCGGGGGCGGGGGGGGGGGGCGCCCGGGCGGCCAGGCAGCCAGGCAGGCTGCTGGAGCCCTAGCTGGCACAGGAGGTGCTGACGAATGCATGCGGTTAACTGTGGTGGTGTATATGACGGGGGGGTTATGAACTGCTAGCGGGACGGGGTTGTTGCCTCCCTGGAATCTACCGTATGGGGCCGACGCTAGGCTAATGGCCGTTGTGATCTGCAGGGGAGCGAAGGCTTCACCATGTTGGGGGGCATTGCGGTCGCACCTGAACACGTTGCATTACTGTGGGCCTGCATTTCAAGCGCTGCATGCGTGGGTTGAGTCCGTGACTTGTGACCTTCTTGCAACGATTGCGAGCTGTGTAGTATGCGGGTAGTGAGCCAAGGATGCCTGTCGGGTGTTTGGTGCCAGGCTCAACAAGTGACCTGGGCGGTTCGGGCGTAAAGGTGTGACCACATTCGGACAATTCACAGAGCTTGGTGCCCACATCTCTAGCACTAATTAATACGGTAGGACCTGAATGACAGGGTGTATACCATAAGATAACGTATTCTGGCCTAGTTGGGACGACTACGAGATAGCGAACATTACTAGGTCAATGAACCCCTTTGGATCAAGCCGACGGACACATGCTAGTCCGATGGTCTTTTCTGGGTCAAGCCGAGCCCATTGTACGCGCCGCGTGTAATTGCTTAGCATGGTAACACCCTTGCGGCCATCACTGCATGGTCCTTGGGTCAGCAGCATTGTCTCCTCCCTGTCTACGGCTTGCATGGCGTACTGTGTGAATACTAATCATTTTGAGCCATCATAACATATGATGGCTCATAAATACATCGTAAGCGTTGCAGCGGTAGAGGATAGTATCTAGGGCAGAAGGCGACCGCATTGGCAAAAGCTGGTTGTCGGTCTGTCACACAACAATATTTCATTCGAGCGCGAATCTATGACATGTTCGATTTCATCCCTTAGTCTTCATCTTTCCGCATCTATGCACAACGTGCAGCCAGCAGAAGCGGTCTAGGTTGCCTCCAGCCATGCCCAGGCGGCACCGCTCACAAGGTGCTCGAGGTCAGGCGGGCAGCCGCCGCTCGGCCGCCGCCCCAGACCCGCTGCCTCCCCACATCCGGATCTGTTTTCAGCGGCTGCCTGGTGCTGTGGAGCGGCTGCTGGGGCCGCCGGCTAGCGCGAGCAGTGCTGCCCGGGCGCCAGCTGCAGGCCCGCAGCGGCAGCCGCTCCGCCCAAGATTCAGGAACGGGGCGTTGCAAGAGGTCACAGATTGCCTGGAAGACCTTATCCCTATTGGGACGATAAGAGAGATGAGGACGCAGCTCTAGCTGCTGCTTTTGCAAGCGATGAGTCATTTCGTTTCGCGCTGCTCCGGCTGGTGGTCACCTTTACTCGGCAGCAATACAATCCGCTGCAGCCAGCCACAAGCAACGAGGACATGCTGAAGAACCTAATTTTGGAGAAAGCTTGCATTCTGGTCAGGGTCTTGGTCGAATGCGCACGCCGCCACGACAACTGCATCGCTTCGGCCTTGGACCTCGCGACCAAGCTGCTGCGCTCGCACAGCCTGCAGGCCTGCAGTCTCCAGCTGGCTGCCCTTGCCCAGCCCCTGCAAGCTGCAGCAGTTGCGATATCGGAACAGCAGCAGCAGCAGCAGCAGCAGCGCCGACGCGAGCATGGCCAGCAACAAGTGCCGCTCCCTCAAGCAACGACTAGCACCCTTTTGACGGGAGTGGCGCTTGTATCAAACGCCACGTCTTTCATCGAGAGCTTTTCCTTCCTCACCCTCCGGCTGCTCGAAGGACCCACGGGTCAGCCGCAGCCGCAACAGCCCCTCCCGGCCGCCCACCTGGCCTTCATGTCGGAGTTCACGTCCAGCCTGCAGAGCTGTGCGGTGATGGAGCACACGGCTCGGGCGCTGCTGCTCCTGCTGACGACTGCTGATGTGGCGGGCCGCAACGGGGGTCGGGGTGTCGTTGGTGCGAAGGCGCTGTTCCTGTCCATGTACCGGAGCCTCCAGGCGCTGGCCGCCCTGTACGACACCGCTGGTGAAGTTCCGCGGTCCCAGCTGCGTACGGCGCTTTCCGGGCGCTGTGTACGGCATGCAGTGCTCGTGTACGGAGTTGCCTGCCTGCACGCGGCGGACGGCGGCCCGACGTATGGGCTGCCGCCGGAGGTGCTGCAGCGGGTGCCCGTGGAGGTTGAGACGGAGCGGAGCGACGTCCCCCGCTCTGGTGGCAGTGGTGGTGGGGTAGATGGGGGCGGTAGCAGCAGCGCCAGCGGTAGGAGGACTGGCGGTGTCGGCGTTGGCAGGTACAGCCAGGTCCGGGTGGTCAAGGCTGGCCCGCTGATGAGGGCTATGTTTGTTCTCAGCCCGGGTTTCGGAGACCCGCCGCCGGGCAGGCGAGCATCCCTGGCGCTGGCGATGCGCATGGGTCGGCTGGCGGTGGCGTCGGGGCAGTTCTGGGCCGGGCGGCTCGAGGCGTTGGCAACCTCATCGCCTAGCGGCAGCTCCAGCAGGAGTGGCTCTTCCTCTGCGACACAGCAGACCGCCGCCGCACCTGAGCCACTGCGGGCGGTGGTGCGGTGTGAGGATGTCCCGGAGCTGGCGGTGAATGCGCTTGCGCTCGCCGCAGACCAGCAGACCCGGCGGGTCGGTGGTGCCGGGTGGTGGGCGGAGGAGGCGGAGTGGTGGGGTCAGGGTGCTGCGGTAGTGCGTCACGTCCTGCAGGGAGCATCATCGGGTGACTTGCCTTCTGCATTACAGCCGAGGCTTGAAGCGCTGGCATTGGCTGTTCATGGTGAGGCGGAAGTGGTGGGGGCGGCGTCAGGAGACTGGGTGGGGCGCTGAGAGGGCCCCGCATGGGACCCTGGAAGGGGGCTGTAGGTGGGAGGGGGCGAACTTGTATCGACGCTATTCGCACCGTATGCGTTTTCCTCGGCCCATGCACTCGACAAGGCGCAGCCCAATAAGCGGCTGTTCAAGAGGCGCAGTCCCCGTGCTCGCAAGAGCTCTGCATTTGCTTTCCAAGATGAAGAACCTTGTTAAGAACCCATACACCCCTCGCGTACCTCCCATGCAGGCTCCTCCCCGCCCTCTTCCACCCTGCTGCGGGACCTGGCTGGCTCGCTGGCGCTCTGCCTGGAGTGGCTGCTGCGGCGGGGCGGGGAGGACACAGCGGGATCGGAGGCGGAGGTGGTGTCCTATCTGGTGGGGCTCTCCGAGAACATCGAGCCCACGGGGGTACCGGAGGCGGAGGTGCTGGCTGACCTTGCCCGTTGCGGCTCTCCTCTCGTGGCTCTGCTGTCCCTGATGTGGCGGCACGCCGATCCCCACCGACTGGCACCGCTGGTGGCGACGCTGGGCAAGTTGCTGTGCCGCATGGACCCATGGGTCGCGGATGGTCCGTGGACGCAGCAGGCATTCCAGGAGCGCGTCCTGGTGCTTATTGACGCCGCGTTTGCTGCTATGCACAACGCCTCGAGCGATCAGCCGGCAGGCAATGAGGGACCAACTGCAGCGCCGCGACCGCCGCCGCCGCCGCCGCCGCAGCAGCAGCAGCAGCAGGGGGTGTCGCAGCCTCCCGACATGCCGCCACGTGGAGCGCCGTCCCCGGCGCCTCCAGCAAGGGGCTCCTCCTCCGCCTCCATCCTCGACGGCAAGCTGCTCGGCGCATTCACGCTTGGCGAGCTCCTGCCAGCGCTGTCGCGGCTGGCCCTGAAGGGCTACTATACCCGCAAGGCCATGGGGCCTGCTGCAGCGGTGGCGGCGGCGACGGTGGCGGTAGTGCCGCCGCTGACGGCTGCTAATGAGGAAAGCAGCCAAGGATCTGCCTTAAGCAGCGACATTGAGGCTGCCTTGGCTTTGCTACTGGGCTGGATATCAGGGCTTCAATTCATGGACGACAGCAGCAGCGGCACCGAGGGCTGGCGGCAGCTGCTGCTGGCGGATGTGGATGTCGTACCTCTGCTAGGCGCCGCCATGCACCTCCTGCCGCTGTCATCTGACGCTTGGGTCCTGAGGAAGCTGCTTGAGAGCTGCGTCGCCGTCACTGTTGCCTTCCCGCAGCAGGTACGGCAGGCGGCGGCAGCGGCAGCCCAGGTGCCTGAGGTGCGCCCGTCCGCTGCATGCGCCCCGACGGCGGCTGGCGGCGGCGGCACTGCCGTACCCCGGGCTCCGCCAGCGCCGACCTGGCAGCCGGAGGCACTGCGAGCGCTGGCGGGGGCGCTGCGAGCGGCGGGAAGGCAGGATGCGGAGGACTGCGCAGGTGCAGCGGAGGACCTGGCGGATGTGCTGCAGCGATGGCGCGCCGGCGGAGGCGGAGGCGGCGGCGGCTCCGAGGATAGCTGTGACGAAGACCCGGCGCTCATGTCCCGTCTGGCCGCCTTCTTGCGGGGACTGCATGCCGGTGCTGCGCCGGGGGAGCTGGTGGAGCATCCTTCGCTGGCGGAGGCTCGCGACCAGCTGCTGCCTCGCCGCTGCGGCCACCCCGGCTGCGTCAACCTGGCGGGGGTGAGTGAGGCGGAGCTGCCGCTGCAGGCGTGCGGGCGGTGCGGAGGGGTGTGGTACTGCGGCCGGGAGTGCCAGATGGCACACTGGCGGGCGGGGCACCGGGAGCAGTGCGGCAGCGGGGGCAGGCGGCGGGCGGGGGCGGCAGGGGACACGTGAGGGGCCATGGCTGGGTGTTCGTGACGGCCTGGTGTTCATGACGACGGATGGGAAGGGGCTGGGACCCTGAGCACACATTGCCTTGCTGGCCCTCTGAAATGAAGAGCGCATGGGGCAGGGTGGGGCAGACGCTGTGACAGGGCCCGAAGGTATGGGCGGGCAGGGCGAGCAGTGTCCGGGACAAGTTGCAGGACGGGAGCATGAAGGTGTGTATGGAAGAGCCGGTGAACTTTCGGCGCGCGTACTGGTTTGTGTGTCAACGCTTTATTGCAACGCTTTTTAGATTTACGAAGGTGGCGTCAAGGGGCCGCGTTCGGGGTTGCCGGTACACGGTCAAGGGAGCTGAGGAGTGACCCACGGGTCGGTAGGGAGGATCAATTCCCTGGGCCGATGCAGCGCGATGATGTACGGCGCTGAATCGGCAGCATATGTAGGCTTGTGGCATGCACGATGAGAGGGTTTCGCTGGGACGGTTAGGGACGTGGATGAACGCGAATGGAGGGGCGTATGCGTGACTGCCGAAAGGGTCCACAGCATCCAGAAGGGAGGAGATGCGGTAAGCTGCAGTTCATGGCAAGCCAGGATTGTTCGGGGGTTAATTAGCGCTTTCTTCAGCTGTCTGGGACGTGATGCTTTGCAGGCTGCGCTAAAGCCCATATGCCAAGCTCTGTACATGTTATTTAGCGCATACCGGTGTTTCACATTAGGCAGCAAGTATGATGTACGACAGTAGGGTGGTGGCAGTGATAGCAAAAGTGGCGGGTGCTTGTGTGCAATTGCGAGCGCCTACCATGGGCAGCTGGAGGAGGCAGTCAGGGCTACAGCGCGGTGTGGTGTGTACATGTATCCAGTTCAGAGGTGGGGACGCAGCTCGTACATACACCCAAGGGTGAATCCCGTATATACACCCCAAGGGAACATGTAACCCACGCGTGCGTGTGTCCTGAGCTCCCCGCCCTCGTCCTCAACATCCGCCCTCGCTCCCGCCGCCCACAACGGAAGGGACGCTACCTGGGACTCAGGCCGCAGAGGGGCGCCATTCGAAAAGCCGCAAGACTCGCGATACATGCAGCACCGTCCATTCGGCTATTTGCTCCAGCCTGATGCCACAAGCAGCTCTACCCGTGCATCTGGTGAGTGTACAGTGCTACAGTGCTCGGGTAGTCGGCGCCGGGTAACAAACCCGTCCAGAATGGCCCCAGGAAGTGCGTGTGGTTTGTTGAGTGTGATGGGTGTACGAATGGGTGTACGACGGTGGGGTTATGGACTGCGGTCGGGACGGTGTTGAGGCCTTGATACCTCCGGAAATTGGTGTGAAAGCGGGCGCAAGGCTGAGGGCTGGTGTCACCTGCAGGGGGAGTGGAGGCTTCCGGCTCCTAAAGCGCATTGCATGCGGACTGTGAGCTGCACTGCATGGTTGGGTTGGGTTCTGGCCCCTTTGGGACCAGGAGCAAGCGAATGTCTCTTTAACATCTTTGGACAATTGGGACCCTTGCTAGGCCGATGGAGTTATCTGGGTCAAGCGAAGCCCACAGTACGCGCCGCACGTGCTTGCACAGAAGTCCAAAAGCTGCTATTACGGCATGGCCCTTGGATCAGTAATTAACATTGTCTCATTCTCCTCGTTGTTATAGCGCGATGTGAGTCCCCAAACTCATTCTGGAGCTCTTGTAAATCCACCATTATAAGAACATCCTAGTGTTGTAGCAGCGGACTGCAGCAGCAGGCGGCCGCGTTGGCGCGAAGCAGGCGGTTGGTCTTTCGTAATCTCGAGACGGGCGTTCTTTCAGCAGGCTACGTTTCATCCCTTAGTCTTCCTCTCCCCGCATCTATGCACAACGTGCAGCCAGCAGAAGCGGTCTAGGTCGCCTCCAGCCATGCCCAGGCAGCACCGCTCACAAGGTGCTCGAGATCAGGCGGGCAGCCGCCGCTCGGCCGCCGCCCCAGGCCCGCTGCCTCCCCACATCCGGACCTGCTTTCAGCAGCTGCCTGGCGCTGTGGAGCGGCTGCTGGGGCCGCCGGCTAGCGCGAGCAGTGCTGCCCGGGCGCCAGCTGCAGGCCCGCAGCCGCCTCGCCCAAGCTTCAGGAACGGGGCGTTGGAAGATGTCAACAATTGCCTACAAAACCTCCTTCGCTATCGGAAGGAAGTCGGAGTCCTCAGGGACGCAGCTCTAGCTGCTGCTTTTGCGACCGATGAGTCATTTCGGTACGCGCTGCTCCGGCTGGTGGTCACCTTCACCCGGCAGCAATACGATCTGCTGCAGCCAGCCCCACACAATGGCGAATTGTGGGTCACAGTTTCGGAGGGAGCCTGCTGTGTGGTCAGGGTCTTCACCCAATGCGTGGCCCACAGCAACAGCAGCATCGCTCCGGCCTTGGACCTGGCGACCAAGCTGCTGCGCTCGCACAGCCTGCAGGCCTGCAGTCGCCAGCTGGCTGCCCTTGCCCTGCCCCTGCAAGACGCGGCAGTTGCGAGATCGGAACAGCAGCAGCAGCAGCGGCAGGAGCAGCGCCGCCCACTCGAGCAGGGCCAGCAACAAGTGCCGCCCCCTCAAGCAACGACTAGCACCCTTTTGGCGGGAGTGGCGCTTGTATCACACGCCACGTCTCTCATCGACAGCTTTTCCTCCCTCAGCTTCCGGCTGCTCGGAGGACCCACGGGTCAGCCGCAACCGCAGCAGTCCCTCCCGGCCGCCCACCTCGCCTTCATGTCGGAGTTCGCGTCCAGCCTGCAGAGCAGTGCCGTGATGGAGCACACGGCTCGGGTGCTGCTGCTGCTGACGACTGCTGATGTGGCGGGCCGCAACGCCGTGGATGAGGGTGTCGATGTTGCGAAGGCGCTGTTCCTGTCCATGTACTGGAGCCTCCAGGCGCTGGCCGACCTGTACGACACCGCTGGTGAGGGACCGCTGGCTCAGCTGCGTACGATGCTTTCCGGGCGCTGTGTACGGCATGCAGTGCTCGTGTACGGAGTTGCCTGCCTGCACGCGGCGGACGGCGGCCCGACGTATGGGCTGCCGCCGGAGGTGCTGCAGCGGGTGCCCGTGGAGGTTGAGACGGAATGGAGCGCCAGCGGTGGGAGGACTGGCGGTGTCGGCGGTAGCAGCTACAGCCAGGTCCGGGTCGTCGATGTTGGCCCGCTGATGAAGGCTCTGTCTGTCCTGAGACCGGGTTTCGGAGACCCGCCGCCGGGCAGGAGAGCATCCCTGGCGCTGCTGATGCGCATGGGTCGCCTGGCGGTGGCGTCGGGGCAGTTCTGGGCCGGGCGGATCGAGGCATTGGCAACCCCGACACGCGGTGGCAGCTCCAACGGCGGTGGCGCTAGCTCTTCCTCTGCGACGCAGCAGACCGCCGCCGCACCTGAGCCGCTGCGGGCGGTGGTGCGGTGTGAGGATGCCCCGGAGCTGGCGGTGATGTCCCTTAAGATTGCCGGAGACCAGCAGACCCGGCGGGTCGGTGGTGCTGGGTGGTGGGCGGAGGAGGCGGAGTGGTGGGGTCTGGTGGATGGGGTGCTGCGGCACTGCATCAGGGGAGTGCAGGAGAGCGCCCAGGAGGTCTTGCTTAATGTATATCGCTGGAAGCTTGCCGAGCTAGGGCTGGCTGTTCATGGTAAGTCGCAGATGATGATGGGGAGGCGGTGTTGGCTGCTGACTCTTCAGGGCCAGGCATGCGGACCTTGAAGGGGTGTGAAGGGGTGTGGGTTGAGGGACCCAATGCGAAAGAGGGCGAATCTCTGTCATTCTCGCGTTTCCCTGGCCCCGTGTACACAGTAAGCGTAAGAAGCAGCTGTTCCAGAAGCAGTTGTTCCGGGGGGAATAGCGCAGTCCTCTTGTTTGGAGTGCTTTGCATTGGCCTTGCTGTCAAAGCGCACACCCCTCGCGTACCTTCCCTGCAGGCACCCTGCCCCCCCCCCCTCCCCCATGTGTGCCGCAGGCCTCAGCCCCGGGGTAGGGCCCACAAGCAGGCAGTTGTCCTAGAGGCATTAGCACAGTCCCCTCTCCTCCCAAGTGTTTCGCAATGGTGCTGCAAGATGAATCACCTTGCGGCTTGTGCGCACGCCACGCAGGTACCTTCCCTGCAGGCTCCCTGCCGCCGCCCTCCCCCCTGCTGCGGGACCTGGCTGGCTCGCTGGCGCTCTGCCTGGAGTGGCTGCTGCGGCGGGGCGGGGAGAACACGGGGGGACTAGAGGCGGAGGTGCTGATGAGGCCTGGTAGCCACTTCAAGGTGCTCCTCACGTCCCTGGTGGTGCCGTACGCCGAGTCGCGCCACACAGCCTCACTGGCAGCCACGCTGGGCAAGCTGCTGCTGCTGCTGCACGGGAGTGACCAGGGTGCCGCGTTTGCTGCCCGGGTCCGCGACCTGATGGATGGCCAGCCGGCGGAGGCTCGCGACCAGCTGCTGCCTCGCCGCTGCGGCCACCCCGGCTGCGTCAACCTGGCGGGGGTGAGTGAGGCGGAGCTGCCGCTGCGGGCGTGCGGGCGGTGCGGAGGGGTGTGGTACTGCGGCCGGGAGTGCCAGATGGCACACTGGCGGGCGGGGCACCGGGAGCAGTGCGGCAGCGGGGGCAGGCGGCGGGCGGGGGCGGCAGGGGACGGCTGAGGCGGCGGCTGCAGTAGCATGCACCTCGAGGGTGGTTGCATGGGTGCATGAGGGGTGGGGAAAGGTGTACGGTAGTGAGAGGAGCTGGATTGTTGCATGGGGCATGGCAGGCCCAAAAGGAAAGCGGGCCAGAGGGTTATGACGCCCTGTAGGCATGTTGCATGTAGGCCCCGTGGTGCCTCTTCCTACTCCTCTGGCATGCTATGGGTTGGGTGGCGACCAGTACGAGAAGCAGTCAACAGCCGTACGTCTACTGGAGGAAGCATTTTCCGCGTGCATCCAGTTGGTAGCAGTGTTTGCTGGCGCAGTGTGGGCTTGCCCGGGGTGTAGCATGTGTGGTAAGAATACTGGCCGCGAGTACGTACTGGGATGGCGGAAGCATGTGTGGATGCGGGCCATGCAAGTAACCCCGATTCTGTAAGCTACTAAAAGGCGTCACTGCAGTTGTCAGGATCGCAAGTACGGCAGCTTAAGCAATTGTCGACAAGCCGGCTGGATTTGTGCGTTATGAACCGACCAGGGGCGTCCGGACGTACGGAAAAGACGTGACACGACACACGAAAGAAGAACATTGCGCGGTGCAAGTTGCGTGTTGTGTATGCTCCAGTGTGTTGCGTTGCGCTGACGGAGGCGAGCGCGCATGCCTGTTCGGAAATGCCGTTGGGTTTTGCGGTTTCCGTTGCATGTATCATACGCCTAGGCAATGGACAGGGTACCCTTAGCCCCAGTAGCCTTCATGTTACCGTTGCTGGTTAATAAATGCCGATCTGGCAATCGGCAAGTGGTGTGATGTCCACAAAAGAGCATATGCCGTAGCATCTTTCCTGTACGACATTTACGCTTGCCGTACAGTAGCTCCGTACGGCATGACGCACATGTACCGGATCTGCATGTGCCGTACCTGCACTTCTCTTTGGGAGCATCGTGCATCTGCATGCAGTGGATGCTCGCTAAAGCTAAGGTGCGTTGCATACCGACATCCCAACAGGGCCTGGTTGGGGAAACCCGGCGGCTAGCTCCTCAGGACAGCTGCAGACAGTTCGATGGACTGACGGGGGGGAGGGTCCTGACGGGGCCTGGGGGAGAGGCAAGGGCTTCTAAGCGACAAGTAGGACGATAACAGGATAAGGTTATGATAAGAGTATACTTGTTCTCGTACGGTACCTCTTTCGCTATTTACAGCAGCGAATAGCGGGTGCACTCTTCACACCCTCCACCCGCCAATGAATTATCCATCCACCCACAGTAGGTCAACCATGGACGACACGACGCGAGCAAAACCTGCAACGCGAGAAACTTTCTTCGGCCAATGCTGTGCAGCTGAGCGCTTGCTCAGGACGCCAGAATGCCAGACATAAGTTTTTCCGCAACCTAACGCTACCCTTTCTCTCTCATGCATCTGCACGCGACTTCAGGGCAACTTCAGTGCAACTATAACTTTGGTGCCACTCCTGCTGCCCGCTGTAGCCGTATGTACCCCTTTGCCCATGACATGACAGACGAAAGGAATTGAGCACCCAACAGAATACAGAACACACCTCCACGCCAAAAGCATAGAATGCAGCTCCGGCTGTGTCTCCCATCCAACCTTCCGTCAATCCGCCAGGCACAGCACCAGCCTGTCTAAACCACATCACCACACCATACATCACGCGTCGGGATTAAACGAGTCAACTGTCATATCGCCGAGTTAGAACAGCCAGTCAATAGGAAACCGTCAACGTCAAGCCTCAACAAGGCCGCCGCCTCCTCCCAACCCGTCCAGCGGGGCCCTTGCCGCCACCATCCACACAAATTGCTGCTCATGCTTCAGCCTTACAGCACATAGTGCTCCTCAGCCCCACACCGCAGCCGCCGCTGCCGCATGCGCGCTCGCCCGCTGCTTCGTCGTCTAGTTGTACAGATCATCATCATCCGCGGCCGCGGCGCTCTGCGTGAACGCCGGCGCGGCGGCACCCGCTGCCGCTGCTGGCGCGGCACCCGCACCCGGGGCCCCCTCAGGGAAGCGGAAGTCCGAGCCGAATCCGCGGCTCTGCTGCAGCGTCTGCGCAAAGGCCTGGTACTTGCGGATGTCTGCGTCAGAGACGGAGCGGCGGGCGTACTTCATGGCCTCCTCAAAGTGCGCCTTGGTGATGCAAGGCACCGGGTCGGGCTCGTCCTCCATCATGGCATCCGGGTTCTCTGCTCGCCGCCGCTCGCGCTCGATGTTCTGTGTGTGCGGGGGAGACAAGAGTGTGTGTTGAGGGTGCGGTCAACAGGCGTCAGCATCGCGGCAGCAGGGCGGGTCAAGGGACGTACGTACGTACGGCTGCAAGTTAATCACCAGCAAGGTATACGGCAGCATAACAACCGAGATCCGGCTGCCTTTTTCCATGTTGGAAAAGCGGCTTAATTGCGGCTTAAACTCTTCTTGTACACGCAGGTCCAGGAGTAGTAAGCAAGCATGCGTTCCTTGCACCAACCAAGCCGCAACACCACTGCCATCTCGCCATGATGACGCCTCATCACACAGTCAGTTACTTGTTTCCCCTTTGCCCCCTCGCCACACGTACCTTCTCGATGTCCTCGCGAATGGCCGACTTGCAAGCGCGCTGGCAGATCTCGGTGATGTCAGCGCCCGAGAAGCCGTGCGTGAACTTGACGAGCGTGTCAAAGTCAACATCGGGCGCGATGGGCGACTTGCGCAGGCAGGCCTTGAAGATCTGCAGCCGCGAGCCCTCGTCGGGCAGCGGGATGTAGATGAGCTGGTCCAGGCGGCCGGGGCGCAGCAGCGCGGGGTCGATGATGTCGGGCCTGCAGAAGCAAAAGAGGTATGTCAGTGTTAACAAGCGTTAAGCGTAAACTAGAACACGCAGCGTGGACGGGACCCGCAGCACCGCGGCCCCCGATTGTTGGCGGTGCCCAGTCACCGCAGATATGCTGAAGCCATGCTGTAAGCCTTGTCACAAGGTCAACTTACACATAGCTTCCCCCCTTCCTTCCCTCCGCACCTGTTGGTGGCGCCGATGATGAACACCGTCTTCTTGCTGTTCATGCCGTCCATCTCCGTGAGCAGCTGGTTGAGCACACGGTCCGCCGCGCCGCCCGCATCACCCGCGCTGGAGCCGCGCTGTACGGCAATGGAGTCCAGCTCATCAAAGAACAGCACGCAGGGCGCAGAGCCGCGGGCCTTGTCAAAGATCTCGCGCACGTTGGCCTCGCTCTCTCCGAACCACATGGTGAGCAGCTCGGGGCCCTTGACGGAGATGAAGTTGGCCTGGCACTCGTTGGCGATGGCCTAGCGGGCAGAAGGAGAGGCGAGGCAAAGTAGCGGCGGGGCAGCAAGGATGTGTGGGTGGGTGGGTGGATGTGTGGAAACGGTGTTGGGAGACCGTTAGGAGGACAGTCCCATGCATTGGGTGACGGGCGAGCAGAAGCAGGAGTTGGCCTCGTGGCCCCGCATCCTTTCGTTCTTTCCTTTTGGAAGCTGGTAACTCTGGCAAGATAGCATACAACAGTTAAAACCACAGTCCGTCTGGCAATGGAAACCCCAGAGAGCCCAGCCCAGCCCAGCCCCACCTTGGCCAGCAGCGTCTTGCCGCAACCCGGGGGCCCGTAGAACAGCACACCCTTGGACGGCGACATCCCGAACTTCTCGAACTTCTCCGGGTGCTCCACCGGGTACTGGATGAGCTCCTGCAGCTCGCGCTTGACGCCCTCCAGACCGCCGATGGCGTCCCACGACACGTTGGGCACCTCCACCACCGTCTCGCGCAGCGCCGAGGGGTTGCTCATGCCCAGCGCCGTCTTGAAGTGGTCCTGCAGCCAGGAGGCACCAGCAGCAGCACACCCGCAAGCAGCACACCGGACGCGTTAGAGAGAGATGCACGAGGATGCGTTACACGCGTTGCGAATGCCTTTGCTAGTGTCCTCTCTCTGGCCCATACCCGGCTGGCATGCACTGTCCATGCCATTACACGTCCCGTCTCATCAGGGGCCCCCGCCCACCTCCCCAGCAGCACACAGTACACTGGGCGACAACAACTTTATCCCAGTATACAACAGCAGCAGCAGCAGCAACAGCAGTACAGCCCGCGCACTTCCGCTCTCCCCCACCTGCGTCACCGCCATGGAGTTGAGCACCTCGGCATCGATCTGCTCGTCCTCCAGATCGATCACATCCATCTTCTCGCGGATGCACTGCAGCGCCGCCTCCGTGCACAGCGCCGCCAGATCCGCGCCCACGTAGCCGTGCGTGTCGCGCGAGATGGCCTCCAGCGCCACGTCCTCATCCAGCTTCATGTTCTTGGTGTGGATGCTGGGGGGAGGGAGGGGAGCAACGACGCCACCAAGAGAAAGAGAGGGCGGAAGGGGGGGGAAGGGTAAAAAAACTAAAACTAAGGAACTGACGAAGGGTTGGGGGGTGGGCAAAGGCAGCGCAGCTGAGGTAGTAGTGTTGCAGCTACCGGCAGAAGACCGACGGGAGCGGATTGGGGGGTGCTGAATAGGAGGCAAGCTGGCGTAGTAAAATGTGGCAAACGGCATGGCGGGGCGTCTGCTTAGGAAGATAGGCACAGCAAGGCGGCACAGCAAGGCGGCGCAGCAAGGAAACAAGTGAGAAGCTGAGCACCACTGTACCCCCCCCCATTACAGACACCTGCTGCCGTACACACTCACCGCAGCACCTCCAGACGACCCGTCTCATCCGGCACGCCAATGTCGATCTCGCGGTCGAAGCGACCGAAGCGGCGCAGCGCAGCGTCAATGGAGTTGGGTCGGTTGGTGGCGGCGATCACGATCACATGCGCGCGGCTCTTCAGGCCGTCCATAAGCGTCAGCAGCTGTGACACGATGCGGCGCTCCACCTCGCCCTGCGTCTTCTCGCGCTTGGGGGCGATGGAGTCAACCTCATCGATGAAGATGATGGAGGGCGCGTTCTTCTCCGCCTCTTGGAAGACCTGGTGGGCGGGGGCGGGTGGGTGGGGTGGGGGGCCGTGAAGCTGCAGGCCAGCCAATGTTCGCAGCTGACAAGGCAGGCGTGCGGCGCGTAACCCGGTAAAACTCATGTGGTGCGAGCACCTGGTGCGAGTGATCCTTTTCCTCTCACTCGTAATGGTTATCTTCGTCATAACCTCGAAATCCCACGCACCACCCCCCATCCAGGCCACAGCTGTGTTGCTGTGGACTCTTCTACCCGGCATGCTAGCATGCCCCATGCAGCCATGCTGACTCTCCACATCACACGCACCTTGCGCAGGTTGCTCTCCGACTCTCCCGCCAGCTTGGACATGATCTCGGGGCCGTTGACCACGACGAAGAACGCGCCCGTCTCGTTGGCCACGGCGCGCGCAATCAGCGTCTTGCCGCTGCCGGGGGGGCCTGGGGGGACGAGGGAGGAGACAGGGCGGCACAAGCGGTTGGGAACGACAGTACTCCAGGGAGGCAACAAGCGGTACTGCATTCAGGTACTTGGGCATTTGGGTCTCGATGCAGAATGCCATGCACATCGACCAACGTCAGCGCGGTCAGCCGTCCCCTTGTACATACACAGTGTGCCTTTTCACAAGGCACATACTACACCACAAGGGATGCCCATGTGGCTCATTTCAACCCAGGTCCCCATGCTCGCGTCGCCGGGACAAGAACCTCCTCCCCTGGTGTTGCGCCCTACCGGCCCACCAGCCCACCACCGTGCAGCCGTACCCACCGTACAGCAGAATACCCTTGGGCGGCTTCACGCCGATGGTCTTGAACAGCTGCGGGTGCCGCAGCGGCAGCTCCACCAGCTCGCGGATCTGCGCCAGCTGCTTGCGCACACCGCCGATGTCATCATAGCCCACCTGCAGGGCAGCCAGTGTCGGCAGGCCCCAGGCACAGCCCCGGTCAGTACGAATCTGGCTGCTCGTTTCCTCTTTTAGGTTGTGTTAGCATCCAGAAGGACTATGTTTCGTTCACATGCATTTGCCGCCAAGCGGCAAATGTGTGACCTGGGCTCGAGTGATGTTAGGGAAGCGCATATGCCACAGAACAAGGAGGACAAACACCCATGTCAGACGTAACCCATACAAACTACGATTGCTTTATACGCCAAATGTTGCGGCGAGTAACCTGTTTTGCAATCGTACAGAGAAATTCCAGATCATGATTCCTGTCTGCCATCATGAATGCCAATACTCCACCTGCTATCCCGCCTAAACCACTGCAACCACAGAGACCTCCTACCCTCATCTGTGGTCTCCAAGACTGCCCACCTGCCCATCCCCAATACCACCCCCCTCCCATCCCCCCAGGTGGGCTACCCTACCTCATCCAGCCTCTCCTCGTCCTCGCGCTTGATGGGCTCTCCCTCGCAGAAGATCTCCGTGTCGGGCGCCACGATGCAGTACTCCGCGGGGTCGGTCTCCACCACCTTGAACTCCACGCTGCGCATGCCGCCGCGGGCCAGGAAGGTGTCACCCTGGGGGGGGGAGGGACAAGGACCATAGGACCATACCATAGGAAACCATAGGTTAGGGCAAAGCAATGGGGATAGGAGGTGGGGGACAAGGAGGTGCGTGTGAGTTGTGTGTTGGAGGGGGGTTCCTTCCGTACCGAAACATTGGCAGGTTGGAACGTTAAGACACATGCAGGTGTAAGAGGTAAGAGTGTTTCGGGTGCTAGCTGGAAGCTGTGCTGCTGCACTGCTGTTCTCCCCACACCATGATGATGCACTTGACACCCTTTGATACGCGCAACGTGTTGAGCATGCCAGCTCGTGCTTGATGCGAGCTGGCTTAAACCCTACCCCCGACAAACAAGTTGGGATGTGTACAGTACTGAGGAGACCAGGGTTGACCCAGGGGTCGTGTGGACCCCACGCCAATCCCCACGGATGATTGCTCGCATGCGCTTCAAAATTCAAACCCATACACGTGGGAATTAGCTTGGAGTGTTGAACTGTACACGCACCTTGCGCACTGGCCTGTACGCCTCCAGGAAGTAAGGCTTCAGGTAGGCGTCGAAGAGGTTGCCAGTGATGCCCTCAATGGTATCATCGATGGGCAGCACGTGAATGCGCTTGCCGTACTTCACGTCCGTGCACTGTGGTGGTAGTTGAACCCGGACAGAGGGGCGTGGTTAGGGCGGCGGTGACGCTGGGCGTGTGCGGTTTCGAAGCAGTTCAACACCCCTGGGACAAGGAATGTGTTTGGGGCGTCCTACCTGGTGGACGGAGACAATGTCCGCAAGGCGGACACGCAAGTTCTTGCGGACCACCTTGTTCATGCGAATCTTGTTCTCCTCAACAGTCTCATCCGACAACACAATGCAGACTGTGTCCTTCCGCTTCTTGCCCTGCAGGGTCACCAAACTTCCATATTACCCGTTGCTGCAGTCCTTCAGGATAAGGCAGCCAACGTGCCTTCAGCAGGACGGTATCGCCGCGGAAAAGCTGCAGCTTCTCCATCGTCTTCGGATGCAACGCGCACACCGAGTTGTCGTCATTGACAGACTCTTCCACAATAAGACGGTTTGGACTCTTCTTGCGCTCCAGAATGGCTGTGCTGAAGTCCTTCTTATCCTTCTTCCTGCGGCCAGATTGGGCAGGACGTGTTGCCGCCCAGATCTAGGGTCTTCGCACGGAGCCGTCACCTCAACGGGCATGATCCTACCCAGCATCAGATGGTCCGGCCTCAGCCATTGTGAAAGTAACTAATCGAAGGTGAGAGGTGTGGAGACGGTTGGGTCACAAGGAGACGGTAAGACCACTGTGTACGCGGATACAAGCTTCCAGCAATTGTCACTACCTCAGGAAGCTGTAAGCACTTTGCTGTGTGGAAGGCTGGTATATGAGGTGCATTAGGAGAGGCGCCGTACGCCCTGCGCTTCACGTCTTGCCTCGCCTGCTCGCCTTTTCAATGCATTTGTCAGCCGAGTGCAGTTAAGCTTATTTACCATTTCCTCATAACTGCCTCATCTCAGAAGCGCTTAGAGTACAAGTCATTCCATGGCGAACGCTAACTGTAAGCGCTTGCCGGTATTGGCGCACACTGCACGTTTTATGCACAAAATTTGTGAGCGTTTTTATGCTGGGTAGTCTCGGGGCGCTGAAACGGGAATGCGTGTTGCCTGCATGTCGCTATGGTTGAAGCGATCATGGCTTTTGACTGATTACATGGGATCATTGGGATAATGAAGCTCGGTCTGCAGCTATCCCCTTTGCGCCATAAATAGTACCTTGCAACACATGTATTGCGTAGACCCAAGGGTCTCCCTTTCCCGGAACGCGCCGGGGAAACAGGGGCTAAGGTTTACGTGTACTCTTTCGGTTCTTGTACGGGGACAAACCCTTTGGGTCGACTGTAGCTCCTCTGAACACCTTGCATGGCTAAGTGGCAGTTACAGTGATGTGCCAGTGACAATGGCCATAGTCTTGACATCATCCTATTGCGTTGTGCGTAGTAGCGATCTTGCTATGCCACTGCGTGAATGGTGTAACTCCTTTGCCTGATCACAGCACCATCACGTAGAACATTGAGAAGACGTGGTTGCCCTGTTTGCTACGGTACCGGTGCAAGCCTATCGTGTGGGCCGCCCGACAGCGGAAGCATATATAGTGACATGCATTACTATCTGCTCGTGCGTACAGCTAGAACGTGGTACCAAACCAAGCAGCATGTACCGGCATAGCAGGAACGGTAGGACTGTGTACCGAAATATCTTCCCGGGGTCGTCCCCCAAATAGTATTCGGTACAATCACATCAGAACAACCGGACGTTGTGGTCTAACCGCTGCGCCACAACATCGTTCAGCAGCAGGGTTGGCACCGATCAACAGAAGGTTGCCACTTGCCACTTGACGGTGCCACATGGTGAGGACATGACCCTGCAGCAAACCATACTAGCATGGACGTGTCCTTCTTTGTATGGAACTCTCCAGTTGGGGTGCTTATATGCAACAACACTAGCTCTGCAGGCATTCCTTTAGGGGGCGTCGATTGGCGTCGGCAGCGGGTCGGCATGTCTTGACAGCTGGACCATTCAGAATGAAGCTAGTCCAGTAAACCCACCATATCGATTAATGCAGTAAATCTTACTTGCGGAAGATGCAAAGGAAACCTGAGAAGCACGCGTTGCTTTTATGGTATGTGGGTCAGCAGCGATAGAGGTGTTGGGGCCAGTTGAGGCAAAGGATAACGGAGTTGGCATAATAAAACAAGCATGGCTTGCACCTGTTGTGGGTTATGCGCAACAGGTTAGATGTCCTACTGATTCGAGGCATGCAACATTTGCCCGTATCAGCCGGATCCAGACTGTCGTCCACACCAGTTGCTACTTTAAAGCCGCTGAACACCTCTATTCGATACTCTTTGCCAACCGAATATATTGAGAAATAGGTTGCACCTCCTCTACAGACGTGAGGCCTCGTTGGACAGCGTCGATCTTTGCGACATTTTTCTTCCCCAAGAGCACAACAGCTAACGGATTAGGAAAATGAAGATTGCTTGCATCGGTGCTGGATATGTGGGCGGCCCTACCATGGCCAGTAAGTCAAGCCTCAATCTGAGGCATGCGCTGGCAGTTGCGCAGCTGCATAACGGCTAGTGGGACCGACTTGCTTCACCTAGGGAGCTCACCTGGTTATCGAGGCCCTTTGCTGTGCTATGGCTCGTAGACTTTAGACTCTGGGTTATGGTGATGTGATTAGAGCGCAAACGCGGCCTAGCCAAAGAAGCTATCCGTGGTGATAGGCTTAGAATTAGCCTCGGGCGTAACATTTTGCTAGCGGCTTTCATCTCTGACGGAAGACGGTACTTGCACTTTTCGTTTTCTTCATCGTGACCATGCCCTACCCTTCCGTGTCCCCATTTGCAACTGGTTGCAACAGTGGTGGCGCTGAAGTGCCCCGAGATCGAGGTAGGCAGATAAAGTATTCAGGCATTCAGCTAAACTCACCTACGCCTTTGCTGTTGCATCTGAGCCAAGCCATTTTCCACTTCCATGCAGGTGGTCGTCGTGGACATTAACGAGGAGCGCATCAAGGCCTGGAACAGCGACAAGCTGCCCAGTAAGTGGGTGGTGCGCCGTACTTCCGCCCAGTGCCCAGTGCCTCAAGTCTTAGGTGTCTTTTCCTCCCGCAGTCTACGAGCCGGGCTTGCTCGAGGTGGTGAAGGAGTGCCGTGGCCGCAACCTTTTCTTCTCCACGGACACCAGGAAACACATCGGCGAGGCCGATATCATCTTCGTGAGGTACGACACAGCCAGTTTTGGGTTGGAAGCTGTTTGCCGCTGGGTTCCCTCCGGGTAGCAGGCTTGGATTAACCTTTTACGTCTGTTTCGCGTACAGCGTCAACACCCCCACGAAGACAAACGGCATTGGCGCTGGCAAGGCCGCCGACCTTACGTACTGGGAGGGTGCTGCCCGCATGATTGCTTCCGTCTCCACCAGCAGCAAGATCGTGGTGGAGAAGTCCACGGTGCCCGTCAAGACCGCTGAGGCCATTGGCAAGGTAAGACTTTTACGACTCCGTCTGGTGTGTCTGTGCCTGGACTGTAGCTACGCTTGAGCCGCATGCCTGTACTAGTCGTTGACATAGTACCTTGCTTAGCAAGGTAGCCTCTGCCGCCCCTATTCGGAGCGTTGAGTTGAATTCCGTTATGCCATAATCCCTGCAGGTGCTGCGGCGCAACTGCTCGGACCCCAACGTGAACTTCGAGATTTTGTCGAACCCCGAGTTCCTGGCTGAGGGGACTGCCATTGAGGACCTGCGCAACCCCGACCGCGTAAGTCTGCCATGATAGCGTTACGATAGTGCACGCCGGGGCTCCATGTCCGTGTAACCTGCTGACGCCCAGTGCACGCCGGGGCTCCATGTCCGTGTAACCTGCTGACGCCCACTGATGGTTCCTGCTGCGCAGGTCCTGATTGGTGGCGCCGACACTGAGACCGGCCGCAAGGCCATTGAGACGCTGGTCTCGGTCTACGCTCACTGGATCCCGCGTGAGCGCATCCTGACCGCCAACCTCTGGTCGGCTGAGCTGGCCAAGCTGACCGCCAACGCCTTCTTGGCTCAGCGCATCTCGTCCATCAACGCAATCTCGGCGCTGTGCGAGGCCACCGGTGCGGATGTGCAGCAGGTGGCGCACGCCATCGGCACGGATAGCCGCATTGGCAGCAAGTTCCTGAACGCCTCCGTGGGCTTTGGTGGCTCGTGCTTCCAGAAAGATATCCTCAACTTGTGCTACGTGTGCGAGTCGGTCGGCCTGAAGGAGGTGGCTGAGTACTGGTAAGTGAAGCCCTAGCTGCGGGTGCCGATGGGCAGAACATGTTTGATGAAGCCTTGTGAATACAAAGGGTATTTTTCACACAGGTTTGGGCTGGGCACGATGTGGTTGGCAATCCTAGACGGCGTCCATGCATCATTGCTTCCGCTGCATGAAGTCGTATTTCTATTCCTCGCTTTGCCCGCCTTAGGTACCAGGTGGTGTCGATGAACGACTACCAGAAGCAGCGCTTTGTGGAGCGCGTCATCAGCGCCATGTTCAACACCGTGTCCCAAAAGAAGATTGCCATCTACGGCTTTGCCTTCAAGAAGGACACCGGCGACACCCGCGAGACGCCCGCCATTGATGTGTGCAAGGGTCTGATCCGCGATGGTGCCAAGTGCTGCATCTACGACCCGGAGGTGACGCCGGAGCAGATGTTCCGCGACCTGTCCACGCCCAAGTTCGAGTGGGACCGCCCCAACTACAGCCGCTCGGCGAGCCACATGATGGACAATGTGCAGGTGGTATCGGACCCCGCCGCCGCTGCGGACGGCGCGCACGCAATTTGCGTGCTGACCGAGTGGGACGAGTTCAAGACGTACGACTACCAGGCCATGTACGACAAGATGGTGAAGCCCGCCTTCATCTTTGACGGCCGCAACATCCTGGACCACGCCAAGCTCCGCGACATTGGCTTCATCGTGTACGCGCTGGGCAAGCCGCTGGACGCCTTCCTGCAGAAGAACTACGCCTAAACCGTGCTGACATGTACGGCATACGGAAGACATGCGAATGCAGGCTGTGCTTTTTGATGCGGGTTGGGTGTGGGTTTGCTTGGCCAGGACTACGTCCTTGCGTTGGGTTTGCTTGCTTGTCTAGGCCTTTATAGCTGAGGGCCTGGCGTTTGAAGGTCGGAGGCAGTGCGCGGGATGCATGATGCTGCTGATATTTATTATGCACCTGACGTGTGGGCGCGATCACGTGTGAACAAGCTCTTCTTTCTTAAGCTTTGTCCTAGTATCGTATTGTGACAGTAGCCTCGGACCATTATCTTGGCAGAGGTCCTGGGACGTGCCTTGTAGAACGTCGCCAGAAAGAATCACCCGTAGGACAGGATGGACTATTGCCGTATGAGTCATCTGTACATACGCATACTGCCTATTCAAATGGCTGCGAGTAACCACCATTGGTCCTTGTCAATTGTAACTATTATGACATGCGGCGCAGTACCCGCCCTTCATTTGGCTTGCAACGTCCTCCAATACCCCCAAACAGTCGAACGGCCTGCAGGTATGCTAATGCTAATTGGGTGTACGTGGCGACCAACGCATGTTCCTATGCGTGATTCATATACGGTAAACATATGAAGGGTTTTGTGCACTGGATACTTGAGGACAGGGCAGCAACATGGTTAAACCTTCCCAGCATCACCTCTCGCAGCAGCATTCTTAACTGCCAAAAATACAGAACGCTTGCCCGTTAGTCCGTGCCATTCAGGTTCCAGTCGTACTCTTTGTACGACACGCGAATGTCGCCCACACCCGATTTGGCCTCCTGCAGCAACGCCAGTAGGTCCTCCCGCGCACATTCTGGTAGGAAACCCGCCAAGTACGACAAGCGCTCCAGCTTGTTTGACCCAAAGTCAATGGCGTACCACTGCAGGGGAAAAGCGCATAAAGCGGGTCACATCTAATCGCATACCTAGATTACCAGCCGGTCTGTGCGTCCATGCACGGGAGCAGCGACTTGTACCGGTATACAGTTGCAATCCAACACGGCAGTAGCCTTAACGGTTACCTCGCGCCCTGGCCTCCCTTCCCCGCCCCCCACTCATGACCCCCACCCCCACCACCCAGGGCACCTTGAAGATCTTGGACAGCCGCACCTCCCGTGCCGCGCGGTCCACCTGCACCTCCGTGGCGCAGAAGGCCTCCGCCGCCGCCGCCAGCCCCTCCTCCAAGTTGGCCGCCGAGTAGAGCTTGATGGGCGGGCAGGAGCGCGCGCCGCACACCAGCGCAAAGTGGATGCGCGGATCTATGGGCGATACCACCTGCGAAACGGTGTATGCAGCCACGTTACCATCCGCCCCACATGCAGCCAACACGTCATTTGGATACCAGTATCAGCAAAGTGCCTCAGCCTAGCAATACCGACCCCGGATGTAAACCCTCAACATGTTTGTTTTCTATTTTACGCTTCCCCAATACCCCCTGTTCCGTCCACATTCTCCCGCCTCCTGCCGCACCTTGCGCGCCCGCGGGTCCCCCCTGCTGAAGTGGCCCCCGGCCAGCTGGGGCAGCCCCAGCAGGCTCAGCAGGTGGGTGGCGCCGGCGCGGTTGCCCCGCAGCACCCCTTGCTCCAGGTCGTCAGCGCTGAAGTCAAGACCGCCTGGGGTTGGGGAAATGGGGAAGGGGAGGGTCGAATGGCAGCTGACGTTCTTGGTGTTTGGGTTTCCATGGGTGTAGGCTGAAAGCGCACAGGCCGTGGAGAACAGGTTACACCTTAACAGCAGCCTTGCCTAACCACTTCCCATGTGTTGGTTGCCACGACTCACCGATGTTGTACTTGGCAGTGCGCGAGAAGAAGGTGGAGCGCTGGGCAGCCGTCATGCGCGTGAGGCCCAGCGCCACCAGTGCGTGGATGATGAGCGCGTTGTAGAGGTTGATGGCGAAGGCAATGAGCTCCTCTCGGGACAGGGGGGCTAGGTCCACCTGGGGAGGGAGGAAGGGAAAGCATGGGGATGGAAGGAGGAATGGGTGTAGCCCGGAATGGGAGGTGGGCGGGTGCAAAGGGAGAGATGGTTTAGGTTTTTGGTAGCGTGTGCATAGGCCTCGCTTTCGTCCCTCCTGATCTCCAATTCCGTTCACCCTCCTAACCGCTGCCATTTCCCCGCCCCCTCCCCCGCCCCCGCCCGACCTGCTGCAGCTCCGCAGTGGCAGCGACGAAGGCGGCGAACCGTGGGTCACTGCGCAGCGCACCGTAGCTCACGGACCGGCCGTCGGGACTGAGGTGTGTGGCGTACAGCTCTAGGATGAGCTGCCGCAGACTTGCGGCCACCTGCGGGCATGCCGAGTTAGACAGGCCGGGGGGGCTTTTGCCGGCAGCGGCTGCACTACAAAGACGTCCCGACGCAGTCCGGGCAGAGGCGCCGGCACAGGAGGCAAAAGCAAGTCGTTGCAAGCACCGTATACTCGTGTTATTGGGAAGGATGTTTGGCATCTATCCCGTAACTGTCGCTTGCCCGCCAATCCTAACCCCTCCATGCTTCATCTGACTTCTGCATCTGCAGCTTCCCACTGCATGTGACCTTTCCATCCCCCCTCACCTCTGACGCCGGCCTAGCAGGCCCCTGCCACCAGTACTGCGTGTTCAGCGCCTCGCCAGCAGCCGGCCGCGGAGCCTCCGACACCAGCGCCAACAGCACTCCCTCCTCCGCTAAACCCCCCTTCCCAGCCGCGGCTGCCACCTTCGTCGCCGCCGCCGCCGCTGCCGTACAATCCGCTGCCGCCGGCGTGATTAGGTTCGCCGCCAGCAGCTGTGCAGCGGTGGCGGGCGGGTCGGGGTCGGCCGCCTCCGCCGCCAGCCACTGCCGCAGCTGAGCTAGGGAGAAGACTCGGAAGGTACGGCTCCTGACCCATCGAAAACAACACAAGCCAGTGTTGTTAACACGCGCAGCCAGATGGTTGAGGCACAGGGTCCGCGACACGCACATGCAAGCGACAACTGGCCCCACACCTCCCATGCGTATTATCGCCCATAAGCTCTTAGCGCCATAAAGGAACACCACGATGCTGCAGCAAAGTGTGTACAGTCCCGATGTATCCAGTTCGCCCATCTTACGGTAGTACCGGTATCTCCCGGGTTGGATGGGCAGGTTTCCAAGTGTTTACCCCCCCTTCCCACCCGCTTTACTCACCCCTATCCGCGCCTTCCTCCCCGAGTACCTTTTTCTCTCGCACATCCGAGAGCCCGAACGCACCCAGCACCCACCCTATTTTCCGCTCCTCCCGCGGTATTCCGCCCTCTCGAGGCTCCCGAGCCATCCCAGCTGCAAGCTCCCGCAGGCGCCGACTGGCGGCGGTGGAGGTTCCGGCAGCAGCGGCAGACACATCCTGCGGTTGAGCATGAGAATGTCAAGGGAGCATTGCACCGGTGGGCCATGCTTGCCGAGCTGCTGTACTGGGCTGCTGGGGCTTTAGGGTTGCAACCCAGGCATCAGCGCATTTGCAGTTCATGCCCCACCTGTGCTTGCACGGCTCGCTGCTGTGCAGCCTGGATTGCGGCTAGCAGCTCGGGCGGTACGGCAAATCCGGATCCAGATCCAATTTTATCGCCCGACGCTTCCGCTTCCGCTGCAGCTGGTGCGGATGCCTCGGCTAGGTGCTGCTGGAAGGATCCATCGGCTAGCTGAGCTAGCAAGTCGTCACAGCCGCCAATGCTGCGGCCCCCCACGAATATCTGGCATGGGTGGGGTTACAGAAACAATTGGGAAATAACAGGAATGGGAATAACAGGGCCATGCCCGGGCGCAATTAATAGGCCAATAGGGATGCGGTTGAAGGTCAGGGCGTAGCGGTCGGGAGTTAGGGGAAAACGGCGGGTGACATCCGCACCTGAGGAACAGTGCGCTTTCCGGTCAGCTCGCGGACTGTTTGCCGTAGCGCCTCATCCGCCCCAATATTTACGTCCACAAAAGCAATACCGGCAGAAGTCAGAGCCTCCTTAGCGCGCTTGCAGTAGGGGCAGGCAGGTGTGGACATCACAGCCACGCGCGCAGTGCGCACATCAGCGTCATCGACCTCGGCAGCAGCATGGCCGTAGACCAGCCCGGCGCCCATAGCTGAGGCTCCGATGGCCGCCAAAGCGACTCTAAGCGGTGTGCGTTTAAGGGTATCTGCGGACGAGCCGCTCAGTCTGGAGGTTGCGTATGCTTGCCGGACGCAGCGGGTAACGGCAGGGCCCACGGCAGAAATGTGCACGCCCCGGTGCAAGCCTAACCGCATCAACGTTCGACTACTTGCGACGTTCATAAAAGTTGCTTAGGCAGGTACTTGACCTCAGCGCGCGCTCAGTGGTGACTGTAACAAGGATGGTGAGACCGTGCCGTCCCTGCAAACCGGTGCGAATATGCTCGAAAATGCGTACTGTTAAAACACGCCCTATACCAATAGACTTCGTAAGTAGGTTTGCTGGTTGGTTGCCTGGGCTTCCAATGGCCTTAACTTCTCAACCGCTCAGCACCACATCCCCATGCATACAAGGGCAATCCGTGCAAATGCATTCTTTGAAGTATGCACATTTACTATTAGTACCTTGTATTAACTGCAATTGTCTTAACCTTACCTTCGAGAGGATGGAATGAATTCGGGGTGCGCTTTGTAGACTTGAATTGGGTCACCCAGGTGGACAACGGCAATTGACCCACACAATATACATGTTGTAAAAATGCGGGCGGCTTGCGGCCTACACGCGGACTGCCAGCGGCTGAGCTTCGGCGGCCGAATTCTTCGGCCGCTGTGCGCTGCGCCTGCCGCAGTGCATCCTGGCAACAAACAGCCTTTGTTAGCAACCTCTCAGGAGCAATTGCAGCGTTCGCTTGACCTGGGGCCGGCTGTCAAGCAGGCGCCGGACTTTGAATACGTGGCCGTTGCCTTCCGGTCGCAGCAGCGGCCCAAGCGCAGCAATGTACAGCGACGACCTCCCCGCAAGGATGCACCTGAGGGCAGTGGTGCATGCCGCAAAATATTCGGCGAGGATACTGGTAGCGGCTACCGCACACTAGAGATGGTGTCGGGTGACAAGAGGCTGCTCTTTGAAGACAAGAACATGTCCAGCGAGCCACAGGGCAACACAGGAGCTGCTACAGACGCTGCATCGCCGTCAGACGCGGCAGAGAAGGAAAGCCGTCCTCAACCTGCCAGGGGCAGCGGTAGCAACTCAGCTGATGTCGGTCCCTCGAAAGCCAGGCGGCATACCGCTAACCCAGGTTGCCATTCAGCAGTGCCACAGCGGGCGATCCAAAACGCACACGCTGCCCGACCCCCTCAGCCCCCGCAGCAGCGCCAACGCAGCAGCAGCAGCGGCGACAGGGCAGCCTCCCCAACAGCTGTCGCCCCCACGCCTCCGACCGTTGCCACTGTTACTGCCGTGACCAAGACCGCCTCCAAGCCAGTGTCACCGCCGCGGCCCCGGCCCCCTGCCGCCCCGCCAGCAGCAGCCCCGGAGGCTCAGGCAGGGCCCCGGCCGCCAACAGGGCCCCAGCCGCTGCGCCCCCCTCCGGCACGGCCCGTGCCTGTACCCGCACCATCCGCCGCCCCCGTCTCGCCAGCCCTGGCCACCTCCTCGGTAGCTCTGCCCCGCACGGCAAGCGCAGCAGCAGCAGCACCGTCACCCCGCCCCGCCGCCACCAGCCAGAGCCCTCGCCACCCTAACTACCAACTCCGCATCCGGGTCAGCCAGCCTGCTGCCCGCCATTCCTCTCTCCACCGCCGCGACGGTCGCTCTCAGCCCCCCGCCGCCCCTACCGATTCCGCCACCTCTCCCGCCGGCCATCAACCTCCCCATAGCAACCCTGGCAGCAGCCCGAGCCCAAGTTCTAGGCACGGCAGCCAGCAGCGTATCGTCCATTGGTGCAGTCGCCGGGGCCTCTACGTCGAGGCCGCCGCTTCCGTACTGCTTCACATGTCCCGTTATGAGCTCCGGAGCCACCGGGCCCTATACGCGGAGCTGAGGGCCTTACAACCCAGCCCTGAGGAGGCGCTGCCGCATCTCGCCGCCGTACTGGCGGGAGATCTCGGTCTGACGCCGCTGCAGCTACGTGCCGTACTGGTAGGACAGCCGCTCGTACTGCGCGTGCCGCCGCTAAAGCTAGCAGCGCGTGGCGCGGCGCTGGCGGCGGCGCTGGGGCTGCCGCCGCCGTCGGGGCCTGGCGTTGGCGACGGCGACTGTGACGGAGGAGAGGGAGGAGAAGAAGGGGGTGGGGGACAACTGGCTGCAATCATTGCTGCTGCACCTGATGTGTTAACGTGTCGTAACGGCTATGACGCTACCTGCGGCGCGCTAACGTCGGCATTGCGGATGCCGCCGGGTCACGCGCGCGCGTTGTTGCTACGTGAGCCGCGGCTGCTGTGTCGCCCGCCGGGGCTCTTCCATCAGTCTTTACGACAACTTCAGCAGCAGCTGGGACTGCCGCCGCCGGCCGCCGCCGCCATGGCGGTATCGGAGCCGCTGCTCCTCGTGGTCTCACCCGGGGTGCTTCGAGCCAATGGCGTCATGCTTCGGAAGCAGCTGCAGCTCACGCCGCCGCAGCTGGCCGCAGTGGTGTCCCACCTGCCAGAGCTGCTGGCGCGTCCTCATGGGGTCCTGCGGGAGGTTGTGTGGCGGCTGACGGCGTGCCTGATGCACTCCAAAGTGTGGCAGGGGCACATATCGAAGCTGCTGGACTCGCCACGCAATGTGGCGGTTGCGCTGTCGTTCGGCAGTGACCGTTACGAGCGGTTGGAGTATTTGTTGAAGACGGGTCGGGATGGTGTGATGGGCTTCAAGGATGCACTGTCGATGGAGGTGGAGGAGTTTGGGGAGGTATTTCCGGAGTATGACGGCTGGCGGCGCGCGGGGGGCCGGTGAACGGGTGGACGGGTTTGCGGACGGGTTTTACCATTGTTCTTCCTCCGCAATACCAGTACTGCAGTGTGAGGGTGTGCCATTAGAGTTTTTTGGAATTGCCGTATCGGGTAGAGCGTTGCTTTGTTTTTGGTTTCATAGCAAAGGCGTTCTTGGCTAGTGCTGGTGATAATCGAAGAGAACTTGTGGCGGAGGGGTGATGCAGCTTGCACGGTGCTGTCAAAGAAATTTGGGCGCTCACAGTCACGATTGTACGTAAGTTTGCTGGTCCGTACTTACGAAGCTTGCAGCGCACCTAGCGGACTCCCCACCGCATGCAGCTGTTGATGGCAGGCAGCAGCAGCAGCAGCCTGGACTCCTGGATCCCTTCTGCCGCTGGACGCTGGTAGCTTCGATCGGGCATGAGGTGAGCTGTCGGGAACGCGCTGAGGGTAGTGCTTCAGGCCGGTCACGGGACGGTCCCATGCAGACATCACGGCTGCGTTGCGTGTAGACCATTCGAGGGGGCTGCCGTACCTGCGCTACGTGGCACAGCTTCCCCCTAGTGGTGAGGGGATCCTCGCCGGGGATCCTCGCGCATATGACAGGAACCACCTGCTGTTGGCATTACTCCAAGTGCCCTAATTCACAAGTTGCACACGTACCGCTTAGATGACATGTCCGACTTCCAGTCTTTACAACAACCGACACCCATCTCCAACTCTCCTCCCATGCCACACAGCCGCTCGACTCCTGCTGCCGACCTATCCGCCACGGCGGCGACACACCCAGCAGCGTCCCCGCATCTCCTTGCTCGCCACATCACATCAAGAGCCTTCCCATGCCTGGTGAGACGAGAGCTCGGATCCATAGCTTTGGGGGTTTCGTGTAGGCACTGTTTACGGTCTAAGCGTACGACAAGCTACTACATACAGTTGGGGCGGGCAGCTGTGATCACCCTGGCAGCCCTGCGCAGCTAACACGACATGCGTTGCAGAGCGCTCTTGCTGTGGTGTCCTTACTTTAGCCCCAAAATTCCGCCTCGCATGGGGAGGCACATTGAACAAGACTTAGGCACAAACCGGTAGTAACCACCCACTCACTTCAGTGAGGTCAACATCTGATATTTTATCGCTAAGCCCGTCGTCCTGTGCCATGCCTCATATCTGCACAGGTATACTGGCATTCCTGGGCTAACTGGAGTGGCCAGCGGCCTTTGCCGCTGCCGAGAGTCACAGGGGCAGCTTAGATGCTGCATTATGTAAAATTATTCAAATGTAGTGCACTTGTCCCGCAGCGAACATATGCACCATATCAATCCATAGCAGAGTAGGTCGACGGGCCGGAACATCGGGTCCATGGGTCCACAGTTGGCGCACAGAACTGGGCCCTCAAAAATCAGCAGCCGCCTTTACGCTAGGCCAGACGTCGAGTTTACTCCACATTCATCTCGCTCACAGGCCGGTCAGGACCAGCGTCGCGAGACCCGGTGTTGACGTACGCCCCTGCAGCAAGCAATAAGACGTTGCCCTACGCTACGGAGCAGCCAGGTGAATATAAACTACATCTTACCTCTCGTCGCATAGGAGCGTGGAAGAGGCTTGTTGGTATCCGGCTGCGGCAATAGGAACAGCGCTTGTCAATTGCTGTGGCTGTGGTGATGCCAGCAAGATAGGTTGGGCTCAAAATTAATCCGCACCTTTGGTGCAAAGTGCAGATAATAGATAAGCGGAGAAAAGGCAAGGGTCACGATGCTGCTAACGGTGATGGCTGCCACCCGTCCCTTGCTTTTAGAGGCAAACTTCCAAAATGACATTCCTACTATCGTCTAAAAAATACTGCAGTCTTGGGTATGGCTTTCAAATTGCCTATAAACGCCTCGACGACGTAGGGACAAGAGGTATCGCGAAGCTTAGGCCTTTCGTAAGTTCTGTAAGATGTACCTATCACCCTCTGCAGAACACCCCGTTTAGCATTTACCAAAAAAGGTAAGAGCAAGCTGAACATTGGAATTGTACGACCTGGTGTCTTTGTCATAGGAGCGTAATCCTTACTTAACACGTACCATGAACCGCACCTCTTGTATCCCATGACGGTGTGGTGGCGGTGGGCCGTCTCCAACATAACAACCCCCTTGAATCCAGCACGCCGGCCTGGTTTGAGGTGCAAGGAGGGGTACGAGCATGGGGGTGAGTAAGTGTTTGGGTCTACGTCCGCATGGATGGTTGCATGTGCGTACGCAAAGTAAGCTCGAAAGAGGGAGGTAAGCAAGGTCTGGGGATGTGGTCCAAGTGTCGCATCATAAAAGGCGAAAGTCAACGATGGCAACCAACAAGCACCACCCACCCAGCCGTGCGTGTCTTCCTTCGCACATCCCATGATATGTAGCCTTTGGCTTCTCAGGCCGCGCGGAATTCCTTTGAAAATCGCATCGGTATCCCCTTGGCTTGCCAGGCCTTGCTGGCGGACACCCCCACACAGGCAGGCAGCCCCCACACGTTGGCCATGCTGACAACGGTTTCCGCCAAAACACATATCACAGGAGATGTGTTTCGGCTTGCCTTCATTTTACGATTTTGTAAAGCACCTACGGGCTCGCGTCCGGGGCCTTAACGCGGAAGGCCGCCGGAACCGTACGGCAGTGGGAGTAGCGCACTTCGCGCACGGGAATAGTATGGAGTGACCTAAAGACATAGGCATAGTATGGAGTGACCTGAAGACGTTTCCGCGGATGCGTCCTTGGCAAGGGTTGCCTTCAGAGCCTTCAGAAAACCCGCTGGTGGCGTAACCACATGTAACGGTGTAAGTATCCTTACTCTACAGCTCTTCGCTCGAAGGCAAGGCTAGAGCACACATACGAGGCACCAGGCGGTTGGAAAGAGGCATTCCAACCTTCCATCGCACAAAGCAATACCTGTTGTTCCGCGCCTGCCACTTCCCCGTGCGCCATCTGCACTATACACACCCCGCAGCTGCGCAGCCCGCCCGAACAAACACATCTTCTTCATCATCCAAACCCAACCAAAGCCCAACTGCCTCAACAACAGTGTGTGTAGCAACAACACCCCGGCATCCCAACCAGCTAGACGCACCCCGCCGCTCCTCCATAGCACGCTACCCGCACCTCCCACTCCCAACACAGGATCTGATGTACCCCAAACTCCTCCAAACCCCATCCCCTCCCTCCCTCAGCTCCACCAGGAACATGTCGCACAGGGCTGCCACCATCACCAATGCATGCATGTTTCTTCCCTCCCTCCCCCTCTCCTTCCCCCCTCCCTTCCCCTCGCTCAGATGCGCAGCCCAATCCTGCCCAGCGCCCGCAGCACCCGCAGGTAGCGCTTGTTGTGCTCGATGGCGTCGCTGCCCTTGCTGGCGTACTTGGGTGTGCGCCAGTCGGGGCCGTAGCGGTGTCGCAGCAGCGCCTCCACGTCGCGCGGGGCGGGTGCGGAGGAGTCGAACATGGGGATGGAGCCCAGCGGCAGTACCAGGTCCCTGAGGGGAGGGGAAACATAAGCAGGTGACAGACACATGGGTGCGTCACAGGTCACTCACGGCCAGCTTTCTTACACATGTGCGTGCGACCCTCAACCAGAGTAATGGGCCTCTGCTTGCGACCCCAAACCCTGCCTGCCCAACGCCCGCCCGACGCCAACGCCCTTCCCCTCAGACGCCCCCGCAGCCCTACTTGGGTACATCGCAGTGTGAGTTCTTGTTGATGCGGATCTTGGATCCAAAGTCGAACCCGCCGAACAGATCCGCCCACATGATCTGCATGGGGAAGCACATCCAGCAGCTCACGTGCGTGTCAGTGTGTGTCGGTGTGTGCCAGGCTGTGGGAGGGCGATAGTGGTGATGGTAATAATCCATGTGTCCCGCCCCTGCTGCGCCGTTTCCGCGGTCACCACCAAGCAGCAATCCTACCGTTCCTCAGGGCAAGGCCGTATCTACCGTTCCTCAGGGCAAGGCCGTGCCAGCATGCATAGCCCGGGTCCCAACCAATCCGGGCTACCGGGCCACCTCGCGTCCCCAAACCCTCATCCGTCCGCCCCGACCCCCATCCCACCTAGCTCCTGCCTCCCTCCAAGTACTTCAAGCACACACCCTCCACCCACCCACCCACCCCTGCCACTGCCCGCTGCTCACCCTGCCCGGCAGGTAGACCCGCACCCAGCGCTGCACCAGCCCGTCACCCAGGTCGCGACTCTTGCCGATCCAGTCCACCGAGTAGCCCTTTGGGATTGTTGCGAGGGAGGGAGGGGAAGAGGCAGGAAGGATAAGACCATGCTGGTAGGGACAGCGAGCGAGGGGAGGGGGAAAAGGGAGGGGAAAGGAGCCAGAGAGGGTGAGGTTTTCAACCGAACCGACTAAAGGATAAGGGGCAAGCCGGTTCAGCAGCCGCAGCAATGACAGTGACATGCAAGACAACAACCACTAGCAAACACTGCGTCTATCTCGCACCTTGGGCAGAACTCCCGGCTGGCGCAACTTCTCAATGAGCGCGGGGAAGTCGGGGTTCAGTACGACAAGATCCACATCGTTGTCGTGCTCGTACACGTCGTTTTCGCGCGCCAGGGACATGAGGGAGCCGAAGTCAACCCAGAAGGTCACACCTGCCTGCGAGGTGGGCATTGTGGGAGGAAAGGAGGAACCATGGGACCCATGAGCGCGAGGGCACGAGTGCATGACTTCACAACCTGCGGGCTACGCTGATACGGCGGGCCTACTGCCTTTCAGAAATACAGAAAGCAATTAACGGAAGCGTGTAGCGTGAGCCGTATCACACCTTTTGAAGCGCAGGCACAATTTCGCTCATCGCTCGGCGCAACAACCGCTTCTTGACTGCTCGGTAAGCTGCCAGCAGCAGCCATAAGCCTCCGTACACTAGCCCAACGCTGCCTGCGCCTCGAATAACCGCTTGAGCGGCGGTGGGAGCAGCAGGACCGCGAGACTGCTGCGGCTGCTGCTGCTGCGATGGAAGGCCGCGGTTTGCCCATGGCCAAGTCTTTTTGTTGTTGTTCGGAGCAGGTGATGGCAGGTTTGTAGGTGGATGGCCGTGAACTGGGAACATGGCGAGCGCGGAAACGGAAGACTGTTTGGAGTTTGTGAGCGCCGAAGGCGAGGCTTTGGAATGCACGCTTGCAAGCATACGAGGAAAGCTTTTCGTGGAAAGAATTTGCGAGCAGAGGCAATAGGAGTATGAGGGGCAGTGGGATTATGTTTAACCAGCTTACGTCGCCGGTAGTCGTTGGCGGTGGGATAATGACGTCATCTTGGTACGAGGAATGGCCGCAATGCGAGCCCTGGGGTCCCGTTTCCTGCGCATTAAGCCCAGCAAGTTACTGGGCACTCAATTTCTTGCCAAGACATGAAGGGCGAGGGCTTTCTCTTGCTCATTGGGGTATCGCGGCAAGGGAAGATGGGCATATCAATACGCCTCCTCGTTCGGCAAACGGAGAAGCGCATATGATCCTGTCCTAAATGAACTTTGACCTTAGGGGCCGTCCTGTGTCCTTGTGCTGCTTCGGCAAGTGTCTCCTCCCGCGGAGGCCGTGATGAGGATATGGGTTACTCCCCATGGCAGTGACCCATGGGTCGCTGTGCCGCCGTCGGCCTTATAGCTGTGACTCGGAGCCTACTACCCAATGCTTGGCTCCCTGACGCCGGTCTTGGCGCCTGCATTCGCGCATGGCTCGAACTGGTTGCCCAGTGATCCCTCTCGTCGTCGTAAAGCATCAGGCACTGCTGCTGCCTGATACCGGTATGTCATCATGGCTGCCCGCCGCATGGTGCCGGCAGCTGCTCCACACCTCATCTCAGCTGCGAGGTGAAGGTGCTCGCAGCAATGGGCTAAGCAGGCAAACCTCCACCGCGTACGAGTGCGGTTACTTCATGCAAAAAACACCAACCGCTTGTAGCCTGGGTTTTCCCTCATGCACAAACGTGCAGCATTCAAGCATGTGTAGCAAGCAAAGAGCAGAGCAGGGTCTGGTGTCAGCAGGGTTGCGTGGCACAACGGTACAGGTACCGTAGATCCAAAGTGCGTGTGCTTAAACGGGGGGTTGGCGTAATTGGACTCCGTGTTGCAGCAGTGTCTCATTCGCATCATGTCAACAACCCCGTGCAGTTGGGCTTACAGGAACGGTGCGAGGCTGCCAGCTGATACCCCGGGATCTCACTAGGACAAGTCCGTACACTCGGGAATCACTCTCCTCTCCAGCCTTATCCCATCCTCAGGGCCAAAGTAGTTACGTTCTGTGTTTATTTCCGGACTACCGGTAACCACACCGCCCGGCTAATCCTTTTCTTAGACCACTGCCTAGACCCTCAGGCCCAGAAACGTCTTGCTGCATGCCCCCTTCGAAACACAACTTCAAACTCCACATGATCTTCCTCCGTCATAGGAATGCCGCCAACGATTCCGCATGCAGCACAGCTGTTTAGCTGAACCCTTACACGCCAGGAAAGGCGAGGCCAGGCGATTTCCCGAGACAATACTCTATAACACACATACGCAAACACACAAGCACATGAGCATTTAGTATCCTTTCCCGCACACGGGTATTGGAACATGCACACCCACACAGGCTTGCCTGTCTTCCTCTCTGCGTCCCTGGAAGCGCATAGAAGTACAAAATTCTACACTACCACTGTCACACCACTTATTGCTGCTAGTACACAAACAGTTGGACGTCGTTTGCTACATAATTCAGGAACCAACAAGCACACCATAAGACATCTTTACGTGTTTACTGGCCGTACCCGTAAACAGACACGCCGACCCGCGTGGAAACTGGCGGTACGGTATGTGACGTCTGCTCGCTACGCCAGCACCCTACTTCTACCCTGCCCCAACCCAAACCCAACTATAAAGACCGTAAAAGACCTATACGGCTATCCTTGCATGCATGCTCGTGTAGACTACGCATCCTGCACTTGGAGACCCGCCTACAGTCCAAAACTCACGATTTGCATCGCCTGAAAGGCGTTGCATCTGATCCCTTAAAAGCACGGCCGCGAAGGCACACGCTCAAGGACACAGACTCGAGCGTGTCAATGCAGAAAAGTACAGCGGAATGAAGGTGGTAATAGATTCGCGTGCACTTGCCTCATCTGTGGCCCCGAGCAACGCCCCTTCACTCAGTAACGCCTCCCCTTTATACACCCCGGTGCATCTACGTATCCGTAATCCCTCCCCTTTCCCTCTCTTGCTCTTAATCTAATATTAGCACTTAGCACACACGGCTCATTACTGCAAAGCACGCAGCAGCTGCAGCTCACATCCTTAGCTAGCGCAACCGTTCCACACAACCCCCCGGCTCCTCCCGGTCTGGCGTGGGCTACGAGCATACGATGTGATAGGGCGTTAGGGACCCTGCAAGGACCTGAAAAGGGCCCTCAGCATTCCCATCCGCAAAACGCACGAGTTGTCTGCCGAGAGCGCCACATAGAACAACATCCCGGCCACAGATGTGGATCGACGAGCGGTTTTTCCATTTTAACCATACCAACGCGCGCACCTCCCCCGGCGCTACGCTACCCACATAACACAGCACCCCGCCACCCAAGCGCGCAATGCCAGTGTGGTTGCGGTCTCATACGTGTAGCGCGTGTGCCATACATCCAGTGCTCACCCGCCCGGCCGCCCGACGGCAGTGCTCGCTCGTCCGCTTCCCACACATTCTCAAACAGGCGTTGATACAGCTAGGGGCCGTGCAATATCCCCTCCGCCTGGATGACGACCAACTACCTATAAGCCGCATAAAATCCACAGCATTAACCAAGCAGCGATGAGCCCAGCTCTCCATGCAGTGCTATCCTGACGCTCTGCTTATAATGCTGCATTTAATGCCCCAGCCCAGATTGCAACATACAGCTCTCAGCCCTCGCCCTCCTCCGCCGGATGCGCTTCCAGCAACGGCGCCTCCAGGTCCGTTATCGGCTTGGCTGCGACGCCATCCGACCCATGGGTCGCTGACCCGTCGTTGTGATGCCGGTGGTGGTGGTGGTGGTGATGATGGTGGTGGTGATGATGGCGTTGCTGGTGCGGCTGCTGCTGCTGTTCTTGCGGCTGCGTATCCTCCGGAGCAGCAGGGTGGTTATGGCCCAGCGTGATCGCCTGGTAGAAGAGTGTGAGGTCGAGTGCGATGGTGCCGAAGGTGCCGCACATCCAGGGCAGCTGGTCCTTCAGCTGCTGCGTGGAGCGCAGCCGCAGCACGATGCTGATACCCGTGCAGAGGTTGGCGCTGGGAGGGGGAGAAGAGGGGGGAAGCAAGGTGCATGCGGGGAGAGGGGTAAAGGCACACAGGCATGCTGGAGGAGAATGAGGTGTGGCGACGGGAACGATTGGCGGGATGTGAAACCAACGCCACTTACTTGCTACCCTATACGCCAACTCCCGGCGTCATGTGGAAAGCCCCAAGGGCGTTACGTAGCTCCACACCTCGCACCCGGCACCTCACCCCGACTGCCGCTGCCGCTGCCCCCAAGCCTCACCTGACCGTGAGCAGGAACATGTAGGACGACAGCCCCTCCGTCGACCGCCGCTCCAGGTTCTTCCGGATCTGGCTCACCCGCGACGCCAGGTAGAAGCAGGTGGAGAGGTAGCCCATCACCGTGCCCGCCACCAGCGCGATGTCGCAGTTGATGAAGCTGCAGTCCAGACCCAACTGCTGGCTGCTGCTGCCAACCAGAGCTGCCAGGCCGCTGCTGCCGGTACCGCCAGCAACTGCCGATGCTGCTCCTCCTCCCGCTGCTGTTACGGTAGCAGCAGCAATAGAACTGCCACTGCTGCTAAGATTACTAGGGGATACGGCGGTAGCCATCGCCCCGCTAATGCCGCCGCCGCTGTGTAGCTGCGGCTGCGGCTGCAGGTACGGGTCCGCTAGAAGCCGCCGGCGTGCAAGCGGGCCACCCGACAGGCCAACACCCGCTGTTGATGCGGCAGGCTGCAAGGCCAGCGCCCCCACGCACATGAGGGAGACGCCGGCTGCAGTGGCTGCGGTCACAAGCCGCAAGCCGCCTCCTTGTGTGGCAGTAGCCGCTGCAGCCTCAGCAGTATTGCTAGCCTCGCCGTCCGCAGCAGATATAACCGCTTGGGGGCCGGCAAGGTCGAGGGTGCTATCGCCGTCCAAGCCTGGGTTGCTAGTGCAGATGGCGGTGTTTACGCCGTCGCCCTGGGTGGCGCGTGAGGCTGGTTGCTGCAACGCGTCCCTGGAGTGATGGCTATGGTGATGACCATGGTGATGGCGCTTGCGTTGCGCTTGCGCCTTTGCACGCAGCCGCTGTCGGCGTGCTTGAATCGTACCATAGTAGATGTACTGGAGCAACATAACAACGTCGACGAGCACAAAGTATGCTGCCAGGATGGTGGTCGTTGGCAGCTGCTGGCCTTGGATGAGGCATCCCAGCAAGTTCAGCGTGTCGCCCGCAAACCATTCCACCAAGAACCAGATTGATAAAGCCTCTGAGCTTTGGTTCTTGATGTTACTGATGAACTGGGGCAACTGAGCTGTAAGCCAAACTATAATGCTGCAAAGCCCGAGAACAAAGCCGATTGCATCCCTGTCGTCGTAAACGCAGTCACGGAAGTATGTCTCCACCCATGGATTTGCGCCTGGCTCGCAGCCGTCAAAGGCTAGCATTTTTACCCGTCGGCGTTTCCCGTCTCAGGCGAACAATTACAGATCACAGCACCTATCCATCCTAAGCGTTTTGTGGGAGCTTGTGCCAACCAAGTCGCAGACAGCAATGCTATAGCGCTGTGCAGCAGGCAGAACGCGTCAACTGGTATCCGTCCATGGTCAGCGAAGCTACTTCGGCTCAATGGTGCACACTCAGCCTGCACATCGGCGAGCATAGCTGTGGGGCGCCAACAAAACAGCGCGCGCTGTCGTACATTAATGATCGGTTGTCCACGGTTGCTTGTCCATCTTATTCACATACTGGAGATCGATAGCGCACAGGTTCTGCTCCCTTGCTGTTGCTACCGACGCACATACACTGTTAGGGCAAGACAGCCTTACGGCACATCGCAATGGACGAGACGCACCCAGCGGCGAAGCTCGCTGCGCGGCGGCCAGATTGGGAACTACCACAGCTTCACAGCGGTCTGCAGCTTGCGCCCTTGGATGTGCTGTACACCAACAAAGAGCGCATCAAATGCCCGAAATGGTACGTTACAGGCTCCCCTATGCGCGCTAGCGCATGCCGATGGATAGGGTTTGGGCGCTCTGGAAAGGGTGGAGGAAGGGGGGCTCCTCTGAGCACCGTCACCACATCGGATTGGTTAGGAAGCTTGCGGAGTTGTACGTACGTTAGTCACCATGCTGCCAGGCTTGTAGGTTGTAGCGCATGTAAGGAGGTCAGGACAACATTTGTTGCTGGAAAGGGCAGCTCCCAGTTCTCCTTGCAAGCGCAAAGCAACGGCAGCCACCGGCATATGGATTCAATATACGAGGAACCTTCCAAACACTCCTCAACCGGTCTAATCAACCCTGGATAATTCCCAACCTATAACCCCTCACGGACGCTCCTCCACCTAATCCCTCTGCCTCTCGCTTCCCTCCGCCTCCACCTCCTCGTCACCTCGATCCCTCCCCCGGACCCTCTTGGGCCGCTCCTGCCGGGCCGCCCCTGCCGGACTGCTGCACAGCGGCCGCTCCCGAGCCCACTACTGCTATGGTAGGAGGGTCGGGTGGCGAGGGAGTGCTATGGGTGTAGGTGTGTGAGGGGTGGTATGCATGCATGCGTGCGTGCATGCGTGCGTGCATGCATGGACAGCCGCATGGACAGCCGCATGGACAGCCGCATGGCATGGTATGGCACGGGGGTTTGTGCTTCTGCCGCACAATGCCGCATCATGCCAACAAGCCGCCAGCCAAAGACACTAGCCCGCTATTCTCTCTCTCCCTTCCACCACAAGCCCAGCCCGCTCCTAGCGACTCCCCACACCTCCCACCCTCCACCGCACCGCCCCCTCCGCGTCCCCCCCAACCACCTCCCCGCCCCCCCCTTAACCCCCAACCAGACTGCCTGCAGCCGCTGGTTCCCTTCCCGACCGTGGCGCTGCCCTTCCGCGTGTCCATCGTGACACACCACGAGGAGAAGGCGTCCAAGAACACGGGGGTGCAGGTGGCAATTCTGGCGGCGGGGCAGGTGGACCTGCACAGGTGGGGGGTAAAAAATATATAATGAGACAGGTGGGGGGGGGTCGGCGGCGCGGGGCAGGCCAGTGCAGGTGGGGGCCTGCACAGGTGGTGAAAAATTGATAAGACCACGTTGGTGACGATAGAACCATGATGGAAGGATGCCAGGGAGTGGGACGGGACAAGAAGGATTTGTGGTTTTGTGGCTTTACCCATGTGGCTGACCTCCGGACTCCCCACCCTCTCCCCTCCCCTCCCCTCCGCAGCATGTCCGCTGTGCCAGCCGACGTGGACGTCTCCCGCTGCGCCGTGCTGTTCCCGTGCGAGGAGGCGCTGGAGGTGGGGCAGCTGCAGCCCGACTCCATCGACCGGCTCTTCATCATCGACTCCAGATGGTGGGTGTGCGAGGACTGGTGGGGGAGGCGGGAAAGGAGTGAAAATAGTTGAAAAGTGGAGGGAGGGAAGGGAGGGAGGGTACTACCGGCACCGTAGAGAGGAGGGCGGACGGCTGGGACTGCTGGACTCTACTTTCCCGCCATGAAAGCGGCACCTTTCCGGTGCCTGCTCTCCTCTTCTTCTTTCCAAACATCATCTTTCCAAACACACCGTAGTCCAAACACCCGTCCGCATCTGTCCGTATCTGGCACCCCCCCCCGCGCGCAGGAAGAAGGCGGGCGAGCTGGTGCGGTCGGAGCAGTTCCGCGGTATGCGCGCAGTGCGGTTGAGCGCCACCCGCAGCGCCTTCTGGCGCTTCCACACGCGCGGGGTGGCGGAGGAGGGCGTGTGCACGGTGGAGGCGCTGTACTTCCTGCTAGAGGCGATGGTGCAGCAGGGCAAGCTGACCGACCCACGGTTCACTGCGCCGCACGCGTTTGACAACCTGCTGTGGTACTTCGCCTACCAGCACCAGGTGGTGCAGCAGGCGGCGCAGAAGCGGCTGGCGCAGGAGACGGGAGCCGGGGACCAGCAGCAGCAGCAGCAGGGGAAACAGGCAGAAGGAGGCGCCGATGAGGATGCGGACGCGGGCGTCGGTACGGGGGGTAAGAGCAAGCAGCAGCAACAGCAGCGGCAGAAGCAGCAGCAGCAACAACAGCAACAAAAGGGGCAGCAGAAGCCAAAGCAGCAGGGGCAGCAGAAGCAGCAGGGGCAAGGGCGGAAAGGCCGGGGTCAGCAGCAAGGGCAAGGGGGTGAGGGTCAGCAGAAAGAGGGCGAAACGGAGGGGCAGGGCGCTGGTCCCCATGTGATACCGGTAGAAGGCCCAGCGGCCCAGGAGGCTGCTGTGGCGGCAAGGGACGTCGCTCCGGCGCAGGCGGGGTGTGCTGCTGTTGCTGCATGCGGGGGAGCCCAGCAGCAAGCAGCAGAGCAGGAGGGACAGCAGCAGCAGCAGCAAGAACAACAGCGGCAAGAACAACAGCGGCAAGCTGCAGGCGAGGGCTGCAGCACAGGGGACGCCGGGGAGGGCGCCGAAACGGGGCAGGTGGCAGAGGAGGCGGGGGCTGGAGCGGGGGCGTTGAAGGGATCGGATGCGGTCGCCGACTCGGCGGCTGGAGCGGCGGAGGAAGATGGTCGCGAGGTGGAAAATGATGGCGGTAAGCGGGGAGTAACAAAGGTAAACCAGAACTTGTAGAGGCGGCTGCTGCTCAGAGGTGCTCAGAGGTCCTGAAGTCCTGACAAACAACCACTCGGAGCTTCCCCCACACCGATAATGTGGGTGCCCCCCTCCCTGCTACTGTGGCTGCGCAGGGGAAAAGGAGGCCAAGCGTGCACGTGTGCTATGATGCTCGGGATGGCAGGACGAGCTCCCAGTTCCTGACAGGTGCAGGGCGCGCGGCGGAGTCACCGGGGCGCCGTGTGCGTTTACGGACGGCGTATGAGCGCTGTGGCGGACGTGTACACAGCAAGCGTGCACGTCCTGCGGGGCCTGAGGCAGCGGCGCACGGTGCAGATGAGGCCTACTGTAAATCCTTTAGTGTAACTCTTAATACATGGCAGGACATGGAATTTATTTATATTTGGCATAGCACGGTTACATGAAGACGGCATGAGGAAAACGGCCGCCAGAAGAAGGGAATTGCTGTGACGTAATGCTTGCACACGCCTTCTCATACTTCTGCTGGTGAAAGAGTTAGATCTACGTGTAGCATACAAAGAAGCCCAGGAAACGGCAAGTATCCAACTGGTTGGGCACGAAATCTATGTGTTTCGGCAAGGAGAGTGCCGCATCGGCAACCTTGGACGGCTTTTGCACATCTGTTTACCCCTTTTATGCTTGCGGGTGCGCAGAGGTAATACTTCAGCGACACCAAACAGCTACTATTAGAGCACTTACAAAGAATCCTGCTATTTTGGCAGCAAGCGCGCGCTGAGATACCCTTTACGTCAGTGAAGCTTGCATTTTGTTCCAGCCCAGGGCATAGTTGGGGAGCTCAGGCTTCACCTTGGCGGCAACAGCTTTGGTCTTTGGTGGCTTGTGCAGCGACCCACGGACCAACAAAGACACTATGGCAGAGCCGCCGGCTGGAGTTTGTGAATCGGCACGCTGCACACCGGAACGCTCTAATGATGTCATTAAATGTGAAGGAGCTCTGGAAGAACGCGTGCTGAGCCCACAAGGTAGGAGACATAAGGCTTGGAGCTTGAAACGCGCGGGAACTTTGGCTTGCAAGCGGGCAGTCGTGCGACATCCAGTGAATGCCTGTGCATGCTAAACATGTAAACACCGGTCTTGTTGTTACTGCTTTTGCTGCCTTACTCTGACGATTCCCGGCTTGGTCATCGACACTCATAGTCCTGCCGACTTCTTGCGCACAAGCGCTTTGCGACCTGCACACTAACATACCAGTTTATATAGTTAACTACTATTCCTACATAGATAATAACGTCAACGCTGTTACCTCAACTGCAGGCCCGGAAGCAAGCAAACTCACAGTCCTTACTCAGGAACAACTGAACAAGCGACTATCTCAACATTCAAAAGAAACTGATAGAGTCAGAGAGGCGGGTACAAGCCCTGCGCCGTTGACGCCAGCTCCTCGGGTCATCGGAACGACGACCGCGGGACGGCTTCGTTTTCCAGATAGCATTGCCGACTTTCCAGCACCTGCAACAAGTCCTGTGCTTGCGGGTTACTCCCTGGAAACGCTTGACCCGGCTTCCGCAACGTGCAAGCGGAGCAACGGCTTGCCGACAGTCTATACTGCTGCGACTTCAACAACACCGGTCACGCCGAATAGCACGGCAGGCGTTGCCTTATTCTCACAACTTTCAAGCAGCGGACGGCAAGTCGTAGATGCTGCAAGCATGCAAGCGCTTGCAAGCGGGCAAGCGCCTTTGCAACTGCCGCAGCTAGACAGTGGCTCTTCTTATCCATGGCAGCAGCAGCAGTTGCAACTTCAGCAGCAGCAGCACGCGGTTGGCGGGCAACATGCCCTTCTGGCGGGAGCTAGCGGGAGTTGCACTATGGAACCTTCTCCAGACCAGCGTTCATTTGGAGTCTTTACGGAGGATGCTTCTTTGATGATTAACGCTGCCTCTCCCGGTCATGGCCTGTTCCACCTGGCCAACGAAGCTGGCGAGTCAGAACCGGCAAACGCAGCTGCTCGCTCGGGATTCACGGCAACATTTGAAGGTGAATTATTAAGAGGGGTAACCGTACACAACTCTAGGCATTTTGGGCAGTCTTGCAGTTAACAAGGGCTTTAGCGCGCTTAGAACTTGACAGGCCGAGGCTCTAAGACCCTGACTAGCCGTTCAAGTCTCAATCAACAAACGTGCGAGCACTGGTGGCTTATTCTCTTACTCTGTTCTCGCAGGTGGTGACAACGACGCGCAGCGGGGCTGGAGCGGCAGTCACCTGGCGATACCAACGTTTGACCAGCAGCGGGTGAGTGGATTGAGCGGCTGGGCTGACGCCTGGGCTCTCGAGGTATCCCAGGTCGTTATGTTGAATGTCGGGGACCCTGTCAAACGTCTTCTTGTCACGGGGGTCGGTCGGCGTTGCAGTTCGATGTTCTGCGCAAACGTGCACAAGGGGTTACATGAACCACGGCTGCCGCAGCAGGCCGCAGCGCCTTTGTGTCAGCTCCTGAAGAGCCTGGAACCGAGCGGCTTCTTCTCCCTTTTAGCCCCTTCATGTCCACGGCTTACACCTTTTCTGGACGTCCCCCGACTTGCAGGTACAGGAGCAAGGGCCGGACCTGGGCTTCCCCGTCGCAGCAGCCATGCAGCAGCCGCAGCAGCCGGCTGCCGAGCCAACTTCTTCGCACGACAACTTCTTCGACCCGATCAGCGAGCCCGCTGCACCCGACCTAGGGCAGGCGGCATTGCCCTCCCAACCTCCTGGCCACCAACACAGCCCAGAGCAGCAGCAGCAGCACCAGCAGCAGCAGATGTTGCCGCTGTACCCTCAAGGCCAGCCCTCAGCTGCAGCCCACAGCGGTGTTGCCTCTCCGTCCCGTCTTCACGCATCACATCCAGCCAACAACGGCGAGGCCGCTCCCGCTCACACCACCGCTGCGGCGGCAGCCACCTCCCAGGACCCCGACCGGCCCCTGGTGCCAGAGGGCACCCCTACCTTCAACCTCAACCAGCCACCCGCCTCGGGGCCACCTGCCCAACCCCTCCAGGGCGGCGTGATCCAGTCAGGGACCGGGTCAGGGGCAGGCGCCCAGGCTGCCGGCGTTGCTGCAAGTCCGCACCCAGAGGGTGGGCCTCACAGCCATGCAGGGCCGGCGGCGCCGACTAGCATTGCCACCGCATTACAAAGCTCGGCTCCACCGGCGGCGGCCAGCGTGCAGCAACCACCTGGCGGGGCGGGACAGGGTCCTAGTTCGCATGCAGTGGGGCCCACCGTTGGGTTGGGGTCTCCTGATAGCTCGCAGCCGGCGGGGCCGGTGGCGGGTTCTGGCGGACTCGGAGACGCGACAGCCCACGTGCGCGAGCAGCAGCAGCAACAGCAACCTCAACAACCTCAACTCCAGCCAGGGCACGCTGAGCCTCAGCTGCAGCAACAACATCTGCAGCTGCACGGAGCACAGCCGCTGCAGCAGCAGCAGCAGCAACAAGAAGCTGCACTGCCGCCCAGTGCAGGCGGTGGTGGGCTGTCCCTGCGGCGCATCACGCCGCCCCCAGGAGCGGGTGCCCATGCCGCACCCCAGCAGCACCAACCGCCAGAACCACCACCGCCACCACAGCAGCAACCCTACCTGCAGCAGAGCGCCATGCAGCCACCCCTGCTGCCCCAGCAACCCTCCACAGTGCTGCCGCCAGCCGCCCAGGGCTACACCGGGGCCGCTGCAGGGGGTGCCAGCGGGGGCTACTTCCCGCACCCCGGCCTGCACCCTGGTCCGGCTGCCTTGGGCACAACAACAGGTGGCTCAGCCACCACCAACGCATCTGCATCCGCCGCCGCGACCGCTGTCACCAACAGCGCACCCAGCATCGCCAGCGGCGGCATGGCGAGCTCCACCAGCGCTGGCGGCCCCGCCATAGCAGGCATGGCGGGTATGCCGGGCTTTGGCATGGCGCCGCAGTTTGGCATGCCGGCCACCATGTTGCAACCGACAGCGGCAGCAGCAGCCGCCCAGCATGCTGCAGCCTTTGGGCCATCGGGCACCGTCGCGCCGACCAGTGTCGGCGGCGGGCAGCAGATGCAGCAGGCTCCCCAACAATCACACCAAGGCAACCTCATGTGGCCTGCTGCAGCAGCTGCTGCCGCTGCCGCCATGTCGGCCTGGTCCCCCTGGTCCAGCCTTTTCATGCCCATGGGCTTCCCAGGCGGGCCCGCGGCAGCGGCGGCAGGAGCAGCACCAGACGCTTCAGGTTTCGGAGCTGGTCTTGGCATGGGGGCTCCGAGCGCTGCCGGGGGCAGCATGCATGGCATGGGGGCGGCTTCCGCCCCTCATACGCAGCAGCAGCTACAACTGCAGCAGCAGCAGCAACTGCTGTTGCAGCAGCAGCAGGCGAGGATGGCGGCGGGTGGTATGAATCCAGCTATGATGGGCATGTTCCCTGCGTTCGCGGGTACCCCTGGCGCCGCTAGCGGTGTTAGCGAGCAGCATCAGCAGCAGCAACACCTCCTCCAGCAGCAGCAACAACAGTACATGATGCAGATGCAGCAGTTCTACCAGCAGCAACAACAGCATATGCAACGGCAGGCAGGCGCAGGTACAGGCGTTAGCAGCGGTGACGACGGCCATGCGGGGATGACAGCTCTGGCTGCATCCATGCAGCAACCTCGGGTGCCTGCTGGTCAGCCCCTGCCGACCAGCACCCCCGCTCAGCACCCGCAACCCGCTGCTGCCGGCATGCTGCAGAGCATGTGGCGGCCGCCCTTCAACATGTTCCTGCCGGGCATGGCGGCGGCGGGCATGATGGGCTTGGGCATGGGCATGTACTGGCCGGGGCAGGCGGCCATGCAGGCTGCTGCTCCCACCGCGGCGGCGACTCAGCAGACCGGCACTGTGGACGCCGCTGCAGCTGGTGGTGCACAGTTCCCTGGAATGTTCAACCCCGCAGCAGGTGCTGCTGCCATGATGCCGCATGCGGGCTTCACGGCAACAGCACCGCCGACGGCGGGGGCTACGTTAGCAGCCGGTGGCATGGTTGGCGGCGGCGGCTCCTCGGCGGCAAAGGCGACGTTGCCAGGACGGCGTGCCGCGCCGAGCGCGACAGCGGCAGAGAAGGGCGGCGGCGTGTTGGGGACGCCGGCGTTGCTGCAATCGGAACAGCAGCCCGCAGTCGGTGCGGGTGGTGCCTCGGTACGGACCAAGTCCCCTGCTCCGAGCTTTCCAACGGACGCTGCTGCCACCAGCCGTGGCGGCGGCGGCACCACCCCCGGACACACCACTATTGCTGAAGCGATGGCGGCAGGTCCAATCGCCGCGACGACCGTAGGAGCGGCATTACCACCGCTGCCGCCGACGGCAGCAACCGCCACCACCTCCTCCCGCGGGCAGCGTCCCACCGGCCGGGCACCCGGCGGCTCCCCCGCTCCCTCAGCTCTAGCGGCCCGAGGTGCACCTCCGCCCCGTCGCGACAGCTCCACCTCCGGTGTGACGGCGACACCTGCGCCCCTTGACACTGCAGCCGGCGCTGCTGCTGCTGCCGGCGGCGGCGGCATCGCAGCGACTGCAACTACTGCGGAGACCACAGCCGCTGCCTCTGTTGCCGCCGCCACTGCGGCCGTGGCTCCCCGCCTGCAGTCCGTGGCCAGTGCTGACCTGGCGGTGGTGGATGCGCTGCAGCTGCTGGCGGCCAGTCCGCCGCAGAGCCCGCCGCATGCCTACGAGCGGCGCGTGTCGGGCGGCTCGGGCGCCAGCGTCACTACGGGGGCGGGCGCAGCAGCGGCGGGCGGGGGAAGCAGGCGGTCGTCGGAGGTTGGCGGAGGGGCCGGCGCAGGTGCTGCCGCGGGTGCTGCTGGTGCTACTGCTGCGGGTGAGCGGAAGGAGGCCGAGGGCGGAGTGCAACAGCAACCCGGCGACGTGGGTGATGGTGCTGTTGCTGGGGCAGGTGTCAAGACGGAAGCGGAGGCACCTGCGGCGGCTCAACAGCCGCACTGCGACGGCGGCGGCCCTTCACGGCTGCAGCTGCCGCAGCCTGCGCAGACAGCGCACCGGCTGTTCGACCTGCCGGAAGCCGTCCCCATCCAGAGGCCGCAGCACTCCGGTGGCGCCGTGCCGCCAGCCATCCTCCCGCAGGCACGAGCGGGCCCGGCATCGTCCGGACTCGGACGCGCCTACTACGCGCCCTCTCCTCCGCTGGCAGCAGCCGGAGCCCTGCCGGCGGGGGTCCCGGGGGCGCTGCTGCCGCCGACCGGGGCGGTGGCGGGTCCGTTGGACCGGCAGCGGCTGCTGCACCTGGCGGCGGTGGGTGTGGAGAAGGTACGCCGGCGTGGCGGGGCGGCGGGCATGTCCGCCGCGGGGTCAGCGGAGGCGCATGGTACGGACGGCGACGAGGGCGACGTGGTGTCGGCGGCGGAGCTGCTGGTGCTGCTGCCGCCGGGTGCCAAGCGCCCGCGGAGCCGCCGCGTCCGGGCCCGCGCCGGCACCGCTTGGAGCTCCCTCCTGGGGAGCCTGCAGCAGGTGATCCTGGAGGCTGACGCGGCGACTGAGGGTGCTAGCGGCGCCGCCGTCGCGGCCTTGAAGCGGCGCGTTACCCCGCCGGCGACGCTGTCCACGACAATGGAGGCGGGTGACGCAGGCGGTGCAGGGCTGGCTGGCGGCGGCGATGGCGCGAGCACACGACACGGCGGCGAACGGCGAGTGAAGTGGGCTCGGGAGGCGCTTGCAGGGGCGGATGAGATGGAGGAGCTGGTGGGTGAGGAGGAGGAGGAAGGTGCGGTTGGTGCGGGAGTGGGCGTGGAGGAGGGGGATGAGGATTCATACCTGCCGCACCAGCGGCGGCGGGGTGCTGAGGTCCTCGGCGGCGATTATGACAGCGGCGGTGGCGGCGACGACGATGACAGTGACGAGGATTACGGCGAGCGGCGGCGACGACGACGAGGCGGCGGCGGCGGCCGAGGCCGTCGTACTGGCGGAGGCGGAGGTACCCGTCGTAGCGGCGGCGCCGCCGCCACCGCCCATGAAAGCGACGTCGAGGATGAATCCGACGACGGCGATGGAGACGGGGACGCGGGCGGCGCAGGTCTTGCCGGTGGCGATGACAGCGGCGGCATGTCAGCGGCGGCGCGGCGTCGTCGCAACGGCCATGGCCGGCCGCCTGGCGCCGGCAACCTCCGCAAGATGAAGCCGCGCAAGGTGCAGTCGGACGGCCGACTGGGTTTCTCCATGCGCTCATCCAAATACACGGGCGTCTACCGCACCCCCGGCGGCCGCTGGCGCGCGCAGTTCTGCTACCGCGGTGCCGTACACCAGCTGGGGATGTACGACACGGAGCGCGAGGCGGCGGCGGCGTGGGATCAGGCGGTGGTGACGTTCCGAGGGAGCGCCTCGGGTGTGCAGCTCAACTTGCCGCAGCTGCTCAACTCGTACGACCTGCAGGTGAGGCGCTGCAGATGTGCAATGCATTGACATTATCACACTATGCATAGGGAACAATGTATTGCACTTTTTTTTACAAAGATCATTATTGTCTGCTGCGCGGTGCTCCATCATGCCATGCTAGCCATGTCTGCACCCTCGTCCTCCTCGTGTCTTCGTCCTCCTCCTCACCCACTGCTGCTGCCTCCCCTCCCGAACCGCCACCATCCCGCCCTCGCTCCCCCCCTTCCCAGAACGTCCGCGAGCACATCCACCGCATCCTGGACGCCAAGATCGCCACCACCCGCACCAAGCGCTGCCTCAACTCCTACGCGCGCAACCCGCCCGGCCCCACCAGCCCCTCGCGTGTCGTACCCGCTGCCGTCATTGACACCATCGTGACGGACGCCGGCGGCAGCGGTGCCGACGACGGCCTAGGCCTGCCGTACTCGGTGAGCGGCGGCATTTCCGTGGCGGGTCGGGAGGATGACGCCGCGGGCGGCCCTGGCGGCGGCCCTGGGTCCAGCAGCGGCGCTGGCGGCGGCGTCAGCGGCCGGACGTCACGGAGTGGCTCCCGGAGCGCTGGGACGGGGCAGCAGCAGCGTCGCCGGCGCCGTATGAGCAGCAGCGACGGTGGCGGTGGCGGCGCCCGCAGGGCTGGTGGTGGTGGTGGTACTGACAGTGAGAGCGACGGCGGAGAAGGGGAGGGGCGTGCGACTGGCCGTGCAAGGCAGCGGCGGCGGCTCAGTGACGCCGGCGGAGGCCTTCTTGACGGCGGGGCGCAGGGGGCGCTGCAGCAGCTGTCGGCGGCGGCAGTGGCCAATAGCATGGAGGTTGGGGCAGCACTGTCAGCAATTGCGCCGTTGCAGCTGCCGCTGAGCTCGGTTGGGCTTCCTGCCGCAGCTGCGGACGGTGGCGCCGCCGCCGGCCAGCGATTAGGCGCGCTGGATGTGGGTGGTGTTGCGCTGCTAGGGCTAGCGGCGCTGCGGCGGCAGCTGCCGCTGGCGCCACAGGAGGAGCGGGTTGCGGGCGGGGCAGCGGGTGGGGCGGGGGAGTTGTTGCACCGCGTGGGGGCACTGGCGGGGCCGCCCTTGCCGCCGGCTGGGGCGACAGCTGAGGCGGCGCCACATGCGCGAGAGGCGGCAGCGGCACCTGCGGGCCCGTCCAGGACTGCGTCAGGCACCGCTGCCTCTGCGCTGCCTGGCAGCAGCGACGGAGGAACGGCGGGTGCGGTTGGTGGCGGTTGGTGCGGCAGCAGCAGCGGCGGTGAGGGGGACGGCGGCGGCCGGGAGCGACCTCCGTCGCCGAAGCGCCGGAAGAGCCATGCAGTTCGGTCTCGGGATTGCTAGGCAGTCAGCCCAGCCGCATCCATCCTTCCACAAGCCACCGCATGCAGGTGTTGTTGTTGTTGTTGCCGTGCATGATGGGAGCCTGCATGCATGCGCGCATCGACCACACGCATACCTTTCCTTATGCGCCCGGCGGGCTGTGCGGCCGCGGCTTCCTGCGGGTGTGAGGTGGCAGCGCTTGGACATATGATGGCATTCGCGTGTGGAGCAGTGCATGTGTTTGTCGTGTGGGAGGTGAACAGGTGATGGTTGGAGCGGCGGCGTCCAGGGCGACGTCTCCTTTTCCGGGATTCCGCCGGCATTGGTCCGGCCGACGTTCGGTGATGCTGCTTGACCTTGTCCATGATGATGCCCGGTACACTGCCTTCTTGTGGGTTTTGAGGCTCGTTGTGGGTTCACGCGTTTAGGTAGGGGATGGGAGGGGGCCTAACACATGAAGAAGATCTATGTGGCATGCCAGCCATGCCAGCCCAGTGTGACTCATCCGTGCGGCTGGCACGCACGCACACGCCCATGTAGCATATGCACTTAGCACGCGACATTCTTGCGCTGTTGTTTGAGATTACGAGGGTAAAAGGCGGCCGCCCCTTGGACTAATGTTACAATGTTAGATAAATAACTCCAAGGCTTGCATAGGCCATACGTTTCTTAACTTGCACGTCCCGGGGCGCTCTTTCCTCTTGTTGGCGGTGGTCGTGGGTACATACAAGCCATGGTATTGTCCTGACCAAAAGCCCCGTGTTGTTGTTCTGTGGGTTGAGGTCGCTGGATTGAGGTTGACAGTGTGTTGGTATGATGTCGTCCGGAGAACCGTCGTCCGGACCTCTGGGAGGACACATGGACGTAGCGTTGCTTGCTGGTAGTGTTGGCGGTGTTGGGAGAAGTGCGTGCTGTACAAATGTTAGGAATGTGGTCAGGGCCGGGGGGGCGCGCGCGTCTCTTTCCCTTGTGGAGCTGCACCCGGCATTGTCCCGTGTGGGGAGGTGATGGACGGATGATGGAAGAAGAAATGTGGCAACAGCACACTGCCCCCCAGAAGCGCCGGCTTGCTGAACAGTTCCTGGAAAGAGCGTAATTGTTTGGGTGTGTGTGCTTATTTGGTGAAGCTGCTGTGTGGACGAATACCATTTGTTTCCCTTTCGTTTCTTCGTGCGGGTTCCCTTTGCCCAATGGCTATATAGTCCCTGGCGCAGGGCTGTCCGGGATGAAGATGGCGCCCTTGTGTGGCGAAATACATGGCTGCTTTGCTTGAGGACCTCCTAAAGCGGCAGCTTGATTTTTTTTAAAAGAACGAATGTTGTGCGAATATTTCCGTGCGGTTGTTGGTTGGTGCTGTTTGTGCACTTTCTGTAGGTACTGGCACACGTCGGGAGTGTTCTTCGTCCATTCCTCCTCTCCATGTACGTCGCGCATTCCGTGGTTCAAGCGCGTGTGGGTTGTTGTCGTTTCCCTGTTGTGCTGGAGTAGGAGGTTCGTGTCGGCTGGCAATGCCCCGTTGTGGAGGCATGTCCAGAGCCCTGTATTCGACTCCCTCTCCCATCATTCGCCGATAAACGCTGTTTGCGAGTGCTTATCGGCTAGTACATGTTGCTGACACACTTGCTGCTGGAGGTGATGGAAGCGTGGATTGTTCAAGGGGGTCAAAGCGTCTTAACCGCATGGGTGACGTTGCATCGCATGTGTGCAGGGAAGCTGCTGTGCGTGTGGCTAAGTGGGCGGTTCCTGGACGCACGCATGTGCATACACATTGCAACCTGACGGTCTGATGTGCTTTTCTCCGCTTAAAGCCTGCAACAAAAGGTAAAACACTTCTTTCCCCAACGTACATGCATAGCCTGCAGTTTAGCAAGTACACCGTTGCACCAATTGGCTATTGCATGTGCACGGGGTTAATCAGCCCCCGCAGAGGCATCAAGGAAGGGGTGCTATTTGAGCAAATGCTTCCATCTACGGATCGGCAGGTTAGGGGTGGCTACGACTTTCAATCTAGCCTCAGTACCTAGCAGCTACCACCGCAGTAATGCTGCCTGACTACCCGATCCTGTTACTTCTGAGGGAAGGGTGCCCAAGCAGTCTCCTAAGGGATTCGGAAACCGCCTCCAGCCGACGTCACGCTAATCAGGCCAAGTGCCATGGCACAACGTTTATCGACTGGGGCAGGATTGGGGCTCCAAACCTGATAAACTATCGGCCACCCGCCGGATGGCTGCCGAATGCCGACCCCCGGGACTTCTGCGCAAAGAAAGCTCAGAGTCTACTACGGGCTAGATTAGTTAAATTGATGTTATACAGGATGTGATATATAAAGACATAGAGCAATGATCCAGGATTGCCTTGCCCGTAAGCGCCAACGGCCTCTCGCGATGCCAACTTGCTGCACAGCATGTAAGACGCTGAGTCCATACCTGCTTCAGCACTAAGTCAATCAATGTGCTATTATATACTCCTTTGTTGTTGCGTGTTGGCTTTACCCTTGAATATCTACAAGGTCTATTATTACCTGCGTAACTCAACCGGTACAGGCCCCTCGACTAAGCTGATACCAGTAGAAGGGGCTCGTTAGAGACTTCGGGCGCAGCCCTAGCTGCGCCATGTCGATCTTCAGCTATAATGGAGCGGCCATTGTGGCCATGGCCGGGAAGGTGTGGCAGCAGCGAATGCCGCTACACGAGCCTTAGATCTACGTTGCAAGTTGGGGTGGTAGTAACACGCCTACGTTTTCGTAGGAATGCGTGGCCATTGGGTCAGATCTACGCTTTGGTGTTCAGCTGCAAACGATTACCTGCGATACACCAAAGGTCTTTAAGGTTCACGATAAGCTCTACCTAGGGCTATCGGGCCTACAAACGGACGCGCAGACGTTGTACCAGAAGCTCATGTTCAGGTACGTGTGCATGCCATCGGACGCGACGGGCACCGCTGGCCCCACTTGCTGCACCGTTCCACACAATCCTTGCCGACGCTGGTGCAGGCACAACATGTATAAGCTCAGAGAGGAGCGCGACATGAAGCCCTCCACTTTCAGCAACATGCTCTCAAACGCGCTCTACGAGCGGCGGTTTGGTCCCTACTTCGCGGCACCGGTGGTCGCTGGCTTGGAGCCAGACGGCACGCCCTTCCTCAGCGGCATGGACACCATCGGTGCCGTGGAGACCGCCAAGGACTTCATGATCACGGGCACTTCGCCCGACTCGCTGTACGGCATGTGCGAGTCCATGTGGCGACCTGACATGGAGCCGGACGAGCTGTTTGAGACGGTGGCCCAGTGCCTGATGTCCGGGTCGGACCGCGACGCACTGGCGGGCTGGGGTGCGGTGATCCACGTGATCACCAAGGACAAGGTCATCTCACGCACGCTCAAGACGCGTATGGACTAGAGTGTTGGCGGGAGTGGCGTGCAGGAGGGTGGGTGAGGGGCGCTGGGAAGGGCATGGGGGTGCCTGGCGGCATAGTCGGCAGGTGGAGTAGGAGGGATAGCGCTGTGCTGCGTGGCAGAGGCATGCTTTTGGTTGGAAGGGGAGCAGCACGGTGGGTGGGTAAGAGCAACTCAGTCAAGTCTTTCGTGACGTCTGAGGTGCGAGGGGAGGGCCGGGACCATGTACCGTACGGCAGTTGCAGGCTCCCTCATCGGCACTCAGGCGCGCCGTGCCTCCCGAGGATGCAGCTGCGCCTTGCGGTGCAGGGGAGTCACGGCATCCTGGTTATGGGTTGCTTGGGCTTGACAGGCCGTCCAAGTCGCGACGGGGGTCGATTGGGAAGTTGTTGCTGCAGTTGTAAAAGTGTAGAGGATTACCTAGGCTGGTTCCAAGTAATGGAGGTGTTCTGGACGTCTTCATGTTCCTGGACGGCTGGTTCCAACTTGCATGTCCGTTGCCCTGCTTTGGCGGCATGGTACGTGCGTCCTAAAGTGCAACCGCCCTAAGGCGATTACTACGGCATTCGTTTGGGTCGTGTAGGGGCGAGGTGCGGCACGCCCGTTGCGGCTTGCTAGTGGTATTGTATTCATCACGTGGGCAGACAGGGCAGGCTGATGTAAACCGTGTGCTGTGCTGTGCGGAGGCTGGGACCGTTCTTGCAACGTTGGCGACACCTGGAGGGCAGTCCTGGCAGCAGCGACCTTGCTCCTTGTAATGTAAGGACAGCGAGAGCTAGGTGCAGCATCCCGTGAAGCTAACATGGTACGGCTACATGGCAGCAATCCGGATTCTACACGGTGGCGGTCTGTTTCCATTGTCCAGCAACCCAGCACCACAGCCATGCCGCCGGCAGCACACAGCTCTCCAAGGTATGCGCGCTCAGTCTTGTGAAATCGGCGGCAGCACACCTCCTCGTCCCTCCTCCCTTCGTTCACCCATCCCTCCGCCTCCTCCTCCCACAGCCCCGTCCGACCCTCCTATGCAACGCCTGCGCCTCCCTTCCCCGCGTCCCCCTTTCTACGTTCCCCCTCTTATCCTAAACCTCACAAGCCGCGCACCCCAAACGCAGCTGCCAAGCGCGCCCCTCGCTCCACCTCCCCTATCCGCATCAGCACCTTCGCCAACCTCCCCGCCAGCGCCGCCCTCCCCGCCGCCGCCCCCGCACCCCCCTCACCCCGCCCCTGCTGCTGCTCCAGCGCCCGCCCCAACGCCGCCACATGCTCCCCAAACACCGCCCCCTCCGACAACGGCCCCCCCGCAAACCACTCCGGGTGCAACCCCGCCGCCACCGCCTCCACACACGCCACGCCGAAACCCAACGTCTCCCCGCCTCCCGCCGCCGCCCGAAGGTACGGCATCAACTGCCCGCACACCAACCGCCCAACCGCCAGCCCCGTCAGCAGCCCCCGCGACAGCAGCCCCTCGAACGCACTCACGCAGTGCAGCACCCGCAGCGCTAGTCGGAAGCGGTGGAAGAGGGTGTGTGCGGCGCGCGGCGAGCATGCTAGCACCGCGGGTGGCCAGGGCGGCAGGGCGCACGCCTCCACCGCTGCCTCCAGGGAGGAGCGCAGGCCGGTGAGGAGGTCGGCCATGCGGGGTTCCTCCGCGGGCAGGTAGACCAGCAGCTCGGCGGCCAGGGCAGCGACGGTGCGGGTGTGGGCCACGTTGCGTACGTCCCAGCACCTGAGGGAGGAGGAGGAGAGGAGGGGAGGAGGGGAGGGGGAGGACTAGGTAAACTGAGCCGCAAGGGAACACTGAGGAGGAGGAGGAGGAGGAGGAGGAGAGGAGGCGGCCCGGGGAGGATAGGGTGGGGATTTCAGTGGGTTATAGGAGGCAGTAGGGAGAGGGGACGAAGGTACCGGTGAAGGGGCAGCAGGCATGCGGGTTTGTGGGTTGGGTGCCCGGATGCGAGCAGGTTAGCCGTAGCCATCATTGAAGTCGAACGATGGAACCGCCGGGAAGCTCGGGAGCTACTGCGTCAGGAACCGACTCAGGATGTACACAACCGCGTACCGCGTCCCGTCCCGTGCCGCACCGCTCATAACCCCCACCAACCCCACCAACCCCACCTCCCCCCCCCATTACTCGCACCTCTCCACCCAATGCAGCGCCAGGGGCAGCACCAGCTTCCGCACCAGCTGGGGAACCAGGTCCGCATCCGGGTCGTCTTCACCGCCACCCACCCCACTGCCGTCGGCGGCTGTCACGTTCATGCCGTACTCGAAGAGCTCGCCGTACCTGGAACGCAGGAGGTGTGTGTACGACACATGTGTGTGTGTTGGAAGGCGCCGTTCGAGCATACCGTGCGTGTTAGGAAAGGCGAGACCGGTTCTTAACCTACAAACCGTACCGGTGGGCTGCGCGTTGAGTGAGAGGACTGTACACGCCCGCCGCAAAGACTAGGGCAGCCATACCCAACTAAGCAACCGAGCCACCGAACGGCTACCGGTACCCTCGGTACCGCTCCCGTGCGACCGGCACCACCATCCGCCGACCCGACCCGACCGGAACACGACCACCACCACCCCACACCAAGCCGCCGAGACCCTCCTCGCAGCACCCCCACTCACCACTGCTGACTGTCAAAGCCCCGGTAAGGCACCGCAGCGGCAGCAGCCTCCGCACCAGCGCCACCACCACTGCCTCCCTCGCCGCCCTGCTCCCCCTGCTCCTGCTGCCCGCCTGCTCCTCCTCCCCCGTACAGCGGGTCCCACTGCAACAGCTGCAGCCGCACGAAGGGCGCGAAGAGGGCGGGAGTGGAGAGGTGCATGTAGGCCTGCGTGTAGTCCTTGGGGTACCTGGGGGAGGGGGGGGGGCGGGAGGGCAGGAAGAGGGGTAAAGGAGAGGAACGATGCACCCAAGAACGAGGACAGGAGGGTGTGTGTCCCAGTCTTCGTGGCAGCACAACCCCTCCTCCCTCCTGCACCTGGCCTGGCCTACCCCCCACCCCCTCCCTCCTCCTGCTCCTCGCGGCACCCCTCTTCCAGGCTACCCGCCCCCCCCACCTGGCCTTCCACTCCTCCAGCCGCCTCTTCACCGCCCCTATGCTCGCGAACTCCTCGTCCGTGTCCGCGAACACGGTGGCGGCCGCCTCACGCAGCTCGCGGTAGCGCTGGGCGTAGCGGGAGGACTGGGGGGGAAAGAAGGAAACGTGGATGGGGATGTGGGGTACGTAGATGTGGGGTGGGGGCCGTAGGGTTGAAGAGGGATTAGAGGCCGTGAGATGAGTGCTCTGACCCCCCTCACCGTCAGCGGGCATGCTGGGTTCAGCCAGCCCCTCCACACCCTCTTCCGCACACCGCCCCCCCCCCCCACCTGCTCCTCCCCCGCCTCCCCCTCCGACACCAGCGGCAGCACCGCGGCTGTCCCCGCTAGTGCTGCAGCCAGCCGCTCGCCCTCCGCCGCCAGCAGCCGCTTGCGGGCCTGGGAGCATGGGGGCGGGCAGCGGGGTCAAAATGGTCAAACCAAAGGAAACCACGAATTAGGGCAGGATATTGGGGGAATGAGGGGGACAGGGGTCATGACGGGCTCAGGGCAACGCACCCACCTGTGGCCAAGGGAAAGGAACAGGAGGAGAAGCACCACATCTGTTTCTGCCCATGCAACATTACGCACGTCTCTCCCTGCCCCTCCCTCTTTTCCAGGTTGCCAACTGCCAACTGCCAATTGCCTAGCTAACAAGCTCCATCCTTAGCCTCTCCCGGCTTCTTCCCCGCAACCCTTTCACGTCCCCAGCCATCCCCCACGCCCCTCCCTCGGCCCTCGTCCCGCCGCTTGCCCTACTCCTCGTCCCTCGCCCCTCACCCTCGCCCTCTCCTGCAGCTCCCTCCTCCGCTGCAAGTTCACGTTCCTCCCGAACTCGTCCACCTCCTCCGGCCCCTCCTCATCCAGCAGCCGCTCCTCCGCCTCCTCCGCCGCCGCCTCCGCTGCCTGCGTGGCGGCGGCGGCGCCCGCCCCCCGCCCCAGAGCCGCCATGGCAGCCGCCACCGCCGCCTCCGCCGGGGCCAGCAGGTCTCGTTCCGCGTTGGCGGCGGCGGTGCGGGATGCGGTGGCGCGGTCCTCCATGAGCTCAAGTCTGGGTGGTAGGAGGGAAGCACCAAACCACAAGTGCGGGCAAGGCAGAGGGGATTTAGGGTTGGATGCGGGTGGACAGATAAACTGAGCCGCGGGAACACTGACCCTGAAACTGACTCTGATGCGGGTGGTGAGAAATGGTGGTGGTGGTGGTGGAGGGGTGAGAGACGTGGTTGGGACAATAAGGAAAGGGTGGAGAGTGAAGAGTGATCGGCGCGGGTACTGCCGCTTCTGTACCTCCTTGAAGCGCCTATACTAACACACACCAACATGCACTCCTTTTCACTCCTACTCCACCACAGCCCCCCAGCCCAACGGCCCGGTTCCCCTCCTCTCTGCCACCCAGTCCGCCCCACACCGCCCCGGGCATCCCCTCCGCCACCCAACCCACCCACCTGCTGTCCTCCAGCTCCTCCACGATCGCACTCTTCACCTGCGGGCGGGGAAACAGGCCGCGTTTGCGAAATACCGGTACATGGAAGCCAAGCGGCCACCAAGACAACTCGCCGTTCCTGTACCTGTCAGGACATGTCAGCGGGCCTCCTGTGCAAGCCAGGCCACCTCCCCTCCCTCCTCCCCGTGTTTTCTAGGATAGAGTCTCCGAATGCGCTCACTGCACGAGTCGGGATATGGGATTGGGACTCGTTGCTGCACATATCAGCGCATACACCTCCGTCACCACCCACTCTCTCCCCCTAGGTCAGCCCACATCCACCATCTTTCATGTCATGTCGTCCCCACCATCGCCTCCCCGCGCCCATACGTCCCCGTAGTTTATGCTCATGACTCCATGCACCATGCCCAACGGTGTGACACTGCGGTCACCCGTTTGGTGTTGGCCTGCTGTGGGGATCCTTTGCCGGACAGCACAGGCCGCACTCCTCCTCCTCCTCCCTTGTGCCTTTCCCTTTGTTCATGGCCATGCCCAGTTGACACATCCATGCTCTTTGTCTTGCTTTGTCTTGCCTGGTCCCTGCTGCCCCGTGCCGTGCTACCCCTGCCGTACATCCACCTGCCCCATGTCGTACCCATTGTTTGTCATCGCCCATTCTATATTCGTCCCTTTTTGTTTTGTTTCCTTTAACTGCATTATTTAGTGTACACCCCTCTTTGCATACTATCCTACCCTACCCTTAGTCACCAAGGCCCCTTCGCATATTTCACACATTCATTTCGCATTTCTTGCTTTCCTCACAACTCTCAGTTTTTCTATACACCCATCCTAACCATTCGTGTTGCCTGTCCCTATCCCCTCCCGTGGCCCTTCCGTCGCGACCTTGCTGGCGGCTTCTGTGGCGCTCGCTTCCGTATATAGGTAAATCCGCCTCGTGATCCGTTTGTTGTTGTTGTTGTTGTTTGCTTACCACGTCACACACGTTTCACCCTACTTGTTTTGCCATGTCCGAGCGACATCCCCTGGGGCCTTGGTGACGACGCTTAACACTCAGCGACGAATAGACTACTCCATTTTTGGCTATTTACAGCACACCGGATGCAGCAAAATCGCTTCCTCTGGAGCATCGGTATCGGTAAGGACTGCTAACCCTCCCATGTTTTGTGGCTCCCTGCCAACAATACCCATTGTTTTGCCCTAACTTTGTGGTTTGGTTTATTCTACCCCCCTCTCCCCCCACGCACCTGCAGGCAGTCGCACAGGTCCGCCACGTAGCTCCGCAGCCGCTGCATGTACACGTACTTGTCACCTGCACTCCGCAGCTCCGACTCCAGGCCCTCCACACGACCCAGCGCCGCAACCAGGTTCTCCCCTGCGCGCCGAGCCCCCGCAGACACCTGCTTGTGAGAGGCCTGCAGCCGACGTAACCCCTCCGCCAGTGACGCCACCGCCGCCTCGCCCGCTGACGTAATGGCCGCCAGTCGGCTGCCGCCGCTCGCCATGCCCAGTGCGCCGCCAGTGTACGGCATGGCGGTTGCGGCGGCGGCGCCGCCGGCGATGACTGCGGCGGCGGAGGAGGAGCCGGGGCGTAGGTAGCCGCTGGTGCCGGCGACGCCACCCATAGCCGCCGCAGCTGCTTGTCCGAGTACCTGTTCCTGTCGTAGCTGCTGCTGTTGTTGCTGTTGCTGGTATGCGAAGGGAGCTGAGGTGGCGGCGGCGGCGGCGGTGGCGGGGACAGTAGCGGGTGCGGTGCCCGCTCCGCCCACCTGTTGCAACCGCAGCGCCTTCCGCAGCTGCTCCTCCGCAAAGGCGTCCTCCTCCTCCTCCCCGCCGCCCTCGCCGGCGCCGCCTCCCAGCGAGCGGGCGTACTGCGACATGTCCTTGCGTGGCCTGACAGGGAGGGGGGCGGGGCGGGGGGGGGTGAGGAGGAGGAGGATTGGTGGGGTGGGGTGGCTACCGGTAACAATGTGCGCGCAGGCACCGCAGCCGTGTTACCACACCCCCCTCCCTCCCGCAATGCATGCCATCGATCCCAGCCACCAAGCAGCCACCACTCCAACCCCGCAAACCAACTTCACCCCCTCTCCAAAGCGCCCTTCCCTCCCAAATCCCACCCCCCTCCACCCCACCTCACTCCCTCCTTGCCGCTGAACCGGATGCGCATCATCTCTTCCGCCTCCTCCTCGCTGTCCTCACTGCCGCTGCCCGCCCGCCCCTCCGACCCCGCAGGGCCCGCGGAGCCCCCTCGCCCCCCGCCGCCCGCCGCCCCCGCCCCCCGCAGCCGCCCCATACCCAGCCCCAGCCCCGCGAGAGGCACGTAGTCGGGCGCCAGGTGCGCCTGCCGAAGCCGCTCGCGCTTGGCCTTGGCGGCGCTGGGGAGGGGAGAGGGAGGGAGAGAGAAGAGAGGAGGAGGTGGTGGGGAGTGAGGAGGTGGATGGGGTCGCAGCCCGGCGGCGTCGGGCCCCTTGCTGGGCTCATGACACCCGTATTTCTAAGCAAGAACGCACCATGCTGCCCCTCCTTCCGCCACCCTCCTCCCCAGCACACACCCCATGCAAGTGCCGCACAACCACATCTCCCCGCACACAGGCGCACTCACAGGATGGTTTGCTCATCCGGAATGCCCATGTCATCGTCCTCCTCGTCCTCCTCCTTGCCGCCTCCTGCTGCTGCTGCCCCCCCGGCTGCCCCTGCACCCCCTCCGCCAACAGCAGCAGCAGCAGCAGCGCCGCCTCCCCCTGCTGACCCGCCTGCGCCCCCCTGACGAGGCGGGGGCGGCAGAGCCATGCCCTCCTCCTCCTCCTCCGCTGGCTTGACCTGGTCGGTGTTGAGGTGCAGCGCAGCGGGGCAAGCAGTGGGGCTAGGGGTTAGCGAAGGGGGCAGCATGGGAGAGACTGCATGAGCAACGGGGAGGAGGAGAAGGAGCAGTCAACAAGAGTTGTGATTGGAACAGACAGACCGTTCCCCCACGCCTACCAACCTTGAGCTTGCCACCTACACCTTTCACCTTGCGTCAACCCCCAAGACCCGCTCGCCCCTTCGCTCGGCCTAAACCCTCCCACACACCACCTATCCCAGCCCTTCCACCGTCCACCCCATTCCCCCCCTCAGCCCCCCCCACCAGCGCTATGCTGCTGCCCGGCAGGCTGAACCGGTCGTCCTTGGGCGCCCCCGCCGGCTTGAAGCTGCCCGACAGCTTGATCACCGGCTCCGACCCACCACCGCCAGCACCCGCACCGCCTCCCTCCTCCGCCGGGCCCCCCAGCCGCGCCGCTGAGAAGCTGATGGCATTGCGCTGCAGCTCGCGCAGCCGCTCGGCGGTGTACTCGCCTGTGGAGGGGGGAAAGGAAGGGCGGGGAGGGGAAGGCGGAGGTGGGCGTGGGGCAATGAAGGGTGAGAGGGGCGGTTGAGGGGCTGGCTGTGCAGTCGGAGAGTCGGAGAGCTGCAAGGTCACCTGGCCTGAGGTGCATGTGCATGCCATGCAAGATGCGCAACGGGCATGTTGTTGGGTTTGGAGAGGTGGAAATGATGATAGATACGCTGGAAGACTAGTAAGTGGGAAGAAAACGACCCATGGGACATGACGGCTCCTGTGTTTTCGCTAGAGTTCTGCGCAGCTGCCTCAGCATAAACGGAAAGAGTGGGTCGAAGTTCCCCTTGAACCCCTGACAACAAAGGACGGTCTGGCTGCAGGGTCTTGCGGCGCCCATACAGCTGCGTACGGTCGCAGGTCGCCACGCCGCCACGCGGCGTCCTGCAGCCTTGATGGGGTGCTGCAGGGCGGCACGAGCTGCGAACCTTACCTGCTGTTGACCGCTGGGTGTGTGACGCGGCCTCCGTTGGTAGGTCCGGAAGGGCGGGTGCTCGCGCGAGCTTAGACTGGCGCTGCTTGTCCTTCTTGCTGTCCTTCTTGGGGACGAATCCCGGGTCGTCGCCGTCGTCCTCAAAGGACAGCAGGTTTAGTTTGCTCCCCTTGCTGTCCTTTTTGGGATCCCCCTTAGCGACTGCTAGGGTAGAGGCGATGACGCCAGCCTTGGCCGCTGGTTCCTTCTTTGTTGGTTGGTGCTGTGGCGGCCTCACCGGCGGAGGCCCGTCCTCCCCGTCGTCATCCTCGTTACTAACTTTACTCCTAAACTTTCGCTGCTTGAACGCCATGGACAGAAGTGATCTACTATTGTGGTTGCTAAAGAAGTTGGCGATGTAGGATGTAAGCCCGAAAGCAGAAAATACAGCTAATTATGACCAATATGTTTGTAATGTATAGTTAGCATTATGATCAGTCAATCAGCTGTCCTAAATTAACTGAACTTTGTGAAGTGGTTCCTTTGTTAAGACCTCTGCTAAGTTTTATTATTGACTGGTCATGCGTATAGTACATTATGCAGACATTAAAACACTACGGCGCATATATTCATCCTAGGCTTCCCTTGCGTTAAGCGTACTTCGCGCCCGTCTCCCGTATCCATTCCATAAGAGGCATGGTTCAGAGCGCACCATATTACCCCGAAATAATGATTAAGATGCTCTTCTACCGCTGCCCTCCTAAGGCAGTCTGAGTATGGCTCAGGCCCGCCCTACAGGTGTGCCTTTGCCTGGGCCAGCCGGGCGCGGCGACGATGTCGATATAGTGCTCGGTACGTTGAGGAGCCGTTTGCGCTATTTGCGCTCCTCACGGGAAGGCACGGTCCCAAACACGACGGATGATTTCCCTGCAGACGACTTCAGGCAGTTGGGAAGCCAATTGCAGGCGTGGCCGGGCTATGTAACAGAACCTGTTCAGGTGCGTTCCAGACGGTGTTCCTAGTCATTTCCTGCTCGCACGTGACTGAACGGTCCAACCCTTGTTGCTTGTCCATGTACACGCGCGCAACTCGCAGGTTGTAGATGCCGCCGGCTTCACAGATGAGTGGGTCCGAGCGACCGGGCTTCAGACGCCCGCGCTCGTGCGCGGCTACGGCACGTATGCTTCCTTCCTGCGTCCATTGCTTCAGGACATGCGGGACCTTGTGCTTCTGTCAAAGGAGCTCGGCGAGGATAGGGAGGTGGGTCCTCACTCCGCTGTACTGTCCCTATCCTGCTCATCTTCTGTATGCGCATGGAAGCTAACCCAATTACCAACATGCACCCTCATGCTCGTCAAGCTGCCAGAATGGAAACAGTTAGGATGCCCATACCCTGTCTTACACCGGCCAACCCCTGAAGCCCATGAAGAACTGGACAAACCCCGATGCCACGCCCTTACACCTTTCACACCCCTCTTTCCTCCATCATATCTCCCTTTCCTCCCTTCCCACCTCACACCACACCATCACCCCACCCACCCACAGATCCAAACCCTAGACGTGGCCAAGCAGGCCCCCGGCCCCAAGTGGACCATGCGCCAGTGGTGCCTCTACTGGAAGGAGCGCCAAACCCTGGGGCCACACCCCGAACCCCACCCCGGGGCCGCGGGCGGCGGCCCGGGGGCATCCTCAGCAGCTGGGGCAGGGGCGGGGGCGGGGGTGGGTGGGTTGCCGCGGCGCGCGGGGTCGGAGGCGGCGGCGGTCCGCGGCTCCGCTGCTGCGGCCGCTGGGCTGAGCTCCGCGGACGAGGGAGCTAACACGGAGATGGAGGACGAGGCGGACAGCGCCTTCGTGCACCAGGGGTGGGTGGTGCGCAAGGGCTGGGGGCTGGTGGGGGAGGTGTATGTGGGTTTCGGCAAGCAGGGGTGGGTGGAAAGGGTGGGAAAGGGAAAGGAGCCGCAGGATCATGGCGCACGGATTCTCTTGTGTGCCGTACCCTGCCTGTCCCCACTCTCCACTTTTTGACTATGGTACCTTTATTAATTTCCTAACCCCCCTCATAGCGTGCCTTTCCCTAACACCCCCGCCCCCCACGTCCTCCCACCCTCCCCCCCAGCGATGTTGACCAGTTCCGCGAGACCAGCGCCCCGCGCAAGGGCATCCGCGAGTCCAACAAGCGCCGCCTGCTGGCCCTCACTTGTGCAGCCCTCACCGACCACCCAGCAGCCGCGCCCACCGCCTCAGCGGCACTGCGGGTGCCGCCGCCGCTGGCCGCCGCAGACCTGGTGGCGCATGTGGGGCTGGCACGGGAGGTGGCGGCGGCGGCGGAGGGCGGCGCCGGCAGCGCCACGGCGGCGGCGGCGGCGCGGCACCACCTGGCGGTGTGGCCGGCGGGTGCGGCCACGAACTTCCGGCTGCTGCCCAGCGGCGCGGGGAGCTGGTGGGCGGTGGCGCATGGGCGCATGGTGAGGGAGGGGGGACGGGAGCTGGGGTGGGGAGGAGAGACGTGTGCCTTGTGGAGGTGTGTAGGGTTTACGCGTATATGTCCAGGCCGATGACCGATGTTTGTCGGACTGTACGTAAGATGCCCGCTTCCCTATAGCACATCCATACCCCGCACCGCCATGCACGCCGACCACGCCCACCATCCTCCCCGGCATCCCGCCCTTCCGCCGCCTCCCACACCCGCCTCGTGCCGCCCCCCGCACAGGTGTTCCTGCTGGTTCCCCCCAGCGAGTCCTCCGTGGCGCTCTTTGCCTCCTGGATCTCCAGCGGCGCACGCGACCGGGGTCTGCCGCTGCTGGAGCCCTGGCTGCAGCCGCCGCCTCGCACCAGCCCGCACCGAGCACACACCAGCCCACCACCACCACCACCACCACCACAGCAGCAGCAGCAGCACCCGCAGCAGCACCCCGGGCACCCGCCACCACCCGTCGTAGCGCCAGGCCAAGAGCATGCCGTGTCCCCGCCCGCACCTGCACCCGTATCGGCAGGTGGGGCAGGACCGGGTGTGTTCCAGTATCCAGCAGCTGCAGTCGCTGCAGGTGGTGGTGGGGCGGGTGCGGGTGCTGCTGCTGCTACTGGCCCTACCGCTTCGTCCTCGCCGCGGGGGCTACAACCCGCCCAGCCCCCACAGCCACCCCAGCAGCCACTGAATGCACACCGGCCGCCCGACGCCCTGGCCTCCTCTGGTCCCGGTCCCCCGGTAGGCCCACTTCCACCACCCACATCCGCAACCCCACACCCGCACCCGCCGCCCCCCTCCTTCGCGCTGCCGCCGCCGCCACCTCCCCCACCGCCTTCGCCCTCGCCGGGTCTGCCCCGCGTGATACGGCTGGAGGTGGCAGCGGGGGAGATGGCGGTGCTGCCCGCGGGCTGGCCGTTTGCGGTGGTTGCAGCGGCGGACAGCGCAGCGGTGTGCGGGCAGCTGCTGAGCTGCCACGGGCTGTGCGCGGCGCTGCGCAGCTGGGAGGTGGAGGAGCTGCTGGGGGTGAAGCAGCGGGCGCGGTTCCCGCTGTTCAAGCATGTGATGTGGCATGCGGCGCTGTCGTACGGGCGGACGCTGAGGGCGGCGGCAGGTGGGGGGGCGTGCGGATGTCAGTAGTGGTCGTAGTAGTAGTCAGCTAGTCACATATTGAAGGGGTGACGCATGGTTGCTTTTGTTAGAGATTTTATACAGTTCGCATGCCTCTCCTTGCATGACCCTCCTTCCTTCCCGCCCTGCCTCCCCCCGATACCCTCCTCAGGCCTGCCGCTGCTCAAGCGGCAGCGGGCAGCCAACTCCCGCGACCGAGGCGGCATCACGGGCGGCCCGGCAGCCACCATGACCACCTCCCACAACGCCTACGGAGGGGCAGGGGTGGGGCTCTCCTTCGGCGGACCTGCGGGCGGAGCCGCGCGGAGGCTGCCCCAACCGCAGCCGCAGGACAGCATCAACAACGGCCCCGCGCTCAGCGGCCAGGGAACGGCCGCCGCGGCGGTAGCGGCGGCTGCGGCGGCGGCGCCGGGTCTGAGCGGTCGTGGCGGCGGCAGGGCCGCGATCCCCGGCGGCGCGGCGGCGGCACCAGCAGGGCCCAGCAGGAGCGGCGCCGGCGCTGGTGCCGGCGGTGGTGGGGTGCTGGTCACCGGTCGGAAGCGCACATTTGAAGACCAGCATGCGAGCTCAGCGCGACGGCCAAGCGGAGGAGGAGTCGCAGCCGCCACCACCGCTACAGGAGGCGGCAACGCCCCGCCCGCTCGTAGCTCCGGTGGGGCGGCTCGCGGCGCCTCCCCGCAATCTCCTCCGCCCGCTGCTAGCGGCGGCGGCGGCAAGCGGCTGCGAGGGGCGGCAGGAGCGGCCATCCGCATGTTTAATGAGCTGGCAGAGGAGGAGGAGGACGACCTTGCAACCGCGACATCCCCGGGGGAGCGCCTAGGTGGTAGACACCGCGGCGGCGGCGCAGGAGCAGCAGCGGCGGCTGTGTTCCCGGGCGCCGCCGCCGCCGCTGCAGCAGTGGGCTCCTCCCGTCGGCTGCCGCCCCGGGCGGCTTCGCAGCGGCTGGCGCGGCACCGGGGGGCTGACACGGAGGCTCATGATGATGCTGAGGAGGGCTATGAGGCGGAGGAGGGGGGGCGGCGGAACAGGCCGCAGCGGCGGGCAGCGGCGCAAGGCCGCAACTGGCAGCAATTGCTGGCGGAGGCGGAGGACGAGGCGGCGGAGGGCGGCGGCGAACGAGGCGATGACGTGAGTCCTATGGCGGAGGGAGCTGGCTCCGGCGACGCAGCGTCGCCGCGCCAGGCACGTCGCGACGGCGGCGGCGGCGGACCGCGCGGTCGCGGCGGCCGCCGCCGCCGTGCCGACTCGGACGACGTCGACTACGAGTGCGAAGGCAGCGAGGGTGAGTCGTACGGCAGTGACGGCGCGCTGCCGGAGACGCCCCGTGGCGCAGTGGACATGAGCGACGGCGGCAGCGAGGGCAGCACGCCTGCCGTACCAGTTGGCGGCGGCGGCGGAAGCCGTAGACGTGACCGTAAGGCCCGTGCGAATCGGGGCAAGGGAGCTAATCCACAGGGGCGGACGGGGGCACGCAGGGGCGCGCGCCGGGCCTCTCCGTCCTTGGATTTCGGCGTGGTCAGCAGCCGCCTAGCCGCTGCTGCACCGGCGGCGGCGGAGAACTGGGACATCTCGCCTGACAACGAACGGGAGGAGCTTGGCCAGCAAAATCATGCTGACGTACAGCGGCGGCCTCGGCGCCGTACGGCAGGGCAGATCCTCCGCGACGGTCTGGGGCTGTCCGATGACGGCGGCGGCGGCGCTGGCGGCGGCAGAGGCCGGCGGTCGACGCGGCGTCGTTCCCGTGTGTACGACGACACAGACGATGACATGTTTGCGGACGACGCCATGAGCGGCGGCAGCCACGGTGGTGGGGCTGTGGCGGCAGGCCGCCGCCGCGGCAGCGGCGGCGGTGACGGCGGCGGCGGTAGCACAGGCAGCGCCGGCAGCGGCCACGGCCAGTCGCATGGAGGGCAAGCAGCCTTAGGTGTCGGAGCGGAGCAGCATTTGGAGGACTCGTCGTCCTCCGGAGGGGCGGACCGGCGGCAGTTGGGTCAGCAGCGGCGCAGGCTGCAGCAGCGTCAGGGGCAGCAGGCAGCGGACGTGGCGGGACGGGCTGACGGCAGTACAGACGGGTCTGACGGTGGCAATGGCGGTGGTGGTGATGGTGGTGCACGTCGCAGAGCACCGGGCTCCACGCCCCGGCGGCGCTTGCGGCTGGGCCCTCGGAGAGCTGTGCTTGAGGATGAAGCGACTGATGAGGGCGCACAACAGGCGGCGGCGGGGTTAGCACGCACGGGCCCGCATGCCGCCGCAACGGCGGCGGCGGTGCCGATGAAGATCAAGCTGCCGTTGCATGGTCGCGGCCCGACGGCGGCGGCGCCGCCTCCGCCGCCACCTCGGCAGGAGCTCGAGACTTCTGCCTTGCCGCCGCTGCCATCGCCACTCGGGCTGCTGCACGGCAGCGGCACCCGCGCGCCGCATGCTGAGCCGGCCCACGGCCCCGCAGTCGCGGCCGGCGGCACGGGCGCCGGCGGTGATGGCGGGCCCGGGGGTGCAGCCGGCGGTGCAGTGCCGGAGCCGGGTGCGGCGGCGTTGACGAAGGTGCGGTTGAAGCTCCCGGGGGGGCACGGCACGGGGGGGCCGGCGGGAGGGGCGCCTGCTGCGGGCTCCTTGCCACAACCTTCCCCTGCCACAACCGCCGCAACCGCTGCTGCGCATGGCATGCCAGATGCCATGGCCGGTGCTGACGGCTGCGGCGGCGACGGCGGGAATGCCGGCGGCAACATGGGCGGTCGCATTCCCCAGATGGACGGTGCAGCCGACGTAGAAGAGGACGACGATTATGACGACTTTGGGGACGATGCGACAGCCGCCGCTGCCGTCGCCGCTGCTCCCCATGCGGCTGCTCCCCAGCATCCGCTGCTCCTGCTGCCGCATCACATGAACCCCTGCTTCACAGCCTTGCATGCGTTGACGGCAAACGGAGTCCCCCATGCGGGCGCAACAGCACCACCTCCCCACCCAGCCTTGGTGACCCCAGGCGCCGCAGAGGCCATGGAGGTTGATTCGCCGCAGGGGGCGCTGGTGGCGGCCCACGACGCTTCTGCAGCAGCTGCAGCGGCCCCGTTGCTGCACCACCCGCCTTGCCTCCCAGCTGCGGCTCAGCGAGCAGCAGCGCATCCGCTGCAAGGACAACTACAGCACCACCAACAGGCGCCGTCGTTGCAGCAGCAGCAACATCATGAGCATCCGTCTCCGCTTGCTCAGCTCTTATTGCCGCAAGGGCTGCTGCCGGTGGCTCCTCAGATGCCCCCCGGCCATCTGAGTATCCTCCGAACACTGCCCTCCAGCGGCGGGGGGGACTCGCTTTCCTCGCCCGTCCAGCCCTTGCAACTGCCGCCGCAGCACCATCAAACAACTACCAGAGCCGGAGGACTGAACGAACCCCACGTCTTCACAGCGCCGCCGCCTCCGCACCGCCACCACGTATCCGGGGCGCTCGCGAGCCCCGGTGCTACCTCGCCGATCGCCGCAGCCACGCCAATGCTCGCGGCAAGTACTGCGCCAACGGCAGCGGAAACGCCAGCAGCAGCAGCAGCGTCCGAAGTGCCGGCTGCTACATCGCCGCCTGCTGCTGCCCATGCTGTTGTGAACACCCCAGGTGTTGTTCCTCTAGGCATGGGCGCCGCCGCCGGCAGCGGTGGTGGCGGGGCGGCGGAGCAGCCGCCTGCTGCTGCTGCGCGGGTGCCCCCTGTGGCGTCGTCGTCCAAGCGCGGTGCTGCGGACAGCGCAGCAAAGCCGCCGCCAGCGCACCGGCTGGCGCCTCCACGGCCGCATGGGATCAAATCCATTTCGGATGCCGTACCTGATGCCCAGAAGGCGCTGGGGTTAGTGCCCCTTGGTGAGTGGAGTACGCTGTGCAAGTGTTCATGGCGGCGCCAATGCTTGTGTGGTCGCACTCATCTTCTCTTTCACTTGCATCATACAAGAAACTATACCCAGTCTCTCTTTTGTCTCTCATTATATCGTTCCCTCTCCCGCTCTTGGGTAGGTGAGCAGTGCTCTTCCTTCCAAGTTGTAACACTCCCTCCGCCCTGTGTCATCCTGCCATTTTACGGCGCGTTTAACCATGGCCTTACCCCTCCTCCCTCCCTCCCGCCCTCCCATTCGCACCCCCAGGCGCACACCGCACCGGCCAGCCCCTGGCCGCCCCCAAGGGCTCCCTCACCCGCATGATGCCGGGCCGACCGGGCCAGCAGCAGCGCCCGCCCGCCGCTGCCTCCTCGCTGGCTGCGGCCTCCAAGCACCACCAAGCCGGCGCACCCGCAGCAGCAGGGGGTGTTGTTGCCCCTGAGGGAGGTGCTGTTGGGGCTGTGGGTGCAGGCGGCAGGGCACGGCTGCTCCCCGGGCTGCAAGTGCCTGGCAGGCCGGGCTTGGTGCCGCCGGCAACAACGCTGCAGCCCAAGGAGGCGCCAGACGGGGCTCGTGGGGGCAGTGCTGCGGCTGCTGCCGCGGGTGCGCCTCCGGCGGCGGCAGGAGGTGAGGCACCAGCTGGCGGCCAGCAAGATCACACGGGGCTGCTGCCACCAGCGCCGGCGGAGCTCTCGGCTCCGGATCCGGCACTGTTGGCCGCGGCAACGGGGCCAGCGGGAGCACAGCCCGGATCGGCCGCTACGGTTGCGGAGGTACGTGGCGATGTTGGCGCAACAGCAGCACATGCAGCGGCAGTGGACGCGGCACAGGCCGCTCCTGCCAGCAGCGACGCAGCAGCATCCCCCATGCAGCTGGCGATTCGCACCGCCCTCGCTGCTGCCATGCAGCGGTACGACATGCCGCCGCCGTCAACGACGCCGTCGGCTCCTGCGTCCGCCGCCGCCGCCACCGCTGCCGGCACGCCCCTTCCAACGCTGCTTCCCCCTTCTCACGCAGCCGCTCCCGTCGTCGGCCTACTTCACGCTTCTCACCCGCCATCCCTCGTCGCCTCCGCCGCCAGCCCAACGGGAGCAGCTCCCAGCGCCACCTTCCCGCCACCCACCGCAACGCCGCCTGCACTCCCCTCAGCTGCTGCCGCCGCCGCTGCCGGCCCCTCCACAAGCACCGCCCTCGCCAAGCCACACCCCTCGCACACCCCCGCCTCCGCCGCCGCCGCCTCCCTGGCTCGTCTGTCCGCATGGGAATTGCGGGACGTGCCGCTGCTGGTGGCGGCGCTGCGTCGAGGCCTGACGGAGAGCCCCTTCCATGACGACGTGCCGTACACCATACGAGATCCGGAGCATGTTTTGGAGCAGTTGGAGGAGGCGTTGGTGGTGTTGGGTCACCCCGCGTATGCCGCACCAGCGGCGCTACCAGCGACTGCGGGCGCCGCCGCTACAGCGGCGACTGCGGGTCTGCATGGCGGCGGCGCCGCAACCGCCACCGACGGCGCCGCTGTTGGCCATGCAGCCGCACCTGAAGCTGTCGCCGGCGGTACGTTGCCCGGCGGCGCCAGGGGTTCCATGCCGGTGTCGACGGGTGGTGCTCCGCTGCCGCCAGCAGCAGCAGCGCCGCCCACTCCCCCCGCAGCAGCTGCGGCGGCAAGCAGCCTGGCCAGCGGCACCGGCGGCTCGCTCATGGGCCCGCCGCCGCCTACCGCCGCCGGTGCTGCGTCGTCTCGCGGCCTCGGGGGCAACCCCGCAGCGGCAGTCGGCAGGACACCTCCACCATCTTCCATGCCGCCGCTGCCGCCGCCGCCGCCTCACGCACAGCTTCCCGCCGTGCAGGCTCAGCTGTTGCACGCGTTGCAGGCCCTGCCGCCGCCGCCTCCCGTCTTCACGGTTCGCTTCGCAACGGACGCGGAGCTCCCTCCTGCCTGGCGGCGCTTACGTGACCGTCTGGCGGCGCAGCGGGCGCATTCTCCAGGTCCTGGCAGCACGGCGGTGGGAACCACTCGAGACGGGGATACGGCGGAGCAGACTGCGGAGACGGACCCGGCCAATGCAAGTGTGGGAGTGGGGGCGGTGCATGCGGTTGTGGGGTCGGGGATGCACCCCCCCAGAAGCACTGGGCGGGCACCAGGGCGGCTGAGTAAGAAGGTTGCGAAGTTGAAGAAGGGGCTGGGGCTGTGATCGTGATGTGGGAGGAGGCGTTGGTAGCGTTCAGTGGTGGTAGCTGGCTGGCCAGGAAGAGCGACACGAGCACCAGGATTGGGGCTGAAAGGGTTGTGGAGGCGTTGCTTGTGTGGTTATGTGGAATACTGGATTGATGAGGTTGGAAAGGAGGTCGAGAGCTCAATGGTTTCGTTGCAGGCAAACAAATGTATATCTGACAGATGGTCGCTTGGTTGCATGCATGTCAGATAAGAGATATAGGGTGTTAGCTAATAGGTACAACGTATGCCATGTAAACTGGTTAGAAATATAGTTGATCAGGCAACTGCAGGAACTGTTCACTGTGTGCTGTGGACCGCTGCGCTTCTTATCTGCCGTCTGACCTGACCCCATTGCTGTGAGGCATACGCCATACCGTAGCTGTGTGCGTGCCGCGCGTAGGCATGCTCCTGCCATCTGGTATTAAGGCAACTCGAGCTATGAGGCAATTGAGCGGAAAGGCCGGCCAGAAACTGTTGTTAATGGCTTACCGCCGAACAGACACGGCAAACATAAAGCGGGCTTGTTCACAAGCCGTGGTGGGGCATACGTTCACACCTCGCACGGCACTGCAAGAAAGGCGTCTTTATTACACGTGCCGGTCCCATGCAGGCCCCAAGTGGTTCGTCGGCGGGTATACCGGATAAGGGAACCAAGTTCAAGTTTAAGGAGAGAAACAATAACCTCATAGCGAATGGGCGCTAAGCCCACGCAACCTCTTCAACGGCATTACTTCTGTTGAAAATGCCTTGTGTTAGATACCGCAGGTCACTGCCCCACCTAAAATGCTTGCAAAGGCAAAGTATTAATTTACCGTACCAGGTAAAAGCCCTCCAACGGGCCACCAACAATAATAGTTCCTATTCTGCGGCCGCTATTACCGTGCCTGCGTCGTTGAACGCACCCGACTTTCACAGGTCAAACATTTTAAACGTCAACGTCAACGGTCAGCAGTACACACCCCTGAGTAGTGCTTCTCCTTAGCCCACTTAGCATGCCATGACCTGATAAAAGACTCTAAAACACCGCCATGATTGGGCTATGGCGGGCAGTCTTGAAGCAAATCACAACGTAATGACCACGGTTTCGAGCTCTTTTACCGCAAAATAGGGAGAGATGCACACAACAATGTAAAACCAGCCCTGCAAGATGCACTACAGCCTGAGACTCCAGGCCGTCGGCAGTTCACGCAATACGGTAGCAATAAATCACAGCCCACCACCACCAACACCACCGCCGTACTCATGTCACCAAGTCTAGAACATAGTAGCGGTAGCAACAGCATTAGCTTTCCTCGTGGCAACAAAGGCGAGGTCAGGGCTCCAGCGCAATGCTTCCGCAGCAAGCCCGCGCCCATTTTTTGGAAGGCATCAACAACCACCACATAAAGAAGCAAAGGAAAGGATCACGACCCACCCATGGTTAATAGTCCTCTCTCTGTACACAAGGAAGGCAAAGCACTTCCAAATTCCAGCAGATACAACGCTTGCCAAACAAACCCGCAAGACCCTGGAAAGTCCTGCCCGCCAAACAACAAACAACACCCGCCCAGGCACTCTCTCAAACACCCCCACGAGAAACGCAATCAGGGCAGAAAGCACATGCAATGTGCGCTCATGCCACCAGGCAGCGATTATGGAACAGTGACAAGGGCAAGGCGCGACGCAGCACCTGGCTCCCAGCAACCAGCCGGCTCACGTGCACCTCGATGTCACACTCAAGATGCAAGATGCTTATCCCGTTGGGCACAAACGTGCGCTGGAGTTATCCACCCCCGCCTGGTCCCCTTCTCCCCCAAACGTCTTTCCCGACCCCATCCCACCCCCCACGCCATCCTGGCAACCCGCCTAGCCCACATTCGGCGAATGCAGCCGCCAGTCCTTCTCCCTTTCCCCCGCTGTGCCACAAAGCTGCAGTTGCGCCTTAACTCACGAGCCTTCAACAGTTCCCTAACCCGCCAGCCGCCCATCTAACGCCTCACAGTTATAACCACACTCCGCGGCTAGCACGTTCCCACTCGTCCCCTTCTTTTACCCTCATTCGTTTCCATCGCCCCTCACTCTTGGCCGCCTGTCTAGCATGCGAGCAGCAGCGATAGCAAACCCCGCCCCTCTTATCATCCTCATCAGTACTCCCAGCAGTCAAACGACGACGCGTAGTCGTTTGACCCCAGCAGCGCCGGGCCCCGGCCGCCGCACCGGGAAAACAGCGCCACCTCCTCCTCCGTGTACTGCTTGCTCATCCAGGGGTGCGCCAGCAGCTCCGCCGTGCTTGCGCGCTGGGAGGGGTCCCGGTGGAGGGCCTGCAGCCGGGCAACAGGCGGCAGCAAGGGCGTAAGAATCCGGGTGGCGATGCGGTTTCGGAGGAGCCAGAAGGACGGGAAAGCCGGCGGTATGACCAAGCCCACGCCTACGTTGCAGTGCTCGGAGGAGAAAGGCCGTGTACCGGTAAACGAGTAGTGAACGGTGCATTATAGAGCGGTGTGCGGATGTCTTTTCAGGGCGGACTGGCGCCCTGTTCTTCATGAAGCCCTTCCTTGATACTCACAGCAGCAGCTATCGGCAACACACACATTCCTCATCCAGCCGCACCTGTTCGAGCCACTCTGTGAACTCGCGGCTCAGGTTGGACGGCAGGTTGACCTTGTCGCAGTGTGCGATGCTGTACAACACGTTCTCGTAGTGGTAGTGGTCGGGGCTGAAGGGGTGGCACCCGGTGACCGCTTCCAACGCCATCACGCCTAGAGCCCACACGTCGTTCTGAAAGAAGAGAAAGGAAAGCGCAAGAGGTTGGCGCGATGCATGTCAGGCACGAAATGAAGCCAGTTAATAATGAAACGCGCGAATGGATATGCGTGCACTACTGGTATGCTGGACGGGTGTAGGAACTTGTGGACCAGTATCAAGTAGCAAACACCTCTTTTGCCACTGCTGCTGCTGCTGTTGTTGCCCGGGCTGCTGCAAAGCGCCGTCAAGCTTGAAACCAGCTAGTACGTACCTTCGGCCCAATTGCCGACTGCATTCCGTGATTCCGAAACATCGCGCGCAGCACCTCCGGCGCAGCATACAACGGCGTCCCTCCTGCCGTACAGATTGCTGTACTTGATGCCCTATAGGTGGTGCTGCTGCAGGTGCTAGCACTGCAGTCGCTGTCTATTGACCTAGATCCAGTGGACCCGGATCCTAAGCTCGCTGAGCAACTGTCGGAGTCGGTGAGGGAGCAGGAATCCTCCGCTATGTGTGTTGGCTGCGCGAGTCCAAAGTCCGCTAGTTTGACCGTATCGCTGCCGCTGACCAGACAGTTTTCTGGTTTGAGGTCACGATGCGAAAAGCCCTGAGCGGTGGGATGGAGAGGAGACATGGAGGATAAAGTAGGAGGGAGATAGGTCAGTATAGGCTAGTAAGGAAACAAAACGGCAAGGCTGTTGTGCTTGATTATGTATCAGGGTTGTCTATGGGCTGCAAGACGTGATGCGTTGAAGCAGCAATAAGGTAGCATAACATGGCACACAAACTTCCCAGACATCCCCGTCGTCCCAGACTGTCTCCGGGGTTAGCACTTTAAGAGGTCAAAGCAGCGCCGCGACTAGAATTACGCCTAAGGACTAAGGTTTCAAGCTTACGAATGGGAACACGAGGGAGGCAAGGGGAAATTACCTTGTTGTGCACCACATTGAGGGCTTGCAACACCGGAGCGATGAAAAAGTCGCGTATCCGGCATTCTGTCAACCCTTGCAAATGCTTTCTAAGGTCGCCGCCATTCGCGTATTCTAGTAAAAGGTACACCCGGGCGTAGTCCTCAAATGCCTGGACGGGAGTAATGAAACGCATGGCTTCTCATACAAAAGCTGTTCAAGAAGCCCAGGATGGCGTAATGGCACTTACCGCTAGAAATTGGACGATGTTTGGGTGCTGCAAGCTGGAGTGTATGTCGATTTCCGTTTGGACCTGCCAAGACAAAGTTCACATTCCACGCCGTCAATAGGAGCGTCACGCAAAAGTATATGAAATTCCATTCTATGTGCGATCGCACCTGTTGCCTGGCTCCAGGGCTCAGCTGGTCACGCTGATAAGCCTTGACGACCACCTCGCTACCAGTGCACTTACACCTCGCCACTGACACGTAGCAGTCGCTATGGTATGCCAGGGGTCTTCGCGTTTCAAAGGCGTCGCTTAAACAGCTGCAATGGGAGCGTAAGGACACATGTACTAAACTCGACATTTTCCGTGGGAACGTCCAAGCAAAAACAGCCACACCTGGCCTCCTCAATGGCGTCGCAAACTTCCTGAGGGCAGGCAGCGCTGCTGCACAGGAGCTGCATTTGTGGACGCCTCGGGACGCCTGGGGACGCCTGATACGACTAAGGTCTGTCCTTTTTGCCAGTGTTCAGAATAGCAGCTATTCTTATGCTCCTGGCCTAGGCCTTAAATGCTTAGTCGAAATTGTGACGGGTAACTTTGGCCAACACTACCCCAAAGAGGCTGGTCACGGCGACAGGTCAAAAAGGCCGAGACACGTTTATTGTCAAGTGCCTAAGTGTCCATGCAAGTAACGATACTAAGCAAGCCTTGTTTAGCAGCGGCCGTGGAGTTGAATGAAGGCAACGTACGACAGACAGACGACGCATCCGTACATGGTGGGCGATAGCACGTTGTGCGAGCGTAACCTTGCGGCGCTTTACTCTGTCAGCTATGCGTTGATGAGCTAATAAGTAGTAGAATTAGTTGGCATTCGCCTTCGTATGCGTGGGCCCGATGGCAACTTCAAGGCCGTTTCCAACTGGGCAACGTCTATAGGACAGCAGCGATTTCTCGCGGAAAATGCCGAGCTTGCGATCTGTTATTTCGCACCCCGATCCTTACTGAGGGGATCGGTGGCGTTGAGGCGTTAGGACAGTTAACTGCTATAGCGGCGATTCGGCCTCGTATGTCTATTCCGTCCCCGTCTAAACACAACACTCATGCACTTCTGCGTATGGCAAAAACATAGACAAGGATACGCGCTCGTTCTGCCCTTGGCAGACGACAATGCAAGAGGATGTAGCGCCGTCTTCGTCCCTAAGCAAACCCTTTATCGCAGGCCGCTATACGTTAAAGGGGATTCTTAGACCGCCTTCTACGGATGACGGTTGGCTTACGGCTGGAACAAAGTCCACGGGCCATTGAACAGTCCGCGTGGGTTTCCCGGGTGTATGACAAGCTACTCCTCTTGCAAACAATGGCATGCCCCGAAGGGACGCTCTACAATGTGGTCTTGTCTGCGTGGTGCTCAAAGGGGTTGCCTGCATAGAGAGTTCCTATCTGCAAATGCTGCAGCAAACGTGCGCTAGCCTCCAAAGTATACACATCAAGAGTTTTTCCGTAGCAGATACGTGTAGAGTTGTAGACCCCAGCCCCCGTCCTACACCCGGATTGCCATGAATGCATCAAGACGGCCTACCCCGCCCCGATTCTCTCTTTCGCCGCTATGCACTGAACCAAAGCATGAACAGGCATCTCCCCAACCCATGCGCTTCCATGCCGTGCATGCCGGATAACATCGTGCTTACATTGCAATTATGTGTAACAGGTGAAGTATTCACATGCCCGCAAACAGCTCAGCTCCTCGCTCCACATCAGCCAGCACCTCCCGTCAATACCCCATGGGCCTTCCACATTGCTCCCTATTCCTGCCTACGTCGGCGACAAAAGCCCCTTCACAAACAGTACTTGTCCGCCCTTTGCTCACTGCACCACGTGGCTCATGTGCGTGCTCCCGCGCCTTCTGTTAGTCAAGTCTCTCATTGTACACGTGGTACGTCCAGTGGCCAGCACACGCCTTCGTCATGAGAAGACTGACAAGCGCGAGCCGCCAGTCGGCTGAAGTGCCCCTTTGTTCACTTGCTGTTGCAAGCACAGGTTGAGGGCAGCCAACACTCCACATCGCCACTCGGACGCGGGATCATGTTGGAAAGCATGTCCCTTGCACTTACTCTCCCATGCGCAGTCACATACCACCCTAAGCCTCATGTACCTTTAGATCTTGGCCCATGGCCAATCAGCCTTCCCGCCTACTGACCATCACTCCTTCTCTCATCGTTCACAGTACCATCCCTGCAATCACCCCGTCTATGGTAACATGCAGCCCTGCATTCCGCCAACCCTTATGCTTCCAGCAGTTCGTGGCTTACAGCAACACAGCATGAGCTATGGGAGCGCTGGAGGACTTGACAAAACGCTGGGACAAAACCTCCAGCCCCTCTCCCGCATGCGTGTAGTAGACCTGGCTGAGCCGACCTGCCGAGCTGTCACCTAGCTACCTCGCGTTGGCCGATTCGCCCTCGCCACAACGATAGACCCATGGGTCGAAAGTCCTTCGCCAACTGCATCCGGATTCCCTCCGCCGCATGCTTATGCATTTCTACCGGCCCACAGGTCGCTTTGAATCCATTACTCGATCTCGCTATGTTGCTGGTGCCGTTACTATCACTGCTGCTACCACGCAAGCGCAAGCTGCCACAAGCTACAGGTCAAATGCAGACTCCTCAAAAGGCTTTCCACCCAGATTTCCCACCCAGTGTCCGCCGCCGCCGCCGACCTAGCGGGGTTGTCCTCTTTGTCATCTTGTCGAGCGGTTCATCAAGCGCTGAGTGCCTGGATGGCGATCTGGGTCAGCAGGTGCGAGGAGATCAGGGTGGCGGACAGCGCCGCGGCGGTGGAGGGGGCGGACTGGGAGGCGGCCCACTGCGCCTGGTAGGCGCGGATGAGGTAGCCGCCCGTGGGGTCTGAGGGGCGGAGGGCGGAGGGGAGCGGGGCGGTGACGCTACAGCCTACTCTGGGATTGGGGAGCCGTCCCGTGTGGGATGTGGTCATGCTGCGACCGCCCTTCCGCACCATATCCCAACCCGGCCCTCACCTACCCCACCCTCCCCTTGCAACTCCCCTCTCCTAACCCAACCCAACCCAGCGTACCCCTCCTCCCCAAACCACCCCTAACCGCGCCCCCCTCCCTAACCCGCACCCTTCCCTAACCGCGCCCCCCTCCCTAACCCGCACGCCTCCCTAACCCGCACCCCCCCTGACCCGTGATCAGGTGCTCCACCAGCTTGTACTTGATGGACGGCGGCGCCAACGTGAACACCACCAGCGCGAACGCAATCAGCTGACCAGGTCCCAGGTTCGAGGCCAGGAAGCCGCGCCAGAAAAACGAGGGAAGCCCGAAAAACGTCGAGAAAAAGTCGTTCGTGGCCGCCAAGTCCAACGTCGCCAGCAGCTCCATACCGAACACCTGGAAAGCCGCTTGCGTGCGCTTCTCCTGCGGCCACAACGCATCCCACACGCGCTTGCTCACACCCTGCGCGCCCAGTCGCCCGCCGCATGCTGCATCCACCGCCAGCGCTGCCACGATTTCCTCCGCCACGCGGGGAGCCTCCCTGAAGGAGCGGCTGACGCTGAAGCCCGTGGCGGGGTGCACCAGGCAGGCGGCGGCTCCGAAGGCGGTGAGGGGCTGGTCGGCGGCGGGGAGCGGGCCCCCCACCGGGATGTAACTCCACTCCTCCTCGTGGATCTGAGGAGGGTAGAGGAGGTTGTGGAAGAGGAGGTTGAGAAAAGCGCAGGAAGATGGGGGGCAGAGGGAGTGTAGTTGTAGGAGGGCGTGAGGAAGGAGAGGGCATAGAGGGAATTGTGGGCAGGTTAGGGTGGCGGGATGTGGGAGACATTCGGCTTACGGTACCAGCCCAACAAACCCTTATCAGTAGCCCTTATCAGTGATACGGACGGGTAAAAACAGACCAGAATGGCGCTGGGGATCATCAAACCTTCCAAACCTTGCACCGCTACAGTACAATACGCACACGACGCACCTTCTTGACTGAGATCCCCATGGCCTTCAGCCGCCGCGTGAGTCGGCGCTTGAGCACCGCGAAGGGCAGTGCGGGTTTGGCCACCAGGCAGGTCTCCTCCAGGAACACCCGCCCGCCCCCCAGCGGCATGGCGTACAGGAAGGAGGGGCTCTCGGAGGCGCTGCCCCACAGCCCCTCGCCCGCGTTGGGGTGCTGGCCGGCCTGAGGTGGGGGTGGAGGGGGGGAGGGGGGGAGTGAGGCAGGACAGTACGAACGTTCCCCGGGGAGTCAAGGATAGACAACCATAGGAAACAACAAGTTAGGGCAAAACAGTGGGGATATGCCTGAGGAAGGTTTAGGAGGGAGGGTAAGTGAGGCTAGAGATAGTGCTAGAATTTCCCACCGAGCAGCAGCTCAAGCTGATCCTGGGCATCCCGGCACTCAACCATCCGCCCAAGGCAGCAACAGAAGCCCAACAGCAACAACATCCGCAACAGCGCCGCCCGCCCGAATGCACGCACCTGCAGCCGGGGCGCCGTGGCGTCGTACAGCCCCGTATGGTGGCGCCGGAAGTCCATGAAGAGCATGGCGTCCGTGGGGTAGGCGCCCTCGTAGCCCTCTACCTCCGCCTCGATGCCGTACGCCGTCTGCGCCGCCACCACCGGCCCCGCCTCCTCGTAGCGCAGGAACTTGCCGGCGGCGGCGCCGGCAGCCACCGTGACCAGCCTGAGGAGCCGGGTGGGTGAAGAAGGGTAGGTGGGTGACGGTGGATGACGGTGGATGCAAAATACGGTAGTAATAAGCCTGGTTGGGACATGAGAACTAGTAAGGCAAAGACATTAAGGTTGAAAGCGGCACTGTCTGTTGCTTTACTGCTGGTATCGTGTCCATTGTAGGCGTGGGTGGTGGTGGGTGCATGCACTGGAGGAGGGCGGCCTGTGAGCAGCGGCAACACAGCAGCAGCAGCAGCAGCGGAACACCGCCCCCTTGTCGCGCCCGGCGCCCCCTTGTCCCCACAACGCATACGCCCAACTTCCTTCGCCTGCCCCACCAACGCCGCTGTGCCTCCCCTCCCCTCCCGCCGCCCCACCTGCTGCCGTACACGGTGCCCTCACGAGTGGTGAGCCGCATGCGGCCGGCGCCAGCGGCCGCCTCCGGCCCCGCCTCCGCCCCCTCCACCAGCTGAATGTCGGTCACCTCGCAGCAGCTGAAGCGCACCCCCGCGGCGGCGCACAGCTGCAGCAGGTGAGCCCGCAGCTTGCGGCGGCTCACCCGACCGTAGCCGCGACCCACTCGAACCTGGGGGCCAGGGAGAGGAACCAAGCCGTGGGGAAGGGGAGCGATGGAGGCAGGAGGTGGGAAGGAGGGAGAGGGGAGTGTGGGGCGACAGGAGAGAGAGGGGATTAGGGCTCAGGAGCACGGGAAGGGGGCAAAAGAGGGAAGGGAGGTGGGGAAGAGGGATGAATGGCATGCTGACGCAAGCGGCTGCGGTTGTGTTTTCGTGGTGCTTTGGTGGTGGCAGTTTCGGTGGGGTGCATGCTGGAAGGCTGCTGCTACCCATAGCATGCAACAGTGGGTCGCGTCGGTAAGGTCATGAGGCCATTACCCATGGCTTTGAAGAACACGGTGCGGCGCGGGCTGGCAAGGGCGCTGTCGCGACCCAAGGGTCAGTCAGCGATTCCACAACCCCAACGTCGCCATCCCAGCCGCTGAGGCATGCATTCCCTGTTAGCTCAGGTCGTAGGCTGAAGCCTACGCTGACGTCTTTCCCTTACACCGTCCGCCCCCAAGCCTAACCCGCCCCTACGACCCAGGTCCAGGTCCAGGCCAACCCGCCCAACCCACCGCCACCCCTGCACCCCCCGCATCCCATGTTGCCCCAAGCTGCAACCCCGGCTCAGCTTCCCAGTATTTACAGCTCCGTGCTCCTCGCCTTTCCCTCCCCTTTCCTTTCCCTTTCCGATCAGTGTTTCCGCCGATCATTCCCTGCCTGGCCGGCTTTACCCCCCCCCCTCATGCTCGTCATTCAGCTTGTCAGTGTTTCTTTATTTTTACCCCCCTCATGCTCATCCGCACCTCCTTTCCCTCCCCGAAGTAGCACACCGCGTCCGGCCAGGCCGCCTCCAGCGTGTCCTCCAGCCCCAGCTGCCGCCACTCGTCCACCCACACGCCGTAGTTGTTCACGATGGGGCCGTCCAGTCCTGATGGAAGGGGAGAGGGGAAGGTGGAGGGTGGGCAGCGTTGTGGGATGACCTTTTGCTAATCTCACGGAGCTGGGATTCCCTTATGCCGGTAGCAGAGCAGGCAGGTTGGCATGCCGGGGAGACTGTGGCAATGAGGCTGTTTCGGCAGGGCCGGCCAGATAGAAATTGTTACCGACAGGTAGACAGTTTCTACCGGGGGCCGGAGCTGGTAAGCGGGTTGCGGGACATTTACCATACACGTGATACCGTTGTAGGCGGTCTAGAACTGGGGTTGTTACCAGAACTGTGAATGTTTCTTCCGGGATGTGCTACTCGTGTTCGCAACATGCACTGACGGCCTTGGGTCAACATGCTGAGGTGCACGGGGCCGCCATCACACCCCAAATCAAACGCATCGTAGCAGCTAGCAAAAATGCCGTACTGACAGGTGGTACGACAGAGGCCCCGTGCTGTTGGATACACGATGCTGGTGCAGTGCAGCGGAGTGTGCTTTGGGACTTACCCAGGACGTTCACAGAAAGGCCGCGCTTTGCGACTTCTGCTGCGAGGAAGAGCCCCGCGGGCCCCGCGCCCACGATAGTGAGGTCACAGGGTGCCGAGGGGTCGGCCGGTGCCAGGACTGATGCAATGCTCGCCTGTCCTTCATCGGCTTTGTTTGCCTAAAATTCAAGGGAAAAGGTCGCATGTTATTTTACATTAGGTTTATGGGTTGAGGGACGCAAGAGACTTACCTGGAGGTTCACCAGAGCAGACTCGTAGTGGCCTTCTCTAATCGTTTGGTTAAGCGTCGTGGGGACAAGTATCTCCGTCTCCACTGGCCTGGTAATCACAGCGGATGCCGACGAAGATGGAGAAGATGCCTTATCTGTTACACTGACTTGGCAAGCGACCCGGCGACGGCAGCTTGCATAATGCGCGGCCACACATGCTTTGCTAGGCGCCGGCGAATACCCCGACGAAGTGGAAGGCGTGCAGCTACGTTTAAACGCTTGAAGGTTCATAGCGACACTGGCCGGCGAATTATGCTACGCGGGCAGCAGTGCGCTTTGCTTGCACCCCGCCCAGGCACGCGAGCCGGAGTGCGGATCAGGACACCTCAAGGGCGCAATGGCTTCGCTTTGAGGTATGCTTTGAGTAAATTGTAGGTGCTTTTGCGCCAGCGGCTAGGCTCGCCGAATATATGCAAGAGTACTGAGGAATGGGAAGGAATAACACATTGAAAGCTGCCCTCTACTACGGATTAGAGACTATGACACACTTATACATCTTTGAGCAACCTGCGGCTAGCCCAAAGGACGGGTTGTTTCAAGGCGCCGAAACCAATAAGATGTCCCTCGTCCCAACGTCCTAACGAACTAGAAACTTAGCACTCTTGCTCAATTGTTTATGCACGCAAGGCTAACTCCTGCTTAGGCACCATTGCTTTCGAAAGTTGCCGGCGTAGGGACGAAAACTTTGTGGGTTGACTGCACGTATACGTAGAGGTTTGTGCGAAAGACATTGAACTAGAGACCGTTTTACGTTTCCACACAAGTACTTTAGAGCTTGGATTTATAACTGGCTTTTAACTTCTTACCGGTCCTCTGGAAGATCGACTGCTGCAAGCTCTAGCTACTAGGCGTACTATTGCGTAACCTCCGCCCGCTGCAGCCAGAGCTCAGCGGGCGGGGTCTGAAGGATGGCAGATGCACTCTTCGGCGCAGTAGGCAGGGAGGCTAACTTCTGTTGGCAGGACCGCGAAATACGCTTCGACAGCAACTTAACAGACGTCGGGCCACGACAAGGCGAAGAGCTGATATCTGTCTTGGTGGGAAAAACATGACTTGCGGAACTGTCCATTAGTTGGGCATGCCAAAATCGCCAGATGCCGCTTACACGTGGTGCTCGCCCATAACCAGGACGCTGTGGAAGACACCAAAGGAAACAATGGGGATGCGGGAGAGCTGCGTATCACCAACTTGCGACTCGTTTGGGTCTCTAAAAAGAACCGCCGGACCAACATCTCCATCGGCTACAATTGCGTCACCTCCGTCACCATGCGCTCGGCGACATCCCGCATCAACGGTACGCTTGGTCGGGGAGGAGTGGACTGTGTGGGATGAGGCCTGAGGCCAGGGGTAAGCGTCACCGGCACAGCCCGCTGGTGTGCAGTGTTCCGTTCATTCCCGGCCCTTGCTCATGAGTGCCTAGGAGGGCAAGAGACGCACAAATCGTTGCGTGGAGCTGCCCAAATCAAACCCCCTTCCTAGCGGTCCAGTTGATCCGCAGCTTGCGCCATAGCCGCCACACGGGGCCACTTCACCGTTACCCTCACACCTTTCAGCTCCCCACCTTCCCACGCCCCGCCTGCCTGCCCTCCTGCCTGCAGGCGCCACACAATCCCTCTACGTGTTGACCAAGTACCACAACCAGCGATTTGAATTCATATTCACGGCGCCCTCCGACAGCTCGGACATGCTGTTCGGCAGCGTGCAGGGTGTCTTCAGGGCGTACGAGAACAGCCGCCTCTACCGCGACCTCAAACTGCGAGGTGAGGGCTGCTGGGACGGCCGCCGGTGGGCCTTACGTTGCGGCGGTTGGTGGGGGGCATTAAGTACTGTAATAGATCTTAGCATCCCTTTGCCGTCTGCACCTTTCGACTCCCTCACCTTCCCAGCCGCCCGCCACCGCACCCTGATACCCCTCTTCCCCTCCTCCAAGGAGGCTGGTGCCCCGTAGGGACTGCATACCCGGTATCCTACCCTTCACCCCATTTGCCTTTTCTCTAGAAGCCTTCCTCCTAGCTCCTAGGTCTGGGTTTCCGACATTCATCCGGCCGAACCTTCCAGCACCCTTCTTCCTCCTTCCTTCCTTTCCCTATCCACACTCCCTTCTCCCTTCCCTCTTCCCCCCCTTCACTTTCCATTCCCCGCCACCCCCTCCCCGCCTCCAGGCGCGCTCATCATCGAGCGCGAGCTGAAGCTGCTGCCCCTGGAGCAGACCTACAGCCGCGTGAACGGCGTGTGGAGCCTGATGGCGGAGCAGGGCAACCTGGGCACCTTCTTCATCTCCAACGTGCGGGTGGTGTGGTACGCCAACCTGGTGGAGGGCTTCAACGTGTCCATACCCTACCTGCAGGTGGGAGGCGGAGGGAGGGGGGGAGGAGGGGAGGGGAGGGAGAGGGGAGGCTGCAGGGTGAAGTGGGCGGGGTGTGGGGCAAAGGGAGGGATAGGGGTTGCCCTAGCGTATGGGTGAGGGAGGAAGGAGGAGTGGAAAGAGGGATTAGATAAACTGAGCCGAAAGAGGAAAGAGGGATGGGGATTGCGAGTGCAAAAGGGATGCTATAAAGGGAGGTTGGGCCACCTGCTGCTACGGTAGCCTGCCGGCTCAGGGCTTTGGGTTGGGGACCCCCAAAGGTCAGGCTTGCTGACACAAAGGGATACCAAGTTACTGAAGCGCTCCTCCGGCTGTTGCAGCAGGTAACAACACCCTTCGCCCCTCTCCCTCTCCGCCCCCCCCCCGTGCTTTCCTATGGTTTGGTATTGTCTTTGACTATGCCACCCCTCCCTGCCCCCCAAGATCCGCTCCGTCAAGATCCGCGACTCCAAGTTCGGTCAGGCGCTGGTGATCGAGACCAGCCCCGCCAGCGGCGGCTACATCCTGGGCTTCAAGGTGGACCCGCGCGAGACGCTGGAGTACGTGTACAAGGAGATCAGCAGCCTGTGGCAGGTGGGCGGCAGGGGGGTGGGGGGGTGATGGTGTGCGGGAGGGGTGGTGTGCGCGAGGGGCTTGCGACAGCGCGCATATGCGCAGGGGTTCATGGGCTCTGGTTGGGCGCGTTCCTGTTGGGTAATGTGTTGTGGACAAGCCGGTATGTTACCGTAGGCTTCGCGACTCCACCCCGTCCCGCTCCCCTCTTCCCTCTTCCCCCCCGCCCCCCAACCAGGTCTACACGGCCAACCCGGTGTTCGGAGTGGAGTACCGGCCGGATGAGTCGGGGATGGCGGCTCCGGGCGGACTCATGATCGCACCCTCGTAAGCAGGGGGGTGGGAGGAAACGGGCGGTGACACAGGGTTTGAGACATCTTTCCCACCCAATCATCGGAGTCTTCTGTGTAGAGGGTTTGAAACGTGCGTGTGGAGAAGAGTGGTTGTCAAGTACAGGCTGTAGATGCCTGGAGAACTAGAAGACGCCGGTACATGCGCCAATTGTCAAAGTTACTCCCAAGCCGCAACCCTAACGTCACATTTACCCCAATTTTGCGGAAATCCTTTTATGAAACAGGGAGCAGGACATCGAAATTGTGGAACCGCCGGATCGTGGGGACGCGCTGGCCCAGTATTATGCGGATGCAACGAAGGGCGTCGACCGAGACCCCGTATACTGCGCCGAGCTGGGGCTTGCTGTTGAGCAGCTTAAAGAGGGCCTAACAATTGAGCAGCTTTGGAGCGTGCTGTGAGGTTTTCCTAGGTTGCATTACCGGGATGTATGGGGTTGGGACCTTTGTCGATTAGCTGCGTAGTACTTATGCTTTGCGGCTGAATTGCCGGCTGGAAGGGTAGAGTGAGCATGTACGTTCGGGAGCGCCATTCCCCATATGTCATGAATCCGCTGGATCATGTACAGCGTGCATTTCATATCGCCACTATGGTATTCTTGCGTTCGCTCAAGCTGTAAATTATTATTACTGTAAGAACGCCATATAGAGACAGTAGTTACAAGGTTACCTACACGGCTGTGCGACTTGACCGCGTCGAGATCATCGCTTGCTTGACCAGGAGAAATGGCATCTTGCATGATCTCCCGCTCGATGCGCTTTGGGGTTCGGCCTCAGCGACGGTCTGCCACGATTACGCGGGCTGAGGCGCAAAGCACAAAAGTTTCGTTTAAAGTTACACGGCATGTGGACTTCGGCCAGAGCGTCCTTCTTGTCGGCAGCGCTCCGGAGCTGGGGGCTTGGGATGCTAAGCGTGCTCTGGAGCTCAATTGGAGTGCGGGAGACAATTGGTCGGCTTCGGTAACGGTACCCGCAAGGTCAGGAACCACGTCCAGGCCCTTTCTAAGCATACTGACAAAGCAAAACCATTTCAGGAACATGATAAAATTTAGGTTCAGATGCATGACCTGCTCCCTAACCGTCCTGCATTGGATGTTTCCGCAACTGGGTGTTGCGCATTTATTCTTATCAGGTCCTCAATGGAGTACAAATACATCGTGAAACGCAAGGATGGACTCGACTGGTGCCCAGGGCAAAACAAGGCCGTGGTCCTGCCGGAGGCAGCGGCCGTAGAGGTGAGGCCACTTGCAAAGCGGGACGCAAGCCTGGCACCATCCCACGAGCAATGTTTCATAGTCTTATAGTCGCCCCAGCAGCGTGTTGCTGCCGTGACCTTCAAAGTTCCCTCAGGTTCGTTCCTTTCGTAACTCAACTGTACGAAAGTGATCACCTAGGCCCAACCCACCCGCCCTACGGCCTCCCCACGAGTAACACCCCAACCGCCGTCAGCAAACGCCATCGCCCCTTCCTCTCCGCCCCTCTCCCGCGTGCCCCCACCGTCCACCCACTCCCACCAGGTCAGCGACTCCTGGGACAACCGCGCCAGCTCCCTGGCCGTCCTCAAGCCCCTACCGGCCGCACCCGCGCCCGCTCCCGCTCCCGCCGTTGAAGCCCCCGTGGTAGCAGCCGTGGCTGCCGCCCCGGCCGCCGCCACCACCCCAGCACCCGCAGAGCTGCCCTCGACAACCGCCATGCCAATTGCACCTGAGCCGGCCGCCACCTACGCAGCTGCGGGTACGAACGGTGTGCCCCCTCCCGAGGTGGTTGCTGCGACTGCTATTGCCGCGGAGGCGCCCTCGCCCGTGAACACGATGGACAACATCTTGATTTCCGAGGTACGGCAGAGATGCCTGACGTACACAGATTCGCTTTTGCCGTCATGTTGCCTTTTTATGTTTCGTACCCGTCATCTTTGCACCACAGCCGTGCCCTTGCCTTGCCAACGAGCACGTTACCAGTATTTGTGGAACCGGCTCTGTGACCCGATTACACCGCATGCACTGCACTCTCTTCCCTGCTCTCCCTCCCCTTCTTTACCCTGCCTTCCCTACCCCGCTACTCCACCTCGCAGTTGATGGCGGCTCCCGCGGAGGCCCCCAGCACCGGCTCTGCAGCGGCCGCCCCCACCTTCCTGGAAACCACCTTCGAGCCCTGCTTCCCTGCGCCGCCGCCACCCACCTCCCCGCAGCAGCCGCAGGAGGGCCCGGGCGCCTTCGCGGCCAACAACATCGTGCAGACGTACCCCAAGGGGGCGGTGCCGCTGGGGGGCAGCAGCGACCCCATCACACAGTACGAGGAGGCGGACTCGTACAAGGTAGGTGGGCAGCCGGGCGCCGAGGTGTGGACGTGTGCATGACTGGGGGATGAGACAAGTAAGGGAGAAAGGGGCATGGGAGAAACTGTTAAGTGATAACATGCTGCCTGGTCGCAGCCTTTTGCATTCACCTGTATCGGCTATACTACATGTGTGCGCCTACTTCATCCCGCCGCCGCTCCCCTTCCACATACAGGTCGTCGATGTGGTTCCGGCGGCCGCCGACAAGGGCCCTGCAGCGGCGGCGGCGGCATCAGCCACTGCAGTGGCGACGGAGGCCCGGCCGGCCAAGTCCAAGCCGCTGGACTCCATGACCGTCTCACAGCTCAAGGCGGAGCTCAAGCGACGCGGGCTGTCGTCGTTCGGTAACCGGCGGGAGCTGATCGTGCGGTTGCGGGACGCGGGCGCACTGTGAGGCGGGGCCTGGACGTCAGGTTGTTGTTCTTGCTGTTGCTGAGGTGGGGTGGCGGGGTGAGTCCCTCTTTACTGGCGCGGCCTCCGTGCGTTGGGGAATTCGGCGGGTTAAGGTTTGGGTGTTGGGTTGGGGGCTGCGAGGTGGCGGCTGAGGGTGCCAGTGGTGGTCGTCCCTGGGGGGCCTGCAGCAGTAGGGTGATGAGTTTTGGTGGTTTTGGTGCTGGGTAATGGAGCGTGTGCCGACGGGGGCGTGGGTTTCACTTGGAGCTGTATTGGCTGGGTTAGGTGGTGTGGAGGTGTTGCGGAGTCGAGAGGTGCTGCCATGTCTTTGGGGATTAAGCATGTGGCGTAGGTGAAGGCATGTGTCGGAGGGGCCCAAGGAATGCATGGAGAGAGGGTTCAGATGTATAAATGCAACACATGTATGATCATGCTGCGTCTGATGACGCTTTAGGAGGAGGTAAATACTTAAAAGAGTGCTTGGTGGTGGGTGGGTGGAGGTAAGAATGTGTTCTCTTGGCTTTTGCTGGCATGCATCGTGTATTCTTTTGGTCTTTACGCTGCTCATGGTTGTGCTTTTGAGAAACGATCGTGTATCCTGTCATTCTTTGCCTGAAATTTCCGCTGTTCGGCTTCGTGGTCGTATTTCTTGCCATTTTCTAGGGTGCATGCAATAATGTGGCAGTGTGATGCGCAGGTTCAGCTGACCCGTGGGTCGTGACCTGGCCGCCTGTGATGTGCATTTCGCACCAATTATAGCAGGGTTTGTGTCCTTGCGGCCAGTTCAGTGATACAGGGTTGTCGTGACGTGCTGACGACCCTTGGCGTGCGTCTGGGCTTCATCAGGGTCAGTAAAAGCTCCCAATAGAGTTGGCCCAATGCCTGGTGAGGTAGCAAGCAAGCAAGCTACGGTTCAGAGGCTACCGACCCGGCCTATTGTTACAAAGTTGGGCGCTTACCCAGATCGCCCAGATTACCCAGAGGCATTGATTGAACCTCGCCCCAGCTTTCCCATGCGGCCATGCCACGTGACTACCTCAATCACCAGTCCGCGCTATCTGCACTCCAGACACTCGACCTCGGCTGTTGCACCATTGCTTCAACGGCCAAACTACGTTGAAGCGGTGCCGCCAACAGAAGCGCCTCCACCTGTCCCTGCGGCTGCTGGTGAAGCTGCCTCAGCAGCTGCTGAAGATGCCGCCGCTTCCCCTGCCGGTGACGCCGCCCCAGCTGCCGCTGCCCCTGCCTGCTGCGCCGCCCCAGCTTCCCCCGCCGCTGCCCCTGCTGCTGCTGCTGCCGAGGTGGCGGCAGCCGAGGCGGAGTGCACGACCCGCTGCACGGAGGCGTCCAGAGCGAGACCCTCAGCCACACGCCGCCGTAGCGCAGCCCACGTATCCTGAAAGCCTGGCGAGTAATCCTGCAGGCATGGTGTGGCCATGCAGCTTTGAGCACAGCGCGTTTTCGGTGCATGAAACCAGACTCGCTCCCCCATGCCGTTTCATGGCCTGCCCCCGTCCCCGCCGGCAGCCCCCATGCCGTAACATCGCAGGTTGCTTACCGTTAGCATGTACAGGCTCGTGCTGGTGTATATCCCCGCCAGGGCTGCACGCTTGCTGTACCATGTAAGATCTGTGGATTCGTCGCCTAGTGCCGCCCAAATGTCATCCACCATGCTGAACAGAAGCTTAAGGCTGTGGGGTGCGTTTGATGGCCGCGCCGCGACTGCCAGCGCTTGCGGCCATGAGTCCACATAGGGCGCAACCAGTTCAAGGCGTATTTGAAGCGCTCGGGCAACACGCTCGTCTAGTGGTAGGAGCTGGAGTTCTTCCTTACGAGCCGCTATCTGCTCAACACACCGCTGGTTGCAATCATCCATGAAGTACTCCACTAGCTCTCCTTCTCCGCGAGACAGGATACCCGTAACAGCCGGTGATAATTTCAGGTCGTGAGCGGCTGCAACCAAGGCTGCAGCGGTCCATCCGCGCTCCTTAACGTGGGAAAGTGCACCCATCAACAACTCCTGCCGGAGTGCTTGCACTTCTCCGCTCGAAGCGCTAAAGGTCCTCCCAGATGTGCTTGCATCATTCGCATTGGACGCCAGCGATGTTCTGCGGCAAGCTGACTGCGCAAGTGCGCGGCATCTGCCTGCCAAAAGAAGACCACGCCCGAAGGCTGACATCCTTCGGCTTCAGGACAAATAAATATCACAGATCGCGTTGTTTATAACACTGTTCTCTCAGAGGATGAAAATCCCGTCCTAAAAGTCGTAAGCGCATACAGTAAGTGTTCACAGACACTGATGTTCCGTCCTAGAGCCTAAGCTTCCTGTAATTCTCGGATAACAGAGGGTAGCCAACCATAAAAACAACAGGTGGATGAGCGCCAACTGTCGGTCACAGCCAGTCACTAATGATACGTACGGCGTCAACGCCTAGTAAGGGACTAGGGATGCAACTGCCATCTAATACAAACCGAGCGACCGCCCTCATCGTCTATCCCCCCTCCACCTTTCCTCCACCCCTCGTCCCTACCTGCTACCCCCATCTAACCCCACAACGTATCGTTCAACCCCCTCAGTGCTTCTTCGGCTTCTTTGCCCACTTGACCGTCATTCCCAGCAGTCCAGCCGCGTGGAAGGCCAGCGTGGTCGCACAGAACGTGAGTCGCGGCGCGGTGGCCGCCTTCTCCGCCATCCCCACCCAGCTGGCCTGCTCGCGCTTGCTGCGCCACAGGAAGTGGCGGCAAAAACCGTTGCTGGATCGCGACTTCTCCTCGTCGCGTGTGAGGTCGCGGTCCACCAGCTCGGGCGAGTCGTCGTCGACGACCACATCTGAGGGCCGCCGCTGCCGCATCTTAGGAGGAGGAAAAAGGAGGCGGAAAAGGGGGGGGTCAGTTTCGGTAATGCAGGGAGCACAGGTATGTGATGATGCCTTGCGGCGGCGGTATTGGCAGCACTGCGCATACCGGTAGCATGTCCACACTAAGGTGCATAATCCACAAGCCACGGTCAGTGCACATATGCCCTATGTATCGCAACGCCCACCCCCTTCCTCCCCACGATTACCTTCCTCTTCACCCTTCCCCGCCCCCACCTACCCGGTCCTTGCGCCGGCGCTCCTCGTCGCCCTCCTCCTCCCCGTCCTGAGGCGCCTCGCTCTGCCCCCGACCGCCCTCCTCGCCGTCCTCCTCTCCCTCGCTCTCCCCCTCACTGCCGCCCTCCTCCGCGGCACCCGCCGCCGCCTCAGCCGCCGCGGCAGCAGCAGCCGCATCCCCACCTGCCGCCGCTGCTGCCGCCGCCGCCGCCAGCGCCGCCTTGTGCGCCGCCGCCGTGGTGCCGCCGGGCGCCGGCATCTTCTCCGTGAAGCGCGGGTGCCCCTCCTGCGCGCTGTGCGCAAAGAACCAGCGCTGCAGCTCCAACAGCCGCCTACTCAGCTGCGCATACACCGCCTTGACCTCGGGAGCAGGCCCTCCACCCTGCACTGCTCCCGCTGCTGCTGCCGCTCCCTCCACCCCAGCACCGCCCTCCTCACCTCCCTCCACCTTCACCACCGCACCCCCCTCCGCCACCCCCGCGGCAGCATCCTCCGCCGCCCACTCCCCATCCGGCTCCGCGTTTTCCACCACCGCCACGAACCGCTCCCGCCAGTCCCGCCACCCCCGAGCCGGCCCCGGGACATCCTCCGCCTCCGCGCGTGTCGTCATCTCCACAACGCAGTCCACCAGCTGCCGCACACTGGGACCCCGATAGGGCCCGGAAAGCGGCCCGCCAAAGTCCTCCCCGTCCAGTCCGTACCCCTCCATGGCGTCGGCCGCCTCCGCCAGTGCGGTTTCCGCCGCCGACGCCGCCTCGCCGCTCTGTACGAGGTGTCGTACTTTTGCCATGGCGGTGAGGATGGCCGGCTGCGCCTTCTCCAGGGCCTTACGCAGCTCCGACTCACGAATGCCCTGAGGTGGGTGAGGAGGAGGAGTGCAGCAAGGGCAAGCAGGGAAGGATGTTAGCGCCACAAGAGGTAAGAGATAACCAAGGGAGGATATCATAGCGACGCTGATCGCTTCTTGTAACCCATACCTCACCACCCACCCACCCAGCACCTTTTCCCCCCACCGCATGTTTTTGCTTCTCCAATCTCCGGCACCCACCCCGCCACCCACCCCCGCCACCCACCCTGACATCCAGGCTGCCCAGCAGCGCCTCCAGCTGCTCCGGCCCGCTGATGGCGCTCCAGCCGCCCTCGCAGTGCTCCACCAGCACCAGCGACCGCAGTCCCGCCAGTCCCCACCAGTAGCGCCGGTGGTGCCGGTCGCTGCCCAGCGGGGCGCGCCGGATGTGGCAGCGGTCCAACTCCCGGTCCAGCGCCTCCTGGCGGCTGGGGGAGAGATGGGTGGAGGAGTGAGGGGGAGGGGGCATGGGTGGAGGGGGAAAGGTGTCGAATAGGTGCCGCTGCATGTTTATTCTACAAGACAGAACAACAAGGGCACATCCGGAGAATTACCGATGCTCCTAACGTGCTAGCACAGCGTTTGAACGCCCAGGGTCAGTGACATAGCATCCGCCCCCCTGCCCCTCCCCACCCGGGTATCACCCCTCTTCTCCCCCACTCACGCCACTAGCGCCTCCTCCGCCTCCCTCCGCTCCCTCGCCACCCGCTGCTGCTCCGGCTCCAGGTGCCGGCGCCGCAGCTCCCGCTCCTTCGCGCGCCGCTTGAGGTCCGCCTGCCACTGCGCCCGAGCCCGCTCCAGACGCTGACGAGCAGCCTGCAGGGGTGGGGGAGTGAGGGGAATGGGGAATGGGGAAGGTGCAGCAGTCAGCAAGCCGCACAGGGAGGGGCGGTGGGGGACATGAGCGCAAAGCCAGCAACCACGCCAATCACTAGCATCACCGCTGTTTGTAACCGTAACAACTCCTCCTACCCTTCCACCCCGCTCTGCCCGCCCCCCACTTCCCCCCAACACACACACCGGCCAGTTTTCTTAACACACCTGCTGTCGCGCCCTGAAGCTCGCCACCGCGCGCCTGTCCTCCGGGTCGCCCACAAACTCCCGCAACTCCTCCGGCAGCTCCCAGCAGGGCTCCGGGGGGTCAATAAGGTCCTCTTCCGCCGCACCAGCAGCAGCCTCGTCAGCACCACCACCAGCACCTCCCTCCTCACCACCTCCGGCCGCACTGGCTGCAGCGATGTGTGCGGCAGCCGCAGCGGCGGCGGCGCCAGACAGCTTGATGCGCTTGCTGCCCGGGCCCCCGGCGGCAGCGGCGGGTGTGACGGCGGCCCCGCCCGGGGTGGCGCCCCCGCCGGCAGCGGCACGAGCAGCTACGTCGTCAGGCTGCGGAGTGAGGGGGCGGTAGAGGGGGGAGGTGGACACAGGTGGTGATTCAGGGGCGCGGTCGGCATCGGGGCTTCCTATGACTCGGTCTATCCTGACCCCCCCCTCTGCATCACAGGAACTGCACTGCATCGAGGCTCGCATGCAGCAGGCGACACACGCCCAGTGGACTACCCTGTCAAACAATTGACGCTCAAGCCACCCATCCATGCCCCCCTCGTCCTGCATACGGCCACACAGCCATACCCTCACCCCCTCACCGACCGCCGGTCCCCGCGTGTCGTAGCGGCCCCCTCTACCCACCCCGTCCCGCTTCCTCTTCTTGGCCTCCTTCTCCGCCCCCGCCAGCTCCCGCAGCCGTTTGCGCTCCTCCGCAATGTCCGCACGCAGACCCGCAGCCACACTGGTGCCGTAGTCCTGAGACATCATGAGCGGCAGGGGGGGTGGGGCAGGAGGGGGGGAGGGTCGGACGGTGAGTGCTGACGAGCAGGGGGAAAGGAGAGCCCATACTCCAGCCCTAAATACTCCTTCCCAATTACCCCCTTCGCGCCTTCCGCTCCCCCCGTGGCCGTACCTCCCCCCCTACCCGCCCCGCCCGCCTCACCAGCCTCCTCTGCATCCAGTTGCGCATGCGCTCCATCTCCATCACGTCCTCCGCCAGCAGCAGCAGCAGCGCCGCGTGCTGGTCGCCCGTCAGGCTCTCGGGGTCGTCGCGGCCCAGCGAGGCCAGGGCGGCGGCGGCGGCAGCGCTCAGCGGCTCGCGGTTGGCGGAGCCTGGGGCGGCGGGGGGAGGGAAGAAATTCCAATAAGTGGTGTGAGAATGATACAACTTGCTGACAATCCAGGGAGGGGAGGTTTATTATAGGGAGTATGCCACTTGGTTGGGTAATAAGTAAAAATGCACTACAGCACAGGAGGAGTAACCCTTCAGAAGATACCCTTGACTCGTTCAATCGTTCCACTGGAAGCCCTCTTAACCCCTCCCAAGCCCCAACTCACCCGCCCTGACGATCGCGTATCTCCGCAGCACCTCCGCCCACGTGCCCTCATCCAGCACCTCCAGCCACCGCCGCTCCCACCGCGTCATGCCGCTGCCCTCCCACACGTCCATCAACACGTTCTTCAGCAGCTGCACGTACAGGTCCGACAGCAGCGTCGGGTCGCCCACCCGGTCCACGATGATTGCCTCCTCGCCGCCCTCGCCACCACCGCCGCCAGCAACCGCGCCGATGCCGTTGGCCTCAGCAGCTGCGGCGGCAGCGGCAGCTGCCGCTGCCGCGGCTGCCGCCGCGGCAGCGGCGGCGGCTGCGCCGCCGCCCTTCTTCTTCTTATCCTTCTTATCCCGCGACGTCGACGGCGGCGCACCGGCGGCGACGGCGCTGGCTTCCGCCGCCGCGGCAGCGGCGGCTGCGGCTGCGGCAGCCGCCGCCGCCGCTGCCTCCTCCGCGTACTCCTTCGCCGCGATGATCTGCTCCGCGGCCGCCACGATGGACATGGGGTTGCGGCCGCCCCGCAGCAGCGTGTCCATGTGCGCGTACCGCACCACCCGCAGCCCCAGCTCACCGCCCAGCTGGAAGAAGAGGTCGGCCAGGTAGAGCGAGTCGCCCAGGCGGCGGCCCTCCTCGTCCTGGTAGGGCCGCGTGGTGAAGACGTCGCGACCGTGGGGGACCAACTCGCCTGCGACAAGGGGGGTGAGGGGTGCGGTGGTGGAGGGGTGCGGTGGTGGAGGGGTGCGGTGGTGGAGGGGTGCGGTGGTGGAGGGCTCCAAACATGTGCCCTCTATGTTCGCAGCCAGGAGGTGGCGCGCATGAAGCCCATGTGTCTCCACACGAAAGGTGAAGAGCCGTTGGTCAAGGCCATTGGCCACCAAGTTACCGACTCCCCCGTATCTCTCCCCCCAACCAACCCTCCCCCCTGCCCGCCCCTCACCTCCATGCAGCTCCGAGTCCTCCACCGGGTACCGCTGCCCCGCCGCCGCCGCACCCGCTCCTCCCCGCCCAGCCACCCCCACAGCCTCCCCCCGCCTGCCCACACCCTCCCCACCCGCACCCCACATCATCCTCCCGCCCCCCATCATCTGCTGCTGCCGCATCCGCTCCTGCAGCAGCGCCTTCTCCGCCTCCTCCGCCGCCCGGGCCGCCGCCTCCAGCCCCCGCTGCGCCCGCTCCGCCTCCCCCATGGCCGCCGCCAGCTGCCGCTGCTGCTCCTCCACCGCCCGCGCGGCTGCCGCCACCATGCCCGGCTGCATGGCGGCCAGCTGCGGGTGCAGCGCCGCCAGCTGCTGCTGCGCCGCCTCGGCCTCCGCCAGGCGGCTGCGCGCTGCGGCCAACATGGCAGCCGCCACCTCCATGCCGTTGCGGCAGGCGGCGAGGTTGGCCTGCGGGAGGTGGAGGAGGAGGAGGGGAGGGACAGTGTGAGTGGGAGGTGATCAGGTAGGACCATCAGCATACCGGCGGCACATGTCTCAGCACAGCCAGGGAGGAGGGCAGCAATAACCCCACAATCCCCCTTCTGCTCCCCCCACAGCCCCCACCTGCGTATGCTGGCAGTGCAGCTCCAGTCGCTGCAGCACCAGCGCCTCCTCGCGACTCACCCCGGCCCCGCCCGCAGCACCAGCACCCGCACCAGGGGGGGGCAAGTCCAGGTCGGCTCCGTCACCCAGGTAGCTGCAGGGGGGAGGAAGGGGGATACACAGGCAGTCCTTAGGGGCTTGGAGCTTGGAGCTACGGGTCAGGGGGGTTCCGCTGGTCATGAGGTAAGATATATTTAAAAAGGATGTGCATACGAGCGTGGATACGACAGCAGCTATCATAGCTTGCATTCCCCCCTGGCTGACACACCCGCAGGCTACCACAACACCCCAACCACCACCACCACCCCACTGCAGCCGCCTCACCCTCCCGCCGCCTCAAGCTCCTTCTTAGTCGGCTTGCGAGCGCGACCGCCCTCGGCCTTCTCCTTCGCCTGCATGGGTGCATGCAGCCACATACGGTCAGGCGGAGCTCACACGCCCGCTCAAAAGTGCGAACAATAGCTGCGAATGCTTCGCAGCAATCCGAAACGCAGTCAGTTAGGACTGTGCCCCTGCAGCAATGTCCATAAGCCCTGCCTCTCCTGCTCCATGCGCTCCATCCCCCCCCGGTACTTCCCCCCCACCCCCCCCACCTCCTCCACCCACTCGTCCCGGTCCGGGAAGAGCGAGGATAGCACGTAGGTGTTGCGGCTCACACGCAGGAAGGCGGGGTCCGTGTGCATCACCTGGGGGGGGGGGGTAGGTAGCGAGGGGAGGAGTGAAATGAAAGGGCGAGTGTGCATCCAGACGAGGAGGAGATGGACAGAAGCACACAGCGTTACAAGGTGCCTGCCCTGTAGTAGCCTGAGTTGCGCGCATGCTCGGTATGCCTGTGTACGTCTCACTCCCTGGCCAGCCCACCCCTACCGTGCCCTCTCCTTCCCTTCTCCCCCCTATACCCAGCCTTCCCCTCCCCCACCCACCCCCGCCCCATCTCACATGGTACAGGTTCCGCTTGCCCCCGGGCGGCCAGTCCGTTTTGATGCCCTGCTCCACAGACAAGTTGATCACCTGGGGGGGAGGTGAGGTGACGGGGGTGAGGTGATGGTGTGAGGTAAGGTGAAGGAGGGGTTGTAGGCAGGGATATGACGGATGCCATGAAGACCAGAGGCAGGCGGGTACGGTAACGGGAAGGCCAAGAGAGGAAAGGTTACATGCCCCAAACACGGTAACTACCTGTCCCGCCCCAGCCGTCCCCGCAGTCCCCCCCCACCTGCTCCACCGTAAGTCCCTCGAAGGGGCAGTGCGCCTTCAGCACCAGCAGCGCCGCGTGCTTGGTGGTGCCGGGCTTGGCGCGCTCCTCCTCCTCCTGATGGAGGGGTGGGTGGGGAAGGGGGTGGCAGGGGAAGATGTGACGGCACCGCATAGGTGTAGCGGGCAATGAGCTAGTGACACTAGGGAAGCCGTTGGGAAGCGCATCCTCCGACGAACACGCGATGCATGCTAGCCGAGCCGGACTGTCATGGGGTGCTGGGTCCCCGTACCCCTCCACTCCTCCACAACCCCCAGCTGAAGACCTCCTCTCCCCCGTTCCCCCGCCCCGCCCCACCGCATACCTCCAGTGACTTGGCGGGCGCCTTCTTCTTCCGCGACCGCACCGGGCCGCCCGCCTTGCCGCCGCCGGGGGGGCTGTCGTCCTGGGAGCCCGTCAGCGAGTCGGCCCCCGCGGCGTCCCTCCAGCGGGCAGCAGCAGCAGCAGCCGCCTGGCGCCGGCCCTCCACGGGGGAGGCAGCGCGGCCTGGGAGGAGGAGGAGAGGGAGGTGGGGGTCGCGGGAGGAAAGGAGGACGTGGGGGCGGGGGCCAGGGGGCAGGGGAGGAGGGTTGCTGCATGCGGCGTGGAACTGCCAGGATTTGCGAGCGTTGACCATGGGCAGAGTTGGGCTTGCCCTGTTGACCGGGCGTAGGGATGCTGCTTCCATGCATCGCTGGTACGGCAAAGCGGTATGAGAGGAAGGGGAAGGCGGGAACGCATGAGGTGGTGTAGGGGGTCCAGGTCAACGGGGCCGTGTGACCTGCGCACCTCGCCCACGACGTCCTCCCACCACCTGCCCCTCCGGCTCGTCGTCGTCATGCGCCACCTCTTCAGGAATTTCGCCGCCCATGCCATACTTGGCGCATAGCGCCGCTTTGACGGACCAGTAACGGCCGGTCCATGTCGCGGCCTGGAAGGGGGAATAATAATGGGGCCTCCATATTTGTATTCATTCGTGATGCCTGACAAGGCGTCATCTTCAATGCAGGCATATCCGCACCTCGTGCAGCCACATTTTAATGACCGGCTTTGCTAAGGGCGCCTGCTTGCCATGCTTGCCGGTGGTTGCTTCGGCACTGCCTGGCGCTGAAAACTTGAATGATTTGGACACGTCGGCCAGGTGCGTGACAAGCTCCTCGAGCCGAAGCGTGTTATGATGAACGAGCTGAACAAATGGGCACTCCAACTCGGCGGGAACTGCAAATTGGCAAGGGAACTCCTCGCTGGCTTGCAAAAGAAAGCATTTAAGGGCCAAATAGCAAATTTCTCACATTGCTGCAAGACCTTGTTGGCCTCCTGTTCAGACAGCAAGGCCTGTTCATAGGTAAGTCCGCCCCTGCCGGTGACCGCGCAAGTCCACTTCGCTGTTCGGTAATGCGCAAGCTGTTCCAAGTAAGCATCATAATCCGTGAACACCTCCCCCGTCAGGCGGATCACAAAGACGCTTTCGCTATCGGGTATCTCCTCGGGGACGCTGGGGGCGGGCGGAACGTATGGCTTCCGCCCCAGCAGCGGCATTTTTCCTAGGCTCTAACACCCAAGTAGAAAACTAGTGGCTTCTGTGCAGTTTGGACGGTCTGAACCGAGGCAAGCTCCGAATCCGTTCAATACCGGTATCCGCCGTACAAATACCCTTGCATCTAGCTATTGCGCCCCCCCCCAACTCGCAATCTTCGCTATCCTTCGATCGCGGTCCACAGACTCGTTATCTGGATGGGACATTCCTTGACGTGGTGTTTGCTGCGCACGTTTCAAGCACACGCAACCCCACCACTTCCCCACCCGCTCTCAGCCCCTTCGACAAAGAACACCTGGCAGTGTACTGCGCCGGTTCAAGCGCGCCGGTGCAATCGCAGCTTGCAAAGCCCGGTAATCATCGGTGCTGAGTAGCTAAGGAAGGCTGCAACATGTTTGAAGTCTTAAGCAGACGGCTTCAGGCTGGTTCTGAACGCAATACAGCGTGAGCTACTCCTTCGTACAGTGGTGGTCAGCTCGTTTCCTGACCTCTTCTCTGACTGGCGCCTACAGTTCAAGCGCATGTGATGGGTCGGAAAACAGGAGGCGCAACGGATAAGTGCTTACAACGTCTACCTAAAGAGCACCTTAGCGCTGCCCACCAAGGGGTAGCCCTCATCCGAAACACACCACACCAATGCCTCGCGAATGCATGAGCGCCCCGACCGGTACTCGATACCGCAATTGACCCCTGGGCAGGGTCCGAACCAACATGTGGTGAGTGCCAACAGAGGCCTAGACCTCCTCGCTGGATGCCCCCTCCACATCCGGTGAAAACGAACAAGTCTCGGGGCATCCGCCGCACGTCAAACGGCGACATCCCAGTTGTCCCATACGTCAAAAGTTATGTTAAGCCTCTGCCCGTTACCCTCCCTCATACAAAGATCCGCGCCTACCACCATCCGCACACGCCTGCTCGGTCATACGGCCTTCCTGCGAAAAACGCCCGAGTCCTAAACCCAGGACTCAGGAACCTAGAATACCCGCACCCATGTATGGGCTTTGTCACCCTCCCAACAGCTGTCCGTAGCTGCTTTTTGCCCTGTATCTACGATCTAAAGGCTAGGAACGTGCTCCGCGGCAAAATGGCATTCTGTCCGAAACCTTGCCGGGTCACTCAGTTAAATACCACCCAACAGCCCCTGCTTCAACTAGCCAGCGTGCGCGCAGCAGCCGGACTACCCCTAGCTAGACCCTTGGCCCCCCGTGCTTGCATGCATGGCCTGCAGCACACGTCAAGCGCCCTCCAAACCTCCATCAAGCCTCCAAAACCCTGCCCGTCGTTTTGGGGGGATGGTCAGCTGCAACGTCCAGCCTTGCTCCCGCCGGAAAGCAACTAGCATTGCGCAGCGAAGCGCTTACACTCTGGCTGGCTGCATAAGAGCCGCTGGGCCCTACCAGCTACTGAGCTCACGCCTACCACTTCATCCACATGAGCCCCTTCAAGGCGCCAAGCTGCAGCATATTTGCCTTTGCTGTTGCTGCTGCGCCTTCCCTGCGGCTAGGTCGCTGCTGCGCCGCTTACTTCTCACGCGGCTGGGCCCACTCCACACGCAGAATGAGGTTGTCGTAGCCGAAGCCGTTGAGGTTGCGGATGGCACGCTCCGCATCCTCTCTGGGGAAGGAAATAGGGCGAGGAGCGGAAAGCGCGGATGTATTGTTACTGGCAGGATAACGCGCCATGTAAGGCTGGATGCAGGAGCACGAAAAGCACACGGATGAACCTAAACGCCCCTCACAACCCAAAGCAGAAGTCAGTCCCTTTGCATGCGCAATGTATCCCCATGCACGCCTGCTGAGGAAGGTGCCTCCATGCCGCCATCCCCCAGCCCCACCTATGCACATAGTTGACGAAGGCAAAGCCCCTGCTCTCTCCCGTCTGCTTGTCGATGGCGAGGAAGATGCGCGACACTGGGCCGAACGGCCGGAACAGCTCCTGCGCAACAAAACAGGACACGAACAGGAGTGGGGAAACAGGGTTCAGACACTGGGCCACGTCTCCCAAAACAAATTGCAATGTTCCCCTTAACATCCATGCTTAACATGCTTAACATCCATCCCCAACCAACATGTCCGTGCATGTGAGGGACGCACTACCTTCTCCCCATCAGTGCGGCCATGCGGGGTCACACCCCCGACAGCCTGTCCCCGCACACCCTCCTTTCCGTGTCCCCTGCTGCGCTCCACACACCTGCAGGTCGCCTTCCGTGACCTCCTCCGACAAGTTGGTGACACGAATGGAGTTGTCCTCGCGCTTCTTCTGCATGCTCTCCCCCTCGCCGGGCCCGCGGTTCCGCAGGCTGGGAGGAACGTAGCTGCCGGGCTTGGGCGCGCCCATGCCGGGGCCGCTGGGCTTGCCGTCCTGTGTAGGGGCAGATAATGTGGAGAAGGTGATTGGATTCACATGGCGAGCTGACATGGACGTGCTTTGGTGCTACTGCCACGTCCCTAGGTCCACACGTTTGTGGGGTTACAGTCTGTAGGCCGCATAGCAAAGCACCTATTTCAGTGTTCCCCTCGAGGAGGACGTAAACCCGAACCCGAGCATACGTCGCGCGCTCCCTAACGCGGTTCAGGCAGCTCACCTCCTCTGGGGGCTTCTCCGCCTCCTTGAGGAGGCCCTTTGCGCGAAGCAGCTCGCGCTCCATGCGCTTCTTGTACAGCATCTCCTTAATGCTGCGGGCCATGAGAAGGGCTTTGTTAGAGGGCCTCGCCAACCGAATGTGGTGTTGCAGCATTGCTCAGTAGGGCGCGCACACCTGCCAGAGATGACGGTCTTGTCTGCCGTTGCAAGAACTTGCTGAATATCCGTAGCCTTCTTCTCTTGTGTCGTCGCCTTGATTTGGCGCACGCGCTCGAAGGGGATCTCCTCTACCGCCTGGACAGTGACCGAATCCTGAGGCGTCTCCCGCGCAGCCAGCCCGAACCTGGGCCATTTACGCCGCTCCTCTGAAACCTACAGCATTAAACGCAGCTCCGCAATGAATTTACGCACAAAAGGTCGGCTGGCGCAGGCGCCGCCTCCACCGTGCAGAATAGCCAATCCTAAATCTCCGCTGTTTGGCAATCTGAGAGCTCGCCATCACCTTGTAGACCTTCTTCTCCACGGTCACCACCTTGACCTTGGTGGTCTTCTTGAAAGCATCGCCCTTCTCGTTCCTGTTATACTCGATCATCGTCTTAATGCCATGGTCGTCAGGACCCTTAACTACGGGGGCGGGTAGCAAATCATCTTCATCTATCGTGTCTCCCCAGCGAAACCTTCCCCGGCTCATTTTTCAGTAGGGATCCCGTTGAACTGTCCCAAGAGATTTGCGAAGCGGTCGGTTACGTGGCAAGGGAAAATGCAAAGGCTAAGGAACAGTGAAACGTTGTGCATAACTCAGCGGCCTGAGGAACATTGCACGGCAAGGACAGTACGACGGCGCGAGTCCGCGCGGGTGGCGCTCTTCATTGCATCTTCAAGGTATGTTGGCTGTTGTTGGCCAATATATTTAATTGAGCATTTAACTGCGACGTGGAAGTTTCTATGTTGCGCATCTGACACCTTACGTCCAAGATACTCCAGCTCGCGAGAGGGGCTGCGAAGTAGGCATGGACTAGGCCCATGTACAGACCAAAGGGCCGCAAATCCCGCGCGGCTTTTGATGGGGTTTTGCCTCACTAGGAAGCAAAAGCTCTCTGCAAATACGGCGGCATGGGCTGGGGACAGTGTTGTTCGAGCAAAGAGACACGGCCCATGTCAACATATCCCTTCCTCTGGGGCCAGGGGTGCATCACAACAATCGCCAAATTGCTGGCTCTTCCAAGCACCAATGGGTAGGGACTGCAGCAAGGGATACGAGCATACGATACGAACGCCAATGTGTGGCTGTAAATGGCGTGGGTGCGTGCTGCGGCGGATTCCGGAAGGCTTGCGGGGATCTGCCCCTGCACCCTGACACGGGTGCTCAGCAATGCGCAATACCATCGACGGTTGCCCCAAGATGAATCCCCCGACGTCAGGTCCTCTCACGCTCAAGTGCGTGGGCATGGAGTATGAGCGCATGACGCCTAGGGTACCGGTAGTGTTATTCTTACAGGATGACCCTTACTGCCAGGATGACGCAGCAATCTGCAACGTTCGGCGCACACATGTGCAGGGCCCTGCAGCCATGCCCCTTCCCCGCTACATCACTGCAAGTGGCAACGCTGGTGACTTCCCAGCGTACACAACATGATTGGCGCATGTCCACAACATGAATACACGTGCCATTGCAACGGCTGCACAGGCCCAACCACCTGCAACCAATGCCCCTTCTGTTGCCCTGAGATCCAAGGCCATGGTCTCGCCCCCACATCTTAGCGAAGCCACCAATGCATGTCAAGCGTTCCTTAGCTTACAGCCATCCAGCTAAGGACCCAAGAGGCAGGGCCGCCCAGTGCAGCTACATGGGGACATCCAATGGGTCGTTGCCTGGTTACGGTACTGCTGTGGCCGCACACCACAGGTTGCTTGTACCTGCAGATTACTGCTACCCTCGGCGCCACAACCTCTGCTTCACATGGGACGCAGGTAGCGTGAAGCAACGTTGCGGCTGATGCAGCCATGCCACAACACATCCCTGAGCTTGGTACTGGTATGCAAAGCACCGACCCAACCCATTCCCGATCGGCCCAAGCACTCTCTACCTAAGCACCGGCTCCTGCGGTTCGTGCATGTGCTTACGGGAGGAGACCAAGCCAGGCAACGCTGCCCTTTACCCCACCATCACAGCCAACACACACATTCGACAAACGAGGGGATTCAATAGCCGTCTGCTGGCTGGCGGCCAGAGGGCACAAGAGCGGCTGGCTGTCTCAGCCTCGACACCACACATAGCGTGCTTAAACGACCCTGGAGACCCCAGCGCACAGGATGGCCCTCGGCATGCGTCCTTCTCAAACGGTAGCCAGGGACACATGGCCCAAAGTCACAGTGCCAAGTGCGGGTAGCAGGACGGACGGCCGCAGGAAGCTGGCCGAAGGCAAACGCCTCACAAAGCGCTACGCCGGCATCGTCCGCAGCTGTGCAACCGCAAGAGGCCTCTGGAGCAGGGTGGCTGATGAGGAGGAGGGGCCCGGGTCTCGTCTTTGACGCGCTCACAGCGCTGCTCCGGCGCTGTGGGTGCCGAGCCCTCTGGTACCAAGCGACATCACTCCACTGCTCACACACATACCGGTACCCCTCACGCTCCTTTTCCGTCTGGGGCCGTAAGAAGGCTGGGGCCGTAAGAAGGCGATCAGCAATTGCGTGCGACAGGGCAGTACGGCCGCGCGTTGGCACTGCAGTGGGTAGCTGGGTGCCGTCCACAGCGTCCAACACAGGCCCGTCATGGCCACGGCTGCCGCCACCTCGCTACCGGCATGCGACGGCCTCAAACTCGAAAGTCAATCATCCGTTGGTGCCGCCAGCCCCCGCGCCGCGGCCTCCTCGTAGCGAGCCGGGCACATACATCTGGAAGCCCGCGCGCACCCTCTTGCCGCCTGCTGCCCCGGCAAGCGCTGCCGCAGCCGCTGCGGATGCCGTTGCAGCCAAACCACCATCTCCCTGCCCGCCAGCTGCAGCAGCTGCAGCAGGAGGCGGAGGTGCTCCAACAGCGCTGCTGGGCGCTGGTGCCGCCGCGGTCGCCGTCGTGGTCTTGCTGCTGCTGGCTGGACGCTCGGGAGCTGCCGCGGGTGCCGAGGCTTTGCTGGAGGGTGCCCTGCCGGGCCTGCCCCCATCGGTTGATGCAGAGGGTGCGGCTGAGGAGCCTTGGTCTGATTTATGTTGTTGCTGCTGTGCGGGCGGTTGTGAGGCCGCCTGGGCCTTGGCGGAGCCGCCTCGTGACGCGGAGGGCTGCTGCTGCTGGGGCTGCGATTGCTGGCGGGATGACTGCGACTCACTGGCGGGCTGCTGCCTCTTGCCGGCTGCGGCTGCTGCAGGTGCCTGCGGGACATCCGATGCCGCCTGCGATTAACACGAAAGGGAAAGGGTGTGCTCACGGGGTTGCGCATGCACCGGTTCAGGCCACGAAGTACGCTTCGGGTATTGCAGACGTGCGTACGACAGCGGCACACACTTGCAGCCGTACTCGGTCCAGGTCTACGCCTCGCCATGTGCTCCTTCCCCGCTTTACGCGACCTGTGCAGCACAGCCCAATCCCACCCACGTACCTGCGTAGGCCGGGCTTCTCCACCCTTCACCAGCAGGATCCGAGGGGCTGCTGCCAGAGCTGCCGCAGCCGTTGCTGAGCCCTTCGAGGCGCCGCGCGGCTCCTCCTCCTGACCTCCTCGGGATGCCTTGCCGCCGCGGGCCTTGCCGCCCCCGCCGCCCTCATGAGCGGGCGCCGCACCACCTGCGGCCGCTGCCGCCGCTGCTGCTGCGTCAGCCTTCCCGGCATCACCCTTGGCAGGTCCGCGTGCCGCTGTCGTCGCCTCCTGCTGCTGCTTCTGCTGCGCCTTCGATTGCTTCGGCTCCCGGTGGCTGCCCGCATGCGCCCCCGCCGCCGCCTTGGCATCTGACACCCCGCCGGCTGCGTCCTTCGCCGCTGCCGCCTGTGCTGCTGCGGCCCTCCCGGCTGGACCGCTCCTTGTCAGTAAGGTGACCACCTGCGGCTGCGGCTGAGTCTCAGCCTCCGCTGCCGCCGCAGCGCCGCGTTGCCCTCGTCCCTTTCCTCCCGTCTGCTTCTCCGAAGCCTTGCCGGCGCTAGCCGCCTCACCCTTTGCTGCACGCTCCCGCTCCCTACGCGAAGCCTTGCCACCACCGCCACCCCCATCCACAGCCGTGGCGACCGCGCTGATGGCAGCAGTCGCTGCAGCCGCTGCTACTGCGGCTGCAGCCCGCGCCGCCTTTCCGCCACCACCGCGGCCCCCCTCCTGCACCTGCTCCTGCTTGCTCTGCTTGGCCTTGCTGGCGGACCGCGCCCCTCCCAGGCGGTTGCCGCCCTCCGAGTACTTGCGAACCAGGTACTGCATCAGCCGCGACATCACCACCTTGCCCTCGCCGGCTTCGGAGCTGCTGCTGAGGTTGGCAGCGGCAGCGGCGGCGGAGGGCATGTCGGTGGCGGTGCCGGCGGTGGTGGGGGCGGCACCGGGGAGGGGCTGGCCGGACTCGAGAGCCTCTAGGAAGGCGATGTAGTCGGGGTCTGGCGGGCGTGAGGGAGAGGTGGAGGGGCTTAAGGCGGCCATCATCATGTAGTGCGGGGTGAGGAAGGAAGGAACGTGGGGAAGGTCCGTGTGGCTAGACTAGGCCGCGGGAAATCCTATCGTTAGCACAAGGCCGTGATAAGCCCGTCCTAAGCACAAGGCCGTCGCTCGCATTAAGCAAACATGGCACCCAGTACCTATAGGCGTGTCACCCAGGGAGCCTAAGCCCCCGATTGCGAGGATTGCGCCCGATCACCCGCAACGCAAGCAAATACCTTGCTCCAGGGTGCCCTCCAGTGGGTGGGGCTTCTCTTCGAGGGTGGGCACTTTCTGCAGTGGAGCATACTCGACAGCGCAGCGATACTGGTGGCCCTTTTGACCGATGAAAACGTGACCGTCGAACCGCTGCTTAAATTCATAGACATCATCAGGAGTCAAGAAGTTGATGTAAGCACGAGAGAAGGCCACGCGCTTCAGGCTGCAATTGATCGGGCAATTATGTTGTAAGCGCTTGTCCACAGCGCGAACAGAATCTTGCGATGTTGCAATGTTACTCCGCACCTGACTTTGCCGGGATAGTATGAGAGCCAATTATAGCGCCCAGCTGCGAGGCTGTCAAGAACGGTCTTGAACGTCTCCTCTGACATAGCTGGCGGTAAACTCCGAACCACCACCTTTGTCTTCGGGCGTGTTGCGCTCATTTTTCAATTTGTTTAGTCGGTCAGCTATTCAGCTACTTAAGGCCTAGGTTAAAGTAATGGTCCAGCCATATACCGCCCATTAGCCATGCAGCCACCTAGTTATGGTTACATCATAATATACTAGTGCTTTGAACACTTCAACTTAGCCTGGGTGTATGTGTGTTGCGACCACCCGTATCCTTACCAAGACACGACTGTACCCGCCGTACGACATCGTGTCAGGCAATTGCACGCGATCATCGATGCAAACATTGGTTACTATTGTTCGTGCCTTCGGCACCATCTTGCCTCGTCCACTAGTCTGAAGTCACACACGGCACGTGGAACAAGTTATGAATTGGCTCCCCGAGTCCTCGTGTCTAAACACTCACCGTGTTGGAATTGCACAGGGATATTCCAACGCACAGCTTCCTCTCACACAGATGGGGCCTATGCCTACCCAAGTAAAGTGCTAAATCATGGCCGCCAGTACACGTCTCCAAGTACACCAAAACGCTACAAAGGCTATTACCTGGCAAGCGTCCGTACGCCGTGTACGGCAAGGGCCCAAGAAACAAATACAGAACCGCCGCACCTCTGCTGGAGTACCGTACCAGTATAGCTCCAAGATAACTGTGGGCACCTTTCGCCACGTACGCAGTATTAATGCGGATCTCAAGCCATGCGCCAGCGCTCATGCTAGCCCTCCATTCCAACCTTACTTGGCACCACTGCATTACAGATGCTATTGCAAAGCTACCACCTAGCTAGGGTGCTGGATCTGACATTTAAATGATGGAATGCATAGAACCTAGCCCAGGAACTTCTATCATAGCTGGTGGAAAGTGGCTTTGCAACATGGGAGAGTTTGCGCAAAAAGGCACGAAAAACTTGCTGCAGTAGCCCTTACGAACTGCTGCCATGGGTATGGAACCATGGATTCAACCAGCTGCCGCCCATACCTGCATGCATGAATGCGTACTTGCAACGTCCTGCACGAGCTCGCACATGCCGTACAACACCCTGCCGCATGTCCCATCTGCAGGAACACTTCGACAACGCGACATCATCATTGTCATCACCTACCTAGACGTCCCAGGACAGCAAATGGAAGAAGAACTAGAGAGGGGAACCCATCCTCATTCAACCCGGGTCAACTGTCAGAAAGCAAAGGCCAGCACCTGGTCCCCACAGTACAGCCTCACGCACACCGTTGTTCTATCTATAAACGCAAACCATGCAGTTCTTTGAGCACAACATGCAAGTTCCTGCTCGTGGCCAGTTCTCTTACAACACCATGCATGCCTGTCATTGTACGCCATACCACGCTGCAGGCAGTGGTTGCTAGCCCCGCCGAACAAAGACGCCTTCCATCCTACCGTGCAATCAAGCAATGTCCCAAGCAAGCCCGCGCACCTCGATACAACCACTACCCGCTGCTACGGGTACCGGTACCTCCTCCCGGCCCTCCTCCCCCCGCACACTCGACCTTGTGCGCCTCCCTCCAATGCGCCACCTGGCATGCGCGGCAGCAGTACCTCGTCTTACCGCACCGCCCGCACGCCTGCAGCTTCAGCCCCGCCTCGCTGTCCCCATCCAGGCTGCAGCACCGCGGGTTGTCACAAGTGGGCAGCTCCGCCCGCACCACAGAGGGCGAGGGCAGCAGCGCCGCCACCTGCAGCCCCACCCGCAGCTCAGACGGCAGCGGCTCCCTAGCTGGCACCCCGCCACAACGGACGGCGTCACACGCCCGCTCAATCGCCGCCAAGAGATCCGGCTGGGGTTCCCTGCTATCAGGACCCAGCAGCAGCCGTAGCGATGCCATGCTCAGTGTTGATGGCGAGGCAGCACCCGCGCTGGCAGCACCCGCCTCCGCCACCATCGCCGCCAGCTCCTCCGGCAGCAGGCGCACCAGCGCCCGCAGTGAGCCCATCAAGTGCGTACAGTACCTCATGCCATCTAAGCGATGTGCCTCCGCGACCCGCCGCAACAGCAGCCGCAGGAGCTCCGGCAGTGCGAGCTGCCGCCACAGGAAGCACCGCCACTCCGCGGCTACTGCGGCCCGCTGGGCGGCTCCCGCCGCAGCTGATGCCGGCCCCAACGCGTCCTGAGCGGCCGCAAGCAACAGCAGCGGGATCCAGGACATGAGACCGTCAAGTATTGTGGGTACATAGATCCAAGAGACACAATTCGCAGGCAGCGCCATTAACTGCAGCAGCAGGCGCTGAGCTGACGGCAGCACATGCACGATGAACTGCGACAGCCCCCATGCCAGCTGCTGCTTCACAGCCGCATGCGAACCGCTGCCCGCTGCTGCTGCTCCGGCGCCGCCATCGCCGCCACCAGCAGCAGGGCCGTCCACAGGTGCAGCACTGGCGACCTGTGCTGCCTCCGCCGCACTGAGCCGCGTTGCAGCCTGAGAGCCACCAGCAACAACATTACCAGCGGACTCCGGGGAAACTCTGCTGGCGTAGCTGCCCCCAACGCCTGCCCCTTTCGCTGCAATGCTGCTGCTACCCGCCTCCGCGCCGCCCTCGCAAACGGCCGTGTCGCCATCTGCGGCGCCGGCTGGCTGGCTGCTGGCTCTTTGAGGGGCTGAGCCCGCACCTGGGCTGGTTTCTCCACTGGATACCTTTCCCGGGGCCGCGGTCGCCGCATACTCAGAGCCACGCATGAACCACGGGTCGGACCAGTCGCCATGAGGCCACACATGGAAGCTGCCCAGCACCCAGCCAGCCGCCCTAACCACTGGCCGAATGGCCTCGAATCTGGAGTCAGAGACTCGGTCTTGCAGCTTTGCCGCCACCTCGGGCGCCGGCGCCTCAAGCGCACGTCGCAACAGCTTCCCATATGTGGCAAACAGGGACGCCGCCTCGAGCGAGGGCCCGAACGCTAGCAGCTGCATCCACGCGTCATCAGATCGACGGCTTTCCAACAGCATTGCACGCAGGACGGCATCCTGAGGTCGTTAACATTCATGCATTTGGAAAGTCAAGAAGGAGAACTACTCAGGGTAACATTCATGGCCCTGTGCAGATTCAGCAGTAGATCTCGCGCGGCTTATCACTTAGCTGTCAGTTCCCAGCCGGGTTAAAAACCCACCTGCGAGCTCTGCGTGCGTCGAAGAAGCTTCTCCATGCGCCCCATGTAGCCGGCAGCCAGTGCCCCGGCCACATCGGGAGAGGGCCCCATTGTCGGGCCCTCCTCTGAAAGAACCTTCTCGAGAAACGCAGTATCTGCAGTCAGAAAGTGCAGTCAAAGGGGATGTAGGAGGGATGCGTTACAGAGGGCTTGCGGGCCTACACAAGGACGATACTACAGCTGACCTTGGGAAGCGAAGCCCAGTTCAGCAAGTCAAACTACTGTTGCAATCCAGGGCCACGCAAGCTCTGACTTGGGCATTGCATTTCCTAATGGGATTTGCGTCCTGACACGCTAATACGGCATCATGAACTCCCGTGTGCATCCCTAGCCAGCCTCTCAGCTTGTTTCCCGTGACAATCTCACCTCCGTTGCTGTGACTCATGGAAAGGAACCCAGAAGGAAGCCAATCCCCGTTTGCGTCCGCTGCCACACCCCGCTCCACAAGCTCCAGCGCTGTATCCCACCACCGCTTGAGCCCCTCCATGCGCCCCGGGGGCAGGCGCGCGTCATCCGGCAGGGCGCTGTCCAGGCAGAACCTCTTCGCAGCCAGGAGCGCATCACTGCCGAGGGAAGCACGGTCAACGGCTTCCACCGGCCAGCCGCCCTCCTGAAACCCTGCCAGCATGGCTGCTGCTATGCGCATGGAGACATCGAAGCCGGCCCGACCGTTAAGCAGCGGCGCGGCCTGGCCGTCCAGCACTTCCGACAGACACCGTATGCTCTTTCCGCAAGCCCGAATGTCATGCTGAACCCAGCGCCGCAAGCAGTCCGTGTCGGGCAAGGCCATGAATGACAAGGTGCTAGCGTACAGGGCCACAAGGGCATCCTCCCCGCCTGCCTGCGCCTCCTCCAGCCTTCCCCGCAGCTCCTCCATCCGCTGCAGGCGGTGACGTGCCTGGCGGAGAATGCCACCAGAGATTGCCACCAGTGGCGGCCTGTCGTCTAGCGCGCACAGGTGATGCTGTCTTGGGGCCTGTCCGCTACGAATGGCTGCCGCCACTTCCGACCACACCGAAAGCGCCGTTCGTGCTAGCGTCGTGGAGACGGGTTCATCGCCCGTCCAGACGCGTCCCGCCTTGTTCGTGAGCAACGTGCCCTGTTCGGGCATGCCGTAGGTCACGCCGCCATCAAGCACGTGGCAGAGGCTCACCAGATGCGACGTCAGGAGGTACAAGAGGCTAGGGCTGGAAAGGATGAGGCCGGCGCGCAGGTCGTTCTCCGTCCCCAGGTTCCGTATCAGCGCTAGCACGAATGGGAGCTGCCCCTGCCGGAATGGGAGCTGCAGCAGCGTGTATGTCGTATCGCCATACTTTACTTTCAAAGCTGCCATCAGCGTGCGGGCCCAGTGCTCCAGAAGGCCACTTGTCTGCAGCTCGTCTGCTAGCACCCGGGTGAAAGAGTCGTTAAACGGCCATCCCGTGTCATACTCGTCAGGTGAGGCCGACCAGTCCGCCAAGACCACCTTCAGGAGCGATAGCGATTCCTCAAGCAGGTAATGAGCACTTTTCATGGCGTTCATGTCCCCTTCCGCAACGTCCGCCGCTGCCTGTGCCAGTAGTGCCGCGTAGCAGCGCAGCGTGTGCGTTCTTAACAAGCCGTTGACAAAAGCCTCACATCTGCCGCGAGACATGCCCCAGCCGCATCCCACCGGAGCAGTATCAAGATGCGCGGCTATCTCGATACGAAGGGTAGAGAAGTCCGGCTGATCCTCTTGCCTGCTCGCAGCAGCTTGCGGTGCTGTTGCCGTCAGAGAGCCGCGCAGGGCGATCGCATATACATGCAGCAGCCCCGCAACGCCCTTATCGCTTAAGGCCACCCATGCGCTTTGTAAGCGTTCATCACTGAACCCGCAAGATACATTCCGCAAGGCGTCGGTGATATCCTTCGCATCTTGTGCTGATAACGTTGCCGAGACTCCCGCTTGATTTTGAGGTTGGCATTTCAAAAGTTGGTCGGCAAAGTTCTCAAGCCAGCCTATGGAGCGCTCCCGATTAGCCCTATGCAAGGTAACGTCGTCGTAATTTCGCCCACAGCGGGCAGCGCGAGGGGGCATACTAACAAAAGAACCAACCAATACGCACTGTTCCGCAGAGAACAGAACTTCAGAGAACTTCACAAGAAGAGGCTAAAACAGCGTATAAATCTACCCCAGATAGTACCCCAGGTTACGGTGCGCCAGAAAGAAAAGAATTAGCCGTCGTACATCGGTCCCAACTGAAGTCGCCCAGGCCGACCCCAAAACGGGCGAAACCGCAGCCACATCCATGTCCGGGTCTGCCAGCGGTAGTGATTGCTTGATAGCTTGGCAACTGCAGCGCCACCGGAAAAGCAGCGACTAGAAACCAGCAGGAGCTCCTGCTCGAGCAGCGGCCGAGGGCAGCATGCACGTCCACCTCGCCCAGCGGCCCTGCACCGAAGCTTGCCGAATAGCTGATATCGCGGCCCTCAAGGACAGCATTGTGCTATGAGAAAGCAAGGCTGGGACTAGGTTCCGGATCGCGACCCATGTGTGTGACATGTCACAGGCCTGGCGCCGCCCCAAGCAGACGTGCTCCTGGCTGGCGAGCGTGCAGAGCGTAGGTGTGAGTCCAGTTTCGCCATGGCTTAACCGCAATTGCCACTGTGCTTAAAGCCTTGGTCATGCCAGGGCAATATGATAACAAGGGCCACGAAATGTGCCGCGGGGCGTCTACCCGGCACAGGGGCCACAACACGCACCTGCATCAACCCCAGCGGACACCCCTTCAGACCACCCTTCAAGTGTTGCATAGCAGCCATATTCATCTACGTCCTACGTCATTCCGGAAGAAAGCCCACCGGCCCCATCTGCCCGTAAGGGTAACATTTCGCACGCCAAGAACCAAAGTAGCACACCACATGCCATGTTACACCCGCATAGGCTACTGCAACGGTCAAGGAGCTAGGAAAGTCCTACACAACCCGATACAAGGCAGGGCGATTTCAACAGGGCATGCCCAAATACCGGCTAGGCCCCTGTGACACTCCTGGCCTTCGCACCCGCTTCTTGCCACCCTTTTGTCCCTCATCCCGTCATCCCGACAAATTGTATAAAACGGCGCAATGTTAAAATGTAACAACCTCGCACTCACACCGCCGCCAACAGGAACAACGTGCGTAAGGGCGCAACGAAAGATTAAACACAGTATGTTCGGTCTCCAAAAGTACCAACTCAACAGCAACGGACAACATGGAGGTTACTAGTATGACGTGCAGTGTAACAAACACCCACCATCACCAGGGGACTAAATGAAAGCAGCTGGAGAGGCGGCGATAAAACACACTCCGAAACACCACGGACTTGCGCACTGTTGTTTGTACAATGGAGGCGCGCGGGGCTGATGCCTCCTGCCCGCCCGCCTTGATGAGGATTCCAAGTCCCATAACTCCTAAAAGTGCTCCGCCTCATCTCCCCCACCCGAAATAGTTTGCGTGAGTTATAAAAGGGAGGCGTCATACATTTGTACGGATGAACAGCTATGCGGCATAATGTTAAACAATTGTTCAGCCAAACAAGGTACACGAATGCCGTACAAATTGCATACTAGTATTACCAAACAACAACAACAACACGAAAACCGTACAACTCAACCGAAACCAACTTGGTGCGCCACGACTTGCGAAACCCTTATAAAACGTTTCTTCATTTTGCAACTTTCTTCGATTTCTTCCCGGGAACGTAAGAGTGAAATAACGTTCCTTCAATTTGATAATTCAACAACCGCACCCAATGCACGGACGCCATGACGTATCCAATGCACGAACGCCATGATGTAATCGAACAATTTCCCAATAAACCAATAAACAACCAGAATTAAGATTAGACCAGCTAACATGGACAGACACCGAGCGATAACATACACAGCACCCGGGGTCATCCCAAGCCCCTCACACAGCCCATGACCCTCCAGCCCACCCCACACGCCACACAAATCCGTGCGGCCACTTTCAGAACTGCCTTCCTTCCTCCCCAATTGCTCGCCCTCGCCCAAAGCACTCACCATCATTCCATGAGGCACGACGCGACGCACCATCACCACCACGCGGCCTACTTACCATCATCTCCACCATCCTCACCACCATTGTTACCCCTGCCGCCATCACTGCCACCGCTGCTGCCCCGCCCGGCCGGCCTGCTGCTGCCCCCCCGCGGCATGTGCTTGATGAGCAGCAGCTCCGCCAGCACCGCCAGCAGCGCCGCGGTGACAGGTGCGCCCAGGTCGCGGGTGGTGTGCCAGATGAGGCCGCAGTAGGCCACGTTGAGGGCGGCGAGGGCGGTGCCCAGGCGGGCGGCGCGGCGGCGGGTGAGCAGCCACAGGATGGAGACCTGGCAGGGTGAGGGTGGAGGTAGGGAGGGAGGAGGGTGAGGGTGGAGAGAGGCAGGAGTAGGTATTCATGTGACGGCCATCCGGGGACAGGAGGGCTGGGAGGATGGGTGGGAACCACTGGCGAAGATGCAGGTATGTAGCACGCAGGAGCCGGGAGTTCCAGCTACCTGCTGTGCCACTGAATGGCACCCTGGCAAGCTGTGTCGTTTGGCTAGACAACGAACGCTCCCGTGTCCCCTCGTCCCCCTCTCACACACCCCAGTCCCGCGCGCCCCCATCCGCACCGTCTTAAACGCCTGCGCCATCTCCGCCCCCAGCTGCCGCAGCGGCCGGTTCAAGCCGCAGCTGCCGCCCTCCTCCTCCTGCTCCGCCTCCTCCACCGGCATCGCACCGCTGCTGCTGCTTCCACTGCTAGCAAAGGACGTCACCACCGGCCCGCCCCACGGCTGCTGCCCCTGCCCTTGCTGCCCTCGGTAGCTCTGGTGTCCGTCCAGCAGCTCGGGCCGCTGCGCCACCCGCTCCGCCGCCGCATGCAGGAAGTAGCGGTCCGCGGAGCCCAGCGCCTCCCGGATGGCCGCCACCTGCCGCTCGCTGGCGTCCAGCTGCCGGGTAACAAACCGGGCTGGAGGGGAGGGGAGGGATGGAGCGCACGAGGTCTCAAACTCAACCCTACCGGTACTTCCCTGCGTTTCCTGCCAGCAGCATCCTGGCAGCACATGCTTGAGGCATGCGCGTGAGTTTGTCACATGCGTAAGCCGCGCCCCCAACACCCGTCTCCACCCACCCGCACAGGTCGCGCTGCACACCGCCGACAGCAGCGCCGCCACCTGCCGCTTCGACAGCTCGCTCACATGCAGCCCCTCCGGCCACCCCCCCTGCCACCAGCCCTCCGGCAGCACCCCCTGCAGCACCGCCGGCAGCGCCAGGCCGTGCGGGTGCTGCGGCAGCAGGTCCTGCGCCACCACCTGCCCCGCCACCGCCAGCGTGCCGTGCAACGCGGGCAGCAGCAGCAGCAGCGCGGGCACCACCAGCACCGTGGAGAGGACCAGCAGCTGGGAGCTGCTCAGGTCTGGTGGGGGAGGGGGGAGGAAGAGAGGGGGAGGAAGGTGGTGCGGAGGAGAGGAGCGGGGGAGGAAGGAAGCGAGAGTGAGGAGAGTACCGTATTCATGAACGGGTTGAGACATAAAGCGCACGCAGGCAGGCCGGAAGGGGGTGTGTCAGATTGCGCGTGCTTGATTCCTACCTTCCACGAATGGCCGTACGAGTTCCTGCTGGCTGTCGTGCAGATCGTCCAGTACGGGGAAGCTGTGTCGTACGGGGCGCAGCCGGCTGATGACGGAGCACAGCACCAGCGGCACCGCGTAGCCCGCACCCGCGGCGATGGCGGAGAGGCTGGCGTCGCTCATGGCAAATCCGCCTGTGGGGTGAAGCGGGCAGACGATAGGACCATGATAGAGAGGTGGTGGGGATGAGGGAGTGACCATGCAGGTATGAGGGGATATAGATAGATATCGGGTAACGCTTGTCTGGAAAGGTGTGGCTTGGTGCAAACCGGCAGTAGCCAGTCGTTCCGGTGTCTAGTTCCACCCCCTGGATTTCAGCGTGGTTCCTTACCCAAGGGGTCCTCGCCGGTGATCCAGCTGGTCACCAGCGCTGTAAGTGTGAGCAGTGAGCCCAGGTTAGTGAACACGGTGAGCTTCACCTCAGGGACCTGGTTGGCGACCTCATGGCGCAGCAAGTCCTCCTCGGATTCCCTGCAAGCAGGAGGCGGGCGCAGCGGAATGAAACGCAAGCGCGAATCCTGAAGCGCTGCAACATTAAAGAGGTGACAAGTTTTTATCGGATACCGCTGGCGCGAATTGTGGTGGTAAATGTGACGTTGAAGGTGTCTAGGGCGGTTTGGAAAAGCCATCACTCGTCAGGGCATGCAGGGGCACGTGGTCTAACAAGAGTTCCATACATTGGTAAGGTATAACCTGAAGCAACTACATTCTTAAGCTGAGGATACAGCTGAACGTCGGGTTGCCCTTAAAAGGCAACAAGGGCATCCGAAAGTCCTCACCAAGAAACGGTCTCGAGAAGCTCCTGCAACCTTTGGGTTGCTGTTTGGAATGGTAGACTGGGGTCGTAGCGGGGTATCGGAAGCGCTGTATCAGCCTGGGCCGCTTCTTCAGCTGTGTTACGCACAGTGATTGGCCGACGGAAGCCCTTCCTGCCAGCACCAAGAGTTACACTTTGCTTTTTAAACCTAAGAGTGGGCAACCGTGATGTACGCGGGGTAGTCCCCTTCAAAGCCATCGTGCCCAACAGTTTGCGCGCTAGTCGAGGTGGCTTCTGCAATCGTAATGTTACATATATATAGTCCTACAAGTTGCTAGAACATACAACGTCCAAAGCCAGACAGCAATTGATCGTGCGGATTGTTCGCAAGGGGATCGTTCCCGCTACACCCGTACACCTTGACGCTGTACTTGCGGCAGCAGGGCCGGCCTTCGCCTGTTGCCAAACGCTTCCTCATATCCCAGTCTGTTTGGAACGTAGACATGAATCAAACCTTCTGTACCGTAGTCCCTATGTGACCAGTGTTGCTTGGCAAATTTTTATCCTTGACGCTATAATTGCTTCCTTGTCTGTGTGCAACAACCATGGATCGGACACTGGAGAAGCTGTCACAATCACTCGATTCCTTGATTAAAAAGCCGGCTGGCTCGGGGAACGGTAGCGCTGGAGGCCGTGGAGCGGAAAATCGAGGGACTTCGGCGGGGCGAGGATCGGCAAATGGACGTGGCTCTACAGCAGGCCGAGGCTTCCAATCCACAGCAGCTCCGCGGCAGCCGTCGCAGAGGCAGCCAATTCCGAGCCCACAACCATACCAAAAAGCCTCGCAGACGCAGGGTCATAAGCAATCGCAGGATAACAGGCAATCGCAGCCATTTAGGCAACCGCCTCAGCCCAAGCCGCAGCCTCAGCCAACCAAAAAGCGTCCAGCATCCGACATTTCTGGACTTGCGGCCCTTCCGATCGAGCGGAAGCTAAACCTGTCCTTAGATGACCTTGCAAAGTCTGCGACGACGGCTCCTAACGCCAAGGGGGCAGCTAGGTAAGATCCTCACGCTTAACGCAAACATGTGCAACAGTTACTACCCGCGCACCCGAGCTTGCGAGCTTCATTTTCGTAATCCCCTTGCCAAAGCGCATACAATGCAACCCGAGTGCTTACACTTCCCCTCCCCACTCTCCTTCCCCGCTCCTTACTCTTGCCGCAGACGCCAGCCAGCAGCCCCAGACGCACAGCCCCACCAGCAACAGCAACCACAGCGGCACCCAACCCCCAGGATAGGCGGTCGCGGCCGAGGTGCCCCCGACGCTGCGAACCGGGGCGGCCGCACTGCTCCCGCCCGCGGCGGCTTCAGCAACCCGGGTCGCGGCGGGCAGTTCAGGACCGCCAACACCACTACCGCCGCTCCCAACTACCCCAAGCCCAAGTACCAGCTGATTAACAGTCCGGGACGCGGTCGCGGGCGCGGCGGACCCCCAGGCGGTGGCCGCGGCCGTGGCCGTGGTCCGGCCGGCCGGGGGCATATGCAAGGCGGCGGCAACAACAACAGCAACCTCAACCTGCAACGACGGCAGACGGGTGCGCATGCGCCCATCCACCACTCGTTCAGTCTTGATGAGGAGGGGGGTGAGGAGCAGTACGAGGAGCTGGGGGAGCACGAGGAGGAGGGCTACGAGTACGACGGCGAGGGCGAGGAGTACTATGAGGAAGGGGGTGACGGTGGCGGGTACGACCACCCGGGCTATGCGGATGAGGAGCTGCTTGGGGAGGAGGAGGAGGTGTACGGCGAGGAGGGAGATCTGTACGACCAGTACGACGGCGGCGAGTGCCATGACGACATGGAGGAGGGAGATTGGCAGGCCGCGGATGGCGGTGGCTTCCCCGCGGGAGGCCGCCAGCAGCAGCACCAGCGGTCTAGGGGCCCGGGTGCGGACGCCGGCTCGGGACCTAACTTCCGCAGCAGCATGATGAGCGTTCTGAGAGAGTGTCAGCGCAAGAGAGCGCCGGCACCGCTGCCACCGCAGTTCTTGCCGTCGGCTTCGACACGTCGGTCCAAGCCAGCAGCGCCAGCGCCGGCAGCAGCAGCGGCGACGAGTCAAGCAGCAGCAGCCGCCAAGCAGCAGGAGGCTTCTGCGGAGGCGCAGAAGATCGCGCACGCTGAGACGGTGTATCGTCGCATGCAGCAGCTGCTGAAGGACCTGCAGCTGCTGTCAGGAGGCGGCAAGGAGGAGGAGGCGGGCGCACGGGAGGAGGGCGGCCCTCGGGAAGCCCCTGGGGGCGGTGCTGCTGGTGGTGACGATGGTTCTGCTGCTGCTAGAACGGAGCAGGAGCAGCAGCAACGGCAGCAACCTGTGCAACGGAGGGAACAGCAGCGACAAGCCCAGGAGCAGCCGCCGCAGCCACAGCCACAGCAGCAGCAACAACAGTCGTACCACCGCCACCACCAGCCACAGCACCCTCGCGGGCCGGAGGCGGCAGTGGACTCCAGCGCTCCGCCGCACCACGGCGAACCTCGCTATGCGACTGCTGGCAGCAGTGGCGGAGGCGGGGGGGCCGCATCTGATGCCCTGCAGCAGCAGCACCGGCAGCAGCTGGTGCAGCCACAGCACCCCCAGCAGCACCCCCAGCAGATGCTGCTACCATACGAGCAGTCCCAGCAACCGCTCCGCATGGATCGAAGCCGTGGAGCAGAAGGCCTGGTCCCGCATGAGCCTGGTCCCGTTGTCCAACTTGCCCGCCCCGTCTCAAGCCGCGATGGCGCTGCCGCCGGCGCTTGGGGCTCGCAGCAAACGGCAGCTTACCTGGTCGGCAGCTCCCATGCCCAGGAACACATGCTTGAGGCGCAGGCTCAGCAGCCTCAGCAGCAGCACCGCCCTCGCGATGAGCGCGGACGTGACCGGGTTTCGGAGCGTGATCGAAGCAGGGAGCGTCGTGACAGCCGTACTGCACGCGGGGGCCGCGAGCTCAGCCGCGATGACCGGCGGGAGGACTACAGGCACCGCAGCAACAGCCGAGACAGGGGCCGACGCGTTGACGACCGGCGCGGGCGCAGCCGCAGTCGCAGCCGCGAGTGGCGCGACCCACGGGACGGTCGCCGGGCCGAGCGGAGCAGCAGCCGAGAGTATCGCGTCGTCTACGCGCCCCGCAGCCCGGTACGGAGCTCCATGTACGGGGGGTACCCCGAGGAGGGGCTGTACGCGCCGCCGCATGGACCGCCTGGTGCCTGGGGCCCGTCGCAGGATCCCTTCAGCAGCCGCCCGCCCTATCCTGGTGGGGACTGGCCGCCACCGGTACGGCCCGCTGCGTACTACCCTGGTGTGGCGGAAGGAAGAGGAGAGCGGTACGACAGGCCGCGCTACGAGGGCGCTATGGAGGCCGGTGCTAGGGGGTCCGTGTCTGCTGCACCAGGCCGGGAGCAGCTGGACTACCGGCGAGCTCCTCGCGATGCGCCCAGTCCCGATGGCCGCGGCAGGGAGCGGGAGTGGGAGCGCGGCCGCGGTGATGCGGTTCCGGTCCCGGTTCCCGAGCGGGAGCGGGAGGCTGCTGACCGGGAGCTCAACCGCAACCGGGATCGCGACAGGGAGCGGGACCGGGACCGAGAGAGGGAGAGGGAGCGCGAAAGAGAACGGGAGAGGGAGCGGGAACGAGAGCGGGAGCGGGAGAAGGAACGGGAGCGCGACCGTGACAACAGGGACCGGGAGCGAGGTGTCGCGACTGGAACTGCTGCTGCTGCGGAGGCCGCACATCGGTACGACAGATCCGAGTCCGACCCTCCCCGACGTGACGGCGAGGCACGTTTCAGCGACCCCCGGCGCGAGCATGGCGACTCCCGGCGTCCAGGTGACTACGACCGCGGGGGCGCAGCGGCTCCACATGACGGCGGCCCCCGCTACATCAGCAGCAGCCGGGACCCCCGGCAGGCCCAGCTGCAGCGCAGGCACGGAAGCAGCCCTGACAGAGGTCGCGGGCGCAGCGATGTCGACCGCCCCGGCGTGTCTGGTGGTGCTTATGGTGGGACGGCTGCAGCAGCTGCTGCTGCAACTACAGAAGCGGCAGGTGCAACAGCTGAGGCTGCGGGTCGTGGTGTCGGCCGCGACCGTGACGCTGACGCAAGGGCTGCACCCAGCCGCAGCCGCAGTGCTAGCCCTGCGGCGCGGCGTGGATACGGCATGGAAGGCAGCATGCAAACACGGGACGCGGATGGCGGAGCTGGTGGGTATAACCTCAGCGGCGGAGCAGCTGGTGGTGGCGGCGAGGACGGCAGTGCAGGGGAGCGGCGTGCTGAGGGCGGCGACGAGGCGGCGGGTCATCAGGAGCAGGAGCTGGAGGCTGGCGAGGTGGGAGTTGAGGCGGAGGCGTATGAGGAGCTGGACGATGAGCTGCCGGACGAGCTGGAGATCGACTAGGAGGTCGCGGGGGAGAAGCTGGCGGGAGACACTCGGCTGTTTTCTTGGTGCTCTGCCGTTGTGCGGCTTGTGCCTGTGTCTTTGTAAGCGGAGGAGCTTGCACCTCGCTTGCATGTGGGGATTCTCAGCATGGCGATGACAGCAGTGTGTTTCGCTGAGGGCCGGACAAGCGCAGCCTTTCCTAGCTTGCCAGGCGCCCCACGTCGTGCAGCTTTCTGAAGGGTGCCAGAGCTTATTTTGTCCCCATACTTGTTTGGGCTAGGAGGCTCTTCCAGTGCCCCCCTTCATGCAAGATGTTCTTGCACCAGGCCTGCTGTATGGCTCAGCACGGTTTGGGCGGTTGCATGGCTGCTGTCGGCAAGCCTGCTGTGTGTCACAATGGCATGTAGCTTACAAGGCTGCCTACACCAGGATTGCAACCAGGTTCCACCACGAATAGCCCTAGCCTCTTACCGGTATAGGTGCCAGCCCCCTATCCTTTGGAGAACGCTTTAAGCACTTTTCCTATGCATAAAGCCTTGGTCTGCCTCAGGTGCACACCAAATACGTTTAGTAACTATTAAAACCTAACCCACCAACTCAACGCTCGCCTCCGCACTTTATCACACGGCATCGTGTCATTACCACTAGCAGCCACGCAACGAGCACTCCTTTGCTAGCTGCCCCAGCACACAGCCAGACAAGCGCACGTACCTAGCCCTACAACACAAGCCCCTTTCCAACCCCCCACCCCCATCCAGCCCCTATGCACGCACATCGCCAGCACCCACGCCCGCATGCAAGCCCACTGCTGCTGCCGCTCCTGCAACCTCCTTCAGTACTGCGTCTGCGCCGCCGCACGCGCCAGCCGCCGCGCGTTCTCCTGCTCCAGCTCCGCTTTAAAGGTGTCCACCGTCCACTGCCCCTGCACGCTGGGCGAGCGGGTGAGGTGGCGGCTGCGCACCACCTGGTACTCCTGCCCGCGGCCGTGCGAGTTGCGCAGCCAGCTGATGTGCTCCATGATGTCCTTGGGCGCCTGGTTCTTCACGCAGATGGGCTTGGAGCGGCCGTTGCCTGGAGGAGGAGGTGAGAGGGGAGCGAGGGGAAGGGAGGTGGGGGAATGGGGTTGAAGGAAGAGAAGGGAAGTGATGGAATCCATCGCTGTAAAGATGAAGTGGGGTTGAGGGAGGACAGGTACGAGGGCGGGGCGGGGCGGGATGCCGTAGAGGAGCAGGACGCAGCTCCCGGTGTGAAGTAACCAGGGCAGAGTGATGGGATGCATGGGGGTTGTCGAGCCGCAAGATGACACACACGCTCACACACACACTCTAGGATGAGGGAATGGGGTGACACAGTTGGAAGACAGTTCAGGCCAGATGCTTTCTCAGTTCTGCGCAGCTGTCGGCGGGGTCAGAGGTGTGTAACCCCAGAGCAGGCTATCGAGCAAAGCTGCAAACGCGGGACCCCAACTGCCTTGCATGGCACGGGTCCCCTGGTCCGGGCTGGATCCCAGCTGACCTTATATGCACTTGCAACGTGGCTGCCCTGTCGCTAATAGGTTTGCAGCCTAGCGCGAGAGAGACAAAGGGGGGAGGCAAGGGTAGGCCGCACACCAACTTACGGTAGAGCGCTACCAGCATCGGGTGTCGGTACCGCCTGACCACCTCTTCCACAGCTAGTTGCGGGTTCTGCTCCTGAAATGCTGGTAGCGCTTCGTTTAGGAACAGCCTACGAAATGGGGCGAGCAACCTGCCTCAGCTGAGAAGGAACAGCACCACATCATTGTCCGTGACAACGAATTACCACACAGCTTACCGCATGCCCCGTGAACTGCCGCCAACATCACAGTACTTAATTATCAACCTCTCAAGCATCCATACTCCGTATTTGGACATCTTGAGGCGCAAAGGGCAAAGTGCTGCCGCCCCCTACCAACTAAAAATAAGTGCAATGCGACAAACGTTTATATGCGTTTAAATTTAGCAAGAAGCTTCTGCGTCGTTGGTAAGCTGGGCTGGAAGCCGGCTCAGATGTCAGAGCTAGGTGAAGTCCTCGAAAGAAGGTAACCCTAGGTATGTGCTGGCTAAAACCTCTAGTAGGAAGACTTACAGCCAAAATGACAAAGCCAACCACAGGATGGAAGACCTCATGTCGTACCCTTACTGCGCGTTGGCATTGGTCGCCCTTTCGCACTGATCGATATCTACGGGGCTACTACTTGTGCCTACGGCAAGCTTGATGTGACCTAATTGTTTTGATGGTGCTCATTAACCAAGGAATACCTTTACTAGCCTGAGAAGAATGGAATCGTCTTATCCTTCGCAGTTAGTAGGCTGGGTGGTTTGGGGTAAGGTTAAATCCTTGCCATGGTGGCCAGGTCAGGTCATGCACCCAAGCAAGGGCCCCCCGGAGGTCCGCAAAATGGCCGCTATGAAATCCAACGCCGGCAAGCTCTTAGTGATGTTCTTGGGTAAGTGTATCAGCCCGAAGCATATTGGCTACTTTAATTGGAGTAGCCTGCTGGTTCTGTGTATTCTGTGGGTTATACGCAAAGGCCAAGGCACTCACACTACCTGCATCCGTTCTTATGAGCAGGCGACAATAAGTATGCATTTCTCACTCGTGAGAGTGTGGTGGACTTTGCCGAGCACAAAGAGAAGCATTCCAGCACTAACTACGCGAGCAAGGTACGCGCTTAGCAGCCTTTGCATGGATCTTCTCTGATGGCGCTGTTATTACACGATGAGTATATGTAGTGTTATGTGCCAATATAGCTTGGTCTCATTTAATAGTTAGTGACATGGCTTACGAAGCAACATTTTTCATGGCCCTCACGCCCCCGATGTCCTGTAGTACTGGAAGCTTGGCTTGGAAGAAGCTGAGGAGCTGCTTGCTCGGCGAGCAGGGTTGGAGCCAGCAACAGAGCACGAACCAGTCGACTTTGCGGCGAAAAAGACCAACTTTAGCCAATTGGCGAAGGCGTGGGCGAGCGGATCACCTTCAGGAAAACAGCACGGCAGCGCAGGTACGATTGACGTTGCAACGACACCTTATGATTGTTCGCCGTTTTCAGGTATCGTACGAAACGCCCGTCGCAGGCGCGGGAGGTGCCCAAAAAAGTGCGACGGAACGCAACAAAGCGACACCCCAGCCACAGGAGGTCCAAAAAGCAGCTGCCACATCCAGCCCTCCTAAGGAGGCGAAATCCGCTTCACCCTCCACAGTTCGGGAACCGTCGAAGTCCCATCGCGCGAGCGGAACAGCAGCAGGTATGCAGGGAAAGCAGATTTACTTGTTCTTTTTAATCGTGTCCCCATTTAGTATATGTCGCTTGACTGGCTTCGCAGATGATGGGCGGCCAAAGTCCATTGGGGGCGTCATGCTGGAATGGGCGCGCTATATGCCTCTCGTCGCAGCGACTCGCAAGGGTGCCGAAGCGTCCTCGGGCGATGCAACCCTTAACTTCGCTAGACGCCTGGCCCGCGGCTTGGAGGTGAGCCCCGATTTGCTTGCTACCTCAGGCCCTTGACTTTTTTGGAAACCTGCACCCCAGGCGAAGGCACCAGCATAGGAAGCCCTAAAGCTTCAACGCGAGTAGAGCTTCAACGCAAAGGCTTCAGAAGCGACTACTACACCACTGCATCATCCTTTTCTTCACTCACCTTCCTACCCTGCATACCGGTACCGTCAACGTGTTCCCTGCAGGCAACCGACGCGCCCTCAGACGAGCACGCCCTGCAGCTGCTGCACTCCCTGGCGCTGCAGCGGCGGCTGAGGGCAGTGGACAGCCTTGCGAGGGGCGGCAGCGGCGGCACAGCTGCAGCAGGCGGCAGCAGCGCTGACAGTCCGGGCGGGGCGAGGGATGATGGGCAGGCGCTTGGCGGGGGAGGCATCAGCCCGGTGGTGGTGCAGCAGGTGAGGGGACTAGGAGGGGGAGGGAACAAGCCGTGCGCACTCTAGGTGGGAGCTAAGCCGTTATGTTTCTGTGTTCCCACTTTTGAGCTTGAGGAGGAAACCAATCCGCAGCACTTCCCGGGTTGGGGTTTGTAAAGGAGAGCCGTGCGCTCATGCCTGTGCCCCCTGCCATCCCTCCTCTCCCGCCCCAGATGTTCACTGTCAGTGACACGGCTGCGGTGCCGGTGCCGCCCGCGGTGCTGGAGGCGCTCTGGCGCTGTCCGGGCACCGGGCTGGCGGCGGCGGCAGCCGCAGCCACTGGGGCAGCAGCTGCGGGCCCGGATGGTGCTCAAGCATTGGGCAGTAGCAGTCAGGGTGCTTCCGCGGCCGAGGGCAGCGGCCTGGCAGCCGCGGCAGGGGAAGCAGCGGCTGTAGCAGGGGAAGCAGCAGCAGCGGTGCCGAGGGGTGCTGCCGGAGAGGAGCAGCAGCAGGTGCAACAGGAGGCGGAGGAGGGGCTGGCGGCGGCTAAGCAGGAGGAGAGGAAGGAGGAGGGGCTCCAGGGTGGAGGGGAGGAGCTGCGGGTGCTGGACTTTGACGTGGTGCTACGGCTGAATGGCAAGGTAAGGCAGGAGGGGGGTGCGGCGACAGCGTGGTAGGGTTTAATGCTGGTGCTGGGGGGGCGGGAGGGTAACAACGCGCGCATAGGTCAGCGGCGCTTGAGAGCCTGTCCTGGTGCTTGAGAAGTCCTCTGTTACGTACTTTGCTAGACCCTAACCCTGCCACCCTGCTGCCCTCTGTCTTCCTGCTCCCAGCTGCTGCCGTACCTCGCCACCGGCACTCTGAGCTGGCACAGCCCTCCCAGCTCCGCGGGGCCCGCTGCGGCTCCGGCCCCGGCTGCGGCAGCGGAGCTGGCAGCTGCACCTCAGCCGCCCTCGCTGCCGGGTGGCCAGCAGGCTGCTGAGCAGCCGCCGCCGCAGCAGCTAGCCAAGTCGGCGCCTGAGGAGCAGCCGCAGCAGCAGGAAGGGCAGCAGGCGCCTGCTGGGTTGGCGCGGGTACCTGATGGCCTGATGCCTCACGGCAGCGACCCAGATCAGCAACCTCAGCCGGCTGCAGCAGCAGCACATCCAGAAGCTGGCGCCGCTGCTCCGGCTGCCGCTGTTGGTGACGGGGTGGTGGCAGAAGGTGAGGGAGCCCGGCCGCAGGCGGCAGCTGGGGCGGAGCAAGAGGGCTGTGTAGGAGCAGGTGCTGGTGTTTCCGGCTGTGAGGATGCCGGAGGGAAGGCGGGTGCTAGTACCCGCACCGAGACTGCGTCGGAGGGAGCAGTGGGCACGGGGCCTGAGCAGGGGCCGGCCGAGGCCGCTCAGGAGGCAGCAGGGACACCCTCGCCGGGTGGGGTGGCGGGGCAGCAGCAGGCGGGTGAGCAGGGGGCGAGGACGCCGGAGCAGTCTGGAGAGGGAGTGGCGTGTGACGCTGGCAGTGGCGCCGCTGGGCAGTCGGACGCCTCGCCCGAACAGAAGGAAGCAGCCAGCACCGCTGGGGCTAACAAGGACGCAGCTGCACCTCCCGCGGCACAAGCCGATCCACCGATCGCATCAGTAGCACCCGCAGAAGTCGCAACCGGCGCTGCTGCTGTCGCTCCCTCTCTCTCCCCCGCACCCTCCGCTCCCACCCCCCTCACCCCCGCACCCTCCACCGCCCCCGCCGCTCCCGCCCCCACCTCCCTCAACCCACCTCCGCTCCTTTCCGCCCGCCTGGACCTCTCCCGGGGCCTGGCGCCCTGGTCTCGCGGGGAGGTGCGCATCACCTCCTGGGCGCTGTGCGGCCCGCGGCTGCTGCTGGTGACGGTGTCCGCGGACCGCAAGCGCGACGGCGGGCTGGGCGGCATCAAGCGGGAGGCGCGGCTGCTGCTGGCGGAGGCGAGGGAGCGGCGGGACAGCAGCCCCGGCGGCGGCGCGGCGGCAGCGGAGGATGAGGCGGGAGCGGAGGGCGAGCCAAAGTATAAGCGGAGGCTGAGGTCCGCGGCGTCGCCGCCGGCGCCGGCGCAAGGGCATGGCGCGAGGGGCAGCGGTGGTGGAGCGAGTGGAAAGCAGGGTGCGGCAGCGGGGTCGTCTGGGGCGGCACAGCAGCAGCAGCGGCCTTCCGCGGCAGCGGAGGGCGGCGGCGGCGAGGGATCGACCGCCGTTGCAGCCTTAGGTCCAGCCGCCGCTGCGCTGATGCGCTCCCGGATGTTGCAGCAGAAGCGGCAGGCGAGTGCCGCTGAGGCGGCGGCCGCAGCGCCTGGTGGGGGTGCTGGCTCGGGGGCAGCTGCAGGCCGGAATGGCTCGGGTTCGGACGGCGGCGCAGCCACTGGTTCCCAGTCGGGGACCGGTGGTGGCGGCGATGGCTCCAGGACAGGCTCGAATGGTGGAGCTGCCAGCGCTGACCCACGGGTCACAAAGAAGATGAAGTTGGTGCGCTTTCCGCCGGGGTCGGCGACCAATGCTGGCGCGGGTAATAATGGTTGCGGGTCGTCTGTGAGGACGAGCAGCGGTGGCGGCGCAGCGGCTGCGACGGCGGCAGCTGCGGGGGCAGCCGCAGGGGCCCCGGCAGCAGCAGCGGCGGCTGGGGATGCCGCCGCCGCCCGACGCCGCGGCTCACATGGTCAGCTGCCGCCCAGCACTGGCGGCGGCGACGACAGCGGCGCTGAAGACCGTTTCGCACGTGTCAGTGGCGGCGGCGGTGGCGGGAGCGGTCATGTGGCTGCTAGTTCCCAGGGCGCCACCGCTGCTGCCGGCGGACCCCCGGAGCCCGAGTGGGACATGTGCTACCCGCCCTGGCTGCCCCAGCCGGCGCACAAGGGCGCATTCATAACCCACGTGGCCCAACCCCCCCGTCATCACCACCACCACCACAGCTCCCACTCTTCACACCACCACCATGCGCGGCAAAGGGCGGAAGCGCGGGGCAGCGCTGCGGGCGCCCCCCCGCAGCACCCAACAGCGCAACACGGCCTCACCCACAGCCAATACAACAACAATATCCAGAGCTACGGCAACTACGGCATTGCACCTTACCCTCACCACCACCAGCAGCAGCACCACTCCACCTCCCAATACGGCGGTGCTGTCAGCAGCCGCCCTCACTCCAACGGCCGTACGTCAGTGCCCCGCCGTACATCAGCATACGACAGCTGCTGGCCGGAGGACGAGACCTGGGCTTCCGAAATCACTGCTGTGGTCCCGCCTCAAGAGTACGACTACCAACCACCCTTTGGTCCTTCTCCGGGAGCCATGGCGGCTTCTGGGTTCGGGGTTGCGGGGGGCATGGTTGGCACGGCTTCATGGTTGACGCCGATGTCGGGGCCGGGAGGTGCCGGCGTATATGGCATGTCGGCTGCGGTTCCGCCGGGGCTGCCGTCGAGCAACAGCACTGGCGGCGCCGGCGCCGGCGGCGGTCCATGCGAGCAGATCCTGCTCGACATCCGAGTGGGCGACGAGGGCGACCTGGACGTCGACGGGGCCGCCGACGCGGATGCCGCAATCGCTGTTACCGTACACTTGCCGCCGCCGGAGGTGCCCTCGTCAGCAACTGCCTGTGCGGCGGCGACGGCCGGGACCGCAACGGCGGCGGGAAACAGCATGTACTACACTCCCATGCATGTGGGCGCATCGTACGGCCATCACTATTACCCGGGCAACGGCCTCATGTCATCTGCGTCCCCCTTCGCCTTCCACCAGCCATCCTCAACAGCTACCGCCACGCCCTTTGGTCCAGCCGCTGCGTTGGAGGCAGCCGCGATGACTGCCGCCGCAATCGGCGGTAGCAGCGGCGGCGGCGGCGGGGGCAGCTTGTACGGCGGAATGACGGCTGCTGACGTGGACCTGGCCGTCACCGCCGCCATCCTTGCAGAGCGGCACATGTCGGTTTGCGAGTCGGCGGTTACAACTGTCAACGATGCCCATGCGGCTGCTGCGGCAGCGGCGGCAGCAGCGAGTGCCGGAGGGGTGAGTGCGGGAACTGCGGCGGGCGCTACCGAGGGTGGCACTGCCATGGCGATTGACGGCAGCGGCGATGGAAGCTGTGGAGATGGGGGTGCAGCAGCAGGAGCAGGAACAGCAGCTTCTGCTGGTACGGAGGGGTGCGGAGGCGGCGGCAAGGGGCAGCCCCCGGCTTCGGGGCTGTCGTGGTACGAGGGCGAGGTGGGCAGGCTGCGGAGGGAGTGTCAGAACCTGCGAGAGCAAGTCAAGCTGAGGTGAGGCTGGGGCTGTGTACATGTGCGGCCCGTGCACCTTTAGTTCCTGGCTACCGATGTCACGGATAGTCTGCAAGAAGGGGATACTGTACCCTTGAAGTAATGCATGCCCCTCTTTCCTTTGCCCCGATCCTCTTGGTGATTGCCTGTATTGGCCCCATCCCCCTTAAAACCCCAAACCCCAACTGCCCCCCTCTCCTCCCCGCCCCACCCCGCCCCGCCCCCCAGACTCGCCCCCGGCCTGCTGGACCTGCTGCCCCAGCACCACCTGCCCTACCCGCAGCTGGTGGCGCTGGTGGCGGAGCGAGTGCTGTCACTGGCCCTGCAGCTGCCCTCGCTGACCGGCCCCGCCAAGCAGGCCTTCATTGCCTTCAGCCGCACACTAGCGCAGGAGGCGGCGGCATGCGGCAGCAACAACAACCACCCGGCAACCCAGGCAACAAACCCGCAGCAGCCACAGTCGCAGGCTGCTGCAACCCACCCAACACCATCACCAGCACCAACACCAGCAGCAGGCGGGGACAGCGGCGGTGGCGCCTCTCCCGACAGCGGCCCCGACCCCGACTGCTGTCGCAGTCTGGCGGTGGCGCGGGTGGCTGCTGAGCTGGTCCGCAGCGCCGCGGCCCCGGGTCTGCCGCTGCACCCGGAGGACCGCTGGGCCTTCATCAACCTGGCCGCGGAGCTGCTGAGACCCTAGGGGGGTGCTGGCAGGGGGAGGAACCGTCCTGAGGCCGTCGTGGCTGCTCTGGTCCGGCAGTGTTGGGGTGGTGGTGGTGCTGGAGGGCGGATTGGAATGCTGCGGGTGCACAGGATGAGACTTGGTTGGCGGTGCCGTGCGTCTTGTCGAAGTGAAAAGCCAGGGGAACTTTCGGACGGTATGGGCTAGGAGTAGGGAGAAGGTAGGGGCTTGTGTCAAAGGTTGCCGCAATGAAGAACCAGTTCCGCAGGATGGGGTCGCATGTAGCAGCAGCATGGCAGCAGTGGAGGCGGAAATGGCTGGTTGGGTTACAACATGCGGTGTTTGTGCGGGGTGGCACGCATGGGGCGGGAGACATGCTTGCAGATACGCGCGCGTGTCGCCCCCTCCTCGAGCCCTGTTGTACCAGGCTGTACGGCGAGTGTACGGGTGAACGACACACTTTTGGGTCACTGTAGCTATTACGCAAGTACCAGCAGCCACGGCGGTGGACCACTGTGACAGAGCCGCCCGCCCCCAAGGCATGCAGCATACTGCCGGGGGCGGCAAGCTGGGAAACGTTGTGGTGCTGTGCAACCTACCTGGGGTGAACCTTGTTCCCCGAGTGGTTGACGTTGCATGGGGGCGATGCATTGGGCGTGCACATTTGGCGTCTGGGTGGGAAGCTGGCAACACATGCATGCAAAAGGTGCAGCGGGGACCCGGACCTTATACGAGTGTAAGGGCATGTGCGATTGCGGATTGGGACGGTGTTTGCTGTAAAACGGTAACTCACTACTGCAACCATGTTTCCGTTGCTTGGACGGGTTTGAAGGTACCATACCTCCGCATTCGCAAATGCTGTTGTTGACTCAGGTTGACTGAAAAAAGAAAAAGCTGCCTATGCAGTATGTGTACCATGTGTAATGTGTGTGGCGTTTGTGTTGGTGTTGTTGTTGTGGAGCTGTTTCGTACTGTGGTGCAGTCACCCCGCCTCATCGCGTTTGTGTTCAAGACTCGTGCCATCATCCTCCATCCTGCCTGCTTAACTTGGGAAGCTCGAACCCCCATCATGTAAGAAGTCCGCATCCCAAGGTTGCCGCTACGGACTGCCTGTCTGTGGGGCTTTGCAGCTCTTGGATAAACTGGGGAACTGGGGATGAAAAGAGATGGGGCTGACGTATGCGGTGACAGTGCTTCCTCGTGTCGGCTGTTGTTGTACCGATGGGACCCTGCAGGGAGGCGCAGGGTTCTGGACTACTGGTACACCGGGGGTCTTTGTTTCGCACGGTTTCCCGGCAAAGGGCCTGGTCTTGTTGGCCGGGCTTGTTGGCCGGCCCGTCCTGCGTTGCCTGTCTTACCTTGCATGCAGCATTCGGGGTGAAGTCATGATGTGTGTCCTAGTAACACTGCCACGCGTTACGCGACATGCATGGTGGCGGCAAGGGTCTTGTTTGCTTTGGGTGTAGAGTGTACGGCGGGGAGGCAGCCGTGAGTCATACCTGGTGCAACCGGTCATATGCCCGCTACGGACGGATGTTCCTTGCCTCCAAAACATGGCCTTTGCCTACAATTTGAGGTAGGCAGTACTTCCTTGTCATCTTACTGCATGCACAGCTCAATTCTCCGCGAACGAAGCCATGCAGCACCGCCACTCCTGGCCCCTCACCGCAGGGCCCTCGCAAATCCTGCATGCGCATGCACACAAGCCCGCGTCACCTCCAACCTCCTTCCATACCCCGACCGCACCTTCAGTATCTACCGACCTGCACTTTGACATGAGAGCGCTACCCTGTGTTGCCAAGACGGCTCGACCCACACCGCCACAACAGTGAAGTCGGCATGCATTGCTTAACACGAGTGATGGGGTATTCACAGAAGCATATGAACAACTACGGTGTCTAGTATGGTTTGGTTTCAATGCCGTGCAGGAGCAGTGGAAACGCCGCGTCGCTTGCCTGCGACGGACACCTCCCTCGTCCTCATCATCCGGCTCGTCATGACCGCCCGACTCCTTTCTATAGTCCGACTCCCCTCATCATTGTGCAGGTATGCGATCTCCTCAACGCACCCCCGGCTCCCTCTGTAAGCACCTTGTGACAGGGGCCCCCCTTCCACACAGCCACACAGCAATCGCATTGCTGTACTCCCGCTGCTGCTGCTGCCGCTGCTGCTACTCCTCCCCGTACTGCTCCTCCCCATGCTGCTGCTGCTGCTGCTGCTGCTGGTGCCCCCGGTGGTGTCCCCGCCCGAGCCCCCCCGCGGAGGCCGCCGCCAGCCGCTCCAGCCCCTCCTCGATCAGCGCGCCGCACGCCGCACGCGCCGCCTCCGCCGCCTCCCGGCCCGTGAAGGCGTGCGGCAGGCGGTAGCTGAGCCACACGTACAGGTCGTAGGAGCGGTGCAGCGCCTCCAGCCGCCGCAGCTCGGACTGAGGGAGGGGGAGGAAAGGGGAGAGGGTGGCATTGTGGGGGGAGGAAGAACGAGGAAGAGGAGATGGAGTCTTTTCCAACCAAGCCACCACCAAAGCATCCATCTGCACACCCATCCAGCGCGCACGAACGCCCCCTCCCCACCCCTCACCTCCGACTCCGGCGGCCCCCCCAGCAGCGCCTCCTCCCCCTCCTCCCCCGCCACCAGCTCCGGCCCCACCGCCCCGCCCTCGCAGTAGGCGCATGCGAAGCGCAGCAGCGCAGCGGCCACCGAGGGGTCGTCCATGTCAGCAGGGGCTGCCAGAGGAGAAGGGGGAACGTCTGGTCAGGTGGGTTGTCATGACAGTGCACACCAGCCCCCACACTCCGGTGCAACCCACCCACTCCGTAACCAGACCCCGCCCAAGGGCCTTCCATACCCTCACCTCCCCCCTCCTCTACCCCCCTACCCTACCCGTGCTAAACAGGATCAGCTCCTCCGGCTCCAACCGCCCCTCCAAGTGCCGTAGCGCACTCGCGATGCCGTACACCCCCTCGTAGCTGGCGTACAGGTAGGCGGGGCCCAGCTGCGCGGCGGCGGCGAACGCAAGCAGGCTGGTGGCGAGGGGGCGGTGCGGGTGCAGGCGCGCGTAGGCCACCAGGTGCTCGGAGCTGTGGGGCCGGGAGGTGGGGGGCGTGATAAACCAACCAGAGGGAACCAAATGTTAGGTCGAAGCAAAGCGGGAATAGGAGGCGGCAGGGGGAGGAGTTAAGGGGGGACTTGGGGTGGGCAGTTGCAGGGTCAGAACGCAACGCACCCGCTCGGTCCCTGCATGCGTGGTAAAGGGGTGACTTCAGTACCCTTAACCTGGGGAACAACCCTGCCCCCTCCCCCTTTGTGGTCTTTGCCGCCCCCCCTCCTTTACCTGGGCAGCAGGCAGGCCCTGCTGACGGGTTGCGGCGCCTCCCCCAGCGCCCGGTGCAGCGCAGGAAGGTCGGCGGGGTGCAGCGTGGTGACGTAGCCGGTGGGGTGCGTGGAGGAGAAGCGACCCGCGCGACCCGCGATCTGTCGTACCTCGGAGGCCTCGAGCGGCCGTACAATCCTTCCGTCGTACTTTTGCAGCGATGTGAAGACCACACGGCGGATGTTCAGGTTGAGGCCCATGCCGATTGCGTCACTGGCACATAGCACCCGGGACCCTGCACCCGCACCCTGAGCACCCTGAGCACCCTCGGCAGCGGAAGCACCCCCAGCGGAACCATCACTAGCAGCACCGGCTGCAGCACCACCCGTGCTGCCAGTGTCATCACTACCGCTGCTGCTGCTGCTGCTGTCGCTGTCACTCCCTGACCTCCCATGCGCATGTTGCGGGGGTGACTGGTGGTTCCGCCGACCCATGGGCCCCTCCCCCGTGCCGCCACCCGCATGTGCCCCTTGCTCTTTCTGCTGCTGCTGCTGCTGCTGTTCTCCTCCTGCTGTTTCCTGCTGTTGCGTCTGCTGCGGCCCCACGGAGGCTTCATTGAACAGCGCCGCCTGCTGCCTGCGTGCCTCCGGCGGTAGCCCCCCATACACCAGACTCGCCTCCCGCCCGCTCCGCCGCACCACCTCCCTCCTCATCGCATGCAGACTACGCCGCGAGAACCCCACCAGACAGTCCCCCCCGGCCGCCGCTCCCAGGCTACCCAACGCCTCCGACTGCACCACCAGCGGCGACAGCCGGTGGTAGTGCCGCACATCCAGCTCGTCCCCGCACTGCTCCACCAGCTCCCGCAGCACGGGCAGCACCGCCCCGTCCCCCGCCACATGCACCTCCGCGGCCGCGACGCCCAGCAGCGCTCGGGTCCAGGCCCACCCGCGGTGCCGGTCGCCCAGCATCTGGATCTCATCTAGGACGGCGACATCGAGGTAGTGGGGGGAGGTGGAGGGGGAGGAGGGTGGTTGGGGGTGGGTGGTTGTCGTCATGAGGGAGGATGCGTCGAGCATTTGTACGTCCGCCATTTCCACGGTGCAGGCGGTGTGCCGGGCGGGTCGCGGGGAGTGCTGGGGCTGCTGCTGCTGCTGGGGCTGCTGCTCCTCCTCAACTCGCCATCTGACGTGGTTACTGTTGCGGTTGTTGTGGTCACTGTTATTGCTGCTGCTGCTGTGGTCAGGCCCGCGGGTGCCGTCCTCCTCCTTGCCGTCCCCCCGGGTTGCCGGCAGGAAGGCGGGTCGCACCTCCTGCCCGGTCACCAGGTGGCAGGGGACCCCCTCCGCTGCTAGCCGGTCGGCAACCTGAGGAAGTGGGAGGCGAGGTACCGGTGTGTGCAGTCAAAACCACTGACCGGGGTGAAGCTGGTGAACTGCCCCCGGATGTGTGCGGTGCGGTGCGGTTGGGTTGCCTAGGTGGGGTAGCCCTCTTGCATGTCCCTTTGCTTGCATGTCGGGGGGAACCCCGCTGCCCCGCCGCTCTAAGCCTCCCAGCTTATCTCCTCAACTCGTAACACACAGCACACCGCCCCGCACCCCCCCTCCGCCGCCCACCTCGCACGCCAGCAGCCGCAGCGGGCCGCAGTAGAGGCCGGAGGGAGCCGCCTTGAGAGCCTGCAGGGCGGCGTGGGTCTTGCCTGGGGGTGGGTGGGAGGGAGAGGGCAGGGGGGCGAGGTGGGTTACCGGGGGCAGCATTGGGTTCGGGCGAAAAATAGCGGGGTGGGCAGGGCGGGGTAGAAGCTGGTCAGTGCTGCTGTTCGCCCCTCCAACTCCGTCCCCCAGCCCCGCCCGCCCCTCCCCGCCCCTACAGCCTCACCCGAGTTGGTTGGCCCCAGGTGTGCTATCACCCTCCGCCGCATGCTGCGAGCCAGCGGGTACCAGAGAGCGGGGTGGCGCAGGTCGGTCAGCCGGGCTGCGGCTGTGGTTGTGGAGGAAGAGGACGATGAGGAGTTGCTGGAGGTAGAGGAAGAGGAAGAGAAGGAGGAGGCGGGATCGCAGCTGGAGGAGGCGGAGGTTGAGAACAGCCGACCGAGCTCCGCGGTTCTGCTGCTGCTGCCGGCGCGCCGCCACACGTGCGCAGGCCGCTGGCCCCCGCTGCTGCAGCTGCTGATGGCAGCTAGGGTGCTGCTAGGGGTGCTGCTGCTGCTGCTGCAGCTAGGGGCCATGTTAGCAGCCCAGTTGCGGATGTGTGCATGACCATACCAGCACCCGCAGCAGCAGCAGCACCCGCAGCAGCAGCAACGAAAGGGGCGTCCACAGTTGCTTAGAGCTGCTGCTGCTGCTGCTCCTCCTCGTCCGGAAGAGTGGAAAGTGCTGGTACTGCTGTTTAGGATCTTAGAAATGCTGCTGCTACTGCTGCTGCTGCTACTGCTGGTGCTGGTGCAGAAATCCAAACCGCTACTGCTGCTGCTAGCGGCCAACGTAGGGCGGGACGGGTTGCGGCCGCTGACCGGCAGGCTGCCCTGAGGGGCTGCGGGAGAGCTGCTGGTCCGCCTTGTGCGGAAAGGGCTGCCTGCGTGGGTGGTGGGAGCAAGCGGGGCGCTGCTGCTGGTGCCGCTGCAGTCACCGGGGCAGCGGCTGGAGCTGGTTTCGTTTGGGGGCTCTGTTAGCACCAGTGAGCATGAAGATGGGGAAGAGGAAGAAGGCAAGGATTGGGGTTGATGGTGAGGATAGGGATGGGGACGGGTCAGCCCATGCCAATAGCGGTCGAAGTGTAACCCAGGCGCGGGACCTGTTGATGTCTTTTATACCGTGAAGGCAACTCTATATATACGACTTCACGTTGCAAGTTGTTGCCCTGTTGGATGTCGACTTACCAGCCTTGATTGCCGCCATTGCCTCGGCAAAGAGCGCATGTCGAGCCGCCACCGCATTCGACCATGTGCCAGAGATTGCACTACCAGCAGCAGTGAGAGTCCTTATATTTTGATGACAGAGCATCTTCGTCAATCAGGGAGTCGACGTCATACGCAGCACGGGGCATGGACCATTTCATAATGATGGTCAATAAGTATATTATACCTTGAGCAATGTCCTAGTACCGGTATTGAATGATTATCGTGTCATTTGGAGCACTACATTTGTAGCACGTCGTTCATTCGTGCAGACGGTGCTTGTCGCTCGTGCAACATACGCACCACGTCAGGAATAACAACTAATAATCATACATTTTTTCTATCATCACATTTCTTCTTATGACTTTGTGTTACTAACGTGACTGGAAACACTAAGACTTTAGTATGTCAGCATCCGAAAAGGAATGAGTACAGCGAACGCGCTCAGAGTACTCATGCAAACACGCAACGGCTGAAACGTACTAGTTATTTGTAAGGCGCGATGGAGGAGGACATCGGTCTGGCCGAGCTGGGCGTCACAGCGCGGAGCGCCGCTCTGGTGGAGGAGCAAGTCCTCCAAGAGGTAACATATCGCAAGTGTTTATAGCGTTTACATTCTAGGTGTTTCCTGGGGCCATAATGCTTGCCGGCGCCGTTCGCTCGTTGGTTGGCGTCACGGCCTGCCACGTCGCCCGTCGCTGGCAAGCTGCTGGGCCGCGCCGTTCCTCCATCCCCCTAATCCATTATCCCCTCCAAGCTCATTTCCTCACGCCACCATGTAGGCGCTTGAGGCCGCGGCGGATGTCCCGCCCCGTGCTGCTGCCGGCAGCCCCGCCGACGACATCCCAGCAGCAGCAGCTCCTCCTGCTCCTTCTGCTCGCTCCGGCCATGTCGCCACTGCTGCTGCGGCGGGGGATGCCGCGCCTCACACCCGCCCTTCCCAACAGCCAAATGGTCCCGCCTCCGCTTCTGCTCTCCAGCAGCACCTCCAGCACCAGCAGCACCAACACCAGCTGGCCTCCGTACAGCAGGAGATCAGCGCCATTGAAGCAGCGCTGGCGGCAGCAGCGGAGGCGGCAGCGGCGGAGGCGGCAGCAGGGGGCGAGGATGGGGAGGATGAGAAGGCTGCCGCCCCCGCTGCTGCCTCCTCGCTGCTGCAGGTGGCGGTGATGCGGGACCGGCTGGTGGGGCTGCGGGCGGAGCAGCGGAGGCTGCTGGGGCTGCTGGGGGAGGGGGCTGCGGGGGTGGGAGAGGTTGCGGCGGCGTCAGTGGCAGCAGGGTCGATGATGACGTCACCAGGCGGGCGGCGGCGGTTTGGTGCCCGGGCACTTGCGCGGGCGAGTGCGGGCGGAGGTGCGGGTGCGGGCGGAGGTGCGGGCGGAGGTACGACACAGCAGAGGCAGCAGCGCCAGCAGCAAGGTGAAGGGGAGGATGCAGTGGTGGTGGGGCAGGCGGGCGCCTCCTCACAGCGACCGAGTAAGAAGCCGCGAGGAGGTGCCTCAGACACAGCAGCAGCAGCTGCTGCTGGCGGGTCACAGCAGCCTTCGTCCGCAGCAGCAGCAGCAGCAGGCGGGGGCGGCACCGGCGGCCGACTGGAGCTAGCGGAGACGGAGAAGGACCGGCTCATCCGCCGGGGCCTGCTCACTCCCTTTGACCGGCTGGCTGGCTTCGAACGCAAGATGACCAGTGCAGCGGGGGCGGGCGTGGCCTCAGTGGCGGGAGCTGCTGCTGGTGCTGCTGCTGCCGCTGCGGCTCCCCGCCGCATAGCCGCCGCCACCGCTGCTGGCGGCAGTCACAGTCCTAGTCCCGGCGCCGCTGCTGCTGCTGCTGCCGCCCCCCGCGGTGCCGGGTTCGGCCCCCTGCGTCACCTGGGTCGCAGCGAGCTGGGGCCGGAGGATGCGGGTGTGCGGGGGCGCAGCGGGCGTACGGCGGCGGAGGCGATTGAGGAGACGGGGCGGCGGGCGCTGGAGGCGCGGGCGGCGAGGCGTACGGCACAGTTCCTGGAGCCGGAGGAGCTGCCGCAGCAGGTAGCGGTAGTGGGGTGTGGGTGAAAAACTAATGAGACATTGACGAGGCAACTAACGAGCCTGTGGGGTGTGGGTGGGGGGTTGGAGGGGGTGTCGTGAGGAATTGTAGTCTGCACCGTAAACACCCCCGTAACGAAGCGAAGGGGAGGATTGGAGGACAGATCACCGCTAAAGACCGTCTGTCTGATTCCGGGTGGCAAGGTGGACGATTTCGCCTCATCTCATCTCATCATCCCGCACACACGCGGCCTTGCTGCTGCTGTGCATTGCACTACGGCCGTACTCACACCCTTACCCCTGCCGTACTCGCACGTCACACCCTCACCCCTGCCGTACTCACACCCTAATCCGTCGTCCTCACACCCTTACCCCTGCCGTACTGCCCCCCCCCCCCAGCGGCCGAACGTCCGCAGCGTCCCCCCTCACTTCTGGCACGCAGCTGCCTCGGGTCGGCGGGCGGCGGGGGGTGGCGGGCGCATGCGTCGGGAGTCCACCCTGCCGCGAGCTAAGCCAGTGGCTACATGGAGGAAGAAGAGGGGGAGTGGGGGCGGGAAGCGGAGGAGCGGGGGAGAGGAGGGCGAGGAGGGGGCGGAAGGGCAGGAGGAGGAGGGGGAGAAGAGCGGCAAGCGGCGAAGGCGGGGGCAGCAGCGGGAGAGTGCAGCGGTGCGGGGTGATGGAGGTGGAGACAGGTGCGGGTATGGGCGTGAATAAAGTGTTTAGGATGTTTAGGGTGCAGGATTATCGTGTGTATGGGAATTGAGGGATACAGCGCCCACACCGTCTAAGAAGAGGGGCTCAGCAGCAGGAGCAGCAGCAGCACTGCAGCAGGAGCAGCAGCAGGAGCGAGTGCGGCTGCTGCTGCGTCAGCTCTTGCCACTACTGCCATGAGGGAGCACTGGGCCGCACTGGGCCACTTTCCCACTTGCACCTGCGCATCCTCGCTCCACTCCCCTCATGCTGTGTATTTCCCTCCCCACCCCTCCCACCCTGCAGCGACCCCCCGTCCACAGAGGGCACGGGAGCCGACTCGGACTCGGACTTCAACCCGGCTGACTCAGCACCTGACAGCAGCGACCCCCGTGGCCGGCGCAACGGCAGTGGCGAGGGAGGCAGCGACTCGCCTGCTGACGGCGGCGGCAGCCATGAAGACGATGATGATGATGATGAGGAGGAGGAGGAGGAGGAGGCGGAGGAGGGAAATGACGCAACCGCTGATGACGACAAGGACGATGAGGAGCTGTACCTGGCACACGATGACGCGGATGAGGAGTTCTACCAGGAGCGCATGCAACGGGTGGAGGAGGTGGAGGTGGAGGCAGCAAGGAGGGGCCGCAGGCGGGGGAGAGGGCGGCAGGGGCAGCGGCGGCAGCGGAGGGGTTCGCAGTCGCGGTCTGGTGCAGCTGCTGGGGAGGATGGTGGGGAAGCAGGGGGTAGCGGCGGTGGCGGTGGTGGTAGTGGCGAAGAGGGGACAGCGGCGGCCGAGGAGAATGAAGCAGATGGGGAGGAGGGCGGCGAGGGGGGTGAGGCGGAGGATGAGGAGGGAGGGGATGGGGCAGACGCAGCCGACGGCGGCGGTGCTGACGTGGAGTTTGAGGGCGGCTTCCGGCTCCCCTGCCGCCTCTTCTCGCGTCTGTTCGACTACCAGCAGACCGCCGTCAAGTGGCTGTGGGAGCTGCATGTGCAGGGGGCGGGGGGCATACTGGGGGACGAGATGGGGCTGGGGAAGACGGTGCAGGTGAGGGGAGGAGGGAGTGGGGAGGGGAGGGGGGGGGAAGGGAGGGAGGGCGAAGCTGAAGGGGAGGAGGGAGATGGAGAGGTGGAGCTGCCGTGCAGGAACCAATGCATCGTACATAGCTATGTACTCTCACACACTGGCCTTTGAAATCTCCTTCCTGAATCCTAATGCCCGGTTCCCTTCTCTCCTCTGCATCCCCTCTCCCATGCTGTTACTAAACTTGTAACCCCCTCTCCCCCCCAGGTGATCGCCTACCTCGCGGGCCTGCTCCACAGCGGCCTCTACCGCCCCTCCCTCGTCGTCTGCCCCGCCACTCTGCTGCGACAGTGGCTGCGAGAGCTGCGAACCTGGGCACCCCGACTGCGGGTGGTGGTGCTGCATGAGTCGGCACGCAACCCCCCGGGGGCGGGGCTGAGGCCCAGCAGGTGGGGGGGCGCTGGAAAGGGACCCGTGTGCGTCGCGGATAGGTTTCTGCTACCGTGATCTGTCTCTCTTAGTTGTATTCGTGCGATGCGCTTTCTGCGGTGCAAGAAGTACCGGTTTGGGTGCATGTCGCCCACCTGCCTAACCCCTCTGCCAACCTAACTCCTAATCACCTAGCCCGCCCTCGCCTCTCAGCTCCGCACCCACCCCTCTCCTCCTCCTCCCTCCTTCCCCCTCCTCCCCAGGTCCCGGCTGGTGGACACCGCCCTCTCCTCCCCCTCCGGGCTGCTGCTGACCAGCTACGACCAGCTGCGGCTGCAGCGGGGGGGGCTGCTGGGGGTGCGGTGGGGGGTGGCGGTGCTGGACGAGGGACACAAGATACGCAACCCGGACAGCGAGATAACGCTGGTGTGCAAGCAGGTAGGGGGGGAGGGCTCAAGCGTGGGAAAGAAGAAGACGCCGTCTACGACTCATCATGACATCAGTCTGATGCTGCCATGACAGCTGTGAATGATAAGGGGAGAGGGGACGTTGGAGGCATTTGCAGGAGGAGCCCCGAGGATAGGAGTTAGGTGGCCTCTGTTAAGAGAGAGTAGAAAATAGGATGAAGCAAAAGGGCACCCAAACACCTCCCCCTCCTCCCCCTCTCCCCCGCCCCCAGCTCCACACCGTCCACCGCCTCATCCTCAGCGGCTCCCCCATCCAGAACCGCCTGGCGGAGCTCTGGTCGCTCTTCGACTTCATCTTCCCGGGAAAGCTGGGCACACTGCCGGTCTTCCAGGCGCAGTTTGCGGTGCCAATACAGGTGGGGGGGGGAGCGGGGGGAGGGGGTGGGTGGAAGGGGTGGGGGGGGTTAAGCAATTGTAAACTCGGAGTTGTTGTGGGGGTGTTGGCAGGCGGTGGGGTGGGGTGAGGCACCAACATGGTTGGTGGACCTTTGGGCACGCAGCATCGGGCGCCTTATCCAGTAATCCGCACCGCTCCGCTGCACAGGCACCCCAACACGTGATCACCTCCTACCTCCTCCCCCCCTTCCCCCCTCCTCCCCTTCCAGGTTGGCGGCTACGCCAACGCCTCCCCCCTGCAGGCCACCACCGCCTTCCGCTGCGCGCTGGTGCTCCGCGACCTCATTGCGCCCTACCTGCTGCGGAGGCGGAAGGCGGATGTGGCGACACAGCTGCCCGCGAAGACGGAGCAGGTGGGGGCGTGGTGGTGTGTGTGGGGGTGGTGGGGGGGGGGGGGTTGGAGATGGTGGGCCGGGGCTGCCCTTTGCTTCCCCTCGTTTCTCCCCCGCCCGTCTGCCGGCCTGCTCCTGCGCCTGAGATGTCGGGGGTACCGTCCACCCAACGTTGCGCCCACCCCTTCTCCCTCCCTCCCCCCCTCCCCCTTCCCCCCACACCAGGTGTTGTTCTGCACGCTGCTGCCGGAGCAGGTGCAGCTCTACCGGGCGTACCTGGCCAGCAAGGAGGTGGGAAGCAATGCATGCAACCCGCTTTGTCTGCTCGCACGCCCTCCCACCTCTTCTCTGACCCCCCTCCCCCCCCCGCCTCCCCCCCTCCGCCTCCTCCCAGGTGGGTGAGATCCTGGAGGGCAGTCGGCGGGCGCTGAGCGGTATCGACATCCTGCGCAAGATCTGCAACCACCCCGACCTGCTGGAGAGGGCAACGGGGCAGGCGGCGGAGGACTATGGTGGGGGGGGGGGGAGGGGGGGGGACGGGGGCTGCGGGCTGCTGTTTGCGGGTGGACTACTCCCCCTGAGGGTGTGTTCGCACTCCTTTCCCACCTGCCAGGATACTCACCATGTCCCCATTGTAACCCTGCCTCTCACCCGCCTTCTTCTACCCTCACCCGCCCTCTATTACCGCTCACCCGCCCCCTCAACCGCCTCCTCATCCCTCCCCCCCCCTTCCCCTCCCCGCCCAGGCAACCCCTGCCGCTCCGGCAAGCTGCGAGTTGCGGAGCGCGTGCTGGCCTCCTGGCAGGCCGCGGGGCACAAGGCGCTGCTGTTCTGTCAGACACAGCAGATGCTGGACATCGTTGAGAAGCTGGCGGCGGGGCGGGGCTGGAGGTACCACCGCATGGATGGGGGCACACCGGTGGGGGCGCGGGCGCGGCTGATTGACGACTTCAATGGGCGGCCCGAGGTGTTCCTATTCCTGTTGACAACCAAGGTAAGAGGGATGGGGGTGGGGGTGTGGTGTTGGGCGAGGCGTGCGTGGGAGGAGACAGTTGCGTGATGGTCAGGGCGGGGACGAGGTACAGGGCGGGGCGGAACAGTCCCGTGGGTCTCACAGCAGCAGCAGCGGCGGTTGCCTCCCGCGCACCCTCACCCCTCACCCGCACCTGCACCCCCTGCCCCCAGGTTGGCGGCCTGGGTGTGAACCTGACGGGCGCCAGCCGGGTGCTGTTGTACGACCCGGACTGGAACCCATCCACCGATATACAGGTGGGGGGGGCCGGGGGGGAGGGAGGGGGGGAAGCAAACGAGGAAACGGACGAGCTGGGGAGGAGGGGGGCGGGAGGGGAGGAGGACTGCATGGGGCATTGGTTACCCTCGTTGGCGGTGCAACAACGGTGCAGCAGCTAATGACGTAGCGAGACGCAGCAATCCCACGTGCTGCCGAGGCATGTCTCACTCACCCCTTCACCCCTCACCCCGCACCCACATATGCACCGCACCGGCCCCCTCCTCCCCCAAACGCAGGCTCGCGAGCGCGCCTGGCGCATCGGTCAGTCCCGCCCCGTCACCATCTACCGGCTCATCACCGCGGGTACCATCGAGGAGAAGGTGTACCACCGCCAGATATACAAGAACTTCCTGACCAACAAGGTGGGAGCAGGGGAGGAAGGGGAAAGGGGAAGGAGAGGGGAGGGAGGATGCGGAGTGGGAGGGGAGGGAGAGTGTGTCCTTGCGTATGCCAGTGCTGTGTCTGGAACATCCGCGAGCAGGGCGAATGACCCAACGAACCGCACAGACAGCCAGCTAGCGGCGCCACGTACCCGCACCCAAGACCAGGCACGCCCCCACCCACCGCTCCTACTACCCTACCACCGACAACAACCCCCCCCACCACCCCACCCCTCCCCACCCACCCCCCACCCCCAGGTCCTCCGTGACCCGCGTCAGAAGCGCTTCTTCACCTCCCGGGACATCTCCGAGCTCTTCACCCTGGGGCCCGAGTACGACACACGCAAGAGGAGGGGCGGGGGGGCGGGGGCGGAGGGGGGCGGGTGGGAGGCGGGGGCAGGGGCGGAGGCGCTGGGGGACACCGAGACGGCGCGCATCTTCGGAGCCACGCTTGAGCTGCAGGCGGCGTTGCGGGGCTCGGAGCAGCAGCGGGGGCAGGGGCAGCGGCAGTCAGGAGAGGATGGTGGTGGTGGTGGTGGCGATGGTGATGGTGGAGGTGGGGAGGAGGGGTCTGGGTTGTTGTCAACGGCCGCTGCGGCAGCGGCCTTGCGGAGACGAGGCGAGCGAGGCGGGGGCGAGGAGGGCGGGGTTGGCGGGGAGGGAGAGGAGCAGCAGGGTGGGGCGGCTGTGGAGACGGCGGCGGCGGCGGGGGTGGCGGGGCGGAGAGGGAGAGGAGGGAGCAGCAGCAGTGCACGAGGGGTTGCTGCGGCGGCGGCAGCGGGCGCGCGGGCGGGGGAGCTGGGAGGAGCAGCAGCAGGAGGAGGTGGAGGTGGAGGTGGTGCAGCAGGTGGCGAGGAGGCGGAGGCGGACGAGTCCCGCGTGCTTCGGGACCTGTTCGACGGTGGAGCAGGTAGGGACATGGGGGCCGTGTGACATGGGTTGCCTGGCGGGTTGGGGGTTGGGGGCCTGCATGTGCACTGGGACGGCGCTCCGGACACGTCTCGTCGCGCTCAAGTACGGAAAGAAGGGCTGCTAGTACAGCGTCTTGCCACAACACCTTACCAATACCCACCCGCCCGAACTCCCTCCTTTATCCTCGCCCTCTCCCGCCCGCCGCTCCTCTCCGTGCTCCACTTTTCGACACTCTCCCCGCCCTCCCCCTCCCTCCCTCCCCATTATCACACCACACTTTGGAATTTCTTTTTTTTCCCTCCCCCCCAGGCCTCCGCGGCCTGGTTGACCACTCCCGCATCGAGGCCGCCAACGACCCGGAGCACCTGCACCTGCACGCGGAGGCGCAGCGGCTGGCACAGCGCGCAGCAGAGGCACTGCGCCGCTCCCGCCAGGCCTGCGCCGCCGCCTCCATCGCCACCCCCACCTGGACTGGGCGACATGGACATGCGGGGGCGCCGGGTGTGGGGGGCGGGGGGGCACGAGCTGCTGCTGCTGGTGCTGCTGCTGCTGCCACCTCGGCTGCAGCAGCAGGAGGAGGAGGAGGAGGAGCGGCTACGCCACCGCGGCGGTTTGGTAACGTGACGAATGCTCGGTTGCGTGCTGGGGGCGGTGGTGGTGCGGGGTCTGAGGGGGCTGGGAGCCCAGCAACAGGAGCAGCAGCGGTGGAGCCGCAGCAGTTGTTCAGCGGAGCGGTGGCAGGGGCACGCGGAGCCGCCGGCAGGGCGGGTGGTGGCGGAGGTGGCGGCGCGCCCGCCTCCTCCGCTGCGCTGCTCGCCCAGATGCGCAGTCGTCAGCAGGCGGTGCGGGGGGCGGCGCGGGCGGAGGCGGCGGCGGCGGCCAGAGGCCGACGAGCCCCCGTAGGCGGTAGTGGTGGTGGCCGCGGTGGTGGCGGCGGTGGCGGTGGCTCCACCGCTGCTGTTATTACCAGCGCTGAGTCTCTTGCTTCCGAGCTGGTTTCCTTCCTGACCTCACGCGGCGGTGTGGCAGGGAGTGAGGCGGTGGTGGGTGCGTTCCGCGGGCGTGTGGAGGCAGCCAGCATGCCGCTGTTTAAGCAGGTGTTGCGGCAGGTGGCGGTGCTGAGGAGGAGGGCGGCGGGCGGGGAGTGGGTGCTGAGGAGGGAGTTCAGGGAGGAGGGGGAGGGGGGAGCGGGGGAGGCGGGGGCAGGGAGCGATGGTGGGAGTGACGGGAGGAGAGGGGGAGGCGAGGGAGATGGTGGCGGGGTGAGGGAGGGGAGCGCGCGGGTGGGGGAAGGAGGAGGAGGAGGAGGAGGAGGAGGAGGAGAGGGAGGGGGTGATGGTGGCAGTGGAGGGGAGGTGATTGACCTCACGTGATTGGGGAGGCGGTGCGGTGCGGGTTTTGCCATCGCGATTGGGAACGCGCGGGAGGTCGGGTGATTGGCTGGCGGTCGTGCTTCCATGCGTCCATGTAGGATGTGTAGGATGTAAGCCTTGTAAAGTTAAAATGGGCACTGAAGACACGTGCGGTACCCGTTTACCGCTATCAGGGGTTGCTATAAGTTGCTGCCGCTGGTGGCTTCAGGAAACACTTCCGTACATTGTGTTCCTCTCAATCAGATTGCCGGCTGTGCGCCAAATGTGGGGCCTGACATGCGGGTGCAGCTACCCCGCATGCTGTGCGGCTGCTCTGAGCTCGTCACCACCTACCTGCAGTAGGTGTGTGTGTAATACATACCGTACTGTACGGATCATCACGTTCCTTGTGCGCAATCTGGGGCCGTGTCCCGGAATAGCAGGGCAGTAGGCGCACGGGTCACCCGTTGTCCCCAGGGCTTTCGAACAAGTAACGCTTTATCATTCAGCGGGGATAACCAGGGGATGACTGCACCACTGTAGCCTAGTAGGGCCAGTAAGACGTGTGTGAGCACACCCATGTACCCAGCAGGGCTAGCTCGTCCAGCATAGGTTGCCGTACCCATCTTGGATAGCTCGCTGCCTCGCTCAGCACGGATAGACGTACCGTACATACATATGCTTCAGCAAGCTCAATACCAGTACTGAACTTAGCGAATATCAGTAGGAGAGGTTCTAAGGTCGTGTATCTGTCCTACAACATTGGTTAAGTACTACTTGTTTCGGGATAAGGCAAGACGCACGTACAGATTTTTACATCAACTCGATGGACAGGCAGCCGAACGTACCGGTAGTATGGGAAGATTCAAACGTTGCATCTGGCGTTTTTTTGCTTCCGGAAATCCTTGATCGTATCTCCAGCTATATGCCCAAGAACGAGGTAGCCTGTACGCTGCGCCTAGTAAACAAGGTTACGGCTGCGCACTTTGACCGTCCGGGAGATCGGATCGTCCGTGTGTCCGAGCTGGTTCCGCACCATGCCTTCGTTGCTCGCTATGGCGACCCAGGCATTAGGAAGCGATTGGACTTCAACACGCGGTTGCAACTGCTGCGCCTGGTCGCGCGTAGCGGCAGTATCCCTAACCTGGCATTCGCAATCGAAGCAATGGGGATCGTGCTGGCTGAGAATCCACCGGCGTGTTTGTTTTCGGAAGCAGCAGCTGAAGGGCACCTGGACGTCTGCAAATGGCTGCTGCAGCAAGGCTATCGCTGGAAGCGCTGTGGTAGCGCACTGTCAGCAGCTGCTAGAGCAGGACATCGAGTCATGTGCGAGTGGCTGCTTGCAAATGGGCACCCCCGGAGCATAGAAGCGCCTGCTGCTGCTGCTGAAGGAAGCCATATCGGCCTGATGGAGTGGCTGGCGAAACAGCATCAGCGCAGCGCCCAGTCCATCGGCATCATCCGAACAAGCACCCTGAAGGGCATTGCAAGGGGCTGCAGCCTGTCGGTCCTTATGCAGCACTTCGCAGCAGGCGAACCAATTGAAGACGATCATGCCAAGGCAGACGTCCTGGCCGCTGCGGCCTCCAGCTCCACGTCCGATTGGCGGGCCAAGGTGGAATGGTTGGAGCTGCAAGGCTACCCGCTGGCCCGAGCCGCCTGCACTGAAGTCCTCAACAGGATCAGCCCGGCGGAAGACGCGATGGACCGGCTGCGGTGGCTGCGGGGGCGCGGTTATCCAGTGGACGACGAAACCGCAGAAGCAGCAGCATACGCGGGCAATGTCGCCGCCCTGCAGGAAATCCTGCTGTGGAACGGCTCCATCCAACTGGGGGAAATAGATTTGGGTTTCGTTGCCTCAAGGGGCCACTTGGATGTGCTCAAGTTCCTGCACCAGCGGGGCTTCCATCCTGACAGATATGATGCCTGGAACGCGGCCAGGGGTGGCCGCCTGCACGTGCTGGAATGGCTGTTTGAGGAGGTTGGTCTGGCGGATGTGGAGGGCCTGCTGGGCCAGGCTGCCAGGTCGGGGAGTGTGGAGCTGATGGCATGGCTTCATGCAAGGGGAGCTCACATGGAGGAGGATGTGATGTGTGGGGCTGCGGAGGCGGGCTGTGAAGAGACGCTGGAGTGGCTAGCCGAGCACTACGATATCCAAGTGAGACTGCTGGGGGGGTGCGGCTTTGGGGTTGCGTGGGGTTTTGGGTACGCTACAGGTGTGCGGGCAGCACCATACCGTATGCAGTGGTAGTTAGGGGGAATCAGGTGGGGTGGAGATCTTACACGAGCTCACTTTGTGAGAATCCAGTGAAGTGGTAAGTAGGTTCTACCATATGATACATGTTAAGAATGGTCCTTTGCAAGGGTACCGGTAGGTCCCCAAAGAGGCTGGGGTGCACATACAGGCAGGGTGCATCCTTGGCTCGCCAGCAGCAGTAGGTGCGCGCAGGCGGGCTCTGCACGCACTTGCACACTTGCGCAGGTGGGCTCTGTGGGGGTCACCGTGTAGCCCCACCCTTGCCCATCCAGGGCTCCCCACCAGGCTCGCTCTTCACTCCTGCAGACTCTCACCCACTACCCCTCTGCTCCCATGCGGCCATGTCACTATGCAGGCCGTCCCTGCACAGCCATGCGCCTATTATGTGGCCTTGGTAAACGGGGACATGGCCACACTGCGTTGTCTGCGGCGACTGGGCTGCCCCCGGGACAGCAGCTGCGACGCGCCGTACCTGAGCACCTGCGCGGAGAAGAAGTACCCGCAATGGGTGAGTGAGTGGCTGCTGCGGGGGGGCTGAGCGGGGCAGCATGCAGGTGCAGGAGGAGGAGAAGGGGGGGCAGGTGGATGAGGTGGAGGAGGCGGAGGGGCAGGAAGAGGGTGAGGCATGAGGTGGAGGAGGGGCCGGAGGAGGAGGAGGTGTAAATGAGGAAGAGGTGGGAGAGGAGGAGGAGGAGGAGTACTAACAGAAGACAAGGAGAGGGGTCTGTATCGTGTCGTGCTAGTAGGTACCGGTAGTTGGGAGACAGCAACCCTGTTGCAAGTGAGGATGCATCCCTCTCTGTGGCAGTAGTGTTGGCGGTGCGGCAGCTGCATGTGCATGTGTGTGGGGTGTGCTGGCCTCGAGGGACGAGGGAAAACTAATGCATGTCCAGGCAGGTTCAGGTAGATGAAAACATGTTGTAGGTTAACGCATTAGGTGAAGGTTGAGATCAGGAGTAAGGTTGCACCTCGGTCATGCCTGTTGTGCTTTATTTGTGCGGCACCAGTTGTCGAGGACACCCAAGGCGGTGGGGCCCTGAAGAAGTGTGTTGCCCATAGGCTGTGCTCTGTGGAATCCTCCTTGCAAGTATGCTCTGGTTTTGAAGTTCAGACATGCCGGAAGCCCACTCACCGTGTCTATAAGGTGGTCCCGGTATACGCGTATGTCTCATCATACCACTGCCATACAACACAACCCCCCCAAAGTGGATAACTGAGACATCTATCTGCTGCCTGCTCGACACCCCCACGCTAGCGAGTGCAGCACGTCCTGCAAGCACAGCTCGCGGCCAACCAAGCCCTGACCCGCCTGTAAGTCCGGAGCTCCTTTCCTCTCACTCCAGCTGCTGCTCCCCCTGTGCCTCACCTACCCAGCCATGTCGTCAACACCCTCCAGCCCGGCGGCCCTAAGGTACCGGTACTGATGGGAATTCGCGGGGTATGCAGGGCGTGCTTGGGGTCTGAACCTTACACACGGCACTTGAGCAACGACACACGGGTGCTCCATCCCCCGGCTCAGGAGGAGCCCCATGCATGCCCCCACCACCGCACACAGCAGCCACCGCCACCGCCAGGGGAAGCAGGGGACCGCCCCCTCCTACCCCGGCACAGCACCACCAGCTGCTGCAACACCTGCCCTCCGCACAACTGCAAGCCACACCTGCTGCTCTGCTGCGTTCGACCCGCCAGCACCCCGCATGCCTGCACTGCACTGCACTGGTAACGTAGCCACACAGGGCTCGACCCGGTCCTTCCTTCCCGTTCCACACCCGCACATCGCGCGGAGGGCGGGTCCAGCCACACAAACCTCTCGCTCCGCGCCTTAAACAGCTCCGCGCACAACAACTCCTGCACCTGTTATTATTCCGCTGCCTTCCCACGCCCCTCCTCTCTCCGCCGCTCCCTATACCTCCCTCCACTCTCAACACCCCTCCTCAATCGTCCTCTCCTTCCTCTACTCCGCAAAACTCCATCCCATGCTGCAGGCCCAGGGAAGGGCCCCAACCCTCCCACTCTCTTCTACCCCCTTCCTACTGCTCCTACCTCCCCTCTCATGCACACCTTCCATAGAACGCCGTCCCACACCTAATGGGCTCTCAACCCAGTCACGCTCACCACTCACAGGTTCCGTCATACGGTTGCCTTCTTTCTCCGTACCCCCCACCCCACCCTAGTTTGCCATTCTCTCAATCAACGCACTGGGTATTCTTCCCCACCCCCCTGCCCCTCCTCATCTCGCAAAGTACGGCCCCATGTCCCGCACCCCCAGCCCCGCTATCCCATGCGGCTTCAGGTCCGCCCCCGGATCCACCCACTCCGCGGGCGCATACACCACTGCGGTGCGGGAGGGCGCGTACAGCTGCAGGGAGAAGGGCCGGCCGTCGTGCGGGGTGGGGCTGGCTGTGAAGGTCACCCCCGCCTCCTTGCTCACGTTGCGGAACCCGCCGAACACCTCCTCATCGCTGCTGAGGACAACCTGCGGGTGTGGGGGTGGGGGGGGGAGGGGGTGGGGGCCAGAGATGCCGTATACCAAAACCACAGGTTAGGGCAAGGCAATGGGAAGAGAAGGAAGCAATGTGTGGGTCAATGGAAGGGTGGGTTGTGGAGTTGTTGCGGCATCCTTTTCCTCAGCACTGCAGCAGACAGTGATCCGTCCTTCTGAGGTTTACCCTAGCCCCCTCGCCTCGCCCTCACCCGTCACTTGGTCACTGACTTGCTGTGCTGGCCACTGCTACCAACACCCCTACCGGTAGGTAAAGGCAAGCCAGCCCTGTGCGGATTGTTCCCCTCCTTCTTCCTCTCCCCGCCCCCCCCACCCGCCCCCTCACCCACCTTGTAGGCCCCCCCGGCGTTGCAGCCCACCCTCAGGTCGGTGTACGAGTCGGTGGGGTGCCAGTTAAGCACCGCCAGCAGCTCGCCGCGCTCGATCACCAGCAGCTTTGAGGCGGGGTCGGCGCGGGAGGTGGCGCAGTGGGGGGAGGAGAGCAGGCCGAAGGCCTGGCGAGGGGAGGAGGGGGAAAAAAAGAAATTCCAAAGAGGGGGGAGGAGGGAGTGTAGGTGGGGGCAAGGACAGGTTGGGGGGACCCGTGGGTCGGTGGGCATGTGGGGAGTAGTACCGGTAATAGGGTATGTAAATACCACACTGGGCCAGACTGGGCTGGAATATAGGTTTGTGTACAGTCCCCTCCCCCCCCCCCCGCCACCTTGTCAAGGTGCATCAGCGCCCGGTCAAACGCGCCCAGCCAGCGGTAGCGCAGGTGCGGAGAGTCCGCAAGGTCCCACCGCCGCCGGCACTTGTCAAGAGAGCCGCCGTTGCCTGGTGGGGGAGGGGGGGGGCCGGGAGGGGGGGGAAGAAGAATACCCAATGGGATGGGGGTCCAGAGAGAAACCAAACCGGCGGTTTGGGGGCCGCAGGGGACAATGACGACACCAGCTATGGCAAAGGAGAAGACGGAGGGAAAGCGAGTACGGCCAACCGCCTGCTTCCCTTCGTACGCCCTCCCTCCCTCCCCCCCTCACCCGGCACCAGGCGCCCCGTGGAGGGGTCGTAGCTGTCGTCGCGCGGGAAGTCGATCCACTCGGGGTGACCGAACTCGTTACCTGGATGGGGGGAGGGGAGAGGAGGAAAACAGCAGCAGCAGGGGGGGTGCGTGTACGTTCATGACAGCCAACCCAGCAGCAGCAGCAGCATGCCAGCGCTAGATATCAACTGACAGCCGCAACCGCTTCTGGCGCACCCAACCCCCGGGTAGCCCATCCTAGCAAGCCCCCTAGCATCCATTCCAGCACCCTTGGTCTCCGCGCTCTCCACGGCCCTACCCTGCCCCCTTCCCTCCCTCACCCCTCCCCCCCCTCACCCCTCCCCCCCCTCACCCATGAAGTTCAGGTACCCCTCCCCTCCCAGCGCAAAGGTGGCTAGGCGGATCATCTTGTGCAGCGCGATGCCCCGGTCGATGATGGGGGAGGGGGGACCCAGGCCGGGGAGAGACTGGGAGGGGGGAGGGAGGAGAAGGCGTGGGAGGGAGCGATGGGAGAACGTGAGAGGGCTGGGAAAAGAAGCGGGCAACTGACATCTTGTCAGTTGTCAATTCGGTACAGCAGGCAAGGGCAGGCGAAGAGGAGAAGTAGGGCTAGGAACTAGGCGACAACAACCATCATGTGTGTGTTTAATCTCTCCGTACAGGTGCCGTGCATACCCACACACATGCAGGCATGCATATGTCGTACATTTCTCTGCAAGCATGTGCCGTACAGCCGTCTCACCATGTGGTCGTACATCTCCTTGTCCATCAGCCAGAAGGCCAGCGTCTTGTCGCCCACCAGCGCCTGGTCATGCGACTCGGCGTAACCCACACACGCCTCCGCGTACCTTTGGAGGGGGGGGGAGGGAGAGGGGGAAGGCGCGCACAGAGTCTTGATGCATGGGGGGCTACACCCACAGAAACCCTTTCAGCTGTGGCTCCTCTTCTCCCTGCCAGCTACCCCTTTCCAAGCTAAAGGGGCACTTCATCCTAGTACGCCCCAAACCCTTGCTCCCCCTATACCTCCCACCACACTCCCTCCGCCCTCCCCCCCCTCACCTCCTGTTTGTGAGCGTGTGTGCGATCTCCCCCGGGTCCCAGCCCCCGTCCGGCCGCCCCCGCAGCAGCTCCACCCATTTGTCTGCCGCCGCCATGTGCAACCGGTAGTCGAAACCCAGTCCGCCCTCGTGCCAGGGGCGGCACAGGGCCGGCATGCCGGACACGTCCTCGGCTGGGGAGAGAGGGACATAATCAATGAGAAGAGGGGAAGGAGGGGAGCGAGGGAGGAGCAGGGAGGAGGAAGGAGGGGAAGGGGTTGCTTGGGGGGAGGAGTTTTGTAGCTTGTAGGATGGGGTTAGCAAGGGTCCAGACACCTTAACTGAGCTATGGGTCGCCGCCTTCTGACACACCCTAGCTAGTCCTCGCTGCTTGTGTGGCTCATCCCCTGCCTCCTCCTGTTCGCCTCCTTCCCCCCCTCTCCCCCTCATCCCCCTACCTATCGTTACGCAGTTCGGGAAGAGGTCGTGCAGCATGTTGTTGGCCAGCATGAGGTACACCAGCGCATCCACATCGGTGTTGAGGCCGAAGTACTCCTCGTAGGCACCTGAAGGGGGGGAGGGAGGGAGGGAAAGAAGAATACCATATGTGAATGGCAGACAAGACGGCAAGCTCCTCTGGTGAATGGAATGGACTTATTCGAGCCGAAGGTGCCAGGGGGGAGGGAGGGAGGGAAGGGGTTGAAGGCAGGGTTGGGTGGTTGCTGGGCTTCGGGCTGCAGGCGGATTGAGGGCTCTCAGAGAACTCCCTTTGTTCCCTACCCCCCCGCCCCATCGACTTGTGTGTTTCAGCTGGTTTGGTTGCTCCCTCCGACTCCCCTGATAGCCCACCCACCCGTGAAGGTGTACGACAGGCCGTGGTGGTGGTACATCATGCTCGTCACTCCGTCGAACCGGAACCCGTCGAACTTGAACTCATCCGCCCAGTAGCGCGCGTTAGACAGCAGGAAGCGCAGCGTCTCCCAATTGCCTGCATGGAGGAGCAGGGGTGGGGTGGGATTAGCAGAGGTTGGAAGGGGGGTCGGGGGAGGTGAAAAGGAGGAAGCGAACTGGAGAGGAGGCAGGGGAGGACGGATGACGGCAATTCACGCAGACGCCATGACACGAGAGGCAGGCTGACAGCACTGACGAGGGTGCCGGTACGGCAGCGCACCCCCAGCACCTTGTTCGTACAACCAACCCCAGCTCCTCGCCCCACACTAGCCACTCCACCCGGTCCCTCCCCTGATTTTCCATCAGGGCTTGTCAGCTAGTGTACCACTATCACACCACACATTGGAATTTCTGTTCTCCTCTTCCTCCAGTCCTACTGTACCGTACCCTCCCCCCATGCCCCCCCCTCCCCTCCTCCCTCACCGTAGTTGAAGCACCTGCTGTCCCACATCCAGTGCTGCCCCCGCGCCCCGCCGTGGAAGTACATGCCGTCCGTACCATCGAACATGTTGATACCGTCGTTGGTGTTTTTGGAGGCGTGGCTGTGCACAATGTCCATCAGGACCTGGGGGGAGGGAGGGGAGGGGGGAGAGGGAGGGGAGAGGGAAGCCAGATAGAAACCAACTCGTTGTAGGTGGTGACAGCGAAGGAGGGGGGGAGGGCAGGGAGGAAAGTGGACGCCAAGGCCAGGTAAATGCATCGCAGCAAGGCATCTCCCTCTGCTCCTTGCTCTGGAGATCTCCCTCTCCTCCCCTCCTTCCCTCCTCCTCCTCTTCCTCGGTTAGTTGTTTCCTCTTCCTCCCCTCCTCCCTTCCCCCCTCACCACCAGCCCTAGTCGGTGTGCCTCATCGATCAGCGCCCGCAGCTCCTCCGGGGTGCCGCAACGGCTGCTGGGCTGGGGGGGGGCAGGTGGGGGGCGGGGGGGGAAAAAAGAAATTCCAAAGTGTGGTGGCGGGGGGGGAGGGATAAGTGGGGAGGGTGGAGGGGGGTTAGGACATGGGCTTTGCGGGAATTTACAGCTGACGTGTGGGCCAATGCAGTTGGCAGGAGGATGTATCGCAGCAGCCGGGAGCAGCAGCAGGGGTTGGGGCGCTCTCCTCCCAATGTGTCCTTCCTCCCCTCCCCTCCCCTCCCCCCCGCAGTGGCAAGGCCCACCTACCGCGAAGAAGCTGGTTACGTGGTAGCCGAAGGAGCCTGCGGGTGAGGGTGCGGGTTGGGGTTGGGGTGGGGGTGGGGGTGCGGAGGGGGGCAGGGGCGCAGGGCAGGGGAGTTGGTGTGGGGTAGAGGGCCACAGAGGGAGGGAGGGATGGAGACAGGGCAGCAGCAGCTCACAATGCACTTGCTGGAGGGGGCCCACAGGGAGGGACGCCGCGTGTGTACAGCAGTACAGACCGGTAGCGTGTGCCATGTCCCATGTGGTGTGTGTGTGTGTTTCAGCTCTCCGGAGGACGGCCCTCACTTGCCTCGCCTCACGCATGCATGCATCCACGCGGCAACGTCCCCCGCACCCGCACACGCCCCCTCCTCGTCCTTTCCCCATCCGCCTACCCACAGCCCGCCCCCTCCCTCCCATTCCCGCCTCTGCACTTATCGTTTATTCCCCAGCCTGTCCCCCACCATAGTACGCATGCTCCTGGATGGCCATGATCTGAATGGCGTTGTAGCCCAGCGCCCGCACGCGCGGCAGCACGTCCCGCCTGAACTCCAGGTAGGAGTTGATCTTGGGCTGCTGGCTGCTCATGCCCACGTGGCACTCGTAGATGCGCAGCGCGCGGGGGCTGGGGGCAAGGAGGAAGGGGTCAAAGACCATACCAAACCATAGGAGACCAGGGAGGGGGGGGAGGGGGGCGGCATGAAATAAGTGAAGAGTGAAGCAACGGAGTCCTCCGGGCGGGCGGGAGGCGGCGAGGAAGGGTAAGGCGGAAGGAGCTAGGCGTGGGGAAGAGTGACACGTGTGGGGTTCATAGCAACGGTCTGTGATATTGTAACAGATGGGAGAAAGGAGGGCCGGTGGGGAGGTAGGAGGTGAAATAGTGTTGAGTAATGCCTCGCAGGAATGACACTACTACCCAACCATCCCCCAACCCACCACCCCCATCACCACCCCCACCTCACCGGGGCGGCCGCGGGTATTTGAAGACGTACTTCTTGTCCGGCGCGATCTCCCCCGGGGCACCCGACTCGGGGGGGTCCCAATACACACCTGCGTGCCACACACGCATACACACGCACACGCGGCGCGTACCGTTTACACACACGCGCGCATGTTGGGACAAAAGGACGAATTGACGAGATGGTGACCCATGGGTCAGTAGGGTATAACGATGCGATGCGGAGCCCCACCCCCAACAGCACAGCACGCATGCAAGGATATGATGGAACCGCACCGCAACACGGCAACACCGCGACACCTCCAACCCCAACTCCCAACCAACTACACGAGCATCGCCACTTCAACCCCTTAACCCACCAAGCCACCATTAAACCCTATCTTACCACCATAAAACCCTATCTAACCACCATTGTTGCATGTTGCAACACCCACCATTGAACAGGATCTCGTTCCACTCCTGCGTCGCCCACTTTATCCACGCGGGAATGCGCTCCAGCCAGCGCCCCTCCGCGCTCTCCAACCGGCACTTGACGCGGCAGCGGTGGCGCAGCGCGGGGCTGCCGTCGGGGGCGTCGGGCAGGAACAGCTCCCACACGCCCCACTCGTTCTTGAAGGCCCAGTGCTGGTCGCCCGGGGTCCAGTTGTTGAAGTCGCCTATGAGGGCGAGGGCCTGGGGGGGACAGGGGGGAGGGGGACAAAGACCATACCGGGGGAGGGGGGGGTGGGGTGTAAGAAGAGAAGAAGTGAAGAATGAGATGGAGGAGATGAGGTTGGGGTTGTTGAGGGGTCGGAGGGGGCGCCGGTAGGGTTGGAACGGGGTTGGGGGGGTGGAAGGGGGCCCTGCGGACGCTGCTGGAAGGGACGTGGTATGCCGGCGAGGATACGTGGCAACATGGGTGACGGGGCGTGAGAAGAGGCGGGTGTGACGAGGGTACGAGGGCACGAGGCGGCACTCAGGACGCGGCTCTTAAGGGGAGAAGGCAACGGACAGCCCCCTGCTGAGCCCGGCCCCCCCCTCCTCCCTCCCCCGCCCCCCAGCCTACCTTGGCCCCTGGCGCCCACTCTCGGTACCAGATGCCCCTGCGCCCCTGGTGCTCCCCGCGGTTGAGGCCGAAGCGGGTGTAAGCTGGGGGAGGGGGTGGGGGGCGGGAGAGGGGGGGGAGGGGGGGGGGTAAGATAAAGGACGCGGCGTCACTCGCGGCGTGTGTGAGGGCGCCGCCTGCATGCAGGGGTGCACCTCCTGCCCTGTGTCGGGATCCGGTGCAACATCAGAGCGCCGCGAGCCCCCGGACCTCCCAGCTCCCCACCGACCCCATCCCACCCCCCACTCCACCCTACCCCACCCTGCGTCGTCCTCCCCCCGCACCCCCCCTCCCCAACCCCCACCGCGTGTAAATGCGTCCAGTCCTCCCTCGCTGTCCTGGATGGCTGCCCGCAGCTCCCGCAGCCGCCGCCACCGGTACTGCGGGGGGGAGGGAGGGGGGGAGGAGAGGTACGACATACACACGGAGGGGAGCGGCCGTTGGAAAACTGACACGACACGTGAGGGGTAGAGGGCTGTTGCTGTGCTGCTGTATGGGGTGGAGTGCGGCGGGCAGGGGAGGAGGTCCGTGCAGCTAGCAGGGGCGGGGAGGAGGAGGAGGTCAATAGGGGGGGGTGTCCGGACCCTCTGCATCGCCCCACTCCTGCATGCCCCACTCATATGGCCCCTCCTCGCTGCGGTTCCCCAACCATGCAGCTCCCACCCCTCCCACCGCTCCGCCCCCACCCTGAAGTGCTCTGCAAAGTTCCAGAGCGACGGGTCCCAGCGGAAGCACTCGGTACCGTCGTGCCCGGGTACGGCACTGATGCTGCCGTACCGGTCCCGGTACTCGTGGTTGGCGGGCATCTGGGGGGTGGGGTGGGGGTGGGGTAAAGAGCTATTGAGGGATTGCGGGTTGGTGTGAGTAAAGGGCATGCAGGGTGGAAGGGTGGAAACAGTCCCGCCTCCGTCACTGCCTACATGCACCCCGGCAGGTGAGGACGCTAACTGGCGCTAACCATGTCCTCCCTGTTTAGCATGCTTGGGTGTGCTGCTAAGCTTCCCACGCCCCCCTCTCCCCTCCCTGGACATCCGACCTCCAGCACAGGGCTCCAGTAGTCCTCCGGTGCGGGAGGCATGATGCCAGGTGCGTCCTCGGGCGGGGGAATGGGCACCCCTGCCGTCCGCAGCTGCGTCTCCAGCGCTGCGATTGATACTTTAGCTTCAGCTATGGTCTCTTTGAGCAGTTGATTCTCCTCCCGCAGGATTTCCAAGACGTTTGCCGGGTCCTCGCTGAAATCATAGGGAAATGCCGATGGACGAACTATGCGCCTTGCTGAACCTGCGGGCACAGAGTGTATACGAGCAGTGCTTCTTAATTCTCTTCGTGGTCAAGTGGTCTGTGGTCAAAGTTTGGGAAGTCGTGCCCTTTCACTGAAAGCTTTACGCATGCGCAGTTGACATGACAACGGAGGCTAGCGCTTTAGCAAGCGACCGTCCTTACTCATGCTCCTTTGTGCTGAGCGCAATCATAAGCTCCTTTGCGCGCCTTACTTGCCTCCTACCTTTGTTGAGAAGCTTCGCGCCAACAGGCCCCGCTCGACCCAGCGACGGATGCGCGCTTACACTTTGTGCTTTCTTGTTAATAAAAGTGCGTCCTAGCTGCTGCATCCTGGGACCAGGTGAAGTCGACCCTGTGGAAGCAGGGTCGCGACTTCCGCTTTGCCCGAAGAAGCACTCATACAATATCCATTGCGTCTTCCCTGTCACTGTTCAGTGATCGAACACCGGTGCAAAACACTATGCAAAACATTGTGACGTGCACGCTTGCAGGGTAGGGTAACCACCAACCGTCATGTCATCCTGATCGTCGCGTTCAACCTACAGCACCGGCCTACCGAATAGTTGATGACCCGCCAGCTAATGCGTTCCTAGCTAGATAGACTGCAGGTAGCTTATGGCTAATGACAAACAGCCAACGCTATTGACCTAGCATAGCAGGGATTATGGCACCATGGATGGCTACCCAGACACTTGACTGACATACCCACAGCAGGTATTCGGCTTCGAAAAGAAAGCCATGCATACTTAAGGTCACGAAGCGGGATAAAAGTCCCGCATAAGAACCACTTCATTGGGCCCATCCGCGCACGCAGTTCCAGTCACGCCTCCTTTCCACCCCAGGCCTCCTCACTGCTTACCTCAAGCCACCCGGAAACCCCGCTAACCCATGTTGCTAATCCCCATACCTCAATGCGTCACCCAACCTCTTTCCCTCCACTGTTTTTACCGCCAGTCAACCTCTTTTCACCCAGCCCCTTACGTCCTCCTCCCACCCCACCCAGGCCACTACACACTTACCCACTTTCCCCTTTCCTCCCCCTCATCCTCCCCCGCACCTACACCACCTCCACCACCACCCCTTGCTCCTTACGTATCCGTCTTGGCCTTCTTGACCCCCAGCATCCCCTTCATCGCCTCGTACGACACCATGCGGATGGCGTTCTGCGGCACCACCTTGACGCTGTTGGCCACCCAGCCGCGGTAGAAGCCCGCCCAGCCCTCGCGCGCCCAGATGGTGCGGAAGGCGTCCATCTGCCCTGCGTAGGCGCGCCCCTTCATCTGCATGCGGCGCCTGATGGTGTCCAGCGGGTAGCACACGGAGGCGGCCAGGGTGCCCGAGGCGCCGCCCACCAGCAGGTTGGCCAGGGGGGACTGGGGCCTGGGGGGGGGTAAGGGGGTAAGGGAGGGGGTAAGGGAAGCGGGGGGGGGGAGGAGGTGCATGGGTTTCGTGTGGGGGTGGGGGTAAAGAGAGGAAGAGACTGAAATTGACGAGCTGCATGAGAGCTGGACAAGGCAGGGTGAGTGGTGGGGGTAGGGTGGTGGAGGAGAGAGGAGAACGGGGAGGAAGACGAGGGCTTGATGGGGTAGAAGGGTGCCTTACCCGCAGGCTAACATACACCACCGCCTTCCCCACCCCGCCCGCACCCACCCCACCCCAGGCATGCCCCCGCGCATGCAGCACCCCCACCGCCCCCCCCCCGCACCTCTCCCCATGGTAGAGCCACTTCTTGATCATGTCGTAGGTTGCAAAGTTGAGTGCGGCGTAGGGCGCGATGCCGATGAGGGTGGGCACCAGCCCCTTGTACAGCGACATGAGCCCCTCCGTGCGGGCCATCACACCCGCGGCATGCAGCGCGCCTGGAGGGGGGTCAAAGACCATACCGAACCATAGGAAGCCACAGGCAAAGCAAGGGGGCGGGGTGGGGCGAGTCGTGAAGTGAGTAGGAGGGGTAGTGGGGGGTTGGGATGGGAGATGAGCAGCAGGGGTAGCGCTGGGGAAGGGAATGGTAACGCTGTGCCGTGTGCCGAGTGCACGGCGACCCTTCCCTCCTCCTCCTAGTCCCCCAAGCACAGTCTCTTCCCAACCCCCCTATGGTCTTTGACGCACCCACCCACCCCCACCACCCTCCTCCCCCTCACCCTTGTAGGGGTGGTTGGGCAGCGCCAGCCGCAGCCGCACGGTGTCCAGCGGGTGCGTGAGGGCGGTGGCGCTCATGCCCGCCCCCGCGCCCGCCAGCAGCCGCCGACCCACACTCAGCTCGTGCCGCTCGTCAGCCAGCAGCCGCTTGTAGGTGTCGTTGGCGGCCAGCTGGGGGGGGGCGGTTGGCGGTTGGGCAAGTACACAGATGTTGCGGGGTTTGGGGGGGAGGGTAAGAGGAGAGTTAGCAAAGGGTGTTGTGGCAGGATGCAGGGTGGGGAAGGGAGGGAGAAGGGAGGGAGAAGGGAGGGAGAAGGGAGGCGGGTGAAGGAGGTTGTTGAGGGTCAGGATTTGATGGGAGGCGGGCTGCGCCGCTGAGTTGTTGACTGGCAAAGCCACACGCACCTGCGCTGCCGAGTAGGGGAAGATGCGGATGATGTTGACGCCATTGCCCTTCCAGAACGCCAAGAAGCCCTCCTCACTGATTGGAAGGGAGCAAGGGAAGGGGCATAACTTGGAGTAAGCGTATGGGACTTGAGGGAAGGACGGGGTTTCTGTAGTATGAGAATGGTACCAAACATGGTGTAGAGCGTAGGAGGGCGAAGGGGGTCGCGCTAAGGGCTCCTAAAGTCACGCGTTCTGAAGGTCAGTCTTGAGTAGCGGGGATACAGCGGATTCCATTTCTGCAAATGGGTGACTGCACCTCACCGCAAAATCTTAGCTGCAGACTGGAAGACTCCTGTATATGCTGTAGGTGATGTGCCCGGACCGGCTACTGCCTGGGTGAGGGAAGCAAGCCCGCGTGTCATACGACTGCGGCGGGCGTTGGCAAGCAACAGCCATACTGTCTGACCTGTACTTGAAAAAGGAGCTTGATGCGATCTAGCGGTGCAGTGCATGTCCTTGCGATGGCTCCGGCTGTGCCTCCAGCGAAAAACATCCTGCGTGCGGAAGGCAGCCCGTTGACGTCTGTCCGCACGCAAATCGATGCTGCCACGCACGGACCTTGAGCTGTCAACGAAATTAGCACTTTTCTTTGACTCCGTCATTTTTGATTATACTGCTCGCGATTATGGTAGCTGTGAATACGTCAAGTATGCTTAGGGGCAAGGTTGAGACAGGCTGTCACCCTTCAGATTCAATAAGGCTGCTTGCCATGTAATAGAAAAAACTTTGGATCACTTAAAATGGCGCACATGGACGTTGCCACGACTTTCCGCCAGCTTTCCTCAGGTTTAGGCACATTACTGTACGGCTGCTGTATCGAGGTGGTTTCTTTCCGTGAGTACCCTGTGGCTAAGGTACACATTTTCAACGCTATTCTGTTGTGTAAGGGCCGGGCATGATCTCGAGATAGGAACACACCAGCATCATATTTTGCTCCAGAAGTGCTGCGGTCGCTCCTTGGACCCGTTTCTGCTATGGTTAAGTGAAATCTAGCCCATTACAGATTTGGATCACCAAGTTCGCATGATAGGATGAAATGCTTTGGTAGTGCTTACCTCGTTAACCGCCGAATTGGAGGCAGTTGAATTGTCTGACCTTAAACACACGAAGACAGCTAGCGAGTATGGGCAACGGATTTTCCTGTTTTGAAAAAGAGCATTGGAAAGATGGAAACGGGATTGACAGGCCTTACCAACAGACAAGGGAGGATGTGTACCAAGACATGACGCTCCCACTGTCGCACTACTTCATTTCTTCTGGGCATAACTCATACCTGGCTGGGGGTCAGCTTTATGGAACAGCGGGCACTTCGACAATTACCAGGGTAAGGTCAAGCGTCGGGTCGGACCAGTTGGCCCAGCCGGGCCCCGAATGTACCTGTACCCTCTCGGTCTCGTACCAAACAATTGCGTCCATATTTATCGTAGTGCCTCGATCAAGGATGCCGTGTTGTCGAGCTGGATGTGTACAATGGGCCCGTTTGCACACATGGCGGCACGCTTGTGCAGAGTGTGGCCTTCGAGGTACGGCATGCGCCTCTCTGGCTGCCCTCCCTGCTGCGACGCCGTTCCTGCTAGTGATGCTAATGTGCTGGCTCCTGGCGCCACCAGGAGTGCATCATCGCCATCAAGGAGTATGCCTTCAGGGCCTCGCCCTTCCCCGTCATCATAACCATGGAGATACACGCGGACGCGGAGAGCCAGGTGGGGGGGCCAAACAACACGCAACGGGCGCAGACAGGCAGCACTGCTTCCTTACGCGGCTTAGTTGACTTAACACAGCAGGCGGCAACCCCCGACATACCGGTACATACACCCCAGCCTGCTGCCTTCCACGCCCTTCAAGTCGCCCCCTCTCACTGTTGGGGCGGTTCCGGAACCTGCCGTACCCACCTTTTGGCCCACCTAGCTTCCACCTGCTTCCATCCACCTCACATAGCACACGCATCACACTTGCTCTCCTCTCCTGCATCCGCATGCACAGGCCATATACATCCCATTATCTCTCGGGTGCGGCCCTGAGGTGAACCTGCTGCCCCCTGCTGCTCCCCCCGCCGTGTCCACAGGCGCGCATGGCCATGATCCTGATACAGCAGCTGGCGGACATGCTGCACATACCGCCGCGCAGGCAGGCAGGCGAGCCGCCGCCGCCGCACTTCGAGTCGCCGGAGGCCCTGCGTGGGAAGATCCTGTGCCGGGCGTCGGTGGGATGTGTGCAGGCTGTGGGAGGGGGCAGCGGCGGGGGGTAAAGAGGAAACAACTAACTGACTGAGGGATAAGGCGTCAACATGGTTTGCAACGGCTTGTGAGCCAGCCCGACCCGCCCAGCCCGAAAGTGGGAGGGCGAGGGCGGGCCACATCTGTGCTGGAGTTATGCATGCCAGTCGGGCAACGTCTGTCGTGGGGTTGATGGACTTACCCCGTGCGTTGGTCCCAGGCGCAACCAGGAGGGAGGGGCGGTTGGGGGGCAAGCATGGACTCCAGCGGCAACACCCCGACTGCCGCCGCTGCCCCCCACCCCCCGCCCTGCCCTCAGGTCGCCAAGCTGGTGAATGAGGACCTCAAGGGGCTCATCTACGTGGCCAACGCCAAGATGACGTCGTTCAAAAAGATGATTGACAACGGTGCGTGCGAGCGGGGGAGGGGGAGAGGGAGGGTGCAGGGGCTGGGGGGGGCCCTGTGCGTGCGGCATCCACGTTTGCGAATGGTTGGTTACGGCGCTATAAATACTTTCTGCTGCTGTGGGTTGTGAACCAACTGAGGGCAGGTGGACGTACTGGAGGCCGCCGCTGACTGCTACGTGTGTTAACAAAACTGGCCGCGAGTAGGAAAGTACTGGATTGTCGGAGGATGATGTCCCCACCAAAACGCCACGTGTGTGCTTGTGTGTCCCTGCAGCCGGGGCGGTGTCGTCCTCGTTCGAGGAGACGGCGCTGCCCAAGGTGAGCTGCTGTACGGCAGGCCGAGGGCTGGCACACCCCTTTGTTAGAAGCCCTTTTACTATAGACCCATGTCTATAGTCTCGCATGGTCTCGCATGCACTGTAGGACATGTCGCGCCTCATGCAGCGTACCTCACCGCCCTTCCCGCCTGACTTGGGGGCTTCCTGGGCAACGAACTTTCCTAGGGCCCTCCCACCCTCTGTTGCTGCTGCTGCTGCTGCTGCCCCTGTTGCTTGCACCCCCATCCCCACCCTCTCCTGCCCGCCCAGGTCCTCCCACCCGCTCTCGCTCCCCCCAGAACTCTCCCTATGACTCCCCACAACCCCACCCCCTTCCATACACCCCTCCTCCCCAGGTCGAGGAGCTGGACGCTGAGGACGCCCGGAAGGACGCCCGCCAGCCCCGCACCTCCACCTCCACCCCCGCCACCACCACCACCCCCCGACAGCAACGCCAGTCCTGGGCGGCCACCGGGGGCCGCAGCGACGCGGCCCCCGAGGACGCGCCCGCCCCCGACGCCGACATGGTTGCCGGCTCCATCCGCGAGCTGTACACCTACACCTCCCGCCACCTGATGCGGGTGTACCCCGCGGGCTGGCGGGTGCTGTCGGGCAACTACAGCCCCATGCGCGCCTGGGTGCGGGGCGCCAGTCTGGCGGCGCTGAACTGGCAGGTGTGGGACGAGGCGCTGTGGTGCAACCAGGGCAAGGTGCGGCGGGAGGGGGGGAGGGGGGGCTTGTAATGGTATAGTTGCCGGATGGTGGTGGTTATTTGGAGACCACTGCTGCTGCTTGTCTGCTCTCCATCCTCTGCTCCAATCAGCTACCCGACCTCGGCGGGTTGGTTTGCCTGGGGAGTCAACTGGGTTTTCCCCACCCTCCCACCACCCACCCCGCACCTGCTGCTGCTGCTGCTGCTCCGCGCGTCCGCTCCCCTCCCTCGCGGCCTCAGTTCATGGACAACGGGCAGTGCGGCTACGTGCTGAAGCCCGAGTGGATGCGGCAGCCGGGTCCGCAGCTGCCGGGGGGGCCGGGGGGTCGGGGCCGGGAGCGGCGGCTGGTGGTGTGTGTGCACAGCGCCTACAAGTACCAGGGGCGCAACTGGTTCGTATTCAAGGATGACCTGTTCGTCAGGGTGAGAGGGCCAGGGAGGGGGCGAGGTGGCGGGGGAGGGAGGGGAAGGGGGCGAGGGTGGGGGCGGTGAGAGTGAGGTGGTGGGTAGGTAGTGTGGGAGTGCAAGGGCACTGTGCAAGCTGCGAGTGTCAAGGGCAGTACCGGGCTGGGGGTGCCGGTGTTACACCGGTGGGGCTGCGGAGGTACCGGTGTGCATGCGGGGGATGCGGGCTGGGGCCAAACCGGGTGCTGCTGCTGCTGTCCGCATTGCGCAGGGCTGTCGGAGGGCTATTGAACCCATCTGGGCCCATCTGGGTCGAGCCGTCGAGCCACCGCTGGAACATTACTATGAGGGGTGTTGGAACAAAACAACCCCGTTTCTTCACCCGCACCCGCCCGTGCGCTCCGTGTGCCTCCATCCCTCCCCCCTCCCCCCTCCATCATCCCCCCACCTCCCTCCTCCTCCCCCCAACACCCCCACCCTGTCTCAGCTCACGCTGTGGGGCATGCCGGTTGACCGCTGCTGCCAGCACACCCGCACGGTGTGCAACAGCGGGCGGCTGGTGGTGCAGGAGAGCTTCGAGTTTCCGGTGCGCTTCCCGGAGATGGCGGTGCTGTGCGTGGAGCTGATGGACGAGAACGTGGGTGCGTGCTGGGGGGGCTGGGGGGTGCGGGGGGGCGGAGGGAGGGAGGAGGGTGGCGGGGGTGCGGAAGGATGGGAGAGCTGGGGTGAGGGAGGAAGGAAGAGGGTGGGGATGGGAGGAAGTAGCAGCGCTCTAACCAGCTGAGCTAGCAGCTTGGGCTGGAGCGGCGGGGGGGTACTGAGGGGTGTGCCGGCGATGTTGAGAAACCATGTGGTGAAGAAGCATGTGGGGAGGAGAAGAGGATATAGGGGCGTACAGCCAGACATGACCTGCATGCCTTTTGCCGCCGCCAAGCCTATGCTGTGCTTACCGTACCCTTATATCATGGCACGTGCTCATACCCACAGCCCGCCATCACACCCACAGTCCCTCGCCGCCACCCGCCCGCATCCCCGCCCTGGCATCACATGCTTGTCTCATTGCCTCCTCTTTGCCCCCCCCTTCCGCCCCCCCCCATTGCCGCCCCCTACCCCCATTGCTTTGCCCTAACCTGTGGTCTCCTTTGGTTTGGTATGGTCTTTGACCCCCTCAGGCGGCCCGATGGCCAAGCACGCGGACGCCGACAGCCTGGGCTACTTCTCGCTGCCGCTGTCCACCCTGGCGGAGGGCGACTTCAAGCTTCAGCTGAGGCACCCGCGCAGGGGCGAGCGGCTGGACCCCACTCGCACCTGGGTCAAGGTGGGCTTCACGTGGCGGGACTCCTCGCCGTATGGAGGGGAGGGCAAGTGAGGAGTGGGAGGGGAGGGAGGTGAGGGCGGGGCAGCGGCAGGGGGCAGGACAGCAGCAGCAGGTGCAGCAGCAGGTGCAGCAGCAGTCAAGCAACCGAAGCAAGGGACTGTCGCCGACAGCTAGGCCCGGGTCAGGGACTGGGATAGCTGTCGGGCGTGAGGGGTGTCCGGATACCGGACCGGTGGTAGGGGAAGCTGTAGAGGTTGGAAGAGTGGATGGCGGTTATGATAGTTGGCAGCTGCGGTGGTTGTGGTTTGTTGGTTTGTAGTTAGCCACGTGGGGGTGCTTGCAGCGAAACGCAAGGTGACAAGCCGGAGTGTGTTAAGGAAGCTGGCCGCGAGTAGGAACGTACTGGGATGTCGGAAGATGAAGTGTGTGTGTGCCGGAGTGTGTATGACCATGTGTGAAGAAAGGGTGGGCGTGTGCGTGGTGCGGAGGCACCCTGGAGCAGGCCTGGCATGGAGCGAGAATGGATGCCCGCCGACTGTCGGCTTGTCGCTGTTCAAGAGCCCAGAGTTGAGTGCAGCGAGAGTGTGCAGCACACGTAGGGTGCAGCACACACACAGGTTCAGCGTGAGTGGAGCCACACAGCCCGGAGAGGCTCGTACAACCTAGAAGAGAGGAGAGGAGGGGACGGGTACAACCCTCGAATTATGTTCGCCTGTTTTCCTAGCCGTTTTCCTTTTGGAGTTTATTTTTAACTCGGCGCATCCTAATGCGTAACCGTGCTTTAGTAAGGGAGATGAAATGAGGATTGCAGTGGCGCACCGACACTGCAGGTGTCCTAGCAGAGGTGCGTTAGGTGTTTGAGGGAGCGGACGAGGGGTACATAGGATGGACATGTTGTCAGACATGTGTTTGTGCTTCTCATGTTCATGTTGGCAGAAGAAGAAGACGGAGATGCGTATGCTGTGCGTTATTAGGTGAGCCATTTCTGCCGGGACTCGAATGTTAAGTGCACGTTACGTGCATGCCACTCGGTCCTGCACCCATAGTAGAGAGTGCGCAGTTGGGCCCCAACCGCCCACACCGACGTCTATGGGCACCTTTTTTCGTTTGCTTTCATTCGGGCCGTCCCTGCGTACCGGCAAGCAGGATGACGAGCCTTGGCTTCTCTTGCGTGAAATATGTGCAGCACATGATTCACGTGGGTCACATGGAGCATGACCAGCGTGGGGCCCTGCTGGCGTACAGGAATTGGATTCCGCCGGTTGTACGGCAACTCGTGCGCCACCCTGGCATGCATGCTGTGCGACCTGTACTGCTGTATAGGGACTGTGGAGTTTGGAGTGTGCTGTTCTTCCTGGAAGAATTGTTTTTCCTTTTAACGCTGCAGCGTCTTGGGCATAGGGTATGCCTTGCCTCTTGCGTGCATGCGGAGACAATGACGTGGCGTCTCTTGCGACCTGCATCCTTGCAGGCAGTGGTGTGCTGCTGCCTTCTAGTCAGAAGCTTGTGCCATAGGTTCATTGCGTCCGCAGACACCAACAGCGTGCATGTGGTTGAGAGAGCAGACCATGACATGCGCGCTCGTGCATTATGGTTTCTTATGGTTTTCTATGCACGGTTACCGACGGCTTCACTGGGTTGTGCAAACAGGTGTAAACCCCAGCAGAGGCCTCCAACCCCTTCCCCTGAACTATACTCTACTTGGTTAGCGCAATTCTTTGGACCCCACCGCTTAACCCGCACAAGCATTGAAGTTCAGGGGTCAGAGCGTTTCCCGGGGTTAGGCGGGTTTGCCGATGTGAACATGACATCGCTATGGTAGGACAAGAAGCTAGACCCCAATGCATGCAGACGAAAGTCATATAGGTTACCTTTCTTAATAACATGGAAACCATGTCGTTAAGCTCCGTCAACCGATCGCGAGTCGCGACGATTTCCTAGTGCATTAATGGAACACGCATTGCTACGGTTTCTGCGGTTTGCAACAATCATGTATACAAAGCTGGGGATTATTGCCGCATCTAAGCCTGTATGGAGTGTTCATTGATTGCCATTAAATCCGTACGACGCGAGTTTGAGTTGATGTGGTATGTGGGTACTATCGATCTTTCCGCTTCCCGTCAAGTCCTTAGTGCATACTAGCTGAGCTGTATTACATATATAACTGCGAGCAGCTGAAGTGGCGGGTAGTGCTGTCTGGACGTGTTCCCATCCCATTGTGACCACGAACGCAGCTAAAAGCCGAAATTGATAGCTTTCCTTAGCTTTTATTCTCGTTAAGGCTAAGCAGAAGGAAGGCCAAAGCTAGCGATTCGGAGCGCACCCCTGCGGTCAAGCTTGAGCTGCTGCGGGAGCCTGGAGAGGCGACAGTGGCAGAGCTAAACTAAGCAGCGCAAGAACAGAGTTTACCTACTATGCAGACCTGATTCGGGCTATGCGCTGCGTGGGCGGAGCCGTTCCGGCCTGACCTCTGCGCTCAGGCGCCATGATTGTCCCAGCACAGTACCTGAACCAAGTCTTCCAGGCCATCAAGAAAGATTCCAACGGCAGTGAGGACCAGGGCGTTCTGTGCTTTGCGACTTGCACCGATGCGGACTCGGTCTGCGCGTCGCAGCTCCTGCTGGTGAGCCCTAGCCAACCCACGGAGAGGGCAGAGAACCCACAAAGCAGTGGCCTACATCGCACCTGTAACCTATTCTATTCAATTCTTGTTTTGCAGAACCTCTTTAACCGTGAGAGCCTGCACTTTTCACTCATCCCGGTTAGCTGCTATGAGGAGGTCAGGGAGCACTGCGCCCCGCTTATCACTGCCCAGGTACATCAGGGTCCCCGTGTAAACACTTGCTAGGGGGGCTGGGGAGCACCAACATCTTCAATCCGGGTCATCGTCAACCCGCATCCTCCCTCTTTGCAACCACAGGAGGTGAAAACGGTACTGCTCGTGAACTGCGGCGCCACGGAGGATGTACGGAGCCTGTGCAACCTGCCCAGCAACATCCGCATCGTCATCCTAGATCACCACCGGCCAGTATGGCACGGGCATAACAATGAGGATGACATGGACACACTGGTGCTTGTGGACGATGATGACCCTGTGCCAAAATCTGTCGTACCCGTGTACGACCAACAACTTGACAACGAGGGTACGTCCTTGCCTGGGTCACGTGCTGCGGATTGCCGTGCCACGGATTCCATGCCATTTGAAATTACAACATCGCATGCGCCGTTGGTAACTAAATTTTCTGTATAAATTCACTACTGTACTGTGCTGCAGTTGCGGAATCGGATGAGTCAGGAAGCGGCTCGGATTCCGACGAGGATGAGGAGGATGAGCAGAGCGGGGGGAGTCAGGAAGGGAGTGGTGAGGGACGTGGTCGGAAACGGCGGCGGAGTGTCGACGATGGCGACGTTTCGCCTCCCAAGCGGGGCCCAGCTGCGCGGGCGATGGATGCAGCTACTAGACGCAGACGAGCAGAGGAGGTGGATTCATACTACAGCGACCGGAACGGCTACGGGAAGCCCTCCTCCTTACTGCTGTTCTCCTTATGTCACCAGCTACAACACGACGACAACTTCCACGTCTGGTGAGCGGGGTCGCGGGTTTAGGTTGCCCCAAGGCAACCCTTATCGCACGCGATACAGCGGAAGGACATAGCCTCGCCTTTCGACAGGGCGGCTGTGCTGACCGCACCGCGCAGCCATGCTGTTTAGGTCGTTACATGTACTCCCTGCCGTTCCTGACCGCTTGGCAGGTGTGCCATCGTGGGATTGACGGAGCAGCTGCTCTTCCAGCAGATCAGCAAGCAGCAGTACAACACCTGGCGGGAAAACCTCGTTCAGCACGTCGCCATGCACCAGGATGTGGGGCAGGAGGACGGACTGGTGGGTGGCAAGCTTGCAAGCAGTCGCTGCGCAAAGCTCTAGCATGCTTGCCGCCCCTTGTCAGTTTGTGGCTCTATGGCCCCTGGGCAGCTCCGTACGCAGCGTTCGCTCCTATTGGCGTCTGCCGGACCCCTTTATTGAACTCCGCTCTGCCATTCTCCGTCCACCTCTCCCGCTCACAGGACGGGTCCAGTCTGCTCATGATGCCGCGGCACAAGGTGCAGGTGGAGGCGTGCGAGGACTTGCGGCTTACGCTGTTGCGCTACTGGACCATTGAGGACAGCCTGCGGTGGGTTGCATGTGCTGGGGTGCTGCGACTTCATGCCCTTAAGACCCGCTTGGCTTAGAGGCCGGGTATGCCCTGTTCTGGCCTTGTAAGTGCGGAGGGGTGACGGCATGGCAATGGGACCGGCACCTCGAGCACCCCGCTTCCGTCGACGGCTCATGTCTTCCGGCCCCCCCCCCTCCCACGCAGGTACACGGGCTACGTGGCGGCGCGGCTGCAGACGTGGCGGCAAAAGGGGCTAGACAACCTGCGCAGCCTGCTGACCTACATGTGCATCCCGCTCAAGCACGCCAGCACGTCTTACAGTGAGTCAGGGGATGGAAGCCGTTAGTGGTTGCTCACATCTTGGTTGGTTGCTGCCGCTCCTGTACCGCCACCACCTATCCAGAAGGGCTCGAAGCCTGTCCTGCGCGCTGGTCTTCACTTGCCTACTCCCATCTTGCGACCACGGTCAATGCTTCCTCGCGTCTCTGTTAAGTCATCCGTGCCAACATGTCTCACACACGACCCCTGACTCTCCCCCCGCAGAGGGGCTGCGTGAGGTGTACAACGGCCAGCTGCGCAGCCAGCTACCTCGCTTCGCTCCGCAGCACATGTTGGCCTGGGACTCGCTGCACTTCAACAGCTTCCGGCTGCTGTACAAGCACGAGGAGGTGGGCGCCTCCGACATGGTGTTTGCGCTGCTGGGGCTGCTCACGGACACGCAGGCGGGCGGGCCGGAGTGGCACAGGACGGCCTTCAAGTGAGTCGGGTGGAGGGCACAGCGAAGAGGGGTGGCGGTAACCTTAATGGAACCAGCCCCGGCATGCGGTTTGCGCTCGCATGGGTTCGCAACGATGCCCCTTGAGCTTTGGGCATGCCACATTCCGAGCTCATGCCAGTTGTTCCTTTGTCGCTTAGTGCCCATGAGCCATTTTAAATATATACCTCCCTGCACCCCCCGGGTCCATGCTCCGTCCCGCAGCAACGCCCAGAACGCGCTGCACATCCAGCGCAACCTGCACATGGTGGAGCGGGGCATCGAGCTGGCCAAGCAGATGTGCCAGGACGTCGTACAGTAAGTTACTTGGGTGGGGAGAAGGGGTCCGGGAGTGGCAGCGGATGCTGGTTGAGGCCCACCGGCATTGGGTTGAACGCACTAAGCCCAATTGATGCGTCCTTACCATGCATGTTGTGCTTCACGGGTTGCTAGGACTCAAGCGTAAACTCTTGTGGCCCCTGTTGACATGCCCACTTGCCCCCCCCCCCCTGCAGCGAGTGCGGGCTGATGATCACGGCCGGCAAGGTGAAGGGCGGCCGCACAGCCGACTACCGCTGGGTCAACGTGGCGGACAGCAACGCATTCGCCAACCCCCGCTTCCGCCACCCCACCGTGCTCAAGGTAGGCCGGCACTTGTTGCAACTCGGCCTTCCCCCGACGGTGTCTCCAGCCCTTTCCATAGCCGTAACCCTCCGCCCACCTGTGTTCCTCGGCCCCCGCAGTACATGGCGCTGTTCCTGCGCGACGCCACCAGCTGCCGCTACAGCTCCAGTGACGCACGGCGACCCATGGTGGTGGCGGGGCCGCCGGACGAGCGCGGCGTGTGCTGCCTGGTCTCGGTGCACGCCAAGCACATCTCCGGCAACCGCCTCCAGGTGGGAACACTGCCGTACCACTGTGGATCACATCCTCGCATGCCTATCCGTTGCCACGAGGTCGACGACGTCCACCTTGCTAACTCGCAACGCATAACTCCTTTCCTCCTCTCGTCCATGCAATCCCCACACTGCCAACCCCCTTTCCAGCTCCTGTCCTTTCCTAATCCAGATTGTCTGTGGCTCTTACCCCCCCGACCCCGATCCCGCAGAACAACCCCTTTGCGCGGCCGTTCATCGAGACGGCGGGTGCGCTGAACATCATTCCGCTAAAGAGCGCCTTTGAGAACGCCACGTACCATATCCGCAAGGAGGACGTGACGGCCTTTCTGGGCAAGCTGCAGGACGTGGTGGGCGAGTACCGGGCAGCCGCCGCGCAACAGGCGCAGGCTGCGCAGGCATAGTTCCATTCATTATTCGTGTACGGTTGCTAGCCCCGCTCTGTGCAGCTGTGTGTTTGTAGCTACCTGTTTGTGTTTCGACGGTTTGTCTGTGTTGTGTTGTGTCTGTGTGTGTCGTCCTAGGGGCGCTTTTGGAGTATGTGTGTAGTTGAGGGTGCACCCGACCGCAGGAGGAGGGGTGGGCTTACGCGCGCAAGGGGGCTGGTGGCGCGCAAAGATGACGGGTTCAGGGGCGTGTGTGCTGGTTCATGGCACGGAACAGGGGTTTTGTTTACACGGTTGGTGGAGGTGTGTACGGAATCAGGGCGGCCTGCATTCATGGTATTGTAGCTAGGAAGGTGTAGGTGTCTGTTGTAGACTAGAGCATGCGGATTTTGGATCCAAGGAGACGTCGTACATGTCGTCATGCTGCTTCTGTGGTGATTCAGGAGGGTGAGCCAGGGGTATGAACAAAGCGCAGTTGAAAGGCGCAGCCCGCCATGCCTTTTGGGCATCCCGAGTAGCCAGAGTTACTCGGGCTGAGTTGTCGCGCGCTTGCCCCTGACGGCCCCCTGGAGCTTTGGTGGTTTGGCGTGGGGCGGTGGGGGCATGTTGGATGCAGATTGACATGTCTAATCCTGCAGGAGCAACGTGTGGGGTCGCTGATAGCGCTTTACATTACCGCTGAGTTGATGCACTGCCGCCACGTCTGTGGTGGCTTGATGTACTGGAATAGTGGTGTTTTACGAAGGAGGAATAAACATGCAACCAGAGCTGGATTCAGCCCTTTAATGCCTTTCATGTTGCGCAACTGGAAAGTCTACATGCATGCCGACGGCACGGGTATACCCCTCTTACCCATCCTGCAGCTAACAAGTAGAGCTTCAACAGCGGTCTGTATCCAGATTGCTGCTAGTTACTGCAACATAATCACAACTATACATAAGCAATACAGACCAGCCCTGTGCGGATTGTCCAACCCCCTCCTGCTAAGGCCCCCAAACTTGTACGGCACACGCACCATGCCATAGCGAACCCTGCCTAAACGCTGTCCAGCGTCTCTGCTTCTTGCGTTTCTTTTACCTTCCCCTGGTCAAGAAACGCTTCGGGCAAAACCTCCTCGTCACCCTCGAGTAGGAGAGGAGCTTCCAGCTCCTCCGGGGTACCCGATCGTGCCCCTGCTGCTGCATCCCCAGATGCCGTAACCGCTCGCTTTTGCCGCCATGCCCAGAACCACCGTGCGCCCTTGTAGAGGCAGAAGAACGTGATAACCTTCCCCAGCAGGTAGCCGGCGAGTAGGAGGCCTGCCACCCAGGTCGGCCCCGGCCAGTGGATGGCAACCATCTTCCAGCACTGCGCAGCTCAACGCCCGCTCCAGGCGGAAAGGAAAAACGAAATAAACGCAGAGTGTCCGTGTGCTGCTGGAAAAGGTGCAGCGCCCGAGTCTTGTCTGTCGGTAGGTTGCAAGGGATGTTGCAAACGAAGCATCAGCGTCACAAGCGCTCACAACGATTGGAATGCTATTGGTGAACAACAGCCGGAATTCTGTATGTAGGATAATGCACTCTTGTTAAGCTTCTTGTATGAACGCACCTCCTACGCTATCTTATCGCTGATGTGAAGGGAGAATCTTCATACCTAGTACTTGGCTCCACCCACTACTTCTAGCGGTATGAAGGGTTTCAGCGTGGTTCTGGGCTAGCAACTTAAGCAATGCAAACCGACAACGTCTTTTTAGCGCGAATTGAACGGAAACATGCAAACGCGATGACTTCGCACCGTTATAGAATGCCACAGTAAGCACGAGTAAATCTGCGGCGGATGACAGGAACAATGACTCGGGAGACGTCATGCCAGCCCTTGCGGTCCGACGACCCTAAACGCGTCCAGGATTCGGTCGTTAGAACCGATTACGCAATCGCGTAATCGACCCCACCACCGTGCTTTGCCCTAAAAACTACTGGTATCAATTCAAATCCGCCCATACTCGAGAACGCACAAAAAGCCTGGGCAAAGCACTCACATGGCACCACCGGACTTGCAAGACACCAAGTCCACTGACTTTTGCCGATGATACATGTTACAGGGACCCCTTTACGAGCCTTACCTATGGTGTTATTTAGGATCTAAAAATGGCTGTCGCTTTCCATAGCCAACGCGACTCGTTCGGTCCAGTTCTGGCAGTATGTTTACTTCTATGCCCCTTAGTTGGCCTTGGTTGCTGACTTCGACCTTGAGAAATGGCAGGGGGGGAGGGTCACGTAATCTGCATAAAGGAAGGAAGCCGCACACCGTTTTACTTCTGCAAGGCAGGAGGTTTGAGCGTTGCGGATTGCAAGGATTGGGGTAACCAAATGAAGGTACTGCCCGAGGGCAAATTGCTGGTGACATGGCTTGCGGAGAACAGCACGCGGCCTTGCCCCACATCAAGGCAAGTGTACGACGGCTAGGCTTAAACGGGACTGAGCGGGGGCTTGTGAAGGGATAGGTCAGGAACGGCTATGTGTATTGCGGTGTTGCATGGGACTGAGCGGGGGCTTTTAAATCGACGGGGAGGGCGAGTGACAGGGAAGCGGAGGGAGGAGAGGACATGGCCGTTTTGGCTACGAGAAACGTTTGGGGCAGACACAGGAGAGCGCGGGGGGGGGGACGAAGAAGGGTGTAAGCAAGCGGAAATGCGACAGGAAGGGGGGAGAGGGCGACGGGGAGGGGCGAGGGGTGCGTGGGGCGACGGGCAGGGGCGAGGGGTGCGTGGGGCGACGGGCAGGGGCTGCGCAGGGGCGACGGGGTGGGACGAGGGGTGCGAGAGGGTGACGGGAGGGGCGCTGCGTGCGAAAGGGAGCATGGGGCAGCGGTAGGAGGAAGACAGGGATGCAGAGCGTGAGCTGGGGGACGGAGAGGGGGCCGTACGCCAGTTGCTGGTAGGGGCAGCCGCGCGGAAAAGGGAATACAGTGGGTTGCAAGAACTGCACAAAGGGCAGGGAGGCGTCGCATGTGGAAGGGCGGCCGCACGGGCAAGGGAATGGGGAGGCAGGAATTGCACCGGGAAAGGCAGGTGGACGCAGGCGCAGCCCGGGTTAAGGCATAGGGAGGCATCCCTCCACTCGTTATCCATCTACCGGCGCCTGCATGCGCAGGCATACTCGCGCTTCTAGCTTCGCTTTTCACCCTCCGGGTGAACAGCCGAAGGCGAATCGGTGACAGCCCCGTCCGCACGCCGCTAGCGCTAGATAGAGCGATTGCCACCGCTGCTGCGCAGGCCAACGCCCCTTCCTCAAAGCCCGGATGTGCGAAGCCTAGCGACACAGCAGGCCACAGAAGCACAGGACAGATCCCCACGCGTATCTTTATATGCTCTCCACTGCTATCTTCAGGGCCCGCTTCCACCTGCCCTGCTTCAAGTCCCTACTCGACAAGCCACATATCCTCGAAGTCAACACGCCTCATCATGTAGCTGCCTTCTCATCCCCAGGCTTCCTAGCCTAAGGGCCTGCACCCAGGCATTTCGTCCGAACCTACCAGCGCACCAAGCTACACTATAAGTCCTCACGACATTTCGAGAGGCCTTTTAGGACCTGTGTTACACAAGTCCATCAACTGGCACCACTACAATGCATGCATACCCACCATGCCCCCGTCCTGCTCATAAACTGACACATATACGACAGGATTGAGGGCATCTGTAGGCACTCTAGGCAGGTTTTCCACGGGGGAGGACAGGAAGGCTGGAGGCTGCAAGGGCGCCACACGGAGAAGGGCATAAGGAGGCAGGGCCGCGCGTGTAAGGACAGCCGCATGGGGAGGGCATGGGGAGACAGGTAGGTACAGCGCGGGGAAGGGCCGGTTGCTGAGGAGAATGCACACCCTGCCCCCCTTTACCCCTCATTCCCGCTCTCAGGCGCTGTATAATCGAATCAACGACGTCATTAGGAGGATCCGGACTGAAAGCACTTGCCACGTGATGATATAGCAGCTTAGGTGAATTGGGTCGTACAGGACGGGTGGGGGGAGTCACAGGGAAGCGGAGGGAGGAGAGTACGTGGCCGGTTTGGCGACGGGATTGCTTGGGACAGAACCAGGAGGGCGCGGGGGGGGGGGAATAATATAATAAATGCAAACAACTAGAGTCCCAGACCCATAACCCGACTCATGCAGTGAGTGCATTCGGAGACACTAACCTAGAATGCGGGGGGGGGACGGCGGTGAAGGCTGTAAGGAAGCGGATATATGACAGGAAGGGGGGAGGGAGCATGGGCGATGGGTGCAAGGGGGAGACGAGGGGGGGGGCGTTGCGTGTGAGAAGGTGACGGGAAATGGGCTACGTTCCTGGGATTCGGAAAAATGCAAGGTCTACAAGCCCTGCTTGCACGAGTCCATCTCCCGTTCACCCACAATCGGCAACTTACATTAACTGCTTCATTCTTCATATGGGCTCTAGGTTTAAGCTTAAAGCGGCGCAAACGCCTTAAGTATGCAGTCTAAGCTTCCAGTTAGCAAGTCATTCACATTTCGCTATGTAACGCAAGCCAGAGCTTTCCTACTGCAAACCAACATTGCTCATTAGCCAGTATAGCACAAAATGGTGTGAAAGTCAGTAGACTTGGTGTCTTGCAAGTCCGGTGGTGCCATGTGAGTGCTTTGCCCAGGCGTTTAGCGCGTTCTCGAGTATGGGCGGATTTGAATTGATACAAGTAGTTTTTAGGGCAAAGCACGGTGGTGGGGTCGATTACGCGATTGCGTAATCGGTTCTAACGACCGAATCCTGGACGCGTTTAGGGTCGTCGCTTGCGGTCGAGCAGAGCTGTCGTACAAGGACCATGCGCTTAAATAGGTACCATACAAGTTCTCACCAAACCCGAACCTACAGCGGAACTGTATTCTGCATTGGTGCTGAAGACTTAGCCTATCTGCAGCTATCTGGAGCATTTTAGTGCAACACCCAAGGTGCCTGAACCACACATGACGCACATGACGGGGGCCGCTGGGCCTAACAGAGGGGGATACGGCCTCGGAGGAGACCCGGGGTGCAGGAGAGTCGGGGCCCTCACAAACTCCTATCCCCAGTCCCTCATGTCCGTCGCATCTTCCCAGTCATGGCATGTTGCAAACCGAACTTAGAAACCCCAGAGTCGTACAAGTCAACCTCAGGTCAGCCGTACGTCCCTTCGGAGATAGTCCAATCGGTTACAGGACTGGATCAGCACGACTCGAGGAACACAGGCCCCTGCGTCACATCAGGACGCAGCTGAGATGTTGGGTGGTCCACATACCGGTGTCTCAAAACGTTTCGTCAAAGCCATCCTGCCGCAACCACTATCCATATCTAGCCCACTCATTGCCGTGTACATTCGTTGCCGACATTGCGCGATATAACCGTCCTACGCAACTGCGACCACCTTTGATTGGCAGTTCATTGGGGTAAAGTACCCAACACGCCCCCAAAGCCCAATAGGTGGTTGGGGAATCAAGATAAATGCACGAGTCCGGTAAATGTCAACGTTGATTAACGGTTGACAACGAACAAACCATGGGTCACAAGGGGCCGAGGCAACGAACCCTTTCGGTATAATGCCTGATGTCAACCAAAACAACAAGTCCTCCATGCGCCCAAGCAGCGTCGCTGGTTGCATGCGCGCCACACAGTTGCAAGCATCCAGTACGGTACCCAGTTAAACTGAACACCAGCACAACACCCCATGCGTGCCAACGCTGTCAGCATGCTGGTCGCTAATCCACACGTACTGCCGCTGCTCGCGGCCCCACGCCCCAGTACTCCCTAACCCGCCCCTACACCGACAAGGAAATGCACCACTTGCGGGGAGGTGGCTGGTAGCACACTGCCCAACCCGGAACCGGGCGGGGCAGCCGACGTCAAGGGCATGTGAGGAGGTAGGCCCCGCGACCGCGACACCCCTACTCCTCCCTTAACCCTACTACAGGTTGCATACATCACAGCAACCCCACAGCAACCAAAGAACGTGAGAGCTCAATGGCCGGCTCCCACCACCCACACCCATACACTCCTCACCCCTCCTCTTCCCCACTCCCCCTCAGCACGCCGCCTCGCACCTCCACCACCCACACCCCTCACCCCCTGCTCCCCGCACCCCCTCCCCCCGCACCCCCGCCCGCGCCCCCTGCCCCGCCGCCCTGCCCCCCCGCACCGCCTCCCACACCCCCACCCAGGAAATCCGCCAGCATGGCATCCACGTTGAGGATCCAGGGCCTTGTGGCCACCTCCTTGATGAGCAGCCCCCCGGGGGTGGACTCCTTGAGGGCCGTGGCGGGGGGCAGCACCGCGTTCTTGGCAGCTGGGGGGCGAGAGGGGGTGGAGGAGTGGGATAGGGGGGTGAAGATGTATATGAGAATTGCAGCAACTGAAGTCCCAATCCCATACACATCCCGACACATGCAGGGGGTTGGAGGAGTGGGTAATGTGGGGGAGAGTTTGAGAAGGACGGGAGAACAGGAACGGTACCGTAGTGTCCCCTTCGTACCCGCTGCTGCCCACCTCCTGGTTGTAATTGGTCCAACAATTGACCCCACTCACCTGCCAGCACCTTGGCATTGGCCACCACCTGCGCCTCCCGCTGCTCCTGCCAGGCCGCCATCCGCTCCAGGTAGGGGTCGGAGGGCGGGTGCGGAGCCACGCCGGGGAAGGCCCGCTCGAACAGCGCCTGCAGCACCCCCTCCTGAGACAGCAGCGAGGAGATGAGCTGCTCGCGCTCCGAGGGGCTGAGAGGAGGGCAGTCCTCGTCAGCAGCGGAGGCGCCGCTGCCGCCGCTGTCGTACGATAACAACCCGCCGCCGCTGCCACCGCCGCCGCGGGCACTTCGCGCCGTTGCGGCCGCTGCCGATGCAGCCATGGTGTTTGTTCTTGTGATGGCGGGGCTAGCGGGTCGGGCTCGGAGGGCTGCTGAGAGGGGTCGGGCGACGGCTGCGGAGGGCGGCGGGGGTCGGAGGGCGCTGACGGGCCGGGAGCGGGCGGTGGCGCGGTCGACTGAGAGCTGCTCGCGGTGGGCCTCCGCCTCTGGGAGGGATGGAGGGAGAGTAGCAGGTTGGGGGCGGGGCCGGGGCTTGGGGAGGGGAGGAGGACAAGGAAAATAGAGGCAAGGGAAATGGATGACGGCGGTAAAAGGGCGATACCTGCTGTTCAATTGTGGACATTACCCAAACACGTCTTGTAGCATCCCATTCGGTACCCAGTCCTCATGCAACCCCTTCCCACAGCTACCCCTCCACCCACCCACCTAGCGCCTTGCGCTTCTCCCTCACGTCCTCCACGCACTGCCTCACCACCCCCTGCAGCCACGTCCGCTGCTGCAGCTCCAGCGTGTGCGCCGCACGCGCCTGCTTGGTGCGCCGCCGCTCCGACTCCAGCAGCCGCTTCAGACTGTCAATCACGTCCTCATAGCGCTGGATCTTGATGGCGATGGCGGCGGCGTCATGGGAGGAGGAAGCGGAGCCGCCGCCTGCGGCGGCGGCGGCGGCGGCTGCCGACAAGGACCCTGATACTCCGGATCTATTGGTGCTGCTGCCGCCGCCGCCGCCTCCGGCGGCGGCACTGCGGGAGGATAGAGGTCGAGGGGAGGGAGTGAGGATGCTGCCGCCGCCAAGGCCGAAGCCGCCGCCGGGGCCGCCTGTCGTACCCCCCGCCGCCGTCACCGCTGCCAGCAGCTCGTCCCGCTCCTGTGAGAGTGACGTCACCTCCTGTACGGCGGCTGCTAGCTGGTTTCGGAGCGCCGCGTTTTCCTTTTTGAGCGCCACGGTTTGTTTGATCAGGTACTCCCTGTCCTCCTCCTGCAGCTTGAACTGCGAGCGCAGGCGGGCGTTCTCGTCTGCCAGGATGCCGTGCTTCTTGTCGAGTACCTGCCGAGGGGGGGGGGCGGGGGGAGGGGGGGAGGAGGGAAGCAAGTCAAGCATGAAAGGGGCGGCGGCGGCTTCCAGACAGGAACAAAGAGTAAAACAGGGAAACATGAAGGTTGTGCAGTGGTATGCAGTCCATGGGCCCATGCGTGGGGCCTTTGCCCCAGCAGGCAAGGCGTCCACACACAGTACCCAACCCTCCCTCCTGCTGCACTTATCATTTCCCCCCTCCCTCCCTCCCCACCCACCCCCACCTGCGCAATCGCTTGCATGTTGTCCAGCTCCTGCCGCAGCGCCCGCACCCGGTCCAGCGAGTCCGCCTCCTCGGGCGGCGGCGCGCGCCCCTTCTCCGCCGCCACCACCGCCTCCAGCTCCCCCAGCCGCGTGGTGAAGCGGCGCAGCGTGGAATGCTCCTCGGACCGCAGCGCCGCCTCCTGCGCGTCCAGCAGCCCCTCGATCTGGGTCACCACCTGGGAGTGAAGCTCGCTGGGGAGGGGGGGGGGGTGGAAGTGGGGAAATAGCGAGAAGGGCTGTATAAGAGCATGGCTGCCTTCATGCATGCGTGTCCATGCATGTCCTGCCACCAATCTACCCCCCCCCCTCGCCCCCCCACACACCGTATGTTGTTTGCCGCCTTGCCGAACACGGGGTGCTGCGCCCGTTCCCCCCGCGCCACCCGCAGCTGGTCCTCCAGCGCCGCCACCTGCCCCCGCAGCTCCTCCTCACGCCGCATGTAGCTCTCCTGGCGCCGCTCGTTGTCGGAGGACAGCAGCCGCACCCGGTCCTGGGGGGGTGGTGAGCGGGTGGGTGGTGAGCAGGTGGCTTGGCTGGACGGAGTACGAGCTCTTGGAGGGAGGGGGCACACGGGTTCATGTTACCGGTATACTGGGCTGGAAGCAGCACCCCGCATGCCGCATCACTGCCCCCCACCGCCTTCCCCCTCCCCCCGTTTCCCCCCTACCGGGTTGGGATCACATGCTGCAAACCATGTTTACGCCCTATCACATGGCTCTTTAGTCGTTTCCTTTTTACCCCCTCCCCCCCCCCGCCTCCCTCCCTCCCTCCCCCTCCCCACCTCCAGCTCCGCCACCATGTCCTCCAGCTGGTTCTGGCGGCTGATGGCGGCCGCGTAGTCGCCCATCTCGCGCATGCCGGCACCGCGGGAGGCGCGCACACCGCGACGCAGGCCGCTGCAGGCGCGGAGTGGGGAGGGGGAGAAGAGGGAGGGAAGTAGGTCAGTTGGCGAGCGGACAGCGCATGAGGGAAGGGGGAAGGTGCAAGGGTGTCAAGGTGGTGATGAGGAAGGAGGTGTGAGAGGGGACAGGGTATGAGGTGTGGCAGCATGATTGCAGGGTGGAACCGGGGGGGGGAACACGGGGCATGGGGCACGGGCTGTGTAGGTTGGGTGCCTCGGGGCACGTCCACGGGATGTGGGGGTGTTTGGGGATCCCGCACCGGCACAGCGGCTATCGTTAGAGACAGGCATTTAGCGATTCATGGTAGGAAAGGTTGAGACCCATGGGTCGGTCGTGTGCCAAGTGGTTTCCGAGGGCTCCGGGACCCCACCCGGAGGATGCGCCATGGGGAGCCGCGAGCAGGGACCTGCGGGGAGGGGCGCGGGGCAGGGGACGAGGGGGCGGGGAGGCGGGGAGCAGGGGGGCGGGGAGCAGGCAACCAGGGTCAGTTGTAGGGTGTGACAGTGATGGGGCAAGAGCTGCTGACAGGGCCTGCGGGGCCCCGCCGGTGAGGCAGCAGGCGGCTTGGGTCAGGTCGAGGAAGCGGAGTGGCGAGGGACGATTTTGCAGCACAGTTTGAAAGTACATACCCGTACGCGCATGCATGACACGGGGACGATGACGATGCTCGGAACCCCAGCACAAGCAACCCCGCACCTACAACCCACAACCCGCCAGAGGGGCCGATCCCAGGTCCTCCTCCTGCTTCCTCTTCCTCCCCACCCACCCCCACCCGCCCCCTCCCTCCCCCGCACCTCCTAGAGCTTCCAGGCCGCTGCAGCTGCTGCTGTGCCTGCGGCTGCTCGTCCCCTGAGGCGTCCGTTGCCACCCCGCTGGCAGTGGAGGCGCGGCGGGAGGACAGCCGGGAGGTGAGGGCGGAGGCGGAGGGGGGGCGCTCCGTGGCAGCAGCTGCTGCACCGCCGCCGCCGCCGCCGCTGACCGGGGAGGGCGCTGCGCCGCCGGTGCTGCCGGCAGCGAAGGCGGAGATGCTGATGTGTGTGGTGGAGGGCGAGTGGCCTATGCTGGTGGACGGACGGGGAAAGCGCCGGGAGGAGGGCGAGCCTGGGGGCGGGGGCGGGGGCGGGGGAGGGCAGGGAGGTAGGAGCTGAGGCGGCCTGCGAGTTCTGAAAGGACGAGTTCTTGCCGGTGGATTTGCGGATTGTGGCCGGCTCCCAGCAGACCAGCTGGTTGCGGGCAGCCGCAACCCATGCAGCACCACACCGGCATGCGGGGCCAGGGAACCTAGCCACGCCACCTCCTCCCACCCCCGGCCGCCTCATCCTGCCCCCATTTCCGCGCCCATACCCGGCCGCTTCCAGGAAGCCAAACCCCCGCCTTCGCTCCCCCACCCACGGCGCCTCTTCCTTCCTCTCCTGCTCCACTCCACTCCACCCTTTCCCAGTCCCTAACCACCACCACAAGGCATATAACCCCCGGGGAGGTGGTTCACTCGTCTCACTGGGCACGGCGCCCGCCTGCGGCACTTGGCGCTTGAACTGCGCGTGCCGCTCCGCCTTGGAGATGGCGTCCAGCTCCTGACGCAGCTGGGCTGCCTGCGGGGATGCGGAGGGGGTGGTGAGGCGGGAGCGCTCAAGGTAGCGGGAAGGTAGGGGAGGGTAGGGTAGGACGCGGATGGATGGATGCGGGAAGGGAAGGGTGCTTGGACGGCAAGTGGAGGGCGTGTTTGGATGCGTGCTGGACCTGCAAGAGAGGGTTGGGGTTAAGCGATGGTAAGAGGGTGATCAGGGATGCCCTAATTACGCACGGAGGGTGGAGGACGCGGTGAGTGTAGGAGTGTGGGTCTTGGATGGAACAACGGGTGGTGAGGCGGTGGGGTGTGAAGATGGCATTGGAACACATGACCCAGTGCGGGGAAAGGAGTCGCACCCACATAGCATTCCCCCTGACACACCTTCTCCTGCATCCGTGTCAGCGGCTGGTAGCCTTGCGTAGCTGTGATGGGTACATCGGCCATCTTCGCCAGCAGCAAGACGACCGCCCAATTACGTGCCTATGTAGTGATGTGTAAAAGGCTCTGAGCTGGCGGGTTTGGTCGTCGCGCACGCGCCCCTAGGCCGCTTCAACTAGGATGACCAAGTCGTCCTGTCTGCTTGTCACCACTGTACTGTCTTCCAATTTCCTGTATGCTCCAATTGTAGCATCCCAAGCGATGAACGAAAAGGCTGGCTGACCAGCCCTTGCCAATTTGGTGCTCTTATGTTGTGCAAATGGTTTAAGTGGGAAGAAATTGTGACTCTCGTAGCATGTTATTTATACTATATCAAGGAAACGTGGGTAGCTCTTCCGTGATGTTGGTAGCAAAAGCGAGCTCGAAGGGTTCACGCAAGGTTTGAGGCCCCATCCGTGAAATCATCGACATGGAAGCGAAAGAGATAATGGAAGTATGTCCGTTCACGCAGCTTCATGCCCCATTGTTGGCGTGGATTGACAATTACCGTACCCGGATACACCAACGGTTGGTGTTGCCAAAACTTCACTACGAAGTTAGCAGCTTTATAAGACAGCAAATTGTCCCAATACTATAGTAGGATTCCAATCCACGTGTTCAATGCTACCGTTCACGGCGAAACCGGTTTGACCGGTCAAACCATTGCCTAGAGTACATCATCTCGTGTGTCTTGCAAGTGCGTCTTGCAATACCGATAATAATCCGAAACGGCACGCAGAACTCACGCTGTCAAAGCCCAATCTTGTTTCGGGGAGCTTGTCCTGTCTACACAAATACAACAACTCCAAGGCGCCCCAAGTACACTTAACTCGCTGCGCATGGCCTCACAAGGCGCATGCAGACCAACTAAACGGCGTGCCATTAAACGCCAGCTTCAGGCCAGTCTCCATCCTCACCCTCTCCGCCATCCATCGTGTCGCCCCTGTCAGCCCCCACCCTCACTCACTCCTCCCACACCAGCGCTCCCCAAAGCCTGCCCTCCCGCAGGTAGGCAGCCCAGGGCGCCAGCGGGTCAGCTGCAGGTGGTGCCTCAGGTGCTGCTGCTGCAGGTGGAGCCGGCACCCCGCCGACAGCAGCAGCAGCAGCAGCTGTCGGGGCCGCAGCAGCTGCCGTAGAGCCGCTGCCTCCTGCCGTCGGACCCTGAGGCGGCTGGCTGCTGGAGGCGGCGGGCTGCTGCTGAGGCTGGGGGGATGGCGGGAGCTTCAGAATGCATGGCCCTTGGCCCTCCCATCCCGAGAGGCGCACCAGGTACTCCCCCCCCACCCGCGCCTCCACCTCCTCCCGGCCGCCGTCCTGCCGCCAGCGGTATACAACCAGACGCAGCGGAGTGGGGCTGACCACACCCACCACAGCAGGTGGTGTATTGCAAAGCAGGTGAAGCCCCAGTTCCCTCTTTGAAAGAGTGCAGGTGAGGACAGGCCACCACCTAATGCCCTTCGCAAAGGCCCAGATACCGGTATGACCATAAAGGCATCTCACAGCCTTGACCCCCTGTGCTGCATCCAGAAGGCTGTCAGGGCTTACAGACCACTCGTTCCGCTTGCCGGCATCCGCCCGTGGTTGCCGCGGCCGGGCCGGTGCGCCGAACCATGCGGCCGGGGGTGCAGCCTTGCCGTACATGTCCGCCACCACCATGTCCAGCTCAGCGCGCGCGTGCTCGTCTGCCGTGCGATACTGGAACATTAGGCTGGGCTCCCTGTTGCGGAATGTGGGCTCGAACAGCTGCGGCACTGCGCCGAACAGGAAGGCATCACTAAGGTAGGGCAGCCGCACCTGCCGCAACAGCTGCTTACGCCTGTCGGGGCTCAGGCTCTTGTGCCAAGTCCCCCAGAGCAACACCAGCACCAACACGCTATCCTCGCTGTCGGTAGCCAGCGTCTCGCTGCCCAACAGGGCCTCCAAGGCCTCGGCGGTTAATGAAGACAGCTGGTACCTGATCTCTGGGTCGTTGATGGCGGAGGCCGCATCGCGGAAAGCCCAACCCAGCATGTCTCCCAGCCGCGCGACACCACCCGAAGGCAGCGCGACAGTCGGCCCAGCCGCCGCGGCAGTTGCTGTGCATGCGTCCAACAGCTTCCGCCTGCAGCTGGCGAAGACGGCCTCCAGAAGGGCCTCAGCGGTGGGGTCCTCATGCGCGCCCGGCAGCAGCTGCCTGCTTGCAAACACCTCAGCCACACCGGCCAGCTGGCTGCTGGCTGCTGCCGGGGGGCTGCTGCTGCTGCTGCTGCTGGAGGGCTGCTGCTGCCCCGCTGAGGGCCCAGTAGTGATGCGGGCGATGAGGACGCTGTTGCACGCCTCCACGCAGCCCTCCACCTGCAGGTAACCCGCCATGCAGCGGAGCTTCAGCAGCTCCTCGGCGGTCACCGCGGTGCCCAGGTTGCCGGTGTAGATGTACTGCAGGGCGGCCAGGGCGTACGGCAGCTCCTCCTCGCTGTCCAGCAGCACCCGCAGCTTGGGCTTGCTGCTGCTGCCGTCGGCAGCACCGGACCAGCGGTCCGCCTGGGCTTCGAAGCGCGGGGAGCCGCCGCACAGCACCATCAGGTGACCTGGCAGCGGGTCGCCGAGGATGGCGGCTTTGCGAGGTGCAGGGGGCTGCTTCCTTTCGTAGCGGGCCTCACGCCCGAACACAGCACGAAGGTAATAGCCCAGGTTGCCCAACAGGCGCCCCGACACGGCGTCGAAAGAACGTAGTTGGCGGGGTGAGGAGGCCTCCTCCGTTTCCATCATCCACGCATCAACTGGCTGTTGCTCATGGTCGTTTCCTTCTGCCAGCTGGAAGACAATGTAGCAGTCGGAGCGCTCCTCGCTCCCGAACAGCGTGCGCAGATAATTCATGTAGGCTTCCGACATGGCGTGAGACTGTCGAATAGAAGCAATGGGAAAGGTAGGAGTCAGCAGAGACCTATTTGCGTCTTTTGCCAGCAGTTTCACGGATGGAGTTGCAGCTCTATAGCTGACTGGGCTCACAGCTCGGCTTACCTTATTGCACAGGGCTCTGCGAGCCACCCGTATGGAGGCGCGCTGCGCAGTATTCACGTTGCGGCGCGCTGTAAACGTGTGAAGTGCCCTGAGCTACCCGCCAATTTGAGTTTACTAGCTAGTTGTGCGCTTCTACAACTGGGAGCACTTAACGCTGCTTAAATCGCAATACTGCCCTTGCTGGGAGAATTGTCAGCTGTGACTTTTGCTACGCATAATCGGATCGTAACGGACCAGTTGACAAAGGCCAACTTTGGCCTCGACCCGTAAGTATGAGCTTATAAGATTAAAATTGTTGTAAGAGTTGAGGACCCATTTGTTGCGCCATGCACCGATCTCTTCCATGCGCGCCCGATCGCCAAACGAGAAGGTGGAAATCGGCTGCGCATGCATGCCTCAGGTGCTCCCACGTGGACAGACCCATGGGCCACCCCGCGCCTTGCAAACCAGGTCAGACCCCCTTACCTCGCATCGGCACATTGCGAATAGCTGCGGCTTAACTGCGTTTACCCTATACCTAAAAGTACCGCTTGCGAGTGGGAGTTACTGCGGACTGCGCCGAGGGGTCTCATTCTGCCTGTAGCCCTAGCCGTGGAGCAACAAGCGGTGCACATGCCTTACTGTAAACCGTCTTCCCATTTGCCGGTACTAATTACCAGACCTTACTTGGGCCACTTAAATTATTGTCGCTGGCATTGTCGCTTGCACTCACGCAGTGTCCACGAGCACCCCTGCTCTTTGCCGTATTGCTAGGCAGCATTCACCGGTATAGCACTTCTCACAACATCCTGCATCTTCTCAACTCCCAGCTAACCTCTCGCAGCAGCAGCAGTTTCCTTGAGCCTGAACCCGCTCACACATGGCCTGCCGCCGTAGCCGGGCAAGGAAAGCCTTACCCGCGCCGCACACCTTTTGCTGCCGTGCTGAGAAAAGCGCTTCACAGTTACAAGCGCTACCGGTATACGTTCACCTCCCCCTCACTGCGCCTTCTCCTTTCCTCCCCGCACGCCAACCACACGCGCTCGGTACCACTCCGCCTCCTCCGCCAGCGGATCAGCCAGGCCCCAGCTGCCCCTCAGGTGCAGCAGCCGACCCAGCCAGCAGCCCGCCAGCCCCTCCCAGCACCGCCACCCTAGCGCCCAGAAACATAGGGCCCCTAGCACCGCCCCCAGCAGCCCACCCGCAGCCACCTGCTCCAGCGTGTGATAGCCCAGGTACACTCTGGAAGCTGCCGTCAGGACGGTGCCAACAGCAAGCAGCAACACCTCGCAGGCCTCGGTCAAACGAGTGCCCGCGCTCTTGCCGCGGAAGAGACGTAAGCAGAGGAAGGTGTGAAGCACCAACCCAAATGCGATGCATTGCGTGTGCGAACTCGGCATGCCGTAAGAGTTGCATAGGTTTAGCCGTGCGCAGGTTGCTGCTGGCCGCTGATGCCGCAGGGCATGCTTAAGCCCTCGCGCGACAGCTTCGTTTAAGACCAGCCCAGACAAGATCACGCCTTCATGAACCTCCCTGTATCCATAAGTGTATCCGTCGCAGAATAGAAAGGTATGTTACTAATCCGATGGAGGTGGAACTAAGGAAGCCATGTATCCAAGTCACATACCTGCGCGAATAGAAGCGTGATGCGTGATGCACTATGAGGACATATGGCAGGAGCGCAGAGTAGGCGAGCAGCTTTCCAAGTGGGTCGCCATCCTCATAATAGACACAGCTGAAGTCTGTAATCGCCATTGTCCCCCCCTCCCCCGCAATGATGCAGCTATATCGTATGGACTATCGTTCATAGGGGCGGCATCCTCAATCTGTTCTCGGTCCTGTCAGACCGAAAGCCAACGAGGGTACGGCGTACGGGTGAATTTTTGCGCGTGGATTGACCTTAACGACCGCAAGAGCTTCTACTGTTCTCCGTCGTCCACAGGGTACGCGCCGACGCTGATCACGTGGAGCGATTTCACACATCCCCCTACAGTCGAAAGTGCCGTGGCCACACGAGGCCCTTGCCTGTCCTTGCGGCGTGATGGTGATGCCGCCCGTGCATGCTTTTACACGGGTATCAGCCTGCACCCATTCCGCGCCACAACCTGCATGTATTTCGTCTCTCACTCCTGCCCTGCGGCACACCAGACCTGCTATAGTCCGCTGCATACGATGCTTTGGGTTACCAGCTTACCTTCGTTCCCCAGCCTGTCATTTGCCTAGCTTGCTGGTTCGTGGCCCAGCTGCACGTTCCCTCACCTCGCCCCGCCTCGCCTCAGACCTTACCCCTACAACCCGCCTAAAACGGCAGCAGCAGCAACGGAAGTTGGAACTCTTCTCTCAGCATCTATCAGGCGCCCTGCAATCTACGGTAACTAACACCCCCACCTACACCCCTAGACACTAGGGGCTCAAATGCTCCCCCATGACGCCGACGCCAACCCCCGCCGAGCCACTACAATGGAAGGCCAGGCGGTCAGTCTCCTCCTAGGGCTTCTACGCTGTCCCTATCCCTCTCAGTTTCCTACGTACCCTGACTCACATCTTTCCGCTACCACGGGTGCGACACAGCAGCAAACAAAACCTGCAAGCCCATCCACGACAGCTCCAGCGGCTCAGTTTATCTAATCCACGACTGCTAACCAGTCCACACAGTCACCCGCTCCCACCAGCTCTCCTCTTTTGTCACCCAGCCCGCCAAGGCACGCTACCGACCCAACCATGCAAGCACGCCACCTGTCAGCTTTGGCTTGAGCCGTGCTTCAACCATCACGCACCGCTAGCCTAACGTTACACCTGTTGGGTTGCCTAGCAGAACCCCCCGTCCTCATTCAGTCACGCCCTGGGTTCTGCTCCAATGGGCTCATGGGCAGGGCCCCGAGTATCGGGACTATGAATATGGTGTTTTGCCCCACACGTCATCCAACAAGCCCATCGAGGACGGCGATTCCATGTGCAGGACACCAGGCCCCTCAACTCCTGTACTAGGTGCGGCTTTGCTACCCCACAACCGGACACCCTGCAAGCCACCGACACCGCAGCACACAGCATGGACTGCCTCAGCCCCAAGCTAAGGGCGACAGTGCGCGTTGGGGTCGCCCTCTTCCTAACATGCACTCCTAAGTGAGCCCGGTAGCCTCCTCACAGCAGTCATGCCATGTCACCGCTGCTGCTGCACATCTCGCAGTACACTAGTCCCTCCCGCTGCTGCCGCTGGCACCTTTGCCGGGGATACCGCAGTCCCCTGTGCTGTCACCGCTTCTGCTGCTCCTCCCCCGGCAGCGGCGGCAGCAGCAGCGTCCTCGTACCTCAACGCCTGCAACTGCCGTACCAGCGGCTCACTCAACGGCACCTGCAGCTGCGCACATGCCCACGCCAGCCGGTACAAGCAGGGCCTCCTGTACGGCACCATCACCGCCGCATGGTGCTGTAACGCCAACATCAGATCCCGCCGAGGATGAGCCAGCTTGCCGTACGCCCAGGCAACGCCGGCGCCGTCCCAGGCGCAGAAGCTAGGCAGGCGTGCCATCACCGCCGCCGCCGCGGCGTCAAGCAGATCCGGACAGCGATGGCCGTAGTACGACAGCGCCCACAAGACCTGCGTGATCTCATGCGGCGTCAGCAGGTGCAGCAGCGGCCGGAGCTCCTGTGTGAGCATGCGGTAGAGGTTGGGGTTGTACATGCCGCACTGGGCGAAGCTCCACAGCAGCTTCGCCATGCTCTTCGCATGGTCCAGGGGACTAGGTGCCGCGTCACCGGCAGTACCGAATGCCGTACTGACGGAATCGTCCTCGGTAGCATGGATGTCGTACGCACTGGTTGCAGTACGGCGTCGTACGGATGTGGTAGAGCTGATGGTGTCGACGTCGCCCCTGTGGACTAGCCGTACGGAGGTGACGTCATCATCGTCGTCGTCGTCGTCAAAGTTGCTACCAAAGTAAGACCGGCTTGCAGGAGATCTGGGGGCTGTGGCGGCGGTGGCGGTGCTGCTGCATGGGTTGCGTGGTGGGGGCCTGGGAGCCTGCAGCTGCGGCAACTGCGAGTCGTGTTGCAGTCTGTGCGGGCGAATGGACTGCAGGATGCGCTGCCGGAGACTGGTGTCCGGTAGAGCCGGCGGGGAGTCCCGGGCAGCGTTGGCTGCGGTTACCGGCGGAGGAGATGAAGACGGGGTGCTGCGGGGCGGGGTCGTCGCCACCGCTGCTGTTGCGGGTGCTGCTGCTGCTGCCGATACTGTTGAGTCCTGATGGGGCCGGTCAGCGCCGTCGCCAACGCCGCTACTGCTGGCACTAGGAGTGCCTTCGCAAGAGCTGTGTGTGCTGCTGCTGCTGCTGTTGGCGTGGACACTACAGGGGAGGGGCTCAAGCGCTTGGGGTTGCGCGGCTAGAGGTGTGTCGTTTTCGTCTGACGACGCGGGAGGTGGATGCCACTGAGTGCCAGCAGTCTCCCCCTCATGGCGCGGGTGCCTCACACGTGACGTCATCGCCCCGCTCACAGCCCCACACGAGCTGCCGCCGTCGGCCGAAACCAGCTCCTGCGCCTCCTGCCGCTGCTGCTGTGGTTCGCGGCCGTGGACGGCTCCATGCGGCGGCCCTGTGCAAGCAACCCCTGCCGCTGGCAGGTCCAGTTGCTGCTCTTGCTGCTGCTGTTGCTGCCCTCCCTCCGTTCGCGCTGAGTCCTCATCCCGCTGCGAAAGGCTTCCAAGCTGCTGCTGCTGCTGCTGCTGCTGCTGCGGAGGAGGATGTTGTCCAGTAGCTCCCCGAGCTGCTGGCCCCGCCGTTGCAAGCGGCCGCCGCTGCTGTAACCGCTCCTGCGCTAACCGCCCCTGCTGCTGCTGCGCCTGTTGCTGCCCCCCTTGCTGCGCCTGCTGCAACTGCCCCTGCGCCTGCTGCTGCCTACGCAGCCTCACCCTCGCTGCCAGCACTCGTGCCGCCCGCACCAGCAGCTGCCGCTCCTGGCACTTGAGCATCCCCAGTGCCCACATCAGGTTGGAGAGCTGCATGTCGCTGAAGGCGCGCAGGCGGGGGGCGGCTAGGCGGCACACGGCGCTGGTGAGCGGGCCGTGGTGGTGCTGGGCGCGCGCCAGGGACCACAACAGCGTGCTCAGTCCCTGCGGAGGAACATGGCGCAGCGGAGGTGGGGTGAGCGGGTGAGGACAGGCGTCGACGACTTGCACACAACTACACTCGGTTACGTGAACAACAGATGGTTTGCAAGAGCGATCGGCGCGCTTAAGCGAGCAAGGCTCTCCCTGATCAGGGTGGTTACGGTAACCATCAGCAGTTCTTTTCACCCCCGGATGCCAAGCCCTCACCTGCGGGTTCAGCTCCTCCACCTGCGCCGTAGCCGCATCCGCCAGTGTATCTAACAAGATGGGGTTGCAGTACCCGCCCACATGCGCCGCCTCCGCCACCGCCCGCGCAGCCACACACAGCTCCTGCGGCCCCAGCTCCCCCACCCGCCGCAACACGCGGTGCGCAACCACGTCCAGCAGCCGACAGTGCGCCCCCCGCAACAACCTGAGCTTCACAACCGCATGCAACACCTGCACCAGCCCCGACGGGGTTACGGATCTCAGTCGTACGGCAGTGCATGCCTCCGCCGCCAGCCGTGATGCCACCTCCTCCGGAACCCAGTGCCGTGCGTCCCGAAGCCGCCCCAAGGCCCACATGGTGTTGCAGAGGTCCTGGAGGCCCATGGAGGGCGCAGCGGCGGAGGCGGCGCCCAGCAGGGCTTGCAGCGCTGGCGAGGGAAGGGAACAGGGCTGCAACCGGGCGCATGCCCACAGGGCGTTGCTGATGCATTGCGGGCTGAGGTCGTGACGCGCGGCTAGCTCGGGCAGCAATGCCTGCGCTAGGAGGACTTGAAGACTTGTAGGGCCGGTGCTGGGGCTGGGGCCGCCATGGCTGTTGTTGCCGCCATTGCTGCCTCTACTGGCAGCATGAGCAGAGAAACAACTCGGGCTGTGAAGCTTGCCGGCGTCTCGTCCAGGCGGTGCCGGTGCTCCGGGGGGCCGTAAGGGGCTCCCAGGCAACGGCGCAGGCGCAGCCGGCGCACCCGCCCATGTCGGAACTGTGTTCGGCCCTCTCCCCTCGTCAGCAGCGACATGTCGCATGGCGCCCTCCGCTCCTGGTACCGCAGCTCTGCTACCGCTACCGCTGCCGCTGGGATTGCTGGGACTGCTGTCGCTACGGACGCCGCCGCCCCCAGGCACGCTGCCCCCAGTACTACCACCTAATCTGCCCATGACGCTACCACCGCCGCCTTCGCAGCCCCAGCCAGCCGCACCGCTGCTGCCCCCTCTGCCGTCAGCACCTTCGCAGGGCAGAGGCGGCATGGAGGCAAAGGCCCACAGCACGTTCGCTAGCTCCTGTGTCTGCGCCGCCTGCAGCCGTACCCTCCGCCGCCAGGGTGGCGCTCTCGGCCCCCTCTGCCCCCCCGGCTCCACCTCCTGCCGCCCCCGCTCCCCTTGCTGCCGCTCCCCTCCCGGCTCCTCCCTCTGCCACAACAGCCACTCCGCTAAGCGCCGCATCAGCCTATGGTGCGCTCGTCCCGCCTTGGCGAAAGCCCACACCGTGTTCGCGACGTCCTGGGTCCTCAACTCCTGTCGAGCTCTCCCTTTCCCCGGATCATCCTCCCCCGGCGCTGCTGCTTCCTCAACCCCTTGCCCCGCCGCTGCTGCCGTCCCCTCCCCCCCTGCCGCCGCCGCCTCCATCCGCCCCAGCATGACCTCCGCCGCTGCCTGGAACACCTCCCCAGGTCCGCACTCCGCCGTAGCACATGACCACAGCAGGTTCGCCAGCCCCGAGCCATTCATCTCCCGCAGTCGCGGCAGCGCCGCCGCCGCCACCGCCGCCACCATGCCACGGTCCTGACCCGCCGCCGCCACCGCCCAAGCCAGGTTATGCAGCTCCTGCGGCTTGAAGGCCGGCAGGCGCCGCCGGGCCGCGGCTGTGAGGGCGGCCCACAGGGGCCCCTGCCGGTAGCCCAGCTTGGCTAGGCCCAGCGCCAGGTTGGATAGCTCCTGGGGGGCGGCGGAGGTCAGCTTGTAGTAGCCGCTGCCCAGCAGGTCGGCGGCGGTGCTGTCCAGGAGCTGTGGATGGGGGTACGGTTGGGGCTGCTGGGGGTGCGGGGATTGATGGGCGGCCTGGTGAGGGCGTTGGTGAGGGGATTGCTGGGGAGCCTGTTGGGGGTCTAGGGCGGCGCGCAGGCAGCCCAGCGCCCACACCACGTTGGCATACTGGCGCGCGGACTTGGTGCTGAAGCGCTGCGCCAGGAAGTGCGAGGTGAGGTCGGCGAGCAGGCGGTGCGGGCAGGGGGAGGCTGGGGAGGCTGATGGCGTGCCGGCAATCGGCGGCTGCTGAGGTTGCCGGCACTGCGGCTGCCGTTGCTGCTGTTGCTGCTGCGGAGCGCCTTTTCTTCCTTCCGCAGCTGCCGCCTCCGCCTCCAAGGGCCCTGGTCGCTGCACCGCAGTCGAGGCTGCTGCTGCTGCTGTTGTGGTGGTTGCTGCTTGCTGCTGCTGCGGCGGCTGCGGTTTGAAACCCGGGTGGGGTCTCCCATGCTTGTGCTGTTGCTGCTGCGTCCGCTGCCGCTTGGACGAGGCCGGCGCACTGATCAGCCGCGCGAGTGTGACGATGGCCGCCGAGGTGTGAATGTAGTTCATGCTGCGGCGGTAGCACCGCACCAACTCGGACATCTCACCCACGCTGCGACAGAGCATGATGCGGCGATTCAGGGCGGCCTGCTCGCGAGGACTCAGCTCCTGCTCCGGTTTCCACCAGCCGTCTGCGGGCGCATCGCTGGTGCTGGGCTCGCAATCGCCGCGACGGCATTCGCTGCTGCTGCTGCTGCTACTGCTGTAGGGGGACGCCGGTTGCTGCTGCTGCTCTACCTGTTGTACGGATGCTACCGGTTCAGTATCGTTGGATCCGGGATTCGGGCTCGTACATGGCGGCCCCCGATGCTGGACTCCCGGTGTGAGGGAGGGCAGGTGCTGCAAGCAGGCGGGGGGCATGTGGCGGGTGATGGCAGGGACGTGGAGGGAGGGGCGCAGGCCCGCGTGGATGTGGCATGCCTGCATCGGCTGCGTACCTGTAACGAGTGAAGTCCGACATCGCTCCAGGAGTGGTTTGCATGAGCGCTGACTTGCTCAGCTCCTACCCGGCCGTCCTGCAGCTGCGACTTAACAGCCTGCAAGCAAAACGTAATCACGCTTTACCCAAACTCAAAGCTAGCGCGTAAATTTGTTTTGAAGCATCAGCTACGGTACCTTTCTGACAATAGAACGTCTTGCTGAATAGCAGCGCAAGCCGCGAAAGGGACAATGGCCCCGAATCCGCCACATCAACTGGCCATCTACAAACCAAGCGCTAGGTATAAGGCAACCCAAATGCCCCTTAAGCCCCCGCGCAGCTGGTTGCAGGGCTGGTGCTGCCCATGCCCAGCAGGGCGGTGGCGACGCGGAAGGCGCTAAGACCCCAACTTTGTAGTAGATGCGTTAGGACATATGAGTCTTAAGTGTAGGAAGTGGAAAATCTAAAATCGAGCTATCGGCTTGCTTATCCGGGTGCAAGTGCGCATGAAATCTGATAAGCAAGAACCGCAAAAGTTAAGACGCGTATACCGTAACACCATAAAGATCTATACGCTTGCTGATAACGAGCACAGACGCTGTTTGCTCTTTCCTGCGGCAACACTATGCCGTACATGACGATCTCCTGGCAAGAGCCCATAAATGCGATAAAATCTACACTCCGATAGCCAATAGCTAAGGCGTTATTGATTGCGTTATAACTTCTTTTTAAGGAGATGTACCATGTAACGTATTATACCCTCTGGGCCCCATGGTGCTGTCAACTGACTTCCAAACTCGAAGACGCGCTGCCTGTTTGTAATGCAAGGAAACAGTATTTCAATGCTTAGGGTTGCCACGGTAGTATGGCCGCCTAAGTTCCTTGGCGCTAGGGCCCCAGCTGGGTTTGAAGGGCGTTTGACTGCCCAATATACCTAGAGTATAGGGGCTGTGGGCTTCTCTTGCCAAGTGTTTGAAAAACTCGTTAACCATATCAGGCAGCTAATGCCCCTCGCACGTCGGCCAGGTCCCTGTGTCCTTTGGGATTGCAGCACGCTAACAACAAAGGGAGCCGGCAGTTCGCTCGCCCTGCCATAGAGAAAGCTTCGCAGACCCTTCGCCATCCCTAGACCTATATGAGGAGAACAGCCATGGCGTAGGAATGCTTTCCAGGCGTCTGTCACACGACTGGGCTATCGTGATGACAAGTACGTAACCTGAACCACGGGTCAACAGGCCAGCACTTACTGCTCGGTCATGTTTCGTACTGTAAGGGTGCCGGTGTCGTCCAACGAAAGACAACTAACGCAACAAAGACGCCGAACATACGGCAACACACTGTGAATGACTCGTGTGGAAGTCATGACTCGTCCAAAATTGAGCATGGCACTAGCGGCGGTTGCCCAAGTAAGCCATTACAACCCCGCTGCGGCCCGCATGCGACCATGCGAAGGACAGGATCACGGCAAAAGTCATGCTGCTTGCAATGAAGTGTCCGGCGTCCCTTTCAATCAAAATCGCCAACTCCTCTGCCCACTCATTCTTCTTTTGCCACTGCACCTCTATCCTGCCGGATGCCGCCTCTCAAAGCGCACACCCTCACTCGCCCAACGCCTACAATTGCGTATCCAGACCACCCCTTCCTAGCCTCACTGCTCCCCCTCCGCTGGCTCCAGCTGCTGCTCATCCTCCTCCAATGGATCCAGCTCCTGCTCCTGCGCAGGTTGCACCGCCTGCATGATGGAGCTCTTCAGCCCCAGCTTCTTGAGCAACTGGTCGCACTGCTGCAGCGTCTCCATCTCCTGCAGCCAGCAACAGCAACAGCAGCACAGTCAGCAACGGCAGCATACAGTCAGCAGCAAGCAACGCCAGCAGCAGACGGTCGCTGCAACTGGAAGGGAAGGGAGTGGTGGCTCCTGGCTTGGCAATTCGTCCGTAGTGGTGCTGTGGCGTGTTGTTTGAACCAGCAACCTTGCGCCCCGCTCCCACGCTTCCCAACACCCACGACCCAGCCCACCAATGCGTTCAGGTGGTTGAGCTCGTCCACTGCCGCTCGGACCGCCTTGCCCAGCTTGGTGTGCGGGTTGAGGGCGTCCTGATAGGTACCGGGAACCTGCACAGGAAGGGGGGGAGACGGGGGTAACAGGCAGACGTGACACTCAGGGAGAGTGGGAATAAATCATATCCAGCAGGGACCAACAGGGAAGCAGTGGAGGCCAGGTTCCCTAAAGGCTTGACAAGATGCGGAATAGCGTGCAGCCGCTGATGGCCTGCACCCTAAGGCGACCGGCTGCCAGTCCGGCTGTCAGCTGTGCAGCCGCGACGCTTGCTTGCAGCGAACCAGCAATCGCTCCAATGCTCCTTGTAAGCGTGTTTCTTGCTTGATACCAACACACCTCGACGTCCTCCTCTGGAGGAATGCCCACGAACTCCTGCGGGCCAACAAATAGTTTGGCAACCACAAGCTCTTGTAGAAGGGCGGTACACGGCTTTGGCAGCCTTCGCAACCAGTATGTCGACAACAAATACCGCAGAGACGGCGATTCTCACCTCTTCGGGTGTAGCCGCTCCCTGCTGCGCCGGCTGGTTAGGGGCTGTTGCTCGGCATTGCCTTACTGGCTGGGAACCTGGTACCCGCGCACCACGAAGGCGCAATACATGGACAGGATGACTGTGGTTAAGCCTCACATTAGTTGGATGCGCTGTGAAAGCGGCATGGCGAATAAGGCAAACCATGAGGCAAGACTGGAAGGGTGCCGAGGAACCTAGGTAGAAATAGTACGGTATATGCCTCCTGTTGTAAGGGACGAAGAAGCAATTCGACGCATTTCAAATCCAATACCAAGCGGGCAAGCACGACCTAACCAATGTACGGCACACGCGTTGACCCAGAAGCCTAGGAGCTCTGAGACATATGCAATCTTGTCACAAAGCATGTATTTGATTTACCTTGACCGTAGGTGCCTATGCACGGCCGGACTAACAGAACTGCAGCAAAGAGAGTTGCCCTTAAACATCCAACACCCTCTGCAACTGAGAAGCGCGCGCGACAAGTTGGAACAACAAACCGGAAAAGCATTTCGAGCGTCTCTGCCGCCAAGAAACCACCTGCGAAGCCCAAGGCTACCCGGGCAAAGCCATCCTCAGCGCCAGCAGACGACAGCCAGCTCGCCTCCCGCGTCGTCCTCAAGGCGGTTACTCCATCCTCGCTTAAGGGTGCAGGTGTAGTAAAGAAGAAGCGCAGTTCAAGAAGGCGCGAGCCCAAAAAAGTCCGTTTCGCCCAGGGTCCCTTGCGGGCTCCAGCGGGTGGTCCCGACGGCCACCCAACCGCTGAGGGGCGGGTCGCCAAGCCGGTACGCATTCTAGACGGGGGAGCATCACGAGCCTCAAGCGTGACCAAAAAAGACGTGCGAGAGTTAGACCAGCCAGAGCTGCTGGGCAACACGCAGTATGAGTTCTCTTTGACCAAGGTACGTGTAGGGGTACGGGGAAGGGCGGGCGTGGTGCCTGCAACGCGTTGAAGGGCAAAGCGCCATGCTCTGTCGTGGGTCAAGAGGCTATGTGGTGTGTTGCATAAGCGGGCGTAGATTCACAGACGGACGAGGGGCTAGCAACCCGTAACTGTCCAGTAAGCATCCTCTGGTCCTAACCCAGATGGCTGACACGAGTCTGCCTGGCTAGGGGATGTTGAGAAAGTTGATTGCCTGCAAACGTACAACCAACCGCATGCACATACCCTCACCTTCAATCCGATGCGCAAGACCGCCTACTCGCCCCCCGTTTTGGCTCCTCCGTAACCCCTCTTCCCCCCTCCTTCGCCCAACTCCCAACCTCTGCTGCTGCCGCCGCAGCTCAAGATCCGCGTGGGGTTGCTGCCGCCCGCGCAGCCCGCTCGGCCGTTCGCCAGCAATCCCAAGAGGGCCAGGGGCAGCAGGCACAGCCATGAGGAGGGCGGAGGCAGCGGGGAGGCTGCTGTGGCTCGGTAGGAGCGCGTGAACGGCTGCTACAATGCATCTCAGCCGTCGCGGGTGTGGAGCAGGGCCCAGACGGGCCTTGTCGTACGCTGTAGGGGACAGCTACAGCCGTGCAATGACGGCTTATGTACATAGCAAGGGTAGTTGGACACGATAACGCTTTCCGGTGCATGCACTGTTGGGCCATGGGACCAGATGTCCCCAACAGGGAGGAATGACATGAGGCGAAGGAGCCGGGGGATATGCCAAGGAGCTTCGGTATGTCGTGCCGGGCCCCAGGACCATCTAGGTAGGCCCTTCCCTTGAGCGTGCCAGCGGGTGGAGGGTTAGGTAGGACGTGGTATCTGTTCCGTACGTGAAGACACGCTTGACCGGGTAGAAGCGGTTTCCCTTCGTCGGGTACATGTGCCTAATTGATGTGGATATGCCTATTTTCTTAGCGGCGTGCTTGACGATAATAACGATGTCCAGCTCTGAACGTAAGGCACTAAACAATTTAGCACTCGTGGCCAGTGCCAGGCAAGTGCGGGCACTTCCCAGCTTGCTGTGTGCTGCTGTTGTACCAGGTCTGTTGTATCAGACCTAACGGCTGTACAATGCATGGGCATCTATGATCGAACGGAGGGAATAGCGTGTGCACCTGTGCTCTACTTTAGCCGTATGATGCATACCGAGTCACGGCGTGCTGTGTCTCTGTCGACAGGACCGTAAGGGCTTCCCGGCCGACCCGGAGGTCGAGCGGGTGGAGTCGGCTTGCAAGGCCTTGCAAAGCCTGGTACAGATACCACCGTATGGCAATGTGAACTCGCATCCCGGTAATGCGATTGCGGATGTAATTGCCCAGCTGCAATCGGCAATTCATGCAGCGAGGTGAGGGGCGATCTTCCCATAAGACAAATAACGTTCATAAACACTTGTCTTGGTACAAGATACTAATCTATTGTGGTGGCGCACTAACCTTTACTACCGGTGTACTCTTAGCTCTAGTTGCCTTTGCAACTTTATGCCGCCCAGTCGCAGTCACAACATTCCGACAGGAGTAGATTGCTAAATCATCCTCATATATATAAGTAACAAAATAGTAGAGACAAATGTGGGGCATTCTTGCGGTGTCCTTGCTTACCCGTCCATCGAGATGCGCCGCTGCACCAGTGTCAGCCTTGTGCAGGACAGCTCTATTACATGCACAGGTTCCAGCAACACGTCTCATAGGTTTTTCAACCGCTAAGGAGCATGTCAGCTCTTCCGCAACTGATGCTTCCAGGCCTACACATCCATTGCCGGCATCCGCGAGCACGACGCCGCCCACTGCACCAGCTGACCAATCCCCTGCTAATCCACAGCACGCAAAGCCACCTACCAGCAGCGCATCGCCGCTCAACTCCACCAAGCCCCCCACTTCCGCCGACGCACCGCACCATCCTCCATCCCCTTCACCCATCGCCGCCGCCACGCCTTCAACTCCGCCTCTAGACACCAGCGCAACCCCACCTACGGAACCACCTCACGCCTCAGGCGCCGGTCCGGGTCCCAGCTCCAGTGTTTTGGGCCTTATGCGGCTGATCCGCGTCAGCCGCAGTGCCGTGGACTTGCGCATGGCGCTGAGCCGCCACGCGGGGGATGTGGACCATGTGGCACTGGTGGCGGCCATGACACGACTGGCGCAGGTGGGGTTGGGGGGGGCAGGGGAGGCGAGTAGTTGCAGGGGGGGAAGGAGCGTGATGGTGCGGGAGATGTAGGGGTTAGATCCTGATACCGGTAGCCCCAAACACACCAAGCGCCCCTGGCTCCTGCTTCCTCCTCATCCTTCCCATCCCCGCCTCCCTCCTCCCCTCCCCGCCTTTCCCAACTGCTCTGTCCTAACCTGTGGTTTCCTATGGTTGGGTATGGTCTCCCTCCCCGCCAGATCGCCGGCAGCTCCAACACCGGCACCTCCCACCGCGAGCGCTCCCAGCAACGCGACCTAGCCGCCCACCTCGCCGCCCAGCTCGCCGACCCCGCCTCGCCCCACCTGCCCCGCTGCACCGCCCGCCACCTCGCAACCTGCCTCCACGTCCTAGCCGACATGCACGTCAAACCCAGCCAGACCGTCTGGCGCACGCTGCTGGCCGCACTGGCTGCGGATCGCGCCGCATTGCTTGTACGGCAGGGCAGCAGCAGCGGGCTAGATGTAGCCATGGTAGCTCTGTCGCTGTCGCGTCTGGGCTGCCATGGCCGTGCAGCATGGAAGGCGGTGGCGCTGGGTGCGGAGGCGCATGCAGCGGCCATGAGCCCCCAACAGGTGGCTAACACCATGTCCGCGTTGGCGAGGGCGGGTGGGGCGGAGGGCGGGTTAAACGCCAAGGAGTTTGACAAGGCCGTTGGTTTGCTGCTGGCACGTGCGGTGGCGGATGCGGAGTCGTACAGCGGTCGCAACCTGGCGAATGCGGTTTGGGCGGGTGTACGGCACATGCAGGCTCGCGCGATGCAGCAGGGACAGGGTCGGGGCGGCAGCTCCAAAGCAGCGCCGCAGTCAGGGGAAGCGGCAGGGGAGGCGGGTTTGCTGGAGGAGGAGGAGGGAGCTGCGGAGTTGCTGCTGGGGGCCTCCGGGGGTGCGGACCCGCAGCAGCTGGGTGCGGTGGAGGCGCTGGCGGGCCGGCTGCCGGAGCGGCTGCGGCAGTGCACCCCCACGGAGCTGGCGAGGGCGGCGTGGGCGCTGGCGCGGCTGGGGTGCCGGGAGGAGCGCGCGTGGGAGAGCTTGGGGCGGGAGCTGCGGCACAGTGCGGGTGAGGGGAAGGGAGGACGGAAGAGGAAGTATCGTTACGTTAACGATCGTAGAGGGGAAGGTGGAATTAGCTGATGCGGCTGTTGAGGAGGAGGTGACCATGGGGAGAGGGGGAAGGGCGGACTGACGGCTGGGTGGGGGTGTTGTTGGGCGAAGACCAGGGTTGGAGCAGCGTGCGCGCCCACAGGGGTGTTGTCGGGGATCTCACGTAGCCACAGAGCGTTGACCGGTTTGTGCAGGCTTGCAATGCGATGCACCTTGTCTGTATCACATCCACTGCCTCCATCGCGGCACCTGATGTGCCTCCTCCCCTCCCATTCAATTTTCCCCTCCCACACCCTCAGTTTAAACCCTTCTCCCACATGCTGCTATTATTGTTATCAACTTTGTCATACCCTTCTTGTTCCCCCTGCTCCTCGGCCTCCTCGCCCTTCCTCGCCCCTTCCAGGCGCCCTCCAACCCGACGAGATGTGTACCATGGCGGAGGCGCTGCGCTACGCCTCCATCCGCATGCGGGAACCCCCTGCACCCTCCTCCTCCGCCGCCGCCGCCTCCCCCACCTCCTCCACCTCCACCTCTGCCACCCCAGCCCCCTGCGACCCCGCCGCGCACCTGCCACCGCTCTTCGCGGCCGCCTCGCTGCGGGTGCGGGAGCTGCGGCCGCAGCAGCTGGTGCGGATGCTGCGGGTGGCGGCGCAGCTGGCGGAGCAGCAGCAGCTGGAGCAGGGGCAGCAGGGGCTGCCGCAGGAGGTGCTCTCCTTTGTTAAGGAGGTGGGAGTGGGGCTGTGCATGGGGCATGTGGCGAGTTGAGGTTAGGGCGCGGTGGGGGTTGCACGCGAGGGGTGGTCGATGGGGATCCGCCGGGCATCGCGGGCAGCGGGAAGCTTTAGCGCGTACAATAGCCCCCTTCCTGACAGCGCTCCCGCACACGAATTGCGTGCCTCTCATCCCTCCCACCCTTCCCCTCCTTTCGCCCCCTCCCCCACCCGCGCGCCGCACAGGCCCGATCCCACCTCCTGCAAACCCCGGCGCACTCCTTCCCCCGCATGTGGCTGGCTGCCTCCCTCGCCACCAGCCTCACCAAGCTAGACCGCCAGCAGCAGCAACAACAGCACCCCAGCTCCCTCGCCTCCCTCGCCACCACCGCACCCCCCCACTGCGTCATTCCCTTGCGGCACGAGCACCAACTCCAACAGCAGGAGCTACAGCCGCAGCAGCTGCAACCGCAGCCGCAGCAGGCGAAGGGGAAAGGGAAGGAGAAGAAGAATGAGGCGGAGCAGAAGAAGCAGAAGGAGGCGATTGGCGGGGCCGCAGGGGATGCCTCCATGGCAGCAGCAACGGGGCCGGAGGGGCGGCAGCTGTTGGACCACTTGGCTGAGGCTGCTGCCAGCTGCGCGGGGGAGTCGGGGCCGGGGGAGCTGCGGATGACGGCCGCGGCGTTCGCGGCGGCGGGGCACTTCAATGGGCCGCTGTGCGGCGCCATCGCTAACCGAGTGGGTCGCTTGGGGGGGGGGTTGTCACTTGTGCGGTGTAGACCCTCTTGTGTAGGGTAGAGGGTTGGCATGGGTTGGAATTGACAAGTGGTTGGAGGGGTGTGCGGAAATGCGGGCTGAGAGTCTGAGTGGTGTCGTTATGGCGACGGGTCGGTTGGGACCGGCGGCGGGGACTGGCGCCGTTGGCTGCAGCCTATCCCAGCTCGCTTTGGGTGTGGGTTGGGGTTCGTGGCCCATGTCTGCTTGCCCTTGTTCGAGCTGTATGGTTTTCATGCCGGCTGCCTGGCCCTGCCTCTCCCTACCCAACGTGCCGTCCCCAACCTTCTAACACCAAGAAACCACTTTTGCCGGGTTTGCCCAACCCTGCCCTTCTTGCTCCCCTAGACCGAGGCGCTCGCTCGCACCGCAGCGCGCCCAACTCGCTCCTCACGGGCTCAAAAAGACCCGGCCGCAGTCGCTGCAGCAGCCCTATCCGAGCTCCTGGCGGTCCTGCAGTCCCTGGCGCGGCTGGGCTTCCATAACGAGGCCGCGCTGGCAGCAGCGGTGCCGGCGGTGGCAGCCACGCTGCCTGCGCTGCCGCCGCAGGCGATTGTGGCGGCATTGGAGGCGTACGGCATGTCAGGTGTACCGCCGCTGGGGCTTATGTCCGCGCTGGCGGGGGAGTTGGTGGAGCGGTTGGAGGGCGCGGGGTTGCGGAGGGAGAAGGAGGGGGGGCTGAAGGGGGATGGGAGTGGAGCGTTGGGAGTGCTAGGGCTTGGGGATGAGGAGCGGCGGGCGCTGCGTGCGACGTGTGTGCAGTGGCGGGAGTCGGTGCTGTTCGCAACGGGACGTGGGGTGGAGGCGCGCAAGGAGGCTGGTGGTGATGGTAAGGTCGTGGTGGGCGGTATGGACAGGTGCTCTCAGCTGTTGCTTCTCCTGGACAAGGAGTGATGGCCTTGACATGTGGGGGTGCCAGGAGTGCCGGCTGCTCATGAATGGTAGTGAAGGGGACTAACTTATAGGAGGCACACCGGAGTCTAGAGGTTTACGTACATGACAGGGAACGCGGCTAGGAGCGCGCGCTGCTTATCAACATGTAACGCTGCAACATGCCTTTGTCATCATTGCCGTGCAAGCCGCGAGCGATCTTCCAAGTAAGGCCCTTTTGAACAATTACAAATGTGTAATCAATGTTACGAAGCGGTGCGATTTCAGGGACATGGTTGGGACCGAGACTGACAGGTCTTCCTAGCTAGGTTTCTGGCTGCAGCGCCATAAAACAGATATTAAAGGTCAGTTAAGGCGCTTCAGTAGTTAATTTCAATATCAATCTTCCAACTGCTTTCTGCCCTTGGGCGCGCTCTCTCGCTCATACGCGGGTGCGAGATGGGCGGGAAGTACTATGCGGTGCGCGTTGGTCGGAGGCCAGGCATCTACGAGGATTGGGGTCAAGTGAAGCCGCTTGTCGAAGGCTATCCGGGCGCACAGCATAAGTCTTTCAAGAGCCGCGATGAGGCAATGCGCTACCTATCGAACGGTCCTTCTGCAGCCGCTGGATCAAAGCGTCGCAGGGATGACTATGATGATGATAGCGACGACGACCGGTATCACCGGCCACCACCGCCCGCGTACCGCCAATCTAACCCCTACCGGCCACCAGCCCCCCAGCCGCATCCCTACCCTAGCCGCCAGCCCGTCATAATGTCTCTTACCGTCCCCAGCTCCCGTGACAACTATGACGGCGGCTACCGCAGCAGCGGTGGGGGCGGCAGCAGCAGCTTCCCATTCCACCGGAGCAGCAGCGCTCCTGGGGGCCTGGAGAGGCGCGGCAGTAGCGGCGTGTACGACCCCGTTGTGGAGGGGCCGCTGCAGCCGGTTCGGAGCAACACGCTGTACCAGTTGGTAGGGATGGGAAGGGGGGAACTCGTGTGGGGCGTTGAAAGGAGTCGGGAGGAGCACACCGCCCTGCAAGGGCGCCTGAGGGTTCTTACCTTAGCGTGCAACTGTGGCATACCCGCCTGCCTGCCTACTGGTACATACGCATCAGCCCCAGCTCGCTGTGTGCTGGTATAAAGGTTTCTTGCAGCTTCCAATGGCAGCAAGCCACGCCTGTGCGAAGTCCGTGCTTCATGCCTGACTGCCGCCTCTTGCCTCGGTTGTCAGGAGTTTGACGGCGCCTCACGGGGCAACCCGGGCAAGGCCGGGTGCGGTGCGGTGCTGCGGCGACTGGACACCGGGGATGTGGTGAGCGAGGTCGGGGCGGGGCGGGGCGCCACTTATATGTGACAGATGAGGCGGACCGGGGTTCGGTAGTGCAGGCTGCATGGCGGTGTGTTTTGGGGTGGCGGGGGTGTTCGGGATGGCCAGAGCAGCCGCTACAGCCACACCCCAACCGAGCTGTGCACATTCCTCGACAATGTCCGCGCAAAAGAAGGTGTTCAGCTTTCTGATACCTCAACCTGGGCCTCAACCCCTCCCCCTATGCCCAGCACATACCTTCCCGCCTCCAAAGGCGCCCACGTCCCGCCCCCTCCCCGCTCCCAGCTGCTGCTGCTCCCCCTTTGCTGCGTGTGTCAAATATTTCCTCCCCTGATGATTGCACACCATGGTAAAGCCTCGTCATACAGCTTGTCAGTTTCTTCCTCTTTTACCCCTCCCCCCCAGGTGTGCCGGCTGCGCAAGTACATGGGCTCCAACTCCACCAACAACGAGGCCGAGTACACGGCGCTGCTGGAGGGACTCAAGGTGGGCGGGGGAGATCTGGTGGGTGTTCCGCGGTTAGTGGGCTCGCGGAGCAGGCGGGCAGGCGGGCGGGAGGGGCGGTACCGGTAGTAGAGGAGTGGGGGACGCCGACCACCACTGAGGGCGGACGGAGGTTCAGAAGCAAGCGGCCACAGCGCACGGGACTTTCCGCTCGCCGTCCTTACATGCTGTTCTTCTGGATCGTGTGTTGATTGCTGTGTTGCTGCGCTTTCGCTGCCGGTTGCCGGTTGTGGTCGCAGATGGCTCGGCGGCTGGGTGTTACTCGGCTGCAGGCGCAGGGCGACAGCAAGCTGGTGGTGCAGCAGGTGCAGGGCAGGTGGGCCATCAACAAGGACCACCTGCGGGCGCTGTGCGACCAGGTGAAGCAGGAGACGCGGCACTTCCAGGACTTCAACATACGGCATGTGCTGAGGTAGGGCAGGGGTTACCGTATGGGGGGGGGTAATGTGGGGTGAGAGCGGTGCGTGGTGAGCCGGGCCGGGAAGCAGGGTGGTTGGAAAGCTACCAGCTGAAGTATCTGCGGTTTGGGTCAGGATGTGTGGAGGAGGGCGATGGCGGTTGCGGACGGGGAGTCCTTGTGGCGTTTTTTCCCAGCAGCTCGTGCCTGCTTGCCCGTTGCATCCATGGGCGGGCTGGGGTTTGGGTCCTGGAGTGGTGTCCATTGTGCCATGGCATCGGCCGCATGTAGGGGCCCTGACTCAGGCTGACTTCGTTTCTCATAGTGTCCTTGGGCCACCTGGCTCGTACGGACATGCACTGTACACGCGTACAGACTGTAACTGGAAGCAATGCTCTGTTCCCTGCGTGCGCCGCAGACACCTGAACGGCGATGCGGACAAGCTGAGCAACGACGCAATCGACCTGGCGTACCGGTAGCAGGAGCCGGGAGAGCTGCGCAAGATACTCGTGCCAACACTGCGCTGGGCTCTACTGGGGGAAGGGTGTTTTACTGGTAATGTTTTTTTCATTCTGTTAGCCGTGCCATCCAGCCGCTAGCGCACGATGTTCGTAACCATGCAGGATGAGACATGAGAGCTGGGCGATCACAGTAGTGAGGGAGCATTTTATGTAGAGCTAGGCTTTGTAGCAGCAGGAATGTAAGAAAAGGTGGCCACTTACAAGTTAGAGTAGGTTAGGTATGGTGTGGTTGGGGCCCTCGCTGCAGTACCTTCGTGAGAAGACGATTGCAATGGGTGCGCATTTGTTCAGAGTATGCGTGCTTGGTTTGAGCCACACGATGCTGAAAGAGCAGGTACAGGAAATCCAGGTTGTGTAGATTGTGTAGGTTCCTTATGCGTTTGTGCTAAGGAGCATGTTGTGTTAGGAAATGCATGCTGGTCATCCTCAACGAAGGGGTGGCTAGGATCATTGGTCGATGGAGACGCCGCGGGAGGGGGGGCGGCAACTTGGGTTCTGGGTTAGCACCAGACGAGGCCTGGTGGTGTTTATCCTTGATGTAACCCAGATTGTCCTATTGTGTAAAGGGGTAAAGGTACATGCTCAATGTGCATCTTGCATTCAGTCATTCTTGGTTGGTACACCTGGCATGTCATGTGTGCCGTCCAAGGATGCAAGCACAACAGGCGCCGACAGCACACACAAACAAAACTGAAAGGCCAGCTGATATTATAGAATACATCGGACGATAAGTAGAAAATGCAAACAGCTGTAATGGATTCTATCGTGCAAACACGTACGGCAGCACAGGCGGCGCTTTCATTAGGCGCGCCCCAGCTTTTGGGCAACATACATGCTTCTATACGTCTTTTAACGTTTGTTACGCAAACACACAATGGCTTTTGTCACTTCTGGCTCTCACCCATCGGTGGCTGTGGCGGATTTGCTGGCCTTGCATGGCTTGAAACGGCGCGCGTCCAGCCCTCCATGCAAATCGTTTGAGGACCTGGCGCAATGTGTTGCAGAGGTATGCGCCATTGCAACGGGCCGCCTTCAGGACACGGGCAGTTCCCAAACTCTCGTTTCTCCCTATGCAGGAGGACACTTCCAGCTTGTCTACCTCAGCTCTTCAAAAACTAAAGGATTACGTTGCTCGACAAGGTGCCTTTGCTTTGGGTTCATTGGAGCTTGGGGTTGGCGCTTACTGTGGCTTACCATAGCATTAATTTGCTGCAGGTCTTACTCTGCCAGACGGCTGGAAGGTTATTGTAAGAGTCCGCTTGACAACTCGCAGCAACGGCCGCACTGGGCGCACTACCAGCAATGTCTACATGTCACCTACGGGAGCGACTTTCCGCTCACACGCTTCAGTGGTAGAGTCGCTAAGAGCTCACGCTTCTCGCCAAGGCTCGCCGGAGCTATCAAGCCCTCCCGTATCAGACGTGCCTGAAGACAGCGATGTAGAGCCCTGCACCAAGCGCTTGCAGCACTGAACGTCTCCAGTGCACACGCATGTCTTACATTGCTTTGTTTTGCTCCTTCCCGAGCTGTCGCCTAGCGTGCTGAGAAGCGCGCCTCAGGGGCCACTCTGGGATTTTTTGGAGCGTTTACGGCCATACCAGTCACAGCAATCACCCCGAACCCGTCAGATCTCGGAAGGACAGCTGACTGGGCCCGTTTAGTACTGGCGATGAGAGATCACGCTGGGAACACCGGGTGCCGTAAATCGCACTTGCTGACGCATCTCCACTTGGGAGGCACCTTGCGTGCTCAGGTTCATCCCTGAATGCGTGACTTTTCGGAGTTACCCATTAGCGTGCATGAATCTGCACGCGTGCCATACCGTATTTCGTGTCTATTCCCTGTGTCGCCGTACTCTTTTCTCCCCTTGTCATAACCCAATAATCAAGCGCTCACTGTACACCCTCATCATCTCCTCCAGGCTGCCAGACATATGCATCTCTAAACAGTGCCTAAAGTTGCCGCATCGAGAAATCCCTATAGCCACAACGTCCTTTCCGCATGGTTACTCCTCTGGCATGTGGATGTCAGGTTGCAGATTTACAATGAAAGTCACGGCTTAGGTAGTTATATGCGTGTTTAGTGCGACTAGGAGGTTACTGGAGGGAGAACATTCTGTCCAGGCAGATTTCCCTAGTTTTAGCACCGAGTTTTTTATAGGATATGTGCACTTTCCGTTAGGTCGACATAGCGACAATGGCGACATGTGGAGTTACAATCAAGAGGAAGAGCAGCTGCAGGCCCCAGTCACACCTCCGCAGTTGTTCGAAAATTCGCAGGTGCATAACTAACGGACCTGCAAGCATACCCCTGGCGTCCAACAAAAATGCACTTTGCAACGCTCATCACACGGTCACGCCCCAAACCCAACCCATAATGTACAGCACAGCACGCAGTCGCGGCCTTCACAGGAAGGGCAGGGACACGCCGTTGGAGGTGAAGTTCACGTGCCACGGGTCCGCAAGGTGGGCAGACAGGTTGTCAATGGGGCCAGCGCCTGCAAGAAAGAAAGCAAATGTCGAGCTTAGTATGGCACACGCGGTAATCTTCACAGGCAGTACGGCATGACAGATCCACCCACAATCCCTCACTGCAACCTAATATGAGTCCAATAGCATTACCCACCGGTGGCGCCCTTTTGGGCAGCGAAGCCCAGGAGAGCCATCTGCAAACAGGTAGAGTAAGGGAGCCGTCAAAGCGACGAACCAATAACAAAACCTGGGATACCAGGCATGATTCAAGGTGCCAGCTGCCGCAACCGCTGCCACAACCCGTTTCCTACGCTGCTGACGCCGGCGGGTGCACCCAACCTACCATGGCCAGGCGGCCGTTCTTGATCTCCTTGAGCTTCCAGTCAGCCAGCTTGGAGGCGTCCTTAGACAGGCCTACACAGCAGAAAGCACACAGGCACATGGCATGATACGCCAACCATGCATCCGACCAGATACCAAACAAGGCGCTAGGCAGCTCCAGAAGGACCGATAAGCCGAAGACGCAGCTTACCCAGGGGGTCGAAGATGCCGCCGGGGTAGCCGTTGTCGCCGGAGCCGCCGAAGGCGCCCTCGAGGCCCAGGAAGCTGCCTGGCTCGGCCTGGCTGCCGGGCTTGCGGAAGTCCTGCCAGCGCTTAACCTCAACGAAGCCGCACAGGAACATCTGGACGGCCAGCAGGGAGCCTGCAGCAGGCAGGATTCGGTTTGGTGGCGTTTCAGCGCTGTTTGACCCTCGCATCCTTTCGTACACCGACTCCCAACCCCAAACCCCAACGGCGCCTAGACCTCGCTATCGTCCTCCGGTCAGGCTGCGCGTCCCGCCATGTCCTTTGGATACCGGTAGCCTAGAAATTCTAGATGGTTAGGGCGGCACTCACTGAAGGGGGCGAACGAGTTGTCGATCGCCACCTTGCCGGCATCGTACCACTCGGGCACGCTCAGGACACCCGCCTTGGTCAGCAGCTGCAGGAAAGACGGCAAACACCCCGGCTCAGCAAAAGGGCGTAACGGGTACCGGTATCAACCCGCAAGAGAGGATGACACGTGCATGCCGCTTTGCTATTGAGCAGTTTATCTCTCCCCGCTTTACCCTGCCCCGCACTCCTGCCAAAAGGACTTACGCCGGGGATGAGGATGCCGGCGACGGCGGTCATGGCAGTGCGGGAGTGCACCAGCTCAGCCTGCTGGTACCTGAGAGGAGATTGAACGCAGATGAGAGGACCATGGATATCTTCGAACGTTTGGTAAACACCGCACTGGGAGTATGAGTGCAAGCACCCATTCCAGGAAGGCGTGATACGCAAAGTCGCTGAAGATACGATCATCTTACCAGCGGAGAGCCTCGGCGTCCTTGCCAAGACCGAGGGGGTCGAAGCCTGCATCCCGATTGAACAAGTGTCAACACGGCTTTGGGAACTGGAAAGACGCGCATATTTGTAGTTACATAGCGTGACTCGCTATGCATGCATTGTCCTACCAAAGTTGCCCGCCATCGCCAGGGCAGCCGGGGTGTCAAGGTGCTTAGGAGTCTCGCTGCCTGGCAGCCACGACTGACGAGCGACACAGGTCACCACGGCCTTGCGAGAAACGGCCGGGCGAGCCGCGACGGCCGAGCGCTTCATCATCAGGGCCATTTTGCAAACTAATGTATATAGACAGGTCCCAAGTAAAGCAGCAGCGACAAGCCTTCCATAGCTGCACACTCGCACTATTAGGGATGCGCCATGGGCTTCGTACAAGATCGCCGTACTGATGGCTTCATTGCTTTCCCCGCTGCGGCAAGTATGTGCTTTAGGCTTCGTACTTACTGTACGTTCGTAGTGTAACACGCATGTGCCAAACTTCTTCTTGCTGCGTGTTTCCTTTTAATATTCCACTGCGCTCTTTCAGAGTCGACGTAATAACCCAACAAAGCGAACGTAGTTCTATACATAGGTATAGAACTACTACTCAATACATTTCGGGGGTTTGGTTCTCACGTTGCAGCATTGCCGTTGTTGCATGGAAGGGTACTAGCGACGTCGCTGCCTTTGCTTGCAGACGCCCGTCCGTTTATACCTAGGCCTTGATTGAGCATCGCCGTGTGACCATTATGTTTGCAGCTTGACCAATACACCTGCCATTTCCATGTTTACAACAGTACCTACCATGTGTATTGCCCTTCGACGCCCCTTGGTCGTTTATCCTTTGCACTATGCTGCCTACATGGGTGACGATCGCAGTACACCTATTTCACTAATCCACTAGGTTGAGAGGTAATCGGACTAGGAGTACCAACCCAGCATGAGCGTTTGGGCAAGCGTGGGGGGTTTTTAACCCATAATCAAGGCTGGGTGCGTGTAGAGATGTGCAGAAGTGGATGCGAGATAAACCGACACAGATAGGAGATTAGCCAGGTCTGTTACACCTCCGTCCAATCGAGGACACGCATTTAAGCGGCCTTCGACTTCTTCTTCTGCATCTTCTTGAGGTAGAACTCAAGCTCCTTGCCCTCAAGGACGTAGCCGTCGCAGCGGCCGCACTGGCCGGGGCGGGACGCGATGCAGGCGAACAGCCTGCCGGTCGCGAACTGCTCAGCCAGGTGGGCGTCCAGCTTGCGCTTCTGGAGGCGCTCCTTGATCTTCCGCTTGACGTGGTTGGAGCCCTGCGCAAAGAAGGCCACAACAGCCAGTCAGTCACTAACCCCAAACGCTAGCCAGCAACAGCAAATGCATGAGGATTCTAATTGTGCGTGTTACAACAATGTTCCAGAAGGCACCAGGCTGGGACATGCCATAGGTGCATGGGGAGATGAGAGGAAGGATCAGTAGACATGCTAATCCACACCACCCATGTCCTACATTAGATGCAGGCCCAAAGCGCGCGGACCTCATACCACCATCATGCAAAGATGATGCACCGGGGCCCATGAGTTCACTATCTATCCCTACGCATGCGACCCACAAGGCAGACCCGCAGCCCATCCGCACCTGGATCTCCTCCGGCTTGGGGACAACGTCGGGCTGGTTCTTGGCGCCCAGCTCCACGTTGTAGTGCTTCTGGTACCACTGCTTGAAGGGCGCGGCATCCACCTGGACGATGGCGTTCTTCACCAGGGTCTGGGTGCGGACCAGCTCGTTGTTGGACGCGTTGTAGACGACGTCCAGGATGCGAACCTTGCGGGTCACAGCCTGCATAGCAAGGATGCAAGGGACGACTTCAACTACGATCCCGTTGTCCCTTAGTCCACGGGCGCCACCAAGATCATGCTATGTACACATGAAGGCGTGAGTTGTAGAGCACACAATGCCAGGCTGCCGACTCCACCCCCTAGGACGTGACACGTTGAGATGTAATGTGGCTGATACGGAATAGGTCGCAGACCCATCTGCTTTACTTCGTGACTGGAGGCCATGGGAGCCTGTTCTGCATGTGCATACGCACCTCAGAGCCCCAGGAGAAGTTGCCGGTGTCCAGGCGCAGAGCACGGAACTTGGTGTGGCCACCACGCACGCGCACCGTCCGGACAGCAACGTTGCTGCTGAGCTTCGTGTTAGCTGGCACACGGCCCATCTCATACCTGCGTTGAGTAGCCAAGGCATGCAAGGAATGGTGTTGCAGGCATGGGGAGGCGTCGAAAGCGATAGAGCGTATTGCTACCGCATTACTACCATCCCAACGAATAAATGCCGCTATTAGAGCAGGAAATAAAGCTATCCTGCAGCCGCCAAGCCGCCTCCTATGCTCCGCAGCCGCCATCGTGAGTCCAGTCAGGCGTGATAATTCAACTACTGCAAGACGCCAGTGCGTTCTGGTACTGCAGCTGATTAAGCATCCCTGCCCCGGCATTCAGCTCACTTCTTCTTCTTGCGCCAGTGCTTCTTGCGGCCGCCCGTGGCGCGCCGCTTGTGCAGCGAATCGCGAGAGATACCTGCGGAACCATTATACCATTAGGCGTTGAAGGTTTGCTTGGCCCAAGTAAACAGCTGAAGCTGGGAGCCTAATAATTCACGATTGAACAAGCTTGCAAAGCGGCACGAAGCCCTGAAGTATGCAATGCTTACCCATTGTGGCGCACCCCCCGAGGAAAGAGAACCTCCACTGGAGAAGGAAGGGAGAAATGGTGCCAAGGCTCGGCGGCTTCCCTGGAGGTGAGCCGTACTTCACCCTTGTGCATCCTGTTCCACCTGCCCCTTGCAATGTTTCAGCCAGCGGCTACCTCTACGAAGGTTTTTGAGGACAATTGTCAGAGTACCTACTTGTACCAGCTATGCAGACCTGCAATATGGCCCTGCGGTGCGACCTTAATTTTTGCTCATTAAGTCAGTTTACCTAGCGCCTGGTTTATATCATAAACATAGATGTTGTATCAATTATGCAGGGGCCAGCGCGGCCAGTTCGTGGGCGTGTCTTGCAGCCCGAAAGCATTCACCAGCACGCGGGTGCAGCGCGCTAGCCTTCAGGTCCGCGGCAAGCTATAGGATCAGCAATAAAGAGGTATATCCACGCGACATGCTGCACTTTGGGCGCGCAGGTAACGAACGCGATTACTCGCCAGAAGAAGGAGGAGGTGGTGACTACGCTAAAAGAGAAGCTGGACAAGAGCGTGATCGTCTTTGGAATGCGCTTTAAGGGCCTGGACGTAAGCCTTTATAGCAGCCTGGGATGACCCCTTGGGAGTTGTGGTGTCAGCAGCTCCACCCGCTCAACCGCAGGTACCGACCATTCAGAAGTTCCGCAAGGGGTTGCCTCCGAACTGCTCCGTGTACGTGACTAAGAACAACCTGATGAAGGTTGCTGTTTCCCAAACTAAGGGCTGGGAGAGCCTCGCGGAGAAGGGCTGCCAGGTGTGCGGGGGAGGAAAGGGGGCTCTTTTACCGGGGAGCTCCAGTATTAGCAACGTTGTCCAGGTGCCGCCATGGCCTACTTGTTGACGCTTTGGTGTTTGCCCGTTGCAAGGGTGGCTTGATGTCCTGCCAACTCCACGTGTCTTATGCCCTATGCTGCGCCGGTAGGGTGAGAACGCGTGGGTCTTTGTGGGCGAGGAGGAGATTGCCGATGCCGTTAAGCACTACTTCAAATTCGAGGAGGACCTGCTCACGGAAGCCAAGAAGCAGGCCGCTAAGAACCAGGAGGTGAAGTGCCCCACGGAGGTGTCCTGCGCGGTCATGTCGGGCAAGTACCTCACGCCCGCGGAGGTAAGCGTCCCAGCGGTTAATGGCTGGAGGTGCATGGGGGGACCAATAGTCTCATGCAGCGTGTATGGCGAAATGCATCATGTCTGTACATACCGTGTAGTTGGGGTGCACATCGAAAGCCTGTACGCCACCTGAATGCCCATCTGCAGCACACCCTGAGGCTTTGGAAAAAACAGCTTTTCGTTAAGCAATATTGGAAATGGGGCGGTTAGGGGTGGGGGGGGCTTCACGCCGGTTTCGTGCATGTCCATAGAGCATTGGCACGTTCGTAAATGCCCACACGCCCGTTCTTCCGTCATGCCGCTGGCCTGTCACTTTGCAGTAACGATGCACCCAAGTATCACGTCATCCCTTGCTATTTTCACCCATGCAGCTCAAGAAGTGCGAGAACCTGCCCACGAAGGCGCAGCTCTACGCCACCATTGCCCGGCTGGCGAAGCAGCCTGCTCAAAAGCTGGCCACGGGCATTAAGGCCGTGCCGACCAAGCTGGCGATTGCCCTTAAGAAAGTATCTGAACTAGATGAGGATAAGAGCAAGACGGTGGCGCAGATGGTGAAGGCCTAGTGTGTTGACCCCAACGGTTTTTTGGCCCTGAGAAGAATCACCGTTGTAGGCCATGCTGTTGACGGTATGCCAAGGCTGTGTTACCCTTGACAGCGGACCTAGACTATCTTACTGATTGCATAAGCTGTATGAAAGCGCACTTTCCTGAGCGGCTCAGCGACTCGTACGTCGCTGCAGCAAGCGGTTGCAGCCACTGTCCCATGCCGTGCACATAGGTGTACGTTCTACCTTCCACTGGTTTGGCAATTTTGGCTTTGGTGTCCAAACCTGGAGGGGAAAGTGGCGGAGGGGTTTGCCCTGTGTGGGTTTTGTAGCTGCTTGAGGGATCAGCTGCTTACAGTGTGTCGTAGCATAGACAAGTAACGTATCTGAAAGGCATCCAGTCCCAAGCGTATGGCTGTAGCATGTCTTCTGCCTTATTGTAGCTTTATATCGTTGAACTCCGTTAGGGTTGCGCTGGTGGCTGCCAATACTGCCTTCGCCTTCCTACCTGCACGGTTGTAACAGTCCATAAGAAGTCAAGTACCGGTAATGGGTCTTATGCTATGAGGGTAAGTAATACACGTCCGGCCTAGTTAGGTAGGTTGCCTGCGGGCACCTCAATGATCAGCGTCAGCACCGCATGCCAGCCTTGCAGCCTAGGGTTTCCCATCGGGTCGGCATTTCACCAGCGTCGCAGGATTGGACCACACCCGCTCTTCTCCAACGTGTCCCCGGATTCTACGTGCTTCTTTACCTATGGCCCGTGGACCGCAATCTCAATACAGACAATACAATAATGTCAACTATATACGGACGCCCTCTATTGATGCAAACTGATCGACAAAGCCAATTCGCGCATTTGGCGAGGGCCAGGAACGACACACGGAAGACGTCAAGGCACCCGCCCTACAGGCCACGCAGATAAAGGTTTATCATTGCTCCTTATTCCCTTATTTGTGATTTGCTAGGGCTTGGAGCTGCTCCGCTGGTGCAGCTTCGCCGTGGTGCATCCGAGCCGGAACCCGTTAGCGTCAATACCGGTAAGTCTATTGTGAAGCGCGTGCATCTTAAGTGGTTCCAATAAGACAGCGGGGCAAGGCGTAGGCCAGTTTCGCATCTGGCCCAAACTGCCGATTGGGGTATCGGGGTACTGTATCTCGCAGTGGCACACAATAACTGATGTTCGTGGCATGCAAAATAAGGGGAACTACTAACTAGCAAGATGCTCACAATAGAGGGGTACATCCTTCATGTAGTCTGTGCCGTCTGTTGCTGAACTCGTCGGACTTGTACTGCCGTACAAGTCATAGTTGCTTAAAATTGCTGCCCATTAACCCATACTTTTAGGGCTCCTAGTCCACAAGTGTTTACTGTGAAATACTTAGGTACATTTTTATCTACGTGGACACGAGGCTCAACATGGAAAAGGTACCCCTGTCGAACTTTAAGTAACGTTTGGCAAAATCTGAGACTTGATCCTCTCGCTCAGGTTGGTGTTCTGATCGTCGGTGCCGGACCCGCTGGGCTTGGAGCAGCGACACGCCTTAACCAACATGGACACAAGGATTGGCTGCTTATTGACTCGGTGCGTTGCATCAAGACCCCAGAATTGGAAATATTTTATGTCATACTAAGTTGCTTACGTATTTGGTGGCATTTGACGGGAGGATTTGACTGGGACACATTCGATCATCTGTTGCAGGCTCCCGAGGCAGGTGGTCTGGCGTGCACAGATGTTACACCTGAGGGATTCCTTTTTGATATGGGCGGCCATGTCATCTTCAGCCACTGGGAGTACTTTGACCAGCTGTTGGACTCGGCGCTGGGCTCCGGACCGGAAGCTTGGAACACGCTGGAGCGCGTCTCTTACGTTTGGATTCGTGATCGCTGGGTGGCGTATCCTTTCCAAAACAACATCAGTGCGCTCCCCAAGGAGGACCAGGTGCGTCGGGCAATTTCCCTTTACTCACACCTGAGTTCATGAACACTTATTTCTTTAACCCGGTGCTGCTTTGACAACGGTACACTTCCGCTTTCAGATCAAGTGTTTGACCGGCCTGGTTGAGGCGAAGGTCGCCAACACTGTCGCGCAAGGGCGCCCGAAGAATTTCGACGAGTGGATTCTGCGTGTCATGGGCCCAGGAATCGCAGACATCTTCATGCGCCCGTACAACTTCAAGGTGCGGTGGGCGGGGGGAAACCGCAGGGGCGCAGGGCATGGAGGTAGTTGAAAGGTTGGGAACGCTTAGGGTTTCACACCTCCCTTGCAGGTTATTGCAGGCTCGTTGTGCGTCCATTTGTTGGCAACCTTCACCAGTGACTTTTTCCCTTCCCCCTTTGCAGGTGTGGGCCATTCCCACGGACCTGATGCAGTGCAACTGGCTGGGTGAGCGTGTCGCGACCGTGGACGTCGACCGCGCGATTGCCAACGTCATTAACAACAAGGAGGACGCCGGCTGGGGCCCCAACGCCGTGTTCCGCTTCCCGACCTCCGGTGGCACGGGAGCGATCTGGAAGGGCGTTGCCAAGCTGCTGCCGGAGGAGCGCCAGGTGGGCAGCTGGTACCACACTTGCCGACCATGGCCAAATCTATGGTCCCTTCGACACTGATTGCCAGGGTGTGCACATGATGCTTGGTTGCGGATGCGGTCTTGCATCATGTATCCCCAGGACCTCGTAACTACTACCCTTGATGCTTCCACGATACGGAAATATACGAGGCGCAGCTGCACATGTTTAAGCCGTCGGTGGTGTTGCGTGTGCCCTACGCGCGCCAGTCGTACGGTCTATCCCATGACCCACCTATAACCCATAACTTTCCGACCCACAGCGCTACGGCCAGAAGGTCGTGTCGATCGACAAGGACGAGAAGGTGGTGACGCTGGAGAACGGGCACAAGTACCAGTACGAGGCGCTGGTGTCCACTATCCCGCTAGACCTGACTCTGACCTGGCTGGGCAAGGAGGAGTGGGCCAAGGGCCTGCAGCACAGCTCGTCACACATCATCGGCGTGGGCATTCGCGGTCTGAGCCCGCATGGGTCGAAGTGCTGGCTGTACTTCCCGGAGAGCAACTGCCCCTTCTACCGGTAAGCTACTGATTATTGCTGGCTCGACTTCGGTATAACAAGCTGTGCTTGCCCGTATAAAGCGAGTCATCCCTAAAGTTTGCGTTCAGGTGGATGATGTAAAACTTTACTTGTGCCATTCTGGGAAAGCCCGCTGAAAGCAGCACGGAACCACCCCTCTCCAGGTGCACCGTTTTCTCCAACTATGCGAAGCTGAACTGCCCAGAGGGCGATGTCAAGCTCCCGACGCTCTGCATGGGCGACGGCAGCCACCCGGAGAGCGGGGAGGCGAAGGAGGGACCGTACTGGTCGCTGATGTTCGAGGTCAGCGAGTCCAACTACAAGCCGCTCAACCAGGAGCTCGTCACCCTGGGCGGCACAGCGGGCACCTGGTGAGTGGGGCAAAGTTTGGCCGGGCATAGGAAGGAAAGGGCGGAGGTTAGCTCAACGACGGTTCCGTGTCGTGCCTTGTATTGAAGTTCTTCACAGCGGTGGCATGCGGACACACCTGTGCATCTAAGCGTGCATACTCCTATACCCTCCCTTTACCTCTTAACGCACCGTAGGCCGGATGTGGTGCGGGACACGCTCATCGGCGCCATTAACACCCAGCTGATGAAGGCGGGTGACGAGGTGGTGTCGCTGTACCACCGCCGCATCGAGCACGGCTACCCCACGCCGTCGCTGGGCCGCGACGAGGTGCTGGACAAGGCGCTGCCGTGGCTGCAGCAGTACGGCATCTGGAGCCGCGGCCGCTTCGGCAGCTACAAGGTATGAGGCTGCTCACCACATTAAGATATGGCAGCTGCAAACGGGCATTGGTGTCCATGGGGATATGCTTCGCGACAACATGCCTGTACTGCCTAACAAGGTCTTGTGCGCAACTTCTCCTGTATCCGCAGTACGAGGTGGCGAACCAGGACCACAGCCTCATGCTGGGCGTCGAGTGCGCCGACAACATCCTGCACGGCTCCAAGGAGCTCACACTGACCTTCCCCGACATCGTCAACGCCAAGAAGAACACCGAGCTCCTGTACAAGCGCAAGTAAATTTGTGCATAAAATGACGGCTGCAGGCGTTGCCGCTGTCCACGTGATGCTATTCGCTTGACCTGAGATGTTCCGCTCGAGTGAAAAGAGCTCCTTATCGTGATCCTGATCAGCTTTCCTAGGTGCCGGACATAGATGACCGAAGCGGACGTACTTTGGTCCCCACCAGTATGAACGGGTGTATCGAGTATAGCGCAGCGTGCATTGGTCAAGTGGGGTGGAAGGTTGTCTGGAAGCCGTGTGCAACACCGGACGTTACCCAAGTTGTGTGACCTGTGATCTTCCAGACAATCCGTGATCCGTGTATTCTATGACTATGCCTGTTTCGGACGTGCGTTTTTCCTCGTACTCTTGGTGCCATGCATATGCCTTTGAACGCCTGTAAATTTTGCTGTGCTGTTATTATTACGAACACACACCTGACACAATAAACTACAAGCTGTCGATGTGTTTTAGACCCCGAACGAGCACCCCATACACCTTAGGTACTAAACGCTGCAGTAGGCAGCAGATAGCTTCGGTTCAGCCCAGTAGCGTACATGGCAACCAGCAAGCAATGCAACCACCAGCTTTCCATCTAAACGCCCCAGGATCTTCACAAGCAACAAGAGGCACGAATGCAAACCTCCACCGCCCAAACGACAACAGCACCGTAGTAGACTGAAAAAAGCGAGCGCATGGAAGTGCTATGCTATGGTGCACCGCCCCCTGAATAACACAGTGTAAGCAGAGGGGGTGCATGTCATGTGGATTCGGGAATAACGCGGCGTGCACGTCGGGGAGTGTTGGGGAAACGACTTCACCCCGCCGAAGCCCGGTACTCCGAGAGCTTTGGAATGACATACTACACTCTGGAAGTCTCTATCCTATGCCTGCACTTATTTGCATAGCGCAAAAGCACCGTCTGCGCTGCAGGCGCAGATGGAACATGCTTAACTAGCTACCATGAACGGTCTGTGGCAGCGATACAATTAAGAAATTAAATTGTATGCCCCATTTCCATACCTCCCACGATTTTCATAAATCTTTTATTGAGAATGGAAAGTCTGTCGTACTGTCTCCAGGGGAGTGCACTCCCATAATAGCGCTCACCCTGAACTGAGTTCCCTCTCTTTTCGGCTGCTTCGTCCCAACACGTCGTGAAGCCTTCGCTCTGCGTCGGCAGATATACAGCGGGGTGAGCTTGTTAGACGGCGGCGAGGGGTGCGGGAGTTGATACGCGTAAAGAGCTTCAGCGACTTATTTGCAGTCAGGATAGCTATAGAATAAACGCTCCAGCCGTGTTAGGCGTTGGCACCATGGCACCAGCCTTTTACTGTTAGTGTGGGCGACTTGGCGGCCTTGACTTTACTTGTTACCTGTCAGCATATCCTTATCCTATACAGCTAATACTGCGACTGAAATTACAGCCATAGGCTTACCCGGACAGCCAATGACGGCGGCTGCTTTTAATGGCTTGGCGCTAACTCTGGAGCCTTTTTGCCCTTTGGCCGCAGCACAATGGGTTCCCTCGTTCAGGGAGATGACTTCCAGCACATTCTGCGTCTGCTGAACACGAACGTGGATGGCAAGAACAAGATTATGTACGCCATGACGGCCATCAGGGGTATGGGCCGCCGCTTCGCCAACCTGGTCTGCAAGAAGGCTGAGGTTGACCTGAAGAAGCGCGCTGGTGAGCTTGTACCTCGTCTTCTCTAAAGCCCGACCAGACATGGAGCCGGTTCGTTCCTAGACCGTGATATGCGCGCTAGCAGTGTTGCCTCGCTTAGGGGGGATTCTGGTGAAGGATGGATGGGGCAAACCGGGCATGCGATTGACACAAGCCATTGGAGGCAAGTAACTTGACACACCCACGTGCCCCTGCACCCCTCCCTTGGAACAGGCGAGTGCTCCGCCGACGAGCTGGAGCGCATGATGGGCATTGTGGCTAACCCCCGCGCCTACAAGATCCCCGACTGGTTCCTGAACAGGCAGAAGGACCACAAGACGGGCCGCTTCAGCCAGGTTGGTTTGTGGGGCTGGGTTATTGGGTAAGCACAGGAAGTCTTTCGATTGTTTGCACCGCTAGGGGTGTGATGTAATGAGACATTCATAATGCATGCACGTATCTGGCAAGCAGCACAGCCCTCGGGTATGGATTGTTGGCAGCTTTGCAAACAGGCGCACAGCGCAGTAAGGTACAATTAAGCAGTCAGCTTGCGGCGTCGGGTTGCTACCAACAACGAAAGTTGGAGCGGACGCTATCGGAGCTGTACCAGCAGGAGTTACATGGGCGTACGCATTCGCAGCCTCACAGCGAACAGTTTGCGGAGCTTTGGGTTTTCTCATTGCCGCAGCTTCCGGGTCCTACGCTTAGCGGTTGCCTGCTGCGGACCGGTGGCAGCAGTGCCACCGGTGCTGCAGCAGGTGGGACGGTAGCAGGGCAAGCGGCAACCGTTCGCTGTCGCGGACAGCAGCAGATGACGCCGTACCGTCCTTTTGGGTGGCACACCGCGGAGCTGCTGCATCTCCAGCCGGTTATGCAGCTGCTGGCGTTGCTGAGCGAACCCCTGCCCCAGCGGTTCCTAAGCCAGCTGACATGAAACTACCCTACATGGCAATCGCTCACGAATTGAATTTATAGCCTGCGGTCATGCTAGGCTGCGCGTTTCGGCATAACAAAGTCGCGCGGGCCGGGGTGCATCAGCCGCACGTTCATTAACCGCCCATGCACCTCTTCCTCCTTGCGGCCATTAACCGTGCTGCCCCTGCGCCTTTCCCCTCGCAGCTGACCTCGTCGGCCCTGGACACCTACCTCCGTGATGACCTGGAGCGCCTCAAGAAGATCCGCAACCACCGCGGTCTGCGCCACTACTGGGGCCTGCGCGTGCGCGGCCAGCACACCAAGACCACGGGCCGTGCCGGCAAGACCGTGGGTGTGGCCAAGAAGAAGTAAGCGGCTGCTCAGCTGCTGTCGTCTTCGGAGGCTGGGGCGAGCAGGAAGCGCACTTGCGGCGTCAGCGGCGCGTTGGTGCTGGTGGCGCTAGTTCAGGGCGCTTTGCAGCAGGATCGGGCTCAGGGTGTACTGCACGGCGGTTGTGTAACAGTCGTCGAGAGCTTGATCGTTGCGCGTAGCCAGAGCCCATGATTGTAGCATTCATGCACCTGTGTCACGTGATTAACCCCAGCAGCCTTCCAGCCTTCTGCCTCTATATCCAATCAGATACCATACTGGTAAATACATTTTGTTTCAACTACCCTTCAGTCGGATACCATATTGGCACGTGCATTACACTGAACTACCCTAACATGCTGGCCCTCTCTTGGTGGGCAAATTTTATAGCAGAACAGCCTTGTGTGGCTCGGTTGGACTCCCAACAGTGAATTCCACAACAAAATGTTACACGTGAACCCCAACGGAACCAGAGCATATGACGCGCGCCGTTTGCGGGAAACAGCAGATTCCGTGTGCTGGTGCCGTACAGCGGAGTGCTTTAGCCCGGGGGCCATGCCAGCTGGCGCCCACCCAACACATGCAGGTGCAGGTGGTAGACTGACTGGCCTGCAAGGGGGCAGGCAAGAAACCATGTGTTACTAGGCCTAGACAAACTACCTTGGCTTGTTTGGAATGACAACTTTTCTCAACCCAAGCCACTTACATCCGTTCGGACCGTCGTTGACGACAACGCGGAAACCCTCGCCAAGGTTCTCTGCACGGCAATGAGAGCGTTAGCTGAGCATGAAACATCACCACAAAGTTTACGCCGTGTTCTTCCCTTCGCGTCAATGTATGGCACGCAGTATGGCAGCCAGATATGGGCATGATTTGGGGCTAGTCATGCATCCCAAAATTGAGTGTACCCTCAAGCGTCTACCCTAGTGGCCTTGTATGGACCTCCGCTGAAGCTTTCATCGCGCCAAAACCCCCACCGCCAACCCTGCCGTACCTACACGCGCTTTACCCTTTGCACATACACGTGCCCGTCCCGCTTCACCCCTGCCGCCCCGCGTCTCCCCTTCCCCCAATCGCTACGTGAAGCTTGAGCTGCACTCACCGTCCATGGCAACCTTCTGAGCTACGAACATCAAGTGCCCCAGCAGCGCCTTGTGCTCCTCGGTGGCCTTGCTAAGGCGAGTAAGGCCCGACTTCTTCTTCGGAATCACCAGGAAGTGCACCGGCGCCTGCGGGCTGCACAGCAGCAAGACAGCATGGTCATGTTAGGAACCACCCCAAGGCACTCGCGAAGGATCGATGCGTACCTGATGTCCCTGAACGCGAGCGCCTCATCATCCTCATAGATAATCTTCGCTGGAATCTCCTTCGAAATGATCTTATCGAAAATCGTCGGTGGGTCTTTATCCGCCAGACTGCGTAGGCATGCGCCGAGTCCCGTTTCATGTGCGAAAGCCTTGATGTGAGCCCATTCTTCAACTTAAGCATTTATTGCACACTTACGGGGCAGCCGCTTTGGCTGCAACCTCCTCCGCGCTGGCCATGGCCCTCACCGCCCTGCCTCCAAAGCCCACCACCCGAGGATGCAAGCCCTCCTTGGTGAGGCGCGCTGCTGCTGTCCTAAAGCCTACTGAGCGTAAGGCCATTGGCCTTTCCTATCTTAGGGAAAATGGGCCACGCGGGGACATCTACAACTGTGCCGTGCATCGGGATCGCGCCTGATGCACACGCACGGCGAGTCACTCTACCATCAATCTACACGCCCATTTCATAGTCACCTATTTAAATCGTGATGAATTTTTAGTATTAGCTTTACCATTTAGGAATTGCGACTCTATCATGTTATCTCTCGCGTGACCGTATGTGGACCAACTTCCGTCTTGACGTCCCCCACATCAAAATGCTGCATCCCAGCCAAGAAAAGCCCAACCATGGGTATAATTCACCTCGCTGCGCGAATGCTACCGTTAGGGCCGGCTCTCTGTCTCATCGACCCATCCCCTACAACGCAATGCCAGCCCCGGCTTCGGCCTGCTGCCGGCCACTTCCCAGTTGTCAACGGCACCTAGCCGCAGGCCGCCCTCACCCACCCTGGACGAGGAATCCCCGCTCCGTGACGGGATTGCCGGCAGCCTCGGCCCACTCGGCCCTGCAGCCCGAGCAGTCGCAAGCAGGCCTGGTGCTAGGGCTTGGAGATCCCGGCAGCTGGGATGAGGCAGCTGTTGGGTCTCCCGTGGTGAGCTGCCGTACGGGGGTTACTGCATACCTGGGGCATACCTGGCACAACCACCCCTACCCTGTGTTTGCCAGCCTAGCGTGATTCACTGGGTCAGTACCGTACAGGTGCTGCCCCTATCCCCACATCCTTTCTCCTTTCCTCTGATTCAATCTTTGGTTCAATCCCCCCTTTCCGCCCATACGTCGACGCCTGCTGCTGCTCGCATTGCTTGCCCGGCTGCTGATCCCAAGGTCCGGTGCTACATGGGGCCCAGCGGGCAGCCGCGCTGGTTCATGTGGTACGGCGGACGCCGGGCGGACTCCCCGGCTGCGGCAGCGGCGGGGGGAGTGGATGTGCTGGCGCCCGCAGCGGGATGCGTGGGTGGGTGGGTGGGTGGGTGGGTGGGTGGAAGGGTTGGCAGTGGATGCATGAGTGGGTGGGTGGAGGGACGGTCAGAGAGGGAAGGCGGGAGGGTCCGAGAGGGAGGGAAAGAAGGATACGACCAAGTTGTTGGCGAGGGAGAGAGGGAGGCGACGCTTGGACTGGGCTGAGGTGCCCGGGTAGCTGGGTGGGTGGGTACCGATAGCAGGGTGGATGGGTGTCGACCCGAGGCTGGTGAAGGAGTGAAAGTGGAGAAGGAATGGGGCTACTTTTCTGTAGGCTGTGGGCGGGAATGGGTGCGGCTTCTTGATGGGGCCCAAAGTGAGCGAAGGGGTGTGCATGGCGGTTTCAAACACAGGTCGCAGCTGAGGATGTCCGCAAACACAACTCCTGCGCACCCTACCTACCTGCATCCACCCCCCTCCCGCAGGCGTGGCGGTATCGCGGGACGGGCTGCACTGGTTCCGCGGCTCCGACGCGGTGGAGGGCTCCCGGGGCGCAGCGGCCGCCGCGGACGTGGGCTCCGTGCTTGCCCCCAACGCCGACTGGTGGACCTTCGACACCTGCCACCTGACACCCACGGACGTGCAGGTGGGTGCGCCAGGGGCCGGCTGAACCATATGTGTGGGGGGAGGGGCGCGGGAGGGCTAACAGGAAGTGGAGATGCCTGTGCTTGCGCTGCCACGCATTGGGGGAGGTCGGAACAGCGACTAAAGGTCTGTCATGGGTGTATGGACCGTGGAGCGTTTCCCGGTCTTCATGGGCAGGATAAAACCGTTCATAAGCTCACGCCCACGGGTCGTAGATCTGGTCAGCAGCGCCTTTCGTACCCTCCCATCGCCGGGTCGCCGAGCCCAACCCGACCCGTGGGTCAGCTGTGGCTCACTCGTGGGCTCTCCCCCGTTCCCCCCACCAGGTCTTCTCCAACAGCTCCGCCGGCAGCGGCGGTGTGGGCGTGTACTGGATGTTCTACAGCGGGGGGGACTACGAGCCGGTGCAGCTGCCGGAGGGGGTGCCGCGGGGGCCGCCGGGGGGGGCCATGCGGGGGGCTGCTGGGGCTGGGGCTACAGCGGGGGCTTCTGGGGTTGCTAGCGGTGTTGTATCCGGCAGCAGCAGCAATGCGGCGGTTGCTGGCGGGGGCAGCGGTGCAGGGAGCGGTCAGCAGGGGCCGGTGGAGGGACTGCGCATGCGGCCAGGGCTGGCCATGAGTCAGGTGGGAAGGGCTGGGGGGGAGGAGAGGGGCAGTGGGGAGGAAAGGAGGGCTGGGAGCGCGTACGGCACATTGCTGGGTGTGGTACTCGTGGAAGACAGATCGGGGTTGTGGTGGTCGAGGTGGAGGGCAGGGCAGGGCACACCTGCATGTCCGGGCGCACCAAGACGACTGCCGGTGCGGTGTTTGTAGCGCTTCCCGCAAGGCATGTTGGGCCGGCTGCCAAGCAAGAACCCTTCCCCCTGAGTCCTGACCTCCGCTACCCGTATGTTCCCCCCGCACCCGCACCCGTCCCCCGCCCCCCGCCCCCCGGCGCGATCAGGACGGCCGCAACTGGGCCCGCATCGAGGCCGACCACCACACGGGGGCGCTGTTCGACGTGGGGGCGCCGGGGGAGCCCGACCACCTGTATGTGGCCAGTCCGCAGGTGGGGGCAGTCTGATGGGGGGGTGCTGGGGGAGCTCGGGTAGCGAGCTGCTCGTCCGCAGTTGATGGAGCGAAGTGATCCGGGCGCTTCGCTTTTGCAGTTAGGGCCTGCGTGCAAGGGAATGCGCAGGGGCATGTTCCCTTGCATGCTTTGGGAGCCGCAAGTGGCCCCGTTCAAGGAGGCGATCCTGCCCCCTTCCTATTCCCATTGCTTTGCCCTCACACGTGGTTTCCCCTGGTTTGGTCCGCTTTTGCTCCCCCGGCCTTCTGCGGTGCGGCCTCCCGGCAACCCCAGGTAGTTGCAGTGGGCCCCGGCGACATGCGCATGTTCTACACCTCCTGGGACCCCTCCCGCCGCCGCTTCGTGGTGCTGCTCGCCACCTCGCCCGATGGCTTCAAATGGACCAAACGCGGCGTGCTCTTCGACCCCGCCGCACTCGCTGCCGCCGCCGCCAACTCCGACGACGAGGACGACGGCGCCGCATTCGACGCACTCGGCGCCGCAACCGTTAGTGTCGTACGAGACGTTGATAACCGCCAGTTCCTGATGTTTTATGAGGCGGTTGCAACTGACAATCGCCGCTGCATTGGGCTAGCGGTTTCAAAGGACGGCAACAAATGGCGACGATACGGTGCGCCTGTGCTGGAGGCCGCAGCGGGAGGGCCGACGGCGGAGGCGGAGGCAGGAGGAGGCGCGTGGGACGCTGGCGATGTGGGCAGTCCGTGCTCTGTGTCGATGTCGGAGGGGCGATGGCGGCTGTACTACGCCGGGAGACGGCAGAGCGGGACGGGTGAGTCGGTCAGTGGCGGAGGTCACAAAGACCACACCCTAAGCGCACGAGTAGGGGACCTTCCTATTGTGCTTTGGCCCTCGCTGCGCTGTCGGCGGTCGCGGTGCGCTGTCCCAAGGGATTCAGCCCTTGGCTCATGTATCTCCTTCGTTAGGTGCTCTGTGCCCACACGTCCGACACGTCCCTTGCACCCCGCCCTCTCCGCGCCTCAACCCATTGCACCCCTACCTGTCACCCATGCAGGGCCCTGGCAGGGCATTGGCCTGGCGTTGAGTGTGGAGGGCGGCGGCAGCTTTGAGGGAGTGCCCGTCTCTTTCAAACGCCGCACACCAAAGCCCGGCAGCGGCCCCGCCCTAGCGCGTTGATGACCGACCACTCGCGCCCCCCTGGGTCGCATGCTCCCTTACGCAGTTTACCTAATCCCTTACGCATATGCACATTGAACTCAAGCTAGGTGGCAATTGCTGGCATGCCGTGTCGGGGGTATGCAAGCACAAGGACGCACCACTACTGCGTGGTGGACACAACTACTGGTACCACCTGCGACCTGCGAGGGTACGGCTCTCACAGCCACCATGTGAAGGGGGTACCTGTACTTTGAATGCCAACTAACGCACGGTGGCGAGGTATGCGTGCATGAATGTACTGGAGTGCCTCGCATGCAGCAGCCCATTCTGGCACGTGCACCTGGAGTGTAAGATGGGAAGGCAACCTGATGTATGATGGGGTACGTCTGTAGGCCGTATGGGACGTACTTACATGTAATTGGCGAGGGGCTACCGATAGTGTGCTGACAATACTGTTGAACCTGCTGCAACAACAGTTTATCAGCTGCCAGCCTGCCATACGGCTCTTCACCATAGCTATGCTTAGTAGCCGGCCAGCCGGGAACGGCGGAAGCCAGGAGGGGAAATACGTAATTACGGAAGTTCCCGAGTTGCGCACCCGCAAAGAAAGGAGTCACTGCTGTGCACGGGGATCAGGGTTAAGACCATGCGACTGAACCGCATTAGGAAAGTCATAAGTCAGGATTAGGGCGAACGCCCAAGACGAACCCGGAGACAACAGCTTACCGGACACGACCCATGGGTCAGCAAATAGAACAATTACGGGAAGGGGCATAAGAGCAATACGGGAAAGGGCGTACATTGCTAACAACACGCGGAGAGCACACCACATCTTCCTTCCAAGTCCCTACTTGCCCTAACAAATATCGTAGCCATCGCAGCAGGATGCCGTCTACATACCGGTAGTGTGTGGGATACCGGCCTTACTGGTACAGCAGCGCAAGCGACCCTCTATTGCCTCAAATGCATACACGCGCATGGCAACCGCGCAAGTGTCACCCCTCGTCGAGCCATGCGCGGCCCAATGCGGACCACTTGAAGCTTTCTTCCGACAGCACAGTCACCTGGGGAGTCCAAGTTGCGCTTCGACACGCTGCTGATGACTGGTAAAGATGGCATGCGGAAGGCGCGGTCGGGCCGCCAGGGGTAGGCCCCCCAGCGCCACTGCTTCTGGGCGCAAGGCGGACGGCAGCACGAAGAGCGGCAGGGCGTCCGCAGGAAGCAGGCGCACGATTTCCCAAGCCATAGTCCGCCAGAAGGAGATGCCGAGGGCATCTGGGTCTGCCAGGTACATCTGCGTGCTGGGCTGGGACACAAAGCTGCACGCGATGACGTCCAGACATTTGCCTACATGCTCCGATGGGGCGTCGGCATCGTAACTGCCGTGGTGGGCAAGGCGTTCGGGCGCCATTGGAGCTACGTCCGTATCGTCCGGGCGCCATTGAAGCTACGTACGTCCGTATCGTCAGTAGACAATTCTAAGCGTGGACATGGGACAGCAGCGGTAGGAGAGCTCATATTTGGGCAATGGAGGGGCAATGCCACAGTGCCACCCTGGCCCCGTGCCACCCTGGCCCCGTGCCACCCTGCTACCGTGCCACCCTGCCGCTGCATCTTAGGGCTACCTGCCTGTGCATCACCTGCCTGTGCTTCACCTGCCCAGCAACCTTTTGTGGTGTCGTTGCAAAGAAACCCTCATGTAATGCATGCCGTACCCGTAACACGATGTGCAACCTTGCACGGACAAAACTTAAGCCAGCCAACCTTTCTTGTCTTTCCAGACCACCCTGCAGCGACCTCAGGCCCACCAGAAACACTCAGCATGGCCGCAGCCCGCCAGCACACCTGCTGCCGGGCCCAGTTCCAGTGCTTGCGGAGTTGCCCTCACCTGGCGGGCCTCCGGACCCTTTGGAGCACCGGATGACGTAGAGGGGCTTATGCATGTGGACCCTTGATAAGTAATGGAATTTGACATTGTACACCACTAAACGGGCGAGCTAAGGGACCTTCGCGAGCGAAGCATCCGCGAGGTCGCCGGTTCAAGCCCAACAGGTTGCACGTTTCCTGCTCTTATCAAGCGCACATGATAGCCATTGCATTGCATTACCATTGCATCTGTCTGCATCAAAGCATCAAAGCCAATGGAGTGCACTCAGAACACATTAAATACCTATCACAAGGATGGTTGACAGAATACTAGTCTGGGAATAGTCAGTGCCAACTTGGTGGACAAATGGTTGTGGCCCCTCCCTCTATGTGTGGTGTGGATGCAGCACGAAAATGTGTCAGAAGCTGAAGGAATGAAGGTGTGCATGGAAAATGTGCAAAACGATGCAGGAGTAGGTAGGGAGGATGTCACTTAGTGTCCACATAGTGAATGAACAGCAGTCTGCAGCTCATCCCCTGGATGAATAGCTTGTGGCTACCCCCTCCTCTGGGTGCAGCAACAAGTGAGATGATTGAGAAGTGGAAAGCATTGAAACAATGCCATAAGGCAATCTGAGCATTGAATACCCCGTACGACGAAAAATGTACGATCTGTACAATGGTGTGTACAACAAATGTACGGTGTGTACGATTTAGGACTCGTACATGTACAACAAAGGCCAGGTAAAAGTATTTAGAGACGGACAAAGTCCATACAAAGGCATATAAAGACATCCTACCATAGAGACATATAACGATTCCATCGATATCATACCATCGATATCAACAACCATCCTTCTCATAATCTAGCAATGGATAGGAACCCTCTGCAAAAGCAACACGTTGTGAAAGCCCTACAGATTGCCACTATGGGCATCATTGCCAACAGTGTCAACAGTATCAACAATACCAACAACAACAGCGAGTTTAGCAACACCTTCCTTAAGAACTTCATAAATAACCTCAGCAATGGCTTTACCGACTTTCTCAACGACTTTACCAACAACGTTGCCAACCACTGCATCCGATACATCAACGACTTCGCTAATACCTTTAACCACTTCATCAAGAACTACAAGTAAGGCCCGCCTTCGGCGGGAGCGACCCGTAGCTCGGCAAGGGAAGCGAGTTATGTAAGCTGAAAGTTAGGTTGGGTATGTGGTGTGGAACGGGAGGAGGCGACAAATGTATGGGCGGTATGTTGCTGCTACAAGGAGTCAATCTCCGTACAATCGGCCGGCAGGTATTCTCTGCCAAGCGTACAACCTGGTTCAATTGTCGCCAGTCTTTTGGCAACTGGCAACAAGTCAACAACAACTGAACAGCTTGGTATGGTGCCAAACAGTCTAGTTAGTGGCATGTGACCAGCAGTGTATCCCCTAGCAAAACGGACACCAACCAAACCCAGTGCCGTGCAACCAGCCGTCGGATCTATCATGCTAAAAGTACAGATAGATCCGAATGCGGCTGGCCGTGTACGGTTTGTTGGCCCGCCTGATACTGCGTCCCCGCCGGCCTCCCCCTGACCCTGGATTGTTTTGCCATTGACAACCCCTATGGGTGCTCTTACCTTAGGCTCACGCCGTTGTCGTCAGACTTGGTGACAGTTGGGCACTGCTGTGTCACAAAGCAGCAGCTTGGCAGTTGCTCTGTACAATAATTTGTTGCTTCTGTCGCGGGCTTCGCCTGAGTGCTGTTTCCCCCTCGTGGGCTTGGTGTTTGTGGAGCTGTGGCCTTGCGGGCTTGGTTTCAGGTGGTTCTGTGCCTGGCATGGCTCCTTGTTTTTTGCAAGGCATGTCCCTGGGGTAGGTTGCTTTGTTGCGGCTGCCTAGCGTGTACCGCTAGCGATTGGGTCTCTTGTACGGCTCTCAGGCTTTCAGGAACTCCGGTCCCCCTTGTAACTTTCGCATTCTAAAAGTACAGCAGGTCGTTATCTAGTGGACGTTACCGTTACCGTACTGCTGCAAGAAGTCACGGGGCACCCGGTCGCCTTGTAGCTATTAGCGAACTGGTGCGGGGGTTGTAGTGGGCGCGCCGACGGATACGTACGGCGCTGATTGAGAAGGGGGTAGTACCTACTGCCTAGCCCGCGGTTGCTTGTATGTGTTGCAGTCAGCAGAGCGTTAACAGAGGAGGATTTGTTGTAAGAAACGGTTATGTCGGATGTCGTGTTCATATTGGTTATTTGGCATGCATCGGAAAGAAGACGCTAAATAGATTACGAGGCGTACTTAAAGCGTGTAGGTTTGCAGTCAGTGGCGTCAGTAATAAGCACCGTCAGTGCGGCTAGTACCCGCAAGTCTAAGGGGGACTTATAGCAAGCTCTAGCAAGAGAGGCACGGACAACCCACACCGATAAGATGCATGCGGTGTTTTACGAGCCGCCAGGCGTCATTGACCAGCATCCAGCACCTAGCAACTTTCAGTAGTCACCGTAACAGTTGCAGTACGCGCAAGCCCGACCGAGGGAGACTTATAGCAAGCCCTAGCACGCGAGGCATGCGAGATGCATGCGGTGTTTTACGACCCGCTAGGCATCATTGAGCACCATCCAGTTCCTAGCAACCTTCAGTAGACATCGCAAGAGCTGCAGCACGCGCAAACCCGACCGAGGGAGATTTACAGCAAGCCCTAGCAAGTGAGGCATGCAAGATGCATGCGGTGTTTTGCGAGCCGCCAGGCATCATTGACCGCCATCCAGTACCTAGCAATCTTCAGTAGCCGCCGCAACAGCTGCAGGGCTTGCATGCGCCCAGCCCAGCCCCACAGCGCCGAATGACGCAGCCCTATTCACCCTCCCACCCCCTAGCCTCCCCACCCCCAAACTCCTCCACTGCGTACGCGTCGCCTAGGGGTATGTTAAAGCGCTTGAGGCTGGCCGAGTTGACAGCGGGCTCACCATCGCTGACAACCGTACGGTCAGGGAATACCACCTTTTGGGCGCCGCTCCACCGTGGGGTAACCACAAAGGCGGCACGAGTCTCGTCGTAGTCAAGCAGGCCGCGAAGGACGGAGAGGTCGGTGTTCCCGGCAGCGGGCCGTACGAATACCGCACGGGGGACGAACTGCAGGCGCCTGTAAGGTCCCTCTCCCGTGTCATCTGGCTCCTCCTTGTCCGTCAACAGGCCGCACGTCACCACAGTGTTGTTGTGGCAACTGCCGGCATCAGGGCCATTATTGTCCAGGACGAGGAATTTGGCGCCCTCGAAGTACCAGGTGTCAGGCGTGAACTGTTCATAGCCCTCGTCAGGCGCCATAGAAGCGGCGCGCTGGCCTGCTTCATTGAGCGGGAGTGCGTTGTGCCCCGTACGAGCGTGACGCGCCTTCCACACGACCAGCCGCCTCCCCTGGTGTGCTGCTTGCAGCTTGATGAGACGGATGTTGAGGCCGTGCCGGGGTTGGTTTCGCTGCAGGACGACCCGTGGGTCGCTGGAACCGAGAGCAGCCAGGTCGGGTACGACGCGGCTATTCAACTGGCGGACGAGCTCTTCGATCGTTCTCCGGTTGACATCCTGGCCGCCGCTGAATACACTTGCTAGCCGTGTTAGCAGGCGGCCGCTTGGCGTGTCGTCCTGGCGTTGCTGCTTGGAGAGCAGTATAATGAAAGCGATGGCGCGGTAGAAGTCCAGGCCAGCCTCTTCTTCACGGGTGGGCGGCCTGGGCTTCTTCTGTTTTGGCAGCGGCGGGATTCCGCGTGGGGCTGTGGTGTCGCCGCTTCGAAGCCGAGCGAGGTAGTTGCGGTCCTTCTCCAGGCCCTCTGCAAACGTGTAAAGTGGCCTGCCGTTGGGCGGCCTGTGCTGAAGGATGTCGCCGGACATGATGACGTGCCGACCAGCAAGCATGCTGTAGCCGGCACCACTCCGGGACAGGTGGGGAGGTCGCTGGAGGTGCCTGCGAAAGCACGTTTAGCGGGCGGTCAAGCACCAAGACTAGATTTAAAGGTGTAACTACGGATTGGAGACGTATTGATAGGCAGGAAGATAAGTAGGGAGAGGGAGGGTATAGCGCCAGATAGGAGTAATCAGCCAGATTAGCGCTCACCTGCTGGCCGATGCGTTGATCTGCCCTAGGTGCTGCAGGCTTAGGAAGCTAAGCTCATCGAAGGATACGGCACCTCCGGGAACATTCTTTCGTACCTAATCATTGGAAGGGATCAGGAGGGAGGGCCGTAGAATCAGGGAGGGGGGAAATAGCAGGACAGGAGGGACAGAGCGGACAAGAGGGAGAAGATGAGCGTGAGAGGGAATTGGAAACACGAGGAGGTGCGAAAAGGAGGGAGGGGCAAAGGGAAACGAGGGCACGCAAAGCTGGGTTTAAAGCGGAGGGCATGCGGTCGGAGTACACTACCTCTAGTCAGCACGGTGTGCGCACCTGTTCGCCAGCGCGTGAGGATTGTTGCTGACGACCTCGGCCCCATCCCAATTGGAACATGGTGCTGGTCGACAGCCCCCGGTGGTAGGGAGTGTTGACCGTGATCACCGCGCACCAGGTGTAAGCGGTTGTGGCTAGCCAATCGCGGTGCCCGTGCTGGAAGGTGTGCCACAGAGCGGCCTTAATGGTCTGGCTCTTGCCAGTACCCGGACCGCCCACCACCATGAGGTGCAGCGGCGGCTGCGGTTGGTGCTGGATGTCAGCCATGAATGCGCGGTGGATAAGCAAGAACGCTACGCCCTGTTCTGCTGACAGCGTGAAGAGCTGGATCGTCTGCTCGGGTGTAGGCGGCGTCGCCATGTGTACGTACGGCGGCGCGGTTCCAGGGCGCAGGTGAATGTCCGTGCTGGCTCCGGTGATGGAATTGATTGTGGTGACCCACGCACGGACGGGGTCGCCATGATGGCCGCCGGCAACGTGCAGCCGTTGGTGGCTGTCGCTGTTTGCTGCAGGAGCTACTTCAGCATCGCTCAGCACAAACTGTTTGAGGCGCTGTTCGGCGGCGCGCAGCATGGGGCCGTCTTCTGGGGTGGCTCGCCGAACTAAGGACACCGCGTCCGCACCATGGCCATTTGGAAGGTGCACGTCACTACAGCGGGTTACAGCGTCGTACGCGTACCTGCCCTCCGGTTTAGTCATGTCGAAACCAGCCATAGCGTCCACGTCCGGGAGTGCATCTGCCGCTTGCGCAGCTGCAGCTGCAACGGCGTCCATACCGTCCTCGGGCACCGTGTTCAAACCGATGGGGAGCAGCTCTGAACCATCGTGCTCGTCCGGCGGGCCTTCCACATCCGGGTCGTCGCCCCGCTGGGCCAGCTGCACGGAACAAGGGAATGGAAAGCAGTGTGGTTATCATATACAGAAGTCAGCAAGCATGCAGAGCAACATACGGATTAAGCGAGCAGCTGTAATCATGCAGAGGGTTTGACGGGCAAAAGCGACCAGCTGTCGTCGTACCCAGCAAAGACGGGTGAAAGGGAGCAGCTGTTGTTGAGTATCTAATCCCTAGCCTAGCGTTCCTGTGTTCCTTTACAGGTGCGCCAGGAGGCAAACCTTGACGCTCGGTCAGCAACAAGCTGGCAACTGCTTTGAACCACGGCCACACGCTGAGCCGACGTAAGCCGCTGCAGTAGAGCACGTTGTCGAGCGGGTCACCCGCGCCTGCGACACGCCCAAGGGAAAGGCTGGTACAGCGCCAGAATATAACCGAACGTCATGCGCTCGCCACACACACCTTGATCATCCTTTCCCATGGTGCCCAGCTCGGAAAGCGGTAGCTCTATACCAAACAACGAAACAAAAAACAGCAGCAGCAAACCAAAGGCTCTGCTAGGACTACTTTCCAGGCAAGGAAGTACTTTCGTTAGCCTCGCCGCACGTGGGGTGGCTTGTGCACCGTTATAAATTGGTTTTACGCGCTTTCTTATACGCTTATTTAGACGTCTATCTAAAACATCTTCGTAGGTGGGTTGTGAAGCGGCGTGGTTTTCCTCGCGAAATCGAAGCGCGGTGAAGCCACGCTGGCTACGCAATATAGCCGTAGTAGACTTCACAAACTCGAACAAACTTCACAAGCAACGACACGAGCGACGCACGAAGAGTTGGCCGGCCGTTGAAAATCTGGTAAGATTCCGTATCAAAGAGCGTGACAGCAAAAGCGCGCCACGCTGGACGGTTCAAAGTGAAGGCCGAGCCGTGAACAAGAGCGCTGAAAGGATCCCGTTGAGCGTGACGGGAACGGGGTATGCATCCCTTCGCTTCGCTCCTCCGGAACCGTATACTACGTATACGTTTCCTCGGAATCGAGCTACGGGGATATTATTGAACTCATAACCAGCATTGTTAACAAGTTTATCAACAACGTCACCGATAATCTTATCAATAACTCCATCAAAGGGTTTATCAATGGCTACATCAAAAGGTACATTACGTACTTCCTTAACGAAACCAATAAAGACTTCATCGACGCTTTCAATGTCGTCATACTTTTTCTCTTAATCATCCTCACGAGCCTGGTTAAAGCTGCCTATCAATGCCGCTCGCGTTAGCAAGTTAGTGCTATTGCAATACATCCAGAAGCAGCGTTTCACGTTCTATTACTGTAATACGCTATCTCTTGGCCAGAGGTTTTCCGTTGCGTTGGCAAGTCACTGTTGAAGCCAGTCACTGACTAATGGTAATTGCAGCGGAGGCACCGCGCTCGCATGGCATACATTAGAATCACCGGTACTCCGCTAAAGCATGCAACGGTGCCATTGATGCTGAGCCTTGCCTGGACGTCCATGATGCAGTGCCTTGCCTGGAAGTACCCCAAATGTTAAACGTGCGTGCGATACTATTTGTTACTTCTGGTTGGGGAAGTAGTGGCGGAAGGCAGGTGAAATTCATAGCTAGGCCTAGAGGCTTAGTGGCCAGGAACCGAATGCGGTAACTACCGGCGGGGATGCATGTCATGTATGTAATATAGACGTCTATGCCTCTGTATTGTGCCAAAGACGCGGGTAGACGGACAGCCGACGTAAATAACGCCACCGGCATTTGGCCAGTCCACCGTGTAGCCTGTATACACTTAACTTGCTCACTTCAGTTCCTACACTGAAGTTAGGGTTCTCATGTAAGCAAATGCTCGGGATGGCTGATGGCAGGTTCCCGAGTTGCGCACCCGCAAAGAAAGGAGTCACTGTGCACGGGGATCAGGGTCAGGAGCATGGGACTGAACCGCATTAGGAAAGTCATAAGTCAGGATTGGGGCTAACGCCCAAGAGACAACAATTTACAGGACACGACCCATGGGTCAGCAACTAGAACAATACGGGAAGGGGCATAAGAACAATACGGGAAAGGGCATACATTGCTAACAACACGCGGAGAGCACACCACATCTTCCTTCCAAGTCCCTACTTGCCCTAATAACAAATATCGTAGCCATCGCAGCAGGATGGCATCTACATACCGGTAGTGTGTGGGATACCGGCTTTACTGGTACAGCCGCGCAAGCGACCCTCTATTGCCTCAAATGCACGCGCATGGCAACCGAGCATGTGTCACCCCGCGTCGAGCCTTGAGCGGCCCAATGCGGACCGCTTGAAGCTTTCCTCCTACCGTACAGTCACCTGGGGAGTCCAAGTTGCGCTTTAACGCTTTGGCAATCGGTAATATAACGTAAACTTACACTGCATTTGCTCGTAATTACATACACGGCCGTACATCACATGCGGCGCCTAGCGAATACACTACACGCCTTTAATGGAGCAGCAGGAGCACAGAGCATCGATCTGACCCCCCTTCCTACCCCCACCTTTCTCCCACTCTGCTCCGAAACCCTTGAGCCACCCACTAACCTCCTCACCCGCAGGTCACGGCATCCTTACCCACCGCCGCCGCTGCTGCTACGTTCCCAGCACCCGACACCCTCTCACGGACCATAAACGCCAGCTCGCAGTGCCCCGGCAACCCGGGTACTTCGCAGTAGTAGTGCCGTACTGTACGGAAGCCCCACCTTCCGTACCAGGCCTCGTTGCGGGGTCCGCATGCGGCGAGGAAGGCGGCGCAGCCGGCCGCATCCGCCTCCTGCAGTACGGCAGCCAGCAGCTGGCGGCCGCGACCCGCGCCCGCTCGCTCTGGGAGCACGCCGATGAAGTCAATGTTTAGGAACTCGCCGTGCTTGGCGTACGTGTCAAGCATGAGGTTGTGCCTTGAGGCGGAGAAAAGGGAGATGGAAGGGAGACACGGGGAAACAGGATGGAGAAAAGCGGGTGAAGCGGGCAGAAGGCACAGAGGGTTCAAGCGGGTGCGCTGCAGAAGATATTGTGACTTGGGGAAGCGCTTTCAATAGCACATGGTCTGGTCGGAGCAGAGCCCGTATGCCTGTGAAAGCGCTCGACTGCCACCAATTGCAGCAACAACACGGATGGCAGGGCTTTACCCCGAGGCAACGGTAAGTCGTGTCGTACCAGAGCTCTCCGCAAGCCTCCCAAGCCGCTGCGACCTCGGGCCGCAGCATGGCCTCTGTGTGCGGCATGCGGAAGGCGCGGTCGGGCCGCCAGGGATAGGCCAGCGCCACTGCTTCTGGTCGTAAGGCGGACGGCAGCACGAAGAGCGGCAAGGTGTCCGCAGGAAGCAGGCGCACGATTTCCCAAGCCATAGTCCGCCAGAAGGAGATGCCGAGGGCATCTGGGTGTGCCAGGTACATCTGCGTGCTGGGCTGGGACACAAAGCTGCACGCGATGACGTCCAGACAATTGCCTACATGCTCCGATGGGGCGTCAGCATCATAACTGCCGTGGTGGGCAAGGCGTTCAGGCGCTGTTGGAGCTACGTCCTTATCGTCAGTAGACAATCCTAAGCGTGGACATGGGATAGCAGCGGTAGGAGAGCTCATAATTGGGCAATGGAGGGGATGGAGGAGGGCTGTTGCAGTTAGTAAGTGCAAGGTCAAAGCGCCTTTCTACTACTATGAAGTCAACCTCACGTTGCTTTCAGTCGAAGTCAATTGCGAGGATTAAGCGGGCATGCGCGCATTTTTGCATGAGCAGTGCCGTATTTCTATGCCGGCCAACAAACTAGGTCTCGACAGCTGGTTTCTCTCCTTCAAAAGCGTTAACGTGAGCTTCAATTAGCCGTCATGGCTGAGACGGCTCCTTCTGAGAAGATGGCGTCGCTTAGCGTGCAGGAACAGTCCCCAGTGGCTGAGAAGACTCCTTATTACAAGAAGCGCATAGAAGTGTTCGAGCATTTCTATGCACGGGAGGTAGCCAAATTGGAGGCTGCCAAGGCCGCCAATGAACAAATTAAGGTGATCATGCCTGACGGCAAGGAGAGGCAGGCAGTCAAGGGCGTGACCACGCCGATGGATATCGCCAAGGAGATCTCTGCCAGCCTTGCGAAGAAGGTCGTTGTGGCGGAGGTGGACGGCCAACCGTGGGACTTGCTCCGCCCGCTCGATGGCGATTGTGCGCTTAAGCTGTTCAGCTTTGACGACGCCGAGGGCCGTGACGTAAGTATATCAGTACAACAATTCCCATACCGCGTGCGCTTGTCTTACAGCGGTGGCTATACCCTTGTTCGTCGTGCGGGGGAAGGGAAATACCAGAGCGGTATACTTGAAGCATGTGCGGTCTACGGTGGGAGCGCTGCATACCACCTTTCCCATAAGCAAACCCGCGCAAACCCCAAACTTCTCACTCCATTGGCCTTCTGGTCCCCCAACTTCCACCACCTTCCTCCTGCTTACGCCCCAGCTCCCCTTCACTCCCCTGCACCCTACCTCCCCGCCCCCAGGCTTTCTGGCACAGCTCGGCCCACGTGCTGGGTCAGGTGTTGGAGCTGGAGTTTGGCGTGGACCTGACCATCGGTCCCTCGCTGGAGGAGGGCTTCTACTATGACTGCTTCATGGGCGACCGCACGCTCACGGACTCGGACAAGGGGCGCATCGAGAAGCGATATGAGGCGGTGGGTCGGGGAGGGCTAAGCGGGCTGGGCGGGAGTGAGTTGGGGTAGGGTGGGGTGGGGCGAGGCTGGGTTATTGAAAAGGTCTTGGTTGGTGGCTGAGCGTTCCCGGTATAGGGTCCAGGCATGCCAGGGAAACAGTGAAGCTTGGAGGTGCGGCGGGAGGGCTGGGAGGTCCACGGCTGTGCTGCAGGGGCTGCATGTGTCTGCAGCAGCGCAATGCAGGTGTTAAGGAGGAGGAACGGGGGTCACTCTGTAGGGAGGGTCAGGCGCAGCTTCCCTTCCAGCCACCGGCCTCGTCCCGGCCGTGGCGCAGCACTGGCCTCGGAGGCCTAACTCCCAGCCCTATTGGCCAGACCCCTTGTTAAGGCACTGGCGGGCACATGGGTACTGGCGGGATGGGGCAAGGGGGGCAGGGGTGTGGCTGGCAGCCCAGCCTCCTCTAATGTTGAGGGCGCCCTGCTGTGCCGCGAAGGCCTCGGAGGGCCCGGGACAGCCCTGCGAATGCAGGTGACACGTGCAGCCCGCCGTAAGGGTACCGGTAGCTGACCTACGCGAGCAGCTTGGGTGCGGGAGGGAGTCCCAGAGCCACAGTGGCAGCAGAGCCGGGGCACACCTCTCTGCACCGTCCTGGGGCGCCGCAGCCATTGCCAGTCAGCTTTGCAGCAAGGATGCATGCAAAGGCGCATGTGCGGATCGCGGGAGCAGTCGGGGCCTAGCTCCTGTTCCAGGCGCTATGTGTGGGTGCCGCCGCGAGGAAGCAGGCGCTGCTGACAGCGCCGTCACTGTCTTACCTCCTCCTCGCCCATGTGGGTCGGGAACACAGCGCACACAGCGACCAGGAAACAGTCGCGCGGGACGCCGGCGGTGTCCGTGCGGCCGAGGCGGTGTCCGTGGACGCCATGCTGTCATGTGCCCCTGCATGTTGCTGCGGACTTGACACGTTGGCTTGCAAGCGCACTTGCGCTGGGCAGTGTGTGGCAGGGACCCTCCTTGCTGCTGCGGACCGACCCGACCCAGCCGCTTGCCGCAAACAGCAACAGCGGCGCGCATGCAGCGGCCACGACTGTGGGACAGCCCCCTGTTAGCGAATGTTACCGGACCTCAACGCTTTGTGCGACCCGCCTCCTCTTTTTCCTTTTTTCCTATGCTATGCCTTTACCAGGCCGCTGTGTTAGCTCCGCAAGGTCTATCTTGAATTATAATAATCGTCTGTGCCGTCCTGCATTCTCCTCTACCTACTCCACTCCTCCTCTCGGGCCCCCGTCCCCTCCCGCCCCCCAGGCTGTCAAGGAGAGCCAGAAGTTCCAGCGGGTGGTGGTGAGCCGCGATGAGGCGCTGTCCATGTTCCAGGAGAACAAGTTCAAGGTGAGGAGGGGGCAGAGATGGGCCTGATAAAGAGGGGGGTAGGGGGGCTAGCCTGGTCAGTGGGTGGGGCTACGTGGGGGGTGCATTTGTTTGTGTTTGTGTAAGATTCGCGCTCAGGGGATGGCGCCAGCGCACAAGGACACATGCCAGAGCGCGAGCGGGTCCACAGGAAGCGAGCTGGACCCCAAGCATGCAACCCTGCACATCGTGCTCTCCCACCCGGCTTTCTTCCCTCTCCATCTTCCTTAATAACACTTCACCCTGCCCCCTGCCCCCTGCCCCCTACCGCACTCCGCCGGTTCCCAAAGTAACCCCACACACATTACCCCCCTGCGCCCCCTCCCGCCCGCCCCCCCCAGATCGAGATCATCCAGGGCCTGCCCGCCGACGCCACCATCACCCTATACCGCGTGGGCCCCATGGTGGACCTCTGCTCCGGCCCCCACCTGCCCTCCACCTCCTACCTCAAGGCGGCAGCAGTCACCTCCATGTCGCGCGCCTTCTGGCGTGGTGACGTGAAGCGCGAGCCGCTGCAGCGCGTGTACGGCATCACCTTCCCCGAGCCCAAGCTGCTCAAGGAGTACCAGCACCGCATCGAGGAGGTGGGGGGCCGGGGGCAGCTGCTTGCTTATGTGACGTGGTGTAGCCCTCTTCTTCATCCCATCCTCCTCGAACGGCAGCCAGTGACCCTCTCATCCTCACACCTCTACCCCCTCGTCCACCCCTCGACGGCTCCTCCCTCAACGCATTGGGTCTTCTTCATTCCCCCCTATCCGCAATCCCTATAATCAAGCCAAATGCGGATTAACAAACCCTATTAATAAACCCCCCTTTCAGGCCAAGAAGCGCGACCACCGCGTGCTGGGCGTGCAGCAGGAGCTGTTCTTCTTCCACCCGCTGTCCCCCGGCAGCTGCTTCTTCCTGCCGCACGGAGCGCGCATCTACAACACCCTCATGGCCTTCATCCGGTGAGGGCGGCCGGCAGGGGGCCACTCGGGGGAGCAGCGCTCGGGGGGAGGGCGGGGGTGATGACATGCAACATGCAGCTTGGGTCGTGTGTGCGGGTGTTAAGACGCATGCGGCGTTTTCGCTCGCTAGGTTGATCACCGCGTTGTTCCGGACATCCTCCTTCTCCCGGTTTCGCCTCCCATCCAGCTGCTCTCCTCCCCCCTTGCCCCTCGCGGCTCAGCTTATCTACTTTTCCTTGAATAGAACTCGCCAATGTATCACTCCTCCTTTAATATCTTCCCTCCCTTCCCCCCTCCGGCTCAGTTTATCTAATCCCCCTCCGGCCCCTTCCCCCCCATAGCGAGAAGTACTGGCAGTACGAGTACGAGGAGGTGATCACGCCCAACATCTACAACTTCGACCTGTGGCGCACCTCGGGACACGCGGACCACTACCGCGAGAACATGTTTGCGTTCGAGATCGAGAAGGCGGAGTTCGGGCTCAAGCCCATGAACTGCCCGGGTAAGCGGGGAGGGAGCGCCCAGGGGGCGGGCGTGGTGAGAGAGGGGGCAGAGGGTGCTGCTGCGGGGGTGATGAGGGGGTGGGAGCCGTTAGAGTGAGGGAGTTAGGGGTCGGTTGCAGCTCCGCCCGCACGCTGCCACTCGCTTCCGCGGTGCCTCCCGAGCTTCAGACAGCTGGGTCAGCTATACCGGTCACTGCTTGCTTACCGCCGCAAGCGCAACACGACGCACACCTATGGGCTCATGACCGCAACACTCTCCCTCCCCTTCCCCCCGTTGCTTCACTTTCATCCCCCCTCCTTCAGGCCACTGCCTCATGTTCGCCAACCGCACCCGCTCCTACCGCGAGCTGCCCCTGCGCCTCGCCGACTTTGGCGTGCTGCACCGCAACGAGTTCAGCGGCGCGCTGCAGGGCCTCACGCGCGTGCGCCGCTTCCAACAGGACGACGCGCACATCTTCTGCCGGCCTGACCAGGTGATGGCCGAGGTGCAGGGCTTCCTGAAGCTGCTGGGTGAGGTGTACGACGTGTTCGGGCTGGACTACACCATGGCGCTGTCCACGCGGCCGGAGGGCTACCTGGGCGATATCGAGCTGTGGAACAAGGCGGAGGCGGCGCTGACGGATGCGCTGGACTCCACGGGCAGGTGGGGCGGAGGGAGGGGAGGAGAGGAGGGGAGGGAAGGGAGAAAGGGGAGGAGGGATGGGGCTGCGAGGGAAGGGAGGGGTTGAAGTGGGTTGGAGTTGCGCCGCAGTGCGCAGCGGGGCACTCTGCGTGCATGCGGGTTCCAGGTTTACAAGGGTTGCAATGGCGGGGTGGTGTGGTGCGGCGCGGATGGCTCTCAACCGACAAAAGAGGACACCTACTTGCACCTCATTCACCTCAACGCCACCCCTTTCCTTTCCCCTCTCCCCCCCCTCCCAGGCCCTGGGTGCTGAACCCCGGCGACGGCGCCTTCTACGGCCCCAAGATCGACATCACGGTGTACGACGCGCTGCGCCGCCGCTTCCAGTGCGCCACCGTGCAGCTGGACTTCCAGCTGCCCATCCGGTGGGGGGGGTCAAAGACCATACCAAACCATAGGAGACCACAAGTTAGGGCAAAACAATGGGGGTAGGAGTTGGCAGGGTGCCACAAGACAAAGGGTTGGTTAGTATTCCCTTGGGGGGGGGAGGGGCGGGGCGGGGGTGGTAGTGTTTGACCGGTGTGAAGGGCTGGATGAAAAGGGAGTTGGATTTGGCTAGGCGGTGGCGGTGGCGGCTGGGGTGGGGGTGCCCTGTGGAGGAGAGGGTTGTGGTGCAAGCTTTGACAAAGAGGAATGAGAGGGAGGGTGGCACCGGCCTGTCGCCCTCCTCTCTTTGATCTTGTCCAAACCTCACCTCTCTTTCTCCCCTCCCCTCCCTCCCTCCCTCCCCCTCCTCCCCCAGCTTCGGCCTGGAGTACGCCTCCGAGAGCGGCACCCTGGAGCGCCCCGTCATCGTGCACCGCGCAGTGCTGGGCAGCGTGGAGCGCATGTTCGCCATCCTCACAGAGCACTTTGCGGGCAAGTGGCCCTTCTGGATCAACCCGCGACAGGTGGGAGCAGGCGGGCGGGGCAGGGCAGGGCAGGGCGGGGCGGGGCGGGGCGGGATGTCGCGTAGACGTGCTTGCCTCCCTGCGTGCCGTGGCCATGTGTATCCGAAGCCCTCCGAACACATACCTTGACCTCCATCAACTAAGCTAACCTTAACTGGCGTAACTAACTCACCTTCTCTCCCCCCCTCCCCCCCAGGTGATGGTGGTGCCCATCAGTGAGAACAGCGCCGAGTACGCGTTCGACGTGCGGCGGGAGCTGCGGGCGGCGGGGCTGCATGTGGATGTGGACGCGAGCGACCGCAAGATGCAGAAGAAGGTAGGGGGGCGGAGGGCAGGGTGAAAAGAGGAAACTAACGATCTGGGGGGTTGGGGTTGGGGGCTTGGGGGTACTATGGAATCCGGGGGGTGCGGTCTGGGCCAGATGATGATCATGTCTAACTCCTCTCGTCCAGCTCCTCGGGCATCCTGGCTTTCCTCCTGCATGCTTGTACTTCCCGCATCCACCCACTTCTACCGCTCCTTGTCCCCTGCCCCCTCGCACCCTGCAACCCATAGCGGAGCCTTGTCACACGGTTATCGTAGTTTCGTCCTCCTTACCCCTACCTTCGCCTACCTTATCATTTATTTCCCCCCCCCCACCTCCTCCCCCCCTCCCCCAGGTCCGCGAGGCCCAGCTGGCTCAGTACAACTACATCCTGGTGGTGGGTGAGGCGGAGAAGACCGCGCAGACCGTCAACGTGCGCACGCGCGACAACGTGGTGCACGGCATGTTCAAGCTGGCGGACGTGCGGGACCTGATGGTGCTGGAGCGGGACACACGCTCCAAGGAGAGCGCGCTCAGCGGCAAGGGGCAGAAGCCGGCGGAGGCGACGGCGGATGGGGCGGCGGCGGGGGATGCGTAAAGGAGGCGTGCGGGTGTTGTGTGGCGAGGAAGGGAGGGTGGGTTGGGTGATAGGCTTGAGGGTTGTGAGGGCTGTGAAGGGAGTGAGAGCGGGGAGAGGGCAGGGGTTGCTGCTGTGCGGGTGTGTGTTTGGCTGGCTGTAGGAAGGGTAAGGGGAGCGTGTTAAACTCCGCTACAGCGTCGCGTGCGAGTCGAGCAGCGAGGAATTTGGGATTTGTTGCGCAGGCCGGGGGCGAACGCCTAGGGATGCAGGCCTTGGCTAAACAATGTGTGGGACAGCGGCTAGGGGATGTTAGAGGGTAGACACTGACGATTGATGGGAAGTGGACGTTTTGGGTTCGCCTTGGGAGGTACCGGTAGGCAGGCGGGTATGTGGCTTTCAAGCAGGTGTGCAACACTGAAGTAAACAGTCCCTGAGCGGCCTCGTGAAAACCGACATGTTGTGCACATGAACGTTAGGCAATGTAGTTGCCACGCTTGCTGGTATGGTGTATTGGGGCATGTAGTACCTGCGATCCGCTGCCTTTTTGCTGGCAGCCGCGTGCAGGTCATGCACAGTGTCGGGGCTGCCATGTGGTGGTCTCACGATGCGGCTACACATGCATGCCCGTGTATACGGCTCTTACATACGAACATAAGCTGCGCTCAGCATGTATTTAATCCCCGCACCTAGCGACGGCCTACCATGCATGGGTAGAGGGCTACTCGGCTACGGGAGTGCAGCTGCCAGCAGTCCTTACCGGGGCGCACGGCGTTAATGGCTCCTCTTGCCCCCTCATACTGAACCATACGAACACATGCGCCTGTGGAGCCATACTTGGTTGTTGTACACGCGCGCAAGAAGCAGCCATGCGCCCATGTCCTCCAGGCGTTACACCAAGAAAGGCCAGAATATGAAAGGTGGTGTGCATTACACCGGTGCTATCGGTACCATCACAACGGAGGACATCGCATAACCAAAGGCAACCTGTTGTCTTGAAGCCAAAGGCAACGTTATGCAACAACCCATGTACACTAAAAACTGGTCCAAACCTCCTCGGCTTTCAGGTCGTTAAAACTGCGAAGCAGGCGTCCCTTAGTGTGTACCGGTAACAACATAGTTCGCGGCCGGTTGCCCTCTTGCAGCTCAGGACCCTCTTAATAACCCCTCATCGCCTTGGGCCCCTACCGCCAGCAACTTCAAAGGCCAGCAGCGAACACATTTGAAGCTTCGTGAACTCCTCTTAACTTTTCCGAAGAATGTAATCGAAAGAAGGCGGGGCATGTCCGAAGTGACCCATGGGTCAGTACCCATCATATACCGCGGAACACGGTAATATTGTACCGCCACTCCTAAATCCCACATGCGTGGATAAATAGTCCGGGAGATGACAACAGGGACATAAGGCCGATACATGGTAAAAACCCCACGGACCGCAAAAAGAAAAAAATCATAAACCCGAAAAAAGGAAACGGAAAGCAGACGGATTGTGTTGAAGGGACGCTCCGGATTCCCGTACATTCAGGCACCGCAAGGTTTCAACATGGTAACGGATACCTGCAGCAACTCTACGTCTGTGGAAGTAGGTCCCAATCTAGCATAATGCTCTGGCAGGAAAGCCTGGACAAAATTGAGCACGCAACAAGTTAGGGCAACGGAAGCACAGGCTTCGCAAAAATGCCATTGCTAAAATTCCCATTGTAACAATAATGCGAAAGACAGTTTCTGGTCGACGTGATGTTGCGGTCGGAGCTTTACCAAGCATACATCAACATTCAGCCTTGCTAGTAATCCTGCAAAAAGAAAAAAAACAACTCCTAAATTGGCAAAACTCGCGGGCAGCATCCCATGCATTCACGTAGCTAGCAACCGCAGGCGGATAAACCGGCAACCAAACGTCAACAACTAACCGTCGCCGCCTTCCGTCAGCGCCGAAAGCATCACTCAGCCGCCGCAGCAGCAGCCAACAGCCACCGTACTGATACTGCCGCCGCTGTTAGCCGCCCTATACGGACAGTGCCGAGTGTTGAGAAGGTGATCTGGTTTCGGGTTGCATCGCGGCATTAGTGTACGGACGCCGTGGCGAGGCAGGTGCTCTACAGCTGGCGGCGACCCTTGAAGCCCGATCCCACGATTCCCATTCCCGGCTGGCGATACAAATCGGCGCGCCTGATGCCAAACTGGGCCAGGCTGCGGCTGTTGCTGCCGGCAGGAGAGGAGTCGCTATCAGCCGCCTGCAGGTGACGATGACCCTTGAAGCCCGATCCCACGATTCCCATCCCCGGCTGGCGATACAAATCGGCGCGCCTAATGCCAAACTGGTCCAGGCTGCGGCTGTTGCTGCCGGCAGGAGAGGAGCCGCTGTCGGCCGCCTGCAGGTGACGATGACCCTTGAAACCCGATCCCACTATTCCCATTCCCGGCTGGCGATACAAATCGGCGCGCCTAATGCCAAACTGGGCCAGCCGGCGGCTGTAGCGGTGGTCAGGAGCGAAGTCAGCTCCCTCCGCGGGTGTGGCCAGGATGGGAAGGAGGAACAGCGCCACCAGCAGCGCCGCGGCTGTGACCGCGGCGGCTGCGGCGCGGCTCCGCTTCACGTGCTTCGCCATATGGGCACTTGGGGCCTGAATGGAAGTAGAGGACGGATTGGAATTGAGGTTGGACAATTGGAATCGGCGCATGGACAGCTTAACAATCCGGCAGCACAATAACGGGCGTCTCACGTTCCTGCAAAGCATGAGGCAATACACAGTGTGTCAATGCTTTAGGGCTGTCGGCAGATGACGGCAGAACTACTTTTTTCGAGTCCTGCCTGGCTTGCACATGCTTTACGTGAAAGCACCGACAGCACGGGAACTGAGGGAAACAGGAACTTACTCGAGGTTAGCGCGTGGCTTCGGCCTCGGGCTGTCAGAATTTGAAAGCTAAATGTCGTGGCAGTGAATCCGGTGTCTTGGTGTCGAAGAAGAAAGATCAGGCCACAGCAAAGAAACCTCGAGGCGCACCTGCTGAAAAAGTAAAAATAGCGAAAAATAAGGAACACGTCGAAGCAAGCTTTAGCATCGAAAAGCGGGAATCGCGGGACAGCCAGTCGACACGTATGTCGGGACTGGGAAGACGGTGGTAATAAGCGCTTCCCAAGGTTTGCAAGGGGAAGCTAGCCTGTGCGCCGATAGGTAGGCCAAGGGGAATATTGTATTGACCAGCTATTCACCAGCAACGATGGCAGCGGATCACAGCGCAAGCGTTGGTTTCCAAGCACAGCGGTTAGCGCAGACGGAACGTACGCAATGCGTGAAGTCTCCGACGCACCTGCTGCTCCGGTTGCTGAAGAAGTCAAACTGCGACCTTGAGAGCAGAAGCTTTGGCTATGACAAGCAGATTGAGACTGTATGTTGTTGCGGAAAGATATGTTTGTGCTGGTGATGTAGCCTGCCGTATTGCTTTGCAACAATCTAGTATGAGCCTAGATGACGCACGTCTTCGCACTTACGGTATACGTGTCAGACACGGTTCACGACACTCGAGGTATGTCTGTAGCATGTTTTTGGGGGTTTCAGTTGCAGGCGAGGGGCATTACGCTCGCTTTACGACCCACGGGTCATTTCGCACGCGGAGCCTTCCAACATCCAAAGGAAGTTTGAATTAATGAGCAATTGTATTGGCAAAATGTCTGCTTGGGCAAACTTCATAACAGCACGCAAGGTACTTCCCAACAACCAATCCACGTGTGTAGCCCACAGCCCAAGCATGCGCACCCAGATCTCCCTAACCGTATACGCGAGAAGCAGCAGCCGCACATTTGCAGGCTATGCAAAACAAGGCGAACGAACGTGTTCCCTACACTTCCGTTACAAGCAAGTACGGGGAGAGAAGCCGTACACAGCAAAGCGCGCATCACCCTGCCGTACGCGCCTCCTGTCGACCAGTTTTCTTATCACCCTGCTGCTGCTCCAGGAGAGAACTGGGCAGTAGAGAACTGGGCAGTAGTGCAACGTAGCCCCATCAAAGTCCCACCGCGGCCCCAGAAGCGGCGGCTATAACCGCCTCGTGTGTCACACGTACACCCCCACGGCAGCGCCACCCCAGCCACCTGCACCTCGCCCCTCCCTCCTGGCCGCTCCCTACTGCTCCTCTGCAGGTCGCACAGCTCCCAACACTGATCAGGCCCCGTAGCTTTTTCGCCCGCCGATAAACCGCCAGGCAAGGCACCTGCTGACCCTCCCTGCACATTTGTTCCATCCATCGTAAATATGTTTGCAAGCACGTTGCGAGGACAACGGATTGACGGATTCGCAACCCCGCCGGCGCACATGGCATTGCCCTGCAACGCGCTCTCCTATACTCGCCAGCACTGACAGCATCCTTGGGGGCATCGTGCCAAACCTTGGGGTACAGGGTGAGGTGGAAAACGGAGCACACCGAGGCACATGTTGGCATCCATATCACCCTTACCCCCACACCACTTATTACCCGCCCGAACACTTATTACCCGCACAGCTAAACAGCACACCCACCAGGGATCTCTCCTCCTTGTCGTCGCAGTGCAGCAGTCACCAACAGCGCTGTACGAAAACCAACCACCCGCGGCACATGCGCACAACAGCCCGTAACCACCTGCAGCCAAGCGATGTTGCACAACACCCGCTACCAGCAAAGGCAGCAAATATTATTGCTTGTTAGTTCCTGCCTCACCATGAAGGCTCCCCAGGCAGCATTGGAAACGGCGTTCTCGGGGGGCAACGGTACCCGCCATTTCCTTCGCACAAGCACAAGGCAACTGCAACCCTGCAATGTATCTTATGACATTACCTCCAGCCCGCTGCCCCCCGGTAGCTCGGGGAACAACCCCAGGCCCCAACAGAGCCTGGGGTGGTTCCCCGAGGCCGCACCTTGTAGTGTTCTAAACTGCTCTCCTCACCGCATCCAACCCTGCATCCTCCTCGTCACCACCCGCTTTCGCCGCAATCCCACCTCCTCCTCCACCTCTTCCAGTTTCATCCCAAGCCGGTCGCGATGCAACACACTTGCCGAAACCCACTTTCCCCTCTCTCCCTCTCTCACTGCTCTTTCTTCTCCGCCGGCCCCTTCTGCTCCCCATTCACCTCCCGCGCTGCCCCACCGCCCCCCGCCTTCTTCTCCGCCGCCCCTGCCTCCGAAGCCGGCCTGCCCAGGTAGCCCCGCAGCACATCCGCCAGCACCCGCCGCCGCTTCTCGATAAGCCCCGGATTCTTCTCTCCCAGGTTGTAGTATTTGAGGTAGCCGTCCCAGGGCACGATGCGCAGGTTGGCGTAGCGCGCGATCATGGCCTGCACGCGGCCCGCGAACTCCTGAGGCGTCTCGCCTGGGGGTGGGGCATGACAGGGGTGACAGGGGAGGGGCGAGGTGGGGGGTCAGGAGAGTTGCTTGTCGGCATCATGAGCAGGGCAGGCCACGCGGCTACCCCAGCCTAGCGAAGGAGACTTAGCCCTCATCCTTGACCTTGGCATCCTTGGCCGCGTCTTCCCTTCCCCCGTTTCCCCAACACACACCTTTCCCCGTCCCGCCCATCTCACTCCTTTCCCATCCCCTCCTTTTCCAGCCCCCCCCCCCCGCCATTTGTTGTTTTGGCTTGACTAATACGGGTGGGCTGGGATGGGCCAATTAGCAACCCATGGTGGAGCCTCGTCATTCAGTTTGTCAGTGTTTCTTTATTTTTACCCCCCCCCCCCGCCATGTTTGCACCCCATGGTGAAGCCTTGTCATACAGCTCGTCAGTTGCTTCGTCAGTTTGTCTCATTATATAATTATTTTACCCTCCGCCCCCGCCCCCGCCCCCCCCCCCCCCCGCCCCCGCCCCCCACCCGGCTGTATGCTCTGCGGCTCCAGGAAGTACACGTCGCACACCAGCGCCCAGGAGGTCATGAGCCGGAAGAGGTGCTTGCCGAAGGACTCGCGGCGGCTGTTCCAGAAGGCGTCCACGAAGATCTTGTTGTACTTGATGGCAACCGGGCACACCTGGGGGGGCGGGGGGGCGGGGGGGCGGGGCGGGGGGGGCAGGGGGGGGGGAAGAAGGATACCTAACGTGCTGAATGAGGCTGGCAAACAAGACGACAAACTCCTGGTGAATGAAATCGAGTTAGCCGAGCCCAACGTGCCAGGGGCACGGGGCAGGGCAGGGGAGGGGATGAGAGGCGGGAATGACGTGTAGGCTGTTTTTATGCTGTTCTCTTCATGCTGTTCATCTCTCAACACGGTTGCTCTCTTATTAAAGCGGGCGTTGTATCCGCCAGCCGGCGTGCGCCGTCCCAACCCACGCGTCACCCACCACCCCACCCCACCCCACCCCACCCCACCCCACCCCACCACCCCACCCCACCACCCCACCCCACCACCCCACCCCACCACCCCACCCCACCCACCGTTGCTCCTATGTCGAATGCACCCCGCTTGAACATGACGGTGTACTCGTTGTTGACGCAGGTGCCCTCGGGGAAGATGAGCAGCGGGATGGCGTCCTGCTTGTTGACGTGTTCCTTCATGCGCGCAGCCACCACGGCGCGGTCGTTCACCTCAGTCCTGGTGGGGACAGGGGGGCGGGGGCGGGGCGGGGCGGGGCGGGGCGGGGCGGGGCGGGGCGGGGCGGGATAAGGAAGGACGGTATGGGATGCATGCATGACAAGGAATGACATGGCATGGCATGACGTGGGCCAGAGGGAGCCCCCGGGGGTGGATTGGCGAGACGTGGATAGGGCTGAGTGGCAGGAGCCCCTGACGCCCTTCTGGAAGCTGTTGGGCACCGAGCGGCACTCCTGCTCCTCCGCCTCCTCCTCCTCCTCATTCCCCCGCAGCCCGCGGCCCGCACCTGTTAAACCACAGGCAGCCCAGCGAGGACAGGATGCGCTTCTGCAGGAATGCGATCCAGCCGTGGTGCAGCTGCATGATGACTGCGAAGGGGCTGTAGCTGCAGAGCACCACGTAGTCGATCATGGAGGTGTGGTTGGACACCCAGATGCGGTTGGGGCCGGGGGTGGGCTTGGGGCCGTGGTACCTGGAGGGGCGCCGGGGTGGGGAGGGGGGGGGCGGGCACAGGGGGGGTAGCCGGGTGGGGGTCAAATACCATACCAGACCATGGGAAACCACAGTTTCGGGCAAAGCATTGGGGATAGGAGGCGGCAGGGGAAGGAAGCAGAAGAGGTGCTGAGGAGGCGAGGAGGGCGGCAGCACGGATAGAGAGCGGAGAGGGGCAGGCAGTCCCACATGGCGCGGTTCCCCGCATGTGTCGCTGTGTCCTGCCTCCCACTCCCGCTGCTGGTCTGGTCTGGTCCGAACCCGCCGTGAGGGCGCAGAGACAGGGCGCCGGCAGCTGTACCTGGCTCGCAGCTAGGTCGATGTCTGGGGGTGCGCGTACGTTCAGAAAACTTGCCCGGCAACAACACTTGCGCAACATGCATGCGCAGCGCCGCTCCCACAAGTGCCTTGCTGCTCCCAGCCCTGTTCCCACCCCTATTCCCAGGGCTATTCCCGGCCCTATATCCAGGCCTAATAAAGGGCCGCTCACACAACCCTCGCCCCCCAGCATTCCTGCTGCTGACAGAACTCCCTCCCACCCCCCTTCCCCCTCCCACGACGATCCTCCTGGCGACACCCGACACGGCTTCCAGTCCCCACCTGATGACCCCGTGCCACGCCGCCACCCACGCGCAGCACATCCACTGCACCAGCTTCCGCTGCAGCGCCATCTTGCGGCGGCTGGGCGCCACCGCCACATCCACCAGCAGGAACATGCCCACCAGCGAGTTGAAGCCGATGAACAGCAGCGAGGCGCGAACCGGGAACAACACCAGGAACCTGCGGGTGACGGTGCAGGCAATGTGATGTGCGGCATGACATGGCGTGGATGGAGAAGTGGATGGTGAGGGAGGTATGGAGCGGTATGGGTATAAAAGGCGGCTGTTAGGGGTGGTAACTGTACACGGTGGTAAGTGGGGTGTGTGATGAGGTTCCGGTATGTATGGGCGTATGGGACAGGGGTTCTATAGCGGCGAACCCGGTGATTGCACTGCAGGGGTTGTGTGCCCTACCTGAGGATGAGGCCCGCTACCCAGATCGGGAAGAGGTAGATGTTCCAATTCCACGGCTCCGGTCTCAAGCTAGTGAAGCACTTATTGAACGAGTCGTCCACCATGGCTGATACTCCATCCGTGAGGACATTGCTAACGTTGAGGACGTCGTGCAGCAAGGAGGTCTTTGATAAGCGCTTGTCTTCAGCTTCTGCGTACAACTGGTCTATCTCTGCGTCCCCTTTCGTCGGACCTTCCCTGTCGAGAACCACGTCATTCGTAAGCGTCTGCTATGCCCCCTGTCTAGCAGCAATCCGAGAGCGGGAGCTGAGCATATGGTTTCTAATAGCACCCAACAAAGATCCCACCGCGTCACAAGAGCATGCTCTTGGTCCTTATCCCCAGCAGCCACACCGCGAAGCCCGGGAAGGCTGCTCTCGTAGCTCTTCCCGCCCTTTCCCGATGTTTCAGCCATTGGGTTTAATCACCCTTAAGCAAATATGCAAAAGGTATTCGATTCCCGGGCCAACGCCCGGCCCGGGACAGCACAACAGTTAGAAAGGACTGTTGATGTGAACTAAGAGTAGTTCTCATATAAGAATGTAGCTTGGCAATGAAAGCGGCTATGTATCGTGCCTGTAAAAGAGGATCGGGTACGCTGTGTACGCATACGACCACCTAACTCACGTGCATCTTTAATCCAGGTATTCAACCATTGTGTCAAGAGGTTAAATTTGTAAATACTACCAGGGGAATTGGGATAAGCACATTGTTACGATCGCAAGCGCACGGGCAATGTCTGTAAGGACTAAGCCGTTGGTGTTAGGTTTGTTTGCCTGTGGCGACGATGGCTATATTGCTGGCGCATAGCCGGTACAATCAATAGATGGTGGAAGAAGCGGAATCAGAAGCTCTGACTAGGTCCACAGCCCTGCCTGTCCTCGCTGCGGAGAGCACCAGCGACTGCACGATACATGTTGTAAGTTCGGCTGGTGGACAGGATGCTGCAGCGGAGGCGAAACAGCTGGAGGGACTGCCACTGCTGCAGCAGGAGCCTACTGAGCCATCCGTCGCGCTGTGCATCGAAGCAAGCTCAGCAAGCGATGTGGACGACAGGGATCCCCCAAAGCACGTCGTGCATAAAACGGTCAAGTTCAGCGACGTTGTAGAGTATTTAGGACCCGAGGAAGATGGCAGCGAGGATAGCGACGATGATGACCATCTGCGAAGGGTCATCGTCAGCAGCATCATCGGCAACACGCTGGTAAGCACATGTAACCATGCTGTGAGGGTTGGGGGAAGCTCTATCAGACATTTACGGATGTCCATGTGGGACCGGGGCTACTATGTGAAACCGGGGTTCATGGCAATGCCGAAGCCATGGCAGGGTGCGGTATGGCCCAGCCAACAACCTCACGACCCCATGGAAGGAGAAAATGGGTTTAAATTTCAGCAGCGGCATTAACCCATCTAAACCCATGATGGGTAGCCCTCTTTTCTAATCCCATCTCATTTCGTCGTACGGCACACGCCCACACGTACTCAGGAGTGGTACGACTTCCTGATCTACACCTTCCTGGGCGGAGTGCTCACAAAGCTCTTCTTCCCGCACGACAATGTATACACGCAGGTGGGAGGTCTGGGAGGGAGAGAGGAGCAGGCGGCGAGGGGTTGCATGGGCAAACTTGCGTGGCATGTGCAAGGCGCCTGGGGCTAGGGATCTGGGGCGCGGCCCCCGTTCCCACTGCCCCTCCGGTTGGCAGTGTGGGGAGGAGTACCTAGTATCCCCTGTGGACCGGCCCACCCTCCCCTTAGCACTCCTCGCATCCTCTCAACATAAGCACCCCAAACCCTGCCGGTCCCTCCTGCTCCTCTGCTCTTCCCAGACCTCCCCACCACCTCCCCACCCCCGCCACCACCCAGATGCTCGCCTTCTACGGCGTCTTCGCTGCCGGGTTCGCCACCCGGCCGCTGGGTGCGCTGCTGTTCGGGCTGCTGAGCGACCGAGTCAGCCGGCGGGCGGCGCTGGCGGCCAGCATGGGGCTCATGGCGCTGCCCACGGCGCTGGTGGGCTGCCTGCCGACATACCAGCAGGTGGGTGGCAGGAGCGGGGGATGGGGAGGAGGAGGAACCTGACAAGAGCTGGGGGAGAGCTGGGCGGCTAGAAGGCGAATAGAAGGACCGAGACGTGCGCGAGCATGAGGGAGAGGGCAGGTGGCTTGGCTTGGTGGCGCAGGTAGCACGGGATGCTGAGGACTCAGGGGCGCTGCCATGCTTCCCATTCCCCTTCCTTCCCCGGCCTCACACCCCCTCACCCCCCCGCACACAGTTCGGGGTGGGATGGGCCGGGTTCAATTAGCAACCCATGGTGAAGCCCCCTCGTCATGCAGCTCGTCAGTTTCCCCTTGCTTACCCCCCTCCCCTCCGCCTCCCAGGTCGGTGTTGCCGCGCCGGTGCTGCTGGTGCTGCTGCGCGCGCTGCAGGGCCTGGCGGTGGGCGGCGAGTTCAGCGCCACGCTGGTGTTCCTGGTGGAGCACGCTCCGCCGCATGCGCGCGGGCTGGCGGGCAGCTGGGCATTTGCAAGCGTCATGGTGGGGACTGGGGCGAGGGGAGGAGGAGGGGAGATTGGGGTGGGGGTTGGGGCGGCGAAAGTGCAGAGCGCTGTAACCGCAGTGGTTGCTTGGGTGCGGTGGGCGCGGTGAGGTAGGGGCGCTTGGTGGGTGGCGGCTCTCAGTCAGGATGGTTTTCACAGGGTACCATCCCTCGCTTGCTGGGGACACATCGCTGCATGACCCCCAGCCCAAAACCGCACCACATTACACGCCCGCGCACCCATCGCACGCCTCTATACCTCCGTATCTCCGTACCTGCCGTACCTCCCCCCCCCAGATTGGTGTGCTGGTGGGCAGCGGGGTGGCCACGGGGTTCTCTCTGGCGCTCAGCGAGACGGCGCTGCTGGCCTGGGGCTGGCGAGTGCCGTTCCTGCTCAGCCTGCTGGGAAGCGGTGTGGGGCTGTACATACGCAGGTGGGGTGGGGCGGGAGGGAGGCAGGAAGGGCTAACGGATGTACGGGGGCGTGAAGGGACGGGGGCTTCATTCTGCGTGTCGTCAGCCCGCCTACTCTAGCGCGTCAACACATCCTTCTCTATCACTTCGGGTCTGCACGGAACCTTTGGAACCCCCACCACCTCCTCCATCTCCCCAGGCGCCTGCGTGACCCGGTGGCGGAGGAGGCGGACGAGCCACACCACCCCCACCCCCACCACTACACGCAGCAGCTGACAGGCCAGGAAAACGGAAGGAGCAGCAGCAGCAGTAGCAGCGGCATTAGCGCAAACTCTAGCACTAGCAACATTAATAGCAGCAGCACTAGCAGCAGCACTAGCGGTAGTCGGCGGGGCTCGTTCCGCCGCATGGCCTCCGGTATCGCGCAGGTCATCCTGCTAGACTTCATGAACGCAGCGGGCTTCTACCTCCTCGTCATCTTCCTGCCGCTCTACATGCAGACCTTTGTCCTGCTGCCCCACGCCACCGCGCTTGCCGTCCACACCTCCAACATGCTGCTCTATCTGGGCCTTATCCCGCTGGGCGGCTGGCTGTCCGACAAGTACGGCAGGACGCGGGTGCTGCTGCTGCCGGCGCTGTGCATGGCGGTGGGGTCCTACCCGCTGTGGTGTCTGTTCCGGCTGCAGCGGCATGCGGCGGCTGCCTGGGCGGCGCAAGCGGGGCTGACGGTGCCCATGGCGCTGTTCACGGGGGCGTTGCCGGCCACCCTGGTGGCGCTGTTCACGGCGGAGTGCCGGTGGGTGGGGGGGTGCGGCTGGGTTGGGGGGTGCGGGGGCTTGTGTGATCCTGTACGGCGGGGTGTTGGCGCTGCTGATAGTGCAGCCGGCCCATATTCCTCCCACACTCTTAACCCGCTCCATCCCGTCTACGTCTTCTCTTACTTCCCCGTCTACCTCCCTGCCGCCCCGGACTCCGTTGCTTTACTTCTCATTTATTTTATCCCCGCCTACCTCACACCCCTCCCCTCCCCACCTAGCTGCACCGGTCTGTCCATCGGTCACAACATCAGCATGGCTGCGTTCGGCGGCACCGCCCCGCTGGCCGCCACCGCGCTGCTGCGGGGCACGCGGGACGTGGCCTCCCCCGCGGCGCTGCTGGTGGTGGGGGCGGCGCTGAGTGCGGGCGGGGCGCTGCTGCTGCGGCGGTGGAAGATACGGTAGAGGGCAGGGGGGAGCAGGGATAAGGAGGACACGACTAACGAACCGGAGCAGGGAGGCAGGGGGAGAGGGTGGGAGGGCAGGGAAGGGGAGGAGGAATGATCAACGTAAACGGATAACTTCGCAATGTTTGAAGAATGAAAGGCAGTCAAGTGGCGGGGGAGTGCAGGAAGGGGGTGCGGGGCTTGGGGAACGGGAGGCGTTGGGCGGGATGGAGGATTTAGTGGCAGGCAAGGCGCTGTGGGGGCTGTGGAGGTGTCGGTGGGTAGAGCTGAAGGTGTCAGGCGGAACGCTGCGAGCATTCCATGCGGAGCGAGTGGCTAGAGCAGTTCTGGTCGGCATGCTGAAGGGGGCATCATTGTTATCGGAGCTGGCCGCTGTGGTGTGGAAACTCGGTGGCTGCTCGCGTAGGCAGGATTCGATGGGCTGTAGGCGCCCTGGCTGATGTGTGGCGGGGCGAGGGCCACAGCTGGGATAAGCTACTGGCATAGGTGCAAGTTCGTACTCGTGTTCATACTGTACTACTATGCTGAAACGTCTTATATACATAGCAGCAACCATATACTTTATTTGCTTGTGTGTTGCGTGGAGGTGACTATTCGCGCTCCAGAGAACAGTGAAATGCCCCGTGGGTCAGATATTATATGTGCATAACTTGGTGCCTCGTCGCGAGCCGTCTGCAGGTCGCCATTAAGCCCCGTACGTGATATGGGTTACACTATGTATCAACCCACAGTTACTGCCCAGCTCCCGGGACTATGCCATTTTGGTTGGCCATTCTCCAGTTACTAGCGAGGTGCCTCCAGCAGGAGATACCAATAAGCATACTGCATTACTGCATTAAGTTGCTCACTAGCAACTTGTGTGATGGCATGCGCTGATATTCGCTGAGGGGTCGTCGTACAATACCAGCGAGGGAATTGCCCTCAGTAAGACATGCGCCAAGCAATAGAATCGCAAAGGCGACTTTACGTTTTTACCAAATAGTAATTCACGAAGGGTAACACCTTTTGCATAGGAGTAAAGAGTAACAGAGCTTAACCATGGCGAAAGCCAAGGCTCCTCCTCCACCAGCTAAGAAGACAATTAGGTATGCATAATTTACGAACGTTGTCGCACGCTTTCGCCGCCTGTCAGCCGCCATGAACATTCTCCTCGATGCGCCGCAGGAAACCAGAGGCGTCAGCACCGGCTGGGGCGGCAATGAAAAAGGTAGGCGAGCATAGCGCTCTCGGTTGGCCTTGGAAATGTCCCTCGCTTGTCGGCCGTGTTGGTTGCTACGACGATGGAGTCGACTCGACGCCGTCTCTTGTAGGGAAAGGCACCGGCTGCCGCGATGGTTAAGCAGACGAAACAGCAGCTTGCAAAAGGCGCGAAGGGTGATCGCGGGTTCTCTGACGAGAACGCTAAATGGCTAAAATTGAAGCGAAAGCAGCCGGAGCCGGAGGAGGAGTTGGAGGATGAGGAGGTCGACGGTAAGTGGAGCGAAGTCCTTTCGGAGGGGTGGCGGCATAGGCGGTTGACAGACCGGTGTCTGTCTGGGTTGCGGGCATCCCCATTTACAAGGCAACTGGGGTTTAGGACTGGGGTGTCTGCCTTGGGGCTGGCGGCGGACGCTTTGTGGTTTGCCGCCAAGGAACCCTGTGTCACTTTCTGCACCTTACCCACATGCGCAACTTGCTCCCTAGCAGGTGAGGAGGACGTGTCGGATGATGATCTGGGCATCATGGACGATGAGTTCGAAGGCGAGGAGGGCGAGGAGGAGAGCGGCGATGGCGAGGGTGGGTTGGGGGCGCCTGGCGGGTTGGGGAGGAGGGTGGACGGGGTGGGGGCGAGGGGGTTGCGGTGAGGAGGGTGGGTGGAAGGGGAAGGGGGGGCCCTGGTGTTGTTGAAGAGGGCGGCTGACCTGAGGGTGCGCTCCTATCCTGGCTGCAGGCGAGGAGGACGAGGATGAGGAGGGCGAGGAGCTGTTGGAGGGCAAGGAGTTTGTGGACGACGGGGACAGCAGCGACGACGCGGGTGGAGAGGAGGAGCAAGGTGAGGGAGGTGGCTGCCGTACAGTGGGTACCGGGACACTGGGGCAGGGCTGGCGGTACACGGCCGCATTCAGAGATGTGTGCAGAGGGAGGGGGGGAGGGAAGGGGACGCATGCTCGCATGCCGTGCAAGGCAGGGCAGGGCAGGTCGTCAGCAAGGGCTGCCCTGGTTCCTGGGCATGTGGGTTGGGGGGAGGGGGAAGGTGCGGGCGCGAAAGGGCGGTCAGGGGGCGAGCTTGGGTTATGCAGGGGACAGGGGGACAAGACACAGGGGCGCGGAGACAGTAGGGGCGTACGGTAGTGGCCGTGTGCCATTGTTCCTTGCAACAGAGTTACTGACTTGGAGCCGCATTGCACCGGGGCCCTCAGGAGAAGATGAGGAGGGCGAGGATGACGAGGGCGAGGAGGAGGAGGATGGGTCGGGGCCGGAGGGGCTGGACTCGGAGGACATGGCGGCCCTGATGGACGGGGAGGAGGGCGAGGAGGAGGACGAGGAGGGCGAGGGCGAGGAGGAGGAGGAGGACAGTGAGGATGACGAGATGACGGAGGCTGAGAAGCAGTCCATGGCTCTGGACCGCTTCAGGTGAGGGGTCCGCTGCAGGGGGGGGGGCAGGGGCAGGGGGAGGGATGGAGGGGCAACAGGCTTTGCGTGCATATGTGATTGTGGGGTCTGCACACCGATATGCCAGCACGCTTGCTTAGGCGAGCAGGCACGTGTCTTCCTCGTACCTGCCGGCGACGCACCCCACGGCTCGTCGTTTTTAGCTTCCTCCCTCTGTCGTCCTCGCTCGGTTCAGCACCCACCTCCTTCATGCAAACAGCCAGGCGATCCTCGAGTCCAAGTAGTCGCGCTCGGTGCCTCTTGGCTCTTTCCCTTCCTTGACGCCCTCCCGCCTCCCTCTCCCTCCCCTCCCTCTCCCCCCCCAGGCGGCAGCAAGCGGCGCTGGCAGCCCGGGAGGCTCGCGACATGGCGGCTGACGGCGGTGACGAGCTGGACACCAACATGGAGGAGGGGGCCACCTTCACACTGCCCAGCGGACAACAGGTGGGGTGGGGCGGGTCAGAAGGAGAACCGAAACCGAAGGAAGCCGCAAGGGGGCAATAGGCCTCTTGAGTATATGGCGACCTTGATGAGCTGCCTTCCCTCACCTCTCCTCCACGTCCTCCCCGCCCCTCCCCCCGCCCCCCAGGTGGAGGCCGAGAAGCTGACCCCCCCCGACCTGGCACTGGTGGCGCGCCGCATGAAGGCCACTGTGGCGGTGCTGGAGGCGTTTGCTGAGCGGCGCGAGGCGGGTCGCAGCCGGGGGGAGTACCTGGCTCAGCTGCGTCGGGACCTTGGGACCTACTACGGCTACAACGAGTTCATGATCGACATGTACCTCAACATGTTCAGGTGGGGGGGGGAGGGGTCAACGACCATAGGAACCACAGGGGGGAGGAGGAGAGGGGTGTGTGTGTGGGGGGTGGGTGGGATGCGGTGGGCGAGGTGGCTGCGGCAACGGAGAAGGGAGTGTTGATGGGCTAGAGGCGCTTCCCCTGCCCCTCCCCCCTCGGCCTTATTACGTTATTGGCCTGTCTGGGTCTTATCCCTTCACGTCTCCCCCGCGGCCCCCCCTCCATCAGTGTTGCTGAGGCTCTTGAGCTGATGGAGGCGAACGAGGTGCCCCGACCCATCACCCTGCGCACCAACACGCTCAAGACGCGGCGGAGGGAGCTGGCGGCGGCGCTCATCCAGCGGGGGGTCAGCCTGGACCCCATCGGTAGGGGCGGGGTGGGGTGGGGAGGGGGTGGGGTGGAGGGAAGGGTAGGGGGGACAGGGTGACCATGTGCTTAGGTGGTGCGAGCTGTGTGCCGTAGGAGGTGTCGTACTGGGGAAACTGCATAACTTACCGATTTGCACCCCCCCCCCCAAAGGCCCCTGGTCCAAGGTGGGCCTGGTGGTGTACGAGTCCAAGGTGCCCATCGGAGCCACCCCCGAGTACATGGCGGGACACTACATGCTGCAGGTGAGGTGCTGGGAGGAGGGGGGGAGGGGAGGGTGTAAAAGTAAGGAAACTGACGAGCTGTATGACGAGGCTTTACACCAGGGGGGGAAAGAGCGGGAGGAGGTAACGGGGAGGGTAGTAATGCAAGAAGGACTGGTCAAGGAGCGCACACGGATGTAAGGCACACACGCTGTTGCTCTGCTTTCCCTGACCCCCTCTGCCTAACCCTCCTCCTTCCCCCCCTCCTCCCCCACCCCCCAGGGCGCCTCCTCCTTCATGCCGGTCATGGCCCTGGCCCCCCAGCCCGACGAGACGGTGGTGGACATGGCGGCTGCCCCCGGCGGCAAGACCACCTACATCGCCGCGCTCATGCGCAACACCGGCACGGTGTTCGCCAACGAGATCAGCAAGGAGCGGCTCAAGTCCATCACCGGCAACCTGACGCGGCTGGGCGTCACAAACACCGTGGTGTGCAACTACGATGGCAAGGAGCTGCCGCAGGTGCTGGGCGAGCGCAGTGTGGACCGGGTGCTGCTGGACGCGCCCTGCTCGGGTACCGGGGTGGTGTCCAAGGACCCCTCCGTCAAGGTGGGGAGGGGAGGGGGAGGGGAGGGGAAGGAACATGGTGACTGGGCGTGAGATGCGGGAGAGAAGAAGGCGTGCATGGAGGGGCTACCGGTGCAGGGAGGGGAGCTGAGGACACCCGGCACCGGTGCCCTAACACCGGTCTTACTCAAGACCATCGCCAGGCAGCTCACCTCTCACCAAACCTTCACACCCCAATTACCCCCCAGCACCTCACTACTACACCCGCGCACCCGCTCCTGCCCCGCCCCATGCATCATCCCTACACTCCTCCCCCTCCCCCTCCCCCTCCCTCCTCAGACCTCCAAGTCGCAGCAGGACATCTGGCGCTGCGGGCACCTGCAGAAGCAGCTGCTGCTGGCGGCCATCGACCTGGTGGACGCCAACAGCGCCACGGGCGGCTACGTGGTGTACTCCACCTGCTCGGTGTGCGTGGAGGAGAACGAGGCGGTGGTCAACTACGCGCTCAGGAAGCGGAATGTCAAGGTAAGGGGCGGCGCTGGGTGCGGCGGCTTGGGGAAGCCAAGTAGGATTGATGATCTATCAGACACCGACGTACTGTCCTCATGCGCAGCCATGCGCCTCATGTGGGGCCTACCGGTATGTGTGCCCCCTTGTCTTACACCACCTCATCCCTCACCCTTGCATGTCCCTCCGCTACCGCGCAGGTGGTCCCCACGGGTCTGGAGTTCGGTCGGGAGGGCTTCATCCGCTATCGGGATTTCCGCTTCCATCCCTCACTCAAGCACGCGCGGCGCTTCTACCCGCACGCGCACAACCTGGACGGTGAGAGCGGGGGCTGCCAAGTGCCGTGCCCGGGGGAAAAGCCTGCCTCCGTGGCTTCCCGTTTCAAGCTCACGTCATCATCAGAGCGGCCTCCCCAGCACACACGGCCAGAGGCGTAGGCAGCCAAAGACTCATGCGCCCCACATGCGGCAATAGCCAGTCGGACAGCTCTCTTCTCCTAAAAGATGGCACTGTACGACCCCTGTGGCTGGATGCCCATGGCCCCCCGGCACTAGCAACAAAACACCCACCATCCTGGCTCCCTCCCTTCGCTGCCTCCCTCGGCGGCCCCGCAGGCTTCTTCGTGTGCAAGCTGAAGAAGCTCTCCAACACGGTCAAGAAGAGCGGCGAGGAGAGCGAGGAGGAGGAGGACGAGGAGGGCGCCGTGCAGGCGGGCAGCGAGGACGGAGATGGAGAGCAGGCGGGCGCCGCTGCTGCTGCTGGCGGCAAGGGCGGCAAGAAGGCGGCGGGACCCAAGCCTGTGATCATCCCCGTCAGCAAGCCCAAGGTGGGTCGGGTCACGTGGGTCCTTGGATACTGTCTGCACCTCCGCAGCCGCCTCCTCTGCTGCGCATGGTTCCATCTTTCATATGTCAACCAGCTGTCCTGTTTATAGCTGCTGGAGCAATCCTATGACCCGTATAGCCGTATTGCTTGTTTTTTAACAGCCATTCCGTGCCGTGCCTTGACCTAACAGCCTCCCCCATGCTGCCTCTCCCTCCCTCCCTCCCCTCAGTCGCACCCCAAGGGCGCGCAGCGTGTACCCGTCAAGAAGACCGCAGCGGAGCAGCCGGACGCGGACGACGAGGGCATGCAGGCGGAGATGGCGGCACTGAAGGCGGCGCTCGCTAAGAAGGGAGACAAGGCGGGAAAGGCCGCAGACAACAAGAAGCCTACTAAGGAGGAAGCTGGCGAGGAGGAGGGCGACGAAGGGCGCGCAGCGGCGGGCAGGCGCGCGGGCCCCAGCGGGCGAGATGCGGCAGGGGCGGGCGCCAAGGGTGGCAAGGGGAAAGTAGAGGCTGCAACGGAGGGCGAAGAGAAGCCGAAGAAGCAGTCCAAGCCAGCCGGCAAGGTAGGCGAGCGTGAGGGGCGGTGGGCTGAAGGGCGGAGGAGCTTTGCGGGTTTACCATGCCGGGTATCCATGCAAGGACGAATAAGGCATGGCATTGCGGTGTGGGTGGATAGTAACTAGTAGGCGTGCGGCTGTCTCCACGCTTTGCTGTACCCAACGCTATGTCTTTATCTTCTGCTGCCATCTGGGTCTTTGCCGCAGGGCGAGCAGCAGCCGGCCGGTAAGGGGAAGCAGCAGCAGCAGCAAGCGGAGGAGCAGGCGGCGGGACCCAGTGGGAGACAAGGAGCAGGCAAGGCGGCTGCGGGCGGGAAGGGCGCTGCCGCCGGTGCGGCGAGGAATGGTGGGGCCGCGCCAAAGGCTAACGGCGCGGCGGCGAAGGCCAAGCAGCCGCAGCAGCAGGGTGCCAAGCCGACCGGGCAGCAGAAGGGGCGGCCGCAAGGCGGGGCTGCGGGCGGGAAACCAGGACAAGGCGGCTCGCCGGCGGGCAAGAAGTCCCCAGGGGGCCCAGCGGCGAAGGGACCCGCTGCCAAGAAGCAGAAGAAGTAAAAGCGGTGGACGTAGCGGGTGGTTCTGCGCGATCAGGATAGTATTGACTCCGTGGAGCAGATGTGTTTGTGGGTGGTGGAAATGAAGGGGCTTGACACGGGGGAGTGCGCTGCTCAGTGGGCGCGCCAAAGAAGGCGCGGTGAAGGAAGAGGTGCTGGCATGTGTTAGGGTGTAACGGGGACATGCGGCACGGCAAATTGCAGGAGCACCCTCTAAACGGGATGGCGGGCTGCTTGGCACAGAATAGCGTACGGCTGCTGTGCCGAGCCTGTAACGAACAGGAATCGCTACCTCGTGCTGCGTAGACAGAGCTCCTGCAGCCATGCTGCTTACACAGTGCCAGGATTCCCCTCGTCAGCGGCATCACTTCACATGTGGCCGACCATCTAGCGCACGTACCGGCAATACTCGGTTGCACGATAACTCGATTTTGGCGCTAAGATTTAATAAGCTAGAGCCAAGCGTGTACCAAGTGAAGCGGCACTAGCAGTTCAAACTCACGGCGGACTATCCACATCGGCAACGTATGAGTCGCCACGACAGCCGTCTAAATGCTAAAGTTTGGCTCGGCTTCGTGCCTTTGCCCACGCTAACCGTACACATACATTCCGGAAATGCTTGAGAGAGACAGGTATTATATGCAATTCCATGTACAGAGATGCTATGCACGTCATATCTATCGTCGTCCATGCATTCTCAGGTCGAGATGGCGTCCCAGGAGGGCCTGCACGAAACCCTGACCGGCGTCGTACACACGCCGACTGTTGGCCAAGCCAGAACCAGCACGACTCATACATCGCATGTACGCTACAGCCCGCGGTGCCAGAAGCCCGCCTGTGCTGGTCAGTATTGATAGTCCAGCGTCATAATCGCACCCAGGGTGGGTCAATCAGCTTACATGTACGTCAATCGCTCAGTTCGTCAATAACGCTTCTTCAATAACGCACGCATGTGGCCACCGCTCGTGCCGACTCCCATGGTATGCCACCCACATGCCAGGATATCCAGTGAAGAGTAATCGCCTCGATACAGCAGGTCCAGGCTGAACGCCAGCTTCAGGTCAGCAGCCTGCGCCGTCACATCTCGTCCCCGAGCTCTCTCTCAGTCGGGATCAGGGCGGCGGGGTGGCAGCCTGCGCCCGCCGCCGCCTGCTCGTCCGCATGCAGCAGCCGCCGGATGGCCTCGCTCTTGCGCTTGTTGTGCTTCAGCTGGACCTGTCAGACACGAGCAAGGTTCTTTCAAGAACCAAAAGAGGGCGCAAAGGCTGCTTCACACGTGTTCCGTTTCTGTGTAGGCGAATATGGGCACACCCTTTACCCCATGCCCCGTATGGTACTACTACGGCACAGCTACGGCCGCAGCAACCACGTGATCTATACACATCAAGGGGCCCCCCTTCAACCGCCACATCCACTTCGCACCTCCGACATCTTCTCCAGCAGCTTGGACTGCCACTGCAGCTTGCGGCGGCTCTCCGCCAGCTCCGCCACCTCGGTGCGAGCCCGCGCCGCCGCCTCCAGCGCCTTCGTCCGCTCCTCCTCCAGCTGTCGCAGCTGCATGGACGCCCGGTACCACATTTACATGGCCCCATGCAGGGTTAGTGGCGGCAACGCAGGTAATCCCAAACACGCCTGGTACGCTCCGTTCCAGTCTTCCCGGCACGTTGTTGCAACCCCTACGCGTGCCCCTAAACACTTCAGGTGCATGCCACCCAACGAGCTGCACACGCCCAGCGCCCCACCCCAGCCCACCTTGTCCTCCATGACGGCCGAGCTGACGTCTGCTCGCTGCACCAGCTCGTTCACCGCCTCCAGCCGCTGCAGCGCCGCCATGAGCAGCCCCTTCAGGTCGTCCCGCTCCGCGTTGAGGCCAGCAATCGCCAGCGCCGACTCCTCCTGGGTCCTGCGGGGGGCGGAGCAAGCCAGGGGGTGCAGGTTGGTGGGGTGCTCGTAGGGGACTTGTGACGGTAGGGGTAAAGGGGGATTGTAGGGGGCACGCGTGCTCCCTGTTCATGGTATGCGGAGGTCCGCTAGCTACGTAGGTAGCTGTTACACATCGGCTTGGTTGGGTACTCGGGACTCCGTGCCCCGCGCGTCCTACCTTCCACAGCTTGCGAAAACGGCTGCCAGCCACCAAACCTGACCCAAATTCCACCGAGCAGGCCCTACTCCTTGCAGCCGTCCCCCCCCGTCCCACCTGTGCAGCGACCCGTCCAGCTCGCGTATCCTCTCCGCGGCGCTCTCCAGCTGGCCGTCGCGGCTCTTCAGCGCCGTCTTGAGCGCCTTGATGTCGAGCGCCTGGTGCTCCAGCACACGCTGCTGCCGCTTGTACTCCAGCTCCAGCTTGTTGGCACGCTTGCGCTCCTCGATGGCCTCGCGGCGCAGGCGAGCCTGCAGCAAGGCGCGTGTGACCCAGATCGGCAAGCAGCGTGTTAGCCGGCATGCATACAGGTGGTGCGTTGGCTAGTAGTAGGAAAGCCTGAGTCCATTAACTGCTTACGCATGGCACTCTGGGCTAAAGCTTCCTCCTGTGGCGTTCCGGAGAGGGACTTAGGGTGCAATCGAAGATGCATGGCCGCACCTTTTCGTGCGCCCATGCTGCTTCGGCCTCCTTGAACTGCGCCAGCACGTTGGACAGCGGCGTGTGTGCCGGGATGCTGCGCATATGGTCCATGTTGCGCACAGCGGCTCCAAGGCCCTTGCTGGGGCCCACAGCAAGCGCTGATTGCCGGGCGGTTTTGCCGCCAGCCTTGACCTTCTTACCAGCGCCCCTACTGGTACACGGCGCCGAACAAGGACGCCTTTAGTATGAGTCAAGTGTGCAACGGGCTTGCTAGCATGCTAATGCCTGCTAGTAGCAGAGCCGGTTCGCGCACATATGCGTTGGGTGGCAGGGGTGAGGATGGGCACAAGGATGGGACGACGGCAGCCGTGCTATGCGTACCGCTCAGGCTTCGGGCTCCGCGGGGCTGCAACCTCCTCTGCGGCTACAATTGCTGCTAGGCCGCCAAGGTCCTCCTGAAGCGCCTGCTGTATGGCAGAGCTTTGCGCCTCCGCGCTGCTCATGGCACGCTCCACGCGGCTTATCCGCTCGAATAGGTCCGCCATGCCTTTCCTGCCCCTGCACTTCAGAGTACTTTCTATCAACCCCCAAGCCAGCATTTTCTCTGGGTTGATCCGCAATCATACCTGTCGACCGCTGCTGGGTCCATTCCTCGCCCATCTGCGGGCTGTGAGACCCACAAGGCTATGCATCATAAAAGCTACCAGAAATCGTACACCAGAACAATATCCTTTGTTACATACCTTTTGTCTAGGGCTTCGCGCAACTGCTGGAGGAGAGGGAGGGCTTGGAGGTGCAGCCCCGGCACCTCTCACATCCACGCCAAGCCGCGTCAAGCGCGCCTTAAGCTGATTCAGGTCTACACCGGATGCTGCCATACTCCCGGCCGGCAAAAGCTGGAACGGAAGATGGCAGCCCAAAGAGCTTTGACTCTAGGATTGACTACAGGGAAAAGGTCGCCCCCAGTCCGTCGGCGCTAACAAATGAGGTGTAGTAACATAAAAAAAATATAGTTAGGTAACAAGTACGCTTTCTTGCTATGCAGTAGTTGGGCGTCGCGGGTGTGTACTGGCGGTGGAGCAAATTTAATACGGCTTTAACTTATTGGAAAGAGTTAACCATGTGATTCTTCCAGTTGTTACTTAGGGCTGTTGGTAACGTGCAGGAGGTAGGCAGTCGGGACGTCCCATCTTCCCGACATTGTGATTAGACTGATTACCGGAATTGCGTTGAATCGCGTGAATCGTTGTAAGCGCCGTTACATAGGTGTTGATCGCAAGAGGCATATGCATTATCTTTGCAATCACTGTAATGCAGAAGTCCATAGATTAACCAGCTCACAGGCGCACGCCTTGCATGATGCCCTCGTGCAATAGGTAATATATAGTCACCTTGGTAAATAAGATGCGTTGCGGCCTCCGCAGCCTACTAACAAACCGTTTGCAAGGTGCAACATCCTCTGCGTTCAAGAACCCCTAACCAGCCGCAACGTCAGGTGCACCTTGGTGATGGGCAGTGGTAAGTGCAAGCGCACGATGCACAAGTGTTGCTATGCCCGATCTAAACCACCACATGCAAGGGGTGTAACGTTTTTATGAAGACAAGTCGTTGATTGCCGCGCCCAGTGGCCAAGCAGCTTCTATGTGTTGCCCGTTGTACTCGACCTGCTTCACCAGCGTCACCTTCATCGAGGGATCCAGCTTAAAACCCTGCGGAGATCAGGACCGGCATGGGGTGTTAAACATGTCTATTTGTACGAAGAGTCGGGACATGGCACGCCAAACGGACGCATGCACACTCCTAATGTTTTGCTCTGGTGGTGCTCGTCAAGCCGTCAACAGGTGCTCCTCAAGCTTCGTCGTAAGAAGTATCGTTGCTCCTGAGCACCCAGCCACGCACGCACTGACTAGCACGCCTTGCACACAGACAAAAAACCCATGCCCACAGTCGCTCATAGAACCCACCTTGGTAAGCATTACGTTGCAGTATGTGAGGTCTAGGCATAAGAACTGGGCGGCGTCACGTTGCAGCTTGTAAGACTTGGTGACGGCATCAAGACCTTGGCTGCATACTTCCGCGGCCTTAGCCTCAAACTCCTGCAGGTTACAGCAACAGCAGGCGACGTCATGGCTCTGCCGTTGCGCAAAACACTAGCGGCTGCCATGCCATGCCTGCCATGCGATGCCATGCCACTGCGTTCATTGCCGTGGCGTACATAGCAGCTGAGCTGAAGCAGTTACTAGTTTAAAGACCCTCCCCATTTCTTATCCGCAAAATTGAAGCGAGCGAGCATCCTTTCATCAACATCCTGAGGCCCGCGCTGACCTTGGGCGTGGTGGGCCACATAGTGGCACTCTGGTCCTTGATGATGCCTGTGTCGACGGCGCGGTCCCAGAAGTACGACGACACATAGTATTGCCGGCCCTTGCTGAGGCCGTTGCCGCGCCAGGCGCCGTTGAAGGAGCACTGGATCTGCACAACATCGCGTGGGTTAACAACACATGGTCGTCATTAGCTACTTCCATACACCAGGGCGTGGGAATGGGCGGAGTTTGCTGCCAGGTGCGCCATGTCACTGGAAAGAAACAGGACCGCGGACCGTATTTCCTACCTGCTCCGCGCCGCAAGTTAGGTTGGACTGCAGGGCCGCAGCGCCCAACGTGTTGCACTTCTTGGAGTCCGCGCTGTCGCCAGCGGGCTTATAGCTGTAGTCCTTGCCAGCATAGGCGTACTTGCCAGCCGCGCCGGTAGCGAAGCACCCGTTGGAGCCCGAGGTGCCAGCCTCGATAAGCTTGGCGCGACCCGCCATGAGACCGTAGCCCAGGTACGAGTGCACGTACACGTTGAAGGTCTTGCCCGCGCCGTGCAGGACGGTCACGTAGTCCCTAGGAGGGTAGGCAGACATGTCAGAATGCGATCCGGGGTCATACCTCTTGCAAGCCAAAAATACTGTGCGGCTACAGGAGCACTACAGCTCCAAGGACTGCGCCAATTCTTGCGAAACAACCAACCTCGCCCGACACTTTCCCCCCACGTTCTTACTTGGGAGCCGTCTTTGCGTCAGCTGCCTCCAAGGCAAAGGCCTCCTGGATGGAGCCGCCGCCCATGTCGATGGCAGCCACCGTGTCGCTGGCGGAGCCGGACAGCTTGCCCAGCAAGTAGTTGAGCGTTAGCCAGGCGAAGGCACCCTCATCCTTCCCTGCAAGCCCAAGGACAAGGCACATGATCACAGCTCGGACCTAGAACCCTTGGCAGTCCTAGGTAGCACCAACAACCGATCAGGATATCAGCAAACAAGGCATATCATCCTCCCGGCACAGGTATTTGTTACCCCACCAGACCAACCGCCTCCGCCACCCAGAACCCACCATCCATGATGGCCACGCCCCCTGGCGCCAGCTTGAAGGGCTGCTTCTTCAGCAGCTGCTCAACCGCAGCGAGGATGCGCTCAGCCTTGTCACCAGGCAGCAACCGCAGTCCCGCCGTGGCCTTCAGCGAAATGGGCGTGGACGCCTGAAGCGATGCACACAGAAGGAAGAGTGTTCGTTAGGGGCATGAGGGAGAGAGAGAGTGAGCCACCAGCTAGATGTAGGGCTCGCCCCGCCTAGGTACGCGCAAGCAAAGCTTTGCTGGAATACACCAATGCCTTTGACTTGCCATTTGGGTTGGCGGCCTGGGCTGCACAAACAAGCCTCGTTGTGAAGGACCTAAATCCCACCCAGACTACCGTAGACACCGCAAGAAGGACCAGCAACGGGGAAGAGATTACGAGCCGGTTTTCCTTTTCACCCAAATTGCTTTTCACTGAGCGTCTCCAAAGTAGGCTATAGCAGCATGGGCCCAAAGATGCCCACCTGCAGGCTCGCCGGGACCGTCTTGAGTGCTGTATCCAGCAGCGGCTGCAGCGAGGCAGCGGCCTTGGCAGGGTCTTCCGCATAGGAGCTGAGGCCAGGCTTCAGCTGCTCGAAGGTGTCGCTGATTAGGTTCAGCTGTCCGCTCCGCTGCTCAAACCTAAACACGTGCACACGGCTTCCCGTGCTTCCTGCATCGAAGACTATGGCGTACTTGGTTTGCACCTCTGGGCCCACGTGCCGCAACTCCTTGAGGGTATGTGGCCGCTCAACGCGCAGCGGGGACACGCGTGGAACCAACGTGACTACTGCCAAGATAAGGAGGACCTGCACAGGAGGTAGGTAACCCTTATAATTGCTCAACCATGCCAGCCGCTGCGCTCTGGATTACATATCACAGGGTAGGCTTGCAACCAACGGGAATGCTACTGCATAACGTCGAGTTTTACAAGTTTCGACAGACAACCTACAAAGATTTGGGCCCCCCTCTCGTTCTCTTTGGCAACCTCCTTTTTGGAGACGCAGCGTTTTGCGACAACCACGAGCCTAACCCCGCAAGCGCCACACACAGGCCCCAAGGACGTTGCAAAACCCTCGTATAGCTTCTTACCGGAATGGACACGACCAGCAGGACGCCACGATACCTGCATAGCCCCATGGGCAACGAGATTGTCGCTAAGCATGGTCATGAACCATACGCAAGCCATAGACCAAAGCTTCACCTCGAGAGGCTGTAAGACAGCTTCTTATCGACTGACCGCCATAACTTTTCTCCAAAGCCTTCCGGCCGCTTCATGTCTGCTAACAGTTCTGCCTGCTCTGGTGTGGCCTCCTCCTCCGCTAAAGGATCAGGATCGGCAGTTGCCACTTGTATAGGGCGACGACGAGAGTCGTAAATTACTTTCTCTTACAGGCCTTCAGCGTTGCATGTTTAGGAAACAGCAGGGTTTGGTGCGCAGTCTGTTGCAATTTTGCATGGACAGCTATCGATGCAAGGGGTATCACCAAAACAAATTAAAACTCACGCACAGAACATGCTCATGCCCTCCGTAAGTATTATGTGACAATAGGCTATGAAGTAGATATGTGCGACTGAAATCACCGAAGTCGTGCAAACCGTTATCTGAGAAACCAATCCAAGGTGCCGCTCCTAATTGCCAAATACTCGCACGTGCTATGTGGAAAGAAGCTTTTCCACTTTGAGACAAACATATTCTCCGTCTATTCCTCCTCTGTGAGACTCTCCAGGGCAAATTTCTACGCACCGCATACTTCGACCGGATTGAGGCAGATCCACGGAACACCTGTTGTATATATACTATTGTGCATAAACATGGCTTCATGGGTGGCAACCCCTCCCTCATACGCTCGGGCACCTTTCCGGCAAGGTATCCTGGCCAGCCTTAGCCTATGGCGTATCGTGCCTGTGGCACAGCATGCTGTGGACATGTTTTCACACCCTGGGGGTGTCCTGCCGTGAGGCGTTTTGTTGGCAGGCCTCCTCGCTTGGACCGTGCTAACCCCAAACCCGTTCGTGGCCATACCACCACAGGGAAGCGGGCAACACGGCTGGCCGCCACATGCAGACCGGTGGCCGTCTGGACACGCCCGACACCGGATCGCGACGCGGACTTTATCAAACCCTCTTACATCCCGCGCCCCGTGGAGCCCAGCATTACCCAGCCCCGTGAGCAGCCCATCTACGCACCCACCACACCGGAGTTCCGCCCTGCAGAGCTCCCGGTGGGCTGGGCTTTGTGCTGCGATGTGGGCATAGGAACTATGCTGCGCACGGGTCCGACCTTATTTGCACCTGGTGCACCATAGTCAGCCCAGCCCATAATTGTTTCTTTTGTATGCGACATGTTTGCCCATGCAGGAGAACCCCAAGGAGCTGCCCGAGGCTCCTAAGCTGCCTGAGCGGCGCCCGGATGACATCCCTGCGGGCAACCCCAAGGAGAAGCCAACGGAAGGCGCGCCCGACAAGCGTGAGGCGCCCCCTCCCAAGGACCGCGAAGCGGCGCCAAAGAAGTAGCGGACCTCGTGCATGCATGGGCAGCGTTTCCCATGGGTGGGGAACTGTTCCTCGGAAGGCCCAAAGAGTGTATCTTGTAATTGTAGCGGGTGGTTACTGGTTATTTCATAGGTTTTGGTAAAGTAAGGTTGGTTGGTTGTGACCGGTGTAAGCACCATGTACTGGCGCTACGTCAACTCTGTTTGACCTACGTCGTTCCTCATATTAATTTGTTAGTTTTGAGAGCCGGGTGGTTTACGATAATCTGCGCAAAACTTAAGAGAACACTCCTTGGTGCCCCAACAATGTGCCTGTCGGCCATTCACGCGGTGTTTGCCGCTGACAACCCCTAGGTTTTTGCTGCACTTTTTAGCATGTTGTCAAAGCAATTACTTCGCACTGCTTTCTGTGCCCTTCCGTTCCGCAACATGGAATGGTATGATGCCGCCAAACTCGTTGGCATGGGATATAGGGACCAAGCTCAAGCGTTACACGATGCAAGCTAGGCAGCGGGGCAGCAGCCTAGGCATCCAACCGTGCGACGAGCTCCGAAGCGGGTGGCCGAGCCATCTACTTCTTGCCCTTCTTGCCACCCTTGGCGGCAGCGGGGGCCTCAACAGCGGCCGCGGGGGCGGCAGCGGCCTTAGGCTTGGGGGCACCAGTCGGGGCGCCACCCTCGTAGACGAAGGTGTTGCTGCACTTGCCGCAGTACACACGGTCGAAGTGGGTGGCCATGAAGGTACCCGGGCCGCAGTTGGGGCACTGCTTGCGCAGGCGCTGCACCTTGCCCGAGTCGTCCACCTGCGGATGTGAATGGCGAGAGGGAAAGTATAGGGGATAAGAAACGACCTGTAGAACCTAGAATCCATGCAACATGCGCTTGGAAAGAAACGATGCCTGGTTTGCCGTACTCATGGGGCCGAACCCTACCAACCTCCGTAACATGTTGGCGCCAATGGAGGCATACCCCAAGCTGCAACCCCTCCGCGAGCTGACGGTTCCTGACCGACCAATGCACGTACCTTGTAGAACTTCAGCACCCGGAGCTTGATCTTCTTGTGCTTGTGCTTCAGCTTCTTCGGCTTGGTGTAGGTCTTCTTCTTGCGCTTCTTGGCACCACCAACCAGGCGCAGCATGCACATGAGAGTGCTGTCATCGCTGACACCAGCCTCAGCCAGCACCTGGGCATCCTCCAGCTGGATACCGTTGAACAGAATACGCTGCTCAGCGGTCTCCAGGCCTGTGAAACCCAAACAAACATTGAACGTCAATAATAACAATCGTGCTTAAGCGCAGAGGCGTCCAGGTAGATGAAGAATGACAGGGCTCGGATGCTCTATGCATAACGGTACACGCGCATAACGAACGCAAGCACGTAGGTTTATTTGTATGTTGTGTTTCGGTATTCAGGTTCTGGCATAGTCGTCTGAACTCACCCTGCAGGGCCTCCACAGCGGCCTTCACATCGGCGACAGTCTGCGCCGGGCTCACCTCCAGGAGGTGAGTCCGGTCTGCAAGGCAAAGGTGAAATGCGATGTATTAAAACATAGAAAAAGCTCCTTATGGGTTGCGTGTTGCTATTAGGTGGCTTAAGCTAGTTGCGGCGGCACAGCATTGCGAGTGTTCTCACCGGTCCGAACGAAAATCTGCATTTTTCACGGCACTCGGCAGTGATACCAGTGCCTTCCTTGCGCCGTAAGAGAGAGAACGGAAGCAGCGGTCGCCCCAAGTCATTGCGCCGCCTCGTCGTACAAACGCGTCGTACTGCGTCCCTCATTGTGCGCCGTGAACAGCTGAACATTTGTATCCATGCAAACACTGCTGTGACTTAGTTTGAGTTTGCTGCTTGGGCTTTGCGCTTTGCATTTGCCGTGCAGGTTCCTGACTATGCAGCGAAGCGTATGTTGGACAGAGGAAGCACGCAGCGGCATATCCATGTTGCCCGCCTTGCTTATGATTGCTTCGTTTTGCAATTCATAAGCATTGCACCTTGCTCTGAGTGCCCTGCCGAGGTGTATTACTTGTGCTCCTTTGAGATGCGACGGGCCTGGGGCTTCACACCTGCTTCAGCCAAATCTAGGGCAACGGCTTGTGCAGCACAGCAGGCGTTTTAAGTGTCCTAAAGTGTCCATCCGGCCTCTTCCCGTGGGAAACTGCGTCCTCGGCCTGACCCAGGGGACGGGGCGGGGATGGCATGGTAAGAGTGTGCCATTACCAGCAAATCGTGAATGAAATGCCAAGGCAGCTTAAAGTCCCGCTGCATGCATAACAGAAGCACTTGTCCAAAGAGCTCGTCCAAAGAGCGCGGCAATGCAAGCGTAGAGGGCCTGGAGCGATGTGTCACGCAAGCAGCAGCCTTAGCGTCGTGCAGCAAACAACGCCTGGTTCAGCTTTACCCCACTCTAGTTGTACATCTGCTCTCCGCGTTGCCTCTTTACACTACAGGACTGGTATCTTACCACACTAGAAGCACAGCAGTCGACAACCCCAGCTTGCGTCTGTAAAGAATGCACCACAAGGCACCACACAATGACGATTTATTTCGCCCAGGTGAAGCAAATCATGAGCCGCAGCTACTGCCATACGACTAAACCTGCCATAAGGCACTCAACACTCGACTACTACTCTTACCCTCCCTCCAAGTTTATTGGCACTCCGCACCTTCGCCACCACACCTCGTTACGAACCAACACAAACTGCGCTCTCTCCCACAGCGCTACCCGCCTTGCCGGCTTGCCGTTTCCCGCCCTGCTCGTCACCCCCTTTGTTACCTCCTTACTACCGGTAGACTGTGTCGTGCCGCTATGCGTGCCAAGCCCTCTCCCCCCTCCGCATTCCCCCGCCGCAGACCTGCCTCGCGCCTACCAGGCGGTGGACAAGCGGCACCCCGCGGGCAGCGAGGGGCTGTCCAACCCCACCATGACGGTGCTGCAGCAGCACGCGGGCTTCTGGGACAGGTGTGCGGGCTGCTGGGGGGGGGTGAATATAAGAAATGCAAACAACTAGAGTCCCAATCGTCCTCCGGGGGGGGGGCCGGGGGAAACACCAGGCAGCAGGGGGCATGCAGGGACGGGACGAGCAGTTATTCAGGGCCCTCCCCACTGCCGTACTGCCCGGCCTGCAGGGACAACGACGGCCGGATCTATCCGCTGGATACCTACAGAGGTGGGTGCCTTGGGCGTTGGGCTCCGGCAGCAGGATTTGCGGGTTGACAACCGGGGCGCTTTCGGCAATGCCACCTAGCACGGTAGCAGGTACCCCTTCATTTGCTGCACCCCACTGCACCCTGCCCTTGGGAGCTGCACTGAGGGTTGCCACTTTCGTTAGCAGCAGCACGATATCTCGTCTCCTCTTGCACCACCTCCACTGCTGCTCTGCCGCACCCTCCTCTGCTGCACACGCCCCTCAGGCTGCCGCGAGCTGGGCATGTCGATTCTGCTGAGCGCCGCATTCACCTGGCTGCTGCACTTCACACTGGTGGTGCCGTACGTGACGCAGGTACGGCAGCAGCTGCTTCGCACGTTAGGTGCCGTACAGAGAACGTGCCGTACGGAGCCCCAGCTGGTTGTCATGTACGTACGGCACCTGTGTGTGTCCCTCGCAACTGCTTGTGCCGTATTACCCCGGCGCCCACCGCCCACCCGGCAGGACAATTGGCTGCTTCACCCCTACCTGATCATCTACCTGAAGAACATCCACCGCCTGAAGCACGCCAGCGATACGGGCACGTTTGACGAGGAGGGGCGCATGTACCCAGGGGTGGGTGGCTGGGTGGCTGCACGGTGTGATATGATGGTGTAGAGGGAACTTGGCGGCACGGAAGAGGCTGCATGGGGATGTCTGTACGGCGCGCAGCAACACGCGCCAGACGTGAGCGTCGTTTGATGAGTTGGCGCGTCGACGACTGGGTGTTGCTGCCAGCACTGCCCTCCGCAATCAAGCCCGAGAGTCCCTCTTCCTTACGGCCCCATGGGACCCCCCCCACCCACCCCACCCAGTTTTCCTTATTTTTACCCACCCATCGTGCAGAAGTTCGAGCAGATCTGGGGTGTGTTGGGCGCCGAGGAGCTGCGCAGCTACGATGACGTGAAGCGGCTGGTGCGGGCGAACAAGGACGTAGCGGACCCCGTGGGATGGTGGGTGGGTGGGGTGCTTGTAAAGGCACCCTTCTGGGTGATTTTGCGGCAGCCCTTCCCCAACGCATGGGCTAGGTTAACATGGGCCCTCCCACCCATGCACGAATTGCATCCATGCACCATGGGATTTAACCACTATCATTGTAACATTGGTTTTCCTTCCTTTCTCCTCCACCTGCACCTGCCCACCACCCAGGCTGGCCTCCACCATCTCCTGGACTCTGCTGTGGCTGGTTGCGCGCGACGAGCGCGGCGTGGTGAGTCGCGAGGCGGTGCGATCCTGCTACGACGGCACGCTGTTTTACCGCATTGCGGAGGCGCGCCGCGCACGCGCTCTGGCGTCCAAGTACGAGTGAGCGAACGGAGAGTACGGAAAGCATGGAGTACGGAGATGCGCTGTCGTACGTGCTGTGTACGTCAGCGCATGGTGCGGCAGGTTACCGGTATAGCATATGGGTGCGGAAGAGGGGTTGGTACGGGGTTTTCCACTGCGGATCCGAGGTTTACCATGTGTCAGCGGTTACTGGGTAAGAGGGCAGTTGAGCTGATTAGGAGTAGGATCCTAAGTCTTGGCGTGGCGTGGAGGATTGCTAGCGGTTGACAGGTGGGCCGTACAGGAAGAGGCAGTGTGCAGATCCTCGGTAGTGTGTTCAAGGACTGGCCGCCAAACGAACGCTGACCATGGTAGCATTGTGATAGTATTACAGTTACCACCAGCTTTTGCGTGTGCATTTCATCACCAGATGGTCAAATGCAACCTACTTCCTTTCCATGAATGCTTAAAACAAATGCGGTGACGAACCACAATCCTCTCACCTCACGTCCAATTCACGTGTTGCCCTTGTCACGGCTCTTCCAAGGCTTCCCTCCTAAAACACACATTCATGCAGCAGCCCGCGCAACATCCGCCTGGCATCCCCATAATCCTAGCGGCGCTTCAGGCATCATCAAACAGGCTCTCCAGCTATTCTGATACTCTAGGACTACACTCCCTGACTCCATGTGTTGCTTTGTACTGGAACAGCGTCTTCGGTTTCCTGGCCTTCAAAATTGTTGTACTATAATCCACACACTGTCGCTGCTCATTCCCCAATTTCACACCACATGGAGGTCACCTTTCGCCACTCTCACGCGCCCACGGCACCTCCTCCCTCACAGCTTGCACTCTCCACTCTCATCCGCCTCACGTTCCCTGCCCTCTAGACCCATGCACGGCCATACCCGCAAAACCCGCCTCCTCCTCCTCCTTACTCTCCTCCAGTTGCTCCTGCCGTTTTAAGAACACCGGCCCCTCGAACTCCTCACCTCCTCAGCACCCTCCTACCAACCCTCCCATCCTACGCATCCTCCGAAACCCACACTTCAGAATCACCCACCTATCCACCTACCCACTATCCATCCGCTCATGCACATCCACCCATCCATCCCTTCCACCTCATGCGGAAGGGGCCCGCGGGCGGTTGCGCCTCTCACGCCACGTTGGTGTAGCGCAGCAGGATGCCGTCGTTGCCCAGCACGAAGCCCAGCTGCGACCCGAAGAACTTGATGGCGTACAAGTTGCCCGCCAGGTCGTCCGTGGAGCGGTCGCGCTTCCAGGAGTGCCCGCCGTCCTCGGAGCGGTACAGACTGCCGCTGCCGCCGCACGCGAAGGCGACCTTGTCGTCGCGGAAGCTGCGGGGGGAAAAGGAGAACACCCCAATGTGTTGTGGGGATCAAATTGACCAAACCATATGAAACCACAAAGTACAGGCAGAGGTGACATTAGTGGTGTGGTGTGGTTACTCGCGCAATGAGGCGGGGGCAGGAGGGTAGGACGTGGAAGTGGAGCATTGGGGAATCCCGCGGGTAGGGAGGGGACAGGAGCTGGATTGGCCGGCGCAAGGGGAAGTCAGGGAGCATGGGAGGTGCGGCAAGCCTGGTGAAGGCAGGGAGGAGGAGCGGGTACAGGCAGGTGAAGAAGATGAAGCAGGCGAATGGGCAGCGGGCAGCAGCAACGTGACATACTGCTAGCCCCCCTACTGCTCGAGTAAGCGAGCTCGGCTCAGCCCCCAAGGAACCGCACCCCAACCGCAACCTCAGCATTACACCGCCCCCCCCCAACCCACGCAGCCAACCCACCCGACATCCAGGATGCCAAAGCCGCGCGAGTTGATCGCCACGTTCTCAAACTTGTCGGTGTTAATTCCGGGCTGTTCCGAGATCAGCACATCGCCACCCCGGGTGGTCACCCACACCTCGCCCGCGGGCGTGAAGCCCATGTTCTGCAGGCGCCGCGTGGCAGGCCGGTTGTGCGGCATCCAGAAGCTCTGCCCGGGCGACCAGGTCATGTAGAAGTTGCCGCGCGAGGAGACGGCCACGTAGTCCCCGGCGGCGCTGCGGGTCATGTTGGAGAAGGAGCCCTCGTAGTAGGAGGCGCCGCTGATGCCTGGGGGGGCAGGGGGGTAGCATGGGGCGCGGCGGGGGGTGCATGGGGTGCGAGGTGTGGAGGAAGACAGGGGAACCACGTGACAAGATTCTGAATACATGCGGGGCCGGCTGCATGGCGGTTTGGCTGTGGGGTGCGGCGGAGGGCGATGGTGGGGCAGGGGTGAGGCGGGATACGCATGGGGGGAACAGCAGGGCGCGCATGAGGTGAAGGATGGGGTGGGGCAGCAGGTGCGGTGCACGTCCATGGTCGCCTGGCTCATTAAGAGCAAGCGCCCCGCCCGCGGCTGATACGGTATGAGTGCTCCCGGTGACATGCCACCTGCTGCGCCACGCCACTCCGCCCCCCCCCACCCGTTTGTACGGCGTCCCCCCCACTGCCGTTGCGGTGTTGCCTGGGGCACACGTCCACACGACTGCTCAAGTGTGCCCCCCCCGCCCTATGGCCCATGCTGCTCCCCAACTCCTCCCACTCCTCCAACACTCAAGGGCATGCCGCGCCTAGCGGGCAAAGCCCAGACCCGGTGCTGCCCACCCCTACCCAACTATCCACACCACCATACATCGCCCCGCCTCAGAACCACCAGCCTGCTGCTGCCCACCACCCACTCTCCTCTGCACCCTCCACATGGTTAGCTCCTTCATTTTACCACTTTACCCCCCTCCCCAACACCATATCCCCCCGCCACCACCCACCGCTAGACACGGTGCGGTTCAGTGTGGCATCGACCGTCTCCTGCACCGCTGCGGTCCAGGAACTGGCCGCGTTGCTGGTCACGTAGATGGCGCCCTGGCAGGGGGAGGTGGCGCGAGGGGCCGTGTAAGGAGGGGGGAACCGACGAGCGAGGGGTAGGGGTGGAAAAATAAATCATGAGTGCAACAACGGGGAGTGCAGCGAGGGGTGGGGGGGAGAGGACACAGCAGCAGACACGGCCGTCTGGGGAGGCGCAGTGCAGTGCCAGGGGAGAGCTGATGTGAGGGTGGCAGCGCTGCGGGGCAGTCGGCAGCCGCAAAAGTCAACGCTTGACGCCGTTGGTAGTTGTGCCGGCGTGCGGAGACGGTGTATGCGGAGACATTTCATGAGGAGAACGGGCGGTCATGGTTAGGGTAAGGTGGGAATTGGCGAAGGTTGAGGGCCCAAGCGGCGAACGGAGCACGGGCGGGCTGATGAAGAGGAAAGGGCTGCCTTATAGCTCGGCATCGCACGCAGGCTAAGACACCCCTGGCAGCAATGCAGCTCTTCCCCGCCGTACCTGGTCGGTGGTCATCTCAGCCTGGCCGGCCGCGCCGGGTAGCGCCGTGACGCGCACGGGGACACCTGCCAGACGGTAAGGTGAGGGTGGGTGGGGTTTAGCATATCTGCATATGGCATATGGGAGCTGGAGGAACGGTATCTTTGGTAATAAAAGCATGGGGTTGGGATGTGTGCGTGTGTGTGTGTGTTACTGGATAAGCTCACGGCAACCAGCCCACGTGAAGGAAGCCCACCCGGGAGGACGGCTTACCCGGGAGCTTTGAGCTCAGCGGAATGCGCTCCCAGTTAGCTCCACCGTTCGTGGTGTGCAGCAGGATGGCCGGCTTGCCCACAATCCAGCCCTCTTGGCCGTTGAAGGAGATCGAGTTGAAGCGGTAGTTGATGCCCTCGTCGCTGGCAGCGTCCACAAGCCGCGGTTCCCAGGTTTTACCGCCATCAAAGGTCTCCAGCAGCGTCTGCCGTGTTCCCAGCAGGAAACCTGTGCAACACGCGTCACCTCAGGGAACGAGCATGTCCATCCCATGTCCTGCCCCATGGAGTCGGTTGCCCCTTACCATGCTTGTCGTCCGTAAAACCAATATCAAGCAGCACCACGCCTTTGTCTATCGGCAAGTCAACCTACGGGGACGAGAGGGGTTTGGTCGTGCGATCGACGAATTCCAGCCGCGCCAACCAGAAACTTACGCGCTCCCATTCTCGTGACAAAAGCTGATTTGCAAAAGCCGGCCTAGTGCTTCCAAGTGGAAGCGCCAAAGACGCTGCAGCTGCCAGGCCAGCGCCGAGGACCGCACGGCGCGACAGGCCATCGTGGACCTCAGCCTCAGCACGGACGACTACAGCACCACGGCATCGAGAGACGCGCAAAGGCGCAAAGGCTGCAAGGAAACAGCTTGTGTGTAAGGTAATCTTCAATGTTTACAATCCCTGATATTTGCTTGCGGCCCTCACCCTTAACGCGAGAGCTCGCAAGGCTTGGAGCAACCTGCCGCGTATGAGTAGCAAGAGCCATTGTGTAGGCAAAGCAAATAATTATTGCAGTCCAAATTTGGGTCTCAGGGTCCGAATATGGCGTGTCGTTCACGGCAATCCATGTGTGGCTGAGCAACTTGACCCTTAAATCTCACCGTGAAAGCCGCGCATCACCACAAAGAACAACAGCAGTGTATCTATTCCACTTCGTACCACCTAAAAGCAGCCATCCATATCGACTGCCAGGTGCAACACTCTGCACTCATAATAAGCTACCTACCTACCCGCATGCACACACGCGCTCGACCCTCCTTCCCAAGCAAGCGAACCAATCCTGCAAACATTTTTAAGAAATCCACAGTATGCAACATTGCACAGGTAGGCACCCCCTAACCACTGCGCATCCATCCATCCCGCGCGCTCACTTTCCTCCCAGGCGCTGAACAACACGCACAACAAGAACATGCAAAGAAACCAATGCACAAGACAGCGCGCGACTGCGGCCTCACACCAGTGGCGTGCTGTCCACGTCGATTTCGTTGAAGCCCATCATGTGCTTGGGATTCACATACACGAACACCCGACTGCCCACGGGCATGTTGTAATCCCGCTCGTCCTGATCCCGAGTCAACTGCAGCTCGCATTCCTGAGGGCAGGCGGGAGAAGAAGCAACAGCGGCACACAAAACGTGTCAGCACTACATGTGGAACTTAAAACACCTGCAGCCAATGGGCATTTGCTTCTTGGCTTGTTCATAGCTAACCTCTGAACCCCGCCAAAGGAACCGAACCGCATTCTCGCGGCTCTCAGTTAACTCATACACCCACACAGGGAACCCCACCACCCATGCACCCACCGCACAAGCATCCACCCAGCCCCGCCCAACACGCACGCACTCACCACGTCGTCATCGAACCGCAGTGTGTACTTGATCACCCAGCCCAGGTTGGCCTTGTCCGCCACCGTGGCCGGCACCGTCACGGGCGGGTCGTCCAGCGGCAGGCTCCTGAACAGCCGGATGTCGTGCGGCCGGAACATCACCTGGCTCTTGGGGGTGGAGAACCGCATGCGCTTGGCGAGCTGCGGGTGCGGGGAGGGAGGGAAGGAGAGGGAGGGAGAGGGGAGGCAGTGAAGCAGGCGTCAGCAGCAGCGGCGGCGGCGGGGTGCGGTTGCGGTGAGCAAGTGCGGGGCGGAGGTAGCGTGCTGGAGGGTGTCATTGGCCATCATTGACGTTGCAGGGTGCCACACTTCCACAGCAGGGGCCAGCGGGTGTGTAGAGAGTGCTCCCACCCGTCTCCCTCCTTCCGCCCTTCCCAGCTGCTCGCTCCTCAGGTCGTCCTCTCGCCCCCATTGAAGCGCCTCTTCCCCTTGCACCGCCCATATACCCATCCAGTGGGTTCCGATTCGCGGCCACTTTTCTTAACATACCCACCCACTTTCCCACTTTCCCATACAGCTGGGCATACTTTCCTATCCCTCCCAGCCTGCTCCCACCCACCAGCGACGTGGCCGGCACCACATTCGTCTCGCCCACGAACTTCATGATGAACGGCGTGCGCGGGTGCTTGATGATGTCCGTCGGCTTGCCCTGCTGCTCCACCAGCCCCCGGTTGAACACCACCACCTTGTCCGCAAGGTCAAACGCCTCCTCCTGGTCGTGCGTCACGATGATGGTCGTGACGCCCACGCTCCGCACAATCTCCCGCAGCCCCGCCCGCAGCTGCTTCCGCACCACCGCGTCCAGCGCGCCGAACGGCTCGTCCAGCAGCAACAACCGTGGGTTGGAAGCTAGCGCGCGCGCAAGCGCCACACGCTGCCGCTGCCCGCCTGACAGCTGCCGCGGGTAGCGGTCACCCAGACCCTGCAGCTGCACCAACGCCAGCAGGTCCTGCACGCGCTTGTCATGATCCACAGCCAGCTTGCGGACCTCCAGCCCAAACTTGATGTTCTCCGCAACCGTTTTGTGGTTAAAGAGCGCGTAGGATTGGAACACGAAGCCGATCTGGCGTTCCTGTACGGACAGGTCGGTGGCGTCGACGTCGTCAAAGTAGATGCTGCCGCCTGTGGGCTGTTCCAGGCCGGCTATGAGGCGCAGCAGGGTGGTTTTGCCGCTGCCGGAGGGGCCCAACAGCGCCACGATGGAGCTGGGCTCGATGTCCACGTCCACTCCGTCCACCGCCCGGAAGAGGCCTTTGGAGGTGCTGAAGTGCTTTACCATGTTGCGGACCTGAAGGGGGGGCGGGGGTGGGGTAATGAAGTAGGGAGGGGAAGGGAAAGGAAGAGGAGACCCAATGGGTTCCCAACCCAGACACCACCGGACTGGCAGGCGACGAATGGCATGTACGGCGTCCGAGGAGGCCCACCGCTCCTCTCCCACCACTGCCGTTGCCTTCACCATTCTTCTGTTCGGACCGGATTGGGTTTCCGACCCTATGTGCCCCCTCCACTGCAGGGGACGCCACTACATACCCGCCAACCACTTCCCAGCCACTGCTGTCCTTACCCTTACGAAAAGACCAGTTGGTCGTGTGGGCGCATCAAAGATGATTCCCTCGTAGGAGGGGCCCACTTCGTCTGAGGAGAGGTCCGCACCATCTGTTGAGGCCGCCCCAATGCTAGGCCGGGGCTCCTGCGATGGGAACGGGCGGACGCGCTGTAGGCAAGGTAATCGCCCCGCACCAAGCAAGTAGCAGCGGTACCTCGCTTGGTGGTTGTTGAGGCTCATAAGTGGCAGGTTGCCCCACGCTCGCCGCACGGCATGTTGCCGGTGACCTGCATGCCAGGCCACCGAGGCCGTAAAGCCGCCCAAGCCGAAGTTAGCACCCAGGGCGATGTGAATGATGAATACAACTAACGCACCTTTGCACTGGTAGTAATGCTGCTGACGCGAGGGAGTGCTGCGGCCGAGTCACTGCTGGTGTCTGCAAATGGGCAACAAAATTGCTAAATACCTGAATAATATGTAATCAACATAGCCGATGTTTTCATTACGCACCACTATTTGGGAGGGGGCAAGTGGGAGCAGTGTGTGCCCAGGCCGGGCCGGCGCTACTCGCCCAGCCGTCGTGTGTTGCGCTAGCATGGCTAAATAAATTGATTACACAAGTCTATGCACGAATAGCTGCGTTTCATTGTATCGGGGTTGCAACATGACGAAAGTGCAATGCCGTGCAGCTGGCCAAACCGCTGATGCTGGCTGATTCGCACCAGCAGCAACGTAGAATGTTCATAAGCGCGTTAGCAAACAGCTTAATCATAAACACTGCAATCGTTGCATAAGCTGCCCAGACCTAGACTGATGCCAACCATGGCTGAGTAGTTTGTTAATACGACCAATGGCCGAACCTTGTTTGTCCTTGACCAAGCACACCTGTAGACAAGCAGCTATTGCCCCCTGTCGAAGACACCAAAGACGAAGATGGACTTGGACTTGTTGGGCTGTCGCCGTGAGCCAACCACGTGGGTGGCATTTGAGACAACAACGCAGCCTCATACGATTAAGCCGAAGAGGCAAGCGTTTGCAGTTTATGGCGTTCCGTCGGGTTGCCAGACCAAAGTCTCACAGCGAGAATCCTCCCTGTCCATCAGGCGCAAAGGCGCTCGCGGAAGGGCAACTGCAGCGGAGATGGCAGCCATGGTGGACTCCGGGGGAAAGCCTCCGCGTCGCGAACAGCACCTAAGGCCTGAGCAGGTGCGCTCCTGCAGTCACGCGCAGCTGCCCGGTCATGTCCCACCAAGCACTGTCAAGATCCGCCAGCCTTGCAGCTGACCTTCTGGACGCCCTCCTTTGCTTATCTAGGCATCATCCCAGATCTCCCTCAGCGCTTCCTTGTCCCTTGAGCATATTAGCCCAACACCTGTGCGCAATCCCAGCTCTCCCCATGCTGCCTCTCTGCATTTTGCAGATAGAGGCGCTGCGTCTGAAGCGTGAGCCCAAGGACCTGTCCGTCACGTGTCTCGACCAGGAGGACGAGGAGGGCAACGTGGAGTACAAGTTCCGCATCAAGGACCCGCACCCCATGCGCCTGCAGCAGCTGGTGGGTGCCGCCGGCTGCCTACCTACCTACCCGGGCAGGCGGGAGTCGTGGGGCAGTTGGGAGTTGTGGGGCAGCCGGGAGTCGGGATTTAGGGATTTAGGGATTTAACCTTGGGGATTGGGGAGCATCCGATCCATACTATCCAGGTGTTTCATTGGGCGTTAGTGAGCCCCGCCACGGGGAGTGGTTCTGTGTAGTGAGTATAGGATCTACTATCAGAGAGACGGTGCAGGATAGCTTTGCTCGCATGCTCGTGTGTGTAGCCGGTTTTATGCCTACGAGGGCCCGTTACGCCCTACTTCTTGCTCTTCCTTCCAAACCCACTTCCTCGTCCTGCGCCGTGTCTTCGCAGATCACGCAAATGAAGTTCCGCCTGTCGGAGGGCAACGGGGAGTGCTTCTACTACATCGGTGAGCAACCCGGGGCACAACACTGCTGCGTCAACCCCCTGCAGGGCTCGGACCCCGGACACCAGCAACCAGTAGTGACACCCTCCTGGCACACCCCTCACCACGCTGACTATCCTGCTGCCACAACCCCACCAGTCCTTTTACCTAACTCCCTTCCCACCCCCCTCCATCCTCCTTTCCCGGCATGTTTGCCGCCAGGCGTGGAGGATAACGGCTACCCCAAGGGCCTGGAGCCGCAGGACCTCGCTGCCTCCATCGCCACCCTGCAACACATGGCATCCTCCCTGGGCTCAGCGGTCACCCTGATCTCCTACCTGCCGGCCGCTTGGGGCCGCAAGGCAGCACTGATGCGAGTAGCCAGCAGCGCCGCGCAGGAGGCGTGCCACACCGACCTGCGGATCGTGGTGGCGGGCAGCGTGGACGCCGGGAAGAGCACGCTGGTGGCAGTATTGACCCACGGGTCAGGCGGACGGCCGTTACTGGACAATGGCCGTGGCCTGGCGCGCATGAATGTGTTCCGGCACAAGCATGAGATGCAGAGCGGCCGTACCTCCAGCATCTGTCACCAGCTGTTGGGGTACGACGTGGAGGGACGAGTCATCAACTACTCATCGCCGGCGTCTTCACGTGAGTGCAAACTGCATGGCTCTTGATGTGGGAGAGGGCGTTCATGACACCCTGTGTCCTTGTGTATTGCGTATAGAGCCAAACCTCAAGCATATCACCGCATGTGTCCGTGAGCCCGGCCTGCGACCTAGCCGCAGTCCCCGCCTTACCCCTTGCCACTTCCTCGGCTTCATTCAGGCCACCCCAAACCCGTTCCTGTTCCCTGACCCCCGCAGCCCTGACCCCCGCTGAGATCACCTCCGCCGCCTGCAAGGTGCTCACCTTCCTGGACATGGGCGGCCACGAGAAGTACCTCAAGACGGCGCTGTACGGCATGACGGCGCTGCTGCCGCACTACGGGCTGCTGGCCGTGTGCGCGGTGGGCGGGCTGGGGCGCATCGCGCGGGAGCACCTGGCGGTGGCGGTGGCGCTGGAGGTGCCGGTGGCGGTGGTGGTCACAAAGGTAGGCGGCAGGCGGGGGGGGGGCGAGTACTTGTACATTCTGGCGTGCATTACTGCAAAGTTGTACTCTCTGTCTACCGGTATCTTGAGCTCTGTCATGCTTGCAAACCCCGCGCCGCCCCGCCCCGGCCTCGGCCTGGGCCCCCAGGTTGAGCTGGTGTGTGCTGAGCGGCTTGCTGCGGTGGTGGGCGAGGTGCGGCAGCTGGTGGCGCTCACACTGCGCCACGAGAGCGCCGCAGCAGCGGAGCAGCAGCAGGGGGCAGCGGGGGCGGGAGCAGGGGCCGCAAGCAGCGAGCAGCGGGTGGAGGTAGGACTTGGGAAGCAGCGGTGTGAGGGTGTAGCAGAGAGGGGTGTTTCTTGTTAGCTGGGTTACCTGGGTTACAACAAGGGGCCGGTGGCCTGCATGCTACATACTACCAAGCCTCCCTCTGCCGTTCACGACCACCACCTCCACCACCACACCCCAAACGCAGGACGCCTCTCCACTGGTCACCTCCGAGGCCGAGGCCCTGTGCAGCGCCCGCGTCCTGTGTGAGCTGCATGCGGACTCGCTGGCCTCACCCACCGCACGGGGCGCCCTGCGCGTGCACATGCCCATCTTCCCCGTGTCAGCCGTCACGGGGGCGGGACTGCCCGTGCTGCACGCCTTCCTCAACGCACTGCAACCGGGCACGGCACCGCTGAAGGGCGCGGGCAGCGGCCCGCTGTCGGCTGCTGCGACGTCCGCGGGTGCTGCAGCTGATGGCGGGTGCTGCTGCGGGCGCAGCAGCAGCGGCGGTGGTGCTGCAGGTTCTGCAGGCGGCAGCAGCCCACGTGGTGTGGACCGCTCCTCCTTCACCTCTGCTTCCTCCTTCTGCATGAAAGCACCCGAGGCGGCGGCGGTCTTGGCTGCTGCTGCTGAGGAGGAGGAGCTTCCCAATCCGCCCGGCTGGAGCGCCGCTCCGCATCCCCAACAACAACAACAGTTGCTGTACGGTCCCGCCGTCGTCGCAGTAGCAGCCTCCGCCACCACAGCAGACGCACCCACAACAGCATCCAGAGCAACGATTGCAGCAGCGACGGCGATAGCGGCAGTGGAGGTACCGGCAGAAGCCCAGGCGGTTCACTTCCAAGTGGATGGCACGTTTGAGGTGGAGGGTGTGGGCTCCGTGGTGAGCGGCACGCTGGTGAGCGGCATGGTGCGGCTGGGGCAGCAGCTGGTGCTGGGGCCCACTGGCGCCGCGGGGGACTTTGTACGGGTGGTGGTACGGCAGCTGCAGCGCTCGCATGTGCAGGTGCAGCAGGTGCGGGCGGGGCAGACGTGCACCATTGCCATCAGCCCCGCGGCAGTGGAGGCGGAGGAGGCGGGGACGGGGTGTGTCGGCAGGGGCGTGAGTGGAGGAACGGAGACGGTGCAGCTGCCGCTGGGGAGATCGCCAAGCGTGGTGGTGCCGGGTGCGGGCGGGGCAACTGCTGCCCTGGTCTCCAATACCTTCAACGGCGGCGCTGGAGGGAGAGGGATGGAGGCACCGGCCGGTGATTTCGATGATGCCCTGGCTGCGGCGCAAAGTGCGTTGGAGCTCTGCCTGACCGGGGGCAGCAGCGACGTGGAAGACGGCGGCACCAGCGGCATGGGATGCGGTGCGGATGACGACCTGTTTGGGTTCGATGCCGCCGCCAGCGATGTCCCATCTCCGCCACAGCCTGCGTCAGCAGCTCGCTGTGCCTCCGCCGCAGCCGCGCTGCAGATCCCCCGCCAGCCCTCCGCTGCAGCCGCCACCACCGCTCCCTCCTCCTCCTCCTCTTCCCGTCCACTGCACTCCACCACCAGCTTCTGCGCTGACACGGCAACACCGGCGGCTGCGGCGGCTGGTTGGCCGGCTGGCTCCAGGTCCGCAGCTGGGTCGGGGCCCCTGTCCATGTCGGCCCCCACACGCAGCATGTCTGTGGGCGAAGGCCTGTCGCGGAAGGGTGCAGGCGCGGGTGCTGCTGCTGGCGCCGGTGGCTCTTCTTGGAGCCCCTTTGGCGCCATGACCCCACCGCGCAAGGGCGCTGTGCTGCTGGAGCCGGCGCTGCAGCCCCGGACCAGCTGGACCTTCGAGGTGAGGGGCGGCAGCGGCAGGGGGATCCGCTGAGGGCTGGTGCGCACTGCTAGGACTTGTGTGTTGGAAATGCGTGACGTTCATGCGACCACCCATATTGATTGTCTTCTCACCCCATCTCACCCCGTCATCTGCATGCTGCTGCCTGTGCAGGCGGTGTTGATCCTGCTGGGGGGCCACTGGCCACCTAGGGGGCTGCTGTCGGGCAGGTGGCCGCCAGCCGGAGTGGATGAGGTGGGGGCGCCGCCTCACCCCGAAGGCCGCGGGCTGCCACCGCCACCCCAGGCATCCGGGGCAGTGTTAGAGGGAGGAGGAGGCGGCTTGCAAGCGAACGGCAAGACGGTGGGTGCAGGAACCGCCGCCGCAGTGGCGACAGCAGCTCGGCGACAGCAGCGCCGTCAGCGGCGGCAGCGCTCGGCTGCTGGCAGCGGCGGCACGTACGTGACGGTGGTGCACTGCGGGAGTGTACGTCAGCCGGCGCATGTGCTGATGATGCAGGAGCTCTTCGAAGAGGAGGAGGACCTGCGACAGGAGCAGGAGCAGCAGCTGTGGCCGCAAGGGCAAGAAGGCGAGGAGGCCCATGGCGGCCCTGCTGGAGTCGTCCAGAGGGTCACCACCGGCACCGCCAACTCCTCCTTCTCCGAGTTGCGAGTCTCTGCAAGCACTCGTGCAGCCGCGGCCCTGTTGCAGAGCGCCCGGAACGACCAAGGCGCCCACGACCCGCAGCAACAGCACCGGAAGCATTCAGGTGCTCCTCTGCTGGCCGCGAATGTTGCTACTAGCGGTGTTAATGGCAGCAGCAGCGGCAATGGCGCCACCCGGACGTCGTTACCCGCTGCTGGGTCGCCTGCGTCAACACAGCACCCGCATGCCTCGGAGCAGGACCTGGGCTGCCTGGTGCGGGTGGTGCTGCGGTGGCAGCACCGACCCGAGTGGCTGCGGGAGGGAGCCAAGCTGCTGCTGAGGGACCGCTGCGACGGGAGGGTGGCGGGCGCGGGGTTTGTGCGGAGGGTGCTGCTGTGAGGAGGGGTGGCGCCGGGAAGGACTGCATGTGTTTCAGAACTGATGATCTGTTGTGAAGAAATAGCCGAGTGGTGTGTGAAGCTCATGCGGCCGTGTACATCTTAGGACCATTTTCGGGACCGTCTGGGTTTGGTTGTGAACGGCAATGAAGACCCTGCTGTACTTCTTTCATTGGCGTGCTGTCCTTTCGCCGCTTTTCAAGGCGTCCAGAGATGGGGGCCAGCTCCTTTGGCAGCAGCCGCTTTGTAGTTTAGTGACACGAGCATTAGCCGCGCAGACGCGCCGATTGTATACACTATAGACCTACATGTTAAGGGCCAGTTGGATGTTGATGGGAGTGCCAGGTAAGACTCCGCTATGCCGTTCTCTTTAGATCTGCCGCGCCTTTACCCGCTTTTGCGCTGCGGCATTCATTTTACCGCTTTACGTATCCTTGCGCTGCGCTTACGGACACGGGCTACATGTGTTTAGTAGCATTATTCGGACAATGGATCGCCTCCCGAAGCTGCTGCATGGGCTCCACGCACGTAGAGTGTAGTGTGGGTCTATCCCCATGGGAGTGCTCCTGTATAATGGCAGGCTGGCAGGCGGGGCTGGCTGGATCAGTGTCGACGGTTAATGCATAGGCTTCGCCGCTGTAGAAGTATTTGTTGAACTGTTGTAGGGGTTGACAAAGCCTTTTGCGCCGTGTTGAGGGGTGGACCATGTTTTCCCTGTACCAAAGTTGCCGTGACCTCAGGCTTGAGTTCCGGTTTAGGTTGCCGAGATGGCCGTTGCCTGTTGTATCTTGGCGATGCAGTGGCCCCTTTTGTGCACATCGTTGTAAGAAGCGTGGTATGTGGACTTGCCAAGCCACTTACAGCATACAGTACATTACAAGGTATGATAGGCTAATCACATAGAGGAGCTGGATGAGGGGCTAGCCGGCTCCCTGAGCAGTACCTGCTCAACTATGCATTCTATGCTTGACCGCCCCATCAGCTCCGCTCCCCCATCCACTTCACAGTTTGCCGAATACGAGCATACACGCGCGACCACAAGGAAAGGCTGTGCCAATAGAAGATTGGGTTCCCGTTGCTGTCGTTTCAAAAAGTTCATCCAAACAACACCGCTCACTGGTAGTACCGCACCGCTGTGTACAACCCTTCGGCACTGTGGATATCCTCCCCCTGACATGGTGCTGACCCCCTGACAGAAAGGAATCATCGATAGTACGGCATTGGCTTGCCAACAAGCGGCTGCCACCATAAATATACATCCTATCTCTTATCTATACATGGACCAAGCATGCCGAATCCATCGCACTGGCGCGATGTACAACAGCAGCAGGCCGTGTGTGCACGGGGAAAGCTAAAGAACTAAACATTCAAGCTAGACACCTAACCTACGCCCCAGACCTACAGCTACAAATTCCTGGAAAGATGAGGGTAATCGCAATTTAGGGGCCGTCATTCCTAACCTCCTTACGACCCAAGGGTCACAGGGACCGCTGCGGTGACCACAGAGCATTGCCACAGCAGGCAAGCACTGAACTTATGTAGCGGGTACCGCTAATTGCACGCAACGTGACCAACATGCCGGAATCCTCTCAGGGACAACAGCAGGAAAGGACAGCCGCACCGACACAGCCGCCACAATCGCTGCGGGGCTGCTCTGTCATCGTGTACGCCCACCTCAACTACCGGTACCTAGCCAGCGGTTGCCGTCCATTACGTACCGTGACACCGCAATCCTCACCTCTCCCCGCCTTCTTTATTGCAAGCACCTCTCTCAGACCCAAATGCGGACGAGCCAAGCGCTTCAAAAGCACCCCGATCTAATCAGGAACGCAACGCGCAACCCGCAAACTACACCGCCACAAGCCCCGACCCGCCCACCTCCCACAAACCCATGACAACCCCTGCTGTCCCACTTTCACGCCTCCTCTCTCTATCCACCTCACGCGCCACCACGGCCGGTACCCGTCAGCGAGCCCATGCGTGACAGGTTGGGCGCCGGCGGCAGCGCCCCGCCCACCGCCGGCCCGCCTGTCCCCGAGTTATCGGGCCAGGCCACAACGCGCGGGTTGAGGGAGTCCGCCATGGCGGTGGAGGTGATGGAGGGCCCGCCGGCCGCCCCGGAGATGGAGGTGGAGGCGGAGGCGGCGCTGCTGGCGGCGCGCATGCGCATGTTGGCAAAGCGGTTGCGACCTGTGTGTGGGGCGGCGGTGGGGGCGGGGAGGGGCAAGGAGGGGAGGAAGATGAGGAAAGACGGGGCACGGTACAGGCGGTGAGAGCTGAGCGGGCGCGTCATGGACGAGCTTAGGTAAAGCCGGTTAACACATCAGGAAGGCAACACCTTCCTACAACATATCCGCCCTTCCGCTCCTCCTCATTCAACGGCCTCCATCAAGGCCATTCTCCTCCTCTCCCCGCCCCTCCCCTCTCCCTCAGGACTCACTGTGGTCCCGCTCCTTATGCGGCGCCGCGGGTGCCTGCGGCTGCAGCAGCCTGGGCCAGATGCCCCCCCGCGTGCCCTCCTTGGCAGGTGGCAGCGTGCGCGGGTCGGTATCCTGCAGCACGGCGAAGGAGGGCCCCAGGAAGGAGGGCGGCCGCAGCTCGGGGAGGCCGAAGCCGGCGGGGCGCAGCGCCTCCGGAGGCACGCCCGCTGAGATGACCTCGGATGCGCTGAAGCCTGCATGTGGCGGTGGTGGTGGCGATGGTGGGGTGATGGGGGTGGTCGGGACCGTGAAGGCGTTAGGGCGTGCGCAGGTGGTGGCGATGAGTACGGACAGGGAAGCCAGTGACACTCTAGATAAGGACACCGGCAAACCGGGCATGAAGCGGGCACCGTAACTACTGCTCTACACACGTTGCAAAGCCGTCAGGCGCTGCACTCCTCTTCCCCATTCCACCACCCACACACACACACACACACAGTTATTTTAACACACACCCCGGCCAGTTATTTTAACACACCCCGGACTTCATCTTCCGACATCCCAGTACGCTCCTACTCGCGGCCAGTTTTCTTAACACACACCCCGTCTCACCCGCTCTTCGTAGGTCCCACGCGTTGTCAATGCCCCCCGCCACCATCTCCGCCGCCGAGTACCCCGCGGCCCTCAGCTTCTGCACCCCCCTGAAGCCCTGCAGGTCCCCCGGCAGCCGCCCCGCCCCGCCGAACCCGCCCACCACCTCTTTCACACTCAGCCCCGCGGCCCGCAGGCGGGCGGGCTCGTGCCCCGACACCGCCAGCACCTCCTCCACACCGAACCCCACACGCAGCAGCTCGGACTCGCGGAAGCCTGACGGGGTGGCAGCAGGAGGAGTGCAGCGGGAGGAGGAGGGATCCGCGTTAGTGACGGCGTGCGTAACGGTGTCTTTGCGGCAAGTGGAGCGGGAGGAGGAGTTGAGCAGAGGAATGGACAGAGGAATGAGCAGAGGCGGGGGAAGAGGGACCCGCGCTGGTGACTAGCGTTGGCGCGGTGTCCTTGCGGCGAGTTGGGAGCGGATTGCTGGCGCCCCAGCGCTCTACCAACACTTCACCCTTCCTTCCATCCATCTCATCATCCTCGTCCCCTTCCATGCCTCATGCGTCCCAGGCTCCTCATCCCTATAGCCACCCCTCCGCCCCCTCGCACCCAGCTCGAACAGCTGCCGCATGCTGACCCCCTTGTCCCGCATCACCGCCAGCGCCGGCACCGGCGCCAGCAGCGGCCGGTCCACGCAGTGGTACTCGTGCGCCGCGGAGGCGGCCCACAGCGCCTGCTTGACCGCCATCTGGTTCAGGTTCATCTCCTTGGGCAGGACCTGGGGTGAGGCGGCAGGGGTGGCAGGGGGGTGGCGGGATGAGGATGGCGAGGTGAGAATGCGGGTGAGGTGAGGGTCAGTGATGGTGAGGGTGGCAGGTAGGGAGGAGGTGGTAAGGACCTGGCGACCCCCAACCCCCATGCGTGCGCACGCCCCCACCCGCGCCGGCACCGCTACCTTTTTGTTTGCGGTTGCCAAGATGTTTCGCAGCGTCACCAGCTCGGACTGCTGCAGGTGCTCCGCGCCGCGGTACATGTCCTCCAGGGTGACCTGGGAGGGGAGGGGGGGGCGGGAGGGAGGGAGGAGTGAGGGGGGAGGGGTGAAGGGTGAAGGGAGGAGAGGCGGGAGGGAGGGGTGGAGGGAGGTGCTGCTGGGTGGATGAGGATGTGGAAACATTGGCAAACCAAGTGAAAACACACGGCCCCGACGTGAAATGCATGCAACATGCTACAGGAAGACGGGTATAGCTGTCGTACGCGTACGTTGTGTTGTGTTGGCTTTTTACCTTTTTATGTTTGTGGATCAGCTCGTCCAGGGTGTACAGCACCGTGAACCAGGCCTCAGCCTGCAGGGATGGCCGGCAGGCGGCAGGCACGGTAGGACGAGGGTAAGCAGTGGTGGCAGGCGGGCGAGTAGTAACACCCAGCGGAGTTTGTATGCATGTGAGGATAGCAAGAAAACCGTATACATTGTGGACGTCGGCCGACCCAGGTGCCTACCACGGGTTTCAGCGGGGGCTTGCCCTTCTTCTTGGGGTCTTTCTTGGGAGGGGGTTTGGGCTTCCTCGCCCGGCGGCCGCGCTTGCGCGCCTCGGCTCTTGCCAGCGCGGCTGGGCGCCCGATGCGGAGCCAGAAGCGAGGGAGGGCGGAGAAGGGAGGGGCGGGGGAGGAAGAAAAGGGCGAGGGAAAAGGGCAAGGGGGATAAGGACCATGGTCACTGTGGCTGTTGTGGGTGCCTGTGAGGATGCATTAACTGGGCTCGAGGTTGAACATGGTGAGCCGGCCAGTACCGGTATGTCCTTAGCGCGCAGGGCTGACATCTTACGTGTTCAACACGGTTGTGCTGGGTTGAGTGGGAGGAGGAGGAGGCCCAGGTATTCGCTTTGGCAAAGGGCTACACCGCACGTGAGACAGTACACACGTGAACCCGATATGGAAGGGAGTACGAAAACCGCGAGGAATCTGAGCCGCTTCCCCTTGCGCAGGAGGGCAACCGTCATTACCTGCGCGAGCGGCATCTTGCTCCTTCTTGTAGGCGGCATTCCAGTCTGACATAAACTTCCGCAAAACAGCGGTAATTAGTGTTGCACGCTTATAGACGCGTTCCTGCAGAGGGCCATTCGACAAGTATTATAACATCCCTTACCTTTGGCACCGCTTCCACATGTGCAGCAAGCACATGCCGTCTCGCCATATGCTTTGCCTCCCTACCTTCAGAGCACGCGCCAGTGCCTCCCGTTCCGCATCGGACAGGCCCTCCATTCTGTCTCAAGGGTAAGCCCTAAGCCGACGCTAACATGATATGGTGCGGTACATTGGAAGAAAGCAGAAAGCAGAACTATGTCGGCACTAGCAACGCGTTAAGATGTTTAGAGGCATGTCATGTGGTGTAAGGAAGTAGGGAGAAGAGGTTAATAATGTATCCTGATCCCAGGGAAACAAATGGAATTAAGGATTATGGCAATTCACTGGTTCTGCCTAAGCGGTTACCTTCTGGCCGGTCGTTCGTACCGTTGGCAAGAAGCCTTCGGCGTTCAGCCTCAGCTGGCAGCTGCCATCCTGGACACACCGTCAGTTGAACGCCCCCTCAGCGAGACCCATGCGGCCATGTGATCGGTCTTACCTGAAATCCATGCCAGCTCGCTGCCCCCTGCCTTTCCTTGAATTCACGGCACTGCCAAACATTACCCCGGGGGGCGGAATGTATTGGTTGAACGAAGGTGGCTTTTTTAACTTGGTACACAAAATTCCCCCGGACCCGTCCTAACCTAAACTCGTCACCGCCAAAGCCATATGCTTCCACGCACTGTCCTCAGGCCCAGTGCCGTACAGCCGATTAGCATCACTGCTGTTCTATACATGTACTAAGTTCTTAAGATTTGGCACTGTAAAGGAAGTGACGGGAGTGAAGGATGCTAAGGTGCACGGCTGGACTAGGGCTGTCTTACATGCACTCTAGGGAACTTGCCCCACCCATAACGCAAAGCGCCTTGTATGGCAGAATGGCACCCTCGTTGAGCCAAGGGGGCGAACGGCGAATGCACGTAGAGTGACCAGGAGATGTGAAAACTAGCACACATAGGATACCCAGTAGCTAAGGCGCCCTACTCCGAGTTGAGCTCTGGAGGTTGGGCGTCCGTTGGGGCACGCGTTTAGCGATCGGTCTGGCACGGGCGTTTCCGCATGTCGCAAACTGTTTACATCATTGCTTTTAGCGCAGTTGGCTCGTTGCGGTCCCGGCATACCTGCTTGCCCAGGCGAACCCCGACGTTTCGACTTAGGTGCGGAACAGTCTCGGGGCATTACAAAGATTTAAGAAAACACCGCAAAGAGTAGTATGTCGATTATCAAGAATTGGAGGCTAGAAGTAGTTTCGCGCTTGCCAACTGGCAGCATCAGGTCCCTGCGGGGCCCAACCGCGATCGACCAAAACGACCATTCGGCCCAACCGCGTGCTTTGCCACTGAAGATAGAGGTAATTGCAATTTAAATACATATACAAGCCTGCTATTATTTGGCCCTGACGAGTGCTAGGGCTGGGCTTTTTCCCGTCGGTGCCTTCCCCAAAACTTGCTGCTTGCTCACGTTAAACACGTTAGGGTGCTAGTGTTTGGCAAACACAACAGTGGGCCCCTGCGGGGGTCCGAACGCCTTAAGTGGCTAGTTTACGATGGACGCGTACGCAGCTTCCATTCCTTTCCCTGCGGACTTGAGGCCTTACCGACCAGCCATTGACGTAAGCCATGACGTCGCTTGTTGAGTGGTCATGCAAAAACTGACTCGTTTCCGTCCGCTTACTTCCCCCAGCAATACCTGGGCCAGAAATTGCGCCAATTCGGCACTATCCTTGCCCGGAGTTTGCATCCTTCGTTGGCGCCTGAGCAAGTGAAGCATGTCATCGATGATGCGATGCGCACGATGGCCCAGCAGGACGCGGCAGCAGCTCCCCAGCGTGCTCTGCGCCTGGTCATACGGCATGACTGCCAGTAAGCTGGTTGGGCCCCATCCACCTTGCGGGTCAAACTTCAGCGGGGAAAGCTGGGTGTTCCTCCAACTTACAGGGATGCAAGCTACCCACCCATTTGAACCACCCACTTTTGGCCCACTTCCATGTCACCATCTCACCTCCCATCCCCACCGCATCCCTGCAGGTCCACGGGTTGCGGTGACCAGGCCTGTGTGCTGTGCCAGTACAACCCCAGCCGCCTGTGCACCCGCAACGTGAAGCAGAAGTACCTGATTGACGACCACCTGAAGGCCAAGTGCGGCGCGCCGCTGCGGGTGGAGCTGGTGGACGAGACGGGGGCCTGCCACACGGAGGGCCTGGCGCCGGGGGTGCAACTGGAGGTAGGCGCGCTGTGACGGCGGGGCTGCAGACTGGCTAGCTGGAGCTCACAAAAGGAAGCCCGGGTAGTCAAGGTTTGAGAGGGTGACCTTTCCTTTCGTTCCCAGTCGCTTCTTTTCTTGAGGCTGGGTGCTTTCCACCCACTTACCTCCCCTCCCCTTACCCCCCCGTCGCACCCTCCCCCCCCCCCCCCAGATGCACGTGCTGAACGGTGAGAAGTACAAGGAGCTGTGTCCCGACAACACGCTGCTGTCGCTGGGCGCCATCCGCAATTGCATTATCAGCCACCACACCAAGGCGCTGCTGCGGCGGGAGGGCATGGCGGACGACCAGCTGAGGGTGTATCTGCCGCTGGAGGTGAGGGGGGGGGCGGGAGGGGTGGTGAGGAGGTGGGGTGTGAATGTTCCTGGGGAGGTGGCGAGGGGCGGGAGGTGGGGTGGGAGGGGCTGATGGATAGGGGTGCACATGTGGCACGTCAGTAGTGGAGCGGGTGCGGGGATGGGGGAGGGAAAGAGGGAGGAACGGGTGTTGGCTTGTCCCCTCTGAAGTTCATCCTCTGCAGCTGGGGATCAAGTCCCTTTGCTTGATTAAAGCGCCAGCGCAACGTCTTGCTTCCGCTTCCTTCCTCCCATCACCTCCCCCCCAGCGCGGTGCCGCCAGCGTGTCCGACCTGACCCTCACCACCAGCAGCGAGGCGCTCCTCAGCGGCAAGGCGCCCACCTTCCGGCTGCTGGTGTGGGCGGTGGAGGCGAACGGGGAGCCGGTGCCGCACGTCACGTATGTGGTCAGCGAGAGCTTTGTGGTGGGTGGGGTTGGTGGGGTGGTTGGGGGGCGCAGAGGAAGCCCAAATTCCCATGCATGTGGGTGGGTAAGTATGTGCTTGAGGAGCGGGTGCATGAGTGGGCGGTTGTGGGCCCATGCCGCCACGCAACGGATGTGCGGCGGACATGTGGGATAAAAAGAAGAACACCCGATGTGTTGAATGAGGCTGTGGGATGAGTGGGTAATTGGCGTGGCATGTGTGTACTGTCACTGCCTCATTATTCTACCTCTTCCCCCCGCCCCCCCAGGTGGCCACCAAGCGCGTGAAGCACGCCATCAAGAGCGACATCCCCTCCGTGGGCGACCCGGTGTCCAAGCTGCTGCACATCGGCAAGGCAACTGTGGACAAGCTGACGGACCTGCGGGGGGCATTCCAGGAGGAGGGTGAGGGAGCGGGGGAGGGAAGGGATGCGGAATGCTTCCGGGGATCGTGGCTTATGCGCGGGAGGGTTGCAGAGTGGGCTGCGAAATGGGCCGCTGGACTCAGGGAGGGGTCTTCGTTGAAGGAGGTGAAGGGTAAGACGCGATCGAGAGCGAGATGGGTGAGCTGACGAGGGCCCTCCTTCCCTTCACGGTTAGTTATTTTCGTCCTCTTTCCCTCCCTGCCTCGCTCCCTCCCTGCCTCGCTCCCTCCCTGCCCAGGCTTCGATGTGAAGCTGCCCGAGTCGCTGTACCGCGTGGAGAAGGTGGGGCAGTTCCGACAGCTGGTGGAGATGAGCGAGGCGAACAACGACCTCAAGAACAAGGTGGGGAGGAGGAGGAGGAGGAGGAGGAGGATAAGGAGATGGAGCTAACAACAGGATGAGGAGGAGGGGGTGGGGGGAGGATAGGCCGCGTTGCGCGCTCGCATGTATGGGGTCGTAGCTGTTCGATGAGGGCAAATCCACCGTAACCCAGCCAGCCCTATCTCACCCACTCCTCCTCCCCCCTCCCGCCTGCCTCCGCCCCCCCCCCCCCAGCTGCGCCACGTGCTGAAGCTCTCCCCCGAGAAGTGGGACGAGGTGTGCCAGCACGCGCTGAGCGCGGTGGTTCCGGACTTCCGCAACCGCGTGTGGTGGTACCCGATACTGCGCATCGGCCTGCTGTACGCGTGCAAGAACGGAGCTATACAGATGGACAACCCCATTGGTGAGAAGTGGACTGCTGGCTGGCTGGACTCAACTGGTGTTGTTGGGCAGCTTGACCGTTTGGCAAGGCTTACAGCCCTTATAGTCGACACAATGATATGCAGTGACCTACTGCAAACCCACGGCAAACCCGCTGCGCCCTCGCCCCTCCTCCTCAACCCCTCCCTTTCCCTTTTCCCCTTCCCCCCACCCATCCGCCGCTTGCAGCTGTACTCCGCTCGGGCGCCACCCAGGACTCGGCCCCCACCATGGTGCCGCTTCAGAGCCTCTCCCCCGCCGACTTCAACAACATTCCCAAACTCAAGCAGCTGGCCCTGCAGAGCTGGTACATGGCCAACCACCCGCAGTGGAACATCTACGGGGAGGGCGTCGAGGAGGCGGCAGGGCCCGGCACGTCTGCTGGTGCTGCTGCTGCGGCTGCGGCGGTCCCGAACGGGCCTGCCCCAGGCAGCAGCCCGGGCGCACCCCTGCCGCCCTTGCTGCATGCGTCCATGGCGCCGGGGCTAGTGGGGGTGCCGCAGGGTGGTGGGCAGCAGGCGGCTCTGTACCCCCAGCAGCAGCAGCAGTCTGCGCTGCAACTGCCGGACATGGGCGGCCGTACAAGTGCTGCTGCTGCGGTGTACGGCGGAGGTGCTGCTGGCGGCGGAGGAGCAGGCGATCTGTACGGCGCCCTGGCGCACTTGGGAGTGCCGTACGGGTTGGGGCTCCCGGGTACGGCTGCTGGCGGCAATGGCGGCTTGGCGGTTCCGAGTCCGCTGGTGCCCATGGGGCCCGGTGGCATGGGGCCGGGCGCACATCGGGGCAGCAACTCCTCTCCGTTTGCCCTTCAATCGGGCCACCCTTCTCCCCCACAGCCTCCGCAGCAGCTGCCTCAGCATCCGACCCCCCAGGCGCAGCAGTCACAACAGCAACACCAACAACAGCAACACCCTCAGTCGCAGCCGCCGGTGCCCACGGCCACGGCGCAAGTGTCGCAGTCGCTTGGGCCGGCGGCGGCGGCGGTTGGGGCGGGGGTGGCCGGTCGGCCGCATGGCAACGGCAGCTCGCCGTTTGTGGCCGGCATGTACAACATCGCGAACAACATTGCAAAGGCCTTTCCGGACTTCCCGGCGGCGTCAGCGGAGGGGCGGCACGGAGAGGCGGAGCGGAACTGTGAGTGTGTTGGCAGGTTGGGGCTGAGAGCTGAGAGTGGGTCACTGTGTCGTAGACGAGTTGCGTATTAAGGGAATTGTGCTAAGCAGGGCAACCATCTTATTCCCTTTTGCTTTACTTCCTATCCTTCCATGTTAGCACTGTTTCACTCTCCGTGCCCTCTTTCTACACTGGTTTCTTCTCAGCTCGCTAACAGCCACCACGCCCCGCTTCCCCTTCGCAGCGCCCCATGCGCCGGCGGGTGCTGTCGCCGGCGGCGCGGGTCCCTCCGCTCCCAGCCTCGGCTCCCTCCTCTTCCCGGGCAGTCTGGAGATGCTCAAGACGGAGGACATTGACACCATGCCCACGGACATGCTCATGCCGCCCCACCTGACCGGCAACGACACCTTCCGCTCCACCGACTGGCTGCAGCAGCTGCACGGCCCGGCAGCCGGCGGCGCGGGGTCCGCTGTGGCGGCACAGCACCAGCTGCAACACGGGCACGGCGGGGGGCTGCAGCCGGCGGCGGGGCTGTCGGGGGTGAATTCGTACACCATGATTGATGTGGCGCCGCAGAATGGGGGCGGTGGGGGTGCGTTGTTGGAGGGTGGGGGTGGGGTTGGAGCGGCGGGTGCAGGTGGCGGCGGTGGGGGTGCGGGTGGAGGCGTGCATGGTGGGTTGATGGAGAACGAGCGGAGGTTAAGCCTCAAGTTGAACAGCATGTCGTTGGACCTGGAGCAGGTGATTGCGGAGAACGCGGGGCAGTCTTAGCGGCTGGCTGCTTGGGGGGGCACACCTGGACACCTGTGGGGACATCTGCAGGGTGGGTGGGGGGACATCTGGGGTTTGGGAAGTTCTTGGTCTGGTTACGGGCCGTGGGTGGGTTTTGACAGAGGAATGGTGTACGGGGTCGCCTGAGGAGTGCTGTTGAGTTTGCGTTGGCGTATCAGGCGACCCCGGCGACTCGCAGTTACCGGTATATGGGCATGGAATGATAAGCGCACGGAATGAGGAGCAGAGACAAGAAAGGCCGTCCCGGGTACGGAGATTCTGAATGATGCTCGATAGATGCTTTCCGTTGCGTGGTACGTTTGCCCCGCCCCCGTCTTTGCTAGCGTTTCTCAGCTGTTTGGGAAGCTTTGTTTGAGGTGAGGCGTATTGTCTTACCGGCATGACATAACTAGAGCGCCGCTCACACGGTAGCCAGCTGGTACGAAGGTTACAGGCTTACCGTTTGGGGTGGGTTGGGCCTTGGCGAAAAGCGTAACCCTCTTTTTTGTCCCGTACGGCAATTTACTGACCTGGCGGAGGTTGGATCCGGATATTTGTTTGACTTGGGCGTTGATGCGCGGCTGTCGGTTTTCGTTTATAAGTGCCACCGGTTCAATTGTGGTCTGGGCATGAGAAAGCGGCTCACTACAGAGGACTGAAAATTGGACAGTGCCCTGCTCCCTGCTCATGAGCACCTTTGTGGGTGGGTGTTTGTGAGCTTCATGCATGTCGGGTATTGCAGGTAGCCGTACAGTACCTGAGGATAGCCTAAATTAAACATATGATCGTTGCTCGTGTTGCGGTTGCGATAAATGCGTGTATTGATTGCTTACCGAAGTTCATCCCTTGCTGCAGCGCCTTGCCAAAGCAGTGCGGCTGCGACTCCTCTGTTGCAGATTAAGCGGGCTAGGCTGTTCCCATAAGTCGTTGGACCCTCTCCCACAAAGCGGTGAGAACAAAATGCATCCACAGACCTGCACGATACATTGCCCCACTGTTCCCTGCTATAGGCACCTTGTAAACGAAACTGGGATTGCACACCCTGGACGCAGGCGTCCGTTAGGGCACCGCATATCGGATTGGGACTCGTTGCTGCACATATCATTAATTTCCCCCACATGGACAGGCCGCTATCCCCGTGTAGCTGAGGCAGATACCGGTACCGCTCTGCAAGCGCACTTCGAAGAGTCGGGGCATGCAAAGCTTTGTAGCGCGTAAGACTTCTCCAGGGCTGGAGCAATCCGATGTGGACATCCAATAGCCCTCGCCTGCTCGGATCTGACTCGGCGGGTATAGCGAGGTGACTGGGCTGCGGGAAACAAACCCTAGAGGGCTGTGGACCCAAAAACTCCAGCCATTTCGACAACCCCCCAGCCTGGCGCACACAGCCTGGCGGGTTTTGCTTCAACACGGCCTGTATACATACCCAAAATCCTGTGTCTTTGCCGCACTACTCTCCAAGGCATGCACCGGCGCACAAGCAACTTGCGCTGGCTGTCAACGGGTCGGTTCTTCATACTAGCTTTCAATGCCAAAAACGCAACAGGAGATAGCGAGTAATGGCCTTGTCAGCGGGGAAGCGCATTAGGGATGCATGTGCCGATCGAGATCTTCGTAATACACTGCAAACCCTGCAGGGGGGCGGCGTGTACGACATCGGAGAGAGCTGTTGCACTGGTGTAGTGGGGTGACAGGAACAAAGGCGTGTGCACAGCTGCTTCAACGCCGAGCGGAGTAGGCCGGTGGTGTAGCTCTCCTGCTACGCGTCGTAGCTTGCGCGCCTTTTCCAGCCACATAGGTGAGTATTAAAGTTAACGGGGCGCACATCACCGACGCAATTGCAGTTGCCGTACGGTTCCCTCGCCTGCTGTTGGCTAGCAAGGGGGATTCCACAAGGCGAGTGGTCGGCCTGCCAAGGAACATTAATTTATAGGCAAAACTAGACGAATGACGGAGCCCCGTCCTTATACAATAGTATAGCTGGGGCAAAGTACCTGTACCCAACATCCAATGCCCCTTACGGCCTCCAAGCCAGGTCCGGGTGCTTGCGGTATCCACTAGCAGCGTTGGTCCCTGTACAAGATGACCGGTTGCATGGGAGAACGGATATGGGCACTGCCTCAGGTGTGCAGGTTCCAGCAAAGTTGGGGTTGTCGCATGATAACCAAGTGCAAGTATAATGTGTCAGGGCACCAACCCAGACCCCAGTTGAGGAGCAGCAATACCCAGAAAGCACGTAAATGCCCACAAGGAGCTTGATATTACGATGCCCGCTGGGCAAAGCTCTTGGCTTTCATAGTGCTAATAACCCAAAGCATTGCTCCTTAGTCGGAAACCCGGAAATGCTAGACAACTAGGGTTATATAAAATGGTTGTAAAATATAGTTGGTCAGTAGCATAGGGCGAGGGCGGGCGCTGGGTACTACGTAGCCGTACCAAGCTACGTACACACTGAGGCACCAGCTCGACGTCATTCCCTCATTGAACCACAATACCATGGCTTTGTTGCTGGCGCAAAGCCACGCTTCCATACTCATTAACACTTAGGGAGCTAGGATATCTTGTATAATCTTAACTTGAATTGTGCTGCCGGATACCTGCTATCCTTGACTTCAGTAGTTTAGGCTTCGCAACGTTTATAGCTTTCACTAGGCCTGGAGCGGCTGGAGCTTGGCACTCAACACGGTACGCTGCGTCCTAAGGGGCTTTCGCTACAGCCTAGGAGCGTGCTTACCTGGGACAGCGCGCCGGCGGGCCCTTTTAAACAAGTCAAGCAACCTTTATATCCTTGCTCTCTCAGAGGCTTCCTCCTGTTACCCCCTGAACTGGCTTTTTGCAAATAGTTACCGACAGCCGACGTCCTTGGGAACGCCTCTTTACAATCTTTTACAGAACTAGAGTGCAGCTTCCACCCTTCTATCCTACGCACGCAGGCGCTCCAACGACTGAGCTGGTACATTCAAACACACTCGGTCCATTTCCCTTAAGGCGGCAGCCATGGGGCGCCGCAGCCTTTTTAAATCCCATCTCGCTTTGTTGCTATTAAGCTGGATAGCATGCGGTAGGTCCGCGCTGCGAGGTCTGGTTGTCGCCTGGCGGGAATGCTGAGGACAACGCCACCTGCTGTTCACAGGTTTCGCCCAGCTGGATACATCTGATGACTTCGGGATGAGCAGCTTTGGTCTTCGACGGCTTTCCGCTTACTACTCGCGGAACTTTGTTGCCCAATTTCCTCAGACATGCTACCAGAGCAGTTACTTCTCCCCGTTTCGGCTCTATTACAAGACCGCCGTCTTCGACCAAAACGCAACGACGTTTGTTTTCCAGCTTGACGTGTCGACTTGCCCGTTTCCGAAGGCGGACTGCTGCCGTCTATGGCTGGACCACATGGTTATCCGGACAAGTAAGGACCACCCGGCTTCCAGCCCCTTACCATTCCATAGGCTAATGCGGAATGCCGTTTGCTATCCCTCGCAGAGCCAACGGCGGAAGTGCTGCGGGTAAGCCTTGATGGGCAAGACAAGGAGTTCGACGTGGGGTCGCACGGTCTCACAATTTACAGCATGGCCGTGGAGCCAACGGTTATCCGCTCCATGCGGCTGGAGGTCAGCACGCCACCAGACGGTGAGTTACCCTTTGCGTGATAGGAGAAAACATCCAGACGCTCTGCGGGGGCATCCGATGAGTGTTTGCTTTTCATGCTACTAATTGATTGCACTACCGCAACCGCAGGCTACAACTATCCTCGCGACCTTTGCCCCATGGGCCGCTTTGCGGGCTCTTGCGACGTTATTTCGTACGATGAGAGCAAGACCTGCTGCGCTGAGCGAGCCGCGCTGCCGTATGAGTTGTTCTTCCCCCCGTCCAGCAGTCCTCCTGGTGGCATTACCCCAGATGTGAATGCGCCCCCTTCCCGACCTCCTCCTCCGTCACCGCCACCACCCTCTCCTCCCTCCCCGCCACCGCCTTCGCCGCCGCCACCTTCTCCCCCACCGCCCCCGCCCGATGGCTGGTCCTATTGCTGCATTGACGACTTGCCTAAGTCGCCTTTCAACCTCAAGTACATGGGTTGGAAGCTCAGTGGATCTGACACTGCGTACCAATTCCAGCTAACTGTGCATGACGTCGCCAACTCTACCGATTTCGATGGTCCGGAGGCTGGGGACTGCTCCCAGATGAACCTACGCGACATGGGCGTTGCCATTTGTGAGTCGAGCTAGGGGCAATTACGGGTTTATAGGTTGGCATGTTGCCGTGTACGTGTACCACACCTGACACCACTTCGATACATCTTAGGCATTGCTGGGCTTCCCGTGTTCCTCATTCGTTGCTTTCTCATTATCCGGGCCCCACATTGGTGGCCCCACAACTGCAGACAACAACCTAATTGTCAAGAGTGTGCAGTTCAACGGCACTGTCCAGAGCCATTGGGATGAAGGCCAGGGCTCGCAGCCGGACGCTAAGTGGGTGTACATTAACCTCTTTAAGACACTGGAGGACTTCGACTCCAGCACTCCCGTGGACTTCGTTATCACTGTGCGCGGCCAGGTTGACGCGCTCTGCCCCGCCAACGAGTACCTCCATTCAGCAAATGCCTGCGAGTTCACTTTCCATGGCAAGGACGGCCTCTCGCACTGCTGCCCGCATGGCGCTACTAAGCGTACTGACCCTACCGACGACTGCTGCGTTGATGACATCGAGAAGGCTCCGTACCGCATGCAGTACCTGCATTCTTACCTCTCAGCTGCAACGTCGGAGTACGAATTTGCTGTCAAAGTGGTTAACGTGACCAACGTAGACTACGACCTTGTGGAGCCGGCGCAGTGCGACCACATGACGCTGGACTACGCCCAGATCCAGATCTGTGAGTAGGGTTGTTGAGGGACAGGGGTCTGCATAGCATTGGCGAAGCGACAGGGTGGTTGAATTGGAGAAAGGCTCTGGGGAAGCAGGATCTACCTGACGCTTGCCTGTCGCAGCTGTCAGCAGTTTTCATCACGGATATGTCAACTAACCCTGCCGGTCGGGTTTTGTGATGCCCAACCTCTTGCCCGCCCACAGACAAGAATGTTGAGGTCGTACAAGTGAAGTGGGAGGAGCGCATTATGGACTTCAATGTCACGGAGGCAACTGACTACTCCAACTGGCTCAACGTCAACGGCATCAACCGCTTTGTCAACGACTTTGACCCCAACGCTCCCACCAAGTTTAAGGTCACTGTGCGCGGCCATGTGCGGGAGCTGTGCCCCGCCGGCTGGCTCTTTGACGCAAGCGGTGCTTTCATGTGCGAGTATGCGCTGCACGGCTCGCAGGGCAACCACACCTGCTGCCCTCACTTTATCACGGAGCCTGGTACCTACGAGCCGGACTGCGGCTGCCGTGACGACACCGCTGGTACCCCGTACCTCCTCGGCTACCAGCTGGCTGGTGAAGGGGACAACCAGACCGTGTTCAACTTTGATCTGGCCCAGGTCAACTCCTCGGCGTTGGTTGACTTTGACGGAGCACCCGATCTGGAATTTGGCGTTGATGTGGATTGCAGCGGCATGGGCGTCAAGTCGATTACCTTTGCCGTGAACCCGGACATTGAGGTTCAGAACGTGGTTTTCAACGGCTTCAACTACTCGTGGCAGTTTGAGCCGTACACGGACGGCGCCAAGTGGCTGAAGGTGCTGGACATTGACTACCGACCGGCTGACTTCCCCTCCGGTCAACCAGTCTTGCTTCAGGTGGTGGCGAAGGGCAGCGGCGTGTCGGAGCTGTGCTCAGCAGCCTCGCAGTTTGGCAGCCAGGCGTCGTGCCAGTACTACATCTATGGGCTGTCAGGTTATGACGAGTGCTGCCCAAGCGGTATCACCACCTGGTCTGCAACCATCCTTGGGGGCTCGCGATAAGGACTTGCTTAACGTTTAGCCAGTCCGTGTGGATGATCAGTCGTGCATGCACCATTGATTGTTGGACGCGGATTGAGATGCTGTCGCGGTTGCCATACAGCGACGGGTATCTGCAGCAGGAGGGAGAGGGGAAAGGCGGGCTGCCCGCTCTGTGGGTGCAGGCGGCGCTTCCTCTGCTCCGCCATTACGTTGTTAAGCTACGGGCTCGATGGGGCTGCGGCGGGGCGGGATGGCCACTGCCCAGGCCTGCCCTCACCGGAACGGCTCCGTGTTTCGTAGCGACACGAGGTGATCAGCACATGGGGCTACCTGGCATGAAACCGAGAGTGTGTGCACTTGCTGAATGTAGGTAGACCGGGCGTTGTTTTCACCTTGACTGCCAACAGACAGATGCACTGGCATTGCCTATTGGCGTGAGTTTTGTGCTCCTGATGGTACGGTGTTCATAGTGCAGAACTTGTCATATCGCCATATAACGGGCTGCTAGGCGCTTACCGCGTGTGACCTGTTAGGACTAATGACCGGTGTTCTTGGGGAGCCAGCGTGCGCACAACTTGATGCACCTAGCTTGGGTGTCAGTGGGTAGAGCATGACGTTGGCATACCGACGTGCTTGTCTGTAAGGTACGGGTTTGGGTCTAACACGTGATGGCAATGACCGCTTGCCCTTGGAATTAATTGATAAGCCATAGCGAGCCTCGTAAGAGGCTCACCGTAGTAGGGGCCGCTGTAGCCAGTGTTTTGTCGGCCTTCCGCTAGTCCATAGCTGCACGGAGTCGCGATCAAAGATGATTTTGGTGATATTGCATCGGCATAAGCTGATACTCCGTGCTGCTTTAACGTGAGGGATGAGGAGGATTGCTAAATGGAAGATGTAATGCAGTGTACAATGTCTACTGCGCCGCCCATTCCCACGCCTCTTAACATGCACAAGCAAAGAGCCAAGCCCCATGTGTTTCCTTAAAGCCCACGCTGAGGTCAGCCCCCTAAGCGCCATCAACCATCGGGCTCTAAACGTCTCTCACGCCGCTGCCACAGGTATCCCGCCTGCCTGCTGTCTCCCTTGATGCGGTTGGGAGCCAGTGTGCATGTGTTGGGATTGTGGCCGGGCTTGGGGGTGCCGGTGTTGCTGGTGCCTCTGCAACAGCTGCTGTTGCCGATCAGCGCTGCTTGCACGAGCCTGCCGGCTGAAAGCCTCCAAGTCCTCCGCCGTAAGCAGCTCGTCTAGGGTGCAATATACGCCGCCAGCCCTGCAGCAACGTAAGGGTGCAATGCTCAATAACAAATGCATTACTGCGCCAGACTGCGCAGCCTTAGGTACAAAGCATGCACTAAACCCCCAAGCTCCATAGTAGTTCAGAATACCCTCATCGCCTCATGGCTTACCAGGCCCCAGCACTGAGCCTATGGGGACCCTGCCATTGCAACACTCGGACAAGCCGCACGTAACCCACCGCGCTCTCCGCAGCCACTCCTGCGCGATATTCACGCTACGCTCGCAGCCCTGGCCGTACAAGTACATCTTGGCCAGTCGCAACATAGCGTTCGGGTCACCGTCCCGCGCGTTCTGGAGGTGCAGTCAGCAAGCAAGGGGTACGCGAGGGTGGGTTGGGTTGGGCCATGAAGTGCCAATCAACGCATGACGGTAAAGGTCCGTAGCCGAGCCGCAGCAAAGCCGATCGCACGTGCCGGTAACACACTCCCTGTAACCCCGCCCCCCACCCATTCCCGCTGTGGCTTCCTCCTTGTCCCGGTAATCTCCCCTCTGCTTTTCGCCCACTTCGGCGCCCCTGAGCCTCACCTCGAGCTCCTCTAGGAACCATTCCTGCTCGCGGAAGCGCACCAACTCCCGCAGCGGTATTCGGGGTGGCCCTCCGCTGCGACGTGATCTGGGCAAGGAGGGAGCAGCGGGTAGGGAGGGGTCCTTCAGTACAAGGATGCCACAGGGATCCGATTGTAGGCACGTAGAAGGCCAACTGCTTGGCTGCGGCGGCTCTGCATGATCCAAGATGCGGGCGGCTAACGCCATGCTCTCAGATCAGAGTGGCTGGAAAACGAGTTCTCGTGTGCATTGGAGGCGGAGTGTGGTGGGGAAGTGGTTAGGACTCCTGTCGAGGAAGGCCGGTGATGCGTGCGGCGGTTCGTACGGTAGGGTGCCTTGTTGGAAGCCCATACCATGTCACCATGAAACTCAAAAGGCGGAAGGCCCATTATGCAAACATGGTGGACACACAACCTAGACAAACAAGGCAGAATACTACCGGTATGGTTTCCGTCATCGACGCACCTACGGCTTGAACGGTCACTCCGCCCTCGTGCCACCAATAAACCGCCACAGGTAACCGCCAGCAGCGCCCCAGCGGCTGCGACTGCGGCGGCCATCAGCATTGAGGGCGAAGCTAGGTGGCACGGCTCATGCACGTCCGAATCGGTGGTTTCTACGGCGACATCATCGATGGCATCGCCGGTTGGGCACGACGACGGGTCGGCGTTGTCATCCTCACTACGTCGATGCCACTGTCGTCGTATGCTTTCCAGCCCTGCTAGGGCGGCGGTGGCACCGAACGCTGTTCCAGAAAGTAAAAGCCACATCGGGTTGTAACTCAGGAGGCGGTCTTAGCAGCAGGGTCTATTTAACGAAACTGCGACCTAAAGCAAATTATGATAGTATCAGGTACAAAATTAGGAGAAGAAAGTAGGCATTAATGCTTCGAAAGCCGCCGATAATGTAACTGTCAAGCCCAGGCAATTTATGCCCTGTGACTCTAAAGGGACTGTGTCCCTTAGTGCTACTGTTTGCCTGAATAAATTGTTAGCGATTTGGCTACGCGTTTAGCCCTGCGCGTCAGAAAAGGAGTAATACATGGCGTCCTATACGGCGCCTTTTCAATTGCTTGCAGTGAACGAGTCTATGTAGCCAGGCTCTGTGTATGAGAGTCATCCTGTACTCTTGGGAAGATTCAATACGAGGGTGTGAGTAGCTTACCCGCGCCCGACCCTAGGGTCGCAGGCTAATTAGTACGCGAGCAAGCAATGCCTAAAACCGTAGCAAGGGCTTTGTGAGCTGGGTACCGGTATATGGTTACATTTGTACACGCAATCTGCATATTTCCACTCGTCCAGGGTGCATATCATCAGTTGGTCTCGACTTAACCCCGACTTGACATTGGAGTGAAACTTCCACCCCGACAGGGAAAGCACCAAAGGCTATGCACGCATGTTGGCTCTTCCATTGTGAAACCCTGTTGTTTTCAGAATCCCGCTTGCTAGAACAACGCACGACAAGCCGCGTTTGCGCGCTGGGTGTGCGCCTAAAGTGCTGTCAGTAGCTGGGTAGCAGCACCAACACTGGCACCACATCCATCCACATACAGCCCAAATGAGGTACGTGCCGCTCAATGCTGCGATACCCCACATCCGAGCAACGGCGGATTACGCAGAAAGAATACGACGACACTGCGCCAAGGTGAGAGCACTGCGTTAATGGACAGCCTGAAGCACCCACGTCCCAAACATGTCACAATAAGTTAAGACTGCTATAAGACAGGAAGCCGTCACGTCCAGGTTCTTCGTAGCACGCAGCCGTTTTTACGAATTCCCCTTCTTCTTAAATGCGCGCTCGGAGCACACAGCCCTCCTGCACTCTTGTCCTTGCCTGGTTACTCCCCGGCCATTCTTCCACATCCCCTCTTCTCCATCCTCCTCCCGCCATCCCAGCCTTTCTTCCTTCGCCACAAAGCCCTACACGCTCCTCCCCCGCTCCTCCTCCTCCTCCTTTATCTTTTCCTCCTTTTACCCTCCTACCCCTCCTCCTCACGCCGTCTTCACCTCCACCAGCGTCGGCTTGTAGATCTCCGGCGCCTCATACCCCAGCAGGTTAAACGTGGTGGCTGCCACATTCGCCAGCCCCGCCTCCGCATCCCCCTGCTTGAACACCACCCCCTCCGGCAGCCCCTTGCCGCCCACAAAGATCGGCACCGGCGCCAGCGTGTGCGAGGTGAGCGCCAGCGGCTTGCCGTCCTCTCCCATCAGCGGCTTGCCCTTCTTGTCGCGTTGCACCATGTCGTCCGCGTTGCCGTGGTCGGAGGTGACCAGCCAGCGGCCGTTCACGCTGTCCACCACCTGCAGCAGCTCCTTCACGCACGCGTCGCAGGTCTCGCAGGCGCGGATGGTGGCGGCCAGGTCGCCTGGAGGGGGGGGGTGAGGGGAAGGGGAAGGCGAGGGGGTAAAGAGGTGGTGGGCAAAGGGGAAACGACTACTGAAGAGAGAGAGAGGCGGTGCCCGCGGTGGCGTGATGGCACAGTGCAGGCGGCGGTGAGTTGTATCCCATGCATCACGCGCTCTTCCTTCCTGAAACCTCCGCCTCCCTTCACCTCGACACCCAGCCCCAGCCCCGGCCCCAGGCCTGGTCTTCTGGACCCTGCCCTCTACAACCCCTCCCGCCAGGCACAGCCCGCCCCCGCAGCCCCCACCTGTGTGGCCAACCATGTCCGGGTTGGCGAAGTTGACCCGCACCACCTTGTACTTGCCGGACAGCAGCGCCTCCCTGCTGGCGGCGGTGATCTCGCGCGCCTTCATGTCGGGAGCCTGGTTGAACTCGATCTTGTCGGAGGGGATCTGAGGGGAGGGGCGAAGAGGTGTGGAGGTGGGAGAGGTGGGGGTGGGGTTGTGGCAGGCAGGCAGATGCGGTAAAACATTGAGAAGAACAGGGCCTTCTGATAATGGTGAATACCGCGACCACCAGCGACTAACGCCCCTGTTGATAGTTCGTTGTTACGCCCAACCCAACCCTTGGTCAGCATGGCCCTCCTGCTGTACCCCTTCCTCTCCTCCGTCCCTCCTCCCTTCCCCCCGTCGCCCCCTCCCCCCGCACCTCCAGATACTGCTCCATCTTGGCGTCCAGGTAGCCGGAGCGGTTGCCGTTCCAGAAGAACGTCACGTGTCCGAACTTCTGCGTCTCGCTGCACGCAAAGGTGCTGATGCCGTTCTTCACCAAGTACTCGCCGCTCACGTGCAGGATCTCGGGCGGCGGCACCAGGAAGTTGGCGGGCAGCTTCAGGTCGCCGTCGTACTGCATCATACCCACGAAGCGCAGACCCTGGGAGGAGAGGCGGAGAGCGGGAGGAGAGGAGGGGAAGTGGAGGCGGGGAGCTGAGGGTGGGGAGGGGAGCGTTGGGGACGGTGGGGAGGGTCCCAGGCTGCACGGCGGAGCGTTGGCAAGGAGGGCTGTCCCGAGCTTCCACAAGCCGCATGTTGGTTGCCATCACACCCACAATGTACCCTCCCCCTTACTTTCCTCGCGCCCCTTCTACCACCCATCCACCAACACCATTCATTACAACCAGACACCCCTCCCTTCAATAACACCGCCCCCACACCCCGTACAGCTCGTCAGTTTCTCCCTCTTTCCCACCCCCACCCCCCACCTGCGGCACGCGCTCCCGGTCAAACACCGCAAAGTCGGGGTACTCGAAGGCCTTGCTGATCTCCACCATGCGGTCGGCGCGGAAGTTGAAGAGCACCACCGCGTCTCCGTCCTGCACGGTGCCCACGGGGGCGCCCGTCTCGTCCACGATCACAAAGGGGTCCAGGTACTGGTCGGACACGGGGGCGTCCTCGGGACCCTGGGGCGCGGGGCGGCGGTGTGTGGGGTGTGACAGAGGTAGGGTGAGGGTGCGGGGTGAGGCGAACTGTAAGGAGGGGAGCGGGTGGCGGTGCTAGGCGAGAGGTACGGAGGGAACAATGGTGGGTAGGGACGCAGGGGTGGAGGTGGGAGCTGCCGGAAGTCCAATGGCGCATGCAATATAAGGGGAGCTGCACCTCATAAGGGCAAAGGATGGAAGAGAATGAATCTTTGCTGCCGCAGCAGTGGCTGGTGTTAGCTGGTACGGCAGCTCTGCCGTCTGCCCCCCTGCCCCCTCGCACCCCTGCCCTCACCCGCAGCGTGACGACCGCTGTCTTGGCGTCCGTGAAGGTGCGGGGCGCCTTGCCCAGCACGTGCGCATCCCAGCCGCGCTTCACCATGCTCCAGTCCGCCTGTGCTCGGAAGAGGAGGAGAAGGGGGATAAAGGGGAGGGGGAGAAGGTGGGGGGAGAGAAGGGGAAAGGTGGGGAGGGAGACGAAAGGGTCTGGGTTGTGCGTTTTTTTTGTGCGTTGCAGTACAGGCGGGCGTGCACGATAGCCGTCTATCCACAAGGCCGAGGAATGTGACGGGACAAGGGCTAAAGCCAGCTTCCTCAGTTAGCGTCCAGATGCGTATTAACAGCAGCTGCGGTAAGGGAACGAAGTCAAGGCGCGCGCACCTCGTAACGGTCCATGGTGACCTTCATGCGGCCACCGCCGGAAGCGATACGAGCGTCGCACCCCTTCTCACGCAGGCTGGCAAGCTCGGCCTCGAGGTCCTCAACGAACTTGACCGAGGAGCCATCGGGAACGTCACGACCGTCGGTCAGGATGTGGCAACGGATGCGCTTCGCACCGCGAGCGGCCGCGCCACGCAGGCATCCTACGAGCTGGTCCGCGCGCGAATGGACACCGCCATCTGACAGAAGGCCGATGAAGTGAACGGTGTTGGTGGCAAACGCCTCGCTGATCAGCTTCCAGCCGTTGCCCTCAAACATCTTGCCAGTCTCCAAGGCGATGTCCACCAGCCGCGCACCCTGATCGACTACCTGGCCTGAGCCCAACGCGTTGTGGCCAACCTCGCTGTTACCCATATCTGCATCGCTGGGCAGGCCAACCGCTGTGCCGTGCGCCTTAATGGTGCGGAACCGGTTCGGCACCTGGCGCAGAGCATCGATGGTCGGCGTGTTCGCAACGTGGACCGCGTTAAACTCGTCCTTGTACTCGTTCTCGCCGAAGCCGTCAAGAATGCAAATCATCACCGGGCCCTCGGGCGCCGGGATGGTGGGGTGAGGCTTAAGCGTGTAGTCGTGAGACATCTTCTGCGGGCCAGGTAGAAATATAAAAAAAGGGTGAAGACAGCTAAGAATGGAGTAGAAGGTACCTCTTTATACCTGGGTACGATAACCACTCCATGCAAAGGAAATTGGCAACGTTATGCTTGGATGCACATTGCCGCCCTGGATCCCATGCATACCATATGCAGTAAAGCGCATGAAAATAATAGGCGGACCAGTTGCTTCCCGCGTTCATTGGCGCAATCAACGCATGTCGGAGGGTTTCGCTCGCGTCCTTACGCATATAGGAAAGATCACTAAACTGTGCAGAGTGATTTCCAATCATGGCTCCACACATGAAGCAGTAGACCACTGACCCAGCAACAAGAGCGGGCAAAAATACAACGCAACCCTGCGATCGGCACCCAACCGACCCATACCGTGGCCCACACCTGTTGCTCTTCAGCATACAATCATTAGCCACCGTGTATTGAATGGACATGGTGTCAACCTAACTAGCCTAGCCTTCACACGGTCCAAAGCGCAACCCTAGCTCGCGATTCTTGCCAAAGATGGACGAACTAGCTGCTTACCGTGGCCCCGGAAGAGGCAGGCTCGGGCTCCGGCTCCGCGGTAGAAGCGGGCGTCTTACCAGCCTCGGTGGCTGCTTTCGGAGCAGCTGCCGGCTCAGACGCCGCAGGCGCTGCCGGAGTAGCAGTCTCTGCAGGTGCTCCCGCAGATGCAGCTGCAGCTGTAGGTTCCGCCGGCGCAGATGTCGCTCCCGCGGAAGGAACTTCCTCCTGTAGGGATTATCGATGAATCCTTTATTACTGTCCGGCTGTCAGGCATTCAATACAGTTTGCCAATTATGATAATGTGTCTTGTCCCAATAAAGATCGTGCCTGCTCGCAAGCATTTGCCAAGCAAAGATTACTTCGATGGATGTTGTTCCCAGGCACAGACCGCTATGGTGCGCCCTTCCCTAAGTTTTCCATCGCAGTTTACCCGCTTTCTCCTTGAAAGCACTCCACCCATTCCCTTGCCCATGTCGCCGCTTATTCAGCTGAACTATGCGCCGGCTGACGATGGGAATGAGGGAAACTGTGAATGGTGCGATAATTACCGCGTTATAATATGTAAGCTGGTGCTGTCAGCGACAATACTGCTCAACCTATCTACCTGGTTTCTACTTGCTTTCGTACGGGCAGCTGTACGGCAGTCATAATGCATAAGCCATCGCTCAACTGCCGTTTAGTCCGTGAAGGAATTTGCGTGGCCTAGTGATATCTCTCTGAGAGAAGTCCAACAGTATACAAGTACGTTGCCAACAGCTTAGGGTTTAAAGACTTGTCCCGGTACCACCGCGCCCGCTTCAACCTGCGGATGCCTTATGCAGTGATGCTGTGCACCCCCCACGCAAAACATACACACACAGTCTTCTGTGACCTCTTCTCTATTACTGGTTCCAACCATTTACGATTGCCGCCTTTCTCACAAGCGGTAATGCATGGGTAGACTGCAAAAGCATGGCCTACGGAGCTCGTCCTGCTGTCTTCGCCATGGTACCTTTAGCTACACCCGACGGTTGCGAGGGCTGATTGCGGCTGCTAGCTTTCGCGTGCCTCTTGACTGCAACCTTATTTCCCGGGATGTGCAAGATTGCCTCCCGCTCCTCCGTCTCAGGTTGGGGAAACACAAGGTACTGGAACCGGGGAGTATCGAGGGAACAGTTGATCCAGGAATGTAAGGGCAGACCGTGAACACACTTGCGACGCGTTGCTTGAATGTTTACATGCACCTGGTGCCCACATGCACAAACCAACTGCCAACTTGGTGCCGTAGGCGTCTTTTGCTGCCTACCTTTTAACCCTTCCAAACACGCCCAGAACACGTGGAATGTGCAGTCTCTCTCCAATTCTTCAGTCCTTTATATGCTATGTACACCCCAGCAGTCTACCTTGCTAAGCACATGCGACTGTGCTTCGTGTGCAACACCACACGCAATGGACTACGGTGCCGCATGCGGCCAGGGTACACAACACACATGCGCCGCTGCATGCCTGCAGCACCCGCCGGCTACAGCGCCCACCAGCCCTGCACGGTGACAGCCGCAATGCTGGTGCTCCCGTTCTACGATCATCCTATCGTTCGCAGTAGCATGGCTCAGAAGAAGTGACACTCCAAAGCAGAGCAAAACATACATCACAACGCTTCGGGTTCGCGAAGTATTTGTGTACGACTCAGTCCAATTCTCGAGCGCATGCGCACGTCCATGAAAACACAAGGCAAACGTTGTCGTTCCCCTGCCGCATCGGGGCCCCTAACCCCAGCTTCAGGTCTCGAGCATCACGTTGCCAGTCCCAACCAGCGCTCCAATCGGCGTCCCAATGCAATGATGTCGTCGCCTTAGGTCCATTTATTACAGGTGTCCGAAAGAAGAAGTGCGCCCGACGTGGGGAAGAAGTCGCGCCCGTCGCACGCTGCACAAGGAAAAAGTCGTTCTCGCCTCCGCGCATCCGTTAGGTGATACCGCCAGCTTTACTGGAATGGAAGGGGCATCCATTTGCACAATCCGCGCGAACTGGGTCAAAATGTAGACTGGGCTCCGAGATCCTGCGCGCGCGACTGCACCCCCGCGCTTTATTCGTCGCCGCCGTCCTCTCCGGAGCCTTTAGCGGATTGCTTGGCGCACGTCTTGACATATGCCTGCAAGGCAGCGGCAAGGGCGGGCGAGTAAGTGCAGAGTTTGCTGAGAGTCGGCTGAGCGTCAGCGCTGCGCGACTGCGTCTTTATGGATAACCGAGATTACGTGCAGGTTTAGTCTGATGGAATCTAAGCATTTGGGATTGGCTCATATGGGGCTTTAGTGGCACCATATGTGCTGCAAATGGGCATAGGAAATGTGGCGGCCGCCGAACCATTCCGGGCAGCGGACAACGCGCGAAGCAAAGCATCTACAATGCTCGCCGATGCTAGCCAGATTCAGTAGCAGGGGTTGGTGCGACCACCGTTGGGTTGAGAAATTCTAATCTGGCCGACAATGACCTACTGACTACAGGGGCGCACCTTATCATCCTCCGACATTGATGACCAGCACCCGCCCATTGTGACAGACGCGGAACCACAAGCTTTTGGCTAGCAGGAGGTGTGGCCAGTGGATGGATGCTCGGATGTCAGCCTGAGCCTAATAGGTGATCTGTTTTCCAAAATAGTAAAGTATTCGAACATTAATGCTGATAAAGTTATCCTGAAGGCCACCGGGTCAGCTCATGAGAGCATGGCTGTTCGACAAGTACGGCTTCAGTGACTCATAGGCTGACTCAGTTTGGCGGGTTCAAAAGGACGAAGCTTTGCTAGAGGTACTGCTTACTTAGCGCTACACTGGTAAAAGAGGGTATTGAAAAAACTCAAGACGACATACCGGTATAGTGACAAAGCCTTTTTGGGAAAGTTTGTTTCAATCGCGCAAAACGGCGAAAATTTTATGTAGTTCAAGGACGGCATTGGTAACCAATTGCAGATTTCGGAGGCAGGGCTCGCGGCTATCTGCGACAAGCGAGTGCCCCTCGTCGCTTGCCTAGACATCTAGCTAAGAGACATCTTACTTCCTGTCACAGCGTGACTGCTTTAGCTGCGTAGATGGTGTTATTAATAGTAACTCATGTCGAATGCTGCTGCTGGTTGCCCGTAATCTGGTGTATCCCAGGGCATGGGTGCAGGCAGGAGCGCAGATGCCGCTGTTCTTTTGTCACCAACCTTTACCGTTACACAATGTAAACAGCGGAGGCAGCTGCTATTCCTGACAGCGGCGCTAACTTGCACTCCCCATTCGAGGTCTGCGTTAGCAACTTGGCCGCATACGGAACCACAGAGGGTACCGGTAGCACGAGCAGAGCAGCACCTCTGCGTTACAGCGCCATGTTCCTTGCAACCATATACCGGTGCTAGCAAGCTTCCATGTGTCCCAAGAGTTAGCAGTGCTAAGATGCAGCCACAACTCGCGTCTTTCGTTATACTCCTCGTACATACACAACGACCCAGATCCCATGCAACCGTTCTGGCTTAAACACACCCGGTTGTCCTGCTGCCGTCTCCGCCACGTACAACTGCAGGCTACAGGCGCCGTCGCACCCTCCAAACCATCACACAGCGTCGCGCGCACCACCTCCATAGGCCCGAAACGCATGCTCGCTCACACACATTCGCATTCCTCTACCACGCTCTAGACCCGTTAGGTCAATGGCCCTGCGTCTGCGTAAAGGGTGTACCTAACGCCGGCTCAGGCACAGATGAGAAGAGATAAGGAGTCGTACGCTAAACAACGGAAAGATCGTTCCTTGGCACCCCGCTCATTCGCTACTCGGACACATATCGCCCGCAAGAACTCGGTCAAGTCGTCCAGCTTTACGAGCATGGCTTGCGACGTGGGCTGCTGGCCGCGACACGCCCGCCAAACCTCTCATCGTGTGTGATTCCCCTTCTCATCGCCCCAGCTAGTTGTCGTTCACGGCGTTTTCGGCATACTCCTTGCCGTACTCTTTGGCGCCCTCCTTCGCTGCAGCCTTGAATTCCCGCTGCGAGGCATTGGCAGCAGCAGGCAATGGCGGAGAAAGCATGAAGCGAAGGGTCGAGAATGGATAAGTGGCTCGGACCACCAGCACGTCAGAGCCGCCGAAGCAAGTGTGGTGCAATCATTTGCATATCAAAAAACACGCATTGTGAACTATACGTTGCATAGTGCTCTCCGCTCCTATGCTGTAAGCCAACGTGACAGCGAGCGAAGACGTCGCCGTCGCACTGGAACGTTGTTCTGGCAGGGCTGGCAGGCAGCAGGTTAGGTGCTAGCGACGGCAGATCAAGGCCCACCTTGTCTTGCTCCGACATTCCTGAAAAGCAGCCGCCCATTTTACCAAACGTTGCGCCGCTGGTGGCCGGAGGGCGGAGAGTCAAAACGTATGACGAACAAATAAATTGTGAAGCTACGCTTGCTAATGCTGAAGAAGTGTGCCTGCAGGTCTGTTCCAGGCTAAGCAAAGCACCCTGGATAGTGGGCGTCGCCCCTCCGACGGTACGGCAGGCCACCAACTCAGCAGATCCTGACTCAGTTCGGCGGGAACCAAGGATCAGGCTTTTCCCGTTGCGGGAGAACAAACATTGCGAAGGTAAGCAAACTCTGGACAAAGCCATTGAAATGGGTCTCCCAGAGGCTCATGAAGTGTTGCGAGCATCAATTGCTCTTGGCTGAGGCCTAGGTAAGACCAGGCACAAACAATCCAAGCAACGCTCCGTACCGGTACTGGAAATACTGCAAGCCTCGTAACCAATGCCAATCCTGGAGGGCTAGAAAAACGACCAATCAGAAATACCTGCCCTGTCGCAGCTGCCCGCGGCATCGCTGATACAATCCCGTAAATAGCGCTATCACCGCACATTGCATGCATTGCATGGTAGCCTTGGCAGAACAAGCTCCCATCCCTCAACCCCAGCCCCATCTAAGGGCCTCCATTGTAGCTCCTAACCCTGTTGAACCCAAAAATACTCCGGACTCCCATGCCATTCCGCCCATCTAGATTCTAGAACCCTGGATTCCGCGCCGTACTGCCTCTAGGAAAGCAACATCTTTACCATCCTGCGCTACCGTACACAGACATCACGCTGCGGCCTCCCATGTCCGTACAGCGTCCGTGCACTTATCATGATGGCAGCAACAACGCCATCACTGCTTGGCTGTTTGCTTGCTCTGCGCAAAAGCAGCACACGGAGCCCAGGCCTGCGAATCAGCGAAAAAACCCACCCTACAGGGGCGGGGTTGCTGCTGGTTAGAGCAGTTAAGCGACGGCAAGCACACCCCGTACCCGCCTGTGGCCGTCAGTCCTGCGTCTTTCTGGGAATTTGTTTCCATCCCTTTCATCGTCTCGCACCGCGTCCAAAGTGCAGCAGGGTGACCGTGGGTGCGCACACACGGCTCGCGGCCAGCTTTCTTAATACACGGGTCACGCTAGCATATAGCTTGAGAAGAGAGCGCTTTGCAAGTCGTAGGACAAATCCCAAAGCCGAATCCTGCACCCAGAAACACCATCCCTCGCTACTAACGCTGGAGTGCTTTGACACACTCCACACTCGACTAAAGCGACGCACTGCTGCGGGACAAGGAACAACAACAACAACATCCGCACATGGCGCGATCCGGCGCGGGGCAGGCAAACGGAATTCAGGAGCGGGTCAGGAGCTGCCGAACACACGCACCCTCGCGCCCGTACAGGCCCCGGAGGCGCCTGCGCCCCCCCGCAAGCCAACCAGCCCCAACACCGCATCCGCGCCGCCTGTACACGCGCAATCGCCCCGCCTCTCCCTCCCTCCCTCTCTTTCCCTCTCCTACATAATAAACCTTAGCACGTAAGGCCCAACAGCAAGGATGCCCTCACGCACGCGGCCTTACCCTCACTCAGACTGCACTCCAAAGACATCTCAACGACAACACTCGAAAATATACACACCACACGCAACACCACAAATAACACCATAAGTAACACAACCAACATTTAACAGACGGCACATGCACCTCCTCCACCCAGCCCTCCACAATCCTCAGCGCCTCACTCCGCCTCCGCCCCCAACATGCCCGCGCCGGCCCGCACGAAATGATTAAACACCTGCCGCAACATCCCCCGAGTGGGCCGCGCAGGCGGGTACCATGCGCTTACGTAAGCCAGTCGCTGCCGTACCGCGTCCTTGCTGACGTGGCAACAACTCGCCACCGCAGCCGCTCCTCCCGCCGCCGCCGTCGCCTCACTTCCAGAGGTCTCCGAGGCTGCGGCCGCGGGCACGCCCACACCACCTTCGCAGCGGTAGGGAGCGACCCACATGGGGAGGGAGGAGTGGGAGGGTGCCGGTGCGGCGCTGCTGGAGTCAGCGGACGAGGCGGGTGGGGTGCTGGGGCCGCTGCCGCCGGTGACGGGGCCGTAGCATGCGAGCAGGAGCGCCACGGCGACGCACACGCAGGTATCCAGGCCTGGCAGAGGAGGCAGGGGCGGGGCGGTGCAGGGAGGAAGGCGGGTGAGAACGATGCATAAGATTACATGTTCCCGTAGACACAACGGGGCCAGTTATTTTACACAACGGGGCCATGTACGTTCCTACTCGCGGCCAGTTTTCTTAACACAACGGGGCGGATGGTAGTGGGTGAGAAAACTTCATTCTAGCAGCGAACGTGCGGGGCCTCTCCTGGAGAGCACCCGGGCATATGCAGCATACGAGCCCTCCGCCTCCGCTCAGAGCGGGTAGAGCGCCCCAGCAGGAGCCGCACTTCGAGTACACCCGAGGCGCCACCGTCATGCAATGACAGCATCCCTACGCAAAGCCCCTTGTATACCAGCAGCCCACAACAGAGGCCCACATGTACAGCATGCAAGCATGCACCCCACGGCTTGTGTGTTATGTCTCACCCCAACCGCCCAAACCAGCCCTGGGGCTTACCATTGGTGTCGTGTATGAGCACGGTCCGGCCCCTGCCCAGGTGGTGCGACAGGAAGCTGAGCGCCGGCTGCAGGTGCTGCTGCAGGCTGGTGCGGCTGTGCTTGAAGTGCTGCACCGGCAGGTGCAGGTAGCGGGGGTAGCGGCGGCGGTGGTGATGATGGTGGTGGTGTGAGTGCGCATGTGGGTGTCCATTCGCGGCCCCATCGGTGTGGTCCCCACCGCAGTCCCCACCGAAGCGGCTGCAACTGTCCGCATGCAAACGGCTGCTGGCTTGAGCGCATCGCGGCGGTCGAAAGGAGAAGCCGCCGTCACCACCGCCCTCATCACCAGCATCGCCACCGCCGCCATCCTCCTCCTCCGCAGCCGCCGTCCCTGCCCCTGCCGCTGCTTCTCCCACCTCCCTTTCTCCGCCCCCGGCCCCATGCGTGCCCCCACTGCCGGCCCCCCACTGCGGCTCCCCCGCCATGGAGGGGTGCTGCTGCTCCCCGCAGCTTAGCACCGCATCCACATGCCGCCAGCAACCGGGCGCCGCACCCGCAGCCAGGTCCCCCAACGCGATACGGGTGCCCGGGCCCAGCCAGTACATGCCGCAGGGGCCAGCGACGGGAACAGCGGTGGCGCCGCCGCCTGCACGGCAACCCGCCGGTAACAAGTGATGCTCGTCCGTTGCCGCAATGTAGGAGGAGGTGGCGGCGGCGGCTTTTGAAGAGGCTGCTTCAGTGGAACCGCTGCCCGCCGCAATGGTGGCAGCAGCCGCAGCAGCTGTGATGCTGCTGTTGGTGCCGTGCTCCGCCAGATCCGCAGCCTCCCGCTGCAGCAGCTGCCGTACCGTGTCGTGCACGCCTCCCGGACCCGCCTGCAGCAGCTGCGGGTAGTGCGCCCAGAACACTGCGGGTGTGAGACCCGCCGCCCAGCTCTCCTCGTCGTCACCGGCGCCGGGCACGTAGACGTACGTCCAGGCGTGCTGCTGCTCCTGCTCAGTGTGCGGGTGGTGTTGCCGGCGTCGCTGAGAAGCGGAGCCGCCACCGCCGGCGGCGGTATCGCCATCCGCAGCGGGTGCTGCCGCCGCCACCGCACCGGCCGCCGCCACCTGACGTAGGTAGGACTGCGGCTGGGAGGCCGAGACGAGGTAGAGCGGCGTGAAGGGCAGCTGGTCGGGTTGGGCTACCTGGTCCAGCCAGATGGTGGAGGCCTGGCTGATCCACAGCGGCCGGAGGGGCTTGCGCAGAACCTAGGGGGGAATAAATGACAAGTGGAGGGGGTGGAGCAGACCCAGCATGGGAGCGGGGTGAGGAAACGTGGGTGGAGAAGGAGTCGCGGCATGGTAGAAAGAGTTGGGCACAAGGGAGCGAGGGTGCGAAGCTTGAGGAAAGGTGCAGCGACCGATTGTGAGAAACCATTCCAGAGGTGGAGACCCATGGGTCACCTACGACGGTAGCCGGTAGCCCTGCAAGCAGGCAGGCTCGTACCTTGGCTAGTCCCTCCACGTCCGCCCCCACACGCAGCAGCGCATCCACCCAGCCGTCCAGCCGCCGCTCGATCTGCGCCCGCTCATTGGAGGAGATCCACAGCGGCAGGTGGAGCGAGGTGTCCCATGGGTCGCTTTCAGCCGCCTCTGACGAACACGCTGTCGCGTCTGCTGCTGCATCGCCGCAACCGGGCCCTGAGCCCAAGGGCACCTCAGCACCAGCATCGCAACCTTTGCCTTCTGCCGTACATGCAACCTCAACCGTACATGCTGCTGCTGGAAAGGAGGTAGTAGCTGTGGCGGCAGCACCGCAGCTAGCGTTAAACGCGACGTCACCCTGGCCGCCGCATTGGTCGCTAAAGCTGAAACAGCTGGAGGAGTTGCTACAGCGGCGACTACCACAGAGCGACGAGGAGGCGGAGGCCGAGTCGCAAGTGGATAAGGAGGTGCTGCTGTAGCTGGGAGCAGCCGCCGCGCCGCTGCTTGTGCTGCTCGCACTAGCGATGCCAGCTTCGGTTGTGCTGCCGCTGCTGCCAGCACCCCCAGGGCTACAGCCGCTGCAGCCGCCGCAGCCCTCCCCTAGCGCAGCAGCGGCAGCAGCTACAGAGGTAGCAGCCGCTCCCCCGAACAGCAGCACCCCATCACCTCCCCCACCTCCTGCTCCTGCCTCCCCCGGTGGCGAGCAGCTCACATGCGCCGCGGAGGCCGCCCCCAGGTCCACATCGCACAGCGCAGGGGGGCAGCAGCAGCCGGCAGCAGCAGCATCAGGCCCCCGCAGCTGCACCTGCCAGCAGCAGCTGGCTGGTGACTCCGCGGGGGCAGCGGCGGGGGCGGCTGCGGGCCAGGCATCCCAATCCTCGTCCTCCTGCTGCTGCTGGTGCTGCGGCAGCAACAGCTGGTGCTCCTGGTGCTTTTGCTGCTGCTCCTGGGGATCCGGATGCTCCTTCTGTAGTAGTTGCTGCGGGTCCTCCTCCTCCCCCTGCTCCCCCTGCTGCCGCCCCCCGCAACACCTCTCCTCCAGGTCCAGTCCCTCACCCGTGTCCGCACCGCGACGGACCCAGCGCGCACGTCGCGGCGACCCGCACACCCCACCACACCCCTCACCGCCCGGCTGCTCCCCGCGTGGGGGGCTGCTGCCGGAGCCGCCCTCCCTGTGGCCGCAAGCCCATGCCGGCCCCAACCGCCGCTCCCGGCTGATGATGTTCTCGCCGTGGCCGTCGTCATCATCATCCCCGTCAGCGTCCGTCGGGACAGCCAGGGTGGAAGCAACAGGAGAGCCGTCCTCCTCCCGCGTTGCGACTGCTGACAAAGCATCCATTGCATCCGCATTCCGTCGCAATACCTCAGCGGCTGTTGCCAAGGCGGTAGTGGTGGTGGCAGTGCCGGTGGGCGACGTCGGTTGGGTGGTTGAGGCAGCCAGCGGGCTCTGCAGCCACATGCTGAGTGACCCCACTCGGGGGCAGCCGCAATCCTGCTGCTCAGCCGTCGCCGCTGCCATCGCCGCTGCCAGCTGCCCAGCGGCGGCTGGACAACTACCGCCACCACCACCGGCAGCAGCGGAGCCCGCAGGGGAGGTGGGAGCAGCAGGGAAGGTGAAGGAGGAACGGCAGTTGCGTGGCGTGGAGGGCGCAGGTGAGGAAGGACACGGCGGTGCTGATGATGGTGTTGCCGAGTTGACTGGGTCTGCTGCGGTGTCAGGGCTTTGGGATTCCCGGGCGGGCAGGTTTGGCACAAGCTGCTGCTGGAAGAGCAGCTGCTGCTCGGTGGGTTGCTGATCGGGCGCTGAGACAAAAGCTGAGGTGCTGCTTCTCATGGCCCCTGCTGCTCCTACTGCTGCTCCTGCTGCGGCCTGCCGCGCGGATGCCTCGGCGCGTTTGCGAGCAACGGCGCGGTTCACAACGGCAGCCCAGATGGGGATGGTCTTAGTCATGGCATCCTGCAGGGGAGTTGCGGGTGAAGGTGGCAGTGTTGCAGTGAACCCTTGTCCTCATAATGGGCAAGGCCGGCAGTTGCCCATCCGCTGTAACCCGGCCTCTTGACTCACCGGAAAGCGCTTCCCCTTGCGCGTTGCATCAACAATTATCACGCCTCCATGCTGGGCAGCAAGCTCACAGACGTTCCAGTTAAGCCGCGTACAAGAGAAAGACCAGTTACCGTTATGCCCATCTGTGGACTTGAAGTAACAGGTGCCATCTGCCTGGCGCGTATACCAGAGGCCGCAACGTAGGTTCGCCAACAAAGGAATGGTCGGGTAGAGGCCCCTTATTTCCGAGACGAAAGCCGCGTCCGATAGGATTGAGGCAACGCAGTTATACAGGGAACACTGTTCCTTCTTAAGCTGCCTTGTAACCTTCCAGATGCTGTCGTGAGTAGGATTTGCAAAGTCCGCATCAGGCTGAGCTCTAGTCGGCGTCAGGCTTTGGAGCGGATGGGTAGGACTTGCAAAGTCGGCGTTCCGCTGCGTAAGTAACGGGTTCATTTTTAATGAACCAGACGTCCTACCTTGTTACACTGACGTCTGCAAAGACTAAACGACTGGCAAGCCAAATGGATGCTGCCGATGCGCTGTCGTCATCACGAGCACAGCCAGGAAGTATTTTAGATGAAATATAAGATAAATGGATATATGTGATGTGAAGCGCAATGTTGAAGGGCGTGCATTGATATGGCTTGCATGATGTGCCGTAGTCGCGGGCTCATTTGGTTGACGGGTTGACAATCACGGGCTTTTCGGAATCTCAAAAGCGCAAGAAGCCACCAAACGTGATCTTCTAGCTATACTGTGCGTTGTCGTTTACGGGTACCCTTTTGACATAGGATAAAACATGTTGGTAGTTGCTGTCCTACTTCTAATTACCCTGAGCGGCTGCGCTCAAGGTGCTATAGATGCTGATAAAGCAGCGGAGCTGTCAAGAAAAATTAGAGAGCATTATCGGGAGACAGGAGCAAACTGGGTTTCTCCAAAAATGCTGCGAGAGGTGTGCTGAAATGCAGTGAAGTATTCTTGCACTGGGTTCTCATTAGCCTGGTAACCGTAAGTACCTTAGCAATTGGGGGGGGCATGTCCCAACCACTCATCAACTAACTATCCTCCCAACCCTACCCTGCCTGCCGTCATCCGGTGCTTAGCGACCCCTCATCTACCCTACCAAAGTCGTCCCCTCTTCGCCCAAATACCCCCTCCATGAATCCACCGCTACGATACCCGCCTCCCTCCTCCCCTGCCCTGCCGCCTACCCCACCGCACGCCCCATACGTGCGGGGGGTGCGGTGACGTCATCAACCGTTTCAGCACACTTAACTGTTTCTCATCGAACTTCTGCCCCTCCTTTCATCCGTTTCACCGCCTGCCATTCCATTGTACCCATCAATCAATCCATTGATCCATTGACACCATCCTCCCTTCCCCCCCCAGATGAACCTCACCCGCAACTCCAAGCCCATCATGTACGTCCTCAGCTCCACATCGTGAGTAAGCCCACACTGCCTGTGGAGTGAGGGGTGCATGCGTGTGTGTAAAAGTTATAGTGAGCCGCCTTGTGCATGTGTCTTCAAGGAAGACTGGCCGCGAGGAGGAACGTGCTGCGATGTGTATCGGCGTGCACGTGCATGCGTGCATGCGCACACACACACACACACACACCGTACTGCACATCCCTAACTCCACTCCACCCGAGCTCCATCCGAAGTCCGCATCTGGAAGCGACTGCTGACCGGCACCCGCAGGGGCGCTGATGGGTTGCCCAGTGGCCCAGTGGCTTGTGCGAGGGAGGGGTGCAGATGGGAGGAAAGGGGAGGAGGGGGCCAGACAGGCACACATGCACTCACACCGGGTGTGGCAGTGCGGGAACAACCCTCGTTGTGTGAGCCCGTGTGCTGCCCGCCCAAACCCGCCCCCGTCGCGCCCGCCCCTGCCCCGCAGGTGTGCCGACTGCCGGGAGTTCCTGGCCAGCTTTAAAAGCATCCGTGAGTGGGATCGGCAGCAGCAGCGGCAGCGGGGGCAGCAGCAGCAGGGGCAGCAGTAGCGGGGCCCGCCCGGGGGGGGGGGAGGCCGGGGGGAGGGGAGGTTCCTGCCGTACGGGCACGCAGGATGGCCATGCATGCCTTTGCGCTGAACCTGCTGCCGAGCACACGCGCGCGCCTCGCATGGTGCGGGTGCTGCGGGTGCACCCCCGGGCTGCTGGGAGCTGCTGGCTGGATACACACACGGAGGGGCTTCAGCGGGCTAGGTACTCGGCAGTAATTTATTTTTTCTGACACCATCAGCATCGCCGACCTGCGTCGTCAACCCGCCACTCTTCTTACATCCAGCACCAGCTATCTAAGCAGTTTTGGAGTTACGGTTCAGGTTTGGTTACATCTGTTTTACCTCTGTTTTGCCTGGACTTGCGGTTCACATGCAAACCTATCCCAACTGCTTGCTCTTATTTCTGCTCAACTACACACACGGAGGCGCTTCCCAGGGTGCCCAAGATGTAGCGCCCTGCCTGCCTCTCCCCTCCGCGCCCTCCCTGGAGTCCCTGCTTGCTGGGTGGAGCTGCCCGCCCGCACCCACTGCCCCCCGCCTCGTACCCGCCTTGTACCTACACCGGACTACTAACCAACACTTTGTCTTGTGGCACCCTGCCGCCTCCTACCCCCATTGCTTTGCCCTAACCTGTGGTATCTTATGGTTTGGTATGGTCTTTGACCCCCACCCCCCGGGCCCCCTGCAGACCCCACCTCGCTGTCCTCCATCACCTCCCAGTTCCTGTCGGTGCTGGCACTGGACGACTATGTGCTGGAGATGGGGGTGAGGGGGTGAGGGGGTGGGGGGTGGGGTGAAGTTGGTCTAGAAGGGATGAGCGTGTGCGGGGTTTGGATGGGCGGGTTGGGTAGCGTACGTCAACCGGGCGGTGATGATGAGACCATGGAAGGGAAGACCTGGGAGGAGGATGAGAGAGTCCTTCGCTGGCCCCAGTCTACCGCTGGGCTGCTTGCAGCCGTCGTGAAGTAGTCATCCCCCTGTCTCAGGCCCCCTCGCTGACCCCCGCCCTCTGACCTCCCCGCCCCCTCCCCAGCCCGCCTTCTCGCCCCCCAAGTCCGACTACCTGCCCCGGGTCTTCTTCGGGGACTCGGATGGCCAGGTGGGCTACGGTGGGGCAGCAGCAGCTGCTGTGGGCGGGCGGTTGGAAGGGGGATAAAAATACGAAACTGACGAGCTGTATGACGAGGCTGTACGGCGGAAGTGGGAGGGGGTTTCACCGCTTGGTCGAGCTGCGTTCGTTGGCGTGGCGCCGCTCCCTGAGCAGCAGCCCTGAGCAGCCGCTCAGCCACCCAACCACTCTGGGAGGGATTCCGGGGTGCGCTTGCGGGGTTGTCTTGCTGTCTTGCTGGGCTTTGTGCGGTTCCTGTGTTGCTGCGTTCCCGACCCCTCCTCCTCACTCCGCCCCCCCCCCCCGCGAGGACAGGTCAACTACGACTTCATCAATCCCAACTCCGAGGCCTCCGCGCCCTTCTACTACTTCTCTGCAGAGGAGGTACGGCCGGAGAGGAGGAGGGGAGGTTCAACAGAGAGGGTGGAACCGGGCTAGGGGGCCTGCTGCTGGGGGTGCTGCGGGGCCTTGCAGCAGAGGAAAGGGTGGGGGAGGGTACTTACCGTATCGTATACCGGTATGGTTGCGGAGAAGGCGGAGGAACGGGCGCTGCTGGGTTCCCGGTTGCCCCCCATGCATGGGGGTACACCCCACTGGTAGCCCTCTCCATCGTCGTCACCACGAGCCTAGCATGCTGCTCTGCGCAAATCCTGTTGGGGCGCCCACTCTGCAGCTGTTCACTGCCCACTGCACGTACCCCGCTGCCAGGGCGGCACGGGGGGGTGTTGTGCATGGCAGCCGGGCCCAAACCCAATCAAGCGCATCACCTTCCCCTCCCTCGCTCCTCTTTCCCCCTGCTCCTGCTGCTACAGCTGGTGGGCGCCATGCGCCGCTTCCTGCAGCAACACCGGCAGCAGCTGGGGAGCGACGTGTATCCGGCGGACCTGCAGCAGGACATGTGAGGGGGCGGCAGCAGGACATGCGGGGAGGCGAAGGAGCAGGAGTAATTAGGTCGGGGGTGCATGGGTGGGGGGTGCCTACTGGGAACCACATGCATGGGGAAGGTGAGGCGTGTAATGCACGCGAGGCGGCCATGCAGGCTGCACTAATAAAGCCAGCAGAGCAGGCGGCATGGCCGTTGCAAATAAAGATGCTGGATCGTGAGGTTACAGGCGTGCGAATACCGGTATTGGGAACCCTCTTTAAGGCCCGGTTGGACTTCCAGCCACGTGGCGGCCTGCTAGGCAGCAGGTGCAGGATTCGAATGCTTCATGTGTACCACCGCAGTTCTTGTTTGCGGTAAAACCCAAGTGCACGTACGACACCTTCCATCTCCGAATGTCCGGGTACCACCAATACAAGCATCAAACCCACGGGTGACCCACGGGTCACCTAACGCGCCACCTGCTACGTCCTTCTCCCTCTCCAGCCAGCTTGCCCAGCCAGGCAGGAGGGCTACGTGAAACGTAATGGGACATCTTATCTTCGCGCTGCCGCCGCGTATCAATGCATCCTTAGTCATGATACTTGTCAAGATACCAGTCAAGGTACCCGGTGCGTCCCGCGCGTAATGTACAACACACAACACATCCGAAGCTTGGACCAGCTGGAAAGAGACCAAGCACGGTTTACTGGACCAAACACTAGACAGAGCACATGCTCATATGTTACACCCCCCGCAGCCCACTTAACACGAAACTATCCAAAGTTATCTTCAACCTAACACGAGGAAGCAGCCCAGCTCATGGGACGCACCTCCACCACCCCGTCTCTCCACAATTGCTTCAAACACACACGTCGACATCAGCACCACCACCAACCTCACCAGCACCGCCTGCAAAAGCAAATCATCAACTCCAGCAGTTTAACAACAACAACACCCGCGTCTTTCTCGCCGCGTCTCTACGACCACACCACCCTCACCAGTACCAGCAGCCCAACAGCGCCCCCCATCGGGTCCAACACCCCCGCCTCCACCCCAGCCGCCACCACGTGCTGCATGTCACCATGAAACGCCGTCACCACCACTCCGCTTACCGCCGTTGCGCCCACCGCCCGAGACCGCCCACCGCCACTGCCAAGAGCAAAGGGCAGCACAACACCTTGAAATCCCCTGGTGCCACTCCAGGGCCTCATGCAGCAGCAGCAGCAGCTTCCGATAACCGATAACGGTTAGTCAACCCCCCATGCATGTATCATGACATGATTTCAAGGCTTCATGAGTAACACGCACACTCAGCTCAAAGAGCTCAGAATACGTGCAGTGGGGCTCACCCGGGGCCGCGCTACTCCTCCTCTTTCTCCTTCCAGTCCGAAGTCGGCTGCCCTAGTAGGGGTAATGCACATGCCAGTAGGTGCCTCTCCCTTTTGCTCGCTTGCTTGCTTCCCTGTCTTCACGCGTGCGAACGCGACCTACAAGCTACCTAGCCAGCCAGCTCCTCTGCTCTCCTAACCGCCTCTCCTAAACCGCCCTAACCGTAACGACTCGCCGACCTACTCGCGCGCGAGAGACAAAGGAACCCTACTACCGTACACGCACCCTACACCTACACCTACACAGCTGCTGACTACATGATGACTGACAGTTACCGGTGCCACGCCGAGCTCATCTAAACCAGCTGTCTACAACCGCTCCCTCCTCCATCTCCTCGCCAACCTTCCTATAAACCGCCCAGCCTCGCACCGCCCAGCCTTGCAACTGAATCTCCCTCATTCCAAGTCCAGCGCTTTCCTCCCCTGCTTCCTGCTTGCCTGCCCGCCTGCTGCTACCCCCACCCCCTACTGCTGCTTCCTCTCCCGCGCCAGTCGCCGCTGCCGCAGCTGCTGCCGAGTGGCCGCCACCTCCGCCTCGTCGAGCTGCGTGCGGTAGGCCTGGTGGGGGAGGGAAGGGGGGAGGGGGGAAGGAGAGGAGGGGGGTAAGGGCGGAGGGAGGTGGGGAGGTGAGGAGGTGGCGCCCTGCACGGTCCCTGAACCACCCCGCCTAACGCCCCGTACGCCCACACGCCCCCCTCCCAAACTCCCTCCCGCGCAACCCGATAACCCTCCTCACCCGAGACCCCACCCTCCTCACCCCACCCCACCCCCCCTACCTGCGCAAACGCGTTCACACAAGACACCGCAAACACCGCCATCAGTGCCGCCATGACGCCCGCCCACACCTCCGCCACCGTGTCCGGCAGCAGCGCCGCCGCCGCCCGCCCCACCTCCCGCCACAGCGCCTCCCGGGATCGCAGCACTGCAGCGGCTCGGTGCCACCACCAGCGCCGCTCCGCCAAGTGGGCCGCACTCTTGGCCAGGACCTGTGTGTGCGGGGAGGCGGGGAGGTGGGGAGGAGAGGGGAGGTGGGAAGGAGGGGGGAGGGGGGGAGGATGGGGGAGGTGGGTAGGATGGGGGAGGTGGGAAGGAGGGGGAGGGGGGGAAGGAGGGGGGAGATGGGCTTCTTACCCGTACGAAGCAGCCAGCCAGCCAACTAGCTAGCTAGCCATCCAACATGGGGATCGACATGACACCAACATGACACCCCCCCATGCAACGTAACGCAACGCAGCGCTCGCTCGCCCCGCTGCTGCTGCTGCCCCCGCAAGCCTCACCCGTTCCTGGTAGTCTGCGATGGAGCGGTTGATGAAGAGGTGCAGGTTGTGCGTCAAGGACGACCCATGGGTCACTCCCGCAGCCGCTGCAGCCGCCCCGCCTGCTGCCGCGCCCCCTCCTGTCCCCAGCCAGCTGGCCAGCCCCGCCGGCAGGCTGGGGTGCAGCCAGCCCTCAAGTCCCTCCAGCCATGCGAGCAGCGCCTCACGACTGTTCCGACGGAATAACGACACGAAAAACACCACCTAGCGGGGGAAGGGGGGTATGGGGATGTGGGTCAGGGTCGGGGTGAATGCCAAGAAGGAGGTCGCGCACCCTCCTCCCACCCTCCCACAGCATGGTGTTCTCTTCTTCCTTCCCGCCATCTCCCCTTCCTCTTCCCCCTCCTCATCCTCCTGTTGGTTTGCCATGATTTGGTCTTCTTTTGGCCCTCACTCTTCACCCTGCACCCCCCCCTCCTAACTTGTGGTCTCCTATGGTTTGATATGGTCTTTGACCCCCCTCCTCCTCCCTCACCTGCCCCAGCACCTTGAACCCCCCCTTGCCCAGCAGCGTGGCTCCGAAGAACTTCCAAAAGGGAAACCGGAAGTTGCCGCACACCAGACCGCACAGGTCGAACGCGGCGTTGGGCCAGGAGGCGAGCGCCAGGATACCCCAGAAGCCGTGCCCCCGGATGAACCCCACCATCCACTGCTCCAGACGCGCGATGATGCGCTGCAGCAGGTTGCGGTGCTGGGCGGGGCTGGCGCTCAGGGCCTAGAGGGGGGGTGGGAGGAGGAGGAGGGGGGTGCAGGGTGAGGGGTGAGGAGTGAGGGCATAGTGGTAGGGAGAAGAGGAGGAGGAGGAGGAGGCGAGGGGTGCGGTGCTAGACAGCTGGTCATGACATGCTGGCTACACTCCACGCGTGCGCCAAGGTCGGTCGCCAGGGATGTGGGCATGGAGGTTGTTGGAGGTGTATTCCCCCTGCGCGGCAGGAAGGCCCCACTCCAGGGGCAGGCAACAAGCCCCTTCCTTAAAAGCGGGGCCCGCCAGGGTTTGTGGGACCCTAGCGCGATGGTCACAAAGGCAGGAATGACCCATGGGTCGCTCACGCCGCCTCACCTCCTCCAGCTCCAACATGGCCTCGTTCTTACGGCCCGCCACCGCAGCAGAGTACGACAGCCAGTACGGCGGGATCTCCCCGATTGCCGTACCGATACCCCACAGCACCGCCGTGACGATAACCTGCGTGTGTGTGGGGGGGGGGCATACACCCCACGGGCTCACTGGGTCTGCTGCAGAGGTGCTCGTAGCCTTCTGGCTGTGCCAGGTGGGGACCCCCTACCTGGCCCTTCCTAGCGTGCCCCTTCCTTCCCCTCCCCCTCCCGCCGCCTCCTGTCCCTGTTGACCTATGACCTCACTTAACCTTGAAACCAGTCGGGTTCCCCTCCAATCCCCCTCCCCCAGCCCCACCTTCGCCACCAGGTCCCCGAACGTGACCTCCTGCGGCCCCCACTCGCCGCACTTGAAGCTCTCCGAGCTGTACCACATGTCCTGCCGCGTGGAGAAGCGCACGTGGCCGCACGTCTCCGCGGCCAGGCAGACCTGGGGGGGAGGGGGAGGGAGGGAGAGGTAGGCGGGAGGGGGGAAGGGGTTGTGACGGCGCGGCTCGGGTGGCCTAGGTGGGAGGCCCAGGAAAGGTACCGGTTTAGTCCAGAGCGACAATGGTCCAGTCGAAAACCACTCCCACCAACAAAGCTCTAACCCCAACTCCCATCCGGCATTCCTCCATACCGCCACCCTGCGACACCGCGCATCCCTCCTCCTCCTCCCCAGCTACTAGTAGCACACACGGCTGCGTCCTGCCCGCGCTTCCCAGCCACTCCTAGGGTGCAAGGTGGTGCCGTGCATGCCACCGCGTGCCCTGCTGCCGTACCCTGAGGCATACCCTGCCCCTTCCCCGCCTCCATTCCGCCTCGGCCCGCCCCCACCTTGAGTATGTGCGGGAAGAGGAAGAGCAGGCCGGTGTGCATGCCCGTGCCCAATCCGATGGAGGACAGCACACCCAGCCCCACCCACCACACCACATACTTGATCAGCTCCTGGGGGGGTTGGGAGGGGTGGGGGAAGGGGGTTTACTAGGGGTCGTGATGGGTTGTGGAGGGGTTGAGCCTTGGGCGCTGTGATGCGTGAACACAGGGAACCTCTCAGAAGCCGACGTTACAGAGCGACGATTATACACCGAAAACCCCATGGCAGCGGGCTTCCCTTCGGGCGGAGATACCGTGCTATTTGGTGGCATAATGCCATCGAGCTAGGTATGTTGGGTTCACAGTAGCAGCCCAAACCCTAACTTACCTCAATTTCCGTGAGCACTTCCTGTTTATATCCTCCATACTTTGTGAAGGAGTAGGCAAGCAGTGCCGGCACGATGACAAGCAATGTGACTGGATGGCCCGCAACCCACTTTGATCCGGCATATAACCCCTCCGCAGTGTATCGCAGAAGATAGTAGGTGGTCCGTAAGGGCGACTTAAAGAGAGTTACGTTGCGTAGTTCCTTCGCCTGGCGTAATCGAAGCTGCAATGGGAACAAACGTGTACCAACACCAAGTCGATGCATTAGTATATGTACATATTTTTATGCATTTCAACTAACCGCTTGTACACGCATGCCAGTCGGGCGCTATTGTTCGCGAGTCTCAACTGAACGCATTGAATGAACAACGCACCTCGGTGATCGCCGCCTCCTCTAAGTCTGTATCCGCCATTACCAAGCCGCGGTTGTTACCCACTTCCAGCCACGGCCATGAATGGGCAGATGTCACAGGAGCGTAAACCGAGGATTGCCCTAAAAAGTCCTTAACGATGCGTCCAAGATGTTTTCAATCAGTATACCCTAGCGCTTTGGCGATATGATCTCATGCAAGAAAACGGTGTGAGCTACGTGAAGGCGCCGAAAACGCGTTGTCCTCAACTTGCAGCTTTGCTAGAATTTGTAGAAGAGAGCTAGATCAGTTTGTATTACTTTTGTAAGACGGATGATACTGAGTATTGTCGTCCTTCAAAGCGGGGTGCGAATTACAGGAGGCGCGCATGGAGACCAGGAGACGTGGCGTCCGGATCCGCGATGCGCTGGCCCCATGGACAGACACCAACCCGGTAACAATAGCTTGCATATACTCAACGCAAATCATCCACACCCTCCTCCGCATCTGGATCCTCTTCTTCCTGAATTGTTGCCAACAGCCCATCGACATCCACGCCATGTTCTGCAAGTGCCGCACTCAAGACCTGCACCTTGCGCTCTTCTTGCCCCAAACACACCAACAAGTCCGTCATGCCATCGTCCTCCTCCGCTTGGGCGCGCGCCTCAGCCACCGCCTCGTCAATCCGTCTCTGGATGTCGGCCTCCGATGGACCCGTCCGTCCTGCAAGAGCAAAAAAGGAACATCAGCAGCGGCATACGGTGGCATAGACGTCCAAACATGTTTATCTCGATGACATGGCAGCACCGTGGACCGCACTGAGTCGTGTCGACCTAACGCCTACTGTGGTACGACAGCACGGACCCATGGGACGGGCGCAGACGCACCCCTTGCGTGACCCAATTCACCTTCTTCCCCAAAAGTATCTCCCTGCTGCAAGTCGTAAGCAGCCAACTAGCAGCCTAAGTCGGCCCCCTTGGACGGCCACACACATCATCAACCCCATCAACAACCATGTCGGCTTCCCTCCTTCCGCACCACCCTTTGCCCACAACCCCACCTCTCCTTCTCCCTCTCCCCCCACCTCCCAACGCACCTGCCGCCTCCCTCGCCGCCCGCGCCTCCGCTGCCGCCGCCGCCCCTTGCGCCGCCCGCAGCTGCGCCTCCGCTGCGAACGCGTGCGCCTCCAGAGTGTTGTAGGCGGCGGAGAGGTCCGCCAGGTCGGCCTCCGCCTTGGATGCAGCCAGGTGGGCGGACGCGGCCGCCTCTCGGGCAGCTGCCGCGTCCGCCTCGGCCTGGGAGAGACGCGCCGCCTGCAGCTCCAACTGGGGGAGGGGGAGGAGGGGGGAGGCGGGGGACGGAGCAGGAGGAGGGTTATAGGGGAAGGGAGGGGCGTGGTTTGATGGAGATGCGAGGCCTCACCATCCGTGGGGCACAGTGAACGTGCAAAAGTGAACCCTCGCCTGCTCCCCCATACCTATGCGCGCCCAGCCCTCCGCCCGCCCCGCCGCACGGGCCGCATCACCTCTCCCCCTGCCCACCCCCGCACCTGCTTCCTGGTCCCCGCCAGCTCCTGCTCCGCCCGGCACGCCCGCAGCTCCAGCGCCACCCGCACCTCCACCTCAGCAGCACTGCAGGAGGCGGAGGAAGGGGCGGCGGCGGCGGAGGAGAGGGCCAGGGGGGCTCCTGCTCCCGCCAGCCCGGGGGCGCCGGGTGCGGATGATGTGGGCTGGCAGGCGGCAGCAGCGGCACCGAGGTGGGCTGAGGAGGAGGAGGAGGGAGGAGGAGGAGGGGGTGCGGCGCCCAGACTTTGGGAGAGCCTGCATGGGGTGAGGACGGGGCAGGGGAGCAAGAAAGCAAGGATGAGAGTGGGAGCTGGAGGGACTGAGAAGCGGTCTGCGGTTGCCAGCTTTGGGAGCAACAGGCCATTCGCCCTGTTCTTCGCCTTGGGCTAACACAGCTATACGCCCGGGGGGGATACACGTGCACCGCACAGGATGTGTCTTGTGTGCATGGATACGGTACGGTACGGGGAATAAATGCCCTCCTCAGGCTGTCCGGCAGCGTCCGAACGGCCCCCCCCACCCACCCCCCACCTAAACACGTCCTCCGCCAATGCCCGGTTGCGGCCGCGCAGCTCCTCCGCCTCGCGTGCCAGGCGACCCAGCTGCCCCAGCGCCCAGGCCAGTCGGGAGGCGTCGTCCGGACCCGCAGGCACCTCGGAGGCGGTGCAGGGCACCGGGTCCTGCGGGCGGTGAGGGATGAAACGTGATGGAGCGGGGTGAAGGGCTCCGGGAGAGAGTGAGGCGCAAACCTGGGAGCGTGAGCGATGCAAGTAAGAAAAGGGACTGTTGCCACGCGCACCTGAGCACGGTGACCCGTGGGTCGCGCGAAGATCTCCATGAGTTGTTGCCGTACAGCCTCCTCCAGCTCCGAAATCAACACCGCCACGTCACGGCCCAGCTGGAAGCTTCCTTCGGAAGCAGTTGTGTTGTTATCCGTGGGGGCGGTGGCAGCGGGCTGCTCTGCTGTTTCCGCTGCCGAGCGCGGCAGGGACCGCACGGCACTGCTATAGGGTAGCGCTGCTGCTATCGAGCTCCCAGCCGCCGCCATCGCCGCAGAGAACGCAGGGCTGCGTCGGAGGTCGTCCAACCGGAAGAAGAAGTGACTGAGACCCACTCGCGACAGTACGACATCCAACACCAAGTCCGACGGCGAAGACGCCACAACGCCGTACGGGGCGTCTGACGTCGGCTTGCCGTAAAGTATGCAAGCTGCAAGTACACATGCCGCTAGCCCGCAGATAACGGTGTCGCCGCTGCCGCCGGAGGCGGCAGCGGCAGCGGCGGCGGAGCCGCCGTTCGGCGCCGCAGGCGCCGAACCGCCGTACGGCGGTAGCGGTGGCGCAGCGGCAACCGCAGCCGCCGTCTGCACCGGCGCCGGCCCCTGCCTGCCCGTTGCTAGGTCCACCAGCAGCGGCACGTGCGCCGCCCCGCCCAGCAGCGCCGCCACCGCGGGCGGGCAGTCCCGCAGCCACACCAGCAGCAGCCGCAGCAGGGTGCCGCACAGCAGGCGGGCGGGCTCGCCGACCAGGGGAGGACGCAGGGCGGCGGTGAGGTGGCGGACCAGCCTGAGGGGACGGGATGTGATTAAAGGGTTGGTGCACGGTGCGGAATGTGGAGCCGAGGGAGGTGTGAGGTACAACTGACAGGGAAGTCTGGGCGTACTTTAGGGCGCCATGAACGCAACCCCAGCAGGCGGTGTGCTTGACGAGGATGAGAGAAGGAGAGACCGAAAGGTGCAGACCACATGGGCCACTACCCAGCCGGCACCCCGAACCAGCTCACCGGGGCATCAGGTAGTCCGGCGGAACCCCGGGTACGGCAGGGGCCTCCAGTGGCACCGTCAGCAGCCGTTGCTGTACGACAGGGTTGCCGTACATGAGGTGCTGCACCACACTCGCCGCGCGACACGTCACCAGGATGCTGCTGCCGCTTTCCCCTCCACCTCCCCCGCTCGCCAGTAGCCCCGCTACAAGCTCCTGCCCAAACGACCCACGGGTCCCTCCTCCTTCCCCAGATCCCACCCCCACCCCAATACTCGCCGCCAAGCCCGTCTGCCCCTCCGCATTCCCCCGGCAGTAGCAAGCAATCACATGCTCCGCAGCCGCACGCTCCGCCGCGTCATTGCCGTACAACGCAACCCTCAACACTGCATGCAACACCGGCACCACCTCTTCCGCCTCCGCAGCCGGCGGCGCCGGCGCCCCCTCAGCTTCCGCCGCGGACGGCTGTAGCGGCCCCGGCCGCACCGTCGCGCGGCCCAGCCTCTCCTGCGCCGGCTGCAGGTCCGCCACCAGGTCGCCCAGGGCGGCCAGGGCGGCTGCGCGCACGGGCGGCGAGGGCACGCCCCCCTCCGCCAGCGCGGCGGCAGCCAGCGCCTCCAGCGCCCCCGCTGCCAGCAGCTTGGCCTGGTTGGCTGCGCGGTTGGAGGCCTCGGCGGCTCGGTCGGACTCGGAGGCGGAGCTGCTTGGCGGCGCGCACTGCGACAGGAGCAGCAGGGGGAGGAGCAGGGGGAGGAAGAGGACACGATTGGGACAAATCGGAGGCCGTGATGAGGACAAATGGTGCGCTGATATGCGCTCTGCCTTACTGCTGCTGCAGCCCCTAGTCCCCGGGTCCCCATTTCCCCCGGCTCCCTCCTCCCCTCGCTCCTACCAGCAGCCTCAGCACCTCCAGCAGCCCCATCATGTTGGCCGCCTTCTGCGCCCCCAGCGCCGGCGGCCCCCGCAGCGCCTCCCCCGCCCCCGCAGCCAGCACCGCCAGCGCCTGGTGCAGCTCCAGGGAGGGCTCCCCACCGTCCTCACCACCACCACCACCCCCTGTTCCTGCTCCTCCACCTCCCAGCATACCACCAAACGGATCGTCGCCGTGGTCCCCGCCGTGGCTGAGGAAGGGAATGGGACCCGCGGCGGGGGCGGAGAAAGGGTCGTAGTTGTTGTTGTTGCTGCTACTCCCGTCTCGCCCGCCGCCGGGACGGCCAACACCGCTGTCTCGGCCGCCTGCTGCTGCGGTAGCGGTGGGCAGCGCGGCCGCCAGCAGGGGCGGCAGGGCGGCTGCGTGGCCCATCTCCCGGAAGAGGCGCTGGTTGGCCAGATTGCCGCGGAGCAGGTTGCGCATCAGCTCCAGGCAGTCCTGGGCGGGGGGCCGGGGAGCGGGAGACGGGGGGGGGGAGAGGCGGGGGCGACACCGGGGTGGGGAGAGGCAGAGAAGATGTAGGACCATGCTGTGACCGGGGGGTGGTGGGGGCTGTGGTCCCGCATGGCATTTGGCGTAGGTACTGTGAGCCACGAAGGGGCGGTGAGGGGGTTGCGGTGTGCCAGTGGGAGATGGAGCATGTACCGCAAGGGTACCGTACTTGGTTGCAGCAACGCCTTGCATGCAGGCATGCATGCATGCAGGCTGCATGCAACCCACCTCCCGCCCTACCTGCACCACCATGCCTCCCTCCAGCCCGCCCTCCTCCCGCAGCAGCTCCGCAACCCGGTCGAACGCGCCCTCGAACGCGGCGATCTTCTGCACCTCACTGCCGCCTCCACCTGCACCTCCTCCTCCACCTGCAGCTGCCCCCGGCTGCCCGCCTGCATGGCGCCCCTCCCCGCGGGTGAGTGCGGCCAGCAGCAGCAGCGCCTCGTTGCGGATCACCTGCGGGAGGGTGGGGGTTGGGTTGGGTTGGCGCCGCAGGGAGAAGGTGGGATTGGAGTGGGAGTGGGGTTCCTTGGGGAATGCAGGGCATAGGAGGCAGCAGCAGCAAGCACATCGCTCCATCAAAGCAGCAGCACTGCCTACCCATCCTGAATCCGGTCTGGCTAGGCTGTCCGCCGCACATTCCCTTCCTGCACTCCTCCCACACACCTCCTCGGCCTTTCAACCCCATGCCCGCTCCCCCCCCAGCCCCCCTGCCTCCTCCCCCCTCCTCCCCGCACCTCGGATCGCTCCCGCAGCAGCTCCGTCAGTCGTACGACACTCATGGGGGTGGCCAGGATAGCGTCCTGGGGGACGGGGGGGGGGAGGGGGCAGGGGGGGGAAGGGCAGGTAGGTGGGTCCCCTTTGGGGTTTCAAAGGGATGGTATGGGGCAAGCGCAGCAAGAGGCGGTAGCACGACACACACTCATGTTTTCCAGCGGCGTTCTTCTCCAGTGGCGTGGGAAGGTCCGACAGTAGGCCGACCACCCACTTCTCTCCATCCGGTCACGACGCTTACGAGGCTCCACCCGCACATGATCCTCCCTCCCTCCTCCCTAGGCCTGCCCCCCAACTCCCGGGCGCCCTCATCCTCCAGTCCTTATTACCACCATCACCAGCAGCACTCATCGTTACTCAGGTACACCACCACCCGCCTCCCCTCCCCCTTCCCCAACTATTCAGCCTAATGTGGAATGTATCCCTATCAATTGCACCGCCCCCGTGCCGTGCGTCAGTGTTTCCGCGATTCAGTCTACCTAACCTCCCCCCTTGCCCCACCTGCAGCCGCGCGGGGCAGTGGTTGAGCAGCTGTGTGAGCAGCTGCACGGTGTGGTAGCGCACGTAGAAGTCGGGCACCCCCACCGGCTCCTCCTCCAGCAGCCCCAGCAGCAGCCCCACGTGCTCGCGCTGCCGGGACAGCAGGTCGGCGGTCAGGCAGGCGGCCTGGGCCTGGGGGGGGGGGGGAGGGGGGGGATTAGATAAACTGAGCCGCGGAAACACTGACCCTGAGGGGGGGGGAGAGGCGGGGGAGAGGAGGGGAGGTGGGAAGGTTTGAGGCGCGAGGTAACAATGGAGAAGAGGTGAGAGGGAAGAAGAGGGAGGGCGGGAGGGAAGGATGTGGGCTGTAGTGGGTGGGTTCCAAACCGCAGGACGGAACTCCGGCCGCCTTTGCTAGCTATGTGTTTGCTGCTGCCGCGTCCCATCCCTTCATGGTGTGCCCAGCCCTGCAAGCGCCTTCTCCTGCCCTGCCGAGTGCCGCCCCCGGGAGCTGCGCACACTCATCAGCACGCCCAGCAAGCCCCCTCCCCGCTCAACAGGTGGTGGCTCCTGCACGGTACCCTCCCCAAGACCCAATTAAAGCACACCATCCCTTCGGCCTCCAGATACGTTTAGCCAACCCCTCAGGCTCCAGCCCAACCGGCCACCCACCCACCGCCCCCCTCCTCGCGCCTCCCCCCCCCCTCCCAGCCAACTCCTACCCCCATTGTTTTGCCCTAACTTGTGGTCTCCTATGGTTTGATATGGTCTTTGACCCCCCCTCCCACCTCCGCAGCGCTCACACCCGGAGGCAGCTGCTGCCGCCCTGCCGCCCCCCCTGCCGCTGCTGCTGCTGCCGCTGCTATGCTGGGCGGTGTGGTGGTGGCCGCCAGCAGCACCTCCAGCGCCCCCGCCAGCAGCGTGATGTCGTCGCGGTCGTCACGCAGCACGCCCAGCAGCACCGGCAGCCCCATGGAGCCGAAGGCGAGCTGGGCCTGAGGTGGGAGGGGGTGAGGAGAGAGGAGAAGGGAGGATGGAGAAGAAAGAGATGTGTGAGGCACGGGAATGGGGATGGGGGTGGGGGTGGGAATAAGTTGGGAGGTTGCAGACGTGAGGTGAGACGGGTAGACAACGGGACATTGTAGAGAGGATAGTGGTAAGCGGGATGAGCAAGTAGTGCGTCTAGGGTGCGGACGTATCCGAACAGAATATGCATAAGGCGAACCTTTGGATTATCATAGAGCAAGTCCTTAAGCTGCGATACTGCTTGTCGTCGGTACTCAGGCAACAGCGAGTCCGAGATGCGCTGCAGCAGCCCTTCCACCTCGGCTTCATCGTTTGGGACCGCTGCGGTAATATGAAAGCCGTGTCGTTAACAGATCTATTTCAACTCTACACAAAGCACTTGGTCAGAAGGACGGACACGGACATGGAATTACATTATGTGCTTTCGATAGCCCGACGGGTTAACGACGCCAACAAATGATACGTTTATTGCCTCTTACCTGTTAGTACCGCCCGTGCCTCCCCAAGCGCTTTTCCAGCTACTCCCTTTGCAAGCCCACCCACCCCTTTTGCCAAGCGGCCAAGCATATTGCAAGCACCTGCTTGTTATTCTTAAGAGTTACAAGTTGGCCCGACAAAGTGGTCGCCAGTCCATATGCTTTTGACAGAAAGCGTTGCACGCAGGAAAGTTACGCAACACCCAACTAGCCAATAGGCATCCGATATCAACTGCTAAGCTTGCATCCTATTTAAGTTATACTGTACATGGAAGCTCAGCCTCTATATCGATTAAGAGTGACAGCGCCTGCGGAGCAAGCTGCCTAGCCCCATGGGTGCGTACTACACAACAGCGCCCTTACGGGATTGGCCGGATTGCACATCCCATGAAGGGGAAACGCCAATCTAGTCTAATGCAAACACGCAATGCCGTTTAACCTATGACGCGAAGCCGAACAATACCGCATGCGCCTTCCGCGCAATCATACGAAGGACCCCATGCTGAGTCCCTCCAAACCTGCCGCCGCCTCCTTCAGTGCACGCAAACAACATTTCTTAAATCCATCAACTCACGTTCCCTAACAACAAACATGTACTTCTTATCAACTCTTATGCAGGACGGCCGATTTTACGCTACCTTCACCCTGCTCATGCTCAACATGGCTGGGGTACAGCCTAGCTCATCATCTCTCTCTCCTCTGCGGCTCCGACGCTCCCAACTTGCGGTAAGAGCCGCCTAAGCGGCCTCCAGGCCCTCGTTACGATAGTCATCAGGTTGCCCGCATGACGCCTAGCTAGGGGAAGAACAGGACACCACACCCCGCCCTCACGATCCCCAGGACATGATCTCCTCAAACTCCTGTACGACGAGGGCAAGAGCAGCGGAAAAGGGGGATGTGGGGGAGGGTCACGTGTTGTAGGGAGTCCTGGCAGGTCGCCTACAGGTATGTGTTAAGGTATGGCAACATTCGCCGAAAGCACTCGCGTTTGGCGAACAGGGGCTATATACAGAGCGCATCAGCATTCGTAAGCTGCTGCTGGCGCATGGGCGGGAGCAGTATTATTGCAGTGTTTGTAAGCAGAATCCTAGCAGCGCACTGCGGACCCATGGGTCACTCAGGCCAGCATCCACCCATATAGCCCTCTCCCTATTACCTCGCGGCTGATGCGGCGGTCGTTGTCCTTGTCCGCCTCCGCCACCATGGCGTCAGCCTGGGTGGGGGTCACGTTGAAGTGCTGCGGGAGGGGGGAGAGGGAGGCAGACAGTTGAGTGCAACGTACGAGCCCAGTAGAGAACGGCAAATAAGCGCACAACGATACGTGAGACATTCCGAAGGTTAATCGTCGCACCCCCGAGGGCACCAGAGATGGCAAACGCGGAAGACATGGCGTTTTCTTAAGCAGCGCCCAACCCGATCGAACCGACTGACCCATGGGTCAGCGACCCACCTCCCGCCTTCTGAACCCCCCCCCCATCAACTCTCACACCTTCTGCAGCTCTGCGGCGGTGATGGTGTTCCGCGCTCCCGCCACCTCCTCAAAGGTGGGCCGCTTGCCGCCGCTGCCGCCGCCGCTGCCGCCCGCCTGCTGCCGCTCCTGGGCGGACAGGATGTACTGCCAGATGGAGGGGGCGTTGCGGGTGCGCGCGTTGTCCATGAGCCAGTCGGAGCGCCCGGCGCCGGGACCCACGGCGGTGGGGCGGTTGACCTGGGAGGCAGGGAGGAGGGAGGGAGGAGGGAGGGAGGAGGGGTGGGGGCGGGAAGGAGTGGAAAAAGGTGGGAGGAGAAGAGAAGGGGAGAGCAGGGAGGCTAGGAGGTGGAGAGGATGGGAGTGGATCACGGTAAACGCCATCCATGCACAGGTGCAGCTCGATATGCGGGTTCTCAATGCTTACTACATCATGACATTCACATACAGCAGGACCATCATAAAGAGCAGCAGGGGATACAAGGAACAATGGGCTACGGAAGGAAGCCAACTTTCGTCCCGAGCGCAGCAGCTCGAAAGGGCGCGCGATAACACCACTACTTTGACAAGCGTCTTGCCATCCATTATGATCTGGTTGATACTCTTTAGCCAGCCATCTCGCGGTACCAGCAGGCTTCAACTCGCTCTCAAACATCACTACGCAGACCCGCCATCACCAGCGCTTACCTTGTGCAGATCATAGCCGATCTGCGAGGTCATAGCCGGCAGGTCGTCCGTCTTGTTGCTCGTCCGCCTGGCCGGCTGCTCCGCTTCTCCCGCAGCAGACTGCTCGGCCGTGAAGGAGCCAGCGCCCGGGCCTCCGGAGGCGTCGCGCGCTCCCAGCTGCTCGCGATCCAGCTCCTGGCTCTCACAGTCATCGGCCGCGTTGGACACGAAATCGTTGAAGGAGGGTACGTAGTGTAGGCCGGTGTGCTGCTTCACGGCCGCAGTGAGCATTTCGGTGATGCCTCCCATGGCTGCTGTTGATGTAACTGGAGGATTGTTGGGTGAGCTAAGGGTTTGCTGGAAAGATATTACTATCCAAAACCTGCAAACGGCGGAGGGGCCAGGGCGGGGCAGGTGTCGGCATTTCTTGCTTAGGATCGTCCGACCTCCGACAGAAAGGGAGGCATTTCTCTGCGTAACAACTGCACAGGGGCTTCATAAAGGGCAATGTTACGAATAATAGAGAAGCGGAGAGTAGGAGGAGCCAGCAGGGTGTCGAGCTGTCCCGGCGGAGAGCTGTCCCGCGGACCCACCCTGTTAACGAAACCTGTTGCTTGGTCTACTGTACGCCTAAAGCTTTAGTGTTGATGTTGTTGCTCTGCGAATTGAAGGTATTGTGGAAACGATGTAAGTGGTGCTTGTAGATATGGATATGGAAAGTGTCTAGATAAAGTGCCTGGAACCATCGGGCCCTGCATCCGCGTCAGACGCGGCTACAGTTGGTCGATTGAGGAACCAGCAGCGGCTTACCAGCCAGCCGTCAAGCAAGATGGCTCTAGCTTAAAACAAGCAAGCTGTAATCCAACCTTATGAAAATCCATTTGATCTACGGGTCCCGGAACGACTGGAGCCGCTTCCGACATACCAACGACAGCAGTGCCCCCGCGGCATCCGTCACTGTAGTTCTGACATTCACGCGGCACACCTGCTTGCTTGCTTGTTTCCCATGGGCTGCAGCAGAGGTGGTGGGCCATCAACTGCAGACGAAGTCGATCGACCCGGGGTCAAACAACCAAACAGATTGTCAACAGGATCAACCATAGAGCCGCCGAATGCTATCGTCAATTTACATGTGATATTGCTCATTAGATTCGGGCAGTGGACCCGGCAGGCCGCAGGTTTCCCGGAGCACTTGCTTGTATGTGATTACAAAGGGACTTCACACCTACACCTGTCCGTCCGTCCGTCCGTCCGCAGATAAGCCGCCGCAAGCAAGCCCCGCGGAAGGCACAAACTAACAGCCACATACATACGATACAGGGGGGGTATAGGGCATCCAGCCTCCGCCCTTGACCCCATCCCTACTGCCGCCCCGCACCTTTGCACACATGACAGTCCCATGGGTCGCACGCCACGCTGCCACATTAGCTATACCCCGCTGCAGCCTACCTGCAAGCACTGGCTGGATGAACACCCGTCCTGAGACCCTGCCGCTCCTAGACCTCTGCTGGAACACCGGGGGCGCAGTAGCGGCAGTGCTGCCGCAGTGGTGCTGCATGGCGGGTTGGCGTCAGGGTTGGGGTGGAAGCGGGGCAGGTCGTTAGTTCGAGCGTAAGAGAGTTGCTTAGTCTGGGGCTAGCAGAGACAGGACAACTGCGAAAGGGTGTGTTTGTAAATCATTATCTCCTGACGGTAACACTACCCGTACTACCGACATGTTTATCGCCGTCACGAGCTGTTGGCAGTAGGAAGCAGCAGTAAGCACACCCCGCACCGTCCTCCCACTGGCGGCCCCAAGCAATCTCTACAACCAAGACACTGACTGTTGGTGGTGTATGTTTTGCAACCAGCGAGCGGCTAGCTGTGTGCTGGGTCGCTATCCCACCAAACCATGTATGTACGACAGCGGTACGTCCGCGCAGAACTGTCACACCCTTACGCATGGCACTAGCAGTCCCGCATGCATCCAGCTGGCGAGTGCCTAGGATAGGTCCGGCAGTTGGCATGCTCGAGTCAGCTGTATAACACATGCTCGGGGAGCTGCGACCTGGGACATGGCAGCATGATATGAGGAGGGGTTTGCCTGCCAGCCGTCTTAGTTGCTTTGGAAATCGCCCTAAGGCGCGTTTTTGGCGGTAGGCGTCGCTCGTGGGCTACTGCAGAAGTAGGTTGACGAATTACCATACAATTAGCATACGAAGTTCCCTTTCACGAGTTCCCAAACAGAAAGCGCTGGGATAGCGCTGCGCAAGGTACAACCACCCGCGGCCTTATGCAAGCATAGCACGCATGTCGCGGATTAGGTAACGGTTTGCGAGGCCGCCCCTACAGCGGAATTGCGTGTAGCTTACTGAATTGTGAGTTGGTTTAATACTAAGTTTATAAACGTGTCGGCGCCTTACGCTAATACCTGGCTTGGTCATAGACGCCTTGCTTGCACACGGATGCCAATTTGCTAGGTTACACTCACCACGATTCCCTTACCTAGCGCTTTTGAAAGTATTTAAGCATAAGCTGCAATTGAATTAGGCAAACTTCGGCGCCGCGTCTATCACACGTACACCGCACCGGAGCCACGGAAATCGGCCAATTGCTTGCCGAAGGTTGTCGAATCGTCCGCGCGCTGAGCGGCACATAAGCATTACAAAGTCTTTCCACTGACTCAATCTTCAACCACAGGGAGGTTTGTATCTCGCGCAAACATGGCATCACATGTCAACCTGCAAGCAAACGCCCTCCGCCCAACCACCAGCGGCGCCCCCTCCGCCCTGACGCCCTGGCCAGCGCCTCGTACTGCTGCGCACGTCCCGCAAGCAACTGCATCTCCTACTTCGGCCATGGGCGGCCGCAGTTGTCTCCTGGTGTCCAGCAATAACCTGCAGCCCGCCCGCGCCTCCCAGCCTGTAACCTCCTTCGGTGCTGTCAAGCAAGACCGGCGGCGCCACGCGACTTGTCTTACGTCAGCCGTACCTCGTAATGCGGCGGTTAGGACTGCAACAGCCGCTGCTGCTGCAACTGCGACAACCTCTAGTGCAGTAACAATGGGCTTCAGCAGTACGGGCAGTTACGGCAGCAGTCTGGACGAGCAAGACGGCGGAATCATGGATTCAGAGGATGACCTGGAGTCGCCTCTGGAGTTTCCCGTGCCGCGAGGTGTGTTGGTGTGGCGGGCTTGTGATACAAAGTGGGGGGACATGTGGTACGTAGAGACAATAGTTTGGAAAAAAGGTGAATGGGTGGAAAGGATAAACGAAAGGGTGGAATTTGTTTGCACAAGTTCCCCTCCTCCCTCTCCCCCTCCCTGCCCTACCCGCCTTCCCTGCCCCTCTGGGTTTGTTCGTTTCTTCCTCTTACCCCTCCTTTCCTTCCCTCCCTCCTCTCCTTCCTCCCTCCTCTCCCTCCTCCTTCCCCTCCCTCCCTCCCTCCCCCCTTCCCCCCCCAGGTGACACCGCGGGCGCCACTCTGGTGCTGGAGGGAGTGACCCTGCAGGCGGGGGACCGGGACCTGCTCACGGTAGGGAGGGGGGAGGGGGGGTATCTTTGGTTAGCGGAGGGGCGGGAGACGGCAAGGGGTCAAGTGCCTTTACCCAACCCGCCTCCTCTCCCGTCCACTTAAACGCATGGGTCATATCACTTTCCCCCTTTCCTCCCTCCCCTCCTCCACTGTTTCCCCTCCCCCTTCTCCCGCCCCCCCTTAATAGGACGTGTCGTACCGTCTGCTGCCCGGCCAGCGCGCGGGTCTGGTGGGGGCCAACGGGTGCGGCAAGAGCTCGCTGCTGCGGCTGCTGGCGGGGCTGCGGGGGGCGCAGGCGGGCAGGGTGCTGGTGGCGCCGGGGGTGCAGGTGGGGGGGGGAGGACGTGTGAGGGGGGAGGTGAGGGGGCTGGTAGGGTTGTGGAGGGAGGTGTTAGAGGGGCCTAGTGTCATGTTGGTGTGTTAAAATAACTGGCCGCGAGGCGAAACGTACTGTGATTGCGCACCCTACCCGCCTACGTACAGGGTTGCGCATGCGCGTTATGGACTCCGCCTGCTTTCCTTGCGTGGTAGCCCCCTACATGCTAGCTCCTAGGGGCCCCTCTCCTCGTCCCGCGACACAACTCCCGCACTTCGTAATCCCACTTGCTCTTCGCTCCCGCACTCTCTCTTCCCCCTCCCCCTCCCGCCCTCCCACCCACCCTGCATGTGTCGGGATATGGGATGGGGACTCTAGTTGCTGCACTTCTCGTTTATCATGTCCCCCCCGCCTGCCCCCTCTTCTTCCCCCCAGGTTGGCTACCTGGAGCAGACCGCGGTGGGCGGCTCCCGGCGGTCGGTGTGGCAGGAGGCGCGCAGCCGCATGGTGGGGCTGCGGGCGGCGGAGCGGGACATGCGGCGGGCGGAGAGGGAGCTGGAGGCGGGTGAGGAGGGGGGGGAGGGAGGAAGGGAGGGAGCTGGAGGCGGGTGAGGAGGGGAGGAGGGGGGGAGGGGGGAAGTGTGTATGGGGAACAGGGGGGGTAGTTGTTGTGGAGGGTCAGGGGAGAAGAGGGGCACGAGAGGGAGGTGGGGGGAGGTACCAGGAAGGATGGCGAGCGCGGCGTGGGGAGGAAGTATACAGAGGATACGGGGAGGACGGGGACCCCGGTCAACCCATCCATTCACCCATAAAACACCTCTCCTCTCTCTCCTCCCCCCCTCCCCCTGTGGTAACCTCCCCCTGTGTATGGTCTTTGACCCCCCCCCCCCTCGCCCCCCCAGGCGACCCCTCCGCCGCCACCCGCCTGGCTGCTGCCCAGGAGCGCTGGGAGGCTGCTGGCGGCCCCTCCGCCGACCGCACCATCAGCCAGGTGCTGGGCGGGCTGGGGTTCGCACCCGGTCAGTTCCACCGGCCCTGCAGCGAGTTCAGCGGAGGGTGGCAGGTGGGTGGAGGGGGGGAGGGGGGGTGTTGAGGAAGGGGTGCGGGAGGGGGTGCATGCGGCCTTGCATGCAAGCGTCGCCGCGTGCTTGGATGCATGCACGCTTGCCCTGCCCTGGCCTGAGCCCCTGCCCGGCCCCCGCACCTCTCGACCCGCTCCCTCTCGACCCGTCGCTCCTCTCGCCCCGCATTGCCTCCCTCCCTCCCTCGCCCGCCCAGATGCGGATCGCACTGGCCCGGCTGCTGCTGGGACCCGCGGGTCAGGGGGCGGGCGGGGGCGGCTCGCTGCTGCTGCTGGATGAGCCCACAAACCACCTGGACAGGTGGGGGGAGTGGAGGGAGGGGGCGGGGGATGGGAGGGGGGTTGGTAGCTAGCTAGGTAAGAAGAGGGTAGGAGGGCTAGTTCCCACGAGTCACCTGTCGGCTTACGCCCTGTTACTCACCCGTCGCAACAACACATCCCGCAACAACAGCGGCCCAACACCATGTTGTTCTTTCCCCTCACCATCTCTCCCTTCTCCCCCCCTTCCTCCCCCCCCTCCCCCCAGGTCCGCCTGCCAATGGCTGAGCTCCCACCTCTCCTTCGGCCTGCCCCCCTCAGCCAGCCTGCTGCTGGTGTCGCACGACGAGGGGCTGCTGCAGGCGGTGTGCGAGCGGGTGGTGGAGGTGCGGGGGGGCCGGCTGCACGCGTACGTGGGGCGGTACGACAGCTTCCTGAGGCAGCGGACGGAGAGGGAGGCGCAGGCGAGGGCAGGTGAGGCAAGGGGTGGTGGGAAAGGGGAGGGGCTGAGAATGGGTTGGAAAGGAAAGGGTAAGGCGTTAGCAGCCAGCTGTGAGGTAGAAACGGGTCGAGGAGGGAGAAGGCAGGGAGGTGTGTGTTGGTGTGTCTCCGGGTCTGCGGGCTAGTCCGACTGCCGTTCCTGAGACACTTGGAGTTGCTTGGAGTTGCTTGGAGCTGCTTGGAGTTGCGGGCTCACCTGAAGTGCCTCTCCCAACACTCTTCGGTATCTGCTCTCACACGCCGTTGAAAACTTACAATACTACGATACATCGGGGACGTCGTCATCTTATGGTCACGGTTTCCTCCACCCTGCTTCCCCTCATCCCTCTCCCCCCATTACCCCCCCACTGCATGAGTCGGGATATGGGATTGGGACTCGTTGTTTCACTTCTATATTTTTTCCCACCCACTCCCCCAGAGGCCGCTGCACAGCAGGCGGAGATAGACCGGCTGGAGGCCTTCGTGACACGCTTCGGAGCCAAGGCGTCCAAGGTAAGGAGAGGAGGAGGGGGGGGAGGGGAGCGGGGTGGGAAGCTAGCCATGTACGTAGCTGGGAAAGCTGATGAGCCGGAGATGTGCGCGGGGGTTACACGCTGTTGCATTAGGGGCTACGCGCGGTTCATGAAGGCGCGGTTGAAGACCGTTAGCGCTGTTGAAGGCGTCAGTTCCTCCATCTTTCCGTCACTTCCTCTTCCCTCCTTCCCCGCTCCCCTCCTTCCTCCTCCACAGTCCGGTTGTCAGTTAGTTCTTTCCTCTTTATCCCCCCCTCCTCCCCTCTCTCCCCCTCCCCCAGGCCTCCCAAGCCCAGTCCAAGGCTAAGCTGCTTGAGAAGCTGAAGGCCTCTCAGACGCAGCCGCCCGCACCCGCAGCAGCAGCCGGCGCGGGGGATGCGCGCAAGGTACGACAGTGGGCTAGGTGCACACACATGCACCACCTACTCGCGGCCAGTTATTTTAACACATGCTTGCTCTTGATTCTGCTCAACTTCACGTACACACGCGCACGGGCTTGCGGTACTTGCCCCTGTCCTCCTTCCCCCACGCCACCTACTTGCCCCGCATCCTCCCTCCCCACCACCCACCTATCCTGCCTCCATCCAAGCTCCCAATAGACTTCCCTCACGACACTACCACTTTTTGTCCGCCTCCAACCTCTTGCCTCTGCCCTCTTGCTGTCCCCTCCCACCTCCTCCCTCCCTCCCTCCTGCTGCTGCCCCCAGGTGTCTCTGCGCCTGCCCCGCGCCCCCCCCTGCCACCAGCAAGCCATTAAACTGGTGGGGGCGGCGCTGGGGTGGGGGCAGCCGCCCGCTGCAGCAGCGGGGACAGCAGCTGGGCCAGGGTCAGCAGCCACGGTTTCACAGCAGCCGCAGGAGGGTCAGCAGCAGCAGCAGGGTCAGGGGCAGGGCGAGGAGGGGGTTGAGGCGCGGCGGCCGCTGCTGAGCGGGTTGGACCTGGTGATCCAGCGGGGGCAGCGCATACTGGTAGGGGCGGGGGGAAGGGGATGGAGGTAGGGAGGTAGGGAGGTAGGGAGGGGTGTGGATTGGGTTTGGGGGCGTGGATGGAACGGAGGGTGGATGGCTCATGCAGATGCCGACAGCGTCAACGCCGCTTTCTCCCTTTCCATTCCCTCTTTTACGCCTTGCATGCGTTGCCGCACCGGTATCCAACATCAAGTTCCACCATCCAATCCCCCCCCAGCTCGTACCCCCTGCTCGCCACCTGCCCTCCACCTCTTCCTTCGCCGACCCTACAACCGACCCCCCATACCCCCCACCCACCCCAACCCGCCCACCCCCTTCCCCCAGGTGCTGGGCCCCAATGGTGCCGGCAAGTCCACCCTGCTTCGCGCACTGGCCGGCTCGCTGCCCCTGTGGGCGGGTAGCCGAGTGGTGGGGGAGGGCGTGCGGCTGGGGGTGTTTTCGCAGGACCTGGCGCAGGTGGGGCGGGGGGGGATGGAGGGGAGAGGAGGGGGGGAACGTGTGTGTTTTGCATGGGGAGGGGGAGAGATGGGAGATGGTGGGGATGTGGGGTGTGTACGGCTGGGGATGCTCGTGGAATGATATGGTTTAAAAAATGGAGGGGCGGTGTAAGGGGTTTGGAATGGCGGGGTGTTGGGGAGGATGAGCGGGGGAGGGGGGGAGAGCGGGGGGAAGGATGGTAATGCCGTTTGTGCGCAAGACTTGTGCTGGGAAAGGGCTTTGTCGGTGGTAGGTAGCTTGATGCGGCCTCTGAACTGTGTCCTGATCGCATAGTGTTTGCTGTGTGCCCCTTAAATGCAACCCAACCACACGCATGCGACGTGACTCCGCAGGACTTGCCGCAAGACGTGCCGGCTTTGGAGTATGTGGAGGGAGTGGCGCGTGCGAACGACCCAGGGGTCACTCTGGAGCGCTGCCGCCAGGCGCTGGGTGCACTGGGGCTGACGGGGAGCATGGCTCTGCAGAAGATTGGTAAGGTCAACGAGGCGCAGGGCATTGCTGTAATGACGGTTTGGCTTGGAAGCCGTACAGACAATACTGGTTTCCTTGCACTTCTGTTGTACTTGGGAGGATGGGGGAGGAGGAGGCCTTGTCCCACAGGAAACCCCTCCGCCCCTTAACGACGTAGCTGCTTACGTGCCCTGCGTTTCTTGTTCTTCAATGACCAGCGCGACAGCGCCTGTGTAGAGTGTTGCCTCACGTCATGCGCCCCTTCATTCACACCTTACCTTTACCGGTATGTCTATCCGCTCCATCCCCACCCCACTCCCACCCCCACCTCTTCCTCCCTCTCCCACCCCGCCCCCACCCCACCCAGGTGTGCTGTCGGGCGGTGAGAAGGCCCGCGTGGCGCTGGCCTCCCTCTCCCTGCTGCCCGCCAACGTGCTGCTGCTGGATGAGGCGTCCAACCACCTGGATGCACAAACCATAGAGGTACTGGCGTGCGGGCGGGGGTGTGTGGGTGTGCATGTACGGCGGGGGTGGGTATGTACGGCGACAATTAGCGGGAGACAACGCAATGGAAATTTGCCGATGCACAGTGATGCGCAAAACAACTTTCAAGCATGTGCAGCCGTCAGGCTAGCTCATTGTACTCCCTACCGTGCCCCATCACACACACTCCACAGTTACACCGTGCAAGTGCACATCTGCATCACATCCTCGCCTTTTCTGCCCTGTCCCATACCCGACGGGTTGCCACTGTCCTGACACCATGGCGTGATCCTCTCTATTACCCGCTTTCTCCCCTCCGTGTGCGCTCACTGCATGCGTCGGGATTTGGGCATTGGACTCCGTTGGACTCCGTTGCTTCAATTTTCATTTATCTTTTCCCCTCCCCTCCTCCCCCTCCCTCCCAGGTGCTGACGGGCGCTCTGCGGGACTTCCAGGGCGCCCTGGTGGCCATCACACACAACCAGGTGAGGGGCCGAGCTGGTGGGGGGCTGAAATGGACTTGGGTGGGGCTGCTAGCTAGGCACGCTAGGTTGGAACCAACAACATGGGAGAGCCCCATTCCGCATCCGCCGAACAACCTCCTACGTACGGTAGCCTCCTAAGCCCGCCCGCCGACCCTCTCTCCCGTTCCCGTTGCCCTTCCTCCCGCCGACCCGTCCTCCTCCCTCCTCCTCCCTCCTCCCAGGCCTTCGCCACCTCCCTGCACGCCACCCACATCCTCCGCGTCTCCGGCGGCACCGCCCGACTGGAACCCAACACTGGACTGGTGGCGGCGGACTTTGAGCACACGCCACACACCGCCTCCGCCTCATCCTCTTCGGCTGCTAGGTCTTCCGGGGCAGCGGCCGGTGCAGGCGGCGGAAAGAAAGGCAAGAGCAGCAATGGCGCTGCTGCTGCTGCTTCTGCTGTTGCTCCGGCAGTGACGGCGGCAGCAGTGGCAACGGCGCCTGCTGCCCCTGCCGCAGCCACCCCTTCTGCTGCCGCCCCTGCCGCCGCCGCCCCTGCTGCTGCCGCCAAGCCCAAGGCCAAACGCACGACACTGGCGTACAAGGAGCAGCTGGAGTATAAGGTACGTAGTGCATGGTTGCATGCATGACCGTTGCAGTGGGTAACGAGGGGGGTGCACATGTACAGTTACAGTCCGGCGGGGCGTTGTCGGGGTTGTGTTGGTTTTCAGGTGGCTTGCAAGACCAGCAAGAGCCTAGCCGCCGTTGCTGCCCATTGTTCACAGCTTCATTGAACCTACTGTAACCTGCCAGGGCCACCAACGTCGTCCAACTCCCATGCATGTTTTCTTGTTTCTTCTCTCTAACCCTCGCCTGCAGCGCCTTGCTAAGGAGATGGAGGTGCTGGGCGGCAAGCGGGCACAGCTGGAGGCCAAGCTGGCGGCGGCTGCGAGCGGGAGCTACAGTGAGGTGGAGGGGCTGAGCTTGGAGCTGGCCAAGGTGAGGAGGACGGGGAGGGGGAGGAGGCCGAGAAAGAGGATGAAGACAAGGCGGGACATAAATTTGCAGCGCTCGGCACATGACGTCGTTCTGCCTTCGAATCCGCTCTGTTCCCGCCCAACCCCCGACACATCACCCCCCAATACACACTCTCACCACGCCTGCCTCACCTCTCCGAACGCATCTCCAACTCCTCCGCCAAACCCCAGTGGTTGACGCGTGTGCGTGTGCGCTGCTGTCCCTCTGCTGTCCATGTGCGGCATGCAGGTGGCAGAGGAGCTGGAGGCCAAGGAGCTGCGGTGGCTGGAGCTGGCGGAGATAGCGGGGGACATCTGAGGGAGGTGTGGTGTGATGCAGGGGTAGGTAAAGAGGAAACGACTAACGAGGGGAGCAGTGGGGGTGGAACATGTATGGGGAGCTGCTGGCGTGTGGTAGGACGGTACCTGCCGTGTGCTGCTCGGTAGGGTAAGGGGAGGGGAGAGCAGGGGAGGTGCGCGGTGTGGACACACGTGGCGTGTGTGACAGGAGGGGCTGTGAGTGATGTGCATGCGCCCATGCGGTGCGCTGAGAGGCCTCGTCTGCAGTGCTGCTGCTGTTTGCGGCTGTGGGTTGGGACTTGGGAGTGTGGATTAGTGTGGTGTTGTGCGTAGTGCGGTGGTGTTGAGTGGTACGGTACGTTTACGCGCAGGTAGGGTGACTGCCAGCTAGAGATGCCGTACCGGTATCCCGCATATGAGGGCGCGAGGAGGGGGGTTTTGGAGTGCCCAAGAGATTGCGGTGTGCGTGCCGACGAGTGGTGCGGGGTGTGAGCGCGGGAGAAGGGTTTGTGGATGTCAGCGAGCAACGAAACACAGCGGGGGGGTAAGGCGGTTGCTGCAGGGAGAGAGAGCAGCGGTGTGAGACCCTATTGCCTTATGCCTCTTCAGACGACCCTATGGCGAACCATATTGTTTCAGTTGGAAGGCATGCCGAGCATGGGGTGGAAGTGGGATGGGGAGAGATGCCTGAGCGTCTGATGACTGACAGTACGTCTCTTGTAACTAAACTCTGCTTGCGTTTACCATATTCCGGAAAGCGGCTGCTTGGAGAGAGGGAACGGGTACGTGACATAATATGGGTGGGGCACGCTTGCACTGGTACACATATACCGGTAGCTGTAAGCGAGGTAGATATGTTGCTAGAGGGCTGTGCTCCAGGGACCCTGAAGCAGCTGTTTAGTTGCAATGCAGGCGGCTTGTGGCTGGAGGACGGCATGTAACTACCTGCCCGCCTGCCCGCCTGCCTGCCTGTCATGGGGCTTCACGCACACCCAATTCACGCCACGTCAGCCACTTGGGATTTAAGCCGACGCTTGCCGTAATCAACCACATCTGTTACAGCCGTCGGTGACAATGCGAACATGTAACGGTCATTCATTCATTCAATGCGAGCAAGGGTCCGCCTTCTGGCAAGGTGTCCCCTGCTCGTTATCCAGCTGATGACAAGCCGACAGCACGAGCAACGTGTCCAAGTACCCCTGAGCAAAAGAGTATGCGCAACAATAGTATACCACAACTATGCACGTCCGAGCCAGCTAGGTTGCGGGCTCATGTCAACAGGGATCAACAGCAAGCGTCGAGAGTGAACAAGTACCATGCAGCTCCAATTTATAAGCGATGCAGTCTATCGAGCTAGACCAAGCTTTCAGCGCATCTCACGCTTCAGTTATAGGTACACAAGGAGGGGAAACGCCCAAACCGGTATGTCGAGCACAAGAGGGAACACGCTTGTTGAGTACCATAGGGTCCACGCCCGCTACGCCTGCTCTAGTCAACGTAACAGCGAGACAGACAACCTGCTGTACCATGGCAGTACAAGCCGTCAACCTCAACCGTTACAACTTGCAACCATAGGCGCCAACACCCCCTGGTTACCGTTGCCCTTAATAAGCCGCTCCCAAGCACTGTTGCCGGCATGCAAGCTTTGCAAGGTACCCTGCGTTCACGAAATCATCCCTAAATCCCAACCAACCAACCAACCACCTGCAATCTAACCCGATCCGGGTTGCAATCTAGACCACCTTATCAGTCCCAACCAACCGCCTGCAACGATTTAGCCCGACGTGAACTTGGTCACCGCCTTGGTGCCCTCCGACACCGCGTGCTTGGCCAGCTCGCCGGGCAGCACCAGGCGCACGGCGGTCTGGATTTCGCGGCTGGTCAGCGTGGGCTTCTTGCTGTACTTGCTGAGCTTGCTGGCCTCCATCGCGATCTTGTCAAACGTGTCGTTGACGAAAGAATTCATAATCGACATCGCCTTGCCGCTGATGCCGATTTCTGGGTGGACCTGCTTCAGCACCTTGTACACGTACATCTTGTAAGTCTCCACCTTTGCATGCTTGGGCTTCTTCTTTTCTGCCTTCGCGCCTGCCTCAGCAGCAGCAGGCTCTTTTGCGGCCTTTTTGCCAGCGGGCTGCTGCTTCGCAGCCTTCTTAGGAGCCTTCTCGGCCTTCGACTTGGCCGGCTCGCCCTTGGGCTCAGCCTCGGCAGTCTGAGAAGCTAGCTTTTCCTCCCTATGCGCCTTAGGGGCCATCGCTGCAGTTAATTGTGGTTGGTGCCAAGTCAAGGGTCAACCTAGCTAGAGTCAACAGATAACAGCGATCGAGGAAACCGGTAGACGCGTAGAGAACTTGCGTCTAGTAGAAGCTTTAAAGCTGTTAACTTTGTATTTGGGAAGTGCCTTTGCAAGCAACAGCCTATCCGGCGATAGCTAGGGCATGAAACGTGTGCAATCACTGTACGGTGGCTGTTGCTGCTGTGAGCCGGAGCGCAATTACGTCACTTGAAGATCCACATACGCGAAGCTTTCTCTTATGCCTCGTACGAGCTGCGCTTGGAAGGCTAACGGCAGCGCTGAACACGTTGGTATGCCCTCGTCTCCTTGCATATATGGCGCAAACGCCATAGCCTCTTTGCTGGGTGACCCGTGGGTCACAGCTGCAGACGGTGTTGTGTTGGCTGTTAGCTGGCGAAAATCTCGTCTCAAGCTTGCAAACGTGCGGATATGACGAGCACGTCGCACAACACAAGCGTGAGTCCCACGTCGTCTTCCCTTGCTAGCTAAACAACCATTCCCTTGCTAGTCGCCGCCTAAACATTACATCGTCTACATCCCGCCAATCATCTCCGCGTGCTGCCCTTCTTCAACCCCTCCGCTCCGTACCCCCGCTTTCACACGCCTCTTGAACCTTCATCTCCCTCTCACAACCCTCCCTCGACCTTCACCCGGACGACGGCGCTGACGAGGAAGGCGCGGAGGTTGGATGGACGCAGGCCTCGTCGTCCATCTGGGCGCGGATGAGGTGCGGGTGCAGGCGGGCCCATTTGGCGGCGGCGAGTGCGCCGCCGGGGTTGCGCCACTGGTGGATGTCATTCTGGTTGCGAGGCTGGTCAGCGAGCAGAGGTGGGTGCCCGTGCGGCGCATGAAAGCGGGGAGGTTGTCATAGATGACGACGGAAGTGCCGCCCACCAAAGCGAGTTCGACAGGCGTTCACTGGATGCTGTTGTTGTTGATTTAGACCAGTGGCGGTAGCGTGTATTCCAAATCGGAATCCCGTGGGCGTGGTACATAGGCGCGCGGCGGAGGGATAACTGGCTGGGGATGGACAGAGCGGCACCGATGATGAGGGAGTACAGCCACAGGGTGTGGCAGTACCGTACATGCTGAGGTCCGGGGCCGCCGGGTTGTCGAGCTGTATTACAAGCATGACGATGGAGAGGTCATAGGCCACGACTCAGCATGTGCTGCCACGCCGGCTGCCGGTTCATCGTGGCCTATGACGTCTCCATTGTCATGCTTGTAATACAGCTTGACAACCCGGCGGCCCCGGACCTCAGCACATACTGCCACACCCTGTGGCTGTACTCCCTCATCATCGGTGCCGCTCTGTCAATCCCCAGCCAGTTATCCCTCCGCCGCGTGCCTATGTACCACGCCCACGGGATTCCGATTTGTCACTACCGAATGGGCCTGCCTGTGCCCGCACCTCATCAATTCCCAGATGGACGATGAGGCCCGTGTGGGTCCAACCTTCGCACATTCCTCTTTGCGCCTTTGTTTGCCTCTTGACTTCCTAAACACCGTCTCCCCTCCCCCAGTCCGACCCAAGCACTCCTCCACTTCATGCCCCTCCGCATACATGCCAACTTCCCGTTCCCTTCCTTCCCATCCTGCCCACAGGTACTCCGCGCCAGGTGGGACCCTGACGCCATCCTGTGGATGGGCGAACGCCACAACGCGTACTGGGTGCAACATTGCAAATGAACACGCGTGAAGGTAGATGAGGCACGTCCAGGGAGACTGTTGCGCATGCCTCGCATTCTGAGATCGTATAGTGAAGGTTGGATGTCGGTATCGTAGGCTGCCTTCTGGTAGATGCGGACACGCGATCGCTTCTGTGTGGCGAGGGCTCCCAACGTATTGATCAACAATGCTTGAGGGTCAAGCTGTTTGCAGGTGCAAGCAAGGCGAGGGGTCAGTAGTTGTGCCTGCTAAACGTATGCGCATGCGGCCACGGTTTAAGGGCTGAGGTGCTGAATGTGAGGGATTAGTTGTGATAGTTCCTGTAAATCAGGAACTGCAGCATCTTAATCAGATTTCCAATGCACCACTGTTCCATGCAGCCCGTGCATGGCAGGCTACATACATGGCAAGCTACGAAAGACCGCTTGGGCACATCACCCGTTACCAGTGCTGGGCACTCGTTGTGTGGACAAACCAGCCCCAGACCAGATAGTACCACCACAACGCCACAGGACCCGACCTCGGCCCAAGTCGCATGTAGCCTGCCAATGCCTGACGCACGAATGCCCATTTACAACCAGCAGACGTCCCCGCAATCCTACCGCGGCCACCTTAACCACCGCAAGGGCTGCGATGATAGCATGGCTACCGAAAACCATGCACCGCATGATCCGCCTTCACGCCGTCCCTTCAGCCAGACGTCATAAAACTATGCGAATGCACGATACTGCTTTCGGCCCCCATGAAGCGCTGAAAGCGTGAAAAAACACGTGTACGTAGCATAAGTAGAACCAGCCATCTTAGATGCCTAGCTTCATGCGAACACGAACCCGCCGACATCCCCTTGACGCCGCATCCTGCAACCTGCCAAACCGCAAACCTGCAACACGCCACGTCACGCCTCCTCTATGCAGCCTGCCTATCTCCCTATGTGCATATCTCCCTACCGTCAGCTCTCACATATAGACATGTACCGCATTTGCTACGGTCACGGAAGCCGTTCTAGTGGTTCTGGACTACCCCGGCTGCGTTGAAGGACTCGTCCAGGCGACTGTACTTGGCGCCGCCGCTGTCGACGAGAGGCGAACGGGGGTCAGCGGCGGGGTCACTGGAGTGAGGGAAAGACCTGGGGGCGTGCGCCACAGGGCACAAAACGAGCGAGGGACAGGAGAAGCAAGGGAGGCGGAGGCGGCGGAGGAGAAAGGAGAGGCGGAGGCGGCGGAGAAGGTTCGGGGGCGGAGGTGGTGTGGGGGGAAAGTGACGTACGTCAAGAGATCACGTACGACGGGTGGAAGTAGGCGATGTACGGTGCCTTCTGCAGCAGAAGCGGTAGCACAGTAGCACCACTAAGTATACTACAACAGACCGTAGTATCGTTGTAGCTGTTGCTGCTGGCTCTGCTGTGTAGCACACTGCTTGTCAAGGGTAAGCAGGAGCGGCACACTTACGCGTGGTGTTGGTGGCTGGGCAGCACGGAGGAGCTCCCGGCCTTGGCGGGGAAGACCACCCGCAGCGCCACCTGCATGAGCGACAGCACCAGGCCGATGCCGTTGGGCAGCCAGATGTACGGGTCGCGTACGGCAACGCCGTAAGTGGTCCACAGCGCCGCATTGAGGGTGTTCATCTGCAGGTAAGGAGGAGGAGGGAAAAGGAACTCGTGGTGGGTGGCGGGCAGCAGTAGCGGCAAGCATACGCCGAATGGCGTGGGAAGGGTCACACGGTAAGGTAGATGAGTGCAGTATGTATGGTTGCTCGACCCTGCCACTGCGCAAGGACATTCTACCTCCCTTCCTCGGTTACACCAATCACACGCAGAGACGCAGCCCACCCTCACCATCGTCAGCGGCACCAGGATGGACGCCGAGTTGCGCGAGCGGATGACCTCCAGCATGCTAGTCAGCGGCGCCGCGTAGTAGATGAGGCACACCACGTTCCCGGCCAGGCCCCTGTGACGGACGGAAAGGGGCGGGCGCGAGGGGTAAGGATATGCGTGCTATAATAGGGAGACGAAGGTAACCAATCTGCAAGGCCCACAGGATGCTGAATGGGGGTGTAATAGGGGTCAAGGCCATTGCACTGGCTACGACGAACAACAGAGGCACCGCGGTAAGAGACCCACCACAGCCCTTGCTGCGTCTTGGCGTCGCTGCCACCAAAGGCGGTGACCACCCCCAGCAGCGGCATGATGGCAGAGGTGAGGCAGACCACGATGCGCATGCGATAGCGGGCCTGAGGGTTCAGTAAAGAGAATCCGGAGGGTGTTGCGGATTCGGTGGTAGTTCCACCAAGGGGGCCGCGCGGGTACGGAGCGGCACAGACGAAGAGACAGTGCAAGGGTGGACAAAGCAAGGTGCTGGATGGTCCTGACCCGACCCAAATCCCTAAAAGCCCTGCTGTTGGTACTTACATGTTCATCCGCCAGTCCGTAAGCTGTGAGGGTCATGAAGACCGCAATGAGGACGCCGATTGCGTTTGGCGTGGTAACGAACGGGTCGTGCTTTAGCAGTCCGTAGCCGAGCCATGCGATAGTGTTTGCAATAGTCACTCCAAATGGAAGAGGATTTAGGTCCTGAACAAGGAGACAGCGGGGTGAGAAGAACAGTTGAAAAGGCAAACCACGCAGCAATGCGTAAAGATTAAAGACATGCGTAACAAACGCTATCGCTTACTCCGAGGCTCTTCTCTTTCGATGCCCGAAGCACAGCTTTCAAAGGCGACATATACCTGCCGTTGGAGAAAGGGTCCGGCACAAACGGCAATTAATAGAAGCCATGATACTTGCGCAATCGCGTAAAGATAGCCAAATATTGGTTTTGACATCCCTGAGACCATGCGTCTCTATTTAGGGGGAAGCATAGTTGCCCAAGTCTTGGAAACATACTTACATGACCGTAGATACCACCGCTCCCAACGCTGGCACCACTTTTTCGAGGATGGCACTCTCTGCCATGGCTGCAACGCTGTTCTACCAAGTTGCCTGGTAAATTGACTGTTACAGTCAGCGAGACAGCGACTTTGCTTTTAGATTCCTCTCCTAAAACAAGTCCACAACAACAATATCCATGTATCTTTAGAGTTCTATGTAGGCTTCTGGCGAACAGACGCGGTAATTCATTTAAATCCGGCACCATGTACGGAAGCATGTTGCCGGCAACCAAACGCCGCGACAGCTTGACAGCTACGCATCTAGAAGAGCTCGTCCTGGCTCGTCAGACTGACACAGCAGCCCTTCTTGCTCTGCTAAAAAGCCAATAGTCAAAGGCGTTCTTACCTTCCAGGGTAACCAACGAACCATGACACAGACATAATCCCTCGACAGCTCCCATGCCTCGACCCCTCCTCACAGACGTTCTGCGCCCTACGCTCCTTCCCCTATTGCCAATACCAAAGTGCTAGAGCGGACCTCTCATGCAGACAAAAATGAAATGCCAAGAAACGCCATGCGTACCGGTAAGATGGTAAGATGCGGTCAGGGTGAAAGCCAAGCAGAGGCCCCAAATACCTTCCTGAGGCAACTTCGTCGTCGGCATAGCCAAGCGGACCAAAACACGCACTGCCCAACAGAAGCGAGCAATCCTGCCGCCCCACAGTCTGCCAGAGACGTGAGAACCCGCCATACATGCTTTTATCGACATAGCACGTGGACATCTACACCAACATCAACAAGTCAACAACAAAGACCAACGCCGCAGCAAAACCGCCATCCTGCTCAGGTAGGCTCAATCCTCAAACCACGCCTCCTCCAGCATCCCGCTTTCCCCCCTGCCCTCCTCTATCCCCTGCCGGTACGCACCTCAGTTCCCAATTCCAACCTTATTCCAACCCAGTTCCTAACTTATTACTCCAACCCAGCCAGGTTCCAATATCTCTAGCAACCGCTCATAGCAACCTCGACGCCACAACCCAAATCCCCATCCTTCTTCTCCTCCCCGCCTCTACCCCCGCCACTCCCCCACCAGCTGCAGCAGGCGGCGGTAGGTGCACACCGCCCTGCCGTGATCCGCCACCCGCAGCCGCTCGTTGAGGCCGTGGATGCGGGCCAGGTCGCCGGCCGTCTTGTTGGTGGATACGGGCACGTGGCGCAGGGAGGCGCCGCCGCTGAGGGAGAGGTAGTGCTTGGAGTCGGTGCCGCCTGGGGGAGGGCGGAAGGTGGGGAGGTGGGGAAAGGATGTCAAGGGTGGGGAATGGGATAGGTGTGAGATGGGGAGTAATAATGTGGAGAGGTTGGGGTTGCGAGGGGCCGTGTAGATGGGCGTGTTGACGAGTTTGCTGTCTCAAAAAAGCAGGAGGCTGCAGAGGCGAGTGGGATCAGGAGGAGCGGATACCCAACCACACCATGTCCCGCCAAACCCCACCACCTCTCCCCGCTCAGCCCGCCCCCCCCCCCTCCCGGCTTCCCGCCGCACGCACGCACCCCCCATGAGTGTGGGCGCCACCGCCACCTGCCGCCCGCTGCCATCCGACAGCACGTACACCTGCAGGCGGGGGGGGGGAAGCGGGGGGGGAGAGGAAGGGGTTCGGTGGGACCAGGAACCCGCACGCCAGCAATAAGACAGCGGTGGGCTGGGGTTGTAACGACGCTAAACCAAAAGAAAGACATCGCTCTTTGACCCCATCCCCGTCCCCGCGGGACACAAGACTGTGCCTCACTCCTCATTTCTTTGTCCCCCCCCCTCCTCCCGCCCACCCCACCTCCTGCAGCGCCCTCCGCAGCATGTCGAAGTAGGGGCTGCTGGAGGGGGTGACGGGGCTGGCCAGGCTGGCGTTCTGACCCCCGGCCAGCTCGAACTGTATGCGGGGCAGGTCGCTGTGCAGGGGGGGAAGGGTGACGGGAGAGCGGGGAAGGACAGGAGGAGGCATCGGGATTGGGGTAATCAGGGGGTTAGGCGCCGGTACTGCAAACGCTTCAACACTGCATCACACAGGCCGTGGGTTACGTCCACCCGCCCCCCATCCCGTCTTTCCTCCCCCCCCTCACCTTCCCGCCGCCCCCACCAGGTACCTCCCCAGCCCCTCCACCGTGTCCCCCGGCAGCAGCCGGAAGTTGACCCGCACCACCGCCGCGGGCGGCAGCACGTTGTCGGCCACACCGCTGGACAGACCCGTCACGGCGGCGGTGGTGCGCACCTGGGGGGAAAGGGGGGGAGGGGAGGGGAGGGGAGTGAGAAGGAAAAGGAGAAAAGAAGGTAGAGCAGGGATTCGCTCGAGGTTGCTGATAATGCAGTCCAAGTACCGTTGGCATCATGCTGCTTGGCGTCGACATCATCCTGCTAACAATTCCCAACTCCAGCCCCTCCTCCCTCCTCCCCACGTTCCTCCCCTCCATTCCACTATCACACCACACATTGGATATTCTTCTTTCCCCTCCATTCCTCTTCCCCCCACATCCCACCCCCGCTCACCAGTGCCGCCGTCTCCGCCCCATCCCGCGCCAGCAGTCCCTCCGCCACCGCCCGCCGCACCGCCGCCCCGCCCTGCCCCGCCGCCGCCCACCCGAACAGCCGCCCCCGCAGCCCCGGCGTCAGCGGCGCCAGCACCCCCAGCAGCTGCGTGACGGGGGGCTCCAGGCGCGCGGGGGGCGGGGTGCGGTCCAGGGAGGTGATGAGGCGGGCGGCCACTGCGGCGGCGGAGGAGCCGTCCAGGGGGGGCAGGGAGGAGTGGCCGCCGGGGACGGTGATGTGGGCCTGAGCGGGAGGGAAGGTGGGGGGTGTCGTGTTGCGGTTGGAGTGGGATGGGTGAGAGGAAGGGGAACTGTCAGGTTGCCGGTCCGTTGGGAGCTGCCAATCAACCAACCTTGTACTTCCTCTTCTCTGTCCTTCCTCCCTCCCCCCTCACCCCTGCTCCTCCTCCCCCTCGCTCCCCTCACCTCCACGGTAGCGTACCCCTTCTCCGCTGTCCCCACCAGCGCCACCGGGTGGCGGGTGTAGGGCGGGAAGCCGTCGGAGCCCACCGAGCCGCCCTCGTCGTAGATCATGTCAAGCTGGGGTTTGGGGGGTGGGGGACAAATGAGAAGTGCACCAACTGGAGTGGGGGAGGGGAAGGGGGGCAGGAGATGGGGAGGGAAAGGCAGAGGGAGAAAAAGGCAACCCAAGGTTCCCCTACACTCCCCTCGCATCCACCGCGCTCCTCGCCCAACTCCACGAACCTGATCACTTTACCCAAACCTCACCCCACAATCTCACCCTTCCATCCACACCCAACCCTCCCAACCCCAACCCCACCCTCACCCGGCCCCCCACCTGCACTCCCCGCTTCTCCAGCAGTCGAGCCGTGTGCGCCGCCCCCAGCTCCCCGCCCACCTCCTCGTCCTGCCCGAATGCAAAGTAGATGTCGCGGGCGGGCCGCCAGCCCTCCGCCAGCAGCAGCGAGGCGGCCTCCAGCAGCCCCGACACGCCCACCTGGGGGGGCCGCAGGAGGAGGCAGGAGGGAGGGAGGGAGAGGGGTAAGGCTGGGTAAACAAGAGGAGATGTGAGTAAAGGTAGAGGGGAGGCAGGAGGGAGAGGAGTGCGTAAACATCTGCTGGGATCGCGCAGCACTAGCGGGAAAGGAGTGGAAGTGGAGGAGGAGGAGGGCAAGAGGAGTACCATGCCCCCGTGCGGATCACAAGCGGACACACTTCAGCAGGGCAGGGCAGGCCAGCCCCGCACACACACAGTGACTCCATCTTTCGGCAATCACAGTACGTTTCGCCTCGCGGCCAGTTTTCTTAACACACAGCTCAACACATCTGTACATACCTTGACGTCCTGCGCGCCCCGCCCCCACACGTAGCCCCCCGCCACTGCGCCGCTGAAGGGCGGCTGCTCCCACTGCTCCGCCGTCTCCTCCGCCACCGGCACCACATCCAGGTGCGAAATGAACAACACAGGCAGCAGCGGCTGCTCTTGGCCCTGTCCCTGCTGCTGCTGTCCCTGCCGCTGCTGCTGCTGCCGGTGTGTGGTGGTGGTGGTGCGGGTGGCATTGTCTGAGGCGGGCCAGCGGATGAGGTAACTCAACCCGCCTGCGCCCACCTGCAGGGCCAGGGGGCACGACGTGTACATGGTGGTGTGGGATGTGAGGCGAGGCGAGGTGAAGCGAGGCGAGGAGAAATGGTGCCCGCATGCGCACCCCGCATCCATCCCTTTGCCTAGCCGTACCCAGCCGTGCCCACCAGAATCCCTCCCCCAGCTACCACAACAACACACACCCTCACCGTGCGGCGCGGCACCTTCCCTACCTCCCCATCCTCCCACCAGCACTCCCTCCTATTGACTTCAGGCCGCCTGGCCCGCCTCCTCCTCCCTCCCCTTCCTTCCTCTCCCTCCTCCCTACTCGTTGTTTCACTCTTTTACTCTTTCCTCCCTCCTCCCTACCCCCCCCCCGCTCACCCGCTCCACCTCCAGCTCCCGCCAGACCTCCGGGAAGGCCCCGGGCGCCCACCGCTGCAGCGCCCGGAACTGGTCGGGGTCCTCCGCGTGCAGGTGGGCGGCGGGGCGGCTCACGGTGCGGAACTGCAGCAGCTGGGAGAAGCTGCGAGGAGGGAGGGGAAGATAGGGGAGGAGGGTGAGGAAGGGGAGGAGGGTGAGCGAGGAAAAGTATTGTGGGGATGCAGCGGAATGAAGCGGGGGGGGCAGCTGAGTGGAAGGAGATGGGAGGGATTGGGGGTACTGTGCCGGGGTAAGCGGGGCAGAGCGGTGGTAATGGGAAGAAGAGTTGGGGAAAGGGGTGCGGCTTGGTTAATAACACGTCAGACTTAAGTCCTTATGGAGCACAGAAGCCCCAAAAGGGCCAAGTGCGCGCGTAAAGATTTGGATTACGGTTCATAGTGGTTATTATTTTTCGAAGGTACCCGGTAGAAAGAAAATTGAGGGAGCAGCTCGGACGAAACGGTGCAACATCCCACCCCGATTTGGTCAACAGCATACATACCATCATATCAAGGCATCAATCATATCATGATTACGGCTTTCCTTTGTAAGTACGCACCGTTGAAGTGCAGCCGCGGCCTGTTCGGCAGTCATGCACGTCTGCTCCGCGAAAATGTCATCACTGTCACTGCTGGGAGGCTGCACAGCTGCAGCCGCATCCTTCTTCACTGTAACCGATGAAAGTGTCGCTTTCCTTGTTGGGCTGATCGCGAAAGCTGGCAAACAGCAGATAAGACAGAGCGCCAAAAAGGGCAACGTCAGCTGCTGCAGAAGCGCTTGCTGCCTTCGCTTTCCCATTGCTAAGGCAAACGATAGCTAGATCTGATTCGCTTCAGGTATGGTTATGGACTTGAGGTCAGCAAATCAGCAGCGGTTAGTCTTTGGCCTGATTGGGCAATCTTCCATCTGCTATCATGTACCAATCGAGGTGAATTGACATCAACCACGTTGCAATTGCTACACCAGTGCACTATGACAGTACTGCTTTACTCTTGGGCTTCACCGCGTTCCATGGCACCGTGGGACGGCGCAAGCAGCCGTACGTCAGAATTCCAAAGGGATGTACGGCGGTCCGCAGCGTACGACATACAACTGTACATAAACCTCATGCCATTAGCTGCATGCCTGCTGAAGAATGCTTCAGCGCATCATATGTTCATACGAAAAACCAGGAGCGCCTGCCTGCCCTGCGGTTTGTGTCCGCGACCCCACCATCAGCAACAACCACCATACCTACCCCCTTCGAGCCACTGCCCCAAACCCTGACACTTTCCCCACCCGTTAATCCCAAACACAGCTCCAGGAGAGCGCTACTACGACAAAAATAAACCAATACCACCTGCACCACGGGTGTGGAGTGCAGAGTACCGTAATAAGCGGTATCCAGCTCCCTAGTCCTTCCTTAAAGGGAACCATTGTAACGGTCATTCATTCATATGGGAAGCAATTGCGCACCCTGCCACCCCCAAGTGCGCCCCTTATCTACCATACCCCTCGCCCTCTTGCAGCGCAGCGGCTCCAAACGCCCACCAGCATGGGAGCATGTCCCGTTCCGAATATAGATAAGCCATACCGCCGGTATGCAACCCGGCAGCAACACTCGACCGCACCAGCGTCCACCTAACGCTCCGGTCCACCTGGCAACCCTGTACCGGTATCCGAGCGTCATGTCCCACAGGCCACCCAGTGACCCGCCTCCTCAACCGCATGCACCCTCATTCCGCCTTCCCACTGCCCCCACCGCTCCCAACCGCCTCCCCACGCCGCCCCCAAGGCCACCAACCGCCCCACCTCCGCTTCCCCGCCGCACCTCCCTCCCCTGCCCCTGCCCCCACTCCAACCCCTGCCCCTTGCTGCTGTTGCCCTCCTCCCAGTTGTGAGCTCTGCAACCCCTGTCCCTCTGCCACCTGCCCCTCTCCGGTCCCCTGCCCCTGCTGCCCCTCCTGCTGCCGCTGCTGCTGCTGCTCCTGTTCCTGCTGCATGGCGTCAAAGTGCTCCCGCACGTCCGCTCGCGCCCGCTCCGCTGCCTCCGCCGCCTGCAGCTTGAGTCGCCGCTGGTGCTCGCCGTACGCGTCGTGCAGCTCCCGGCACGCGTGCTGCTCTGTGGTGGTGGGGGAGGGAGGGAGGGAGGGACAGAAGGTGGGGAGGTAGCGAGGAGAAAGGAGAAGATCGGCAGAATGGGATGAGGAGAGGGTAAGAGTGGAAAGGGAGAGGGGCGAGGGAGGGGGGCGGGGGAGTGGGGACAACAGTGCACGTGCGGCAGCAGCAGCAGCACCCAGCGGAAGAGGTGGCTCAGTGCTCACCGTATAGCCAGTCGCCAGCTGGCGCGAGGATGGCGGCCCAGGCGATAGGTTGGACGGACTGCGATTGGGGGTGTGAAAGGGAAGGGGGGCTGGATGGGAAAGGGCTAACGTTGGGTAGGGCCAGAGCACCAATCCCCGTGACCGTTGTGTCCGTCCATCCATCCAACACAACTCCCACCAGGCCCGCCATACCTTCATGGAATAGCCGAGTATGACACCCATTGTTAACCCGCCTGCGAGTGTAAAGGGGGGTAACCTGAGACTTACTGTAACACAGCATTTGGCTGAAAGGTATGCATGGCCGTGCGGCTGCATACGCGGTACATGGCTGCCATCTCACGCCGGTGTCCTTTAAGCTGAAAGCATGCTGCCTAGTGGCGAACTCGAGTTAGAGAAGGCAGGGGTTTGGCGCTGGTGCTTTGGAACAGAGGGGATTCTGATGGGGATTAATCCTGCCAGGACGCAAAGCCCTTCCCAGTCACCCACCAGCTGTGAAGAACCAGTTGTTACGGTTATAGCACCAGTTCAGTTCGTACTCCAGTTGCCGACTACGTTCATCCTTTAGGCCCTTGGGGATAGCTGCGCGAACAGCCTCCTGCTCTATCCTTGCTAGTACCGGATTGGTCGGCGGCTTACTCTCGGAAGCACCCATCTTATAGCTGTGTCGCTAGGAGTTTGCCAATTGTGTTGCTGGAACTGTTGTCTCGATGATTGCTCGCGTCCTCGCTAATATTTACAAACCAGCATGCATACAATATCGTTGGCGAAAGTTGGTAACGTAACGCAACGGTTGCCTATGCAAAGCGCTTACGGGCGAGGCGTATCCATGCAAGGTATGGATGTACGGGGATACAGGTCATCAGTCAGCCGGCCCTGCATGCGTCCTTGCACTTCCCGTGTTTGCTTCTTATACCGGTATAATATATGTCGGCGATTGCGTTTGCAATATCTTGCTGCTTACAGACACTGCGAAAACAGCTGCCGCTTTCAACTCCATCGGCCATAGTCCGGCCTTACAGTCGCACTTAAAAGACTTCAATATACCGTACGTCACCATGGATGAGATATGGCGGCGGCTGACGCAAGGGCGAAACACCCGGGAGCGGGAACTTGCGCCCGGCGACCGTGAGGGTGCAAGGTACATGTTGCCTGCAGTTTCGGGGACCCTGGGTTCCAAGGGCCAAGGAAGCCCATAGTAGCTTACAGCGTTTGGAGTGATCAAGTAAAGCGCCTTGGCTTCTTGCCCAGTTATCATACCCTTTCTGCAACACCTCATACGGGGTCATACCCAAACCCATATGGGAAGCCGCACCCGTACGTCGAATCATTACCCTCTTTCCTGCCTTCTAAATCCTGTATCCAAGCAAGCAATCCCCCGTGGCTCATTACATTAAACTTCACCATACTGCTTGTCTAGTGCAAGAACGTCCCAGTAGGGGGATGTTTGTCATTGTGGGCTAGCATAACCCCTGCACCCCGTCTCCCCCACTCACCCTCCTTCCAGGCTCTACCTGGACTTCCACGACTGCCTGGACCAACACAAGTATTACGTCTTCTACGGTACGTGCGGCTCTTTCCCTGCCTCCTTGCTTGTTGCCCTCCCTGTTCTTCCTCTTCCTCGCCTCCCGGCCGCCCTCCTTCTCGACCACCCTCCCTCCCACTAGCTGGTTTTCCCTCCACCACTACTACCACGGCCAGCCTCATGCCACTGCAGTGCCCCCCACCGGGTTCATCCGTCTGTCACCGCGCCCTCTCACTACCACCATCACTACCACTAGCCCACTACTGCCACCACCGCACCCCGGCTCGCAGGTGTGGGTGCCGTCACCATTCCCTGGTCCTACATGAAAAAGGTAGTAGGACTGCTGCTGCTGCTGCCCTCCGGGGGTGCTGATGCGGTGATGCGTGCTTGGTTGGTGCTGCGAGGGGTGGGGGACGGATGCGCGGGCTGCTGGGGTGCTCGGGTGCTGCTGCGGTGCGGGAGGGGAGGGAGGGGAGGGGAGGGAGAGGGAGGAGGTTTAGAGGGGTTGAAGGGGCTAGGAATTGGTTTCATAAAGCCGGGCGCTCGGGAGGTGGGTTGGTGGCCCGCACCCCGGGACTTGCATGGAGCCGCATGAGACGGCGGCCGGCCTTTGCCACTGCTGGCTATCACCACTGCTGCTGCAGCCGCTGTTTCCGATGCCGCTCCTGCTGTTGCTCCTGCTCCTGCTCCTGCTGCTGCTGCTGATGTGTCCCCCCTGCAACCAACCAACAGAGCGTGGGTCCCTTCGTGGTGGGAGCCATCCTCAGTCTGATGCCAGACCTGCTGTACGGTGGGTTGACAAACACGTGCTGATACTGCTGCTACTGGGGTGCCTGGGTGCGGGGTACGAGTCTGCGGATGCCTGCTGTGCTGTTGTACGGCATACATGTTGAGTTTGGCGTCCTGGGTCCCGTATGATGTCAAAACATGACCGCAGGAAGTCAGGCATGCATCAGCAGGGGGCCGTAGTAGACCCCCGCCGATGGCAGCATACGCTTCCATGACTGCCCGTACCACCTGTACCAGAGCATTCACACCTTCAATCCCGGCCCCCCCATGCGTTTCCCTCATTCCTTGTTTGCCTTCTTTCCCTCGCCTGTCGTCCTCACTCCTCCGCTTCCCTCCCCTCTCCCTCTGTCTTCCATCCATGCCGGCCGGGCAGCCAACTGGCGCTGTGATGACAAGTTCAAAGCCTTCCAGCGGCATTGTGAGGTGGTGAAACAGGGCATCCAGGAGCGACAACAGCAGCAGCAGCAGGGGGGGCAGCAGGGGCTACGGCAGGAGCAGCACTAGGGGTGCGGCGAGGAGGGGCGGCAGGAGAAGGAGGAGCAGGGTGAGGAGCAACAGGAGAAGGAACAGGAGCAGCAGCAGCAGGAGGAGGAGCTGGATGGAGGGCGGCAAGCGGTGTCGGGAAGCACTGGATTGTGCTGGTGAGTGATGTAGCCTCCAGTGATGAACCGCTGCGGTTTTGAGGCGATGTGGAGGGATGTGTGCACGTGCGCGCTGAGTGCATGTCGTTGGGGTTGCGTCATGCACCATTATGGTTAGGGCGGTTGTTGAGGTATGGTGGTTGGTTAGTTCCCTTGCTTAGTTGGGCTGCTGCTGTTGGTAGGCTTGCCCTGCTAGCGTATTGCATGTTCGTCCGGCGCTCGATCTATAACCCCACACGGCACGGCACGACACGGATGGTGTAGTTTGGTGTAGAGGGCGCGTTCATGAACCCCCCAACCTTACATACATTGAACATCGGGTCGGGTGAGCGGGTCACGCTCCCGCAGCATATACGTAGGTAGGGGTGTACGTACAAACCCACTCAATATGTCCATATATGTACATATGAATGGGAGCTTCAACAAGCCAACGAACGCAACTGTCTGCTGCTGTAAAGCATGCATGCGTGCCAAGCTGCCAACCGTCGTCAACTTGCAACTGTCAATGCCACCCCACGACCCCAGCATGCATTACGTCTCTATACCGCAGCCCAGCTAGGGTGCTGACGGCGCTGCAGGCTCTTCATGTCAGGCGTAGCACCCTTCGGCCTTTCCCCCTTTACATCTTCTCCGTAACTAAAACCGAACGATAACAATAGCAACTACCGTAATGTACAACCAAAGCATTTAACATCCCCCTCAACACCCGCCGTTCCTGCCCTCACAGGCCTATTTGTCCCACGCCTGCCGCACGGAGTGGCTGCAGTCTCAACTCCTCAGGCCCCAACCGTATGCAGCCCGCGCCGCAACCTCCTTTTCGCGGGCTTTATTACCGGTATCATTGCAGTACAGCGGATGCAGCCCAGGGGCATCCGGACAACTCTCCCCCGTGTAACGGTCCCGACCTTGCATCACGACTGCTGCACTTGTTGAAGCACTCGAGGAACAGCCGCATGTATCGAAGCGGCAGCGCCCTCCCCCGTCTGCGGCAGCACCCCCGTCTGCATGCAGCAGCACCTCGCAGCCCCCCACCTCTTTCCTACCCGGCTCCTCCTCCTCCTCTTCATCCCCCTCCCTACCTCCCCCTCATCCTCACTTCTCCGATCCGCCCTCCTACGCCCGATGCCGACCGCCCCGGCGGCCCCTGCCGCCTCCCGCCTTCTCATGCGTCTCCTCCGGCTGGTGCACCTCCTTCTCCTCCTCCTGCTGCTGCTGACCCGCCGCCTTGGTCTCCGCCTCCGCCCCTTCCTCCGCACCTCCCTCGTGGCCCGCGGCCATCTCGTGCCTCACCTGCCCCGCAAAGGTGCCGGCCACGCTGCGCTTCTCGTGCGTGTCCAGCTGCTCGTACGACTTGCCGTACTTCCTAAGAAGGGCAGTGGGAGGGTGTACGGCGAAGAGTTGAGGAGTGTACGACACGGGGCCGGACGTACGGCGGCTTTTTGTGCTAGGTATTACTGGGGAATGGGAAACGGCGCGGGTTATATTGCTGGGAAGGGCTTACGTACGCATCTAGCGGGTACAGCAACCAAAGCGATGGCAGCTTTGGCAGGAGCGACATGGGACAGGACGTGGTGAATGCGCCATGCGAAAAAGGAGAGGGAGGAGAGGTTGAGACCGACGCATACATATATGGGGAGATGGGTGGCTGGTAGGTCGCAGGGATTGCTTGCAGGGGTGGTGGGGCGACGGGCGGTATGGCGGTGTGGAGCGATAGGCCTTACTTTGATAGCTCTGGGCTGCAGTCCATCCTGACGCCACTGAGTCACACACAATAACTAGTAACTTACAAACCACAAGTGTTTGAACGAGCGTGGAGCATTTGCAACGGCTCTGTGTGCTCTCGGAACGTTAGCGCGCCCTAGTTCTGCACGCTCGCTCGGAAGCCTAGCAAGGTCTCGAAATCCCAAAATTCTCTTATCGAGCTCCCAAAACGCCATATCTAAAAATTCCCAAACCCCAATCCTACAACTCACTCGTGCGCCAGGCGGTCCTTGTCCTCCGCGGTCATGTGGTGCACCTCGTGCTGAGCTGACCCCTGGGTCGTGCGGCCAACCATGATGCTGTTGCTGCTTAGCTTGGGGTGGTGGTGCTGTGGGATGGATCTGTCTGTCTTTGTTGAGCTATCGGGCTGCTTGGGCTGCTTGGGCAGAATACCTGAAACAGGAAGCCGGAAGACTTGAAGGAAGCTTTGACTAGGGTGCAAGCTAAGGGTTGCTTAGGGTTAAGTGACGTTTTACCGCGTCTATTGTTTAGTTGTCGCTTAGTTGTTACCAAGAGTATAAATTTATACTTTCCTTCCCGATATGCGCTGCCTGGGATCCTTGTACCGGTATCCTTTCCGGCATTCTAGCGTCATGCCTAGTCAGACAATCCCCGGAACATCCGAGCCTAGGCCCTTGACTTGACCCAGAAAGGTCGCACCGCTTTATGGTCGCATTTTCTACGCACTACTTTTCATGATGCTGCTGCACAAGGCGCCCCGCAGATCCTGGGTGCAATGCGGCCAGCCCAAGTCACGTGACCCGTTGGTCATGACGCACAGAATCGGATGCAAGCGCGTTCAGTGCCATTGGCGGATCAGGCGAACAGACAAGCTTTGCGTTTGTCACGTCAGCGAAGGGCACCTATTATACTCCTGTCCAGGCTTCTGAGCTGGCAAAACCTAGGTGCGATGTGAGCTAGTTACGTGAGTGTGTTTTGCGTGAAGGACCTAGACACGCCGAGGAATGCTATGGGGCAGCAACTTAAATGAGAACAACTGCGTAACTGGGACATGTGCACATGCCTCCGCAAAAGGTGCAGAGCACCCAGCATACATCCGTCTCCTGTGGTGTGGCAACAACCGATGCAACAGTCGAGCCGCGATACACGTCTTACGTCTCCCATGCATCATCCCCAAGCTCCTCCTTCAGTCCACCCATCCTTCGCCACACGGCCCAATGCACTTAAGCAGCCCCTGTATTACAACTAAGACTTTCATCCTCAACACACCTCCTATACATTCCTGAAGCATTTATCATCCAAAACCCTTCACCACCACCACCCCTCCCATCTCCTCCATGAACCGCGCATTCGGCATCCCCTCCCCACGCTGCACACAGGTACAGCAGAGGCCTAAAGCAGCCTCGCTTCCTGCCCGCCCGCCTCCGCTCCTCTCTCCCCTTCAGCCGCCGCCCGAGCCTCCGCCGGGCCCCTTCTTGGGTCCCCCTCCCTTGGTCCTCTCAGCAGCCTCCGCAATGTCAGCCTCGCGCTCCGGGGGCGTGTAGCCAGCGCCGTAGCAGCGCGAAGAAGAAATGGCGAACCGCACAGCTTGTCAGGAGTATTAGTAAAGCTTCGTCTAGCTATAGCCTCTTACTAGGCTATAGCCTATGCGGATTTGTTGCGCATCGCAAGCCAGAGTGACATGCCTTCACGACCGTTACCGTCTCTATCGTCGGTGGCTCGTTCGGTGCATGCAAGTAGGGTTTTGGATGGGGGATTGGGGACCCTTGTCTGCTTCCTACACCCCTAGCTGCTTGTCGGTTTGTGACAGATGGATGTTTAACCATACCTAGCCATGCTTCTACATAGTATGCGAGCTTGCTGCCACCTGCTATCGTCTCTGCATCCATCTATTACTACAGCGTTCAACTCTGCGTTACAACTTGGTGTTGAGGGTGTCGAGGGACCCCTACATCCCACACGAACATGCCGCCCTTACCGCGAGGGTCAAACAGACCTCCCCCCGTACAACACCTTTACCAGACCAACCGGACAACCATTGCACCTACACCTGCTGCGCTGCTTCCCCATGTGAACATACGGTGTGGCCGAATCCTCCATGCATGCAGTGTCCCTTTCAACACGCTCTTTCTCCCTCCACGACAATCCTCTACTCCTTGCCGCCAGAACCCTCCTCGCTACCCCCTTCTCCTCCCTCCTTGCGGTGCTCCTCAGCCATCTGGTGGATTTTGCCGCCGCCGAAATGGCCGCCCACGCTCTTCTGCTGGTTGGCTGCGAGGGCAGGAGCGGCTCGCAGGAGCGGCCGAGGAAGCGGGCGGGCGGTCAGACCCATGGGTCACACCACAGGTGGGACGGGAAAAGCAGGCAGGAAAGGTTGGCCCAGCTAGCACAGAGTGTAAGGCATGGCTTGGCGCTCACTTGCTTAGGCTACAGTATAAGAGTCCTAACCTCACGACATGTCAAAAGGCCTTTTGGGACCTATGTTACCCTGTCCGAACCCGCACGCTGCCCAGCTCCCTATTCTTTCTTCCACTGTGTTTACTGTCCTTCGTCGCCGTCCCCTCCCCTCCCACCCCTCCCTCCACCCGCCCTCCTAGGGCCCCACTCACTGTCGAGTTCCGAGTAGGACTTGCCGTACACCCTGCGTGCAAGGGCGGGCAGGCGAGCAGCGCATGGAGGCCGTACGCACAATACGATGTCATTGTTCGTGAGCGATGAGCGAGGAACAGCGATGGGACAGCGGCACCAGCCAAGTGGGTACGGCCGGCCGTTTAATGGTTTAGGCAGTTTTCCTTACAACTTCGTTGCATAGGGTGCAGATTTGCTGCAGAAATGGGCATGTTAATGAGCTCAAATGTCATGTGGGAATGTGACATCGATGCATGCTTGGGGGTGTTAAGAGCCTGGTAGCTGAATCACGCAGTAAGCCGGCGTGGCACAGACGCAGCGCGTAATTATAGGAGCCTGGAAAACCCCCTTGACCTGCTGCTGCTTGGAGCAATGCCATATCCTTCCGGTCATTCTGGCCTGGAGCAAACGCGATATCCTGCCAAGCAACACAAAAACGCAGTCGCTCGCTGCGGCACTCACTCTTGCGCGATGCGCTCCTTCTCCTCCATGCTCATGGCGCCGCCGCCGCGAGTCATTTTCTTCGCAAGGTGATGTGTTAAAGCAGCAAAGCTTTGTATGCCTTTTAGGATTGACGGACAAATACTACGGTGAGGAGTGATGAAAGTTGAAGGGTTACCTCCTTGTGCTCGATATTCTGGTTATCGGAATTATAATAATCGTGAGCAGTACTGCAGGTAGGTGTGAGCTGTATACCGATGAGGCCATCTAGGATCTAGCTGTACAGTTGAGGGTGTCGTGTGTCGTGGCCTTACCGGACAGCCCAACCATGATGTAATCTTGCGTCGCATGAACATGGCAACTACTAACGCTTACGCAATCAGCCTCACAGCTGCCACGTACCGCCACCAAACGTGATCCGAGCGGCAGCCCTTAGTGCCGTTACGACCCACGGGTCACCAATTGTATACGTGGCCCCCGCTCCAACTTCACAATGTTAACACGCGGCGTGGCAATCCAGGACATGACGTAAAACAAAAATGCTATATTTGAATCATGTCAAAACGGCGCCATGTCACAGCGTGACAGCGATAAAAGACACGCGTGTCGTACCGTATACGGCGGCGCTGTGTGTGCGTGCCTGTGTCTTCACATGGTAGTCGTATACCATCAACCGCGTTTCCCCCATAAGGTTGTTGTTGCTCGTCTGTTATTACTGCTATGGTACTGTTCACATGCCACGGGTACGAAAATGCAACGTTCCTGAAGCCCCTTCAGCTCCGGCCTGGGGCCTGGGATGGCTCTGTTGGCCTCAGTCCTGACGGCTTCCTGTGGCTGGCCCCTGGGTAGGTAGCCTCACAGTAGCCTCACCAGCTACAGCAGCAGATGGACCGTGCCAACGCAGACACTGGGTGCAGCCCTGGGAACGTCCCTGAAGGGTGTGAGGTCCGCAGTTAAGTACCTTGTTCCAACCAGCACGCATGCACACACAAGGCAGCAGGCAAGGCAGGCGTAGGCATACGACAACCTACTTCGGTGGGGACATCACCACCCGACAATGCAGTACGTCCTAACTCGCGGCCAACTTCCTTAACACACAAGGCAGGCTTCCACCGAGTGGTCAGGAGGAAGGGGCCGGGAGAAAGTAAGGCTCGCATGGAGCCAAGCAAGCCCTCCCCTCTAAAGCGCGCTGCCCTTACGGCACCGTATGCCGGCGTAAACGCGACGTATCGTGGCCTACAGCAGCTTGCCACATGGGGAATCAGCAATCAGGAATGGGCCGCAACATAAGGAAGGCCCTCACATGGGTTCTCCTAGGAGCAGCAATCGAGCTGCGTGTCGCGAGGTCGTAAGGCGGCAACCAATCGGCCGCAGTGAAGACAGTCAGTTACTAACGCCCCCGGCATACCGGTATCCAAGAATCCAACGTTTTCTAAATCCATGCCAAGCAGCAAGAACAGCAGCCGGGCATACCGTGAACATATGATAACAAATGAAGTAATCGCATGCGCATTTGGCGCACACGTTTGGATCATGAGCTACAAGTACGACAGTTAAGAAGTACGGCATCGGCTCTGTTACGACAGGTCACGGAAAGCCGCACGCGCACGCAATAAATACAGTGATTGTCGAGGCAAGTGTGTGTGCCATTAAGAAATGTCACCATCAATGACTCCACTGCTACAAACGACCGCAGCTTTCACATGGTGTGTAAAACAGACGTTCAAATCACTTGGGCGAAGAATCCCACCCCCCATCCGAGATCGACCTAGCCACCGAGATCCACCACTACATGCCAAACCCCAGGGCCCCAACAGCAGCGGTGTGGCCGTATCAGCAGCAACTGTGCCACATCACAGCACGATGCCTCACAGCCTGCCAACCGTATCACACGTTCCCACACGCACTCTCTAGCCCTCTTCACCCACGCCGGCGCCACCACCACCGCCTCCCTCCTCCTCCCTCTCCCGAAACTCCCCCTCCCAGCCCTCCCAGCAACGCTGCCTCCTCGCGCGCTCGCCGCGCCGCCTTCCCAGGCACCCGTCGCGCCTCCTCCGCTGCCGCCGCCGCCTCCTCCGCCGCCCGACTCGTCACCTTATCCGATTGCAACAGGTCTACTTGCTCGTACGATTCACTGGTGGCCAGCAACGCAACCAAAGAGCAGCCGACACCAGACGAAGCTGCTGCTGCTGCTGCTGCGGCAGCGGCGGCAGAGGAGGAAGAGGAGGAAGAGGCTGCTGCTGCTGCCAGGTTGGTCGCTGCGCGGGCGATGACTGACGCCAGGTGGATCTTGGCGGTGGCGGCGGGCAGGCCGGAGAGGTCTAGCTCCCGCAAGGTAGAGTTCTGACGGGAGGTAGAGAGGAGGGAGCGAAAGGGATGTGGGGCGATGGAGTAGCTGCGAAAAGTGCGAAAACAGACCCGGGCCACTAACTGACTGCCCAACCGCTGCGCGTCTCGTCCCCATCTCACCCCAATCCAACCCCCCTGAACGCAAGAGCTCACTCCCAACCCCCCACCCGAGACACACGCCACTTACCTGCATCAGCGCAGGCGCCAGCGCCGCCGCCCCCACCGACCCCACATTGCAGTGAGCCAGCCGCAACACCCGCAGTCGCCCGTTAGCCGCCACACCCCCCGCCAGAGCGCTCCATATGGCCCCCAGCACCTCAACATCCTCGGCATCCAGAGCCTCCGAGGCAGCAGTGAGGCCACCCGCGCTGCCGCCACCGCCGCCATGCGCGAAACTGCCGAGCCGGCGGAGTGACGGAGGTCGGACCAGGGCGTGGTGGTGGTGGTGTTGTTGGGAGTGGGAATGGCCGCCGCCGCCACTGCCGGTGCTACTCGCTCTAGGCTGCGATGGTAATGATGGCGCATGCGGGATGGAGGAGGAGGAGGAGGATGCGCGCTGGCCGCCGTCACTGATACCCGCTGCCGCTGCCAACGCTGACCCATGGGTCGTCGTTGCTGCAGATAGCGTCCCGTCACAGGGTTGTTCGGAATGTGATTGGGAATGCGCGAGCTGCAGGGAGGTCATGGGCGTGAGGGAACCTCGGGACGATGAGGGCATGGATGTCAGGGAGGACTGCTGAGACAGCGGCCTTGAAGAACCCAGAACCGCCGCTGCTCCTAATCCTGCTGCTGCCGCTGAGGAACAGGGCTCTCGGAGGAGCTCCCGGTCATTACCAGCAGCGGCCGTGCTTCTGGCGTGGGAGAAGGAGGAGGAGGAGGCGGTGGCGCAGGTGTTGAATGAGGAGTTGGAGAGGTCCAGTTCCGAGAGGCAGGTGTTGCGGCGGAGCATCTCCCCGGCGGCACGAAGGGAGCGCAGCGTGAGGCCGACAGCGCCGCGCATGCGCAGCACTCGGAGGCTGGTGTTGGTCTGGACAGGAGGGGGCCATTCGTGGGTTGGGAATGGGTGGGAAAGGTAAGGAGAGAGGCAGGGCAAGAGTGGGCTTTTCTCTCGGCTCTGGACACTGCAAGGACATACAGCAAGCAAGGCTACATAGGCGACACTATTTGATAGCTCATCATGAGAGAAGCGAACCGCGATGGGACAGTTTGAAACCCGCACAAACCCGCACATACCTGCAGAGCCGTGAACACGCATGTCGCGGCCGTGTCGTTCACGCCCACCGTCGCCACCGCACCATCCGCCTCGCCAGCCCCCGCCTCCCCGCCTTCTCCTCCTCCCCCTCCCAACCCCCCAACCAGCCCCACCGCGCTCCCGCCGCCCTCTCCACTCAGGTCCAGCACCTGCAGCACCGCATTGCACCCCAGCGCCTCCCCCAATGCCGCACCCCCCAGCGCCCCGCAGCAGCACCCAGCCAAGTACAACTCCCGGAGGCTGCGGTTGCGGGTCAATGCGGCGCCCAGGGCAGCGACCCCCGGGTCACAAATGCGGCCGGCTGCGGCTGCGGCAGCAGCAGCAGCAGCGCCGCCGCCTTCGGCGCCGGCCCCGGTGGACAGGTTGAGGGCGGTGAGTGTGGCGTTCGCGGTGAGGGCTGCTGCCAGGGCTGCAGCGCCCTGTGTGGAGATGCAGCAGTCGGCCAGGCTGAGGGAGCGCAGGCCGCGGTTGGCGGCGAGTGCGGCGGCTAGGGCCGACACCGCCTGCGTACACAGCACAGCGCATAGAGGGTGTGGCTTTTGGCCTTTGTGTTCTGGCTAATCTCCCATGCCCTTCGACTCCTCCTCAAGCACACCCCTCTCACACACATCCTCCTACTCGCGCCAGTTTTCTTACCACACACATCCTCCCACTGTTGCCCAGCCCGCCCCCGCTCGTCAATTTCCTCTTGTTGCCCCCGCACCTGCGCGTCCTCGAACGTGTCCCGCCAGCCCTCCAGCCGCAGCTCCGTGAGCCCGCTGTTCAACCGCAGCGCTCGCTCCAAACCCGCCAGTCGCCCCCCACCTCCACCTCCAACCCCGCCACCTCCACCTTGATGATGTGGGCCGCCGCCTGCGCCGCCTCCTCCTCCCCCCGCATGCTGTCCCTGCACCCGGTTGTACGACAGGTCCAAGCAGCGCAACCCCCGGTTGTCCACTAGGCAAGCGCAGATGGCGGAGACGCCTGGCGGTGGGAAGCGGGATGGGGTGGGGGGTTGGAAGTGTTCAGGAAGCTGGCTGGGTCGAGGACACGGCGGGTTGTGTAAGCGAGGTCATGCGAAGGGGTGAGTATGAGAACACGCAGCGGCACGCGTAGGGAAGGCTGTTTGAGGCTGCTCAAGTAAGGGAGCCAGCTCATTAACACCAAACCGAACAAGGCCCATACTATACCTAGTAGGAAGCAAAGGAAGCGTAGCAAGCAAACACGCGGCTTATCCTGGAGCCTCCCGGAGGTACCGGTAACCACCCTCACTCACCCTCATCATGCAACTGGCACTTCCGCAGGTTGAGCGACTGCAGACAGGAGTTATGACCGCTGCCCAACACCCTAGCCAGCGCCGCCGCGCCAGCGTCCCCCACCGCACTGCCGCGCAGGCTCAGCGCCGTGAGCCGCGTGTTGCCCGCTAGCGCCGCCGCCAGCTGCCCCACCCCCTCCGCCGCCGCCTCCGGAAGCGCATGGTTGTGGACGTACAGCGACCGTAATGCCGGCGCCGAAGCCACCACGGATGCCAGCAGCCAGCAGTAACGCGGGGAGACGGTATCCGTGCTGCCGCTGGCGGCGGCGGCTCCGGAGCTCCAGGGTTGGCCTGTGGCCACCGCCGCCAGGCCTTGCAACGTGTTGACGGTGCCGCCAGAGATGTACGACAGCGCGTCGGACAGTGCGCCGCTGCCCTGCTGCATCCAACCTAGCAGCACGCCGGGGATGCCGTGGCCGCCGGCGCCGGCGCCGACGCCGCTGGCGCCGTCCCATGAAAAGCGACGGCTGCCGCCGGACGCGGCGTCGGCGGTAGAAGCGTCGGCAGCGAAGGGGCTCAGGAAGCCGGCGGCGGCGCCGCCAGCGCTGCCGGCGCGAGTACGGTAGGCCGCGGCGGCGCTGGCGCTGGCGGTGCTGCCTCCGCCGCCGCCACCCGTGGCATCTGACATGCGACCGCGGGGACTGAGCCCTATGGGCAGCGGCAGTGGCATAGGCGACATGCCGTACGACCCAACGAACGAACCACCTAACCCCTTCACTCCACCACCATTGCCGCCGCCTGCCGTAACGCCGTTGCCTCCATAGCCGCTGGCTGGGTTGTTGCTGTTGAGGAGCTTGCGGCCCGCCCCCGCGGCATGTCGACTGCTCCCCTGCTGGCCTTGCTCTGCGGCAGCGACCCGTGGGACGGCGGTGATGTCGCGGGCGGCGAGTGGGGCACCTGGGGGCAGCTCGATGGCCAGTGACTCCAGGGTGGGGTGATCCAGGAGGTACAGCTCCACGGCAGTCTGAGGGGGACGGGAATGTGGAGAGGAGGTAGGAGGAGGGAGACGGTAGGAGGAGGGAGACGGTAGGAGGAGGGAGACGGTAGGAGGAGGGAGACGGTAGGAGGAGGGAGACGGTAGGAGGAGGGAGACGAAGTTGTTGTTCTTCAAAGTTTGGACGAAAGGAGCGGGAGCGTAGGAAGACGACAAGGTTACGGCATGCAGCCGATGCTCACTTGGTCGCCCTTGGACGCGCGCTGTACCTCATCCCGGTCCCTGACTCTGCCCTCCGCCCCCTCCCTTGCATGCTCTTTCTTCCCTCCCCCCCCTCCCCCCCACCTTCGTCAGTGTCTCATTATATATTTCCCCCCCCCCCACCTGCAGGTATTGCTCGCCCCACCAGTGCAGGCACAGCGCCACGGTCCGCAGCCGCAAGCTGTGTTTGAATATGCCCGCCACCACCTTTTGCCGCTTGGCGTTTCGGTACTTGGGCAGGATGCCGGTCTGGATGAGCTTCACCTGCGAGTAGGGATACCGGTTCGTATACCGGTATGGGTAGCACCGGTACGGGTAGCACCGGTAGCAGCAGCAGCATGAGTTTAGGACCTGTAAAACCCCCATGGCGGCTACCGGTATCCCTGGCACAGCCTTTCTCCCACCCTGCCTCTTTTTCAACTCAGGCCAGATACCGATATGTGTGCCGGTATTGCATGTGTGTTACAATGCGTCGGGGGGTGCTGCCCGCCCGCCCGCCTCTCCTTACTTACCTTCTCCAGGTGCTTATGCCGCTTGATGGCGCGCGTCACCAGCTTCCAGGTGTCCCCTCGCAGCGCGCACTCATTCACCTGCAGCACACATGGGACATGGCAGCACACATGGCAGCACAATCGGCAGCACACACCCGCACAAGAGAAACACGAAGGCTATACGTGAGGTGCGCAGCAGCCGTGAAAAACTGGCCTCTTCTCCTCCGCCGTCCCCGCATGCCCCAACTCCGCTCCCCTCACCCCCCAGCTCCGCTCCCCTCACCTTCACCCCTCACCCTCACCCTCTCCATCAATAGCTCACCCTCACCCCCGCCCTCAACCTTAACGCCCACACCGCCCTCACCTCCAGCGTCGTGAGGTTCTTGAACGCGCGGACGCCCTTCTCCAGGATGCGGTTCATGGAGGCCAGCGGGCAGCCGCTCACCACCCACCTGGCAGGAGGGAAAGGTGGGGCAGTGGAACCGCGGAGTGGGGTGAGGCGCAAAGAGGATGAGAGGTAAGGAAAGGGAAGGGAGAGGGACGGCGCGGTGTACATGTAAACGAGTGTTAGGGAGAGCAAAGGCCAGCAATGGGCAGATACGGTACCATATAGGGCGTACGACCGGGACGGGAGGAGACTGCCGGATTGCCTGATGTATGACAGGATCAATGGACACAGTAAGGGGTGCAGGACAGGAGATACCTTTGCTACAATCCCCACATTCTTCTCACCGTTGCACGCTGGAGCAGCCCTCTATCCGATCAAATGCATTCAGCAGAATGTACGCCTGTGAAGGGGAGAAACACGTAGCAGCAATTGGCTTCCTTTTAGCCGCGACCCATGGGTCGACGTTGCGTCGGATTCCCCATTACCAACGACACACCAGCACCAACACCCGCACCAGCATCCACATACACAGTCGAAATCCCCATATATCCCCAGTCACGGCCATTATCCTCCGGTCTCCCCATGACCACGTTCCATGTTTCATCGCGACCCGATGTCATTACCCCGCCCTCAACCAACCCAACCCAAGCATCACCCACCCACCCACCTGCTGCGCGGGACCGTACTGGCTCTTGTTACGATGCAGGTGGAAGCCATTCATGAGGAAGGCCATCTCACCCGCCCGCTCACCACTGCTGCCGGGGCTGCTGCTGCTGCCTCCACCACCTATGCTACCGCTCCGGCTGCCGCTGCTGCCCGCGTTTATGGCAGTGCTGCCGCCGCCCTGCCCGGATCTCAGTGCTGCTGCCCCCGCTGCGGGTGCCCCGTTGCGCACGGAGCAGCACTCGTTGATGACCGCTATCATGGCACTGGGGGAGCACTCGTAGTTACCCTGAAGAGGGGGGGGGAGGGTTAAGGGTTGGTCAACACTGTGTAAAATATGAACCATCGAAATGGGAAGGAAGTAATACGGCCTAGGGCCGGGCGCTTTTCCATCACCAACAGGGGGCATGGAGGAGGGGCTTGACATGCGAGCAGTGGAATGTGGCGGCGGATGGGGAGGGGGACGATGAGGCACGACAAAGCAAGGAGGAAGCGGGACAGGTGTGCACCGCCTACCGGTGGTTCAGGACACGACCCCCACGCCACGCCACGCCACGCCACGCCACCCACCCACCCACCCACCCACCCCTCCTCCTCCTCCCTCTACTACCTCCCCCTCCCACCCTGCCACCTCATTCCCCCATGGTGTTGCCCAGATTCGTGGTTTCCTATGGTTTGGTCTACCCTGACCCCCACCTTGAGCAGCAGCAGGTACTTGAAGTACTCGGGCAGCGCCAGCCCCGCATCGTCCGCCGCCTTGTACAGCTTCCAGCCGTAGCGCAGGCTGTTGAGCGCGGAGACGGTGAGGGAGAGGGCCACGGTGCGCTGCTGGTCGCTGCCTGGGGGGGGATGAGAGAGAGAGACGGATGCATGGGAGGAGAGAGGAGGTGGAGAAAGGAGAGGAATACAGGAGTTGACAGGGAGGAAGTGAGACGAGGAGGAGGCGGAAGGCGGGAAGAGGCGCGAGGTGGGGTTAGGATTGTGAGATGATAAGAAGCATGTATGTTCCTCCCTCCCCGCATCCCGTCCGCCGGGGCCTCGCCGGCCCGCCCTCGTCCTGGATCCTGCCTACCCGCATGCCTGCCCTGCGCCAGTCGGTGGTAGATGTAGGTCTGCAGGACGGTCTGCGGGATGCTCTCGAACACAAACTCGATAAAGAGCCTGGGTGGGGGGTAGAAGGGGGGAGGGAGGTAGCAGGGGGCAGGTGACAGGGAGAGATCACGCAGGGGCCACAAGGGCTGTGCATCCCCTAACGCAACAGGACGCCTGTCACGACGTATGCCCCTGCAACGCCAAAACACGGCAAGCGCAGGCGCCGACCCCACTGCAGTACCGTAATCATACCGTACGGCTTATTACGGCTTGTTTCAAGCGCGCACCATCTCTCATCCACATTGACGTCCACATCCGCACCCACCTACCCACCCACCTGGAGAAGTTATAGTTGGACAGGAAGGACGAGAAGTTGGCAAAGGCGCGCGGGAACATGCAGGGCAGCAGCGAGGTGAACAGCATGGCGACGTCCAGCACCGCCACCCCGGGCAGCGCGGCGGGCAGGAACAGCAGCCAGCGGGTGCGCCGCCCGCAGCCCAGCAGCGCCGCAGCGGCACCGCCCGCCGCCCAGTCGCCCTCCTCCAGGCCCTGGGGAGGGGGGAACGGGAGAGGGCGAGGAGCGGGGTGGGGGTGTTGAGCTGGGGTGGCAAAGGCCAAAGGAGAAGAGACTACCGGTAAGAAATCGTATGACGGGCGGGGCGGGGGCCCGGGCAGGGTAAAAGGACAGGTACAGCAAAGGCACTGCTGGGGGCTGGAGCCGCGGTGCGGCCCCTGTGCTGTGGTTGCAGGTGGCAGGTGGTGGCAGGTGGTGGTGTGCGGGCCCCAGCTCTCACCAGCACATTCAGCTTGGTGGAGGTGCGCTGCAGGTAGGCCGCCACCAGTCCCGCCATGAGGCCGTAGTGCCACAGGATGAACACCAGCGTGGCGATCATCCAGTCGCGGTGCTCGGTCTGGGAGAGAGCCTGGAGGGAGGGGGAGTGAGGGGAAAAAAAGAATCTCCAATGCATTACTTGAGGGTGTAAACCAGACGACAAGCTCCGGGGGAATAGAATCGAGCAGTCGAGCCAGGGTTCAGGGAGGTGGAAGCAGGGAGGAGGGGGATGGGCAGGCTGGTTCAATGAGGGGTCAATGAGGGGGGGTCCAGGGCTTCAGTCCACCACCGGCCCAGCCACCCACCCAACCAGCCCCCATGCTGCACCATAATTCCATGACCCATGTGGCGCTCCTTACCCACCCTGCCCATGACCCTAACCCCCCCCCTTCCATCAAGCGGTACCTGTCACGACCTGCCCGCCCCCCCTCTCCCCCTCCCTTCTCCCTCCCCTACCTTGACCACCAGCGCGTCCGTGTAGATGTCGAACATGAACAGCAGCACCCCCACCACGTCACACAGGATGGCAACAAAGTAGTTTTGGAAGATGCGGTCCACCACCGCGTTCAGCCGCAGCAGCGGCGCGCTGTTGGACAGCCGCTCGAAAAAGGTCTCCTGGGGAGCAGGAGAGGAGGGACGGTTGAGGTAGGGGCCCGACACTTCCACGCTCGTACATCGCCCGGCCAAACGCCGGGTGGTCTGAGTGAGTTCTAAGGGCTTTCGCGCCATACACCTCAGCGCACCTCATCATCGTCATCTATCGCTGCTCCTGCTTTCCCTGGGCCTCCTGCTGCTGTGGGGTTCGCCGCGGAAACGCTGCCGACATTGGAACGATTGGGGTTGCTGCTGCCATGGCCCGAAGCGGCAACACCCTCCAGTCCGTGCCCTCTGGAGTTGTGAGTGCCCCAAGTAGGCTGGATAGTTGATGCTGCGAAGCTGAAAGACAGGGGCGTACCGGGAGCCGAGCCTGGCCATAGAGGGCTTGGCGCCCATGTCGATGTAGGGTCAGGACGGCCAGCCGCGATTCTGGAAAAGCCGCTGCCGCTATCAAGAAACGTATCCCTTTCCTCGTCCTTTGATTGGCAAATTGGGCGATGAAAGGGTTAAGAAGCAGGGCTGGACGTGCAAGTAGCATGACAAATTTGACCCGGAGGGTCCGATAGTAAGAAGCTTACCTGCGCCCACTCTAAGTCTGTGCCAGCTTTTTCCTGAGCTTTACGGGACAACATGGATGCTAACTGGACGCAACATCGCTAGGCGACCCGCCACGTCCGCTTTAGAGCATTTCTTTTCGCATGACAAGTGTTATACAAGCATGGTACGTATACGGTGATATATTTCGAACATACCTTGATAATAATAAATTATCCTAACCTGCCGTTCAGCTGTAACTATCGCCCCGACAGTTATCATCCTAACAGTTGCAGTAAACGCATGAACGCACAGTCACTCCATGCCTGTGGCTCGCCGATCCACGGGCGTTGGCGCCATAAAACGTGCCACCAACCGTTTGGGCTGCGGCATGTTGGGCAGAAGCACCCATGCCTCAGTACACAGGCCTTCCCGCGAGGTGAATTGGGTCATGCGGATTGCCCCCATTAATGCATGCGATGCTGACTATGCAGCGCTCGGCAATTGTGTGCGTTGTTGATGGTCGCGTCAACCGATGGCCCATCCTAGGGCTACCCAGGGCTATCCCAGGGCTACCTCAACCATGTCAGCCCCTGTTGCCGCCCTTCATAAATCCCTGTTCCCAAGCCGTCTCCTAATCCGCCATGCCTTTCCCCGTATCACCTCCCTTCTCCTTCATCCTACACAACGCGTCATGGCCCGAACGTGCGCTGACTCCTTGCCAATTGGCAGCAGCTGCTGCTACGGTGAATCCAACAGCAGCCTCAAGGACGCCCCTAGCAGCGGCTGCCACCTCTACCTCCACCGCATCCACCACCACTTCACGACCCTGCACAACCTCAGACTCTTGCGCAGCAGAGCCGTACGAGCCCGTACGCGTGTTGGACGAGCGTACGGCACCTGATGCCCTCCGCGACATCAGCACCCTTATCCTGGACTGCGACGGGGTGCTGTGGCGGGGCAACGACATCATCCGCAATGCCCCTGAGGTGTGGGGTGCTAGCCTTGTGTAAGCCTTTAAAGCCCTTTATAACCACCCCCATTGCCCGTGTGCCGTGGCAGCCTGACACTGAGGGGAGTTGTTGTCGCTGTCCTTTGAAGGGCATTGTCCTTAGCCGCGCGGCAGGGACCTGGGTCCTTCCTTTGCGCCGCCTTGCCTTCTGGCTGGCCCTCGGAACAAACACCATTAGGCCCAAGGTCAGCCGCACCGCCCGCATGACACCCCCTGCCGTCCCACGTCCCTCTCTTGCCTCCCCTGCCGTCCCTCCTCCCTCCCCTGCCTCCTCTGCCGTCCCTTCTCCCTCCCCTCCCTCCCCTGCCCCCCCTTCCTCCCCTGCCTCGCCCCTGCTGCTGTCAGGCCCTGCGTGTGTTCCGGGCCCAGGGCAAGCGGCTGCTGTTCGTGACAAACAACAGCAGCAAGTCGCGGGCGGCGTATGCGGAGAAGTTCCGGAGCCTGGGGCTGCAGGTGGCGCCGGAGGAGGTGAGGGGGCGGGGGAGGGCGGGGGAGGTGGAGGGCGGGGGAGGCGGGGGGTGGTGAGGGGGCTGGAGAGGGGGGCGGGGGAGGTGAGGGGGCGCGACGGTTAAAGAGGAAAGGCTGACCATGTGACCGGGATCCACCAGAGGTGGAACGGGGGGTGGGAAGTGGTAGCTGAGATGCTGGCTTCGCTGCCCAGGTTGAGTGGCCACGTGGCCTTATTGTACACCCCACTACACACCCACTTCCTCCCTCCCTTCCCCAATCCTCGGACCCAGATCGTTTCCTCCTCCTACTGCGCCGCCGCCTACCTCTCCAGCCTGGGCTTCGGAACGCAGGGCACCGCAGCACCTGCCCAGGAGGGCGGGAACAACAGCAGCAGCAGCAGCAACAGCAACAGCAACAGTGGTGACAGCAGCACCAGCAGCAACCGGGGGAAGAAGGTGTTGCTGCTTGGTTGGACCGGGGTGGAGGAGGAGCTTCGAGAGGCGGTGAGGGGGAAAGGCGCGGGGTGGGCGGGTGAACGTGGATGGGGTTCAGTACAACGGTTTGGGATGAGTGGGGCATGAGTGGTATCGGTACGGTAGTAGGAGACCGCACGGGGTTGCCCTGGAAGGGTGAGGGGGGTGCCGGGTGTTGGCTCGTGCGCCTGGTTGGGAGCGAGCAGCGCTGCGGCGGGTGCGTACCGGCACGCCTCAGGGGCTACAGACAGCGCGCGTGAGGCCTCGAGGTAGCTGTTGAGGGGTAGCGCAATCAGGCCGAGAAGCGCCAAGCTGCTGACATGCACATGCACATGCACATGCACCCGCCCCACTGTCAGCAGCTCACCACACTGCTGCTGCTGCCGCTGCTGTTGCAGGGTATTCCCTTCATCGGCGGTCGGAACTTCGAGCTTCCGCCGCTGCACGACATTGAGGCCATGAAGCAGCTGCAGGTGGGGGCTTGCTGCTGTACGGACAGGATGGGGCAACCTTTGCTCTGGATGGTCGCCGCTATTGTACGGCATCTCAAGTGCCCGCCCCCATGTGGCGCTGTTGCACACGCTGTAGTGCCGTACACGCACGCACGTACGCATACATTGGGTCATCTCATTGGGGCTTTTTCTCTCCTTCCCCCCACCCGTCCCCCCACCCCAGGTCGACCCCTCCATCGGTGCGGTGGTGGTGGGTTGGGACCCGCTCTTCTCCTACTCCCGCCTCGTGTACGCCTCCGTCTGCCTGCGCGAGCTGCCCGGCTGCCTCCTGGTGGCCACCAACACCGACTGCGCGGACCACATCGGGGGCGGCCGCATGGCGCCGGGCACTGGGGGACTGGTGGCGGCGGTGGAGGTGGCGGCGGGGGTGCGCGCGGTGAGGGGTGGAGGGGTGGAGGGAGGGAGGGAGGGAGGGGTGGAGGGAGGGAGGGAGGGAGGGGCTGGGCGCTGGGGGTGGTGCAAACGGGCTTCGGTGAAGGGCTAGCTGTTAGGATGGGAGTACTGGAAGATGGCAGGGGTAGGGAGGGAGGTGCGGTCATGGAGGCGGCAGGAGGGAGCTGCGAGCGGGACCCAACAAACCGACGAACCAACCCATGGCTGCCGCTGCTGTGTTTTGTGGTTCATACCCACCTGAAGCTGTGCTGCTCTCTCCGTGTGCACACCTCTTTCTCTCCCTCCCTCCCCTTCCCTTTCCCTCTCTCCCTCTCTCCCCCCCCCCTAGGTCAATGTGGCCAAGGGCGGCGAGTGGCTGCTGCCGTACCTCTGCCGTACCTACAACCTGGAGCCTAGCCGTACCGCCATCATCGGTAAGGAACAACGCGCCACCTTTTAACTCCCCTCTTATGGTTCCTATGTATGGTCTATCTTTGACCCCCCCTGCAGGGGAATACTGTCTCCGTATGCGCTAGCTGCATGAGTCGGGATTTGGGATTGGGGCTCCAGTCGCTCCACTTTTCAACTATTCTCCCCCCCTGCATGCGACCCCAGTTGCTTCACTTTTCAACTATCCCCCCCCCCCTCCTGCAGGTGACCGCATGGACACCGACATCGTGCTGGGTCGCCAGGGCGGGCTACGCACCTGCCTGCCGCTCACGGGGGTCACCACACGCCACCAGCTGGCCGCCCTGCCGCCGGGGGAGCGGCCCGACGTGGTGGTGCCCGGCGTGGCGGCGCTGGCGGGGCTGGCGTGCTGACAGGGGGGAGAAGTTCTACATTGCAAAGTGTAGCAACTGGAGTCCCAAATCCCATATCCCGGTCATAGTAGGGGGAGGCGGGCGGCTGGCGTGACTAAAGGTGGACAAAACCAGGGGGAACCAGGAGTTAGGGCAAAGCACTGGGGATGGGAGGCGGCAGGGTGAGGGGGCAAAGAAAAGAGAGTATCCAATGTGTGGTGTGATAGGGTGAGGGGGCGGGGGGCGGGGTGCTGACGTGTGAGGGGGAGGGGACGCATGGTGCCATTGCTGCTCTCGGCAGGGAGGTGCGGTTGCCACCGGGGCGCACGGGGGGGAGGTGACAGGGGCGGGGTTCAGAGAGAAAGGGTGCGGATGGATGGATTGGGATTGGGGTCCGGGAGGAAGGAAGGAGGCGGCAAGGAAGGGGAGGGTTAGGGGAGAGCGAAGGGGTGGGGGCTCTGTGACTGCCGGAGCGATGGCTGCTGGGTGGGGGGCAGTTTTGGCAGGAGTGAGTTGCTGGGTGGGTTAGGGGAGCGTGAGGCGCATGATGCATGTCGGGAAATGCGTGGCCTGACGTGCGGTAGCGGAGATTAGAGGGTTCGTGGCGTTAGGACCTTAAGCGGCTGGGTCAGGCAAACATGACAGCTGGGAAGGAGTCCCTTTACGGTATCCGCGAAGCTGTCTTGTCGACCTATCCACACGGGCATTACTTGTCGAGCAGCGCAGTGAAGATATGAAGTTTGCTACAAGGACTGCTATGTTTACGGAAGCCGATTTCGTAAGAAGCCCCCTTGGCAGCCACAACACGCATTCGGTTGGGCATTGCTCGACAGCAGCGGTGCGCATGTGCCCGGTCTGTAAAGTCCCTTGGGTCAGCGGAGCGCTATGTGCGGTACTTGTGCAGTTCATGACTAGTCCTTTATACCTGTTGTTCATTACCCCCATGGAATAAATAAGCCTGGGGACTACTGTCGGTGTATTTTCGGAAAAACCCAGTTTTACTCCGGTACCCCTTGGCCGGTTTACTTATTGCAGCGACTATTGCCTAGTTATAATGGCAACTACACAGCTCTGTGTGCGACCATCAACGAAGACCTGGCTAACCTATCTCATTGCGTTGATAGGACACTGTGAAACGAAGCCATCTTCACGATGCCTCGAACATGCCTCGACAACAGCGTTCACAACAGGAGTCTTAGCGCGGGAAAGCCATTAGGTAACCGTGCCTTTTTACCTTTATCTAAAGTATCTTGGACCGGACCAAGCTTGCCCACGTACCGGCATAATACCGAGGAAGTTCATAATATGGTTATGAACCTTTGGATGCACCCGCAATCCAATCTGCGCGTATCGGCATTGGCCTGTACGGCGGAGTCAGGCTCCAGAGGGGGAGGACTGTAACGCATAGCAGTTGCCTCTGCAGGACCAGAACCGACTTTGAAACCTTTACTTGATTTTGTTAAATATTTATAGGGTAATACTGTGCTGTCCTAGCTGCCATGTATGCCGGCTGGAATGCAATGCACCAGCCGGTGGAATGGGACATCTCAAGCCTGCTGCCAAATGCTATGACTCAAGCACCAGCCCATGAGGCACACCAGCCGCAGACATATGTGCCGCCTTTGCAGTCGCAGCAGAGCTTGCCAGCGCCCGCCTTTCAAGGGTGGTCCTCAATGCACCAGCCAGTGGACTGGGAGACCGCGTCTGTTCCGCCCGCAGCCGCCCAGCCAAGCATTCCATTTGCTCCTTCAGCTGCTAGAGAGGCGTCCAAGAGAGACCGCGCAGGGAGACGGTCGAAGTCTGCGACTCTGCGGCCTCAGCAACAGCAGATGTTGGACCTTCAAAAGAGGCTGGACGCTTTACTTCAAGAGCATGTGGTTGTAGAGGCTGAGAACGCTCGGTTAAAAACGAGGCTTCGGGTAGGTGACTAAGCAAACCCCGTCAGAATGAAATAATTATGTGCATAGGCAATAGCTCGGGGCGTAATTAGTATGTCGTCCCCAGCCTGTGGCGCTGAAGGCGCTTTGCGGGGGACGTCCTGCAAATTGCACAGTCGCTTCCAGTCCGCTGCATTCTATAGGAGGAAAGAGGTCCTGTAAGATTCCTTTATGCTTCTTCATGCTGCCGAGTTACGAGCGGCTTTTTGCCTGCTCATTTTGGCACGGACTTGCTTTGTGAGTACTCCACTTGTTGGTACTTAACGCCTAGGTGCTGGAAGCTGTAATACCAGTCCGAGAACACCAAGCTCGGCTGGCACAGTCGCAGCCACCTCGCGCCCCACCCCAGCAACCGGACCCCATGCTCGCGTGCCTCATGGACATGGCCTCGGGCCCCAGTAGCTGCGCGACTTCACCTACTCAGCACGACTTCGGGGGCTGCTTGAACATGACCTCTCGTGCAGCAGCTGACGACGCGTGCTACGGCGAGCGCAAGCCCGACAGCATGGCCGCGAACAGCCCTGCCATTGCACCTCACGCACCCGACAGCTCCGTGCCCTGCAGCTCCGGCGCGGCCTGCGCCAGCTCCTCCTGCACCGCCGCTATCACGGGAACCGCGGGCTGCGCTGGCGGTGCCGACCAGCCCGTGTCCAAACCCTACAGCACTAGCGAAGCGAGATGGCTGGATACCTGGCGCACTTGGGTGCGGGAAGCGGCACTTCTACTCCAAGCCAACGACGCTCGGCCTAACGAGTTGTATGTACGGCGATTAGAGGATGCGTTTGCTAAGCTCAAGGCCGAGGTGGTGTACCTGGGGTTGCGCCATCCCGAGCTCATATGCAACATGCGCTGTGTCAACATGGAGACGGGCGCTGAGAACGAGGTCCCGCCGGACAGCTTCTGGACCGTCGTTGCTGCCGGCATGCGGCTGACGTCTGCGCAGGTGGGCGTGGGTCGTTGGGCGCGCGCCTTGGGGTTTTGCATTGTTGGCGTCAGCCTTGTTTTGCGCACTTGCTGCGCGTTGGAGATTTCTTTTTGCCCGCTCCAGCTAAGCACGCACTGCATGTGCCGCACTGACGGGCTTGCATTAGCAGCAGTCCCTTTGGCTGCCCCTACTCAACGCAGCGAGCTTTGCCCAGACGGCAATCGTACCACCATATCACCACGGCACCAACAAGTACCGCATGCACACCCCTTGTTACTGTCTTCATCTCAGTCTTACCGGCACCTGCTTGCCCCCTCTGGCTGCTACGCTACCGCTATACGCAGATTTCCGACTGCCGGTCGGCTCTGGCGCTCTACCGCGAGCGCATGTCGGTGGTACTGGCGGAGCGGCGCACGCTGGCGACCAAGCTGTCCGCCGCAATGAACGCGCTGCAGGCGGAGGAGGCGGAGGGGCGCGCGTCGCCGGGCAGCATGCGGCGAGACCAGCTGACCTTCCAGGTGGAGGAGGTGACGGCTGCGCTGGCGGCGAATGTGGAGGCGGAGGGGCACACGACATCGCTGGCACGGGTGAGTGGGTGCAGGAGGGGGTGCTGCATGGGATAGGAAGCGCGGTTTTGCAAAAGTGCACGTGCGATGTTGGAAGCGTGTTAACGAAGACACCGCGTTTCTGCACCTCTGCACCTGGCCTACGCACATGCACCTGCCTCCATTTTCCCTCCTCCCACTGGTCGCCAATATGAACCCTTCCTGTGCCTTCCCAATGTCATCCCCATGCCATGCTGTCTGCGCCCCGAAGGACCTCCTGGGCAGCAGCCTTTTCTCCCGCGTCCAGTGCGCCCGCGGCAGCGTGCTCTCATACCCCTACTTTCCTGACGCTCTCGCCATCATCACCCATGCGGTGGCGCTAGCGGACGAGGCGAACGCAGCAGCCGCGGGGACGGCCGGCAAAAGCACCGAAGCGGTCCCTGCTGCGCAGGCTTCGGCGTAGGCCGTGGTTCCGGCGGTGCAGGGGTGACTGCCAGTTGGGGACATGGCATAGTGCCACGGAGAAGTGGATGGGAGTTCTGCGGCACTGCGGTGTGCCGGCGGCGTCTTCGTCATTGCAGTAGCAGGTGACTTCTGCTACTAGCAACTTGTACTAGTGCTGGTGCACGTCCCGGTTTGACCGGGTCTTGACTTGGGTTTAATTTGGGTTGCAAGGGCGTGGATTGGTTGTTCACGTTTGAGCGTGGGAATATACCTACATATTCGCTGGGCGTGGCTCGAACAGTGCTCGGCAGAAAAGGGGCAACTTTCATCATGTTTGTCCCATCGTTGTCGTATGAGTATGAGAGCTCGTCTTTAAATGACAGCCCTGACCTGCTCTGTCGTTCGGTTCCTAGCTACGCTTAATGCATCGGCTTTGTTGTGCTGTTTGCCTGGCTCGGGCCTCGATTCCCTCGATAAAATCAGAGGTCGCAGTGTGTTAATAGGAAGGGGCGGCGGCGACGTAGAGAGAGTGTTTGTGTGCAATGCTAGTACGATGCTCTGAAGTAACCCTCTCTGAGCTCACTTACCTCACCCCTAAGCCCAACTAAGCCTGGCTTTGATGTGGACTGTGGAGGTGGGGGTATGGTGGATTTCTGCCCAAATTGCCTGCTCTTTTCCACCCTGCAGCCTGGATCCGCTTAGTCTTACCATTCACGGTGGCTGTTACTACAGGTGCGGTTGCGCTACCTACATCATAGGGCGCTTCTCGCTGGGAGCTGTAGTGAGTTTTCGCGTTTTCCTTTCGTTGCACTTGGGGGGCCTTGTGTCATAAGGCGGCGTATGGCGGTTCCTTTTGTACAACAGATTTTCGGCTGGGTTCATAAGACCTTGCCGGGCTGGCCTCGGGCTGTTCGATGCGCACTGTTTCGGGCGGCCGCACGCGTGTATGTTGGCGTGTCGGAGAGCCGATTCCATTGGTGCTGCGCTATTTAGTTATGGGCACGGAACGGGGGCATGTAGGAGTTTGGTGGAGAGGACGAGGAAAGGATGGAGGGATATTTCAGGAGGAAGGAGTTTATACGAGCCGACTGAGCTCATGGGGGTATATGTCGCCGGGCAGTGGGCGCGATAGGGCGGTCTTTTAGATGGTGGATGGGGTAATGGCATGTGGCGGGTTAGGGCGTGCGGTCCGAAGACCTTACCTCGCGCCCAGCAATGCCCGGCGACACGTTTTAGCTGTATCCCAAATGGCATAATGAACCGAGCCGCTTGGGAGTGCTGATCTTTTTTGAAAGCTCTTGGGGGGTGCATGCCATGAAGTTGGGTGCAAGGTGAGGGTGCCAGATCGCCGCTGCTTGCGGCGGTCCGCGGTATCTTATACGCTGTGGGTTGTGCATGGCTGCATGCCGTTTTCCGTTTTCCTAATCACAGCGCAGGCACGTATGTTACACTGGATGATGGGAGACGTGTCGGTCGGCTTTCACTGAATGGCATAGGCTGTTCGTTACGTGTGCGTGCACCACACACGTGCGTGCCGTGTGCATTGTGTTATGATGTGTGTCAAGGAGTGTGGCCCCGCAAGGTTTGGCGTCGAAGATGGCCGCGGAAAGCGTTACTAATGGTTAAGGATGCAACAAGTGGCAGAGGGCTCGCAATGCAAGTAACTCAGTCGCGGTCTGGCGGCCGGTTTTGGTTGTGTGGGCGACCGGCCGTGCTGCGACGGAAGCTTGTGTTGGTGTTTGTTTGACAACGGTTTGACGTTTGAAGAACCCTCGTTGTGTCTTGTCTGTCGGCTTGTCTGCATGCGGCGTGAAAGCTGTTAGATATCACCCGTTGTCATCAACAAAGCCGCGTTATATCCACCCCACAAGCTTCATGCGCCTAAGCACTTTCCGCCAGCGGTGTACACTGTGTTGCTCGGTTTTGGTTGCCGCTTCTATATATATATGCAAAATTTTGCCCTGAAGTGACCTCTTTTTGGGCCCTTTGACCCACACCCCTGGGCTGCAGTCAAGCTCTTTTTAGCCTATAGGCCTGCCGACCTGTTGCCGCACTAATTTTGGATGGTTGAATGCGGTCAAATGTTGCCGGTCGGGCAGATGTAGTGGGTGGGTTGATGTCGGTCTCTGATGGTTTGAAGCGTTCCTGACGACAAGAAGTGCCTGCCAAACGGCAGCGGATCGCCTAGACCATTCCATTTTGTCCCGCTGCACAAGGCAAGGGTTGGGAATGTTGCGCGTCCGGCCCTATGTGACGGTGTTTCATGGCTCATTGGTCATCTCTGCTGTGTTCGTTTGCAGAAGTGGCGGCGGGGGGCTGCTCTTGAAGAGTGGGTGCAGGTTGACGGGGATGGGCGAAGGGATTGACCGTTTACAGACAGCTTTGATTTTCCGGGTACCGTCCTTGAAGGGACGTGTCATATGGGGCTGTTTGTGGACCGTTGTTGACGCCCTTGGGAAGTGCGTCACGGGAACACGAGGGTGCAATTCATACTATATATTGAGTGTCAGAGGCCTGCTGTTTCTCAATTACTGCTGGTGTTCAGAGACTGGTCATTGCGGCTGTCCCCTGAAACGTGGGGGCGCTTTGACGGCACTGTGGTGTTTAGAAAAGGCGGCAACGGGATTTTGGGGTATCTCTCAACCTGCATAATAACGCCCGGGGACCGTTTATGGTCCGAACCTACGGCTGCGTTTTTCCGTTTGTAGCATACGATTGCGAACAAATGATGCGGCCTCATTTCCCACATGCGTGGATTGTGAACGCCATATGTAACAGTACGGTGCTTGTATTTCCACTGCCTCTTTAGCAGCCACCTTCCATGCGCCGTTACACTGCGCAGCACGGCCCATAACAGGAACCTCTTGGATAAGGCTCAGCAGAGCAAATGCACGCACAAGCGAGCGTCACCTTGGTCAGTCAACCGTTGGCCTGTTTACGTTCAGCACCACAGGCATCCAAGTCGCAAGCTTTGGTACATGTCCTAAAGCTTGCAAGGAAACTCGCTTTGGGCGAAAGCAAATTTCGCAAAACCTGTCACACGTTAAAGGCGCCTTCCTCAGGACTATGGCGACCTCCCACATCCTGCTTACCAACACCAACAACGCAAGGCCTCAAAACAGCCCTTCACGTTCATTGCTCATCTGGGCCATCATCGCCCCCATCACTAGCACGCCATAAGGTCACCAACATATAGCACAACCGCTGTTACGCCGGATCGTGCATGCCTTTCTGGGTCGCCCGGACCAATTCACATGCAATGCAGGTGTCGCAGCCTCCCTAGTCTCTTAACAGTACATGCCAGAACCCTCTCGCCAATTGTAAACCGTCAACACCTCCCTTGCAGCACCGCCTCCCACCTCCCATCTCAACCTTTCTTCGCTGCAGCTTGCGACGGTGATGGCGGCGTGCCTCTGCGTGCCCCCGAGCCGGGCGTCCCAGGGGGCCCCTGCCCACCTGACGGCGCCGGAGATGGCGCCGTGAGCACCTCCGTCACCGACGGCGGCAGCGGCTCACCGTGCGGCCGTGTCCCTGGCACAAGCCGACACCGCGCCACCACCGCCACCGTCCTGCCCTCAGGCCCGCCAGCAAGGGACGGCAGCCCGCCGCGCAAGGTGCACAACAACCGCAACGTACGGTACTCCTGGTGTCCGTAAGCCGCAACCATGCCGGGGTGCGGCTTGCGGGGTGGCGTGTACGACAGCGTAATGGTCTTGACCTCGCCCGCCGCCAGCGCGATCTTGACGGCGCCGCCGCCGGGTGGGGCCGGCGGGTCCGCTACCGCCCAGCCCGCCTCCCGCGCCTCCGACGGCAGCTCCTGCAATATCACCTCACCCGGTGCCGTACCTAGCACAGCACTTCTGAGGCTGCCGACCTCAAAAGAGGCCTTTGCAACCTCTCCCGCGTAGACAGCGTGAGGGAACGTCAGCGTCAGCACGCGAGCCTCAGCCGTGGTTGCAGCGGCTGCTGCGGCAGCGGCGGCGGCTGCCGCCGCAGCAGCGGCCTTGCTCTTACCGCCCGGTGTCCCCGGCGTAGCTGGCTTGGACTGCTTGGCGCCGCCACTGGCAGCTGCGGTGGCTGCCGCTGCCGCCGCGGCTGCAGCAGCCGCTGCGGCCGCTCCATTCGCCCCGCCTGCAACCGACGGCGGGAGCTGCACCCGCGCCGTGGCAGCTAGGTGGTGCAGCATGAAGGGGTCGGGGTCGGGGTTGGGATAGGCGGGCCCGGACACGAACACGCCCTCCTGCCAGCCGCGTCCCCGCAGCGGCACCAGCAGCTGGTCTTGCTGATTGGGCACCAGTACCTGCAGCGCATCCTCAAAGTACGGCCGCTGACACGCGGGACTGAAGGACACCGACACCTCGCAGCTCTCGCCCTGCGCCAGTGTTCCCTCTGAGGGCTGGCATGCAAAGGGCGGCCGCATGGCAAGGTTGGGTGCGGCAGCGGAGGGGCTGCCTCGTAGCACCATGGAGAAGGACAGCGGGAAGGGGCAGACGTTGGTGACCGTGAAGCTGCGGCTGCTGCTCTCGCCCACGGGAACGTCGCCCAGGTCTAGGCCTGTGGAAGTCACGCCCTCGGGGCCCAGCTGGAGTTCAGGGGCAATGCCGGCGCCTTTGAGGGCGACGCGGAGGCGTGTACGGGCGGATCGTACGACAAGGACTTCGAGGTATTCCGTACGGGCTTGTGGCGTGAAGGCGACGAGGAGACGGAAGGTGGCGCCCGGGCGCACGGGTCGCAGCGCGTTGACGCAGCTGAAGACCTCACGACAGTCGAGCGGCTCGGCGGCAAGGGTAAGGGTCTCGGAGCCTGAGGGATGAAGATCGGCATGGTGTAAATCATATGCATGGGAACTCAGTGTAAGGGTAAGCTTAACTAGCTTGCAACATGCATGTGTGATGCATGGGGCGATCTGGGGAGCTACCAGAAGCGACCAAAGCTAGGTACCAACTCACCCTCATTCGCCAGCTCAAGCGTCCGAAGCACCCGTTGCCCCACCGGTACGGGCCCGAAATCAAGGCTGTGACACTGGTGCAGGGCGACGTACGGCAGCTCCGTTTGCAGTACGAGATCCGGAAGTACGGCACACGTGGACAGCTGCAGATGCAGCTCCTGTGTGGCAGCCTGCGGCGGCTGCGGCCGGATGAAGCAGGTGATGGTGTGTTCTCGCCAGCGGTACCAAGAGGATGCGGACCGACCCGTGGGTCCCGAGCCCGAGGTGCTGTCGGCGACAGTGCCGGTGTCGTCGTCGCCGTCGCCGCCCGCGTCGTCCGTACCGTCGGCGGCGCTGTCGTACTCGCTGTCCTCCTCAGCAGTGTCGTATTTCTTGGGGGAGTTCTTGGACACAACCTGCGCAGGGTACCGCAGGCATTGCATGTGGAAACGATTAAGAGATGCAAGCGCGTATTGGCCTGCAGCCGGCAACAATGCCGAAAGCGACTACGGATTCGACTACCCCTACCTAACGGGCTGCATCTCACACCCACCTTGCGCCCCAACGTTGGCGACGGCGACCTTCCTCCAGCCCCTCCTCCTCTCCTTGCACCCGGGGATCCCCGCCGCTCCCCTGCCTTGGCCGCCTTCGCAGCAGCAGCCGCAGCTGAAGCCGCCGCCGCAGCCCCTGGCCCCCTGCCGCCTGCCGCCCCCGCCCCCGCCGCCTTGCCCCTCCCTTTCACCGGCGCCGGCTCCTCCTCGCCTCCCTCCCCGGCTCCCGTGGGGGATCCCGGCCAGCCAAGCGGTGAATCCGGCGCACCGTCAGCCTCACCGCCGTCGCCCTCGGCGCCGCCGCCGCTGCTGTCGGGCGGCTGCGGCGGCAGCGCTCCCGGCTGTTCGCCTTCCTCGGGCGGTCTGGGGCTGTAATCGATCTGCACCCGCAGTCGTGACTGCGGCGGGACCTCCCCCACGTGCGGACTGAAGGTGAGGTCACTGCCCTGGGGTACCGCGAACTCGTACGCCTGGTGGGGAGAGGTGGTGGGGAGGAGGGAGCGGGAGGGGGGTGAGGCAGGGTTGTTGAGGAAAAGGAGTCAGGAAGACGGGGTTGTAGAGGTGTCCCATACCGTAGCTCCATACCCTGTATGCAATAAGAAGCACGCACGTCCAGGTTTCCCCTTCACTACCACCACTACCACCACCACCGCCTGCCAACCTCACCTGCGGGGTATCCGTGCGGTTAATGAGCGCAATAGACACCGTCCGCGTGTCCCCCACGGGCGTCGCAGTCATGCGAACCCGGTTATGCGACATGCTCAGTTTGGGCTGCACACCATTGGCTCGACACGGCAGCGTGAAGGAGCGGCCCGCAAGCGTCTTGGCGGTGATGCTGAAGGTCTGCGGCCCCGCAATGGGCGGCTGGAAGGCCACCACACGCTGCAGCTCCTCCCCGGGGAGCACGTAGCCGAAACCATCGTTGGGGCTGATGCGTAGGCCGCCTGGGAGGCCCACGAAGCCAAACGTTTGCGGCAGGCGCCCCGGGTTTCGGATGCTGAGTCGTACGGCGGTGCGCTCGGACATGACGCAATCTCCAAAGTCCAGGGAGGGCGGGTCGAAGAGGAGGTCGGTGATGGTGAGTTGCGCGCGAAGGGTGAAGGGCACTGGGAGGACCTGGTCGGGGACGGAGAGGCGCATGGCCACTTCGATGACCTGCTCCTCCGCCGGCTCTACAACGTGCTGCCGACACGCGGCCAGCAGTGCGGGAGTGGGCTTGAAGCGGATGGTGATGGGGAACGAGTCGCCCGCCTGGTGGGGATGGGCGGAAGGAGGGAGGGAAGCCTTAGGTGGAATTTAGGCAGGGTAGGCAGGGTATAAGCCAAAGAGTCCAAACCCGCGTGCTCCACAAACCTCCATTTGCTGCCCCACCTAGCATCTGGACAGCTACCGTTTCTGCCTACGGGATGATGTCGTGGGGCTCGTAAGTCCCTCACAACCCCGCCACCAAGTCTCACCCATCTGCCTAGCCCCACCTTCTTAAACCCTCCTCCTAGACCCTCCTCCTCCTCCTTCTAGACCACCATCACCACCGCCACCCACCTGCACGAACCCAAAGTCCGGTGCGAACTCGAAGAAGCCCTCCAGCTCGGGTCGCGGCACCACCATCACCTTCATCGCGCTCTTGCCGCCGTTGCGAACCTGCGGGTGCGCATGACAACGTGGCAGGGGGTACATGGACGAGTTTGCATGGCAGGGTTTGCATGAATGAGTTGCATGGACGGTTTGCATGGACGAGTTTGCATGGCACCTCAATCCCGAGCTGTGAACTGATACCGGTACATACACATGCATGTGCGGGCAGTGTGCATGTGCGGGCGCCTCTGCGTTGCTAGGCAGCAACAAACTACACACGCCCCTTAGTGCGAGCACCCCACGCAACACTCAAACCCATGCTGTGCATATCGCGCCCCACTCCCCCCCCCACCCGCCCTCCTCACCACCAGCACATCTCGGTACAGGTGCCCCAGCATGCAGCACTGGAAGTCAATGACGGGCCGCTCCAGGTAGACGGGCACGTCGCGCCCCACCCCGCTCAGCAGCACCTCATGCGGCGGCAGCGTCAGGCGCTTCATGCTGGGCGCCTTGTACGTCGCAATCAGCTGCAGCTTCGCCGCCGCCGCCACCACCGGCGCGAACGTCACGGTGAAGGTCACCCGGCTGTACCCCCCAATCACCCCCACGCAGGGGTACACCGTGAAGCCGCCGTGCGTGAGTCGGCGCTCCTCACGCGGCGTCATGGAGTGGGAGCTAGCGGGCGCGGGGCCGCCATGGGGGTCCAGGATGAGCGAGCCGCCGCCTCCTCCGCCCCCGCCCCCGGGTGTTGCAGCACCAGCAGCACCAGCAACGGCAGAGGAGTCTCCCAGGGAGCGGCTGCGGCCCACAGCGGCTGCTGCGGCTGCTGCGACGGTGGCGGAGGTGAGGGCGGAGGTGGTGCCGGAGGACTTGAGCGCGGCCCGCTCGTCCTCGGAGAGCTGGGGACTGTCCAGCCGGTACTCCACCTGCGAGGGGTGTGTGTGTGTGTTTTGTGGGGAGGGTTAGGGGTGTTACCGGTAGCAAAACTGGCCGCGCGTCGGAAGGTTTGTGTACGGGAGAGCCCGCCAGGGCTGCATGAGAGGGGTGAAGGGGCGATAGAAAGAGAGGGTGAGACGGGTGAGGAGGATGGGGACCACTTCCCGACCCTTTCCCAAGCCCGCCAACCCCATACCCCTATTCCCTACCCCTCAAACCACCACCCATCCACCCACCTCCAGCGCCCCATCATTGCTGATCACAAACGTCCTGCTGGCGCTCTCCCCCAGCGTCACCCCCGCCCCGAAATCCACGGTGGCGGGCGACACGGACAGCGAGGCGCGCTTGGCCCGGCAGCGGATGGGCACGACGAAGGGCCCGGTGTCCGCCAGGCACTGCAGGCAGGAGTCGATGTCGACGTGGGCCTTGGGCGTGAAGGAGATGACCACCTCGGAGGAGACGCCGGGCGCCAGGTAGCCGGGCAGCTTGTAGGAGAAGTCCAGCACGTCGCAGTACTCCACAGGGATGCCGGTGACGCTGGGGGGTCAAAGACCATACCAAACCATAGGAGACCACAAGTTAGGGCAAAGCAATGGGGGTAGGAGTTGGCAGGGCGCCACGAGACAAAGTGGAGGGGGTGTGTGTGGAGGGAGAGGGAGGGGCACAGGGTGAAATGAGTACGGTACCAGGCATGAAAGCCGACGACGACCCTCAATGAGCAGTATGATGGCAGCGAGCTCCCACCCCACATGGTACCGAAACACCCATGCCATGCGAACGCGGCATCCTCCCCCCCACATCTTCTGCTCCTCGCGCTTCCCCTCCTCTCTGCCCTTCCTCCTCCTCCTCCTTCCTCCTCCTCCTCCCTCTTCTCCTCCTCCTCCCTCTTCTCCTTCTCCTCACCGAAACGTGTTTTTCTTGTAGGAGCGGTTGATGATATGCACGGAGGAGGTGGTGGTGCGCCCCAGGTCAAAGTCCTTGAACTCCACCACGGCGGGGGAGGGCAGGAAGGCGTCGCCGCCAAAGGTGCGCCCCATCTGGGTCTGAGAGGGGGGAAATTATATAAGTGAAACAACGAGTCCCAATCCCATATCCCGACTCATGCAGTGAGCGCATTCGGAGACACTATCCTAGAAACACGCGTGCAGGGCAGAGGGCAGGACAGGGAGCAGGGGCAAAAGAAAGAGCTGAGAGGGCAGGGATGGGATCAGAGCAAGCGAGGCATGGAGGGAGGGCTCTGAGAGGGCATTGAAGCTCGTCCTTGGCATCATGAAGCATCCAATTCTCTCCTGCAAGTATGAGGCCGGGTCTCTCCTCTTCAGCGCCATCCTTCCACCCTCCCGCTCGCCATCATCACCCCCTCACCCGTCCATTCCTACCCCTTCCCCTACCCCCCCTCACACTCCAACCCAGCCCCCACCCCACTCCTACCTGCGCCATCCCAATCGCCTGCCTGTGTTTCGTCTTGGCCGCCTCCATCATCCCCTGCTCCAGCTTGGACAGCGGCCTCGTGGCCAACTGCTTGTAACGGTCACCCGGCTGCTGCTGCTGCTGGAAAGCCGCGTACGGCAGCTGCGGCTGCTGGTAGGGGTCGTGGTGTCCGTGCTGGCCGTGGTGGTGGTGGTGGGGGTGCGCATGGGGGTGTGCGGAGTGGCCATGTGGGAAGCTGCCGTGCTCGTGGAGGCCCGGGTTGGGGTGCTGCTGGAAGTGGGAGAGGGCGCCGGCGGGGGAGGCGGAGGCGCCGCCGCCGCCGCCGGGTCCTCCTGCGCCGGCGGTTAGGCCGACTCGGTTGATGGAGGGGGAGCGGGGCGGTGAGCCCATGCCTGCGAGGGGAGCGGGGACATGATACCACAGGGTTAGAGCGGTTCCGGGGGGCATGACACCGCACTCGGACTTATATTCGCAACGAGCAAACCACTTCAATGCTCCCCGCCCGCCCGCCCGATCCCACACCTTTCGCCATGCACCCCACCCGCACCCCTCCCACCATCACCCTCATCATCGCTGGTGGCTGCCCGCGCCGTCCCCAGTCCCGCCACCGCCTCCGCTGCGTCGGGTGGGTTGCGGTACTTGGCGGGCAGCAGCAGCGCCTTGGGCGCCTCGGGACCCAGCCGCGCCAGCTGCTGCTGCAGCACCTCGGGAGGCGCGCCGCCGCGGCCGAAGCGCGCCGTCTTGACGACCACCGCCTCCGAGGGATTGAAGGGGATGCGACCTTTGGGAGGAAAGGAGGCAGGGAGGCAGGGAGGGAGAGGGGTTAGTGAGAGGTACATGCAGCACCAGGGTACAAGGGCGGGAGACGGTGCTGCTGCTGTCGGTACGGTATATTGGTGTCCTTGTTGTCCACAGACGATACTCTGCTGCTGTTGCTGCTGCGGTGCGAGCGCGGCCTACACAGCTAACCGTGCTGTCATGCCGCCCCCCTTCTCCTTCCCTCCCCTTTCCTCCTCCTCCTCTCCACTCCTTTCCCCCCACACACATCTGACAGCATCGCAGCAGAGACATCAGGTCTAGAGCCGTGGAGCCAGTTATCACAGTTGCAGCCGCCTTTTATTCGCCAATGCAGAGTGATCTCAGATCACCCCAGCCGCCATGGAGCTTACAATACGGTTTGATGCTTCTAACTATACAACGACTACAGTTATAACTATCCAGCGTAATGCGGATTCTGTTTCCAAATTAACCCACACACATGCGCTCCACCCACGCACCCGTGGGGTCCAGCATGGATGTTCCGGTCAGCGTGTGGCTCATCATGTAGTCGTCCGTGCGAGCCTGCCGAGCTGCCACACCCATCTCCCGATCGAAGGCAGCCTGCGGGATATTGGAGGCCAAGAGTAAGAGCACTAACTCCCAAGGGTTGGGAGTGGCTAGACACAATGAGAGAGACCGAGGGTCGCTAAAGCACGGGCAGCGTGGAGAAGTGGGATAGGAGGAAATGCCGTATCCTATCCCTCGACCCCGAAGGAAAGACGCTCCACCCGCCCCACCCACCCTCTCCGCCTTGTCCCTCCTCTTGGCTGCTAGCGCCCGGTTGTACGCCTCCTGCTCTCGCGCCAGCTGCGATGCGAGCTCCAGCTGGCGGGAGGAGATGTTGCTCTGGATCTGCTCGTGCTGCCGCCGGGACTGAGGGAGCGGGGAGGGGGGAGGTGAGGGGAGAGGAGGGGGAGGGGGGCTGAGGTAGGTAGGTAGGTAGGACTACCGGTAACGTAGTTTCCAGTCACAGCGGTGCATGGTGCAGCACACCTCTTCCAGCCACCTGTTTCAACCCAACTTCCTTCTCCTCCATTCCTCACTATTCCTCTTTCATCCCTCATCATTGGGTGTTCTTCTTTTCCCTCACCCCTCCCCCCCGGCTCTCACCTCTGCCTCCATGTCCCTCCTCCTGAACACCTCGTACGGGTTCATCCCCGCCTCCACCAACGCCCCGAACTCCCGCTCCTGCAGCTCCCGCCGCTGCCGCTGCAGCACAGCAGCCAGCTCAGCCTCCCGCGCCACCTCAGCGCGTACGGCAGCCATGCTGGACTTGAGCCCCAGTACGGCATCCCGCCGCGCCGCCTGCGCTGCCGCCTGCGCCTGACGGCCCGCGGAGACCCCATCCCTGATGCGTTCCTGGTTGGATTTGACGCGTGCCAGCACCTTGGCATGCGCCTCCTCCGCGGCTCTAGGGAGGGAGGAGGGAGGAGGGAAAAGGTGAAGAAGGTCAGGTGGGAAAGGACACGCATGGGGTTGCTGCTCCCCCACCTCTTCGCATAAGCGCAGCCACCAGTGAGTGCCATCGTTGGCACTCCCTGCCATGCGTCTCCTTCTACCATCATCGCCTTCTCCTCTAGCCACCCCCAAGCGCAGCCCCCAAAAGCCAGGCGCCAGGACTCACTGCACGCGCCTCCGCCCCGTCTCCTCCGCCTCCTGCCTCGCCGCCGCCAGCCTGCCCGCCTGCTCCGCCTGCCGCCGCGTGTAGCCCGCCACCGCTCGGTCCTCCCGCGCCCGCAGCGCCGCCACCGTTGCACCCTGCGCTGCCGATTCGGCCGCCTGCGCCGCCGCCACCTCCTCGCGCGCCTCCGCCATGAAATCCAGCTCCCGCTCCGCAGCCCGCAGCGCCGCCTCAGCAGCAATGAGCTCCAGCTGCCGCGCGTCCCGCACCGCCCGCTGCGCCTCCAGAGCCGCACCGCGCTGGCCCAGCCAGGTGCGCAGCTGCCGCTGGCGCTCGGGTGCGGGCGGCAGGCGGCGGGAGAGCTCCTCGGCCTCGGCCTGGAGGGAGCTGGCGGGCGGGGAGGGGAGAAGGGAAGGGACAGGGGGTATGTGGGTGGTTTGGAGGTCACACGCTACGACGCCTGTGCGTTGTGGATTCGTTCTGTATTCCTTCCGCCATGTCCCTTCAACCTCGGCAACGGGAGTAGCGTGTATGCTTCGCCCCGCACTTCCCGCACCTGATCTCCGCCTCCATGCTGCGCACCAGCTCCGTCGCCTTGTTCGCCTCCAACAGCACGGCCTCATAGCGCTGCTGGTGCGCATTGACAGCTTGTACGACAGATTGCAACCGCCGTTTCAACTGCTCGGGATCCGCACCCACGCTGGGGCCCAGACCCAGCGTTGCGGGAGGTCGCAGCGCTGCATCGTTGTCACTGTCCGCCCCGCTGCTGCCGATGAAGGCCCCGCGGATTGGGCTGAGGCCGGGGCTGGCGCCAGGGCTCAGGCCGTTGGTGTCGCCGTACTGGGTTCCCCTGCCGACATGCGGTTCGCTGCTGGGACGTACGGCAGATGGGCTGCTGCGGCGAAGGGAAATGATGGCCGCGCCCTGGCCCATGAGCTCCTGGTAGCTGGGCAGGGACTTTTCCTGCTGCATGAGGGCCTGCAGGGTGGGCAGCACGCAGGAGGAGTTCGTTGTATAGCGGTTGGTAATCCCTTGCGGCGGCAGAGGAGGGGGACATGGTGTAGGTTTGCTTGACAGCTGGTCAGGGCAGGATCGGGAAAGGGTCATGTGCTGGGGCAACAATGCGTGGCAAAGTCAGCTTGGCAACCAAGCCACACGGACTGCAGCACTGAGAGCATGTAAGCCCGGCTGATCCGGCTTAATAGATTTGCAGGCCCCTCCCTCTTCTGTAGAGCGCATGCTGCATACGCACGAAACATGGACAGCCTTGCACGCCAATTAAGTTTTACATAGCTAATATTTTATGAAACTAGCTAACCACGTAATTACATCCATGCGATATACATCCGCGTGAGAGGCTATGAGTGCTTACTTGTTGGAGCGCGGGAGGCTCCAAGTCATCATCTTCCTCCTCGCGCCACAGCTCCTCAAGGTATGCTTCTTCATTAGTGAGAGTCATTCTCCGTAAAATACACCCGACCGGACGAAAGACAGCTTCTAGCTACCTATACTCATTTTAGGGAACTTGTCTTCTTGAAGCCATTTTTTAGGTCTTTGCAGGAAGCTTGTAGAGAGTCGCCTCTCGCATTATTCGAAGCACATCGTACTCAACATGTACGGAGTTCCAGGCTTCCCCAGAGCATGATGCTGACAATTCAGCGACATATGACATTTGCATTAAGAAATCCACCTGAGGTCGCATGCGTGATGCAATACATGTGGACTGGCTAACTGTCACGGTGGCGGTTGCCTTGGATTTGGTCAAGACCGGTATAGGACAAGACCTCCATATTAAGGCAAATCAACCATTGGTTTGCTGTTCCTGAATTTATATCCTGCGCAACCTTTAAACTGCGATCGGCCCTTTGGGGACAGTCGGCAAACGTATGGTTGCTGAAGCAGGGCACATGCGCCTTCGCCCAACTATTTTAGAGTACATCTACGACCCTGGAGGTTCCTGCCGAGTAAGCAATTTTGGTCTTCAAGTTTATTAACCGCCGCCGACAGCTGAAGACGGCCACAGCAGGAAAGTGGCGAGGCAAGCACCATGCCGTCAGGACCATGGATCCAGAGCCATGCTGAGCTTATACGATAAAGACCGCTAGAATGCGCACTAGAAATTTCCGATGGTTTAAATGCTCTTTTCTATGCTGCAAGCCTTAGTAGTGCCATGACTGCTAACGTACATAGGAGTTTTCGCACGCCATGCTCGGAGAGAAATGGGGAAGCTGTCACAGCACTGCAAACATGTGAAGGAGCTTTTCATGCACAAGCGAGGAGGCTTAACAAGCGATAAAGCAAACACAGCAGGCGGACGATTTGCTGTTGCACTATCTGGGATGGCCCCGGATCCATGTCCCTGACGGCAGGGTGGGGACAACTATAGGATACATTTTGCAAAATAGACCATTACATGATGGCCCACGGCATACATAATGCTTTGCGACAGCTGCGGGGTAAGCAGCGCCTTTGCACGGGCCCCACAGGATACACGTGACAACACGTCACGGACGTCGGTTGTAACTTGTAAGGGAAGCCACACATCAGCAGCAAGTTATCATAACAAGCACCCCGGCGGCACTGAACCGTGATGCAAAATTAAATGGCAAGGGATCTGCACAAATGCGCAAGAAATGCACGCAGCGAAGTTGCGCCGCTCTGCACAATGTGTAAGCATCACTCAGATCCAAGCTCGCGCGCCATTGCTTTTGATGCTGGGAGCATGGCCTGTAACCAATATGTCATACTAACATCCTAATCCACCAAAACAACATTTTTAACATTTTTGGTATGCCAAACTCGCAAACCCTAACTACCTTACTGCACATCAAACTCGCATTAACAGAGCTCCTATGCCTGTTCTTACCGAACTCGAAAAACCTGGCGCGTTTGCCCCAACGCGTATTACCGTGATAACCGAAACAAACCATAGGACGTACGGCAAAAGCACGTACGAGCGGGCCTACAATGTACACACCTACACCTCCCTACCTACAGCTGCAGATACACCGCAATTTCTTACGTACTGGGCGTTCGTGCGCAGATCACTCGAGGACAAAGTGAGATGCCGCTAAAACCGTTGGATTTCATCACTTTCCGATACTTGGGACGGACGCTGCCCCTCTTCGCACGGACCAAAACGCAGCAACAGTATGACGCGAGGTAAGAACAAAGTACCATCAACACACAAGAGTCTCTCCCTAACAAAAAATCACGTCAGCCCTACACCACGTGGATTTTTGCCTTTGCCAGGTGTACAAGAAGACGCAAGCCCGACGTCAAGAAAACCGGTCATCAATCAAAGAGGCAACGGCACCAAGTAAGAGCCCCAATCGCTGCACAAAACAGCCTTCCGTTAGTCCACCACATCCCGTGCTCAATTTCGGCCCAAGGACATGCTGACATGTAGGATAAGCGAGCGCGCAGCTAACACTGTCCACCCCACAGCGGCTGCGTACAGCCTCGAGTAAAAATCAGGAGAATGGCATCTGTTGTAGCGACGGAGACCGCTCGCACCGTCATCACCTTTGCAATCGCCCACCCAGTCAAAATCCATTGCACGCATAAGTCCCCTACGAGGTGAAGCCCTAAGCTAAGCATCCCATCAAAAATGCAGTTAACATGACCCGAAAAAATGGATTTGTACCCTACGTCTACCCTACCTAGCAAAAGCATCACCACTTCCCTCGACTCTCTACCATTTATCCCATCAGCAACAGGCTCGCCAACAAAACACACATCAACACATGCATCCATGGTGAAACACGGCCTACCTACCATTTCCTGATGTGCCTAACGAAATGTGTCATGGATACGTCTTCAGATATGTTGACCGCCCCGCGTGCTCTCCATAACCACCGCAACCGCTTACGCTCCTGAATATAACGCTACCCAATCACAGCAGTGGCATCGCCCCTTCGTCTTGATCACCGGGAGCCATCATGCGCCCTGTCTTCTAGCGTGACACAAACCAACTCAGGCACCAACACCAAGCCAGCCCGGCCACAACGCAGCAGTATCCCTGCGCTGTCACTTCCTCCCAGCTGTGCGGCGGGTCCAACAGTACAACAGCGGTCCACAGCCCGTGCACACCAGGATCCTTGGGGACGCCTCGCCACTCAACCACAGCAGCAGCACAGCGGGTCGCCCGCCTTGCGTTCGCACCGCGTCGTCTGCGACGGCGACATGTTTTCGTATCTTTAAGGGCGAGGGTGCGATTGCACCGCGTCCTCCGCCGACTGCGGCCGTGCAGCCCGCGATAAGCTGCGTTTCCGCAGCCGTGTTTTCTTCCTTCTCTTCCGTTCAATCGACCGAGAAGGAGTTCTGGTCGATCGCTTGTAGATCACGGTTTCTCTTAGTAAGTAGATAAGCAGCAAGCAAGGCGTCAAGCCACGCGCGGCCATCTAAACGTGGACGCCGTAGAACCAGGGGTGCTCCAGCGCCTGGCTCGCTGTGATGCGGTGGCGAGGGTCGTACATGAGCAGGCGCGACAGCAGGTCCAGGCCTTGCGGGTCGTTTGCCAGGCGCGGGACCAACTGCGGGTGGCGGTAGAAAGCAGCGGTGACGGACACGAGAGGATCCGGTCAGCAGGGACTGAGCTTGAATGGGTGTGAGCAGTACAAGTTAAATCACTCGAGGCATGAGTTGGAAGAGTTAGATGCAGGCACCCCGTTCGACCGGGAAACACAAGCAGCTAGAAAACACAGTTACTGCCATTCTCCTTCAACGCTAGGACAGCCAGCTGGGCCCCCACCCACCTCATGCAGCGGCCGTGGAGGGAACCGCGGGAAGTCTTGGGAGAAGTGGGTGAGGCCAGGCAGCTCCTTCCACGCCTCGGGCGTTGGCGTGCCGAGCTTCGAGAAGATGCGCATGATTTGCGAGATCTGCAAAAAGGCACAGGGTTCCACTCAGTTCCTGCATGCAACTCAGGCAGGACGCAAGACAGCATGCCAACAGTGTTACACGCAACGACGTCACACTCGGTATTCCCCTGCGCCACAGCCATTTTGCACCACCTAACCCAGGCCCAACAAGATACTCTGTAAACATCCTTGTGCCCGATCTGCCTGGAGCCCGACCGCTTGCCTACAACGCACACCAGTTATTTCAACACACACGCGCCCTGCTCACCTCGCTCACCTCCTGTTCGGCTTTGAAGAACACGTCGAAGTTGATCATCTCCGCCATGATGCAGCCGATGCTCCACAGGTCCACGGCGCTCGTGTAGTACTGCGACCCCAGCAGCAGCTCGGGTGCGCGGTAGTAGAGCGTCACCACCTGCGGCCGCAATGCAAGCACCCAAAAAAGGTACTCCACGTCAGTCACCTAAGCGAGCACTTCGTGTATAAGTAACCAAGTCAGCAGGACATACAGGCGTATACTAATTCGTCAACGCAACACAATATAGCGAGTAAGAAAGGTACCGGCACACTAGGCTGAGTACGAAAAAATGGACAAGCAAGGCAGCTTGGGCATGTCTTTATCTTGTCCTTCCAAACATCTAGTCAAAAGCGATGCTCAACGTCATCCCCTCACGCCCGACCTCCTCCCGCCCCGCACCTTCTCCGTGTACGCCCGCTCTTCGTTGGGCAGGAAGCAGCGCGCCAGCCCAAAGTCCGTGATCTTGACCTGCCCCGTGGAGGTGCTGACAAGGATGTTCTGGGGCTTCAGGTCGCGGTGCATGATGCTGTTGGCGTGCGCGTAGCGGATGCCGCGGAGGATCTGGTACACCACCGACTGCGGGTGCGGCGCGGGTTGTACGGGGGGCAACAGGGCGAGTCGGTCGGTACGGAAAAAGGGGTATCAAAAGGTGCCTGCACCAAGCCAACATTGCATACGCGAAGCTTCGTAAGCGCTGGACTGCCCCATCTCCCCCCTAGGACCGCATGGATGCATGATTGCCACATGCACAAAGACATCCCTGCCTGGAGGTCCCAACCCTAGAGCATCATGCAGCTGCCGCCTTACGTGACTATCAAGTCCCGTGACGCATGGTGTTCCCTGGTCACACCAGTTGGCTTCTTTGCAAGCCCCCACCCTCTCCGGTCACACCAGTTGGCTTCGTTGCAAGCCCCCACCCTCTCCTTCCACACCCACATCCCCTCCCCCCGGCTACCTTGATACGGCTGATGTTGGAGGCCTCCGTGCAGTTGTCCAGGTAGTAGCGCAGGTCGCAGTCCAGGAACTCGAGCACCAGGTGCACGTGGTTGCCGTTCACGGTGGCGATGATGTCCTTCAGCCTGAGCGGGGACGCACGGCGGGTTGATGTGCAATGGGAGGGGTTGGGGTGCAGGAAAGGGCAGGCACAGGTTGGTAAGGTGGAGCGCTTTTGGTGGAATCCTGAGGCACGGGATTTGGAGGAGCTGGGCAAGAGCGTTGTGTTTTTACCGGGGCTTCCTCGGCCCTTACCGCCCCTGGTCTGAGGCTAAGGACGGGGGGACTCTTATGCCGTTATCTGCGCCTCACCTGACGATGTTGTCATGTTGGAGCTCCCGTAGCGTGCTGATCTCGCGTATAGTGGAGTCTGACAAGCCGTGATCCACACTGTGTACCACCTTCTTGATGGCCAGAAGCTCCTTAGTCTCGCGGTTGACCGCCTTATGTACGACACCGTATGACCCGCTCCCCAGCTGCCCGATCTTTATGTACTTGTACTTTTGCAGCGCCCCCTTGAGGCCAGCGAGGTCAAGCGTGGTGGTAAACCCCTCCAAGGGATGCCATCCGTACTTGGCCAGTAGCAATGAAAGCTCCTGTGATGCGTATGAAGGGCAGGTATGAAAGGTTGGAACATGATGGAAAAGTGGCGGGGATAGGGGGATGAAGGCTGGAGAGCTGATAAAGCTAGGGTAACCGTGGGGCCGCCGCGGGCCGGTGTGTGTTGACCCGTGCGAAGCCGCCAGGATTTCATTAGAACAATACAATGGTAGACATGGCATCCAAAACACGTACATGACAGCACAGACCAGACCAGACACGGAGGCTTTACCCCAAGGATGGCTCGAGGGCGCCGTTTGCAGTCAAGCTAGGGGATGTAACATAACGCCGAAACATGATATCTAAACACGCCGGCCTAACGCTGACATCGCACGAGGTGGTGCGAGGCCAGGAGTCCCAGGACATTCGACGGGACTAACTTGGAAATAAAGGCTTCCCCGCACCCAAGGCCAAAGTGCAATTAGAGGAATATACCTACTCCCTTACACATATACAGGTTACTTCCAGGCCCCTGCTGGAGCCGGCCGAGAGCTGTAGTCTACGAAGGTCGTCTACCAGGCCTTCCAGCAAAGCATGCAGAAATGGTATACTTTCAATTTATTGTATCCCAAGAGCTTGATCCCGCACTCGCCCGTAAGCTGGATGCCGGGACGATTCACTTGAACTTCAAGCAAGCTTACCTCGTCGAAAGGTAGCTGCCGCACGAGCGGTGCTATAACACTGTTAGCGAGATCTTTGTCGGCAGCCAGAGCTTTGAACCGTGATAGCTTGCAAAGCAAAGACGTCAGGGGCAGGTACTGCTGAAACGGAGATGGCGTTGACGTTGCGGCATCCCCGAGCTGCCCCGGTCTTCCAACGTCCAGAAGCCGGGAGTCCCAATCGTTGGCGCCATAAGCCATAGAAGGCTGTGAGCTGGTCTCCACAACCGCTTCCGAGCGTCAGGCCTTGATGGCCATGGGCTGTATGAAAATGTCCCTCTGTCCTTTACTCCGAAAGACTCAACCCGTTTATTAGAGATAATCAGAGCTAGGCTAACTATTGGCCTCAAATGACACTGGTTGATGTAGCTATGGCTTAAGATATGCTAGGGATATGTTAGGGAGGTGTCAGGGACGATGGGACGATGCTAGCAGCACCCAAACCTATGCTTGTATGAGAACAGGATGGCCGGCTTATTATGTATCAAGCACATTGATATTATCGGCGGCATGATACTTAATATCTTCCCTGTCGTACAGTGCACGGCACTGATTCTAGTGAGAAATCTATTTAACACAGGCAGAACCTTTGAACAGTGTTGTTGCGACCTTCCTGATGCGCCATGAAATCGTTGCAAAATGACACGAGTGCAGGAACTATGGCAACTTCTGAGCAAGAACCGAAGCTGCTCATAATTGACACCGATCCTGGAGTCGGTGGGTTCTTGGAAGGTTGAGATTGCGAAAGTTAAAGCACTCGCTACCTTGCTGTCCTCGCCAGAAAGCCCTGCACCCGTACATCTATCTCAAATGCATTTTCCAGGTTCCACACACACCATATCCTAGGACCTCCCGAGCATAACGCCGCCACATCCCCCCGACCCACAGCCTATGCATGTCGCCCCTAACGTCCATGCTGGGCGTGTCGTAACACCTACCTAGGCTCCCCCCTTGATAGTCCACGCCCACGGCCACCTGTCCTCACAGCTTTCACATACCCCTCCTTTCCCTAATCCCTTCCCCCTCATTCAGTTACCGTCTAACGCCTGCCTACCGATGACCTGACCCGGGCCCCCACCCCAGTCATCCCTCCAACCCCCCTGCACCTCATTGCCTCCCTGTCCAGGGGACCCCCCGCACCCCTCTTCCGGTAGCGTGTCTTCACCGTCGCCCAATTCTCCACCCCATGCCCACGTCCCCGATGCCCCCTAGTTCAGTTCTTACGCCCCGCCAACCCACCAGCACCGCCCACATCTCCATCCCTCCCTCCCTCCCAACCAAACCCCAGCCCCACCGCCACAGCCCTTGCTTCCCCTCACCTCCTCCACTCCCGCCCAACCAACCAGCCACACCCGAACCAAACTCCCCAACCACCAAACAAAACACCACCGATTCCCCGCACACCATCCCCACGTCACCCCCCCTGCCTCCCCTCACCATCCCCCCCCCACCATCCCCCGCCTCCATTCTCCTTCTTTCCCCCCCCCCTCCCCAGATGACGCCATGGCCCTGCTGATGGCCGCCAACAGCCCCGAGGTGCGGCTGCTGGGGGTCACCACGGTGTACGGCAACGTGCCCACCGCCCGCGCCACGCAGAACGCACTGAGGCTGCTGGAGATGGCGGGACTGGGGGAGCAGGTGGGGGTAAAGACGGGGGAAAGGGAGGGAGGGTGACGTGACGTGTATGCAGCGGGACACAGCACAACCCATGGACACCTTGAACGCCTCCGCCAAGCCCTAAACGCATATAGCAAGCACCAGCCTGGTATTTTACGACATACGACCACACGCCTCGTACACACACATGGGACTTCATCTCCCGACATCCCAGTACGTTCCTACTCGCGGCCAGTTTTCTAAACACACACATGCACCAGGTTCCAGTGGCTCAGGGCGCCATGCGCTCACTGCATGCGGGAACCGACGTGGAGCGCATCGCTGACTTCGTGCATGGGGCGGACGGTTTGGGAGGCATCGACCTGCCGCCACCGCGGGGCCGCCCCGCCGACTGCTCCGCTGCCGAGTTCATCGTTCGCGCCTGCTCCGCGCACCCGGGCCGCGTGACGCTGCTGGCGCTGGCGCCGCTGACCAACATCGCGCAGGCGCTCATGCTGGACCCGCAGCTGGGCGACAAGTGGGTGGGTGGATGGGGGCGGGCGGGTGGGTGGGGACGAATGGGGACGAAAAGAGGAACGGACGAGCTGTATGACGAGGCTGGGGAGGGGTGAGGGGGAAAGAACAGAAGGCATTCAATGCATCGAAATGCAAGGAACGATAGTTGCCGGTATACAGGTATACCATATCGGGTGCATTGTATCGGATCCTGGGGCCGACAGCCGGGAAGCCGCATGTCCCAGTCCCAAGGCTGGATCGCTGCGTCGCCTCCTCAGTGCCGCCCACTCCCCGCTCCTGCCCTGCCCTGCCCTGCCCTGCCCTGCCTGCCTTCCCTCGGGGTCCCGGCCCCACCCACTGCCCCGCCTCGCCCCCTGCCCCAGTCCTATCCCCTCTTGGTGTTCCTTTGCTTCCGCCCCTCCCCCTCCAGGCCGAGCTGGTGGTGCTGGGGGGAGCCTTCTTCACAAGTGGTGGGCATCGCATGGGAGAAGCTGGGGTTGCATGTGACTGGGGTTGCTTGTGACTGGGGTTGCTTGTGACTTACCCTGTCCCCTTCTTCCTCTCCTCGCTTCCCCCCGTCACAGCTCACCTATTTACCCCCCCCCCCGCCCCCAGGCAACGTGAACCCCGCCGCCGAGGCCAACGTGTTCGGCGACCCGGATGCTGCAGACCTGGTGCTGGGCGCCTCCCCCCGCACCCGCCTCATCGGGCTGGACGTCACCACCCGCTGCACCCTGAGCGGGCAGCAGCTGCAGGACTTGCGGGGGGCCGGCAAGTACGGCAGCTTCGTGGCCGACATATCCCAGTTCTACCTCAACTTCCACAGGGTGAGGAATGAGGAGAAGAGAAGGAGAACGGAGAAGGAGAAGGAGGAGTTCCCAGTAGTGGATAGGGTGTATACGTGAATGGGGTGAGACATGTAGCAGGCACTCGCATTGCTGATGCCGGTGTTGTTGCCGTCGTCGCTTTTGCCGCTGCTTGCTTGCATGTCACGTGCACCCCCGTTTCGGACCCATTGCGCCGTACGGCTCATGTTGTACACGCTTTTGTATGTACGGCAAACACACACAGGAGTGGTACGACATGGACGCGATCCACCTGCACGACCCGGCGGCCATGGCGGCCGTGTTGCGTCCTGAGCTGTTCGAGTGGCGGCGCGGGGCGGTGCGGGTGGCGTGCGAGGGGGTCACGCGGGGGCAGACGGTTGTGGATGGTGGGTGAATGGGGAGGGGAATGGGAAGGATGGGAGGGGCGGGGTGGTAACCAGGCTGCTCGGCTGCTGGTACCACCTGGACAAACCAGGCAACACAGCACCCCAAGGTGTATGCTTCTGTTAAACTAGTAAGCCCAGCACAGTGCCGTACACGATGTGCCGTACACATCTCGCTTTCGTAACTAACCAGCGGAATTTGTTTGCATGGCTTATCAGAGGGCCGCTGCCCCCCTCACGTCCCCTCTTTCCGTTCCCTCCCAAGCCTGTCTAACCCACCAATCGTCCCCAAGGATGCTTCCAACCGGAGCTGGCTACCAACCAATGTTCCAAACGTGCAACTTCCCCACCCGTGGTACATGTGGGCCGTTCTGTCGTAAGCCCCCCCCCCACCACCCAGTTCGTCAGTTTTCCTCATTGTTACCCCACCACCCGCCCCGCTGCATGCCTGCACCCCCCCTGCTGATTTCCTATGGTTCGGTATGGTCTTTGACCCCCTGCTGCTGCCGCAGTCAGCGTCAAGGGCTACCACGGACACAACGGCTGGACCGACCGACCCAAGCTGCAGGTGGCCCTGGGGCTGCGGGAGGAGCAGGTGGTGGGGCTCATACGGGAGAGGCTGACGGCGTGAGGGAGCGGCGCGGTGCTGTGAAGCAGGCGGCGGTGGCTGTAGGCCTGTAGCGTGTTGCGAAACAGGCTGTGGCTGTAGCGTGCTGTGAAGCAGGCTTTGATGTAAGTCATAACGGGGTACGGCTGGGAACACATCATGATGCATGGCACGATGCATGGCATTTGTACTTTATGTTTCAACTTAACTTGCTGTCTGATGGACCATCACTAGCTGCCAGGTTCGGCTGGGCAAGTAGCTATGTTGCAACACGGCTTCTGTAAAGTGCATTTTGGAAAAGCTGTGGTCATAAAGGGATCTGCTTAAACTAGATAGAGCCTATTGTCCGCACGTTAGCGCTGATTTCCTGCGCTGAACTGTTCACGTCGCGCGTGAAGGTGCACAGGGCTTCGGCTTCCTTGGACATCAAGCCTGAAACATCTTGCTGCTCACGAAACTCTTAACAGGCCAATAGGTGATAGCTGAATTCCTCGTCTGTACGTGGCCCCTGCGTCTTCTTGGCCGGATAAGTAGCGAGGTTGTACTACATGCTGCTTTCCGATTGCTGTCATTGCCAAGCCAATTAGGAGAGCGAAGCAGAGATCTTGTACATCAATAATTCTGCTAAATTTGGGCTAGGCAATTTGGGATAGGCAATATCTCTGCATCTGTTCAAGTGGTTAACGCATGCCTGACCAAGAGTTGCCTGACCAAGCAAGTTATCCACTTCCTGCCAGCAAGCCGCGCATCATGGCTACATCACACTCAGTACCGACTTCAACAGCCGCCGCTAGCTCCAACTCGGACCTCGAACGGCTCCTGTCAGCGCGGCAATGGGTGCCAGCAGTGCAACTGGCGCGCCAACGCATCGCTCGCGACCCATGGGACGTTGCTGCCTGGTCAGGCCTCTCCCGAGCGTTACTGGAGGGGCTACGGGAGCCTGAGGCCGCCTACACAGCCTGCTGCAAAGCCCTAACTGCGATTGCGAAGCAGCATGGTAGGTAGGAGGAGGGCATAGGGTTAGAGGAAGGTTGCTTGGGTGTACGGTTAGGCCACCCATGACAATGGATCGATGGTAGCCTGTACAGGAGGGATCGCAGATAGCCTACAGAACCTTTTTGCGATGCATGCGGTTGGGAGTTCAACTTTGCCGTTGAAAGTGTACACAGCTTGTCACTGTTGCTAACGCTTGAGCAGAGGTACCGACACGGGGCCCTCCTGTGGCCGAGAGGCTCTTAAACCGTTTCCAACCGCCCCAACCGCCCTCAGGCTCCCAAGCGCTCATACAAACCCTCGCTGCTCGGCGCTTCGACTGCCTGTCAGCAATAGCGCGCGGCGACAGCACTGCCGTACAAGCCAGGTGGGCCCGCTCCGGGCTGGAGGCAGCAAGTACGACAGCTGCATCATCCGCTACGAGCGTGGGTCCTTGTAGCAACTCTAGCGCTAGCAGCTATAGCTGCGGCAGCAGCAGTAGCAGCGGTGTCGTGGGCGGCAGTAGCGCTAGCAGTAGCAGCTGTAACAGGAGCAGTGGTGGCGGAAGCAGCAGCAGCGGTGGCAGCGGTCGTACCGCAGCTAGCAGCAGCAGCAGCAATGGCACTGGCAGTAAGGGCACCGAGAAGCAGAGTCGGCAAACTTTACCGCGTATTTTCGCGCTCTCCGACCTGCATGCGGATGCTCGTACGGCGCATTACGGCAGTACGACACATATGGACCTGTTACGGCGGATTAGCAAGACACGGTTCCGCAATGACGTGCTGCTTGTTGCAGGTGCGCAGTGATGGGAGTTGGACCCAGGTCAAGCGTTCAGGACGTGTAACTCCCATAACCGCCGTAACGTGTCATCATACTTGCACCCGTGTTCCTTTCTCCTGCAACTATATTCCGCTGCTGCTACGCAATCCAGACCAGGCTTCCTCTCATCGCAGCACCTTGCACCCCTAGCCGAGGTGTGGAGACCCACACCACCCGCCCGCCTCTCACTGATATCAGTTCCTTCCCACCTTGCTGGGTTGCTGCCCGCCCGCAGGTGACGTGGCTGACACGCTGCCGGCCACGCGGGAGGCCCTGAAGCTGCTGAAGGAGCGCTTTGGCCGCGTGTTCTACGTGCCGGGTGGGGATTATACCGGGATTGGACTGGCATGGGGGGCTGTGTGCTGGTGGGGAGGGCTGTGTACCGCTGTACGCTTGGGGACTCGTGGGGAGGGGAGATGCTGGGATGGAGAGGCGGACGGGGAGGAGAAAGGTGCGAAGGTGGTGAGCACTACAGGCGGCTATACAGATTACAGTCCATAGGAGGGACGGACAGGAAGGTGTGCAGGAACTGATATCCATGTGTTTGCCCGCACGGCAGGCAACCACTGCTTGTGGCTGCGGCCGGGGCTGGAGGAGGGGTCCTACCCGGATTCCTTCGCCAAGCTGTGGGCGCTGCTGGCGGCCTGCGACGAGGTGGGCGTGGAGACGGTGGCGGCGGAGGTGGCGCGGGGGGTGCTGGTGGTGCCACTGCTTTCCTGGTACAACGCCGCTTTTGATGAGGGCGACCCCAGGTAGGGTTAGAGGGTTTGCTGGGGTGGGGGAGAAGACAAGTGGGCTTGGGTTACAAGTGGGCTTTCGGGGCAGGCTTGATTCGGCTGTCGAGTTGAAAGGGCGGGATAAGGGCACGTGTTGCATGGGACCGAATCTGTGCACGTATGGTATGGTATTGGCTACAATGGTACGAAGGTATAGGTTAGGTCTACCGTATGTAGCGGGCGCCGATTTCGCGGTTTGAGTGTTGGTGTATAACCCACGCACTGTGGTACAGACCTGGGCGACTGCGCTTCGACAGCTACTGCCGCTGGCCGCTGAGCGATCTGGATGTGTGGCAGGTGATGCTGCGACTCAACGACGCCACCCTCGCTCGCGTCAGCAAATGGCGCCAGCAGCAACAGCAGCAGGAACAGCAACGACAGCAACAGCCGCGGAAGCCATTTACGCAGCGGCATGAAGGAACCGGGCAGCCTGGCAGCAGTGGTGGAGTCAACAACAGCAGCAGCAGCACCGGTGGTGGTTCCGGCACGGCGGCGCTGCCTTCAGAGCTAGCTCGATTGAGTTTGGCGGAAAAAGCACAACAACCGGAAGCAGCAGCGGCACAGAGCGGCAGCCCATCACACAATGAGGCTACCGGCAGTAGTAGCACGCGGCACACAGGGTCCCCATGCCCCATGCGCATGGAACCCGCGGGTGGCGGGGACATCAGTGGCGACGCAAACAGCTGCGGCGTGGATGGCGTGGAGGGGGAAGGGCCTCCGCTGGTGATCACCATGAGCCATTTCCTGCCACACCCGGGGCTACCCTTCCCCCGCATGCAACGCGAGATGGCCAAGGCTGTGGGCTGCCAGGAGCTGCAGCTGCTGCTAGAGCGCTTGGGATCTGCAGTACATGTGTACGGCCACACGCACATGGAGTACGACAAGATGTTGGGCGGTACGGCAACGGGTCTGGCGAAGCACCCGCCGCAGCAGAAGCAGCGGGAGGAGGGTGTGGCGGGGCAGCGGCGCTACGTGCATTGGCCGTTGCATGGGCAGAGTGGGCCGGTGCTGCGATGTATTTGGAGTGATGGGGAGTTGGTGGGCAAGGAGATGGATGCGGCAGCTGCGGGGGACGAGGATACCGGTAACTGACTGGGTAGGTGCGAGCAACAGCAGGGATGAAGTTATCGACAGCGGGCTGCTGCTGTAACACGGTGCAGCGTTTCTGCGAGGTCTGTCGGGCCCCACAATGCCCTACGGGGTCCGGCAATGGGCAGAGATTGACATCATGACGGTTCCATGAAAAGCTAGAGGGCTGTTGTCGCCTCGTTTTCATCTTGCACATTAGATGCAGAGTCCCCGGTGGAGTGCCGCCACTGCCTGCACCACGAGCCACTCGGAGCCGATATGTATGGCATGCCTCCGCTTTCCCTCCGTCCGCTTTCCCTTGCCGTCTGGTCTGAATTGCTGTAACAGTCATTCATCCTCCCCAGAATTACAAGGTCATTATCCCTGCACCTCCTTACAACCACAGACGGTTCCGGTTGCGCTTGAAAGTGAAAGCCGCAGCATACACGAGGCTGCGCTGCAAGGCATTCGAAAATGCTATACGCAAATCTGAATACTGTCATCACGGCTGGACCCTTGGGTCGCTGAGCTGTACACCTTGGTAACACAAAAGTAAAAGCCCCAGCCTCCTTTACTTCCTCCTTTATACACTTTTATACGAAAGTGAAGAACTTTGAGGAGTGGGAAGCGCTATAGTTTGTCCTTGCAAGGGTGCCTGCACCTCCTTGTCGGAGCCGCCACTGCCACTTTCGTGAACACGTTGTTCGCGTTTCCCAGCCCATTTCTGATAATCACAAGATATCTGCAGCCCTTGTCCTGCCCAAATCGCAACTAGCACAAGGCCTGCTCCTTCTGGCTGCTGCTCATGGCTTTGTAAGGACAGCGCTGCCGAAAACGTGAAAGATGCCAAGACGAGGCACCGCGCGCAGTCGCGCCAGCAGCCGAGGTCATCGAGGCCGCAGCCGCAGCGGCAGCCGGGCAGCCCGTGAATTCCTTCCAAGCGAAGTTCAAACCAGCCTGCAGCGGGTGCCAGGGCTTGTTAATCGGCTGCTCGGTCCGCCTGGGCAAGCAGCTCGGAACATCTCACAGCTTTCTGGCAACACATCCATCTTAAGCAACCTTTTCACATGTTTTGCCACCATTGAACGCTTTATCTGTGAAGCTCAGGAAACGCATGCTGGACTTGCGGTTGCGGCTTCTGTGATTTTGGCAAACGAGCCGTTTCGCATCGCGCTGCTGCGGCTTGCTGCCATCGGGGTGCGACTGCCGGCCTGGCAGTTGGTTACGACTTTAGGGTCCAAACAGCCTAGCCTGGGGTCAAGCGTCTGCATCACCGCTGTGCAGCTCGCCGGGAGCCTCGTAACGGGCGCGACCAGGTTACACACCGTTTCGCCTGGGGCCTTGGAGGCCGCTCACAAGATGCTGCGCGCTGACGTGCTGCAAGCCTGCAGCCGCCTGCTGGCAGCAGTCTGTGCTAGGATCACGCGCCGGGGCAGTGCTAGCGCCTCTCGGGTGCCTGTGTCCTTCGCAGCCCAGCCGCCGGCGCCGCCGGAGCAGCAGCAAGCGGAGGAAGATGAGGAGGAAGAGCAGCTGGCGGATACCAAGGGTGTCCCGTTGCTTTGCATGTTATTGTGCTCTCTGGTACAGGGTTTTATCCTGGCTACCTCCGCACAGCCTTCTGCGGGCCTGGGTGACGCACACCGCCTGTTTGTTTCCGAGCTGGGACCCTGCCTGCGGGAGAGCTGCGTGTTGGAGCACATGGCCGGGCTGCTGCTGCTAAAGATGAGCAGGGAGGCAGCAGCCGATCAGGAGCAGCAGCAACAACAACAACAGCAACAACAACAACAACAGCAGCAGCAGCAGCAACAACAACAGCAGCAGCAGCAGCAACAGCAGCATAGCTTGAGATCGGCAGCTGAGTTGCTGGGCGCAAGCGTAGAGATGCTCGGCTGCCTCGGCAGCAGGGGCGCCATGCAGCGGATGCGGTCCGTGCTCACCGGCCGGTGTGTACGGCACGCGATGCTGGTGTACGGTATTGCAGATCTGTGCGCGGCGGACGGCGGCTCGTCGTACGGCCTGCCGCCGGAGCTGATGCGGCGCGTGCCTGTTGGGTATATTGGCGACGACGGCTGCGGCGGCGACGGCGGCGGGGCGGCACAGGGCTTACGGGTGGTCGACAGGACTACCGATGCTTCCATTGGCGGCGGCGGCGGCGGGGCTACGATGCAGGTCATCAACACTGACATCCTCCGTGCGGCGGTCAGGGTTCTTGTGCCCGGCTTAGCTGACTCGCCGCCCGGTAGGCGCGCTTCACTGCTGCTGGCGATGCGGATTGCTCGCCTGGCGGTGGGGTCGTGCCGATACTGGGCGGAGCGAGAGGGCGCAGGGCGGCCGCCGGCGGTGCCGCGACGCGCCGCTGGAAGTGCTGCCGGCGAAACCGCGGGTGGCATCTTCAGCCGAGACGGCAGCGGTGGCGCCGCCGCTGTTAGCAGCAGTGACGCCGCCGGCGCCGCCACTAGCAGCAGCAGTAGTAGTACCGCCTCGGCTGGCTGTGCCAGCGGCAGCTCCCAGCTGCACCCGAGCCCGGGCCGACCCGAGGTGGCGGTGCTCCGGGCTGTGGTGCCGCGGGATGAGGCAGCCGAACTGGCTGCGACGGCGCTGGCGATCTCACGGGCGCTTCGGACGCTGCGGGTGGGTTCGGCGCGGTGGTGGGCACAGGTGGTGGAGTGGTGGCGGATGGCGGAGGAGGTGGCGCGGCAGGGGCTGGTGAGTACGGCGGCGCTATGTGGTCAGGCGCAGATTTGGAAGTGCGAGGTTGCGTTGGAGCTTTCACAGCTGTCCCAAGACCTTCACGGTGAGCGCATACAGCGATACACGCGGAGAGAATGGCTGCCTTTGTGTGCATGACCGTACATAAGTGTTCTTCTTGGGGCGTTTGACAAGAAGCCTGGTACGACTGACGCCCGCGGTTCTGATCTTTCCTGTTGTTGCCGTCGTGCTTCGGGCTACCCGTTCATGATGCAGAATCTTAGGCGGCGTTGGTTCGGTATCCGTCTCTGAAGGGTATCAGTCGCACTTCCTCCCTGTCATGCAGATTCCGGTGGCTTTGAGCCCAACGCGCTGCAGCCCTCGCTTGTGGCAGCTCTTGCGGAGGGCTTGCTGCCCTGCCTGGAGTGGTGGTTGCGGCGCAGCGGTCAAGACCCCGCGGGAAACGTGGCCAGAACGCTGTCTACACGCAGTGCAGTCGGGCTGAACGATCTCCTTCCGCTGCTGCTGCGGCACGCGCAGCCGCGACAGGCAGCGTCACTGGTCGCCACGCTGGGCAAGCTGCTGCGCGGTATTGACCCACGGGTCATACTGGGCGATGAACCCGGTCCGGCGGAGGCGTTCCAGGGGGGTGTGCTGAGGCTTATGCTGTGCGTGCTGGCATCGCTGTCCTGGGCCCCATTGCGGGCGGGGTCGGAGGTGGCGGAGCCTGCAGGGCCGTCGGCTGAAGCGGAGAGTGCTGTGGCGCCGGACGCAACGGACCCTCCGGCAGCAGTGCGCGCTCCTCTTCTGTCGTACACTGTGTACGGATGCCTCCCGGTGCTGTCACGGCTGCTGCAGGAAGCTGTACAGCACAAGATCCAGCAGACGCTGCTAGGCAGCGCCAGCAGCAGCAACAGCAGCGCCTCCGCTGCTCCACCATCGGGGCTGGAGCCTGGGGCTGGGATGGATATGATGACGGTGTTCTGCATGGAGCATGTCCTTTCCCTCCTATCCTGCCTACTGCAACGGTGCTGGGACAGCCTTGGCGGCAGCGGCGGAGGCGGTGGGGAAGGCATGGAGACAGGAACTGCCGCCGCGGCGGCGGGGGCAACGGCAACGGCGGCGGTGGGCAAGCGTTCCGGCGCTGACGGCAACGGCGGCTACAGCTGCTGGCGGCGTGTGGTGCTGTACGACATGGGTGCGGTGCCGCTGCTGGGCGCTGCGATGCAGCTGCTGCAGGCTCAGCTGCTGCCTGACACGTTGGTCCGGCTCCTGGCTTTCAACTGCTGCGCGCTGGCGGCGGTGTGCCCGCAGGAGGTACGGCAGGCGGCGGTGGCGGCGGCGGCAGGAGCCACCCAGGGCGAGATGGCGCCGGGGGGCAGCGGCGCCACCGCAGGGGTGAGCCCGGGGCTGTCGCCCTCGCAGCAGGCATGGTGTCCGGAAGCACTTCGTGTGATGGCGCTCGAGCTGCGTGCACAGGGCAGGTTAGCGCTGTCGGGCGGTGTGGAGGCGTTGGCGACGCAGCTGGAGGAGTGGCGTGGCGGCGGCGCCAGCGGCAGCGGCGTGATTGAGGGTGGTGGGGAGCAGTGCATGGCTGAGTTGCGATCGGAGCTGACGTCTCGGTCGGTTGCGGTGGCTCGTGCACTGGTGCCGCCGGCGGAGGCTCGCGCCCAGCTGCAGCTGCCTCGGAGCTGCGCCAATCCCGGCTGCGTCAACCTGGCCGGGGTGAGTGAGGCGGAGCTGCCGCTGCAGGCGTGCGGGCGGTGTGGAAGGGTGTCTTACTGCAGCCGAGAATGTCAAACGGCGCATTGGCGGGCGGGACACCGGGAGCAGTGCTGCGGGCGACGGAAGGGTTAGGGGACGGGGCGCATGGGAGGCGGAGACTGGTTGGGGCGGGGAAGGGGCCAGGGAGGGAAGGTAATGCGGTGGTACACTGGAGTGGAGGGGCAGGACCCCGCAGGAGTATGGATGGATACAACCGAGGATGTGTACGTCCTTAAGAGCGGTATGGCTGGTTGGTAGGGCACATGGAGGCAAGGAGTTGCGGTGGGCAGGTTGTGGACGGGCGGATGGCTAGGAAGATGTTCCAGCGGCCAGGCTGGGTTGCGAGCTGAGGAGACGGGTACGGTTCGGAAACGGTGTGCTGACGAGCGGCATGCTTGCAACTCCTCAAGGCGTGATGTGGCCTGCGTACCGGAACGATGGTCATCAGCAGGAGGATGGCTCGTGTACTGGGTGGTTAAGTGGCCACGTACGTGCTGTAAGTTGGGGGTGTGTAAGTTGCTACTGCTGTGCGGTGCATGTTGCTGAATGTCATTGCAATGCTTGCTTCGGGCGACCTGTAATCCTGCTGCCTTACGGGCCCCGGGACTTAAGACAGGGAAACATGTCGGCTGCCGTTATTCATTAAAATAGACGGGCCGGAAACGAAATCGGTTGGATGAACAACGTAGGTGTTGTGAATGCTGCTAATCTCTCGACTCGATAAAGATACTGTCATTCCAGCCTAAGACAACATCATGCCAAAGGTTAGGTGGTGTTGAAAAACACCGGAAATTGAAAGGATACGATATCTGCTGCATTTACGCCGACGTGAACTTGGTCACCGCCTTGGTGCCCTCCGACACCGCGTGCTTGGCCAGCTCGCCGGGCAGCACCAGGCGCACGGCAGTCTGGATTTCGCGGCTGGTCAGCGTGGGCTTCTTGCTGTACTTGCTGAGCTTGCTGGCCTCGGAAGCAATGCGGTCGAACAGGTCGGTCACCAGAGAGGTCATGATGGACATGGCCTTGCTGCTGATGCCGGTGTCGGGGTGGACCTGCTTGAGCACCTTGTAGATGTAGAGCTTGTAGGTCTCCGCCTTTGACACCTTGGCCTTCTTCTTGGCAGCCTTCTCGCCGCCCTCAGCAGCAGCGGGCTCCTTGGCGGCCTTCTTGGCAGGCGCCTTCTTCTCCTTCTTGGGGGCCTTCTCGGCCTTAGGCTTGGCCTCAGCCTTCGGCTCAGCAGCCTCGGGCTGGGTCGCGGGCTTCTCCTCCTTCTTGGGGGCCATGATTACCGGTAAGAGTTAAAAATATTTGTGGTAGAATTATCTTATATTATTAATTATGTTGTGTGGTGAATATACAAGAAGCTCAGAGAACCTTATATCCCGGTCAATGTTCCCGCCGACCGTGCGCTCGGCAAACGGTTAACGGTTGCCCCGGTGACCCTCGGTTGCAGGTGCTTGCTCAGCTGATTTCGACCAACTACGTTTGGTTATTGTGGCTGTGCCGGAGAAAAACGTGCGAGGGAGACCGAGGTCCATGACACACCTGCTGCCAAACATGTCCGCATTTCCAACCCAACAATGTCTCTTAACTACCTGCATGGTTTCAGCGACCCCTGACTAGGTGTGTACACGAAACATACATAAAATTTCAATGCTTTAACTTCGCTTACAGCAGCAGAAAGAATCTGCAACATCCCTCGCCACATCCCATCTGGCCCAAGCATATCAGGCAGTCTCTTATGTATCGCAGGTTCATCAGTAACGCCTATGCACAACACGTATTATACACCCAATGTGAGGCGTTTCCATTGTACAGGCCCCCATTGCACATGCTGAGGCTTCCCCTTGGGCCAACGCGGGAGAGATGCCAGTATGTATTAAGGTACCACAATAAGCAGCATTCCACCGAGTAGTTGGCCCAGGCTGCCAGCCCTCCGACGAGGTTGGATTCCGCTATGGCAACACCGCTTGGCTGCCAATGCTAGCCTCCCGTGCTTCCCTCAAAGTTGCCTCTCGAGAGCCCTGCGGGTGATGACGTAGGGTGCCCGTCGCGCTCGGAAAGCCAAGCAGAGGGAGCATTGGACGCAGACACGCATACGTATGCTAAGTCAGTCCAGGCTTGCGGGCTATGCGGCGTAAAGGAAATCCCGTACCCAAGAGCTCGGTAGGCAGCATCCATGTCCTCCCGCATGGTGCGCAACTCCGACGCCACCTCACGACCAGCCCCTTTCAACGTGACAAGCACACGTTCCAACGCATCGTTGCAATTGTGTAGACGTTCTCGTACGCTGCGAAGCTTTCCTAACCTGCGAAACCCAAGCGAGCAAGACCGACCCATTAATGCCGCGAAGGGAGCCTCCTCTCACCATCCATAAGGTCTCGGTTATCAATTGTCACCTCCATAGCCCGTCTCACGCTAACAGTTGCTCTTGCTGCACGGCTTGCAGTGTCTCAGCAAAGGACTCCCGCTGGACGACAGGTGGAGGTTGAAGATCAGCCATGAAGATCAGCCGAGTTATGTTAAAAAGGTCCTCTACCCTTACACCCGCGTTTAAGGTGTTGCTGGTATTCCGGCAACTTGCCATCCAACGAGCCTGTACGGTGGATCGAGTCGGAGCCATGTGACAGTATGCCTGCTCTTCCACTCACAATCATATGGTGCATTAGTTCTGCTTGAACACGTTTCTATCTGTTATTATAAGGGATGAAGACAACTAAGAGGGAAGCCCTAGCGTGGGCGAGAATGCTGTCCCTGGCTGTCGCATTATCAGTCCTACTGACATGCTGCGCGGCGCAAACGTTAGACGTTGATGGCGATAAGATTGTCGAAGTGGTGGGTCCCTGCTTAGCTCGTCCCAGTAGTCTTGCCATGTAAGCCCTAGATGTCGGTACCAGCCACCGTTCACTTCTTAACTGATAATCCGTATTTAATGCGTCCAACGCAGCTTACCAGGTTGGCCAACTTCTCGGATCACGAAAATCCGGCAGTCACTCGCATCCTTTTCACGCCCAACGACATGCTGGCCCGCAAGTAAGTCTTGTCCCACAATTCCGCCTGCCCTCCATCACTCCTTTCCCGTAATTTGTGCCTAGCCTCATACTGTTGCCTTCAACAACGGGTATGCTCTTAGCACTCCTCCTTGTACACCTGCCGTACCTTGACGGTTAACGCCCTCAGATTTGTGAAGGACCTCATGCGGGAGGCAAACCTGGTCATCAGGTAAGGCGCAACTCGATCACTTAGGTTGCCAACACTCAATACAATTCCACGAAACCCCTAATCTCCTACCCACATACCTACGCGCCTATCTATCCTTTGACTACTTTCACGCCCCCGTGCCGCAAACGGCACCTCCGAAGCAAAGGCGTCCCTAAGCCCAGAGGTCCCTGTCTTCACCACCTTATCTTAACCGCAACCGCATCTAACCAAGCAACCATGCCCTCCCTCCTCCTTCCTTCCCCTCCAGGGAAGACCCCATGGGCAACATCTTCGGGCGCTGGGAGGGCAGCGACCCCACAGCCCCTGTGGTGCTCACTGGATCGCACACGGACGCAATCCCGCAAGCCGGTGGGTCGGTGGGTCGCAACTCGCAAGGGGGAGGGACGAAGGCGAGGACAAAATGTGGGGGTTTAGGTTGTGTCAAGTTGCATGGTACGGGTACTACCGGTAACCGACATGCCATACCTGCTACCTAGGTCTGGTACACCTCTAACAGTAGTGCCGGACAACTGTACAGCATGTGGCATGACTCCTGCAACGCAGTAGTTATGTATACACCGCGTGTGAAAGAAGCGCCATGAGCTGTGTACGACATGTGTGCCGTACAAACACGCACACGCACACAGGCATGTACGACGGCACGGTGGGGGTTATTGGAGCCATTGAGGCGGTGGCGGCTCTGCAGCGGGCGGTGCGTGGGGCGGGGGGATGCTGGTGGGGTGGGATTGGGGGTTTGGATGGGGAGAAAGGGGAAGGTATTGGGTTCAGCGTTGCATGCATGGTTAAGGATTGGGTCCGGCTGCGCTGCCATTGCATCCTACCCCCAACCCGCCTCCTTCCCTGCTTAGTCCTTTTCCCGTACGCTCGTCCCTGTGCCCCAGAGCACACTGCCATTACGCCACGCCAACGTGCCAAACACAAGCCGTTCCTCTCTTTCTCCCCCCATTTCTCCCCTTCCTTCCCCTTTTCGCCCCCTTCCTCAGGGTTTCCGCCCCGCCCGCCCCCTTGAGGTGCTCATGTTCTCCTCCGAGGAGCCCACCCGCTTCGGGCTGTCCTGCAGCGGCAGCCGGGCGCTGGCGGGGGCGCTGCGGGAGGAGGAGCTGGAGGGGCGGAGGGACGCGGAGGGGCGGCACTACCTGCAGGTATGGGGACTAAGGAGGAAAGAGCTAACGAACCGTGCGAAAAGGCGTCATGCTTGTTTGCAATATCATGTGAGTCTCCCCGACCCGCCCAGCCCGAATCAGCCAAGGCAGTACGGTCAACCCAGTAGGTGTGGGATGGCTGCCGTACTACGGGCGGAGGGCGGGGCGCTGTGTGTAGGGTTATAGTCGCAATGGATTGGATTGGCGCGGGATGCCGCGGGATGGTCGGAGGTAGGGGGTCTACAGCGGGCGGGCAGGGGCAGTAAGGGCATGTTGGGAGGGAAAGGGGTGAAGGGCTTCATGCCACACACGTGCTTGAGTAGGCCAAGCGTGTGGGGTTGGGCATGAGTGCACGACCCAACCCCCCCCCCCAAACCTCTTCCCCTCCGCCCCCCCCCCCAGGTCGCCAACGAGGTGGGCTACGGCGCCGCCTCCACCTCCCAGCTGCTGGCCACCAGCCGGCTGCCCCCGGGGGCGGTGGCGCACTTTGTGGAGCTGCACATTGAGCAGGGTGCGAGCGGGGGGGGGATGGTGGACGGGGAGGGGGGCGAGGCGTGTTGGGTAGCAGTAGTGTGCATCAAACCTGCTGACCTGCACCTTGCACGAATACCGGTACACAAATATGCAATCCTCCTGCCGCAGCGTACCTATTTCTTCTTCCTCTGCCGCCGCCCCTCTTCTCTTCCGCCCCTCACGTCCCCCCTCTCACGCCCCCCTCCCTCCCCACCCAGGCCCCCTGTTGGAGCGCGAGGGGGTGTCCATCGGAGTGGTCACCGCCATCGCCGCCCCCTCGGCCCTGGAGGTGGTGTTTGCCGGGGAGGGGGGGCATGCGGGCGGCCAGCTGATGCCCGACAGGTGGGGGGAGGGAGGGAAGGCGTGACAGGTGGGGGAGGGAGGCGTGACAGGTGGGGATTAGAGGGGAATCACGTCACGGGGTACGGGGACAGGTGTGGGAAGTGGGAGGGGGAGGTAGGGAAGAGGCGGTGTGGAGATTGATGCATGGACGGAGGAAAAGAGAGAGGCAGGAAGCTGTCAAGGCCTGGACGCTAACCAACCAGCCAATCCAACCCCAAACCTCCAACTCCAAACCCACTTGGTGCCACACCCTTGTTATCCTCCTCCTCCTTCTCCTCCTCATCGTCATCGTCCTTACCCACACGCACATGCTCCCCACTCGCTCCGTACTCCACGACTAGCTACCTGCCTAATGCTGCCCCCTGCCACCGGCTACCATTACCTACCGATACCTCCCCAGGAACGACGCGGGCCTGGCGGGTGCTGAGCTGGCCCTAGCGGTTGAGGCTGCCGTACTTGCCACCGGGGCCGCAGACACTGTGGGCACCACGGGGACGTTCGAGGTGGCCCCGGGGGCCGTCAACTCGGTGCCTAGGGAGGCGCGACTGGGCATTGGTGGGTCGGGTTGGGTTGGGAGGGGCGGGTGGTGGTGTGTGGTGGTGAGGGGTGGGGATGGATGGTGGAGGTGGGTTGAGGGAGAGCGGTGTGAGAGGCATGGGGGCGAAGGAGGAGGAGAGGAGTGGAGGATGTTAGCACGTGTGTGCTAAACGAAATTGGTAAAGTGTCATGTGGGAGACTTCTTCCGGACCCATGGGTCGGTATGGTGTCGCGCTTTGATGGACACGGTGGATGTGCTTGCAGATATCCGCGACATTGACGGGCCGCGACGTGACGGAGTGGTGGCGGCGGTGCTGGCGGCGGCACAGGAGATCGCGGAGAAGCGCAAGGTGGGGTTGGGATTTGGGAGGCGGACGGTAAGGTACCTCCGTCGGCTTCCACCATGTAGGAAGGGGGTGGCACAGTCGGCTTGCGTTGGCATGCAGGGGCATGCCAAGAGTACCTGTATACGGTTACGCCGACCCTCGTCGCCATTACCACAATCCAGCAGCACCAATGCGTCACTGCGTTCTCTCTTCTTTGACGTACATGTTTTGGAAGCCGTACAGTGCGGCCTCTGCCCCCCACCTTACACTCACCCACCCCACCCCTCATCTTTACCCCACCCCTGTGTCCAGGTCCGCCTGTCCAGTCGTGTTCTCAACCAGGACCCGCCCGCCACCTGCCACCCGGACATAGTGGAGGCGGTGGCGGGGGCGGCGCAGCAGCTGGGGCTGGCCAGCAGGCGCCTGGTGTCGCGAGCCTACCATGATGCGTTGTTCATGGCCAGGTGTGGGGCGCATACAGGCATACTGGGTAGAGAGGAACCGGTGGGGAACACAGAGGAACCAAACCATGTAGAACATGCACATGTTGGTGAAATGCAGAGGTGGAGTGCAGGGGACAGGTCATGGGGGATGCGGGTAGTTGTGGGGGATGGTACGGAGGACAGATGGGGGTGCAGCATGCATGGGGCGTTGTGGATCTATCTCCAGGTTTGAGGTGCCGTGCCGTGCCACCTATCGCGCTTGTTGTTCGTGCGCTGCTGGCTGTCCTAGCTTGTATGAGCTAGCTGGTTCCTGTACTGTACTTTCCAAACCCTCCCCAACCGCTTCGCTTGTTTCCCCTCCCGCATGTTTACCCGCACGGTTCACGCGCGGGCAAAACCGGTTGATGCCCTGTTAACCCCCCCCCCTCTCCCCCTCCATCACCTCCATCCCTCCCCCACCTCCCTCCCTCCTTGGCTCGCAGGGTGGCCCCCACGGGCATGATCTTCATCCCCTGCCGCAACGGCTGGAGCCACCGGCCCGACGAGTTCGCCTCGCCCGCCGACATCGCCAACGGGGTGCGGGTGCTGGCGCTGACACTGGCGCGGTTGGCGGGCGGGGAGTGGGCCAAGAGCGAGCTGTGAGGGGGGCGGAGCACGTGGAGATGGAGATGTGGTTGTGAGCTTGTAACCTCTGTGAGGAAAGGGGTTGTGCATGGACGGATGGATGGAAGGTGTCAATGCGTCCGGCTGGCTGGATGGGGATGTGGGTGAGCTAAGGAGAGAGCTGCGAGGGGGTGGCGGGGCGTTGTGTGGGTTAGATACAAAAGGTGTGGGACAGGTGGATGCAGGGATGTGGGTTGATTCCGGTTGGTTCCGGTCGTTGTGCTGGGGCTTCTTGACGTGCGGGGTGTGTGGCGGCGGCAGCCGACGACCCGCCATGTGTTTAATAACTGTGCTAGGGAGGGGGGGCGTGGTGCTGAGTTGTGCGCTAGGGGACTGTAACGCTGAACCGGGTATGTATGTTAGGGCGGGCATTGTAATACCGGTACTACTAGGATAGCTGTTGCTTTGCTGGGGGAATGCGGAACACTTGTGCATTTCCAGGTTGAGGATGTTTCCAGATGTTGGGGAAAATGTAGATAAGTGCATTAACGGAGTCCTAATCCCGAATCCCGACTCATGCAGTGAGCGCATTCGGAGACCCTATTCTAGAAACACGCAACTCAGAGACTTGTTGGGGGCGGGGGCGTTCAATTGGGTGTGATCAGCAGCTCATGAGGGTGGCTTGCCTGCATGCATGCTTGTGGTTGGGGTTCTGTGGTGCTGTGCGGTTGAATATCGGCAGCTAGCTTCCCTAAGATGTGATTGGAAGGTTGCGACTTGTAGGGGAGGGCCTGCAGTGTCCTGTGCTCCGACCGCGTTAGGAAGGAGGATACTAAGCTGCGGAAGCTTTACCATGTAAACTGCCATGAAAGCACCCAGCGACTCCTACCAAGCTACAAGCACAATTGTTGAGTTTATTGCGAACACCGCCGCAGCTCTTCTTCTCACCCTCTTCTACTCCCTGTCCAGCTGGGAAAGCACGCTAGGCAAGGACGCAGCAAGGTTGGGCGGGTCAGGTACTTGGCATCGGGGATGTGGGGTCAGGTTCGTAGCAATAACGGCGACGGCAGGCGTGTAGATGCATCTAGGTTGCGAGTGCGGCGAGGGCGAGGCTAGTCTCCCTGCAAATGCCGTCTACCGCGACTACTCGCTACATGTACGAGTGGGCCGAGAACCCGAGATGTTGCCGAGAAGCCGACCAAGCAATTCATTCATGCAGCAAAATTGCAACACAAGGTAGTTCAGGCAACACCCTATACTCAACAAGATACCTCCCTGCCCAGGCATCTACATTTATTCGCCTGCGCGGACCACCAGAACGAAATTTGGCTGACGAGCGAGACGAATCGAAGGGTCGCTCGCCAGCATCGCTTTACTCTACTTCCCTCTGCTTCTCTTGGCTTTCCATGTATGTTTTACTCCCTTAAAACACTATTGTTTTACTATGTTGATTACTAAATCCTACAAACAGAACAAGCATTATCCTACAAAAGTGATAAACCAGTATCCGTCGAAAAGCCAGTCTAGCCGCAACGGGTGGCCTGATGGAGCCCCGCGGAAAAGCTCCTTGCCCGGTCAACCGCCAGCGGCAGCAGCAACACCTCCACGTTCACATTGCGGACGATGTGCTCCGCAAACTTGATGTCAAGGCTCAGGACCTCTTCTTTGACAAGCTTCGGAGCCTGGGTTGTCTAGGTGCGGCCCGCGGTGCTTGTCGCGGCCTGCGGGACGTGGTCGATGGCAGTCTGCGCGAAACGCTCCTGACCGTCGGGCCTTCGAAGGAGATAAGGGAGAAGAAGAAGAACGATGCGGTAACTGCTGCGGCAGCTCCCTTCAGCGCGCTCAGCAAGCTCATGTTGATCCGCTGGCCCCGCTGCAAGGTGGACCTCAACTGGGTCCTGCGCGACACAGACACAGACCAGGCCAATTATTATAACACACACACAGGCACAGACACAGACTCGGCAGGCGAAGAAGAAGGCCTTTCTGCCCGCGAACAGGTTGCCTCCCTGGCGCTCGAGGTATCGGTACGACAACGCATCAGCCGCCTCACATTCAGCCAGCAGGTGGCGGCTGGAGTCAGGGGCATCGCCGACCTGGGTGACAACAACGTCGCGTTGCCTGAAGAAGTGCCTGCGGTCGTGGGGGCGCTTGTACCGCAACTGCCTGCTCTACGGGAACTGGATCTCAGTGGGTTGCCCGAATCGTACGATTACACTCGGCTGTACGGCACCCTAGCAGGCTGTGCTCCGCCCCAACTGGAGCGGTTGGTGCTGCCGGGCCTGCGTGCGCTCGCGGGTTTGGAGGCGCTTGGCAGGGCAGCCGCGGCATCGGCTGGGGATGACAAGGGTAGCAGCAGCAGCAGCAGCAGTGGGGTGGGTAGTGGCTGCGGTGGCCGCGGCGGTGGCAGCAACGAGGGTTGCGGTCTGGCATGCCTGGTGGTGCGGGAGGTTGTGTATCAGCACAGGGAAGGAGTGTCGGGAACGCAGGCGGCTGTTCTGGGGGAGGCGCAGCTAGCGGGGGCGGTTGCCAGGGCCATCTGCTCCCTGTCACACTTGCGGACGCTGCGGGAGCTCCACCTGGAGGGCTGCAGGCTGCAGTACGGCGGCCATGCAGCAGGACCCGCCGGGCAGGCCGGCAACATGGACGGCCCTTCCTTCTGCGCCCTGAAGGTCCTGGTCCCCAACCTGCCCCCTTCCCTGCAGCTGCTGAGGCTGCGGGAGTGCTGGGTGCGATGGTCGAGACGGTCGCCTTGCTCGCTAGTGGACGCCTGCGTGCGTTACGGCACCAGCAACGCCAGCGGCTGTGTTACCAGCGTTGAAGTAGCGGGGTTGCAAGCCAAGTCGCTGGGGTTGCTGGGGAAGTCGTGCGGGGATCGGTTCGGCCTGCTGCCGTGTCTCCTGCTGGAACGTCAAGAACAGCAGCAGCAGCGGTTGCAGTTGCGAAGGGAGCTGCCGCTGCTGACTGTGAATACGGAGGAGTTGCACATCGGTCAAGGCTGTGCGTCGCGCCTTCGAGGGATCCAGCAGTGCTTTGCGCGGGTGCGACCCATGGGTCATAGCTGGTATGTGGACGCGGGCGCCTCATATGAGGATGTGGCTATGGCGGTGGAGGTGTGCGGGGGGCCGCCGGAATGGCTGCGCCTGCGGCTGTGGCCATTCGGGAATGACCTTGGCCTTCGCGTGGCAAGGGAGGGGAGCAAGCAGCAGGGTCGGCAGCAGGAGGAGGAGCGGCAGGAGCAGCTGCGGCGGCAACGGCATCGCCAGCAGCGATCCGTAGCTTCTGGAACAGCAGCCGTATGGTTGGCAAGAGCTCTTTTGGGTGAAGGTAGAAGGTGGCAGCAGCAGCAGCAAGCGGATGATGCGGCAGAGGAGGAGGGGCAGCAGGAGGAGGCGCCGACAGTACGGCAGCTAGCGGAGCTCGCCCTAGCGCGCTTGACGGGCCCTGCGGTGGAGAGGGCCTTACTGAGGGGCGATGCGGTCTCGGCCTGGCAGGATGCATGTAAGTGTGAATGGGACTGCAAATCAGCGGCTTCGGCTGTCCCGAACGTGCTCGTGCTGCAGGGGCCCTTCGTGACCCATGGGTCAGCCGCAATCCGGCAATGCCTACTGGGACTCAAGGGTGTACGGTTCCAGGAGATTCCCTTTGCTGAGGCCGTCATTGTGGCATGTGGCGGTGAGGAGGAGGCGGGGCCTGCGGGGGAGGGGTCGGAGGCAGCGGCGAGTGCGCGTGCGGGTGCTGCTGAGGTGGTGGCGGGCGTGTCAGCGCTGGCTCGGGAGGCCGGAGAGGCGGCGCTGCTGCACGGGGCAGGGGTGAAGGTGGATGCTGAGGTGAAGGCGGAGGTAAAGGAGGTGGCGGAGGAGGGGTCTGGCAGCGCCGCGGCTACCTCAGCCTCCGGCGTGCCAGTGCAGCCGCAGGGCGAGAAGACCTGCCCGCGACACGTCTTCCTGGCCGCCGTTCGACAGGTAGGCCAGGGTGGGGGCTGAGGCCCAGGTGGCCAAGCTGGATCCCGCCATGAGTGTACGGCAGTGTACGGCCAGTCGTATCGTGTCGTACTCGCGTATGCCCGCCTGGCTGTCTGCTGGGATCAGGTGCTCCCATTCACCACACACAGCACAGAACCTTGGCCACCCGTCATCACACATGGGCTGGAGGCCCTGCAGGAAATGAAGACGCATGTGCACCTGCCAGCATCCGCATGCTCCTTGCACCTTAACGCCGGCCCCTGCATCGGATGCACGAAAGCGCATCGAAACTGCATAGCTTATCACGCCCGCTAACCCCTTTCTCCCGTTCGTGGCACACCATACGCTACATAACACTCCCCGCTGCTCCCTGATCCCTTCCCTTCCCTTCCTCAGGTAGTTCAAGAGGTGTGGGACGCAGCTGCCTCACAGGCTGCCTCCGCAGCTGCCTCCGCAGCAGCCGCAGCAGGAACAAGACCCGGAACAGGAGGAGGAGGCGGCTGCAGCGGACAGCAGCAGCAGCAGGGGGCGGGGGACATGGGCTTCCGGCGGCGGATGGAGTGGCTGCTGGATATGCGGGAGGGGCTGCGTGAGGGGCTGCCGCCGCTGCAGCGGGCGGGGGGTGCCGCTGAGGTGCGGGACGGCGAGGCGGAGCATTAGGGAAGCGGGGCGGGCCGGGGGAATGGGTGCACTCCTCTTGGTGGTGGCAGGGAAGGTGGGGGCCAGGAGGTGGTAGGCGGTCCGGAGGTGCGCTCAGCACTGCACCCTAGAGGGGTATGGAGGTGGTCCCGAGCGGAAGGTGGTCAGAGTTAAACATGGAAGGCAATGGTATACAGCCAGGAACATGGTGGTGATGTCTGAGCTTGGGAGCCAGAAACCCGGGATGTTGTAATGAGGAGGTGCAATGAGGGCGAACAGAGATTGCAAACGTCGGAAAGCGAGTAGGTGACAGGTTGTTGTTGTTACCCCCAAACGTTGTCTTAAGAGCTTGCAGGGTGCGGGTAGCCTTTTGGTAGCCCTTTGGCTGGTTGATTTGAGAGGTTCTAACGGTAGCGCAAGCAGGGGGCCGCATGCACGTAGCAAATGAGGGAGGAAAGGGGCAAGGGCGGCTGCCAGACGAAGGCGGTTGGCCAAGCGGGCTGCTGCGGGGTAACGAACCGAATGCAAAGGAAAGAAGACCCCGCGGGGCCAGCAGCCATGTGTGCCATGATGGCACCCATTCAACGGGAGCAGCGGGGCCGCAAGAACCACCTTGAACCCCATGAGGCCTTATCACGATGGGTATGAAGAGGGGTTCTCCAGTGGGATGCGAAGGCAGCAGACCGTGCAAGCAAGACCTTGTTGCGGACACCGAGGAAACAGTACCGCCGAGCACACCACCTAAATCAGCCATATCTGGGCACCCGGTTGGTTGTACACACTGCCTGACACACGTGAATGTTGTGTGGCATGCAGGGCAGTACTGAATACGGCACTGTTTGTTGGAAAGCATACGCATGGTACCCGTACAGACTGCGCCTATCGGTATATCTCTTTTCATTTCAGCATGCCAGCAACAGAAACAAAGCCCCCCCTTGCAAGCTGTCCCCAACCAAACCAGGGTCGCTGGCATTAGGGGTTTGCTTCCCTCCTGCAGACACACCAGAAGCACCGCACGCGCTACCCTGAGAGCTGACAGCACATGTATGCCAGGAAAACACACAATCACCCGGTCACTCCAAGGCAGGACCCCCGTGGACCCTCCAACGAACTGCCCCCCTTGTATCCCTAACCAACCGGTAGTGCCAGTTATGATCGTCCTCCTACTTTCTGGCCCACTCGCCAAGTCCTCCTGAACTCCAGAAGTCATTACTATTCTGCCTCCAGAGTCCCTCTCATGGAATGCCCCAGCATAGCATCTTGCATTGGCTAACAGCAGCACACGTCTCCCCGAATTGGAAGGCTCCAACTTGATAAAGCCGACGCATGCTGCCCAGCCAAACACGACGTGACAAACAATGCAGATGCAGATGACCTAGTCCCGAGTATTAGGGAAAGAATTAACAGCCGAACGCGCCCCCACAGTAATAGGCTATGCACATGAATCCCTCACAGCCACAGCCACAATCCAACCTCCTGACAAACAGGCCTAGACACGCTAACAAACACTCAATGCTGCGCAAACCACGCGCAACACCTATGCCTAGCGCACACACCCACTCTAAACGTTCATCCACCATTCCAAGTCAGTCCATGTCAGCCCGGACGCACATGACCCATGGGTCACGTTGCCCCCAGCAATGGCAGGTTTTCGTAAACGTAGATTCTGCCGCTAAAGCCAGCCACCACGAACAACGCGCCCAGCAGCGAGGGACTTGCGGAGGAGCGGGCAGCAGCAGCGGAGGCAGGCTGGGCGGCAGTGGAGCCGCCAGGCAGGAGACCCGCGGGTCGCTCCAGACCCCGACCCAGCCTGTGCGGAAGGGAGAGGGAGGAAGAGGTCAACGGCAACGATGCGAAGCCCTCAAGTACGCGTCCACCCTCCTGCAATGCCCTCGGCGTTAGTTGTAACCGTTAGTGGAATGGCCGCTCCTATCACGGTACGGTCGGTACCCCCGTGTCACACCCCAACCACCGTACCCTTACCGCCCCACCACCCCACACGCACCTGCACACTTCAGGCGCAAACACCGCCACCGTAGTCGTCTGTTCGGGCGTCTGAAACGCCTCGTACGTGCCCTCCTTCACCTTCATCTTGCCCGCCTTGCCACCGCCCTCCTTCCGCCCCCCGCCACCCCCTGCTGCGCCCAGGGATGCGCCCACACCACCTGAAGCGGCTGCCGTGACCCCTGCCGTCACCAGACCGCCGGCCGCGCTGGTGATTAGGGCTGCGTTGCTGCCGGCGCCGGGCCTGGACGGATGGCCTGGGTTGTTGAGTAGCAGGGAGGGAGAAGGAGGAGGCGGCAGGCCGGTTTCCCAGAGGTACACCCAGCCGTCGTCTGAGCCGCATATGAGGTGTTGGCAGCTGGGGGAGAGCGAGGCGGCGATCTGGGGTGGGAGGGAGGGTGAGGAAGGAGGGAGAGGGTAGCAGGGTAGCCGAGCGGTGAGTCGGTTGGGAGTCTTGGGGGCTGTGGCTTAGTATCGCTGACACGCGGCGAGCGCGCAATGCCGCCCAATGCGCTTGTATGGGGTTCGAGGGAGGGAGCGGCAGGGAGGACAAAGCCCCTGCGTGCCACTGCCGCTGCAAAGCCGCCTCTCGCCCTGACCCCTGCGGAGCCTTCTTCCCCGCCCTGTCCCGGCCCTTCTTTCCCCACCCGGCTCCCAACCGCATTACCGTTGTGTTAGAGTGCCGGTGTCCCTTGAACTTGCGTTCCTGGGGGTGGGCGCGAGCGGGTTGGGTGTCAGCGACCCGGTTGGGTGTTGGAAAGGCGGCAGGCGGGGCGGGAGTGGGATTGCACAAGAGGGACTTGAGGAGTTATGACGATGGGAGCAGGGGTTGTGGCAAGCGGACAGCCATACCGTTATGGGTATGGTTTTTGCATGGAGATAGGAGGGGTCTGATACATACAGAAAAACGCCCCATACCGTATCTACCGATAATAACAATACCGACAGTCGATATCTAAGCTTAATAATGCCCCCTTTAAAGTTATTAAATCCTTCGTAGGATACCCTTCCTTACCTGCGTGTACCCAACGAACAACCGAATCCGACTGTCCGCGCTCGTGATGACGTACAGTTGGTCGTTACCGTACTTGTACGGCACCTGAACCAGCCCCGTCACCTTGCGTCCGGATCCATGTGGGTTCTTAACGTCCAGCTGAGTCAGATACTCCAACGAACAACTGCCAACTGCCCCCATCGCACCGCTAACGACCCCACAACTGCTGCTGCTAACTCCATTTTGACTCCCGCTGCCACCGTTACAGCTATTGCTAGCAGTGTTGCCGATACTGTTGCCGGTCGAGGAGTTGTTACAACCCGCTGTGCAGTTGAGCTCGTAGTGCCGTGCCTTGCCGCGCAAGGTGCCCGCCACCACTCGGCTGCCGTCTGCTGAGAAGAGCACGCGAGTGGGCCAGTCCTGCTGCAGGGTGGCGCTACACAGCACGGAGCCGTCGGGGACACTCCACACGCGGATCTGGGGGCAGGGGAGGAGGGAAGATGGGGGCGGCAGAGTGCGTACGGCATAAGGAGTGCATAACCCATGGCCCGAGTCGGTTAAGGCTGCTGCAGTCCGATTAAAGTACCACAGTCCCTATATAGTGAAAATAGCAGAGCCGCCATTTGCAATTGGCTCATCGAGCAATCCAGCAAGAACACACCGCTCATCCGGAATACCCCCACCTTGCCACCTGCGCAGCTTGCAACTGACACCCACTTACGTTCCGACTCGCGGCCACTTTCCTTTACCCACAAACAGCCCATCGCCCCAGCAGAGATAGGATTCACTCAGCAACCATACAACCGTACTACTACGCCCACCGCTCCACAGCCCCCACCCACCCACCCACCTTGCCATCCGCGCAGCCCGTCACAATCCGCCGCGCGTCACTGGGATGGAAGCAGCAGCTGGTCACCAGGTCCGGATGTACGAATGACCGCAGGCACTCCCCACTCGGACCCACACCCGCCATCATGGAGGTAGCACCTCCTCCTGCTGCTGCTGCTGCTGCTCCTTCTCCCCCGCCTGCTCCGAAACAACCAGCTCCGCTACCACTGCCGCCACCACTGTATCTGCTAGTGCCGTACAACTGAGATCCAGATCCCGATCCTTCTCTACCCATGCCGTGCTCCTCCGTTCCTGCCGCTCCCGTTCCCCCTCCTGGTCCTCCATACCCGGATCTAGACCCGCCCCCGGGCATGGCTGCGTCTATGTGCCAGAGTCGCGCGGTCTGGTCGGCTGATGCGGTGAGCAGCAGGCGGCAGCGGCTCCACGAGAGGTCCAGCACGTCCCCGCTGTGGCCAGTGAGGCAGAGCAGCGGGCTCTCGGACAGCAGCGGGGGGCGCAAGGAGGAGGCGGAGGAGGAGGCGGTGTGGATGGAGGAGGAGGCGGAGGGGGTAGGGTGCGTGGTGGAGGAGGAGGCGGTGGTGGTGGTGGTGATGAAGGGTGAGGCGGTGTTGGGGAGGTGGTTGATGAGTTTTGACCTGTGGGGTGACGCGGGGCGGAGGGGGGAGGGGAGTGCTGAGAGAGGAGGGGCCGGCGGTTCGTGGAGGTTTAACAGCGCGGGGGGCCTTGTACCACACCAGGCAGGAGATCCAAGCTCCTCTTGGAGAGAGCCCCTAAGCCCCATGCATGCATGCAGCAGCGACCCCCCCAGCCCCCTTTCAAGAACCAAGACTCATCCCCCACTCAGCTCTCCCCTCAGCTCCCCCTCAGCTCTCCCTCAGCACCCCCCCAACCCCCACACCCCCCTGCCGCTCCCCTCACCTGCCTCCCCCGTACCAGTACACCGCCCACAGCCGCACTACGCCGTCCCGCCCCGCCGACGCCAGCAGGCGGCAGTCCGCGGAGAAGCGCAGCGCCCACACCGCCCCCTCGTGGCCCAGCACCTCCTGGACCATGCGCACCTGCGGGTGGGGGCGAAGGAGGGAGAGGGAGAGGAAGAGAGGTGTTCCAAGACGAGCGCATTTCCTCGTTTCAGTGCCCTTCCTGCCGAACAGGAGGCGTTCCTCGCCCCTGCCAACCCCTTCCCTCGCCAGCCTGCTAGGCAGCCAGCCAGCCTCTCCTCGCCCCTGCCCCCAACCCCACCTGCTGCAGCTGCCTGGCCGCCCCCCGCCTGCCGCCCGTCACCTTGGCGGCCTGGTTCAGCCAGGAGCGGGGCACCTGGGGAGTTGAGAGGAGGGGAGGGGACGTAAAACGGGAGGGTGGGGGAGGGCAGAGATGGTAGAGCGGAGGAGGGCAGGAACCCCAGGAAGCAGGGAGGACGTTGGCTCGCAGACGGCGGTGATGACTCGGCGTCCATGCTAAGGGGGTGCTGAGGGAGGCAGGTCGGGCGAGGAGCCAGGAGGCAGAGAGCGCGGGGCTCCCTAGCCCCCAGGGGCCCCGGGCAGGTGACACGTGCACACGTGGCGGGCACTGCGGTCCACCTGCCTCAACGCGTTGTGTTGCACCCTCGCCCACAGCCAGCAGCAAACCACCCGGCAGCCCCAAGCGTGCAGGCTATGTGCCCACATGCCTGCAGCAGCCGCACGCCTTCACCTTTTATGGCCTTCACCGCCGCCGCCTCCACCTCCATGCCGGCTCACCAGCACCTTCCTCCTTCCTTTATCCCCCTCCACCATCCCTCTCCCACCCTTCACTACCCCCGGCCCAGCCGCCCCTTCCTACATCCCCGCCACCCACCGGCACCGCCCTGCTGGAGGGCCCCGCCTCATCGTCCACCAGCAGCGGCACCCGCAGCTCCAGAGACATGCGACCCACGCCGTCATCTATGGGCAGCGGACCCAAAGCATGCGCTCCGGAACCAGAAGCAGATGCCCCCGAGGCGGATCCCCGGGTGACGGCGGCTCCACTGCTGCCGCCGCCGGCTCCCGCAGCAGCAGCAGCAGCAGCGTCCGAGTCGGAGGATGCTTGCCGGGCTAGCGCTGATGTGGCAGCAGCAGCTGCGGCGGCAGCGGCGGCGGCGGCGGTGGCGAAGCCAGATACAGGAGGCGTTGGCGATGGCCGATGTGTTGTCGGCGGCGGATGGGGAGGAAGACCCTGGCGTGAGGAGGAAGGCGCCGCTGACGCTGCTGCTGCTGGTGCCGCTGCTGTTGGCGGAGGCGGGGCTGGACTTGGAGCGCCTTGAAGCACCACAGACCCGCTGGTACCTTGTTTCGCCTGACCGCTGCCATGGCTGCTGCTGGTGGTGGCAGTGGTGGTGGTGGTGCTGCCTGACGCGACACTTGGTGGTGCAACCCCGCCTGCGTCTGTGCTGTTGCTGGCTAGGCTGCCCGTGCCGGTTGCGCACTGTGACCCATGGGTCGAGGGCTGCTGCTGTTGCTGCTGTTGCAGCTCCGGCGCCGCCTCTTGCACCTTGGGCGCAGCAGCAGCTGCTGGCAGCGGGAGACTGATAGGGCTGCCGAGACTGCCGCCGCCTGCGCTAGCGCCGCCACTTCCGCTTCCACCGCCGACCGCTTCAGGGGCGCTCAGTACGGCAGCGATACCGCTGCCGCTGACGCTGCTGGCTGCGATGCTGCCGCCATCGCCGACGCTGGATGTGGAGAGGGGTACGGCAGCCGCGGTGGGTGCTGTCCCCGCAGCTGCATGCACTGCGGCTGCTGCTGGGGCCCACCGGGCGGCTGTGGTGGCAGCAGTGGAGGTGGTTGCGGCAGAGAGGGATGAGGTGGTGCTGCTGGCGTCGTCATGGCTGGCGGCGGCAGCCCAGCCGCCGCTAACACCGCCTCCTAGGGGCTCCTGGGCGGCAGGAGAAGAGGGCAGTAGAGGGAGGGCAGAAGCTGTGAAGGAGCAACGGGGATCCGAGCAACGGGGAGGCAATACGGGAAGTGGTGACATGGCTTGGCAGGTCTGGTTTACCGTAGCTGGAAGAGCAATCCAGCGCTCAACCGCCACAGCTGTATGCATGTGTGCCCTACCATACCCACCCTAACACCTGGCTGGTTGTTTTAGCTGCTTTCTAGATCCAACCCATACCCATCCATGGTTGGATTTCCCTTCCTCCACACACCTTGGGGACCTCACCATCACCGACATGCGTCGTCAACACACCGCTCTTCTTACATCCAGCACCAGCTTTTTAAGCAGTTTTGCAATATAGTTCAGGTTTGGTGACCTCTGTTTATCCCTCTGTTTTGCTTGTACTTGCGGTTCACATGCGAACCTATCCCACCTGCTTGCTCTTGTTTACGCTCAACTACACACCTTGGGGACCTGCCGTTGCTGCGATTGGTGCTGCTTCCGCTCCTCGATCCTCTCCTCAATCCGCTCGATCCCCTCCTCTATTCGGTCACGGACATTGCTAATGGTGGTCTTGGCCCTAATGGATGGAGTGAGGAAACGTTGGAGGGGGTGAGCGAGAGACTAGCGGTGATGGAAAACCAGCTGCCCCCTACATGTCAATTGCCCCGTTACTGATCTGCTAAGGCATAGCCAATCCCGTCCTTGCTCTACGTCAAACCCGCATACTTACCAATTCTTCAGCTTCTTGGTCCCCTTCAGCCATGTTTTTGCACGTTTGCCGCTGACCTCACGAGGGTGGAACCCCTGCATTGCGCACATGGGACGAGGTCGTGGGCGTCAGCAGGTGCGGAACTGTTCAGATAGATGTTGAAGGGAAGAGGACTAGTAGTCATGGGTTGCCAGACAGCTCGTTAGGTCCCACCTCCTCGCCTATCGTGCCCGCCGGGTCGGCATGTTCATGCGCATGACGACCGCCAACAGGTGGCAGGCGCGAATCAAAGTCCTCTAGATCATACTCCTCTCCGGTATCAAGGTTCTTTATACGCATTCCTGTATCCTGTGCAGGAAGCCCATACCCTAACGCTTCCGAGGGTTCTCCGCCAGCACTAAATGATGTTTGCTGTGAAACATGGTCATCGTCTACAGAGCATGTTGATTCAGCCATCTAAAGGACGGTTCGCATGCTTGTCGTTCTCCTAGCCCTCGTTGACGAACTAGGTGGTTACAAAGGTCGATTAAGTATCAGTTAAACAAGTATTAGCAAAAATTCCAGCAGATTTAACGGAAGTATTCAGTCCTAGCCCACGAAGCAACTCGCATGTTTCGGCTTCGGGGCCTTCCCTTGCACAGCAGTTGACCATTGAAACTTGGAAGCATGCTTTGTATGACAAAGATACTGTCGGTTTTATGTAGGATATATTTTTGGGAACATATGTAGATCCAAGCGATAGCTCGGACAAAATGCGGACGCTGCACAGGACCGGGTGGACTTTAGCACGCTCCTGCTTTATGGCAGCATTAGCCCTGGTTGCTATCGTTAACGTGCTATACATCTGGCCAAAGGCGCCGGTGTCAGTCTCCGGGTTGAAGGCAACATCCGCAAACGGTCCCAAGGGGCGAAGCGGCCGTGGCAAGCAACAATACCGCAAGCAGCTAGCCGAGGGGAAACAGACTAGCAACATTTTGGCTTCCCACGCGACAGCGAAGGCTACTGCCTTGTTGGCGGCCCCGCTGACGGTCCATCTTCATTGTCAGGATAAGGAGCCCGACTGCGAACAACAGTAAGTTGCAGCCCCCTGCTGAGTATTCACGCTTGCACACCAATGCAAACATGCTTGGAACGTGCAGTGTCTTGTTTTGGAAGGGCCCCATGGTGTAATTGTAACCCCTATTCCGTACTATCCTTGCTGTGAGTCTAGCCGTAATCGGTCATCCATTGTATCCATGGCTCCCTAATCGAAGTCAGCGTTGCATGAGTCCTGACCTCCTGCCCTGGTTTTTCCCTCCACAGGCGCTATGCCGGCAAATGCAGCACCCAGCTGTTTCAAGGCCTCCACACCTGCATGGTGAGAGGATAAAACCACCTGCGGGAGGGGCTGCTACTTTGCACCACAATGCCTCCATGTTTAGGTACCGGTAGTGATGGCAGCCCTAGCACATTTCACACCTAGATTTGAATGATGTTGAGCGTTAGGCAACCCGCTGAAGGCATGGGGCTCCGTCCAGCGCCTGTACCGGTATCAGGACCATCCGGTTGCGGTTGGGCTAGTCCACATCTTACCTCAGCGACCGTCCTAAGCACAGCGTCTGCTCTTGAGGCATGCCAGCAATCCCTACGCAGGGCCTTCCCTCCACCATGCTCCCTCCATCGTCCCCGCACCCCCCTGCAGGCATCATGCGCCTTGTGTCCTGCTCTGGAGCTGGCGGTTCGAACCTCCCTCAACCTCACCTCGCAGCAACTGGAGATCCAAATTACGGCAACGACCAACTCCGCAACCCCAACCAAATCCACGACCTCTACAACCAAACCCAACGCCGCCAACGACGATGCCGGCTGCTTCGACGCAGCCGATGCGTGTGACCAGTGGGCCCGCAGTGACCCACGGGTCTGCCAGCGCCTGCTGGCCGGGCAGGACCTGCAGCGCTGGTGGTGGGTGGCGGTAGCGTGCAGGCGCACGTGCGGGCTGTGCGGTGAGGACGGCAGCAGCAGCACTCCTACCACCACAGCTGCCGCATCCTCATCTGAACTCCGCAAGAAGGAGGAGGAGGAGGAGCAGAATGAGGGCGGAGCGAAGGCAGCAGCAGCGGAGGAGGGGGGTGGAGGGGCAGCAGGCGTCCCTATGTTGGACGCGGGGATCCGGGCGCGGGTGCATGTGCAGGTTGGGGAGGGTGCGGACGGCTCTCCGCGTGTGGCGGTGTTTGAGGAGGTGCCCCCGCAGCCGGGGGCGTGTGTGGATAAGCAGGTGAGGTTGCAGGTTGGGAGGGGGCAGGTTGGGTAGGAAGGAGAATAGCAGGATACCGTAAGCGGATAGTAAGGCGACATAGGACTAGGACATCGGCTTGTACATTTACTAGCACCCTCCCTCTTCGCTGCCATGCCTTTGCTAAACCTCCTCGCAACTCCCTGCCGCTGCCCCTCCCTCCGCCGCCCTCTCTCCTCCTCCTCCTCCTCTGTCCATCTGCCTTCAGGCCGGGTGCCGTGAGTGGGCTGCGGGTGGCGAGTGCGGCGGCAATCCGGGCTTCATGTCCGCCGCCTGCCCCGCCGCCTGCCACACCTGCCCGCAGAGGGTCAACCTGCCGCACCCCCTGGCGCGGGTAGGGGAGATGGGACGTAGTTATCGGCGTGGGCCGGGAAAACGAAGAAGAGAGAGAAATGGCGAGCATAGGAATTGGTCACTGCACCTACCTTACCTGCACTACTGCGCCTTCTCCTGCCACCACGCAACTGACCCATCCCTAATATCTCTCCCTATGTGTCTGCTTCGCCGTCTGCTGCCTGTTATCTGCTGCCCCACCTCTGATGTTGCCTCTGTCCCGTGCAGGTGCGGCTGAGCAACGGTGTCCTGATGCCGGCGGTGGGGTACGGGTGCGCGGGGCTGGGTGAGGCCACCCGCACCACGGTGGGCTGGGCGCTGCGGGCGGGGTACCGCCACCTGGACAGCGCGCAGGTGGGGGGGGCGGGCTGGGGGGTGAGGGACTGGGGGGGGAAGAATTGAAGTAGAGTGCCAACCAGACTAGGGGACCAGGGATTAGGGGGGGATTTTATATAGTAAGTGCAAACAACAACTAGAGTCCCAATCCCTCTAGGGGACTAGGGACTGGGGGAAGGGAGGGGGGTGGGGTTGGGGGCTTGGATGGGTGTGTCACCATTGTCCGAGGAAGCGGATGGCGCCGATGGTGCTGCTGCTCGTGCTGCTGGCATCTCCGGCCCACCCCCTCCTCATCACGGTTGGCTACCTTTTTCCATTACCCCTAACTCCTCCCTGCAGGCCCGCGAGTGGTACCGGGAGGACCTGGTGGGGGAGGCTATGTGGGACTTCATAGCAGCAGCGGGGGCAGGGGGAGGAGGAGCCGTGCGGAGAGAGGACATCTTTGTAAGTGGGGGCATCGCAGGCAGGTCGTCTTGTTTGTCCAACCGCTGTGAACCTGAGACGCGCCTCAGCTACCGTACTCCACCGCTATGCTGGATGTAGCTGCTTGTATCGCTGCGTGTTCTTTCCCCGCCTCCGGGCCTGGGGTCCGCGTTCTGTCTGCGCATCCCTTCACACCACATCTGCTGTTGCAGCGCCCCTGACGCTCTGCTTACCCCTCTCCCCTCTCCCCGCCCCCTCGTTTCTTTCCTCCCCGCCCCCCTCCCCCCACCTCGCGAGCAGGTCACCTCCAAGCTGCACCCCCGCCACCTGGGCTACGAAACCACCCTGCGCCAGTTCAACGAGTCGCTCAAGGGTACGGCAGCTGGCGGGGGGTTGCTGGGAAAAGAAGAACACCCAATGTGTTGAATGTGTTGTGTGCGGGGGCGGAGGGGGGGTGCCATGAAAGAGAGCTGGGGGAGGGGCGAGCTGGAGGACAACTGGGGGGCTAGGTTGCACACACATCCTTAGGGTAGCGCCGGGGTAGGGATGTGCGGCCGGAAACGAACTGCCGCGAGGAAGACACTGATCTGCACCATCGTAGCTGTGAGAAGTGCCGGATGAGTGTTATAGGAGTTATGGTGCCGGACAGGAATGCAACTTTGCTGGTGCGGGCAGCAATTAATCGTCCCGTGCGGGTGGTGTCCTTATCACTTACCGCACTGCACTACCGGTTATCCCCCCCGCCCGGCCCCCCTGCCCAGACCTGCGCTCCCCCTACGTGGACCTCTTCCTGCTGCACTACGCCGAGTGCTGGGGCGGTCTGTGCGGCGGGGCGGTGCCGGCGGGGGACTTCCTGGACAGCTGGCGGGCGCTGGAGGAGCTGTACGGCAGGGGGCTGGTGCGGGCAATTGGTGAGAGGGGGAGAGGGGGGTGGAGGGGGAGAAGAAGCCGGGGGAGGGAGAAGAGTACCCCATGAGTTTAAGCCGGGGAGGGAGAAGACGAAGAAGACAAGTTGGTAGGGAAATTGCGAGCCGTGATGAAAGCTCCTGGGGAATGGGTGCAGGGCCGGGGAAGGGAGAGTGGAGAGCCTGAGGTTAGCAAAGGGTTGACGCCGTGGCTGCATGAAGAGTGGCAGTAGGGTTGGGAGCTTGTGGCCGAGGTGTTACGAGGATTAAGGGTTGAGGATGAGCAGCCCGGCCTTGCTTCCCTTTCCTTGCAATCCATCTTCTTCCGCCTCCACCTGAACGCATCCAACCTGCACCTCTGTACCCTGCACAGGTGTGAGCAACTTCTCACCCGAGCAGCTGAAACGCTTGCTGGCAGCCGCCCGAGTACGGCCTGCCGTACTGCAAACACACGTGGACCCCCTGGAGCCGGCGGTTGACCTGCAGACGCTTTGCCGTACAGAGGGCATCACCCTCACCGCGTACAGCACCCTAGGCACGCAGTACGGCGGTGGAGGGGGCGGCGGGAATCCTGTTTTAGGGCACCCTGTGTTGAAGGCGGTGGGGGCTGAGGCGGGAGGACGCAGTGCGGCCGCGGTGTCGCTGCGTTGGGCGCTGCAGCAAGGTTTGGTGGTGCTGCCTCGGTCGTCGAATGAGGGCAGGATCCGGGATAATTTGAAACTGTTTGACTGGGAGCTGTCGGAGGCGCAGATGCGGCGGCTTGTGGGGCTGCGACCCATGAAGGAGGGGGAGACGTAAGGTAGGGGATGTGTAGCTGTTGCCGTGATCACTGCGGAACAGGTGCTTGGTGATTACCTGTTAAGTGGAACAGTATACCATGATAAAGGGTCTCGGGCGATATTTGACGTTTAACGGGCTTTCCTTGTGCTTCTGGCGTGCCGAGTTAGGTGGGTAGCTTCGCAGCATACATGCGCATGCTTGGGCATGTTGAGGACGATACGAATTTGTACATGGCATCATTATGACCTGTAATGGATGCAAAAGTCCTAAGGAAGGCTGTAGGGCGCCACAGGGCCTTGTCCCTGCTGCCTTGCCGTAGGGAGGACAAGCTTTATTAATTGGGTGGTGTGCGCGAGAGGCTGATTGGCTTAGTGTAGCGCCATACTTGCAACTATGGCTTGTCGTGTTGAAGCCGATCGCACTTTGCAAGTCAAGCCGGTGGTTAGGGTTGGTAGTAGTACGGAGCGACCTTCGAGACGGCAGCCCGGGCTAAGCAAATACTGGATCATATGCTCGCAAGCTATCTCTACCACATATCTGTTCTTCATTAACCTATCATTCTATTGAGTCTTCCCGCTCCATCGTCCTTTACCATGGCGGGTGCGTTTGCATCAATTAATCAACTCCTTGGCGTTTGTAAACCGCCCGATAAAAATAGCGCATAACGCTTCTGTTGGCTTTCAGGTGTTGGCAAAACTGCGAACACATCCGGGCAAGAACTGGATCCGGGGCAGCTAGCAAGAGACCCCGAGAAGATAAAAATCTTAATGAGGCGGGACCCCAAATTCATCACGCGCATGATTGCGGTAGGTGCGACTTGGCACTGTGTTTCAACATGCCTTTGTAAGCTCGTGTTGCTTCTTTCCCTCGCAGCAACTTGACAAAAGCATGCACAATTTCATGCTACAAAAGCATAAGCGCAAGGAAGAGATGGAAGCCGCTCAGGTGAGGTTATGGCCTGTAGGTAGCCTCTAGGGTTACCCATGGCATGGCATGGCCCTTCCTGGCCAGCCTGGCCGTACCAAAATCACCGCCCTAACCCCTTGGAGTCCCCGTTCTACTTCCTAATGCTGTATACGGGCGTCGCATTCACAAATTGCCCCCCCCCGTATGGCACAGAGAGAGATCGACCAAATTAACGAGACGATACAATCACACATCACACCCAACCTGGTAAGCTACGGCGCTGATTTGGGTGAGGCAGAAGAGTCGTGCTTTCGGCCCTGTAAAGCCTGCTCACACTCCTGCGCCCCTACTGTTGCCACATCCGCCGCCGCCGTTGTTGCTGACAATCTGGTCCCCGCGCCCTGCTATGCCGTACCGCCCGCGTGTCGTCTCCGTGTCATACCCCAGGATCGATTAAAAGTGTCCATCAAGTCTAAACGGGAGCTCCGAGACCACCTAACAAAGCAGATCGACGTAGAAATGGGCAATGTAGGTCCACTGGGGAAGTGAGGCGGGCCCCAGGAGGGAGGGGAGAGCATTAGACGGGATGGAACGGATAGACGAGGCGTGACATGGTGGGGTGTAATGGATTTCGCTGGTGAGGGGCCTGCTCTCCCCTCCCGGTCGGGGGCATACTCCGAATGTGTTCCCGGGCCAGTAGGGAATGCCGCTGTGTTGGCACCATTGCTGTGTGGGTTGATGCCCTGTGCGCTTCGCCCTCCAACTCTTGCTGTCCCTCCCTCTCCCATCCTCTTTCCCTCCTCCTCCCCGTTTGCAATCTCTCTTCCTCCTCTCAGGTTCGCAATCTGGAAGCGGAGGCGCGGGCACTCATCCAGAAAACCCGGCACACAGCCGGGAAGATTGTGGTGCGTAGGGGTTATAGGGGTTAGGGCGGGGCGGTAGGGGGCGAGCGGCGTTGCTAATGAACACTGTAGGAGCCCTTCACGACACAGCATCCATCATGTGGTACACTGCTGTGGCACCCTGCATGCAACCCCGCAACCCAGTTTTTAAAGAAGCGCCGTAACCTCCTGCTCTACCCCAACCTCCTTACTCCTACCCTTCCCACCCCCACCCCTTCCAACGCCCAGCGCACGACGGCAGTCCAGCGGTTAGAGGAGGCTCGCGGCTTCAGCGTTACAACACCCACCACCAAACTGCTCAAGGGAGGTCCACCTAGCGGCACCAGCGGCAGTGCCGCCACCGCTGGTGCCACCTCCGCCAGCACCGCCGTCGCCAGTGCCGCCGCCGCAAAGGGAGCCCCCACCGGACCCGGCGGCGCCGCCACTGGCAGCAGCGGCGCTAACGCTGGCGTCCCCGGTGCCTCTGGAGCGAGCATTACGCTAGGTGCCAGCGCTGCAAGCGGCGCAACCGGTACCGCCGCCGCCGGCGGCGCCGCGCCCGGGACTACCGGCAGCAGCGCCAGTGCCGCCGGGAAAGGAGGCGCCGCAGCCCCCAAGCCAGCAAGTCCCAAGCAGCCCCCCAAGCCGGCCAGCCCTAAACCTGCTGCGCCCAAGCCGGCCAGCCCCGCTAAAGCAGGCAGTGCCGCCGCGGCTGCCAAGCCGGCAAGTCCCAAGCGAGGGGCGTCGTGAGGGTGGAGCCGCAGCACCCCGGCGTGTAAAGCTGGCAGCGAGTGGAGGACGCATGCTGGCATGCAGGGTTGGGGGCTGGATGGCTGGATGGCCTAGGATGTATGGGGTTAGGCATGAGTTATAGGCACGGTGTTACAGCATGAGGCACGACTAAGGAACGAGGAGCGAACCTCTGGTCTAGCGAACGCATGAGAGGCAGGATAGGGGTAGAGACGTGCATGAGCGGGTAGCGGGTAGCTAGGTAGGAGGACATGGAGCCAAGCATGTGGCGTAGGGGGGGAGAGTAGTGGCGCCATGCAATGGGGGCGCATGTTATACCAGGAGGACTGCATGTCGGCCGTCCCTGCAGCTTTAGCTGTTAGGGGTTCCTTGGTCTTGAGCGAACGCGCCGGCATTTCGTCTTTAATGCACGGCCTTAAAAGCTGGACATATCAGGGTGTGATCCTCACACGCAATGGTAAATGTGGGTCAAGCTCCTGGGCGCCCGGAGGCATTTGTAAGAGGAGGAGGTTGTGCCATTGACCGTCCTTTGTTCGGGATTGGCCCTGATACTGATACATAGAACATCGAGGCGACCAGCAGCGCACAGCAGATGCTGTGCCTCTGAGCTACCGGGTATTCCGCAGGTGCTAGGAGGATACCACGTGGGGTGGGGGTGTCCTTCGTACAGGCTACCGTTGCTACCGTTGGGATGCGTTACAGAGATGCTTAATAGCCACTGCAACCGCCATTCATTCAGCCGCTTATTTCCGTACAACAAAAAGCTTATGTACTACAGACGTCTGGGCCTTACTAGCCTCAAACTGGTCATTATCGTATCTACCGTACAACAAAGCAAAGAAAGGAGTCATCAAGTCATGCGCTGCCAACAGCAGAGTCGCCCTGCATTCCCTGCCCCGACTCGGACAAGAAGGGGAGAAAGGATCATATTGGTCCCTGTCAGGGTCTGGGGACGCGTACATCCACAAAAGGGTTGGTGCACGCGCTGCACAGGAGCGTCGCGGAGGGATGGCCCAACTGTCAACGTGACAGGAAGTCCAGCCGACGGCCCAGCCCCACACTACACAACTGGAAGCTGAAACACGTTGCCCTTCCACAACGTTCGCCTAACTAATTCCCTGTCAAGCTGGACGGCGTCCCCATTCCCACTCCAAACAGTAACAGAGTCGCGCGTAAATCATTGCAGCCCGGCCACCGACATACCCAGAACATGACAAAAAAGACTAAGAGTAGAAGACAGCTTCTCACATAATACTTAAAACAAGTGCATAAAACATTGTGCGAATGCACAATTATAAACAAGTGTACGGTTAAAGGGTGACTAATCTGACAGTAATAGCACAACTTGTCTGCGGCTATGGCTAGCAGAATGCTCGTGGCGTTGTGGCGGCCTGAAGCATGCATACCAACAGCTAACTAATACAAATTGCAACTGTGCATGACTAAGACCCAAAGAACTATAAAAGTGACGCCCAAGCGATGTAGCTATTCCACAACTATAAAGACAGCCATCCCCCGGGTCTTGTACTGCACGCCCGGGGCTTGCAACACCCATCCGCTTGAAGTCATAAGTACAACAAACCTCCACAAGGGTTTCTTCGCGGCAACGGCCATTGCGTCTTAACCCTCAACATTAACTCATTTGCAAGTTAATCCCAACTCAAACAGAAACATTGACATTGCCGTGTGCGTGTTTTTCGTGCCAACATGAGCAAGGGGCGCCCTATCTAAGTATTATTGCACTTGACATATTCTGCCAAGGATCCGGTAGCTATAAAACTCCCTCTAATTTAGAACTCACCAAACAAGAAGGCTTTTCGCGTATAAAAGCACGCGCATTTCCCACGTTTCGTTGTTACTTGGTGTTAACCCACTGCCACCTGCCACATGCACAACCCAATACGGCACACGTGTGCACATACACGTAGATCCCAGGCCCCAACATCCCGCCCTCTCCCATCATCCCCTCATCTCTCCTTACACATTGCAACCCTTCACCCACCTTCCCCATCGCCCGCATTCTATTCCCGCTCCCTCACCCCTCATCAACCTTCTCAGCCTCACATCAGCACACAGCCAGGCACACAGCCGCCCATGACCCGTGGGTCGGTCGGCTGCACCGCCTCCGCCTCCCGCAGCGCCCTCAGCCGTGCCAGCACCGAGCCCATGCTGGGTCGCTGCACGGGGTCGTCATGCCAGCAGTCGGCGATGAGGGCCCAGGCGGCGTCGGCCAGGCAGGTGGGGCGGGGCGGGCGGAAACCCTCACAAACCTGTGCAGGGTTTGGGGTTGGGGTTTTATGGGGAGAGGAAGGGGGAAGGAGAGGAAGGGAGGAGACGTAAGGGATGGGAGATGGGGTGCAGGCAGCAGGCAGAGAAGGGTGGTTTGGAGCGATAGTGGTGGTAGAGTAAGAGCCTCTAACACGCCCTTAATGGGTACGAAGGTGATGAGTTGGGGCTGAGTGGACATGTAACATGACTACATGAGGCATGTGGCTCAGCTACCGGTATTTAGAGGGCAACATGGGTGCAACGGTACTGCAAAGATGGTTGAAGTATCTCGTACCTTTCGAGCGTAGTCCTCGGCATTCGTGAGGCCCATCTTTTCACCCTTGCCGGTATTGAAGTACGACACGATCAGAATCTCCCGGACTAGCAGCTCGTACATGAGTACGGCAAATGAGTAGGTGTCGGCCTTCTCGTTGTACGGCAGATTGCTGAAGACCTCTGTTGAGCGTGGCAAAGTGGTTATTTGTTAGCGAGGTAAAAGGGATTGACATCGGTATGGCATGCGTCAATAGGACAGACATGTCACTTGAAATGATGCCTGACGAAGCAGGCGGGCAACCGACGTGACCCCCTGGTCACACCCCAGCCTAACGAAAGAGCCTTCCTTCCGAGGGGGCTCCAAGGGTAACCCTCAAAAAGGGCGGTTCCCCATCCCCAGTTCCGTATCCCCAGTTCCCCACCCCCAGTCCCCCACCCATCACCCGCCTGGGGCCATGTACATGCAGGACCCCGCCCGCCCTGCAACACGGCAGGCAGCCAGGGTGAGGAGGAAGGCATTCGTGGAATACGCAGACGTTTAAAGCGGGCAGACTGTTCACATGTACACAGGGACAGGCAGGCAGGCAGGCGACTATGCGACCCTGACCGGCTGCGAACCACCAGCAGCCAAGCCGCACTTCATTACGCCCACCCCCTACCACCGCACCTGTGAAGTCGAACACCCACTCCAGGGAGGCCCTCCGCGGCGGCGGCAGCTCGGACTGCTGGAACTGAGTCAGCAGCGAGCGCACGGAGCGCAGTCCGGTGGTGAAGGAGGAGCCGCCCAGGCTGACCGGCTGCACCAGCTGGGGCTGGCGACTGGGGTGTCAGGGAGGCGGAGGAGGCGGGAGAAAGAAGGTTTGGGGTGGGGCGGGGTCACAGCATGTGTATGGGCCTGGAGTTAGGTGACATGTGGTGGGGTGCAGCGGTGCGGGCGGAGGAGGGGTGGAGCAGGGGTAGGGTCATGGGCTCATGGTACGGCCGGGCTGGGGTGTGACGGTGGGCTGCAACTCCCTTGGAGTGCAAAGGGGTGGGGTGGCTAGGGCAGCATCCGCACTACATTCTCCCAGCCCCCAGCGCCCCTCTCACCTGATGAGTGTGCCAATAGACACCGCTCCCTCCAGCACCGCCGAGGCGGAGGGGCTTGCCAGACCCGCACCTGCAGCCGACCCAGTAACCACAGTAGCCCCCCCAGCCAGGCCCCCAGCCCCAGCTGCCCCAGTACCAGTTGCAGGCTGCGGCTGGAAAGGCGACCTCCGAGTCGAAGAAGCTAGACAGCGGGCCGGCAGCGGTTGGGAGGCAGCCTCTGGCTGTTGCTGCTGCTTTTGCTCACTTGACTGCTGTTGCTCCTCCTGACACTGCGGCTGCGGCTGCTGCAGCTGTGGGGGCGACGTCGCGCGCAGGTAGGGGCGCTGCTGCTGTGGTGACTGCGATGCCTGTGCTCCTGCAGCGTCAGAATGAGGAGAAGCTTGTGAGGAAAGCGGGTGGGGAGATCTTGGGAACTGTTGGGCTGCTGGCTTGGGTTGCTGGTGGGGTGAGTCGGCCCCGATCGACCGAGAGGAGGGGCGGGCGAAGGGGCTGAAGGGAAGCGGTACAGCGGCGCCCATAGCCACCGCAGCAGTAGCAATGGCAGTAGCAGTAGCAGGTGCTGCGGCCGTGTTGCAGTGAGTTATGGGGTTGCAGGAGACTGCTTCGGAGGTCGTGGGTGTAAGCAGTGCTATTGATGTGGCGGTTGCTGGCGCGGCGACGCTGGCGGTTCTGGCTCCTGCAACGCTGGACACTCTGCTGGTGCAGGCGGTGTTGGTGATTGACGGTGGGAGAAAGGACGAGGAAGAGGACAGGGAGAAGGCGACCGTGGCGCTTTGCCCCGCTGTTAAGGCAGTGCTTACGGCGCCGCCGCCGCCAATGACGGGCATGTTGCAGTCACCTCCACTAGCGGCGGCGGCGGCGGCAGCAGAGATGCAGCTGGAGGCCAGGGGTGATACAGCGCTGGCTTGAGGTGTTGCCTGCACGGTTAAGGCACCGGGCGATGCTGCCTGTGCTTGTGGCATCCGCTGCAGCGGCGGCAGCGACGACACTGAAGGCGGTTTTAGTGGGAAGGGCTGCTGCTGTGGCGGTGATGGTGAAGGCAGTGGCTGGCTGTGGAGAAGGAGGGTGACATCCCTTCCGGGTGAGGTAGGACTGGATGTGGAGGGCGGTGAAGAGGAAGGCGGCGGTAGCGGTGCAGAGTCTGGCGGCGGGGAACCTGTGGCAAAAGGAAGGGGACAAAGAAGGGAATTCACGAGACAGGAAAGGGGCGGCGACGATGATCGGGGCATGATGTATGGCGACTACAGTAATGCAAGTATGCAACGCAGGATGTGATCGTTGCAATGAAGACAAGGGGCTGAGGAGAGGCATTTCACTGATGGAGCGGCCGAGAGGAGGCAGGGAGGGAGACCTACCCCCGTCGCCGGTTCCCCTCCTGCTGGTCTGGACATCGCCACTGCAGGACGGTTGCCATGCACCCATGGCATCACGTAGCGGCATGACCTTGTTGGAGGCGGTGGCGCGAGGGTGAGGCCGCCTGCACGGCGCCGGTAGGTGGGAGAGGGACAAGGTGTGTTGCCCGTCAACAAGGCCCGGGATTAACGGGCGGGGCAGGGCCTGATAGACAACAAAACAAACAACTTTTCCTGGCAAGCGTTTTAACTCGTGGAGATGTGTCCTACTTTTCTGTGACAAGACTGCTTGAAGACAGCGGGCGACCGCCACCGCCGCCGCCGCCACCAGATTTCTTGCTGAGTCGGCTGAACCCCGCGGCCGCTGATGTCAGCGCCGGAGGCGACGCCCCGCCAACTGGCGTCCCCACCGCAGCGCTGTCGTGCGCCGTACACATCGCCTCAATGTCGTACAAAACCGGCTCGGAAATGTCACTTCCGCCGTCGTCACTAGGTGCGACGCCGCCGCAGCCGTGCCGACCCATGGGTCCACCCGCGCGCAGTGCGCGCACGACGACGGTTCCCGTAGCTACGTCGCCGCCTCCGTCCATGGCGGTTACCGTACCCACCGCACCCGTTGCAACTCTGCTTCCAGTTGCTTGTTGGTTATTCTTGGTTGCCGCCGCTGTCACCGCCGTAGCCAGATCATCACGCATCACATTCGTAATGGCCAGGAACGGCGTCTCTCGGCCCTTGTCCAAGTCGCCACCGCCTCCGCCGGCACCCGGTGTAACGCTGCCGCTCCCAGACAATGTCGTGCTGCGTACGGATCGGTTGTGTGCGGATTGGTTGGCGCTGTCGGTTGGTGCTTTGCGGCGCAGCAGTACGGAGCGGTCCGACTCGGCCACCTGAGGAAGCGAATGTACGGCAGGGTGGATGAATTTCGGAGGTAATGTGGGCTAGGGGTCTTGTGGGCTAGGCTGATGCAATTGGAGGACTAGCAAGGATGAATAAGACGGCTAGGGGCACATGGATACGGGTGCCAACCAACCCCAATTACCATACAAACCACAAACATGTCTCACCACATGTAGGCCCAGGTCGGCCAGCCGCGCTTCCAGCACCTTTGCGGGTCGGCCCCCACCGACCCGTGGGACGGTGCTGCGCTTCAGCAGCACGTTGTCTAGCTTGAGGTCGCGGTGGATGATGGCTGGACGGTTGCTGTGCAGGTGCGCTAGCGCGGAGGCTATCTGAGGGCCGGGTAAGGTGTGAGGTTAGCAGGGGAATGACTCACTCTGGGATTGAGGATGAGGTGCAGTAGCGAGCGAATGCTTTTGGGTGCCAAGAGGCGAAGAGAGAGAATGGAAAAAGAAGGGTAACGGCTGGGTTAGGAGTGGAAGGAGAGAGCCCTTTCAAGTTGATGTCCTATGCACGACAGCATTCATTCATGTCCAGGAGCACGCCCTTGCCTGTATCAGCCAGTCGTATGCTTGCAGGTTGGTGTAGGTGCGCCGGTTCTCTGTCATGTTCTGAAGGATGAGTTTCTTGATGGTGTACGGCTACAGGGGGCAAGCAGAAGGGAGGCAGGAGGCTGCGGGTTAGCAAGTCAGGCTAGGAGGTGTAGGGGTGCTGCTTGCAGTGGGAGGTAGTGGGACGCGGGATGAGGGCCTTGAATGCAACATGGGTGGCGTGAACGGGAAGTGACGAACAGGCGGCCCGATGACATTCTCGATTTGTTTGAGCAATCGCTGTCACTTCAGGAGCAGGAAGGGAGGGCAAACTGAGCAAAACGTGGCTTCTCTGGGCTCGGGATGAAGCTGCTTGTTCTTTCGGTGGTTACCGAACTCTGAACTGAGCGAGCTCTAACTGTGTTGAAGTGTCTGTGCCCAGGCTAGCTACGACACCGCAATGTGCAGCGGCATGTAACTGAGCCCAAGATAGACCCACATCCCTGGCGGCAGCTCCCACACAACAGGTTTCTGAAATAATGGCCCCCGGTGCTTCAAGGCCTCATGGCCTTGGCTTCAGAAGCAGCTCTCACCTCTGCAAGCTCCAAGACCATCGCCAAAGCTGGTTTGCAAAGCCCAGTAATGCCGGGGTGGTTCGCCGGAATCAGGCAAACACCATAGCAACGTATGATATGCCTGCAGGGAAGATGTATCGCTCATGGTCGCCACGTCACTAGTCCGAACTAGCACGCAGCATCGGGATATAATTGACAATAGACATCCATACACTCCCGCTGCAGAGCCCAGTTGGTTGCCGACACGTGCGCTGGGGTACCGTTAACGATGGCCTCCACGGGCCTGCCTGGCGAGGCCTCGCAGCGTTGCACACGAAAGCACCGAGATTGCCATACTGTCACCACTTACGGGTGCTCTTGTTGCTTTGTACAAGCAGCCTCGCGGAGAAACATTTGCGCGTACTCCTCCTCGCTGTCGGATGGCCAAGATGGTAGCTAGCGTTAGTTGCTTTCGACAATTCGGGTCAAGCGATCTTGCGCAGAATGCATGTCTCACCTGATACTGCTGCCAGACTGCGCTGGCTGCAACACTTTAATGGCGACCAGCTCCCTTGGAGCCCCAGGACGCTCATAACTACCTTCGTATACTGCTGCAAAGCCACCCTTGCCAAGGAGACGCTTTATAGTTAAGTGACTGGCTGGTATAGAATTTTTGGGAATGTTATCCATGGTGGCCTCCGAACTGGGCAAGAAACAGACAGTAGGTGCTACCACTGCTTTGCACGCCTTTGGCTAAGCGCTGACTACACGTTTAATTTCAGAGAGTGATCTGATGCATATTCAAACAGTTCTTTATCGATTAGCGATCTGCATGTTTGATCAATGCACGGGCAACCAACGCTGTATCATGCCGTACACCTACGCTTGCGTGGTTTGCAGGTGGCGCAGGCGTCCATCAAAATGTGGCGAATCAGTAAGTATTATCTGTACGGTTGTGAGCGCGTGCAGGTGGCTGTTGCTGATGGGACTCGCTGAACCTCGCACCATGTGTACTAGGAGTAACCCGCAAGGCTTCTTGGTTCAAGTAAATCAGTTTCCTATCACTAAGTCAATGGCGCTCCACCAGCTTTCTTTACCTTCACGACGGACGGCGTTTCGACAGGACCCTTTCAATCAATACCGTAGCTCTAGCTGATAGAAGCTACCTCGACCAGAAAGCGACTTGCATTCTCAGACGCTCTTAGGCTCTTGCCTACACGGCCTACCTGTTGCCGTCCTAGTAATCCCGAGCAACGGAAAAGGCCACACAGGTCAGACAGCTGTTTAGGGATGTCTGCACAGGTAGGAATCGTCCCTTCATGCCTTAAGTATCGTCGCTGTGGCTCGCCAGGCTCTCCTATTTGTCCAGAAGCTCCGCGCTGTGCTGAACAACGTCTTTGGAACAATAAGCCATGAATGTATTGTCTCAGCAACCGTGTTAGGTGTTACACGTGCTCGAGGTCCAGTGACTTTTGCTGGGCCAACGCATAATTACACAACCCACCCCTAAGCTTAACACCTGCACCTACTCGGCATGGTGTCTGCTTCAGAGGTGTAGGTTAAATACCGTGTACGCTCCTGTGCGGCACAGCCAAAGGATTCCCCTAGTGTGCGCTTGTGACACCCACCCACCATGAACAACTCCTTCGCAACCCAAAACGCACCCACAGCATCATTGTGTCATCAATGTGTGTCTCCTCTTACGGGGTGCTTTGCCGTCCAAAACAAAACCACCTAACAAGGGCAGGGCCACTCCCTCGTCAAGGCGTGGAAGCGCAGAAGGCCCCAAACGATAACTAAGGTGCGTGACTCCCTCAACGCACACTGGGCCTAGAATGGGCACCCCCTCACTTGTACACCTCCTCATACACGTCCCGACGTGTCCGTTAGTTCCTAGCACCGACCTATGCCGCCCCTAGTACGGCCCCTGCCGGTGCTATCCAAAAACACAGCCATTCGGCTATGCGTGCGCAGCGATGTGGAAAAATGTGTCTCTTTCCCTGCCACACAGCCGCAGCTGGCGCTGCTGCTAAAGTGCTGTCGCGACCATCATCGATAGACCCAAGGACATCTAGGCGCCAGGACGCCCAGGAGCCGCGCCTTCGCATGCTACTCCTTAGACGCCGAAGAGGGCCTCGCCATAGTTGCGGAACACAACCACAGCGCCGAGGAAGACGCCAACTGCGCGCAGAAGTCGGAGGTCGGCCGCGAACTTAGCCTCGTTGTTCCACTCATCCTTCAGCCACTTCTCCACGTTAGCGAGGGTCTTCGATGAAGCCATTGTATAACTAATAGTGACAGCCGCCGAAATGCAAACGCAAGGGAAGTATGGCTAAGTTCTACTAGTAAAACGCACAATGAGTTGTGGTAGAAGCATTCGGGGCATGACTTAACTTCAGGGCAACCGATGCAACAAAGCACACGAATGCCGTACATAGTAAGCCTCACCAGGCGCCATCTCTTTTTCGTAAGCGTTTGAATTTGGCTTAGGAATACTACGTTGCAAAATGCCTTGGACAGGATGGTAACGCTTCGGTCATGTCGCCTTCGCATTGCTCAGTATACCCTTTCTGCATGGTCGCTCATAGAGAGCAACTACAAGCTTACTATATAATGAACGCGGTCATATTTCTTACAGCTTAAAAAAATTGGTTGTTATGTGCATTTTTAGTTTATAAATGTCGTCGAATGCACTGCCACCCCTAGCGGGTGTTGGCCCAAGTGGCTCTAAAGACGATCGTGATGACCAGCGGACTCCAAAAGTCAAGCCGCTTCCGCTCATGCTTTCCACAAGGGCGCCTCTTGTCGGTGAGAGTGTGACATGCGCGGTCCGGTGTGCTGTGGGCGCGTCCAGACTGCCCTGACGAGGCTGCAACAGTCCTGCGGCCACATCCTTTTTCACTTTTAGTTCACGGGGGTGGTGGGGTGATCTGACAGCAGTACCACAAACTAGGAAAGGCCCGCGCCCTTACGATACCTAAGGCTATACGGCAAAGGGTACGACGCGGGCCGCCGGCAAGGCGAGTCATGTTGAGACCATCTCCTGGCATCCATCCCGGAACCATCCTCTCATACCTCTCCCCTCTGCCACATGCTCTCTACCTCAACTCACAACTGACATGATCCCCACCTAACGCACCATCGACCCTCTCATCCTCCTTATTCATCCTCCTCCGTACCATAGGCACCACAGGCGCATCCCGCAGTCGCTCCGTCCCCAGCCCCACGCACCCCTCCTCTCCGTACCTCGCACACCTTCACCCCAACCATGGCTCCCCCGGCGACGCGCCCACCTCCCCCGCCAGCCCCGGCCAGCAGTCCGGGGGCGCCTCATTCCGCAGCAACAGCAGCAAGTTTACACGCCTAAGGGGCATCCAGGGCGGCGGTGGCAGCAGCGGTGCAGGAGGGATGGGGTCCGCAGCAACATCCGGAGGCGGGGGGCAGCAGCAACAGCAACAAGGGCCGCAGCTAGCGCTAGAGGGAAACAGCATGCTACAGCCGCAGTCGCATGGAGCAGACGGCAGCGAAGGGCAGGCCGCATCACCGCAGCATCAGCTTTATCACCCAGCCCCGCTGGTAGGCGTTGTCGCGGTCCCGGTGGGGGCAGTTAGTAACGGTGGCAGCAGCAATAGCAACAACATGGCGTCGGTGGGAGGGTCGAGGTCACCAGGCAGCGCCGCAGGGGGCAGCGGCAGTAGCGGCGGGGCGGCGGTGGTGATGGGGGGCCCGGCGCAGATCAACTTGGCGCTGCCCTCACCGGAGGGTTCGCTGGCGGGGGTTAGTGCGGCGTATGGGCAGGTGGGTGAGGCGGGGCTCACCTTGCGCTGGTGTTGGGAGCAATGTGGGTGCATCCATCAAATGGAGGTGGATGGGTAAAGGAAGAGAAATAAAGCACTGAATGGGTTGCTGAATGGGTAGGTAGATGGGAGGTGGTGTAGCTACGGTAGGCCAGCTGTGCCGCGGAGCTGGCATGTGGGAACGCGACCAGGGTATGCCCGGAGATCCACACCGCAAGCGGCCCATGCCATGTCGCCTTACCATTGTTGCGTACTGCCCAGCACTGCCGGTACTGCCCAGCCCCTAGCATGGACTCGTTAAAGGATCATCTCAGCAGCTCTTGTGCATTACCCCTCCGGGCCTGCAGGCCGGCAGCGGCGCAGGTGGGGCCGCATGGGCCAGCCGGCGGGGCAACACCTCCGGGCCTCCTCGGACTTCCGCTTCCACAGCGACTGCTGCTGGTGCTGGCGGCGGCGGCGTCTCCCTGCAACGGCCTGTGCTGGAGGGGGTGGGGACGGCGGGCGGCGGGAACCCCCTGGGTTACAGGTGCGAGGGTGGTGGTGGTGATGGTGGTACGGGGATGTGGGCGTTGCACCAAGGAGCAACCCTTACCAGCAGCTGGAGGAACATGTGTATGGGAGCAGCTTGTGGTTACGGGGCTTGTGAGGGTGCGTGGTGTTGATAGCGCTAGCCGCCTGTGTTTGCATGCTCTCGTAACTCGCAAATGACCTACATGGAGCCGGGCACGCCCTTGCTGTTAAATCTTTCCGGCCCCCAAACCCATCGCATGTGACCATCCTAAGCAACCAAACCTTTTCCACCCGCCCCTCCCCACCTCCCTCAACCCTCCCTTACTTCCTTACCACCCCTTTCCACGGCCCCCCTCCTCCCTCGCAGGCCCTCGCACTCCGCAGCCTCGCCACGCCACCTCACCACCTCCATCCTGCCCGCCGGTGGCGGCTCTCCCCACCCGCGGCCCGACACAGCCCCGCTGCTAGCCGCCCAGCATGCCGCCTCCTCCTCCTCCTCGCCTCCCCTGCCCACCCTCGACCTCCTAGCCGCTACCTTCCCTTCGGGCCGCACAAACGCCCTCGTGCCGGGGTCCGTGCCGCCCGCCGCCATGAACCCGCCCATGTACGGGGCCCCATCTGCCGTACAGGCGGCATCATCGGCGGCGCCGACGCTACTCGTGGGGGCACTGCCGGAGGGCTCCTACCCTGGCGGGAGCCACGCCGCTACGATTACGAACAATGCCATCGCAGCGGCTGCGGCTGCAGCATCGGCGGCGCCGACTCCTGACGCCTCGATGGCTTCCATGCAGCCCTCGAGCCATGGGCCGTACGGCAGCGTCGGCGCTGACGCGGCGGGGAGTGTCGTACCGGCGGCGGCAGCGGAGGAATCCTCCGTTCCTTCCAGAGGGGAGGAGTCCTCGACCATGCTGCTCATGCCGCCACCTTCGTCCATTCCATTACCCACATTGCCACAGCAGCAGCAGCCCCCAACCCAGTCGCACTCCATGTTTGGCGTCCAGACGCACCCCTTCTCCCACCCCATGAGCCCATCACACGGCCTGCACACCCAGCCGCCCACCTCCTACTACGCCCAGCAGCAGTTGCTGCTGCAGCCGCAGCCCTCCACCACCGCGCAACTCCTGCAGAAGCTCTACCGAACCAACCTCACCCCGCCGACGGGCATCTCCCGAAGCCGCCCCGAAACCGCCCTGAATACCTCTGCCGCCGCCGGCGGAGGAGGCTCCGCCCCAGCCTCCACGCCCGACCTTGCGCCCTCCAGTCCCGCCATCACCGCCTCCTACGGCCGTCACAGCCCCTACACCACCACCACCACCGCCGCCGCCGCCGCTCCTACCAGCAACCCCACCACCTTCTACCCGTCCGCAATCATCCCCACCTCCATCCCCACCCCCTCCTTCACCTCCGCCGCCCACTCCCGCACCCCCTCCGGCGCCGCCCCCGCTCCCTCCTCCCTCTCCATGCCCCATGCCCCCTCCGCGCCCCCCCAGGCCCCACCCTCCCTGTCCTCCCCTGCCATCACCGCCTCTCCCACCCTGGCGCCCGCCTCCCCCGCTCGCTCCAACAGCAGCGGCGGGCCCCTCTCCGGCTTCGCCTCCCTCGTCCTCACCTCGCAGCGCACTGGGGGCACCGGCGGAACCGGCAACGCAGCCAACGCGGCGAGCAGCCTGGCGCGGAAACGCACGCGCGCGGGTACGACAGGCACGCTTGCGGACCTGTCGGCTGCCATTCAGAAGAGCGTTGCTAGCGGCATGGGCGAGTGGGACCTGCGGGCGGATGGGCTGTGGGGGAATCCGGAGATCCAGGAGCGGTTGCTGCGGGGGCCGCTGGGGCCGGAGACGCTGAAGAACCGCTACCACATGAAGGTGTGTGGTTGTTCAGGAAGTAACTGGCCGCGTAGTGTGATTGCCGGAGGGTGAAGTTCCCTCGGAAACGCCACAAGTGAAGTAGAGTCCGTTGGTGTATGCGTGGGATGCGGGGAGGAGCCACAGATGGTGCGGCCTGGGGAGGTAGCGGAGTGGAAGGGGCATGGAGTGGAGGGCGAGGGCGGGACCTAGGGGCCACATGCGCACGGCAGTATGCGCACACCGTGCATCAAGCTGGCAGCCTTACAAACTTCATCGGCCGCCTTCATGCATGTGCGTTATCTGCTCATCTCCACCCTACCTCCGGCCCCCTCATTCCCCTCCCTCCTCGCCCTCCCTCCTTGCCCCCCCCCCTCCAGGAACGCGACATCCTCTCGCTCTACCGCCTGCTCTACTCCTACAGCGTGGGCTTCTTCACGGACGTGGAGTCGCTGCTGGACACCGCCATCAACGAGCGCACCAGCCCGGGGGGCGGCGGCAGGGCAGGCGGGGCAGCAACGGGCGGAGGCGGGGGGGTGCTGGGCGGGCTGGGCGGCGGCGGGCTGCTGGGGCTGCGGCAGGAGCTGCTGGAGAACGTGTTTCGGTCGTATGCGGCGCTGTGGGATGAGGCGCTGATGGTGGGTGAGGAGAAGGGGGGGAAGGAGGAGAGAGGGGGGAAGCTAGCGAACCGTGGGGAAGGGTGGGTGATGAGAGGGGGGAAGTTGGGGTTGCGCACACGGAGCCCCCGACCCAGGGCCCACCGAGTGGGTGGGTGGGAGAATCAAGAGGGCAAGGGTGGGTGGCTCCAAGCAACGGCTGCGGAGCCCCCACGTCTTGAGGTATCTATGCGCTGTATAAGGTCGTGATTCCGGCTCTTCACGAGGCAGCTCCGTGAGCAACAGCAGCAACACCCTGCTCGCCACCCTCCCACCCGCTGCTCCGCTGTGCTGCCCGGGAGCACCCTTGAACACCTTGCACGCAAAGCCGACACCAGCTCATTCCAGCTCTTCCTCTCGCCTCCCGTCCCGCCCTTCACCAACTCCTAAATCTGCAATAGCCGATGTCGAGTAACCCTACACACGTGATCCCACCCATCCCTCCCTCTCTCCCTGCCTCTATCCCTGCCTACCAGATTGTGTTCGACAGTGAGATTGCAGCGGTGCTGGCTGACAAGACGGCGGCGCTGCAGGCCCTGGACGCAGGGGTGGTGGAGCTGGAGGCGCTGAGGAGGGAGAACGAGCAGCTGCAGGTGTGGGGGGTCAGATTAGACCAGGGGGGGTGAGATTCGCGGAGATTCCGCACGGGGCGGGATTAACCTGTCCTTCACATCGGGCGCCTCCCTCACCTCACCTCTTTTCGCCACCCTCCCTCCTTTGCTGCTTCCTCAGTCCCGACTTGCGGACTTTGTGAAGCAGAACATCGACAACATGCTGTCCAGCCGCCACATGAAGCAGGCGGCAACCCGGCTGGAAGGTGGGTGCATGCAAGAGGGGGAGGGGGGCGCGCAGGTTTGGAGCATGCGAAAGAAGGGGCATGCCATGGTCCCAACAACGCGCGCTGGTCTTTCCCATCCACACCCTGGTCGTTCTACCCCACTATAGAGGGGCACCAATCCCCCCACTCCTGCATCTAGAAGGAGTAATAACACCTTTATCATTGGCCCAATGGCCCATGACCCCGAACACCTTCAACGCCGTACCTTTTACCCCCCCTACACTAACCCGTCGCTAACCCTTCGCCTTCTCGCTCCTCACCCAATCTCCCCCCCACCCAGGCGAGCTGCACTCGCTGCAGAGCGCCAACGAGCAGCTGGTGACCCACATGGCGGGGCACGCAGTGCAGGTGGGGGCAGGGAGGGCAGGGAGAGGGACGGGGTGGATGTTAGACTAAAAAGAAAGAGACTGAGGAAACCCCGGAACTGTCTCGTGCACTCGATGTTCCATTCACCAGGAGCTTGCCATCTTGTTTGCCATCATCATTTAACACATTGGCTATTCTTCCTTTCCCCCCGTCACCCTGCTGCTCCAGGTGACCACCCTAGAGCGTCAGCTGGATGCCGCCCGCGCCGCCACGGCTGCTGCGGAGGAGCGCGCGGCCGCCGCGGAGGCGCACCTGGCGCAGATCAAGACGGTGGTCAGCGAGCAGAACGCCACCCTGTCGGCGCAGTACTTCCAGGTAGGGTGGTACGGCAGCGGGACTGCGGTTATACGGCGGTTGTACGGCAGCTGGGCTGGGTGGGAGCAGGTTCGGTGAAGGAGATATCCGGTATGTGGAGCACGTTTTACACAGGGAAGAGAAGGATCCACAACTAATCCGCCACCAGCACCTTGTGCCCCGTGGCCACTGCTGGGTCACATGTCGGCGAACCGGGGGCGATGAGTCGGTCCTCAACGCCCATCTTCCAATGCAACGCTCTGAAAAGAACACCCCTCACACCTCCTCACTTCCCCCTCACACCCCCATCTCACAGATCAAGGAGCTAGAGCGCCACGTGGGCGAGCTGCAGGAGAACATCCGTAACCTCAACCGCCGCCGGGCTGCCGTACTGGGCCTCCTGTCCGGCGGGGCAACCGACCAGTCAACCGACGCCGCAGGCCTCAGCGCCGGCGGCGGCACGACGACAACCTCAGCGCACGGCGGCGTGGCTAGCTCGGGCCCCTCGGCGTCACGTGACGGCGCACCGCTGGCGGCACCCTCCGGCCATGGCGCCCATGGCGGCGGCGGCGCCGGAAGCGGCAGCGGCCCCTCTGGCAGCGGTCCCTCCGGCGTGCTTGCTGACGTGTCGCTGCTGAGTGCTGAGGAGCTGGAGCGGCTGCTGTCTGACAAGACGCGCGCCTTCAACCTGTTGCATGCGGACTTCCTGGTCAAGATGCATGAGCTGGAGGAGCAACGGTGGGTCCTTTGGCATTGTTACTGTTGTTGTTGTTGTTGCGACTGCCGGGTTGTTGCGGCTCGGGACCTTTTAGGATTCACCTTCCTTCCTGCCCTCTGTGTTCTATTCTCCACACAGTTCTCTCCCTTTCTGCTTCCTCCTCCTTCTCCTTCAATGTTCCCCCCTTCCCCTTGCAACCCCTCCTCCCAACCGGGCCACACAGCTCTGTCAACACTGCTCTCCGCGAGGAGATCAAGGTCATGCAGGCGTCGGTGCAGCGCGCGGAGACGGAGGCGGCGGACAGCGCGGCGGCGGCGGAGCGCTCGCGGGCGCGCTGGGAGAGCGGGCGCATGTATGTGGAGGACCTGGAGGCGGCGAACAAGAGGTGCGGGAGGGGGGGGCATGCATGGCAGCATGGGGAAGGAGGCAGGGGGTCGGGGGCGGAATGGTGGGAGTCATGTGTGGGGAAGATACAGGTGAGTGGGCGCGGGAATTGCAGGGTATCATTACCGGTACCATGCAGGGTGGTGTGGAACAGCAGCCTGAATGGCAGGGCAGAGCTTAACCAAAAATGAGATGGGGGCGGCTACCGCGGCTGTAATCGCAGGTATGGGCAGATGACCTCCAACAGCACACCGCCATGCTCTCAACCTGCCACATTCCCCACCTCACGCCGCACTTCCCGATCCCCCTCCCGCTCCTGCGCCTCCCACCTCCAGGCTCTCCGCCAAAAACGCCGAGCTCGTCCGCAGCTACTGGCCCCTCATGACCCGGCTGCGGGAGGCGGAGGCGGAGATGATGCGCGCGCGGGAGGCCTCGGAACGCGACCGCGAGCAGGCGGAGCACGACCGGGCGGAGGCGGACGCGCTGCGAGCTGAGGCGGAACAGACCCGTGGGGCGCTGCAGGAGCTTCAGGAGCTGAGGGAGGAGGCAGCCAGCCATGAGCTGCAGGTGTGTGTGGGGGGGGATGGAGGCTGAGTCGCTTTGGGGCTGCTAGGCAGGCTGAACAGCTGGGCTTGGGTGGGGTTGCGGAGGGGTTATGGGAGGTTGGGAACCCTGGGGACGCCGGGAGCTATGGTACATGCCTGGTACATTGCCTGGTACATGTCAGCGGTGGTGATGTTCAGCACTAAGGCTGTTGTTAAGCAGGCAAGCTGCACACAGAAACACCTGCATGCAAGCAACGAAGCGCCACCCTAACGTCATCATCACCACCGTCACCCCACCTCTCACCACCCTCCCTCCTGCCCCCACACCTCCCTCCCGCAGCTGCCTCCCGACCTCCTCGCCGCCCTGCCCGACAACCACGCCGCCTCGCTGCGACGCTTCGGCCGCTCCTGCCACCGCCGCGTGGCGCACCTCAACGCGCAGGTGGTGGCTCTGGTGGACCAAGTAACCTCCTCCCGCCTGCGCATACAGCAGCTGCTGCGACAGCTGGGGCTCACGGACGAGCCGCAGCTGCTGCCGACGCCAACGCCACCGCACCAGCCGCCGCAGGAGTTTTCGCTGGTGCCGCATGCGGCGCCATCGCTGCTGGCGGGGGCGGCGGCTGGCGCCGCCGATGCAGCTGAGGTGGCAGAGCTGCGAGCAGCCCTGGCGGACCGAGACAAGTGGCTGACGGTGTTTGTTCGTGCCATGTCGGCTTTGATGGGGCAGATGGAGAACCTCATGGCGCGCGACTATGAGACCTGCCATGTGCTGCGGTTGGAGCAGAAGAAGCGGAAGCAGAAGGCTGCTCGAGCGGCGCGGCGAGCGTCGGTGCGGAAGCTGGAGGCGGAGGCGTCGACGGCATCAGCGGCTGCTGCTGCGGCGGCGGCGGCGGGGCAGCAGCAGGCGGTTGGAAGTTCTGCGGCGACGACGCCGTCTGGGGAACGCAGCCTGGCGTCACAGCCGTCGGCGTCGCAACCCTCGGCATCGCAGCCATCAGTTTCGCAACCCTCAGCGTCACAACCCTCGGCGTCGCAGCCGTCAGCGTCGCCGTCAGCAGCATCCGCAATAACGCTGGCACCGGCGGCGGTAGGCAGTGAGGGGCAGCAGCAGCAGCAGCCGGAGGGCAGCGTGGCTTCTAACCCAGCGACGGTCACGGAGGAACCCTCAACCGAGCCCTCATCCCCGCGCAAGTCCCTCTCACAACCCTCGTTGTCGGGTGAAGCGACGGTGGGGCTGCCGTCGATCCCGCCGGAGGCATCGCTTTCGCCGCCGTCACCGTCAGGAGAAGCCACCGCCGCCGCCGTCGCCGCCGAGGGCTCGGCCACCGCCACCGCCGCCGCTCCCACCGAACCCAATGCCGAGGAAGATGAGGATGACGGTTGGGACGACTCGGACCCCACCATGACGGTCGCATGCGGCCGGATCGCTCAGATGATTGGCTCGGGTGACAGCGCGGATTGGGTGCAACGCACGCCGCTGCTGGTGGCGTTGGATGGCGGCTTCGAGCGGTTGGCGGACTCGGCGGAGCGCATGGTGGAGTGGGCGGAGGGGCTGCTGAAGCGCAAGGAGCAGGTGAGGTGTCCTGGCAGTGCTTGCATGTGTGAGGGAGGAGGCTCTCCTGAAGGGTCGGGTTGCGAGTTGCGAGTAGCATGGAGTGGGACAAGGCCGAGGAGGGATGCAATGGCAGGGCGCACAGGGATGGTGTCCTTGTGCACGACCAGTTTTCGCAATCTCCACCTGATGTGCCCTCCCTCCCTCTCCTCCCTCCTCTCCTCCCCCCCCCAGACCGCCAACTTCTCTCAGCTCAAGCAGCGGCTGGAGGCGGTGTCCCGCCAGCTGGACACCGCCAACATCGAGCTCAACACGCTGCGGCCCACTGCGGAGGCGCTGAGGCAGACGGTGCGGGGCTACGAGGCCAAGGTCAAGGAGATGACGGTGACGGTGACGGTAAGAGGAGGGGTGGGTGGGTGGCTCTGGCGGGGCAACTGTTGTGGATTGCTGAAGGGCTTAGGAATGGTGGCGGTGGTGTGCTGGTGGAGGCTGGGGACGGCAGGCATGGGGGACAGTAGCGATGGCAGTTCCGCTTTCCAACCTTTTGCTCTCTTTTCTGTTGTTCTCCACATCCTTCCACTCACGGCTCCCCATCACGGCTCCCCCCCAGAGCTGCAAGCAGCGCGCCGAGGCTGCCGAGTCGCGGCTGTCCTCCACGGAGGCGCAGCTGGCGGCGGTTTCGGAGCAGCTGAAGGAGTCGAAGGGGGCGCAGCGGCTGCTGGAGTCGGAGTACTGGAAGGTGGGGGGATGTGCGGATGTGCCGCGGGGCGCCAGGATGCAGGGGCTATAGAGGAAATGGATACCAAATGACCAACTGCGTATAAGGTAACACTACGCAGTCCTCTATGCTGAAACCCCGGAAAACCGTCAACCCTTCGAGCGGAATTGCTGCTCCTGTGTCCCATGTGCGTTGCACCCCCACCCACGTGTGCCCTCACCTGTGGTTTCTGTGACCCGCTCCTCAGGCCAAGGATGTGGCTCTGGAGGCGGAGATGACGACGGGCGAGCTGAAGGCGGCTCGCAGCCGGGCGCTGGAGGCGGCGGCCAAGGCGCTCGCCTCCGTGTCAGGGCTGGAGAAGCAGTCTAGAGAGAGCCAGTGAGTGAAGGAGGGCGGAGGTATACATGCATGTGTCATTGCTGCATGGGACTGCTTCCTGGTGTCGCTTGAGGCGCCCCTCATTCTTTTCTCCGGTCCTTGCCTCAACTGGAGGTACACCCCCCGCTCCTGATCCTCCACTCCCTTACCTCCTCAATCCTCACCTGCGCTTCCTGCTACCGCTACCCCGCCCATTACCTCATTTCCTGTCCCCTCACCAACTACCAACCCCATCACCCCAACCCCAACCCCCAGGGAGCAGCGTGTGGCTCTGGAGGCGGACCTGGTGGGTTACAAGGCGTGGGTACGGCACATGGAGGAGGTGGAGCGCCGCTACCGTACGGCACTGAGGGACCTGTCGGACGCCAACGCGGGCTGCGAGGAGCGGGACCGGGCGCTGGCGGAGCTGCGAGACAGGTGCGGGAGGGAAGCGGGAGGAAGGGAAAGGGGGGAGAGGGCTCCTCTCGTCTCACTCCTCACTTCCTACATGTCAAGCTTCCGCCTTCGTCTTTGCGCTACACCGACCAATCCTGGTTACCACCCTCCGGCACCCCGCAATCTCCCAGACAAGTTCTAGTCTTGCAAGCGTGTAACCCCTCCTGCGCTGTGCACCCCTCCCCACAACCCCCCAAACTACGGTCAGGGTCAGTTTACCTAACCCCCCAACCCCTTCCGACCCCCCTCAGGGTTACCGCCCTGGAGCAGCAGCTGCGTCTCAAGACCGTGGAGGCGGGCTCGCTGGACTGCCGCGTGCGGGCGCTGGGAAGGGAGCTGGCGGAGGAGCGCAAGGCGGCGTCAGCGGCGGCGGCGGCGGCCCGGGCCTCCGCGGCAGCGCAGCTGGACGCCGCGATCCGGCAGGCGGGCGGCGCGGAGGCGCAGGCGGCAGCGCAGGCGGAACGAGTAGCGGTGCTGGAGGCGCGGTAGGGCAGGGGGCTTGGGCGGAGGCCACATGGGAAAGGGCGTGAAGACAGCCCAACGTACTTGGCCTAGTCACTGTGCGCTACTAACTGGGGTCCCGCATACCTTGTTTGCGCACCGGTGGCATCCCTGTCTCCTCCTCCAACATGCGCCACCCTGTCGTAATGGTCGTGTCCTAGCGCTTGCCTTCTCCAGCCCACCTCCACCTTCTCCCTACCTCCCTCCTCACCCTCCCTCCCCTCCCGCCTGCAGGCTGGCCGAGGCCACGGAGGCTGTCGCCGCCGCTCAGGCCGCCGCAGCCCAGGCAGAAGCCCAACTGCTGCCCCTAGCCACGGAACGAGACCGCCTGCGAGCCCATGTAGCCGCCTCGCAGCCCCTGCTGGCTGCCATGGACAACGCCGCAACCGCCATCGGCCGCCGGCTGACAGTGCTCGAAGACGCCGTACATGCCTCCTCGTCATCCCCCTCTTCCTCATCTTCCGGTGTGGCTGCTGGTGCTGAGGAGGGAGGCGGCATGGGCCGGGCTCCCGCCGGGACGTTGGAGTCGGCGTTGCACGGGCTGCTGGAGTCGGTGGAGGCTGCTTTGGATGCGTTCGAGGCGGTGGCGGTGGATGCGGCGGGCGACGCCACGCCGGCGTTGTTTGGGGAGCTGGAGGGACTAGCGACGCAGCTGATTAACACGTTGACCAAGGGCGGAAAGGTAAGGGGGGTGGGGCATGCATGGGAGGAGGTGCATGCAGCGTGGGAACCTGGAGTGGGCGGATACCGCATGGGCGGTTATGGTGTTATACTCGCAAGTGTATGGTTGCGATAGCTCCCATCCGTGCCAATCCATATCCACGATTCTCCTGCGTTTCTTCCTTGTTTTTCCTTTTTCCGCACCGCACAGGAGCCGATCCAAAGCATTGCGGTTCTCAAGGCCCAGCTAGCCCGGGACGACAAGGAGCTCGCAGCCACCCGCGCTGCCATGGCGGCGCTGCAGGCGGCCCGCGATGAGGCGGTACGGCAAGCGGCGGAGCAGCGGGCGGCGGCGCAGGCGGCGGTGGCGGCGGCAGGCGCGGCCAATGCGGCAGCGCAGCGTGACGCGCGGCGTGCCGCCGAGGCGGAGGCGGCGATGCGACAGGCCCGTACCGAGCTAGAGGCGAGCGGGCGGCAGCTGTCGGAGACGAAGCAGGCGGCGGCGGAGATGGAGAGGCAGCTGCAAAGGTAGGGAGATAGGAGGATACGCAGGTGTGGTGCATGACGTGGATTTGAATCATGGATGTGTTATCTACTTATCATCCCAAGCAGCCACATGAATGACGGCCTCTGCTGTCATCTCTCGTCTTCCTCGTCTAACTTCTTCCTCCTCCGCCATCTCCTCTTCTGCATGCACCACCCTAACCCACCTGTCTTCCCCAACAGGTTGCAACGCCGCGCCGCCGACCTCGAGACCGACCTAACTGCCCTTCGCAACCAGCGCCGCCACCTGGAGGCTCAGGCCGCTGCCGCGGCGCAGCAGCGCGCCGAGCTGCAGCGCCGAGCGGAGGCCGTGGAGTCGCGGGCGGTGCGCGACCAAGACGCGGCGCGGGAGGCACGCGAGCGGGCAGACGCGGCGGAGGCGGCGGCGGCTGTGTCGGATGCCCGGTGTCGGGAGCTGCAGGCGGCGGTCGAGGCGGAGCAGCGGGAGGTGGCTAGGCTGCGGTCTGAGGTGGAGGCGGCGGTGGGGGCGACGGCGGAGGCGCGGGCGCGGGCGCTGGGGTTGGAGCAGCAGATATTGGAGATGCAGGTGAGGCGTGAGGGTGGGATGGGGTTGGGTTGTGGTGGAAGGGAAGGGAAGGGATGAAACGTGGCTTGAGTTGCGAGGGCGTTGTGGGGTAGGGAGGGTAAAGTGATGGTGGTGGGGGTGGTTGGAGCTGAAGAAGGGGGGTATTTGGGTGGTGGCAAGGGGCTGGAAAGGGGATACAAGCAGGAGTTGGCGTTGACTTGCAACTTTTGCTATCCAGCTTGCATGCTCGATCTGGGTTTGGGATGAAGGTAGGGTCATAGTGTGTCGTTGCGAGTGCCTATCTACCGTCTTGACATGCCATGCTGGTATGACCGTCTCGGCAGCCGAATAACTGTTTGGAAAGGGTAGGAGGGGTTCGTGAGGCGCCCATCTTTCCTTTCATTCCATGCTGTACTGACCCACCATGTGCCACCTGCGACTTTCCCTTGCGCTTGCGCACATTGTACCCTGTACCCCTCGCAGGCTAAATACGCTGACATGATTCGCCACGACGAGTCAATAGAGGAGCACCTACGGCACGCACGTTTTGAGGCGGAGACAATGCGCAAGCGTGCAGCTGAGGCGACGGCTGAGGCAGCGGAAGTGAATGCTCGGTTCGAGGCGCTTCAGCAACGCACATGGCAGCTACAGGTTGCGCTTCAGGCCAAGCACGGGGAGAAAGAGGATGCGCTCCGGGAGTTGGTGGAAGTAACGCATGCCGCAGCGGCGAAAAAGAAGGCACTTACAGCAGCGAGACCAAGATCAGCAAAGAAAGCAGCGGAGGCCGCAAAGGCCTTAAGGGATGGAATTGGGTCCGACATTGTGACTGGCGAGGGAGCGCGCAATTAGTTAGGGGACAACACGCGATGTTGAAGTATGCGAATTTGTGCTAGTTGCATTTGCATTAAGCTTTTGGATGACCTCAGGTCAGAACTTTTTGAGAGCATGATGATGTCGATGATGTGCAGTGACCGACACTTCTTCATGCGTTTTTTATCATTTGACCAAAATCCCTGTAAATTATAAATTGCCGCCAGGATAACAGGCCTCCTAAATGCATGTTCGAGAGCAGCCTTTTTCGCACTAACTATTTCTGCTGCGAGGTCTTCCCGCGGGATAGAGTGAGCCTTCCAACGACGCCTGGACCCTTGTCCGAACACGGTTGGGTGCAACATCCATGAGTAAGCTGTGGGTTCGGCCCAACTGTGCGGAGTCGGGGGCCGTTGGACGACAGTCGTACAGGTCGGCTGGGTCAGCGGGTCAACGCTGTGTACCGGTCAACATATAAAACGCTAACGCCCGGCTGGGTTATCATTCAGTAATTCACCAGTATTCTCAGCTTATCTCTCTACAAACCTACTAGTTTCCCCCATACTTTATTTCTCTACCATGTCTACCGAGGTCAAGGCTCCTGAGGTCAAGGCTGTCAAGCCCAAGGCTGTTAAGCCTAAGACCGTCCCTACCCACCCTCCCTACATTGAGATGGTTACTGCTGCTATTGTCACGCTGAAGGAGCGCGACGGCTCGTCCCTGCCCGCTATCAAGAAGTTCATTGAGACGAAGTATGGCAAGGTGAGAGCCGCTTGCGGAATACATCCTATTAGTTGCAAAGCCATAAATACATATATTGATATTAGCCTATTAATAGGCTCGTCGCCATTCGTCGAGGTACTTTTTTGGGTCAGCCATTGACGATGTCGGAACGTTTATTCTTCCCTACAGGACATCCACGACAAGAACTTCCCGAAGACGTTGTCCCAGGTGCTTAAGACGTTCGTCAAGAACGGCAAGCTGGTCAAGGTGAAGTCTTCCTTCAAGCTGTCGGATGCCCTGAAGACCAAGGTCAAGTCTGCCGCGAAGAAGGCTGCTGCCCCCAAGAAGGAGGCTAAGCCGAAGAAGGAGGCCGCTCCCAAGAAGGCCAAGGTAAGCCGCATATCGCTTGACCCACAATGGATAAAATTGCTGTACGATTGTTTCGTGCATCCTAACGCCAACTTCGACCGTAGGCGCCGAAGAAGGAGGGCGAGAAGAAGGAGAAGAAGCCCAAGGCCGCTAAGAAGCCTGCTGAGAAGAAGCCCAAGGCCGTCAAGAAGGCTGAGAAGGTTGGTCAAAGTTCCAAGTTCCGCAGTTGACTCATTGCGGTGTCTCACATGCTAACGATATATTGTTCCTCCTTTGCAGCCGAAGAAGGCCGCTGCTGCCAAGCCCAAGAAGGCTGCCCCTGCCAAGGACGCCAAGCCCAAGAAGGCCGCTGCCCCTAAGGCCAAGAAGGCCGCTGCGCCGAAGAAGGCTGCCGCTCCCAAGCCCAAGAAGGCCGCTGCTCCCAAGCCCGCCAAGTCCCCTAAGGCCAAGGCTGCCCCCAAGCCCAAGGCTCCTAAGGCCGCTAAGGCCCCCAAGGCGCCCAAGGCTAAGGCTGCCCCCAAGAAGGCCGCTGCCAAGAAGGCTTAAGGTAGCGGAGAGCTGCCTATGGCGGTGAAGAACCGTCAGATACTACTTTTCTCTTCCGGTCTAACCGGCTAAATCGGTGTTTTTCAACACCACCACCATGGGACCATCACCGCTTTACAGTGCCCACCCGGTTCCGCCCAAGATTGTCCGCCAGCTCATTGCTGTAGGGCAAAACAACTTTCTCCTCGCATACACCGGTGCGGCAGCGATTGCCTGGGCGCTTGTCACGTCTGCATCCCACTGCCTTCCTGCACTCGCGGCTTAATCACGTACATGCGGACCTCGAACAGCTCCTTTGGCCAGTTGCGCTGCTTGACGTTGTAGAGCACCTACACCATTGGGGTAAGGCACATTCCACTTCTTGTCACTTAAGGCTTTCCTGTGTTGTGGAGCAATGCTGGTCTACTAAGCAGCTATAGCTAATGGTCCTCGTATGCGTTCCCGTGCCCCAGGCCATGGAATCATACTTAAAGTGACCGAGGCGCTTTGGAGCCGTGTCCCTGCATGCACCTGCTGTGATAACCCCTATGCCAACGGCCTACCTGCACTCCTGCCCGCTCGAACAGGTCCAGCATGTAGGTGTTGGAACGCGTGAGGGAGGAGTCGTCCTTGTCCACCACGAACCCCTCCCTGCATGCAAGCAAGCAAGAGACCCACGGGTCAGCGACGTGGTAGGCATCACCATTGGGGCTCGATCATGTGCGGTCTGTGCAGCTCTCCTGTCTAAACACGTGGTTAGTCATGCCCTGTATGGCTTTAGCTTTGCCTAGCCCGCAGGCCAAGCACGCACTTGCAGATGTTCTCCTTGACAAAGATGAGGCCGTCAGGCTTGAGGCCAGCAGCCGCGCGGTGGAACAACGTGATGAAGTCGACTGCGAATGGGATGTCACACGGGAGCTTTAATGACTGAGGGAAGAACATGACTAAGGTGTTCCGCACATGGAGTGCTCAAGGGAGGCGTACGGGCAATCGCTGCGTAAAGACTGACATTGATAATATGTAGCATTTGCATGCCGAGGATGCCGGACGTTGTTGGCAACAATTGCCCCGCCAAAAGGAGACACAGCTGAGAGAGGGAAAGTGGGAGGGGCCATCACGGAGCGTATTCGGCACCTGCCATCAGTTGTGTGGCTATCAACCTTACCGTCTGTTAGGTAGAGCAAGCACCACTGAATCCAAATGGCGTCGTACCTGCGTGCGGAGAACACCGTACTGTTACACATTGTTACGAAGGTGTAACAGGGGCGGGTCTACGATGACAGCATGGCCGACACTCTTACCTCCCGGGTTCGAAGTTGTGCTCCTGTAGGATTGAAGTCATGTTCACCGAAGTAAAGCCATGTGCATGGGGTAGGGTGAGGGGAAGCCGTCAGTGGAAGGGTTTGCTGGAAGAGCATGAAGCCGTGCAGTTAACCACAAGGATACCGCTGGACAGCATAGTCATTTCGCTTGTCCTTGAAATCATTGCCAGACAGCAGCGCTTCCCCCAGTCACATCACCACCTTCATTAATGAAACGTAAGGAGAGGCGTTGCGCTTGGTGGCAAGCTTGCCATTTGCTTCACACTGCTTCACACTACCCATGGGTTAATCACGCCGCACCTGCAGTCCGGCACAGTACAGGTTCCCAACCGTCCCACGCGGCTGCGGTACCGTGCGTGCTGAGAGGTTCTTGCCTGCGGCAGGCACGACAGACGAACGGCAAAAGCGTTAGGTAACTCACTAGCGACATACATACCGGGTTCAAGGAAAACGGCATGGGAAGATCCCCCCTTGCCCTTGCCCACACGCCCACTCTCGTATTGTGCTTCTTCCCCTTCCCCGTCCACCCCTACGGTGTCCAGCACAGCTGCCATGCGCTCAAGCTTGAAACCCCAACTTAGCTAACCGTCGCCCATCAACCCACATGTGCCGGCGTCCCTGCCGGTTTGCCCTTTCCGCTGCTCCTACAACACGGTCCCTTACCCATTCGACGCCCTCACATCCCACACAGCCCAGTTGCCAAACCGGTGCGTCAAGCCCACGTGGATGTGGTGCCTCTAGGAGGTCGCGATGCATCACTTACCAGTCAGGCATCACTAGCCACCCCTTTCCGACATGTGTAGATTCTTACCATCCCTAGCCCTACACTCTAGGCCGCTTACCCGCCGTTATAGGGCATTGGGGCCCAGCTGCTTCACTTCTTGTTGCTTACCCAACTGCTACCTACCTTCCTACCACCCCCAGCCCTCACCCCTCTCTACCCAATCACTCATGCAGCGTGCCATCCCAGCTTGTCCGTTTCCTCCATCCTACCCACCCCAGCCAATGTGGGGTTGAATAAGGTTTGTTTGCCAGTCTCATTCAACACATTGGGTACTCTTCATTTCCCCCACCCCTTCACCCGCCGTATCCAGCAGGTGTCGTGAGGGCTCCAGCAGGTCCACCGCGTGGAAGTGGTGCCGCAGCAGCTGCTCCGTGACCCGGCCCACTCCCGCACCGCAGTCTGGGGGCAGGCAGGGGGGCAAGCATGGACAGCAACGCAGCAGGGACGGGGCCAGGTTACAGAATGTGTCAAACAGCTACGTACACGTATGGACTTCGGAAGGAGGAAATTGAATGTTGTACAGCAATGTATGAAAAGAAACACGCGGTATAAGGGTGCAAGGTGAAGGTGCGTGGTGGACAGCGAAACAAAGAGAGGTGCCTGGTTCAGATTGGTAGCTGAGGAAAGCTTGAATGGGGAAGGCGAAAGCAGGCTGAGCTGGTCCCTCCCTTGCTCAGGTGGAACAGGGCCTGCCGTTTCCGGCAGCGGCGGCCGCAGCGGAAGCTGCTGAGAGAGGAAGCAAGGGACCATCAGAAAGGCCGTGACATGGTATTCTGACACCAGGTATGCGGCACCAGGTCCTCGGGCCCACCATCAATCCACATGTAGCGCTCGCCGCAGTGAAGGCCGCCCTACTACCGGAACATGCCAGCCCCAGTGTAGCGCACACCCACCTAGGGCGGTTAGTTGTCGTTGCCCCTTGTCAGCCGCCTCCAGCTGCACCCGCATGGACTGCAGAGGCGGGGAGGCAGGGAACGAGAGGCGGAGGAAAAAGGGGGGCGGGGTGGGAACACCGAAGGAGGGAGGTATGGGGTTCAGTGCCTCAGTGGCATGGTTAAGGGCGGGTGGTCAAGTGCGAACGTACCTTGAGCAGCAACGCCCGGCTGTCCCGCACATCCAGATCTGAGGTGTAGCCAAAGCCGCCCAGCACCCCGTTGTACGACGCCTCCTGCTGGTCCCAGTACGACACCGCCTTCTGGTACCTGAAGCAAGAAAGACAATGCAGAGAGAATACACAATGGAAGGGGTTGCATGACAAAATTGAAAATCGTTAAATTAACACCGCAAAGTTGCCAGGTAGCTTTGCAGGTTGAATCCGGGGTCCTCTGGAAGTTGTCGAACGTGGTTTGTTTGCAGAGGCTGGTGCAGCTGCTGCTCCGCCGTAGTGTTGTCGTACCATGTGTTGTGCTTGCCGTCGGAGTCCGCCTCTACAGCCCAGAGCTCATCCGGGGAATGGAATTCCTGAAGGGAGGTCGGGTTTGGGGTTGTAAGTTCCTGTGCTGCTGCTTGCCTCCTGGAAACCCCTGAGGCCCCATACAACCCTAAACAGCGGAACTGTAGCCCCGGTTATCCAGCCGCGTATTAACGATCAGCCAAGCCTTACCCGCCCCTCTCCGTCGTGGCCTTTCAGGTTGCCGCTCATGGTGCCTCCTCACGCACGCCACTGATGGCAACAGCCACTCCCTTCTAGCCGCGATTACTTGCTGCTGAGTCTGCCTTGTAGTTTCTTCGTCCTCTATTTACCGTCCGTAAGAAAAATCTAACTGGCGATTTTCGCTTCCCAAGCCGTTTACAAATGAAATGCCCTTCCCGCCTGGCCGCCGCGGTTCTTTCGGATGTCAGAATATAGAGTGTGAGTTGTTTGAGTAAAGCGACATAGGTTTACTGCTCCTTGCGCCTTGCCTTTCCAAGTTACAGCCACTGCGCTTGCTGCATTTGGAACTGGCATCGCGGCCGTACGCATATGGCTCGTCCAGTTACCAGAAGTATTGGATTCCTTTCTTCCAACAGTCGCGTTTTTTTCATCATACCTCTAACATCTTGGTAGGACTAATGCTGAATCGAAACTTATGATTCTGAGACAACCCATTTCCTTGCCGAACTAGCAACCTTGCATAGATGCTGGCGCCATCCTATGGATTGCAAGGCAGATGTAGGAGCAGTACGTATGCTCCGTTAGAGCTTCGTTTTCGTGCGTCGGCGACAGCACACTGCTTCGCCAGGGCACGGGTGGATGGGATTCGGAGAGTCGCTACAAGGGTTGCCGTAAGCGCCACCGCCACCCTAACAGTAGACGCCGTTTCCAGGTAGCGTTTTCAGCGCATCGTTACGACGGCGCGGTTGAAAAACACTTAGCTTCCTGGTCTACTAAATCCATAGCCTTCCTTTCCTCCCTGCCTCAGCAAGCAACCCAGCACCTACAAGATGCCTCCAAATTGTCTGCTCCCCCACACGGCGTTCCCTCCGAGTCAGCCCCAATTACCATCCCAGCAACCGGTCATACTTGCCTCAAACCCAAACCCTCCTGAAAACCGAATCCCTGAAACCTTCCCTTTCTCCCTCCCCTCCCTGCGGCCCCCAGCCACGCCACCTCCTTACCCGAATCTGATGCTGCCGGCGAAGCGCTCCTACGGTGGGCCTGCCACGGCTGGATTCCTCCCCATCCAGACGCCCCCACCCTCGCCCGCTTCCCTGCTGCCGCCGCGCCATCACCAACAGCTGCACCAACAGCTATAAGGCCGGCGGCCGCCCCCGCACCCGTGCTGCGAGTGGGTGTTGCTGACGTGGTGATGGCGCGGGGGCGGCCGGGTGCGGGTCGCGGGCTGGTGGCGCTTGCTGACGTGGCTCCCGGGGAGGTGCTGCTCAGTGTGCCGCTCAGCCGGGTCTTCAGCAGCCAGGTAGGGGAAGGAGGAAGGGGCTGACGAACTGGCTATACTGACTGCTTGCACCGGGATAACAGGGACTGACGAACTAGCTTTGTAAGAAGGCTTCAACATGGTAGGGGGACAGCCGGGGGCAGCAAACAATGCTGCAAGCAAACATGGGTGCGGGAGAGAGGGTTGGCAGTGGCCAGGTAGGAAGGATCAGGCGCGTGGTGCCGACCGCAGCACATGCGAATGTGGAGATGTGTACCAAGTGCCGTACAGCATTCTGCTGACGAGCCCTGCTGGTGCACCGCTTGCATGCGCCCTCCAGCGCTTTGCTCCCACGCAATCCCTTTCCTCTTGACTCCCATGTTTGCATGGCGGACTGTGCGCCCGATGGGACCACTGGATGACCCCCAACACAACACATGTGTGCAACATTGAAGCCGAATTCGGAGCTGCATTGGTCGGCTGACATGGCTCTGCGGCTGCTGCGGGCGAGACACCGAGCACAAACAGAAGCAGCAGCCAGGGCCGCAACAGCAACAGCAGGGGAGGGTGAAGTGTCGTTGTCTGCAGCCAGGGACGTGCATGCTGTTGATGAGGATATGGAAGGAGAGGAAGGAGAGGGGCTGGAGGAGGATGAGGAGGAGCAGGTGGACTGGGGTCCGTGGATCCGGATGCTGCCCTCTGCCGTACGTACACCACTAGAGTACGACGATGCGGAGGTACGGCAGCTTGGCTGTCCGTACGTCATTGAAGAGGTTCGAGCCATGCAGCAGTGCATGCGTGACTGCTATGAGGTAAGCGGCACTGAGAGGAAGATTGCGCTGCAGGGATGGCTATCTTGTACTAGCCACAAGGCGAATGAAGAGAGCGACTATGAATAAATGTTAACACGTATCTGGTAACCTCAACGCCATACAGGTAGTGCGACAGGAGGTCGAGTCTCTGGGTTGTGGCTGGAAGGACTTCTTGTGGGCAGTGCAGGTACGAATCAGAGCTGCTGAGGGCAGAATGATGCGACTGATGATGGGGGTTGCGGCCATTGGTTGCGGCCGCTTTGTAGGGGGGCCCACTTGCTCCGGTTGGCTGGAAGGGCCGGCGGCTTTCCACCAATGTGGCCAGCGTCGTTTGCGCAGAAGGGCAGGCGCGGAGGAAGGCACGCGCGCACGCTGCGTTCGGGTTCTCGGTGTATACCGTAGTCGTATTACTACCGGTATCCATCGGGATGGTGCTTTCAAAGCGAGGGCGGGCGTTAACCTGTCCATGTCCCTGCTACCGGTACCAGTAGACTCTTGCCTTTCCCAACTGCCCCAATCGCCCCATCAGGTCTTCCACAGCCGCTGCTTCTTCGAGCCCGTCAGCGGCCGCCACCTGTGCGTCCCGGGAGTGGACCTGGCCAACCACCGCAGCAGCAGCAGCAGCCATGGTAGCAGCAGCGGCAGTGATGACAGCAGCAGTGGCAATAGCGGTAGCAGCATGGGCAGTAGCAGAAGCTCTGGCAGCAGTTGCAATGGCAGCAGTAGCACTGGCAGCAGCAGCAGTAGCAGGTCGGGTCCCTCTGCGGTGGTGCGGTTGCAGCACTCCCCGGCCGCCTGCCAGGGGTATGCGGCGGAGGCGGAGGTGGCGGAGCCGCCGCCTGCGCAGCCCAGTCGCTTCCTGTTGGTGGCTGGGGAGGAAGGCATACGGTGGGTGCGTGGGGGGTTTTGGGGTGGTGGACGCTTTGGGGTGTGGCTGCTGGGGCTTGCGGATTGTCTGGGGTGTCGTGGGAGGCATGCAGGCATCTATGCGGAGCAGGGTCAAGCTGACATGGTGAAGACCCAGGGGTCGGAGTCCGTAGCCGAGATCGGCTGTATGCGGCTGAGCAACCGAAGACTGGCGGCAGCGGCAGGCCTCCTGCTGCGCCACACTCACACCTACCCTTCGGTTGCACTTGGATTTCTTTATCCTTTTACCACACCTCACACCTCACTTCTTACACTTTTGACATTAACCATCGCTGCTATACACGTTTATACGTCGTGCCTGCGTGATGTTTCTGGTGCCGTTCCCCAGGTGCGGCGAGGAGGTGACAATCAGTTACGGCAGTTGGCCCTCAGAGGCCTTCCTGCTGCTCTTCGGCTTTGTACCGCCATCTTCACAACCGCCAACGGCCAGCAACTCCAACGGCCCTTGCGGAACTGCGTCGTTGCCCAGGCCAAGCCCAGGAGACTGCTTGGTCTTGTTTCGAGACGCGGAGGAGGCAGTCCGATGGTTCTTGACTGCTGCTGCCGCCGCCGCCTCAGTGGGGGAAGCAATTGTCGAGGGAGAGCAGCGGCTGCAGGAGAAAAATGCGGAGGAATCCTCGAAAGGTGCGTACTGCATTTTTAGGGCGGCGCAGGAATGCATGAGGTGTCGCTTGCCCTGAGTCGCCTAGGACACGGTGGCTTGGGAGTCAAGGAACAAAGAGTTGTCGCGTTGACATGACACGTTCGCTTATAAGGAGCCCCTGTGGTACCGGTACCATTTAACTCCCCTCCGTCCGTGCCGACCTCTGGTTCCCTGGACAGGAGTGATTACGGACACGCAAACGGAGCGTATTGTTAAAGCTTCCTTGGCTGAACTGGCAACGGCTATGCCCGACGATGACCTTACGAACTTGGTCGTCACGCCGGAAGGCGTCGACGGTCGGTTGCATGTCCTGCTCGATGTGCTGTCCAAACAGCCTGGAACCCAGCTGATTAAGCGCCAGGAGTTACTTGCCCAGCGCATCCGTGAGCGTCTAGGTGACTTTAACGCAGCTAGCATGGTTGCCCGAGAGGAGGTAGTGCGGTCTTTCCTGCGGAGCAAGCAGGCAGTTGCAATGTGCGCGTTAAACAGGTTGACATAACCCATATCTTAAACTCTGTGAGTAAGAAATTAGGATGAAAATGCGCCGGGATTTGCTTTGTAAAGGAAATGAGCAATCGGCGACTGTAGATGCTGTGGTTCCGGTTGGACGAGCCGGGAACAATTCCCAGCCCCCACCATGGTTTACGCCATTGACGAATAGGAGTCATAACCTTTGGACTAGCACCTCTTCGCAATTGCAGTGCGCAGTAATTTGACGACGGTTCGTTGTGAGTCCTCACTTGTTGCGCAAGTCATCTTCGACCATTTAGTCTAGTCATGGCTGAGGAAGAGCTTTACGGAGAGGAGCTGGGTGAGGGCGAGGAACTGGGAGAGGGAGAGGGCGATGGCGAGGAAGTAGGCGAGGATCTTGAGCAAGGCGTTGAGGTACGTTGCGAGGCAAGGTGGGAACAACCTGTATGCGATTCCCTTTGATGTCCATGCCTTGGCCCGCCTGGTATTATAGGAGCTGGAGGCCCTAAAGCGCAAATTGAAAGAAATGGAGGAGGAGGCTGCCCGTGTCAAAGCGGTATGTGCTGTCCTTGTAAGCATTGTCATCATTTGGGGCGCAATTTTGACGGATTAACGTTCGGCGCCGTAGGCGGGTGCCGGTGACGCAGCAGGGGCAGGAACTTCAGGCGCCGCCGGTAACGCGGCGGCTGCAGCAGCTGCCGCGGCGGTGGCAGCAGCGCAAGCTGACGTGGAGAAGGCGGAGATCGACTCCCGCTCCATATACGTGGGCAACGTGGACTACGGCTGCACGCCGGAGGAGCTGCAGCAGCATTTTGCGGTGGGTTTGGGGTTGTGGAAGGGTTTGCCGTACGTCGGAACATCGCAGCCTAGCCTCCGGTGTGAGCCTCCTTCCTTTACAAGCCTGTCCCGCTCCACGTGACACCTAGGCGCATGCCCTAGCCCACATGTCCTCATGCGCAGTCCGTGCTAGCTGTATGGGCAGTACCTCGCTGCATCACACGCATGCTGCATGTTTATATTGGCAATCCACCACACCGCATCGGTACCGGCACCCATGCCTTCACCACAACCTTGCTACCCTGTGAGCTGTGAGCTACCCTTTGCTACACACCCCGCGACACTAACCGTTGTCACTAACCGCTGTCGTGCAGCAATGCGGAACCGTCAACCGCGTAACCATCCTAACGGACAAGTTCGGGAACCCCAAGGTGCGTTTGCAAGCGAGGTTCATGCGGGGTTGGTTGCGTGCCCATAACCATGTCCGGGTAGCCGCCAGTGCAGTCCTTTGCTCAACAAACACCACAAACCGCCGGGTGCACTCGCTTTGCCCCGTTGCGTGCCCATAACCATGAACCCCGTGTCCCCGTGCAATCCGTCCCGCTCCCTGCCCACTCACCCTCCCCAATGCACCCCGTTTCCCGTACCTTCCTCAACCCCATCATCACTCCTCCGTCACCTCCAACGCCGCCTCTCCACCCCACCTGCACCAGGGCTACGCCTACGTGGAGTTCCTGGAGGTGGATGCCGTACAAAACGCCGTACTGCTGGACAACTCGGAACTGCGAGGCCGCCAAATAAAGGTGGGTACAATGTGATGGGTTCATGTGCTGGGTGCCGCGTGCTGCGCGGGACCGGGTGCCGGCCGGTCACCTGGGGAGGGGGGTCAAAGACCATAACAAACCGTAGGGAACCACAGGTTAGGGGGTTGCTATGATGGATGGGTAGGGCGGGAGGAGCTGGAGGCAAGTGCAGGGGCAGCAGCGAGGGAAGGTCGCGGGCGGTCCTCGGCCCGAAAGAGGTGGTATGAAAGGAGCATGGTAGGGACGCATGGGTTGCAACTTGTGGCGGCGCTCGCTGCTGCCCAGTAAGCAACAGTTCCCCCCAGCAAGCAGCGACTGTGGGGCAGCCTCAGCAGCAGTGGCAAGGGCGGCAGCAGCGGCGGTGGGAGGAAGGTCCTCCATAGCGCGCAGCAGGAGAGTCCCAGGACTGCGGCTGGGGTCGCAGGAGGAAGTGGGTCCCTGCTGGTAGCAGGGTAGCAGTGGTAGCATCCGGCTTGTTACCGGTAACAGCGTCGGCCCTGAGGAGCAGCATGGGACCATGGGGAGGGATGAAGCAGGTTTCAGTGGCACTGGAGGAGGCAGGGGTGACGTGGAGGAGGAAGGCGGGGAAGACCGGTGGGAAACCAACATGTGTAGCTGCTTGCGGCTTGGCAGCATCAGTTGTGCAGCAGCAGGGGGCGGCATGACGCGATACTGCGCAGCTGTTACAGAGGGGCGAGGCGGAGGCGGGAAGACCCGTTGCATGGACACAGCTCACAGACAGGAGCAGGGGCTTGTGGGGAGTCCGGGTGGGGCCATAGCAGCAGCTGCTGCAGCGCCCGCTGCTTGTTATTGTTGATGTTGTCGAGAGGTGCACCAAGTCGTTTGCGGCGCTTCCACATCGCCTCCCCCTCCCGTCTCGCACTTCCAATCTCCCCTCCTACTGCTGTTAGGCCCTACTACGACATGTCCCCCTCCCTCTCTACCCCGCATCCTGCCCGCGCCCCTATCACCACCTGCTGTCATCCTGCCATGTGCACTCAGAAAGGTCGACACCCTCGCAACCCCCACCACCCTATAACCAGCCCATGCTGCTACCGCCGCTCCTCTCCTCCCATCTCCCACCCTCAGGTCGTCCAGAAGCGCACCAACGTTCCGGGCTTGAAGGCGGGTCGCGGGCGGGGTCGGGGTCGGGGTCCGCCCGGCGGCGGCTACTACCCGGCCCCCTACTACGGCGGCCGGGGGTACTTCCCGCCGCCGCACCGGGGCCGAGGGGGCTACCACGGAGGGGCACCCGGGTAGGGCCGGGAAGGGTGGGGTGGGGTGCTGGAGGGAAGGGTGGAGTACATGGGAGGGCAGGTGAAGGTAGTGTTGGGGGTTGGGTAGTGTTGGAATGGGAAGCTGCATTGGAGGAGTGGGGTGAAGGATTAGCATGCCATGTGTGCTGTGATGTGCTGTGAGGTGGAGGATGTGGTGGGGGGCTGGAAGGGGAAGGGTTGCTAATCTGCGTCTGTGTTTCGTGCTTAAGGGCGTGATACCTTTGCCAGGCCGAGCTGTGTGCTCACACATGTTCCTGTAGAAGTCATGCAAGGGCGGGGACATGCTCGATGCATACCTGCATCGGCCCCAACACCCTCTGAAACCGCTGTTGTCTTATCTTCAGCTGCCGGGTACAGTACCTACCTCGAGCGCTCCGCCACCTGATTTGCCTTGCCGCCACCTTTCCCCTCTTGCGCTCCCGCAGGTTCGCTCCTCGCGGACGTGGCCGGGGCCGCTTCTACGCCCCCTACTAGGGCGCCACTGCTGCTGCTGCTGCAGTGGCCTCATTGGGAAGCCTGCAGGGGCCTTGCGCGCCATGAGAGTGCGGTATGGCATTGAGACGTTAACTTGCGCACGTCGGCGTTTGTAGTAGAGGAGTTAAGTGGCGGGATGTGGGGAATAGCATTGACGATCGGACAACGAACACGTCCAGTATGACAGAAAGAGACGTCGATACACTGTTGGTTGGTTTACTCGACACAGGAAACGGAGGGAGGATGTACGGTTGAGCAACGTGGATGACGTTGGGTGTCTGACTGACGACACAGGCGCAGCTAACGTGCGCGCATTACCTGTAGGATTGTGGCATGGTCGATGTTGTCGTGTTGGATTTGGTGCGTCAGGGTATGGCTGGGTAAAGATGCGTGCTGAAGCAGTTAAACGGTGGAGCACGTTGAGCATTGAACCGGAATGCGCAAGGGTGGGTTGCGAAGCTTCAGAGGGTTACCGGAAGCGTAGTTGACAACCCCTCCTTATACGTAACATCCCACGACTAACGTGAGATGGGAAGTTAAGAGGATCGGTCTTAAAACTTGGCCCCTGGTTTGTGAGAGGTACACAGCATGGTTAGGGCTTTCCGGGGGCTGATGCCGCAGCGGTTGCAACTGAGTTTACCGACGTACACAAGAGTGGCAGCGGTTGCGACTGGGGTTTCCGACGTACAGGACAGTAGCATTGTGCACAATACTGATCGGACAAGTTAGTTGTAAGGAAATGACCGTCCGTCGCGGGAACACGGTCTCGCACACATCACGGTTGTCGGCAGCTGGCCATGGCACTTTTTCTATGTTACTCGCGGCCACCTCGGGCATATCTATGCCGTACGTCTTCAGCTTATGGGAAGGTAAGAAAGGGCAGTGCCAAGAACCCGTCATCTAATTAGTTTGCCCACTTCTAGTAGCTACCAACCTACCGGTTTAGGTGACAGGACTTCTATGATTACACTGTAGCTTTCTCTGTGGAAAAATGGCGTCGGCAGAGGAGTCGCGGTGCGTGCTGTACGACGCGTATTACGTGCAGCGAAGCAAATAAATATCTTCAGATCAACTCCACAAGTGAGCGTTCGTTGCAATTGCTATATGTATACACGTATACTGCGTGACGTCGTCCTACTTTTTCCGACGCCCGTGCACCCGACACGAAAAGAGTGCGCTATCGAAGGCTTACTTTATAATACGAGTCATACACCAAAGCTTAATACTTACATCCTAACCGCCGAACTTGGGATTGAGGGGTGCTGTATGGAGCGTAAGTAGTGATGGGAACGTAAATGGGTTGTGCAACTAGCGCTCCCCTTGTAAATGAGACGGAGCATTTACAAGGAAGTAAGCAATATGGTATTGACGGGGGCAATGATCAATTGGAACGGAGCAGCTCTAACAGGGAGAAGTCATTTGCGTGCGAGTTAACCGAGGTGAGATGCCCCATTCACGCTGGGATACAAAGAAACAAGCATGATCCCTATTATTGTTGTGGATAACGACGTATCTATCTTCCCTACTAACCGCCGACACTTACATTGAACGGCGCATCCGACAGCTTGTAAACGAAGCCATAAATGGCTCTAAGCCAAAGGACGTCTGGATCATTCTTTGCAAATGTGTCGATCTTATATGTTCTACCTTTGACATCAAAACATGCAGGTATGTTTTGCGGGGGGATAGAATGGGCTCCGACGTTTTGAAACTAATATGAAACGCGGCGTATCGTATGCAGCATCATTATTTACACACCGAGCGGACTTCACTGCAAAATATCCTGCAACACGGGATCAGTGTTAAACGACCTTATTCAACAATACCCGGACGCGCTGCCTGCGGATGCGCTGGGCGTGGTCACCCCGGTTGTTACGAGCCAAACGAGCTTGTCCCTTAAGGTGGAGTAAATTATCCCTGGTTACATGATAACTTGTTGTAATATTCCTGCGTCTAAAAATGATTGCCGTACTCTTCCTTTACCTGCTTCTTCGCATCCGTACCCGTAAAGCTCGGTGATGAAGCCTGGGACTCGCTGGTTCGGGAGTCACCCGCTGACTTTTCACTGCTTACCGGCTCACGTGGAGGATGTACGGCGCTTGCCGTACTGCCACTCGCTGGGGGCCTAAAATGCCCGGGTGCTCTGCTGTTGGGGCATTCGGCGCCGCTGGGGCCTATGCTGCAGCAGAGGTGCGGTGAAGGCAGCAATGTCCGGGTGGTGGGCGCCCACACAGGAATTCAGGACTACCGTATAACCATTAACGAAGCATCATGACAAAGGGTGCGGAGGTTTGCACAGAATCACTGCAATTTCCACCACTCCAATCCCCTCCCAACCCCTCAGTTTACCTAATCCCATCCCAAACTTTTACGCCTGCCCCTCCTTCCTTACTGCCCACAGCGCTTTTCCCTCCCCAACCATGTTGCCCATATCAATGTTTTGTATGGCTGTCGTAACCCCTTCTCCCTCTCCTCTGCTTCCTCTCCCCGCTCCCAAAGCTGGCTGGCCACGCTGCTGCCGCTGCTGAGCCTCTTTCTGTCGGAGACTCCCCTGCAGCGCACGTTAAGCCTCGTGGAGCGGGTGGTGGAGGCGGGCAGTCTGAGCGGGCTGGCGTTCGCAGTGGTCTCGGAGCTGGGAGATGTGTTCGAGTGGTGCCACCGAGAGGAGGTGGAAGCGCGGCTGGTGATGCTGGGGGCAGGTGGGCGAGGCGGGGGGGGGAGCGGGGGGCGAGTGAGAACCGCATAAGAGGGGTTTGTGGCTGAGCATATTGGTACGGAAGCGGGACCGTAGACGGGTACTTGTAGGGTGACGGCAATAAGGGGGGCTGGCGGGTGGGTGGAGAGAGCCTTGAACCAGCAAGCTGGGAATCCTGAAGGGGCCGGAAGCGTACCGGTAGGACCGGTGGTGGGGCGGAACATGGGTTATGGTTATGGGGCGGTTGGGGCTGGGGTTCGTGGCATCGTTGCGCTCTTACCTACGCTGCAGCCAACCTACACTCTGCATGCCGTTACTTGCCGTACTGCCTCCTACACACACGCAGAGGGCGACACTGCCACGGTGTATAGCAAGGCGTGTCCCCCCTCTTCTGCTACTGCTGCTGCCGCTGCTGGCCCCAGCTTTATTGAGGAACGCAACTCGGCTCGCTCTGGGGCCTCCATGTCCCTCTTGACTGCGGTGAGCAGGATGGCGGGGAGGGAAGGAAGGTGCGAAGGTCACACAGGGGGCGGCTGCCGGCTTGTTTGGGGGTGGCTGGGAATGAGGTATCACCCTCCCTGCCTGCCTTCCTCCCTCCCTGCCGCTCCCTGAAACCGCCTGCCACCCCCGCCACCTACAGCGGAGCGGTGCGGTGTCCCTGCCCGACGAGAGCCCTCTGGTGGTGGGAACACACATGTCGCTGGACAACACACTCACCAAGCGCTGTCTGTCGGGCCGGCAGAGGCTGCTGTTCGTGGCAGATGTGATGCAGGTGTGTATGGGGGCTTGGGTAAGGAAAGCGCCATGCTGTACGGCAATATGCCACAAGTGCATATGCCTGTACACAGTTCCGCTGCTAAGGTGGAAGGTCAGATGAAGGGTTGGCATAAACGAAACTGGCATGCATGAACTCCCACCTCGCACTCACACCTTCTGGCCGTACAACTAATCCCGCGCACCCTGCCTGCCCGCCCTCACCCGCGAATAGGCACTCAAGCTGTACGGCGAGCCCTGGAAGGACATTTTCTTTGACAACGCTGCCGTGGTGACGCCCTGCTGGGTGCTGGCGGCACCGCTGGTGCAGGAGGGCAGGAAGCTGGGAGCCGTGATCTGGCTCTCCTCCACCAGGTGGGCGTGTAGGGCCGGGGGTAAGCCTCCTTCTTCCCGGAGGTTGCATGTGTGCCACACAACACAACCCCTATGCCTGATTTTTCTGGGCTGCCCGCTGCTTCCCGCAGGGTTAACTCCGACGTCCTCATGCGCACCGCCTCCATCTGCGCCTCGCCCATCATCCACGCAATCACTCGTGCAGCCGCACTGCACCGCCTCGGCACCACCGGCCTCAGCGCTGCAGGCGGCGGCGGCGGTGGCGGCCTTCCTTCCGCCAGCAGCGGCCTCCTGGCCCGGCTGCCCAGCGCTGCCGGGCAGGGGCTGCATAGCGGCGGCGGTGGCTTGGGCCGGGGGCTGAGTCTGGGTATGGGCGGTGAGGCGAACGGCATGGGGGCAGCAGCAACAGCAGGAGCAGCGGCGGCAGCGGCAGCCTCTGGTGGTGGAGGGAACCAGTCGTTCACACGGCAGCCATCCAGCGGCCGGCCCTCCAGTAACCTGTCGCGGTGGAAGCTGGGGCGGCCGGCGGGGCAGGCGGGAGGGGATGGGGATGCGGTGAGTGGTGTCTAGTCGCTGTGGCTGTAGGCCTGTAGGGGTGAAGCGGTGTTGGTGTTCAAGGGGTTGGAGGGACACATGGAGGGAGCGGTAGGGGGAGCTTGCGGGACTCACTTTGGAGCGGGGAGGCAGGGCGGTCATGAGTTCAGGTTAGGTTCAGACCTAGGGAAAGGTACGAGGGATGCTTGCGTGGTCACCGTGGCGGGAAGCAAAAGTGGAGGGGGCATGTATGTGTTCAAAGGGTTGGCCTGTATGCATACTTGATTCTAGTCGGTGGAAGGACGTGGTTAGGGCTCCTTATACAATTGTGCTTACCGCGAAAGCGCACCCTTTCTCACTCCTCCTCCTCCCTCCTCAGCCGGCTGGTCGTACCTCGCTGGACGGCGACCCGCTGGGTCTGGGGGACCTGGACTGCGTCCTGCGGAAATCGTTGTCGGACGTGCCCGTCAAGTGGGTTGCTGGGGGTCCACTGGGTGGAAGGGCCTAGAAAGGGGTAAAGATAACCAGCTAATGGGATGGGGCGAGCGGTTTTACCGAAGCGGGCTGCGAGGGAAACACTGACTGGAAGCGGCGCTGAAGACGATGGCTGGGGGCGGTGAAGTGGGAAACTGTTTTGGGGGAAGAACCCCAAACGAAAGCACCGCGGGTTTTGTGCCTCCTATATTCCGACCCTCCTATTTCCCTGGCCCATCCCTTCCGGAACCCACCTACCACCACCATCACCACCACCTCCAGGTTCGTGCTGCGCCACTCGCCCTCCACGGGCGCGCTCATGCGCATGTACCGCAGCTCCATTGCACAGCGGGCCGCACCCGCGGAGGAGGACCCTCGCTCGCCGGGTGAGTGTTTGAGGGTTTGGGTTTGCGTGCGTGGGTGGAAGCACAGCCACAGCCTCCCTTCCTTCTTTCCCCTCCTCTTGCCCAGCCTACCCTTATGGGGGTTATGTGACCTTTTCTTCCCGCATCCCTTCCCCATCTTGTCCTCCCTTCCACCCAGGCTCCGTTCATGAGATCCGCATCCTCTCCAAGGCTGGTGAAGGCGCGTTTGGCTCCGTGTATGTGGGCCGCTGGCGCAACCAGGTGAGCCGCCCTACCCTGGCTGGTGCCCTTGTCTACACGAGTCGCTGGATGCCCGAGTGGTCCCTGGGCTGGGTACAAGTTCATTTACCCTGGCTGGCAATCCCGTTGCCAGCCGGGGTTAAGACTGGCCGCGGGTACAAGACTGTGCACGCGGACTGACTGGCAACTGTTAATTGTAAACTATGTACTGTGGTCAAAACTAGAAACGAAACCGAGGAATCGCTGAACTGCAAGCGGGACTGGCGTTACCTAACTTGAACCGGCACAGAAGGAACTGACTAACCGGGTTCCCACCTGCACACGCCGGTTGCTGCGGCCCCCGCAGGTGATCGCCGCCAAGATCATTAAGGACACCGCCAGCGGCAGCAGGGCGCTCAAGACGGCCTGGGAGCTTGCGGTCAACAAGAGCCTGTCGCACCCCTCCATTGTCACGGTACGGTAGGGCAGGGCGCGGTAGGGCAGGGCAGGGTGCAGCCTGGGCAATGGCAGCCGCTGCTTGCTCCGCGGTGTATGCCATAATGCCGCATACTCCGCGTGCCACATTTGGCGTAGACTCATGTTGGGCCGTTCACCGCGTGTCCACTGAATGCGTGTCCCTTCTCTCCGTTCCAGTCCCTTTCTGCCGCTGTTATTACACATACACGCTCTCTAGCATAAGTAGCATTCCTACCGCCCCGTACCCCCCACGTACCGGCCTCCTGCTGCGCAGGTACATGCCATCCTGACGGACGTGCACCTGCAGAAGACCTCCACCCGTGTCCTCCGCTTCGTGCCCGCCGCCGCCCTGGAAGCCCAACAACAGCAGGCCGCGGCAGTAGTTGTCGCAGCAGTCAGTGCCGCACCCAGCAGCGCCAGTGCTTCAGTTGCTGCATCGGCAGTGGGAGCGATAGCAACGGTAACATGCAACGGCTCCAATGGCGGTGGGGGTGGTTGTGTCGCCGTCGCAGCTGAGACTCAGCAGCAGGCGGCTGGGCTGACGCGACGTCAGGGAGGCAACGGTTTGTCAGTCAGCAGCACCACCGCCGGGGCCACAGCGCCGACAGCGACTGTAGTAGCAGCAGCGGCAACGGCGCTCGCACCACCCCAACAGCAGCTGCAACATTCACCCAGCTGCCCCTTGCCGGCGGCCCACAGCGCACCCTCCGCGACCACGACAACGACAGCTGCCAGTAATGGCGGTGGCGCTGCTGGCAGTAGTACTGTCAGCGGTGCTGCAGCATGCAGCGGAGGCCCCACGGACGGGGGCTGTGGCTGCGTGTCTCAGACGGCGCCCGGAGCGGCTCAGCAGGGAGCTGCTTCACCAGGGGGGCCGGCAGCAGCAGCAGGAGGGCCAGCAGCAGCTGCAGCAGGAGGGCCAGCAGCAGCTGCAGCAGGCTCCTCGTTGGCACCCGCCTTGGGGCGTGAAAGCATGGGAGGGCTGAGTGTGGGCGCGCCGCCACCAGCCGCGCTTCTAAAGACCTCCAAACCGGCATCCCCCAAGGTGCATGTAAGTTCTGCCGCCTTCTCTGCAGCACTTACCTGTATCCCGGGTATTAGCTTTTGTCCTGCTTCCGCAGTCTCCGCACTCAAGCTATGAATGGCCTGCTGGCTTTGCTATGCCGTCTTACGCTTGCCCGCCCTTCACCCCTAGTTGTACTGTGCCCCGGTGCTCCCGGGCCTCCCCCTAGACTGCACACAGCCCCCAGGTCCTCATCCAAATCGGAGCCAACGCCCCAACCTTCACTGCACAGCGTAGGGCCGAACCATTTGCAGCACCTCTCGCCGTTCCCTCAACGCCTGCCGCCCTTAGGACCCTGCTCACCTAACCCTGCTCACCCGCCTCGCCGGACGCCATCCAGGCCATCCTCATGGAGTACTGCAGCCTGGGCGGTCTGCACAAGTACATAGACAACCGCATGTTCTTCAGGGACCGAACACCGCTTGACAAGGGTAAGGCTGCTGTACATGTGTGGGGAAATATGGCAGGGGCGCACGTATGTGTGGCGGCTACCAATTCGTGGGGCGTCACGCACTACTGGGACAGCCAGTTTGTAGGGTCCTCGTTAGGGATGCATGCTTGCACTGTGAGTGAATGAGTCATTCTGCACCCAATCCCAGCGCCCCTCTCCTCATCACCCCTCCTTCTCCTCCCCTCCTCCACAGCCTTGGACCCCTCTCGCAACCCCTCCGCCCCCGCCATCCCGCTGCCCCCGGAGAGCCTGCACATGGACTTCATCCTGGCAACCCTCAGCGAGGTCGCTTCCGCGCTGCAGTACCTGCATGCCCAGGTGGGGGCTGTCCTGGGGGCATGTTCGCATGCAGCAGTTCAAGGTGTTGCATGCATAGACGAGCGGCACCCCACTTACCTAGGGTGGGTTGCACTAGATTCCCGGGAGCATTGCAGGTATTAAGGCAGTGCCGAAGGTCGGATGGTGTGGGGAAGCAACTAGCAGGTTGCAACCGTGCATGTTCAGCGTGGCCGAGCAAGGAAAAGCACGTTTTTCGAGCTCTGAGCTCTGGGAGCCCTGTCATTAACGCCAGCCCGCGTCCGCCTAACCCCCACCAGGGATTCGTGCACTGCGACCTGAAGCCGGAGAACGTGCTACTCAAGGAGGCTAATAACCGGCGGGGCTTCACCGCCAAGGTGGGAAAGCAAGGGGCTACACGGGTTGGTGGGGGCAGGTCCGGCGATGCGGGTGGGGACGGGATGGAGGAGCCCATGTGGATGCGCTGTGGCTGGGTGGGCTTCACTGCTATAAGAGGAGATGTATGAAAGCTACCGGTAGTAGGCCTCACCACACGGGGCTTAACGCCCACTCCCTGCCTCAGCCCCTCCACCTGACTTTGATTCAACGTGCTGCGCCTCTACTCACACACCACACACCCCGCCCACCCAACGCACCTCCACCATGCCCACCCCACCCACCACCCCCAGCTGGCGGACTTTGGCCTCAGCGAGCTGCGCTCCTCCGACGGCCAGGTGGTGGGCGACCTGGGCGGCACCGTCACCCACGTGGCCCCCGAGTCGGTCATGCAGCGCCAGGTGTCGGCCGCGTCGGACATGTACGCATTCGGCATCCTCATGTGGTGAGTGGGTGAGGCGGTGAGAGAGTGGCGGAGGTAGAGGCATGGGGCTGCTGGTAATGAGCCATGCGCATGAGGGGATGGGCATGGCGGGGAGATCAGGGCAGAACATACAGCAGGTGGTGTCTACCAGGACTAAACCACAGGAGGCAGGCCTGCTAACTAACGGTTGAAGGGCCCCTTCCCTTCTTGGATGCCCGCTGCTAGCCTCCACTCCTGCCCCACCATCACTATCACTCCCCCGCTGATCTTTGCAACGGCCACCCCTTCATTATAAACTACCCTACCGCCGTCCCCAGGGAGCTCTACAGCGGGCAGCAGCCCTACCGCGCGCTGCTGGCTCACATACCCAAGCGAGAGGACCGCCACCGCATGCTGCTGGCGCGAGTGGTGCACGAGGGCCTGAGACCGCAGTTCCCGCCGGGGGTGCCGCAGGTAGGGCACGTGCGAGGAGTCGCAGTCAACTGAGTCGCATGTATGTTAAGAAAACTGGTCGGGAGTGTGGATGGGTGCGTGTGTGTTGTCGGTTTGCTTGGTCAGCCCGAGCCCTGCATGCCCGTTTTTGCCAGACCGGTTCTACAATGAATGCCATTGCCAATGTATGGTATGTCGCGTTGATAATTGGCCAAGAGTCTCCGTTCTTCATCACTGTTACTCCTTTTCCTCTTCCTTTTACTCCAGGACTACTGGACTCTGGCGACCCAGTGCTGGAGTGCTGACCCCACCGCACGTCCTAGCACAGGGGAGGCGCTGACGGCGCTTGAAGTGATGTACGGCAAGTATGCGCCGCCGCCTCAACAGCAGCAGCAACAGCTGCAGCAGCTGCTTCAGCAGCAGCTGCAAGGAAATAACAGTAGCGACCAGTCACCAGCATGAGATAACTGAACAGGGTTTTGGTGAGTACACAGTTAGGCATAAAGAGTGGTGTGAGCAAGGGTGCTTGCATGGTGAGGGTTGGTGGTCTGGTAGGTCAGGGCTAACGTTGAATACTACGTGCACAAGTGGAGGAGATGCGTAACTAGTATTATAAACTGTCCTTGTCCTTTTCCCTTACAAGTACTTCCCCCGGTTTGGACCACCGAAGTAGAGGCCGTTTACCCGTTGGTGTGAGTTTGGGGTTCCTGCATTGGGCCATATTCAGCCATGTCCATATACTTCTGATTCCTACTCGGTATCTCTTTATTCCTTGGGATGGGGGTGTATTGGGGGTGTCATGAAATCACACGTAAACAAAGGCGCAAATAAGATCGCGATTTAATGGCGTGCCAACTACCATATGCCCTGTGATGACTTGGATTCATCGGTTTTCCACGTGATTACTGGAATTGCCGAAGCAAGGTTTTGCCAGCATGCGCGGTGGAGCATGCACAGCATGCATGAGTACCACGTGCGACGCAAAGCGGATCGCAGTTGCGCCGTTAATGAAGGCAGCGTCTAAATACGGCAGTCATGTATGTAGGAGCATAAGGAGCCCTGTGTAGGGAACCCTGTGCCGGTATGGTGTTCGTATGGAGATTGCAAAGAGGCTTACGTGTCTTACCTCGCCTCATGTCCGGCATGCGGCCTGTATGGGCTAGCTGTAGGCTCTATTGGAAGGCACGGAGTTGCCTGTTGCTGGAGTGAAGCAGAGCTGTGAACGGAGTACGAGAGCACTCACCTGACTCTTTGTCTTCAAAAGGATGCATTACCTGCGTGGGGCGAATTGCGTGCTAGATGTGCTTGGGCTTGAAGGGGGCGAGCGGAATGGCGCTTCTTGGATTTAGGGATGTCACTCGGGTTGGTAATAACGGCTTGCTGAATTGCTATATGGCTAGTTGCACGCTAAAAGATGCCAAACTTATACAGTGGGATGACCCGATCGCCACCGTACAGATCTGTCATCCGTGGCAGAGGTCACATTTTGCAATTTTCGTCGTACACTGGAAGGGTTAAAAGAGTAACTGGGTGGTGCAGGAGCTCAAGGCATCTTCGTTTCTTGCATGCCATGACTCCGTAGTTGCCTGCTTTAGCTTTCCGTACGCGGTTGTTACATGGTTCCATTGCTGTGCTAAATTGTGGGTAGCATGCATACCCGTAATGAGTACAGTTAGAAGAAGATTATCCAGGATTGTAGCAACGATTGATACAGTTAGTAGGCGTGGGGATGCTGGTGTGTGTACGTGTTGTTAGGGTTCTAGGCAGGGCCTTTGGCCGCATAGGGTTGAACTGTTGATTGTGAGCCGGGCTGACCCATGGGACGGTCGCATGTAGACTTGCACTTGCTTTACGGTGAGGGGGGCGGTGATTGCCCATGTGGCATGGGGGAAACAAACGCACGCGCATACGCTGGGTTCGAACGAATCGACCATGTCCATGCTCACGGGGATTCGATGCCGACATGAACTGTGCAGCCATCAAGTGCCGACATTACATTGTTGCCGTACATGCTCTCTATGTTCTCTTATGCCCAAGCGCAATTGCGTAGCCATGCAGGACTCCAGTTACATGTCCCTGAATAGACTGATGGACTGTTGTCATCCAACCATATATGCCTGTGTGGTTCTGTTGTAAGGACCATGTTTGGCGTGTTCTGTTTTCTCCACACGTACTGTAAATCATGGTTTGCAACAGAAACTTCTCAGCATGCCTCCATTCCCAGCCCATGACGCGGTCCTGCTTGGGCTTACTAGTGCACTTCCACGACCGTTAATGATGTAGCAAATGCTCGTAGCGGATTCCACCCTGTTACAGAAGGGTTGGGTAGCTGTCAACAGTGTACGACATGGCAAACGGCCGTAAGGATTGGTTCATTCCTTGTGTTCACTCCCATGAACCGGCAAGTCCTCCTCTTGTGGCTAGGGTTGATTGAACGGGCGGTCGTAAGATGTAGCAGCTTTTGGACCTGCCGTACGGATCTCGGCTGTACCTGGGGTAAACCTTGACATGGGTCACCAAACAAAACCTGCAAGCCGTTGCAACACTTGAGGCACCTAAACGCAAGGTCGGCAGGGATAATAAACTATTTGACGTCGAAATTGTGCATTTCACTAGCAATCGCTGTGTTTCAATGTTAACGAGAAGGTTGGCATTAGCTTAGGTTGCTCCGCAATGGACAGGCGTTCGTGCTAAACGTTTGCAGCCTGCCCAGGTCTTTGTGACTATTTTCGTGGGAGGAGGCTGCAGCATTCGGCCCGCGGGTCATCAGTACGACCACACGCCCAGGTGTGTGGCAGATAGTCGCGCGACTGATCGCGCTCCTCCTGAGCGACTTTCCTCTCATTTTTTTGTGAAGGGAAGTTGTTAAAATAGCTTATAATATAACCAAGCCCCTCTGGCCATAACCCGTCGGTAAAGCAGCAAGCATTGCGAATGCTTTTAGGTCAGTGTCCAGTCCAGCGGCCCATTCGGGTCGCTTCCCGCAAGGTTGTAAAACCACCTTTTCTGGCTACGCCTGGATACGCACAGCGCTCGCAAGTCGTTTGCGCGGCCGCTCTTCCCCTTGGGAAGATTCCTGTTGAAGCGCTAGCAGCAGGCGGCATCGCTGTCGGTAAGATGTTTCGCTTTACGATTACTATATATTGTTATTACTGTTTATTTGGTCTTGATAATATGATTTGGAGCGAACTATCGGTCGACCTCGGGATGCAAGCAAACGCCGCTGTTGCCTGCGCGGCCCCTTTTCCCATACAATGTGCGCAGCTTGCCTTGCGGGTATCATTGCCGTCCAAATGCGGCAACAGCAGAAGCCATTGGACGCCGAAGCTTCGGGTCAAGGGACCGATGCCTCTGCTGCCCAGACCCCGTCCTCCCCGCCACCGCCCCCTCGGGAGAATGCGGTACTAGTTCTTGGCGCGACTGGCAGGCTGGGGCGCCGGGTCGTGCAGAAGGTGAGCACTGATCAGCTTGAATCGGCTGTGGCACTGCGCTTGTGCTTTCTTCCCCACGCCTTCCTCGTCGCTCTCACTCTCTTCCCTCCCCTTCCCTCTATCAACTGCCGTTCCTGCCCCGTCTCTGCTACCCGCCACTTCCACACCACTCCATCGCACCTCTTGCGCATATTTACTTCACCAGAAACACTTAGCAAAGCATCTTCTTCCACCTCACACCCGCAGCTGCTGGCCTCCGGTCGCACGGTGGTGGCTGGCTGCCGCAGCCTGGATAGGGCCCGTTCGGTGCTGCTGGGCGAGGGCGAGGGCGGCATGGGACTGCAGGAGGGACGCCAGGCAGCCGGCAGGCCGGGAGTGCTGTTCCTGGAGCAGGTGGGAAAGCGGACGGTGGACGGTGGGAGGTGGGACGAAGGGACCGGCTTTGGGCCTTTCCTTGCGTGCATGTTCTACCACGCCTGCTCCCTGCCATGCTGGTTACCCCCGTAAACGCCTCCCCTCCTCACCGTCGTCGCCCTTGCCGTGCCCCAACACACGCCAGGTGGACATCACCAGCCCCGACTCGCTGTCGCGTCCCGAGCTGTGGGCAGGGGTAGCGCAGGTGGTGCTCACGGTGGGCACTGTGTTTGGGCCGCTGCCCGGGGGAGGCTTCGGAGTGATCGACGGGATGACCAGCGAGAAGGTCGAGGCGGAGGGTAAGACTCGGAGGAAGGGACTTCACTGGTTTTCCAGGTCGTCCTTTGGTTCCTGGCTGGTATAGTGCAGAAGCTAGCCTCATATCCCCCCCACCAATGCTTACGGTAGTCAGGGGTGCAGACTTGATCCAAGGTGTGTCCAACCGTGCATCCGGTTATCCTGCCTACCTGCTGTCTCCCTGTCCCTGTCCAGGCATTTCGTCTCTGGTTTCGATGCTGCCGAAGCTGTTGCCTAAGAAGGCCGAGCGCACCAGCACTTTGGTAAGATAATTGCATTGGTAGTTGTGATGATCTGGTTAAAGAGAGCTCATGCGGTGGGTAGGGTTCGCGACATGCTTGACCTTCTCTCACGAGCCTGGTGCCTCCCATCCACTAAACCTCCAGCTGCCCCATACATTTCCTCCTGGGTTTTCCTTGTTACCTCGCTCTATGCCAATGCATCTCGCCCCGCAGGTAGTCCCCATGCGGACTCCCGAGGAGGTGTACGGCTCTTGGCAGCGGCTGGATGACGTCATCATGGGGGGAGCCAGCGACAGCGGTCTGCAGCCGCTACTGCAGCAGGCGGCGGGAGCGGGGGCAGCCGGGGAGGGAGTACCTGCGGAGGCAGGGAAGGACGTGGCAGGAACGGAGGCTGGGGTGGAGGGCGCGGTATGGCGGGGCAATCTGGTGGTTGAGGTGAGCAGGATATCGCGGGCGGGTATGACCATGCCGGCGGGAGTCGTGTGAAGTACGACAATGCATGGATATAGTGTTCAAGCTTGAAAGGATAGGCCAAGAGGGGCCGAGACCTTTGTTTGGCCCTTAGGGGACCGTACAACAAGGCAGGGCAGCCGCTGTTACTGCAGCAGGATGGCAAGAATTGGCGATAACCGTACCCCGTCATGCAGGGTGGCGGTTTCTGTGGCGCCCGCACCAAGCCGCTGGGTCTGGACCTGTCTGCGTTCGACGGCATCCACCTGCGGGTCAAGGGCGACGGCCAGACGTTTAAACTCAACATCAAGACGGTGAGGAGGAGATATCCTCTCCGTCCAAGCCATGCCCGTATTGGGGTCATGCTGCCATGGCTTGCACGCTTCAAGGGGCTGCACCATCCGAACAAAACCAAGCAAGCAACCATGCTTTCTCGAACACTCAGAGAATAAAATAAGGGGGCACCCTACAATTAAATAAATAAATAATAATAATAATAATGTATAATAATAATAATGTTAATAATGTTGGCGTACACCATGAATTCTGAATTGTGCCAACTGGCAGCTAACCACCCCCCAGCTCCCTACCCTTCCAACTTGTCTTTTTCCTTACCTGCCCCCCTCCCTCCCATTGGGTATTCTTCTTCCTCCCCCCTCCAGGTTGACCAGGAGGACGTTCCCGAGTCCACCTACCAGACCACCTTCGACACCGTGGCGGGCCAGTGGGCAGACGTCTTCCTGCCCTGGCATAACTTTGTGGCGGTCAAGCGGGCCATGTCGGACCCTGAAGGTGAGGTTGAAAGAGGCAGGAGGGAATTGGGATGGGCGGGCCGGGAAGGGGAGAGGACCACGCCTGTCATCAGCGGGTGCTAGCTGCTGGAGGAGGGCAGCAGGACCCCTGGAGGCAGCTGTGGATTCCTGCAGGTCGCGCAGGGTGCGTGTCGGGACGGAAAGAAGGTAGGACCTACCTCACGTGCCCTTAGCCGCTTAGAACTCGGCCACGGGCATGTACATTTCAGTCAAGCGCACGCTTCCCAGCAACAGCCCTTCCCACATACCCTTCATTCTGAATCTACTTTCCTTATCATCACCCACCTTCGGCACCCTGCCTTGCCCTGCCGCTACAACTGGATGCCGCCAGGCCCTCCTCTGGACCCCTCGCGCATCTCCAAGCTGGGCCTGGTGCTCAGCCGCTTCGAGTTCAACAAGGCGCCCAACCCCGACTACCGGCCGGGGGCCTTCGAGCTGCTGCTGCAGGGCGGCATCTACGCTTACAACGACGTGCGGCCTCAGCTGGTCATGGTAAGGACTAAAAAGAAATGGAGAGGCCATATTATTAGGTCCTTAAGCTAGGGACGGTGGGGCAGCTCACGTCGCCACAAGGAACGGGCCCTAAGGCTATCCAGAGTTCTAGACCTTTAAACACGAGCTGCAGTAGCCTGTGCATTACAAACATTGCCCTCCTGCCGTCGTCACTCCTCCGCCCTTCATGGCCCCAATTCTCGCCCATACACCCCGCGCTCCTGTGCTGCCCGGCTGCTGCTGACGCGGCTGTTCGCCTACCTGCCTTCCCCGCTCCCAGATCTCCTCGGCCGGGGTGGAACGCAACGCGATCATTGGCGATGACGAGGTTCGTCGCGCCGCCGACATCCCCATTGTGCAGCTCAATCCGGGCGGCACACTCAACCACAAGTACACCGCGGAGGGGGCGGTGCGCGCCTCGGGCTACCCGTACAGTGTGGTGCGCTCCACAGGTGGGAGGATGTACCGGTACGACAGGGAAAGCGAAGGCCTTAGACAGGAGAAGGAGCAAAACCATACTGCACCACGCATGCATGCATGCATGCATGAGAAGATAAAGCTTGTGGTGGGTGGCATTGTGCTAGGTTCCCTAGGTAGGATGCATAGGGCAACAGATACGTAGTGCAGCGGCACAAGCGAGTAGGGTGGCTGAGAGCATACGTGACCTTTCTTTCTTTACAATACGACCCTTAACCAACGCTGAAGAGAACAACTCCCATAGCCGTGCGTAAACTTGCTTGCTCGCTATCATGCTGGCCACCCCTGTGCATGCTCAAGGCAAATGGATTTTTCGTTTCTTGGACCGCCTGACTTCCCAAGTACGACGCGAACGTGCGGCAACCTGAATTGAACGTTCCGGGGTTCCCTACTGCTGCCATGCCCAACTCAGGCATGATCGACAGCCTGGATGGTGGTCCCTACCTGCTAGAGGCTGACCAGGGCGATGTGGCGGTGGGGCAGATCAGCCGGGAGGAGGTAGCGGAGTGCCTGACAATGGCGGTTAACATGCCGGAGGCGGTGAATAAGGTGGGCTCTGCGGGGATGGTGGTTCTGCATATATTGAAGCATTACCGTACAGTAACACGCTTCTAAGAAGCGACGGCGTTCTGCTTACCTGTATGCTTATTGATTGACGGAAGTGCAACTGCGACGCGCGTCTTCCTACCGTGCAGACGTTTGAGCTGCGACGCAACGAGGCCGCGGAGAGCAAAGGGAAGCGACCCATGGGTCGGCGGGACTACAACCGCCTCTTCCTCAAGCTTGCCCTAGGTGCGTACCGGCGGGTATGATACCACCGGACGCCGCTGTGGTATCTTCCGCTGCTTGAATAATTTCATGGCAGCAGGGTCCGTGCAGTATTTGTTTCATAGTTCTCCGCAGCGACGCTAACCTGCAAATGGCTAACCAACCCCATCCAATAGCCGACCTGCTGTCATGCTAATCCGTCCCTTGTGCCGGCCCCAGACAAGCACCGCTGGCGTGTCGGGTTGCAGCCCATGCCCAAGGCCGTACCGCCCCCACCACCCGTCACCGAGAAGCGGCGCAAGGAGATCGTGGCGCAGGTTGCTGTCATCCGGGGCCAGCCGCAGCAGCCGCAACCGGTGCAGCAGGCAGCCAGCGACGGTGCCAATGGTGCATCTGAGCTCGCAAAGTCGGGAGCTACTGATGCGGGCGAGAAGGAGGGTATTAAGGAAGCCGCAAAGGAAAACGTTGGCGCCCGCGCTTGAGCTGGTAACTTGAGGGTAAGGTAAGGGACACGGATGTAAGGTCACTCGGTGGTGCTTGGTGGTCGATGGCGATGGTTGTATGGGCGCTCGTTCTGGTGTTTGTGCTTGGGCTAATGTCAAGGCACACTGGCAGTATATGTGCAGGAATGTTGCCAGCTGAAAGAGTGTATATCAAGATTTGTGCTGTAAGGGGCACAAAACAGCTTAGTTTATAAGCAGGTGGTTTTTGAACGCTGCGAGGCCACGCGAACTATCAAGGTATAACCATTTCGTGCTCGGATTTAGCTTTAGGGTATAATGTTCGGGACTCAAGGTAGCCAAGAGGAGTGTTCACATAATTGCGTCCAAGTATTGGAATGCATCATAAGCGGGATTATGCTTGTGAGGTGGAGCCGCTGGTGCACGGTATTAACATCATGTCTGAGGCAGTTGCTCTAGGGCAAGTGTCGTACTGCCGCCATAAAATTACCAACGTAGTACCCGTTCGTACAAGCTCGTACTCCAGCTGTTGCAGTACAACCTCAGCATTTTGGTTTGTGGGTGATGGCCCTTTGTGTTCGTTCGTTGCTCATGCGACGTTGGCAAAACCTATACATGTAATGGACGCAAGGGGCGGCAGTGGTCGGACTTAACGGATGCACTGCTGGCTATCTAAGCTCCGTCACTTTACATTCAAATCCGGGTGTACGGCAGGATACGGCTCTACTTGAGTAGTGGTAGAAAGGGCTACTCTTATGTAGCGTCCATGCTGGGTTATTGAAGTACGCACTGGTTGAACAAGAAACGTATGCAGCCACTCGTGAAGGTAAAGCACACTTCGGGAAATGCAGTGGAGGCGAAGCGATGACAGGTGGCTCAGGGCGCGCACTTAAGTGCCCCGTCCGCACGAAGACTCCCTAACTATCTTACTACCAAAGCACGTCCTACCCAAACCCAGCTGCGCATTAAGTAAGCCCCTCGCTGCGCTGCTCTGCGTTGCGCAATGCACCAGCAGGGACCTGCACCGTGCTTGTTGGTGTTTTGACCAGTGCGCCTGACTTCGTTGGGATGAGAGGCAGGCTGGCTTAGAGGAGGGCAATGTGCAGCGCAGGGGTCTGAACAAGCACGTGGAGTGTGGTATTTGAGTTTACGTCGGCGGTGTATTGTTTACGCCTGGCGGGGAAGCAGTGCTGCTATAACGGCCCATGCATCCAATAATGCTGAGAAACAGTCAGGATTACTAGACCGAGCATGCTAAACGCTATCATGCGACTTGGGCTACGTAGACAGAGGCCATGAACCCAGCTCGCCAGCAGAATTAGCATACTGGTAGCGCAAGGTTTCAAGGCAAGCAGGGATAGTAGTAAAACAAACGATGCATAAATTGGATTGGCTTTTGTTAACGTGGTAGTGGAGCTTGCCAAATGTGGAAGGAAACTACAGTAAGAGTAGTGTTGGCCGTACATGGCGAAAATATTGACCAGAGCCAACACATGCATGTTTGCTTAATTGGTCCTGAATGCCCTGACACTTATAGAGACTCAAAGTCCTGGAACACTTGCGCCATGGTAGCCCTGAAGGTTCCGTTCGTTAGTTGGCCCTACCTGATTTGAGCCAGTCGCATGACAATTTCGCTACAATTGTATGGGCATTGCAAGCCTTAACAGAATTCAGAATTACCTTTAGCTTAAATACAATGCAATATGGTTGCAAACATACCAAACATGGGCAGGCAGCCGGAAACAACGTAACCGGTCGCCACGATGATGCAGACGGGGGACAGCAAGGCGCTGTTTGGCAAGCGCTTCGAAATATGGTACATAGATTTCTGGCTAGGCATTCCTTGTGTTCTGCTCTAGGTGGTCGGACGACATACTAGCAGCACGTCTTTTGGCCATGGGTCCAGACCGAAAGTCAGTCGCACCCATAACTGACAATGACACTAAGAAGTATGTATGTTTGTGACCTTCATTTTAAAACGGCACTGCGCGAAACGGATTTGTGTAAGCTCCAGAGCTGGCTCAATTCAGGGAAGAGGGACCCCAGCTGTTTCAGGCCCAAAATGCTATCCCGTCGCCCGAGCAGTAAACCTTGATTAGGGAACTGCAAGTTTGCAGATCACAATATATATACATAGAAGGTCTCAGTGTGCTATTTGCGACTGTCGAACTCGCGGTCACGCCCTTAGTGCGACGGAATTTAAAGAACTGGCTCAACATCGGCATCTACAGGGCTACGTCAGAGATCCTCCTCTATTTGCATATTTCCAGGGCTTTTGCCTATAGGGAGCGAGCTTCGAGTTCCCAGCGCAACTTACTGGGTTATGCCGGTTTAATGTAATGGAAGCGCAAAGTATCGAAGCGACGTAGAAGCTGAAAGGTAGATGGTAATTGCTGGTAAGGACGGCCTTCCAAGTTCGTACGATGGGGTGCCCTCCAGTCGCACCGATGCCCGGGACATGAAGGAAACAAGCATGACACGAGAAGGCGACACTGTTTCTGAATATAGGGGCTCGCCGTAAGAGCTCCTGTTAAGGATAAGTATTCATGGGCTTGTAGGGCCGTCCGACCTACATTCCTAAGCTCCTGTCGCCAAGAATGGTGCACGCCATTCCACGTATGGCGTCTACGCTCTTGGTTTACTGTCTTCTCGCATGTACCCTGTCAGGTGCGTGCCGTCTGCAGTGCTAGTCTTAATACTCCAGTGCTAGTCCGAATTGCTCCAAGTGCTTTGACGACGGGCGCTTTACCTCTTTGACGAAAATGAACGACTTGTCGTTGGTTGCTGAACAAAGCTCACGTGGCAACCTGTTGACCGCAGGTGCGCTTGCTGCCAAGAAAAGCCCGCCACCTCCGCGAAGGCCACCTCCGCCACAGCTGTTGACTAAGTCTCCGCCTCCACCCTCGCCACCACCACCTCGTCCACCACCTCCGAAGTCCTCCCCACCACCCTCGCCCCCGCCACCTCGCCCTCCTCCTCCAAAGGCTTCCCCCCCGCCACCTCGCCCTCCTCCAAAGGCTTCCCCCCCGCCACCTCGCCCTCCGCCTCCAAAGACTTCCCCCCCGCCACCTAAGGCTCTTTCGCCTTCTCCCCCACCTCCAAAGGCTTCCCCACCCCCACTGTCTTCAACACCACCCCCACCTCAAGACTATTCTGGTAAAACTTACTCTTTAGTTTTATTGATATTTGATACAATTTTTCGGTTGCTTAGTTGCATGCGCGCCTGCCATCTCCCTGCTTCTGCCCACCCGCCATGCATGCGCACCTACCCCATGCACGCACCCTTCCGCTCCCATTACATTGCTTGCCTACTTGCGCCATGGCCGACGATCCCGCTATGGCCTGTTGCCTACAGGCGGCAGTTGCACCGACGCCTGGGCTACGCTCAACATGACCAACATGTACCGCGTCTGGCATCAGGCCAAACCGCTAACGTGGAGCAGCACTCTAGCTGCCTCTTCACAGACGTATGCCGTTACACTGGCGGCTAAAAGCTGCGGTCTGGTGCACTCGGGAGGCAGCGGATATGGAGAAAACCTGTACGCGGTACGTACGTAACGGGGCTGCTGTGGGTTTCCGCAGTCGTCTATGTTTATGCCGCAGATATGTGGCGAACGATTTGGTTTCTGGTTGCAACATTATAAGATAAGATCGAAACTTTGTGCAGCGTACATCCTAACCCCCTACGCCAGGTGGCCGCCTCCACACGCGCTATGCTTATCTTGCTCATCAACCCCACCAGCCGACTCGCCGCGCTTTAACCATTATCGTGTCCCGCATGGCCCCCTGCAGAAATACCAGTACCCCAAGTCTTCCGACATGACATGCGCACCCGCAGTGACCAGCTGGTACAACGAGGTCTCGCAGTACGTTTTTAGCACCAAGCCCTACACCGACAACTGGATCTCGACCAAGATGGTTGGGCACTTCACACAGCTGGTACGTGTGCTCGCATACCTGCCTTTGGATTTCAGCAGAGTTTGCGCGTAGCAATGGGTCGGGGGTTACTGACGAGCCACGTCCATATTTGGGGTTGAGAACGCTCCACACATGGCACTGTGACCTGTTTATTGCTAGGTAAGCAGGCGTCAATAACTGTTCTTGTGATTGCTAGACGGGCAGTGCGCATGTTCAACCGATATCCCGGTTGGTAGTAGAACAAACAGACCCCAAACAGATACTTCTGGCCCCCGATGACGAATTGAGCTAGAGTCCCGTGCCGGCTAGATGAGAGTTGCTGCTGGTACAGAATCCAACTTGTGCCGCTGAAACCCTTGTTGACACAGGTCTGGGCCAGCACCACTTCTGTCGGCTGCGGAGTGGCCATTGGTGACTACCAGACGTCGTATGGCTTGGGCAGCTGCAGGGTGGTGGTGTGCCAGTATAAACCCCCGGGCAACTACATAGGGGACAGCTATTTCCTAGCCAATGGTGAGTGCGTCAGCTGGTCGTTGTTTGGCTCCTAAGGAAAGGCGCTTGGGTTTCGCTTATTTAGCCGCGTGATCACTGCAACTGCTGTAATAGTATGTGACGTACGGCCCTGGTACGGCTACCTGTCATGTTGCTTCCCTTGCCTCGACTTTGCTTGCCCGCAGTTCTACCGAAACTGGCCTAAGGAAATGGGCACTGAGAGAGGGGGCCAGCTGCAGTACATACTGGTGATACCCGAATGTTTGACGGCATTGTGAAGACAAGGGACATACCTTCGGTTCAACCGCCAGTACGCATCTATCTTACGGGCTTGATTAGCAGGCCTGAGGTGCACACCGCCTGCTGTGGGCTCCTGCGATGGGAGCATTAGTTTTGGTTTAGGGAACGCGTTTCCCGTTACACGCTCGTTGGACTGTTAGTCGCTTTGAGAAGTATGCTTCGGTATTTAGCGTTGACAGGGCATATGCATGCAGGCTAACTGTGGCTTGCGGTGAAAGGATTCTTAAAGCATGGGTGGCTTCATGCACGCATGGGCTGTCCGTAGCACCACAGACGCAACGGCCTGGCAGGCCATTGTTCAAACAGCATGGCCGTGGTTTCCGGTTTCCCCTTTACAGTTTAGGGTTTTGGGTCATTACAAGCAGTATTTTCTTTCTTGGCAACCATTGCGACGGGCATTCACTCATTCACCAACAGTTGCGTGGGACTTGTGCCTGAATAAGCTCCTACGGCTGCTGCTTGAGCCTAGAATCTCTGTCAACGGTGTCTCAATGTGATGGCTTCTATATTAAGCGAAAACGCGTTGCATAAGTTACCAGACCAAAGCAGTCTAATAGACAATCCTTATGGCTGGCTGTAAGGATCGCGGCCTTCGCGGGAGTTGCCATGAGGTGTGCACCAGCAGTACAAAGAACGCTGCTGCTCGCGCGACGTTCAATTCGCCGCACTATGTCACACAAGATCTCATATCAGCATTCCGCTTCTACGATAAAATTAGGAAACGGTTCCTCGCTATATGCGGCAAACAGAGAAGGAAAGCCAGGCTTCCCAGGCAGTGTCTTCTTTATCCGTTTGATATAATGACCAGATTCCCCTGCTAATGGTGGTCTGTCAAGGTCAAGACCGCGAAACGTGGGCGAAAAACCTAAACTGTGAACCGAAACGTAGAGCAAGTTTGTATCCGTTGTATGCAACCTTCTTTGAAATTATACTGAGCGCCTTTCACAACAGTTGCTATGGAATCCTGTACTCCTGTGACCGGTAGGTAGAGCTAGGGGTGCTGACCGTGCTGTATTGGGGTGTGATGCAAGGTGAATTGTATTGTATTATTATATTAGCTTTTTCAATTACCATACGTTATATGCGCATATCTACAAGTATCACGTTGAACTGCTGGTCTTAACCGCACGAGCTGTGGGTGGGATTACTGCCCACTCTGGTGCTCTCGATCGACTGGACGAGACCCTGTCCGTACGTTATCCATCGTACATGGCCACTTAGTCACAAGCGCCAGGAAAAAAGTCATTTTCCAGTCGCAATCCTGCCTACCGAAACTATCAGCATATATTAAGATGGCCTCTTTGATCTCCAAGTCCTCTGTTGTCGCTGTGGCGCGCCCTCAGCGGGGCTGCGTGCGCCCATGCGCTGTCCTAAAGCCTGCGACTAAGCCTGCCCCTGCGGCCGCTCCAGTACAAGCGAACAAGATGATGGTCTGGACTCCAGTGAACAACAAGTAAGTGCCTTGAGCTCAGGACACGTCCTCTTTTGCTTGCATATTACGGTCGTCACTCCCTCCGCATCCTGTTAAGACCATCTTCCCTTTATTTCCCTGCAAATGCGTTAAAGAAATTCAATTTACTCTCCGCAGGATGTTCGAGACTTTCTCCTACCTGCCGCCCCTGACCGATGAGCAGATCGCAGCTCAGGTTGACTACATTGTCGCTAACGGTAAGGCGGTACTGCTGAACGCACTGGAAGGCATGTGGCTGATTTTTTACCATGACTACATGCATAGCGGTCCTCTTCAGCAGCTGAACTCTTCCCTATCCTCGCATCCCCTTCAACCCCAGGCTGGATTCCCTGCCTGGAGTTTGCTGAGGCGGAGAAGGCCTACGTGTCCAACGAGTCGACTGTGCGCTTCGGACCAGTGTCCTGTGTAAGTGCTGGTGGTGGGCTGGCTAAGGTGGTTGCCAGGGTTAGGTCCGGCTGGGCCCCTCGCTGCGTCATGCCTAACTTGTGTCTAACCTGTGACACAAGCTCCTTCTACCAAACCGGGCTGTCCTATTCTTGCCTTACTTAGACATCCCACCAACCGGCCCTCCGTTCCGTTCCCCCTCTCGCCGTCCTCCCCTCAGCTGTACTACGACAACCGCTACTGGACGATGTGGAAGCTGCCCATGTTCGGCTGCCGCGACCCCATGCAGGTGCTTCGTGAGATTGTCGCCTGCACCAAGGCCTTCCCTGACGCCTACGTGCGCCTGGTGGCCTTCGACAACATCAAGCAGGTGCAATGCATGGGCTTCCTGGTGCAGCGTCCCAAGAGCGCGCGGGACTGGCAGCCCGTGGCTAAGCGCTCCGTGTAAGGAACAGCAGCCGTTAAGCAACAAGCTGGACACGTCTGCTTGTGCAAGCATTTCTAGGGAAGAGAAGAAACAACTTTGTAGGTACTAGAATGTGTTTTGTTAGGATTTTTGGCTCGAAGTGTTAGTTTGAAGAGGTTATAAGCCGCAGGGATGTGCATCAGCCATCATGCTGGCTGCTCGTTGATGGTAGTCGAAGCTATTATTATCGTATGTACAAAGCGACGGGATTCGAAGGACCTTAGCCTGCGCAGGAATACTGTGCAGATGGTTGTATTTGCTGCCTGCCGCCCCAACTCAAATGGGGCCGCCGGACATCAGATTATATTATATTTTACTTGGACGCTGGTGAGCTCGTGCGGCGTAGCAGTAGCTACAGCTGAAAGTTGTACAAGTGCGCAATTGTGTAATTTAGAACGCTACTGCTGAGTGGAGGTATGTTGCATGTCGTACGAAGACACCGCAAGATCCAGCATGCATCGTTTCAGTGTCACAGCATAACGATGAAATCGTTACAGAGCAGAGATCGCAGCGAGTATCCCCACAGGCGTGCTACCGGTATGCGGCTTTCATTCCCTGCGGCAACTGGCCACAGTACCGCGCACCTATCTCTGCAATGCCGCAGCAACACCACCAACCAACGGCATCATTACGGCTGTAGCCACCGGTGTGAAGGCTTGGCCGTGGCAAAGGTGCGGCTGTGTCTTAGTCGTGTAACCTGTAACTGACCTGGATTGCGCGTGCAACACGAGCCTGTTGCTGATCCCCTTCGTTTCCCGGGCAACTTCTGGCTTTTCCTTGGGCCAGAGCCGGCCCCCGCGCCGCTCAGTGGGTCCGTTGGGCAGCTTGGTTTGTGGTGGCACGGGTCGCTGAGGTTGGTGCATGAACCATGGGTCATCCGCTTATGACATGGAGTTCAATGGGAATTGAGCGTTCACTGATGCGAGTAACGTGTTTGGTGGTAGATTAGTACTTAGTTCGGTTCTACAGCATGTTACGGAATGACAATATTTCTTGGGGGATTCTTTCGAGTGGCTTTGCCATGTTCAGCACGATAAGAGCAAAACGTAAGACGATTAAGTTATTACAGCATGCGAGGCTGACGTTTCTACCCTTAGTACATGATGGTTTGTGTGCTTGGGCAAGACTGTCTTCTATCAACAGCTCGCCGACACCATAGCAACTAAAGTGTTCAGCACTCTTCTGCATGATCATTGGGGGTTGTGACAATCTCATAGATCCCACTAAAGCAACACAATCAAACAAGGTCACCGAGATAGCGGCACTGTTTAGTGGCAGCGCATACCGGTAAACAAAAGGAGCACCGAAAGAACGGGTACGTGATTAGGGCTAGCGCTAAGCGGGAATTGCGAGGTTAATACGGAACAAGCATGGTTATGCAAGTGGTTTATATCGACTTGTTAACCTGCCCATCTAGTTGTGTATTCTGCGGAGGTACCGTACTTGTACTCGTGCCCGCAAGGTTGACAAATCGCTACCAATTATAGTGAATGATTGCGGCTTCTATGAAAATGGCCAGTATGATTAACAGACTTGCAGTTGGAACTTGGAAGGTGTGCTGCGTGTGCAGGCTGCAGGGAAACTGTACGGAGAATCAATAGGGAGTACGCACAATGTCGTCAGCACGATGGAGACTTGCGAGAAGGGAGGACCCGAAAATATATTATTACGAACCTAACAGTCAAAGATAAAGGCTAATGTGTCCATAGAAATTATGCGACTTCCAGCCTGATTCAAACACCACTGCCTTCAAGATGGCGCTCCTCGCTGCAAGAACGGTGGCAGCATTTTTGGTTTTCTGTCTTCTCGCATGTAATCTCTCGGGTACGTGCTTTTATAGCTTTGACGTGCTAGGTTCCCGTTTCGCGGCAGATGTCGACCGCAAGGTTACGGTCACTGCTACGTGCTAAACCGTAAAACCTTGAAACCTCATTGACTCCAGGCGTCTCAGCAGCGGCAAAAAAGAAGCCGCCACCTCCACCGAAAGCCCCCAGAGCAGTCAAGTCCCCTCCGCCACCTCCACCGCCACAGCCGCCTCCTCCATCCCCACAGCCTCCCCCTCCAAAAAAGTCGCGGCCGCCCCCACCGCCACCAGTAGGAAGATCTCCGCGTGTAAAGGTCCCCCCGCCTCCACCCTCGCCACCTCCTCAAAGGGCTTCCCCACCTCCACCTTCTCCCCCTCCTCCGCAGGCCTCCCCACCCCCTCCCTCACCGCCTCCACCCCCCCCCTCCCCCCTCACTGCCTCCACCCCCCCCTCCCCCCTCACCGCCTCCACCCCCACCTCCCCCCTCACCGCCTCCGCCCTCACCCTCACCACCTCCCCCCTCACCGCCTCCGCCTCCACCCTCGCCACCTCCTCAAAGGGCTTCCCCACCTCCACCTTCTCCCCCTCCTCCGCAGGCCTTCCCACCCCCTCCCTCACCGCCTCCACCTCCACCTCCCCCCTCACCGCCTCCGCCCTCACCCTCACCACCTCCCCCCTCACCGCCTCCGCCCCCACCTTCGCCGCCCCCGCCGTCGCCACCTCCCACAACTTCCCCATTTCCACCCCCGCCAACACCTAGCGCTTCCTCGCCACCTCCACCTTCCCCGCCTCCACCCTCACCGCCACCTCCACCTTCCCCGCCCCCACCCTCACCGCCACCTCCACCTTCCCCGCCTCCACCCTCACCGCCACCTCCACCTTCCCCGCCTCCACCCTCACCGCCACCTCCACCTTCCCCGCCCCCACCCTCACCGCCACCTCCACCTTCCCCGCCTCCACCCTCACCGCCACCTCCACCTTCCCCGCCTCCACCCTCACCGCCACCTCCACCTTCCCCGCCTCCACCCTCTCCACTGCCACGCTCGCCACCTCCACCTTCCCCACCTCCTCCCAAACCTGTCTCGCCGCCACCACCAGCCCAACCTGTAAACTTCACTGGTAAGCACTACTCATATTGAATGAAAAAGTAACCGCGCCACAACGGTACGCTTCCGTAGTGCCCTTCCTGCGCCTGCTACCGTGCTGTTGTTGCCCACACAAAAGCCTGCACAGTGCACACCCCCGCCACAGCGCACCTAGCAGCGCATCCTCTCGACTTGACTTCACAACATGCTAACATGATTCCTCCTCTTGGACCGGCTGTTTTGCCGTACATGCCACGTGCTACAGCCTGCTCAGATGTGGCGGCCTTGCTTAACAGCACCAACTTTTACCGCGCCTGGCACCAGGCCAACGCCCTGACCTGGGATAACAGCCTAGCCAGCAGCTCGCAGGCGTATGCGGAGACACTGGCGGCCCAAGGCTGCCCCCTAATACACTCGGGTGGCGGCTCGTATGGAGAAAACCTATACGCGGTGCGACATGCACGCATTACAGACTGTATTGGGGTTGTCTCGTCAATATATACTGCATTGCAGTGCCAGGTCGTGTGCATGCGCCGTTCAGTGAACGAGCGCTGCTGTGCTTCCACCTTCCAGCAAAGTTGCCTCACATAGCTGAGAGCTCCCCGCAAGATAAGCAGCGATGGGCACTATGTCAAAACAAACCCAGCCTTCGGGCGTAGATAAGCCCTTGCAAGGCCTGCCTAGCTGTCCGCACGGATTGATCCTGGTCCCCTCAGCCCAGGTCCAACACCCCGCTGCTGTCTTACCCCCGTGCAGAAGTATGCATACCCCAAGTTCACGGAGAAGACTTGCGAGCCCGCAGTCCCCTCCTGGTACAGCGAGGTCGAGACGTACAGCTTCACCACCACACCCTTCACCGACAACTGGACACCCACCAACATGATTGGACACTTCACACAGCTTGTAAGTGGGGAGGGGGGAGAAGGCCCATGCAGCAAGGAGGGGTACGCCGGCCTTACTAAGCGAGCCCCATGTCCTCTCGTCATCGGGGGCCAGGCGAGCGCAAGCCTCCACGTGCATGACGTACGAGGCCTTTAAAGTGCTTTTTCACCCCTGTCGCAGGTCTGGCTCAGCACCACTTCCATGGGCTGCGGAGTAGCCCTGGGTGACTACGAGACGTCCTGGGGCACGGGCAGCTGTAAGGTGGTGGTGTGCCAGTACGCGCCTCCCGGCAATTGGGCTTCGGACAGTTACTTCCTGGCTAACGGTGAGGGCTGTTGAGGGGTAAGGGGTCATGGCGCCATTGGGACTCAGCAGTCCCGCGCTCAACCTAGCAACCAATAATGTGTTGGGTCGTACAAGCGAGCGCCTCAGGCAGCGTTAGCGTTTGGGGGATTGCCTACCGGATCGGCAGGTCTTCTAGCTGTCCTTGACCGCTTCCAGACCACTTGTGTGCCCTGACGACATGCTGCCCCAACTGTATGCTTACAGTGCTGCCGACTGTTGGTGCGCAAGCGGCATTGCCCCCTCCGCCGCCGCCAACCCCGCCTCCGAACGCCAATTACCAGGGTGAGCCAAACGGGGACGGTTCGTACTGGCGGTGCTGCTGCTGATCGTTGACCGTTTATGGTAACTTACACGGTTTGGGCATATCCCACTTTCCCTCCTGTACCCCCTTAAATGCACATAGCACGGAGCGGATCTGCCTATCTTCACTTTGCCATATTCTGACTGCGCCTAACGAATGTCTGGGCCCACCTTGCCACCTATGTATGCAGGCGGCAGCTGCCCCGACGTGGCGGCGACAGTCAACGCCACCAACTTCTACCGCGCCTGGCACCAGGCCAACCCTCTGGCGTGGAGCAGCGACCTGGCCTCCTCTTCACAGGCGTATGCGGCAGTGCTTGCGGCCAAGAACTGCAGCCTGGTCCACTCGGGTGGAAGTGGCTATGGGGAGAACCTTTACATGGTGCGACGTTCGGAATGCGTTGGGGTCTGTGATCAAGACGAAGATGGGAAAGGAGCAGCTAGATGTTTAGGGTTTGGTTCTGGTTGGTCATCAATCCAAGATGCACGTATCCGTGTGGCTGCATGCATCCGTGTGGCTGCATGTGTAGCAGGCCACAGAATTTAGGCGTAGAAGCTTTTCCTGCTTTCCACTGGAGGTTCCCCTGCGTTCGCGCTTCTGCTCAAGCTTACCCACCCTCCCTTGCGTCACGCGCGTGCAGAAATGGTGGTACCCCACAGGCACGGATCAGACTTGCGCACCCGCAGTGACCAGCTGGTACAGTGAGGTCTCGCAGTACGTTTTCAGCTCCACCCCCTACACCGACAACAGGAACAAGATGATTGGGCACTTCACAGCATTGGTACGGGGGATTACCTGCCTTGAAGTGTGGAGGAGTTGTTCTGTAATGTCCAGAGCACAAGGCAGCCGCACACGCTAAATGAGTGCAAGCATGGCGTTATTGCCTATGGGGATTCATACATGTGTGGTTCTCCTGCTGGGAAGCACTCCAACAACGCCTTAGCGTAACTACCGACACGCACAATCCTAGCTCTCCAAGAACTCGCACCATTCCAAGTTCGGGGTAACGCTTTGCTGGACGGCTACGTATTCCGCCATATGTCGCAGGTTTGGCGCAGCACCACTTCCTTTGGCTGCGGAGTGGCAATGGGTGATTACGCGTCACCTTATGGCCCAGCAAGGTGCAAGGTGATCTGCTGCCAGTATGCTCCCCCGGGGAACGTGATAACAAACAACTATTACCTGGCAAACGGTGGGTGGAAAGGCAGGTGACAGCTCGCATACGCCCGACATGCCCCTTGGTACCGGTAGCACTGGAACTCCCTGTGGCATGCTGTCAATGGTTTAACCCAATTCGGTTAGCCAACTCACAGCCGCATGTTGCTTACACAGGAGTGCTCCCTGTCGCACTCAACTGCTGCCGAATCATGTTCACCCAATCCATCTGCGCATATACTGTCTTGATGCTACTAACTCGCTACTAACTGGAAACTGCTTGCCTATGCTACCTTCACCTGATCACAGTGCTGCCGAAAGTGGCCTAAGGAAGACCAGGAAATGATGATGCAGAAGAGGAGGATGGGAGTACCCGGTGTTCAGGGTGGGACGTACATAAAGCTGTCCGCTCGCCTGGCTGTTTTGCTCTCGCCTGCTCGGCTTGATAGTAGGAGGATAGTCATGAGTGTCGCTACATGGCCATGTCCTGACAGTCCATAGTTAGTTTAGGATAGCAACTCTACTGGAAGGCCGCACCGCACGGCCAGGGCACCGCATGAGGTGCGCTCTGCGTCTGTACGTTGTGATGGGTGAATTGACTTGCGCTGTCTCGCATACCTCAGTACCTCAGTACCAGTATCCAGATGTTTGGTTGTCCGTCTTAGTTATTTACCGCGATCTCGAACCCTGAAGAATTACCTGGGAAATAGATACAATGTAAGCGCATTCCTAAGCGTGTATTCGTGGTCGTTGGGTTGCCCTATGCAACTAGCCCTTACTCATTAGGCCGTTATAAGTTCCAAATGTTCCTGGTCCTCGTTCTGAGCCTACTCCGCCAGCTGCCATAGTGCTGTCCGCAGGTATCGTGTTTCGGATATCACACGTGATGTGGGCTATGGTGGCTTTGATGGTCGTATGGGAATACAATGGTCAACTCGCGCAAGCGCGCAACATAAAAAGTCGGCGCCAGGGGTTAAACAAACTAAATCACTTTTCTCTAAGTGATTTTTACAGGGCGTTCAGGCCAGGAGTCTAAATGTGCACCGGTCGGCAAAGTTGGTTGCGAGGAAGACTAACTCTTAAACACAGTTACGGTGCTGCAATATCTAATGCCAGAGAGGACGACTGAATGCTACGCCGTGTCGGTTTATCGCACAACCCACAGATGTATACGCCGTTGGTAATAGTTGATCTTCGGCTTAGCCACTAGATAGCCCGTAGCTACAGAAAACATTTATAGTAATAGCAAAATAACCACATATTAATTGTCCGTGCTAATGCCACGAGCTATGATCGGCGTTCGGGCTATGCAACTTGTCAGACAAAGTGACTTAGCTAGACTGACAGGAACCTGAGCAGAAATTACACCCGTACCCATACATTGTGTCTTCCTTTCCGGCACGCTTGCCCCGGTAGCTTGACGGGGGCTTCGCGGCTTCCTCATCTCCGTTCGGGGCGTTCGCTGACTGCGCGACATACAAGCAGTTAACGGTCTTCCAGTCTGCCTTTCTTTCCAAAGGCTGTAACGCCACTATGTATCTCAGGAATTCAAAAAGATAAGGAGGTCCTGGGAGTCGACTTTGTGCAAAGGGAACCAGGGTTCGCGCTACTGCAATTCGCCTGCGACGAGACCCTTGGAAGACTCGAAAGAGCCTTTCATCGACACCGTAAATATTTATTCAAGCCTTGCCTGACGGCTCTGTTGGTCTACATTCAGTAGCGAGCCTATGGCGAAGGCACGCGACGTCGCAGGGATGGTGGCTTTGGCCATCCTGGCCTGCCTAGCTTCGCATGCATGTGCAGGTGCGCGGGTCTTTCCTCACCGAGACAAGAATCTAACCTGGCAGACGAATCGTCGGACTGCCAATGTTGAGGCCACCATGGCTTGCTCGCATGTCTTTCTGGTATCACCTGCGCAGGGCCTCTAAGCGGCGGCCCGTAGGGGATCCTGACTCGGACTAACTTTTTCCTCATAGTGCCCTTGGTCCCCCTCCGGCTCGTACGGACGCACTGTGCACGCGTACGCGAGCAAGTGCCTACGGTATACCGGTAATCTTACCGTATGTGGTTGCCTTAATGCACAGACACGCTATCTGGAGGGGCCAATGAGGAGGGTCAGCTGCAACTACACGAGGGAGTCGTCCAGGGTCCCTCTTCTGCCGTACGCTCCTTAGCTGCAGTCAAGTCGAAGCCCCCACCGCCGCCCAAGCCCAAGGCAAAGAGCCCGCCGCCGCCCCGAAAGCCGCCCTCACCAGCACCCTCCCCACCACCGCCCTCGCCGCCCCCAAAACCACCAAAAGCCAAGCCGCCGCCACCTCCACTTAAGTTGAAGCCGCCACCGCCAAACCCACCACCTCCCCGCCCGCCGCCTCCCCGCCCACGGCCTCCTAGCCCTCCTGGCAACGGTGGTAGCGGCACGGATCTGGGAGGTGAGTGCTTCAGCCCTCCAACCCATTACATCCTAGATAGCGCTCGGAAGCACAACACAACATCTTCGTCTGACGCTTTCCCTTCACGCCTTCCATACCGAATGTAGCACCGCCGCACTCTCGGCCCCACCCTTCCTCTCACTCTTCCTCCCATCCAACGGTTGTTCCTCAACCGTCTTGGATCATCAGGTGGCAAGTGCGCGGACGCACAGGCTACGTTCAACGCCACCAACATGTACCGCGCCTGGCACCAGGCCAACCCCCTTTCCTGGAGCAGCACTCTGGCTGTGGCCTCGCAGGCGTATGCTGAGAAGCTCGCGGCGACGCAGACATGCAGTCTGGTGCATGCGGGAGGCAGCGGATACGGAGAAAACCTATACGCGGTACGACATTGGTACGGCAAAGAATTAATACGACTTTCATGCAAACACCACATGCATTGACACGGTAATGCATGACAGGCTTACAGCTTCTGTGTTCGTTGGCAAGTAGGGAGAAAGCCTCCAGCAGAGTGGTTTCTGATTACGGGTTGCTTTGGTCGAGGGCTGGCCCTCAGTACCGTACTGTTGTTGCACCTCTCATCAAACATAATTCGTCAACTGTAAATAACGACGTTACACGCCATGCGCGCAGCGGATGGCATATCCCAAGTCCACGGATGCCAGCTGCAAGGGCGCAGTAACCAGCTGGTACAACGAGGTCTCGCAGTACGTTTTCAGCTCCACCCCCTACACCGACAACTGGATCTCGAGCAAGATGGTTGGGCACTTCACACAGCTGGTAAGCGTGCTTGCATGCCGTACACACAGCATGAGAAGTACCTAACCGCGCCTACGTGCATTGCTTACATGGTGCACAAGTTCCGCTCGAGCGGTGCGGCGGTACAAGGGATCTTCATAAACCACAGAATATGTATCACCAAAACATGCGTACGACAGCTTTCTAACAGCTTCCCAAAGATCGACCGGACGTTACCGTAACCGTGCGTGTGACGGCTGTGCTGCCGGGGGTCCGGTCCTCGCTCGCAGGTGTGGCGCAGCACCACGGCGTTCGGCTGCGGTGTGGCGATTGGAGATTACAACACGGTCATGGGCAAGGGCAGCTGCAAGATAGTGGTGTGTCGCTACACGCCTCCCGGCAACTACATTGGAGACAACTACTTTGTCAAGAACGGTGAGTGGCTTGGTGGCATCCCTGTGCTGATGAGGATATGACTGGGTACATGGGCAAATTGGGTGCCCGCGGTGCTGCTATCTTGGTTGGCGCACGGGTGCCTTTTTCAAGGCATAAAAGTCGTGTGTGCTCGGTGCAGCTGGCAATGAAGGGGGGTGACACTTTCAGGAAACCTGTCAGAGTGCCAGTGCTAGCATGGGCCACGCATGCACCGTCAACCGTCGTTGCATTTTCACCGTTCCAAAGCCGCTTGCCCTGCTAGATAGCGTCCATGCACCTACACGGGTGTTCGATGCAAAGGTGGTAGCTGACATCAACATGCTACCGATGTGCGTTGCTTGCTTGCAGTGCTACCCAAGCTGGCTTGAGCCCTGCCCCAGCGGCGTAGGGACGAGGACAGCACGTGGGGGTTGAATGTGGACATCAGATAAACGACAGCTACTACCGGCATGTCAGGTGCTGCTCAATTAATATTCATCCACGGTAATTGCATGGCTTCGAAGGAGCTGGAGTGATGAGCGGCATAACAGTAGGCATCATGTACACAAACTGGCCCGAGTTTTTATGTCAGTAAAACAGCAAAAAGTTGCTGGATGGTCGTCGGTGTAAATAAGCGGTATTCAGCATTTGCTGCCCTGAATGTTTGGTTGCGTGTCTTTGCTGACAGCAAACCATGCGCTATTGGGTAGATGCAGGTATGCACCTAATCCTTTCTCCTCTGTTGGAAGTTCCTGTCCGACGCTGACGCCGACTTTAGACAAAAGGTGCTCCTTGGGCCTCGTGCATGAACATCTAAGGACGACTATGCTAGCTACCTGCGTGTGTTGCGCTTGTGTCGTACTTAGTACTGTAGAAGTACTTGTCACATGTAAGTTTTCAGGTTGAGTCGTTGATTCCGTCTTACTAGGGCGGTTCTTGTTTGGTGCGTGACAGCGTGCCAGACTTGAAGAAAGTAAACTAGGGACACACACATGCTGAGAGGCATGGATACATTTTGATTCTGGACACGGAGGACAAGGATGCACTGTTTGCGCGCTATCAGCATCCGTGGATACCCCGTAAATGGTTGTTAACCTTGCTTAGCTGTGCTTCCAGCGTGTTTCCTGCGTTCGACAGGCACTGTTGCGGGTGAAGGAGGCAGGCGTGCGCGCTGTCCTGGCTAGCGTGGCTGTGTGCACTATGGCACGCCTGGGTTAGGAAAAGGCATGATCGCTTTTAGGGCGTCAAGGTTGGCAAGGGTTTCATGTAAGGCTCTTTCCCGAACTTCCATAAAAACTCAGTGCTGGTTAATTTCGCTGCGACGCCCCTGGCACTGCCGTTAGCGCAGCGGAGCTGGAGCCCTTTACAGCGACCCGTGGGCAGGTTTGACCATTTATTCCCAAACAGCTCTTAGGTCATTACACATAACAATGTGTGTACGACGTCAGCGTTGTCGCATCTCCGTCCCATCAATGGACAACTCAGGGTAGCCGATGGCTGAAGAGGATCCCGCGTGTCTCCTACCTATCAAAGATAGTATTTTCATCGTCAAGTGCAAAACCGTAGCTAGCTGCAACAAGACGACTTGTACCTTGCCTTGGACGACAGTGAAACCAGCGCAACTGATTATCGCACTCACGTAACCGTACATACCTGCAGCAGTAACACTGGCAACACCCAACTATTTACTGTACATCCTTCACGACATAGTTCCCTCCTTAACTACAGGGGCGAAAATCACTGCAACATTCTGTTATCAAGTATATAACTCCGGCGGAGCCACTTTCAGACGCTTTACCCACCACCTGCTGCTGCACCAGCAACTCACGGCTCCTCAGCCTCCCCCCCCACATCTGCCGCTGCTGCCGGATGCCTCAGAGCCAGCTCCATTACCTGACCCAACACAGAGCCCCGGCTGCACACGAAACACACCGGCCTACCCCGCCACAACACCCGGGGTCGAGCCCCGCTGACCCCAGGCCGGACCCCAGCGACAGCTCCGTCTAGGTCAACACGAACCTGATGCGCCTTGCACGCCGCGCACCACGCCATCACTGCGGCTGGGGCAGCAGCAGCTGCAGAGGGGCCAGCTGCGGCTCCCGCCGCCGTGGAGCCCTCCCTTCGCGCTGTCTTGGCCGGGCGCTGACTTGGCCCTGACTCTGCCCCCGCCTCGCCTGCCTCGCTCCTGCGTTTCCTTGCGATAAGGCGCTCGACATGCGGGCCCACAATGGCAGCTTCCTCTTCGGATTCCTCGTCTGCATCCTCGGAGGTTACCGGCGGCGTCATGTCCTGTAGCTCCTCCTCCTCCTCCGCAGGGTCTGTCGTACGTGCCGCCGCCCCCGCTGCCGCCGCAGCACGCCGGGCGGCCGCGGCAGTAGCAGCGGCGGATGCCGAGGCTGGAAGTGTCGGAAGGCCCGTGCCGGGTGATGGCAGCAGAGAGGCGCCTGGAAGGCTGCTTGGGCGGCCGCTGCCGGCCACACCAGCCGCAAAGCCTGAAGCGGCGCTGGCGGCAGTGGGAGTCTTGAAGCCGTCTAGGTAGGGGCTGGCAGCCAGAGTGCTTGCGAATGCGGAACGCACTTGCCGCGGAGGCGTGCCTACGACAGCGGCAGTGTCAGCAGCAGCCGGCCGCTGCTGCTGTGCCACCATGCGCAGCTGCATGTGCCGCTGGTGCAGCCCCAGCAGCAGTCGCGACAGGTCCCTGTTCAGCAGCAGCACGCTCTTGGCGCGGCTGACGGCCACGTAAATGGCGTTTAGCTCGTCCACCAGCATGGCCTGCTCACGACAGCGCTGCAGCCGCCGGATGCCGTCCTCCTCGGTGGGGCTCTATGGCAGCGGCGGCAGCAGGCGAACAAGCAACAGAAGCAGAAGGCAACAGAGGCAAGCGGTGATAAGGTACCTTCAAATTGGTCACATGCGTGGTGCAGGCACTTTCAAGGTGCAGGCACTTTCAAGGTATGGCTATGGTTTGCAACCCGCTTCTGTCTAGCTACCACAGCTCCACCCACCAGCTCCACAAAGTCCTCCGCCAGCTGCACCACGGCCGCCTCGCGCCCCTTCATCTTGTGCGCAGTGGTCAGGTGGTAGTCAGCGGAGGAGGGATGGTCCACCTGAGGCCAAGGTACGAATAAGGTACGACAGTCGCTGGGCAAGGAAACCGCTGCAGGCACCGTGCAAAGGCGGCTCCCATCCATCCAAGACCTCAAAATACTTGAACCTTCCACCCGGCCCAACAGCACACATCGATCGTGCACCACCTAAGAAAAAACGTGCATTCCAAAACCCATGCCGAATGAGACCTCACCAGCATCGCCGTCAGCTGCGAGACCTGCTGGGAGATGTTGCAGGCGGGGTTTCGCTGGAGCAGCTCCTTCACCTGTGTTGAGGTTCGAGGGAGGCGGCGGCGGCGGGGCGGGCAATGAAGAGACCGAGCAGGAGCGCGAAATAGAGGCCGAGGAACTGTTAGCATGGCCTCACTTCTGGGTGGCGTTGCGGAGACTACGCGCCACATGCCAGGCAAAAAACAAAGCAGCCAGCTATAGGATGCGACTGGGATAACGAGAGAGAACATGAGGATGAATAATACCTTGCGAGCTCCCCAACAACACCCGGCAAGCTACCCAGCCAGCAGCTCAGTAACCCAGCATGCCCTTCCTATCTAACCCAAGCCATCACCCAACCCACCACTTGGTACGCCCCGCACAGCTCCATGTCCGCCCCGCTGTCCACCAGCTCCAACAGCTCCTCCTGCGTCTCAATGCCGCTCAACACGTGGGAGACACCCCCGAAGCGCTTGCCGTGGTACCTGCAGCGCAGGTAGGCGTCCGCAACACATGCAGGATAGGTACGAACGCGAGCATGTAACAGAGGGTGCGAAGGCAGGGCTCTGGAGTAGCTCTTTCGGCCTTATGTTCCCGGAACCTGCGGTGATGTGGTAATTGACCAACATTGCTGGCCGCGTATGCGATTGCACACAGCAATCCCGTATCCTCTGTGATGGACCCCAGCAAGGTTCGGGCGCCAAGGCTGGAGAAACCCCTCTTCTGTCTCCACGCATCTCTTCCTCTTGGCTTCATCTACCAGAAACACGTTCTTCCTTGCGACCAAATTCCTTATCCCGCACTTACATGAACTCATACACGTCAGTCATGCGCTGCAGGATGGCACCGCCACCACGCCGGCCTCCTCCCCCTGCCCCTCCTGCCTGCTGCTGCCTGCCGTACTGCTGCCACCTGCCCTGCTGATGACGACCGCCGCCATCCTGATGCCCCTCCACCTCGTCACTATCGTCTTTCTGCTGGAACGAGGCGCACACGGTGTGTCCCGCCGTCACCAGCTGCAGCGCCAGCAGCACTAGGGTGGCGTTGCGGCGGGCTACCAGGGTCACACGGGGCCGGGGGGCACCGGGCAGCAGCAGACTGGCAGGCAGCACCGCCACGCCGGCTGAGGTCGTGGAGGGGAGGGGAAGGGACGCGACAAGCAGGTGGTAAGGAATTAGAATGGGCGATGGACATGTCGAGGAAGGCAGAGGGAGCAAGGCAAGGTTGAGTACATACTACCTATCACATATAGGTTGTGTCACATACCCTATACGCGCCTGCCGTAAGCCACTGCCATACCGTTATGAGCACTAGCTATTTAGCAACCCACCCACCTCCAGGGACGGGCGACGTCATGCTGAGCTCCAGCGGGAAGCCCTCATCCGGCTGCAGCCCGCGAATGGGGCACTGCAGGAAGCGGAAGGGGCGCCGCGGGGCTGCACCGGCAGCCGCATCGCCGTCATCATCGCTCTCGCTGCCGCTGCTGCTGGCGCCGTTGAGGCCTTGGGTGTCGCTGCCGCTGCCGCTGCTGCTGGCGCCGCAGCTATTCCCGTTGATTCGCCCTTCTGGCTGCACTTGCGGCTGCTGCGCCTGTTGTGCCCTCGGCGGGAAGATGTCTTCCAGGGTGACGGTGGTGAGGTCGCGGTCTTGGGGCAGCAGGCAGTACACAACGCCTGGGTGGACCCGTGGGTCGCTCGCCTGCATCCACCACGATTGCAAAAGGTGTATGGACTCTGATGACGTGAAGGTCATGGCGCGAGTAGCAGGTTTAGCGAGGGGTCTAACCTAAGCTGAGCAGCCACGATCTCTCACGTCCTTTCCTTCTACCGCTAAATGAAGAGCAAGCTGGTTGAGCGCACACTGCCAAAGGCTCGGTACATTGAACACGGCTATCCATCACTCTTTCGCTAAGCCAAGAGTCGCCCGGTCGTTACTGCCAACGAAGCAATGGATCCCACATTATTGCGGTTCCTGCTTGCACCGGCCGCTCGCTACCTTCACTCACCGTCTGCTGCTCCCGCCCGATGAGGAAGTCCCCTTCCTTGAAAGCCGCCTTGAGCACCGCATTAATCGCGGCCGCAATCTCGGAGCCAAAGCGGTAGGACTGCCGCAACGACAGCCTGCTGAGGGGCCGGGTAAAGTGCCTGCGCACAGCCATAGGCCCATTCAGGCAACAGCTAACAAGGGCACGAGTTGCCGGGAACGCGGGAATCATGGGAGCAGGGGAAGAAGCGGCACAGGTAAGAGGCCACAAGGTAGCCCCAACGCACCCTAAATCGCCGTTTAACAACGAAGCAAGGGCTAGTCCCGAAGGTTACACAACCTGCTGGATGCCTCCCCGTGCGACCCCTGGGTCCGCAACTTACACGCGCCCCGAAAGTAGCCCGCAAGCGTAGTTGAACGAGTAGATCTGCAGCGTTGCAGGTAACAAGAACCAAACATGGCGGTAATGTAAACCGGTGTGGCGTTGAGCGCAGAGCACCAACACGTAATGAGCCCGCTGCACTCTGAGCTATGCACCCTGCCATGCACCCTGCCATGCACCCTGCCATGCACCCTGCCATGCACCCTGCCATGCACCCTGCCATGCACCCTGCCATGCACCCTGCCATGCACCCTGCCATGCACCCTGCCATGCACCCTGTACACTCCCACCTAAAGTACGTTCGTCCATTTCACAAGGCAAGCTCCACACCCTGCCACACCCTTTCGCCCCACCTGCTGGTGCTTGTCGCCCAGCAGCACCAGGGGGGACTCCTCCTGGGGAGGGGTGAGCACACAAGGGCGGTGGCTTGCGTTTCCGGAACACAGCAGCCAGCATGCAGTGCCTGCAAGCATACACAGTACCACAACAGCACGCAACGAAGCTCTCAAACCAGAGGCCGAGCGAGGGAATGCGGGCGATACCCATCCAGCCCTACAAAAGGGACCTTGTACAACAAGGCAACTAGACCGCCATCGCAGCCCCCTCGCTCCTCCTCAACATCACCACCGGTCGCCGTCAGGGCACCCCACCGGCTCCCGCACACACCTGCAGGTCCATTACCAGCTGCTTGGTGACCGCGTTCAGGTCCTGAGCCTCGTCCACGATGATCAGGTCGTACGGCACTTGCCGGAAGGACACCTGCAGCAGGCAGCAGGCAGCGGCCTTACGCCCCCTCCATCCGCAACTAAAGCTGGCTTCCCAATCACACAAACACTCGTATAACAACGTCTTCACACCTAGTCGTATCCCAGCCCACGTCCCTCCGCGCCTATCAATCTGCTCCATCCATACTCCAGCCCTAGCCCCACCAGTTTGGGTTTCTGCAGCGTGCACAGTTTGAGGTAGGCGTTGTGTGGCAGCGGCAGCTCGGTTTCCGTCCTGGAGATGAGCTTGCTCCAAAGCATCCGAGCCGCCTCCAACAGCATGTGCTGAATGCTGTTGACGGCGGTGTTACCACCGCTGCGGCGCTTGCTGAGGAGGCTCTGCAAGGGCTCCCTTGCTTTCTCTGCAAGTGATGAAGGGAGGGACGGCGGGCGGGAGAGCAGTGTGCATGTATGGTGGCAATGGCTAAACTGAGGCGTCACTCCTTATGCTTCCACCACCCACCTACCAAGCTGCTTGGCGCTGAAGTGCCCCAGGAACAACTCCTCATCTCCTGACGTCATGTAGCGGTTCAGGGCGCAGCGGACCGCCGCCGCCACCGCGTACTTCACGTCCTTGGGCGAGCTGGGGTTCCACTGTCGCACCAGGAAGGCACGAACCTTGGAGATGGGTAGGTCGCTGCGAGGTAAGGGGCGAACCAAGGGGCGGTGAAAGGAAGAAGGAGGAACGGCGCTGAAGGCATAAGAGCGCAGCTGGAGGCATGGCAAGGACGGCAAGGCGCAAGGAAGCTAGAGAGGGCTTGTTGGTGACGAACGGCGGGGGGAAAAGAAGCGGGAGAAATGCCTCTAGGATGGTGCTGTGTGTGGGTGTTACGGTAAGCCAACCGACCCGTGGGACCGTGTGTGTTCCTATACGGCAGTCTCACCCGTTCCACCGGTTTGCGGCAAAATGCTCCTCGTACTTGACGGACTTGCGTGCTAGGCCGTGAGTGGTAAGCACGTCGAAATTACCCAAGCGGTTGTAAGGGCCTGATGAGCAGGGCGACAGCGACAGAACGGGTGGGAGGCAGCGGAAGAAAGAGGAGTGCAGTGATTGCTGGCGTTTGTGCGCTCAACTGTCATATACGGAAGCAATGCCGCCACATAAAATTATGCAGGAGAGCCGCAACCAATGCTGAGTTAGAAAGAGTTGGAAGGAGCTATGACAACACGGCAGCGGCAGGCAGGGAGCGAGGCACAATGCAGGCAGGAGGGCAAAAGGGCTGGCAGGTGGATAGGCCATGAGCTGCCAGCAGCTGCTGTCGCTGGGAACCCACTTGCGATGACCGCCATGTCCTTCTTCATCGCCTCCTTGGCCTCCAGCTGTGCTCGCGCCGCCAGGGCAGGCAAAGCATGAAAGCACCAATGGCAGGGTGGGGCATGCAGCACCAGCAGGAAGGAGAAAGGGAGGGAGGGACCGGCACGGTTCAGAAGGGCATAGCAGAAGGTTTAGCAAGGAGAGGACTGCCCTCCTTTCGACTGTCCCCTCTCAACTCGTAAACACGGCCCATGAGGAGAGTGTGATGCTTTCCCCAGGCATGGGCGCGGCTCCCCACACAAACACATACCTCCTTTCCTCTTCCGACGACAGCTATGATCAGTACAGCTAAACAGACGGCTCAGTTCTCCTAACAACACGCACCTGCATGTCCTTGTTGAACACCAGGTACAGGATGTGCTTGTGGCGCAGGGAAGCCACGATGGCTCGGGCGGTGGTGGTTTTGGCGGTGCCGGCGAATGCTTGCACACTGGGGGTTGAAACAGGTGGTGGCAAAGGTGTTAGCAGTAGCGGGTGTGGCCAGTATCAGTAGCGGAGGCGGTGGCGGCATGCAATAGGCCATACGCGGCCGCACAGCGGCGGCCATGCAGAGGCCAGCGAAGAAGAACGCTCGACATTTCATTCGACCAAGTGCTGCGAATGAAACTGCGCCTACTGCCTACGAACCAACTGACATCCTCCTTCCCTCCCTGCTCTCGTGCTCATTCCCCGCTCCCGTTGCGTCTTCAACTCTTACGGACCGCCTGTAACCCCTGCACTACTCCAAGCCTTTACGCAGCCCTCCTCTTACCTCAGCACCCCCGGAGCCTCCAGGCGGCCCACGGCCTCCACAATGGCTCGTTGCTCGCGGGACAGCACCAGGCCGCCCGGCAGGGAGGCCGGGATGTTGGCCTGTGGGTGTATGGAGTGGCGGCAGGGGGCAGAGTCGGTGGCAGCAGAGGCGGCGACAGCAGAAGTAGGTGGCAGTGCCATAGGTGGCGGCAGCAGGGGACGGGTTGGGGTTGAGGTGTAGCCCTCAGCGAGTGCACAGCAAGAGAGCTGGCTTGGGATGGAGCAGGGACTGGGGCAGCGGCAGCGGCAGAACGAGGTGGATGATGAGGCGCCTAACCGACCTTGGAGCCATGCAGGAGGAGCCAACGTAAACAAGGGTCCGGCTACTTGACTACGTACGCTTATAACCGGCCCCTCAAGCGTAATACCTGTACCTCGCTGAACCCGGGAGGCGGGTTGTACGGCACCGGGACCTGGTGGTTCATGTCGTACGCCTGCATGCCACGTAGAACACGGTAGTATAACGGTAACGGTGGTTAGCAATGGCGATGCAACCTTAGGAATACTGGGTGCGTATACCGACGCACACCGTCACAGCCTTCTAGTCCCGGGCTCCCTCAGCCCCATTAGCTTTTTACACGCCTGCACATCGGGTGCCATCAGCGTGCTTGACAGCCATCATCACATCTTCACATCATCTATCTTAGGGGTCCGAGTCTGCACACCCTGTTCCCTCACCTGACGCTCCCCCAGAATGGCGTTTCGCAGCGGCGACAGCTCGGGCTGCTTACAGAGGCCGGCGATTGCAGTCAGGTACTCTTGTACGACAACTCGCTCCAGCCGCGGCCGTACGGCACGCCCATTGCTGCTGCTATCGTACATGACGCCATGGCCGCCCTCGCAGCATTCCAGCAGGTACCTGGAAGATGATAAAGGAGGAGCGTAAATGCACCGGGCAAGGGTTGGTTAACGCACAGGTCCTGCGTTCCGCATAAAGGTTACGCCTTTCTTTGTTTCCACTATCAAACTCGGGCCTCTGTTACGCAGGTTGCCAGGCCCAGGTACGCGCCTTTGCTGCTCCTCCTCCATCTTGACACCCACCTTATCAGCCGGGGCACTGCCCGACCGCAATCTGACAGCCCAAGCGCAGCAAACAGCAGCGCAGCGCCGCTTGCGGTTCCCGCGCCATTACTGCCATTTGTTCCGCTGCTGCCCTCGCCGCTACTGCTGCTGCCGTTGTCGCGACTGCTGTTGTGGCCACTTCTGCTGTCGGCACCGCTGTTGTTGCTGCTGCTCTTCATGCTGCTGCTACTGCTGCTCCCAGCAACACCATCACCGCTACTACCTCCTGAAGCCCCCGCGCCGCTGCTGCCCCCACTGCCATACCCACTGCTGGCAGCTGCTGCCTGTGTCGACTGGCCACATGCGGCTTCGTGCCCCGTGTCATGCTGCTGTCGCTGCTGTTGCTGCTGCAGACCTCCCTGTCCGGGCTCGAGCGCAAGCAGGGGTATGAGGCCCACCAGGTACACAGCCCCGGCGCACACTGAACAGGGAGGTGGAGGAGAAGCAGCGGGTGGATATGAGGTGTAATACGTGGCTCAATCCAGCCAAGCTGCTATCTAGCTACCGTAAGTGCCTTAATACTAAGAAGACGCCATACGAGCGCTGGCATGTGGGTCTCGGTAAACATGGTGACCATGTAACGCCGGCACGTTGCTACAGACAACTCGACCAGAGCCTTATACGCATAGAAGATAATCTTTACGTAAGTGGCATAGTACGCTCAGCATAACACGGCTTGCCCCTATCGTACGACCGAAGTCGACGAGGCGCTGGACCCATTGATATCCTGTGGATTAAACATAGCAGATGACATAACGTTACTTGGCTATTTTAATTTCCTTATTAATGGAACTTAGCGTGATCAAATCTCCAAATGGCTAGTGAACCGCCGCGTGTACGGCTTGCCGTTCGCGCTTGTAGGTGGGCCGCATTGGCTTCTTTGGTGCCACCACAGTCTAACTGAAGCGTATACAATGAAGCGTGGACTGCCTATAATATGGCATGAAGGGCGCGCAGTAGGTATCTTAGTAAGCCGTCGGGCGTGTGCCGCCATGCATTAGCAGCCAACATTCAGTCAACACAATTTCTTGTGCGGTTTAAACTGTCGTGTTAGGAATACGTACAATATTAGTTCAAACCTCATAAATGTAGCACATTGGATTCACACCATAGCGCATTTGCATGTCTAATTGCCTAACAGTAAACGCCAAACGGGTGAGTCCCCCATGCTTTAGCGCATCTGCATGCGCCAGACAGACCATGACAGTTGCGGAAGCAGACATGCCAACCCTTGCTGAACCACATCCCATACAGCCATGCCGTCTTATCTTGCGCACCATTACAACAATCCGTCATCCAGCAGATAGCTCCAGCTCTACACTCTTTCACTCATCACCTGCTGCTGCACCAGCAGCTCCCGGCTCCTCAGCCTCCTCCACGTCTGCTGCTGCTGCCGGGTATCTCAGCGCCAGGTCCACCACCTGACCCAACACAGAGCCCCGGCTGCACGCAAAACACACCGGCCTGCCCCGCCACAGCACCCGGGGTCGAGCCCCGCTGACCCCAGGTCGGATGCCGGCATCACCTCCGTCAATACGAACCAGATGCATCTTGCACACAACACAACACTCCAGAACCGCGTCTACAGCTGCAGCATCAGGAGCAGCGGCCGCAGGGGCAGCAGCCCCCGCTACCGCTACTGCTACCACGGCTGCAGGACCTGCATCCGTATCCGCATCCGTGTCGACTCCATCCACCCCTTCGGGCTCCGCTCCAACTGCACTCCCCTCGCTCCCGCTGGAGCTACCGGTTGAACAGGACCGCCCAATCGTCCCATGCTCGCCGTCCGCCGCTTGCAACTCTTCCACAGCCGCCGGCCCCATCCCCGCTTCTGCAGCTGCTTCCGCCCCGGCGACAGACTGCTCCGCCTGCACCGGCCCCTCCGAGTTTCCTACGTCACCAGCAATCATGCGGTTCACTGCGCAAGACGGGCCTCCCGCGGAGCCCTCACATCGCTGCGCCTTAGTGACGTGCTGGCTCAGCCCTTCTGCTCCCACCTCGCCGTCACACACCCGGCGTTTTCCAGCGTAAGAGCCTTCCGCACCTTGCTGCGCTGACAGCCCCGCAGCGGTGCCAGGGGCTTCTGCTTCTGCTAGCTCTCCTCCTGGGTTGCGCTGCTGCTCCTCCCTGCTGCCGCGCTTCTCCTCAGGGACCTCAGCCATGCTGTGATCTTGGGCTGTGGGCACCTGAGTGCGTCTTTGCGGCTCCTCCTCCATGGGGTCTGTCGTACGCTTCGTGACGATCATACTTGCCGTAGCTGCTGGTACTGCCGCTGCCGTCACAGCATCCCAACCAGCATCTGCATCCATAGTGGCGGCAGCTGGAAGAGTGGGAAGGGCCGTGCTAGGTGGGGTTGATGCCTGAACGCCGCTCATCAGCAGGCCTCCGCAGCTACCACCGGCATCAGGACTAGGAGCGAATGCGGAACGCACTTGCCGCGGAGGCGTGCCTGCGACAGCGGCAGTGTCAGCAGCAACTGCCGCAGCAGCGGCAGCAGTGCCAGTAGCTTCCTGAACAGCAGCAGGCCGCTGTTGCTGTGCCACCATGCGCAGCTGCATGTGCCGCTGGTGCAGCCCCAGCAGCAGCCGCGACAGGTCCCTGTTCAGCAGCAGCACGCTCTTGGCGCGGCTGACTGCCACGTAGATGGCGTTGAGCTCGTCCACAAGCATGGGCTCCTCGCGGCAGCGCTGCAGCTTCCGCTTGCCGCCCTCCTCGGTGGGGCTCTGCAATAACAGGCAGGCAGGCGGGCAAGCAACAGTGGCGGTGTAAGTACCCCGATTTCGATATGCAAAGTGTAGGCGTGTTGATGGTATCCCCTGGTTACACAGCGTGGATTCGCGGCGACGATTTGCAACCCGCTTCTGTCTAGCTACCACAGCTCCACCCACCAGCTCCACAAAGTCCTCCGCCAGCTGCACCACGGCCGCCTCGCGCCCCTTCATCTTGTGCGCAGTGGTCAAGTGGTAGTCAGCGGCGCAGGGACGGTCCACCTGGTAGGGAGGAAGCTGGTGAGCTGAGAGAGACGCAAAAGAGCCCTAACACATAAATGGGAAGACACCGGTGTACATTACGACGCACGTGGGAAGCAAGCATTCCGAGCATGCGCAAGGTGATGTGGAGATGTTGGGTGGAAGGACGCATTGCCGATACTCAGTGCCCACTCACAACGCCCACATGCTCCTGATGACGTCTTCCCAGCTGTTGATCCTGATGAGCAGCTATGTACCGCAAGTACGCAACCCACTGTGATTACTTCGCTTAGGATAAAAAGGAAACCCATGGAGGCAACTATTGGGCTCATGGGACACCCTTCAATACCGGTAACGACTTGTTCTGACGCCATCCGGAACTCCGGACGTATGCCTTATCAAGTTATCAACCGTTACTCACCAGTTCAGATGTGAGCCTTGCAACCTGCTCGGTTACGTTGCAGGCGGGGTCACGAGCCATCAGCTGCCGTACCTGGGGCATATGTAGCAGGGGTAAAGGAAGCACAAATCGCTGAGTAAGCCAGAACGCAGCCACTAGCAAAGCACGCATGTTGCCACCCCCCCTCAAGTCTTCCCATGACGCACCACTTGGTACGCCCCGCACAGCTCCATGTCTGCCCCGCTGTCCACCAGCTCCAACAGCTCCTCCGATGTCTCGATGCCGCTCAACACGTGGGGACCTGAACCGTTTCCGAAACGCTTCCCGTGATACCTACACAGCAGCATGCACACATTCCAATGAGTAAGCCAAGAGCCTACCTACGTAGGCTAACCCCCTGCATGCGTACATGCATGTAGCGGCTGAGGGCACGCGCAGCTGACAGCGCTGGGTATTTCCCCAGCAGGGGATCAAACAGCTGGAGCAACTAGTGGAGAGGTGATGCGGTGAGCCTCCTCCTCCATTCCCAGTCAGTACGGCCTGCAATCTAGTACGCATACGGCATACTCACATGAACTCGTACACGTCCGCCATGCGCTGCAGAATCGGCGCCGTCCTCCGCCGCCTGCCGCTTCCCTGGTTGGCGCCTTGACCTTGCCGTCGCCACCCCTGCTGTCCAAACCCCCGCCCCTGCCTGCCTCCCTCCTGCTCCTCCTCCTCCTGCTGAAACGAGGCGCACACGGTGTGTCCCGCCGTCACCAGCTGCAGCGCCAGCAGCACCAGGGTGGCGTTGCGGCGGGCTACCAGGGTCACACGGGGCCGGGGGGCACCGGGCAGCAGCAGACTGGCAGGCAGCACCGCCACGCCGGCTGAGGTTGTGGAGGGGAGGGGAAGGGACGCGACATGTAGTAAGAGGATGGGCAATGGACGGGCATGGTTTGGACGGGTCAGAATGTGAGAAGTAAGTTACCGGTAACTGAATGGTAAGGCACTATCGTGTGATGTGAGGATTGGTGTGAAGGTGGGACAGTGAGGAGGCTTGTTTAGGGTCGCAGGCTCAGACGTGGGCGGGGAATTCAACCTCCAAACCTGCTGAAGTTCTCGGCAGAATCCCTCCGTCCCATGCGAGCTATGGTACTCCAGCAGGCTCCTTACTGTGCCCCGTGCCATATGAGCACCACGCACCCTAGCAAGCTACCCACCCACCTCCAGGGAAGGGCGACGTCATGCTGAGCTCCAGCGGGAAGCCCCCATCCGGCTGCAGCCCGCGAATGGGGCACTGCAGGAAGCGGAAGGGGCGCCGCGGGGCTGCAGCACCGGCAGCCGCATCGCCACCACTGGGGTCGTCGCCAGGGTCAACCCCACTGCTGCCGTCGTTACCGGTACCGTCGCTGTGACCATCAGCACCATCTTGGTTGTCATTCTGATGACCAGCTGCTGCGTTGTTACCGCTGCTGCTGGCGTCACTGCTGGCACCGGTGCTGCTGGCTGTGCCGCCGTCTCTTCGCTGCTCGCATCCTGCTTCCGTTCCTGGCACGGCAGCCAGCTGCTGAGGCGGCGACGGCGGTTGCGGTTCCGCCATTAGCTGCTCTTGCCCTTGTACCTGGCTCTGCCCCTGCGGCTGCTCTGCTGGTTGCTGCTCTGGCTGCACTTGCGGCTGCTGCGCCTGTTGTGCCCTCGGCGGGAAGATGTCTTCCAGGGTGACGTTGGTGAGGTCGCGGTCTTGGGGCAGCAGGCAGTACACAACGCCTGGGTGGACCCGTGGGTCGCTCTCCTGTATCCACCGTGATTGCAAGCAGGAGGGGTCCTTAAGGGTGAGAAAATAGTTTCTAAAAGCAGTTGACGACACACATGTGAGCTAAATAGGCAGTCCTCAACACTTTAACAGCATAGGTCCTCGGGCAACCCCTCCCTGAACCTTGGAACACAAACGAGAGGACGGACGTGCAACTTCATGTTCTGGGCTGCTGTCAAGTCATACGGCACAGGCTCTCCACAACCCTCAACCAGCACCCCCGCCATACACGTCCCCTGGCTTGGTTGGTGTGGTCCGCACCTGTTCCTTAACTTGCTTTGCTCAGTGCTTACCCGCTACCTACGCACCTGTTGCTCCTCGTGACCGACGAGGAAGTCCTGTTCATCAAAAGCCGCCTTGAGAATTGCGTTGATGGCAGCCGCAATTTCGATCCCAAAGCGGTAGGAGTGTCGTAGGCACAGCTCGATGACGGGACGGGTAATGCGGCTGCGCGCGGCAGGATGCAGTTATGCGTAGATACGGCAGTTGAAAGGAGAGGCCAAAAGATATGTGCAACAACATTATTCTGCATGACGTAGCTGAGGAGGTTTGCATGCACCCCGGAGCAACCCATGGGGCATACATCCCCACTTACATGCGCCCCGACATGAGTCCACACGCGTAATTGAAGGCGTAAAGCTGCACGGGGGGACGGCATTGCACAAAGCGCATCGGCAGGGATGAAGGGTTGGAGTGCTGTGATAGACAGATAGGTGGTGTGCTTGCACCTGGGCAGCAGGAGCCACACACAAACTGCCGGAAGGGCGGTAGGTCCCAATCACAAAGCCTCTACCCCAGCCGGCCAGTCCCTACACCAAAAGTAGAAGACCTACAACAGCCCGTGAGACTCCGCCCTGAAACCCCTTCCACCGGCCCTCTCGTCTCTCCCTTCCTAAGGTGGTGCTTGCACCTCAACCGCATGAAGGCCCCTCCTACTCTCGCTCCACTCAGCCCCTCGATCGCTTTCCTACACACCCAGCCCCTATATCGCTGCCAGCATGCAAGGCCCTCCCCCCACCTGCTGGCGCTTGTCGCCTAGCAGCACCAGGGGAACCTCCTCCTGGAGATGGGTTAGCAAACGGCCCGGTGACGGATGATGATGTGGATGGGGGGAAAGGCACCACGGTAAGGGCAGGCGGAAGGCGGCGGTACACAAGGCACCATACCCAACCAGAGCACCTGGCTGCATCGCCTCGGCGACAGCTATGTATGGTCTGAACAGTCAGGCAGGTGGCTCCGTTTACTTAGCCCACAGAGCATCCACACGACTCATTTACAACACCAATGTCAGACATCTTAAATTCTTGTTGACCCGTAACAGAGCTAAATCGGTGCACACACCTGCAGGTCCATCACCAGCTGCGTGGTGACGGCGTTCAGGTCCTGCGCCTCGTCCACGATGATCAGGTCGTACGGCCGGTTCTTGAACGTGCGCTACATGCACATGCAGGGGGGAAACAATCAACGGGGAGAGCGGCGACAACGGGGCCCTATTCGTTTTGCAGCTAAAATTTACAGCAGCTCTCTTTCGCTGGGTATCGATAAACGCGATAGCCGGGGATGCGCTTAGGCCGACATGCATGTCGTTACCTGCAGAAGCCACTCCAGGATGCCTTTCTTTGCCGTGCCATGCTGGGTTATAACGGAGGTAACGCATGCACTCGCCCAAAACGGTCTATTGCACGCAAGTTAGGTAGGGCACCCGACACACATCTAACGTCTTGCAATCATTCTAGCATGCATGCATGCTGCGTCATTAATGGCCTGGCCTCTTCCACATCCACACCACGCGCCGCACCCACCAACTTGGGTTTCTGCAGCACGAACCACTTGAGGTAGGCGTTGTGCGGCAGCGGCAGCTCGTGCCGGCCAGCAGTCACCTCAATCCAAAGCTGCTGCGCCGCTGCCACCAACATGCCTTGGATGTTAGCAGGGCTGGCGGCAGCCGCTGCTGGTGCTGCTGCAGCCGGTGCTGCTGCGCGCTTGGCTAGGAGTTCCCGCATGGGCTCGGCTATCTTCACTGTTGTATAGCAGGCAGTGAGGGCAGGCAGTGAGGGCAGAGAAGCTATTGTTGCACAGGTGAACGGGGAGAGGACACCAGCAACAGCCAGCAACCCCTAACTAACGCGTCCTACATTCCCCCTTAATTACCTGTTGTGGCCATGCATGTAACCCCGAATTGCTAGCTACCCCTGCCCTACACTACCATCCGAGTATCCAGCACCCAGCACTCAACGTCCAAGACTCAAGACACAAGACGCACGACCCAAGGCCCCCCAGCACTCCCTCAGCTTACAGAGTGCCTTGCTGCTAAAGTGCTTTATCGACAGCTGCTCATCCGCCGATGCCATGTAGCGGTCCAACGCCGACCGCACCGTTTCTGCCACCACATAGCGAATGTCCTTGGGCGAGCTGGGAACCCAATGCTGTACAAGGAAGGCACGGACCGCGGAGATCGGCAGATCGCTGTACGCAAGGAGGAGGCAAGGCAGTCCGGATGTAGACGGCCATAATAAGGGGAAGAGGGACCGTTGGTTTGGTTCATGGGTAAAAGCAAGAGGAATGAAGGAGTGCGGAGAAGGGTACGTAGACTACAATGGAACATGGATTAAAGGAGCGTCTAGAGGTCGTGCTGGTGGACTAAGGAGCTGCGGGGAGCTGGATTCACTGAAGGATGGAGGTAGAGAAACCTTCGGGTCAGCTGACGAGTAAAGGCCCGCAAGACTTAGCAGAAGGGGCTGGTGAGCAGAAGAGGCAAGCTAGCTTTTGGTCCTCTGCCCTTACTTGTTGCTGCGTCGTTCGTCGAAGTGAGCCCGGTAATCCATAGCCTTGCGCACCAGGCTGTGTGTGGTGTGCACGTCATAGTTTCCGTTGCGGAAGTGGGGGCCTGCGATCCGCAGTTGACGGCGGCAGAGGAGGAACAGTAAGCACTAATCATGACTGCATCTTAAGGCAGCATGCCATGCATAATGTATTTAGTCCCCATTAACAGCAGCAAGCAATAGCGCCGGCAGCAGCACTGGCGGAGTCAGAAGCAGTAGTACGTACCACCATCGTATCAGAAACGCATCAGAAACGAATCACGGTGGCAGCCGCGGCCAGTAGAGGCAGGCAAGGTACCGGGGCGGGCTGACAGGGAGGCATGCAAAGCGAGGCAGCCCGTGCGTCAAAGCAAGGCAGGATTCATGATAAGGATTGATAACTCACTCGGAATAGCTTCTATGTCCTTATCCATCGCCTGCATGGCATACTCCTGAACGCGTTTGCACATGACGGTAGACGGGGTGGTAATTAAATGGTAGGGAACTTACATGCCGCTGAGGGAGAGGACAGGACGGCGCTGTGTGCATGCAGGCATGCATGGTAAGCAAGGCCTGGCGGCAGGGATCTTAACGCGCCGGCATAGGGCCACCAGCAAAACGCACTAGGCTGCTGGGCCTAGTTTTCGGCAACCGTGTCGTACATTGGTACAAGGAATTATGGTCCAGAATAGCATTCGTTGCGAGTCGGGCAAGCATAACCTCACAGCTGCAACTGTAATGGAAGGAGCTGAATAACGGTCACCTTACACCTTTGACTTCACACGCATGCGAAAAACTTCCTGATCCCTGACGTTGCTGCACACCACCTACCCTCATATCCTTGTTATAAACAAGGTATAGGACGTGCTTGCGGCGTTGGGAGGCCACGATGGCTCGGGCGGTGGTGGTCTTGGCGGTGCCGGCGAATGCTTGCACACTGGGAGGTTCATGGGGAGGCAAGAATGGCAGAGACTATGGCAGCGGAGGTCGAAAGTTTCCATGGGTCAAGCCATGGGGCAGAGAAACGTGGTAGCCGCCATCCCAGCTAAGCCAGGCCAGCCCATCCCAGCAATGCACCTACAAGCCTCTCTTCCCTCCTCCCTCGCACGCTCTTCACTCCTTCCCTCCCCCTCCTGCTTACAGGAGCGAATTAGAAGGCGCGGAGGCAAGGCATGCATGTCTCCAACCCGACTGCCAGCCAAGCGCAAACCGCATGTTCCCCCTCCTCCCACTCCCCCGCTTGCATGCAGCGCCCTTACACCTTTTATCACCCACCTAGTTGACCTTTTGCCCGCTTCAGCCCCTACCTGAGCACCTCAGAACCCTTGAGGCGGCTCACAGCCTCTGTGATGGCTTGTTGCTCGCGGGAGAGGACCAAACCGCCCAGCAGGGAAGCCGGGATGCGGACCTTAGCGGGGCGGCAGCAGCGATAGCACAGGTGGGAGCAGGGTCGGAAAGGCGGATCGGCAGCAGCAGAGGGGTCGCAGTACGGCGCGTGGAAGGGCGTGCGTATCGAGGGGGTTTAGGGAGTAAGGTCGGGGACTGCGACGTTAATGGGTAGAGAAAGCTGGCAGTTTATCCTTGGAGGAAAGTGAGGCAGCTAGGTAGAAACTATTGGGGTCATTTTATTGGGTTGTTGTCCCTGGCAAATGGCGCCCCCCTGAAGAAATGTCACACCTGACCGGCGCTTGGAGGCGGGTTGTACGGCACCGGGCCCTGGTGGTTCAAGTCGTACGCCTGCATGCCACGTAGAGCACGGTACGACATACATGAGCCACGGGTCTCTTTCGCGTACGTTAGGCAAACGGATACTAGGGACCTGCTTCGCTGGCTTGGATGTTGCCAATGACAATTCTTACCTGTAGCTCCCCAAGAATGGCATTCCGGAGCGGTGACAGCTCTGCAGCACACTCAGGCTGCGTACAGAGGTCGGCGATTGCAGTCAGGTACTCTTGTACGACAACTCGCTCCAGCCGCGGCCGTACGGCACGCTCATTGCTGCTGCTGTCGTACATGACGCCATGGCCGCCCTCGCAGCATTCCAAGAGGTGCCTGGTGAGGCAGGGACTGTCCTGAACAACAAGAGCCAACACGCAGCAATCTAGAACGATGTTGTGGTTCGGGAAACGACACTACTAACAACGGCAATACCAGTGCTGTTGGCATTGTATTGTCCTTTAAGTGTATAAAGCCCAGGTATGAGGTACATGCCGCATCCAGTTCTCCCCTAGGTGTCACCTTCTCACACACCTAATTAACTTGGGTACTGCCCGGCCGCAATCCGACAGCACAAGCGCAGCAAATAGCAGCGCAGCGCTGCTTGCGGTTCCCGCTGCCGTGTCTTGATCCCCCACAGCTCGCGCCTCAAAGCGTTCTTCCGGGAACATCCCATCATTGTCGTCGCTGCTGCCATTCTGCGCATTTACAGCGGCAGCGACAGCGGTGCAGCCGATGCCGTCGCAGCCGCTGCTCGTAAGGCCACCATTCCCCCTATCAGCCCTGCTGCCATCAGCACCAGCAGCAACACCACTACCGGTACCACTACCAGAAGCCTCCGCGCCGCTGTAGCCTCCACCGCCACTACTGCTTGCAGCTGCTGCCTGCGTAGACCCGCCGTTCCCAACTTCGTGGGCAGTGTCTTGCCATGGAAGTGCTAGGCGGGCGGTGCATGTGTTGCCCTGCAGCTGCTCTTGAGGCGGCTGTAGCTGCTGCTGGGGTGGTGGTGGCAACTGTGGGTGCTGATTTGGAGGTTCCTCCAGGTGCTCCTGCTGCTGCAGATCTCGGAGCCCGGGCCCCAGCCTGAGCAGGTGTATGAGGTCCACCACGTAGACAGCCCCGGCGCATGCTATGGTGCTTAGAAGGAGGCGGAGGAGTGAAAGCCGCAGCATGGAGGAGGGGGAAGGTAAAAGGGAGGTACCGGTAAAGGGCGGTAGCATACCGTATATGGGCTTGCTGATGGTGCAGTGTGCGTGTGCCACTTGCAGCAGGAAGAGGTAATTGCAGTTGTATGCGTGCTTGGAGTCGCGCCTTTCGTAAGGCGCTTTTAAGGCATACCTCGCCCATGTGGACCATGAGCTCCAGTTATTTCCCTAGGCGCGATTCCGAGAGCTCGGAACACTGACCTTCGGCTCCCAGGTACTCATTAATGACCGCCAGCGCAGCGTTGTATGATAGGCCCGCGAGCCGAGGCCCAAATTCTCGGCCGAAAGAGTCCGCAGCAGAGACAAACATCAGGCCTCCCTGAACAATCAAGCGAGTCATCTGGTCCATTTGTTTGTCAGGCCGTCAGCTTAGCCTGACCAGCCAGCACTGGCTTCTTTCGCCTGATGCGTCAAGCATACATGTGACGACGCAAAGTTGTATACCTTAACTCTAGCTGCTTATGAGCTGGTGTACCGGCTAATATTAATTATGACTTCCTGAGCTTGTTGCCTATCTCATCAAGCTAACGGCTTGGGGTTAGGATCTCCGTTCCGGTGTGCAACTAATGTGACCCATGCTGCGAGGTAGCTAGCGCCAATGAATAGAACGTGCATTTAACAGTTATCTTTATATGCGGTATACCGTAAAACGTGGTATGGATGGCATGCTGTGCCCAACATGAAGGGCTAGTCGTCGAAGTGTGAAAGCGGAGTATCCCAATAATAAGCTGTGTGCCGCCTGGGGCTAGGACTGTTTCCATATCGCATAGGTGCTGCAGAGCGACAAGCGAGACCCTAATGCTCGCGTGTGACACCTAACATATTGCCGCTGGCACAGGCTCTATTATTCGGCTTTTTCGTAAGCTAGAAGCGCACCATAGCGGTTAGGTATGCAGGGGTAATTCGCTTACCGGTACCCTCAAAGTACACCAGTAGACACGAGCGAACATTCAAGCCTCGACCCCGCAGCTGCTAGCGCCACGTCTGTGCAATACAACAGGTTACCTAGAATCAATCTACGAAACCTGGCTACACTACTTTTGGCACACATTTTGGCCACCTGCCAACTGTCACTGGCACCTGATTAACCACTAAAAATACGCGAAAGTGGCCGTTTCTATCATAAATGATCAGTTTCTGTCTAGCAAATGGGTGAAAGCGTGTTGAAATGCGGAGGTGATCACATCCAGGGAACCGAGAGGCTGTGATTACAACCCCGGCCCCCATAGCTAGGGCGACACGCCTTTCGTGCGTTTCGAAGTTATGACGCGCCTTTAATTAGTGTCGCCAATTTATGTCGCGTCAAACATTAGCAAAAGAAGTTTAAAGACCGCATGAGATTGAGAGCGATTATAGGACATGTAACTCGCGCCAGTCAATTTGTTCAGTGAGTTACGTTTATATTTTTGTTTCAATGCATAGGCGCATCAGGGTACATAGCTTCCAGAACGTTGGTAGTTGGAAATGGACGTTTCAGATAGCGCCGTTTTCGGCCTGTATGACGATGGAAATCGACTCTTCCACAACTTGCTTTCTTGCTATAAATTGTCTGGTTTTGGACTGCACTTGTACAACAGGTTTACGGAACTGTTGACGACCAGATTGTCATGGTAGTACAGAGCTGCTTGCCGGGCTTCACGACCATCGCGTTTCATTATTGGTAGTGATAGTATTAGTATATATAGTGCTTCCTGTGATACTTTATTACTTCACGACACTGCCCAACTTGCATAGACCTGTGCTGCTATCTAACGCGGATTTCCCCATAACCTTGTGACTCTAGCTCCGTAAGCAACCTTCAAGTACAGTCCACGTAGCCGTGGGCGGCATGCTTTCCCTGAGCCGAGGCATTGGTGCCGCTCGGACTTTCCCGCTGCAAAGGTACCGCCACGCACACGATGCCAATGCTTATGCACGCTGTTAACAGTGACCACAGCATCCGTTTACGGGATTCCAATGCGCTTGTCTGCCAAAACAAACTCGACAGCGAGGGCAGGGTTCCAATGCGCAAGCTTACTATCGCACATGTTGCTAGGTTCCGTGACCTTTGCAGCCGAACTGCTTTCACGATTGCAGACCATTCCTCCTTTACATACTACACCCTGCAGGCCCCGGCTCAATCTACAAGCCCTCCACCCTCATTTCCCCAACTTACCATCCCATTCACCCCGCCTACTAACCACACAACGGCAGGGCTTCACGCGCTTTGTCCCTCTTCTGCTCCGCTACCATGGCTTCGGACGCCGCCGCTGCCAAGAAGCGCGTGCTCATCGTGGGAGGTGTGGCAGGCGGTGCCAGCTGTGCTGCCCGCCTCCGCCGCCTAGACGAGAAGGCAGAGATCACAATTTTCGAGAAGGGGCCTTACGTCTCTTTCGCCAACTGCGGTCTGCCGTACTACGTTGGCGAGGTCATCAAGGTACGGTCCCGTGCAGCCTCTTTCCTTTACCTGCACGGATGGTATGGATTCCACCTTTCCTCAAATTCTCCGCACCCCTGGAACCTCCCCTACCTGCCCCTATCAAGAACATCAACCCTCCTCCTTCCGTTCCCTCCCCTCTCCTGTCCTATCCTCCCTTCCAACCCCCACAGGAGCAGAGCAGCCTGCTGGTCGCCAACGCCGCCAAGTTCGACAAGTGGTTCAACGTGGCCGTCAAGGAGAACACAGAGGTGCGGAGGAGGGGGGTTGAGGTCATGCATCATACAGGCGTTGCATGTCAGCTAGAGTACCGGTACCGCATACAAGGGTACTGTTGGAGCTGCGTGCGTCGTGCAGTAGATTCCGTCCGGATGTGCCTGAGCCCGCCTCTGCATGCAGGCACGCAAGTGCACAACCGCAAGTGACTGCGATTGTCCTGTGGTCCACCGCTAACGTATCAGCCGAAGCATTGCCTCCATACATCTTGTAAGAAACCTTTGTAAGGAAAGGATGAGCCCAGTGCTCCTGATGGTTACCGAGCTGCCCTGCCCCTGTGCCCCACCCTACCTGCCCCATGCAGGTGGTTTCCATTGATCGCAAGGCCAAGACCGTGGTGGCTCGTGACGTCACCACCGGTACGGACACCGTACACCCGTATGACTACCTGGTGCTGTCGCCGGGTGGTAACGCGGTGAGAGGAGCGGGGGGGAGGGCTGATGTATGTTTGGGGATGGATGTGGGTGGAGGTAGAGGAGGAGGAGGAGGAGGAGGCAGCAGCTATGTCCCAGCAGGATGTTGCCCTTTAAAGGAGATTTGGCATTGTGGTCCTTTGCCGCAACACTGTAGCCTCCTTCGGGCAGCTACCGCTCACTCCGTACCCACGCTTGCTTGCATTCAATACCCCATCCCTGCCCCTTTCCCTCCCTGTGCCAGGTCCGCCCTCCCCTGCCCGGTATCGACCTGCCGGGAATCTTCAGCATCAAGACGGTGCCCGAGGCCAACGCAATCAAGTCCTGGATTGCAGAGAAGGTGCGTTGGGTATGTGACTGGCTTTCTCAGGACTAACTAATCCTGCCGCGCGGAACTGCTGCTGCTAGGTACACAACCAACAGCCTTGCAAGTCGGTAACGGCCATTACCGTATAGCCTAGTTCCTTCCCGCTCCAGCTGTTTCCGCCACCTGCCCTACCCTGCCACCAACCACGCACCCTCCCAACCTCTTACCCCACCCACCCGCCACTCGCCCACTCCTCACGCACCTTACCTCGCCCCACCTCACCTGTCTCGCCACCCATTCCACCTCAGGGTGTGAAGCGCGCCGTGGTGATCGGCGGTGGCTTCATCGGCATGGAGATGGTGGAGAACCTGGTGCATCGGGGTATTGAATGCGACCTGGTGGAGGCAATGAACCAGGTGAGTATGGGGTGAGGCAAACTGGCCGTGAGGTCTGAGTGAATGCGTTTGTGGATGTGTAAAGCCACTAGGAAGGGGCTGGGTGGGCTGACTTGGGGTTGCCTTGCTTAACCCCGCTGCCTGCCCATCCTCCCTTCTCCATGCAACACACGTTTGGTGCATCGCCATAAGTACGTGGTGCTTTCTTTCTTTCACCCTTCACCGGCCCCCGCCCTTCCCGCCGCACATGCCTGCCTCCTGCCCAGGTCATGCCCCCCTTCGACCCCGAGTTGGTCGAGCCGGTGCACGAGCGGCTGCGCTCCAAGGGCGTCACGCTGCACTTGGGAGACGCGGTGGCGGGATTCGAGCCTGGGACCTCGGGTGCTGACGGCAGCAGCAAGGAGGAAGGCGCGGGGCTGCTGCGCGTCCTGACCAAGAGCGGGAAGAAGCTGGAGGCTGACCTGGTGCTGCTGGTGATTGGCGTGCGGCCTGAGACCACGCTGGCGCGGCAGGCTGGGCTGACGCTAGGGGCGCGAGGCGGCATCCAGGTGGACGAGCAGATGCGGACTTCGGACCCGGACATCTTTGCGGTGGGAGATGCTGTGGAGGTGAGTAGGGGCTGGAGGATGGGGTCTTGGGGTGGGGCTGGAGGGAAAGGGGCTGGGTTGCGTGTCTCAGTATCCTCAAAAGGCTGCAGATCGTAGGGATGCAATTGCTAGGAGGGAAGATGCATGGTGACCTGGACTGCATGTATGTGACTTTAACATGTGTACGCCACCATATGCGCCCCCCGTGCACTTGCACACGCCGCAGGTGAAGGAGGTGGTGACGGGCGAGCAGACGCTCATCCCGCTGGCCGGCCCCGCCAACCGCCAGGGCCGCATCGTGGCTGACGTCATCACCGGCAAGTGAGTAACCACCGCTAACAGCCAACCGCCTGCGGCCTGGTTGATAAGGCTGCCAATCACTCTTCTCATACATGTTGCGTCACAAAGTCAGCACATCGTTTTTCATTGCATAACTAGCACTGTGCCCTAGCACACTGCACCTCATGCTCACCCTATCCGCGAACCCTCCTGCCCCAACGCTGCCCGTTGTCCTCCATGCCCCCACCTTCAAGCCCTTTGGTTATCCAACACCCCACGTCCCCCCCCCCACCCCCAGCGAGCCAAGTCGCTTCCGCGGCAGCCAGGGCAGCAGCGTGCTGGGGCTGTTTGGCCTCACGCTGGCCGGCACCGGTGCCAGTGAGAAGACGCTCAAGCGGCTGGGGCTGTCGTACGACAAGGTCTACCTGCACGCCAACAACCACGCGGGCTACTACCCGGGAGCTCGGCAGATGGACCTCAAGCTGCTGTTCGACCCCAAGGTGGGGGGCAGGTTGGGGTTGGGTTGGGGTGTGCGGGGTGGAAGGATGGGATGGGAAGGGGCTGGTGGGTGCTAGGCCATGCCAGTTGTTGGTTCGAGGGTACCGGTATGAAAACCACGGTGTGGGTGTGCTAGTAGGGTGTATAACTGGCAGCATGTGTGTTGCGTCGCGCTGTGTTGGTGCTGCTTGTGAGAGCTAGCCATGGGCACTCTTGCGCCTGCGTTGCGGGATGAATTCGTAGCTACTGCCTTCCTCCCTCCACTGCCATGCGGTCCCCTGACTTAACGCCCCTCCGCACCTCTTCCTGTTGCCCCTCCCGCAGGACGGTCGTGTGCTGGGCATGCAGGCGGTGGGCGAGGAGGGCGTTGAGAAGCGGGTGGATGTGGTGGCCATGGCCATCCAGAAGGGGGCCACGGTGTTTGACCTGGAGGAGGTGAGTGGGGAGCAGGCGGGGGAGGCGAGGGGAGACAGCGGAGGGGTTGGCGTGGGCTACATGGAGCGACCACAACGAGACGCGCTCCCCTGCTTCCCCTGGTTCCAGACACCTGTTGCACGCCTCATATCCTTCCACGCCCTGCACCTCCTTCCCACGCGTGCCATACTAACCCCAGAAGCTCTCTCTGCCGCTCTCCTACCACCCCAATCACACCCCAACCCCGCCTCTCCCCCCAGGCCGAGCTCTGCTACGCTCCCCAGTTCGGCAGTGCCAAGGACCCGGTCAACCTGGCGGGCATGGTGGCCGCCAACTCGCTGCGCGGCACCCACCCGCTGGTGCACTGGGACAGGGTGGACCTGGGGGCGCTGCTGGCGGAGCCGGGGGCCGTGCTGGTGGATGTGAGGGAGGTGAGGAGCTGTGGAGAGAGAGCTAGGGAGGGAATATGAAGACTGTATGAGGGATTAGGAGGTATGCATTGTGTAGGAGGCGGTGCTAGCGGACCGGGGAATGGGAGGGAGGCATGCCGGTACCGTACTCGACAACATGCCGGCCTATCCCCGACCACCCGACCCGCCGCAAACCGTTACCCTCCCCCTATACTGTGCTCTTCTTTCTCTTTCCTTGCTCCTCTTTACCCTTTCGCTTCCTCTCTCCCTCCTCCTCCCTCACCCCCTCCCTCACCAGCCCGGCGAGCTGGTCAAGGTGGGCAGTGTGGCGGGAGCCGTCAACATGCCGCTGTCAGGGCTGCGGCAGCAGCTGCAGCAGCTGAGCCAGCAGGAGGGCGCCGACGCCAAGAAGTACTACATCTACTGCCAGGTAGGGCGGGCGGGAGGGAAGGGAGGGATGGAAGGGAAGGGAAAGGGCTGCAGCAGCTACATTGCGGCCGCAGCAGGGAACTGGGAAAAGGGGCTACCCTCCCAACATGGTTGTGGTGGTGGCGGGGATGGAGGTCAGCAGCGCTATCCTTGGAGAGCCACAGTTGGGATTCAGAGCTTCTGGAATCTGGACTCTCCCACCTGTCCTAGCCTCACGCTTTCTACAGACGTCCGCGAAAACTGAACTCCACCCCTTGTTTACCCTGTTCCCCTCATTGTACCCCACTCACCAACCAACTCCCAACTCCCAACCTCCACCCCAGGTGGGTCTGCGCGGCTACCTAGCCACGCGGCAGTTCCTGCAGGCCGGTCTGGACGCGGTCAACATCAGCGGCGGCTTCAAGAGCTTCCAACAAGTGGCACCCAAGTTGTGATGGGTGATGTAAGCGGAAGGTGTTTGAGTATTTACTGCAAGGAGGTGCTTTGTGTTGGTGTTGGTGGTGTCCTAGGCTGTGAGCAGGTGAAACGGTTACCAGAGGCGGTTTCGTAGGGGTTTCTGGTGAGGAGGTGGCAGACATGCCTGCCCTGTAACAGTGCATTGGGTGACAGCTCTGCATCTATTGAGTGTGCACATTCCATGCGTGGAGGTCATGCTTAAATGGTATGATGCGTGCTGATCAGGTGCATCTAGAGTTATGCACGGGGGTTTCTATGCATTCATGTCTATAGGGATTCATGTGGATAGTAGGGAAATGCAATCGTCCAAGACGGTGCCGGCTTTTATGGTCTTGTTTTGATGCATGAATGTTGGTGCTATCAGTGTTGCTTGTGTCTGTGATTATGGGCAAGGTATAGCACTTTTGCCTTTGCATTGCGGCTTTGATTGTGATCTCGGAAGACGTAGGTTTTGTTGGGAAGGCGCCTTGCAAGCGCACGCGTACAGTTGATTGGGCTAAAGTGCGTCGAGTGGTCGTCCATTTGGCCGAGTGCAAATACCCATACGTGTTGGCCAGGGGCCACCACAGGTGTGCTGCATGGAAATGGACGCAAGAGGAGGCCTTGGGAGTTGGAACTCACGTGAAAACCGTATCCAAAACCCCATGTTGTGTATATGACACCTTAATCGCAAATGTAACGATTATATCCTTAGGAACTGTGCTTGCTCACAAGCCCCGTTGTCTCCACAGGGTTATGGAAACGCATTCCTGGCCCATGGCCCAGCATGGCGACATGCTAATTGCCATCATGTTCACAAGCCAAACATCATAGCCGTGACCCAGTTCTTGCAGATTCGTTTCCACCAGCCTGCACCTTCAGCCGATGATTACCAATTTAGGACACCCCACATTTCGACGCCTCGAATGCCCTAACGTCCCCACTGTGCTTTGCCCTAGATTTCAATGGAACTGAATAGAAGTTTTCCATTTTATTTGGGTGCAATGGCATGGGGCGGGACCAATAAGACGTCCGTAGGTCGGGTCACCGGGGCAGCTCCCGCGCTCGTCCCGTTATCGTACTTTTGGTTGAAAAGGCAAAATAAACTTAAGCTTAGTTCTGCCTTAATTAAATAACAACAGCTCTCTTTCTCTCTTACACTTTCACAATCTCCTACTGTAACAATGTCTGGCCGCGGCAAGGGTGGCAAGGGTCTGGGAAAGGGCGGTGCCAAGCGCCATCGCAAGGTGCTTCGCGATAACATTCAGGGCATTACAAAGCCCGCTATTCGCCGTCTTGCTCGCCGTGGTGGCGTCAAGCGTATCAGCGGTCTCATCTATGAGGAGACCCGCACTGTGCTGAAGACCTTCCTGGAGAACGTCATCAGGGATTCGGTGACCTACACCGAGCACGCTCGTCGCAAGACTGTCACGGCCATGGATGTCGTCTACGCCCTCAAGCGCCAGGGCCGCACCCTCTACGGCTTCGGTGGTTAAGCCATTCGACTGCGGGCGGTGGAGTTTTCTACATAAAACAATACTCGGTGTTTTTCAACACCACCATATTCCGGACACTTGGCTCAGTTTGCTTTTACAGGAGGCGTCTTGTTGGTTAGCGCTGGTCAACATTTGCAACCTTAGTCAACGCTCTCAGAGGCTCCTCCCCCGTCCGGTTCGGTATACAAGTATTATACATACATGGCCCTCATCGACCCGATGCATCGCATCCACATTATATGTTCGATATTACTCACTGAATAATGTTGTCAAAGCACCCTCGTCATTCGAAAAGCCGTCCTGTGCGGCGCCTTGCTTTTCCTTGAACTGAGGAAATGGCGGCCGCTACCAAGTCGCGCTCAACCTTAACGCTTTTGCAGCACATCTTCCTCTCTTCTCCCTCAACTGACGCCGACTCTCTCTTATCCAACTCCTACTGTGGCATTACTCTCAGAGCGTCAGCGACACCCATGTCGTCGACATGTCACCTGGCCTCCAACAAGCGGTCCACCAGCTGTTCGTAGCGGCCCCACTCGCTCACCTGGGAGCTCCAATCCGGCGGCAGGCAGGACAACCCGCCCTCGGCCGCTAGAAGTGCTCCAATCAGCAAACTGCGGGAGCAGTTATCACCTCCAGCCACCATATTTGCCCGCACGCCTTCCACATAGCTGTTGCTGCTGCTGCCAAAGTGCGCTGCTGCCATTGCTACGTTTGTGAAGGCGGCCGGGTTACCGCATGCCGGCCCGTTGCACCACACAGCCAGTGAGAAGGGCGGCAGGCTGTCTCGCAGGGCCATGTGCTTGGAAACCATTTCGGCCATGTAGGGAGCTGGCTCGTACGTTAGCTCTGGGGGGGCGAAGGCATGTGTTTTGATAGCACATAGCAGCAGAGGTGTAGGGACCCGCGCATGGTACTCCAAAGGGGCTTGCGTGAAGCGGCGTGTTGTGGGTTGTGAAGAATGGAAATATGACGTATGCGGATGCGGTCCTTCACATGCCTCCTGTAGCACACAGTCCTGGTAAGAAATCCTGCGAAGCCAGGTCTGTTCAAGCCCGGGCTGTAACCTCAAAGTCCCTAGCCTCTCCCGGTGTGCATCCCCAACCTCCTCATCACTCCTCACCTTTGAGCGGCGCGTTGCGGCTGCCCAGCGCCCTCCCAACCAGCGCACTGGCGTCCCCGGGCAGCACCCCCTCGGCAGCCGCCCACTCCAGTGCCTCGGAAACGGAGTGACCCTAGCGACGGCGGCAGCAGAGGGTGCAGGAGGGAAACAAGTCAAGGGGATAGAACCGCCACGCAGTGCCTCACTTCTACTTCCTTACCACGCACCCCACACCTCTCTCCCTGCCTCTCAGCATTAGCCCAGGGGACACCTCCAGGGGACTTTCTCTCCTCCTCCAACCTCCCCCATCGTTCCCCACGCTCACCAGCACCACCTTCTCAAGGATCAGCGCCCCTGCAAAGCCGTACGCAACCGCCTGATCGTTGTTCTGCTGCACTCGTACGGCAGCCTCCACCCGTTCTCGCAGCTGTGGCTGGCCGGCGTAGCGTGCCACCAGGATGCAGGCCTGCAATCAAAGGAGTGGGGCGAGTACCGGTACGTGGTGGGAATACCGGTAGGGTGGTGGGATGTGGACTAGGGATGCGTGGGAAGACATGTAGGGGTGCAATTGGACATGTGGACAAGCCAGGTGCCAGGATCCACCAACCAAGTGCACCCCAGATCAGGCCTGCCCATTGGCCATTCAACCCTGATGGTCCTGCTCGTCTTAGTTCAGCCCTAATTCAGCCCGTCACCACGCACGAACCTTGGCGAAGCAGTTTGCCTGGAAGTCCGCCTCATCGCCGCACTGCGTCCCACGGCGGCCCTCCTCCCAGGCCGCTACCACACTGCGAACGCTCTTGTTGCGGTAGGCCTCGGGCTGCGTGTGCGTGAAGTAGTGGTACAGGGCCTGTGCGGAGAGGGCGAGAGAGGTGAGACATGACGAGGGAGGATATGAGGGTGGTACATGCGAGCAGAAGTACACGAATCACAGAGTTGCAGGGTAGGACGACGATTGCGAAGAAGAAAGCAAAGACGGTTAATGAGCACAGTGAAGTTGAGGAGGACAGCTCAAGCGCATCCAGCGAGGAAGGTCACCAACTGCAACCTAAATGTAGTTCGCACCTCGGAGTACTTCTCCGCATCCAGTTCGCCCCCGTTCTCCGCCATGGACTGCAGCAGCGGAACCAGCTCATGGCCGTAGGGGCTCAAGGAGCCGAAAGGGTGCTGTAGGCGGGAAAAGGAGGAATGTCACCGGGCGGGAGGAGGGGATGGATGGATGGGCAGGTTTGAGAGCCTTCGAGCAGCACCATTTGTATATGGGAGTCGCTCGCTGCCTTACCTTATAAAATGGACAAGAAGGTTCTGGGAAGAATTCAGGAGTGTCCTGGCGGGACTTGGATTCTAGCAAGGACTGGAGCTTGGGCACATCGTAGATCCCTATGTAGGACAAGCGACATCGACGTCTCATGGAGCAGAGAGGCCAGGAAACATTGGCGAGGGTATACGTTGAATGAAGGGCGACGGTTAACAGCGCATCCTGTTTAGTATTGCCCTGAAGTTCTGAGCGACGGCAGGATGGCCATCATCGCATGGCTCGACGACCCGTCTGCTTACAGTGTAAAGGCATGCTCGCGGCATCTGCGAGTAGGCCGCCGAGAATCGCAGCCTTAGCGCGTTCCTTTACTGACAATTGCGGCATGGCAGAAGTTCGCGTAGAGGCTGGCGTTGCGGTCGCGTACAAGGCGACCTGAAAAAGTCGCAACACCAGGTTGTTATCGGTTAAACATATTTGTTATGATTTCTAACTAAATAAATTGCAAAACGCACCCGTGCGCGACGGCAAGCTTTCGCGGTGAGGGCCTGGGGCCTCGCAGTGCGGAGGGAACGAAGGGCCATGCAAGACCACCAATTAACCTGTACGTCTTTGGGTTTAGCTAGAACCCACCCTGCCAACGGGTGCTTATGAAAGGCCAGAAATGATGCGTGGTCTCAGTAGCTCCGGAACTGCTTGATCCAGATTCCAGAACACGAAAACCAACGCGACAGACTACACGGAGTCTGCCTAAATAGCTGTGATAGTCCCCGGATTTACATAATGGTTTATGGCGTATACAACTCTCGATGTGCAAACTTGCAACCCAAGGGTCAATCAGGCTACACCCTGCGCAGGTGAAGATCTGATCTCTGGAGCTGAAGGTACCGAGATGCAGCAAGCGAGGCAGGTCGGCAGCCAACTGACTGGGAACCGTACCATTACCTCCACGAAGCGTACACCGCCTGCAACCCTCTTTCAACCCTGCAACCGAAGCATGCTGGGTTGCTGGCATACCGGTACTATATGGAGGGGACGCAAAACACGGCCTGAATATTTCTTTCGGAAGCAACGTTTCCCTGGTAAAGGCCTTAACTGTTGTGGTGTTAAGAAACACCGAGTATGGGGATTGTTGGTTCAACGGTTAAGAATGCCCCCCAAGCTTAAGCGGTCTCCTCCTCAGCCTTGCCACCCTTGCTCTTCTTGGGCAGCAGCACGGCGTGGATGTTGGGCAGCACACCACCGGAGGCGATGGTCACCTCGCCCAGCAGCTTGCTCAGCTCCTCATCGTTGCGAATGGCCAGCTGGATGTGGCGAGGAACGATGCGGTTCTTCTTGTTGTCGCGAGCGGCGTTGCCAGCAAGCTCAAGCACCTCTGCAAGTACGGTAGAATGGATGAACATTTTATTGAAGTGTTTCGCCGCAGGAAGTGCGCATGGATCAGCATGAATGCCAAGTAGTTCCCAGCCAAATATATGATCGCATGTACTTCCACCACTCCTGGCTTAGCCAGTGTCACATCCTAAGGACGACCGAGCCAAGATGTTTGTTTGCTGACCTGCGCAAATGTACTCGAGAACCGATGCCAGGTACACGGGGGCTCCTGAGCCGATGCGGTCCGCGTAGCGCCCCTTCTTAAGGTAGCGGGCAATGCGGCCAACAGGAAACTGCAGGCCGGCCTTGGCGCTGCGACTCACGGCCTTCTTGCCCTTGCCGCGGCCAGACATTGTGATAGCTTGTTAGTTAAGCGGTAATGGGAAAGGTTAACGAGCAGGTTACGAAAGATTGCAGCAGGTATAGGCATTTATGGCAACCTGCCATGGCAACCAGTTAGGGTCAAGGGGGCCAATGCAACGGTCACCGTTAGTCCGAGCACCCGGTCGGTGGGAACGCTGATTTGACTTAAGCCCACGGAGAGTAATATGTCTCATCAACTTTCGCAATTTTTTGAATTACTTTATATCTTTATCAACAATATCAACAATGGCCCCGAAGAAGGAGGATAAGTCCGCCACCCAGCCCGAGGCTGCTGAGCCGAAGGCTGAGGCCAAGCCGAAGGCCGAGAAGGCCCCTAAGAAGGAGAAAAAGGCGCCTGCCAAGAAGGCCGCTAAGGAGACCGCTGCTGCCGAGGGTGGCGAGAAGGCCGCTAAGAAGAAGGCCAAGGTGTCGAAGGCTGAGACCTACAAGCTCTATATCTACAAGGTGCTCAAGCAGGTCCACCCCGACACCGGCATCAGCAGCAAGGCCATGTCCATCATGACCTCCCTGGTGACCGACCTGTTCGACCGCATCGCCTCCGAGGCCAGCAAGCTCAGCAAGTACAGCAAGAAGCCCACGCTGACCAGCCGCGAAATCCAGACTGCCGTGCGCCTGGTGCTGCCCGGCGAGCTGGCCAAGCACGCGGTGTCGGAGGGCACCAAGGCGGTGACCAAGTTCACGTCGGCGTAAAGCCTCGCAGTGGTCCTTCCATCTCCTTTGAACTCCGGTGTTTTTCAACACCACCATATCTTGACTTAATTGCGAGCATCGGGTTAGAGCTTCAACGGAAAGCCGGCCAATTCTCCGTGGCGCATGCACGTAAAATTGGCTAGCTAACATCCTCAGATTGCAGCCGTACGGCTACCTGGCTACTCCATGAATAAGCGAATGTTAATGCATCTAACCTTAAACATGTTGTCGCTTGATTTGTTATACGATATACGCGGTGATTATACCCCTACTGCTTGACCTAAACTGCTGTGTGCATCCATCGTCTTATTGTCAGGCATTTAACGGAAACGGCAGTGTAGTGCGCCACTTTCGATCAAAGCTATACATATAAAGTTATTGGGTTGGGCAGTGACTTTTACCTGTCATGCATACCCTCTTACTCATGCTGCCCTGGTGAATTCCCAAGAAGCGGCTTCAATGACTTTTTGATACCTATTTGTTGAGCCTACCTCCGAAGTTACGAATGTCTCACTGTAAGGAAAACGCTTCCAAGCAAGAGGACTTTGTCTGCGCCGCGGCGGTGGGCTCACTCGGCCTTTTCGGCAACTCAGTCCTTCAGCTAATAGCCTGCAAGCTTTTGGCGGATCGAGCGGGGCTACAGCTTGTCCTTCCGCGGCCTTGGGCAGACAAGTACGGCGCTTACTTCCCAGCTGTCGCCGAGCTGGAGCGCATAGATGCTGAGGAGGCCTACGCTCTTCCACTCGTAGCCGGTGAGCTGCGGGTATCACGGGGACGGAGGGTGGTTTATAAGCTAGATGCTTCATACCGCAGGCCGGAGGGTGGCTTTGGCGGCACAGTTCCCAAGTCGGCCCTGCTGTTACCCCTCCATCCATCCATCCTTAGCTCTTGTATGGTTACACAATCCATCCCGTTTCCGATCTGGGTCAGCGCAGATCGCGTCGTACTCTCTCACCCGGGTTGGCGCACATGGGCCTTACGTCATGACACGGGCCGCCAGCTAGCCGCACGGCTACTGCATGGCGACTCCAGCAGTCGTGCTGCCGCTGCTGCATCGGCAGCAGTGGCTGTCCCGACAACTGCTGCGGGCGTTGATGCAGCCGCTGCAACGTCTGCTGCTGATGCTGCTGCCGCTGCCAAAGCGGGACGCAGGTCCCCCGGAAAGGGTGGCCTAGGTGATGCGGCGGGAGAGTCGGTCGAAGGCGCAGAAGGGGGAGCAGGAGCAGGAGAAGGAGGGGGGCCTCCTGCAGGCGTCCAGGAGCTAGCGATTCCGGGGGGATCGAGCTGCGAGGCGAAGCTCTCCGGCAGACAGCTGCGAGCGCATTTCCCTCAGGTAGGGCGGTGGCACCGGTCTACCGGTATGGCAAGCCATGCAGCCGTCCACCCACCCACCCTCTCCACCCCAACCTTCACTCCTGCCCTCACCCACCCACCTGTCGCTCCCTCCACCCCTCTGGTCGGACTGGCTGGCTCACGTGTTGCAATCTTGCAAACCATGATGACACCTCATCGCGCGGTTCGTTTGTCGCTTCTTCTTTACCCCTCCCTCCCCACCCCTGCCCACAACAGGTCAGCGGTGCCGACCTGGACGCCCACCCCGCCCAGCTGGCAGCCCGCCTGCGCGGGTCGGGGCTGTGGGGCTGGTTCCAGTTCCCCACCGCCCGCCTGCGCCCCCACCGCGCAGCTGTACGGCAGCTGCTGGCGCTGCGGGGTGAAGTGCGGGCGGAGCTGGAGGGGGCGCTGCGGGCGGTGCTGGCGGCGCACCCGCCGGCGGGGGCTGCGGGGGCGGGGGCTGCTAGGACGGGGGCGGGGGCTGTGAGGGCTGCTGGGACGGGGGCGGGGGCTGCTTGGGTTGCGGGGGCGGGGGCGGGGGCTGCAGAGAGAGAGGAGGAGGGAGGCGGGGATGAGAGGGATGGAACTGGGGCTGCGGACGGGTGTCGGGTGAGGGAGCTGGGAGGGGCGTGCGGTGCAGCAGGGAGGAGGCAGGGGCAGCTGGAGCAGCGGTGTTGCCAACAGCAGCAAGAGCAGCAGCAGCTGGAGGAGGGGGGGCAGGGCATGCGGAGGATCAGCAGGAGGAGGAGGAGGTTGGTGGTGGTGCACCTGCGGCGAGGGGACTTTCGGGACCTGGTGGAGGAGGCAGCAGGGGGGGAAGAGGTGGGGGAGGGCGGTGGAGGAGGTGAGGGAGAGGAGAGGGAGCAAGAAGGGGAGAGCAAAGGGGCGGGCAGCGAGGGGGCTGCTAGGGCGCAGCGGGGGGACGGCCCTCGGCACCGCTTGCTGTCGACTGCTGAGCAGACAGAAGACACCGGCAGCACTGGCGGCCACTGCAGCTTGGAAGGGAACGGGAAACAACCGGCGGACCAGCAGCAACGACAACAGCACCCGCAAAGACCGGAGAAGCAGCAGGACAAAGACCAGCAGCAGCAGCATCCACTTGTGGTGCTACGTGAGGAGCCGCCGTTTGAGGAGGACGGCCAGCAAGGGCATGCATGGCGGGACAGGTGAGGGGCGCTGAGGGGTGGTGGTGGTGGGGTAACTGTCCAGACACTAGTTCAGTAAAGCACCACACCGGGGCCTGTATTTTCCGTACGCGTACATTCCTCCCCGCGGCAATCTTTCTTCACACACACTAACAGACACCCAACTGATACCGATATATCTACAGCAACAACCGCCCTGGACCAACCACAGGTCGGGTGTCGACTTCCGTGCCCCGCTGTCCTGGTACGGCACCGCACTCGCCGCCCTGCCGTACGACCCGCATCACGACCTGTTGTGGGTGTGCAGCGATGACGCTGATCTGGCTGCTCGCGCGGAGCTGGGGGTGCCTGTTGCTGCGACTGGGGGTGGGGAGGTGAGGAGCGTGCGGGGGACGAGCTGGACTGCGGTGTTGCGGCAAGTGCAACAGCAGGAGGAGGAGGAGGCGCGACGGCAGGAGAAGAAGATGAAGGAGAAGGAGGAGAAAGATCAGCAACAGCAGCAGCATCACTTTGGCGGGGACGAGGGAGCACGGCTGCGGTGTGTGGGGTGCCCCAGCGGTGCGGTGCCACCCAGGGGGGCTGCTCCCATGGGCGTTCCCTCTTCTCCTGCTCCTTCCTCTACTGCCGCTCCCCTTGCTTCAACATCGCGGCTAGCATCAGCTTCGCTTCCTCCTGCTGCCTCCTCGACAGCTCCTTCTGCTGCGGCTGCTGCTGTACCTGTCCTGACGCCCAGCCAGCAGCAGCTGCTGGCGGCTCACGGCCTGCTTGCCGACTGGTTCATCATGCAGCGTGCGGATGTGCTGCTGGCCTCCAACAGCACCCTCAGCTTCACGGCAGCCATGCTGAACGAGGGGGCAGGAGGGGGTGGCGGACTGGGCGAGGAACAGGAGGAGGAGGATGGGGAGGTGGAAGAGGAGGGAGTGTCTGAGGTGGAAGGAGGTGGAGGAGGGGGCGCATTAGGTGGGACATGTTGCGGCAAGGTAGGGCTGATGCTGCGGCCTGATCCCTCGCTGCGTGCGTTACGGCGGTTTGACCCGTGGGACGATCTGCCGCTGCTGCCGTCCGCTCTGGTGGCCGGGAACCACTCGCTGGTGAGGTTGCGGGCGGAGCGGGGTGGACGTGAGGGTGGACGCGGGGGTAAGGAGGGGGCGGTCGGGAGGGTACGAGCTCTGGAGTGATACCGGTAGGAGCTTGGAAAATGGAACAAGGAAAGAACCATGCATGAAAGGATGGTGGCGCAGACTAGGTGATATGCTTGGGGCGGGGACGGAATGGCGGTGCGCACTGCGTGCGAAGAGCTCTTGATAAGGACGTAAGTCGGGTTGGGGTGTGGCAGCTAGGGTGTTTTGCGTAGCAATGGCTAGCAGCTTGCATGGCGGGGCCATTCCTAAACTGAAAGCTGGATGCAGGACATGCATGACATGGAACATCGCTAAAGCTTCTAGGACCGGTTTATGGGCCGGTATGCTTGCGTGGCGTGATCGCGTTCAGCGTGTCGTGTGGTTGGTCGCTCAGGAGTGCGTGCGGGCGAGGAAGCCCCACGGGTAACTCCTTCGTGCGGGATCTTCGTGATTCCGCGAGCGAGCTCATCGTACATTCTATAGCTGTGTTGTTTCGTGAGCGATGTACTATGACATTAGCTAGGCATAGCTTACAGGGACCCCTACGTGAGTGAGCTTTACGTGGTGGGGAAGGCCTTTAATGACGTACATGCATGGCGTCGTACATGCTGCAGGGATGTATCAATAGCGCTGATGCAGTACAGTACTTGAAGCCTACTGGCCAGATAGATACCGATAAACCCGGGGCAGGCTTTGTGTAGTGACGAGTGCCAGGCATGTGCCCTAGCCTGTACGTCTGCCCGGCTCGAAGTGTTAGAGGACGGTCTCTCAGAGCTGTGCAGTGCACGCTTCCCAGTGAGGGACGTACCTGCGCCGTCACGCACGTTCGCATGCCTGCATGAGTGCCGCGGTGCTTGCTGTGAGGGTCTACAGTCAGGTTGGGCGCTTGGGGAACGACTCCCGTACATCCCATCGTCAGCAATGCGCACCAGTCCTTTCTAAGCGCTTTTGCCGACTTGGATATGCCTCTTAAAGGCGCTTTAGGCGACACAAAAGCGGTTTCTGTTTACCATAGCGAATCTAGCGATTATTACTTTCCGAGCAGGTCAACCGCCAAGGCTTCGAAGCCGGTTACAAATACCAAGCTTGCTTCGTGCCACTGTACCTCACGACTTGCTACGACACCGGGTCACATCTCAGGAGGGTATTTGTTGTAGAAATGTATGTACAGCGGTGTCAAGCATCTGCCTTCTCGCGCAAGTCTGTTGGCTGCGTGCAGCATCGTCGCATTCTCCGGACCCGAACCATGGCGACTAACATTCAACGCTTCGACACGGGTCCGCGCCTGAGCGAAATGGTGATCCACAACGGAACCGTTTACCTAGCAGGCCAGGTAGGGATTCCGTCGCATTGCGACCCATTTTCGCAAAGACATCGCTATTCGACGTCAGAAAAGTTAAAATAATCAGGCATTATAATTTAACATTGGCGAAATCGAGGCGCTTGCTGGCGCAGGTACCCGAGGACACGAGCGTCGATGCCAAGCAGCAGACCGCCTCCGTCCTCAAGCAAATCGACGACCTGCTTGCACGTGCCGGCACCGACAAAACCAAAATCTTGTCCACCCAGGCAAGCCATGAGCCACTTCCAGCCTGCACAATCCTCTCGCACGCCTTGACCTGCTGCCATGGCTTGCTCCGCTCCTCAGCCACCCCACATCCTCCCTTACACCACCATCGTTATTGTCCATGCCTCCACCCCCTCCCCCTGCCGCCACCTCCGCCCCGCTGCCACCACGGCAGGTGTTCCTGCGCGACCTAGCGGACTTCCCGCTCATGAACGAGGCGTGGGACGCCTGGGTGGCCCCCGGACATGCGCCCACACGGGCCACTGTGGAGGCTAAGCTGGCTGACCCCGGCTGGAAGGTAGGGTACCGGTACCCGGGCAGCAGCCGGAGGGTGGAGGAGAAGGAGAAAGATGGGATGTTGACGGGTAGCTGGGTGCGGGACAGAGCTCCCCGGGGCGGTGCTTCGTTCGTACAGAATTCAGCTTTGGCAATGCCGTACTGTCGTCACCAAACACCTGCTGGGGCCTACCGGTAGCCTTGGACTCGCGACACCGTGACGTGTGTCGTCCCTCCTTTCCATGTCCCTCCGCAGGTGGAGATCGTGGTCGTCGCAGCGCTGTGAGTTAGGAGCAAAGAGTGCGGTGTGGTCGCATCATTTATTGTTGAAGCCTTATAAAATGGTGTACCGTTTTTAGGGGTAGAGGGGCCCGGCTAGGATGGATGGTCACGGGTTGCTGGGCGCACGTACTAGCTAGCTAGCTAGAAGACTGGGGGGTGGGGTGAGACGGCGGAAGTTTGGGGACCCCGTCTGGCGGTGGCGACGAGGTTAGCAGTGTGGCGATGTGGTTCGCTAATGATGGCTGGGAAGGTTGGGAGAAAGGGGTTTGCAAGAATCATTAAACGTGGTGAGCAGCAGGTAGAGATACCGCATACCGTGGAAGGCCTTGGGCAGCGCTAGTGCTTTCCGTGTAAACGCCATTCAGTTGGTAGTTACACAAGCAGTTACGAGTGCGACTGTGTGACCTGCGTACCTCGTCACGCTGAAATGCGAACTCGTCATCATGCACTGTAGTGACGCATGCATTCGACATGCATGCATACAGTTACGGCATACGGCTGCAACTTGTCGTATCACTGGCGTACATGGAAGGTACCTGAGAGGTTTGCCATCGGAGAGCCACCGTAACAGGCGCGCGTCTCTGCGCAGAGGATATCAATCCTGTAAGGGGAAAATCACTGTCCCTCCCTCACGCATCCCACCCACATCGTCCGTTAAATCCACCAGAGCATCCTTCTTCACATGACAGCGCAAGCCACCAAGTATTTCACACTTTTAAGAGCATCCTCCGAACCATATCCCGTTCGCGTTCCAAAGGAGTCCAACCCGACCAGCGCAGCAGCCTGCAGAGTAACCTGCGCAGGTCTTTAAGAGCGGCGCAACCAGCCGCATGGCAGCCACACCGCGCTGGAGCCAACCCTCGCCATGTGCGGTATCGGTCCCAACGAATCCCAACGAACTAGTCAGTTGGGTCAGTTCCCAGTCATCACCAGCACCAGGTGCGTCAAGTAGTACAACGGCACCACCACATTGTCCAGCTGCTGCGTAACCGCCTCAAGCAACGCCACCCCCGCCGTCACACCCGCCAGCCGGCCCCACGTGCCCCAAGACAGCGCCCACCGCACATGCATCCACCACGCCACCACCGCCCAGCTCGCCATCATGGCCACGAAACCGCTCAACGTGCCCTCCCACGTCTTCTTGTTCCCGCTGTGCCCCCGGAACAGCCGCAACCGGCCCGCCAGGAACCCCACGCATGCGGCCGCTGTGTCGCCGCTACCCAGCGACACCAGACCGCTCAGCCCTAAAACTGTACGGCAGCTGGGAAGCAGCCGAGCTGCCGCGGAGGATAGTATGACGGTGGAGGCGGCAGAGGCGGAGCCGCCGCTGCCAGCGCCGCCGCCTGGCGGCGGCGGCGACAGCGGCATGGGCTCCGCCGCCTCCTTGCCGTACAATCCCGCCATCATGGCACTCGCCGTGGCCCCGCAAACCGGATCGCTGAGCCACACCGGTATGGCAATCCCCAGCAGCAACGTAAAGTGCGTCACGTAGATGGGCCCTGCGTCGCGCGCGTCCGCAAAGTCCGCCATGAAGCCCGCAATGGCTTGTCGTACAACCGTCGGGCCTAGGCACCGCAATGCCTCCACAAGCACCAGTACTGCAGCTGCTACAGCCAGGGATGCCTGCAGCATGCGGACGTCCCAGCCGAATGCTGGCAGGAACAGCAGGATGGCTAGGAGGTGGTAGCCTTTGCGCATCACGATATGCGGTACGGCCAGCATGCGAAACAGGGCTGATGAGGAAATTGATGATGCCGACGATGATGGAGTGGTGGATAGCCTCTGCTGCTGCTGCTCCGCCCCTTGCTCCAAGCCACCTCGTCCTTTCCCCTCAGTCGCCGCCTCCCGTGCCGCGCTGGCCTTGGAAATGCCGTACATTGCGGGTACGGCAGCTGCCATGCAGGCGAACCAGTAGCCCAGGGTGGCTAGGCGGGGGCGGGAGGAGGCGGCCACGAAGCGCCCCAGCACCCACAGCGCTAGGTCGGCTAGCATGAGCAGGCTGAGGGCGGCACCGCAGGCCGCTGCTAGGCGGGCTGACCTGGCAGTCAGGCGGCGGCACCCGCGGCGTTGTATTGCTGGTGTTGCTTGTGGCGATGATGGGGCGGGTGGTGAAGCATTGCCTCGGTGTCTGAGACCGTGGCCGTTGGCTATCGCCACCGCCTTGTGCGTTGAGTGACTGACAGCCACCTGCGTTGGGGCTGCTGCCACCGCCGCTGTTTCGCTCGCTCCTTCTCCTCCTCCTCCTCCTCCACCGCCCTCCGCCCAGCCCCCAAGTGCCACCCTGCCACAAGCCGCCAGCAGCAACACCCAAAACAGAACCATCACACAAAACGCCGGCACGTGCATGCCGGGGTCCGGAAGCGTCACGTGAGGAGACCACAGCATGTGGTTGTACGACAGCAACCACCAACTACCGCCGCCGCTGCTTTGCCGTACAGCCGCCACCAGGTAAGCCACGGCACCGGCGGTTAGGACCATTAACGCCTGCAGCAGCACCGCTGCTTCACCTGGTGTGAAGGACCGGGGCAGGGCGGAGGCAAGGCGATCTAGGGAGGGGACCGTTCCCAGCAGCAGGGTGACAGTTAGGATCCAAACGGAAGTGGTGATGTCGCGTGGCAGCTCGAAAACGCTTCCCGGCAGCAGCAGTTGGGGGCTGGTGGCAGGCGGTGGCTGGGAGGCGAGACGGAGGGAGCCGAGGGCGGAGGTGATGCAAGAGAGGGCTGCGAACGCTAGGAGGAAGTGCGTGGCGAAGAGGTCCAGGGCTGGCGCAACTGTGTTGGTTGCTGCTGCTACCGCCATTGCTTCCCGTGTTGCGGCGGAGGCGGCCGAGGGCTTCCTCCTGCTGCTAGTGTTGGTCCAGGCTTTGCTGGACAGGTATGCGTCAGCCGGGAGGAGGATGGGTTTAACGGGGAGGAGGGCGAGGAGGCTGTTGCGCCAGCTGGGGCGGTGCTCGGCACTGCCGCTGCTTTGACCGTCGCCTGGTGTGCCGGTCGCGCTGCAACCACTGCTGCTGCCATCGTTGCAGTTGCCGTTGCAGATGGCAGCAGCGGCAGGTGTACTAGCTGCTGCTGCAGTTGCTGCTCCTCTCCTGGGGCCAATGGCGGCTGTCCAAGCCAGCCACAGGAGGGCCTGGAAGGAGGAGGCGAGCAGCAGAACCGACAGCTGCTGCCACCACCCTGCATTGTTGGGAAGCCGAATAAGGGCGTGAAGCACGCGGCGGCCGAAGGCTACGCAGACGCGAGCAGCGGCGCATGGACAGTGTCGCATCGCGGCTGCGTGTGAATCAAAAAGATCCAGCGGCAGTGAGCATTGGAGCAACCAATTGACTTACATGACCGTGTGGCGATGTAAACGGCGGTTGATAGGCTGGGAAGCGCTAGCAGGCCCTGCGCTAAGCCCGCCTGTCCGCAGGCCCTGAAGGTATAGCGAGGATGACCTACGCGGCAGATGGATGTGATGGGCCAACCCTAACGACATGGCATTCTACATTGCCTTGTTGGCGACGTACGTAGCAGAGTTCAAGACGTACCTTCGAACCAGTGAGGGCCACTCCTGTCCAGTAACATAGTTTGCAAGGCCAGGGCCACCATGTGCACTATGTATTGTTGTGCCCCACGTCCTACGAGAGCAATGCCTAGGTTGGAGTAAATTATAACCAATAATGCTATTTTCATCCAGCCGTGATAGCTATTGGAGCGTGCACTGCGTCAGCCATTGCTCGCAACACACCTTCCCGTTCGCCCAGCTCCGGCCTGAAAAGTGCGAGCCCCAAGCGTGCAAGCGACAACGCGTGGAGCACCAATTCCACATTCTGCGGCTGCCACATCCTTGATGGCCCGAACCTAGCTTGACGAGAGTGAACGATATAAAAGGTGTGCTCATGGCTGAGTGCACTAACTGCTTTTGCTGCAGAAAAGTAACATTTGGTAGCATTCATGTCAGCTGTAGTCAGTTGCCGTTCGTCGTTGCATTCGCAGGTCATCATCGGCTACGGCCATGATGTGACCGCAGCTGTCAACGGCAGCGCTTGCACTGGCATGTAAACGCTGCAACACTTGTTCTCATTCGGTTCTTACTTGTCCCAATGGTATATGGAGGGCTATACGGGCTGACGACCAACTAGAGCTTACTTCGCGAGTACTGACCAGTACAAGCCACCGTCATATCACCTCCTTGCTCACGTTTATCGACAACACTTTAGCATCCCAATGCTGCCCCACACTACGCGCGGACGCGCGTCGGCGTCATCGGCAAGGAATTGCAGCAGCCGCGCAAAGCCTCACTCTACATGCCACCCGTTATCCAGACGAAGGCTTTTCAAACATATCCAACTCCTCACTGGTGGTTCGGGCGTCGCCTGTCAGGCGCTATGGAGCGTCGATGCCGTACTACACAACCTCCGCACCAAGCGCTTCGAGCCTAAGACTGTAGAGCGCGTGTATGAGGCTGACGTCTACCCAGCGGTATGTGTGCGCGCTCTCCGGGGTATGGGGTGCGGCGCCAGACCACGGAGTTTTCCTTGAGCTGACATGTGATGGGTTGTCTTGCATGACATGGCCGTGTCTTCCTGAGTCTCCTTTTGGCACTAAACACGACCGAAGCTTCTGCTCATGGAGCCTTACGCTACCCCCCTTCTTAACTAGATACCCCTTTTATTCACCGGCATCACCCCACCCAGGTGTACGACTTCGCCTCCTGGCACCAGCACCGCTCCCGCGGGCGCTACTTGGAGCACGCCATCACGCTGTTTCGGAGCCACTTCTTCCGCGACCTGCTGGGGCCGCTGGGGGCGCTGGTGGGGGCGGCGGCGGCGGTGGGGGCGTACGAGACAGCGCGGCAGGTGGGAGGGGTCACCCGGGTCAGAGGCAGGTGGGCTATGGGGCATACGGGGCGGTGTCGCATACTCACAAAATCGCGCGGGGGGTTTGGGTGCGAATCTGCGTCTTACACCCAGATTCGCACCCAAAACCCCCAAAACCCCATCATACCGGTGGTTACTTCCTCTTCCCCCCCTCCCTCCCCTGACGCAGTCCGGCTCCCTGCCTGCCTGGCTTCCCTGCTTCTCCGGCGGTTCCTCCGACACGCCCTTCCAGCTCACCTCCTTCGCGCTGTCGCTCATGCTGGTGTTCCGGACAAACAGCAGCTACGCGCGCTGGCTGGACGCGCGGCAGCAGTGGGGGCTGATCGTCAACACGGCGCGCACGTTTGCACGGCAGGCGCTCACCACCCTGCCGGCGGATGACAGGTGCGGGGGGGATGTTTGGTGAGGAGAGGGACGAAGGGGGGCTGATGACCCAGGACTGCAGTGGGGAGGGGACTGCACTCGGGTGCTGCTGCTGCTTATTATTATTATTATTATTAAACTCCGTAAAATGTTTGGTACGCCGGTGCTGCTGCTGCTGCTGCCTTGTTGCTTGGATGAATGTACGGTAGACTCTTCCGTAGCTTTCTGACCTGATCTTGCTGCTCCTGCTGCTGCGGTCGGCTACGTTTGCCTGTTACCAAACTACTCCTATCCCCACCTCTCTCCCGCTTACCTCACATCTACACCTCCCTACCCTCCTTTCCCCCACCCCTCCCCTCCTCATGGCCCCCCTCCCCAGCTGCTCCGAACTGCGGTCCGCAGTGGCCCGCTGGACGGTTGCCTTCGTGCGCCTCAGCAAGCTGCACCTGCGCGAGCACGGTGAGCAGCAGCTGCTGCAGGGAGGCGACCTGGCGGGGCTGCTGACACCGCAGGAGGTGGCGCTGCTGGCGGCCGCACCGCACGCACCGCTGGCGGCATGCCACGTGCTGTCAGCGCTGCTGGACCGGGCAGCAGCAGCAGGGGCGGGGGCAGGGGCGGGGGCGGGGGTGGGGGGAGCGGGTGCCGTACCGGCATCGCATGTGGGCCCGGTGCGGATGCAAAATGGCTTCAGCAGCAATGGCAATGGCAATGATAGATGTAACCATAACGGTAACGGTGTTGGGATGAGCAGCAACGGCAGGGGTCATGTCACCACACGCTCCTCCTCAACATCACCACCAGCACCAGCAGCACCACCAGCAGCAGCAAAGGCAGGCGTAGCGGGATGTGGGGTCCCGGGGCGGGGGTGCTGGGTGCTTGGGGACCAGGACCGGGCGAGGCTGGAGGAGGACATCAGCGCCATGTCGCAGGCGGTTGGGGCGTGCGAGAAGGTGAGGAGGGGGGGCTGGGAAGGGGTTAGGGATGGGCTATGGAAGGGTTAGGTGGGATGTGGGAACTGGGATAGGGTAGCAATACTGGTAAAGGAGGAATCGGAAGGTTAGGGCCGGACTCCTGTCTCCTCTCTCTCCTTACCCTTTTCTCTTCATTCGGTGCCGCCATACCGCGGTATACGCGTATCACTCCCTCCCTGTGTGTATTATTACGTCAAGTCACAACTTCTGCCTCCATTTTACTCTTTTACTTCTTTCTCGTGTCCGCAGATCCTCCGAAACCCCATCCCCCTGTCGTACACTCGCCACACCTCCCGCTTCCTCATCCTGTGGCTGCTGTGGCTGCCCGTGGCTCTGTGGGCCAAGGTGGGCTGGGTGGTGGTGCCGGTGGAGGCGGTCATGACGTACCTGCTGCTGGGGATCGACGAGATCGCCGTACAGATGGAGGAGCCATTCGGTGAGATGGGAGATGATGGGGGTGGGGGGGAGGGGAAGGAAGGCGTGTGTGTGTCTTACATCGGGCATGGGATTTTGACGGGGTTGCCGTACAGGTGTCGACGAGGCGTTCTGCAAGCAGTTATCGCACCTGGTGGCGTTGTCGTAAGTGGCAGTCGTCTCTTCATTATATGTGAGTGGCTAGCCATTCCATGCTTGCGGCCATTACCCTATCAATTACAGGCTACATGGATAGGTGGTACCCCAGCAGTGCTGCAGCATGCATGCACCCACCATCGCACTCATGTTCTGGACCGCGGCAAGGGGTTGGGTAGTGGTGGCCATGAGTATTCCAATTATTTCATACCTTTCTCGGCCTTTTGGCTCAGATCATGTGTAGTATCTGTTCTTGTAAGTCTAATCGCTTACATGGTCCTCATTGAGGACCTGCGATTAACTTCAATATTTTGAGGGGGTGCGGTCAATGGGTGCGCTTGCGCTCCCGACACACCAGCATGGTTGCGGCCTTACACTACCGCCGTAGCCGTGCACCCTACCCATTAACATACGTTATTGATGCACGACATCTTGCAACTTTTTCCTTCCTTCCAATTTCGCACCGGCGATGCTGTTTGTGCAGGTAAAACTGGTTGTGTACATCGTGCTACCGCAACAGTCCTCCTGATATCATAGCATACTGTAACTGCTACCCGCCCGCTCACCCTGCAGGAATCCTCCCCCTGGAGAACATGTGTGAGGCGGTGGCGGAGAGCGTAGACCAGCTGATGAAGATGGAGCCAGCCGTACGGGATCTCGTGGCGTCGTACGACTGGACCCCACCTGCTACTGCTGCTGGTGCTACTGCTACTGCTGCCGTACAGCAAGGCGAGGAGGGGCATCAGCACCAGGAGCAGGGGCAGATGTTTGAGTCATCAGCGGCAGCACCAGCGAACGGACATCATCAGTTGCAGCCACAAGAGCAGCAGTCGGTGTGGTCTTTCTTCGGGGGCGGGAGCACCGGTAGTGGCAACGGCGTGTTTACGATGCCCAGTGACCGCTGCTAGAGGGCAGGGGAGGGAGAACGGACAGTGGGGCCGAGTTTGTGCTTTGCACGGGGTACCGGCGTACTAAAGCATCACGGTATTCGCTTTCATTGAGCCCAATGCCTGTGATAAGCTTCTGATATGCGAGTCCCTGACCCTCCCTGTGGTTCGTGTCCTGACATGCCAGCAGCCATTTTGGCATGGTGGTGTAGTGTTCATCCACGTGCAAAAGAGCGTGCGTGTGAGGAATGAGAGAGAGAAAGAATGAGTACAGGGGGTAAACGGTGATAAGGAGTTGCAACTACCGGTGTGGAGTTGTGACCCTTGTGTGACTATTACCGGTCAGTTATCCACCGGGTGCTGCTGCTGCATGCGTGCTGGGGGGGGTTGTGTGGGGTTGTCGGGACTGCTGCACCGGTACCAGTGGAGTCGGCAGCAGCAGCGACGGCGAGGACGATGTTATGGATGTCGTGAAGTGAGAGGAGGCGCTCCTTGGGGCTTTGGTTTATCGACGCTAGCGCGCCATGCTTTGGGGTACTGGGTCTCCCACACACCGGAAGTAACTGGGAAGTGTTTAATTAGGCGGGCCACAGCGGGGGCGGTAGCGGCAGCAGCAGCAGGGCGTGCGACAGTCGGTTCCAGAGCTGATGTGTTCCTACCTGCTGTGTTTTGCAACTCGTGCACGGGGTATGCACAATAAGGTGTATAATACCTGTTGTCTTGTGGGCGAAATGAGAGGCTGCATGGGCCTTCACCGTGAGGATAGGAGCCGTGCAGTCCTGGAGGATAGGATGAACCCAACCGCATGATTTCAGTCGCGAGTCGCAGGTCGAAGTTTAGATGTACATATAGCCGTAGGCGTGCATTGCATACCGGTATCTTGCATATGAAGTAATCATGCGTCGAATTTTGTGATCCAGCTTTTGATGGTGCAACCTGAGGCGTGGTATGAGGTTATCAGGACGTTGACGTGGCAAGACGTTGACGCATATACATCCAGGATACGATACATCCACGAGTATTTGGTGAACAATAGTGACAGCGAAATGAACACAACTGTACGTACGGCAATCCTAAGATTCGCTGCAGGCCTGCAGCTACTGGTATTGGCACGATGCTTGACCTGATCTCTTGAAGAATCCATCACCTTGTAATGCCACGGTTGCGCCAACATGCTGTAACACACCACTCCTTATACCGTACACCGGTATCGAAATCGCCGCAGACCGACACATACCCGCACCATTCCCACCTTCGCTTCCGAGTGCCGACCCTTCCATCCTGCAAGCACTCCCGGGGGCCCCGCCCACGATGGAGGGCACACGCAGCCGCCCCCTGCGCCTCCTGTGTCTCCTGCTCCTCCTCCTGATGCTGCTGCTCTAAGGCCCCTGCTGTACCATGCATCCATGCATGTCATGCTATTCCTCAACTGCAACGGATCTATCCCAGCGGGGTAATTACCGGTAATCATCCCAGCTAGGGGCAGGCGCAGCCGCACATGTAGGGCCACACTGCATCTATACCTGGTCATCAACGGGCGTCAACTGACATTAACGGCAACATACAAGTACATACAATCATATACGATCATTCAGACCGCTACACCTGCTGCGGCATGGGCGCATGGCATGCGTGCCCGTGTTTACTGTACATGCCCTCCTCCCGCTGCTGCTGCCGCTGCTGCTGCTTCACTTGCTGATACTGGCACGCATTCCCGGCCAGGCAGGTGTGTCAACACGCACGCAAGTCGTACGTCGTACAACTTGCCGCAGTGCTCCTCCGCTACTCCGCCACCCCCACAGACGCGGGCAGCAGCGGCTCTCGACCACCACCGCCGCCCCTACCACCACCACCACCACCACTCCACCGCACCGCTACCTCACTTGTAATCCTCTCCCACCACACCCTTGCTCCCACACCCCCACTCCTCGCATCCCCCAATCCCTCCCTGACCTCCTCCTCATCCCCAACCCTCCTGCCTCCTCCTGCTCGCCCTCCTGCCGCTGCTGCTCCTGCTGCCCCGCCATCCACACACCCGCCTCCCCGCACTAACCCGCAGCCCTGCCGCTGCTGCCCAGTGCTCCCCACCCTCCTCCATCCCACCCACCGTGCCACCCACCCTTCCCCTCCTGCCTCGCCCTCACCCCCGCTCTCCCTCCCCTCCACTCTCCTCCCTCGCTTCAACCCCACCGCCCCTACTACCAACAACCCCACCCACAGCACCCCAGCAAACGCCAGGTTGACCCACTCCGCCAGCCAGCCCCAGACCGCGTAGGGGGTGCGGGCGGGGCGGGGGGCTGGGCCGCCCTGCCCCTGCTGCTGCCCCTGCTGCTGCTGCCCCTGCTGTTGCTGCCCTGGCTGCTGCCTGCTGGGCAGTGGCAGTGGCAGCTGGAAGGTGAGGAGGTCCCGGTGCGCGGCTGTGAGCATCAGGTGGTGGGGCAGGCCGCGGGGGGAGATGACGCCGCTGACGCCGTCGCTGCTGCAGCTGCATGCGTGCATGCATGCAAGCGGGAGGAAGGAAGGAAGAGAGGGAGGAAGCGTGGGAGAGAGGGCATCAAGGAGGAGCAAAGCATCGTGACAAGCACGCGACCACCGAAGTTGTTAGAACACTTAGGACGGTAGGAAACTCATACACAAGGGTGCCCTAAGCCGCACCCTTCAATACAGGCAGCCAAGACCGCGCCCACGCCCAGCCGCCCCTCTCCCGCCACCCCCTCACCGCAGCAACGTGAACCCGTTCTCCACCGCCCGAAGCGCATTGGAGGCCACATGCCGCGGCCCCACTGCGCCCCACGTCCATGAGGGCTGCAGCATCAGCTGTACGGCAGCCGCCCCCGCCTGCCGTACGTACTGCGGCTGGTCCATGTCGAAGCAGATGGCGCCCCCCAGGCGGCCGTAGGGGCTGTCCGCTACCGGTAGGTGGGCGGGGCCTGGGAGGGGTGGGGTTGGGTGGTGAGGTGAGGGGTGAGGATGAGAGGTGGGAGGTACGGAACACGATGACGCCATGCTCCTGTAGGATGTCCCTCCCAGAGTTCCCACCTATCCATACGCTCCATATCCACCCAAACACCGTTGCCCCATCCCACTCCCCCAAGGCCCCAACCCCACCACCCGCCTCCCCCCACCCACCCGCCACCACGCCCGCCTCCACCAGCGGCACGGGGAAGGCCTTCAGGTAGTCCCACACCACTACCCCGTCGGGACCCAGCAGCACGAAGTGGTTGCTGGAGGAGCCACCGCCACCGCCACCGCCCTCGCCGCTGACGTAGCCCTGCTGCCGTGGTGCCCGCTGCCCTGCCTTGTTACGAGGCAAGCGGTTGTTAACACTGCTGCCGCTGTTACTGTTGAGGTTGCGGCTAGTGGCGTTGCTGGTGAGATACTTTTGGTAGGTTAGGCCCAGGTACGTGCCTGCTCCAGGCGACCCATGGGTCCGCAGCAGATCCCGACCCGCCTCCAGCAACGCCGCCTCCTGCTCCTCGCCTTCCAGAGCCACCGCCTCTTCCGCCCACAATACGAAGTGGTCCCCCGCAACCACCCGTTCCGCCGTCACCTTCCAGATCCACAGGTAGTCCTCGCTGCCAGGTCGCGCCCCCTCATTGACGACGCAGCTCGCGGCGAGTCGTTGCTCCGACGCAACCGCCGCCGCCACTGGTCGTTGGTAGTACGACCCGTCGTACACTAGGCCGCCGCCAATGGCGGTTAGCAGTACGAATAACGCTGGTACGGCAGTTATGTGCCGTCGCAAGGGTCGATTCAGTCGTGACCATGTGGTGGATTGTGCCTGAGTCGGTTGCGTCTGGGTTGGTTGTGTCAGTTGGGACGATTGCGTCGGTTGGGGCTCCAACGGAAGGGGCTCGGAAGTGAGAAGCAGGTGGGCTGCGGAGGCGGTTAGGGCGGGTAGGAAGTTGAGCAGCCAGAGGCCAAAGAGGGAGGTGAGCTGAGCGAGGGCGGGCCAGTCGGAGATGGCGACGCCTGGGTCGTAGATGTGTGAGAGCAGCAGTCCGGTGAGGGAGGTGACGGCGGTTTGAAGGATGGGGAAGCCGTACAGAGGGAGGACGAGGAGGATGCGGCCGAGAAGGGGGAGGGAAGAAGGGGAGGTGGGGTTGCTGGGAGGGAGAAGACGGGCTGTGAGGCGGAGAAGTTGGAAGGAGGGAAGTAGAGCGCCGAAGGTGGTTGCGGCAGCGAGGAAGAGGCCGAGGGTGAAGGTCGCGAGTAGGGATAAGGGAGTGGTGGTGGGATAGGATAGCGCCCCAGCCATGGCTACGGTGGTGCCCAGGGCTTGGACGATGATGATGGAAGCATGTGCGAGGATGGACGATTGAAAGGACTGCACCGCGCGTTCATATGCAAGGAGAAGGATTATGGGATGCAACCAAACTAGTATAGATATGGGTTGTAAGCTGTTACCGAACGCGGATGTCGCCCATGTCAAGATGAGCAACGTAAGTGTGACACCCAGCCTGGGACCTGAAAAGAGGAGTACACTGCGCATTTCTTGCAGGGAATGCTACAACTCTCTATCGTAATACGTGTTAAGGTTATGCCGCGTCCCTATGTAAACGGTCACAAGCTAAATGGCGTGGCGCCCACTGTACGCGAAACATGACAATTCCACGGCAAAGCATTTACACACAACTAACAGCAAATTTTGCAGAAACGGATACCCATAATCAAGGGTATCCAGATTGACGGTACGGCGCCTTAGTCACCTGAACTCGGAATTTCCTCCGGCCAAAGAAGCGCACGCCTGCATATGGTCCTAAAGCATAAATACAAATTTCGATCCCTAAAAGCAGCCAGTTGCTGCCAGAACGGCACGAAGGTGTACGTGATGAGGCACACCGACGGCAGTCGACGTCTGACACGAGGAATCCCATCTCCCGGGTTGCCCCGCACAACACCGCTTAATTATGCTTTTAACTAGGCTGCTACTAAAGCTGATCAGCCCGTTTATCGCCATCCGTGCATGTCCTCACCGCTAGGCCCCGCCTCCAGGTCCCAGCAGGCAGCAGCGGCTCACCAGCCCCAGGTTCCGTTCCGCCGGCCTCACCCCCTCCTAATTTGTAAGCAAAGGGCACATCCACGGCCACATGCCCAACCAAGCGACCCTAGCTTATCTTTGACGTGGGTTTCGATTCCGCAGGGAGGCGCGTTATCCGTTCACATTGATTTGCATGGAAGTGCAATGGGATGCGGGACATACATCCCGGTGATGTGGCCTCCAGTATGGGTGTTGTAGGGGATCCGGCTGTCAAGTACAGTGCTCTCCTCATCACTGGGTAATCCATCCGCCATTACCCACAGCAATGGATACGTAGCACCACAGCAACGCTGCAGCATGCACCCACCCACCATCGCACCCATGTTCTGGACCGCGCCAAGGGTTTGGGTAGTGGTGGCCATGAGCATTCCAACTATTTCATACCTTTCTCGGCCTTTTGGCTCAGATCATGTGTAGTATCTGTTCTTGTAAGTCTAATCGCTTACATGGTCCTCATTGAGGACCTGCGATTAACTTCAATATTTTGAGGGGGTGTTGTCAAATGGGTGTGCTTGCGCTCCCGACACACCAGCATGGTTGCGGCCTTACACTATCGCCGTAGCCGTGCACCCTACCCATTAACTAACGTCCCGTAAGCAATCATACTGAGATGATTATGCGCAGCCTCGCGAGATGATTATGCCTCCTCGAATCCTTGCACGAAACATGAAATGCAGCACGCACGCAGGCGTGTGCCCTAACACCGTTCATGGGCGGAGGCCCCCCCGTGGCATGGTACCTGTCTAGGGGACAATCCTTGAGGCTGTGGGGGACAACCCTCGGAACGTCGACCGGAACACCATGGGCTGGCAGGGCACCCTCGCACGTATCATTGTACTCCCTTTGGCTTGTAAGGCCATGCGTCCGTCCCATCACAATCTCAGGGCCCCCCCTTCGCAGCCCCATCTTTTTCTTTCCTCACTTACAGTAACCCCTTCCTTCAAGGCTCCCGGCGGTGTGTCTCCAAACCTCACGGCCGCCACCGACCCGGCCCCAGGCTGGCCCCCACCCCCAGCCGCCACCCCAGCGTGCCATCCACCGCCCGCTCCACTCGCAATCGCCTCCTGCCCCTGCCCCTGCCCCTGCCCCTGCCCCTGCTGCTGCCGTACTGTCCCTCCTCCTCCTCCTGGCATGCCTCATTCAACGCCTCCACCTCCGCCTCGGACAGCTCCGGACAGCACACCACCACCACCTCCTCCTCCTCCTCCTCCTCCTCCTCCTCCTCCTCCTCCTCGTCGTCAACACCCTCCTTCCCACCATCACCGTCCTCATACTGCCAGTCCTCCTGCGCAACCGCTGCCCCCATGTCTCCTGCTGTGTCCACCCCTGCCGCTACCCTCCGCAGCTGCCGCCTGCTGCTGCTCGGCCCTCTCCCCGCCTCCGCCCCCGCCCCCGGCCCCGCCTTGCGCCCCCCCGCCCCCGCCAGTGCCCCCAGCAGGGTTCGAACCAGGGCGGCCGCATGTCCGGGTCCACGTCGCTCCAGAGCCTCACGGGCCACCCCCAGCAGGATGAACCTGCGGGGCAGGAGAGGAGAAGAGGAGGAGGGCAGGGCAGGGGTAAGATAGTAACCAGGAAGCGAAGGTGGCGGTGTTGGGTGTAGCGCCGTGCAGGATGAAGGCAAGCCATGCAAGGCAACCCACCAAACACCACCTTTCTTCCTCGCTATCTCTACCGCAAACGCAAACGCGCACGTGTATACGCAACAACGCAGCAAGCCAGCAACCTACCTCAGTGCCGGCATGCGCTCCGCCAGGCAGGTGATGTCCCGTGGGTCGGTGTTCAACCGGTGCAGCTCCAAATGCCGCAAGTACGGCAGCGCCCCCGCTACAGCCGCCACCACCTGCGGACCCATCATCGTACCGCTGCCGTACAAGTACGTAGGCTGTAGCGCCAGTGACGTCAGCGCCGGCCCAACCGTCGAGAGCGCCGAAACCACTTCCTGCCAGTTGCTGGACAGCCGCAGTAGCAGTCGTACTTCCCGTACGGTACCGCCACAGCTACTGCTACAGCTACTGATAAAACCGCCGTCGCAGATGTACGGTCGCAGCGGCCGTGTTTGCGAAATGGGGGTCGCCGGCGGATCAGGGTTCATCATGGCAGCAGTGGTTGCAGTTGTAGCAGTGCTTGCAGCAGCAGTAGCGCGGGTGGTGTTGGAAGTACAGCTGCTACAGCAGCAAGCACTGTCATGTCGTACGAATTGCGGTAGCAGTTGCACCATTTGGAGGGTGCAGGGCGTCGACAGCTCCAATAGATCCAGGCCGGTACTGCTGCGCTGGTGGTGGCTGCTGTTGCTAGCGCTAGCACCAGCAACCCTTCCCCTGCTGCAACTCCTTCTTGCTGCGCTATTAGTACACCTGCTGCTGTGCACCCAGCTGCCGCCGCCAGCTCCTCCCCCGCTGTACGGCACCTGCCGTACAGGACTGTACGGCGGTGGCGTCGACGGCTCTGCTGACATTGTTGACACCGCCCCTCGTCCGTCTCCTTCGCTACCATTCCCAGCTGCCCCAACCACCGCTGCTGCTGCGCTGCCCGCTCCAGCTGTCCCGCCTGCTACCCCCGTCCCCACCCCCAGCACGGGGTTACTCTTCACCCCCAGCACGGGGTTACTCTTCACCCCCAGCACGGGCAGCAGGGCCTCCAGGTAGCACGGCATGCCAGCACCCAGCGCCAGCCGCCGCCAGGGACGAGCGAGTACGGCAGCAGCAGCAGGTGCTGTACTCGTCGCCGCCGCCACCGCCACCGCCGCTGATGGCGATGGCAAGGATGGCAAGGATGCCAACGTACGTGGCTCCAAACCCCCGCCACCGCCGCCGGCGCAACCTCCCCCCGGCGCTGCCGCTGATGATGATGCTGGAGGTGACGTTACGGCAGCACCCGCCCGTCCCCTTCCTCGCTCACTCGGGGTTACCGCATCAGCAGCAGCCGCAGCCACAGCAGCAGCCGCAGTTTCCGGACTCAGTATAATGGATCCCAGTGCCAGATCCGTCAAGTACGGCAACCCCGCCAGCACCCTAAGAAATTCCGGATGCGACTTGTCGTACAAAAAACCCTTTGGCAGCGCCAGCCTCCTCAGCTCGCTCAACCCCGCCAGCGCCCCTGTCAGCAGCTCCCCCGCATTCCACAGGTTTCCACTCCCTCCACCTCCACCTCCTCCTCGCGCCCCTCCGCCCCCTGCTCCGGTGTCCATGATGAAGTCCAAACCCAAGTAGTTCAGTCGTGTCAAGCAGCGCAGGGCAGCTGCCAGGTGCTGCTCCGCGGGCCCCGCGGCGTAGCGGTGCTCAAAGGTGAGCGTGAGGGCGGTGAGGCGGGTGAGGGCGGCGAGGGCGGCGGCGGTGGCGGGGGCGGAGGAGGGGGAGAGCGGAAGGCCGGTGAGGGTGAGGGCGGAGAGGGCGGGCAGGTGGGCGAGGGAGGTCAGGGCGGCCTGAGGAGATGGGTAGGGAGGAGGGGTGTGGAGGGGGGCAGATCGAGTTTTAGGAATGTGGGGGTGGCGGGTGAAGGGAGTGTGGTGGTAATGCTAAGCCGTCGCAGCTGTCTACCGGATGGTCACAATTGAAGCAGAAAGCTGTGTTCTCTCTACCTGCCCCCTCCCTCCTCCCAGCTCTCCTCCACCCCACTCCTGCACTAGGCCCCCTCCCCACCCTCTCTCCCCACCCCCTCACCGGCGCCTCCAGCAGAAGCTGACACTCCACCACCACCTCCCGCAGACCTGACAGTGGAAGCGGGGGCGGAGGCAGGGCCCCGGTGCCGGCTGCCCCGCCTGCCCCGCCTGCTGCCCCTGCCGCCGCTGCCGCCCTGCCCAGAGGCTCCAGCACCGGCCCCCTCAGGAAGTTCCCAGCCGCCGCTGCTCCCCCTGCTCCCGCCCCCGCCCCTCCTCCCGCCCCCATCTCCCCCGCCCCCGCCAGATGCAGCCGGGTGAGTCGCGGGTAGCAGGCGGCCACGTGGTGCAGGTCGCGGGGGGAGAGCTCCTGCCAGCCCTGCAGGAGGGGAAGAGGGGGGACAGGGAGGGGAGGGGGCCGGGGACTGGAGGCATGCATGACGGGGGCACGCTGTGTCGTACACTGACATGACACAATAGCAACCCCCATCTCACCCCGCCCCTTGCCCGCCCCTTGCATGCCCAATCACAACCCCAACCCGGGCCCCCCCAAGGAGGCGAAACCCCCTACCCTGCCCTGCCCTCATGCGCCCCCCCCCCCCGGACTCGCGGCCAGTTTCCTTAAAACACACAAACACACACACACACATACACACCTGCAGCGACAGTGATGTCACGCTGGCAGCCACGCCCAGCTCGGAGAGGAAGTACGACATTACTGCCGTACTGCCGTACCACCCCTCCGGCAGGGGCGGTGCTGCCGCCGGCATCACCAGCATGTTCCACTCCTGCTGTGTTCCTGCTGTTCCTCCACCTCCCCCTCCGACTGATGCTGCTTGACTCCCACTACCTCCACCTCTTGGACCGCCACCACAGGCATCCCCGCCTGTTGCTGCTGCTGCAGGTGAGAGGGCTGCTGCTAGAGAGGAGAAGGCTGCGGAGGCGGAGGAGGAGGGGGCTGCCGGTGCGTGCGGTGGCGGGTGCGGCGGCAGCAGTCGCAGCACGAGGGTGGTGGGTGAGGGGAAGCGGTGGTGCAGGCGGGTGGAGGAGGAGGTGAGGGAGAGCAGGGAGGCACGGCAGACCAGGACCTGGAGGGGGAGGAGGGGGAGGGAGGAGGGGAGGAGGAGGGAGAGGGGGGGGAAGGGGTCGGGGCAGGATGGTGTCAGGTGGGGTGCGGAGGGGGCAGCTGTGTGTCGAGTGGTGTGTACAGGTGGGGACTGCAACACGAAAAGGAAGCTAGGACTGGGGAGTGGAACAGGAATGCGAGGACACGTTTCCTTTGACACCGGCTTTGCCGCCTTCTTAGTCCGTCTTCAGGATCCACGGCATCCGAGACGCATACCGTATCCATTCAAACCTCACGTCCATGGCTCCATGCCCACCTGTAGATGGGTCATGACTTCGGAGGCCGTGTAGCGCGCCATGCCCCTACTGGTCTGCCGCAGACGCTTCTTATCAGCTCGTGCGAGGCGCGGCCAGATATGGCTAGCCAGCAGGTCAGTAGGCAGGCGTTCCAGCAGTCCAAGCGGAGATGTCGGAGCCTCATCCTGAGTCTGGCAATGTTGGTGGAGCTTCTGGGAGTCTTGTGCGCATAGTTGATGATGTATTGTTGTGTTGGCGCCACTAGGCTGGCTTTCGGCTGCCTCACCGATGCTACGTGGCGCAACACCACCGGCTTGTGCAATGCTGGAACTGCTCATACTCCAAGTGGCTTGGCCCCGGTGACCCAGTTAATTTTATATAAAGATCGCGCCACAGCAACCCTCCTAAGGAGCGAGCGTGCTCATACGTCAACTAGCTTTCAATATGTATAACATGCTGCAACAGTAGTTGACAGGATTGCACAGTGAAGCTTCGTCGACAATTAGGCAAACATCACATTAAGCATAAAAGCGATTTCCTCGCCGGTATGTTGTTAAAGGGCGGCATTGGTCACGAGTCGCCGTACTTTGTGCAAAGAAAACGGGCGACATCCCAAAATAGTTCCACGTTTCTGCAGAAGATAAATTGGCATTCGCGTATTGATGTTTGCGATTGGTTGGGCGGTAAAGGCTGGGCTTGCGGCAGCATTCGGCAGCAGCAAGGAGCGAACAACTATGGACACTGATACCGATCATCAACCTGCGCACGGCGGCGTACCTTGGGGTATTGTGCTGGACAATGTTTGGGCACGCCTGCGACCAGCTGAGCGGCAGGCGATTGCGGAGACGTGCAAGGAAGCCTGCCTGAACATACGCGAGCGGCTGCAGACGCATGTTTCTTTACATGTATCCCGCACTCTTGCTGATCATCTCACTCGTCACGGCCAAGAACCTCTAAAGGTAGGCGGCGCGCCAGAATCTGGCGCGCCGAACATCTTTGCGCGTCAGGAGACGTACTAATCGACGCATGGACCGCACTAGCAAGCTTACATAGCGTATCTCGTTTTGGGCTTAAGCTTGTCATCTAAGGTCACATGCTTCAGTCATCCATCCCAACGTTCCCTCTTCACAACCTTTCTCCAAGCAACCTTCAATCATTCCATTCCCACCTTTTTCCACTTTTTCCTCCACAAAGGCACGTTTCCCCTTCGCCAACCGCCTCACGCTACGCTACGACCCCGAAGTAATGGACGAGGTGGATGGCGAACCAGATGTTGGCCCCGCCGGCCACCATGCCGACCGCGGTCCGGCCGCCCTCGCCGTCCTCTCCGCTTTGGGTCGTCACGAGGGCATCAAGGCCTGCCGACTGGACGGTGAGCGGGGTGGATAGATTCCGGGCCGGACCTGTACTCTGCAGGCTGTAGTAAAAGGCTGTGTCCTGTGTGTGTAGTCAATAAACCTGTGGGCCCGGGATGCCCCTAGCACCCCACCCTCACCCGCGCCATCCCGCGCTCCCTCCCTGCATGCGCACACGAGGCATCATGATCTGTTCTGCATGTTCCGTCTGAAGCATCCCGCCCTCCTTTGCTCCAGCTCCAGGTCCAGGTCCAGCTCCGGTTTACTCACAAGCGTAGCTCATTAGAAGCTTATGCGCTTTAATTCCTCTCTCCCTCCCTCTGCCTTCTCCTTTTTTTCACCTCCTTTTCCCACCCCCCCCTTCCCCCCCAGGCTGGGACTACCTTCCCCACGCCTCCATGCTGACGCTGCTGTCCAGCCTGCCCTCCCTGGACTCGCTGGAGCTCAGCGCCGCATTCCGACTCGACCTGGAGCTGCTGGCGGTGCCCGGGGTGACACGGCTCACGCAGCTCATGGTGGGGTGGGGGAAATAAGTTATAAGTGTAGCAACGAGTCCCAAAGGGAGGGGGGAGAAAGGCATGAAGAAGAAGAAGAGAAAGCATGCTGTGATCAATGATAGTCGAAGAGGGGCTGTTGCAGGTGGCTTGGGGTTTGAAAGGAGGAGCCAGAAGGGAGCGGCATGCCCCTATGGAGGGGGGCCTCAGTGGCATCCCCTGCTACATCCCCTCCTCAACACCCCGTTCCTCCTCACACCGCATTCCTCCCCCACCACCCCTCCCCCCCCCCCGCAGGTTGCTGCCGAGCAGATCCTGATGTCCCCCGGCGTGCTGCGACCCGCCGCCTTCCTGTCGCAGCTGCGGGACCTGCGCATCAGCGGGCTCCAGGTGCGGGAAAGGGGGAGGGAGGGGGTGGCATTGCTGTGAAGGGAGCGGGGAGGGGGTGGAGACCTTGGCAACCCGAACCCGGAACCCGACCCAGCTGGCCCCGGGCTTGATGTGCCCGTATACGGCGCCACCTCCCCTCCCCTCGTACTCACCCAGCTGCTTCTCCTCCCCTCCCTGGCTAACTCACTCCCATTCACCAGGAGCTTGTCGTCTGGTTTGCCATTCTCATTCTTCTTTTTCCCCTCCCTTCCCCCCCTCCCCTTTCCCATCCCCCCCGAACCACCAGGTCAACGACCAGGTTGCCGACAACGAGCTGTGCGGGGCGCTGGGGGCGCTGACGGGGCTCACTCAGCTGGACATCATGACGTACAGGTGGGGGCGTGTGTGTATGGGGGGAACGGTGGGGGTGCCGGTGTGCCGTACAGGTGGGGGGGAGGAGGGAAGGAGGGGAGAGAGGTGTTGTACGGCACAGCAAACCCGCGCGCGGAGGTGTGTTGTACGACAGCAGATGGGGGCAAATTGTGTGACACCAACAACATGTGCCTCCCTTTTAGCACCTCCCCATGATCACGCCTGCCGTACACCCGCCACAAACCCCCTCCTCTTGCCAACGCTCACTTCCTCCCCTTTTCCCCTCCCTCCTTCCCCCCAGTGTCGCCACCCGCCCCTCCATGGTCGCCCTCCGCGGCATCCACTCCGAAACCCTGCGCGGCCACCCGCTCTCCCGCCTGCCCGCTGCACTCGCCTGCCTGACCGGGCTGCGGGTGCTGGCGGTGAGCGACGAGCACCTGGGTGTGCGGACGGCCAATGCGGTGCTGGGGGCGCTGGGTGGGAGCTGCAGGGGGCTGGAGGAGCTGGTGATGCCGGAGGCCAGGGTGAGGGGGAGGGAGGGAGGGATACGTAGGGGGGAGGGGGAGAGGGGCGGAGGAGGGGGGAAGATGCACGCCAAGCAATGCCAGGAGGAGGGGAGGGGACATGGGAGGGGATGCAGGGGAGTGAAAGAGGTGTTGCCGATAGGTGGATGGGCGCGCCAAGGCCAGGGCAATGTCCCCCACCTCCTGCTTGCGATCCGCCTGACACGCACGCTCCCTCCCCCCCCTCCCTGCAGACCCGCGAGGAGGGCTGGCTGGCGCTGCAGCAGCTGACCAGCCTGACCCGGGTGCACCTCTACAGCATCGAGCTGAAGGGACAGGTGGGGGGACAAGGAGTGAGGGTGCAGGAGGGAGGGAGGAGGCCTGGCAGCAGGGGTGAGGTGGTTCCGCATGGAGAGGTGCCGCTGGGTGGCGGGGACCTGGACCGGCACTGTACGACCACCACCTCTACTACCGCCACCGCCACCGGCACAGCACGAGTCCGTCTTCCATGTAACGGATTACGCCAGCTTCCACTTACGGTTACCCTGCCCTCCCTCCCTCCCCCCCCAACCCTCCCCCCTCCCCCAGGTCCGCGCCCGCGCCCCCGGCTCCATCTCCTGGTGGCGGCGTCTGCGCCTGGAGGACACCCGGCTTCCCGAGCTGGCGGGTCTGATGCCGCTGCCGGGGCTGCAGTCCTTCATCGGCACCATCTACATGCGGTTCGGGGAGGCACCGGTGCCGGCGAGGGAGTTCGCGGGGATGGAGCGGGTGCTGGCCACACTGGGGGCGGCGGAGGAGGTGAGGAGGGGCGGGAGGGGAGGAGGCGGTATGATAAACTGAGCAGCGAGGAAACACTGACATTTACCATAGGAAGACCCGTTTGGTACCGTAGCTGTGTCTGATCTCACCAAGAAATTTAGGGATTTTATTTTAACGCGCAGCCGTGTAAGGAATTATTCTTTTAACGCGCAGGGGTCTGGGCAATTATTTATCGCAGCGCGCAGCCTTGAGGCTAGTATTTAAGCAGCCTGTAATTTAAGTTATAAAGATCGGAAAGCAGAGCAGCGGGATTGCAGAAATTTAAAGCTACGATTCAAATGGGATGAGGGTCGCTCCGGAACCTTGTTTGGGACGAATTGCGCGTGGCCGGCAACTTTGGCACCCGCGTGTCTTCTCGTCACCTTCTCGCGAAAGCTCAGTAAGCTGCTAGCAAGGAGGCGTAGGTATGGATTGGGTCGGGAAAACTGTGAAACCCTTACTTTGGGGGCGGCACAGCGACGGGGTGGGCAATTGTTTTTTCACGCGCAGCCCTTTGGGGAATGATTTTTTTAACGCGCAGGCCCCGGAGCAATATTTTTTTTCTTGCGCGTTAATGCACATTTTGCCAAATAATTATTTATTTTTGCGCGATGATCACTGGGAGGGACGGTACTTGGCTTTATTTGGGGGGTTGACAGATGGGGTGCAGTAAGGGACAGCGCTGGCAAAATGGGGTACTCCCTGCCCCTTACTCCTTCCTTTCCTTCCTTCCCTCCCTCCCCTCCTCTCCCCTCCTCTCCCCAGGTTTGTGCTTTGTGTGCTGCTACTAACCCAACAAGTTTGGCTATACACAATCCTAAAATCCAGCCTAATGCGGACTATGTGTTCCTATGAATGGCCCCCCCCCAGGTCCGTCTGTGGTTGGAATTGGACTGCGACATCTGGCCGGGCGTCTCCCGCATCCTGGGTCAGCTGCCGGGGCTGGCGGAGGTGGTGGTGCGGGCGCGGCACCCCCACCCGCTGTCGCCCCCCGACCTGCGGGGTCTGCTGGGGGCGGCCACGGGGCTGCAGTACCTGGATATCAACAACACGGCGCTGAGGGACGAGGAGCTGAGGCCGCTGGGGGAGCTGCCGAGGCTGGTCAAGGTAGGGGCGGGGGAGGTGGGGCTGAGGTTGGGGGGGGGTAGTGGGGGGGAGGTGGGGCTGGGGTTTGGGGGGGGGCATGAAGGGGGGGCATGAGGGGGGGGGGTGCAGTGCGGTGCTGTGCAGTGCAATGCTCACAGTGCAGAAGGCAGGAGCTGTGGTGAGAATATTCACGCGGCTAATTGAAGTAGCTGTTTCGAACACAATGCATACTTTATTGAAAAATGTACGACAGGTGTGTTTGGGCCTTGTGGAGCGATCCGACCAAGAGGGGCACACCCCGGCTGCCGTACAGTGGCTCGCCGTACTGCTGGCCTCCCGCCGCCGCCCCGCCCTCATTGTGGCTCCCCACCTGCTCGACTCGGAGATGCAGCCGCTAGAGGAATGGCAGGCGGAGGAGCCGGTGACCCGTGGGTCAGTCAGCATCGCGGAGGCGTTGCCTGATTTGGAACTGCCGTTACCTGGCGACCCGGCGCTGTCGGCTGGGCCGTTCTTCCGTGCAGGAGGAGGAGGAGGGGGGCGTGGGGGCGGAGACGGGGGTGAGGGGGGAGGAGGTGGGGGTGGTGGCAGGTACCTGCCTAGCCATAGCCATGGCACGATGTACGACAGCGGTGGCAGCGGTAGTGGTAGTGGGTCGTACAATTTGGTGGATCCAGAGGATTCGCTGGTGATCCTGAGCAACAGCGTGCGGGAATTCTTCCGGAGAGTGGACCTTTGATGGAAAGGAAAAGGGGGAGTGATATATATCCTGTAAGCAGTAAAAGGGGGTGGGGTGGAGAGAGCACTCGAGACATCTCTTGGCCGTGGGTCATATCAACTGCTGCTGCTGCTCTTATGGGTAGGTTTGAGCCTGACTTTGCCTTTTGGAGTTGGATTGCCTTGCATTCGTGAGGCCAGCTTCCATGCGATGTCAGAGCGGGGCGCAGCTGGGTTGTTCTGGTTGGTAGGTTCATGTGGATGGTTGATCTCCGGTAGCCACAACAGCAACAACAGCAGCAGCAGCAGCAACAACAACAACAATGGCAAGACGAGAGTGCTGCTGGTGCTGGCAGTGGTGCTGGTATCGGTTAGTTGGTTGGTTGCTGGCAGGTGGCAGGTTGTTGGCCATGGTCTTGTAAGGCACAGCCACAGCAGGGCAGAGGGTTGTTAGGATGTGGTCTGGCGTCTCCAGGGTAGCAGGGAGGGATGGAGGGGGGCGGCGTCTCGGCATGTGATGGGAGGGGATGCTCAACTTCACTGTGTAAAGCTCCACTATGCATGTGCTAACCAGCGAACCTCCGTCTATCCCGAACGTGCTTAATTATGTGATGTCTGTAAAATGTTTTCCAGCTATCGAGTTGTGCAACCAAATCTGGAGGGCGCAGTCCAGAAGGGCTGACGTAGCCACGGAGCAGTACGGCCTTCGAGGCCCGTCCCTAGGCAACGACATTGGGTTTCCCCTCAGTAACTATGCTTGATGTTCCAATATGTTTAAACAGGGCACTATCCATAACACCTGCGATGCAAGCTTAGCAGGATACCTGCGTAGATAGCATATGTTAGGTTTCTAGCTCGTCCGTACTCCAGGGATACCCCCCGGGGCTTCTACGGTATGTGCAATATGCAGCCAATGCCTAACACAGAGTTGCAGAAGTACGCTTTTAACCATTTTCAAATGGCTATAAAGATGGCTGAACGGCACCATAGAGTTCCATGCTTTCTTCTCCTCTTACTGACCTGGACCACAAGCTTAGTGGCTTCGGCAGACGGGGCATTCTGCCTTCCATCAGTTTCCTCGTGCTGGCCGACTACAAAGGCATTTAACGCCTGGAGAGCTTCGCTTGGTAACAACACCGATGTTTATTTCCCAGACAAGCAACCGGATATGTTCCTTAGCAAGTCGGTCTCCATGAACCTGCTGAAGAGCAACTATCCTGGTATCATCGTGGTACCGGCAACAGAGAGGGACTTACGGTTATCCGTGGCATTCGCCTTCGCCAATGGCATCCGCGTCGTAGCCATGTGCTCTGGCCATGATTTCAACGGCAGGAGCACCGGACGCGGCATCATGCTCATAAAGACAGACAAGCTCAAGTCCATCTCGTACGACGCGACGGCCAAGACCATCACGTTTGGCTCCGGCAACATGCATGGGGACATCTACTCTTTCCTGGCACCCAAAGGACGCGTCTACGTGGGTGGCCAGTCCAAGACGGTGTGTCCCGCAGGGTGCCTTGCGGGCGGCTGCCACGGCTTACTGTCTCGCCAGTATGGTCTGGGCAGCGACAACATCATCGAAATCCAAATTGTGCTGTACAATGGCACAGCCATCAGGGCAAGCAAGACGCGCAACGCGGACCTCTTCAACGCCTACTTGGGTGCAGGCCAGAACAGCTTTGGTGTTGCCCTGTCCTTCACAGCCCGCACCTTCCCGGCCCCTCCCGCGGTTTGGGAAATCAATGTCGCCCTTAATATTGAGCTCCCCGACCAGCCTGGCGGCCCTAACGTGCTTAACACCTTCATTATGAACGCCACCTGGTTCAACAGCCTCCCGCTGGAGCTAGCTGGCAACATCCATATCACCGGGTCCACAATGCTGCTCAACCTCATCTACACCGGAAAGGACAGCAACGCCGTGCAGGCTTCCCTGGGCTCGCTATTCCGCTCTCCATTTATCACCGGCGTCGAGGTCAACAACTACACCGACGTCTACCAACTCGCCCTGAACTCCTACCCTCCATCATCCGAAATCTGGCAACGTAAGTTCATCGTAAACGGATTTGTGCCACCGCAACAACCTCTTCTCGATGGCGTGGCTGACATCATCATTACCACCAAGCCGGACATGTGGTTGTGGTTTGTGTACGGAGGTGCCGTACGTAAGGGCACTGTTGGTTCCGTACCGCCTGGAATGCGCGACGCGATGTACCAGATCCTAATCGGGACCCAATGGAATGACCCCAACGAGGACGAGCAGTACATGGCGGCGCTGGAGATGTTTGTTCCTTCATTGTACGGCACTGTGCCGTACTCGTACAACAATGAGTATACGAGCTGGGGTGATAAGTACGGCGTTGTGAGGGACTGGAAGACCCGTTTCTTTGCCAACTATGATAGTCTGTTGTCGGTTAAGGACAAGTACGATCCGTGCAACTTCTTCACCGTACAATACGGTGTAGCATCGGATCTGCCGAAGGCTACATGCAAGGGCGGCAGCAAGAAGTAGCATGTTGGGGAGTGTGCGTGGGGGCATATGTGCGCCTTGGCGTGTTGCTGCACCGGAGGTATCCACTGTTGTCGTAGACTCGTAGCACGAGGGAGATCTGCTGCAAGCGTGAATTTTTACAAGGTGTAATTGTTTTATCTCACCTGATGGCAATGTACTGAGCATTCTGCTGTCGGTCGTACTGCATACGTACCCCGCTGGCTGTTTGTTGGACGATGGTGTGCAGTGACACATGATTGATCGTCGAGAAGGGTTGAGGAAGCCTGTGAACTTGCGTCAGAGGACCGCTTGATGAGGCTTCGTGCGATTTGGTGAGAGTAATGTCCCGTGTATGTAGTGAGATCGTTTGGACTTTACTTTGTTGCGAATTTCTTTTGAATTGCGAGTGATTCAAGCACTTTTATCCTGCCTTTATGCTCGTGAATAATGCTGGTGCATAATACTGAGTACAGTGCTCGACAATTGGAACTTCTGTGCATTGAGAACTCATCGTGTATCTTTCGTATTCTCGATCATTGCCCTAGTTTCACGTGCAAGACGTGATCCGTTGATACTCCGTTCGGTTGGTTGCACACAGTGCGGTTTGCCTCAGTGACTCAATGACGCTGCTGATCAGAACCATGTAACGCCACACAGGCTGATCTTGCAAGAGTGGTGTACCACACGTGTGCCCAGGTGAGTTGCGCACACGTGTGAGAGGGAGGAATGAGGGAATGTGACACTAGGACAATCGAACCCCCACTTAACATACGATTACAGCGCCAGTCCAGCCAGCCTCGCAGCCAGCATTGTGCACTACTCTCATCACAGCTTGAACAGGCTCGGCCCTGTGTCACACTGCCGCATGCATGGAGGTCTTGATTGCAAAGGACTTGGAAGGAAATCCGCTCTTTTGGCGATTAATAATAACCGTGTATATAACAGGTGTACGGCTTGAACATCACTCACTGTACGACACCTCGTAAAAGCGTCAAGAAGTACGACACCTGATCCTTTAGTACCGTAAATGAAGAAGCCAACAACATTCCGCTAAGATGTTGTGTTCGTTTGTATGAATGCATGTAAGCAAAATAAGGATTACCGTTAGACGCACAACACATCAATAAACATCTATCTTGACTTTGATGGCGCACATATGCTCACGCATGCGGACACAGATGCTAAGCACACTGCCAAGCAAGCACTGACAGAGCGGACATACAGCAGCAGCTGCTGCAGCTGCAAAAGACATGAAAGAGCAGCACGGCCCTCCTGCGACCCACGGGTCGGCCACGGCATTAGTTCCCCCACTCTTGTGCCAATGCAGGGTTCCTTTGATGTGCCATTTTCCAACATTAATCTCCTCTTCTCATAAATACACGCCCCATCCACCTCACACTCTGCTTTCTGCTTGCATGGGAGCAACTGTAGCGGCCATTCACTCCCCTCACTCCACTGCCTCGCTCCCCCCTCATACCGGTATATCGCCACGACAGGCAGCTGTCCGCCTCCTGCGGCTGTTCACCTGCCGAGACCACTGTGGCCTGCACGCTGATGCAACACCAGCACCAACAACCACCTCGCCACATTACCAGCAGCAACATTAACAACAGCAAATCAGCAATGGTACCGGTAACAGCGGTTGACAAACTAACGGTGCATCATGCCAACAAATGCATGCCCCAAACCATTCACGTGCTTTCGCATTCTCCACAGACCTGTATCCTTTTCTTTCGCATTCTCCACAGACCTGCAACCTTGCCAACCTAATTTCCCCACCCACCCACCCAGCCCGCTTCACAGCCCCCGAGCCCGCAGGTGCGACAGGAAGGGGTCCGGACCCGCCCCCACACCCGCGCCTTCGCTCGCTGCCTTCACGCCCCGTTCCACACCCCCTCCACCTCCACCTCCTCCCCCAAACAGCAGCCGCCGCCCCCCAGATCTCCGTCCCTCTCCTCCTCCCCCTCCTCCAGACGTTCCTGCCGCCTCCCCTGCTGCTCCTGCACCTGCAGCTACAGCTTCAGCTGCTTGTGCGGCTACTGCGGTTGGGTCCGGTTGTTGGTGCTGCTGCCGCCACTCCTGTTTTGAGGGGTGCGGCATGCAGGGAGTCAGGAAGAGGCGCGGGAACCCGAATGGAAGGTGAGCGGGCATGGAAGCGAGGAGAGCTGTTGAGGATAGCGAGGGCTGCTAAGGGCCCAATGCAGGGCTTGGGTCACAACCCGGATTCTGGTAAGGAGGGTCAGCCTCCGGGCCCTTCGCAACAGCGCACCCCCACCCACCTGCAAACACTAACTCACACCCCCACCTACATGCGCCCCAAACACTACCGGTACCTCACACCCACCCGCACACCCACCCACCCAGCCACAACCCCATACCCATGCTCCCGCACCCACCCGCCCGTACCCACACCCACCTTGATTGCCGACATGATCACATTGTTTGGGAAGAGCAGTCGCGAGGTGAAGGGCAGGTTGGTCATGGGCGAGGCCAGGCGGCCGGCGTCCATCCAGCGGGCGATGGCGGCGCGCTCGTAGGAGAAGCCGTCGGACGCCACCACCGGCTCCCGCATCACATCCTGTGGGGGGGGGGGGTTAATTTGGAAACAGAATTCGCATTACGCTGGATAGTTGGGATAGCAAATAATTGTAGTTGTTGTATAGTTAGTAGCATCAATCAATAACAAACCGTATTGTAAGCTCCATGGCGGCTGGGGGGGGGACGGGGTTGGGGGGCGGGGTTGGGAGGAGGGTATCAAGCATGATGAGTTGATGAGCCACCAGGGGGACCGTACCAGGGGGAGTAGCAGTAGCTCCTCCGTAGATTGGGAGACGTGTCGGGACTCGGGAGTGTTTGGAGAGGCGGACACGGGACGTGGTTGCTACACGGGCTAGGCACTAGGGATGCTCTTCCGCCCTTCCCCCTCCTACCCCTCACCCCCTCGCCCGCCTCCCCTACCTGCGTGATCGGGCACACAAACATGGCGGGTGGTCGCACCTCCCGCCCGTCCGGCCCCACCACCACCCCGCCTCCCCCCGCCGCCGCCGCCGCCAGACAGGCGCTCAGCGGTCGCTCGGTCGCCAGCAGCGCCGCCAGGTCAGTGTGGCGGCGCGCGGCGGCCAGTGCGGCGGCGAGCGACCCGCGGCGGTCGGGGATGGCCCGTGGGTCGCTGGAGCGGCAGGTGCGAGCGGGGCGCCACTCGGCCGCCTGCTGCTCGGAGGAGAGGGAGGCCTGAGGGTGGGGGGCAGTGAGAGAGGAGGAGGAGAAGGTGAGGAGGAGGGGGGGTGATAAGATGGTATGACTGGTGGAATGTGGCGAATCGGGACCGCAAGACAGGAATGATTGTGCGAGGCCAGCTAAACAGCTAAACACGGATGCAGGCTGAAGAAGGGAAAAGCCCTCCTTGCAGCCTCCTCTGGGGTTACTAGTTCCCTTTCCCCTCCTCCCTCCCCTTCCCCCCTCCTTTCCCCCCCCCCCCCTCACATGGTGGCTCAGCACCAGCAGCGCCGCATCAAAGTGCCCCCGCAGCGCCGCCACGTGCAGACAGGTCCACCCCGCGTTGCAGGGCATGAAGGCCTCCAGGTTGTCGGAGCTGGCCTGCAGCAGGGGGAGGGGGGGGGGGGGGTAAGAAGGCATGGGTATTTTAGGAGAGGAGGCGGACCCCATTATCGGCAGGCCAGCTAGTCCCTCCGCTTAACTCCTGCATCTAGCCTGCAACCGCCATCCCTCCTCCCCCCCTACCCCCCACCTGTGCGGTGTACGGCGCCCCTTCCCCCCCACCTGTGCGGTGTACGGCGCCCCCTCCCACCCCACCTGTGCGGTGTACGGCGCCCCCGCCGCCAGCAGCAGTCGTACGGCGGGCAGGCAGTTGGCAGCCACTGCGAAGTGCAGCGGAGTGAGGCCGGAGGAGTCGGGGTGGGACACCAGCCTGGGGGGGGGAGGGGAAGGGGTAAGGAAAGAAAACTAAGGGCGAGGGGCGAGGGGCGAAGGGTGGGATGGAGGAGGGTGACATGGAAGGGAGAAGGCAGAGCAACGAAGTAGCAGAGCTGGCTATGAGGGGCCGTAGGAGGGCGGGAGGAGGAGGAGGTGAGCGGTTGGGGGGCGAGCGAGCAGGAGGAGGCAGTCGGTGCAGCCGCCGCAGGGGCCCCCGTGCGCCCGCCTACCTGGCTACCAGCGTAGGCCCCCGAGGAGAAGGAGGGGCAGCAGCAGCAGCAGCGCCACTCGCGGCAGGCGACACCGCGCCCACCGCCGTCGCCGCCGCCGCCGCCGGTGCGGTAAGTGACCCAGATGACCGTGCAGGCGACGCCGTCCCTGAAGACGATGGGGAGGACGGCAGCGACACCCTCTCTCCCACCCCGCCTACCCCGGACTCCACACCCACGCCCGCTATCCCCCCGCCTCCTCCTCCACCTTCTCCTGTCACTGTCACCCCATCCCCCATCCCATCCCCATCTCCAGCCGCCGCTGCTGCCGCCGCCGCCGCCGCCTCCGCAGCAGCAGCAGCCACATCCTCCGCCTCCGCCGCCTCCAGCAGCGCCCGCACCGCCGCCTCACTGCCCGCCGCCGCCGCGTGGTGCAGTGCCGTACGACCCACCTTGTCGGGCCGTAGCAACTCCGCGGCGATTGGGGTTGTTGTTGCCGTACGGCAGGGGCTGCTACTGCTGATGCTGCTGCTGCGGTTAGTGCTGGGGTTGTTGTCGTACTGTTGCAGGATCAGCCGTACGGCCTCGGCATTACCCCGAGCTGCGGCGGTGTGGAGGCAGGTGTGGCCCCTGGGGGGGAGGAGGTGGTGTTGTTGGTGGTGGTGGTGATGTTAGGGTGGGATGGGGGATGGGGTCCTGACGCTGCAGTGGGATGCAGGCTGCTGCTACCAAGGGCTGCGGCACATGCGGTCGTCATGTAGCGACTACCTGGCATTAGCATACCGTAATACACAGCACAGCACAGCAAGACCCCAGCCTTTCCCCACTTTCCCCCTTCCTCCTCTTCCTCACCTCTTGTTCGTCATACTCAGCACCTCCGCCAGGCCCCCGGGCGGCCCTACCACCGCCACCCCCATGATGCCTCCACCCGCCTCCTCCTGCCCCTGCTGCCTGTACAGCCGCAGCAGCAGCCGCAGCAGCCCCGCGCCCGCCCCCGCCGCCCCCTCCCTGCATGACGCGGGGGGGGCAGCTGCTGCCAGGTGCCAGGCGGTGCTGCGGGCGGGGTGGCACTTGAGCGGCAGGAGCAGCAGCTGACGGCACTGGGAGACAAGAGAGGAGATCTGGAGGAGAGGGCGGGGGGCGGAGAGGTGGGAGGCGGGGGGGGGGAGGTACGGATGGAGACGTGGAGTGTGGGGTTGGTGTTTGGGTTGGGTAAAGGTTGGTGTTGAGGGGTAGGAAGTTTGGATCGGAACGGGTTGATGGGATCATGTACTGGGGGGGGGTAGCGAGGGCGTTAGCAAGGTTGGGGGTGAGGGTTGGGAGTTGTGGGCCCTGCGATATACATCACACCCAAACACAAATACACAAGAGCACACACCTGGTCTGGGTCGGGCTCTGTCAGCGCCTTTGCAAAGGCCTCCAGTTGCTTGTCAGTGGGGCAGGGGCCAGAGCTGCTGCTGCCGGGGCCGCTGCCGCTGGAAAGGCGGCTAGATCCGCCCGCCTGGCCCAGACTGCAGATGGGGCGCAGGGAATGATGATAAAATTTTATTTACATTTACATGAAGTCTACAGAGTTTTTATTCACGAATGGCAAGCGGATACGCTAGCCGGGGGCTCAGGGGTCGGGGTTCAGCTTTGGTTGCGGGGCAGGGCGGAGAAGCGAGGTTGGGGGATGATTTATGGAGAGGGTGTTGCAGGTGTATACGCAGGGTGCGAGATGGAACGAGATGACGTGAGGGAAATGAAGGAAGCGTTAAGGCTGGCAGGAACATGGGCTGGAACAGAAAGCGGCATGGGGCTTCCAAGTGACAGTGGTCAGTTGGAAACGAGGGAGAATGGATGAGCGAGGACAGAACAGCTATGCCGCTCGTGTTCTCAACGTCAACGTAAGATCACACCGGTGTCTAAAGTAATTTCCCAAAAGGTTAATCAATCGTCCCGATCACAGCTCTCCGCGCGCAGCAGATGTAACGCCTAAAATGGATTATATCTCCCTCAACAACAAGCACAGCGGCATGCCCAAAACCCACTGCACAACTTCTTGATATCAAATGGCCGTCTGTGGGTAAAAACAAGTACAGCGACCCAACGACATGCTGTGACGCAACACCTTCTCGGCATTGCTTCAACCAGGCCCGAACGTCCCACATTCACTCACCCACTGAAAGCCGCTTTGCAGGCAGCAAACATAATGGCTTTCCGGCCTGTTGGCCTCCTTGCGCTCCTTAGCTTCCGAAAAAGGTCTCTTAGGCTTCCTCGCTAGCGACCAATTTCCTTCTCTTCACCCCGGATTGTTCACAGCATACTTTTACAGATGAAGACGTCCTAATGCTCAACCCACAATGCAGAAACGCAATGCTGAGAAAGGCCGATGGATGGACTTGCAAGGCGCTGCTAAGATAGGTAATAAAGTTTTTTTAAAAGCAAAGTCGGAGTGGAGATATGCCGCAGAATTGTTTACCAGCTGCTTGCACCTCAGAGGTGCCTTTCCGCAGAATATTACGGCAACGGAATCAGGCGGGACTTATCGTTGCTTGGCGACCGTTACACAGTAGCACATGTTAATAGATCGTTTTTATCATATTTCACGTATTCAATACCGCTGCCTAGCGCTTCCTACAAGCTCATATCCAAATGGGGCTTTACTGGCAGTACAGCGATATTGCAGCCCAGGGATACTTTTCGCTAATTCGGTAGCAGATACATATACATATCCCGCTTTCGGACTTCGTTTGCCCTAACAAGCAAAGATGGGAGGCCGTAAGGTATCAACCCCTCATCGCTCGCACCAAACATAGTTTCCTTGCTTGTGACTACCGCATAAGACGGCGGTTGGTCTTTCTCAGACATAAAAACACCTCTCCATACGCCATGACCGAGCTCCTCCCAGCATCTAAGCCCTCATTCCTCTCAGTGACCCATGCCTCCTGACCCCCCGGTTCAACTCACAACTCCTCACCACAACCCCTCAAACACCACAACCTTCCCTTCCTAGGTGACCTACTACTATGATCCCGACATCGGCGACTTCTACTACGGCCAGGGCCACCCCATGAAGCCGCACCGAGTGCGCCTGGCCCACTGCCTGGTGACACGCTACGACCTGTGGCCGCACATGGACGTGAGCAGCAGCAGGGGGGGCAGCAGCGGGGCCGGGGGAAGGGTCAAGGGGGGGAAGTCAAGGACCATACCGAACCATAGGAAAGGAGGGAGGGGGATGCGGGTGCTGGGGCCCTTGCAGAGGCGGGGGATGTGAACGGCAGCAGCAGCAGCAGGGGGCAGCAGCGGAGGCCGGGGCGGGGACGGCAGGCAGGGATGTGCGGGCGGTGGGGCGATGGGGGTGATGAAGAGGAAAGCTGCAACCCCCGGCTGACAAAGTGACCAGGTCATACATAATGCATGGCAACGCACATGCCCCCTCCCTCCCCCCTTCCCTCCCTGCCAGATCCTGCGCCCCCGCCCCGCCCGCAAGTCGGAGCTGGTTGAGTTCCACAACCCCGACTACACCGACTTCCTGCGCGCCGTCACACCCGCAAACCAGGTGGGGAGGAGGGCGTGGGAAGAGGGAAGGTGTGGGGCAGGGGCTGCCGGGTAGGGACCGGAGAGGCCGAGCGGTAAACGAAAAAGGAGCTACGGGCCGCCTCTTCACCCCTTCCTCACCCCCCTCCCTCACCCCCCTCACCCCCTGGTTCGGTCCGTTTTTACCCCCCCCCCCCCTTACCAGGAGGAGCTGTCCGCCGCTCTCAAGCAGTTCGGTACCGCGGGCGACTGCCCCATCTTCGACCGCATGGCTCGCTACTGCGGACTGTACGCGGGGGCCAGCCTGGGGGCGGCGGCGCGGCTGAATGCAGGGCTAGCGGAGGTGGCCATCAACTGGGCGGGGGGCATGCACCATGCCAAGAAGGCGGAGGTGGGCGGGGCGGGGATGGAAGGGAAGGAGGAGGGAAGGGAGGAGAGGGTGAGGGAGGGGAGGAGGCGAGCTGCACCATGCCACGGCGAAGGCGAAGGTGGTGGGATGTTTGTATGAGGGGAGTGGGAGCGGCCTGTATGTAGTACTGTATGTAGTACTACGAGGAAGGCCTACGTTTTCATGCACCGACAACAAGTCCTGATGTCCCTCCCTTCCCCCTGCCCCCTCCCTCCTCCCCCCCCTCCTGCGGAATCTTCATCCCTATTAATCCCTCCCCTCCCTGCAGGCCTCCGGGTTCTGCTACGTGAACGACATCGTGCTAGCCATTCTGGAGCTGCTCAAGGTGGGGGGGGAGAGGCGAGGGCAAGTGAGGGGGAGGTAGGACATGCGTTGAGCGGTGGGGGCGGGCGAGGGCAGGTGGAAGGGACAGCAGATGGACGGGAAGGCAGGGAAGGAAGGAAGCGACCCCGTTAGCCCCCCTTTGAGTCCAGTCTACTCCTATCCCTGTCCTGGACCTTTGCTGCCGTCGTCGGCAACCCTTTCGGTTTAGCGCCCTCACCCCTCCCTGCCCCGTGGACCCCGCCCCCCTTCCCTTCCTTGAGATATCGATGCCCCACTTCTTAATTATTTCCCCCCTCCCTCCCTCCCCCCCCTCCCCCCCCCAGTACCACACCCGGGTGCTGTATGTGGACATCGACGTGCACCACGGTGACGGAGTGGAGGAGGCCTTCCTCACATCGGGTGGGGGGGGAGAGGGGGGCGGGGCGGGAGACGTGGAGGGGTGTGGAGGAGACCTCCTCCCAGGAGGGAGGGAGGGAGGCGGGATGGTGGTGGCGGAGTGGCTGGGAGGTGCTGGGCGGTGGTGGCTCTTGTCGGTGGGGGCCACAGAGGGGCACTGACTCCGCACCCCCAGGCATGTGGGGGAGTGTAGTGGAGTTGAGTTGACACCGCCGTCGTGTTCCCCGTGCCCGCCGTTCCCCACATACCCCGACGGCATACCCACCCCTCGGTACTTGCCTAGCGCTCTGACGACAACGACCGCAGCAACACCTTCCCCCCCTGGCCCTCGCAGCACCTCACCCTCATTTCGCTCACCTCCCTGCCCGTACCTCCCTTTCCCCTCCTCCCACCTCCTCCCACCTCCCACCTCCCCACCCCTCTCCCCCCCCAGACCGCGTCATGACGGTTTCCTTCCACAAGTTCGGGGACAACTTCTTCCCCGGCACCGGGGACCTGGGCGACTGCGGGCTGGCGGGCGGGAGGGGCTATGCGGTGGGGGGGGGAGAGGTTGGGGGGGTGGCTGAGGGGGGGGGGTAAAGAAAGGAAAACTGACAAACTGGATGACGAGGCTTTACCATGGGGTTGGGGGGGGGGGGGGTTGGGGGGGAATGGCTGGGAGGGATGGCGGAGTCAGGGGATCGAGAAAGAGAGGCGGGGTGTGTGGGCGGTGCCGGGGCTGCTTGAGGTCCTCTGACCCGGAGCCCTGTCACATGGGCACATGGTTACTCTTTCCCCATGGCTACCCTCGTCCTCTCCCATCTTCCCCATCCCCTCAAGGCTCAAAACGCATGGCCCTTCTTCGCTACCCGCCCCCCTCCTTACCCCTCCCTCTCCCGCCTCCCCCTCCCCCCCCAGGTCAACGTGCCCCTGCGTGACGGCATGGATGACGCCGCCTACGAGTCGCTGTTCCGCCCTGTGATGACGGGGGTGGTGGAGCACTTCCAACCCGAGGCAATTGTGCTGCAGAGCGGTGCGAGGGGGGGGAGGGGGAAGGGGTAATGCTGTGTGATGTCGTAACAGGCTGGGTGCAAATGTGGTAAATTCACTTCCCGCCCACTCCGCCCCCCCTTCTTCCCCAGGTGCCGACAGCCTGGCGGGTGACAAGCTGGGCCCCTTCAACCTGTCCATCCGGGGTCACGGCCGCTGCCACTCCTTCCTGCGGGCGCTGGGGCTGCCGCTGCTGGTGCTGGGAGGTGGAGGCTACAAGGTCAAGGTAGGAAGGGGTCCGGAGGGTCATCACTCGCACATACCGTCGCCCCTCCTGCGCTCCTTCACCGCCCGCCCTTGTGTCCAACCAACTGAGGCGCACACCGGAAACTTTGACTGAAGCCCGCATGAATTACAACACACTTGTGCTTTTCCCCCAACCCTCCCACGCAGAACGTGGCCCGCTGCTGGGCGTACGAGACCGGTGTCATGCTGGGTGAGGGACAGGGGCAGGGCGGTGGGATGGCCGTGTGCGCCCGTGTGTAGTTGAGTGTGTTAAAATAACTGGCCGCGAGGCGAAACGTACTTTGATTGCCGAAAGATGGAGTCCTCCCACCGAAAACGCCACAGGTGAAGTGAAGTCCGTTGGCTATGTTGTAATAGAGCTATCGAGTAGTATCGGAATCAGTGTAAAGCAGTAATAGCAATGTCGTAACGCGACCGGACCTAAGGACCGGAGTTGAGTGTGTTAAAATAACTGGCCGCGAGTTGAGTGTGTGTATGTCCAACCAAAACTGAGCCGCAAACCTGATTCGGACCCCCTGTGTGCTTGTGCCACGTGGAATGAAACCTGCATGGGGCATGAAACTATGCGGCCTTCTCCCTATGGCTTGGTCTATCTATGGCCTCCCCACTCCCCTCCCTCCCCCCCCCTCATCTGCCCAGGAGTGGAGTCCTCCATGTCGGAGCGCCTGCCCCCCAACGACTACTACGAGGTGTTTGGCCCCGACTACCGCCTGGTGCCGCCCCTGGAGCCGGGAAAGGTTAACCACAACAAGAGGGAGGCGCTGGAAAAGGTGGGGTGGAGTGGGGGGGTTAGAGTGACCCATGGGTCAATGGAAATCATAGGGGTTTGCGTGACGGGGACTGATGGGGAGGGATTCTCCTTGGCTTCTGTTGGTGTTGCAGTGGGCAGCTTCATGCCTCCCGCCTCGATTTCTCCTGCATTCCCGCTTCTTACTCGCCGCCGGCCCCTCCCCATCCCTCCTTCATCACTGTTTGCCGCCATCGTTGCCAACTTCCTTTACCCTCCTCACCATCCCTGACCCGTCAGATCCGCTGCACGATCCTGGAGCGGCTGCGCCACCTGCATCCGCCGGGGCTGGCCTTCCACGAGCGGCCGCCGGATACCTTCACAGCGGAGGCGATGGAGGAGGGGGGCGTGGCGGCGGCGGAGGCGGCAGCGGGGAGAAGAGAAGGGGGGGAGACGGAAGGGGGAGGAGGGGGTGGTGTCAGGAGGAGTCGGAGAAGACGGAGGAGCAGCAGCAGCAGCGGAGGTGATGGGGAGAGTGGCGGGGATGTGGATGGAATGGAAGAGTGAAGGGAGGATTGGGTATTGGGTTTTGATGGGTCGTGGTTACAAAAGGTAGTTGGCGGGGCGACTGCTGAGGGGAGGACGGGACGGGGGGGCATGCGAGGGATGGTCGCAATGTCGCAGGTTGCAAAGTAAGGTGCCACCCAGGGTTTGCAGCAGGCTGAAGACGACGTAGCAACAACGGATGTGGTAGCAGTAGCAGTAGCCGCAGGATCAATGGGGACTTTCTTTGCAGAGAGCTGTCCGCCAGAAAGCTGATCAGGCAGGAACGTGTATCCCAAGTTGGGTTAGGAAATTAGGAAGAGGGTTAGTTATGGACGCATACATGAGCGGCATATGAGCGTGGCTTGAGCACATTAGAGGAGCATAGGAAGGAGGGAGCAGCTGCGGCAGTTATGTGTAGGTAACGTAGGCTTGACATAGCTTGTCATCCAAGAATGAGCTGTAAAAAGCAGAGCACTGGGGGGGCTGCTAGACGCACGAGCAATCTGGGGCTGCTGGGAGAAATCACGGCATGCGTTTGCTAGCTGACAAAATATTGATGTAAGCTTAATAGAGATGGTGGTTGCTGCAGCTGCTCAATTAACCAGTCAGTCCGAGTTTGCACCGTACGAAATGTACGACAGATGCCCCTTGCCGCGACTTACTTCCGTCCCGTGCCCGTGCGGCTCAGATCATAAGTCACACTAAAAGGGTTAAAAGACCATTCCAGCAAAAACCTTGAGGACAACAACCAACTGCATCACTTCAAACGGGTACAGGATCACCATCGAGGTACTAAAAACCAGAACCCACACGCAGCGGGCTGCGCAGCGGCAGCATCTCATAGCAGCTCGAATCCACCTCCTCCAAAGCCACGTAATCTCCAAAACAACGTCATAACGTGGGGAGTGATCACTGCACAGCCTAGCTGCCTAGGGCGGGCTGAAGCGTCGCGACTCTGTAGCATTTGCATTCTTGTCACAAGCAACAGAACGCCAGCCCCAGCAAACTGAACCCCCCTGAACCCCGCTGCGCAGCATACTAAACCGTACCCTCCCCCAATGCCATGTAAACTTGCTTTGCCACATCTACTGCCCCTCCCCGAGTGCCTTACGTCCTCTCCTACTTGTCATAGTATGCTTCGGCGTTCTCTGACGCCTCCTGGAACTCGGCATCCATGGCCTCCTTGATGGACCCAAAGCCTTCCTCACGCCACCAATCGTCACTGTTCTTCTGGATCCAAGCCCACACCTCCTCCACAGCAGCATCCGATTTCTTGTGCGACGGAGGGTCCCCATCGATGTTCACCTTGCGCTTCACCACTTCCTCCACCGCCTGCTTCCAGTCCACGGGACAGCCTGCCGCAAGCAGCCAGCGCAGGAGCTCAACCCGGCAGCACAGCTCCAAACACCTTGCAAACAGCCCTCCGTCCTCGTCACCCCAGGGGCAGCCCAGCCGTCGCAGGCAGCGCAGGGTGGCCATATCCCCATTGCCAGCCGCCAACAAATACGGAATCCCGCACTCCTGCGTAACACAAGGAGCATATGCAGGATGTATGGCAAAAAGGGCAAAAGGGCTCCAGACAGCGCGGCTAGATACACCATACACAACCACGCAGTGCAAGCTGCCAAACAACTCACAACATTTGCTAAATAACCCAGGACGGAACCCACACACCGCAACCCAGAAACAAAGGCTAAAGTGACACACAACTAAGCGACACCCTCAGCAGCCACTCACCGGTAGCGGGCAGCCCAGCCCCACCAGCCACACCAGTGCCTCCTCCCTCCCTGCCGCAGCAGCTTGCGTGAAGGTGTCGGGGTGCCCGGGGCAGCCGCGCTCACGTAGCCAGCGCATCGCCTGCATGTTGCCCGCCCGTACTGCCGCGAGCCAGGCTTTGGCGCCGAGTTGGCCGTGGCTACGCAGAAAGCCAAGCATCTCCATCGTGACTCGCCTCTTCGGCATCTCCGCTCGGGGAACAGGCACCCCCTGCGCCTGCACCAGCCACCTGGCCACACGCACATGGCCGCCCTCAACTGCAGCCTTCAGGGTGCTGGCGTCCACGACAGCGCCGTACTTGTCGTGAAGCAGGACCAGGATGTCCAGATGGCCTGCCTGAGCCGCCAACCGAACCCAGCCTTTGAGGTCCCACTGGTCGCGGGGAAGGACCTGCTCACCCAGCAGGAATTCCAGCACGCCACAGCGTCCACGAACGGCAGCGTTGTCACCAACCGACGAACAAAACTCGTAGCCCCTTTGACGCAGCCACCTCAGCCGGCCGGCGGCATCCTCGCACTCCTCAGCTACCTGCTCGCAGGTGGAGTCACTCCGGACGAAGCCCTGCACCTCCTCCAGCCACACCACCTTGGCCTGCCAGTCGGGCGTGCGGCTGCAAGCCGTGACCGTGAGAAGGTAGGCCATCTCGAACTTATCAAGCCCGCCGAGAGATTCTGCAGTCACACGTTGCAGGGTAGCCAGGTCTGTGCCCCTGGCTGCTGCCTCCAGTCGCTCCAAGCACTTCGATAGTTCTTCGTCATGTGCATCGACTGGGCTGGTATTCCGATCAGGGAGCCGCTCCATAAGGAAGTTCACGACACCAACATGGCCACCACGAGCAGCAGCACGTACAGCATGATACGTCCAAATGTAGCCGTTTTCGAGGCACCACCGGCAGGCGTCCAGCTGCCCTGCTTTTGCTGCAGCTATCAGCGGGGAGCCGCAGGGACACTTCATCTGCAGAAGCCATCGACACACGTCCAGCTTCCCAGCCGACGCAGCGGCCTCCATTGCCTTGTCAGTTAACAGGCACCCCGTTTTGGCGGCTGCGACCTTGAGATTCAGGAGGCTTCCGCTGCGCGCTGTTAGGCACACAAGCTGTTGCCGCTGCTCAACGGTCAGGTCACGCATAGCACCATCCTTGCCATACTGCCGTAGGAAGGCATGATGTGGTACAGGCGAAGATAGATGGATTGTGGTGTACAGCGGACCACGAAATTGCACCGCCGCGGCCTTGTTGATTAGCCTCACGGTGCAGGCGATCTCGACCACTGGCAAAAAGGAGACCACGCGCTCTGCCAGCTCTGCTGGCAACTGCTTCCAGATCCTGGAATGATGTGAAGCTGCAAGTTCCTTGGCAGCAAGGGGCTGCGGTTTTGCCATGGATGGGGCTATTTGCCAGGAAGAGTTGCTAGGACGTATCCTTGCACTTAAGGCTGGATTGTAAGCTTGGGTGAGAGAGTTTTAAAGATTCAGAGCGCGTCACGCCCCTGACTTGAGTTTAAAGCAACATTTTGGATCCCATCAAAAATGAGTTTCTGAGCGGGCATAGGGCCCGTTAGGCGTCGCGCCTCCGCGGCCGGTGAGGCAGTGTTTTGCGTACGGACAGTAGGTAGTTTGTCGTTTTGCGTATTGCCCCGAGGGCCTGGTAGTAGTTGGATCAGCGTCCTTCTTTCCTTGGTCGCTGGGCGCCTTCGATTGTCTGCTAGACGCGTGGAGTTGCAGCAGTTTTTTAGCTGAACCTACCAACACATTAAAAGATCTGTATTTGGGGAACCTGTGCCCAGACCAGAATCCTTGCTTCACACACCAGCGGTGCCATTGCTGCAGCACCGAAGGACTGCCTGCTTAGACGTTTAAAAGCCCCCTACAAGGTGAACACCACTAACTAACAGGGCGAGTGCGGATCGGGAGCTGCTTGCAGCTCTGCAAGAGGCGAGGGACGAGTTGGAGCAGACACAGGCATTGTCTGCGGACGAGCAGCAGCTGTTGAGTGCGATCTTAGACAGTCAGGCTTATCAGAAGCTAGATTCGGATCATGCATCGGGTCTGGAGCCGCTCGGGCAGCGGCCTCCTGAACCGGCAGGTACCGCAGCTCAGAAGAAGATTATGCAGGCAGCCATCAGCAAATGGGAAAGCAGGGCCGAAGGCTTAGTACAACAGCACCAGAAGAACGTGACAGCCTTTGGGGACGACCTTCAGATGCAGAGGTCGGAGCTGCGGCGCCGTTGGGGTGCCACGCTGCTTCTGGGGCAGACCTCGGGAGCTGGGGGGTCAGGGCCTTCGGCGACGGAGGGCGTGCTGGCGCCGGATGTTGGCCAGGGCTCCGGCGGCCTGGGTGACGGGTTGGCCGCCGGAGGCGGCGCGCTAGGCGGGGGCGACCACACGACTCCGGGTGGCCCGGTTTCCCTCCCTCCCCCCCTCCCTCCCTTATGCCCGGCGCTGTTGAGCCCGGTTTCCCTCCCTCCCCCCTCCCTCCCTTATGCCCGGCGCTGTTGAGCCCGGTTTCCCTCCCTCCCCCCTCCCTCCCTTATGCCCGGCGCTGTCGAGCCCGGTTCCCCTCCCTTCCCCCCTCCCCCCCTTATGCCCGGCGCTGTTGAGCCCGGTTCCCCTCTCTCCCTCCCCCCCCTCCCTTATGCCCGGCGCTGTTGAGCCCGGTTTCCCTCCCTCCCCCCCTTATGCCCGGCGCTGTCGAGCCCGGTTTCCCTCCCTCCCTCCCCCGCTCCCTTATGCCCGGTGCTGTTGAGCCCGGTTCCCCTCCCTCCCCCCCTCTCTCCCTTATGCCCGGCGCTGTCGAGCCCGGTTTCCCTCCCTCCCCCCCCCCTCCCTTATGCCCGGTGCTGTTGAGCCCGGTTCCCCTCCCTCCCCCCTCCCTCCCTTATGCCCGGTGCTGTTGAGCCCGGTTCCCTTCCCCCCTCCCTCCCTTATGCCCGGCGCTGTTGAGCCCGGTTTCCCTCCCTCCCCCCCTCCCCCCCTTATGCCCGGTGCTGTTGAGCCCGGTTCCCCTCCCTCCCCCCTCCCTCCCTTATGCCCGGTGCTGTTGAGCCCGGTTCCCCTCCCTCCCTCCCCCCCCCTCCCTTATGCCCGGCGCTGTTGAGCCCGGTTATCGGTGCTGTTGAGCCCAGTCAGCGGTGGGCCAGATGGCTTTCGTGGCGCGGGCATGCCGCTGGGGGTTTCTCCTTCCTGCAGGCGCTGCTCGCTACCGTGTACGAGGGCAGCAGCGCAGCAGTCCTGCTTTCCCCGGAGGCACTGGACGACTTGTCGTTCTGGGCAGACGTGCTGCGCGCAGACTCATCAGTGTGGGACGGTGTCAAACAAGCCACCGTCGGCCACATGGACTTGGTAAAGGGGGTGTTTCAAGGCCCCGATGGCGCAGTCATTTATACGGATGCCAGCGGTTCAGGGTACGGCGCAGCGTGGGAGGAAGCGGAGCTACAGGGCATCTGGTCCGCGGAACGGTGCGACAGGCGGTGGCGGCCGTGTCGCGGGGGTCAACGCGTGTGAAGGATGGTCGCGCCATATGCCGGGAGATCGCCCTTCTGGCCATCAGCCTCTGGTTTGAGGTCCAACAACCCCGCCAGGGGGACAGTCGATTTGCCGCCTTTGTACCAGACGAGGCCTGTCAACCACGGCTGCGGGAACGACAGCGTGGCAGCTTGCAGCCCGGCATGTAGGGCTGGTGGGTTCAGCCGTGGCAAGCAGCTCGGCGTCCACGTATCTGACTAACCGCCGGCGCTTTGTACGATTCTGCGAGGAGCAGCTGGGCTTGTCCGAGCAAGAGGCGCTGCCGTGGAGCAGGGCGGCAGACCTGAACCCCATGATGGTCTGCCTGTGCATCACGGTGTTCGCGGCGTCGAGGTATGCGAGATCCTCGGCGGAGGGCACTCTGTGGAGGGCACTGCTGGGACACTGGCAGCGCTCCCGGGGGGGGGTACCAAAGGGTGAGACCATCTCCAGCCACCCGCGGGTGCATATCACCCTCCGACGGGCACTCCAGTCACGGGCGCCTTCACGGCCCGAGGACCATGGTGCCAAGGCGCCGCTCACGCTGGGTATCCTGCGGCTCCTGGTGGGTTGGTTAGCCGCGCGCGCTGTCGCGAGGCCAGAGGTCGCGGCAAGGAGTGCGGCAGACGTTTGCTGGTTGGTGGTCGGTTTCTTCGGACTTCTGCGGTGCTCGGAGCTGTTCGCGCTGACTCCGGCAGACATCAAGGAGCTCCCCGGGGGAGGGGGTTGTTGGTGTGGATCGCTCGCAGCAAAGGCGCGACCAGCTGGGGCAGGGCGCGTCTGTGTGCTTGGGTGAGAGCACGGCGAGTGGGAAGATTGTGCGGGGGCACCTGCAGTCGCTCGCCAAGGCGGGACTTCGCCAGTCGGGCCCTCTGAAGTGGAGCCAAGCGGGGCTGGTGCATGGGCAGAGCATGGGGAAGGGAGCGTTCACCGCTCGCCTGAGAGAGTTATTGAAAGAGCTCGAGCGGGACTCTCCTCAGTTACCACTGAAGTTAGAGCTCTTTTCGGCCCATAGTTTGCGGCGGGGGGGAGCTATCGCCTTGGCGGAGGCAGGAGTGAGTAGGGACCTGATTAAGCTGCACGGGAGGTGGCGTTCGGATGCTGTCGATGCGTACCTGCAGCCTTCCTTTGCAACCAGGCTGTCCCAAGTCGAGCGGCTTTAAGTTTTTAGGGTCGTAAAGGGGTGGTGTCCCAGCGCCTGGACTGGGTTATGGGGGAAGGTTGGAGCCGTGGGCAGGGCGGCCACACGGCCCCAAATGTTTTGGTAGTCGCCGGGCCACCAGGTGTGTTAGGAGCCCCAGATGGGAGAGGCTAGGCGTGTTGGCGAACGCTGGTTGTGGCGCACGGGGCCCGGTCTGTCTTACTTTCCCCCATCCCACACGTCGCCCCCTTAGCCATGTGTTCGTGTTATTGGCCAGGCAGCATGTGCCTTGCGGTTTGGACTTAGCAACGGAGGCGCACTGTTCTGCGTGCGTCGGTGGTATCGATGCACGGAGCTGCGTTCCGGCTCACAGTGCTTTCGCAGACTAGTAGACCCAAGTGCTGGTGTTGGAGTGTGCGTCTTGTTATCGTTGGGCCTTTTCGGGCGATGCGTGGTAATGTGGGCGCCTTGCGGTTGGTTCATTGTTAAGACTCATGGCTCCCTGGAGCCCGTACTAGCTTGCAGCTTGCGTTCTTGTCAGCCTTCTGGTTACAGCAGTATTTTCCTTTTTGCGCCGGTTTGGCCCGCAGCTCGATCGGAAATCCTTGCTGCCGTACCTGTACTGCATCCAAGCATGTGACCGGATTCTACGTAGCCCTCGCAAAGCGTGTTGGTCACAGCTTCACGCTGAATGGGCACCGAAATTTGGTTGCTGACGATTTGACCTAACGTCAACCAACACCTGTGCGGTGCATGGCGTTCCTGGAATTCCGTGCGCCCCTGCTCTGGTATACGTAAATGAATTACCGCCACGTGTCATTACCGCCGCTGACACGTGGCGGTAATTCATTTACGCCCTTATTGCTTATCTCTTCCCCGAACCGGTGATCAAGGTTACCCAAGTCTGCCTTCTCCCGGCTCGCTTGGGGGCTGAGCAGGCAGGCGTGTTCCTATCCGGAGTAGGGTGAGGTGCCTTGGGGGTCAGCTATGGACCTGACACATCCTTCGAATTCATGTAGTCGAGATATGCACAACAACAGGCGAAATTCCATGTTTAGGGTTACTAGACAAGCTCCGTGTGGGCCGGTGTCCACGTCGCCAATCGGCCCAACCTCGTTCAACCGGTAATAAACCTCCTTCATGTGCGGCAGCTTCTGCTGATCCGCTGCTGCGATCAACCTTTCGCCATCCCTGTGTGCAGCTCTATGTGCCCCATGACACCGCAACCTCCGCCCCCTGCCGGCAGTCGTCGGGTAGACACCGGCTCCACAGCCGCGGCCAACCCCACATGCCGTACAACGACAACCGCGACGTTTGCGCCCCGCTTGCTAATCGCAGTTGGAAATCGTCGCCGTTTCTGTGACCACTACCGGTAGTACCAGAGGCTTAACCACCTAGGCATACGGACAATAAGTATAATAACACAAGAATCCCCCTCACCGATGTGATATTCGCATACGTAAGGCCAAAGGCGTTTAGGCGCCCTGACCACTCATGGCGGCCAGCTTGCGGCACAAACAGCACAGTGTTACGAGCCCTCCTCACCCCGCACCGGACTACGATACCGAGGATACGATACCGAGGGAAATGTGTCGGGTAAATGATTCACATTAACATTGTATACTGTATACTAACATACAGTGCTGCACAATGCTGTTGGCATTGCACAACATCAGATTGTACGGCGCAGATTGATACAGATTGGGATATATCACTATCCACAATTCACGACAGAAGCCGTACCGTACTAGGCATATTAAAAATCCCAGTTAATGCGAAGGGTTTTTTCAAACAGCATACGTTTTCCAGGATTAAGATTTCAGTAACCAGCACACTCCACCACCACCCATATATAACAACAGCTCTAGCCGCTTGAATGGGGCTCTCGAAACCCCGGCAGTTGATGTTCAAACTTGGATTCTGCGGATTCTGAAAAGGATTCTAGAGGATGAGGGTGGGGTTTCCGTACAAACACGTCTTTCGAGGTCGCAATCAAGGGATCTACGAATTTGAGCAAATCAGCAGGGAAACGTACTGACTTTGATAACTTTCAGTGATGCAAGACGTTTCGACGAATGACTTGCCTCTCCTCGTGAAGAACGTCACCACATGGCACACGCCACATCGCCAATCACAGACAAACGCATCCCAACTGCGACGAATCACACCACCAATCAGTGTACGTTTGTAGATATCAGACATCAAGCCACTTTGATACAACAATAAACACACATCCAACATGCATAACGACTCCAACAGAAGCATGGAAAAACACACCTCGACACATGCTTGCCCCACCATGCATGGCGCCTGTATGACACTCCTACAAACCGGGGGAAAACTCCGGCTCTCACCCATCACACACCTATCTACTCCGCTTCGCTGGTAACCGCCCCCTCATGCTCCCCGCCTCTGTCGTACACCCAACTGATCACAAACCCACCTATACCATTCGTCCCTTTACCTCCACCCACCCGACCTCCCTAACCCAACCGCCAACACCGCCACCTAACCCAGCCGATACATGCGCCCAAGCACCTCCGCCTCCAACCCCCGCCCCTGCGCACGATACACCCCCTGCAGCCGACGGAACACAACCGCGCTGGCGGCGGCGGCCCTGCCGTACACATGTAGCGCCGCCTCCGCCGCCGTCAAGTACGACACCTCCGCCTCCGCCAGCCGCCCCACCGCCTCCGCCATGCCGCCTAGCGCCAGCCAGCCGCCTAAAACCCGCACATGTTGCTCGCCAAGGGCGACGGAGGAGGAGGCGAGTTGTACGGCACGGCGTTTCAGGGCTATGGCTTGTACGGCGAAGGGTGAAGAGGCGGAGGACTGCTGCTGCTGCAGAGGTGGGGATGGTGGTGGCGGTGGCGGTGATGATGATGGAAGGGCTGGGGAGATGGTGTGAGGAGAGGGTGCAGGAGAGGTGCTGCTAGGTGTCGAGTTGGATGAGGTCAGGAGGCTGCTGCGGCTGCTTACAGCACAGCTCTCGCAGCAATTCCTGCCATCCAGGTGCCTGCCAGCAGCCGCGATTTCCGCACTGCCGCCGCTATCCAGAAGACGCCCCATGCAGCGACCGTCTTCAGCAGCCAGCGGAGCGGTACCGGTACCCCCCAGCATGCCAGCCGCTTGACTGGCTGTTGCTGCTACACTCGCCGACTCGCTCTTCGCCGCCGCATTGGCCACACTGGAGACTGACGCCTCGTGTTGTCGCCAAAGCGCCGTCGAAAGCGCGTCGAGCGCCGCCACTCGCCGCGCGTCCGCCGGCGCCATCACGCCGGCGGCGACCAACCGTTCCGAAACCCTAACCGCCGTTGACAGTGCTGTCGTCGCCGCCGCAAGTGGTTGCTGTTCCGGCAAACGCGGAATGGATCCTTGCCCGGCTGCTGCCGCCGCCGCCGCAGCAGCAGCAGAGGCTGCTAGCAGTATGGTGCCTAACGTGTGATATGCAGTAACCAAAAGTCCTGGGTGGTGGTTGGAGTGGTGGCAGTTGGAGTGGTTAGAAGGTTTTTGGTTCGTGGGTTGGGAAATCGGAGCAACCGTAGAGTCACGATCTGCTTCCAAAAGCTCCAATCGGGCCTCTGAAGCCAGCATGGGACCCTCAGGATCTGCCGTACGCGCGGCCCCCGCCGCCAGCAGCTGCTGCAGCGCTGTACGACAGACAGCTTCAGCCTTGTCGTACTGTCCTGCAGATCCCAGGTACCGTGCATGTTGCAACTGCAGCTCAAAAACCTGAGGATGTGCAGACCCAAGTACGACAAGCCGTACTGCAATCGCCCTATCGTATAACGCGCCGGGATCCGTGAGTCGTCGTACGGTAACCACCTCCGAGATGCATGCGCCGCAATTACGGCGGCATGCCTCGGCGGCGGCAGCGGCATCCCAGGACGTCAAGCCGCCGCCTTCCTCCCCCGGCCGTACCGCCATGCTGCAATGAAGATTGCCGTACAGCTCGTTCATGCCGCCATGCTCTCGTTGGACGGCAAAAACCACGTCCGCTAGGGCTGCGGCGTCGGCACTCCACGCGATGGGATCCAACAGACCGCTAGGTACATCATCCCTGGCGGCAACGACGGCGGCGGCGCTGCCAGATACTGGGTAAGATGGCCCCACCGCCGCCGCCGGCGCCGCATCCTCCTGCTCCGTCAGCAGCGCCTGGTACGACACCTCCGCCTCCGCCCAGCTCCCCGCCTCCGCCAGCACCTCCGCCAGCGCCCGCCGCGCCGCCAGCGTCGCCGCCGCCGTCGGGCCCAGCAGCGCGTCCAGTGCCGCTAGAGCGCTTCGGAGCTGCCCCTCGGCGGCGTCCCAGGCGGGCGGAAGAGATGAAGGGGCGTGACGCGGCGGGGCGCCTCCTGCTGACGCCAGGGCGGCTCGGGTGCGGGCTAGGGATACGCGGGCTGACTGCGCGGGGACGCTGCGGGGACCATGCAGCGCCTCCAGCACTTCTACCGCCTGAAACGAGGAAAACGGTGCATGCACGGAAAGAATAGGCCTGTTTAATGTGATGTTGTAAGCCATGGGCAGGTACCAGTAGGTGGTGAAGAGGCCGGAAACGGAGCCAAGCCAGGGTGCAGGGCAGGTACCGACAGGCATGCAGCCGCCATGATATCCGGACGCCATGCAATCCTGACGCCATGAGATCTACCGTACACCGACCTGTTGCCACGTGGCCTCCGCCGCGCGATGCAGTCCCTGCAGCCCCTGCAGCCGCCCCAGCTGCACCGCTAGCGCCGCCAGCTGCCCGCTGCGAGCGCCCCGTCGCGCCCCCGCCGCACTAGCACCTGCCGCACGCATGCAGGCCTCCAGCACCGCCGCCGCCGGGGCCCATAATCCCGCCGCCTCGAGCAACGCAGCGTACCGCCGGGCAGCTTCGTACGCGGCGTACGGCAGTTGGCCGTTGTACGGCGGCATGGCGGCCGCCGCTGCTGCTGCCGGCGCCGTACCGCTGGCGGATTTGCTACCGCTGGAGGCCCGGCTGGCTGCTGGTTCCGCGGCGGCGGGGGCTGTGGTAGCTACGGTGCCCGAGGTAGTAGCGGCAGAAGGACCCGCCAAGGAGGACGTTGCTGCCATCGCGGTTGCCACCGGAGCTGTCGTTGTTGTTATGGTAACGGTTGGTGATGGGGACGAGCCGTACGGCAGCGGGACCGTTGTACGACACTGGTGGTTCACGAGGCCAGCCCCTTCCCCAATGTGAACGCCACCGTTTCCCTCCTCTTCCTCCTCCTTTGCTGACGCCCTCCTCCGCAGCTCCTCCTGGCTGTGTACGAACACCACAGCCTGAACGCCGTCGCCGCCGCCTCCGGCCCCGTCGTGGCCCTTCACCGCGGTCACCTGGCTGCTGGATTCCTTCACACCCGTCGTCATTGGCCCTGTCATCATCGTACACCTGGGAAGTGCGGCCATATCGTCCAGACGGTGTGCGACGGCGCCGCCACTTGGGACACTTGAGCATGAAGCGGTTAGTACGAAACTCGCTCGGCGGTTAGTACGGCATGCGCACGGGCTTGAGTACGGCATCAGTAGAGGTTCGTACCGTTGGTACGACAGCCGTGCGGCATGCAGAACGGCCCGGCTTACGGCATGCCGCGCGGCTGCTAGTGGCACTGCTGCCGCCTCCTCGGCTGTAGCGGTTGTGGTGGCTGTACGGCATTCCAGCAACCGTCCGAAGGCCGCCACCAAGGGAGCGCTATCAGCGGCTGCAAGGCAGGAAGCCAGCTGCAGCTCTAGGGCTGATGCAACGACTCCCTCGCGGGTACGGTATGGGTCTGGCACGACCCATGGGTCAGCAGCGGCGGCTCGTTTCTCGACCGCCGCAATCTCAGTTGTCCGGCAGCAAGCCCCTTCCGCGCAGGGTTTGGACTGCTGCAGCTGCAAAGGCGCTGGTCTCAGAGGCTCGTCACCATGTGGCGCAGAGGCGCAATACGGCAGGATTTTAGCCAGCGCTTGTACGGCATCTGGGTCGGAGAATACGGCAGCAGCAGGGTCGATAATCAACAGCAGCGAGGGTATGGCTGCTGGCTGGGTTGCCTTGGCAGTTGCTGCTGTGATGGCAGCAGATAGGACTGTGAGCGAGTGGTTGTTGCTGAGGTCACAGAAGGGGAGGCTGCGTTGGGGCTGAGGATGAAGAGCAGTTGAGGCTGGTCTCATTACCGGTTGTACTGGTGCGTTTGCTGCTGCATGGTCATGCTGATGATGTCGCTGTGGTGGTGGTGATGGCAGCTGCTGCTGCTGCTGCTGCTGCTCCTGCCGATGGTACTTGGAGGAAAGCTGCTGGTGCCGTACATTGTCCGTGGTCGTGAGGAAGGCAAAGTAGAGGTAGGCGGGAGGGGCGGTCACCGCTGCGGTGGGGTTTGCAGAGTCGGCTTTTGCTGCTGCGCTGCTGCTGCTGCCACCGAGGCAGCAGCATTGGTAGGGGCTTGGGACAGGTTTGGGATGAGGGGCTGATGTGGGTTGCTGTGAGGTGGTTAGCGGCGCTGAGGATGTGGTAGAGGGGCCAGGACACGGCCCAGGTAATCTGGGTCAGGGACAAACGTGGGAAGAAGATCAATTTTGTAATTTTTGTACCATGTTTAGATCATGTTGCATTATGGGTACGAAGGGCGCCACAAATGTTTAATAGTGTGGGGCACGAGGCTTGGGTTAAGGGCTGGTGTGTGCGACAAAGGAACTCAGGGGCCCCTGCTTACCTCGATGACGGTATTTTGGAAGGGCCTTCTCCATTATGAGCTGTGTAAGCCTTTACAAACTCGAGCCATGGCGTCGAAGGGTGAACCAGAACAATGTGCGTGGCTGGTCCCAGCCCATCGTCGCTGAGCTGGTCTGTCTTGAAGGAGAAGGCGTCATCCAGGACGTTTATAATGGTGCTCTCAGGATCATGGTTTACAACACCGCTGGAACGCGCGACTAGCCACGTAAACCTTAGGCCAAGCACAGCATTCGGTGCATTAGCCCCTCGAGGGGCCTTGCTGTAAACCGAGACATCCCCGTTGGCTGATGAGCATACAGAGCGCCTAAAGAATGAGTTTCGCACGGCAGGCTGGCATTCCCTAACAGAACCTGAGCCTTCGGCCCGGCCGCGTTTCGAAGAGGCTGTCCCCATAGGCCCTAGCGCAGCACTATTGCCGAGCACCTAGCATTCTTGCACGACTAGACAAAAATGAGAAGCATTGAAAATGGGAGACGGAGCTTGCTGCTGCAGTGCTGCGTATTTGTCACGTAGGAGCAAGCACCGTCAAGGAGTGCCACGGAGAAGCTATAGGTAGTAGGATTCTGCAAAGTCGACCAGTCGGCGTACAGTCGCAACACTGGTATAATTTCTTCGTGGGTTGACAAGCTGTGAGGTTAATTTGTCAGCCCCGTACGTCACCGGTGCTCGTTTGGGCAAAGCCAATGTGAGCGGCTCATCGCCATGCTGAGAAGCATGGGCCCTTGCTTTCTTTTTGTCGTAGCACATGCTTTCGTGTGCGGCAATCAGTCCAGCACCTGCAAACTTATTGGACTCGAGCAACACATCGACTGACATACAGGCTTTCCGGACAGTCACGCATGTCTGTTAAATTATGGCGCGTGGACGTCGCCTAGTTGGATTGCTGCGGAACACTAGATGCTCTGCCGCCTTCGCTGCCACAACGCATCGGCGTTGCGCCTCGACTTTCACACCCCCTGACATAGGAGCATCAGGGCGAGACTCGCATGCACGGCAAAGCTCATCGGAGCCACAGATCCCTGCGACAGCAGCAGCAACAGCACAGGAACATCCCCATGCCCTTTCAGCAATTGCAGCGGGTCGCTTGCCGATTGGAGTACCAGCATACATTGTCTGGGGAGCAAACACGAACGTGGGCAAGACGCTGGTTAGCGTAGGCCTAGCGCACGCAGCTGTGGCCAACAAGGTGTGCATGTCATGTCAATTCACGCCATATCCCCGTCGAGTCCCGCGCAAGCAGGCATTCCATGGGCGTGTCATAACCTGACTTACGACCTCTACGGGATGTTGGTCTTGATGTATCTCAGGAGCCTTTTCGTAACATCACTAATGCCTGCCTGCCTTGTACCGTCGTACGTACAGGTTCCTCTATCCTACGTGAAGCCCGTGCAAACCGGTTTCCCTGCTGACTCAGATGCACGGCTCGTGGTGAGTTGCTTCCCTCCCTAGGGTGTGCGCATATAGATTCTTGGGTCCCTCTGGACCTCATCTGACCATCATCCTGTCAGTTTTCATCTGGGTCAGTGGTTAGGTTGCTTCCACCCACGTTTGCCAACACCACCACCACTACCACCCTTGCCCCGGTGTGTCGCTCTTGTTCCTCTCCAATCGCACATCTTCAACTCCCCTTCCAACTACCTCGTTCAATCGATCCCAGGCGCTGGCGTGTGGGGGCAGCCCCAAAACTGGCACCCATGCGGCGGAGACAGCGGCACTCCGCTCAACAGCAGCAGCACCACCACCACCAGAGGCGCCAGCAAGTAATGCAACACCCGCAACACACGGTATTAATGACAGCAGTGGCAGTAGCAGTACGGCAGCACACGTGACCCGATGTACGACACTCTTTGCATGGCAGCATGCGGTCAGTGCACATCTGGCGGCTCGCCTGGAAGGTGGGTGGGACCCGTGTTCCCGTCCCCTAGGGGGGTACGGCAGCTGGCACAGGCTGAAACCCTAGCACTAGAAAACAATGTGGAGAGGACAGGGTAAAAGGGGGGTAGAGAAAATGCGAAGGGCCATGGAGGGACCCGCATGGCGTACGGTATGTGGACACCGTGTATGTAGGGTGCGTGGATGTAGGCTGGATGTTAGCAACAGGCTACAGGTACTTTACCAGTTTACCACACCTCCCGTCATCCACTGCACCTCAAACCACAGGCCGAACTGTGGGGGACGATCAGCTCGTGGCCACCACTGCAGTACACGTACGGCAGGTCATGGAGGAGATCATGACCCGTACAACAGCTGCCATTGGAGGTGCTGCTGCTACTGCTGCCGCCGCTGCTACTGCAAGCGAAGGAAGCTGCACAACCCCTGTCGCCCGCAGCACTGCTACTGCCAGTGACAGCAGCAGTGGTGGCGGCAGTAGCAGAAGCGGTGGTATGGTGCTGGTGGAGACGGCCGGAGGAGTGACGAGTCCTGCGCCGTCGGGGCGGCTCATGGTGGGTCGTGGGTGTGGCGGCGTGGACCCATGGGTCGCCGGGCGCCGACCTTCCCAGTATACAATGGCCTGGCATGGGAGCGCTTTAAATGTTACAAACAGCTTCTTTCCTCTTTGCGTTTTCTTTCTTGTGTTGACGCCCGTTGACATGAAAAAGACAATGCTGAAGACTGATGTTAGATTGTGGATGCCCCCCATCGTCAAGTAGTTCACCTAGCTCCATGCAACTCATGCCCATCCCCCCACAACAACACGCCCGCAGTGCGATGTACTGCGGCCCTTGAGGCTGCCTTCCATCCTGGTCGGCGACCCGCGCCTCGGCGGCATCGCCGCCACGCTGTCGGCGTACGACAGCCTGGTCTCCCGTGGCTGGGACGTGGAGGCTGTCGTACTCGTCGGGCAGGACAGTGTACGGCAAGCAGCTGACGACGCCAACGGCACTGTCGTACCGCTAGACAACCTTTCCTTCCTTCGAGAGTACCTCAGCGGTACTGCAACTGCCGTACACCGCATGGGCTCCCCGCCGCCGCTGGTGGTGGGCGTGCCGGCCTGTCCGCCGCCGCCGCCGGGGCACGATGTACGACAACAGGGTTTGGATCCAGCGTTACGTGACTGGTTGCCCGCCTCCTTGCCCGCCTTCACCTCCTTGCTGGACTGCCTCCGCCGGCGCCACCAGCAGCGGCTGACGGATCTTACCTCCGCCGCCGCCGCCGCTGAGGCGCAGATCTGGTGGCCCTTCACTCAACACGCGGGACTGACCCATGGGTCAGCCACCGTCATCGACAGTCGCTGCGGCGAGGTCTGGACCACCCTACCTCCTCACTCTAACCCCTCCACCTCTCCACCCTCGTCACCCTCCACGTCAGCAGCGCTCGTCCCATTGTACGACGCCAGTGGCAGCTGGTGGACCCAAGCGGTGACGTCAGATCTCCATCCGGATCTCGCTCGCGCCGTGTCGTACGCCGCCGGTCGCTACCTGCACGTGCTCTTCCCTGAGGTGGCGCACACGCCGGCGCTGGCGGCTGCTTCGGCGCTGCTTGCGGGTCCGGGTGCGGGCTGGGCTGAGCGGGTGTTCTTCTCGGATGACGGCAGCACCGCCATTGAGGTGGCGCTCAAGATGGCTTTCAGGAAGTTCCTGGCGGACAGGGGGGAGCTGGGGGCGGAGGCGGCAGCAGCCTCCGCCGGCACCGCCGCTGCTGCTGCTGCTACCGGCTCCACCTCCGGCAGCGCCAGCAGCAGCAGCAGCACCACCACCCGCGGCGGCGGTGGTGAGCTGCTGGTGTTGGGTCTGCGCGGCGGCTACCACGGGGACACGCTGGGCTCGCAGGACTGTGTGGCCGCCTCGCCGTTCAACGGGCCGCTGCAGTCGCCCTGGTACCGGGGGCGGGGGCTGTTTCTGGAGCCGCCATACGTGGGCATGAGGCGGGTGGGTGGGGGGTGGGGTGGGGGAGGGTACGCAGCACGGCCCTGTCCTCTCCATGCACGTTTCTTCTGCGCCACGACGTTGACGCTATCCAGGCTAACCAGATCTAGCGGTCCCCCCCCCAAACACACACCAATGCTTGCCACCAGTTCGGGCTCGACTCACTGGGTTTTCCGCCCAGGGCGTGTACCTTGTTACCATTGCCACACAACACATTGGGTATGCTTCTTTCCCCCTCCCCCTCCCCACACACGCCCACACAGGGTCGCTGGCAGCTGCTGGACCCGCCCGCCTGGCTGTCCGCGCACCACCCGGGGGGCCCACTGCCCTCCTGGGCCTCCCTGGAGGAGATGCTGGAGGAGGAGGAGGAGGGGGAGGGCACCGGTAGCGGCAGCAGCAGTAACAACAGCAGCAGTTCGGCCTCTGCCGCGCTCGCTGCGGCTTACAGGTCGTACATCTCATGCGCCATAGACGAGTTCGAGGCCTCCCTCGCGGCTGCTAGAAGTGCTGGCAGTGGTGCTGCTGGCAGTGCTGGTGCCCCCAGTGGCCGGCTGGCTGCGTGCATCATGGAGCCGCTGCTGCAGGGCGCGGGGGGCATGCTGGCAGTGCACCCGGCCTTCCAGAGGGCGGTGGCGGAGGTGGGGCGGGGTGGGGTGGGGTGGGGAAGGCGTCCTGTTTATTGTTTTCCGTTTCTGCAGGAGGCAGCAGCGCGCACATGTCCAGACTCGCTTGCTCCAGACGCTGCTCTCCGTCTTTTGTCTTCCCCCAGCCGTCTTCCCTCTTCGCCCCGACCCAAAATCCCCACCTCTCCCCTCTTCCCCCCTCGCGTGACCCTATACGGTATATACACACATTGCTCCCTCCCCCTCCTCGCCGCAGGTGTGCCGCGCCCGCCGCCTGCCGCTCATCCTGGACGAGGTGTTCACCGGTCTGTTGCGCACCGGCCTCCTCACCGCCGCCTCCGCCCTGCGCATCACCCCCGACATCGCCTGCTACGGCAAGCTGCTGACGGGCGGGGCGGCGCCCATGGCGGTCACACTGGCGAGTGGGGAGGTGTTCCGGGCCTTCAGTGGACCCAGCAAGGTGCGGGGAGAGGGAGTTAATAGGGATACAAATTCTGCGCTAGGCTGGATTATAGGATTGCGTATAGGATTGCGTAGGGGGCGAGGTGGTGAGGGGGATGGGTACGGCTACTGTTGCCTGGGGCTCGCTTTGTTAGGGTGGGTTTGGGTGTTGTTGCAGCACACCTAACATGCGTCAGAAACTTTTGGCCTCCTTCCTAAATCTATTTACGGATTGAAACCAAAAGGTGTACCTGTAATTGAGAATTGCCTTCCCCATCCCGCCCTCATCCCTCCTTCCTCGTCCTTCCACCCTTCCTTCCTGGCCGCTCCGACCGCTTCGTCCTCCGACCGTCAACAACCAACCAAACCAACCACGCAGCTCTTCGCACTGCTTCACGGTCACTCCTACACCGCCTATCCAATTGGTTGCGCCGCCACCGCCGCCTCCCTCGAACTCCTAACCAACCCCGCAACCAACCCCAACCTCTGCACCCCTCCTTCAACTCCCAACCAACCTCCTAACCGCCGCCTTGGTGGTTGCTCTAAGAACCCTCCATGCACCAAACCCTGCGGGCGGCTGTTACCCATGTGGGACGAGCAGTTGGTTTCCTACCTGTCGTACCATCCATTAGTCAGCCGCGTCGTGGCGGTTGGTACGGTACTCGCCATTGAGCTGGTTTGCAGTACGACAACTACCGGAGGGTACGGTTCAGTGGGTGCCGTACAAATTGTACGACGGTTACGTGATGACCACGGCATCTACGCTCGGCCGCTGGGTAATGTGGTTTACGTAATGGTGCCGCCCACTGCGTCACCTGACACGGCGGCCTGGCTCGGGGGCAGTCTACGGGCTGTGTTGGATGCGGCTGCGTCAGAGGCTGAGGCAGGGGCGGGGGCGGGAACGTCAGGCTGCGGGAAGGGGCCTGAGGAATCGGTGGTGGTTTAGTATACCGGTAAGCACGGGTAACGTAGCACGGGTACCGTAATGAGGGACCAGGTATTTGCGCTGCGGTGGTAGTGTGTGTTCTGTGAAGATTGACATGCATGCTCCGAGTGCATTAATATGGCGTTGCTATTGATGTTGGTGCAAACACAGGCGCCGTTTTGTGTTCTGGTAACGGCTTGAAGGGGGGGGGCAGGGGTGTTGCGTGGAAGGGCACAAGGGCGGTGAGGATGCCTGTTTTGGGGGAGGGGGAGGAACCTAACGTACCCGGTAAGCCGTGTTTGTGTGGCAGTGAGTGTGGTAGCGGCATACGCGTACACTGCATGAAGGAAGTGAGAGATGTGTGCACGAAACAGCAGGTGTGGTAGCGTGCCGGTATCTGGCTGGAGGTGCAGCAGGGAAGAAGGGTAAGAGGTAAAGCAATCAAACGGATGCACATGTCTGTGCATTTGGAGCCAGTGGGGGCCGACTTCGGAAGGGTTCGTTGGTGGGAGGCAGTGGCGCCTATGGGCTCCCGGTACATCTTGCGGGGCCACATGAGCAAAGATACATACGACAAAGATGGGTGGCAGCGGATGCAAAGTGAGGCTGCTTGTTGCAGGGAGGAAGGGGCCAGGGAGGAAGGGGCGAGGGTGGGCGGCAGGGGTAGCCGGAGGAGGGGACGAAGGTGCAGGGCCATTCATACGTCCTACAGACCTGTGCTGTGCGCTCCATCCCTGTCTGCCGTGCACCTTTACAATCATAAAGGTGCAGGCTACTGATACAAGCGTTCTCCTGCCATCGGCAGCAGCCGGTATGTGGGGTGGTAGGAAGTGCAAATCACGCTAGCAGCAGCACTACCCTCGGGGACCCACACACGCACATTTCGCTTCACAGGCCCCACACCGGCACCGGCCTCCAAGCTAAAGTAGTGTGGCTCTGACAACCAGCAGTTCGATGTCTCCATACCCACACAACCCGCCCAACGGACACAAATGGACAACGAAACTGGCAAAAGTCAAAATACCGGATGCGACCATGAATGTTGAGCAATGTCGAGCAATACAGGAGGTCGAGGGTGTCAACAATGCGTGCAGCAGGCGGAATCCTCCAAAACACATACGAACATGCAACAAGCACAAACAGTGAGCAACGCAGCTCACCAGGAGGGGAGAACTGAGCAATAGGAGTAACCACGTTCACACACACTAACCGCCTCAAACACACACTAAGCTTACACAGCCACAGCCATCCCTGCAGCATCACATCACACAGCAGGTTCCGAACAGCAGCCCAGCAGCGGCAGCAGCCCAGCAGCAGCAGCAGCCCAGCAGCAGCAGCAGCCCAGCAGCAGCAGCAGCCCAGCAGCAGCCCAACCAATTCACTCCCCCCACCGCGACCAATGCACTCAAGCACTCTCGCCTACAGCACACAGCCCCCCCCCCTGCAGCCAGGCGGAATACATCCTGCACATTATCATCATCCTGCACCCAACACCCACACCATCCCACGTAACCCCCCATATACGCAATGTGGGCTTCCTCTTCTTCAGCACCTCCTCAGCAGCACTATCCTCTCACTGCACCCCTCCGTCACGGGTCGCCGCTCTCAAGGGGTTTTAGCAACCCCTTGTTCCTACCTCCCCCCTCACTGCGCCTTCTTCTCCCCCTCCACCCCCTCTACCCTGAACTCGAAGCCCGCCGCCCTCAGTCGCTCCAGCAGCACGGGGCCGCAGGCGGCAGCGGGGGTGAGCACCCCGCCCTGGGCCAGTCTGTGGCAACGAGGAGGGAGGGAGGGAGGAGGCCAAAAGGTGGAGCAAAGGCAAGGGTTTTGAAAGCAGAGCAGCACCCGTTGTTACCTCTGCTGCACTACAGGAAGTGCCACCCCCCCCCACCTCGGGTCCGCTGCCAGTCGTGGCGCCTCCAGCACCAGCGCCAGGCCCGTCTCCAGCAGCATGCGGCTGGTGGACCAGTAGCCGGGGTCGCGGGAGTCCTTTGGGGGGGGGGAGGGGAGAGGAGGGGAGGGGTGGGGAGGGGAGGGGAGGGGGAAGAAACATACCAAACCACGAGTGAGGACAAGGCAACGGGAATAAGGAGGCGGGCGACAGTGGACTACTGGCGAGCCAAGCACCCTACTTGCAACGAGGGGACCAAGCGACATGTACGATGCAGGTTATGTCATTGGGCCGCCATCCCTGCGTGTGTGTTTTACCCCCCTCCCCGCCCCCCTCCCCGCCCCCCCCTCACCCCGCACACTCCCCGCACCACCCGCGGCGGCTGCTCCTCCGTCAGCGCCACCAGCTGATGCCGCCAGAAGCCGCCCCGCCGGGCCGCCTCGCTGGGGCCCTGGCCGGGGGAGGGAAGGAACCTGGCAGGGGGAGGGGGGCGGAGTCAAGGACCATACCATACCACCATACCATGGGGGGTGGGAGAGAGACAGGGGTAAGGAATGGAAGAAGTGGGTGGGTGGGTAAAAGGTTTAGCCTCCCTTACTCGTGCCCTACCCCCATGCTCAGCCGCCCCCAGCTGCAGCCCCAGCACCCCCTTCCGCAGTGTCCCCACAAAACATCCCCAACAACCCCACCACCACCTCACCACATATCACCCGTCAAATTGTCGAACGTTTTCACCGACTGGCGCATCATATACCATACACCGGTATACACCCCCCGCCTTACCTCCTGGCAATGGCCCGGATGGGTTTGATCGCCACCACCGCCCCCAGCAGCGCTGTACCCGCCGAGATGAGGCCCGCCCCCAGCAACCCGCTAGCCGCTACAACCTCCGTGTACTTGAAATCCTTGCCGTACGGGTACGGCACCTGAGCGGGGGGTGGGGCGGGCATGATAAGCAAATCAACAATATGGTGTGTATCATGCAACCTCGCTCGTCTTTCACGTCCCAGAGTGGACAGCAGAAGCGGCAAGACGCCTCGGAAACGACTCCCCGGAAACAAAGAGTGAGCCACCTTCCTCCATTCGCCCGCCTCCTATCCCCGTAGCCCCCTTGCCCTAACAACCAACTTGCGGTTTCACTTGGGTTTGGTTCCTCTTTGCCTCCCCCCCAACCCCACGCATACACGCACACTGGGAATTCTTTGATTTCCTCCCGCAAGTACAGTACGTTCCAGTACGTTCCGACTCGCGGCCTGTTTTCTTAACACACTGGACTTATCTATGTACATACGCTACCATATTCCTCGGCTCCTGCGGCGGTTCTGTGGGGACTTCATCTTCCGACACCCCAGTACGTTACGACTCGCGGCCTGTTTTCTAAACACACACACGCACCTTTGCCCCCGTTGCTGCCGTGCCGGACCCCGCGGTGAACAGCGCGTTGCTGTGCTGCACGATCTTGGCGTTCACCCCCTCCATGATGAAGGGACCCGCCCAGGTGCGCGCGGGGGCCACGTAGCGCGGCAGCAGACCCGCGGGTCGGTCAGAGCCCTTGAGACTGCAGGGCAGGGGAGGGCGGAGAGGAGGAGCGGAGGTGGAGGAGGGCGGAGGAGGAAGAAGGGGAGGGAGGATACAGCGGCGGGGGTGAGCTGCGTGTAAGGAAACCCATTGGAAGACGAACAGTCGGCTCCGTGTAAGGATGAAAGCGGGGCATATCATCTCACTCACTCATCGTAGCACCCCTTTCATTGCCTTTTCCCCTAATGACCCATGGGTCACCCCCCCACCCCCCTACCCATGCGCCCCCGCCAGGTAGTACTGGTTGCCGCCCATGTCGCGCAGCTCGCCCAGTCCCTCGCTGTCCACCAGGTTACATGCGGACTCCAGGGTGCCGCCCGACATGCCGCCCTTGGCCGCGGACACCAGCGTGAACACCTGGGACACGCCGCTGTGTTTTGGGGGGGGGGGGGGAGGGGGGGGAGGGGAGAAAAGGAGAGGGGAGGAGGGGACTTGTTGTGTATAAAAACGTATCATGGGATGGCGCCGTCGCCAACCCTTTTCCCTACCTCCAACCTGCAACCCCAACCAATTGTCATAGGCACTCCCTGTGGACCACCCTTACCCTACTCAATACCGTAGCAGTACTTGCAAGTTTCTTCCTCTTTCCCCAGCTTTATAAACCCCCCCCCAAGGCCCCCCCGCCCCCACCATCCCAGCTCCCCCCCCCCCAGCACCCCACCCCGCACCCCCCGCCCCACCATCCCAGCTGCTCCCTGCAGTGCTCCACCAGCATCCAGGCCCCCAGGTCGGAGGGCACCGAGTCGTAGCCGCAGCAGTGCAGCACCTTGACACCCCGAGCAGCGGCGGAGGAGTGGTGGCGGGCCTGCGAGCGCTTCACCCAGGGCAGCTCGCCTGGGGGGGGAGGGGGAAGGGGGAGGCAGGGAAGATGACGGGTGAAGAAGGAGATCCTAAAAAAGTGTTGAGTGAGAATGGCAAACAAGATGACAAGCTCCTGATGAATGGAATGGAATGGGTGGGGAGGGAGGGAAAGGGGGACTGCAGCTCGCCTGCATTGTGCGAGAAAAACATGGTCACAACATGAGGTGTGGTAGGGCAAGAGGGGAGGGGAGGTGCGTGCAGGGAGATTACGGCCGTTGGGGCAGCGGTGCAGAGGTGTGGCTGGGGACTGGGTGGGGCTGGATAGAGTCCCAACGAGACACTACAAAAATAGGTGTATATCAGAGGCATTGGTGTCTTGTAAATGTATGTGTCGTATGCCGTATTGTTACCTGTGATGTCAGCGTAGTGGGTGCCCGCCTCCACCGCCTGCTCCACCACATTGTCACCATAGCGCGCAAAGGGCCCTGCGGTGGCCAGCACCACCTCGGCCTGCCGAACGACGGAGCCCACTGCGGGGGCGTCACGGGCGTCGGCGGTGAGGATGGGGACGTCCTGCAGGTGGGGTGGTGGGGTGGGGTGAGAGGGATGGATGGATGGAACAAATGGAGAGGATTATTTGAGACAAGCAGGACGTTAGGAATGTCATTTAAGAATTGTATAGTGGAGAAAGAGAAGAGTTCCAATGATGACGGTGGAAGGCGTAGGCGGTTAATAATAATATAGGGTTAGCGGATGTGAGTCACTGCGCACCTTGACTGCGGGATTGATGGTTGACAGCTCTGAGCGAACTTGCTCGAGCTTCTTCTGATCACGGCCTGCCATGGCCCAGCGTATTTTCCCCTATAGACGCAAAGAATTGCGGGCCAATGGTCTAATGCCTGACAGTGTGTGGTCTCGGGTCGCATCAGTGTGTAAGCACCTTCCTGGGGTGCGATGCGTACGGGACGCAATTGAACTAAACTCCTACAGTGTTACCTGATAGTCTCGTGCAATGTGCTCACATACGAGGCGACCAGTAAAGCCTGATGCACCCCAAACCACAACTTGATAGGGCCGCATCGTAGTCTGAGCCATCTATATACAACCACACAAGTATTCGGGGGTATCTCTGGATGGTTGTAATCGTAGGGGCTAAATGGAACAAGCCACGCACTGAAGCGCTTGCCTAGATATCACAGCACGTCTGTGACCACTGTAGGTAATGACAGCGGACCAGTAAGCCCGGCATTCAAATGTGGCAGCGTAATAAACGAGACCTAGCCCCAACTTCCAGTTATGTACGGAGGGGGCGACTGCTCAGCTTCGGACAGCCGTACAAACGACTTTGGCATTCAGGATACAGAGCGAGGTTCTATCCTTCTATGTATAACAAGGCGCCTGACAGCTCCCAGGCAGGCCTTGGAGAGGCTCACTAGTTGATTGGGTACCCTTAGCAGCCTACAGGGGCAAGACACCCTTACGTTCCTCACCCGGATTGTCGAAATAATATTCGAGTTAGACTTGACCATCTACTTGGAAAAGTAGCATTTTTAAAGGGGTGACTCCCTGGTTAGCGTGAAGGCTGCCAAAATGTCGACGAGCGCGGAGCTCCTGACGTTGCAAGTAAGTCACTTGCCTGCTAACAATTCTGCTGATATTATGTTGAATACTATACTGTAATAGTCTTACGATTCTTTTCGCCATATCTCTTCCGCCGACGCCGCCAACAGAGCAACATTAAGAAAGACCCAGACGGCTATAAGGATGAGTTCATGTTACAGGTCGGTACTGCCATCCTTATATGCGTACAGGGCACGTCGTGATTGCGGAGATAGCTACCGCCCCCATCGCCAATTATGTCGTCAAAGCTTATCTCCTTTCTCCCTTTCCCTATTGCGCAGTATCGCCACTACCAGGCGCTCATGGACATCTTCAAGCTGCGGCCCAGCAAGGAGAGCAAGGAGTTCGGGGACTTAGTCATGTTCATGGCGCAGGTGAGGTTTCGCAGATGGAGCTCAGGGGATTTGCAGCATACGTAGGGGTTAGCTTGCAGTCTTCCTGGGTGAACGCCTGGCTGCCTGCGCCACATGTTTCGGACTCTATGTTGCCTGAAAGCAAGAGTCCTTGGGTTTGATGAGTATGAACGGACAGCGGCGGCGGACATCGGGTATGTTCACGGTAGTTTTCAGCGGCACCTGTGCAGCAACAGCAGCAGCAGCAGCGCCTGTTCGGGTAACGGCATTTACAGCAGCAGCGGCCTCGGCTGTAGTGGCGTCAGGTTGCAGTAGCACAGCCGCGGCGGCAGGATGTGGAGAAGCGGAGGCAGCGGCTGGTGGGATTGGGCCGTGACGGGTGCACAGATAGTACCGGTAGTCCAGCCGCAAGTCCTGGAGGTGGAGGCAGAAGCTGAGCGGCTGCAGGGATGCGGCTGCAAGAGGTGTGACAGCACCAACAACCTGTGGCAGCACCAGGGCGTCCACCGTGTACAACAGTGCGGGGCAGCAGGGACAGTAGCAGTGACAGCAGGAGCATGGGGAAGCTCGGTAGCTGCGAAGAAGGCGGGCAGCAGTAGCATCAACGGCAGCAGCAACTGATAGCTGGTGCCTCGTCGTCGCCTCATGCGTTATGCGCTGCTGGAGAGCGTCATGGCAGCAGCAGCCCCTACTGCAACAGCTGCTAGCGCTGGTGTTGCTGCTGCTTCTGCAACTCCCCTTCCAATGACGCTCTTCTGCAGCGCGGGAGTTGCAGAAGCAGCGGCAACACCAGCGCCAGCAGCTCTTGCAGTACGGCAGTACAGCTTACTGTGGTCGCCGCCAGTGACTGGTTACGGGCTGCAGCGCCCACCATGGCTGTGCTATCACAGGATATCAGGGGGGGGGGCGTGCCAGGTGCGAAGCGAGCGAATGTACGGCAGCAGCTGCTCCAGCTGGAGGGCTGGTTGCTGCAACACAGGTCTAGCGGTTGCAGCAGCAGTCGACAGGGGCAGCAGCGCCCGGCAGGCATACGAACAGGCATGCAAGCATACCGGCATGCATGCGTGCAAGCAGGAATACGTCCAAGCAAGCAGTCAGGAGCGCGCGTGTGTGTGGCGCCCTGCCAACTGGCTCTGCGTGCGGGCCAGACCGGGCAGGGGGGTCAGCAGCAGGGCAGGTGGCAGCTTCAACCACATGGCCCCCGCAACTACATAGCAGTGCCCGGAGGTCCCTTAACATCCCTGCCACCAGTCACTCATCCCCACCACCACCACCACCACCTAACCCCTCACCCGCTCCCTCCCTGGTTATCATCCTTGTTCCCTCAACCCAACCCAGCCCTCACCCTAAACCTCACCCAAACCCATCAGCCATCCCCCTAATGTCCCTCACCCACTCAGGTGTCCCGCGCCTACCCCAAGACCATGTCTGGCCTGCCCGCCGAGCTCACCTCGCTGCTGGACTCGCACGCGGCGGTGCTGGAGGGGTCGCTGCGGCGGCAGCTGGTGGGGGCGCTCATCCTGCTGCGCAACCGGGGGCAGGTGGAGGCCATGGGGGTGCTGCCGCTGTTCTTCAGGCTGTTCAGGTGCCAGGTGAGGGGGGGCGGGGGGCGGGAGGGGAGGGCGGGAGGGGTGAATTGAGGAAACTGACGGGCTGTATGACGAGGCTTCAACCTGGGTTGCTACATTGGACCCAAGAGGGAGGGAGGGAGGGGAGCAAAAAGAAGAAGGCCGTGCCTTGGTTGATAGTGGTAACGCTGGTGGAGGAGTGACTTAGGCAGGGAAGGTTGAGACAAGGAACGCTGGAATGCTGTCATGGGTGTCCCACCGGGTTTGAGCCACGCCATCCCAACCACATCCGAAACCCCCCAACCTCCGCACGCTTCCCCTCCTCACCCTCCCTTCCCTCCCCCCAGGATAAGGCCCTGCGCCAACAGCTGTTCCGCCACATCGTGGCCGACCTCAAGGCAGCCAACCGCAAAACACGCAACGAACGACTCAACCGCTCCGTACAGGTACGGCAGCCTGGAGGGGGTGTACTGTACAGCAGGGAAGGGGCTTGACCGTTCGAGACATCACAGCCCCCTTCCACATACGCGAATGTCTTTACCACGTCACCAGCACCGCGCCTTGGTCCCTCCCTTACTAATGGTCTCCCGTCCCTAACTCCCTCCCACCGTCCACCTGCCTTTCCTCCCCCCCTCCTTCCTCCAGAACTTCATGTACAGTGTGGTGAGCGACGAGAACGAGGCGGCCGCCAAGCGGGGTCTGGCGGTGCTGACGGAGATGTGGAGGCGTCACGTGTGGCGGGATGCGAGGACGGTGAATGTGATTGGTGAGTGGCAGGGAGGGGGCAGGGAGCTGGGAGGCGGGGAGGGATGAGGGGAGGGTGCTGGGGGGAGCGTGAAAAGGTACATGGGTCGTCTGGTGGGAGCGCAATGTTTGGTGGGAGTGCAGCAAAAGATAACGACGGGGCTACTAGCATTGTCTTCTGGAGATGGAAGAGGCAGAGGACCTCCTGACACCCAATCCACCACCACACATCTCACCCCCTTCCCCTCCCCCTCCCCCCACTCCCCCTCTCTCTCGCAGCCTCCGCCGCCTTCCACAAGTCGCCCCGGGTGCTGCTGGCGGTGATGAAGTTCTTCCTGGGTCAGGACCGGGGCGGCGGGGGGGAGGGCGAGGAGGACAACGAGGGCGGCAGCGACGAGGAGGGGGCGGGCGGGGAGGGAAAGAAGCCCAGCGGACCCAGCAAGGAGGACGTGTATGCGGCGTACCACAAGGTGGGGGGGAGTGGAGAGTGTGGGAAGGGGGGAGTGTGGGAGGCGATGAAAGCGGATATGCATGGGAGAGGCAGCTGCATGCTAGGGAAGAGGTGTCTGATGCCGCATGGGGCCCTTCCTCACCTCGTTCTGTTCACATGCCTCCCTCCTCCCCCCTCTCGTGACAAACTGCCTCCCTTTGCCCCCATTGCTTTGCCCTGACCTTTGGTTTTGGTGTATATCTGACCCCCTGACCCCCCCTGCCTCCCCTGCCTCTCCCCCAGGGCACCCGCAGCAGCAAGAAGAAGAAGCAGGCCAAGCTGAAGCGCGTGCTGCACACCGTCAAGAAGGCGGCGCGCAAGAGCAGCGGAGAGGGCAGCGGGGCCGAGTCGTTCGCGGCCATTCACCTGCTGCACGACCCGCAGGTGGGGGGAGGGGGGAGACCTGTGGAGGGGGGTGGAAGGGGAGGGGGAGATGGAAGGGAGGGGCCTGGGGTTTCCCTTCCCATCGTCCTGCTTACGGGATACCCTGAGCCAGCTCCAAGCGAAAACGACGAGTCATACTTTCCCACGTGAGCTCCTGGCTGCTCCCCGCATGCCTTCGCTTTCCTTAGCCCTCCCCCACCTGCCTGCCTGCCTCCCTCTGCCTCCCTTCTTCCCCCGCCCCCCGCCCCCCGCCCACCCCACGTCACAGTCCTTTGCGGAGCGGCTGTTCAGCCGGCTGGCAGGCGGCGGGGAGCGGTTCGAGACGCGGCTGGCGGTGATGGCGGTGCTGTCGCGGGTGATTGGCATGCACAAGTGGGTGGAGGGGGAGCAGGGGGGGGTTGGTTAGCTCTAGCTTTCCTGCCTTGGGGGTGGCGCAGTGGCCGGCCTTGGAACAGGGGTGGCACACGGCCAACTGACAACTGACAAACACACCCCGTCATCCCGTCTGTCAACACCCTCCTTCCGTTTTCCTCGTTAGTTTCCTCATGTTTACCCCCCCCCCCCTCTCCTGCCCCCCCCCCGCCCTCTCCCCCACCTGCAGGCTGCTTGTCCTCAACTTCTACCCCTACCTCCAGAAGTACATAGCGCCCCACCAGCGCGACGTGACGGCGGTGCTGGCGGCGCTGGTGCAGGGCTGCCACGAGCTGGTGCCGCCGGAGACGCTGGCGCCCGTGCTGCGGCAGCTGGTGGACCAGTTCGTGCATGACAAGTGAGGGAGGGGGGAGAGGAGGGGGGGATTAGGTAGACTGAGAGGGAGGAGAGGGGAGGGGAGAGGAGGTGTTGGGGGTAACTAAACGGGGGGGTCAGGAATACCAGAGTGCTATTGCCCCCTATTGGACAGGGAGAGAAGGGACGGGCGGTAGGGGGCTAAGGGGGCGGGCGAACAACCTCTCTGTACATACACCCCTCACCCTCATTCTTTTAACCCCTCCTTCCTCACCCCCCCCCCTTCCCATCCCCCCCTCCCATCCCCCCTCCAGGGCCCGGCCCGAGGTGATGACTGTGGGTCTGAAGGCGGTTCGCGAGCTGGTGCTGCGCTGCCCGCTGGTGATGTCGCCCGAGCTGCTGGGCGACCTGGCGCAGTACAAGAAGTGGCGGGAGAAGCAGGTGGCGGCGGCGGCACGGGCGCTGATCGGCGCGTTCCGGGACATCAACCCGGAGATGCTGGCCAAGAAGGATCGCGGCAAGGGGGCGGACCTGGGTGAGTGGGGGTTGGTGGGGTTTTGGGAGGTTGGGTGAGGGAAATTAAATATTAAGTGCAGCAACTGGAGTCCTCCGGAGGGAGAGGGAGGAAAGGAGGAGAACGTCGGAGGGGTTCAGGTTGAGTGGGTGCTGAGTGGGCTTTTAAGGCGATGAGAGGAGCTACGGAGTCTCCCTCCGTTGCCCCAACCGCCCTTAACCCCACCTCCCTACTATCTTGCCCCCCTCTTTACCCCCTCCCTCTGTGTTTTGCCCCCATCCTCCCCCCCTCCCCCCCCCAGCCCTCAAGCCCCGCGAGTACGGCGACCAGGGAGTGGCCACCCGTGTGGATGGAGCGGAGCTGCTGGAGCGGGCCATAGCGGAGGGGCGGGTGGGGGGCAGCGAGGAGGGGGACGAGGAGGACGACTACGCGGACCTGCTGGGCGGGAACAGCAGCGAGGAGGAGGAGGAGGGAGAGGACTCGGACCTGGAGTCGCTGTCAGGTGAGGGGGGGGGAGCGGGGGTCAGGCAGGCTGAGCCGCGAGGAAACACTGACCGTGGGACTGGGGAGGGCATGTCCCGGCATGTCTGGGTGTCATGCTTGTGTTTGGCTTGCGTAGCGCTGGTGGCGAGAGGAGCCACGTTCCTATATCACGGTGCGGGTGCTTTCAGGATCGCGCCCCACCTCCCGCGCCCCACCTCCATGTGCTGCTGCTGCTGCTGACATTCTGCACCCCCCCGCCCCCCGCCCCCCGCTGCAGGCGACGAGGGCGAGGAGGGCAGCGGCAGTGGCGAGTGGGAGGAGGTGTCGGAAGACGACGAGGAGGTGGCAGCGGCGCTAGCGCAGGCGGGGGAGAAGGCGGGCGGGGCAGGCAAGGGGAAAGGCAAGAAGGGCAAGGCGGGGAAGAAGGCTGCGGAGGAGGAGGAGGTGTCGGGAAGTGGGTCAGGCTCGGAGGGTGAGGAGGAGGAGGAGGAGGAGGAGGAGGGTGAAGGGGAGTCGGATGACGGGTGGGAGTCGCTGGGCTCATCTGACATGGGCGAGGACGATGAGGATGAGGAGGAGGAGGAGGGCAGTGAAGACGAGGAGGACGAGGAGGAGGGCGGGAGCCAGAGCAGCAAGAAGCGGAAAGCGGCGCTGCAAAAGCAGAAGGCGGAGGAGCGACGTCAGCAGCAGCAGCAGCACAACCCGGACTCCCTGTCCTCGCTCAAACGGCGGCTAGCGGAGGCGCAGGAGGCACGCAAGCGGCGGCGGGCTAGCGACGGCTCGGCTGCTGCTGCTGGGGAGGAGGAGGGGGCGGATGGCAAGGAGGAGGGCGAGGGCGAGGAGGCTTCAGCGCCCCCCGGGGTGCCTATCGAGGCGGACCGCATCCTGACGCAGGAGGACTTCATGCGCATCCGCAAGCTCAAGCAGCGGGCGCTGGTGGAGGCGGCGCTGGCCAAGCACGGCCTGGCCTCCTCCTCCGCCAAGCGCCCCTCCCAGGCCAAGCGCGCCCGGCTGCTGGAGGCTGCGGAGGAGGAGGCGGCGGAGGCGCTGGCGCTGCGGGAGCGGCTGGCGGCGATTGGGGAGGCGAGGGTGGCGCCGGAGGACCTCGTGGGTGAGTGGGAGGGGGGGGGGGGGAAGAAGGATTTCCGATGGGTTGGAGGGTTTGGGAGTTGGAAGGAGGCAGGGAGGGTGCTGAGGTCACTGGGGATGGGCGCGGGTGTTTACTGTGATGGTGGTTGTGATGGCATGTATGGAAAGATTGGAAACCCTAAACACGCGGCCGTCCCTCTTCCCTCCGCAGGTCGGCACAAGGCGCGCAAGGACAAGGCGGCTCGTCTGGCCAGTGTGCTGGAGGGCCGCGAGGGGCGCGAGAAGTTCGGTGCGCGCAGCGGTCTCAAGAAGAAGAAGACGGCGGGTCTCAGCGAGCGGGAGAAGCAGCGCAAGAAGGTGATGCCCATGGCGGCGCGCGTGGCGCAGATCCGGAGACGCAATGCGGCGGCACGCGGGCGGGGCCGCGGCAAGAACTTCAAGGGGCATGTGCGGAGTTAAGGAGGGGTGGCTGTGGAGACTGTGACACCTTGTTTTGTGACTGGATGTTAACTATCATGATGTCGATGCTGTGCGGATATGTTTGGGGTATAGATAAACTGAGCCGCGGAAACACTGACCCTGACCGTAGTTTACCGGCGTTTTGGGGTAGCAGCGCGGTATGTTGGTTGGGGGATGCTGGGAACGTGTGCAACGGTGATGGTGGGGTTTGCCGTTTAGAAAGGCTGGGGTTGGGGGCAGCCTGGGCAACCGGACTTGAGGTCATACAGCTGGTAGCGCTTGATGGACAAACTCTTGACAGATATCTTACCGCGAGGTATAAACTATTAGACTTGGATTGGTTGCCAAGCCGGCAGGCGAGGACTTAAAACGGCAGACATGCATCTATCCGATATGTCTATTTCGTGAATGTACGGTCATGCACGGCAAAGTGGGCGCAACCTGTTAAGCGTTGTGGCAATCCATCTATAACGCGTTTGTAAATAACATGTCCGTTCAAGAATGCATGCTTATCGCGACGTGTGCGCTGTAGGCAAGAGACGCGCTAACAGTCGTAATCGTTTGCGCCGTTGCCTCTGTGTGCATATGTCTCATAGCTTGGTTGATTAGCTTAGGTGACTACACCTATACACAAATAACTTATTCAACGCAACAGAGCTTTGCTTCTTTGCTTTGCGCAACCTATTTTGACGCATTTATTAGGATTGCAAGCTATCAACGCAGCGGTATCTTGCAATTAAAATCCTTTTAGTCATGACCGATGAAGCGCACGCCCCCTGCATGTTGCGTCTGGGCAACATCAATCTCACAGTTATTGGAGTCCTTTGCGTATTCGGCTTCCTATACTACGTTTCCGTTTTCTGCGTGGTAATTCGGGTGGCCCTAAATCCCCCTAGCCCGCGTCGCCCGCCCTGACCCGAACACCCGATGCAACCGCTTGCACGCAGATTGTGCCATGGCTCAGCTACTCGGTTCCCGGCATCACAAACATGGGGGTACTAACTATAACGGCTGGGCTGTCACTATACTGTTACATATTTTGCGTGGTCCTCGACGCGGGAAGGTACGCAACCTTGACACAGCCTGGAGGCTTGCATCAGCTCTGCAACCCACATCGTTTACTGAACACGGCTCCCCCGGGCGCTTTGCAGACCGCCACCAGACTATCAACCCGACCAGGAGGCTTCCAGCATACAGCAGGTTAAGCGCAAGGTATGCTTCCTGCCTGCGCCCGCCTGCTTACCTCTTGCTGCCTAGGCCCCTAGTCGCCCTCACACGCCTCCTCCGCACCCTCACTCCCACCTTCACCCCCAGGGCGGCGCACCTCGTTTCTGCCAGAAGTGTCAGCACTTCAAGCCGCCACGCAGCCACCACTGCCGCAAGTGCCAGCGATGCGTGCTGCGAATGGTGCGTGCGTGGCTCACGGGGCCCGGGGAAGGGGGGTCAAAGACCATACCAAACCATAGGAGACCACAGGTTAGGGAAGGGGTAAAAATAAGGAAAACTGACGAACTGAAAGACGGAACTTCGCCATGAGTTGCGAATTGAACCCGGTCCATCCCACCCCACCCGGATTAGTCAAGCCAAAACAACAAATGGTCTTACCGTAATGACGAGACTTACTGCAGCCATGGCCATTCGCGATAGGAAGACGCCGGGTAGCGGAGATAGAGGGAGTCCTCCGCGCCGACGGTCGGGAAGGGGGGGGAGGAGCGCCAGCAGGGAGGGCTGCCTGCCCCTAGTCGTTCTAGTCCCTTTGAGACGCAGCCCCGGAGCTCCCACAGCCCTCCTTGCCCCTTTTACTCGCCTCTTCCCCTCCTCCTCCTCCTCCCTTGGGACTCGGGTGCTCCACGCCTTCTTCTTGTCCCTTACCTCCCTCTCCCCCCTCCCTCCTCTCCCTCCCCTCACCAGGACCACCACTGCCCCTGGACCAACAACTGCATCGGTCACGCCAACTACCGAGCCTTCTTCCTCTTCCTCATATGTAAGTCAGCTGTGCACAGGGGACGTCAGCTGTGCACACACAGGGGTTGTGTAAAGGGTGGGGGACAGTCCCTTCCCTTCCCTCCGCCCTGCCCGCCCCGCACCCCACTGCCCCACCCCATCCCTGGGCCAATCTGGGTCGGGATCAGCAGGTTCAGCTACCCGTAGTTTGCTTGGCTAGGGGGTCGTGGTCAGTTTTCTCTGTACCTTCCCACCCCACTCCCTCACCCTCCGCACTCCCTCCCTCCCTCCCTTCCCACTCCCTCCCACTCCCACTCTTTATCCTCCCACTCCCCTCCAGACGTCAACGCCGCGCTGGTGCACGTGTGCGGGCTGCTGGGCTCCCACGCGCTGCACATCCTGCACACCAGCCACTCGCAGCGGGTGCTGCGGGCGGGGCTGGGCGCGGGGCTGGGGCTGGGGGCGCGGCCGGTGCTGGGGCTGGCGGGCGGGTGGAGCGGCTCGGTGTGGGTGTGGGCGGTGCTGCAGGTGGGGGTGGGGGTGGGGGAGGTGGTGAGGGGTCACAGGTATAGCAAGCCCGCATGGGGATAGAGGGCAGCAAATGGCTGGGTGGGGTGGGGGTGAGGGCGGGTAGGAGGGTGCAGGGAGGGAAGGTCAGTGGTCACGCTAGAGGGAGGGAGACGTGTGCCGGGGAGGGCACCATGTGGTGGTATCGCTGCTGTGCCTGCCGTCTGAGTTGGTGGATCAGTGCGCTGTTGTGCTGTGCGCGAAACACCTCCACCACCCCCCTGCCCGCCCTCTACTCCTCCACTCTCCCCACCTCCCCCCCCCCCCAGGCCGTCGCCTTCCTGATCAGCCTGCCGCTCACCATCGGGCTGCTGCTGCTGCTGGCCTGGCACCTGCAGCTGGTGGCGGCGAACAAGACGACCATAGAGTACCAGGAGGTGGGAGGTGGGGGGGGGGGTAACATGCATGGGGTTACCGGAGGCGGACGGGCGGGTGGGGAGAGACCGGCATGCAGGTGTGGAGTGTATAGAAAGACCGGCATGCAGGTGGAGGGAGCCTGGCAGGGAGCACAGGCTCCCTCCAGCGCAGCCAGAGGATCGAGGAGGGGTCCGACAGGTGTTGTAGGATGGGATTAACATCCTAGACATCTACCGATGTGCGATCGCTTTTAGCGCGCCGTAGCGCTACAACAGTCTCGGAGTCCACTCCCCCCTGCCCCCCCCCCCCCCACCCCCACCCTCAGGGTGTCACCGCCAGCGTCAACGCCGCCGCCGCCGGTCTGAGCCTGCTGGATGCCGCCTCCGTGTACGAACACCCGTACGACCTGGGGCTGTATGCCAACCTGATCCACATCTTTGGCGGCAACCCGGCGGCGTGGCTGCTGCCCCCGCTGCGGCCCACCGGGGGAGGCACGGTGTACCCCACCAAGTGGGATCTGCCGGAGGGTGCGGCGGGGGAGGAGGCGGCTGCCAGGCTGCTGGGGTTATGAGGAAGAGCCTCAGTGCAGGTGTGCAGCCCTGGCATTGTTTTTATTTTTTTTTTAAGATATACGTGCCTATTCATTTCATACGGCGTGAAGGGACTAGGGCCACAGCTGGCCACAGTTAGTTAAGGCATTAGGGCAGCTAGGGTGACGGGGGTGCTAAGGAGGCTGTGGCTGAGGCAGGAAGAGGAACAGAAGAGGAAGAAGAGGAAACTGACGAGCTGTATGACGAGGCTTCTGCTGCGAGAGGTGGCTGGGGCGGTTGGTGCGTGCGTATACGTCCACACGGTGGCGAGTCTCCTACAGTGTCCCTCACCCTTTCTGTACATCACGAGGGTCACCCATGCGGGCATGCGGCCACAGCTGGAGCTTGTTGCCAGCTACCTTGCGTGCGTCCGCTGTACGGCAACCCGAGGTTGTTGCCAGCAAAGCCGACGCTATACTGGTACGTAGTACTCCGCCCATGCCGAACGCATGGTGGGAGTGTACCGGTATGTGTTAGCGCGCCATATAGCTTTTCCTAATCTGTTCACAACTCTCCCCTACGGAAGACTCTCACGAACCTCCAAGCAAACATGCACCTCCAAGCCAAACACGCTCACACCAGTTCTAGCAACCAATAAAAGTAACAACAAGATACGAATGAAAAAGGTACCAGTACTCGTAGCTGTAGCAGCAGTTTATCGTACAATGTCAGTACGGCATTCAGGCCCTCTCTGATTATCCTCCTCAGCGCCGAGTAGCCGACCCATGGCGGGTCCTCTCAGACGGTCCGCTCTTCTACGTCCCACCGCCGGCAGCGCACCGCCACACCTGCCCTTCTTGCGCGGCCTCTTTCACTAGGCCGCCGTCCTCCGCGGGCCGAAGCAGCAGCTGCGTGGGTGTGGATGCCTGTACCCCCACCTCCGCCGGCAGCAGCAGCAGCAGTTAGGCATGATGCGCAGATGCCCACAGGAGCGGCAGCGACTGAGCTCCTTCACCCACCACCCACCCGCACAGCCCTTCCGGACACCTCCGGGCTTCCATTCAGGGATGGCGGCCACCTTTGTTCCCTCCTACCTCCACCTTCCTTCTTTCCCCTAACCCAACTCCGAGAACTTCCTTCCCTCCTCTACCCCAGCAGTAGCTCCGGATGCAGGGCGGCCACGTACGCGTCGATCTCCGCCCGGATGGCCTCCTGCTGCTGCAGCCCGGAGATCAGGCGGGAGGGGATGCCGGCCTCACCGCATGCAGCCCCCATGACGGCCCCCAGCGCGGCGCCACGGTGGCAGTTCTCGCCACCCACATTGGTGTTGGCGAGGACGGCCTGCTCGAAGGAGTCTGTTGCGCGGGGTAAGGGTGGGGGCGTGGGGGCAGGTGAATGCACGGCAGTATTAATGTAGGATGTGTTAGCTCTGCCGCTAGTGAACGCCGCCGACCATGGGAAAGGACGTACGGAAAGAGGAGCAAAGAGGAGCTCGTCTCGCGACGCTCTACTCCTTGTACAGAGGATCTACAGCCCTACGCGCTCTCTGCAACACCCGAACATGGTTTGGCTGTCATCCAAACCACCAGAACCCCGCCCCTATGTTCCGACATACATGTAATGACACACTCCCCCCCACTCACCAGCATACTTGTACGCCAGGTAGAGCAGCGAGGGAAAGGAGTCCTCGATGTAGCAGGCGGATCCAAAGGTGGAGTGTATGACACGCACATCGTCGTACGGCACCAGCTGATCTAGATCCACTCCCGCGGTGGATCGCGCCAGTGCTGACGTGGCGGATCGCAGGTCGGTGGCGCCGGTGGCCAGACCGTACAGCAGCTCCGCGTATTTCTGAGGGCGTGCATGGACATGCGCATGCAAAAGGGGTGCAGGAGGGTTGAGGAGGAGCATGCGGGATTGGGTAAAACACACACCAATCCATTCCACATATGTACATACAAGTAGGGCAAAGGCAATACGGAAGGTGTTGAAAGCAGCACGGGCATGCGGGCCTCCTCACATCTACGGTGGCCTCCATCCGTATGCGCTCACTGCATGAGTCGGGATATGGCGTTGGGACTCCAGTCGCTTCACTTTTCAATTACTTTCCCCCACACAGCTAGCCACTCAGCTCCTGCTCCCCCAGCGCCCATCCAGCACCCCACCCCACCCCCCACCTCCGCGTACGCTGCCAGCTTGCGGCTGTCATGAGTGGTGCCCAGGTGGCTCAGCGCCCGCTGCCGGGCCGCTGACACACCGTCCAGCCGCGACAGGACGACAGGGGGCAACATCTGGCGGGGCGGGAAACGTGGTATGGGGATATGGGGTGGCGGTCGGGCATGGATTGGGGTTGAGGGCAAGGGGCAAAGGAATGTGCACGGCTAGGAAGGACCCGAGGAGGACTGCTTCACAGGCAAAGAGAGGATTGATGCACAGCAAAAGAGTGTCCTTTCTAGCCTGGCAGCCCTTCGTTCACATCGTCCTTCGTAACGCTCTCGACCCTCCGTGCCCATGGCCGCTCGTCCCGCCCCAGCACCCCGTCTCACAACGAAGCCCCCGATCTGCGCCGTGTTGTGTCCCTCCGTGCCCCGACTGCACTGCTCCGGAGCCACCCCCGCGGCCCAGTTGCGGAAGAAGTCGCGGTGGAAGGACTCGGCGTAGGTGTCGTTATGGGAGCCTGTGTGTGTATGTGTGTGTGTGGGGGGGGAAGAGTGTAATGGAGCAGTGTGCGGCGGCGTGAGAAAGGGGGAGGTGGTAAATGACGAGAATATGTATTGCAGCAGGCCCCCGGGAAGAGGTGCATGCAGTCAGAGAACTGAAGGACACCGAACAGAGAGCCAGCTGGGGACAGAACCCCACATCTGCATGGAGCTGCATCACGTTGTGACCCACGGGTCAGTGTGCAGTCGTCGAACATCCGACACCTACCGGGGGTCGTCATGAAGGAGACGTAGTCCTGCAACCAGGCCGCTGGATTGTACCTGGCATGTGGGTGTGTGTGAGGAGGAGGAGGATGAAGCAGCACCAAGGAAAGGTACCGTGACCACTACCAGGAACATACAACTCATGCATGTGCCCTAGCCCCACGCGTAGCCGCGCTCAAAACCTGTTTCCAGCATGACAGACAAACCGTTCAACATTAGATGTCCCGTAACACGAACTCACCCCTTCTCTCGCGTCACCGTACGCATCACCACTCGAGCACACACGGCGTTCAGGGTGTTCTCACCCGCCTGCCGTACACAGGTACGGCACAGCGATGAAATGGGGAAGGGAAAGGATGAAGGGAAAAAGGAGTAAGGGAGGGATGGAAGAAGCAAAAGGAGTTGCGCTCGCGCTAACGGAGGAGGGCAGCACACGCTTGCAGTCCACCATCCTGTAGTGCGGTAGTAGGGTAGTTGGCAGTGTGCAGCAGCTGACATCAGGGCCCTCCCTGGCTACCGGCTACCGGCAACTGGAGGTGCAGGGCGCCTGCTGATCTTGGTCCGTGACCTACTGATCTTCCGTACCGTACCTTCATGCCCTGGTGGTAGTGCACGCCGGGCTTGCCCCAGAAGCTGTGCTTGCCGTGGTTGATCACATCACCTGCGCTTTGGGGAAAGGTGTGGTGAGGGGGGAATGACCCACCATGCAAGGGACGAGTAAAGGGCAGCAGTGGGAAATCGGCTAAGGGGACATCCGCTATACGTTTCTCGCCACGGAAGAGGGCAGCGTAAGCGACATCAAACTGGGGTCTACGTTAATTTGAAGATAGGAATGGACGCCACAAAAGCCAGGGCATCGCGTCCTTGATTGCCAGGGCGAGTGGCATTGGGCCCTACCTGCCCGTGAGGCTCACCCTCCCAAACGTAACTTACCGATGATTTTGCCGCTCTGTCCACCGCGGCCATGACCCCCCGTGTTGCTGACGCTCATGATGCTGCTGGGGTGGCGCGCTTTGGGCGGATGGTAGGTGTCGATGATGCCGAAGTCGCGGCGGATGTCACCAGGATTGTAGTACCAGTGAACTGGCATGCTAAGTGCATCCGCGATGAAGATACCTACGGGGGGTGAATGGAAGCGAGGTAAGCGTCGCTAGTTGCTGAGGTGCATTCCCGGTCAGAGGTGCCATCCTTTGTTGGGCGGACCGCTTTTCGAGTCGAAATGGTCGCGACGAGTATAAGATACTGAAGGCTTTTGATGACGCGCAATACGGTCAGCGTTTGTGACCATAAACCTACCCCAGAGGGCACCGCGAATGCGGTCGAGGACCATAGCTTTATCCATAGTAGGCGACGCCTGGCTAGCCATGCTTAAGCTTGCTACGGTTCCTACTTTCTTTGTGCTGAAGGCGGTGCGACGGATAGGCGAGTGCCTAACTTTCATCATCCGACCATTTGCCTGGCTATGGTTGCTAGCGATTGACTTCAACATAGCTTGGATAAAGGAATATGATGCCAAGAACATGAATGTTTCCCGAAGTTAAATGCTGTGCTTGACAATAAAACTAACGTGCGCCATGGAAACTACCCTCCAACGGTCTCCGATGCAAGTCCGGATGCTGCCACCAAGGAATGCTACGCAAAGCTGTATATTGTTCCGTTGGTCATTGTCGTCAACTTATTGCTTGGTAACCGCTTCAGAGTATCAGCGAGCGAGTCAACTTCTCAAGGCCACACATCCCGACGTGTCCAAAAGGCACACAGCCCAACCGCCTTCAGTGCTGCTAATCCACTTGTCCACTAATACACGTCCAACCTCTTCCCATTTCCCAAAGCATGCTCAAACCCCTACCCGCTTCCCTCCAGCACCACCAACCTGCCTCCCTCAGTCACCACGGCCACACGCACCACCGCCTCCTCTTCCCCTCCTCCCACCTCTCCACCGCCACCACCACCCACCTGATGATCCTGCAGGGGGCTACCCCGGTGCACATACACATCCAACCCACACGCCGCCGCCCCGCCCGCCTCCTCCCCTTGCCACGGCGCATAAAGCCCATCCGGCTCCGGGCCGCCCTGCCGTACCGTCTCCATCCCGCCCGCCATAAGCCCCACATCCCAAATCTGCAACGCTCCCGACTCGTCTCCTGCAACCGCTAGCCGCGCATCTGCCGTACAACACCTCAATGGCGACCCGCATGCTGCCGCCGCCAACCGCAGACCTCCGCCGCCGCCGCCGCCGCCGCCGCTGCCTCCCATGCGTATGTCGTACAATGTCAATGCGCCGTCAGCCGTCGCCGCCAGCAGTAGCGCAGGCGCACAGCCACTGCTGCCGAGCCTTCCTGGCATACCCATACCTAGCGACGAACGAGCCGCCGACGACGCCGACGCCGACGCATCAACTGTTTCCGATACCAACGACAAACCGCCAACGTAATCATCCGCCGCTTGAGTCTGCCACACTCGGCTGCACCCAATGCGACCTCCGCCGCCGCCGCCGCCTCGTCCCGGCGCCCGAGTGTCCCACAGCGCGACGACGCCCTCCTCTGTTCCCGTCGCCAGCAGCGCGCCGGCCCATGGGTCGGTCGCCAGCGCCCACACGCCGCTGTCGAAGTCGCGCAGCTCGCTGGTGGCAAGGCTGAGCCCGGTGGTCCAGGGGGCGCGACCCTCCGCCAGGCTGGCAGGGGCGGAAGCAGGGGATTGGGAAGGATTGGGGGATGGTACGGACCGAACTAAACCATGTAATGGCAAGCCAAATAGCCAAATTTAGGGCTGCAATAGCCGGCTCTTCCAACAAGAGAAGTCAGTCTTATCTCTTATTCTGTCCTCCGCAGCTCCTCACAGAAACTTGCACAAACGCATCCATGCATGTGTCATCCCGCCTCATCCCGCCTCATCGCGCCTCACCTCCAGATCTTGACGGAGCAATCCCAAGAGGCCGTCACCAAGGAAGCAGCAGCGCTGGCAGCCGCCGCTGATGACCCATGGGTCGTCATGAGCTGCATGCAGCACACCGCGTCGTCATGCGCCTCAAAGCAGCCCACCACGCGACCCGCATCTGCCGAGTAGGCATACACCTTGCGGTTATGGCAGCCGGCAAGCAGCAGCCGGTTATGCCGCTGCTGCTGCTGCTGCGGGTGCTGCAAGTGCGGATGTAGGGCCCCCTTGCCAGGACTGCTCTCAGCCAAGCGAGTTCGCGGCGAGGTGACGGTGGCGCCAGCGGTTGCTCCCGCCGAACCCACGGGCAGCAGCGCGAGAGACATGAGCTCACCATCCAGCTTGGCAGACCTCACAACTGACACCTGACAACCGCTAGCGTCAGCGGGAGTGGCGGCAGCGGCAGCGGCGCTGTCGTCGGTGGAGTGCGAGGACGCGGCGTCCCGTACAATGCGAATGCCGTCCGCGCCGACGCAGTACAGGTAGCCGTTACGACCCGAGGCCACAGCAGCCAGTGACCCACGGGTCAGTTGGGACCAGGCGACGGCTCGGAACGGCCGTCTGCAGCGAGCACCCCAGCCCCAATCCGCCATCCACGCTGTCGCACAAGAAGACGCGTCGTTTCGAGGACTCTCGGTACCACGTGCTTCTCCTCCACCATTGCTGGGCCCCAAACCCAGCTCCGCTACAACCGCTGCAGCAACGGCGCCGCCGGGCGTTATCCCCAACACATCTTCACCTCCGCTGCTTACAGACGCCGCGACGCCATCAATCGCTGCTGCCGTGCTTTCCGCCACGTCGTTAGCAGTACCCGTACCCGCTGGGGGTACGGCAACTGCAGCCTGGGCGCTTCCGATGAGGTTGATGTTAGGCATGCCATGTGCCGTACCACCACCATTGCTACCGTCTGTAGCCTCCTCCGGTTGCGGAGCACTGCTGGAGGGTCTCCGAGGACCCGGTAGGCCTGTCAGAGCACCCATGAGAGACCAAGGCGACGCGAACCTCGGAGCACCGCCGCCGCCACCGCCGCCGCCGCCATTGTTGCTGCTACCGTTGCTGGCGGAGGCGCCGCCGGCGGCAGAGCCGACGCCGACGCCGATGCCGCCGGGAGGCGCAGAGGCGGCGGAGGTCAGGGAGCTTCCCTGCTGTGGCGGCGGCGGCGGCGACGGGGACGATGACAACGACGTCCCTCGTTGTTGCTGCTGCTGGTAGCGTCCAAGCTTTAGGAAGCTGGAGAACAAGGAGGAGGCGCCGCCGCCGCCGCCGGCGCTGCTGCTGCCGGCGGCCGACGACGGCGGCGGAGTCTGCGGCCTCGGCGGTGACTGTAACTGCTGCGCTGCCGCCGCCGCCGGCGCAGCTATACCAGCAGCGCCGCCGCTGAACCCCTCCGCCTCCGCCACGGCGCCTCCGCCAGCTCCGTACTCTGGTGCCGCCGCCGCCATGATGGTTGACAGTAACGCCAACGCCAGGTCGCGGTTACCCGCGTCGCCCTCGCCGCCGTACCCGGTGCTATTACACCCGCCGGCGGCGCCAGCAGCGCCGCCAGCAGCGCCGCCGCCGCCGCGGGCCCTGGCGGCCGCCACGGCCGCCGCTGCGGCTCCGTCCTCGTCTGGAAAGACTGTGGCTGGGTCCGGTGCCGGCGGGCAGACGAGGCGCGGCGGGTGCGGCGTGGTGAAGAGTTGCTTGGGCGTTTGACCGAACTGCGAGACGAGGTAGAGGAGGAGGAGGAAGACGAAAGGAATCGACACTTAGTATCTGACACGGTATACAAATGCGCCGGCCGTATTAAAGTCTGGTAGGAATTTGCACCCATGAGGTCCATGACCCACAGTCAAAGCAGCGACCCCCCGCCACTGCAGGCCTGCAGACCCACCTCGTTGATCTGCGTCTCCAGCGCTTTGAGGTCCACTGGGGAGGTGACGGACGCCACGTCCACCGCCCCCTCGTATGTCAGGTGGAAGAACACGTTGTCAGCAGCCTCTGTGCAGGGGAGGGGGGGGGCAGCAGGGGTGTGTGGCATGGCAGCCAAGACGGCTATCCTCTTCAACAGCCGCGGCAAAAGCATGAGCAAGCCGTTGGGATCTTAGGACATACCGGTACACTTCGACAGCGAGGCCGGCCGCCCCTCTCCCCCCCCCCCCATACCTGCCGCGGGCCCCCGCTGCTTGTACCCGAAGATGAGGTCGACCCAGGCGTGCAGCTGCCGGCTCACCACGGGGCTCTCCAGGGCGGCGCGGTGCTTAGCCAGGAAGTCCCGTGGGTCGGTGGCCCAGGGGGGCAACTCTACGTCATTCACCGGTCTGAGGTGAGGAGAGAAGAGGGGAGAGGAGGGGAGGGGCGTAACATTTGCATGCGCCAGAGCCTCCGCGCTCCGCCTACTACCGCCGAAAGCATTTCCGTCGTTTCCTCGAGGCTTACCCCTTCACAACCTTTCCGCCCCCACCTCCACCCCCTCCAACCACACACACACACACACACGTCCTACTTACTCTCAGCACCAGTATTGGACTTCTATATGTACATACGCTACCCTATTCCTCGGCTCCTGCGGCGGTTCTGTGGGGACTTCATCTTCCGACATCCCAGTATGTTCCTACTCGCGGCCAGTTATTTTAACACACACCGCACCAATCACAATACGTTTCGCCTCGCGGCCAGTTATTTTAACACACCGCACCAGAGCGGGGGCTCCCGGCGTCGAGTTGGTCAGCGGGCTTACTACTCGGTAGTATTTTAGTTTTTCCGACACCATCAGCATCACCGACATGCGTCGTCACCCGCCAGTCTTCTTACATCCAGCAACAGCTATTTAAGCAGTTTTTGAGTTACGTTTCAGGTTTGGTTACCTCTGTTTTGCCTGTACTTGCGGTTCACATGCGAACCTCTCCCAATTGCTTGCTCTTGTCCTACTCAACTACACACACACACACCGCAGTACGTTCCGACTCGCGGCCAGTTTTCTCAACACACCGCACCTGCCGTTCTGCCGCACCCCCAGCGGCAGCCTCCTCATGTTGACCAGGAAGTCCCAACCCGGGAGGAAGAACTCGGGGATGAGCTCCTTCACGTCCGTGGAGCTGTGCAGCACACCCTCCCACGCCTCCTGCGGGTGGGGGGTGGGTGGGAAGGGTGGGTGGGGGTGGGTATAGCGGGTGGGAAGGGGGGGGGGCAAAACACCCAGAAACCTGCCCATCCAACCCTTGTAAGTTGTAACTATAACCGGCCCGCCCCCAACCCCTGCAGCTCACCCTTGCCACCTGCACCACCACCCCGCACCTCACCCCCCACACCCCACCCTCCCATCTTACCTGTACCGAGGCGAATAAGCGGTCCGGCGCATCGAAGCGCCCGTTCTGCAGCCGAAGCATGTGGCTGGGGGCCGCACGGACCAGCCAGTACATCACGTACCTGGTGTACGGCAGGGAGAGGGAGGGGAGGGATGCCACGGTTTTGGGGCGGTTGGTGTACGGCAGGGGGATGGGAGGGCAGTACAGTACGGACAGAGGGATACGTCTGACAGAACTGTGCCGTACGCCGTACAGCCCTGAATTGCGATCCGAAGCCCGCATGCACCCTGTGTGCTCTTCTCCTCCTCGCGCGGCGCCCTGCGTGCACCACCCAGCCCGCCTCCTCCTACCCGCATCCCTCCTCCCATCCCTCCCCACCTCCTCCGACCCTCCCCCACCCCCCTTTCCCTACCTCCTCCCCCACCTCCTCCCCCTACCACCACCACCTCCTTACCCCGGTGTGGAGTAGTGTGTGCCGTACAGGAAGGGCGGCAGCGCTCCCTCCCCCGCCCCCGCCCCCGCCCCCGCCCCCCCCAGCGCGTCCTGCGGCATGTCTCGGAACCGCCGCCGGAACTCCTCCAGTCGGGTGGGGTTGAGTGCACCCACGGGCTTGGAGAGGTCCCTGGTTGGGGCCGGGGGGGGGGGAATGGAAGGTTTGTGTGAGCAAAGGTTAGGCAAGTGGAAGGAATTGTGTGCATGGGACACGTCCTTTCGGCCTTCGGAGGGCGCCCTGCACGCACATGCTGATGCTGCGCCCACCCTCACCCTGGACGCCATCATCAACGGCTCTTCCTATGTGATCACGGTCACAGTGTTTCCTCGCGGCTCAGTTTACCTAATACCAGTACCCCCCCACACACCTATACGGTCAGTCAGTTGTTTCCCCCTCACCCACCCGCCCCCCCCCCCACCTGAAGTTGGCGGGGTCGTGTAGGTCCAGGCAGGGGCTCACGTAGTTTCGCAGCACCCAGGGGAACACCGGCCACTGGGCCAGGTCGTTGAAGCTGCGACCTGGGGGTGGGGGGTGGGGGGTAAGACGGACGTGGGGAAGGGGGAGAGAAAAGGGTTGAGAGGGAGGGAGGGAGAGGGGGCCCATCCAGATCCATGCGACTCGCACCAACGCCCCGCACGCCACTTCTTCAACCCGCCTGCATGCGGCTTCCCCATCCCCACCTCCTGTCCCCACCCACCAACCCACCAACCCACCAACCCGAAGCCTTATCACATGGTCGTGCTTTTCCTTCCGCTCCCCACCCACCCAACCGCCCTGTGAGCCTTGTAACACAGCTCGTTAGTTGTCTCGTCAGTTCCCTTACTTTTACCCCCCACCCCCCACCCCCACACACCCGCTGCGAAGTTCAGGTAGAGCAGGTAGTCAAAGTTGCAGATGCCCCCCCGCTGCCACGCCGCCGTCACCCGCCGCAACCAGGGGCCCGCCGCCTCCAGCAACATGCCGTGAGCCGCCAGCGGGTCCACCGCCGCCCCCTCGCCTCCGCCTGCTGCTGCTGCTGGTGCTGCTGCTGCTCCTCCTCCTCCGCCTGCTGCTCCCGCTGCTGCGCCGCTGCCCCGCCCTGGCTGCGGCGGCAGGGGGCTCCTCCGCGGCACGCAGCGGCCCAGTTCGGGCTGGTGGGTGAGCAGGTGGCGGGCGGCCTCGCGGTCCGCCTCGGAGCTGTGCGGGGCGGGGGGGAGGCGGGGGGAAAAGGCGGGGGAAAGGGAGGGGTTATCAGAGGAGGGAGGGAAGGGAAGGGGGTACCGAAGTAAGGGGTTTTGCAGCCTAGCCAAGCCCCGACCACGACAAGGCGTCAAGGCCAGGGTAACCCAATGCACAAAACGGCAGGCTCTCTCGCGCCAGGCTCTCTCGCACACAAGAGCTGCATGCGCCTGGTGAAGCAGGGTTGCCACTCCTCCTCCACCGAGTCATTAACGACTCATCATGACCGTCTTGTTTGCCCCTCACCAACCCCTCCTCCAACCCTCACCGGAAGGCGAAGAAGGCGGAGGGCGCGTCCCACAGCGGTCCTGCTGCCAGGGCAGCTAGCTGCTGCTCTAGCTGATGTTCATATTGCTGCTCGTACTGCTGCGTAGCGCTTTGGTGGTGCTTGTGATGATGGTGGTGGTGGCGGTGCTGATGGTGGTGTGCTGCGGGCGGGTGCAGGAAGAAGAGCTCCAGCCCGATGGCGCGCAGGCTGCTGCGGCGGCGAGCCACGGCAGCGATGGCGGCGAGGGGGTGTGACTTGAGGGGGGTATCGCCTGGGAGGTGTTGGGAGAAGGGAGGGTAGGTGTTGGGGGAAGGACAGGGAAGGGGAGTCGCTTCCGGACATCCGGAGACAGGCGGCTAGGAGGGGTGGCCCGGTGACTCCATTCCTTCCCGGCCCCAGGTCCCCGCCCCCGCCCCCCACATGTTGCAAACCATGATGAAGCCTTATCACACGGTCAGTTAGTTGTTTCCTCTTTACCCCACCCGTCAACGTAATGGGTATTCTCCCCCCCCCTCCCCCACCTGTCACGTTGTGCAGCGGCTGGAAGTATACCCGCGCGGGAGTGATGCCCAGCAGCCCCCGCTCCCGCACCAGCGGCGACAGCGCCACCACGGGGCCCACCCACAGCAGGCGCTCGGAGAAGTCGAGCAGTCGCGTCACGTCGAACGACACCTCGTCCAACCGAGTGCGGGAGAGCTCCTGACGGGATGAGGGAAGATGTGGGGGAGACAAGGGGGGGGGACAGAGAGATGGAGAGGCGGAGCAGGGTAGTTTAGCCCGTGTCCGTAGAGGCAATTTCGCAGACCAGCTTCAGTATTGCTTGGATTAGCGTATGCGGAAGTGGGAAAGTAGGGTCCAACTCGCCTAGCTGCAGCTGCTGACCTGCATGAAGGTGCGCCCAACGTACCTCCAGTGCCGCATTCCGCTCCTCCCGCGGCCGCCGGTTGAGCTCCAGCAGCTCTCGCGCCTGGGACATCAGCGGCTGCAGCGGGCTGTAGCAGGGGCTGAACGCCCAACGCATCGGGGGAAATCCACCTCCACCTCCACCTCCAGCACCAGCATTGCCGCCTCCGTCGCTCCGGATGAAGGTGTACGGCACTTCCTCCATGTTGGCTCGCATCAGTACGACCTCCCGCGTGTCGATGACGAGGCTCGGACCGCCGCCGCCGCTGGCGGCTGCTGTGGAAGTGGAAGCGGAACCGCCGCCACGCCGCATGGTGGTGGGCGCCTGGTGGTGGCGGAGGCTGCCGCCGCTGCCGCCGGCTGCTGCAGAGAGATCCGCTGCGACTGTCGCCGCCGGCGGGCCGTTGGTGAGGGAGGTGACGGCGGCGAAGGGGATCCTGCGAGTGGCAGGAAAGAAGGGGTGCGGCAGACCGCGTGTGTGCGTGTTAAAATAACTGGCCGCGAGTAGTGTGTGTGTGTGTGTGTGTGTGTGTGTGTGTGTGTGTGTGTCACATGGGGCCACGCAAGGGGGGGGGGGGAGGAGTTGGGGAGGGCAAAGCGGCCGGGGACCGGTTCGGTGGCGACATGCATGTCGTACACAAGCAATGTGGGACTAGCTCGGGTGGGGCCCTGCCCCCCACCTGCCAACTCCCCTCCACTTCTCCCCCTGCCAGCCTGCCTGCCCCCTCCCCCCCCCCAGGCCCTGTGGTCTCCTATGGTTTGGTATGGTCTTTGACCCCCCGGCCGCCCCACCTGGCAATGGGTATGCGTGTGTCATCCGGCTCGAAGAACAGCGAGCGGGTGGCGAGGCGCAGGCGGCCGGGCAGCAGCGGGCTGCGCTGCCAGTTGCCGCTCACCCGCTCGGCCGGCCAGGCGGCGTGGACCACCCAGTCCTGTGCAGGGGGGGGGTGAGGGGATGAGGGGATGAGGTGGGGCCGGGTGGGTGGGGGACTGGGAGTAGGTAGGGGAAAGCGTGCGGTAAAGGCGTGGCATCGCGCCCCGGGAGTTTGGTGTGTGTGCCCAGACATGCTACCGCCGGCTGTGTTTTCCCATCTCGGCTGCTACCCCCCTCCCTCCTCCCTCTCTCGCCCCGGGGGCACCCGCCGCGCCCCCCCCCCACCTATATCCAATGATATGCCCTAACTTGTGGTTCCCTAATCCCTATGGTTCGGTATGGTCTTCCCCCCACTCTGCTGCTACCCCTCCCTGCCCCCTCTCCCGCTCCGGCCTCACCCCCCCACACCTGCACGTAGTCCTCCTCCTCCTCCAGCAGCAGCAGGGAGAAGCGCCGAGCCCGCACCGCCCGGCCACCCCACATGGTCGCTGTGCTGCTGCTGCTGCTGTTTTTCCGTTATAAAGCTGCAATACTGCTGCTATGACAGGTGCTAACAGCTGCTTTGGGGGTTTCTGGTTACTCCGCTTTTGCTCCTTTTGTCAAGTTGCTGCCTCTGCTGTGCTGCCGCTACCAAGCGCTCTCGGGCTACCTTCACAAGTCGGTACACCGCAACGATCCAACCGACACGCCAGTCCCTTCCTTTTCAGGTAGTTACAGACCGGGAGGCCAAGGCGGCACGAAAGCCTGGTACTGGGGCCCTATGCGCGGTTTGCGGGGCTCCGCGTGTCCCTGAATTTTGGATGTAACCAGGCGCTGGGCTTTGGGACCGCGATGGAATGGATCTAGGATCTCCTCCTCGTCCAATCCGTCGCCGACAGCTGCGTCCTCGCCTTCGGATTCAGAATCCAAATGGTGCTTGCGCGGCCGAAAGGCAACGTACTCACTGACGTCGATGTCGTCGATGGGATTGTCGTGAGGGTGTTGCTGGAACCAGGTTGCCGAGGTCCCTGAACCCGTATGCGTGTTCCCAGTCGATGTTGCTAGTGGAAGCTCTGAGTCACTGGCTGCAGCGTGGCTGAGATGAGAAAGGTCCTGAAAGCCTTGCACAGCGTCGGAGCCGGCTGCACAATCTACGAGGCCTAGCTTGTACGCGTGCGTAAAACGTGCTTTAGGAGGAAGCTGCGAGGCGTTCTGCGCCGTGTGCGATGAAAGGTCCGGGGATGCACGCGGTTGCAAGGCTGCGGGCGGCAGAAACGAATTGACTTCCTGCCCAGCAGCTTGCTCGTTACTATGCGCTTGCCAAGCGCTATGGTTTACGCTCATGAAGAGTATGTAAATGCGATTGGGGGTTTACACGTGCAGGTCTTAAGGAAAAGGATGGACCGTACGCAGACAGTTAGATCAGGTCTGGCAACAACAAGATAGGGCTTAGTGATTGGCGTTTCCGAGTACATGCGACCTAACCGCAAGCGTACGACACGTATTAAGAACGTATGTGGCCTTGCTCAAGGCTTGGCTGTCAATCCTAATAGCCGTATTTAGATCAGCTCGTTTTCGAGCGCTAGCAGCGTCTGTTTCTACCCTAGAAGCTTGGTTCGGATTTGTCGACACCTGGCAGGATGTCAATGCGACGACTTCTTGGGGACGACACTGACATGGAAGACTTAGTCCTTAAGCATATTGCTCCTGGGATGGGCTGTGTTGTCGCCTTTCTAATGTGGGTTTTTCTCCTTGCTCCTTGACCTGCTTATCATCCTCAGCAAGCGTCCTCCAGACAAACGCTGCGCATGCGCCCGCAGGTTCTTAAGCCCCCTTAAAACAGTGCTTCAAGCACGCGCCAACAAGCATCTCGGGGTAAGCTTCCCTCGGCATGTATATTTGCACCGCTGGCCCGACGGCAGGAAGCCCCGTCGGAATGCCCGTCCTGACCTGCCGACAGGGCGTAACGACAGGGGCACGCACAGTGCCTGGGGCAAAAGCACCTTCGTATAGGGTAGCACCTAACCCTGCGGTCGAAGCCGGCTTGCCAGAACAGTCCTGTCATTTTCTCATTCTGTCATTCACCAATGCCACAGCTCGCATACTCACCCCTGTCTGTTACAAATCTTACAATTCGCGACCCCCCTCTTCTCCGCTCACAACAGCTCGAGGATTCAGCCTGACCGTGCCGTACATCAACAACCCTTTATATGCCGTACTGTCCCACTGCCGTACAGGACCTCAATCCGTTGCCGCTCGTAGCCATCATCGCCAACTGCGCCGGTTGGCTGTTGTACGGCAGCATTGCGAGGGATCCGTACGTCATCCTCGCTAACGAACCCGGGCTACTGCTAGGCATCTTTATGACCGTTAGCTGCTACGGCTTTGCGGATATTAAGGCAAGTGTGTACGACATCACGTGACATCACAACTGCCGTACGATACGTAGACAATATTGTGCTCAAACAACCTATCCCCTATCCACACACCGTACCACATCGCACTTCCCTTGGCAACACCGTTTGCACTTTTGGGCCTTCAGCCTTCAGCCCTTTGGCCGTCTCTGTCTTCTGCGCTGCCGTACCTGCACCCACCGAGCCCCCCCCGCCACCTGCGCGGAACATCCACCCCCTCCTAACCCCTAACCCCCCCGCACCTCAGGTCCGTGACGTCATGCTGCGACTGCTGCTCCTCTCTGCAGCGCTGCTTAGCGGCGTGGGCGCGTGTTTGGCGCTGTTCGTGGAGGATGAGGAGCGGGCGGCGGATGTGGCGTGAGTGGTGCTGAGGGGGAGGGGGTAAAGAGGAAACGACTAACGAACCGAGAGAGAGGGAGGGCGCTACAAGTGGACATGGGGCTGGGATACGGATGGGGTGGAATGAGAGTTTCTGACCCATGGGTCGCTCTCCTGTGCTTCAAAGCACAGCACTTTTACAGATCTGCACTCTCCTTTCCTGAAGTTGAGGAAGGTCTGCTCCCTCTCCACTGCCTGCCTTACGCGCTCTCAACTTCTCCGCCCTCTTGCTTCCCCTCACCGTCGCCCAACCCTCACACCACATACCCAACCTCTTTTGTGACCTTACCTGCAGCCCGTTGCGAACACGAACTCCCCCTGCGTTGCCGCCATGTAACGCTCCAGCAGTGCGGCCTTGTTTAACTCCCCATGCACATTACCCCCTCACCGCCGCCCCCTCCCGCCCCCTCCCCCAGCGGCTACACAGCCGTCCTCATCCTGCTCTGCTACTACGCCGCCCCGCTCTCCTGCCTGGCGGAGGTGCTGCGCAGCCGCTCCTCCGCCTCGCTTCTGCCGCCCACCTGCGCAATGAACACGGTGAACGGACTGCTGTGGCTGGCGTACGGCCTGGTAGGAGGCGGGGGAAAATTACATAAGAAATGCAAACAACTAGAGTCCCAATCCCATATCCCGACGCATGCAGTGAGGGCATTCGGAGACACTATTTTAGAAACACGCAAAGAAACGTAACTAGGAGGCGGGGGGGGAGCAGCTGGGGGGGTTGGGGGATGGAGGTGTGGTGTAGGAGACGGTGAGGGGTACTTGCACAGCATTGCCTGCGCCCAAGGATCCAGGTGTGCATGGGTACGATGTTGGGAGCCTGACACCTCATCTTCCCGCCAAGCCCTCATCTCAGCCTGGACCTTCATCCCCTGCTTCCGCTTACCCACTCGCTACCCTCACCCACACCGCACCGCACCCCCTCCCTCCCTCATCCAAGGCGGTGCATGACTCGTTCATCTCAGTGCCTAACGCCATCGGTGCTGCCTTGGGTGTCGTACAGCTGCTGTTCATTTGGATCTACCCGGCCAAGAGGTGAGGACGGAGAGAACATGGTGGGACGTGGGAGGGATGTGTGCTGGGGTGTGGGGCAGGGTAGGACAGGAGAAGTACGGATAGGACGCCCAAATTCGGGCCTCCCTGGGGACCGGCTTCCAACCCTAAGCTACGCAATTGAGCTGGGTTCCGTGTGCCGTTGGTGCCTGCAGGTCGTTGACTGCCGGCGGCGGTAGCAGCGGTGGAGGCGGCGTGTTGCAATTCCCAAGCCGCAAGCACGCGGTGTGATGCGTGATGCCGCTGCCAAGTGACTGAGACGGCACAACAGCTGACTGCGCATTGGGGACTTGTGGGGGACACGTGAGCCATACATGCAGTTAGTTAGATTGTCAGAAACGTTACCGGTAGGCGGTTGGGGGGCAGCGCCACCGCGCTTAACCGCCGAGGCGACCGAGCTAGACAAATCGAACCATGTAGCAGTGAGCTTTATGATGAGCGTTGTTTTGCATGCGTGCGTGCAGGGCCTGTGTTAACAGCTACCGCGGTATATGCAGCAACCCTGGACTGGTGAAGGCACGCGTGCGGCCACAAGGGCGCGTATCTTCAGATTCTTCACATGTTCTGTAGCTTTGCAGTGGGGCACCGTGGGTCGGAATGCAATAAAAGATATGTGTTGGGAGTTAAGTGAGATTACGTGTTGGGCAGTGCGGCTCTTTCGTTCATGAGCACAGTGCTTGACGTTTGGCACCAAGCTGCTAGAAAGGTGAGGCGAAAACGTATGAGGCAGGTGGATGCGCGAGGCAAGTGAGGGAGTTGGCACGCGGCCCTATGTACCGTCGGTGCATGCCTAGGTGCGCCGTACAGGTTTCTAGTGCTCACTAGTCGCAGCATGCTGTGAGCAATGCAGCAGTGGCGCACCCACGTAATGATATACTCGCATATGACTCCCGTTACTTCACGTCACTCCGGTGCTGACATGCTCGCTAGCATATGCCAGCAGCTGGCTAAGCCGGCAGCCCCTTGCTGGCGGTACCTGGGCAAGTGGCGTCGCAGTGGCACTATCCACGAAGCTAGCAGCCTAGCAAATAGCATGGCATGTCGGGTGGTGTACGACGCGTTGCTGCATGCATGCCGGTGCTCGCCAGGGCTGCCGCCAGCGCATTCGCTGGGTGCTTTTGCATACCCTGAACACTGCACTCGGGTGCAAGCGCCTGAAGCGTCCTATATCAAGGTAGCTAAAGGCATAGCCATGAGGGACGCATGCAAGCATCCTCTAATAATGTCCAGCAAACCCAATACACACCTTTACCAACTAGGTTCGTACTCAGCATCCCGAAACCAGAAAGGGAAGGCATAATGGAACAAACAGATTCTAGGGGCATTCCGTGAGGCACACCTCCACCATGCGACACAGGACGTCTAGGATATCACAAATAAACAGTCGCCAAACGCAGAGCGCAGCATACCATCTCTCACACCCCCAGATCGCGTCTCCAAACGATCAAACGTGACACGTAGCGACACGATAGCGGAGCACTTTGTTCAGTTTCGCGTTAAGTCCCCTCTCTCTCCAATAACCAATCGCTAAACACGGGAAATGCACGAAACACTCGCCGCCCCGACTCTCATGTGCACGCAACTCGGAAGTTCCAGTCCACACACCGGACCAGGGGCGCACTGCACTGTTACGAAACACAGCCGGGTCAACCCACCCAACGGGCTGGGTGTTACACGGTGTGCCGCAAAAGAATTCTCGGATAAGAAAATTGGCTGTGCAGCAGTAATACACAATACCACACGCACCCACTCTCGCGCTCTCTCAAAAGTACACCTGCGTCGTCAAATTGTGTCCCGAGTCCTTCTTGCTTTCCAAGCCATCCAAGCCCGCTCCTCCTCAGCTTCCTCCCCACCACCACACCACACCACCCTATTGCCGCAGCAGCAGTGCACACCCATCAAAGGCCATACCCCCATCACAACATGGCATGACACTGGGCGCGTACAGAGGAGCGCTAAGCTGTTGCTGTTGCTGCACGCGCGGCATACATTGCAAGCACACACTGTGCACGCATGCACGGTACGCTACGTCGCATGGTAAGCTCCATTATGCACAAGCACTTAACGCAGGCGACTGACGTTTGTAAGAGGAGGAGGTGAAGGACCACCTCGGGTTAACACCAGGGGACTGGCGCAAAGTGTGGCGGTTTAACCGCGGAACCAGCCAGCAGCCAAGCAAAGCCTGCCTACCGCTTCTTCCCTTCTCCTTGGCAGTAGGGACAACAAACAAGAACAGCGCTGCTGAAGCAACACCACCACCCAGCCTCCGCAGCCACAGCTGCGCCTCCCTACCACCTCTGCTCAGTAACCCCTCACTGGCTCCTCACCGACTCCTCCCCGCTCCTCTCCTCCCTCCTCCCCGCTCACTTGCCCAGCCAAGCGGTGCTATCGAAGAAGTACGCCTGCTCAAAGTCCTTCTCCTCGCCCTCGTACTCGTGCTTGCCGGTGAAGGAGGGCCTGACGCGTCGAGGAAACGGGTTATAGGCGGAGGCAAGGCGAGCAGATCGTCAATAGATTGACTAGTGCTCCATGGCCAAAACGCGTTAAGTATCAGCTTCCCTGTACGGCATCCTCCCCATTCGCCCCGCCCCTCCCCTTCCCCTTCCCCATGCACCCCTCCCCCCCTCCTCCTCTCCCCTCCTCACCTGAAGTTGTAGATGAGCAGGTCGTCCTCCTCCACGATGCTCCTCGCCTTGTGCAGGTTGCGGCGCGCCTCAGCCACGAAGTAGTTGGCCACCTCCTGGCTCATGCGGATCTGAGCAGGGGGCAGGGGGCGGGATTGGTTAGGGCGGGGGTGGTGGCTGGTGGGATGCAAGGTGGGAGGGTTGCAACAGCGGGTAGGACACCCAAGCAGCAACCAACCAGCCCATACCCTGCAATCTGCTACACATCTCCCTACCTGGGGCTACCTCCCCTCCCCTGCACATCAGGTCCCCTGCAGCACCCTCCCCCCTCCCTCCCCCCCCTTGATTTCACTTGGTTTAATGACTTGACCCCCCTCCCTCAGTCAGTTAGTTGTTTCCTCTTTACCCACCCTACACACCACCCCGTCTTCTCACCGCGTCCGTGTCATGCGGGATGTGCAGGTGGGGCGTCCACTCGTATGCGTTCTTCTCGGGGTGCCACTGCGTGGCGGTGAAGGGGTAGTTGCGCCCCTCCAGCGTGCTCACGTACGCGACTCCGCTCTTGTCCAGCGAGAGGGACAGCACCTTGAAAAAGCGGCCCAGCGCCGGGTTCTCCAGCACTGCGGACATGGACAGACCTGGGAGCGAGAGAGGATGGGGGTCAAGTTAGACCAGACCATAGGAAACCACGAATTAGGGCAGAATAACGGGCGAATGACACGGCAGGGGGAGGGGGAGGGGGGAAGGGCAGGGGATAGGATGGGAGCCAGAGGAAGACGCGAGACGGGGCACGGCATGCAAAGCAACAACGCTCCTTCGCCTTTGCAAGTCATCCTTTCCTTAATCCTAATGCTACCCGTACCTCATCAAGCCCTTAGCACCCCTCCTAGCCCCCCCCCAATCCCATGCACTCACTGCATGAGTTGGGACATGGGATTGGGACTCTAGTTGTTTGCACTTAATTGTATATTTCCCCCCCCCCCTCCCCGCCCCCCTACCCGATTGGTGGTTCTCCATGGCGATGGGCTTGTTCTGCAGGTCCGCCACCACGTCCGCCGGCAGCGAGCGCAGCAGGTGGCTGTCCTTGGCTTCGTTGGTGAACAGCAGCGGCGCGGGCGCGTCCTCCGCGTCGTAGGAGCTGAGCAGCGTGTAGTTGGAGGAGAGGATGACAGAGAGGGTCTCCATGCCCAGACACGTGCCATGGACCTGGGGGGTGGGTAGGGAGAGGGGTAATGGAGGAGAAGGAGGAGGAGCGGCGCAAGAACAAACCACAGGAAAGCAGGGGGTGGAGGGAGGGTCAGGGAAGAAATAAACCCGCTTAGCTGCCTTGTGGACAGATGGGTGAAAACATGGGGCAGCAGACCAGTTCCGCCCCAGCACCAAGCAAGGCGCACAGCTGCGCTTGCTTACAGCTTTTAACGTGAAGTGATGAAGGCCAGTGTGGGTCCCCAGTATTGGAACAGCCTGCATGGTTACTGGGGCTGTGCCGACAACACACAGCGGATAGCGTTTGCAGCATGCAAGTGAAGGTGCCGGTCAGCGGGGCGGGCCGGGAGACGTGCTGCATCCGCCAAGCCGCCACACAGCACCCTGGTGTCGTTCACCAGGAACCAGTGCACGCCAGCTCACACAGATGGCAACCACTGGTGATTATGAACCTTGTGGGCTGACACGCACTGGGCCCTGTGAGGATGACACCAGAGTGCTGTGCAGGGTGGACGATGACGTGCAAAACGCTCCCGACACGCCCGCCTCCTCCTTTGTTTTCGACTACACGCAATTACATAACCCAGCCTGGTGCTATGAATCCCCACGTCCCCCCTCCCCACCCCTCACCGGGAAGTAGTCTCCGTTGTCGTTGGCGTCCAGCGCCAGGTCCACCAGGTGGCGGGCGGTGTCGTAGAAGAGGTGGCCGGGCTCTAAAGTGGCGCCGCCGCCGGGCAGCAGCAGACCGTTGATCACCGCGAACCTGGGGGGGAGGTTGGGGGGGGGTGGATTAGGTAAACTAAGCCGCGAGGAAACACTGACTGCAACCATAGGAAGGTCCGATGCTGATGGCGTCCAGCAGCAGTTATCAATGTGGCGTTTACGTCGATGGCATTGTGTCCAGGTGGGATTGGGGAGGAGGGATGGGAGGCGGGGGATGATGAGGTAGGGAGTGGAGGCGGGTATGGAGGGTGCTGTGTGGGGGCTTGGTGGGATACCCACGCAGCAGTGGCACGAAGCCGAGGCGTACGAACGTACCTGCGGTCGATTTGGTCGTACGTCATGTCGTAGAAGATGGGTACGACACGTGCGCCCGCGGACTCCAGCCACTTGACGTACGACGCGGCGATGTACGACTGGCCGTCCGGGGCGGGATCGCCGGGCTGGAAGGGGAGGTTGCGGAGGAGGGTGGTGGAAGAAGGGGGGTGGGTGGGAAAGTGGGTTGGGAGGAGGAGATAAGGGCGTGAAGATAAGGGGGAAACACACCATGACAACACATTTCTTGCGAGGATGGGAGTGCGCCGATACTATTTTTGTGGGTATCGGCAGGTGTCGGTATGAGTAGAGCTTGGCAAAAGCGGAACGTTTGGGCGGAAGGGAAGCGGCTTATGCGGATTGTCCCTTACTCCTCCGCCTTACTCCTCCATTAAGTAAGACGTCGAGAGGGTACAGCGTGACGAGGCTGGTGCAAGGCCGTGAGGACAACACACCTGGGAAAGAATGCCGATGATCGGACGCAAGTTAGCGTCCGCTGGTCCCTTGACGGGCTTTGGCACGACGCGCTTCTCCTCCTCATTTTGGCGACCAGACAACAAGGTCGGCCTGAGAGTTCAACATGGAAAGAGGCGACACGACCGGATGTCAATGCCTAGAGCGTCGAAATATGAGACCCTAACCGCGCGAAATGGCCTGCATTCTATTTAGCAAACTTGCAACATCCCGCGCAACATGACTCAACAAACTCCATCGACCTGCCAAGCTACCATCCAACTGATTCGCCAGGATATGCTCCTTCATGCTACTTCATGCTAACTGGTTACTTATGGATCATGGGCGAGCCTCTAGGAGACAGGAAATTTGTATCTAGCTGTTCCGTCCTCATACAACAGCTACGGGCTATGTAGCGTACCTGGCCGCAAACGTGGCAGCTGGTAGAACACACAGGAGCGCCAGGGCAGCTAGCCCTGAGATAACGCGCACTGCCATTTTGCTCTAACGTGTTCCTTCAAGATCAAGGAAGACCGTCGACCCAAAGAGAATTCGACCAATCAGGTATGGCAAGTCGCTTAGTATGTTGCTTGATAGAATTGTAGTTGTGAGAAACGAACATAGGCGGGAAGCGTATGATACACGCAGCGCACCCAGAAATCCTTGTATAGCGGCCAGCTACGCAAACCAAAATAACAAACAAATACCTTTGGCATACCCTCGGCGGCTTGATACTGCAACGATACTGTTGTACGACGCACGACAGCCGTCAACTGAAGTAAGAAGCACACGCTGCACGTCTCAGTCCTTTTACACTTCTTCTGTGTATTGTCTGCTCTGTAGTTGGACAGTTCCTTGCCCTTGACACTATTTTACGAGTGTTAGATACCTAACACCAGGAACCATGGGCAAGCCCGTTAAGGTGGGCAGCCTTGAAGCGACTCGGTTACGCTTGCTTACATCTAATAGTTTAAAGAGGAACACGAAATTAAAGTTTGCTGGCCCTCAACACAGGCGTCGGGCAAGGAGCTGAAGGCCAAGCAGGAGGCGACAAAGCTGGAGAAGAAGAAGGTAATTGGGTAGACGCAACGCGTTGTTTTGCGCTTGTTCGCTGCTTTCTCTCCTGGTTTCGAGCCGCCAGCTAATGATGACGGCGGCCGCCCTGCGCCGACACGCAGGTGCCCGAGCCTTCTGACTCTGACGACTCCGAGTCTGATGACTCCGAGGACTCGGATGATGCTCCCGCGCCCGTGAAGAAGGGCGCGGCGCCCGCGAAGGTGTGTCAGCTCGCTGCATGGCCCGCTTTCTAGTCCGATGAAGGCTTTCATACAAGGGATATTGCTTATGAACGAACGGTAGCACGCGGTTCGTTCTGGGTTACGAGCGGTTACGGGCTATAGCCGCCAGCAAGCGGATGCTGCAATTGGTTATCAACTCCTGAAGCGCAGCGCAGCGCTTTGGATGCCAATTATCAACGATACGCATCTGGGTCTCTAAGACAGAGGCTTGGCCGAGGTGGTAAAAGCTTTTTAACATGTCTTCGTTTCCCAACTACTGACAGGCGCCTGCCAAGAAGGTGGAGTCTTCCGATGACGACAGCGACAGCGACGACGACAGCGAGGAGGAGGAGAAGGCCCCCGCCAAGAAGGCTGCTCCTGCCGCCAAGGCCAAGGTAAAAGCGCTGTACAGGCCGGTCATGTGTGCTTAACGCCTTCAGCTAGTCACATGTGCCTCATTACCCCTGCTGGCCTGGGTATGTTGCTTTTAGGCCTTAACCCTGTCCTCTTGCTAGCTCGTCCTTTGCCACACACGTTGTTCCGGAAGCTAGTTTCCCTGCTTACTATGCTATGCGTGCTATGGAACCGCGGCCTCATCACCAGGCTGCTGAGAGCAGCGACGACAGCGATGACGACGAGAGCAGCGACGAGGAGCCCCCGGCCAAGAAGGGCAAGGCCGCCGCTGCCCCTGCCGCCAAGAAGGCCGCTGCCAAGAAGGAGGTGAGCAAGGGCGCAGGGTTTCCACCTTGGCGACTGGTATTATGGTGGCGACTGGTTTGAAGCACGTGGGTGCAGAGCTCGTCTGCCTGGTGGGACGAAACGGGGAGTGATGATTTCTACCGGGCCACATCCTTACTGGCTTTCTTTTGCTCCTCTTCCTGCCTGCGTCATACCAGGAGTCTGATGACAGCGACGACGACAGCAGCGAGGAGGAGGAGGCCCCTGCTAAGAAGGCCGCCCCCGCCGCCGCTGCCAAGAAGGCCCCGGCCAAGAAGGAGGTGGGGGGGAGACGAGGGAGAAGCCGGGAGAAAGCTAATCGTTCATGGGGAGTAGCCGGAATTGGACTAGGGGCATGTCGCTGTACCCTGGTGTTGGATAAAGCTGCCTGGCCTTACTTCATCCTAATCGAATGCCGGGATGCCTGCTGGATTGCAGGAGTCTTCTTCCGAGGAGGAGAGCGATGACGATGGTGAGTCGCGGGGAGCAGGGAAAGGGAACGGCATACCTAGCGTGATACACTTGTTTGGTGCGAAGTGGTTACACACTGCCATGGCTGCAGCATCACTTTTGATTTACTCACGCTCCTTCGTTCTTGCGCCCGCACAGAGGATGAGAGCAGCGAGGAGGAGGCCCCCAAGAAGGCTGCCCCTGCTAAGAAGGCGGCCAAGGAGTCTGACAGCGATGATGATGATGAGAGCAGCGAGGGTGGGTGGCGCAGCGTTGGGTTGTGAGGATACCCAGCCTTATACTGTCTTGACGCGCCTGCTCCGCCTGTCCCTTGTGCATGGAAGTAGTGAACGTTAGAGCAGCAACTGTCGCAAAGGATAAGAGTCGTGGGGTAGGGCTGCCGCATGCGGGCGATGCCTGCCTTGCCACATCTTGCTTAAACCTTCGTGACCTCCTCATCTTGAACTCACACATCTTTCCTACTCCCTTAACCTAAACCACACACAGAGGAGTCGGATGACGATGAGGAGATGGAGGAGGCTAAGCCCGCCAAGGGCGCCGCTGCCGGCGACAAGCGCAAGGTCCAGGAGGAGGACGAGGAGGAGGAGGAGGAGGCTCCCAAGGCCGCTCCCCAGAAGAAGCAGCGTCTGGATCTGGAGGGCAACGCCGCGGCCACTGGCGGCGAGAGCAACACTGTGTTTGTTGGCAACATGAGCTGGAACACCACCGAGGACAGCCTGCGCGAGCACTTCAAGGGCTGCGGCGAGGTGCGTGGAGTTGTGACTGGTTGCTCTTGGGTTTTGACGGTCCAGCCGCTCCGTCTGCTTTACACTTCTGTTGTTTCGGTTTACAGAATTCAACATCCATCTCGCAGTTCCAAACTCCATTGACGTCCGACACACCATACCTTGCACGCTCCGCAGATTGTCCACGTTCGTCTGGGCATGGACCCCAACACTGGCCGCTCCAAGGGCTTTGCCCACGTGGAGTTTGCGGACCCCTCCCAAGCCAAGAAGGCCACCTCCAAGGCCGGCAGCGAGCTGGACGGCCGCAACATCAAGGTGGAGGTCGCGGCGCCGCGTGCTCCCCGGGAGAGCTTTGGCGCTGCTGGCGGCCGCGGCGGCGGCGACTCTGACGGCACCACGGTGTTCGTGAAGGGCTTTGACACCAGCTACGGCTCTGAGGACGAGATCCGTGAGGCGCTGCAGGAGACCTTTGGCTCGTGCGGTGAGATCAAGAGCATCCGCCTGCCTTCGGACCGCGAGGCTGGCACCCTGAAGGGCTTTGCCTACATTGAGTTCGGCTCCACCGAGGCTAAGAACGCCGCTGGTGAGCTGGACGGGACAGAGGCGGCCGGCGGCTACCTGAAGGTTGACATCAACGTGCAGAGGCGTGACGGGCCAGGCGGCCGTGGTGGCCGCGACGGCGGCCGCGGTGGCCGTGGCGGCGGCCGGGGCTTTGGCGGTCGCGATGGCGGCCGTGGCGGTGGCCGGGGCTTTGGCGGGCGTGACGGCGGCCGCGGCGGCCGTGGCGGGAGAGGAGGCCGTGACGGCGGCCGCGGCTTCGGTGGTCGCGGTGGCGGCCGGGGCTTCGGTGGCCGCGGTGGCATGCGGATTGACTCCGGTGCCGGCAGCGGCAAGAAGATGTCGTTCGACGATTAGACGAACAGTGGATTAGTTCGTTGGCGCTGAGAACTCGAACGAGGAAACGAGGACCACCACCTTGTTTACGGTGTCAATGGACGGGTCTGCGCTCGTTGGGGAAGTGAGCCCTGGTTTTGGCCTTGGAAAGGGGTTAGGGGTATAGGGGTGCGAAATGGGTCTTGTTTGGAGGCATCATGCCTTTTTATTACACAGTACTAGAAATGCGCTTGTGTTGAAATGTGGTGGTACAGTTTAGGGAGATACCTTGCACGTAACTCTTTACTTGATAGGCTACAGTAGACTATCGGCGCATGGCGCATGGACAGAACCGTGGATTCAGGCGGAGCGGAAAGGTTTCATGACGGTTCTGAATTGCCTCAATTGTACAAGGTTTGTTTTGTTTAGTCAACTTGGTTTTTGTTTCCGTTGGCGGGCATCGCTTTTGTTCGTCGGCGACAGCCACCGTGAGCTCTACTGGTCTGTCCCTGCCAGGGGGTATTTCACGAGCAGCCGGGTCGTGGAGGTGTGGGTGATAAAATGGTTTGTCGTTGGGCCGTAAAGGCTCCCTTGGTGCAATATGACGGAATTGCAAAAGTACGGGTGTCGTACACGTGCAGCAGAACTTGATGATTTAACATGGCTAGCGAGTGAGCGCTGCGGAGTGCTTCTCCGAAAGACCTGAAATGTCTTGTCCTGATGTAACGTGACCTGCTGGTATAACCTTCCCTGACGCCTTGGCATGCGAGATGCGTTCCAGTACCTTACAAATCGACGGTACGGTACCGCAGTACCATTTAAAGGACAGGCTGACCTTGGCGGACGGAAATAGAAATGGTGAATAGGCGTGACGCAGCCTACTTCAACAACGGTCACGACATCCCTGATTTCGCTATTTCGTCGCCTTCCTTGGATAAAATAATGGCGGCAGTTGTTTTGCACTATCCGCCGGTGCAAACAACACGCCGTCGCGCCAAATAAGAAACTGCATTGCATGCAAAAATACCATCCTAATACTGCACCAGCAAATATTAAAGCCCGGGAGGAAGAAGTTCCTCCTAAATGCGTAAGATGCAACAGCAAATGCCTAGGGTTTGCAGGCCAGCGGCGTGCGTGTTACGCATCCACCAGCTGCCCTTAAACTGCATGGGAAGAGCTAACAGCTGCTCCCAAGGCGTGCAACATCCCAGGTTTACGACATGATACGACCTGAACCGCAATGCTCATAATAAGGACGTCGGCCATAGCCCATAGGGCATAGGGCAGATAAGCCATATCCAGATGAAGTATAATGCGAAGCATTCACATCTTCAGACAACAGCAAGTGCAACGAAAGGACTACGATACCACAACACACACACAAAACAGCCCACCCGTAACTCGTGCTGAATTAATCACGCAAAAGGGGCAGCGCCGTACACACGGCCTTCCAATATCGTCGCGCAAAGCAACACGCAACTTGAGAGATAGCGCGACGCGGTTGCATATTGACGCCATCCATGAGGCCGCGCTCGCATCCCAATGCACCCTTGCCGTGCCTTCTGCTCCTTTTCTATAAGCACATCATCCCTCTGCATGCCTGATCATCCAGCCTTCCACCCCTCATCAAATACCCTTTCCCTTCACCCCACTCCCAGACAGCATACTCCCCCGCTGCTGCTGCTCGTCCTGTGCCGCCCCTCCCTGCCCCTGCTGCCCTTGCTGCTCCTGGGTGCTCTTCCCCGCCTGCTCCGTCGTCTCCAGCGCCCGCAACACAGCACCCCGCAGTGCCGCTGCACCGTCACATGCCGCCGTTCCACGCCACACCTCGCTCATATCTGCATGCGGAATATCGGCCGCCGGCCGGTGCAGCAACTCCGGCTCCAGCCACACCGTCCGCACAGCAGCCGGCTCCACACCGCAGGCAGCAGCCAGCGCACGCAGCGCTGCCGCCCGCCGCAGCGGGGGCGTGTCGGGGCATGTGAGCAGCACGGGTAGGAGGGGGCAGGTGGCATCCGAGGCACGGGCGCGCAGCTGCTCCATGTCTTTGGCGCGCAGCGAGCGTAGCGGGTCGCGGCAGCTGGCAGTCACCACCACTGCGTCCCAATCGCAGGGCTGGCAGGATGAGGAGCTGGGTGCGGCTGCTGTTGTGGACGGTGGGGAGGCCGTGAATGCGGGGGTGGCGGGTGCTGGGGTTGCGGGTTGGTGGGCTGAGACATCAGCAACGGCGGCGGGGGTGGCGGGGGTTTTGAAGGTGGCTGCCAGGAGTTGTGAGAGGGAGGGCGCGGAGGGTGGGGGAGCGCCAGGGAACATGTGGTGCCGCAGGAGGCTGGCGGCGTCGGCGGTTGAGGCAGTTGAGTCGTCGTTGGCTACGGACGCATGACGATTGCGGCGGAGGACCTGCAGCAGCGGTGGCGGTCGAGCGAGGGAATGTGCCATGTAAGAAAAACATGTGAACCAGTAGGAGGCGCTGCTGCTGCTGCTCTTATGCGTCAACACCATCCCCTACTCCATCCCATCGACTCTTGCCCCATCCACATCTCATGTAGTCATGTTCCTCACCCCTCTCCCACCCCACACTCCCTCCGCAGCGGCCCCCCTAGCACCCACCTGCAATCCCAGCAACAGCGGCAGCCGCCCCAGCAGCCCCACCACAGCCAGCGGCCGCAGCAGCGCCTCCACCACCCCTCCCAGCAGCCACCGCCACCACCACCCGCGCTGCAGCAGCACCTGGTGTCGCAGCCCCTCCGAAACGCGCCGCATGGCCACAAACGGCGCCACTCCCACCACCTTGCCGCGGCCCGGGCCAGAACCCAGATGAGAAGCCGCCGCTGCCGCAGCGGCAGCCGCAGCGCTAGGTAAGCTGGCAGCGGCCTTGGTGGCAGCAGGGTGCATGCCGCTGGTCGTGGTGGGGGTTGCGGCCGTCCAGGGGGTGTTGCTGCTCAGCGGTTGCACCGGCCACAGGAGAGCCGCTGGAACAGCCGCAACCGCAGTAGCAGCAGAAGCAGCTTCTGGGTGCTGCAGGCCGGTGGCGGTAGAGCCAGCAGCAGCAGCAGCAGCAGCAGCGGTAGCGGTAACGGCAGCACCGGGGTTTGCGTTCCGAGCCCAGCCTGAGGGCTCCACCATACAGTTACAGAGCTCCACACCCTCCGCAATCACTGCCGGTGGAAGCGGAAGTGCAGCACGACCGGAGCTGCCGCGTAAGCTTCCGAGCAGCTGTGGGCGGAGCTGCAGGAGAGGAAGTTTTGGGGGTCGGAGACCTGGGGTGGCTACCGGCGCTGCCGCCGCTGCTTTTGCGGTTGCAGTTGGGGTTGCAGTTGCTGCTGCTGCAGCGGTAGCTGGTGCAGTAGCTGGTGGCGGCTTTCGATGGTCAGCGGGCCGGGCAGGGGCAGGGAACAGCCGCCTTGCGAGTTGCTGTAGTGGGGCGGCCGCAGCTGCCGTCGGAGGTGAAGGCGGCGCCTGCATGTGCTGGAACGCTGGAAGGGTTGTTGAAGCATGGACTGGGTTTCCTGCTAGTACCCCAAGGCTTGGCGTTGAAGTACTTGATGGTCCCGACGACGAGCAAGGCTGCGTTTGGGTGTCCGCAATTTTCGCCGCCGCTGCCGCAGCAGCAGCGCCGGAGAACGCCGGCCTTGCACGGGCTGCTGCTCCGGAGGCCACCGGTCGCACCGTTCGCGTCCAAGGAAGCCACCCGTAACGTAGAAGCGGAGGAGGCGGAGGTGCCGCCGGTGCCTGGGCTTCGAATGTCGAGCTGGTGTCGGATGCACCTGCCTTTCGGAGCCATAGTGACCAGCCGCGACCCAAGGGTCGGCCCCCAGCAGCGCCGTTGGTGCCGGCAGTACCGGCAACCGCCGACGGCGCAGCACCAAATCGCAGCACCCAGCGAGGGGCGTGCGGTGTAGGCCGAGGCGGCCGTTGTGGCTGAGGGTGCGGGACTGCAGGTGAGGAGCCCGTGGCGCTACTTGCAGCAGTGGCAGTCATGGTGGATTCTACATGTGGATGAATTGGGACGAATGGTATCGGTGCTATGGTTGTTCCATTGGATGGCGTGGATGGCACAACGGAAGGCGTGGGACCAGGAGAGGGTGCTTGAAGGCTGGTCAGTGGACCAGTAACAGAGCCGGCCGCCGCAGAGGCCGCGGTTGCCGTGCTGCTTGAAGATGCTAAGCTGGAAGCCTTTTCCACGGCAGCAGCGTTCGGATGCGAGCCGTGGACCCTAGCAAAGGAAGCCAACACAGTCCCCGAGCCACTGGTAGCGGCGGCTGCTGTCACAGCCGCAGCCGCCGCGACAGCAGCAATCGTGGCTGCAAGCATGGCCTCTCCGCCGGCCATTGCTGACGCCGCTGCCGCGGCGGCGGCAGCTGCCGCCGCCACGCTTACCGCGACGTTGCCTAGGAACGCCGTACCACCGTCGGAACCCGACGTCGCTGCCGTACCAAGCGCGCTGACGATTACCGCTGCCGCCGCGAGTGCGGCCGCTGCGCCGGATACGCCGCCAGCCGCCGCCGCCACCCCCACCGCCGCCGCCGCCAAGCTCTGCCGCAGGCCCCACTGCAGCTGCCCGGACCCGATCCGCCAACGAGGCACCCCGGACGTCAGCCGTACCACCCAGCGCTGCGGCAGCGGCGGCGCGGCGGAGGTCTGCTTCCGAGACGAATGCGCACCATGTTGCCCAGTCGGCAGCTGCAGCTGCGGCGACGCCGCCATTGAAGCCGCACTCAGCACTGGGGCCGCGATGGCGTCAGCAGCGCTATCGGCAGGGTGCAGCGGCGGCTGCGACAGCGGTATCCCGGCGGGGACGGAGGCTGACAGCGGCAGATTCCCTTCAGCTAGAAAAGCCGCCGGCGCCAGCGGCTCAGGCGCTGCTGGGGCTTGCGCTGTTGGTGCTGATGCCACTTCGTTTCGCCGCCGCCGCCCGCGGAACGCCCCCGCCAGCACGGATGCGCCGCCTGCAAAGCCCTGGCTTTGCTGGGCTGTTGAAGCCGCTGCAGCAGCCCAATCGTCCACAGAGGAGGACGCTACGGGAGCTGTGGCTGCTGACGCCGCCACCGTCGCTGTCGCCGCGCGCGTTGAACCCCAGCCCACGGGCGCTGCTGCTGTGCCCCGGACCGCCGACAGTGCCCACGCCACCAGCGGCGGCAACCAAACAGCCGCCGCGGCGCCGCCTGCTCCGCCGCCAACCGCTGCGGCGCGCGAGTGCTCATCCAGACTCGCCGCCGCCAGCGCGGACGGCGCCGCCAGCGCCGCCTGGACAAGCGACGCGGCGTACGGCGACGTGCCAATAATGGCGACGCGTCGGCGTTGTACGACAACAGGCACGGCGGACACGGCATGGAAGTCGCTCCGTGCGGAAACTGTCAGCTTGGCGGGCAGGGTACCGTCCAACAAGCCGCGAGCCATTCCCCGTGGCAGCTTTACCTTGAGCAGGAGCCTGCTCGGCATCGCTGCCGCTGCAGGCACCTCGACTCCCCGGCGAGTACTCCTCACCTCGGCATCGCTGCCCTCCTCCTCGCTGCTACTGCTGCTACCGCCACCGCTGCTGCCATCGCCGGCGTCGGCGGCCGAAGCGCTCAAGTGCGAGCGGAAGCGGAATCGTCGCCAAGAGGTGCTGCCGCTGGCGCCGGCGCTGCTCCCGCCGGCCCCTTGAGCTTTACCACGCTGCCAGCGTCGCATCCATTTTCCCGCTAGGTGGTGTAGCGTGTTACGCAGCAGCGATACGGGATGCAGCGGAGGCGGGTTGCTGGCCGGGCTGTACGGCTGCGCGTACAAGACTTGAACGACCTCACATGGCACGTCGGTTTCCGAAACCACTACACCGTCGGGGGATGCCGACGCAGCAGCGGTTGCTTGCACACCTCCGACGTTGATGGCCGCTACGGCTGCTGCAGACGGCGTCGGCGACCAAGCAGGGAAGGGACCCCACCGATGCGCCGGCTTCTTCTCCGCGGTCGAGTCGACAGCAGACGTCGCGGCAGCAGCAACGGTGTGCATACGCAGCGATACGGATACCCTGCGGCAGTACTGCAAGTTCTGGCCTTCAACCTCCAAATCCAGCCGTACAAGCTCCTCCTGACTGCCGCCGCCACCGCTGGCACCGCCGCCGGCACCAGCACGCGCGCCTACGCCGCCGCCTAAGGCCCACCTGAACAGCTGAGCGACAGGCATGCCGCTAGCGGCTGCGGCAGCGGCGGTGCCCGTCCCGGTCGCGGCTGCTGCTGCGGCTACCACCGGAGCTGCCGCAGCGCCGCTGCGCGCCGCGCGGCTTACCATCCACCAGCGACGGGTGCTGGCGCGCGGCGTAAGTGCAGGTTGCTCCAGACCTGCCGGCTCCACGCCACCCACCGCACCGGTCGCCGGTGCTGCAGCTTCCGGCTCCGCTTCGGAGATGTCGTCCTGGGCGGGGCTGCGCAGGGTGCCTCGTAGCACTGCGTGATGTACGGATATGCACGGCATGAGGTCGATGTCCAGTTTGATCAGGGGTTGTGTTGATGGCTCCCCCTGCGTGTTGGTGTCCGGTGCTGCCCTGGCCTCAAGACCGGACACGGCCGGCTCTTGCTGGCGGTGGTGGTGGTGTTGGGTTGTGATCTCACCGCCGAGACCATGGTACGACGACTCCGAGGGCTGTTGCTCTCCGGACGATAACCGAGCGAAGATGTCCAAATGCCGTTGCCTAGTGAGGAAACAAAAAACAGTTGGAAGGGCCGCATGCCTTCAAACGATTTCACAAGAGCAGTGACAACAGAGCGCACCAAAGCAGCGGTACTTGCTGGCCATTGAACAACTTGCTACCCCAAATACATAACTCCACGCCCCGTCAACTCTCCCAAGGTCTTACCGCCCACCGCACCTGTAAGCAAGCATGCGGTGGAAGGAAAAGAAGCCCCGTGCCCCCTCTGGAGGCTCCGCAGCAGCCGCAACAGCGGCACCTTGCTGTTGCTGCTGCTGCTGGTTCTCGCGGTCCCGCGGCCCCTGGCCCAGCTGCTGCTGCTGCTGTGGGTGCTGCTGCTGCTGCTGGCGTCGCTGCAGCTCCTCCGGCGACAGCGCGCCCTCCTCCGTTATGAACCACTGCGCGCCGAAAGTGTGGAAGCGAGACACCTGCGAGGCGATGGGGCAGCGATGGAGGCACATGGGGGGTTAGCGGCGTAGCGAGCAATGGAGGAACAGGTGCACCCACGGAGGATGGGGGCCGCTGCAAGGAACGGAAAGCTGCGATGCCACCCACTCACCGGTAGCAAGGCGCGAGGGAGCGGGATGCGTGCACGAATAGCCATGCGCCGCATACGCCGCAACACCCGCTTCCGCTCCAGGGCTAGCCGCACGCCCCAGCTGCCTCCGGCCTTGCCGTACAGCGCCTCTTGCCGCGCTGCAGCTGCCAGACTGCTCCGCCGCTCGCCTTCTGATCCGTTTGTGCTGCTGCCGGCGTCACTGCTGCTGCTGCTGCTGGCGCCACCGCTGCTGCGGTCCCGGCTGCACTCTTCACCGCTGCTGCTGTCATAGCCCAGCATGCACGTAGCCACGGTTGCCGGACCCATGGGATCAGGGGCAGGGGCTAGGATCTCCTCCATTGCCAGCCCAGCTTGCTCCTCATCCAAGCTTTCAAAGACGCTGCTGCCAGCCATATCAATGCTGCCCGTGCTGCTACTGCCGTTACTGCCTGCGTAGCAACTAACGGCCGCGGCAGCAGCAGGGCCATGCGATGCCGCCACACCAGCTTCCGACAGCGCCATGGGACGGAAGGAAGACCCAGGTGACAGCTTTGCCGACATGGGATGTCGAAACCCTTGCACGTGCTGCTGCGATGGAGGATGAAACCCTGCTAGACTTGCGCTCCGACTTCGAACGCCACTGTTGACAGCAGCAGCAGCTGCTGCAGCAGCAGCATCACAGCTGCCGCCGACATTCCCAATTCCACTGCCATACGCGTGCCGCGACTCGACGGCTTCGTCCCTGGGGGCTGCCGCGGGGACGCAGTCCGCACTGGCGAGGCTCAGGCTGCTGCTGCTCGTCCCAAGCCTGCCTAGGCTGCTGCCGACGCTGCTGCTACTGGTCATGCTGCCGAAGCCGACGCTGCTGCATACGCTGGAAGATGAAGAGACGCGAGGGAGCAGCGGTGGAGACGGCCGGAAGGCGGTGGCTGATGCGGCTGACGATCCATGAGGCGGCGGCTCGCATGACCCAGGGTCCACGGGGGTAGCTGCGCTGCCGTTGCTGCGTCCGCTGTCACTAGCCACATCCACCGCTGAAGCGCCCTTCTTCTTCTTTCTGCTCCTCCTGCTTCCAGCACCTGCACCATGAGCAACCGCAGCAGCTGCCGTTGCACCCGCAGCAGCACCGCCAGCTGATGCACTGCCAGCACCGCCACCTGCACCCGCCTGCCTGCCTGTGCTCGTGCTGGTGCTCGTGTTTGTGCTGTTCCTTGCCTGCGCAAAGCTGATGAGCTGCACCAGCTGATCCTCCGGCAGGTAGTAGGTGGCGAAGTGGCCCGCCCAGCCCGCGTTCTCAACCATCTCCGCCAGCGCCGCGTTGCCCACAGCGGGGGTGGCGAAGGAGATGCAGCGCACGCGGGGGCGCGGCCAGTCAGGCAGCTCCCGCAGCAGCCGCAGCGTGCAGAGCTTGGCGACGGCGCCTGAGGATAGGGTGCATGGGTTGCGTGAGAGGCGTGCATGGAGGGATGGATGGATGGAGTGAAGGGAAAAGATTCAAGTGTGAAGGCAGCTGAGTTTCGTGGTCTAATGGGTCAAAGTTCCTGTCGGCTGTAAGATCTTAACCCGACAAGGGAGCGTCGGGGCAGTCTCTCACCTCCCAGGGAGTGGCCGCACAACACGAGGCGCAGGCCGCGGCTGACCGCCAGCTCGTACAGCTGCTCCACCTGGATGCTACGAGCGCGCTCTAAGAAACCCCGGTGAGCGGCTGGAATGGACTGCGGGAACGGCAAATGGGGTTGAGACGGGTTGAGGGTGGAGATGGTGTGTTGTTGGCGAGCTGTGTCAGGGCCAGGAGCAGCTCAGAGGAGAAACGGGGGCCATGCGCAGGCATAGGTAGATATAGGGTATGCGCATGCAGCTCATGTAGGCGAGGTGGCAGATTAAGGGAGCGCCACCTCCCTTAACGGAGTTGGTGGCAGGTGTAGCAGGCCAGGTTGGGATTGGGGGCCATATGGCATTTTGCAAGTAGTTTTAACCTGGACAGGCGCCCCACCTGTCGATCCATTGCAAGTCGGGCCGATTCGGCCCACACAGGGGTGTGCAGCAGGTTGGCATCGACAAGGAGGTCCTGGAACTGCTTTGTGCCCATGAAGGCAACGTACATCGTGGTAGGCGAGGTCGCAATAATGTAGTGTTGTGGAATCTCCTGCAGCGTGATCTGCATGGAATCCAGTTGTACCCAGCCCGGGGGAAAGGTGGCGAGGAATTCGGAAACCTTGGCTGCCACATCCTGTTCGCTAAGCTCCAGCTTTTTGTAGACGCATTCGCTGAGCACCAGTGAAGCAATTAGGTCCTGCATCTCGTCTGTTCCCTCCAGTCGCAGTAGGCGGCACGCTTGTGCAAGCGCATCGCCTGCCGGCAATTGCTCAGCATGGCCGGGGCCTTCGACTTCAACATGGCTGGAGCGACTAGGCAAGGCATGTGGAATATACTCTAGCTGCCTAGCTGCCCGGAAACGCCTACTGCTGCGTGACGCAGGCCTTGCCGTAGGCCTGTTACGTCGATGGACAAAGGTTCTGCTGCAAGGCGGTTCTGCAATGCTGTTGTCCCGAGCATCCTGCGGCAACGTCTGCCGCGGATTTGGTGCTCGAAGCGACGGCATAGGTGCACGCACAATGTATGAAGACCACCGTCTTCTAGAACGGCGCCATTTGCGCCCTACACGTAACAAGCATATTTATCATAGCCATATAGTCACGAACACCTTTGACCAAGCAGAAGCCTTTCTAGACGCGCGCATTATGAGTGGCTGTGCCGTTCTGCTGCCCTCCCATGCAACTCACGTACGTAGGAAACCATACTCTCACCGATGAAACAATTGATAGAGTTTCAGAATATACTTCAGGTATACATGGTATCCAATAGACAAATGGATACACATTGTCAAACGGCTGGGCTCTGGTCACACGTGTGGATGGGAGATGACACGCACGTCTTCCACTTGCCACCCGCTTCCTTGGCCAACCGTCTCCAAGCAACGGGGATGTAAGAGCTAACAGCCTTTGACAGTTTCAAGATTACAGCAGCTGACCTTGTAACCTCCCCAGTGCAAGTAATGGTATGAAATTGCAATGGCTCCATAAGTTTGCAAGGGAAACGCGTGGACAACCACAGGCATTCCCGCTTTGAGCGCGCGACGACATCTTGGGGAACAGCCACTTCGCAGTCTAGCCTGCAACGTGGTCTGGGGATTTCCGCTGCACATGCTCCATACTTGGCGATAGACGCATCCCTGCTATACCCACCAATCCGTGTGCTTTGCCAGGCAGTGGGAATCCATGGCATTGGCATTCGCTTACAATAGACTAGTCACTAACCGAGGAGAAACCTAGGTTACTAGGTTTCCATGCAGCTTTAGCTAACGAGGGCTGGGCAGATGGTTTAAGCCCAGCCAATCATGCATACATGGTAAACGGGGCATCCAAAGGAATTGCGAAATGCATCTACCAATCGCACACAACCCCAGCAATGGCCACTTCCTTTGGTAAACAACATCAACACAAGGAAGCCTCCACTCCAGGGGTAGCGCAAGAAGTCACGTATCAACCGGGCATTGGGCGCAAACATAGCTCATTAATGCCGCTTCCATGTAATGAATGTGCAGGGCTGGACGCAACGCAAACATATCCCAGCTTGCGCCAGAGATGTGTTAGGAAGTATTTGGGGGGCCTCCACGATAAGGGGACCCGTAAGATCCAACAACCTGCAACCCCTGCCGAACCGCACCTAAGATGGCCTCCTAAACCGGTACTACGATAGCCAAAACAAGCAACAGAAGCTGGCCTCTGCCGTACTCGCAAACGAGCACGCAACCAGAGTCTCAACCATGTACCCCGAATGGGCGGCACCATCCAGACACTGCGCATACCAAAATCACTGTTTAGGTTTTCGTTTGTTGCTTGCCTAGTAGTGCCCTGGCATTCCGTTCGTGCGGGGCATCCTTTGCCTGTTACTCAACCTGCCATACACATCCGCAAACGTCGTGAAACCCTGACATCGACAACCTGCGCAAGCGACAGCACTGCGTGCTAACACAAGGGAACTCATAAAGTATGAACAGCGCAACCTCTGGTCAATACTGGTACCGTACTTGACATTTCACATGACACCAGCAGCAAATATTTGCACCAAAATGCCTAGTCGACAGCTTAGATAGCAGGCAGTTCAAAGAAGGGTCAATCAACGACGTGTCATGCATAGAAGAGCGAGAAGCGACAGTCATGCCAAGTCAAAAGTCAGACAATTCGCAGAAAGCAAGCAGTATTTTCCTCCTCCTAACCCGGCAAAGGGGGCTACAGCAACACAGGCCAGATGCAACAGTAACCAAGCAACCACCTAGCTGCTGCAAGTTCAACTGCAACAGCAACCACCACCACGTCACAACCACCACAGCCCCACACAACAACAACAACAACTCCGAGGCCACCGCCGCCCTGCATGCTCAACCTAAAAGTTACAGTCCCCTCTGAAGCTCTTCTTACTGGGCATGCGGAACTGACGGGGCCCCGGCGCGCCCTTCAGCCCGCCCGGGCCCCCGTTCAGCCCGGGTAGATGCGGTTTAGGCCCCACGTGGTGCGAGTTATCCGGGTGCTGCTCCGCCGCTCGTGCGGCCTGACTGGGTCTACGAAGGAGCTCCATGGCTTTAGGGGGCGGCCCGCGTGCGCCGCCCAGGGATGGTAAGGTGGGCAGCTTGGGTTCGACGAGCGCTGCGGCCATCAGGGCTGTGGAGGGCGGCTTGCCTCCCGGTAACCCGGGAGCCCCTGGCACGTTCCGCAACTCATGCGGGTGCAGCCGCGAGGCCTGGCCCAGAGCCGGTAGGTGCTTCCACTCCGCTTGTGGACCCATGGGTCCGGGCTCCGAAACCGAAACCTTACGTGATGATGGTGTACAAGATGAAGCGCTGGAGCGTTGTCGTACAGGACTGCCATTGCTGCCGTGACGGCTTGGGCCGCCACTGGGCGTGGTTATTACCGCAGCACCCGTAGCCTCCCTGTCCACTGACTGTCGTACCGCATTGCTGTTAATGATCGCATTATGCAGCGGATTGGCCTTCGGCCCATCCGTGCGCGCATTCAACAGCGGCGGCTGCCCTCCCTCCGCCCCTCTAGCCGCCTTCAAGTGCTGATCCGGCGCCTGCTTTCCGCCACCCGCCGCATCCCCACGGCCAGGCAGCGGCACCAGCGGTGCCGCCTGGCTCCTGCCACCCGCCCTGAGCGCCGTCCCGCCAGCTCCCGGGGGCGGCCGGTCCTTATCCTTGAAGTTCGCCCAGCTGAAGGGGTCCGTGGGCAGCTCAGCTAGATGCCCCTTGCCCTCCTCACTCGCCATCATCTCCGCGAGGGCAGGCTGCCGCGCACCCGTTTTATTACCCGCTGCAGCACCACCCCCTGCCAGGTGGTGCATGAGGTTGGGATCCGGAACGGCCGCATCCAGGTCCGCCGGAAGCTCCCCGAGGTCTGCGGAGTTGGTCCCGCTGAGAGGCAGGTTGTCCTCGTCAAACGCCGACTTGGTTGAGACCTGGCGGGCGCGTCGCGCCGCAGCCGCATCCACTGCCGCCGTGGCTGCGGAGGCCTCCTGTGAGGCGGTGCGGGATAGCCCGAACAACGCGTCATCCTCCTCGTCATCACCCTCAGCACCGGCAGCTGCTGCTGCGTCGCCGTCGGCAGCGGCAGTCTTGCCAGCAGCAGCGAAAGCTGAGGGCTGCTGCTGCTGGCGCAGGCCTCCGGCTGCAGTGGACGCCGGGGACTTGTCGGAGGCAGGGGTCACATCTGGAGCCCCGTCATCGTCTTCCCGCAGCAGCGCGTCAATGTCGATATCGTCATCCCCTGCACCTGCACCCGCTGCTGCTGTCTCCGCTGCGGTTCCAGAAGCAGCGCCGCTGCTGTACCTTTCCAGCAAGCCCTGCCACCGAGTCGCCTGGCCCTTCAAGCCTTGCAGCAGGCTGGACAGGCAGGTCGCGGCTGCCTGCGGCGTGCCGTCAGCGCTGCAGCCAGTGGCAAGGGCTGCCAGGGAGGCTTTAAATCGCTCTGCAGGGATGGGCTGGCTGCCCCCTGCCGCGTCCTCCTGCCATGCAGCGTCCAGCGCGCTCTGCTGGACTAGCGGTTCGGAGCAGTTGAGGATGGAGCTAAGGATGTCCTGTGGGCGGGTGAAAAGGAGGGTTGATGCACGGGTGTTGGCATCAGATAGCAGCCCAGGCAGTAACCCCTCTTGAGTTGCAGCTCCAAGGAAAGCCAGCTTCTGGTGTTTTGCATGGAAGACATCCAAACACGCTTGCTATATCCTGGAAAGTTATTAAACGGACGTGCCCCGGGGATGACAATACCCGCATGCGTGACGCGCACCTGCACTAGAGCGTGTGCGGCGGCATAGTATTGGGGTTTGTTGACTGCCCCGCCCGCTGACAACCAAGCCTGCCAGGCCTCCAGCTGTTGTGCCAGCGCGACATCTTGCATGTCCACCTGCATGCAACCAATGGGCTTATGTTTGCCCCAACAAGGAGATACCGAAGCCAAAGAAGGCACCCAACTGCCGCTCGCAAACAGGCATACAAAGAAGACCAACGGACACGCTAACAACGCAGACGATGCTTGTAAGCGAGTAAATCTTACCTTCACGTTTTCTAGGTGGGCTTCGTCGTGTCCATCCGTACTGCGCGCGGAGCACGTTGTTTGTCTTAGTCAGGACAGGAAAGTCGCAACCGTCTAATACACAAGGTGACGAGGTTGCAACCGCCGTGTGAACATGAGTCCTAAGAGAATGCTTCAAGCGCGCGCGTGAGTGCCTCTCACCTACTCCACTCCAAGCCCGCTGCACTGCTGTTAGCCTGAAGGACGCCAGTTAAACAGTGTGCCAAGCCCAACGTCGGGGCACTCCCTGAGCTTTGCCAGTTTTCAAGTCTCTTTAACAATACAGGTTCGAGCTGTGGTGCTGCTAGGTACATGGTTCGTGTAAAGTGGGCAGTCGAACTCGCTGCAAGTCTATTAGGCACAGACGAGCGGCGGCCAGAGCCTGCATAATGTGGTACAATCATAGGATGTAGGAACAAAGATATTATGCTATAGCTCGAAGCGGAGACGAGGCTTCGCCTGGGCTTCCAACATGATGTCCGAAAAGCTGGACAACGGCATCGCCAGGCCATCACAGTAACTTTCAGCTACAAATATCATCCAGAAAGCAATCGTACCTGGCCGCCGTGACTTAACAACGTTCCTGTGCGCAAGGCGCTGAGATGAACCCCAGGGTAAACGAAGAGGCTATGCCATTTTATACGCGCTCTATGGCTTGTTCGGCTGTAATAGAGTTAAGGCTGCACTTAATGAGTGCCCCTGGTGGTTGCCTCTCCAAGCGGAAGTTCTACGGTGCACAGGTAAGGACAGTATGTGACAAGGGAAGCAATGATGCACGACTGGAAGGCATGATTCTTTGTATAGTGCGTTTTGCAACGATGTGGAGTGAGCGATTTTGCGGGTTGGCGTGCCATCAAGCCGTGTACGACGGTTTGCCCTGCGACTCTCAAGGCAGTTCTTGAATAGCCACACCGCAGCATGCAGGTACTTGCAACAAACCAGCAACATACATTAATGAACATAACCCTGAGGTTGCGCTTGACTCGGCTACTCGCTGTTCCAAGCGGCTTTGCCGGCGCGAAGCCACGACGTGTAGATCACACAGTTGTACTATAGCAATCCTCTATACTGGCAATCGGCACTTAGCAGCGTGTAAGATTACGCCGACGCCGCGACGACGGCCAGCAACAGTTGACGCAAACGCAAGAGTGGAAGCTGCCTGGACTGCCTCGAACGGGCTAGCGACTAACACACAGCCAAACGTTTGATCAGTTTCCAATTTCGCATAGCCTTTACGGCTCTTTGCGGCCATGGTCTTCTACTTCTATCCCCGAGGCCATAAGCCAAACACCGAGGACTTCATGATTTACATGGGGAAAGACAAGGTGTGCTTGGTAACACTCCACAGCTCTCGAGGCCCTGCTATTCAGAAGCGATGTAGCCATTCTGACGGGAAGTCCTCCCACGGGCCATTTGGGGCCTCCCCCAAACGTTGCTACGCCGCTGACATGCTGAAACCAAATCCCTCCCTGCAGTACGAGAATGAAGACTTAATAGCTCATGGGCTGCCTTGTGACCTGTGGTGAGCTGAGAGCAAGGGGGAAACTGGTGCTAGTGCGTGTGGAGGAAGCAGCTGCTGAGATCTGGCCCGACCGGATTACTCGGGCCGCCAAGGGCTAGCTGGTCCTGTCCCATCGTAACTAAGATGGATGGAAAAGGGGCCGGCACGAAGCCGGGATGCTGCCCTACACGATTGACCCGTGGTTCTTTTTGTGGCATGCACGTACTATGCCCTTACCGGTATCTCGCCTAAACCACGCCTCCATCCGCTCTCCGTGGGTCGCTGCTGCTGCCGCTGCTGCGTTCAATCCCACTGTAAAGGATGCCTTCAGCTCCACCCACCTGCCTCCCTCGGCACCGCGCCCTTGCGCCCTTTCCTCCTCCTCACCCTTCCCTCGCCCCGCGTCCCCCCCGCAGGTTCCACGTGGACGACATGTCCTCCGCGCACGTCTACCTGCGGCTGCCCGATGGCTGCGACGTCAAGGACATCCCGCAGGAGGCGCTGGAGGACTGCGCGCAGCTGGTCAAGCAGAACTCCATACAAGGTAGCGGCGCGTGGCTTGGGGGGGGGCTGGTAGTGGGTGTTAAGGAAACTGGCCGCGAGTTGGGACGTGCTGTGGTTGCCGTGTGATGGCATGTGACATGATGGCGTGAGGAGCCCAGCCCGTGTGGCGCGGAGGACGGACACCAGCTAGGGGTGTTGGTGGCGATGATGGGAGGCGCCCTTGTGGGTGCATGTGAAGGTGGAGAGCGTTGAGGTGCCCCCACCACACCACCACCATCACCTCCCCCGCATGCTGGGCAGCTGCCTCTAGCGCTCACACACGCGCCACATCAGCGCTCTGAAACCACCGCCACCTACCGCTTGCTGCACACCTCATGCACACAGGCTGCAAGACCAACAACGTGACCATCGTGTACACCCCCTGGAGCAACCTGAAGAAGACGGCGGGCATGGACGTGGGCCAGGTGGGTGGGTGGGTGGGTGGGTGGGGGGCAAGGGGAAGGAGAAACCAACATGTAGGGGATGGGCTTGAGACATGGCTGCGCTTTTTCGTAGGGGCCCTCACCCGGATTATCGCCACTTTTGTCCACGGCATGGCAACCCCATGGTATCATCGTTTTCTCCCCTCTGCCGTCCCCCATGTGCAGCATATCCACGCCCCCCTGCTATCCTCCCCCTCCTCCTCCTCCTTTTACCCTCCCGCCTGCCACAGGTTGGCTTCCACGACCAGTCGCTGGTGTACAAGGTGAAGGTGGAGCGCAAGAACAACGACATCATTAACCGGCTGGAGAAGACGCGGCAGGAGCGCTACCCGGACCTGGCGGGCGAGAAGGAGGTCTACATGTCGCAGGTGGGTGGGTGGGCAGGTGCGGCCGGGGGGGGAATTAGGTAAGCTGAGCTGCGTGAAACAAATGATCCTGACCGTCTTGCAGCGGGGGGAGGGGGCAGGAGCTCCGTCGCACGCCTGGGGTTGGGACGTGACGTGCTGTGTGAACCATGTCACGTGGGGATCACTGTCGGTCGGTATACCGGTGTGGTGTCCAAGCAAGGAAGCACGCGGCAATTCCAAGCGGGGGGCGTCTGCCGGTGTACCGGTATGTGCAGGTACGGCAAGCCCGGCGCGCGGAGGAGCGGGCGTCACGCGCCGCTGACAAGGCTGCTCGCGACGAGCGCAGGAAGCAGGAAGACATGAAGAGCTACAAGCATATAATGAAGGTGTGAGGGGCAGGGGGGCCAGTGAGGTTGAGGGGCAGGGGCGGGGCAGGCACGCGGGAGCATGGCACAGCAGGACACATGGGTCCTTGGCGTTGCATACGGTCTTGAGTCTTGGGTCTTGGGCCTTGCGACACGCCTCCTGACGTACGCCCACGCACCCCTCCTCTGCTTGTCGTACAACACCGTACTGCCGTACTGCACTGTTGCTCCACACAGGACGAGTTCATGGTGAGCAACAAGGACCTGAAGGACAAGTACACCTCGGTGGAGGAGCTCGAAGAGGACTTCATGTAGTTTGGGGGGGTGAACAACACGTGTGTGGGTGCACCTAGCTGCTGCTGCTACTGCTGCTGCATCAGGACCGTTAGCAGGGCAGTGGCGAGAGTGTTGTAAGCTTTCACGCGAAGGGGACAGCCTAAGACACAGGAACCTACGCTGGGATAGAGGTGGATGGTGCCAATCACGTTGGTACTCACTGGTCTCCTTCCCTCGTGCTGCTTTATGGCAGGAAAAGCATTTAGAAGCAGCACGAGGGATTCAATGTTGCGTTCTCGGGATTGTACAGGACATTTGGGTGTCAGGGAGCCGAGGAAGAGTGCCTAGCTGCTACTTGGCCCATTCCAGCAGATCGGGAGGAAGGGAGCCATGGGCCCTCAGTGGCTGCTCGCTTGTGCCAAAGCAGGCCAACAAGGCTTACATGAAAGGGGTCAAGCCCTAACCTCCACGACACCGTTGCCAGCGTCGCGTCGCACGGCGTTTGGTTCCAGCATACCGCCCGGTAGGCTTCCTACATGAACAGCACGTCGCCAGCTGCCCCCTATAGCCCGTCACCGAAGGTGGGGTGTGGACGAAAAGCCATTGTGACATTAAGCATCGGCGGTGCAGGACTATTCTAAATTTTGCCGGGCGCAGTGCTTCAGGGTGAGGCCGCAGGTCGTATCGGTCGCTAAATTTTGCCGGGCACAGTGCTTCAGGGTGAGGCCGCAGGTCGTACCGGTCGCGCGGCTACATGTAGTAGTTGGATAGCTTGCGCGCCATTTGGTGCGGGAGGCTAAAGTAAGGCACAAGGACTGACGGCTAGTTTTTCTCTCAGTTTGGGCAAGTAGCAGGGGAGACAAAAGAGCAGCGGACATCACAAATCACACGTCGTGTTTTATAAGTCACAGGAAACGTTCATCAATGCTATTCGCAGTTAAATGCCAGCCGTAATGTATGCCCGCAAATCGCGTTTACATGATGCTATGTATATATAGCTAGCTCACAGCGGTTGGCCCTTGCCATCGAAGCCCGTGTGCTGCTGTTGCTAAGCTTTAAAACAAATGCTAACGGTAGTATGAAGAAGTGAAAACCATACATTTTGATAGTAAGAAAATAAATGAGCATAATCAGTGAGTACCGGTAGTCGCAAGCAAGCGGCATCCGGCCGTGCTTTAGCCATTCATTGCTGAGAATGGTAAATTCCTAACGAAGTGGAAAGCGGCTGTGTTGGCGGCGTCAGCAATACCGGTGCAAAGTAAGGACGAGCAAATGGGCAACGTGCGACGATCTCAAACAGTTACATGCAGCCGTCAGAATTCCAAGGCTGGATTCATGTTATGCATAGAAATAATTTAAATATAACCGGGCCCAAAGCTGCGATACGTATCGACATCTGGTTGGGACGAGCGATTTCTGGTTGGGACGAGCGTACTGATCGACCCAGAATATTTGGTGTTAGTCCAGTTCCAGCTTGGACAATTTCGCGAGCACCAGCAACATGAATCTTCGACTCGCGTCTGCGGCTTTTACTGCACGAGACATTGGTCGCTTCACACAAGCTTGTATCTTGCTAAGCTACGAACGAACGCAACGGTACCCGACTTGAAGCAAATTTGCAAACGTAGGGCGTCCTTCACCAGCGCCCTCCCCTCAAACGACCCGCTATGAGCCGCAGCTCAGATGGAGGAGGCTAAGGGCCCTCAAGCGAGCCCGTCTGCGTCGCCTGTGCAGCCTCAGCTGCCGGCGGGGCCGCCAAGCGGACCAAGCACCTCCGCACAGCAAGCTGACCAGGAAGCCTTTCCCAAGGTCAAGGTGGGCTCTGTGCAAGCACAGATGCATATCTTTGTTGTTAGGTCTTGTTAGCGGGGCCACGGAATTCGTTACGTTGGTCTAGTTTGGCAAAGCCTTGAACCCGGTCCTGTAAAGCACATAGCAATATGAGGTAACTTCTTCTCAAAGCGCTTCACTTTTTCATGGAAGGCAAAATATTTTAAGGGGACACGATGCATTTGCGTGGATTGCCAAATGCCCTCTAGCTTGTAACAAGTTACTTCTCGGACGCAGGCGCGGAAGCCGTATATAATAACCAAGCAGCGAGAGAGATGGACGGAGGAGGAGCACAACAAATTTCTCGAGGCGCTTAAGTTATATGGTCGCGCATGGCGGAAAATTGAAGGTCAGGTTGGGTCTCCCTCCCCAAAGCGAGAAGCGCAACAGATGTTCCTTAATCTTTGACTATGACAAAGTGCTCGTGACCTGGGACGTGCATCCTCCACGTCACGGACTGATAACACAAACTGTGTATGGCTGTCGCGTGTTTCTTCGAGCTGCCCCGTGCTTCCTCTACCCTACAAATAGCCGCATCCGGACCCCCAGAAACCAACTGAAGCTTTTGCATCCCGGCCCCGTAATTTATTCACAGAGCACGTCAGCACCAAGACGGCTGTGCAAATCCGGAGCCATGCGCAGAAGTTCATCAACAAGCTGGAGAGGAACAAGGACACGGGGTCGACTGAAGACGGTACGTTCACAAAGGCAACTTTTCCGAGTAGTAGCCTGGAAGCATTTCCAGATTCCGAACGAAGCTAGGGTGAAAGGCCGTTTTGCGCATGACCTAACCCTTGACCTGTCCGTGCAGTGGGCTACCTTACCATTCTCAGCTTGTGACTCATGTATCCTCGCCATAACACCCGCTGCCTCACATTCGCATCCGCAGGCGAGGGTATCAGCATTCCGCCGCCCCGGCCCAAGCGCAAGCCCACGCGGCCTTACCCGCGGAAGGACCCACTGGGTGACAGCGCTAGCGGCGCCGCGGACATCATGAGCGGCGTCAACAGCGGTGGCGGTGCAGGTGGTGGCGGCGATCCCACTGGAAGCCAGGGCCTGACAAACAGTCAGCAACAGCAGCAGCATCACCTGCTACAGTCCAAGTTTTCACTGCCCGCAGCGCCGCGGTCATCCCAACTGCTGCAACCGCCTGCAAGCTCGCTCCAACCCTTGCCGTTGCAACTGCCGTTGACGTTGCAGTCGCAAGGGCAGCAACTGCCGTTAACGCCGGTGGCGGCGGCAGCCGCGGCGGCGGCGATTAAGCAGCAACAGCAGCTCCTACAGCAGCAACAACAGATGTTGGATAAGCAGCAGTCCTCGGCATATGCGGAGGTTACGGACGCGACTGTGGCTGCGGTGGCGGCGGCGGCTTCAGCTGCTGCTGCGGCGGCGGCAGCGGCGGTGGTGGCGGCGGCGGGGCAGCAGGTCCAAGCGCACTTGCAGGTGGGTCGTGAAAAACGTGAGCTCATTCCCTCGGTTTGTTAAGGATGAGTTTGGAGATTTGGAAGGGAACGAAGAGCTTTAGGCTGGGTTAGGCTGCAGTTACATGCTTTCAATACTGGGTTGTCCAATACTGGCACCCCGTCACGCTGCCCTTCACACCCCCTTGTGCACAGGCGCATCCGCCGCAGGGGTTTCCCTTCTTCGGCATGCCCCCGTCACTACTGGCGCAGATAACACTGCAGAACCCTGCCCTGGAGGTAAGCGTGAGAACCCATTTTCCTTCCCTTCGTTCGTATGCGGCGGTTTTCGATGTGGGTTGCTGGTGTATTCCTCTCGTTTCCGGCTCTTGGCGGGCTCGCCTGGCAGTCCGTGCGCTCTTCTCTTTTACTTACCGGTACTTGCTCCACACGGACTGCTAGGGGATGAGCTGGTCCGGGGATGGAGTCGTCGGCGTCGGTGGTGGAAGCTCCCATGCAAACCCCTACGTACAAGGACACGCCAACGGCGGCGCCGGCGGCGGTGGCGGCGGCGGCGAAACGGCTCACGGCGATTCCTGGGCGGATCATTTGCACGGCAGCGGCGCTGGATGGGCGGCATCCGCGCACGACAGATGGCACCATACGCACCACCACCACCACCACCATCACCACCACCATGGAGCCACGGACAGGTCTCAGCAACACCAACAGGTGCGGATTGCCGCACAGAAATCGCCGCTGCCGACGTACATGCCCGTGTTGTGCTTTCCATATGCGTGCCTTGTGCCCGGGGCTCCGATCCAAACGTCATGTCGTATCCTCTGTTCCTGTTGTACTTCAGGCGCTTGCCGAGGCGACAGCGACCACAACCGACGCCGAGAACCAGGTTGCCCTGCTAGGGGGTGAACTGGTGCGCATGGGCGTGGGCGGGGGGCAGGAATCGCGGGGCAGCGATGGGAACAGCGTGGTTACGGAGCGGGAGGGCGAGCAGGGCAGCGACCGGGACGGAGGCGACGATGTGGGGGGAGGCGGCGGTGACGCGGACGACATGGGTGCGGAGGCGGGAGTTGGGGAGCAGGCGGCGCAGAGCAACCGCGAGGATGGTCAGGTGAGCGTGGGATGTGCGTCGTGGGTGTATGGGGGGTAGGGGTGAGCTGCAACTCAGCCGGCAGTGGAGGCAACGGTAGGCGACTGGCAAAAGGCACTGAGCGCAAAGATGACCTCTGGTGAAGTACTGATCCCTAGGCAGCATGCCTAGCTGGCGGCCTAGGCGGCCTGCTCGACTGTCCAATGCTACAAGTACCAATGTTACGTCGCTTGCCGCCATGCTTTCCCGCTGCAGTGGGCGAATGGAGCGCCGGAGGGAGACATGGGCCGCCCCGGGCTGACCACGGCGCAATACTGGCAAATCCTAGGTAAGCCTACGCGGGGCCGCAACTCCGCCACCTGCCACTAGTGCTGCTCTTGGTTCACCCGGTGTCGTGCCTTCGTCCTCCAGCCTCATCCCCAATGCGTACCTTTTCCTGACCCCGTTTTACTCCCCGTTCATCCTCCTCTCCTATCCCTTCACAACCACACGCGCGCTTCACAACCACCTCCATAACCACCTCAGGCATGCTCAATAGCGGTCGGCCCACGCACACCAACACCACGACAACCGCAGGCCACCCGTCCCGAGATCGAGATCGGGAGCGAGACGGGGGCAACGCGCACGGCCACGGGCATGGTCACAGCGGCCACAACAAGTCCCTGAGTAACAGCACGCGCACCACTACCGGGAGCGGCGGGGTGCTGCAGGGTGTCGGCAAGGGCGGCTCCGGAAGCGCCAAGACGCATGTTCACAAGGAGCCCACTGGCTTCGCAAGGGAGGGGCATAAGAAGGTGGGTCGCCTGGTGACCGTATGTGGTAGCTGGAAGGCTGCGTGGCATGTGCGCATGTGCTGTTGTGTTTTTTTGTTCATTTGGGTGCGTGGTCAAGCGTGTCAAGCGGGCTATCAAGCATGACCCATATGAGGCGTTTCTTGTGTAGGCCTAGCGTTTGTAGGTGGGCTGTGCTTGGGCTAAGAGAACTGGCCGCGAATGGGGTGTGCATGCGTGGGTACCGCTTCACTGTGGGTCCACTGTCTTCCTCTGACCCATGGGTCCGTCTTTCCTTCCTTGCAGGCCACGCCGCGCGCCTCCTCGCCCTGCTACAGCGACGTGAGCCAACAGGTGGAGCGCAGCCGCCCGCAGCGGCACCCCCACACCCACCACCACCGCCAAGACCCCAACTCGCCGTCCGTACAGGACGCAAGTGGCAAGCCGGCAAATCGGGGCGAGTGCGGGAGTTCGGAGACCAACGGCAGCGACAGCCGGTTGCTGGCCGCGCGCAATGACACCGAAAACAGGTGCGTGGGGTGCGTGTCCTTATGGGATTTGGAAAGCCGAAGGGCATGTCGGGATGGCCGCTGGAAGGCTACAGCGAACTTGATTTGCGGATCGGCGTGACTAAAGGGAGTAAGCAGCGTCGTTTTGCTTGCCGGAGCTACTAGGGCTCATCGAAAAGTCCACATGGAATCCTGCCGTATCTTGGTGTGCTTCGCTTAACTCGAATCGCCTTGCTTTGTGCTGCCTGATGCTGCAGGGAAGCCCAAGGATCAAACCCAACCAATCATAACAACGGAAACGGCAATGGCAGCTCTGGAAACGGCTCTAACGGCAATGGAAACGGCAGTGGGTCACAAGGGAATGGCTCACAGGTGCGGTTTCTTGAATGCATGCACTTGAGGGAGTTAGCAGCAGCTATCGCAGCGAGGTGATAGCTTCAGCACTAGCACCTTAAAAAGCTGTTTGTCGTACGGCACTGCAGGGCAATGGAAATGGAAGCTCAGGGAATGGTGGAGATGGCAGCGGCGGCAGTGGAGGCAACGGCAGCGGCAGTGGGGGCAACGGCAACGGTCATAGCATTAAGGACAGCAACAACCCAAATGGCAACGGCAACGGCCACAGCAGTGGTAAGTCCTCTTCTTTCGCTATGGTGTGCAGTAGCGGTTATGAATTGCCGCACCGCATGTTAATCTCATCATCTTCAGAGGCATCTTTCGTACACTCGTGCGTACATAGTCCCTATGAGCTCCGTCCTGAACCCCGGGCTGTCTACCGTTACAACCCTTGCCCCTTGGCGTTGAGCCATTGCTACCTCCTCCTCATCCTTTTCCCCAAAGTTATAGTAGTCGTCCCCTACTCATGCGGCACTGTCCGGCGTTTCCCCTGCTGCTGCAGCCAACGGCACCAGTCAACATCACAACCATGCACATGCGCACGTGCACGCACATGCGCACGCACATGCGCACGCACATGCGCACGCCCACGCCCACACGCTGCCGCGCTCCCTCACCTACGACGCCGGCCGCTACCCGGCCCATCGAGAGGTGCAATACCGAGACGGCAACGGCGCATCAGCCATCGGCGCGAGACCTCCGAGCTCTGAAGAGGAAGACAACAATGGAATGGCGGGACCGGCCGCGGGAGCAGTGGATGGCGCCGGCGGCGGCACAACCGACGGCGACGGAGGAGGCGGTGGCGGCGGCCGAGCTGTGCCTGACGGCAGCGCCGCCGTTGGTTACTGTGGTAGCAGTCGTGGCGGCACGGGTGCCAGCGGAAACAGCGGCAAGGGCCCATCGTCTGGGGCTGCAGGAGGCGCCGGCGCCGGCGGAAGTGGCAGCGACGGCAGCGGCGGCAAGGGTGACGGCGCCGGCAGCGGAGGTGGCGGAAGTGGCGGCGCCGCGGGCGATAGCGTCAGCGGCCAGCCGCCTCGTCTTGCTGGTGGCGGCGGTGGCGTTGGTTGTGGTGGTGGAAGTGGCTTGCGGAGACCTGACGGCGCGTTGGCGCTTGTTTCTGGCCCGGACCGACCCGTGGGTCAGGTGGCCGGTTCTGCGTTTTCCGTGCCGCCGCCGTCCTTGTCATCCCGCGGTCGTACTGCCAGTGGCGGTATTGCAGTTGGAGGAGGCGCTCCCACCGGCATACGGGATGTGCAGAGCCTACTCGCGCAGCTGCAAGCCCACGCTTCCCTAGCACCCTACCAAACGGCAGTAGCCGGACGGCTGCCGTCGTTTCCACAACAGGCAATGCATACGGCCACGTCGGCTGCGCAGCCTTTCTACAACACTGCGGCCGCCGCAGCGAATGCCGTACACCAAGGCTTGCTATCCGCCGTACAACAGCAGCTGCTTCCACCGGTGCCGGCGGCGGTGCCGCCGCCGCCGCCTCCTTCGCCGACGCTAGCGTCCACGGCCGCTATGGCGGCTGCGACAGCCGCCGCCGCGGCGGCTAGTAAGCTCCCCCTGAAGTTGGAATCTGATACGACACCGTTCGCGGTTGCGCTAACCCAAATGGCGCAAGGTGCTTTCGTGCCTCGACAGCAACAGCAAGAGGGAGTTTCGGAGCTTCCGCCCGTAGCGCCGTTGTCCGCGGCCGGCTTGGGTCCTTCCGGGCTGCTGGGAAGCTCCGGAGCCGCTAGCGGCAGCGGGGGCCAACATGGCGCGGGTTCGGTTGCTGTGGCCAACGCTGCATTGCCCGCAAACGCCGCGTTGGCGTACGAACAGCTCTTTGCAATGGTGAAGGGAGTCGCTCCGCAGTCCCAGGGGCAGCAGCCGCGGCAGCAGCATCGGAGCACGGCTGACTACCTGGCAAGATCTTCATCGTCCAAGCCTGCCCCGGAGGCGCTATTGCAGGAGCTGCGAGGCGCGGCTACCGCTGGGACGGCGGCGGCAGCGGCGGCGGCGGCAGCGGCGCTGGGTGTTGACGGCGGCGCAGGTGCCGCTCGCGCTCCGTCGCTAGGGCTGTCGGCCGGCCGCCAAACGTCGCTGCCGTTACCGTTGTCCAACGTCCCGCTGTTGGCTGCTGCCGCAATTGCAGCAGCGCAGCAGCAGGAGCAGGAGCAGGCTCAGCAGCTGGTTTCGCCGCTGGCTGCCGGTCCCGGTAGGAAAGGTGCCGGCGATGGGAAGGGCAGCCGCAGCAGCTGCAGCGCCGGGCCGGGGGATGTAATGCTGGGTGCAACGACAACGCTGCCGATCCACGTCAACGCAGGCGGCGGCGGAGCTATCGGCGGCGTTAGCGGTGGGGAAGCCCTGGTGACGGCGCCGCCTGCGGAGCGGCGGAGGCGATCCCTGTTCCCCGAAGGCAGCCTTGGCGAAAGGGACATGTTCGTAAACATCGACGGTGTTTCTGGCGTGGGCGGTGGTGGTGGCGGTGGCGGTGCTGGCTCTGCGGTAGCCGCAGCGGCCGCGGCGGCAGCAGCAGCGGCTACTGGTCAAGGCATGTCTCGACGAGGTAGCGGCGAGATCTCGCGTCCATCGCCCCGACATGCTTCGCCCATCGCTCCCCCTGCATGGGCTCTCCGCAGGGCTTCGTCCGAGGCCCCAGAGGCGCTGTCATTGCCCGGCAGAACCCCGCAGGAACAGCAGCAGCAGCAGCAGCAGCATAGGATGATGCGTCAAGCGCCTCCGCAGCCGCTGCCACCGCGACCGACCCATGGGTCACAACAGGCCGGCAAACCCCGTGATTCACCAGCGGTGGGGGCTGCAGCGGCGGCTGGCGGTGGGGGCAAGCGAACCACCAGCAGCAGGCCCAACGGCGCATCGGCAGCGGATCAGACGCTCAGTCCTCCGCGCAAAAGGCAACATCAAGCCTAAGGCCCTATGTGCCTTTGGCTTGTAGACCTCTAGCACCTTCCCTTCTTATGACCACTGTCGGCGTCCCTGGCTCGCCACCGTACAGTCGGCGGCGGGACACGACGTGGATAGGCATGGATACGCACAGGAAAGAGAATGGCTGAGAAGAGAACAGTGAGGCATTCACGGTTAGATGCCCTGTGGTGGCAAAAGTACATCCGAGATCCGAGGCAGAGGGTAATGATGCTGCGGCGCTGGCAAGAGGAGGGACGGAGAGAAGAAAAGACACTTGGGTTAGTTTTCTGTACCGGTAATGGGAGTCGTTGACCAAAACGCTCCGATCCCGAGGGACGCCGGCAGTTAAGTACGGAACATAACTGGGGTTTGCGTGGCAGCGGATCACTGCTTTCTTGACTGTTAAGCTTGGTTTGTAGTCCGTCGGTTTTATGACATGTCAGGTTAGCCTGTACACGTAGCGTTGGGGGCTGGGCTTACGGCATGCTGGGCTTACGGTGCTGTGCAACGAGTGCTCTGGGTGCTGCTTATGCTAAGGTCTTACGAGGTCTCACGAGGCCTGGCCTAACCACTGGTCTGCAAGTGCGGCAGGCGGCGGTAGCTGCTCATCCCGCATGCGCTGTCATGTGTCAATTGACGGGTGTCAATGAGAGCCGGTGTCGCTGACTCATACCGTGCACACGCGTTCTCTGGCATGTGAGGCGTCCCCATGTTTTGTTCATGCGCAAAATTAAGGAGAGCTCGGAGGGTTGTGATGCACCGTGTGTGAGATACGACCGCCCGTGGCCTTGTCGAGAGCACATTGCTCTGTTTGGGTTGTAAACGGCGACTTCGCGTGAGAAAATGTTGAGCCGGTCATGAGATGTAAGGCGCGAGAATGGGAGTTAGGTTCCGCTGTACGGCAGTTCAAGGGACTGGCTGTACGGTGGATGGTGTGTTACCTCAGATCAGGGCCTCGGGCATTCTGCCGCTCTGCATACTGTTCCTCGCCCATTAAGGCTTTAATGGGGCTTGGACATTTTGGTTTGCAAAGATATTGTGTATGTGGGCATGGCAGGTGCGTGTTGGGTAATCGATATGTGGGTGTTTGGGTTCTGAGGGCGGAGGCGGGGAATGTGTGTGATAGGGGCAATCCTAACGCCGGACAAGGCAGGGTCGCTCCAGCAATGCTTAATACTATTTGTCTGCCTGGTGAGCCTGTAGGAAACACGGCGAGGTGCATCTGGCTGATATGTTCGGTCACCGAAGTCGACGTCCTGGTATGGTAGTAGCTGTTTTGATACCGGCCCTGCCATGTCTTGGATGTTAGGGTTGGCAAGGCACCTCCGGGAAACGCAGATCTCGTGCGGGGGGCGCGCGTTTGGTCACTGTACGTTTTCCATCGTAATTACCCATGAGCCTGTAGCACGGGGGTTCCACACAGGCACTAGACGAGGCCCGGCATAGCGTCTATGCACTTCAGTCGCCATATTGGTTGGCGGCTTTGCAATGCTGCTGCTATTGTTCGCATGCTTCGCCGGTGTAGGAGTTTTCTATGTACTAGCGTACTGGCGTTTGCCGCATTAATAGACGTGTTGTGTTGCTGGGAACCCCGTGGTGAGGTTTTCACGTGTCGAGCATTAGTCGGGAAGATGGAGCTCGCCCTGTTGACTGTAGATGGCATCCCGTTGTCTCCCCTGCCACATGCATGGTGTTTACAAGGAGGAGCGTCCCAGCAAACCCCGTTCGAAGGTGGTTGCCAGGGTCGCTGTTACCCTACATTCTGAGCACTGCTATGCATGCATTTGTTCTTGCCCATTACGTCCAGCATAGGCGTCCGGAAACGAGACACCTTACAACCCTTGAAACTTAGGGCAGCCGTATCAGGCTGCAAGCCAAACCTCTGTCCGCTTCTAACAAACCAAATGCATGCGTTCTACCGACAATCCTCACACAGGAGCACACCGAAAGCGATTTACAATGATGCGACAGGGTAGCTGTTTGCACCGGTTAGCAAGCATGCTGCCACAAGCCGGATCAATGCTAGCAGAAAACAGGTCGCTGCTGACGCCTGGCGTCTACGGCAAAGGTGGCCGCACTCCGCTAACCTCATCCACCGTAACTCGCACGGACCACGTCGTTACGCTGAGCCGCCGTCCCTCCGCGGCTGTGTTGTTAAGCTCTACGTATACATGCTTTGTTGTGAGTTGTGTCATATGTCGTCATCGCCCAGGCCTTCAACTTGTGGCTGGGGCTGCTGGACGGCCCAAGAGAGCTGCTCCCAGGACACGTCCATCTCCGTCCTGCAGCATGCACGACAGCAGGGAACAGGCAGGGCAGGCAGCACAGCACACGTCCGCAGTGTTAGAATGCTGTGCATGGAGCTAGCGTGTGAGCCCCTCCTGTTGGCATTACCGGTATCCCTACCCCGCCTATTCTCAGAAGTCTCCTTCTGATCAAGCACAAGCAAACCAGGAGGGTGAACCAGTACATATTCTGAATCTTCTGCTGCGTTATATTGAAAGCCCTAACAGCAGGATCCCCGAGTTCGCAGGGTTCACGGCACTCACCCCTCAGCCGTCACCACCCGCAGCACACCGTCTGGGAACACAATCTCCTTGCCGTGTCCTGGGTGGTGTGCCTCCGTCTGCCCGCTGGGGAAGTAAAACACCTCCACGCCGCCCTCGCCGCCGTACGTGCTGTGCCACGTGGACACCTCTGCGTAGTAGTAGTGCACCACGCCGATTCCGGGCGGCGGCTGGGATGGCGAGGAGCCGCCGCCTGCTGCGGCAGCTGGGATGGTCCATTTGATGTCGCCGTTGATGAAGTAGACTCGGGAGCTGCCGTCAGGCAGGGCTACCTGGGTGGCGCATGCACGGCATCGGAGCAGCAGTAGCGAGCATCAAGTTACTTTTTGCTCGGAAGGGGAGGTAGCATATTCTATATTTTCAGTAGTAAGCCCCCCATCGTAACCTCCCAAAGGGCCAATGACCCCTCGACCGTGCTTTCGGACGCAACCTGAGCAACCCACAGAACCTACCTTGCGCGTCCCGTTAGCAAAGAGCACCAATCGGCGCCCAGACGTGTACATCCGCTCCACCTTGCCGTCCGCATGCCGTACCTCCCGCACCAACACGTCACCGCCACCGCCGGCAACTGCCGTCTGCGGCATGGACGGCGCCCCCCGAACCTGTTGTCCCGCCACGGCCTGGGCCACCGCCGCCGCACCTGCAGCCGTACCAGCCATCACGCCTCCGCTGCCGCCTTGCCCCGCAGCAGCGCCAAGTCTGCCGGAATGCTGCTGCATTTGAGGGCCAGCGCTTGGCGGACGGCCGTGCTGCTGGTTTAGCAGCGGCTGTTGCTGTTGGAATGCACTACCGGCTTGACCAGCCCCAACACCGCCCGGGCCATGTGGCACAGGGCCCCACATGCCTGGGGCCTGTGATGGATCGCGGCCACTCGCAGATGGGAAGAGCGTAGATCCTGAGCCGGCGCCGCCAACAGGGGACCAACTATCTTGCAGCCCTGCCATGTGACCCATGGGTCGGCCTTCCTGCTGCCGCCCTGCATGGGCGCCTGGCATGGATGTCGGGGCGTACCCGGCCATGCCGTTCCTAGCGGTGCTGCCGGCGCCTCCCATGGGCCCAGTGTCGTGTGAGTTGGCTGCAACGGCGGCCGCTGCAGCCTCCACCTGGCGACCCATTCGGAGCGCCGCCAGCGTTTGACTGACGCCGTCCAAATCCACCGATGCGTCAACTGTCGCGTGCCGCTGCCCTGATGCTGCAGCGGCATTGGGTCGAGGCCCTGATGAACTTGGATGAGCCTCATTGGCGGACCGGGGTTGTTGGGTCGATGAAGCATTGCCTCCAAAGAAGGCAATCTGAGTGGCATTTTGGCCCCCACCGCCGCTGCTTCGTGTCCCGAAGAACCCAGATTGCTGGTGTTGCCTCTGTTGCGTCTGTGATGACTGTGCTTGCGGTTGTGACGGCTGCTGTTGGCCCATGCCACCTCTTCCAGGAAGCCCAGGGTGCATGCCGGCGCCAGCAGACGGCTGCTGCTGCTGCCACCGCTGCACGTTTTGTTGTGGATGTGGCTGCTGCTGCTGCGGGCGGCCACTCGCATCGCAACCTGCATCTCCTTGCTGCTGGCGCTGCTGTAGGCTCTGCCGCTGTCCCGGGCCCCCACCAGTCGCCGCCCCAACCGCAGCCGGCCTGCCGCCCTGCGCCATGCCCACCCGAGCCATGAACTCCTGGTGTTGTTGCCATGCCAAGGCCGACAAGCTGTCCGAGTCCAGGCCGTCACCGCCGCCCTCGTCTGTGAGCACCTGCACGTGCGGGGCAAGCGAAAGTGGCAGCATGGACTTGTGGTCATGTGGTTCATGACCGTTAGCTTCTAATTAACCTCGGAGCTACACGTCGCGGACCAGGACCGTCTCACAGCGAATCGCTAGCGCGGCCCATCTTCGTAATCCCTGCGCCAACTCCCCAATCAGGAAGACCCATGCGTACCTCCACATCGTCATTCTGCATGTAGCTGTGCGCCGACGGCGAGTCCATGGCACCGACGCCCTCTACACCCACACCGCCCCTCAACCCGCCGTAGCCCACCCGGCCACTGCCGCCACCGCCTCCTTTCCCACCTCCAGCACGCAGATGACCGGCAGACGCGCTGTTTTCATCCCCGTCTTCCTCATCCTCCAACGCCTCCCCCTCATTCGCAGCTTCGCCGTACTCCTCCAATCCAGCCCCCTGCTCGTCGCCTGGCCACCAGGAGCCAGATGCTGCTTGCGGCCCCCGCTGCTGCTGCGGTGGCGGCCGCCGGGTTTGATGCCGTGCAGAAAAGGCATTCAGTGCTGTCTCCTCCTCCTCCTCCTCCTCCTCAACCTCCGCATCCTCGCCCAGCAAGTCCTCCTCGTCGTCTCCCTCCCGCCACCGCGACGGCGCTCCGCCGTACGCTTGCGCCCCGGCTGCTCCTGCCCCTGCCCCGGCTCCGAAACCACGCGGTCCCGTGGTCCGCGCCCCTCGGAACGCGCTTTGCGGCTGCTGTTGCGGCTTGGATGCGTGGGGGGTGGTAGCTGGGCGACCGGCCTGCATGGGCCTCAATCTGCTGCCACCCGCGATATTGTTCGCGGCTGTTTGTGGGATATTTGATCCACTGGATTTGGGCCTCGCTCCAGCTGCACCAGCGCCTGCAGGAGCCTCACCGGAACGCATCGTGCAGGAGCGCCCCACCGGTGCCTCCGCAGGGCCCCCATTTTCCAGCGGTGGTAGGAAGGGCAGAGCGTCCGTTTGGCAGGCCGTAGACCGGCTGGGAGGCCGCGCCTTGACTGGAGGCTGCTGCTGTTGCCCAGACCCGGGGCCGGTCCGGGCTCCTCCGCCTTGCGGCGGCCAGTTGCCTCGCTCCAGCTGCTGCGCCTCGTGCCACCGCACCTCCTCTCGCAATTCATGGTTGCGCTCCTGTCGGGCGAGGGGAGGTGGGTTGCGAGTTGCATACAGGGCGTTAGGGCCTGAGTGTATGCGTGCATGGGGAGGGCTAATCCCGGCGTTCAGACTCCATGTGTTTATCCTAAGCCAAATGCGGACCTACCGGGCACCCCACACTACTTTCCCGTCCGACCCAGTTCAGCGACCCAGGCACCGCAGCCGCGCACGGCTAGACGAGGTTACGGCCGGCTACTTCTAACGGGTCTCCGGTAATGCGAAAGCTCGGTCACGGCAGGGCCGTCATGTGACGAGCCGCACCTGCAGCTCCACCAACTGCCGCCTCAGCCGCTCCACGGTGAGCTTGTGGCGGGCCTCCCGCGCTCGTCCCTCCCGCCGTTCCGCCTCCAGTGCCGCCTCGGCAGCTGGGTGGGTGCGTGAGTGTGGGGACAGTGGGGCCTTGGAGACGCGTTGTTAGGCCCTAAGCAAGCACGGACCGACACGTAATGCTTCCGTCTGCTTGCGCACCCCCAAGCCCTAAGATACTTCGCAAGCTTGCTAGGAGGACTGTATACCATAACCCGTGTCAAGACTGCGTTGTGTTCGTGATGGCACGGCATACGGCGCCGGTACTTTCCCCCTTGCATCCCTCCCCCGCTCACCCTCCATTGCGCTCCGCTCCTTCTTGTTGGGCATCTTGAGCAGCGCCTTGCTCTGCTTCTCGAGCACGCGGCGATCGCGACGCAGCCGCGCCTCCTCAGCATCCCGCTGCGCCTCCCACCGGGCCTGCTCCTCAGCCTGCATGGGCGGGCGGGAAGGTAGGTACCGGTACCATTCCCAAGACCAACATTCGGTTAAGGTGACGGCCCATTCGGGGAACCCTTTCACAGGGTTGCATCTACTACCGGTAATACCCGCCGCAGCGGATTGCCCGCTACCACCCACCCGCGACTTTTCCCACGCCTGCCGCTCCTGCTCCAGTCGGTTGGCAGCCTTCTCGAGCTCCGTGCGCATGCGAACCAACGCAGCTCGCTCCGAAGACACGTTCGCAACCTGCTCCTCCAGAGCCTGCATGGGCAGGCAGGGGGGGGGGCACCGAGGAAGGCCCGCACGTGGACGCATGCTACGGTAGTATCCCAGTCCCGGTAGCAAATGAGATGCCCAAGGTGCAAGGTAGAGGTAACTACCTGTCGTTGTCGGTACAGGTCCTGCATGTGAAGCCACTTCCTTGCATCCTTACACGCGGAACGTCCTTCATATACTACTACGGCGACTTAAACCCAGATGAACGCAAGCAGCATCCACATACCTGCAGCCGTTCAACCTCTGCTGCGGAGGGTCCCGCAGGCTCCGCAGCCTTGCCCTTCCCAGCGGGCCCGCCAGCCGCCTTGCCGGGTGCCGCCCGAGCACCTCCGCCGCCACGTTGCTGCTGCTGCTGCTGTCCCTGCTTGCCGAACAACGCTCGTACAAAGGGCTGATCGGGTCCGCGCTCCTCATCCCTCGTCCCTGACTGCCCCTGACGCTGCTGCTGCAATTGCTGCTGTTGTTGATACTGCTCCTCCTCCAAGCCCCAGCCGTTGCCCTCGTCCACAAAGGTGTCCGCATCCACGCCGTACGCTTCCTCTCCGCCCGCAGGAGCCGCCCAGGGGTCCTCCAGCGGTGTTGCTGCAGGAGCAAAGGTGTCACCGCCGCGAGGCTTGCCCACCGTACCGCCGCCAACGGCCGGGCCCGCTCCCTTGCGTCTACCCGCACTTGCGCCTCCGTAAAAGCTGCTTGTGTCGTTCCAGGCATCCCCATCATCAAATGCCGCTGCCGCTGGTTTGGAGGCCGTACCCCGGAGCGACCCATGGGTCCCGCTGCTGTCCCTTCCTGAAGCTGTTGCAGCTGGCCTGCAGCTGTCAGGGCCCCAAGCCGCCGCTTCAGCTGACACTGACCCAAATCCTCCACCTCCGCTACCACCACCACCACCACCACCACTGGCACTGCCTCTCGAGCCAGCGTTTCCACCCCCATCTTGAGCTGCTCCGCTTGCCGGCGTTTTGCCGAAAAAGGAATGTTGACGGATCCACGCGTCGTCCAGGCCCAGTTCTGGTTCATCTGCATCATCGAAGCCCCCCGTAAGCCCTTCGTCAGCCCCATCAAAGCCAAAGGCGTCGCCGTACTGCTGCTGCTGTTGCTGCTGCTGGGATTGGCTGGGAGACCAACCCATCCCGGCCGCTGCTGGTCGCTGCAGCGGGGTTGCAGATGCGGATGGGCGGTCGCTGCTGCTGCGGCCGGCGGCACGAGGAGGTTGCGGCGGGCGGCCCTGATGGATGTTGGCGTAGGAGCGGCCTCCGTTGGGACCGGAAGGCGGCAGCGTGGCGCTCGCGGACTGGGCCTGCTCGTGGGGACAAGGCGCATACAAAGTCGACATGGCGGAGTAAAATAAATTTTCATGTCCATATCTGCAACCCGCACCAAAAAATGGGATCAGGGCATGTGGAGCAGTGCAGCAAGCGCCTAAAGCTGCGCACAGGCAAGTTGCGGGGGACATGGTGTTCAGCCATTGCCCTCCACGAGGTCCGTACCTGGGCTGCTTGCTCCGGGCGCTGCCGGCCGCTTCCCACGACGTCTGCTTTGATCTGGGTCTCCAGCGCCCGAAACTCCTCCAGCTCCAATTCCTGCATGAGCGATTAGCAAAACGTGGCAGGATAGGCGATTATGAATCCCAAGACGATGGCGAGCCCCAAGCAACCGACCGACCGGGGTTAGCGTCCTTCATGGATTAATGGGGAATCACGCATCCATGTTAGCCTCCTAATTATGCTCGGTGTCGTTATCGTTACTAGAACCCCGGCTGCTCCAAACTTACCTCCTCGGCCTGCTTCGTGTCCCATGCAGCGTTGATGGAATTGCGAAGGAAACGGCTGCTGGTGTGGCTACCGCCAAATCGTTGGTCTGGAACAGTGAGCAGTAATGACAGTTTGCGTGTTTGCTTGACGGTAAGCAATGCATGCGAGAGTGTAGCAACAAACGAAGTTCCCCTATACCTTGGGGCTGTCCCACGCTTAGCAATTGGGTATCAGACGCCAGCTCCTGGGGTTTGTCCTGCCATGGCTGTTGGTTTGAGGCGGAAGCCTCTACCGACATGCCGCGGCGACCATGTTGGTCGCCGCGACGGCTGACGACATCTTCAGCAGCATCTGCTCCCGAATCACCAACGCTACTGCCACGACCTCCTCCCGAGGTGCCCGATGAAGCAGGCTTCCGGTACCGCGAAGCGAAGACGCGCTTCTCCACGCCCTCGCCACGCCGCAAAAAAGGCCGCGGAGCCCTTGCGCCTGTAGCACCTAAAGCTGGTGTGCCTGAGCCTTCGTCCATTTCAACGGTAGGCGAGTACACCGGTAATCAGAAGGTCAGCTGTCAGGAGTGCATTTGGGGGATTTTGGCAAAGTCATGACGTCTTATAGTATAAAGCAAAGCAATCTTTAGGAACACATGCAAGGACTGGCTCTCCGGGCTGTGGAAGCAACTGTCGCGTATTCAAAGTGTCGTGCAACTGCATGCATGGGTAAACGTCGCCAGCATACCCATCTCATCAAGTATATCCCTTAATATACTTTACATATAGTCAAACCTTAGGGTGCGCAGCAGGAGATATGGCCGGGACCCGGACAGTCGTGTTCATTACCGGCACAGCTCTCGCTGCCGCGACGGTAGCAATTGCTGTTATTCATTATCGACGACGACGGGAAGAACTCCGGCGTCGGCTGGACTCCGAAGCAGCTGGACAGCAACGCGTCGATGTTGTGTTCCACTCAGTCCAGGAGCTGTTGGAGGTACAAGATCACGAGTTGCGCAAATGACCCGCAATCGTATGGCTAAAGAAGTGATAAAGCTTGGACCCATATCCTGGCAGGCTCAACAAAACACATGGCTGAAGAACGCCGTGACGGTTGTGGAGTTGCACCAGCCGCGCCTTACCGAGGGAGCTTTGCAACACATAACGGGACTGCCAAATTTAGTTCGGCTGGACATTAGCGGATGCGGAATAGAGTTTCTTCCTCGGGGTTTGTCGCGTCTGAGCAATCTGCAGGTATGCAGCCTCATTTCCGCGCATTGCTCCCGTCCCGACATACCAATGTCTACGGTCAATCTACACTCGACCTGGCTAAGACTATGTAGAATCCACGTTAGCTTCCCCAGTCTGCACCGATTACCTGTTGCTCCTCTTCGGCAAACTAATCGTCGCTGGAAACCCCTTGTGTATCCCCACCCTCTCCAACACCATTTTGCTCGATCCTTACAGCTACTTTTGGATGCTTGCTCCTCCCAACTGCTCTCCTCTGTCTTATCCTCGTGCCCGCGTTCCGTGCAACCCCCACAGGTGCTGCTGGCGCCCCGAAACCGGCTAATCTCCATACCCGCCGAATTGGGGCAGCTGTCACGCAGCCTGGTACAGCTGGACCTGGGGACCAACCAGCTGGTGGAAGGTATGCACCATGGCGAACTGGGTCGGCCAGTACGACCGACCCATGGGACATCATTCTTCCTGCTCACTCCTCCTCTGATACAGCCTCCGCGTATTGCAATCTCCGCGCTACATCAAGCCTGCATCTCATCGTTCTCACGCCCCCCAATTCGTAGCTGCCCCATGCATCCATCCACTCCCGCTCCACGCCCCCCATGCGCCTACCTGACCCCTCCCGTCCCCCCTCCGCCCCCTCCCCTCTCCCAACTCAAACCCCCACCCCCCCGCAGTTCCCTCCTCCCTGTGCCAGCTGACCAACCTGCGCACGCTCAACCTCATGGCCAACCAGCTGGAGCAGCTGCCAGCCAACTTCGGGCGCCTGCGCAACCTCAGGCTGCTGGGGCTCAAGAGCAACAAGGTGGGGATGGGCGGGTGCGGGTGCGGGGGTGGGCTTGGTGGGGGCTGATAGGGAGTAGAGCTCTTCCTTCCATACCTCTCTCGCTCACTACCCCCGCCCCTCCTTTCACCCTTCCTTCCCTTTTTCCCTCCCCTCCCCGCCAGCTCTCCTCGCTGCCCGCCTCCTTCTCCCAGCTAACCAACCTGGTGGAGCTCTTCATAACCGACAACCGCCTAACCGACCTGCCCGCCGGCATGGCCCGCTGCACCTCCCTGGTCAAGCTGCAAGCCTCCTTCAACTGCTTCACGCAGCTGCCCGCCTGCCTGCTGCACCTGCCGCGGCTGGAGCTGCTGCGAGTGGCGGTGTGCGGCATCCGCGCGCTGCCGACGGGGCTGCTGGAGTCGGGGGCGCTGCCGGCGCTGGCGTGGTTCAGCTGTGCGGGTAACCCGGCGTGTCCGCAGCCGCCACCGCCGGCGCCGGGTCTGCCGGTGGTGGAGGAGGATGACTTGGAGCTGGGGTGCAAGCTGGGGGATGGCGCGTCGGGAGAGGTGTACCGAGGTGGGTGAGGAGGGGGGGGGGAAGAGGCAGGGGGAGGGGAGTACCGGGGTCTGGTTGCAAGGGCTGGGGTTCTGAAGGGAAGGTGAGGATGTGACGGAGTGATACCAGGGGTCACCACACTACACTTAACACCATGGTGTGTTTTACCTTGCATCCTCTCCCCACTCCCTTCCCCTCTCTATCCCCTGCCCGCCCCCCCCCTCCGCAGCTGTGTGGCGCGGTCAGCTGGTTGCGGTCAAGTACTTCCGCGCGGACGTGTCCCCGGACGGGCGCACGGAGGACGAGGTGGCGCTGGCCATCGGGCTGCAGCACCCGCACCTCACGCAGGCGGGTGGGGGGGTTGGGGGAGGGGGGGGGGTAAAGAGGAAACAACTAACTGACTGTGTGGGGAGTGGGGGGGTGGAAGAGGAAGGAGGGAGCAATGTGTGTGAGGGGGGAGGGGTTCCACGAGGGCATGTTCTTGGTAGTCCTTCTTACGGGCCCAAAGCGGATGGGTTTACCTTCCCTTTCCCCGCTGGCTGGCTCCTGCGTCCCGCCCCGCATGCAGGTGCTGGCACGCGTGCGCTACCCGCCGGGGCTTGTGCTGCGGCTGGAAACAGGTGGGCGGGACAGGGGGACTACGCACGCTGACAAGGGGTTAGGTAAACTGAGCCGCGAGGAACCACTGACCGTGGCCGTGAAGGGGTTGGAGGAACGGGCTGCGTACCCCGCCCACAGTCCATGCAACCCCAACCCACACCTTCACCTCACGCCATGGTGGAGCCTTGTCACGCGGGTAGCGGTAGTTTCTTCCTCTTAACCCCACCTTGCCCCTCACCCTACCCCACCCCACACCTCACCTTGCCCCCTCCCTCCCCCCCAGGCTCCCCCCTGGCCCACAAGCCCACCAGCCAGCACCTGCTGCGCTGCAAGTGGGGCGACGACGTGCGGTTCGCGCCCCGCCGCGCGCTGCTGCTGGCTGCGGCGGTGGCGGATGCGCTGCGCTACTGCCACGAGGCGGGGGTGTGCCACGGAGACGTGTATGCACACAATGTGCTGATGGACGAGGATGAGAATGTGACGCTGTGCGACTTTGGTGGGTGTGGGGTGGGCTGGGGTGGGGTGGGGTGGGGTGGGGTGGGGTGGGGTGGGGTGGGGTGGGGTGGGGTGGGGTGGGGTGGGGTGGGGTGGGGTGGGTGGGGTGGGGTGGGCTGGGGTGGGGAGAAAGCCAGAAAACGGTTCTTCCCAGTACCGCGCCACCTTTGTGACGGGGTGTGACGCGCTGGTAATACCGGTATACCCCTGTCATCCGCCTTCAGCTCGCATACCGGTATCCACAACCTGGCCAGATTTCGTAACCTACACTTCCCTGACTGCTCCTCTCCTCTCCTCCCTTCCTAACCACATCCCACCTCCTCCTCCCCCAACACTTTGGGAATTCTTTTTCACCCCCTCTCAGGCGCCTCCTTCAGCTACGACCCCAAGTCGCAGCCCTTCTGGCAGGCCATGGAGGTGCGAGCCTACGGCCTCATGCTGCGAGACGTGGCCCAGCGCTGCAGCGATGCAGCTGCCGCCGCCGCCGCTGCCGCCGCAGCCCCCGCTGGGGCCGCAAGCGGCGGCCGCGCGAAGAGCCCCAGCGGCGGCGGCAGCGAGGTGGTGGCGGAGGTGGTAGCGGCGTTGCGGAAGGTGGCGGAGGAGTGTGTGGATCTGCCGCCGGCGCGGCGACCGAGCTTTGGGGAGGTGTGTGAGGAGTTGAAGGGGCTGCGGGCGAGGCTGTTGGTGTGAGGTGGAAGAGGAGGAAAAGGAGGAGGAGGGAAGGGGAAAGGGAGGATAGGTTGCGAAATGAGGGGGAGGGATTATGCATGAAGCATTAAGGTGAACGAGGCGGATGCTGACGAGGCATGTAGTAGGGGTGGACTTGTGCGCTGGGGCGGGATGTAGTCTGCGGTGCGACTGGCGTGCGGGCACCGATAGTGGGTGAGGTGGACTGAGGACTGACGGAGGTGGGTAGTGTACAGCGCAGGGGCAGAGGGAGAACTTGGCTGTGTGAACCAGTCATCAGCCGTGTTGGCTGTGCTGCGGGATATAGTCCTGGCGGAGAAGGCCGTTGGTGGGCTTTGGGGGCAGCAGCCTGCCTTTCATGTCTTGCATCGGGGGGTTTGGATTGCGTAGCCGCTGAATCGCATGTTGTACAAGCAGTAGTGTTGGGTGTTTTAGTGTTGGGGGGTGCCTTACGTTGGGGCGTGGTCATGCGTAAGGTGTTGAGTGATTTACCGTACGCGGACTCTGTACACTGTGGGTGATGGGTCTACAGTCCTCAGACCCTCGTCGGCCTTGTCAAGGGTTTTGCAAAAGCATAAAATTGCTCGATGATGCACGGTGTGGTGAACGATTTGGTGGGTAGCCGGTAAAAGTACGTCTGGTTACAAGGTGTTCATAGGCAACACAAGTGTCGTCAAAAGAGTTCTCAACTGTTGATACAAAGTCCCGTCAGTAATGCAACAGTTCTCATCAGTCACATTGTACCCTGGTTAGATGCCTCCTTGCCTTCACCATACCCCACCGTCCTTCAGAAGCGCCTTTCCGTTTCGGTGGGAGGACTTCATCTTCCGGCAATCACAGTACGTTTCTCTTCGCGGCCAGTTAGTTTAACACACGGCTGGTGGTTTTTAATTTAGGAAAACTTTTGTCTTTAACAATCCGCTGCCAATAACCCCAGCAGCTTACCACTTACCGCCAGCAACCCCAATAACGCATCATGTCTCGCAAAATTGCATATCAAGATCGCACACCCAAATTTGCAAACACGTCTTACACACACCTGACACACACGCCTCAAGGCACGCACGCGGCGCGCCCCCTGCATCGTGACAACAAGGCTTGGCGCCCCAAGGCGCATGAACCCCTGGGACAACAAATGGGATGTACAGAGGGTAACGTATGCATGCATGTAATCCGCCTAGTATGACGCAACCGCGCCCGTGTAGCAATTCGTACCACTTCCATCACTCCCCCCCTGTAAGCGGCGAAAGGAGGAAAACCCGTTTTGCTGGCGCGCTCACGCTAGAAACGCACTGAGATTCCCACGCAAACGCCCATGCATAATCCAGGCCTTCTATACCAAGGGAAACGCCAAGCCAACAACATTGTTGACGCTGGCGTGAAATATAACCCCAAAAGTTACTTGGAATTTACTAACGGGCAGTGAGTCAACACAAAAGGCCCCAAGTGTACACGGTACGGTAATCTCCCCCATGCCGGCAAAACGCGCAGCTGGGTTAGTTGCAAATGAGGTTCAGCAACAGCACAGACCAGGAAAGGCACACTTCCCGTTATTTCATATCCTTCATCCATCGTAAGGTCCAAAGTGGGCAAAGTCATAACCTTTGCTCTCTCGTACTACAACATAAGCTTACGCAGCGACACCAGCGGAACCGTGCAGCCCACAAAATGTGGCAACTCCAGGCTCCAAAGGCCTTCCCCCGTGTAACAACAGACCCTGCCCCTCCACAATGCTGCCCCGCTCTTTGCTCTCTCCAGGCTTGCATTCGCAGTCAAGCATAGCAGGCCTTTCAGTGTTTAGGAAGGAAATGGAACGCATGACAAGGCGGCAACAAGCCGCCCTTCCTCAATAAGCACATGCAACACCAGGAATGCGGAATCCAGGAGACGCAGCAGCGGTTGCAACGCCGCGTCAGTAAATAGCACACACAACGGATTATGTTCCTTGTCTGATACAGGGTCAACGCACCAAGCCAAAGTAGCTAACCGTTATATCGGACGCTACCGTGCGTCGAAAGCACCACTGGTGGCTGTGCAGCGGCGCAAAAAGTCCTCTTCTTGCAACCAAAAAGGCAAAGGCACCGGGCAACTATTCCGGGCCAACTATCGATAACACCAGAAGCTATAATATAGGCACTCCAGACATACATAAGAGGTGTGGGAGCACATCAATTGAAATCGCAAGCGTCCATCATAGCACCCTGAAGGTTTTGTCGTAACGAGTCATGAGAGGAGCGGCGAGGGGCGCAGCCGGATTGGGGAATGGGCACGGGAAAAACACCTAGCAACCCAGGTACGCCCCTGCAATGGCACTGCCCATCACAGCCCCCAAAACCGCATCTGCGGTCAGGCCGGCAAAGGCGCCGTAAGGAGGTGTTCCTTAGTCCTTGGTGCCCCTCAAATTCCTTCTTCAGCAAGATTCTCTAAATGCAAAACGGTCAAAAGTTTTCGTCATATTGTTTCAATGCGACAGTGGATAGTTAAACTCGCAGATATAAAGTTAATAGTGCATTCCAGACTGGCGCAAGGTGCGTGCCCACCCATACCAGTTACCACAAACGTTGCGACCGCCTTACTCACCACCAAGCCCGTCTTTCCAACCTTTGCATATGCACGACACATGTCTTCATTCAGTGCGACAAGACTCGTGGAAAGCGCCCTAACTTCCGCACAAGCAATTGACTTCACGCAAGAACACCCAACACGCAGCAACAGAGGCAAAAGGCACCCTGCACGACACAAAATACAAACACACGCTCGATATGCACCAAGAGAAAGGCATTCAGCACGCATTTGTCACACAGACACGCAGATATGGTTAAAGACACCGCACAACGTACATGTGCTTGCAGACACAAGGCTGGCCATGCAACAGCGTCAAACGTAAGGCCGTACCGTTAGGCTTCCTTTACCGTTCCCGTTCCCATGAGGACGCGAAACGCCGCGTCCCCAAGGGTCCGATGCCCCTCCAGGTTGCTCCAAGACGAGCTCAAGGGAGCAAAACAATGTGAGCTGGGCAACGGGCGACCCACGGGTCTACAAGTGCTTCACGGCGCCTCCCATGGTCGACACCACGGTGTTGAGGATGGAGACGGCGTCAGGGAAGTAGGGGTACGACAGCACGCTGGCCCGCACCAGCTGCACCAGCGAAAAGAGACAGCTGCCCATAAAGTCCTGCGAGGAAGATCAAGAGGGGGTTACCGGTAGGAGCTATCAATGCCTCGGGCAGTGAAGAGCGAGTGGGGTGAAGGAAGCGGGTAATGTGTGAAACAACGCGAGCAACGGGTAACACGAATGGATGCAGGATGAGGGGCGCGAATGCAAGCGACTACAAGCGCAATCATCAGTCACAAGCATCATCACAACCGCTTCCCGTCTGCATTGATCACCACCGGCACCCCTCATGCCGCTACACCTGCTGCGACATCCTTAGTTTGACACGCTCGCTCATCAACACTCTATGTCACACACGCGCGCGTGCTCTCACCCTGACAAACTCCACCGCCTGGCCCTCCTCCACCACATTGCGCTGCAGCTTCTCCGTCACCTCCACGGCATGCAGCAACGTGAACGGCAACGACGGCTTCTCGCCTCCGCCACCACCAGCACCACCCTTGGTCGCGCCCGCTGCTGCCGCTGGGCCGGCGGCGGAGCCTTTCCCGGCCGCTGCCGCCGCTGCTGAGGCGGTCCCATGCAGCGGCAGAGAGGTACCCAGCGCCGAGGCGAGGTTCTTGCGCTCCGACATCACTCGGGCCATGCGTTCGCGGTAGAGGGAGACGGCAGCGCAGCAGTCCGCCACCTGCTCGGTCGTGAGGCGCAGGCCTTGCACCACGGAAATCTGGGGGCCGCAATGCGGAAGGAAGTGAGGAGTGAGGAAGCTGGAGGAAGAGTGAGGAGGCGCTAGGAAGCAATCGGTCAGTGAGTTTGTACTAGATAATAATTTGTTTGCACCCTGCCAGGTGTGAGCTGTGAGGTGTCCCATATCGTTGCAGGGTTGCCTTCTCGGCCTGGCTGATGCTGCCATAGGGCCACTAGAACCACCCGCTAAACCCCTTTGCGCCCTGCCAAGCACGCCTCTTCGCTCTTCCCATCCATCACTTACCCAGTGGCTGTCGGGAGGCGGCTCATCCCGCTCCCCTGTCTCAAAGTTGAGACAAATCAGGCTCATGGCGAGGTGCGGGTCCTCCAGTCGCATAGCCCGGAGGTTTGGGATGAGCTGATCGTGCAGGCGCGTGAGCTTCATCTTCGGGCCGGGATCGTGCGGACGTGCGTCGTGAGCGTGCAACAACAGGCCCGCGTTCCGCACCCATACGTTCCAAATAGACATAAATTGGCGAACCATGTGCTTGGTGGCTGCTGCACGCACAACCTGCATGTTTGCAGCAGATGTTGGAAGTGCCTCCGCGGCGCCATTGCAGGCGCGAGGGGATGATGTCGCTGTGCCGGTGCCATTAGCCCCTATTTTGCCGCCAGGGCCGTTCTCGCCGTGCGATGACGTGCCTGACTCTGCAGCCAAGCTATCGCTGGAGGCAGCAGTTGGGAGCTCTGTGATGCGCAGCACAGCTGTTCGCTGTGGCATTCCGCACTCAGAAAGCGGCTGATCCTGCTCTCCGGCTGCATGGCGCTTCTGCTTTAGTAACTGGACCTGCTGCTCTCTCACAGGCAGCACCACTTCGAGGACCTGCAGCCACGTGACGGGTTACGCGTTAAAAATTAGAAGATAGGGTTTCACTAACTTTTATACAGGAAATGGCCAGCCAGCTCAGGCAACGGAGAATCATACAGTGTGGGCTGCTGGACAAAGAGGATGCCGGGCGCCACGCTAGGTCCCGCCGAGGGTTTCGTACACACATATTCGGCAATATGGCGATATGTTTCCTAAAGGCGACAGGCCTTCCATGCTAGCAAAGACGGTTACAAAGTGAACGAATGCTGCATAGAACGCAAAACGACACCTAACAACGTCGCTTTTCGGGTACCCGTTCAAAGCATGTAAACTTTTAGGTCATTTCCATAACCAGGGTACCTTGATGCGCTGTTGCAGCCTTTCCCTTTCGTCCTGCGCTTCCTTCAGTGCCTGCGTCTGCTTCTCCATCTCCATTTGCAAATTATTCAGCAATTGCTGTCGCGGCCGCAGGGGCTTCTTGCCACCGCGCGGGCCTTGCCGCATCTCGCTATTGACAAAAGCGGCCATAGGCTCCGTTTCCATGGGTTCTGTAGTAGCGTCGCCAGAGAGCGGGGGAGGCACTTCGGGGATGGGCGACCAGCCAGGCACGAAGAACGGCAGGTTTTGGTCGCCACGTTCACCAAGCATGTAGCTCGGAACAAGTTCAGGAGTCATTCCAAAGTCAGGAACCACACGTTATCAGTTGATTATTAGGCTTGCGAGCCTTTGGCGAAGAACTTCGGTTGGTTGCAGAGGCTGGCAACTATGACGAGTGCGATAGGCCATTTACTGGAGTACTGTTACAGCAGGTAGAAAGTGACTACCGATGGGTTTAGGTACTTCCGCCATTGTGAATGACAAGCGTACGACGTACGAATGAGGCCAATGCCCCATGCAGCATCCGGGACCATGCCGGGCAAGCGCACACCCAAGCATGCAGCCAGTAAACTCAACGGTAGCATCAATGCACCAGCATTCAATTACTTCACACGTTAACATCTATCTCAAACACAGGTAACGCCATTAAACATAGTACAGGTCCAGAGCTGGAGGAAGCTGTCCTGTATTTGTAATCTGCCTACTTCAACTGTTTCCTATCCAAATCAGAAGTCGTCCTCATCGTCCTCCTCCAGTGCCTTGGCCAACTCCTGCTCCGCAGCCAGGCGCTCTTGCCTCGCCTCGCTGCTCTCAGCCTTCCGCCTGTAGACACAGAAGGCATATGTTCTTTACTATGAAGCAAATACCAATAACTTGTAAACCTGTAATAACGACGATTAACCAGAAAGCGCACCTTCTAGCAAGTGACGAACATAACCATTTCCTGCACCACTAAAACTAAATTAAATATTTAGATCTATACATCTTCCAGTAAGAAAAAACTCCTGAGAGTTTCTTAGTAAGGCAATGGGTACACCATGCCGCCTCCGTTTTCTCTATACGAACAACGTCCTCGACAACTCTCTCCCCTCGCATGCTCATACCCACGGTCTCCTCCCCTCCCCTTCCTTCCCCCCCTTCGCGGCCAGTTTTCTTAACAAATGCACCTCCCCCACCCCCCTGGGACTCCGTTGCTGCAATTATCTAATAATTTCCCCCACCCCCCTGCCCCCACCTGTGCGCATCCGGCTCGAAGCGCATGGCCTTGATGGCCTCGTTGTGCAGCTCCAGGCAGAACGCGATGCGCGCGTGGAAGGCGGCCTGCGGCTCCCCGCTAGAGTACACGTCGGAGCGCTCGCGGCTGCACACGCAGGCGGCGGAGTGGTCGATCACGGCGTCGATGCCGCCGTCGCGGATGGCCTTGGCCACGATGTACTCTGGAATGCGAGGGGGGGGGAAATTAAATAAGTGAAACAACGAGTCCCAATCCCATATCCCGACTCATGCAGTGAGCGGGGAGGGAGGGAGGAAAGGGGTTAAGGGAGGGTAAGAGGAAACAACTAGCTGACGGAGGGATAAGGAGCCAACATGGGTTGAAACATGTGAGCCACAACATGGGAACATGGGAACATGGGGAGGGAGGCGGGGAGGCAGATGGGAAAGATAAACGGTAAATGAGAAGTGTTAAGGAAGTGAGCAGTGAGTTCAAATCCCGTATCCCGACTCATGCCGTGAGCGAGCGCATACGGAGGGGGGGAGGGGGGCAGCAGCCGGGCAGGGACGGGGAAAAAACATAATTGATAAGTGCAGGGACGGGGGTGGGGGTCACATGGTGGCAGGGGCCGGGGCAGCAGCCGAGAACTGGGGAAGAGAAGTGGAGAGAGGTGGGTCGCGGGGATTGCGACCCAGTTGCGCTCAGCACAAAAGCAACACACCCAGTGTTGCATACCTAGACATGTCGTGTGTACGTATATTGGGAGCTGGTATACGGTATTATACGCATAATAACGGTATTACACGCACATTTATGCGTACAATACGCGTATGCGTACATGGCGTATGCGTTCACGCCCATTTCTTTTCCTTCTCAACCAGCCTGTACCTGTTTGCTGCCTAGGTGTCCCCCTACCTCGCTCCCGCCTCACCCTCCCTCCCTCCTTGCTTCACTTTTCATATACCGATGTTTCCCCCCTTTCCTGGCGGTATTTCCACCGCGGCTCAGTAGGTAACCGATCTCACCCATCCCCATTCCGCGGCCCAGTCGATAAACTACCTCCCCCCTCACCCGCATCCTCGGCGCTGGCCAGGTGCAGCTTTGCCGCCACCTCCGCCAGCCCGATGCGGCTGTAGGCGGCGTTGATGCGGCGCAGGCCGGTGCGGATGACGTTCTGGTGCAGTCGGCTGATCAGGTTGTGCGTGCGGTCGGAGGTGAAGGAGGAGCTGAAGCGCTCGGCAACCTGTGGGGGAGGAATGGGGGGGTTGATAAGGATACGTATTCCGCAGGGAGAGGGAAGTGGGAGTGGGAGGGGGGTTGTCGTTGCCGTATATCCTCCTCAGTATCCTGCCGCTTTCCTCCTTCTCAACACTACGGTGCGAAACACCTTACCACTGCACTGATACAGCATGCGGTTCCGATAACAGTGCTTTTCTTTCGTCACTACAGCCGACCCTCTCTCCCCATGGTGTTTCTTCTCTCTTTCCCAAATCCTCGTTGCTTCACCTTTCCTTTGTTTTTACCACCACCACCACCCCCACTCCGCACCTGCTTGAACGCCAGCGTGTCTCCCGCCTTGACCGCCTGCGTCAGCTCGAAGTACGGCTGCAGCGGGCGGCTCATGCCCGGCGCAGCGAACTCGGGGCGGTCGGGGATCTCGCCCAGCAGCAGCCGCACCAGGATGAGCCACTTGGCGCACTCCAGCCGGAAGCCGTGCGCGATGGCGGGCGCGCGGCGCAGGGCCTGGGCGCATGCGGGGGGGAAGGGGGAAGGGAGAGGAAGGGTTGCGAGAAGAAGAAGTGGTCCGCAAAGCGGCTCTCCATCCCACCTGGCTTTCCCTAAACCCCATCTGCGGCAGACACTGCTCCCCTCCTTTCCCTCCCGTACCCTTCTTCCTAACCCCACCTTGCTTCTTCATTCCAGCAAGCCACCCTTCCCCACCCCCTCCCTCCTTTTGGGATGCATTGGATCTCCCCCGCCCCGCCCCGCCCCCACCCCGCCCCACCCCGCCCCGCCCCCCCGCTGTCTACCTGCTGCAGGCAGTCCTTCGCCTCGCTGTACTCCAGCTGGATGGTGCGGATGCGGCCCAGGTAGTGCAGGTACCGGCAGTACTGCTGACCGCTGCGGAACTGGTCGGACTTGGCGGCCTTGCTGCGGAACTTCTCAGCCTGGGAGAGCGGGGGGTGGGGGGTGGGGTTGCCAAGGTATGCAAAACCCACAGGTACCGGTATACCAAAACCACAGGTTAAGGTAAAGCAATGGGGACAGAGGGAAGCAGTTTGTTACCAAGTAAAGAAGGGTTAGGAGGCAGGAGGAGGGGGGCAGACGGGGGGATTAAGACAACAGCGCGTGCAAGAGAACAGGAGGCGAGATGTTGGAAGGAGGAGAGGAGAGGCAAGTGAGCCGGGAAAGGAGTCGAGTGGCGGGCAATGCCCCCCAGCTGCTTTCCATGCTGACGTACACGCCCATGCGGCCCTCCTCACGTACGATGTACGACACACCTGGTCGTACAGGTTGTAGTGCAGGTAGTTCCGGAGCAGCAGGTTCATCAGCGTCTCCTGCCCCAGCGCGTCGTGTCGCAGTACGGCGGTGCGGTGCAGCGCCAGCAGCGTGCTGGGGGAGTTCGAAGGGGGAGGGGGAGAGGGAGGGAGTTGGTGGGAGGGAGAAGGGAGAAACACATGTAGTGTTTTGCGGCCAGTGAATGAATTTACAGGGTTGTTTTGAAGCGGAGGAGCAGGAGGGGGAGACACGTACGGAGGTTTCAGAGCGGGCTTGGGTCTAGGGGAGTTTGGAGGACGTGGGAAACCGTCATCGATGGGAGCCACCGTGGCATGGGGCTGCAGGGATGCTGTTGAAGGAATGCAGAGGGTCAGGAAGCGTTACCCCTTCGCTCTCCTTCTCCTTCCCTCCCTCTTCAATACAGGGCACCGCTCTTAGACCACGTCCCTCTTCCTCTCCCTTCCTTCCCAGCCCGTGTTTTCCACACGCCTTTTAGAACAGGCGCCTTCCCTTTTCTACATAGGCGTTTTCACTGTTAAGAACCAACACCTCAGCCACTCTCTACCTCCCAACCCGTCTTTACCTGTATTCAACCACCACCCCCGCCGCCGCCATGCAACCCGTGCCACATGGTTAGTTCCTCTTTACCAACCTCTTTACCCGCAACACGACACACTTGCAATACCCCCTCCCTCCCTCCCTGGGTCCCATGGGCCGGCTACAATGTAGCAACCCATGGCGAAGCCTCGTCATACAGCGCGTCAGTTTTCCTTATTTCTACCCTCCCCCCCTGTCCCCACCTGCGGATGCTGGCCAGCTCGCCGGTGTGCTCGTAGCTGAGGCTGTAGTAGAAGTAGATGCGCGCAGCGATCACATCCAGAGTGCGGCGGTTGAAGTGAGCCAGGCGGGCTAGCGCGGCGTCGGCCACACTGCGGGCCTGGGGGGGAGGGAGGGAGGGGCGGAGAGGGGAGGGAGGGAGAGGGGGGGGGAGGAGGGAGAGGGAAGGTGATTAGTGGGGAGGAACAAGAGGAAGCAGTGAAGGGTGAAGGTGAGCCGAGAGAAGACGAGCGGACGAAACAGCGACGCCACAACCCTACATTGATACTCCAACAGATGGGTTTGGGTGTATAGGGTGGATGAGGGAACCGTGCTTGCGTGCGTGAGCTGCAAAACTGACACTGAGGGGATGTGGTAGGGAACGTCCGCGTCGAAACCCCAGTTTACCCCTCAAGTCTTACTTCAACCCCTGCCGCATCCTAGCCATCATGACCCGCCAGCAAGCGCCGCCACCTACCAGCTGGTATTGTTTGCTGTCGCAGAGGAAAAGCAGGACTATGAGGTACGCGTAGAGCTCCACCTCGGGAATCACCGCCGATGCTTCACATTGGGGCGAGGTGGTTGCCTCCTCCGCATCCATCCCCGATGACGATGCCTGGTGGCACACCAGACGAGCATATGGCTTTGCTGGCGCTGCAACCCCGCTTGAATGCGTCTTGACGGTTCAAAGACCAACGACCTACCTGCTCGATGTGCGAGTTGAGGAAGGAGCGGGACTCCAGGTCTGCGGGCAAAGTTTGCTGCAGGAAAGTCTTAATGCTTGCTGGCGTCAGCTGCTTGCGAACGCTGGCGGTTTGGCGCAAGAGCCTGCCGATCAGCAAGCGGGTATCCTTCGCCTTGACAGATTTCTCCACCAGCGCTACCACCGCTTTCAGCTTCTCCTCTACCGACGTTGCTGCTGGAGCTGCTGCAACTGTTTCCGTTGCCCCATTGGCCTTAGGGGCCTCGTCCGGCTTGTCAATGTCCATTTCAGATCTGTGCGCTCATACACGTGTAAAAGCCTACCAAAGCAAGAAAGGCAAGAAGTGGATCTTTATATTTTATAGATCTGCAGGTAGAGGTTGCAAAATGTCGGCAGACGAGCGAGGCGTATGTCGCTGTGCTTACGCGAACTCTTGGCCGTACAAAAGGCTTGCGTCCATGACAGCGATAAAGTCACACAGGAATAACGTATTATCATGCGATCTATACAAAACGTTTCTTGTCTTGCTTTAAAGCCGCTGTGGGGTAACCGCTCATGGATGTCGACGTGACTAGGGCAGCAAGAAACGGCCGCAAGGCGTAACCCGCTTGTGGGTATGGAAGAACACAACGCGTGGCCGGCTTTGTCTTCAATGGCAGTAGTCCTGTGGGCAAGAGTGGGCATCTCCCTTCACTGTCCGTTAGACGCGTCGCAAAGCGGCCAGGTTACCGGTACCCTGTGCTTTCCTACAATGAAGGGTGGCTGTATCTATACCCATGTCTCGTAGTTACAGGAATGGACCACTGTTAGGGCATGCATGCTGGTCGCCGGACAAAGAGTGCAACACCCAACCACCCGGCCAGGCATCCAGCGCATCCGGGGGCTTACTGAACACGAGGGCCTAAAGTTAAAGCGTCAGCACATGACGACTGAAGGGCACACCGACAGCTTCCCTGGCTTACAACCGAGAGCTAGCGGGTAACCTGCTACGACACGTACGGACGACACAAGACATGTTCGTTCATTGTAACGTCAGCGACCAGCACACGCAGCGCTTGACCCCATTTACGGTTCAAGCACGGCAAATACGACGCTCGCCAGCTCATAAGAAATAAAAGAGATAGGTATGGAGGAGAACGTTAAAAGGCCGTTCCGGCTAGATGCAAAAGTCAGCTCCGATGGGAGCAGTGTATGCATGCAGTCTTGGTAAAAAGAGTACAACGTGGGCTTCGTCGGAAGATGGGGTTATAGTGATTTGTAACCAGACGCGCAAAATGGTTGACAGTACCTCTATTCGCTTGCATGCAACCTTGACGCAAACCCGGTCACGGCTGTGCAAGTAAGAAACGGCATCACGCAAACGCGCCCTGGCCGCACCATAAATATAGAATAACATGCACGAGCATTCCTGGCTCATTCTCTGTCGCACTTCATCCTAGCTCACTTCTGCGGTCACCCATGACCCCAGCATTCGCCGCTGCCGCTGCCCTGTATACATACAACGCCCAACCATGGGTTCAAGGCATCAACAGCACCTCTTAGATACCTAGAACCACGAGTAATAGAGCCCCCCCATCCTACCTACTAGAAATGTATCCACACGACCCAATCAGGCACCAAGGAAAACGTGATCACGGCATGCTACTCCATCTCCCCTGGCTAACTGCCAACAGCAAAAACACCTTATCACCATAAACACTTAGTATCTTCTATTAATTTCCCCTAGCTGCCTGCACATCGGAGCAGCAGCCGCACCACCAGCTGCTATACCACCTTCTTGCCGGAGGGGATGCCACCTCCAAACAGGCCGCTGCCACCAGTAACGGGCCCACCGCCCACGCCACTGCCGCCCATGCTGCCGGCTCTGGAACCCACGCCGGCCGCAACCACCTCATAGGAGCTGGCGCTGTCGCTACGGCTGTGGTGCTGGTGGGGATGCGCATGGGGCCGCCCCTTGCTAGCCGCCGGGCAGTGCTGCTGCTGCTTGCATGCAGGCTTACATGCGGGCTTAGGAGCGTCGGTGGAGGCGGCGTCGCCGCCACCACACTGCTGCTTGCCAGTGGCAGCGCATGCGGCTGCTGCTGTGGTGATGGTGGCGGTCACAGTCGCGCTGGCAGCCACATCCACGCCCACCTTGCCCTCCTTCTGTGCCTCCTCCACCTCCTCGTCATCCTCAGGTCCCTGCACCCGCATGGAGTTATCCTGGTGGTGTACGGGGTGGTGGTGGTGGTGGCTGGCAGCCAGGCGGCCCTCCTCCGCGTCCTTGGCCTCCACGCCTCCTCCTCCAACGCCAGAGGTGCTGGCAGCCTTCGCTGCCGCGTCCGCCGCCGCCCCCATCGCCGCCTCGTGCACCAGCTCCGCCACCTCCTGCACCATGCGCGCCTGCCAGGGCAGGTCCTTGATGAAGTCCGCGTGGCGGTGCGAGGGGTGCAGCAGCACGCGGGTGGCGGGGCGGGACTCCAGCATGGTCAGCACCTCCTGCATGTGGCGCAACGTGACACAAGGTAAGAATGAGACGGGCGGAATGGAGGGCAAACAGGGAAGGAGTGCCGCGGGACGGAGGGAGGGGACATGCAGTGGCGAGCCATGAGGGAGAATATTGAAGGCTGTGCGGCAGGATGGATGTTCTTGGCCATGCTAGGTGTAAGCTACGAAAAGGCGTAACTGCAGATGACAGGATCGCGAGTGCGCGGGCTTACACTAGGAGGCCGCACATGCCCTGTGGAACCTAGGCCATGGACCGTCAAGTGAATAGCGACACATGCAGATTTCGCTCTGTCTCTCATCATGTGCGGACCCTCTCATGCGTGCGCCCCCTCCCATGTGCCGCAGGCCCCGTCTCATGTGCGCCACCTACCTGCACCGGCACCAGCTCGTCCTGCGCCGACAGCGCCACCAGCGTGTGCTGCGGCAGCTGGTCGGGCCACAGGTTGAGCAGCGACCAGTAGAAGCGGCGGCTCACGGACGTGGCGTGCGACAGGTCGCGGGAGATGAACCAAGTGAGCAGCGAGGCGCCCACGGAGGGGTTGCGGTAGACGAAGTTGTAGATCAGCTTGCCGGAGAACCTGGGAGGGTAGGGCAGTAGAAGAAATGGTTGGAAAGGGGCAAGGAAGATGGTACCGGTAAGGCAAAAAGGATGGTAAAGAGCGAGTCTGGCTAGGTCAGAAAGTATAGTTGCGCTGGTACCAAGGATAGCTGCCTGCATGCAACTAGCCAAGACTATGTACCGATTCCAGGGTTTGCCCACTTCCCCCTACGACCCAAAGTTTTACAGCTACCAGTCGGCCGCCCAGCCCGCCTTACATGACGAAGCAAACCTGCACGCGAAAGGGAGGCAAGGGAGCGCGCAAAGGGCAGAGAAGGTAAGAAGCAATTAGGATGCTGCCCGTCAGTATATACCCTGCAGCAGCAGTGGCCTATCCGCCTGCTGCGACGTCTATGCATGCTCCATTGCACATCTTCCGATCCCAGAACGTGTGATCGCACACTCCCAATTGCTATGTTGACGTCGGTCTTCCTCGGTGCTGTGCCACAAGCTCCTTCCACCAGTACACTAGCCCCAGCTCACATGCACGCGACTGCACAACTCGCCATCTCACGACACTCACCGGGTCCAGCAGCGTCAAGCTCGCCACCATGGGTTTGTGCAGCTGCACCAGCCGAGACGCCATGAAGGTGCCGTACGAGTGCCCCGTCACGTGTACTTGCCGTACATCGTGTCGCGCCAGCGCCTCCACAATGGTCGCCACCACCTCGTCCTCCTCCGGGACTGCCGTACACACGCGCATGGAGAGGTGCCGTACCTCTACTGCCACGACGGGTCGCCGCAGGGAAGACAGGCGCAACAGGAAGTTAAGGTACGGCAGAAGCCCCAAGCCTACGCCGTGCAGGAACAGGATGGGTGCGGTGGCAGCGGACGATGCGGTGGAGGCTGCAGCCGTGGCGGCGGCGGCGGATGTGGGTTCGGGCGCGGAGCTAGAGCCGTTGCAGTTGGCGGACTTAGACGTGGGGGCAGTGGAGGAGTGTGAGGTGGTGGTGGTGGCGGAGCAGGAGGTGTTGCCGGGGACGGGCAAGCCGTATGTGTAGTACCGCATGCCTGCACGCGGGACGGGGGCAATGGGGATTAGGCTTGACCGTAAGCGCTAGCGGGGCCAATCACCACCATCACCTTTGGAATGGACATCAAGCGTCACGAGTTCAGGACCCTTGCAATGGTAAAGCTGCTTCTGCCCTTCACCCGAACCCACCGTTCATCGTATAGGCCTTGAAGCCCGCCGCCCGCAGCATCACATGCTTCAGCAGCATCAGCAGCTCCACACCCGCGTAGAAGATGAGCGGCCGGTAGAAGCACCGCACGGGCTCCCAGAGGTGGGTCATCATGGGCAGCGGCTTGTAGGGCCCCTCTGGGAAGCGCACGCCCCAAGCGGCCTCAATCTCCGAAACCAGCTGGTCCGGCAGGTCTGGCTGCCCCTCGGCCGCCAGCTGCTGCTGGGAGCGGTAGAAGAAGCCGTAGCAGAGCCTGTGTGGCAATGGTTGTGGTGGGTTTGTTAGAAGTTTGGAATGCGGGTTGACGGGGTTTACGTGCCAAAAGAGCCACTTTGCGGGACTTGCATTAATAACAGCGGAAGCGTACCAAAGCAGTGTCAGCTATGCTCGATGAAGCGTACACCGCAACTTACAGGTCTGCCACGTTTCCCCGAGTTAGCTGCGAGGCTGGGACGTTCCAATGCCACCTAGATACCATATCCGTGATGTCGATGTAGCGAGACAGGGCTGCCTGTTCATTCACGAAGCGGTCAAACACTTTTCGTGGGTCTTCATGCTGAGCTGGACGGTGAGGAACGGGTTGAGCGTTGAGACGGCGGTAGAGAAGCAGCCACCAGGCGAAGAATACGATTTCCGCCGCGATCCAGGTTGGAATGACCAGGAGGCCGAAAATAAGCAGTGATGGCAGGGCGACAGCTGTCAATGTCGTCCAAAAAGCGCAAGCCGACAACAGGCAACGCGCTTGTAGCTGCGTAAGCTGCTGGTAGGAAACGCCTACAGGATTGTTTTGCGGTGTCTTGCAGGTGCCGCGTCCGAAGACTGCACCTAACAACTCGCGCGTGACGGCGCAAGAAAGGGTTAACAACCCCATTTTTAGTAGACGACAAATACTCTTATACTACTGCGCTGGTCAGGGCCTCCGTTGCGGTGCCTGGGCTTGTTCGTCGTCTTACGACTATTCCATGCAGCACGTCGTCGCCGCTCAGTAAACAGGAATGTATAGCAGTGTTTAAGCGCTCTATAGCCTTTCACTTATTCGTGCTTCTGTCAGTCGTTAAGCATTGCTGCTATGTATTGGAGAATAGGGCCGCAGCCACGCCTCTTACTGTGTGGTGTAAGAAGCGCTTGTAAATGACCTAGCTAATCGCATAATAAGCAGCGAGCGTACGTGTTCAACAATAAAGTTTGCAGACTGTCATGCTTGATTACGATTATGCACGGACTACGGCTCCGAAGCTTGGAAGGTGCCTCAACTTTCAAATTGCATAATGGTTCAGCCTAATTGTTTCAGTCCAACCTGAGTCTCATTGGTGTTAACGGCCAAAGCTGTAAAGTTTGCGTAAGATCCGGTCAATGCAAGCAGACCAACTCAGTAATGGCAGTATCGCCAGCATGGCACCTTTAACAAGTATACAGGAACCAGCAGCATCTTTAGGCGGTGTGCTTACGAGTCGTATAGGAAAAAGGGTTTATGAATTTAAGCCGTGGGTGCAGTGAAATGTGTAGGGAACATCCTGTGAATGGACTTTCGTAAGAGCCCTAAGAGCGCTCGTGGAGATCATGAGCTCCAGGAGCTTGTATGTGGCATTTCTTCTGTAATTAGGTGCTGCGATGGTACATGTGGTAGGCTAACTAGCAATGCAACACCCATGAATGCCATGATCGGTGAAAATGGTCTGTGCATCCGTCCTGCATTACCATGCGCGATTGCAAGTTAATAATTTTTCATCACTAGTCGGCAGACCAACATTTCGCTACTTGATAGCGCTTATAACCAAGAACGCATACGGCGAACCTTCCGACATACAGCCTCCGGGCGCAAAGTTCTAAGCTAATCGCATCGCTTTAATAGTCAACTATTAAACTTACGCTATAAAAGTCATGCGCGCTTTCCTCCAGAACATTGTGCCGGGGCTACTATCGCAGCAGGACCAGCACGCACAGGAAGCTGCTCTTCCCGAAAATGCTAACCATCCTACTGTTGGAAATGAAACCTTCCGAAGCATCACTATCTCGGCCTGCCTGGCGCGACAATGCGCAGTTGTCCAGGGCTTGCAGGACATGCTTGAAGAAGAACAAGAACTGGAAGAACAGCACCCGAACCAACCTGCCAAAGACCTTAATGACACTCAACCATCAAAGCCAGATCCCGCAACAGCAAGCTCGACTTTCAATCCCAGCTCTTCAGCTGCTACCCCAGCAGCAGCCCTTTCAACTTCATCAACAACAGCTACCGTGACGCTTCCTTGCGTCCCCGCAAGCATTCCCGGGCGCGGCATTCAGCTGCTAGACCGTTGGGCACAGCAGCAACAGCAAGCGCTGGACTCCGGCCGCACCCTTCAGGACTGGCTCCCCGGCTTCCTAGCTGCCAACCTCGCAGACGTGCTCGGCCCAGCCGCCTGTGCAGCCGATTTCCTGGGCTGTCAGACCTTCCAGGACCTAGTCCTGCAGCTGCAGCTGCTGCGATGGGCGCTCCAGGACCCGTCTCCCTCTCCCTCCTCCTTTGCAGCGCCGTTCAGGAGTTTGCTGCAGTGGTGGAGGAGCGCTGGTGGCCGCAGCCGCAGCGGCGGCAGTGGTGGTGGTGGTGGCAGTGGTGGTGACGGGACGGCTGCGACGGCTTCAGCAGGGCTTGGTGATGGCGAGCCGGTGCTTACGGAGGTGAGTGTGAGCGAGAGGGAGGCAAATAGGAAACAGGGAAAACCAAGGAAATTGGGTGCTACGGTTGCCGATTGGCGCAAGGAGGGAGGTTTCGGTTCTGAGGTAGCATGGATCGCTATTGGCAGGGCAGTGGTTGTAAGGAGTGGCGCATTGCGGAGGCCAGACAGGCACTCAGTGTGCAGCCAGTTGTCATGAGCAGTAAGACTGTGTGTGGAAGGCCAGCTGGGCACCTCTGCTGTGCGAGGGCGTACTGTACGGCTACAGTTGCCGCCCTGCGTCACGCCTCAAGGCGCAGTTGGGCCCGACCTCCACGATGCCACCTGACAACCACCTACGCGCTGCATCTTTCCCCTTCCCGCTGGCAGGCCCAGCTGCGGCTGCTGCCCTGCCTGCAGCCCCAGCAGCCCCAAGAGCGACCCACGGGTCAGTCCTCATCACCTGACGCAGCACCGGCCGCAGCTGCCGCTGCCTCCGCAGCAGCAATGCCTCCCCAGCCAGCGCAGCAACATGCATCCGGTCCATCCGCAGCAGACACACTGCTGCCGCGCCGGCTAATAGTGCCGGACGAGTTCGAGTCACTGGTTTCGGAGCTGTACGACAGTGGTTTGGTGACGTACACGAGCGCGCAGGTTGCCGACGTCAGGTACGGAAGTTCGGGGTTCATTCTAGATGCGACCTCAGCTTGTAGTAGCTTAATAACCCATAAGGCATAACGGCCGGTATGGCGGTTCCTGTTGTACGGCAGGCGGTATTTGTACGCCCTGGGCTTCATCCCCGGCTGGAGCTGTGCCGTACAAGGCGAGAGGCAGCAGCGGCAGGGAAAGTCGGTGTATGCGAGTCTTGAGGTGCGGCCCCTGCCACCGGGTTACGAGGTGGCTGCAGTGGAGGTGGAGGCGGAGTCGCATGATCAGGTGGGGGCTGAGGAGCTCTGGGCTCGGCTGTTTTCCTGTCGGGTTGGAGCGTTTCTCGTTCTTATGTGGCTGTCTTTCAAACACTACTTGCGATTGCGCCTAGCCGCATGTCTGGCGCGCGGCTGAAGGGTAGGTGACTTGCAGCTGGGGCGTCTAGACGGTACCGGTACCCGCCCATCTACCATCCAACCAACTAACCATGAGCCAACGAACCAACGACCCCCATACCGTGTGTACCGGTATTCCACAGGGCTGGAGCAGCTACCCCGAGGACCGCAACACCCGCAACAACTCATGGACCTGGGTAGAGCTGCAACTGTACGACACGCACGGCGACCTCGTACCTGCGGGCGTACACCGGCGGGCCCATGACGGCGGCAGCGGCGACGGCGGTGATGGTGGTAGCGGCGACGGTGGCGGTGGGGGGGAGAGGCCGCGTCTGTTTACCAACCTGCATGCCATCAGTGCCTGGCAGACTCATGCCGTGAAGCTGGGCCCGGAAAGCGACCTGGTGCGGGACCTCAACGCTGTGCTGGCGGGCAGGGTGGCTGCGGTTGCTGCTGCTGCCGCTGCTGCACCTGAGGCGGCCTCAACCGCTGCTGAGCAAGCAGTGGCTTCGGGTTCGGCCGGGGCCGAGGTAGGAGCAGAGCGGTGGGGCGAGGTGAGCGAAGAGGGAGCCAACCGTGACGGTAACGGTAACGGTAACGGTGACGGTGGTGGAAGATGCAGTCTTGGGCTACTGATGTGTGCGGCCTTCCCGGGCTGGGTGTGCTACATGCGGCGGGGCGGGATTACGGTGGAGGCGAGGCCAGTGTACATCAGTGCAGGTGTAGGTAGTAGAGCGCTACGATGATTCTGATAAAGGCACTGTTTGCTCAGGCTAATAGGTTAGGGTGGATGGCAGACCTTGACGGCTAAGCTCCTTAACGGCCTCAATGTGCTTCCATGGACATGAGTTGGCACCGAGCACCTCTATGCCCATGGGACACTTTGGGTCAGATGGTACCGTTGTGCATTTCGTTACACAGGTAGGGTTGGGTCGGCAGATCTGTTGACCTGAGTAGGGTTCACTAAGAGCCGTTGAGATACCGGTTTGAAGCGGGTTAAACCTCCGGCAGCTTAATAACGAAGCTACCTAGGAATGTGCAGCCTAAAGCCTTTATCGCACAGAGGGAAGCGCCACAGGCACAGCCTTGGTAGCGTGCTAGCTTGGGGGTAACATCAAGTGAAGGCGCTGCTAGATGGCACAGATGGTCGTGCGGATGTCCCACAGCTGGGCTGCTGGGAGTGAGCGGCCTCGCTCCTGTGCCGCTGGTCTTAGAGGCAATAGATCTGTCGCTGTTCCGCATTCAACGGGCACTTCACCTTGCCAATAGAGGAGTGTTTATCAAGCAGGCTTATCCGGAATTCGAAAGCATGTAATAGTGTAGTAGCTCCTCCCCTCTTACATTGCCGCCTCTGTCGAACGAAGGAAACACACGAAGATCGCATAGTTCCAGGTATTCACTTTCTCAGGACGGATTGCCGCGCCTACCACCAGCCGCAGGCGCGCCACACCTCACACATCATTACCGTACATGCACATCATAAGAATCGACGCAGTAGTACGATAATACCGGTAGCTGCTGCACGCCACTTGTTGGAAAGCCACAGCAACTTTGGGATTTACCAACAAAGCCCTCAACATTGATAACAGATCTGGTTAGTTCCTTGGCACCCCTTCAGCATGCAACAATACCAGCATGCCACCGGTACACAGCAGGAGGCCAACCGGCAGCAGTTAATCCCATTACGAGTTATGAGCTTATGACCCAGCATGACGGTGCCATTCAAGCGCCCCTGTTTCCCTTGTGGGCCCCCCACGGCAGAAGAAACCACAGCGACAGCAACACGTCCTAGCGCCTACGCTACAGCGAACAGCAAAAGCAACTCCATGCCCTTACTCTACTAGCTCCGTACCCCTCCCAATGCATGCGCAACAGTGCGTCCCTCGCCATCATCACCCCGGCCCCGTCTCACGTTGAGATATATGAGATTGGGACTCCGGAGCAACCCCAAATATGTCATGCAGTGCAGCCCGCCAATTAAACATGCAGCGCAGGTATAGGTCGCTGCAGGCATGTGGCGCTCCATCTCCCTCCCCGGCTCATCGTAGCAGTAGGCCACCTGGCAGGAGATGGAGGGTAGAAGTGGAAGTCAAGCAGATGGGAGGCGGCGCAGGAGGGTGCAGCGGGAAAAAGAAGCATACCCAATATGTTATATCAGAATGCCAAACACATCATGCCAACCCTGGGGCAACTGTAACTTGTTTGTTATACCAAGTCAAGACGTACACCTACAACGTCCATTCACCTCGGTGATGTCAGTTCTTGCCCTTCCACTGCTGCGCAATGGCCTGGAGCTGAGCCCGCAGACGAGCGTTTTCGGCCGCCTCCGCGTCTGCCCTGGCCGCCTCCGCGTCTGCCCTGGCCGTCTCCGCCACGAGCGCGGCCTTTAGGTCCGCAGACGCCTGGCATATAGCGGCGACAAGGGACACATGTGGCATGCAGATAAGGAGGAATCAATTCCAAACTAAAGTAGTGCCGCTTGGCAGCAAGCTGGGATGCCTCCATAGAAGCGGGAGTCCTTTCCAACACACCTTGCTCTTCTCACCTTGGCAGACGCGAACCAGTTCTTCGACGCCTCCTCAACGGCCTTCGTACTCCGCTCGTAGTCTTGTGTGAGCGCCTCGAGGTCCTTGCCGGGGTACAGGATCCGGTACAAGTACGCCACCAACTGCAGAATATCCACGCGATCAGGTGTCAGGTATGGCAAGCGTGCGCGTACTTAGCAGAAAGCAGCATACCGGGATACCCTTAAGCTGATGACCCAGCTTACCCGCAGAAAGCCGCTCTCATTCTCTCCTGACGCCGGGTACCGCAGGTCGGCATTGAATTCCTCTCCGCGCACCACTTTGTACAGGAACTTGGATGCGCGAGGAGCGATGCCCTCCCCTGCTGCTCTCTTGCCCACCCGCCGCACCTCATAAAAGTGCCAATCCCTCAAGTTGGTGACCAAAATCCAAACGGGCTGGTCCGTCTCTGTATAGTCTGCGATCTCCAGCGCATAAGCTAACGGCTGCCACACCACATCCGTGGACTCGCTATACGCGGTTTTGACTTCAACAACTAGTACTGGCTTGCTCCCCTGATCGAGTGCATCCACGAGGTCCCCAAACAATTCATTGCGATCCTTGGGCCCCGGCGAGCGCAACACCACGAACTCGGCAGCTCCTACAGGGCCACATAGAGAAATACAAGTAAGGGTGTACCAAACTATGTACAGATAGCGGGTTATGCGCACTACCGTACCGGAGAGCACCTTGCCGCCAGTAAAGCTTTCCTCATAAGCCACAGTTGCAACCTGGGTGCTGCGGCCTGTTATTTGAATTCAAACGAGTAAGGACTGGCGAAGCAAAAAGTCAAAACGTAACTGCAAAGCGACTGCGCACCTTCCGCCTCGACGGTTTCGCGCTCTGGGGCCACCTCGCCCGCGTCCTCCATGTCAGCGTCTGAGTCTGCGACTTGCTCAGCAGTCTGGTGTCGCACATGCAACTGCAAAAGGTCACCTGCGCTGCTAGCTTGAAGCCTCAGCAGGTGCTTCAGCAGCTCCCAAAGGATCAAGTAAAGGCGTTGCTCCTTCTTGGTGGGCAAGACGAATTGAAGCGCCACCAGCACATCTCCAAAGAGATTCGTGAAGAATGCGGAGCAGCGATCAAGCACACCGTGCTCAAAGAGTTTGTTGCCAGATCCCCCAGAGGAGTCCGCACCAAACTTGTCATAGTCTTTGTGGTTTTTGAACCAACCGCGATACAAAATGTCAAAGCGGCCCTTATTTTTGAGGCTTGAAAAGCCCCCGAGGATTCGCGTACCGGTAGCACTCCCCGTCTGGTCCGACGTGCGCTTCTGCATCTTTGGTTGCGCAGAACTGGAATAATTTGAAAAATGCGGTGAGCGAAAGCGCTGGGAGGTGCATTTGTGGATGGCGACCGACCTAGACGTACGGCAACGCTGCCAACGCGATGCCGTCAAGTACAAATTAGCATGGCCCCTGTGCAAGGATGACACGCACAAGAGGAATCGGTAATACAGAAATTGCCCTTGTGCACGTGCGTACTTGGGCTCCTTTGTCTAAAAGTTCCTTTTTACTTTGTTGAGTTCTCCTTTGCTTGTCTTGAAGGCGCGGGCAAAGAGTTGTACCATCCAAGGTGTTCGTTGCTTAAAAGCCTTACAAAAGACAGCACAGAAGCTTTCATATCATTTGATGACGTACTACCGGTATCTGCGGTGCGAGCACTTGTCATTTTTTAGCACAGCTTCTGTGCATGCGGCTTGTGCGCGTTGTGGTACCTTAGGTTGGTGTCCCCGAGGCAAATGCAGCAAGTCCATGCGTAAAACTACCCTCCCGCAACCGCCCCTGGTGGAGCCATGTGACTCGGTTATAGGTTCTCCCCCTTTACCCCTCTCCCTATCTGGTGCCAGTTGTTTGGACGTTCCACTTTTCCCCCCTTTCCCACCCCCCGCCTCGCCTTCCCCCCAGGGAGTCAGCGGTGGCGGTTGCGGCTGACACCGTCTACCACGAGCGGCGCGCGAGCGGACGTGTACCGCGCTCTGCGGCCGGAGTTCCTGCTGCACCCATCTGCGGAGGGACAGGGGGGAGGAGGACAGGGAGTACAAGGACAGGGGCAGCCGAATGGGGCAGGGGGAGAAGCAGCGGGGGCAGCATCAGGGGGAGCGGGTCCCAAGGAGGCGGCTCAACTGCCTCGGCAGTCAGCAGGAGGAGCAGCCCTGGTATTGCCCTTGGCACCATCCCTACACATCGCTGCTGCTGGCGCCTCCGCGACCCGCACACGCTGGGTGCACACGTGCCTGCCCACCTGGAGAGGTTACGGCACTCTTAACCATTTCCCCTCCCACCCCCCCCTCCTCTCCTCCCCCCCCCTCCCGTTGTTTCACTTTTATATAATTTTCCCCCCCCTCCCCAGGCGCTGGCGGGCCCCTTCCTGGCCGAGCCGCTCTTCCGACTGCACCTGCGCACGTTGCTGCTGCTGCCACATGCGGTGAGAGGGGGGGAAGATGGTGCGCCCCGTCGTGAATGCGTTCCTCAGCCCCTCCCCTTCCCTCCCCTGTTTTGACCCCCTCCGTTGCTTCACTTGTTCATTTATCCCCCCCCTCCCTCTCCTCCTTGGAATTTCTTTTTCCCTCTCCTCTCCATGCGCTCACTGCATAAGTCGGGATATGGGATTGGGGCTCCAGTTGCTGCATGTATTATTGTTTATATTTCCCTCCCCTCCCCCGCTCAGGTGTGCTACGTGGTTCTTGTCAACCTGGTCAACCTGCAGGTACACCGCATCGCGCTTGCCGCCGACCGCTGCCAGCTGGCGGTGTTCCGAGCGCAGGGTGGCCTCCTTCTCAGCCAGCAGGACATTGCCAATGTGGGCGTGTGCGGGGCGGCGCTTGCGGACACGCTGGGTGATCTGACGGCAACACTGGACGACTTATCACTAGGTAAGGGGGGAGGGGTAAGAAGACGAAGCGATGGACGAATCGTGTGATAAGACGTCTTCATGGTTCGCTAAATGAAACCGCGGAGGGGAGGGGAAGGGAGGTGTGGTGTAATCGTGTAAAGAGGGAACAGGAGCCATGGGGGGAGGGATTAATTTGGAGACATAATCCGCATTAGGCTGGATTTTAGGGATAGCAATTTATTGTAGTTAGTAGCATTAATCAATAACAAACCGTATTGTAAGCTCCATGGCGGCTGCCAAGGTGATTTGAGACCGCTCTGTATTGGCAAATAAAAGGCGGCTGCTACTGTGATAACCGGCTCCGCTGCGCTGCACCTGCTATCTCTGCTGCAATGCTGTGAGCAGCCTCACGTATGTAAGCTCCGCTGCTCCCTCCCCCCAAATGGGGGGAGGCAGGGGGGAAAGGGGGAAAACTACAGACAAGTGCAGCAACGGAGTCCCAACCCCGGAAAGGGGAAAAGGGGGGAAGGTTGACCCGCGGGACAGTACCGGTAACCGTACCCGGTGGGGATGAGGGGATAAAATATAGATGAGTGCAGCAACGAGTCCCAATCCCGAATCCGGAATCATGCAGTGAGCGCATTCGGAGACCCTATTCTAGAAACACGCACCTCAGATACTTACCGATTGCTTGCTTACCAGAAACCGAGATGACTTGAGGAAGAAGCCGCCTTGCATAGGAACACTAGTAAGGCATGTGCCGCGCCGCCGGCCACTATTTCTAAGGCAACAGGGCTATTGGGCATACAAGTACTGGTAGATAAGTCAACGAGACGACGCGTTAGGGGAAACTTACCTGGAGAGAGGAACCAGAGGAACATGGCCATGGGCGGGTACAAGGAGTGTAGACGCAGGCCAGCAATGCCACAGCAGGGCATGGTCCACCGTCGAGTCGAAACAGGAGAAGAGGTTGTCAATATGCAAGAAGAAAGAAAAAGAGGGAGCAGGGAAAGTTAACGAAATGTTAAGCAGGATATGCGCGATGACATTGGAAACAAAGCAGGTCAGTATGGCTAGGGCATCCTATAGACACGGCGGCGCGGCATTGTGAGGAAGGAGTGGTGGGTGGTCATTAACAGTGAAGGGAAGGTTGGAAGTACGGCATGACATCGGGGGCGACATCCACGTGAACTTGTCGGATAGCAACCCGGGGTGTGTGTGGCAGGGGGGAGGGGGGGGGGTAAGCTAAGGGGGTGGGGGTGAGCTAAGGGGGTGGGAGGTGGGGCTTGGGCTAAGGGGGTGAGGGGGTGGGGGTGAGGGGCGGTGGCGGGTTTGTGGTTGGGTCGGGGCGGATGTGAGTGCGGGTAACCTGTAGGCTTGGGAGGAGCGAGGAGGGAACCACCACAGGCCCGGTGGGAGTGTACTGGCAGCACCCTCCACTCTCCACCCCCCCTTTCCCCACACCCTGCTTTACGGCTTGGTTACACTCAATCCCTGCTTACCCCACCCTGCTCCCTCCTCTCGCCTTGTCATACGGCCGGTTACCGTAGTTTCTCCCTCTTACCCCTCCCCCTGAGGAAAATATATCCCTATTTACCCTCCCACCCTCCCACCCCCCTTCCCCTCCCCCCTGCAGCTCTACATGGACGTGGCTGATCCTCACCAGACCAACCTGACCGCGGGCGTGTGGCAGCTGGGCAACCTCTTCATAGCGGCAGGCCGGGAGCTGCTGTGGTGGGGCGCCAGCAGGGAGGGAGACATCGGCTCCCTGCGCCCCTTCCGCTTCCTGCTCTCCAACGGCCCCTGGTCGCTCTTCTCCGCCTACTCCGTCTCCCTGGATTACCTCACCCATGCAGCGGGTGTGTGCCTGCATATGCCAGCAGTAGAGGGCACATGTCCAACGCATTAGAGCAAAGTGTAAGCGTTTACGACATACACGTACATTAGCAGCAGCCCCGGTCGCACCCATACTAGTTTACCCCATGCAAGACCTGCGTAACCATTGCTACGGTGCGCCGTAGTCTACCTTGGCTGTTGTATGCGTCGGCTATGCGATGTGCGGTCCTTCGTCCTTGTCCAAGCAGCCGGACCGAAGCAGCACCCCGGCACGTACGTGGCTTAAGCAGGAACTAGCCGACTTGGTCTCGCTTGACGGGTGCAGTCAAAGTGAAAGTAGAAGGCTCTGGGGCCCATATCCTGGCATATGAATGGTACAAGGACAGCGAAGCGGACGGTGAAACGAGGATACGTTGGAAGACGTCAGAACGGCCTTACGTCTAGGTTGCGAGGGCCGTAACTGCACGCATCTCTCCCGACGCAAGTTATGCACCTATCACTAATCCTGAGATGAAGGCGGCCATGCAAGGTTAGCGTGGCTGCGAGCTTTCTAGCACTTGGTTTGCCACGAGCGACCCATGGGTCCGAGACCCATTCACCGTGCTGTTCTTCCAGTTCATTCTTTTTATATAGTACACTCGCAACATCCCAAAATCTGATTACTGATTAGAGCTTCTCTGCATCGGCTGAAAGGGGATGCAGTAGTGACCAGTCGGCCCTGCCAGGACCTATGCATGCAGTAGCTCTATCCTTGGTGCTTGATGAATGGGAAAGGATTGGAGCCAGCCGTAGTCCTTTGCAGGTCCGAAGACTGCAATCCCGGAGCTGTTTATTACTGTCCGTGGCAGGTGTTGCTGGCCTAAACCAATCTAGCCAGTAGTCTACCATGGGTTACAACACCCCACTGTCTTACACCGTCTGCAATGTACATGCTCACATAGCTTGCCGAGCGACAAGCCATTGCCTGGTGACACAGTTCGATGTGCAATGACGGTTCCCTCTGGCCACGACATAACAAAAGCTACAACAAAATAACAATTTAGACAGGGATGGCAACGCACCGGTATGCAAGCCCTATACATCTTTCTGAGCGTGCGTTGCAGTCCCACCCGTCCACGCTGCTTCGGTTCAGAACTCTGGAGTGACTACAGGCCCGGCAATTACAACGTCCAGCGTGCACGACAACGTTAAGCGTCCATGGGAGGCTCTAACAGGCATCAGGATGAAATGCCCCTTCATTGTCCATTCCACCTTAGCGGCGCCGATGTGCACTACTGCCTTGCCTCTCGTCATAGATAGACCTAGCGCGCCAAATTGGATTGCCTAAGTGGAGGAGCTGCTTGATACATAAAGACAGTGGTATGTATGGTAAAGAGCGTGGTGTCGCAGCTGGGATGCTCAGAGCGAGCGGCCTCCTTTGTAGTGCCGGCTGCCGGTTGTCCTTAGAAGCAAATGATGTCTCGCTGTTTGGCGTCAGGCGGGCACTTAGCACAGATGACGTCTTCATCGGTGCAGTACATGCCTGCATCGGCATGGGGCGGTAGTCGGGGCCGTGCGTGGTGCAAGCGGGAGGGCAAGTAAGGCAAACGCTGTGCTTCCAGTAGCCTGCACGTTACCACCCATCCCTCAGCATGCCCCTGCCACCCGCCTCGCACGGCTAGCATGGGTGTGTAAGGAGCGGTATCCGGTATAAGGAGCGGCCGTAAACACCTCAGCCGCAAGGGGTTCCCCTTCTGGATGGGCGGGGCATACATAGCAGGCAGCAGCTCTGCTATGCTCCTAGAACGTCGAAGCCCGCCCATCCATACGGGCCTAGCGACCTACCTTTATCACAGCGGCGGCTTTCGGACAAGGCCCATTCACCGGCTTGTACGATGCAGCAACGCTTCCCCAACCTGCCGCAGTGGGGCGGGTTAGCGACGCAGGTGCCGCGGGGGTTCTCCAAGGGGCCGGTGTAGCTGCCGTTGCAGTACGCTCCTTCCTGCAGAAGCGTGAAAGCACCGATCACAACATTGTCTTCACGTCACGGTGAGAGCCGCTGTGTTACGTTTGAACGTGGACTTCCAGTCCCCTTCTGTGGGTACCGTAGTATCTAGTATGCCGTGCCTAGGTCGCCCTAGACTCCAGTTCCTGCCCTCGCTTCTGCCTGCCTACATGCGCTGTTTGTATGTAAGGCCCCTTGTATGGTCATTTCGCTTTATTACATGCGGAGTACCACGCAGCAGCAGGTGTCGAGCCGCCCCCATCTACGTACGTGTGCATGCCCCACGACCATGCTACGCCATCCGCCCTGCATCCAATCCGCATCACATAGCAGTGCAATGCCCAGCAAGCCGCAGCGGTTTCCGCACATGCCCGCGCTGGGTTACTGGTTACATTGTGTGTTAGGAAGGCCCGCCAGTCCGCAGGAGCAGTAACAGTGAATTTTGTTCCCAGCAGCAGCCCCGCAACCCCGCTCCATTCACCGGGCATATGGCTGGCGCCTCCTTGGATGAGTCCAGCCACTTGTGGTAGGTCCCCGGACAGCAGGTGCCGCCCACCGTGCCGCACTCCTGCGGGTACTTGGGCCACCGCTTGCATGTTCCCCGCTCCGACCAGCCCGTGCACACTAGGTCACCCAGGCAGTACTGTCTGTCCTCGCCGCAGCACTTGCCGTCCAGCTTGCCACAGTCCGTTTGGTCGTCGAAGTCCGAAGCTGCATGCGAGGTTGGGGTGGAGCTCAGCAGCAGTAGCGCGCACAAGGCAACGACTGCCGGCTGCAGTGCCGAATAGCGGCGGCGTGTTGGCAACATGTCGGCGTGCTTCGTTGGGTGAAAAGCCGTTGCAGGGGATACTGCCTTGCTGCGGGTATATGGGCAGCAAATGACAACGTCCAACGCATCACAGCAAAATGTAAGCCCGCGCGCGTACTCGCGATCCTGACATTTGCAGTTACGCCTTTTCGTAGCTTACAGCAAAAGCCATACGACACGTGCAGCAGCAGCCTTGGCCACACGCATCTTAGTTTGCCGCACTCAAGACCTGCGCAACCTACCACTGCCACGGTTCGTGGTAGCCCTTTCGTCAGCTATGCAATGTGCGGTCCTTGTATGTGGCAGCCGGACCGATGAAGCAGGCCTGTGCGATTGATACGTCGATGTAGCAGCAACTAGCTGGTTTGGGCGTGATGGGTATGCACAGTGGGAAAGAGGGCAGGTCTGGGTCTCATATCCGGGCATGCTGTTGGTACAAGGACGGCGAAAGGGACAGCGAAACAAGGATACGTACGTTGGGAGCGAGACGTCATAAGGGCCCTACGTCTAGGATGCGAGGGCCGTAGCAGCATGCATCCGATGAATGTGTTCATGCAAGCTTAGCGTGGCTGGAAGCTTTTCACCTCTTAATCAGCCGCGAACGACCCATGGGTCCCTTGTCCTTTCAACTCGTCGTTTCTTCCCATGCATTCTCCTTACCGCAGTAATGTTTAGTTTCATGTAAACGAGGGGCTGGAAGGGTATGCAGCAGTTATCAGTCCGCCCGGTGGTAACGTCTGCGGCAGCTCTTCCCTTGAATTTGAAGGGAATGGAGCCAGCTGTCAGCAGTCCTTTCCAGGTCGTCATAAACTCGGAGCTTGCTTGTTTCCTGTCCATGGCAGTTATACGGTAGTCGACCTAAGCCCTCCTAGCCGGTAAGTCTAACCAAGCTGCCCCACGGCCTTCAATGTTTGTGCTCTTACAGGCCCTGGCTGGCACCGCACGTGCTCTTAGTCTTGCTCAGCCTAGAGCTGGCTACGACATACAACCGTTACAACCGTTACAACAAAACAGCAAGTCTTCGCTGAAGGCAGTGCACCAGGCATTGGCTTTCTCAGCGTATTATGCAAGCCTACCCGTCCCCGCTGCTTTGGTTCAGAACCCTGCCGTGACAACATCAGGCTCAGCAAATACCATGCATGCATGCATACAACCTTCAGCATGCATGCCAACATAGAGTAAGCGCCCATAGGTTAGCATGTCTCTAGCAATTATCAGCAGCAGTGCATCCCTCCATCGTCCAATCATCATCATCTGCATAACTGCCTTGCCCTTCATCCACTTGGGCCGTATGTGTATGATGAGGGCATGCGCTAATTTGGAGTTATCCAAGCAAGTGAAGGAGCGAGCTGCATGTCTCGCAGCTGGGCAGCTGGGATCAGCGGCCTCCACCCTCTGCCATGGGCACTTCGAAGCAAAACATGTCTCGCTGTTTGGCGTCGGGCGGGCACTCGGAGCAGACGTTGTCTTCATCGGTGCAGTACATGCCTGCATCGGCATGGGGCGGCATTGCTTGGGGCCGTGCGTGGTGCATGTGTAAGCGGGAGGGCAAGGTATGTAAACACTACACCAGCCTGCCCTTACCCTACCTCTCGTCCCCTAGCATGCATGCAACCTCTTGTCACGCACGTACGGCTGTCAAGGGGATACCGTATATATTCCGTGGATTGTAAGCGCGCCAGGCGCAAGGCGCCCTCCTTCAAGACTGTCCCAACATGCATGCCCCTAGCAACCCCCATGCCCGCATGCACGCCTAGCAACCCACCCTTGTCGCAGCGATGAATCGTGGTGCTGCCTCCGTCTATGACGCAGCATGCCTTTCCCAGCTGCCCGCAGTCAGGCGGGTTAGCGACGCAGGTGCCGCGAGGGCCCTCCAGCATGGGGTAGGGGCCCTTGCAGTACGCCCCTTCCTGCAGGACGGAATGATTAGAGCTTGCCTATGTGTGGCTACATGTCAGTGACCTAGCGTCAATGACTACCGCTCTACCGGTGCCAGTAGTGCGGCCGCTGAGATATAGGGCTTCCAGTTCCCTCCTGTAGTTGCAACAGGTACCGGTATGCTGCTGCCTAGTCTCGTCAGGTAGGTTGCCCTAGACTTCATTCCACTTGTTCTATCTACCCTCGCTGCCCCCATGCATTGCCCCCATGGTCAATGCTTGCCCGAACAGGAACAGCGCAAGTAGTGCGCTGCTGCGTTCCCACCCCCCCGCCGCCCAGCCACATACCAAACCCGTGAAACCCCAGCTACTAACCCCGCCCGCCCACCTCACTCACCGGACAGACGGGTGGCGCCTTCTTGGTTGAATCCAGCCACATATGGTAGGTCCCCGGACAGCAAGTGCCGCCCACCGTGCCACACTCCTGCGGGTGCTTTGGCCACCGCTTGCATGTGCCCCGCTCCGACCAGCCCGTACACACCAGGTCACCCAGGCAGTACTGTCTGTCCTCGCCGCAGCACTTGCCGTCAAGATTGCCACAGTCCGTTTGGTCGTCGAACTCCGAAGCTGCATGCGCGGACGGGATGGCGCACAGCAGCAGCAGGGTGCACAAGGCAACGACTGCCGGCTGCGGTGCCGTATAGCGGCGGTGTATCCGCATGATTCGTTTAGATAGGGGATGCCTGTGCAGGTGTGTGCGTGCCTGCACAGGCCAGCAAAGGGCACAGCAGGTTCAACGCTGTCGTAACAGCAAGGTATGCTGGTACCACACATGCAGCCGCAGCAGCCAACCAAGGGCGCGCCCATCCTAGTTTGCTGCTGCGGGTACTCTGTGATGCATGAATGCTACGGTATGTGCCAGCCTACCCTGTTCAAGCAGCCGGGCCGAAGAAGCAAGTCGGTATGGGGCGTAACCGCGTAAGTAACACCTAGCCGGCTGGGGCTTAAATGGGTGTAGCGCTGGGGCTCATAGCCTTGCGTGCGATTGGTACAAGGTTCAACCAGCGGAACGAGGACATGTCGTCGGAAGTCGGAAGGCGTTAGAAAGGCCTTACTTACGGTTGCGATTGACGTAGGAGCATGACATCCTTAAACACACAACTACGGTATTGTTCATCAAAACATTATGGCCTAAACAGGTAGGCACATATACTAAACCTTCTCTTTTGGTCAACGCCGTCATACGGGGTCCGCCGGCGGGGACCGCCGTTGAACGTGGTCTGGGGGCTTTTCCGGGGCCACAAACGACCCGTGGGTCCAAAACCCTATTAGTTTGCTGTTTCTCCCTATATAGGAAAGTCCAAACCCCCCAGGACGCCCCACCTAAGCAGCGGATGGGGGTTCAATAGCCAGCAGTTGTCAACTTCCTTGCGTAATGTCACAGCCGCTGGGTGTAAATGGAATGCGGGCCAGTCCATCGCAGGTCCAACGACTGCAAATGCCGGAGCCGCTTCATACTCTTTGCAAGCCTAGCTGGCCTTAGGACAGTCTATTTTGCACACAACGGCCGTAGTGCCACGGCGTCAAATAACTGTACCGATATGCTCTTACGGCATGATGGCAAGCCGTCGCTTTCACAATACCGGTAATGTGCACGTGGGTGTGTACAACAACGAAGTCACACCTAGTCGGGTGGGTCAATAGCAAGGACAAATTTTCAATCGGATGTTGCAAAATAGAAGGAACCAAAGCAACCCATATGTGATGGCGTGCACAGAACAAATTGCTCACCGCGCCCCGCGCTACCGGTATGCCTCTGACAAACATTACCAGCGACCAGCCAGCCAACTTGTTATTACAGCTCCTTTATCAACCGTTGCTAGGTCAGACCGATGCTTGAAGTCGCGAGCGAAGGGCCGTTTGGTCGCTCCAAGCCCACGTTGCACCGTGTCCCTGACGACAACTTCGGGAGAGGAGAAGGTTGCTGAAGCCGTGCAGCCAGCAGCGCCTAAGCTGGGCGCGATCCATTGGGTTGTTCCTTTCCTACTGCCGACCGCAGGGGCAGTAGCCACTGCGGTTTACTCGGGGGTAAGCAGTTTACGGACTTTCCGAGTCCACGATCGGATCGGAACGGCCTAATTGAAGGATGAGGAAGAGGGCGCGTGCTTTACCAACCAACTTGCGTCCTAGCTACGACCTAGCGCACATGCCTCGTGGCTCTGTGCCACCTAATCCATAAGTACGCCTCTGCAGGCACTGGCTGCTGACGCTGACCCATGGGTCAAGGGGCTCCTGATGGGCACAGGACTGCTGCTGCTGCATGTCTTCCTGCCGCTTCTGGACGCCCTTGTCGGCACACGGAAGCCAGAGCCGTTACCTGCGACAGCAACAAGGGTAAGAAAAAAACAAAGCCCTTACTTTGCCCATGGGCATGTATGCAAGCATCCCTTGCTGCATGACCCTGTAACCCTTGCCCTCAGCGGCTCCCGCGGCCCCTCACATTGTACCGCACGTACCCACCCAACCGGACCTTCCTTCCCCTTCCCACGCAGCAGTCTCCGGCCGTGGATGACCTCTCCGCACGGTTACTGCCCGCGTTCTGCATCCTCTCCCACCTCTCCATCCACTTCTGCGCCCTAGCCACCATCGCAACGGCACCGCTACGGCCGGGGCTGCTGCCGCTGCTGGCGTCCAGCCTGGTCGCTAGCGGGGCCCCGGCGCTAGCCGCAAGCCATGAGCTGGTGCACAGCCGGCATGGGCTGCATTTGGGGGCGGCGGCGGCACTGCTGATTACCCACTGTTGGTACCCATACTTCAGGTGCGTGAGGGCGTGCTGCATGGCAGCTTCCGGTACGTACGGTATCGCCACCGCTCCCTTCAACACCACGGTCCTGTTGCCCGCCTCACTTCACTGCTTAAGCTCCACCTGTTACCGTATGCACCCTTATGTGCCTGGACTTCTCTCAGACACTCACCCCCGCCCCCCCATCGTCTATTGCCAGGTCCCACCACCAGCACCACTGTCCTGTTGGCCTCCTCTTCACCTTTAAAGCTTTGTTATTACTGCTGGTACTGTACTGTATGCACTCTCGCTCCCTTGATGGCTCACCCCTCGTCTGTCTCCATCAGGTCCCACCACCAGCACCACCTGCACGTGTGCACCCCGGTGGACTACACGTGCGCAGCCAAGGGGCAGGACGTGTACTCGTACATCGGACAGTACGTGGCAGGGGGATACGCCGAGGTAGGTAGGGCATCCGTGCATGCTGCTGCTGCTGCACATGCTTTGATGGAAACTGCGGCACTCAGTGCGGCACCGTAACAGCGTGGTGTTGCTGTTGAAGCTGTGGGCATGGTACGGTACAGCAGCCTACTTACTGTGAGATGTCTGCGGCCTGGCTGAGCGCTACTCAATGGTGTTGTTGCCGCTTGCCGCAGGCATGGCAGCTGGCGGCGGCAGAGTGTAAGAAGGCGGGCAAGCCGCTGCTTAGCGCCCACAACAGGTAGGTGGAAGGGCTGTGCGCTGCTCAGGGTAGCTACCGGCGACCCATGGGTCAGGGTACCGGTGATACCGATACGCAGGCGTATTGCAGAGACGTGTTGCAGAGACGTGTTGGCTGAACAACGTTTTCCTCCATCATGCCTTCATTGGATTTTGTTATGGCATGACATGTAGCGTTATGTTTGCGAAGGTCTTACCCATCAAGCCTCATCCCTCTGCCGTTGCGCGCAGCACGCTTGCAGGATGCACAGCCCAGGCGCTGCTAACCGCCGCCATCTACTTCGCCTTCGGCCCCATCGCCGCTGCCGTACATCTGGCCGTATCTGCCGTGCTTGTATCGTACTTGGCCATCATTGACTACTCCCTGCACTATGGCCTCACTCGACCCCCGCTGCCCGGTAGCAGCAGTAGCGGCAGCGGCAGCAACAGCAGCAGCGGTAGCAACAGCAGCGGCAAGGGGCGGCGGTTTACCCCGGTGACGCCGTACATCAGCTGGTCATCTCTGTACCCATTCGAGGTGGGCGCTGGAACCGCATGGATACATGTCGAGTTGCTGAGTTGCCAATGAACAGATTGGCCTTAAGCTGAAAGCTGGGAAGGGTCAGCGTGAAAAGACCTTTTGCGCAACCACTGGCACGGCTGGTCCGCTGCGTGGCCAACCCCTAACGGTTTGCAACGTCTTTCCTGCTGCAATGTCTTTCCCTGCCGGTGCAGAACGCACTGCTCTTCAACGTGCTCTACCACGGGGACCACCACATGGTCGCATCCAAGAGGTGAGTTCCGGGGGGCTTCTGGGGAGCGAGAAAAGGAGGAGCTGATGACATGAGCAGAGCAAAGGAGGACAGGCTTGCTATACCCGCAGCTAAGCATAGGGAGGCAAACTTAGGCAGGGTGCCCGGGCCCTCATTCGCATGGTAATGCATGCCTCCTGGTGTGCCGTTCCCCTGCCCGCCTCAGCTACGGCTACCTGCGCCCCGCGCCCTCCGCGCCCACCTTCCCTGCGCCCCTCAACTTTCTGGCGCTGAGCGCACTGCTGCCGCCGCTGTGGCGGGCGGCCATGGACAAGAGAGGTGAGGGGCTGGTTGGGCAGGGCTGTGGACCCAGTCGGGCAGGGCTGTCCCTGGCGGGGCAACCCTGCCAAGGCGTGATGGTGTGGAAGGAAGGAGGGAAGCTTGTACCGGTATTTCGGGGTGCATGGCGCATAATCCTTTGGGCGTCTTAATCCAAGTGGGGCAGTGCAGCACTGTCCAGAACAAAACCCGCTGTGCCCAAAGTGCCGCAGCAAAGATGATAAATGCTTTCCGCTGCCCCTGCCCGCGTGTGCGTTTGTGCAGTCGACCAGGCCAACAGCCTGAACCTGCAGTACCTGGGGATGGCGGCAAGCGATCCGGCGACGAGTGGCCAGCCATTGCTGACGGGGGCAGGCGACGACGGGGGCGTGCAACGTTTTTAGTCAACCCCTTCTCTGCGTCTTTATGGGACCGTCCCTTCCATGCTAGGATGTACGGCATTGTTGTGTCCGTTGTTGGAGAAGAGCACGGCAGCAACTGTTTTGCATGCACGGTCCAGTGAGTGCCTCCCACGCAATGGTTGCCACGTTCGATGCTAACACACGAGCGCCTGGTAGGAGCGGTGTGTACGTGTCCAAAGTTGCATTGCTGGTTGTGCACGCGCAGTTCTGATGTGGTGTGTGGGATACGGTAATTGTAACCTATGGGGGCAGTTGTAATTTAGGGATAAGCACCCGATGCCGGGTGGTACCGGTAGACCTGATACCGGTGTGCACAACAGCAGCCATATAATTGCTGGCGTACTGCGTCATGCAATTGTTGGAGCCTCTCCTAAACAGGCAGGCTTCCGGAGGCGGGTTGTACATAATCGCCCGCCGGGGCCACATGCGACTGCGCACCCCCAACCCCCGAGCAGTACGTCAGCCTACAACGCATTCAGAAATTGAGGCAGTAGTCGGGTTGCCCAGCCACACCTCACACCAAGTATGGCTGTGTCGTTCAGGACGCGGTTGACACGACGCGAGTTGAGAACGACCATGTTGCCAACCCTGTTGACAGCACCGTTAGGCAGCCATGTTTCGTAGGTTTACGACCCTCATGATGCCAGCAGACAGTAGCAATAGCAAGATTTCCGGACACAGCAAGCCAATCAGTAAATATAATTTAATTCACTGCACTGCTAAAGAGTCCTGGCTCCATCTGATCACATGATGCGTCATAACTAAGCTAGTCCGGCCCTTGGGCCACTCATACCCCGCATCGCCAGCTTCACCAAAAAGCCACCCCCAGCTGTTATCCTATGCATGTGCACTAGATAGCACGACCGGGAAGGATCACCGCTCGCAAGTTATAATGTTTACGCCTAACCTTTCTCACATTTTAGCTGAAATAATAAGCACCAAATCTTCCCTGGGGCGTCACGCAGTACCCCCTTGGTCCCTTATCTACGCTCACGTCATCCCAACCATCTGCAGCTGTCACGCACCTGCAAGAGCATCTCTCATCGTTATCTCCACACACACTGCACATGTAGACCCCCCTCACCGCAACGCTGGTGCACCGGTCGCCCCCGCATTCAGGTTAACGGTCCGACCCAAATCCGTGGTGCCCGCGGTCGGCCGGCTGGCCCCAGCGCCCGCGCCTCCAGAAGCCGCGCCCTGCCCTGTGATCGCCGCCATCATGCCACCGAAGCTGCCCGCGCTGCCCGTCCCCGGCAGGCTGCGGTAGGAGCCCTGCTGAGCCGCTGTGGGCGGCGGCGGCAGCAGCGTCGTGGACTCGACGGCTGCGGTGCTATGCTCCGAAACCTCGGCCGCGGATTGCTCCCGGGCAGCTGCCAGCCGCTCCTCCGTGCGGGCCTGCCGCAACCGGTCGAGCTTGCGCAGGCCCCTGCGGTGTAGCAAGAGGAACAGGTAAGAACCAAGGGCGTACAGGTCTTGGTTTCGCGACGCTAGGGCGTTTGGCATTGAGCAATATGCTTTTTGTCCAAGCCAAGCAAGCCAGAAGACCGCCAGTCGCAAACACCGGTACCCAGCTACAGACGCTTCAGAACAGTAGGATCCGGATGCGCCATCAGGAGTGCAGGATGACCCAGCAGCCATTCGGGCACCAGCCATTCACCACCCACCCACCACCCCCACCCCCACCTCAGCAGCTCGGGGTAGTGCTCGCACAGGTCCTTGATGTCCTCCTCCGTGATCCGCAGCATGTCGCACGGCGTCTTGCAAAACACGTTCTCCCGCCGCTTCACCTTGCCGGCGTCCGGCTCGGAGATCTCCCGCAGGATGGAGCTCTCGCCAAACACAGTGCCCTCGGGCACACAGTACAGCAGCGTGCCCTGGTCGGCTGCAAGCACATGCAGCTCACCCTGTGTGGGGCACCAGGGAGGCGCCAAGTGAGTATTTTCTATGATTCAGCTGGTTTCAGCAGACATCCTTCCCATATTGCTAACATTAAAGGGAGCTGAGTGGGCAGACGTAAGGCCGCTGACATTTCGCGCACCTGTAGCAGTATGAACACGTCCCCGCCGCTCTCTCCGCGCATGTAGACATAGGTATCCGCGGAAAAGTGCGTGGGCTGCAGCCGCACGCACAGGTCGGTGAGGAAGACGTCGTCTCCGGACATGGACTGCAGCAGCGGCACCTTGGCGATGGTGGGCATGTACAGGTGGCGCAGGATCTTGGATCGCAGCTCGAAGGGCAGCCGCGCCAGCACCGCTTGACGGTCGTAGGCGCGGACCTTTTGCTTCTTGCTGTACTCCAGAACCCTGGTGGTAGGGGGGAAGGGGAGGAGGGAGGCGGGTGGGCGCAGCGGATGAGACAGGGGCAGCTCCCATCAACGTGGGTACGTGGCAGGTGTTGTGGCATGCAAGGAAGGGGAGCGAGCTGCGAGCGACATGTACGTGCGCAGTGCATAGGCGCAACGCACGCACGCTCCACCGCTCAGCTACTGGCTCACGCCTGGCACTGTTGGCACCCACTTGCGTGCCAGCGGTCTGGGCAGCTCCACATCCTTCATGAACGCCGACAGCTCGTGCAGCTGCTCGCCGCGAGCCACCTTGTCCGCGTCCAGCCGGCCGATCACGGAGGCCATGCGACCGAAGCAGAAAGACAGGAAGAAGCCGCCGATGACCATGGTGATCATGCACATGACCTGGGGGTTGGTTTGGTTGGACAGGAGGAGGTTAGACAAGAGAGAAGCCGGCATTGACGGTTCCCTCACTTCTAATGCCTTTCTCTCGTGTCGATCTGATCGCTTTGTTTCCATAGGTATCGGCGAAAACACATCCCTGCTCCCGTTGCTCGCTCGCGGTTTCACCTCTTGAAATGTCCCCGGTCCCCTCTGGAGTACATCAGCTTACTGTTCAAAGAAACAAGTTAAAAACCCGCATACCTTTTCCGCGACGGTGGTGCCGTAGATGTCGCCATAGCCCACGGTGGTCATGGTGGTGTAGGCCCAGTACATGCACGTGATGTACCTGCGGGCAACAACCCGGCGGAAACACAGGGAAAAGAATAGACACCCGGCGTGGAATGCCGTCGTTAAGAGGTGAGGTTGCCATGCGTCCACAATCCCCAGGATGCGTACTGCGGTCGTGAGGACCGAGCAAGCGCGCACAACATGCTGCGTCGTGCCTTAGCCCCCCGTAGCCCCACCACTGCATGGTGCATGCCGCATACCTGCCCGCCTACACGCGCACCCAGGTACGAACGCCGTACAGCGGTACACGCCACAAAGCCGCGCACACACGTGCCAGTTTTCTAACACGCGTGTCAGAATCGCCCACCTGTACGTGAAGCCAAAGTCGCTCTTGCAGCGCAGGCGCACCGTGTCGCACTTGGCGCACTGCACCATGGTGTAAAAGTCGGGGCAGCTGTACCACAGCTTGCTGACCGCGTCCTGCCCCACACCCTCTGTCGCATGCAGCTGCGTGCCGTCGGGCATCTCGGTGATCTGGGTCGGCATGACGACGGGGTAGTAGCCGCCCATCTTGTCCAGCACCCAGGTGCTGAGCTCTCCGGCATCCACCAGGCTCTTCTCCTCTGTGGTTGCATGTTAGAATAGTTGGAACAGTGATGCTGGCAGTGCACGTGAGTGGCATTAGCTAGGCCGGGAAGGGATGATCAGGACGAAGAAACCCAAAGCGGAAGAACGGCCAGTGTCTGTGACACATTTCCTAGGTGTTGCTTTCATACAGCAGCCCATGCCCAATGTCGACAGCAATCCCGCCTGCCCGCCACCTCGAACCTTGACATGCACCCCAACCTCACAGAATCTCACGCCTGCCCCCCCCCTCGGACCCACCGCTTGTCCACCAGGAGGGCCCCGAGAACATGTAGAAGAAGCAGCCCGACACGTGGCCTAGGAACACCAGCACGATCAGCAGCTCGAGCAGCGAAATGATCCAGCGAGCCGCGTAGAACTCATCCTAGGGTGGGTGCGACGAGGCAGCGTGAGGCAGCAGCAGCAGCAGCAGCATGTGCACGAGGCAGCAGCGCGAGGCAGCCTGATCGGGACTACACAAGAGCGTTGAGGGTGGTACTGGAAAGGGCAAGTGCGCCGCCTTGCGGCCGCCCGGGATATGCTCCAGTGCTTGGCCCTGCCGAATCAGCCGCGATATCCTGCATGCCCGTCCACTTCACGCGGCGCCTTTCCCCACAGTCCCTAGAAACCTCGGCGCTATATGCGCACCTGCAGGCGACCCAGCACCGTGCTCACGGACAGCACGTTGAAGTTCTTGAGGATCCACAAGATGCGGAAGAAGCGCAGCATGCGCAGCAGCAGCACCACGCTGGCAGCGGAGCCGGTTTGAACCACCATGTCGCAGTTGCCCATCGCGCTGCACGCCCAGGTGCCCTGAACGACGACACATGTGCGGCGCAGGGGACGGGCGGACGGACATGGGGATTACAGGGATACATATTCCGCATGGAATGCACGGACATGGGAATGCAGGACCCAGGAGAAGGGGCAGAAACCTCGTGAGCGACAGCAGGCACGGTTTAATAGCTCGGGACCGCCGAGGCGAACCCTTGTCCTTAAATCAACTCGTGCTCTTAGCGCCCATGCTCGTTCACCACCCTCAACCCATGCGACCCATGCAATCCTCATGCAACCGCTGCTGCCGACCATTCGTCACGCCTCACCTGCATGCCCCGCACGACATAGTCGGAGGGGAAGGTTGCGAGCAGGTCGATGACGAACCATGTCTTCAGGTATCGGGCCGCAATCTTACGGTGGTCGGTGATGAGCTCGCCCGTCACCGGGTGCTGTGGAGCGCCAGACACACGCGGAGGGAGGTTCAAAAAAGGAAGAGTCTTGAAGCACCCGAATCCAAATGGAGGGTGGAGGAAGCAAGATGCATGGTCGGATGAAGCACGGGTGTTGGGGGAAGCTTGTATGGGTGTTGTAAGCTTGCAACAGAACAACGATCTTTCGGCCCATGGAGGGCCATATGGAGGGCCATATGGGGTGCGCGGAGTAGGCTCCTTCGCTTCAATGCTGGCTTAGCCCGGACAGGGCATCCCGACCCAGATCAGGAGGCATCCGGGCCGGCGGATGGTCGGCTGCTCCATGCTATGCTACCGGTATTGAATCCGCTGCAACTTGAAACACACTGGTGAACTGCCACACGCATCCGCGGCCTCCGGTGCCGGGCCTGTGCTGGTATCGCTGATGTGCCAGGTGTTTAACCAAACCGCCCCAAGCCCCAGCCCTACCTCATACGCTGTCAGGAAGTTGAGCACAAGGTCCGTGTAGAAGAAGATGTCTATGACGCCCTCCAGCCAGAACCAGAAGCCGACCGCTGGCTTGTTGAAGCCCTGCGCGGTTGGCATGCGAGGGCTGGAGGGGTTACACAGATGCATGACTGGGGGTGTGCGGCATAGGTTTACGGTGCGTGCCGAAAGGCATGGCATGGGGTTGCTGGCCATACCGTGGGTAGGAACCCAACCCAGATCGACAAACCCTAGGGTGATGATGATTCGCAAATCCCTTTCCCCAACTTGCAGATCAGCTGCCGCTAACGTGCTGCTGTAAGCAACGGACCCTAGGGCTAGCATTTGCAGCGCTCGCCCCATAGCGTGGTGCCCACACGGTGAGAAAACCCGTTTCCCCATAGCCCCACCCACGCTTACCGCGCGCACGGGCGTAACCCAGATGATGTATAGCACCACGAACAGCTGGATGTTGATCCACCTGTTCAAAGCAGGCGGCAGGTAAGGACCAGCGCGAAAGCTTGTACAAGGGCTGTCCTTCACTTACACTTTTCTGAACTTGGAGTCCGGAAGGATGACCCGAAGCCGCTTCTTGTTCTTTGTAGCGTGCGCCTGCATGCACGTTCAGTCCTCAGCCCACCTGCGAAGACGTATACGTTCCTAGTTGGGGCCATACCTGCTCGTCCTGGAATGCTTTCATAAGATGTCCATCCTCCAAGCGCACAAGCTCCAGCTCATCCTCAATATGGCCTTCCCGCCTGCGCCACGTCCCAGTCCAAGCCCTAAATAAACGTCCAAAGCGCCGATGGGCTTGACCATTACTTACGACGGCTTGTAGTAATCGCTGTATTGATAATCCTTTTCAGACAACAAAGCCATGCCGTTTTGACCTTCTATAGGTGGAAGCGTCAAAGAGCCAAGACGAGCCTCGTTTCCATCGAAACCTTCCACCCGGTTCCATGACATGGTAGGCATTTCTGATCACAGCACAGGCTACAATAGCATAAGGAATCACTGTTAATCAAAATTGGCTGTGCCTGCTGGACAGAGGTGGTGTAGCAGCAAGGCTATCAGCTCGCAGATAAATAAGGCGGCAAAGCCCTCAGTTCACATGCGTCTATACTGTTCTGTTTAACATATTGTGCTATTGGGAATAAATTCTCTAACGAAAACGCTGTGACGGATGGACTTCTTGGCACTTGTTGTACACTGCCGAGCATTGCCCCTGCCAATGTCTTCAGGATCGACTGGCTAAGCCCTGCATCTGCATAAAATCTTACATCTTCACCTTTTAATTTGCCTTGTCAGCCGAAATATGGGAAACAAGTCCACTGCATTCGCGTCTCATTTGGCCCCGTTTACTGTGCCAACCCTGTCGGCCGTCATTCGAGCTATCTGTACCGTTTTCTAGGCCTTGTGACGTTTCCGGTACCACTTACAACGTATTTTGCATTTGTGTGATCCACGGGTCGCTCCTCGGCATGCAGGACGCATGCAAAGGGGGTTAGGAAAGTGGCCGTGGCCTTTCAAGATCCAGACAACGTTTACAACAGACTTGAACTCATAATCCAGCTCCTGTTTTGTAGCCATTACTGGGTGGCACGTCCTGGTAGCCGTACGTACCCTGCACGCGGTAGGACACACAGGAATGCGCATCGTCAGCCCAGTGTGCCAATCTGCTCCCTGAAGCCTATTACGCAGTAATACGGCATGCCGCACTCTATAACAGCAGTAGCCCCAACTCTCCGACAAGGTTCGTCTAGCCCTTTGCTCGGTTGTGTGCCCTCCCGGCAGGCTCCCTCAAGCAAGCTCCTCCTACCTCAAGACTCCGTACGTACCCAACAAACGGCATGCTCTTGCCCTGCCCCACAGCCCGCTCGCTCCGGAACAAGGCGTAGCTGCCCTACCTCGCTCCTACGAAGCCTGGTCCACGCCGGCGCGCTTGTCACTCTCGTCCGCAGCCTGCAACACAGCGCAAGGTAACACAGGAGACACGACTACTTACAAAGCATCACTAAAGGACCGTTCAGCAGGTTGACTAATAACCGCAAAACCGCAGGGTTCCATGCGTGGATTCCGATTCAGGGAAGGTGCAGACTAGGGCAACCAGGTCGGTGCCACAGAGGTTGCAACAGTCGGTCTCAGCTGACAGGGTGTGTGGGGGGGTCTCAGCTGACAGGGTGTGTGGGGGCTGTGGGGGTCTTCTCACCCGCAGTACTGATTCGATGGCGTCGGTTGCCTTCTTATCCTCGGCCTGCCGTGTGATGAAAGTAAGGGGATGGAAAGGGGCGAAGAGCTTTCATTAACGTTGCGTGCAGGGATTGCGTGAGGTGGCATTGCTGTTACGGTATAGCTCGCCAGTAATTCATGCGGCTGCCATCAGCAGCAGTGCAATGCTCACGGTTGCAAAACCGAAATCGGCATGCGCTTCTTGAGCACGTCCCATTTCGCCACTTAGGATGTTAGAATCCAATGCTCGTAGCAGTCGGTGATATTCTAAGAAAGCAACATCCAAACGCGAATGAGTAAGGAATGCTTGTAGCAGAGACGCTTTGTCTGGCGCCTAGCAGCTCCAAGGAAGCGCGAAACGCGACAGCGCTGCACTTCGGTGTTAATGAACATTAATCATCATGCGCTTATCTTTGTAATACCGGTATATAGATTGTCCGGGAGCAGATAGAATGGCTGCTACCGTTTAACTATCGTTCCACTACCTCGCTGACGCCGCTGTCCCAAGTCAGGGCCTCACCGGGCTGCTCCCCGCCACCTTCATCTCCTGGACCTGGTCGGATGCCGCCGCGACCTTCTCGATGGTGCCCGCCACCCGCTCCATTGCGGTCGGCTGCGCGGCGGCGTTGTCGCTCCCGGATTCGCTCATGTTTGTAATTAGTCGTGTATTATACTTGTTCTTGCAAGAAGCTATCGCTGCCTTGCTTTGTTTGCGAAAGAGGAAAAATGGGAGTAGATCTTTGTTAGACCTCTCAACTCTGGATGGTGGGAGCGGATTGCAAGCGCTGCACTGCTGTGTGTGCGTGTGAGCGTCATCTGCGGTATACGGCAGCCCAGCAGGTGACCCATGGGCCACCAACCATGTCTCTGATGCTATTGCTCTGCCTGAACGTCATGAAGACAACGGTCTCTCACGCGGAATTTGAAGGTCATCGAGCCTGACTGAAAGGGTATGTCGGAGTTGACGTAGCTGCCCTGGACTGACGTGGTGCGTCTCGTCGTACAAACCTGCACCGCAGTCCCAACCTGATAGCGGCTGGCAAATGCTCCCACGAACTCGTACAGGCGAAGGAATTGCGGTCACCCCTATCTGCGATTCGCAGTGTATGCTCCACGTTCCTTGGGGTCAGGGTCTCTTTGCCACTTCTCACCTCCCACCATTTCGTGTTACAATGATGACTCTTGCCGACGTACGGCCGCTCCCGCTCCTGTGACTCTCAACTGTCAACCCCACAACATCAAATGAGTAGCGGCTCACACCTCGCGCCGCATCTTACCATCTGGTGCATGCCTGGTGTATGCAGGCCCACACCAGCACGACAGCAGCTTGCCCTCATCTCAGCTGCCAATGCAGTCCCTTAGTCGCAGGACCCCCAACACGCAGCCTAACGCGGTATGCGCAAACCATGCCACGCCGCCCGCAGACCAATACGTGCCCGCATGCTATTCCACCTCCCGCAATTACCGCTAGTACCTACAAACCGCCAGCTTACTTCCTGTTTGATACAACACGCTACAACGTACAGCCCATGTAGCCCACGTACGCATGCTCCCACTACACATGCTCTTACGCGGCAGCATTGCATACATGCACGCATGCAGCGCTCCCTACCATCCTCCTCCCAAACTGCTCTCCCCTGGCCCATAACCTCCCGCGCTGTGTGGCTACTCGCACGCGCCCTGCTACTGCCCGCCTACACGGAGGTGTCCTCCACCTTCTCCGACATGTCAGCTGCCGTCTCAAATCCCGCATTGAAGCCGGTGCGCTCCGCATCCTGCGTGTCGCGACCCGGCGCCCGCTCCGCGATGGTGGCCTTCGTATCCTCCAGCGCGTTCTTGGCCTGGAGCGGCCGGGAGGGTGGGCGGATGCATGGGAGGGTGGGGTAAGGGAGGGAGCAGGTTGCAGGCACCGGTACGGTGCATGGGAGGGTCGGGACGACGACGGGAAATCTGGGAAAAAAGAGGTTAGAGAAAGGAGCATACCAATGCAGTACGTGGGGGGTATGGAGCAGGCCGGCAACGGCTGGCCTAGCAGCATGAACAGCATGCATATTGGGCAGTGTACGTTTCAGAATCAGGCCATCCGAGGCCATCCTTTGCAACATGCGGACCGAACAGCCCCCGCAATCACCTCTTAATGCCAACCTACCTTCTCCTTCTCGTCCTGTGCGAAGGACTTGGTGTCTCGGTACGTCTCATCCGCGCGGTCAGACACCCCCTGGGCTGCCTGCAGCACCAGCAGACGCAGGTTGGGGGAACGCAGGCAGGTGGGGGTGCGAGGCCGGGGGCGAGGGGCGGGCGGGTGTCAGGAGGGCAGATGGCATAACTCATGTTGCGCGCGGCCGCCGTGGCACGGCGTCAACGCCGCACCCGCACCCGCACCCGCCACAACACATCACCCATTCGCCGACCACGCTGATTATCGGTATGTAGGTGATTGCACACCCGCTCGTTCCTATTCCACATCACCCCTCCCCCCATCCCTCGCCACCCACCTCACGCGTCCGGTCGATGGCTCGGTTGGTCTTGTCCTCCGTGGCGGAGGCAAGGTCATGTGCGTCCTCGCGCGCAGAGGTCTGGGTGCGGTCCTTGCCCTCGTAGCCGCGACTGCTCAGCTGCTCGCGGGCGCGGTCGGCGGTGTCACGAGCCTGCGGGTCGATAACGCAGGTAGACCGGCAGCAGGGAAGGGAAAGGATGCGGAGGGGATTGAGGACGAGAGAGGAGTAGATAGAGTTGCGCAGCAGGGAGGGAGGAAGATGATTAAAGGGAGAGGTCGCGTGGATGACGTGGCTGAGGAGCGCAGCGACGTCTATGAAGCAAGTGGATGGCTCTTCTTCATGGCTCTATCTTCGCGCCCGATCGATGGGTGGTCGGATGCGCTTTACGGAAGAAGACCATTACTGGCAAGTGGCAACCCACGAAGCGGTAGTTCGAGGGAGGACTTCTTATCCTTATGCGCAAAGTTTGTAAAGCAGCTGCTCACCGAGTCCTGGGCGCCTGTGAGGGTGGCCTTGAGGTTCTCGCTGGCATTGGCGGCGGCGTCAGCCAGCTTGTCCATGATGCTCTGGTCCGACATTCTAGGAAGTCAGAAAATTCGAGAAGACAGCAGGAGCTGTTTGTAATTAGGTGTGTGTGGCCTGCAAGGATTAGAACGCAGAGCTAGTGTTGGAATGAAGCTGAGTGCTGCAAAGGGTTATGTAATGCGTGAAGGTTCGCAGGGGTCCGAGGTGCACGACAGTGATGACCTCACAAGCTCGTACGCGGCTAGGCCGTGTGTACGGCTCATGGACTGCTCAGGAACATTTTGACCCAGCTGACGTCGCGGAAGGTCTTCATTCCCGCTTAAGACACACGGCTGCACAAACTGATATATTGTTATCACAGAAAAGTAGTAGCTGTTATCACAGCGAAGTAGTAGCTCGTAGCAGGTCCCAGAATGTCGCGCATTGTCGATGCCGCTGCTAATTTCTTGGGTGAGGTCGCGGACTACCTGCACACGGAAGCGCAGGGCATGAAGGAACGCACGGTACGCGGGCGCTTAGGGAAGCCATAGTAACCACCAGGGCAAAATTCTTGCAGAAGCCCTTTTCGCATTCTCCCTTTCGCAAAACATGACCCATGGGTCATGAACGTTGTTTGTTGGTATTTGCATTGGGATTGGCAATTCGTTTGGCAAATGATGCAACCCTGACGTTTGCAGCTTGCTTCCGCCTCGCAGGGAAAAGAGGAACAGGGCAGGGACGCAGCTGCATCGCGCGACGAGGTACGGTGAAAGGGAGCGGAAAGCAAGCAAGCAACAAACCGTTTACTTCCATAGGGCATACATTTTATATGCCGCTGTCTGTAATAACAGCGTTTGCAGCGCCATCCCAGATCCTAACATTCCGCTTCCCCCAGGATGGCACCGCTGCTCCGGTCGCCGCCGGCGAGACCGGCGACAGCAGTGCAGCGCCCGCCGCCGCCGCTGCGGACGGCAGCCACGACAGCCTCTACGGACCCGCGGGTCTGAACGCCACGGCCCCGGACATTAGCCGCGGTCGGGAAGGCGGCGAGGCCGAGGGGCAGCAGGAGGGGAGTCTGGAGGAAACCATTCGGGGGGCGCAGCAGCGGATTGCTGAGGAGACGGACATGGTGCGGCTGCGGGGAGGTGTGGGTTTGAGGGCTAAGAGGTATCACAAGGTGCCGGAATGGGGGTGGCTGCGGTTGACTGCCCGCGCATACGGCTATACCTGGAACCCTCAAATGTCAAATCCTTGTTAGCGTATAAGCCGGAGGTGCTTGTCCGTGTGGCAGCCTCGGCAAGCAATTCTTCTCTTAAAACTCGCTAAGCTTCAGGGGGGGGGTAAAAATTTTTCTTACAAACCCCAACCCGAAATTTCCAAAGAGAAGGCCTCGGAGCCACCCACCCACCGCCAAGCGTGTCGTACAACCTGTAAACTATGCCAAAACGCCCGGGAAAAAAGCGTCTAGGTTCCTCTGCGCAAGCTCTATTAAATGCAGTCAGAAAACCCCAAACCCCTGGGAAGTTACTGTCACAGCGTTGCACTATGGACGGCTAAGGTAACCATGTTCTTGGCCCCAGCTTGACTGATGCTATGTACTTGGCGCCTAGGAAGCACCACGGCCCTTCCATTTGCGCCATACCACCGCCAGTTCTGTTTTCACCAACCGAGACAACGCCGTCACCACGTTCCAGGTCCCTGCTCCTGCCTCTTCTTCCCCCTGGGCCCTCGACCATAGCCCCTGGCACCAATTGCCACGCCTTCTTGTTTCTGTGCTCTGCATCCCCACCCCATTCGTGGTCACTGTGAGTGCTTCCTCGCAGCTTAGTCTGTCTACTCCCATCCCGCCTCCTCAGTCGTGTTCCACAACCATGGGGGACATGCGACATGCTGCTATGCTAAGCCTTTACAAAGGGCTGATTAGCCGCGTTCGCAATGTATGCTTTCTACATAAGTTGTTTCTTGTACGTTTGGGGATTGGGCAGTTCCGTTCGGCTACCATGGTTCAGAGGGGAAGTGTCATTGGAACATCGGAAGCCGAAAAGTGACCATTTTGTTCATATAACCAATTCTACGTATAAGAAACGAAGAAAGGATGGCAATACAGCTTTCAAAACCCTAACATGAGGCCTGGAAAATTTTCCTGGAGGTTCATGTAAAAAAGTCGTTGGGGCCCTGAACCCACCCACCCACCCCTGCCGTACAACCAACTTTGCAAGCCCATAACTTTTTTCGTACAACTCCAAACAGAAATCTGAAAGCATATTTGGAGTCCCGACGCAAAGCGCCTTCAATTTGAGGGTTGGGGTCTATTTTTGCGCTTCCTACCCCCCCCCTGAAGCTTTGCTGGTTCAGGCCAAGCCGTGCCCCCTTGCCTCACTGCATGAGTCGGGATGTGGGGTTGGGACTTCAGTTGCTGCATTTCAGTATAAAGTTTATCCCCCTTGCCTTCCAAGGTGATTACTAACACGCCCGACCCGCCTTAATAACCCTTGCGCCGCAGCTGAAGCAGCGCTTCCGCGAAGGGTACGACACAGCGCGCGACCGGACTGTGGGGCAGCTGGAGGAAAGCGCGGAGCGGCAGCAGCAGCAGCAAGAGGCGGGCGCTGGGGGCAGTGACCCCAGCCTGCAGGACACACTGCGGGGCGCGAAGGAGCGGATTGACGCAGAGACTGAGCAGGTAGGGCAGCATGCCAGCCTGTATGGGGGGGATGGGGCACAGCTGCGGGCCCGGTAGTTATACGCCTAAAGTTGCTCCTTTGCAAGCAATCTGCAAACAAGGCGGGACGTGAATGGTACTTGTTAAGTGCAGCTTGTTAGCTACATACTTCCGCTCCAGGCTGCCAGCTTACTGTGTAAGATGCCGATGCTGAAGACCTTGTGCGTGGCGCCCATCGCCCATGCATCCCATGTGTGCCCACCTTCTTTTCGCTTGCCGCAGCTCAAGCAGCGGTTTAACCAGGGCTATCAGGATGCGCAGGCCAGGACGTCGCAGCAGTAACGTGGCTTGTGAGGAGTCGGACCGCATATTGTCGTACCGGATCGTTGCTAGGCTGTACCTATGGGGACTGTTTTGGATGGCGGGGTTTAATGGCCGAAAGTTTGGTGTGTTAGCATTGCCGTATCAGCCAGGACGGGGATTGCAAGGTCGCACGGTGTTGGTTGCGTCCAGTGGTGGGAAAGTTGCTGCACATGACCCACATGAAGCCGGGGGGCTGACGTGCGTGCGTGCACTCATGGAAGCATATCCGTGTCACGACGCAAGGCCGGACTTGTAGGGGTTGTTGATACCGTAGGCGTGGATAGCTGGACGTGTAGTTGTGAGGAAAGGCCGAGGGGAAAGGCAAAGCAATAGCCATTTACAGAGCGAAAAGGATGCAAGCTGCTGTGCATGCAGGCGTCAGTATCTGCAAAGCATGCGTGTAAGTATCCAGCATCTAAGTCGGACATGTCGGTCGACGCAAGTGAGTCAAAGAACGCTTTGCAACAAGTTATGGCACACCCCTCGTAGAAGGAGAGTTCACAGAAAAGAAGTTGCCCACATACCAAGGTAAGCCCTCCGCAGTCCACACCCTTTACATACCAAGGTAAGCCCTCCGCAGTCCACACCCTCAAAGTAAGGTTCATGCGACGGATAAGGGGCTTGTACCCTATTCCGTAGAACCGTGGATCAGAAGTAAGCCTGTAGCATAGCGTACTGGCGGATGACCTACTCCCTTTCAGAACAAGCAGTAGATCAGGTCACGGCCAGGGACTTTTTCGGGATATCACAAATTTACCGCCATGGTTCGTTCAAGGGCTGCAAACGGACTGCGCAGAACACTTCAACACTCCGTCTGCCGTACTACACACACCCAAGCACCAGGGTTTGGTTTTGGTTTATGTTCTTCCCGCATAATCAATTTTGTTTTTATACCCCACACGTACATTACTCGGCTGCTGCCACGATTATAACTTCTCAACAAGGACTTTCCCGCCGCGCAGCCAAAAAGCTTACAGGCCAAAGCTTTTCTCAAATCAAGGTAAGGACAAATCAGTTTAGGTATCACTTTTCCTTATAAGAATGATAAGATGGCCCGCTGTACTGCTCTTCAGATGGTTTACAAGGGAAGCATCAGCTACCGCAACGACGACGTCAACTATGTCCGGATAACTCCGAACGTGGAGGCAAAGATATCCAGGCTTGACAGGGCCTTCGCCCAGATCGCTTTTGTGGACAACAACGACCAGCCCGTGCCGGTGCCGGCCCACATCTCTGTCGTCTTCCAAAACGACCAGTCCCCTGCCGCCCGGTTGGGCAACATCTTCCTGATTTCATGGGTCGAGAATTACATGGTACTGTTCAACGGTGTGGAGCTGTTCAGGCTGGAGAACCAGAAGCAGCAGGCAATTGGCGGTGGCGCCGATCTAGAGACTCGCATCGTTCAGGCTTAGATGCTGAGTGATGGCGTAGGTGATGGCTTGACGATAAACAAGCTTCTGTTGTGCGCATCGAGCATGTTTTGCATCTTTGTCGGAGCTATGGACAAGAGGGGTGCACCTACACCAACGAAAATACTCGGCCAGGTGTGGCGTGGGCCAGGGCCAGGGCCGCCCGCAGGTGTGCCTACCATGCCGCCGCCTACTATTCCGGAGCGGCAGCCGCATGCAGGTGCACGAACCACCCCCGGGCTTTGAAGGGTGGGTAAGTGGGAAACACAATTCTCACGAAGGCGCCTAAGGTCAACGCCAAGCCATTAGACGGTGACAACTACATAAAAGTTAAGAAGCAAGTAGTCAAGTCTACCCCAGCAGCAAACAGTCAACCAGGAACGTCGTACATCGACCTGATGAGGGCTCAAGGCGCTCCAAAACCACATTTTTTGCTGAACGCCAAAATATAATGTCAGGTGTGGCGTGTGTGAGACGTGTTGCTACATAGGGTTTGACTCTGGGTGTTAAACTGTTAATTCATTCTTCATTCCTTACCACGGCTGATCTAGCCAGTCATCATGCCATACCCCCATGTTAGGGCCTCATATGTATGATGTATCGCAAAGCGCAGCTGAAGAGACTTCCCACGATCTTCGCAATCGTGCTTTTGAGGAGGCTTCCGCCTTCCTCTATCTCTCCCACGGACCTCACTAAGAAGGGCAACATGTATGCAGAGGAGAGCTTGGTAATGTTTCGGGAAGGCTCTCCTGCGCCCTGCTGATGGGGGTGGGCTGAAGTACTGCATGTAACTTCAGATTGTTCAGGCAAGAGTCTACATACACACGCACAGTCCCTCCAACGCGTATGACACTGTCCTAGGCCATGGCCATAGGCCCACGCCCCTATGGCACAGAACTCTTTGTAGCATAGACCCACGCCCCTGTAGCATAGCCTACACGCTTATGACACTAGGCTCACGAGATCATAGCTTAGGCTCACACGCTACCCACTCCACACTCATAGCATAATCCTCCACGCTTGCCGATAATCCACCACGCGTTATCTGATAAGCTCCTTACACTATATGTTTTACATCATCTGCAAGGACAGGGATTACAAGGTCACACGGTGTTGGTTGCGTCCAGTGGTGGGAAAGTTGCTGCACATGACCCACATGAAGCTAAAGGGCTGATTGACGTGCGTGCATGCACTCATGGAAGCATATCCGTGTCACGACGCATGGCCGGACTTGTAGGGGTTGTTGATAGGCGTGGATAGCTGGGCGTATACTTGTGAGGAAAGGCAGAGGGGAAAGGCAAAGCAATGGTCATTTACAGAGCGAAAAGGATGCAAGCTGCTGTGCTCAGTATCTGCAAAGCATGCTTGTAAGTACCCAGCATCTAAGTCGGACGTATCAGTCGACGCGAGTGAGTCAAAGAGCATTGTAAGAACGCTTTGCAACAAGTTATGGTACACCCCTCTTAGGACAGTTCATTGGAAAGAAGACGCCTAAATACCAAGGTAAGCCCTCCGCAGTCCACACCCTCAAAGTAAGGTTCATACTACGGATGCGGGGCTTGTACCCTCGATAACGTATCCGTAGATCCCTAGATCAGAAGTAAGCCTGTAGCACAGCGTACAGGCGGTGACACAAGAGAGTAGACCACCGTCAGTAGCGCAGTATAGTGTGTAGCCCTGAACACCTATAAGCGCCTAATCACCTTGGGCGCAATCATGCAGTTCCTAGAGCCCTTGACCACACAAGGAAATGCTGACATGGATTAGAAGGATGGCAACCTACCTTCGTATGTACATAAGAAGTGCTAATTACGGCATTTATGACCTCCTTATCACCCCGCTAATGCGGCATCACGACGCGCACGTTTCCACGACAGCCCCCCAAAAGCCCCGCACTGTAGCGTCCAGCGAATCCCGCCTTCTGGCCTGCTGCTCACCGCTGCTGCTCAACCGAGCTGCTCAAAACGGCTTCTGACCCAGATGGCTCCTCCAAGCAAATCCTGACCCAGATGGCCCAATCAAGCAAATCCCGACCCAGATGGCCCCTCCAAGCAAATCCTGACCCTGATCAAGACATTGCAGCCACGCCCCACGCATGCCGCCCTCGCACGCCATGCTGCAGCACCACAGCCGCAGCAACGGCACTACCAGTAACGCGCTTACATGCAGTTTAGTCCAACATGAGGCAGCAGCAACACAGCGCCGCTAACGCACTCAAGCCGCAACACCACTTGGCGCTCTCGTCCGATTGACTGTGGTGGTGGTGCGGGGGACCTTGAACGTATACAGGCTGCGCGTAGACGCCTGGGGGCGGTGGCGGGTAGGCGCCTGGGTAACCTGCAGGTGAGGAAAAGGGCGGCATGAGTTAACGTGAAAGAGGCTGTGACGGAGGGCCAGCAGCATTGCGTGCGGCAGTAGCAGTAGCAGTAGCAGTCGAACAGGCCTCCTAGGCTGCCACCTTCAAGCAACTTCACCAACTGCCAATCAGATGCTGACGGCCTTCAGAGTTATGGTAAAGCATCAATAAGTGTTGTCTCGCACGCACACCTGGAGGGGCGCCGTATCCGGGTGGAGGGGCGCCGTAGCCTGGAGGCGGGGGCCCGTAGCCTGGGGGCGGAGGGGGGTAGCCCGGGGGTGCTCCAGGGTAGCCAGGAGGCGGGGGTCCGTACCCCGGGGCGGGCATTGGGTAGCCGGCTGGCGCTGGATACCCTATGGGCAAGCAGGATGCGGCAAGGAGGAGGCCCTGTCTAAGGTACGGCATGGAGGCGCTTTTCATGTGGTTGGGGACAGGTGGGGACAGGGGGCAGAACGGTGAATGTGGAAGAGGCATGGGTACTGGAGAGAAGGGGGCGTGGCCAGGCGTGACCGACCTGGCGCGGATTTGGAGGAATCCGGGTATCCTTGTGGCGGTGGGTAACCTGCGGAGGCAGGTAAAATGGAGCTGCTGAGTACAGGTGGCGTGGACAGGACAAACAGTAGGCCTCGCTGGGAATACCCAGTATATGGGGCGTGTGACAGGGAGTGTTAGGGCTGTTGAAGTAGTAGACTGCGGTCAGTTGACACTTCAACGTGAACGGGCACCATGCACCGTGCAATTTTCATTTCCAGTGGGCAAGCTTTGCTAACACAATGTCCATGGTGATGGAATTCAGCACCAGGCTGTCTAGAACCAGGAGAATTGCTGCAGACTCGTTCGCCCCAGTAGTCTAGGAGCTGCTCCTAGATCGCGTACCTGCCATAGTGGCTTAGTTGCAAAAAGGCGAGAAGTACGCCTTCTCAGGGCAACCCTGCACCGCAGAAGCGGAAGGTCGAAAGGGTCATGTCACACGAAACTTTGCAGCAATAGCTAAGGCGAGGAACTAGAATACCCGTCAGAAAGCTTTACAGACTTCTACGACACACAGTAGGCTTACCAGCGGTATAGGAAGTTGACTGCAACACGGCCACTCTTGTTCAGAGTATCAGCTATTTATAAAAGCTAATATGAAGCAGACTAATAATTGTATCTCTCAGTAGGAAAGAATCACTGTGTTCCTTAAGCGCCAATAGCTAGTAAGACATGCGTGATTTGCAAGCTCGTCCAACTCTTACACAAATCGCAAGGAGGTAGCTTTGGCAAGCGTGGCGTGGCCCTTCATTTCGTAGTCTAGATTTGAAGCAAAACTAGAGATACTCGAAGGTCCGAGCAGGTGTACGGTAGAAACTACGGGTTCCATCGTAACAGTGCGGCAACATCTGTCTTGGCAAGCGGACAAGGTAACCGGGAAGCCTTTCTCTTGTCTCTCATCGCATGCTTCAATAGAAAAGCACCAAAGATAGAGCCTCAAAGCTTAGTTGTACCAATACCGTAAAGCCACGCCCTGGCGGTTAGACGCAATCGGCTACGCCTGTTTCATTTGCAGGGGGCATATGCTTCAGTGATATACTCCACGTCCTATACATCCACCACCCTGTCCTAATCAAAAAAGTGCATGTTTTCTTACCGCAACACCCTGCTGCCCCAAGCCTTCAAAGTTTTTCTGACTTGTTCTCGTCCCAGGCCTAGCCATCGATTACATCGAATAGAAGCCATTACAAGACACCGCCACCGCCTAAGCGCATTAAGACGCCCCTCTCTACAGTCCCGTCCTTGTCCACCTCCTTGCCCTACTGCTTCTTCCTACAGCTGCCTGCTGCCTGCACCTGCTGTTTCAGCTGCTACTTCTGCTCCTGCTGTTGCTTGAGTCTGAGCTCCGTGGACGAGATGTCGAGTCGGAAGCACGCCTCAGGCAGCTCCAGAGGAAACAAGTCCGCCAGCTCGGGCGGCATCTCCACATCGCGGAGCGTCAGGAAGCGACCGCTGGCTGCGTCCTTGCGCCCCGCTACCATGAAGCTGCAACCCTGGTGCCGTAGCCTGCGTTGTACGGCGTCAATATACAGGGGTACGACAGTGACGTGGAAGTACGTCACGGCATCATGCGTAGCTAGTTGACTTGATCAAAAGAATGTCCCACCCCATGTCACGGATTGGCACGTTTCACCGTGGGAGCATGACAACTCGCTATGAAGGTAACCCGCCGAGTGTCTTCGACTAAATGAGGGCTGTGCATGAGTGATAACATGCAAAACCGGAGCGCACCAGCACACAGCGCAGAACCCAAGTACCCGACTTCAGCTGCGCCTACCAACTATCCGCTACAGGCCCACAGACGACGTACCTATCAAACACCAGCACCATCTGCATGTACGAACCGCCGTAGTACTTGGACATCACCAGTCGTACGGCGGTGTCGTACCCGACCACGAAGCGGCTGCCCGGCAGCAGCGCGGCCTTGTCCGTGAACAGCGGCGCGCGGGTGACCAGCACCGGCAGCCCCAGTTGTACGAACTGAGACACCCGGCGCCGTACCTCAGCCTCCGCTAGCAAGCCCTGTATTCATTATTTTGGTGAGATGCGTCTTTCATGTTTTCATTCCCCAATGTAGGGACATAGCATACAAGGTTGCATGCATGTAGGCTTGCAGGGTGTGTTTATGTGCGTAGGGAGGCCAAATGGCGATATGGGTCATACCGGTATGCACGTCAGGTGTGAGGCAGCCGTACTCTTAACGGTACGCTGGTATCGTGGTATGGGTCACAATCGGTTTGTGACCCATGGGTCAGAGTCAGATGCTAGAACCTCATCATACCTTATCCGCATTCTGCACCGTCAGCTCGAAGGCGCCCTCCAGAGGCGGCGGAGCGGGCTGGCCGCTGGCAGCTGCTGCGGCCGCCGCCGCTGCGGAGGCCTCCTGAACAGCTGCCGAGAGCAGCAGCCGGTGACCTGTGCAGTCACGGCGATGATTGCAAAGCCATTTTCCCGTGAGAATGCGAAGACGCCACGAGTTGGAAAGGTTTACGACATATGTATGACAAACCCAGGACGTGCGAGTAGAGTAGGCCGTCCAACGTTGTAAGTGTCGCTGCACATGCTCCTGTCCCTCCACTCGTCCCCTTCACCTTCATGTAGCGGGTTGAAGGAGCCAGGCAGGTACACCCGGCCCCGCCGCGGCGCGTCAACCACCACCTCCGGCCCGCAGAACTCCACACACCGAACCTCCCCCCGCAACAGCCGCCGTATCGGGTCACTGTCGCCGTCATCATCGCTGTCCGGCGACCCGGCATTCCCCTCCGCCGCCTCCGCTGCCGCTGCTGCTGCTTCTGATGTTCTTGTCACCGCTACTGCTGCTGCGGTTGTTGCTCGCGTGACAGAGCTCCAGCTGCCTCTGCGGTCGTCAAGATCTAGGATGTCGCATTGGAGCTCTTCTTGCCGTATTTGCTGTTCCTGTGCTTGTTGTCGTTCAGAATGTAAGGCTGATGAAGTCGTGGACGAGACCCCGGATGAGAGCAGGGCTGTGGTTGTTGCTGCTGCACTTGTTGTGCTGCCAGGCGGGTGTATGAGGGGCAGGTGGAGGGGGCTGGCGTCGCAGCCAGTCGCCTCGGCTAGCAGCTGATGGGGGTGGCCAGGGGAAGCAGCAGCAGAAGCAGAAGCAGGAGGAGTGTAGGAAGGGAGCATGAAGGATGATGAGGTACAGGGCGTCAGTCTCGAGTCATGACAGCCAATGCCTCCTTCCCTCCCTGTGCTCCCACACCCAACCCCAGTAGCCATATCGCCCCGCAGCCCAACCGCAACACATCCTGCACATCGGGTCTCCCTCCTTTCCGCACCCGCAGCCCCCCCGCCCGCCCCCACCTTCACCAGCAGTCGGCTGACCAGCTCGTCCTCCCCCAGCCGGCTGCGAGCGCCCTTGGCCAGGCTGAGGGCCGCCACCCTGCAGCCGCCCCCGCCCTGCACCGCCAGGTAGGCGCGGTGGGCGCCGCGCTTGGGGGGGACCTGAAAGGGGCAATGGGTACGAGGATAAGGCAGGAGAAGTGAGACACTAGGTTTCCAGGGTGGGGATGAGGTTACAGATGGCAGTTGGGACGAGGGTAGACGAGTATAGCGCTAATCAGGAAGCTAGGAGGAGTGGCGTAGTAGCAGCGTTCGGGAAAATAGGTAAGAACTAAAGAGCCTTTCCCCTCACCCCCACTCACGGTAGCTAGGGCGCATGTGGCGCCCACCCCCACCACGCTGCTGCCGAAGCTGCTCAGCTGTGCGGCGCGACGGTAGGCGGCAGCAGCCATGGCGGCGGCGGTGGCGGCGCTGCAGTACTGCTCCGGATCCTGTACGGCATGGATATGGATATGGATTGGGAGTAGGATTAGGGTTAGGACGAGCAAAGCCGGAATGGATGTCCGGAGGGACGGGAGGACGGGAGGAGGGGTAGGGGTGACACCGGGGTCAGGACACCGGGGTAACTGATTGCAAAGGTCGGAGGTGGCAGATCGTGGAGATCTTGTGTCGTATACCTTGCCGAGGATGTCCACCAGGCTGTCACGTGCGTACGGCACAGAGGCCTCCAGTACGGTAGCTGAGGCGCCGGGTACGGAAAGAAGCCAAGAGATGGACTGTTGAAGGGGCGCGAGTGGGTAAAGGGTAGCCTTCCGTTATACAATAAAAGGAACAGCGAGGAGGGGCGTGTATGAGGAAGTGGCGACACAAATGGCGGCCAACTGCCCCGCAATCTACGATATGGAGGAACATTTGAACCCTTAAAGCAATTTCAATCCCAGTACTGCAGGAATGGTCCCGTTAGTAGATCGCTGTTGCCACGGCCGAGATATTAAAGGGAGCGGCAGCACTTGCCTGCACGGCACCACCTGTGACGTACACCACTGCCTTGGTCTTGTTTGCGTGAATACTCTTGATGACTTTCTCCACATCTGGGGCAAGCTCATGGGCCTCTGGAAGGGCTTTGCTGGTTGTCGCCGCAGTTTGTGGCTTGATGGCATGCGGTCCACGACGCATCCATCCTAGGCCCCGTGCTGGCGCTTTGGCATGTAACACTGGAAGCATTGCTGTGATCCCACAAGCGGCTACTACGGCAAGTTTGGCAAATAACTTCACGAAAAGAGAAAGCGGACGAACGATGATGTTCCGTCCTAGCGCACCGAGCAGCGCACTAGGCATGAAGTCAAGTTTAGCAGCCTAACCATGTGTACCAAGTTAATTGTTTGCATTGTCGAGTCCCTAAGCGGCGATTGCAGGTACGTCGCTACCAGTAATGTTCCGTACAATGGAAGGGTCCTGCCCAGCCCTGCTAGCAACTGGAAAGCCGAGTCGCTAGTTCTAATTTCATATAGTGTTCGCGCTCCATCAATGCTTCACCGGTCCGCATCATGCCGGCCAAGCCGGGTTGGCGTTGCGACAGCTGCCAAACCTAAAGTCGTTTCCTTGCGGTTAAATCGCGGCATGAGTCTCAAGTGTGCCGCTTCAGCAACCAACAAGCTTATTGCCCTAGATTTCGACGGTGTGGTGTGCGACTCGGTTGGAGAAAGCAGCCTGTCTGCGTTTAAGGTGCGTCTGGCTCCTCATACTTGAACTCAGGGATACGTGGGATATGCAGACGGGGGCTCTCAATTTCATCAGTGCTTGAGCGATGTACGCATGCAGGGCACGGATTGGCCTCCGTGCTATCCTACAAGGGGTTTGTCGTGCCTATGCCGGGTACGTGTGCCCCTAGGCCGTGCGGAGCGCTTGTCTCCTCACAAACCCAAGCGACGCCCGCGCTTCCTAGTAATCCCTGGGTTCTGCAAAAAACATCTGTCACGGCAGGCGGCGGCCATCCAATGGCCGGACATCTTCCGCACCGCCGCAGCTGAGGCGCGGAAGGAGGAGCTGGTGGAAAAGATGCGCGCGGTTCGACCCGTGGTTGAAACCGGGTGGGTTTCCTAAACACAGGACACGGGACACGGATATACCTCCTAGGCGGCTCGCTCTTTGCCGCCCTCAGATGCTGCCTACAACAATATCCGCATTCTATCCGCATCCTAAAGCACCCCAACATCATCACCAAGGCGGATCCTCCCTCTCAAACCCAGCTTTCATACACCGTTATTACTGCCCCCAACCGCCAACCGTCACAACCGGCATAGCCACCACCCTTTTGCATACACCGCATGTACGGCAGGTACGAGAACATCGTACAGATCCGCTGCCTGTACGAGGGCGTGCCGGTGGAGGAGGTGCTGGGGAGCTGGGAGGTGCTGCTGCCCTCATGCATGAGCAAGTGGGGGCTGCAGCGAGCAGAGGTGCGTGCGTGCGGGGTCCGGAGGGCGGGTGGCGGGGGGGAGATGCTGCCTGAGGGGTGGCATGCAGGGGCTAGCAGGCTAACATAGAGCAACATTGCAAAGCTCAAGAGGCGCGCCAGAGGCGCGACCCCGGCCGATCAACCGTTCAGGCCGCATGGCACGGTCTACACAGTCACCAAAAACACAGCAGAAACCTGCATGCGCTAGAGCGCGCGCCAGGCTATGAAGCACAGGCAGATCTCGCCGTACAAGAGGCCCGCATGGCAAGCAAGTTGCGCACAGCTAGCCAAGCCCTAACTGCGCGACGGCAAGCACATGCTAGACGGCAATCCTCACCTGTCCCTCCTCCTCCTCCTTGCTGCCTCGCCCCGCCTGACCCCCCCCCCAGTTGGTCACCCTGTTCGGGGGGGTGCGGGACGAGTGGATATCTGCCGACCTAGCGGGATGGCTGGCGCCTAACCGCATTTACGGGGGCGTGGCGGGGCCGCTGCGAACCGCGCTGGAGCGGCACCACGCGTACATCGTCACGACTAAGCAGGTGGCGGGGCTGGGGAGGTCCGAAAGGGGGGGGGCAAAAATAGGAAAGTGACGAGCTGGATGACGAGGAGGGGGCCGGGTGGGCGGCACAGGGGCGTGCGGGCCGGGCGCACATGCACGCCAGCATCCTGTCGCAACCTGCTTAGCCGCCCCCGCCCATGCGTCTCACTCGCCCTTGATCATCTCCCTGATCCCCGTATCCCATGGCCCTTGCCCCCCTTCTCTTCCCTTCCTTTCCTCCCCGTGGTACGTAATCCACGTCCTTTCTGCCTGGGGGCCCATCACACACGCAATATGCACACACACGCGCACATAAGGCCCACTACACGGAGCTCCTGCTGCGCGACATGGCCGGCGTGCCCTTCCCGCGCGACCGCATCTTCAGTCAGACGGTGTCGGGGCGACCCAAGGGCGAGGTGCTGTCAGCGCTGGCTGGCCGGCATCCGGAGGCCGCGGAGAGGCTGTTTGTGGAGGATAAGCTGAGCACACTGGAGAAGGTGGCGAGGTGGGGCAGGAGCTGGGGCTGCTAGGGGCTGCGTGCGGGTTTTGGTGGCTGTTTGGGGTAAAGAGGAAGAAACTGACGAGCTGTGGGTTGGGCGCTGTCCAGTGCAGATCTTCAATCTGCTATTGTCAATCGTAACCCCAAACACTATACTATGGAACCCGAAAACCCAGATCCCTGTCTTGGTCAGAAATCATCAGTTTGTGGGGCAATGCGCTTATGATAACTGTGCGAGGTGGTGGTGTAACACAACCCCATGTGACCCATGGGTCGCCCGCAGGGACCCCTCGCTGTCCGACTGGCGGCTCTACCTGGTGGATTGGGGCTACAACACGGCACAGGAGCGGGCTCGAGCAGCTGCCAATCCCGCCATTACCGTGATCGACAAACAGCAATTCCAAGAGCTGCTGCAATGAGTAGGGCGGGGTGTGAGAGGGGTGAGAAGGGCGGGGTGTTGCACGTGCGCATGCCTTTCCAGGCGCTACATTGTGTTGGGTCACATGTGGGTTATGTATCCTTGCATGTGCTGTTTTTGTTGTGGGTGGTGTGCTGTTGTGCATACGTTACTAAACGGATGTGGGTGGGTTGCATGCGTGGGTTGGGTTGGAGCTCGGGGGGAGGCGCGTCACATTGTGGCATGGCAGCTGTTAGGAACAATACAGCCCAGCGAGGCCGTACGTGCAGCAATGGACATGTGGTACGGTAGTGTGCAATTTCAGTTTTTAGGTGTCTCGTATGATCACTGCTTGTCGCGTATGGTCGTAGATAGGATTAGGTTGTGACTTTACGGGCAGCGTCTGGCTTCAGACCGGCTTTACACCGTGTACGGTATTTGTGCAGTATGCGAGCATGTGAAGGATAACAGGAGATATTGGGGCTTGAATTGGAGCAGAGAAGCACATACGCGGTCTTGGTGCTGAGCGTGACAGCTTGAACGGCATAGCTCAGGTGTGTCGACGGCGGCAACGTTTATATGGCTGGGCAATGTACCCATTCCGCAGGGGCAGTTACGGTCAGGTTTGACCTCGTGTACCCTCGGGTGTATTGTGAACAAATGCGGATGATGCGCAAATGGTAGTGCGCCCAAATCACACATCAATCACACAGCTGGTGAACGATGCGCAGGGCTGGCCCCTTCCACCATCCATCGTGCCACCTGAGTGGTGCGCGACTTCTAAAGCATTTTGTGTGTATTATGTAATATGCAAGATGTTATACATGACCTGGTTCTGAATGCTACTCGCGTGGTGTCAGTAGTTGGAGGCAGTGCAAAATGTATTAATAATGCTAACAGATCCAGCGTGGACTGGCATGATCCGCAATTTGCGAGACTTGTTGACTCGCGGAGTATGCATTGAGCTACCCGCAAGCTAAAATTACCGAGATTGGGACATTGGATCACCGCAGAATCCAATTGTTGCCAAGTACTATTTCACGCTCAACCGCTCCAATTTACTCATTGACTTGACTTGTTTTATAGTCAGGATGCTTCTACAGCGGCTTAGACCATTTGGGCCATCGCGTCCTTGCGCCCGACAGGTTCGCCCAAGCCTCAAGGGTGCGACGAGTTATAGTCCTAGTGTAGCGTACGAGTAGATAAAAATGGTCTCCATAACCACACGCTGAAACGTTTCCAGCAGGCAGGACCGCTGGGCGCAATGGTCGAGCGTCAGCCGTGTTGGTCCTCGCGAGCGCGAAGGCAAGCTTACACGCTTTGCTACACTACGAACAACACACAACTTCGCTGGTTGTCTTGGGAGACACGATGGGTCCATTATCGTGCAGCGCAGGCCGATGAAACACTTGCTAGGGCGAAGGCCAAATATGAGGAGGGCGACCGGCTTCAGGCCATAAAGCTTTATGAGGAGGCCTTGGAGCAGGTATACCACCGCCGCGGATCCCCAAAACACAAACACCATCCATGCTTGCGGGGCCCCATACTCACTTAACCAGTATCCAGCCCTCTATCCGCAGACCCCGGATCTTGCCAACTCTAGGCTCCCTAACGCCCCTAGCCCCCGCTCCTCTGCAGGATCCGGATCCCAAGCAGCGGCAAGCGGCGTTGTTTGGTGTCACGGCCGTGCATGCGGCGTTTCTAGAAGTGGAGCTCGCACAGATATCTCTCAGAGGTACGGCCTTTACCCTTTGGCCGCGTCGGGATATGGCGAAACATTCCGACGGACATCGGGTCTCCTCTGCCCTTGTTGCTGTAACATATATGCCGTACTTTCCAACTGTCGTACGTTGCAGAGGCCGTACGCTACGGTCTGGATTACGAGCAGGCTATACAGGACCCATCCTACGTCCAAATCATTACATCGCCGCAGGTAAGCGACCTCCGCAAGTTCGGATTACATAGCGATACCTAGCGAACTCCTACCTTTCCTCCTTCTTTGCCAGTAGCCCTCCACATAACATTCTGTTCCCTGTACCTCACCCCTGACCGCTCTTCCCCCATCCACCACCCGCCCGCCTGAAATAACGGTGGTTCCCCCGCACTTGGCCTCCCCCACTGGTCTGATGGACCAACACATGCAACACACCACATGCTGTGCCCGGCCTGCAGATCTTCATCCAGCTGCGCCGGTTTGCGCAGCAGCTGCAAAACGCCAGGGCCGCCCGGCCGCAAGCGGAGAGGCCGTACGGCAGCAGCAGCAGCAGCACCGCCGCCTCCTCTGCGGGTCGCAGCAAGGCTGGTGCTGGTCAGGACCTGGACTCCATTCTGGGTTCTGCTAGCGGGGAGCGGGCGGAGGTGGACACGTCCGTGGGAGGTCGGCGCGGGGGGCGGGGGGCTTAGGGCGTGCGAGACCCGGCGCAGGGGTTTAGCGCTATGCATGGGCGTGTGGCCTGGTCGTACCGGTGGCAGCTGCTCTGTCGACGACTTCTGGGCTGACAAAATAAGCCTTGTTGCCTTTTCCTCCTCTCGCATCACCTTGGCCATGTCATTTCCGGTACACTTTGCTCGCGTTCGTCTGTCATGCCGGTGCCGCTCGCTTCACAGTTGTTTGCATGCACGGTACACCCGCATGCCGCCAACTTCTTTCCCCGACTCTGCCCTTGTACCCGGTTTGTGCCCCTGCAGGCATCATCCGGCGTGTGCTGCTGGTGCTGCTGGCGGGGATAGCGCTGGGCACCGGGTTGTGGTTCCTGGGCCTGGAGTACCTGTTTCCCAAGACAGGGTGAAGGGAGGAGGGGCTGGTCAGGGTGCATGAGCAGGGTCCTCTGGGTACGCTACGCTTCGGCACTGTCGTACGCCAACGGCTAGTTATGGATGTTACTATGCTGGAGGAGGAGATTAGGGTACTGGGGGTCGCGCCCCCTGCTGGTAAGGGTTTGGGGTCAAATTCCTTTTTACGAGGGCGGCACCAGGGCACCAGGGGAGGTCACCTGACAGGCATGGAGTTACGCCTGATTTCTCAGGGAACCACATAACCACCATATGCAGCACACTGGGCTTCAGGATGTAAGCCGTTGTGTTGTGTGTGCTGTGTCCAAGTAACTGGATGATCAAGAGCCCAATCCACACGAGTAAAATAACCTACATGTGTGCCCGACGTCCGCATGTCCAAAAGCCACCACGAGCAGTGCAACAGTCCCCACCACCACCGTCACACTGCGCCGTTGACCGCTAGTCAGCGGCCGTACTAGCTTCGCACGGATAACAGCAGCGCGACCCGCACCTCTCCAATCCCCCAAAACTGTGTTATCACTGGTGCCCCACGCAAGAACAGTTCAAAGCACTCCTCATGCACAGCAGTCAAGGTTCTGGCAACCGTGGGGTTTGCCGCCCCATCACCCCCAAGCGCCCGCAAAGTAAATTAGCCCGGATTCACACGCTCGCACACCGCTCGATAGTACCCAACCTAGTTAACCTCTACACGAAGAACAATAAAGTCTCTTGACATATACACCCACCCACATGGGTGAAGCAAGAGAGGAGAACCCGGGCCAGGGTGCGGTACCTGCTCGCACCCACAAGCCACGGAGCGCTGTCCTTACTCCCGAGCCCTTACCCACGGACCCTGAAACCCGCTCAGTCGTCACTCGACAGCTCTCATTTGCACACCACACAACCCGGCAGCTACCACTGCAGAGCAATCAGACATCCCCTCTTTAGCCGACCATGGGCGCCTCAATGCCCTCCTGCTCCGCTCTTGCAAGCAGCAGCTCCAGCTCCTCTTGCTTGCTGCACAGCCGCAACCCGATCCGAGTGCATGTCAGGAGCCCGAGTCCCAAGCAATCGCATGGGTGGGAAAGGGGCATGGGCGGAGGGCGACGGAGGCACAGGTCAGTGCGCTACTAGGGCCGGAGGTGGACTGTATTGAAGCCAACGGTGCAAACGAGTACCGGTATGCACGGGTGCAATTCATGGTGTTGCTCACAGCCAAAGCAGGCATGGCGCGGGAACGTACTAGGTACAGAGTACGAAGGAGCCTGCTCTTTTGCCCCCTTCATCAGCAGCGCACCTGTACTTGCTGTACAGCATCCAGCCCACCACAAGCAGCACGGTGGGAACCTGCGAGAGCACAGGAGCGCACGGGTGGGTTGTCGAGGGAGGAGGTCTCGGAGCGCCACATGATGCGCGATAGCATCCTCCAGTTCGTGTAACCACAACCCACAATCCTCCAAAAGGTTTCCCCTTAGTGCCCTCTTCCAATAGGTATTGAAGGTACTAGAGGGTAGCTTCCATGCATTAAACAGCCACCCCGGAAGCAGGGTGCTCGTTGATACGTTTGAATCCATACATGAATCAACATTCAAATCAAGCCAGCAAGCGGATCTGAAACCCCTCTGCCCCACGCCACCCACCAGCACTATGGACGCCACCGCCGCCCGCGTGTTGGGTTTGTGGTAAGGCGTCACATCCAGCTGGTCGTGCAACACACACTCCGCGGACTCGTAGTAGGAAATGTTGAGCGGGCCCACGGACACCTTGGTGCCGTTCTGAGGGGGGGGGGCGCAGGAAGGGCACAAGGGGACAGGCGCATGATGGGGACGGGCGCAGGAAGAACAAGGGGACAAAGTGTTGAATCACACAACGGCTTCTATCATACATGCCAGAGCGCGTGCTGCATACACGCGGACCCGCGTCAAATGTGGTGCGGAGGAATTCGACTGACCCATACCAACACTCACACCACCGCTTCCACCATGGCACTATACGTATTCCCCCCGTGTCAGGGAGACTGGCCGCGAGTAGGAACCCATTGGCTTAACCCAGCCCTGTCCGCCCTACCAGCAGCTGCGTGGGGTCGGGCACATCGCGCATGGCGGCCAGCAGCGTGCGGGTGGCGCAGGTGGTGACGTTCTTGCGCGTGTCCGCCACGCAGTAGTCCAGGTCAGGCATGGCGGAGGCGGGGAAGAAGGTGAGGTAGTTGAAGCAGAGCTGTGGGGGAAAGGAGGGGTGGGGACCATGGGAGAAGGGACACGGGGTTAACAGGCTGATGCGTGCCCGTGCGAAAAGGCACATGGGGGCGAGGAGAAGCAGGCGTGGCAGGCATGGCGTCAACAGCATGGCGTCGATGACAGGGATGTTCTTCTAACCCTCGTTCCTTCCCTCCGCACCTCCTGCCAGGGGTAGTTGCCGTAGAAGGTCATGCTGTCGGAGTTGGAGTTGTCGTAGGTGCAGAGGCTGATGAGGGTGTCGTTGGGCAGCAGCGTGCGCGAGTCGGGGAAGACCGTCAGGAAGCCCTGCGGGTGTGGGTGGGGTGGTTGGGTGGCCGTGGCAGGGTTAGTGATGGTGCTTTGGGTGGTGGATGTGCGGGTCCGCTGAGAAAGACAGGCGGCAGTAGGCAACAGGGTAGCTAATGGGCTATAAGTTCGTATACGGGTTCGTATCGAATAATTTCGGTAACGGTCCGCCAACAAGCCAACCGCCTATCCCCAACCACCCACTCGTCCCCTACCGGGTGTTCCACGTCCCAGTAGTTGATGCGGCCCACTGGCTGGATGGCTGAGCCGTTGCGGATGTGGCGAGTGAGGGTAGACACACCCTGATGCAGGAGAGAGGGGGGAGGAGAGAGCGAATGTTAGTCCACCGAACCACCATGTAATACCATGGGCCATCTTGGAGTGGGACCCGTGGGTCGGCGTGTACCAGCAGCAGATCTTTGGTGCCTCCGACCCACATGCCTCTACTTGACGTTTACATTTCCTTTCCACCTCACTTCACTGCCCTCGCTGCCCCAGTCACACCCATCACAACCGCCCCTCACGACCCTCTCCCTCACCCGCCGGCCCATCATGTAAAAGTTGGAGACCAGCGACACGGGCTGCAGAACCCGCTTGCCGGTGCAGGAGGCGGGGCAGATGTTGGGCAGCGCGGTGTAGCGGGCCGCCGCAGCGGGGATGCGCAGGTCAGTGTTGCCCAGCGTCAGCACACCCAGCGTGCTGGCGCGCAGGGTGGGCGTGTAGGTGAGCGTCAGGCCCGAGGAGTCGGACTGGCAGGACGGATGGGGGGAGACCGGAGAGGAGGGAAGAGGGGGTGAGCGGGAAGGGAAGGAGCGCGCGCCTGTATTCAACTTTCTTAGCATGATCCCAGCACGAGAAGCCGTGTGACTACTAGACCTTCCACGGCCCTCTCAGTCAGCTCCGTACTCCTCCCTCTCAGCCCCTCACCTTGCCCACCACGCCAGTCGGGTTCTGGTAAAACACCTGCAACACCAAAGCCCCCGCCGAGCCCGCGCCCATCGCAAACCCAGCCTCCGGCGGCGCCGTGAAGCCCTTGGCGCCCGGAGCCCACACGTAGTTTACCGTCTCGCAGCCCACCGGCAGAGCCGCCTGCAGCGGGTTGGGCCAGGAGGAATTGGCGCACTTGTACGGCACCCCCAGCGCCGGAGCCGCCGGTACGACACCCGCCGCGCAGACGTAGCCAATGACATGGTGCACGAAGGGCGTGGTGTTGAAGCCCTGGTAGGCGGTGACGTGGTAGGCGGTGTCGTTGGGGAGCTGCAGGTTGACGCAGACGACGCTGGTGTTGGCTGCGGGCACGGGGAAGCTGGGCATGGCTAGGGTGATGGAGGTGGAGAGCGCATCCGCGGAGGAGGAGGAGGAGGAGTTGGAGCTGGGGAAGAGGCGCACGCCGGTGATGAGGCCGCGGGTGAGGTTGGTGAAGGAGGCCTTGTCCACCTCCCACTCGTTGTCGTAGCTGTAGGCCCAGCTGATGGAGCGCTCCACGTCCTGGAACACGGGGGTGTCCTCCGTGTCGCAGGAGTCCAGCGGGCGCTGCCAGATGGCGAGCGTGTGGTTGTCCCGGTCGATGGTGGGGGAGACGACCTGGGGGGGAGTAATTGGTGGTGGTGGTAATGGGAGGTGGGGGGTCATGATAGACCAAACCAAGGGACATGGACCCCACACGTGTGCTGCAGTGATGGGTGCTGTGCCGATAGAGTGGGGCGGTTTGCAATTGGGCCACAGACGCCGTTTGGAAGGAGCCATGCTGTGTTCTTGGAGAGGATGGTAACCCTGCCCCAAGCAAGCCGCGCGGCAGGTCTTACCAGCACGGCGTTCTGCTCCTCGTCCAGGTTCGGAGTGGTGGCGTTGATCATGAAGTAGTCGCTGCATGCGGAGGGTTGGTGAATGGAATAAATGTTGGGAATGGGTGGGCAGGGAAAGTCGAGTGGGTGGGGCACAAAGTGCCCGAGGTATGTCGCCTTGGGGTCTTACCCCATAATCCACGACAGGCCTTGGGAGCCAAGGACGACGACGTTGATATCAACACCCTTCAAGCCCGCCTCTGAAATCCCAATCGCCAGCCACCCCAGGTAGCCATCAGCATCTGGCGCTAGCTCCAGTGTTTTGTTATCGATTGTGCGCCAGTGCAAAACGAGGCTGGAATCAAGCTGCATACAGTTAGGATAATCATCTTTTGAAAGGAACTTGTAGCAGCTTGCTGCGTTCACATAAGCTGGCAGGAGGCATCCCGCGATGACAACGCACGCAGCTAGAAGGAGGCGGGCCATGGCGCTGGGCCCCCTCCACCTATGTAAAATTCAAGAGATAAGGAAGCGGTATAATTGTGGATTTTTGTAACGGTGGTCAAGAGCTTAGCTCAAATTCAGAGGCTTATCCCAGTAGAGAGGATGATGCAAAGGCAGATATTGAATTCGCTAAGAGTGGGTATCCACACATGGGAGCGACAGGCTTTGAAAGGTGTCCTTGCTTCTATCAACGGTGCCGCAGGCCCCGCATGGGAAGGATTGCGCTCCTGTAAAAGGCCCCCAAACTACAACGACCTTGCTAGCCATGGGTATAGCATACAGTCCTTTTATGTATAGGTCTCACTTCAAGTTCAATTCTTGTGAAGTCAGCAGTAGCCCCGCCTTCCAGAATGGACATGCCTTAACGCTTGCAACATGCACATAGGTGGACGCTAGTCCGTCCATATCTGAGTCCTTTTCCTGCTTGAAAAGCGGAACAGTTAGAGGAGGGGCAGTATGTTATCACGCGTCATGAGGCACATGACATCCGGAGGGGTGAGCGTTTCGGTAGGTTGTTTGTAGCAACCTTCCTCTGAAACCCTCCAGCTTATGGTGAATGTCCAGGCATATGTGCTTTCTTCTACATCGTACGTGGCCGGTGCCGCTGTGGGACTTGCTTGGGGTGTCTTGGACCTGTACCTGAGTGTGCTGGGTCTTCTACTGATCTCGTTCACCCCCAGATGCTTGTGGGTAAAAAGGGTGAGTTAGCGCGGCCGCCGTTAGGGAATACCACGTTTCGGAGGGGCAACTTATAGGCTGCTCACGGTGGTGCCGAGTGAAGCGTGTCAGCCGAAAGGTGATGCCGAGTGGTGCGTGTCAGCCGAGGTGCATCGAAGGACCAGAGGTCCCAAGACACACCTTTCCACCCACTGCATGATTGATGGCCACGGCACCTGGGAAGCGCGTAGGCATTTTTTACTTCTCAAACCTGTATGTACTCCTATCCTTGGCTGCCTTGTTCATGCGTACGACCCAACGAACTGCCTCCGCAGGCAGAAAAGGCTCCGCAGCACCCCAAGGGGCCATCTCCGTCTAGCCAGGAGCCAACAGCGACACCACACAAGGCACCCGCGTCCACCTCCACGACCCGACCCCCTGCCAGCTCCCCTGCAGCCCCCGGCACTCCCAGCCTGCCCTCTGCAGCCGCGCCTCACCCTCCTCCGGGAGGTCCTGGACCCTCCTCATTGCTGGAGGTTGACCCAGTACCCGCAGCAAGCAACGGAGCAGCCAACACCTGTGCCCTCACCAGTGCTGACGGACGACACGCCTCTCCATCTGCTACAGCCGCACCCCATGCAACCTCACCCGCTAGGACCTCAGCAGCAGCTGTGTCTGAGTCCCTAAATGCCTCGCCCTTGCCGCCTGCTGTCGCTGCTGCTGTGGAGCCATCTTCGGTTTCGGAGGAGTCGTCGCCGACTCCGCTTCAAGCAGCGCATAATGGCAGAGCAAGCTCAGCGGAGACTGGGGATGGGTTGAGCCCCGGGCGTGTTTCAACCGCTGCGTCTTCACCCGAGTATGGCGAGAGCTCCTCGCAGGAACTCACCAGCCCTGTGCTGCCTGCACCAATGGCAGCAGCAGCCGCGGCTGCAGCAATGCCGTACACTTCCTCCACTGCAGCAGCCCCTTCCCACCCTGCGGTGCGTGAGGTGCACGACGCAGATCCTGAAGGCCATGTACGGGCAACGTCAGAGGGCCACACGGCGAGTTCGGCGGCGCATGCAGCTGGTGTGGGCGGGCCGCCCAAGGCTGCGTTGCCGCCCACATCTGCGCCACCCCCTGTTAACGGTGCTCGGGCAGGTACTGCTGCAGGGGCTGGTGCAGGCCCCAGTAGCTCCGTTGCGGCCGGTGTCCCGTCACGCGCATCTGGGTCGTCGCAGGCCAGCCGGTCGGGCGGAAGTAAGAGCAAGAAGAAGCATGGGCAGCGAAAGGGGACTCAGAAGGCAACAGCGCGTTGAGGGGGCTCCAGGAGCTGTAACCGCCGTTATAGGCCATGGGGGAGCACAGGTGGTTGGGAAGGGTCGAATGCTTGTGGGCATTGCTGACACGGTTGCATGATGGCGTTGCTGTTGAACCAGATTGGGCATTCTTTAGTAGGGCCCTGATTAGGGCACTCAGCCACACACCTGAGAAGAATATGCAGCGTCTCCTGTTGAGATCTAGGTTAGGTAAGCACGTGCCAGGCTGGGGTTGGCAGGTATTTCTGACAGGAAACGGTTGTATCAGCTCTTTGGTTTAGTGTTAAACGCAAGCAGGCTGTTGCAGGGTATCTATTTTGTGATTACTGTAGGTAGTGACGTTCTTTGATGCAAGATGCTGACTCCGACAAAGATCCGGGTGCTAAACGTTTGCTGGTCCCATGCACGGGCGTGTGCACCCGGCCTTGCGGCTATTGGTTTCTTCTCCGTACTGCTGCCCCTTTAGGCATGTTTGTTAACAGCTTGATACGGTCTGTAACCTATAGGCTTTTAGTTGCTGTTGCTCCGTTGTAGTCCTTTCTGGTGTAGTCCTTTCTGGTGTATGTTCCTTGGGCTATCCCTGTTGTTTGCTTTGGCAATTTGGTACCGGTACTTGGCAGGTGGGGAATGGCTTGGGCCGGACAGCTGTTACCAATGCAGTATGAAAGGTGCCTGCTGCATGACCGGGCCTATCTTGGACGAGCCCTAGGTGCTAAACTGGGTGCCTCTTTAGTTCTGGACCAGGCGTTGTCACGTCGTAGGCGTTACTTGGGGCATGAATGCAGTTCCTACGCCCTAGCAGGAGAGGGCGACGGGGCTGCAGACTCCATGTTGGGTCAGCAGTCTAGGATATGCCCGATGGCACGTTGTCCCTCCTCAACGTTGTCATGCAAACGGCGCAAAGTTACCAGGCCGGCCCGGGCTGGGAGCTGTGGGGCTAGACGGGGTGAGGTTTTGTACAGCTTATGACCTGGTAAACTCGATCACAGATCATGCGTGGAGCAGACTCCATCCGTATCAACAATTCTTGCCCTGAAAAAGAATGCTTGACGTTGCGGCAGGTTGCGGGTACAACTGTTTGCCTGTGTAAACACGACAGTAGGGAGAGTTTAAAGACTACCATACGCCCCTTAAGTGCGCGGGTCCAAAGGGGCAAATGCGTAGTTTGGATAAGCGGTGCGACCCAAGGGACATGTCTGCTACAACATCAAACTATATATAAGCGGTGCAACTAACAACTTATGCTTTGCTCTCTTAATAAAAGTGTATATCACTGTACCGAAATATGCACATCAGTCAGCAAAGTATGACTATGCGTACATGAACATAAACAGTTAAGTCCGCCGCGAAGGAGTACGGTTGATTACTATACCGCCTACCTTTCTAAGCAGTATTAGATTTAGTTAATAAGACGATTTATCCTACTTTAGTTATGCGGAACGCGGTGGTAAGCAATCCTTTTAGTGTGACTATGGGATAGAAGCTTCCCAACTGCCGAACACGATTATCTGGCTTCTGCACGTCTAATCTACGGCACGATAATGACAAGGCAGTGTTATAGTGATATAAAACGGTCCCCAATGAGGGCGTCTAATTTCGCCTAACGCTGCAAAAATTCTCCTACGCCACGGTCAGCATAGGACGAGCCCGACACAGCGCTGTGCATAGTTAGGAGATACACACCTAAGTACTTCTTTTGCATGGCTGACTTCTGGGCGACAAAAAAAGCGACTATGGGCCTGAGAGCTCGTCGTTGGGCGGAGGCTGGCCGATGCTTCGTCCTATCCCCGCCATTCCAGTGCGCAGTCCAGTTCACTGTTTGCATTCTGTGCACGAGCGTATTCATCTTTGTTCGGTAGGTGTGCTTGCCTTAATTGACCCTAACATGAGGCTTCGTAAGTCGTCCCGACATAGGGCAAAGTGGGTGTTACTACGACATTGCGAGTTCAGAAATGCTGGGATTGTGCATTGGCGCAATCGCTCATTTTTGGTGACCGAACCACGGTGACTGGATGCTGCTGGATGTTGCCAGGACCACCATCGTTGTGCTGCTTATCAGAATCTGGAAGCGGTGCTGGATTACGGCCCAGGACACAACAACATGCTTTACCTGTTCCTACCTGTTTACACATGTTTTCGCTTCCTTACTCTCCCATTCAACACAACAAATGCCCAAATTCCAAAATGCGCACCGTGGCCCTGCGACCTGCCCACAAACGCTCGGCTCAAACGCCATCGCTTTCTTGTCACCACCCGCACCAAACACCCCACTGCAATTAAAGCCTAATACCTCTCCAATTCTCCATGACTCCCCCACGTCAATCCTTTCCATTCAACCGCTCGCCTATCCTGCTATGTTCCGGCACCTCTCCCTCCTGCACAACACATTAAAGTTCGCACACACCTTCCTCCTGCGCCTCCTTACCTCCCGAACATCCCCTCCTGCCTTTCCCCATGCCACCTCCCACTGCATGAGTCGGGCTATGGGATTGGGATTCGTTGTTTCACTTTTATATAATTTTTCCCACCCCTCCAGGCCCCTGCAGTTCCCTCTGTCCTGCCTGAGCGCCGTACTGGCTGCGGTCTCCCTGGCGGTGCTGTCGCCTGACAACCACCTGGGCACTCGACTGCTGGCATCGGCCAACATGATGGGGGGATTCGCTTGGGGCCTGGTGCTAGCTGGCATTGTGGTGGGTTGCGCCTGTAACCCGGTTGCGCTTGGTGGTACCTGAAGTGATGATGTTGGGTCCCCTGGGGGGGACTCTTCTTGGTGTTACCGGTACCGGTAGGGAGGTATGGAGGAAGTTGCCGGTCGGCTATCCCGTTTATAGGGTACGGCAGTCCTGTTGTTGTACCTCTTCACCCACCGCCCATGCGCCCATGCAACCTCCGTACCTTCCACATTGAGTAGCACCTGAGTACCGGTAGCAAACCCTTTACTGCAACCCTTAAACCCCACCCTGCTTCCCCGCCCTCCTCCTTGTGCTCCTCGTCCTCCTCCTCCTCCTCCTCCTGCACCTCCTGCACCTCCCTCCCGCGCAGCTGAACATCGCGCACCAAGTCAAACTCGTTTACTGCGAAACCCTGGTGGGCTGCAAGGAGTACACTGCCGTACTCTGCTGCATGGGGGTTGCCGTACTGGCGGTCCTGGTGACCAACCGCTCGGCACTCGGGGCGCCGTACAACCCCACCGTGTGGCTTGCGGGCCTTGTGTCGGTGCTGGGGTTCGGTTTGGCGCTCATTGCGGGGCAGTTCAAGCCCGACCCCCGCGCCATGTGGTATCAGGTAAGTGCTTCCTGTACTGCAATGCTCGCTAAGAGGCAGGGTTCGCTAAGGTCTGTTGCCGGGCAGCAAGCATTTTGGAGCCCTGCTTTCAGGACTCTGGAGGATGGCGGCTGGGATGGGAATTTGGGAGCTGCTTTTGTATGCGGCTTGTTCGCGGCCGCTGTCCGGTTTGCATACCGCCCAACCTAAACCCCTGTTCTTGCTAACAAGATCAGCCACACCTTATTACGTTATTAAGGTAACATTACAAGCCATACCGATAACTCCACCTTCCTTCACACCACTCCCCATGCAGGACGTGAGCGGCCTCATGTCCGCTACCTTTGTGGCTTCCGGCCTCACGGGGCTAATCAGCGCGCTGGTGCTGCCCTCCCTGGCGGTGGACGAGCTGCGGGCCGACACGGCGGCAGCCATACGCGGAATTGGGCATGCGGCCAGCAGGTGAGAGGGATGGGGGTGCTACGGGGGCGCTAACTAACTACCGGCAACTACTATGGTACGGATCTACGATGTGGGTCGTTGGGTGTTGGTTGTTATGGGGCTTGCGTTGTACTGGCTTACAGGCGTTACAACGCTGCATCTATGATCCTCCTGATCCCGCCACTGCTGCTGCATGCGCAGGTTTGCAAGCCGTGCGATGCAGCCGGAGAGTCAGCCTCTAGCTAGAGGCACCTCCCGTGATCGCCCGCCGGCAACCGGCGCTTCTTTCGGTACCGTCGCCGCCACAAGGCCCACCACCGCCGGCCCCCAGGGCCTGTCCGGGCAACATGCCCCTCCTCACCTCCATCCTCACCCTCACACCCATTCCCAAGGCCCCTCCCAAGCCCAACCCCATCCCCATCCCCATCACAATCACCTCAACCCCCATCACGTGCCATTACACCTAATGGTCCAACCGCGATACCGCCCGCAGCCGCCCATGCGAACGGTAACCCAACTAACCAACGACAACGACCCTGACGACCTAACTGAACGGAAGAAGCTCCTCATCCAGGGTACGACAGCAATGGTCGCTACCAGCTCCGCCCCGGCTTTCACGGGGGAGCCCAGTATGCCGCGTCAAGGTGTGCTGGGTCGTCCTCCATCACCGAGGGACGGTACGGCAAGGGCCGCAGCGACAGCAGCTGTTAGCGGGACGGCAGGTACGGCAGGTGGCTTGCATGCGCTATCAGCGCCGATGCCAGCGCCGCCGCCGGCGCCGCTGCAGCCGGCACCACCACCGCCTCCGCCGCTGCCAATGCAGGCGGCGGGGGCTGTCCATGACAGCGACACCTCCCGTCCCGCAGCCACCGCGACGTTACAGCGGCTTGCCTCACCTCCTCCACCAAGTTGGGCGGCAGGGGGGCTGTTCCACCCCTTCCTGGAAAACACCCGTATCGGAGAGGACGCTGACACGATGGCCGCTGACAGCAGAGGCTCCAGCGGCAGGGGAGGACACGCCTCAACATCCGAGCCCCGGCCTACAACCCCAGCCGACATCGCAGCGGGAACAGCGGCAGCAAGCAGCCAGGAGCGTCCCGAGCCCGACACGGGGGCTGCAAGCAGCAGCATGACAGCTTCAACAACACCAGCAGCAGCAACAGCAGCAGCAAGCGTGACAACACGCAAGTCAGCAGCGGCATTGCTGGAGGAGTATGCGGCCATGCACTCGTCATCGCTGCCGTACAGCCGCCGTCGGCTGCCCGGCGTGCGCTCGTACTCTTCCTTGGATCGCCTGGAGATCTGCATGCCAGCCGACGCCGACGGCATTGACGTCGCTGGCATCGCCCCCGCCGCCACCTCCGCTGCCGCCGTCAGGACCAAACTCGCCAGCGTGACGCCCACGTCGTACGCTAGCGACGACGAGCTGTCAGTTTGGAGCCGTCACGCGGACGCATCGGATCCAGCCTTCACTGCATCCAACAATCTGGATTTCGAGCACGTGTTGGAGGATGAGGACGCTTTCCTCCGAATGCTGCAGGAGTCCACTGCGCCGCATGCGTCACCGCACGCAACGGCGCATGGCGGGGACGCCAGGGGCAAGAAGGCTGCGGCTGCTGCCTACGCGCGCGCCCCGCCGGTGGTGGTCCCTGCAGGCGGCATCCTGCCCTCACCCAGCATCCCAGACCTGCTTGGAGCTGCGGCAGCTGCTAGGGTTACGACTGCTGTTACAAAAGATAAGGACAGGGGCCTGGCAAAGGTAAAGGAAGCTTCGATAAAAGAGGAGAATGCACCATCCGGCATGCTCGCTCGGTTCTTTATGTTGCGGAGGGTGCGGAAACAGGAGGAGGAGCAGCAGCAGCAGCAGGCGGTGGTGGACGTGGAGGAGGGTTCGCATCATGTGGGGCATACCCAGCCGGGTGCGGGAACCGCGACGGCGCATGGCGGCGGCGGCTTCGGCGGTACGACGGTGGCCTGGGCGCCTGTGTCGGCGCTGCGGCCGCTGTTGGCGCGAGCGAGGCAGTGCGCGGCTGCGGCGGCAGCGGAGCCCCCCTGGTTGATGAGCGGACCCACGGACCTAGGTAGGGGCGAGGAGAGCTGCCGGAACTGTTTTCTCCATGTCGCATGAAGGCTTGCAGCAGCCGACATGACAGCGCAACCCTGCGGCATCCGGCCTCACTTCCGCCCCCTTGCCCTTTCCCCCTCCTTCCCCCCCCTGCCCCCAGCCGCCTGGTCTCGCGTGCTGGTGGCATGTGATGCGCTGCTGGGACGGGTGGCGGCGTTGGAGAGCCTGGCAGAAGACCACCGGCCGGGGCACACGGTGGGTGGGGGGCGGAGGAGGCGGGTAAACAGCCGATACTGGGTTTAGGGTGTGAGACTGGCGTGGGTGGTCTGTGGCCCCCATTGCTGGATGGCGCATGCATAATGCGGGTCCCCTACGCAATCGCAGCCGCAACCTAACTGACAGCCCGTTGCTCCCACCTCGGGTGTTTTGTGTATTTCTCCGCCTCCCACCTCCTCACCTCCATCACCACCCAATCAGGCCGCCCTGGGTGACGCCAGCCTGGCTGCTCTGCTGGGCCTAGACATCGTGGCGCCCTACCGCCGGGTGTACGGGCAGGTGGCGGCCAGCTGCGCCGCCATGAGTGGGACGGTGGCGGCGTGCAGCGGGGCGGGGTACGGCAGGCCGGGCAAGGTGAGGGGGGAGGAGGAGGAGGCGGTGAGGGGGCTGGTGGGTGTTCCAGGGTGGTTGGAAAGGTGGCTGTTGGGCTGGGTGCTGCGTGGAGGGCAAGAAGAGGGGAGAAAGGTGAGAGGCGTGACGGGATCTCTTCTGGTCCTCCTGACATGCGGCGCCCCTAACACCCCACATCACCTGCTTCGCAGCCTTTCCCGGCGGTTGGCGGTTGGTCCGACACACGTGAGCGCCTGCACGGCCTCGCTCGTGAGGCCATGGCGGGCTACTGGGCTCGGGTGCGGGGCACTGCGGCAGGTGCCAGCAGCAGCAGCAGTGCCGCAGCCGCAGCCGCAGCAGCCGCTGCGGGCTTGCTCCCCTTCACCAGCGCCGGGGGGGCCGCTCCTTACCCTCACCCCCACCCTCACCCGCCTGCTTTGGGACGGACCTCTGAGGCAGCAGCAGCAGCAGGGGCAGCGCCGGCGGCGGCTCCTCGCGCGTACCTTGGCTCCCTGTCCTTCGGAGCTGGGGCGGGGGTGGGGCTGGGCGGCGTACCTCATGCGGGGGGGGCGGCAGCACTCCGCCGGCAGGGCACGCGGGCGCTGCGGGGCGGCAAGATACCCACCATAAACCTGAATCAGGTGGGCTGGGGGTGGCCGGAGGGGGGGAAGCGGTGGGAGGGAGGCGGTGCCGAGGAGAGGGCCGTAGTTAGCCATGTGCGTGCCACTGTGCCGCTCCTCTCGCACACCCCCTATGAGCGTGTGTGTTTTATGTGTGTCTTCCCCGCTGCAGTCCCGCGCCCTCACCTTCCTGTGGACCGTCACGGAGGGCATCATCGCCGCCATGGACGAGCTGGAATCTGCCGTACAAGCCGCGCTTGCCGTACAACGACCCCCGCCATCCTCCTTCTTACCCTTCTCCTTATCTACGTTATTACCTGCCTCCTGGATGCGACCGAGGCCTCAAGCGGTTGCCACAGCAACCGAAGCCAAACCAACTACCACCGCCAACACAACCGACAAATCCACCTCCAAACATTCAGCTTCCAAGCACGGAGACGGCAGCAGCACCGGCAACCGCAGCAGCCGGCCAACACAGCGGGATCCGGATCTGGGCAACAGCAGCCGGGAAAGCGCCGCCGCGGCCCCTGACGTCACGACTGCCCGCGTCAGTTCGGGCAGCGGTCACGCATCCAGCGACCACGTCTCCAAATCCTCGATGTACGACGAGAGTTTCGTAGCCCTAGCGCAAACTGCGGTCGGTGTTGCTACTACAGGCAATGCAGCTCTGCAGGCGGAGAGCTCTGAATCTCGGGATGCCGCGATGGCCGCGCCGGACGTTGAAGGCGTAAAGGCGAGGAGTAGTGCAGGCAGCGGGGGGCATGAGGACGGGGAAAGAGGGGGTGCCGGGGCGGTGGTGGTTGAGCTAACAAAGCCGAGGCGAGTTGGACTGTTTGTGGGGCTGCTTCAGCGGCGGGCAGCTGGGTCACAACAGCAGCAGCAGAAACAACGGCAAGAGCAGGTGCATGATCAGAAGCAGGCGCAACCATCAACACCGTCGCTAGAGCAGCAGCAGCAGCAGGAAAAGGTGGTTGGCGGTTGTTGGAGCGGTTGGGACCAACGGTGGCGGTTGGTCGCCAAGGATTGGGAGTGGGCGATGGTGCTGTTGAAGGTAGGTATCGGATTACACATGAGCATGCGTTTTATTTGCATGGATGACTTGGATGTGTGCGTCCTTCTCCTGCCACTACTCGCCCTACACGTGTCAATTTGCACCTTGCAACGTTACCCAGGGGTAACAATATTCTTCCTGCCGCACATTCAGCCACTTCTCCCCACGCTTCTCCATTCCCTTCCCATCCTCCCACTCCCCCCCAAACCTCTTACACCCGCTCCTGCACCCTTCCCCTCCTCTTCCCCTCCTTCCCAGTTAACCCTGGCCATACCCGCACTGCAAAACACGCCCTCCATGATAACCGGCAACCTGCGGCTGCTGTTCGCCGGTGGCGCCGCCGGCCGCCGTACACTGATGACGTCACGTAACTGCCAGTTTGGTGTGAAGTACTGGCTGGCCAGCAGTGTCGTACTCTGCATCATTTTGGGTCTAGCCAGCCGGCCGGATGTGGAGGTAATGCGTCGCTTCTCAATGCTGTACGCCTTCCTGGCGACAGCGGTCAGCATGACGGATCGGGTGAGTGAGTGGGAGCAGCCGCCTAGTGAGGTGACCCATGGGTCTGCCGACGAACTCTATGTGGTTTTATATCTTGCCTGATCTTGCATCTATATTTTTCTCGCCGGCGGCCGGCACTTGCTAGTGGTCGCCTGCAGCCCCCGCACATGCAAGCCTTCGTCGTCCTGGGTCTCACAAGCCTCCTTTCCTGCTGCCTTAGATCCCACTAATGCACTGGACACTAGTAACGTCTGTCTTCTCTTCGCTTCCAGCCTCTTCTCACCCTTCTTGTCCTGCTCGTCATGCGTGGCGCACCCCCCCGCCCAAACCTGTGGCTCCTTACGGTATGCTATATCTCCGACCTCGCCCCTCCCCCCGGCCTCCCCTCCTGCCCAGGTTGAGTCCACCCTGAGTCGCACCCTGCAGCGGGTGGGCGGTACCGTGTGCGGCGGGGCGGTGGGGCTGCTGGTGCTGCTGGCAAAGCCGCTGGCTCGCTCCCCCGTGGGGCTAATGGCGGTGGTGTGCGCGGTGACATTCCTGGTGCGCGGGGGGCGGCTGGGCGGGGGGCGGCTGGGGTGGCGCAAGTAGAGTAGGGTAACGACTCCCGGTTGAAGGCGGGGCCAGGAGAAGGGAGGAAGGGCTGGGCCGACGCTTACCCCGCGATGCCACGCACCTGCCCCTTCGCACCGCTGCCACTGAACCCCCAACGCTACCCCCCCGCCGCTGCCCCTGATACTGCAGAACGGTTGTTTCGCAGCGCATCGCTACATGTACGGATTTGTACTCGCTCTCATCACCGTACAATCCATGGTGCTTTGCCAGTACGGCACCAACTGCTGCGACTTTGCCGTACACACGCTGGAGTTGTTTGCGGCGCGGGAGGTCTCCGTACTGATCGGTTGCACACTGCCTGTCATCTTCTCTCAGGCGGTGCTACCCTGGTAAGCGGTTGGGAAACGGCTGGTTGATACCAACGCCGTACGTTGACGCTCCTATGGTTATATACCGTTATACATGCTGTGGCCTGTGGGCTTGTAACACCGCGACCCTTGTCAAGAAGTCCCCTCTCCTTACCTTCCACGCTTCCTTATTACGCCCCTTCCCCTCGCAAACCCTCGCAACCAACCCTCGCAACCAACCCTCGCAACCACCCACCCAACCAACCAACCAAAGGTTCACCTCCGATTGGGCGCTCGAGAAGATGGCTGGCGCCTGTCTGGGCGCTGCGGCCCTGGTACGGCAGCTGTACGAGCAGTACTACATGGAGCACCTGCGGGCGCACTTGGGCTACCGGGGGGTGGCGGCGACTGCGGAGCTGCTGCGGCGGTTCGGGCGGGAGGCGGAGGCGGCGAGGCTGGAGGCGGAGGAGGAGGAGCGGAGGGAGGCGGAGAGGCTGAAGCAGCAGCAGGAGGATGAGGGGAAGGAGAAGGGACAGGAGGAGGAGGGGTCAGGGGGACAGCCGCCTGCAGCAGCACCTGCAGCACCTGCACCAGCAGCAGCAGCTGCGGCACCGGCGGCCGCGTCGGCTCGCAAGATGTCGTTGCATGTGGGTCTATCTGAAGCAGAAGGGGTAGGATTCCCCTTCCCGGCGCACCACCCACAGCGACGGAGTATGTAACCTCTCCGCTCCCCTCCTCTCCAACGCACCCCCTCCTCCCAAACGCACCCCCTCCTCCCAAACGCAACCCCCCCCCCTCCCCCGCACCCCCCCAGGAGCTGGTCTCCGGCCCGCTGGTAGCCGTGCAGACCTCCCTCATGAAGGACACCGCGGTGTGGACCCGCGGCATCTACTCCACCCCGCTGGTGGGTCGGGGGGGGTGGGGGTTGGTGGTTGGGGAGGTCCGCTTGCCGGCAGGAGGCCATGTGTGTATCGTTGCGTTGCAAAGTGTATGGAGGAAACTGCAGGTTGCAGGTGTGTGTACCTTACCCCTCCCCCTCCCCTGCCCCCCCCTCCAGATCCAGGTTGCAGGTGTGTGTACCTTACCCCTCCCCCTTCCCTGCCCCCCCCCATTGTTTTGCCCTAACTTGTGGTCTCCTATGGTTTGGTATGGTCTTTGACCCCCCTCCAGATCATCCCCGCGGTACTGCGCTGCTGCCTGCTGCTGTCCGACCGGCTGGCGGCGCTGCAGCTGGTGGTAGCGGACACGCCCCCGCCCGTGTCGGGGCGGCTGAGCGGCTGGGCGTTCGCAAAGTCGGTGCTGCCGCTGCACCGAGAGATGACGGTGGGGGGGGGAGAGTGCGGGGGTGCATGGGGGTTGCGGGGTTGGAGGGAAGGATGGGGGGGAGCGGGGTTAGGGATCTAGAGAACGCAAGGGATAGCATGTAGGGCGGCGAGGGGTGTAAGCGACCTGATCTGGGTGCGGGTCGGTAAGGGGCGGAGCAGGCTCCCTTGCAGCTGCAGCACCACACCACCCATCACGCCGCCCGCCATTCTCCTCCATCGTACCTATTTCCCCTGCGTACCTGCACGCCACCCACCTCCCGCCTTCCCTTACCCAACCCCTCTCCTTCGCCCCTCCTTCGTCCCTCCTTCAGGCCATGTTAGAGGCCCTAGACCGGCTTGCTGCCGGCACTGCTCGCCTGCTTGACCCGCTGAAGCCCTCAGCCGTGGCACGGCATGAGCAGCAGGGGCAGGGACAGGGGCTGAAGGGCGGGGAGGGCGACGCGGCAGCAGCGGCAGCGGCGGCCGAGGCAGGCGGTGCTGCTGCCGGTGCTGCCGGCGGTGGTGGTGGGGAGGACGGTGGTGACAGCTACGAGGGCGATGTGGCCAGGTTGGAGGCTGCGGTGAGGGAGCTGGATGAACGGCGGCTGCAGGTGGGGTGGGGGTTGAGGGTGGGGGTGAGGGGAGCGGGGTAGCGGGGTAGCGGGGAGGTTGGCGGTAAGGGCGGGGAGGGAGTGCCTGGAAGGGGATTGGGCAACGGGGTTGAATGAGACCACTGTCGCCCCGTCTTAGATGCGTTTCACGGCCTCACAACACAACCTGTGTCCTGTGGACCCGTATCTACACACTGCAGCTGGGCTTGCTTGGGCCTGACTGTTATCCCCTTGTAGCCCCCACCTCCCTCACCTCCCCCACCTAACCCCCACCTCCCCCCACGCGGCCCCCAGATCCGGCAGCACATCCACGACATGCGCCGCGCCTTCCACGCCAGCGTGCTTGCGCTGGACGAGCAGCAGCTGCCGGCCGCCACCCACCCCGACGACACCACCCACGTGAACGCCACCATGTATGCACTGGTCAAGGTGCTTGATAAGGCAACCAAGACGGCGCGCACGGCACTGGAGTTCAGGAGGGGTAAGGAGAAGCGAGGTAGTGCTTGGTTTGCTGTGAGCCGGGGGTGAAAATGCAGGCGGCCGTCGGGGCAGAGGGGAGCTGCTGGTTGGTTGGTTGGTTGGGTTTGGTGCGGCTATGAAACCTACCGGTGGTTAGGCTTGAAGCCGTGTGTGGTGTGCCTTGTGTGTTAAGAAAACTGGCAGCGAGTGATAACATACTGGATCTGGTATCTGGACCTGTGTGGTGTGGTGTGGTGTGGTGTGGTGTGGTGTTGAGGGACGTGCGGCAGTACCGGAAGGAGTGGAGTTGTGTGGAGAGCGGAGCGGAGAGGCGGATGAGTGTGTGTGAGGTGATTGACGTCATGCGCGCTTGTGTGTTGACTGTTGGGAGAACTAGCCGCTTGTGTGTGCGTCTAGTAGTGTAGGAGTGAAGAGGGGATTCTTTCTTGGGTGCAGTGAGTCAGCATGCGTCGTCATGGGGTAGGGGTGGCGCGTTACACATACACGCGTACTGTAGCCTTAGATTGCGGCATATTTAAGTATTTGAAGAAGGTTCAGGCAGTTTTGCTTGCTATGCATTGCGGACGTGCCGTGCCGGGCGGGTTTGCGACATTCGTATTGTCGTGTTACCAGTGGCGGTTGTTTGGTGTATTCTCTGTGTTCCGAAGTAGTAGATGAGCCAGGCCAATCAGCGGACGTCTGTGTAGGCTAGGCCGGAGACTTTCATTCTCAGACGGGCACATGGGTTATTGGTGACCTGGAAATTGTTAAGCGACTGTTACGCTCGAGGAGGATGGAGAAGGCGCGGAGAGCGGAGTGCGAATGAGGTGGGGTGGAGTGGAGTGAGGGTGGTGGAGTGGGCTTGCGTGGGGGAGCGGTTGGATGATGGCGGTGAGGAGCGACTAGGGAGCAGGAGGAGGGGCAGTGGAATGTGCGGTCGGAGCTGCCAGAAGAAAAGGGAGGTACGGCTGACGCCCTGACGAAGCCTGAGCTGCATGCTGCCTGAGATAGGTATAGACTGAGCTGCGTGTTGTGCGGGGAGTGCTTTGCGCTGGGGGGGCCTGCGAGATTGTAGGGTTTGTAGGCATGTAGGGTTACTCGTGACGGGCGTGATGACCACTCGGAGCAGGTGCCTTGCGTAGAGCACTGTTAACCTGTTGTGTCGGACGGACGCAACAATAACACGACTGCGAGTATCGAGTGTTTTTGAACGTTATTGAACGTGTTCATGCCGTCGGACGGACTGGGGCCTAGCGCCGTGAGGCATGGGGCCCTGCAGTACGGTACGACAACGGAATGGGGGCAGCTGCTGCTGCTGAGGGACAGAGGCAGCCAACAGCTGCTGGAAGAGGGCTAGTCTGTTTCAGAGACGATGAGGCCATTGCCTTGACTGCGCTTGGCATACCGCATGCGTCGTAGGCGGCGGTGTCATGCCGCATGCAGTGTTCTGTGTGCTTCTGTCCTGCCACACCGGTATGTGCCCTGCCCCTGTAAGTTTCATAGTTTCATGGCATTAATTGGAGGCATGCATCTCACGCGCCTGCCTATTCACCACGCCCGCCTGCCTGCTTCGGTTCTTCCCGACCACTCCATCCTCGCAGCACTCTTCTGATATATAGCTCCCAGAGTGCCGTACCGCTGAACACCAGTAAGTGCCACACACCAACTGCGACCTTCCAAAGCCAAACTCCTTGCCATGACATCCCCATGTGCTCATGTCATCACCCCGACCATCCCATCCCTCATGATGATGATGATGCCGCCCCCCTCAGCTGCTCCCCGCTGCACCCTGACCCTCCCAACCCACTGCCGGCGACCTCTTCTTCCTCCGGCCTCGCCCCAGTCGCAACAGCAGGAGCTGCTGCTGTTACCGCTACTGCTGCTCCATTGCCGCCTATCTCTTCTTCCTCCTCCCCAGCAGCTACAAGGCAGCCCCCTGCAGGCGCCCCCGCAGCACGCTGCTCCAAAGTGGCCCCAGCCACTGCCACAGCTGCGTTGTCCGCCTGCACGCCGCCACCACCCCCCTCACCACCGCCCCCCAACGCATCAGCAGCAGCAGCACAAGACCCCGCCTCCCCCTGCACCGCCCCCTGCTCCTGCTGCTGCTGTTCAGCCTCAGCAACTGCTTCCGTGAGCCGGGCCCCAGCCGCCGGCCCCACCCCTCCCTCCTGTGCTCCCCTCTGCTGCAGCTGCTGCTGCTGCCTCGCTACTGACACCTCTGTTACCCCCGCCGCCACTGCCGGAGCACCTTGCCCTGGAGCGCCGCCACCGCCGCCGTCACAGAAGCGGGAGGTATCGCAGCTTGGAGTTTTGGCAGAGAGAAGGGGACAGGGGGTGCATGCAGCCGCAGTGGGGCAGGCGGGCTGCGCTGCGGCGGGGTCCCTGCTGCTGTCAGCCCCGGCCCCGGCTGCCCCCAGCTCCCACCCCTCCCAGAACCCCCTCGCCCCCAGGTCCACATTAGCCCCGCTGAGCACCACCCCCACCCGCCTGCATCCCTGGCAGGCGGGGTGCGCGGCCCAGGCGGGGGACAGCACCGCTGCTAGCCCCGCAGCGCCGCTGGGCTCCACCACCAGCTGGGGGGGGGCAGGGGAGCGGGGAGGCGGAGGATTAAGCAGGCTGAGCCGCGAGGAACACTGACCCTGACCGTAATACATCGGAGGGAAGCGGGAGGCAGTGGGGAGGAGTGGAGGAAGTGGGAGGAAGGAAACCCTACCCGGGGCAGTTTCACGGCAATGGAGGGGAAGAGAGGGAGCACAGGAGGACACAACGCTCTGGGTACACAGCTGACGAGAGAGCTCACAGCACATGAGCACAACGCAGCACAGCTCCCAGCACAACACAGCCCCCAGCCCCCCCAGCTCTCTGCTCCCCCACGGCGCACCTTCATCCTCTCCATGACCAGCCTCATGGCGGCCAGCAGCTCCCCGTCCTCCACCACCACCACTCCATCCACCAGGTCGCGAACAACGGGCCACGTCAGGTCGCCCAGACGGCCTGGGGAGGCAGGGAGGGAGGGAGGGGCGGGTTGGGAATTGGAAGGGAGGGGGGGCGAGCGGCGGGGTGGCGGAGTGGCGGGGTTGGCGATGGGTGCTTAAAACAGGTGTGGTAAGGGGGAGAAGTGAGTAGGATTGTGGATTAATGCTTTGTTACCTTCGGGTTCCGGAATCCCACCCCGCCCGCCCGCCCGCACCGCTCACCTTGCAGCCCATCCGCGATGGTTTCCGTCCGGGCGCACGGCAACAGCCAGCCCGCCATCTTGGCTAGGGCGGCGTCGGGGCAGTGGTTGACACCGCCCGGCTCGGCAGCCAGGACCTGGACAGGGGAGGAGGGGGGTGGAGGGCGAGGGGAAGGAGAGGGGGGCGGCGAGTGGGGGCCAGGGAAGGCAATGGGTGGGGGCAATATGACCATAGTTATGCATGAGGGCTATGTGGGTGTGGGGCCCCCCGAGGCGGATGAACCGCCTGGCCCATTCGCGAGTCCACGAGCACCATAAGTCACATGCGGTGACATGCGGTGACATGGGGGTGTTGAGAAGGTGTGTTAAGAAAACTGGCCCCACAGCCGTGGCTTCCCCCTCCCCCCACCCACCTTGATCCCCGGCTTGAGTGCCTTCACCGCCAGCGCTATGCCGCTGACCATGCCGCCCCCCGACACCGGCACCACCACCGCGTCCAGGTCGGGGACCTGGGGGAGGAGGAAGGGAGGGGGGAAAATTATAAATAAATGCAACAACGCAATCCCAATCCCGAATCCCGAATCCCGGAAGGGAGGGGGGATGGAGGGGTGAGAGGGGAGTCAGGGACAGGTAAGCACATATGCGGCACTTGCTTAGGCAAGGCCTGGGCAGTGAGGGAGGGTGTTGTCGACCTCCCCGGGGAACCGGGCAGCCCCACCTGCTCCAGCAGCTCCAGCCCCAGTGTGCCCTGCCCCGCCATCACCGGCCCCCAGTTGTACGGCGGCACCAGTACGGCACCACTGGCGGCCTGCAGCGCGGCGCAGGCGGCCTCGCGCGCCTCCATGCTGGGCTCGCAGTAGTGGACCTGGCCTGGGGGGGGAGAGGGTGTGTGTGTGTAGCGGTTGGGGTAGGGGCGACGGTTAGATTGGGTTATAATACGTCTGTAATACGGTCTAGGTACATACAGGTAATACAGTAGGACGAAAGGGGCTCTGGGCGATCTAGGCAGTACGACAGAGAGGGTGGTGGACGGGAGGCCGACGGGAAGGAGGTGATGGGGGGAGCAGGGGTGACAGTATGAGCCTTCCCAACGAAGCAAGTCAACGCATGCACACGCCGCTTAGACCTGTGCCCGCCCTACCTCCGTACGTCTTCACGGCGTCCACCTTGCACTGCGGCGTGGTGCGGGGCACCACGATGTGCGCCGGAATGCCGCGCAGGCGGGCAGCTAGGGCGAGGGCGGCGGCATGGTTGCCAGAGCTGTGGTGTGTGGGGGGGGGGGAGGAGGAGGAGGGGGAGGAGGAGGGGGTTGGGCGGGATTGGGGGAAGGATTGATAGGGAGGTGGAAGGAGAGGAGGGAACAGGAGGGCTGCATCAGGGGTTACGCTTGTGTCAGCATGTCCCCTATTCTGGTTGATTATGATTTGTTCTGAAAGCATCATGCATAGGGGCGACGAGAGCATTGTAGGTAGGTTTGTGGGTCTCACCTGTGGGTGACAACGCCCTTCTTGGCTTCCTCGTCGCTCAGCGAGAACACGCTGTTGCAGGCTCCGCGAAACTTGAAGGCGCCTCTGCAGTGGAGGAAAGCGGGCGTCCATCGTTTTGTCCTGTTGACTTGCCTCGAAAGCCATCGGGGCTTGCAACTTGCAACACCTCGTCGCCATGGTCCGGTGCTTACGTCTTTTGAAACGTTTCGCACTTGAAGAACAACTCCATGCCAGCAAGCTGGTTCAGCGTCGAGCACGTCTGCACGGGAGTCCTAATGGCATACGGAGCTATCCTTGCTGCCGCAGCCTGGATGTCCTCAAGGCTAGCTGCATATGTTCCGTTAGCCATGATTGCTGCGTAACAGAATTAGGCTTGGTGCTTCTTGCAGAGGCAAGTATATTACAGTAGACGCCTACGTGGAGATGTCCTGTTGGTGAGACGTATTATACACAATACATTCGAAAACCATGCCGGTATTGCTTGTAGGCTAACGAAGTGTCTAGTCGATATGGCCTAATGACTGTACAACTTCAACTGACGATAGATGCCAACACCGAACGTCGAACACGAGTCCTACGAAAAACACCCGACACAACAAGCAGCTATATACATAGTGTGGCGAAACCTTTTACATAAAATACAACCAAAGCTGCAATATACTCCTACATCCCAACCACAATACCGGTACATGAACCGCTCACACCTTATCATTACACGCCGCGCGACGCGGCCTCATCCGCCTTCTTCACCAGTCACCCCCTCCATCCTCCCATACACCAACCACCTTACCCACCCTTACCCACCTCCTCCATCACCCCCTCCATCTTCCTCTTCTCCCTCCCCCTCACTTCTTCTTCCCCTCCCTTTTTTACCCCCTCTTGAATGCGCTCACTGCATGAGTCGGGATATGGGATTGGGATTCGTTGTTTCACTTATATAATTTTTTCTCCCTCTTCCTCCCCCAGCAGCACCAGCAGCTGCCCCTGCCCCACCTGCCCCCCCGCCGCCACCGCCACCTGCCGCACCACCCCGCCCCGCCGCGCCGCCACCGCATGCTCCATCTTCATGGCCTCCAGGGCCACCAGAGGGTCGCCTGCGGGGGGGGGAGAAGTGGGGAAAAGAAATAAAGGATACCCGTGTATTGATTGAAAATGACGAGATGAGGAGGAGGAGGGGGAGGATGAGCAGGGGGAAGGAAAGGGAAGCAGGGGGGAGGTGTGCTTCAGGTGGGCTTCAGGGAGGAAGAGTAATGTTCCAAAACACATGGACCAAGGCGCAGAACGCTTGTTAGGCTTGCTACAAGCCCTGCCGAACCCCGCCCTCTCCGTCCTTCCCGGCCCCCGCCCCCTCTCCCCTTTCCCCCTCCCTCCCCCCCACTCACCCGCCTTGACCCTGTCCCCCTCCGCCACCATCACCGCCACCACCCGGCCCGGCATGGGGGACACCACCGCACCCCGCACCCCCCCCGCAGCACCAGCAGCAGCGCTGCCACCGCCGCCAGCAGCAGCAGCAGCAGCAGCAGCTGCCCCCGCCTTGCGACTCCAGGTGGGCTCGGTCCAGCTGCGGTGGATGGGGAGGGGAGGGGAGAAAATAGATGAGAAGGAGAAGGGAGGAGGGGGAAGGTAGGCGGAAGATGAGATAAAGAGGAAGAAACGAGGACGGGGAGGAGGGTACCGGAGATTACGGGAGCACCCAAAACCTCCCATAACCCCATAAAACATTCTGGTTTACCCCCCAACCAACCCGAACCCAACCCAACCCTCACGTGAAGTGGTAGTGCTCCCCAGCCATCCAAAGGTCCAGCGATGACGTCACCGGGGCACCCCAGCCGCCCTCAGCCTCGTCATCCGTACTGCCGTACAGCATCACATGCGCCGTACACCTGCGGCCGTTGACCTCAGCCGTTAGCACATGACCGTTGGTGCTGCTGCTCATGCCGCGTCGTCCGTCGCCGCTGCTGACGTCATCATCACCCGAGTCGTCGGTCGTCAATCGCGCGCAGCGCACTGTCATGGTCATTGCGGCGGCGGCGCCGGCGGGTGGTGGTGGTGGTGGTCCTGCTGCTGTGTTTTGCATCTTGCTTTGGACCTGCATGTGGATGGGGGGTGGGGGGTAATCGCCGAGACCCAGGGTTGCAACCAGGGGTGTCAACGGATGTGGGACGAGGTGCAGTCATGGTGCTCGCGGGGGGTCATGGGACCGCGCAGCATGTGTGCAGGCCTGCGGGGCCATGGGGGCGGCTGCGGAGGGCTGCGGGGGCCCCACGGGTTTCGCGCATGTCGTACAAACCCTACACCGCAGCACTGTCCCTAAAGTCCATGTCGGGCATGGCATGCAATGCATATGCCGTACGGCAGGCAGCCATGCACCCTCCTATGCCGTCCACGCCCCATCCAACCTCATTCCCCCCCCACCCACCTCAAAGTCCCCCCCTCCCAGCACCGTAAGGCTCGCCACCATCTCAGCCCCCTCGCCCCCCTCGGGGTGCCGTACGGCAAATGTACGGCGGTGTTTGTGCCACAGCCGCACGCTGTCAAACCCTGACACCCCAGCTGCTCCTCCTCCGCCCGCTGGACCCCCGTCTGCAAGCGGCACCGCCGCCGCCGCCCCCCAGGGTCCCAGACGAGACGTAAGGCCCTCCGCCGCCTCCGCCGCCGCCTGCTTCCGTACAGTCAGCAAGTGCCGGGCCACAGCGGCGAGGGCGGCGACCTGGGACGGGGGGTTATGATGGGGCGTGGTGCGGGGGTTTAGCGAGGCGGCGACCCATGGGTCGGTGGGGACCCACGACATGATCGTTTAAGATGGTGACAAACCATGCCCCACATGTTTCATGACTACCCACAAAACACACACACAGTTATCTTAACACAGACACACACACGGGCCAGTTACTTTAACACACGCACACGCACATGCATCCACGCGTATGAATACACGCACACGTGTCGCATACACACACATGTACCCTCCTCGCGGCCAGTTTTCTTAACACATGTACCCTCCCCTCCCCTTCCCCCCCTCACCTCCCCCGGCACCTCCTGCGGCCTCAGCAGCTCCTCCCGGTGTCGTGCAATGAAGGCGGTGTTCAGCTCGGCGGGGGCGGCGGAGAGCAGGCCGGGGTGGGCGGCCAGGCGGCGCAGGAAGGGGATGTTGGTGGGCAGGCCGGACACCTGGGTGGGGGGCAGGGGGGAAGGGAGGGAGGGAGGGGAGGGAGGGGTGTTAGCACCAACCCAGCATATGCGGTCGCGGATGCGCTCTCCACAAGGAATGCCCTGGGCGTGTGGCTGGTGGGTACAGGAGAGGGAGGGAAGGGGCGGCAGGGGAGGGAGCGGAGCAGGGCCGGCAGGCGCGGCTCACCTGTATCTCCCCCAGCGCCCGCTCCAGCCCCCGCAGCGCCGCCTCCCTGCTGCTGCTGCCTGCCCCCTCCCTGCCGCCTGCCTCGCTGCCCCCCTCGCTGCTGCTGCCGCTAGCAGGCGGGGGGCAGTGCACCACCAGTTTGGCTATGAGGGGGTCGTAGTAGGTGCCCACTCGGTCACCCTTGGGGGGGGGGGAGGGACAAGGAAACAGAGGAAGACTTGAAGCAGCCCCCCTGGAAGGGAAGACTGACGACATCAGCCACACCCATCCGTCAAACCCAGCCCCACCACCTCTTCGCCCCCCCCCTCACCCCCCCCTCCCCCCGCCTCACCTCCCTCACTCCGCTGTCCACCCGCACCCCCCCCAGTTGGAAGGATGTGGAGCCCCGGGGGGTGCGCCACCGCCGTACCCGGCCCGCACCTGGGGTGGGGGGTGGGGGGTGGGGAGGGGAAACACAGAGAGGAGATGGCGAGGGTGGAGCCGGAGGGAGGTCCTTGATATGGATGCACGGGAAGTGTACCCCTCAGCTAGGGCACTCGTTCATGAAGGGCACGCGGACGTGGCGGAGGCATGGCACAAGATCCAGGCGCGTGACCTCTTCACCATGTCCCGCGAGGAGTACTACATGTATCGGATGGAGGTGGATACAGCGATCGAGGCGGCGGACGCGGAGCGCGACCATATGGGCACTGAGGACCGGACACCGGTCTGCTGCGAGGACGTCGGTGTCCGGTCCTCAGTGCCCATATGGTCGCGCTCCGCGTCCGCCGCCTCGATCGCTGTATCCACCTCCATCCGATACATGTAGTACTCCTCGCGGGACATGGTGAAGAGGTCACGCGCCTGGATCTTGTGCCATGCCTCCGCCACGTCCGCGTGCCCTTCATGAACGAGTGCCCTAGCTGAGGGGTACAAGGGGAAGCAATAATGCGAAAACGTAAGCGAGTCTGCATCGAAATTATGCCAAGGTCGGGAATGGAGTCTGACGCGATAGCAGGCATAGCATAGTGAAGCATCGCTCTAAGTCATAGAACGTCAGACTCTAATTTGGGTGAAAAACATATGGGCCCTGACTTGCACGACCCCCGCACCTCCTCTCCCCCCCTCCCCTCTCTCCCCTCCACCCTCCCGCCCCCCTCCTCCCTACCCGGCAGGAACCCGTTCCGCGGGTCCTCCGCGTATATCCTCGCCTCCACCGCGTGTCCCCCCCGCGCCACCGCCGCCGCCACCTCCTGCTGGCTGGCGGGCAGCGGCGCCCCGCCCGCCACCGCCAGCTGCCAGGACACCAGGTCCTGCCCTGTGATGGCCTCCGTGACGGGGTGCTCAACCTGGGGGGGGGGAGGGGAGGAGGCGGGGGGGAGATTGACCCATGGGTCAGCTGGGGATGCGGCTAGCTGGGGATGCGGAGTCTGTTACAGCGGGCTGGTGGGGAGTCAAAGACCATACCGAACCATAGGAAACCATAGGAGAGAGGGGGGGAAGGGGGGCGGGTCTAGGAGCAGGTAGCAGCCAGTGCTGTTGCTGCCAGGTGGAATAGCGGGCGTCCGGGTTCCTCATGCCTTAGCCACCAATGAGCCACCCACGTTCACATCCACACCTCCGCCACGTTCCTCCTCCCGGCCAGTCAGACTCCCCAACTCCCCCACACCCCATCTCTGCGCCCCATCATCCCCACTACCCACCTGCAGCCGCGTGTTCATCTCCATGAAGTAGAACGCCTGCTCCTGCTCCTCCCCTCCTCCTCCCTCCTGCCCCCCTGCCCGCCCCCCCTGCGGCTGCCCCAGGCGGTCCGTGTCCACAATGAACTCCACGGTACCCGCGTTCACGTAGCCCACTGCCCGGGCGGCACGTACGGCAGCCTCGCCCAGGTGCCTGGATGCAGGGGGGAAGGCGGGGGGGGAGGGGGAGGGGGAGGTTGGTGGAAGGAGGCTTACAGGAGGAAGCTTACTGGTGGCAACCCGTGGCGAAAGCCCCTGACGAATGACGAGTTCATGGGAACAATTGGGTGCGATCGAGTCGATTTGACCGTAGTACCCCCCCCCACATACACACACACATGCCCCCCTGCCCCCCCCACCTGTGGAACTGCTCGCTGAGCCCCGGTGCCGGCGCCTCCTCGATCACCTTCTGGTGGCGGCGCTGCATGGAGCAGTCCCTGTCGTACAGGTACACCGCGTTACCGTGCGTGTCGGCAAACACCTGGGGGGGCGGGGGGGGAGGGGGGGAGGGGGCAGGCGGGGGGGCAGTAGGGGTGGCAGGCGGGGGGGGTCCAGCAGCAGGAGGGCAGGGTGAAGCAGGGCGCAGCAGCGATAGCAGGAGTGTGTGCGGTGTGCTTGTGTCCAGGATGTGTGTGTGGGGGGGGAGTATGTTATACACCACCTGCCCCCCCCATCTGCCTCCCCCCCCCCACCCCCCCCCACCTGCACCTCCACATGCCGCGGCCTGCTGATGTAGCGCTCCAGTAGCAGCCGGTCGTCGCTGAAGGAGGACAGCGCCTCGCGCCGGGCGGAGCTGGGGGGGGGGGGAGGGGAAGCGGGGGAGGTGGCAGGGGTTATAGGAGGGGGGAGACGGGAAGGAGGAGGGGTTAGGAAGGGTAAGGATGAGTAGTCCCTACCGCATACCCAACTCTGCCCTGCCCTCCCCTGCTCTCTCCCCCTCACCCCCCTATCCCCCCCTACCGTATGGCCCCCAGCAGCTCCCCCGGCCCCTCCGCCAGCTTCATGCCCTTGCCGCCCCCGCCGCTGACCGCCTTCACCAGCAGCGGAAAACCCACTGCATGCGCCTCGGAGACCAGCCTGGGGGGGAGGGAGGGAGGGAGGGAGGGAGGGAGGGAGGGAGGGAGCATGGCGGGCGGGAAGCGGGCAAGGGCAGGGTGTCAGGGTGCGGAGGGAGGGGGGCGTGGGGTGGCCCCCCTACCCGCGGCCTGGGGTAAAATTATATAAAAGTGAAACAACGAATCCTGGGGTAGGGTGCTGGAGTGCCGGCAAGTGGTGGGGGTCCTGCCCAGCCCCCATCCTCCCCGCCTAGCTCCCAGCTCCCAGCCCCCAAACCACCAGCTTCCACCTCCCAAACCCCCAGCTCCCCTCCCCCCTCCCGCGCCCCACCTCTCCTCGCTCTGGTCCTCCCCGTGGTACCCCGGCACCACCGGCACACCCGCAGCCTGCAGGGGGGGAGGAGGGGGGAGGCCAGGGGGGGAAGGAGGGGGGGGTAAAAAATATAGACATGTTACAAGAAGCGGGGCATATGGCCGCATATCCACTTCTTTCCTGTGCCGGCCCCGCTACTTCTTTCCTGTGCCGGCCCCGGGGGCCGGGGCAGCCCGCTAGGATGGGTAACGCACACGCCGCTTTGGCTTGCCCCGCTCGGGTTGCTGGGCTGAACGGGTCGGCAACCCATGGTGGAGCCTATGTGTGTCACAGGTAGGTAATTACTAGTACTGCTGCCAGCCTCTGGTTGCCACCGGCCCCTTCCTGCATGCTTTGGTTGCTCCCCAACCCGCCCCGCCCCCCCCCCTCATCCCCCGCCTGCATGATGGCCTTGGCGGCGCTCTTGTCGCCCATGGAGCGGATGGCGGAGGCGGGCGGGCCCACGAACACCGCCCCCGCGGCCGCACACGCCTCCGCGAAGGCGGCGTTCTCGGAGAGGAAGCCGTAGCCGGGGTGTACGGCATCCGCACCCGTACGGCGGGCGATGTCCAGGATGACGTCGGTCCTGGATGTGTGGTTGGTCGGCCAGGCGTTTGGGCAGGCAATATGGAAAATGTAGGGCGTAAGCTGGTAAGGGGCAAGTTCTGGAAGCTATGGTTTGGAATAATGGAGCAATCTTTGGGGCCAAGGGTAGGTTGGTTAAATATGGAATGGATTAGGTGCGCATGCAAGCGCATGGATGGGTTGTAAGGAGCTAACCTTAAGTAGCTGTCTCTCGCAGCTGCACCTCCGATACAATAGCTTTCATCCGCCAACTCCACGTGCTTTGCTAGCCGGTCAGCCTCGCTATATACGGCGACGCTTGCAATGCCCATTTTTCGCGCCGTGGTCAGCACGCGACAAGCTATCTCCCCACGGTTCGCAACCAGCAGCTTCTTCAGCTTCCGAGGCTCTGAGGCTGTGGTAGACATTGTTGCGTGCGGGGCTTGCGTTAGGACTGCCGCGAGGCAACATCGTGCCCCAGCAACCGACCATCCCGCGCTGCGAAGACCATAATATTGCGCGGACCCTTTGACGTAGCCCAGTGAAAGGCTAAGCAGCCAGTGGGCTGACTGGCTGCTCGGCATTTCAGAGCGTAGGCTTACGCAAGCTTAACGGTTGGTGGAAGTGCTAAGAAATTAAGGAACAAAGGCAGAAGCTTAAGCCGTTTCGTGTGGAGAAGAATATCGTTTGCTTATTTCTCCTGAAACGAAGCAGGGCATTGGCTATGATCCAACCGACGTGTGCGTGACGGGGCATGCCAACGGCTACTACGTAGACGTACGGGCAAGGTAGGAACGATGCCTTGCAACTACGCAAACGTAGATTTTGCTTGCCATTGTAAGTATTGTTATCTCACATTTAGGAATGGCGCAAGTGCGGGCTACAGCTGAGGCACCTACCTACGTCCATGGTGAAATGGACATTCTATTTTCCTAAGCTTCTAACCCAAAGGCGCGCCTGCCATCTTGTCCCACATGGCAGGTATTGCGGGCTCATGTGAATCGGCCGTGCAGCTTGCACGTTACTGTGGGGGAAGGCCGTATGCTGATGGGAAGGGTGTGTTGCCTATGGAGGCAATGGTGGGTGTATGCACTATGCAGCATACCAGCCCAAGATGTTGTTGCGCAGGACACGCCAATAACTGAACGGGGGGATAGCCCCGTGAGCGCATGCAGAGTTCGGCTTCCCAAATGACAGCGGGTTTCTGTTTGGTGCAGCTTTGCTCGAGGAAGACACGGAATGACCATATCCCCTGGGCCCTGCCGCATTCCTACATCGCCCCTCCGCACCAACCAGATCTATCACTGTCTAGATTGTTTATAGTTGCACATTGGATGCTTTCAGCAAGCAGCCCTGAAGTGAATATCGGCGCATCCACACTTCCTCAAAACCCAGCATAGCTAGCTGCATGTTACAGCTAGTATTTACAGAAATGTAGATAACATGTGAAAACTGCTAGCATAGATGGCGTCTGCATGACACGAAACCGCGAAAGTCCCGCCTGCCGTACTATAGTTGGAACAGGAAAAATTGGTATGGGCTCGCATTTCCCTTTACCGCTTTTGCAACATAATCCCTGCTGTGCAGTGATTACAAGCCTAGCTTTGGCCTTGCGGTGCTGACTGCGATTTCGCGTTAGATCTTACTGGGTGGGGGCGAAACGCGCCATTTTTTAGGCTTTGCCCCGCAGCACAATCACATAATAAAATGTTTGGCGCAGCCACAGCACAAGCTAAGCCGGCTCACAATCCAAATGGCGATTTGGAGGTGCCGGCGCCTGCGGACTTGGATTCCATTAGTAGCATGACTTTTAGCCCCGCCAGCGACTTCTTTGCTGTAACCTCTTGGAACAACAGCGCCTACGTCTGGCAGTACAACCAGCAGGGGCAAACTTTTGCTAAGGCTCAGAATTCGGGCACGCAGCCCGTCCTAACCAGCTGCTGGAAGCACGACGGCTCGGGAATTTTCCTAGGTGGTTGCGATAAAGCCGTTCGGCTATGGGATTTGGCGAGCAACCAAGCAGTGCAAGTCGCCATGCACGACGCGCCGGTCCGGCAAGTCGCGTGGTGCCCACAGATGAACCTGCTCATCACCGGCTCGTGGGACAAGACGTTCCGCTACTGGGACACGCGCTCGCCCACGCCGGCGCATACGGGGCAGCTACCGGAGCGCGTGTATGCGATGGACCTCCGCGAGGACTTGCTGGTCATCGGCACAGCCGACCGCAGCCTCCACGCACTCTTCGTCACGCAGCCGCAGCAAATTAAGACCCTGGCGTCGCAGCTCAAGTGGCAGACACGCTGCGTCTCCGTTTTCCCAGACAAGAAGGGATTCCTGGTTGGCTCCATCGAAGGCCGCGTCGCGGTCTCCCACCTCGCTGAGCAGGACCAGAAGGACAAGAACTTCACCTTCAAATGCCACCGCCTGGACACCGAAATTTACTCGGTGAACACCATGTCCTTCCACAACACGTACGGCACGTTTGTCACGGCTGGATCCGACGGCACCTACAACTTCTGGGACAAGGACAGCAAGCAGCGGTTAAAGGCGCAGGCTAAGGCCATGTACCCCAACGGCCAGCCGGCTCCGATCACCTGCGGCTCGTTTGACCGTACGGGCACGATTTATGGTTACGCGCTCAGCTACGATTGGAGCAAGGGCTATGCGGAGTACAACCCGACCACCATGAAGCCGTACATTATGCTGCACTCGTGCAAGGAGGACGAGGTGAAGCCCAAGCCCAAGGCCCCCACGGCCGGGCGGAAGTAAGGCAGGACGGTTGGCAAGCTGTTTGGCAGCAGCAATAGCAGTTGCGGTGTCTATGTAAGGGCGGCGAAGCAGAGTGCGTGCTGCTCGGATGGGACCGGGATCAGCGCTGGGATGGGACGGGCGGAGTATGGCATGGGCAGGTGGAAGAGGGGTTGTATGAAGACTACGCGGGCCGGAGGCCCGCAGGGCGGCTCTGGAGGGAAGCTGCTGGCGGTTTGGGGTGCTAGTCAGCACGCGAGCAGGACGGTGGGTTGGGATGAGGAGTTCTTGACACGGTTTGGATGCAGTTGGGGGTGGTTGTGGTTAAGAGCGACTCATTAGTTCACCGTGTGCCATTTAAAGTACCCCTTTTAACACGACAGCAGGCATGCCGCGGCGGTGGCGGGGTATCATGTAGCAGGGTATCATGTAGGTAGAGTAGTGTGGGGGTATTGGGTAGTGGGTGATGCCCTTGTGAGGGTGATTGAGAAGGACGGGCCGAGAGATGCGTTGCAGGCAGCTACCTAGCAGCGATGGGTAGTCATTAGGCTTGGGTCTGGGTCTGTGCAATTCGAGGGTGCGGAGCTACATGCATATGGCTAGTATGGTTGCTGGTGGGAGGTAGTAGCCGCGTAGTTGGGTGTCCTCTGTGTTTGCAGTTTCCTTGCAGCAGCGGATAAAGGATGCGATTGACGAATGCGCCGTACCGAGTTTGCAATTGCAGGGATGTGTCTATGTTTCTGTGTGCATGTGTTTACAAGACTGGCCGCGAGTCGGAACGAAGTGTGCATGTAATGCAGTTGGCTTTGTCACCGGCACCACGTGGCTGGACTCATCATGGTTGGCGGACCGGTGATGTGATGTCCCCGGGCACCGATTCACACCAGAATAGCTATGACTAACATACTACAACAGTAACGCATGGGGCAACAAAAACACTTGATACTGCTGTGGATGCCTTTGGCCGGATGTTTCTCCGGCCGTGCTTTTGCATGGGCAATTGTGTGTAGCCCTGCACTGTTATATGAATTGTGTCCTTGAGGGGTTGCTTGGGCTGTAGCCGAGGGACGGTCTATTTGCTAAGCAGCTTGGTTGTGTTGGTGTCGTGATGCGGCCGGTGCCCCATTGGTGTAGATCTCCCTTGCAAGTTGGCCGCTGTTTTTTAAAACCCTGGGTGTTAGGACGACGGAGCTAGTACGATGTATGGAGCTCATGCTGCCGCGAACGGGCCATGTTCGCTTGGTTTGCCTTTTGCAGCACCACAATGATGGACGATATGGGGCTGGACTATGTGTGCGGCACGAGTTCCAACATCTTGGAGGTGTGACGGCCGTGGTGTCTGCGTCCAGTTGTAACTCGCACCTGACGTCTTATACTATTACTATTATTATTCAAGAACTGGTGGGGCCTGCCTCCCTTCCATGTGCCCACATGGCCTCCAGCACTGCCGCGCTAGCTCCTTCACAGCAGCTCGCGGACTCGTCCCGACTGGCATGCTGCAGCCTCATGCACGCTGAACCAGCGCTCCCAACCAATCGGCATATGCACTAGCGGGGCATCGTTCATGTGACTGCACGCCACGCATACTCCTGTCAGCTCTCAGCCCTACTGCACTACCTGCAGCGTGGAAGCCCCCCTTTGAGAAATCACATCATGTGTCACCTTCCTGTAGCTGCATCATTGTACGACGTCAAATGTACGTCCTAACAGCCAGCCCACCTGCAAAAGTCCTCTACGCTACATGCCACAACCTGCCATGCTGAAGCTACACTGCCTAGCCTCCGAGCGCAATAAGGAGAGCGCTTGCTCTCCCACCCTCTCTGCTGCTACTCTTATACGGTAGCCTCCACCCCTCCTGCAACCTCCTGCACTAGCAGCTCTCTCAGCTGCCGCTCTGCTGCCACCCTAAAGCCACAACAACTCACACAACGTTTGCCTCCTGCTGTCTACCGTATACAGGTACCAGCATTCTCTTTTCACAACCACCCTAGCCACGTCCCAACCCCAAGAACAACCCAACCAGCAGCACACCCTCACCCGATATCGCAGCCCCCAACGCCAACCACTGCTCCCTCCCAGCCACCCTAATCGCCGCCTCCGCCAGCGCCGCCGCCGCCTCCATATCCCGCCGCGCTGCCGCCACCGCGCCCGCACACAGCCTTGCGGCGGCTCCCGTGGCAACCCGGGCGGCGGACCAGCCGGCGGGCAGGGCCGTGTCCTTCAGCCAGCCGCCCAGCGCCGCCGCCGCTGTTGCTGCTGCCGCTGTGTTGACCGTCGGGCAATCCTCACCGCCGCCGCTGCGCACAGCAGCAGCAGCAGCCGTCGAGACTGCCGCCGTACCTGCCTGATATGCTTCGTCATGAGCAACGTCAGCAACACCGCCGTCGCCGTCAGTGCTACCGCCGCCACCGCCGCCGCGGATGTTGTCGCCACTGGCCTCCCCTTCCTCCTCCTCCTCCTCCTCCGCTGCAGCTAGAAAGCGGCAGCTCCCGCTGCAGCTAGGAACTCCACTCCCTGCGCCCTCCTGCTCTTGCTCCTGTACGACCGGGCTGCCGGTATGAGCCGCATCTGCACTGCCCGGGATGTCCTCAGGGATGTCCTGCGCGCCCGTAGTAGCTGCCGACGGCGGCGCTGACGGCGGCGGCGGCGGTCCAGGTACGGCAGTCACCAGTTTGAAGCGGTGGCCCAGGTACAGCAGCTCCCCCGTGGCGGCATCGTACGGCAGACCCAGCGGAAGACCGGGCAGGCCGGACAGGCCTCCCGCCGCCGCCGCCGCCAACGCCTCCGTCAAGCCACCAGACGTCGCTGTCGCCGCCGCCGGTGGTCGTGGCAGTAGCAGCCCTGACGAGGCTGCTGGGTCCACGCCGGCAGCGGCATGCGCAATGGCCGCATCCGGCCCGGCGGCTCCGCTTCCGCCGGCTCCACCGTTGGCTGAATCCTTGGCTGCAACGGCAGTTACCGCCGCTGCCAGCGCCTCCATGAACTGCGCATCTGCTCTGGCCGTAGCCGACGCCGAGGACGAAGCCGCCGCGAGGTCGTTGGCTGGCGGCACCGACGGCCCAGCCGCCGCTGCGGTTTCTGCTGCCGGTGCCGCAGCCAACATGGGCAACTGCTGCTGCTGCTGAGGCTGCTGCGAGCCGCTGCCGGGTGCCAGCAGTTCAGCCGCCCCTGCCGGCGGGAGTCCCAGCGCCCCCATGCCCCTACCTCCAAGCTGCCCCATCAGCACCATCGACCCCACCGCCCCCAGCTGCGGAGGTAGCGTCATACTCAAGATCTCCTGAAGCACGGGCACCATGAAGGGCCCTACGCCACCTCCGCCGCTGCCGTACATGCCGGCCTTCAGCGCCCCCAGGATGCCGCCGTACAGCGCCATCGCCGCCGCCAGCTGACGCACGAGTGTCATACATTGCGCCTGATCTGTCGCCTTGTGTTCTTGCAGGATGCGCTCCCGAGCGCGAGCCTCCCAGTCCACCTCCCCACGTTGCAGCCGGTCCTCTAGCTTAGTTAGGCAACACCTGCACGTGCGGGGGAGGGGGGGAAAAGTAAATAAGTGAAAGAACGAGTCGTGCGGGGGAGGGGGGGGGGGCAACATTCGGAATTTTCGAGTGCGAGGCGGGATGGAATGGAATGTTGACGGTGGGGTGGAGTGGGGTGCAGAGGGGCAGAGGGCGGATTGGACTGCACCTGCCACTCGCTCGCCATGCCGCCAACCAACGCTCAAACTACTAAGGTGGATCCTCGGGGCGCTCGTGCGGTTGGGGTTTCCTCATGTTCACCCCACCACCCTCCCCACCTAACCCCACGCAACCGCCTTCCCCACCTGACCCCACCCCACCAGCCCCCACCCTCCCCAGCCCCCACCCCACCTGACCCCACCCTCCCCAGCCCCCACCCCACCTGACCCCACCCTCCCACCTGAACCAGTCGTTGAAGGGCGTGTGGGTGAAGGAGCCGCTGAACAGCGCCTCTCGACCCACTTGCAGGTGCACGGAGTTCACCTGGAGGGGGTTGGGGGGGGAGTGGGGGGCGGAGGGGGGAATTGATAAGCGTAGCAACGAGTCGGAGGGGGGGAGGGAGGAGGGAAGAGGAAACAAATAAGGAACCGTTTGATAAGGTGCCATCATGGAGGAGGGGGAACGGGGATGAGGGGAAGCGGGAAAGGACATGGGAAGGGACACGGAAGGGAACCACCGGGGCGTCAAAAGGGGAAGGGCACGCTAGACGTGCACAGCTGAAGAGGGTAAGGGTGAGAGTACGAAAGGCAAGGAAGGTTCGCCTCCTCTTCCTCCAGCCACACAAAACAACTGCCGTACAAGGCTGCCGTACCTGATACGACACAGCGCCCTTCAGCTTGACCCAGTCGGTGTCATCAATGGCGGCGGGGGAAGCCAGCTGCATGCACAGCACGGCGGGGCTGCGACTGAGGGGGGAAGCAGGAGGAGGGGGGAGGGAAAGGGGAGCAGGTCGGGTCGAGATGAGGGGGCGTTCGGAGGGAAGGAGGTGAGGTGGCCTGGAAGTGAGTGGGGGGGGGGGGTCGGGGTGGCGGCGTGCCTCGTTTGAAGTTGCTGGTGTGTGCAGCGGGGTTCCCATCCGTGCGGCTGTGTGCCCCACCCTTTGCCCCATTGCCCCATTGGCCCCATGCCACCCCCCCCCGCCCCCCCCGCCCTCCGCCCCTTGCCACCCCCCCCCCGCCCTGCTCTCACTTGAACAGGTACGCCAGCGCCCTAGCCACTGCCGCATCTGCCGTACTCCTGCCAGCCGTCTGCAGTACGGCAGCACGTTGCAGTACGGCACAATAGCCGTATGTCGTACGCACGTATGTCGTACGTATTAGACGTTCAAGTGTACAGCACGGCCTTCAGAAACCCAAACACCGCACAGTTAACTATCGGTTCGCTCTCTCGCCTCAGATTCCCTTCACCCCGCACGGTCCCCCCACCCCCCACCCTCCCTCACCTTATATCCCGTGGTCACCAGCCTAGCCTCCTCCACACTCACTCCCAGCTGCCCTAACTTCCGTACCACCAGCAGCCGAGCCAAGCCGCTCTGCCGTACGGCAAACTTCCGTACACTGGGTACGGCGGTGTCCCAATGAAACCGCCGTGCCTCCATCTGCCGGCCCGTGTCGGTGGTGACCCATCTGGAGGACTGCCGGTCAGCCAGCTGCTTGGAGAGCTCCGCCTGGGGGGGGGGGGAGGGGAGGGGGAGGGGGGGAGGAAACAATGAAACAGTGAAACAACGAGTCCCAATACCATATCCCGACTCATGCAGTGAGCGGGGGGAGGAGGGGGGAGGTGTGGGTGTGCCAATCTGTACCCGGGTGGGGGGGTAAAGATATACCATCACCACTGGGGGGTGGGGAGGTGCGTGTTTGGTATGGACTGGTAGTCCTCCCACCATACATGCTGCTCCACCACCCCACCTTCCCATGTGCAGCCTCGTCACGGGCTGCACGGGCTCATGTGTCATTCAACACATTGGGTACTCCCCCCCCCCCACCTGCATGGCGTCCAGCTCCGCCTCCGCCGGCTCCGTCAGCAGCGGGTCCAGCCCCGGAACCAGCAGGTCTAGACCCAGCCGGCAGCAGTACTTGTGAAGGCGGACCTGGAGGGGGGGTCAAAGACCATGGAGAGGGGATGGATGCTTACCATGGCTGGAGTGGAAAAGGGCACACGCATGCATGTAAGTGTCTGTGCCCTTCTCATCTTCATCATCACCTTCTCTTCTCCTCATGGATCATCTTCCGATAGTCACACTACGTTCCGACTCGCGGCCCGTTTCCTTAACACACAAGTGTGGCCGTACAGCAGCAGCAGCAGTGCATTCCCCCTGTACCACCTCCTGCTCCTCCTTCTTCCCCCCCCGTACCTACCTCGTAGCTGGGCGACTGCCGCACCGGCTCCATCAGCATGAAGCCGCAGTGCAGCGCCCGTAGCGCCCTCCCTGTAGCCCACACCTCCGCTCCGTCGTACAGTACGGCACACACGTCTACATCGAACCCGTGAATCACCTGGGGGGGCGGGAGTTGGAGTTGGGGTTGGGAGGTGCGGGGCATTGCTCCGTAGCCTGGGCAATGCTAGTACCTGCATTCCGCTGCCCGCATGTCGCTAACGAGCATAGAAACAAGCACACACATGCATCCCCGGTACAGTGTAACCTCGCAATCTTAGAGTTTTGCTTCAACACCCCCCCCCCACACACACAAGGCTGTCGTACGCTTGTCATACGCTTGCCGTAGTACCTGTGCGGGTGATTCGTACAGCCGTAGCACCAGCTGCAGCTGCGCCACCAGGTTCTTGCCCCGCGGCGCCTCCAGCCACTCCCCCGGGACTAGCGGGCGGTCCAACACCACCACATCCAGCGTGTGCAGCTTGGGCTGAGGGGGAAGAGGGGGAAGGGGGGGAAAGAGGGTAAAAAGGGATACTAACGAGCTGTACGGGAGGGGGGGGAGGAGAAGCGGGGAATACACATGCGGAGAATCCACACACACACTGCTATTCCTCGGCTCCTGCGGCGGTTCTGTGGGGACATCATCTTCCGACATCCCAGTACGTTCCTACTCGCGGCCAGTTTTCTTAACACACTGCCGTACGTGCATCACCACCAAGAACAATACGCTTTCAGTCCCTGGCTAGTGCCTCTCCTCTCCTCCAGTCCTGCTGCTGCTCTCACCCCTGCAATGACGTACACTTTCAGGCTCCTGTCGTACACCGCAACCTGCCGCCGTACAGCCTCCAACGTCTCCCGTACAAGCAGCCATGCAACCTCCCGTCGTTCCGCTGTAGTACGCCGTACTCCCATTACCGGATCGTACGACGGTACGACAAGGAAGAGATCCTGATCGGATGCCGTACATCCGGGTACGGCCATCGCCAGCGCTGCGCCGCCCGCCAGCACCAGTCCCAGCCCCCGGGCGGTTGAGAACCAGGGCAGTGCTGGGTGGCACACCTGGGGGGTGGAGGGTGGGGCGGGGAGAGGAGAGGGAGCCGGAGGGGCGGGGGGTAAGAGCAGGAAGGGAGTGGGCGTGGAGGGAGGAAGGCGTCCTAGTTGTCGGTCATCACGCGTGTGACTGGGTATTGTTCGGCATTGGGAACAGTTGCAGCCCCTCGTCCCTCGACTCCCTCTTTCCTCCCCACCTGCAGCACCTCCGGCAGCCGGCTGCGCCAGTCCAAGCTCATGCCCCCGTGCGGCAGCCCCCGCAGCCGCACCGACCCATGGGGCGCTCGCAGGAACAACCGCTCAGGCAGCAACCCCAGCCCGGGGACTGTACGGCACAGCGCCTCATTGATGGTGGCGGCGGAGGAGGAGCTCGCGCTGCCGAAAGGCGGCGCCTGGGGCGGTGGTGGCGGTGGCGGTGGCGGCGGCGCCGGCGGAGCAGGAATGGTGGTTGTCGTACAGGTTGCGGAGAAGGGGGAGGATGTTGCCGTACACGATGTGGGCTGCTGTTGTACGGCTGCTTGTGCTGCGGAGCTCCCCGTCGGTGCTACAGCGGGTACGTCAGCGGTGGGTTGTTGTCGTACAGTTGTTGGCAGGGATGAAGACGGGGTGCTCGTTCCTGCTGCTACACCTGCTGCTGGTGCTGCGGCTGCTGCTGCGGTAGTTGCGGATGCGGGTGTCGTAGCTGCGGTGGATGGGGACGCGGGTGTGGCGCCACATTGTGGTGTCGAAGAGATGGATGAGGAGGGGCCAGTGGAGGAGAGGGTGGCGGAAGAGGGAGAGGGGGGCGTGGAGGAAGCTGCAGCAGAGGGTGGCTGCGAGGACGAGGAGGAGGGGGAGGAGGGGGAGGCCGCCTCCGCTCCCCCAGCTGTTGTTGCCGTTAAACCATGCGCGGCCGCAGCACCAGCACCACACCTGCCACCTTCCCTATCACCCCCAGCCTCCTCCACCTCCACCTCCTCCTCCTCATTGCTGCTGCCGCCTCCGCCTCCGCCCATACTCCCCAACATCCCGCCGCCCGCCCTCCACGCCCTCCCGGTGCTGCTGCTGCTGCTGCCGCCGGCTTCTCCAAACCTCAGCGGCAGCCGGCCCCGTTGCCTGAGGCGAGCCGTCAGCTGCCGCCCCCGGAACACACGGGAGCCCTGCAGCAGGGGGACGGCTGGGGCGGCGGTGGTGGAGGTGGAGGTGGAGGGAGCAGCAGGAGCGGAGGTGGAAGCGGAAGTGGAAGGAGAAACGCAGGAAGAAGCGGCAGATTCGTTCAGATTGCTGTTGCTGGTACGGCTGTCCCCAAGTCCTGGCCCGGCCGGTGTCGATCCTAATGCCTCCCTGGGGCCGCCTTCTGCTGCTGCTGCTGGTGCTGCGGCTCCTCCCACAGCTGTCGCTGCGTCCTCTTGTCCTGCAGGGCTGTTCATCCCTCCTCGTACGGCCTTCCCTGCTGCCGCCTGCCCTGCCGCGGGTGCAGCAGCTCCTGCAGCACTTTCGAGGGAGGTGGCGCCTCCCACCGGCTGCTGTTGTTGCTGTTGCTGCTGTTGCTGCTGCTGCTGTCCTGCTGCGGAGCTGCCCCCCGTGGGGCTGCAGGCGGGGCGGCCAGCAGCAGCGGCAGCAGCACCACCTGCTGCCGCTGCTGCGAGTGGTGGTGGTGCTGCTGCTGAGGGGGCGGGTGGTGCCGCAGTGGGTGCCGCTGCAGCACCACCGGGGGCGGCAAGGGCAGGGGCAGGAGCGGCGGTAGCAGCGGCAGCAGTACCCGAAGCAGTGGCAGCAGCGGCAGTCACGTCCGGCAGCTGTGTGGGGATCCAAGCAGTGGAACTGGCGGGATCAGACCACCTGGGGTGGGGTGGGGTGGATATTATAGATAAGTGCATTAGTGTGTGGGGGGGGGGGGGGTAGGGGAGTAGGAGTGGGAGGGGCAGGCGTGCGAAGCATGTAAGTGCGGATCATCCGGCTAGGAAGCTGCAGGTGGACCCGTTGGTCTGTGCCCTTTCCCAAACCCACTTACAGGAACAAACCAACTCGTTCTGTATCGGCCCACGAAGGAACTCCCCGTCCCCACCAGCACTGCTCTCCCCGCCCGAATCAGCACCCCCCAACTCCTCCCCCACCCCCCCACCCCCCACCTGAACAGCTCCAGGTAGGGCTCGCTGTCCGCTGTCAGCGGCGAGCCGTAGCTCATCAGCCGCAGCAGGTCGCCCACGTACATGTCGTACAGCGGGGGGCTGGCGGAGGAGAGCTCCTGGCTGTAGTCGATGTACGGCGGGCGGGGGTACGGCACACACACGTCAGGCACACCCAGGAAGCGCCGGCCGCGCTCCCAGTCCTGCGGGGTGGGGGGGCCAGGCGGGGTGGGGCAGGTGGGGTGGGGCGGGTGTGGGGGGCAGGCGGGGCGGGGCAGGTGGGGTAAAAGTAAGGAGGGGCTGGTGGGATAGGGCGGTTGCGGCTACCGTATTAGGGATTGCACGTGAGTGTGCGCGTGGATGGGGGTAGGAAGGGCGGGAGAGCAGGCTGGGGAGCAGGCAGGCGGACGGGCGGGGGTGTGTTACAATAACTGGACGGGCGGGTGTGTGTGCACTCGCCCCGCAGAGACCCTTGTGTGAGTGCCACAAGGGTCGCAGGAGCCAGGGAGAGGCCAGTACGGGGCAGGGGGCAAACGGACCACCTTGAAACCTCCACCGCCGTCGTGAAAGATCAGCTGATTCAATGTACTGCTTTTGCCTTGTCGGTTGCACTGGTGGACCTCAACCGGTGCAACCGACAAGGCAAAAGCAGCATACTCAACCAGCTGATCTTTCACAACAACGGTGGCGGTTTCAAGGTGGTCCGTTTGCCCCCTGCCCCGTACTGGCCTCTCCCTGGCTCCTGCGACCCTTGTGGCACTTCACACCCTCACGCCCTGCCACATCAGCACTAACCCCGTTCCCAGGAGGTGGGCGGTACACAGCACCCAGGTACCAAGGGGGGAAGGCTTCGGTCTGCACCACATCCTGTGAAGGCTTGGGATGGCTTGTATTGCCCACAAAACCGCTATGGTCTATAAAATAGGTAGCAACGGTTATTGCGTGTCCAATTAAAATACAAATCATGGAAGAAGGGCGGCAGCCATAATGGGGGAGCCATTTCAGCTAGTAAATTGCAATTCAAAAAAGTTTGAAGTTGAAGTTGGCTTCAACTTCAAACTAAGTGTGATTTAGATTGCAATTTACTAGCTAAGGGACTCCCCCATTATGACAGCCGCATTTGTATTGTAATGGAACACGCAATAGCCGTTGCTATATATTCTATAGACTACAGCTCTTTGTGGGCGATACAAGCAGCTGGCTAGGTTGGTTCAGCGCACGACATAACCTCCGATGAAATTGATCGCTTCCGTCTGACTGCCCGTTTCCTATGCGTTGGTTGCCCTACTGTTGCACGCGCTATCGAGTATTATTACTCGAGCGGGTGGGGCACGTGATCGTTGTGAAGGCAGCAGTTCCGTATTACGCGGGTTGTCGCATTTCCGCTCTACAGTCACATGCAGCTAAGTCACGTTAATTTTAAAAGATGTTAGACTACATCCTACAATGGTGGACGCCAGAATCGCGCTATTCCTAGCCTTTCAGCTACGCTGCCGCTCCCAGCACAACGCGGTGGCGGACGCATTGCGGAGCGTTCATCTGCCTGCGCAGCGACCCGCGGGTCACCTCCACGTGCCCATGCCACTTGCGCTCTATCCGCTCTATCCTGCTTGTACGACTCTGGCAAACTTGCCGTACAGTGCCCAACAATTCTGGGCCAGCCAGGCAGCTCTGGGGCTGCAGGAGATGACGGCCCCACGGCAGGACCGAGGGGAGCGCCCCGAGTGAGGTTGCTAGGGCAAAAGCTCAAAAGAGGTCCAACGAGGGGCAAGCAGCTCTTGGGGTGCGTGGGATGTATTTGTATCGCTTGCAGAGGTTCATGCTTGTGTTTCGGCATTTGGGTCGTTTTGGGTCGGCAGAAGCTAGGACCAGCAGGGGCTACAAGGAGGGTTGAGTCCCACATATGGGTTGGGGTGCGTAGCGAGGCTGTGGGAGCAGCGATGTGGGTCAGCATGCGTGTGTCCAGAAACACCGTGCCTGACCCCATGCCATACCTTCTTCCCTTTCCCCTTACCAAATTTTCGGTAAGTAATTTGAGATGCGTGTCTTTAGAATAGTGTCTCCGAATGCACTCACTTCATGAGTCGGGATATGGGATTGGGACTTAGTTGTTTGCATTTCTTATATAATTTTTCCCCTTACCATGCCGCCCCTGCTGCTGCCCCCCGCCTGTACCCCACAGCATCACCACCTCCCCTCTCACGTCCCTCTGTCCCTTCCCTTCTTCCCCCCCAGCTCGTTAATTACCTCGTCAATGTGTATTTATGTATTTTACCCCCTTCTGCCCCTCCTGCCCCCCCCCGCCGCACCTGGTTATCCTGCATCCACTGCTGGAAGGCGCTGGCGCGGGGTCGGTGCCGCGGGGCACCCAGGCAGTGAGCCAGGTAGCGGAGCACGGCCTTGGCTGGGGGGAGCGCGGGGAGGGAAGGGAGGAGGGAGGCGGGGGGCCGAAATAGAACCAAACCATTAGGAAACCACGAATTAGGGAGGATGGAGGAGGGGGGGCAGCGGGAAGTACCAACCCCGGTAGTACCGGTAGCTCGAGGAGGGAAAGAGGAGGGGTAGGTAAGGGGCAGGAGGAGGAGGAGGCGACTGAAAGCAGCGCCGCCGTCCATGCATGTTGGGAGTACGCATGTACCGGTAGGAGGTGTCAGGAGCGAATGGCACGTGTGTCTGCTCCTTATACCTTCTGGCGGAGCGTTGGCGAGAAGCGCGGAGTGCATTTTGAAAGCAGCAGCCGTGGCGGCTGCGTCGGCTGGTGACCCGTGGGTCGCGAGCCCGGACGCGGGTGGGCAGGCATCACCGAGGTCGCACACGGTCCGCAGCATGCGCCGCACGTTGGGCCATCGGAGCACCTCATGAAGGGCCTGGAGGGGGTGGGCAAGGGGTTCAGGAGGGGTGAAATGATGGATTTGGGTTCTCCGTACGGGGTGGCAGCTTGTTGAATGGATAGAGCGGATGCTATGTGGGTGGGACTGAATGGTGTTGGGGGGCTCGTGTACATGAAGATGGGGGTCAGATGGGAGGATGGCAGGCCGCTTGGAGGAAAGGTTGGCCTGGAAGGCTTGGGGGGCGCGCGGAGGCCATGCCACGCTGGGCAGTTTAGACCAATTTTCACTGTCGCCAAACCGGAACAGGCCTGGAAACGTAGTATAAAGAAGCACGACAGCCTTGAATAAGGCGAGCAGAGGATATGTTTTGTGCATAACGGCACGAAAAGGCAACCTCGAGGAATAGCCAGGCTCATGCATGCCATTGCATGAGCACAACAGCCTGGTGATGGAACTGTTGGCATGCTGGTTGCGCTATGGATCCACAAAAACGGGTAATATATTTGTTGTTGTAACGCGAGGTTGGCCCGCGCTCCTCAGCGGTCGGGTGCAGCGGTCGCAAGTGACAGAAGTACCGGTAGAGGTTTGCCGTTTCGGCGTCTACGATGCACACCCACCGTTGTCTAACATTGCTTGCACAGACAACGTAATTTGGGGTCTCCATCCATACCTGGCCCTCATCGAAATCGTTTGGGGTGGAAGCCATGCTGCCTTCGTCCCAGCCAGAGATACCACGATCGTTGTTGCAGCAGTGGATCTTATTTCATTTCACCTTGAAGGCCCCAAGTGAGGGATCTTCGCAGCCATCGGCAGACTTAGGCAAGGTATGGATGTTGTATGCAGTGCAGGAGCGCGCGAAAAGGGACACTACTAAGACGCTGTGATCAGGTGATCGGGATTTCCGTCAAGTAATAAGCTCGTTCGACGATGGAGACTATGTCTGTATGGCTGCCTTGGCTGGAATACCCCATTTATACTGGTACGTGACCTGCAGTTCACGACAAATCGACTGACCAAGACGTGACAACCCACACACCTTTACGCATAGCGTTTTGTAAAGTAAGGCTTTTACTTTGTCTCAGTTGCGGTTCTTGAACTAATTCCTGTGAGCCATGGCCAGCATGCTCGCGAGGAGGGCATGCTGCAATAGCACTAGCCTATTGTTGGAACAGTTACCTGGTGCATCTGAAACACTTCTCGCACAGGTTTGTAACCTATGATGTGGCGAGCCACCGCAATGAGCTGATTTCGGGAACTATTTTACTTCCTAAAGTATATCTGAAAGTGAACTAAGTTTAAACTGAACGCCTTACGGACCATGTATTTGTTGATTCGTAGGTGTCCCGGTGGGAGAGGTGCTTCAGCGGCGCCTGCGCCAGCACATCATCCGGCACGGCCGCCTGGCCGGCTACGCAGTTATTTGCTGGCATCAGATGGCATTCTCAAAGCGCATCAGCCGGTGCACCCTCGGCAGCGGCATCCCCCGCCTTGTCCGCGGCATCGCAGGCTGTCTCCATTGCGCAGCTTCCCCATCGCGGCCTCTCAACATCAGCTTTGACCGCCTCAGCCGCAGCAGCATCACCTGCAGTTGTAGCGGCAACAGCAGAGGCAGCCGCTGGGGCCTCGACCTCGTCTTCTAGCAACTCCTCGCTCCAAGCGCCATGGCCCTTCATCGATCCAGCCAAGCCGCAGGTGCTACCTGTTGCGGTACCTCGGACACGTCGGACGCCTCAGCCACTAAACGTGGCGCTGCAGCAGCTGCTGGTGGGTCAGCGGGGAGCTGGGCAGAGGAGGCGTACCTGGGTTGGCGCCATGGCTGGGGGGAGGGGTTAACGGCATGGCGATAAGCTACTTGCAAGTTGAGGGGGGCGCTACCGGTGTGCCAAGGAGGGGCGCACGTCCTGACCCTACATCTGCCGGCATCTTGGGGCGGTGGCTACTCAAGCCGACCCAATGCCATCGCCAGTAACACAATGGCTCCAGGAGGCTCACCACATGGCTCGCTACCCTACCAAACCCGTGTAGCCCATTCCACAACATGTGCCCTCAACACAATTACGTGAACTTACCTGCCGCCCCGCCATCTCTAAATGACACATTGACATCGGCGTAAGTGACTGATTCACATCCATGCTCTTGGCACCTCCACCAAACCGCAGGGCCCTCTGCGACCGGGCCAGCGTGCAAGCCACGCCCTGGAGGTGTTTGTGCGCTTCTCCCTCGACCCACGCCGCTCCGACCACCTGGTCCGCGGCAGTGTTGTACTGCCGTACGGCACCGGCAAGAAAGTACGACTGGTGGTGTTTGCAAAGGGCGCGGATGCGGACATTGCGCGACAGGAGGGTGAGTGTGATGTGGCGAAAGCGAGGTTGTTATGTGACGTGTGAGCCAACGGGATCCCTCCTTCAAAGATTAGCACACTCCATTGTTGCATTTCTCATAGGTGCCCCCTCCTCCGGGCCTTCCCCAGCGGCCCTGTTGCAGCCCCTGTTCACCTCTCTCTCCTCCTAACCACCCCGCACCCTGCTTGTATCGGGCTTCACTCCACTTTGGGGACACCCTCCTCCTTCCCTCCCTCCTGTACAAGGTGGAGCCCCCTGCCACTTTGCTAGCTCCTTCCCACCCACCCGCCCCCCTCCTCACACACGCCTCCCTCCTGCCCCCTCCGCTGCCCCCTTCCAGGTGTGGACCTGATTGGCGATGAGGAGCTGATCAGCGCCATCGTGAGTAGCGAGGGAGCCGCCATCACCTTTGACAAGCTGATCGCCACACCCGACTTCATGCGCCCGCTGGCCCGGGCGGGCAAGGTGCTGGGACCCAAGGGGCTCATGCCCAACCCCAAGGTGAGGGAGGCAGGCAGGGGAGGGAGGACTATGCGTGTAATACTAAGGCAAGGATAGCAGAGGGAAGGGGGGAAGGAGTGGGTGACATTGATGTAGGTTGCTACTGCCGGCTGTTTCGCTACCCTACCCTCTTCCTTTCTCCCCTACCCTCTTCCTTTCTCCCCCCTCCACTCCTCCCTCTCCCTCTTCCCTCTCCCCAACCCAGATGGGTACCCTCACCACCGACGTCGCCAAGGCCATCCGGGAGACCCGCCGCGGCCGCCTGGATTACCGCTTGGGCCGCGACGCCACGGTCCGTGCCGCGCTGGGCCGTACGAACATGCCGTACGAGCACCTGTCGGCGCATGTGGGCGGGTTGGTGGCCTCGCTGCTGGAGAACAAGCCCAAGGCGCTAGGGGGCCCCGTCGGGGCGGCAGTAGGAGCGGCGGGAGGGGCCGGCGCGGCGGTGGGAGGCGCGGTGGGAGGAGAGGGAGTGGCGACGGGAGGAGCGGCGGCGACGGCAGCGGCGGCTGGGTTGGAGGGTAAGCGACGCACGGGGTTGGGAGGTGGGATGGGGAGGGGAAGGCGGACTTGAGGTTGAGAGGCACGGGTGAGATGGGGACATCAGTGCCTTGCCACAGCGCCCTGCCCCCCCCGCTTGCCTCACATCATACACATGCCAGTGCCACGCTTTCTTCCTCCCCCTCCCCCTCTCTTCAAATCCACCAATTCCCCCCCTGCTCCCTCCTGCCAGGCTACGTGCGCACCTTCCTGCTCAAGACCACCAAGTCCGCCCCGGTGGCGGTCACCTTCGAGTCGCTGGGGGAGGCGGTGCAGGCCTACCGCAACCTGGTGGGGGGAGCAGCGGCGGCAGCAGGGGGAGCGGCGGCGGAGCAGCAGGACCAGCAGCAGCAGCCGAAGAAGCAGTAATGGGCTGCTGCCGTAGTGGAGTGAAGGAGCCTCCTGGGCGGCGGTGGCAGGGGAAGCAGCGGCTGCGAGAGGAGCGGTAGCAGCTGGGAGTTGACGGGCCGGCTTACCCACACCGGGGGCTGTGTCTAACAGCAACATAGGAATGGTTGCAACCCGCGCGCGAGAGTGCTGTTGCTGTAGGCGGGGCTGGCGGGCGGAGCGCTGCTCATATTGCACCGGGTGGCTGTGCGGCTCCTCTTGTCCTCTTGTTGTCACCTCTTGTGGTGGCTGCTAAGTGATGCGGTGCGGCCAAAGGATACCGTATATACCGGTATCGGGAGGTAATTAGCATGGAAAGGCTGCTGGTGGCAGAAGGCCAGTGATGGTGTGGGGTTTCGGACAGCGGGCGAGGTAGTGGGTGGGTCGACAAGACGTTGGGATTGCGGGATCCCTTTTCCTTGATGCATGTCTATGTGTGCGTGAGTACGTGTGTGCGGTTTGTGTCTACCGGTGCATTTGGGTGCGCTTTTGCTGCGGGTCGCACTTTGGGGGTCCTGTGGAGAAGTCAACGACAGGTTTGGACGGGTAAATATGATTCCGGTGCAAAAAGCATTGATGTGAGCTTGTAAGATACAAGGAGGCAAGGCAGCCGCGAGGGCCATGCAAACGGACAGCGCGTGGGCTATTGGAATTCTGCAATCGCAGGCTTCTTGTTACCGCGTCCTTAACAATGCAGCCCCGGTGTGCTACTCACAAAACAGCAACGGACATGATGCACCAAGGGTCCATTCAGCCCCTCTACATGCTAGCCCGCTTAGAAAAGGGGCGTTCTCTTCTCGAACAACTGCTACATACCCAGGTCCCTCCTGCGAAACAACGGACTGAGCTCCTCACGGGCGCAACATACTGGTAGCAATGCACCCACTGCGCCAGGACAGCTCGTCATCACAACCACCGCCACGCACACCCTGACCTTATCCCTCAGTTAGTTGTTTCCTCTTTACCTCCACGCACACGTTCAAAGCGGCACCACAAACGTGCCTACCAGTCACCGCACATAACCAGCTTCCGGCGTTGTCAGATTTCCCCGCCTTTTGCATAGGGTTGCCCTCGGAGAGAACACGGAGATGCACCTGCTCCTAACATGCAGTCACCGCCTCAGCACCAGCGGGGGTTCCGCTGAACGGTACGACACATGACCTGGGTGCCATGGGCGCTGCACTGCTGGGCGGGGGGCCGGCAATGAAACCAGATCTGTAGTACATGTCATCTCATTTCGTCAACCCATAAGCCTGCCTACTGCATGAAACTCAGTAGAGGCTGAGGCATGTCACGATTATGCCGTTAAGTTATAGGAATGCTAGATTTCTAGTACCAGGTATCTGCATAGTACCTATTACGTAAGTTGTGGAACCAGTTGAACGGGAGGACAAAAGGCAATGTAAAACATGCCCAGATGAAAGCCTTGCTGTAGCCAAATTGACAAGCGTAAAGATAACTGTCCAAGGCCCAAGGTAGGGAGAAGTCACAGTAAGGTGGTGTTGAAAAACACCGGGTTTTGAATGTAGGTTGGGTTGAGATGTCATTTAAGCAGCCTCCTCCTCGCCCTTGCCACCCTTGGACTTCTTTGGCAGCAGCACGGCGTGGATGTTGGGCAGCACACCACCGGCAGCGATGGTCACGTCACCCAGGAGCTTGCTCAGCTCCTCGTCGTTGCGGATAGCCAGCTGGATGTGGCGAGGCACGATGCGGTTCTTCTTGTTGTCGCGAGCGGCGTTGCCAGCAAGCTCAAGCACCTCTACATTATAGGGATACACCAAATGTTTAGGGTTTGGAGGTGTTGCGACCCGTTTTAAACAGTTCGTGAGTTTACTAGATCAGGTTATATTATTTAATTGATGCAAAGCGCTTCTCCCTGTGTTATACAAGGTCACCCACCAGCGGTAATGTACTCCAGCACCGCAGCCATGTAGACAGGAGCGCCGGCTCCAATGCGATCAGCGTACCGGCCCTTCTTCAGATAACGAGCAATACGGCCAACAGGGAATTGCAGGCCAGCCTTGGAGCTGCGGCTCACGGCCTTCTTGCCAGCGGTCTTGCCCTTGCCACGGCCAGACATTGTTGTTAGTTTTAAGGTAGAAGTAGTTGAAATTGTAGTATTAAAAGCGTTTGTTAAATTATCAAAAGCTCCAAGGAACTATATCTGTGCTTGTATGGTGGGTCAGTGGGGCAACCGTAAGTGTCGTAATGTCGTTGGTCCGAGCAGTGGGTCAGCGGGATTGTTGACCTGACTTTGACCCTTTTATATAACTCATCACAGACGCCATTTAACTCACACCCACAACATACAGATAATCTTCCTACTGAATATACCTGAAATTCCCTTTCCATAGCAATGGCCCCTAAGAAGGAGGAGAAGCCCGCGACCCAGCCCGAGGCTGCTGAGCCGAAGGCTGAGGCCAAGCCGAAGGCCGAGAAGGCCCCCAAGAAGGAGAAGAAGGCGCCCGCCAAGAAGGCAGCTAAGGAGCCCGCTGCTGCTGAGGTCGGCGAGAAGGCTGCCAAGAAGAAGGCCAAGGTGTCGAAGGCTGAGACCTACAAGCTCTATATCTACAAGGTGCTCAAGCAGGTCCACCCCGACACCGGCATCAGCAGCAAGGCCATGTCCATTATGACCTCCCTGGTGACCGACCTGTTCGACCGCATCGCCTCCGAGGCCAGCAAGCTCAGCAAGTACAGCAAGAAGCCCACGCTGACGTCCCGCGAAATCCAGACTGCCGTGCGCCTGGTGCTGCCCGGCGAGCTGGCCAAGCACGCGGTGTCGGAGGGCACAAAGGCGGTGACCAAGTTCACGTCGGCGTAAACTCATCATAGCTCTCGCTATTCGCAACAACACGGTGTTTTTCAACACCACCAGTCCGGATATATAATGGCCTGTAACAAAGTTGCATGCATCGCTTTGAACCCTGCCACAATGCATGTAAGCAAACACAGCCATTTATGTCAGGAATGCCCCAATGAGGTAGCTAACAGATCCCGCCACCGGCCAACAACACATCACACATACCCTAAACCCAAGCAGACCTATGTTGCTTGAACATGCATACAGGACTCTTTACACGAAGTCCCCAACAGCATCCAGATTCTCTGAAGTGTGAAGCAATGCGACCGTTGTTAGTGTCATTGGCCATTGTGGGTTTGCGTGGATGCCGGCAACGATGAAGGTGGAGGCCACGGCGTAACCCAAGGCCATGCCGACGGTAACCTTGTGTTTCATTAACTGTGAACGTTACTTTGCAGGGATTACTAACATGTACCACACGGCATTTATCATTGTTCGATTACTTGTGAACAGGAGTAACACGACCCATTGCAATGCCCGATGTATGCATGCGTACCACTTTCATGTAATCCCTCTTTCTCTGTCATGTGACTGCTGCACATGCCATAAGTTACTTAAGGCAGTCAGTATAAAAACCATCGAGCAAGACTGAAGTCCCTCGTCTGGTAGGGGTCGGGTCGCCGGGGCATGGATCCTGCTCGGCCCACCGTACCTATCGAGCGCAGATATATAATCGCCACACGGCTTGAACAATACCGATACAATTACCTTTTTAACCACCACTAACATCAGCAATGTCCGGTCGCGGCAAGGGTGGCAAGGGTCTGGGCAAGGGTGGAGCCAAGCGTCACCGCAAGGTGCTACGCGATAACATCCAGGGCATCACGAAGCCTGCTATTCGCCGTCTGGCTCGCCGCGGTGGCGTCAAGCGTATCAGCGGTCTCATCTACGAGGAGACCCGCACTGTGCTGAAGACCTTCCTGGAGAACGTCATCAGGGACTCGGTGACCTACACCGAGCACGCTCGTCGTAAGACTGTCACGGCCATGGATGTCGTCTACGCCCTGAAGCGCCAGGGCCGCACCCTCTACGGCTTCGGTGGTTAAGAAGCTTGCAAGTGGTTCGCCAATCCTACAAACTCGGTGTTTATCAACACCACCCTTTGGATATAGACTTGTACGCTTTGTAGGCGTCGTTTCCGCTATATGCCAGTATTTCAGATGGTTTTGACCGAAGTCGGACAGATCGACTTTGAACTTCCTCTGTTACGTTACAAGAAAAATGATTCCTGTAGCCTGGCCCCATAAGTTTGCACAACGCACATACAACAATATAGGCTGCGCATACAGGCAGCTGACACGACGCTGAAGTAAGACAGGTGACAAACAGGTGGTACAGATAAAATATAGCCTGCCATAGGGCATTGCTTTCAAAGTCATTCACATTTCATGCAGCACAGCCTATTTACACAGCATTTACAACGCATCTCAGCCGGGAAGGCTTTCCGACTGAAACGCGAAACACACCAACGCACACGGGTGTGCACACGACTGGCACGAACAACGCACTCCCTCCTTTCTTGGTAAATGGCATCCAGTTGTACACCGCATAAACACGGGTATTGCCTAGAAGCACTTCATGGCGATATGTATATATATCGAGAAATGCGCCTTGCCCCCTAGGGCCGCAAGAGTACATACAACGTACCGAGACTATGGCACAGGGCGGAGACATTCGAATCTGCATACGACACTCCCAGTATCAAGTAAGCAGAACACGTGTTTCACTCACTCCAGCCTGCTCCTGTAGCAAGCAAACCGCCGCAATGGAATTATGGCTTGGCTTTGAATGGTAAACTGCGCACGCCAACGCTAAAGATTGCTTACTATACAGCGAACAACACGCAACTCACCATCTACTCCTTCCAACTTCAATGATACGCGCACAATCTCCCCTTCCGTCGCTACCAAACAGCACCCATCCCCTATTCATCGGGATCGTGCACCAGCGAGTGCCTTGTCGCTGAGCGGCTCATCCTGGAGGACCCCAGTCGCCCGGTCCCCGGACCCGGCGGCGAGCCAATCCCAGGCGGTGAGCCAATACTAGGCGGGGACCCCACGCTTGGCGGCGAGCTCATGCCTCCTCCCGCACCGCCTTGCTGCGAAAGCCGATGCTGCCTCTGCTGCTGCTGTGCTGGTTGCTGCTCATCACCATCATCGCCGTCAAAGCTAACGCCGCGGTGGCTGCTTCGGCCGCCACGTCGACTCCCTGTCCTCACGCCGCCATCGCCGCTGCCGAAGACCACACCACTGCTACCGCCCCCGCCGCCGCTGGCGACGGTAGTAGCAACGGCGCCGGCGGCGTGTGCGTGTGCAAACCCGCGGTCGGCACCGGGGCTCCGCCAGACTTGAGGTGCAGATGAGGTAGAGGGCGGCGGAAGCGGCGGGGCGGACGTTGCGCTGCCTAGCCGCCAGGGCTCAGGACCTTCAATCGCCGCTGATAAACCTCCCGCCGGCAATACCGCTTCCGTGAACGGCGATGACATCATGCCGGGCGACGCCGGCCTGCCGGTTAAAGCCGCCGCCACCGGTAGTACGGCGGCGGCACCCGGCGCTACCGCTGCCGCCGCCGCCGCCAGCGCCTCCGCCGGCGGTTGCTGCTTCCGTTGCAGCTGACTCATGCCCCCTCCAACTCCTGCTCCTCCGACGCCATGCAGCACAGTTGCCGTACCGGGCATTGCCGCCGCAGAGGGAGGGAAGGCGGGGGTGGCGGCTTGCGACACCATCGGAAGCATGCTGGCGGCGGAGGCAGGTTGTACGATCATGGCGGCCGGCGGCGGCGGTACGACAACCGCGGTTGGCGGCGGCGGTTGCGGCGGCGCGACCTCCTCGATACCGAATGGGCTCACTCGGTGGGTGAGCTTCCAGTGTGTGATGGCAGAGGTGGCGTACCTGGGGCAGTGTAGTAGTTCGGGATGAAATACATACGATAATATATTAGAAAGGTGAAGGCGAAGGCGGGCCGTGTCATGTTCAACAGAACGTCGTCAACGCATGTGGGGACACCAACACAATCCCACACCTGCCCCACACCCCCACAGCCTGCCTCTCCCCTGTCTCTCCCCCCATCCCCGCTCGCTTCCCTCCCTCATCCCACATCCTCCCCTCCCTCTTTCCCCTCCCCCACTCTGCCCTCCTCATTCAACACATTGGGCGCTACCGGTATTCCTCTTACCCCCCTCCCCCCGCCTGTGGTTTCCTCTGGTTCGTTATGGTCTTTGTCCCCCCCCCTCCCCCGCCTCCCCCCACCTGTACGCGTCCTTCACGATGCGGTCCATCAGGTGGTAGTCCATCAGCCGGTAGCCCCCGATGCCGGGCGGGCGCAGGTAGAGGTCGATTCGGTGCTCCACCGCCACGCGCTTCAGGTTGGCGGCGTGCGTCATGCAGGTCAGCTTGTGGATCAGAGAGGCGTAGCGCAGCTGGGCGGGGCGGGGCGAGGAGGAGGAGGCGGGGGCAGCAGAGGAGGAGGCGGAGGAGGAGGAGCAGGGTGCTGCAGGGGGCGGCGGGCTGAAGCGCCAGCGCGGGAAGGGGCACCAGCGGTCCCACAGCAAACGCCAGCCGGAGAGGCCGCCGTCGTAGGGGGTCAGCTGGCGCCAACCTGGGGGGGGCGGGGGGCGGGGGACGAGGGGGGGAGTTGGGAAGTGTGGGAAGGTTGCTGTTGCCGCACTGCTTAAGAGCCTAGGCACCATCCCAACGCCACGTGCCCCTCTACTTCAGCTATCCCAACCCCACGACCAACACACCCAACCACTCTCTCTCCTCTCCTCCCCTGTGCCCGCCTCCCCTCTGCCCGCCTTCCCCCTCCCCGCTCCCTCCCGGCGCCCCCCCCCCACCCTCACCGCCACCCCGGACTCGGTATCGGTAGGGAGCTAACCCATACTTGTTTTTGTGGCACCCTGCCGCTCCTATCCCCATTGTCTTGCCCCAACCTGTGGCTTCCTATGGTTCGGTATGGTCTTTGACCCCCCTGCGCCCTCACCCATGTCGTCCCGCCCCTCCACGTCCACCACGATCACCGAGTCCACTCCCATCATGCCGCGCATCACATCAACCGGCATGTTGTTCATGTAGCTGCGGGGGGGAGGAGGGCAGGCGGGACGGAGGGGTGGGTGGGAGGTGGGGTGAATAGGGGTACCTATGTCGCAGTTAGTATGTATGTAGGGAAGGGTGGGTGAGAGGTAGGTGGTGAGGAGAGGCAGGTATCAGTAAAAGGGTGTGGCCAAGAGGAATAGGAGGAGGGAGCAGCAGTTGAAGCACTCCGAGGCGCGCCAGGGCAACCCGCTGGTGCTGTAGCCAGGTGTGTTGCCATGCAGCGTGCTACCGCATGCAGCCAACCACCGCGCGGGCTGCCTCCTTCCCTCCCGCCGCTCTCCCCTCGTCAGTTTCCCCTTCCTCCCACGCAAACCTCACCCTCCATCCACCAACAGACACCCGTCCTCCCACACGGGCGGCAGCAGACCCACGATTGTCATGGAGGCTCGGACCTGGGGGGCGGGGGTTGGAACGGAGGCGGGGGAAGAGGGTAGTGGTCAACTACAGCTGCTGCGTCCCTGGGTTAGGCGGGGTCCCAAACACCGCCCCTTGCCTTGCCTCCTTGCATCCCTCCCTACAGCGCCCTTCCTCGCCGTCCCTCGCTGCCTCCCTGCTCCCCTCCCCGTTTCGTGCAACGTTGCACACACCGTCACCCCCCCCCCGCCCCCCGGCCCCACCCCACCAGCTTCCACAGCAGCCCCTGCGTGTGCACGCTGGCCTCCCCGCGCGTGAGGTTGGTGGTGATGCAGAAGAAGGGCAGCCACAGGTCCTCAAGGCGCTGGGGGGGGAGGAGAGGGTAGAGAACGTTGGGTTGGTAGGTAGGGCTAGGGCTCACCGTTAAAAGCTACAGCCCCTACTTGCAAAAACAAACACTCGAGAAAGCGCTACCAGAGTCCTACCAGGGAAGCCGCATCGCACCGAAGAAGATACTATCCCCCCCCGCTGTGCAGCGGGCTGTGAAACGACGACCCCTTCACCCCCGCCCCCACCCACCCCCCACCTGCGCCCCCCGCTCGAACACCCTCTTGACCGCCTCGTCAAACGCCGCCCCGCTGAACAGCGACAGCACCGGCAGCGTCAGGTCGGACAGCAGGTGCCGTACACTGCCCAGCTGCTGGGCGTAGTGCCGTACACTCAGGTTGAGCGCCTCGCGACCCAGACCCTGGAGGGCGGGTGAGGAGGAAGGAGTGCGGAGGGGGGGGGGTTGGGTTGGGAGATGCGGATAGATCATGGTGCTGGTGGTACAGTACGGTACGGGCCTCCAACTACCGTACGTCACAAAACACATCACTAGTTTTCCATCCCGCCTCCCCCCCTCCCCCCCACCTGCGCATACAGCGCCGCCATGAAGGCCCCCTGACTGGTGCCCCCCACCGCGTCCAGCGGCACCCCCGCGTCCTCCAGCGCAGTCAGCACCCCCAGGTGCGCCAGACCGCGCGAGCCGCCGCCCGACAGCACGATACCCACCGCCTTGCCCGCCATCCAGCGGGCTAGCCTGCGGGGGGGGGAGAGGTGGGGGACATGGAGGGTTGGAGGAAGGGTGGGGGTGAGATTGGGTGGGTACAAAGCGTACCCTTTCGTGTGAACCACGCAGCCATTCCCACCGCTTGGGGCGATCCAAACAGAGGTTGGGTTACTTAGGGCGGCTCTCCACACCTCCATGCTAACCGCATACCTCCATGCTACCCGCAATACGTAGGGCGGCCCTCCATACCTGCATGCTACCCGCAACCCGGTACGCTACCCACCTCTGAATGTCCGCCTGACGTCCCAGCCGAATGTGGTGGTGTCGAGACAGGTTGGGTCGCCCCGCCAGCCACTCCGCAGTGCCCGCTGGCGTGCTGCCGTCGCCGCTGTTGTGCAGCACCACCAGCTCCACTCGCCGCAACATGGCGGCGCTGCTGCCGGCGACGGCAGCAGCGGCGGCGGCGGCAGCGCTGTACGACTGCTGCTGCTGATGATGATGCGGCTGGGATTGGTGATGCGGTGGCGGTGGTGGCGGAGCGGCGGCGGAGGCGGAGGGTCCTAGGCTGACGGTGCTCGCGCGTGACGGCGGCGACGTCAGGTGCGGAGGGTCGACGGCGGGTCGTAACGGCGACTTGGCGGGGGTGGCGGCGCCGCCAGCCGCCGCCGGCAGGTGTGACGATGAGGCAGCCGGGGTCAGTATGGATGCGGGGGTTGCGAGTGCGGAGGAGGCGGGCGGGGGGGTGGGGGTGAAGCCGGATCGGGCGCCGTTGGGTTTGGATCTTGCGAATGCGGGCGAGGCTGCGTTGAATACCAGCACGCTCTCCGGCTGGGAGAGCTGCGGGGTGGAGCCCTCGGGGGCCACCAGCAGGATGCAGTCCGCCTGGGGGGGGAGGGGGGGAGGCGGGGGGACGGTGGGGGAACGGTAGGGGGAACAGTGGGGGAAAGACACCATGCTTTTGAGTGGTATGAGGAAGGTGGACAGGGTGAGGTGCAGACGGGGAAGGGGGAAGGCGAAAGGAACCCCAACCACCTCCTCCATCCCTCCCTCCCCCTGCTCACTGTATAAGTCGGGATATGGGATTGGGACTCCGTTGCCTTACTTTTCATCCATCCCCCCCTGCCCTCCCCCCACCTGCGCCACGCACACGGAGGACCAGGGGCTGGCCGCCACATCCGCCTCCAGCACGATGAAGCGGTACTCCTCCTCCTGGGCGGCCATCCAGCTGGTTACCTTGGGGGGGGGGGGGCAAAAAATTAAATAAGGGCAGGGCGGGTGAGGTGTACGGCAGGAGGGGAATGTGTACGGCAATGCAACGAGGGGTGTTGTATGGCAACAAGAGCTTCTGCAGCAGCAGCAACGACATGAATGCTGCAAGTCTTAAAGAGACGACGGCAACCCCTCCGGTCCCCATACCACCATATCTTTGAACACACCAAACCCCACCCTCGCCTGCCCCCACCAGTCCCCGCTCCTGCAACATGCTATTTCCTCCCTCCTTACCCCCGCCCCCCACCCGCCCTGGGAATCCCTCCCCCCCCTACCTTGGACCTGTAGAACAGCACGTCCAGTCGCTCGCTGGCGGTTGGGAACTGCAGCGACAGCACCGTGGCGTCAAGCAGCAGCACCGGGCCGAAGCATGACAGAGCGTCCTGGGGGGAGGAGGGGAGGAAGAGGGGAGGGAAGGGGGTTAGTGAAGGTACCGGGTTAGTGAAGGTACCGGGTTAGTGAAGGTACCGGGTTACCCGTATAGCCCAAAATTTAATTGACAAAAATATAATGTTTTGGGTTTTGTCAAATGGGGCAAAAATGTTTTTTCGCCATGTCAAATGGGGCTGGAAATTCGCTGGCAAGGTGTCAAATGGGGGCAAAATATTCCGCCTGGTGTGGCTTTAGGGGAACTAAGATGGGAACGGAGAGGTAGGGGGCAACTGACTTCCCAGTGTGCTGGACCCTCACCGTGCCAGGCCCAGTCGAAGTTTCCAAACGGTGTTTCACTTATCCTCCTGGGCTGCACAGCGGCATACAGCTGAACAGCTCCTTTCCTTACCATGTTTCATCCAACACGTACAGTGGCTTTTGGGGCGTTTTGGCGCATGTCAAATGGGGCTAGAAATTCGCCATCAGGAAGTCAAATGGGGCATAAACAATTTCCGCTTTGTCAAATGGGGCTGGAAAATAGGCCTCCAAACGCATGTCAATTAAATTTTGGGCAATACGGTAGTGAAGGTCCCCATGTGCTGGCCTTGTGACGCCGACGCAGGAAGAGGTAAGGAAGCATGTATGTGCGGGATATCAGCGCCGGGAACATGTTCATGCGTACATATTAATGATGCAACCCGTGATTGACCCGTGGGTCGGTACACACCTTGAGTGCGCCGCTCAGTCGTTTGATGGCCGTTAGCGTCGCTAGCGCCGCTTGCTGCTTACACAGACCCGGGGGACAGCGCCATTGCGACCCTGCCGTACCGCCGCCGCCCATCAAGCCGCCCATCAGTCGCGACGTCGCCTCGTGTCCCGCGCCGCCGCCGCCCATGTTCGCAGCCTCCGCCGCCGCCAGCGCCGCCGCCGCGGCAGCGACGTCGGTCGGCGAGCCGGACAGCGCCGACGCCATTGCGGCGGAGGCGGCGGCGTCGGGCAGCACGCCGGCGGGCAGGATGGCAATGGTGACGATCTCGCCGCGACGACCGGAAGTTCGAGGGCCGCGAGTGACGCCGCTGCCGGCGGCTAGCTGACCCGCGCTCTTGAGAGGGGTGAGGCCCAAACGGGAGGGATGGGGGAGCTGTTGCAGGCCGGGGCCGCCGCCGCCTGCGGCGGCTGCGGCTGCGGCTCCGCCGCCGCCAATGACGCGCATGGCGAGTGAGGGCGAGCCGACGCTGGCGGCGGCGCCGGACGCGGCGGCGACTGTGGCGGCGCCACTGGTGCTGCCGCCGCCTCGGTCGCTGCGCACCCTGTCACAGCGGGCACATGCATGCGGCGGAGGATCTCAGTACTTGCTTACAGATTTGAAGCGACTGGGGGTGTAGCACCTATTGTGCTTACGCGCGACAGTACCCCCCTACCCCCCCACCCCATCCCCACCTGGAGTCCCAGGCCGCCACCAGTCTGCGGGCGATGTTGGAGAAGAGCTTGGACAGCGCCAGCGGGGAGTCGGCGGAGATGACACGGAAGGCGGACCTGGGGGGGGGGAGGGGAGGGGAGGAGGGGAGGAGGGGAGGGGAGGAGGGGAGGAGGGGAGGGGAGGGGAGGAGGAGAGGGTTGTGCGGAGCGACAAGAAAGAGTGCGCCTCATGGCCCCGATCCCTCACCCCCTCAAGCCCCCATACCCCACCCACCGCCCCCCCCATGACGCCATTTTACCACCACCCCATTCTCCACTGGTTGGCAGCCCTAGTAAGAACCAAGGTGAAGCCTTGTCACATGGTCACATCTCCTGGCTTCCCGCCCTGCTTCCCCACCTGCTCATGCGCACCAGCTCCGAGTCCCTGACGCACAGCGCGGTGGTGTCGTGGTGGCCGCCCGTGATGGCCCACACAGCACCCACCGCCTCGCCGCGGCCAACCTGGGGGAGGGGGTGAGAGAAGAAGAATACCCGGTGTGTTGATTGACAACGGGGGATGGGTATAGGGCCAGAGGGCAGGGGTAAGGGAGGGGTTGCAGCAGCGGGAGACCAATGGGTCTAGCTGGGCTACGTAAGAGCGCGTTCCGAGCTCTTTCCCCCTCTTCTACCCCCATCTTGAGTACCGGTAACCCCCACCACCCGCCCCCACCTCCCCCCGCCCACCTCCTCCTCCAGGTGCAGCTTGCGCGCCTGCGTGACGGGGTGCAGCGTCTCGTGCAGCAGCCGCAGCCGACCCGAGATGACCACGTACAGGCACTCCGCAAAGTCGCCTGAGAAGGGGGGGTGGGGGTGAGTGGTGGTGGGTGGCGGTTGGGTTCCAAACCCCGGGCGGTGGTCGAGACGGGACAGCATTCAGGCGGGACGGTGCGAGAGGCGGCAGACACCAGTGCCGCTGGATACCGTACAACAGGTGCATGCCAGGGGCGCACCAGGCGGCCTCATCACTGAACACCAGTACGTCTCCTGCCCCTCCTCCCCCCCTCCCTCCTAAAATCCAGCTTAATGCGGAATCTTCATCCATATTACCCCCCTCCCTCTCACCCTGCCGGTACGCCACATCCCCCGACTCCAGCCACACCCGGTTGAGTCCCAGGCTGATGAAGCGGCGCACCACCGGCCCCAGCGCGGCGCTGGCGGCCACCAGCAGCCGGATCAGCAGCGGGGCGCAGTCGGACAGCAGGCCCTCTAGGGTCTGGTAGGAGGGAGGGGGGAAGGGGGAGAAGGGGGTGGGAACAAGAATACCCAATGTGTTGTGTGACATTGGTGAACTAGGTGACAAGCCCTGGGCTGGGTTGGGTGGGTTGGGGGGCGGGGGGATTGGAGGGAGCGGTAGAGGTGCCCGACCCGACTGGTGCACTGTTATTCGCCCATTAGATGGGAGTGTGTGATAGGAGAGGCGGCTGGAGGACGGGACGGGAGGAGGGGCGGGGGCATGGGGTTTTGGGTAGGTCTAGGAGCGGGCAACCTCTCCCCCCCTCCTCCCCGCCCCTACCTGCCACGAGAAGGCCACCAGCCTGCAGGGCTCCAGCGCCACCACCTTGCAGCGGGCGGGGGTGGAGGACAGGAAGGCGGCGCAGCTGATCAGGCTGCCTGCGGGGGCGGGGGGGGTAGCGAGGGAGGAGGAGCAGCAGCAGCAAGGGGGGGGGCTAGGGTTAGGTACCCGAAAAGAGGCAATTTGTCCTAACGGGGGAAATACGCGAGCCGGGGTACCGTAAGCAAAGCAGCCCCAAAGCAGCGGATCTCCGCCCCATCCCTCCCCCATGTCGGCGCCCAGCTCACCCGGCGAGATGAGTGCACTCTCCTGCACCGCCGCGCCGGCGCCCGGCCCCCCGCCCGCGCCCAGCCCCAGTCCGCAGCCGTCCTCCGCGGCGCCCGGGTGACCCGCGGGTCGCTCCGCCAGCAGGTGGCCGTCCAGCACCAGGTAGAAGCAGCCGGAGGCCCAGTCGACATCCTGGAGGGGGGGCGGGGGGGCCGGGGGATTAGGTAAACTGAGCCGCGAGGACGGAAGGAGGGTAGGGCAAGCGCGTATCCCTGTACTGCTTGCAAGGGACTGGATTACGCATTGGCCTGGTTAGTAGAATAGGCGTACGCAAGCTAGGAGGGAAAGGGATGCGGCAGAAGGAGTGGTGGGAGTTCAGGTTCTGATGATGTGGGGTCTGGGTGTTGGCTTGAACCCAGCAGCGCCTGCACCTCCCCCCCCCCCCGGTCCCTGCATGGGTCCCGCCCGCCCCCACCTGCAGCATGCCGCCCGCCGCCAGGGGCAGCTGCGTGCCCACACCCGACCTGGGGTCTGGGGTTGGGTTAGGGTTGGGGTGGGGGAAGGAGGGGCAAAAGGTTGGGGTGTGGTTGGGGGGAAGGGGGGGTAAAAAAAGAAAGAAGGGAACATGGGGACAGTGCGAGAGGCGGCTGGGGGAAGACGGAAGGCAAGCGCCAAGGCCAGCGTTACAGTGGGGTGCGCCTTGTTGTCTTCTTCCCCCCCACACACACTCCCCCGCAGGTACGCAGTGCGCGTTTGTACGCACGCATGCACAGCATTGTGGTGTCTCGTCTGCGTGACCAGAGCGGGGGCTCCCGCGTCGAGTTGGTCAGCGGGCTAGGTACTAGGTAGTCATTTCCGACACCACCAGGATCGCCAACATGCGTCGTCAACCCGCCACTCTTCTTACATCCAGCACCAGCTATCTAAGCAGTTTTTGAGTTACGATTCAGGTTCGGTTGCCTCTGTTTTGCCTGTACTCGCGGTTCACATGCGAACCTATCCCAACTGCTTGCTCTTGTTTCCGCTCAATTACACACCCCTCCCCCCAACCCCCACCTGACAGTGTTCCCCACATGTCGTCATGGAACTGGATCTCCTCCACATCGACCACATCCCACCCCGCCGCCAGACACGCGCGCTGCCCCAGCACGAAGGCGCGGCGAAGCGGGTGGGAGCGCTCGGGCAGCAGCCGGCACACGGGGCCCTGGGGGGGCGGTGGAGAGCTTGAGACACATGGCCGAAGCAAGGTAGGGTAGGGAGGTGTGTACTCCGTGTGTGTACCGGAGAGGATTCACGGCAAACAAGAAACGATCGTGATGTACCCAATGGCTGTCATGACCCATCACATTGGTAGTGTGCCGCCGACCGAGTCCATGCCCTCCCAAGTCGCAAGTGTGTCCCTCCCCTCCCTTACATCCGGCCTCGGCTCCTCCACGCGCTTCCCTCCCGCCGCCCCTCCGCCGCCCAGCCCGCCGCCAAAGCCAAATCCAAACCCGGGGAGGCGTGGCGGCAACATGCCGTTCACGCCACGCATGTTGCCGCCGCCGCCACCACCGGCAGCAGCAGCAGCAGCACCGGCAGCAGGCGACGAAGCTCTAGCCCCGCCCACACCCACACTCGCACCCGCCCCCGCAGCAGCGCTCACACTCCTGCCACTGGCGCCGCTCGCCGCGGAAACCGGCTGCTGCTGCTGCTGTCGCGGGTGCTGTGGGGCCGGTGGGGCCTGTCGGGGGATATCCGTCGGTAACCTGCCAGCAGCAGTAGCAGGAGCGGCGGCACTGGCCGCTGACGGGCCGCTGTCAGTGGTGGTGACGGAGGCGAAGGGGGTGTCACGTGGAGCGGCGGCGCCGGCTGCTGTAGTAGTAGCTGGGACAGCAGCAGCGGCGGTGGCGTCAGTGGCAGCGGTGACAGGTGTTCCGATGTCGGCGGCGGGGGGCCTAGATGGCGCGGCGGCAGCCGCGCCGCCGCTGCTGCCAGATGCAGGCGGTGGCACATTGGCCAGCAATGCAGCCGCCGCGGCCGCCGCCGCCGAATTGAGGTCTCCGGACTCCTGGCGAAGTGGCCCATGGGTCGGTCCGCCTGCGCCACGAGCCCGCGCCGACGCGGCGGTGGAGGCAAGCAGCTCGTTAAACGTCGGCGCTGACGGCGCCGCCGGTACCTCCGCCGTAACGCCCGCAGCGCCGCCACTGCTGCCGACGTCGCCACTAATGCTTACATGCTCCGACGACACCCCCTCCTCCACCTCCTCCGTTTGCGTCCCCTGCTCATGCGCTGGCGGCTGCTGCTGCTGCCGCCGCGCCGCTGGCGGTGTATACGTGCTCCCAGCGGCGGCATACTCCGCCGCCAGCACACCGCTACCGCCGCTGCCGCCTCCGCTGCCGCCGCAGGGGCTGCCGTCGGGGCGCTTGGGCCGGTAGAGCTGCAGCTGCAGGAAGTCCGCGAGCACGAAATGCGCCACCCTCCACAGCCTCGCCAGGCCCTGCTGCAGGTAGAGCATGAGGGCGCGCGGGTGGGAGTGCACGAACTCCATGAAGAGCGGCCGGGGCACGTTGACCAGCAGGCAGCCCGCCTGGGGGGGGGGGGGGGGTAGGGGTAGGGGTAGGGGGCAGGGGGGTAGGCGGGAGGGGGTAAAAAGAGAAATTCCAATGTGTGTTTTGATAATGATACAAGTTGCTAACAAGTACCGGTAACATTTTCCTAGTGGAAGGAGGAGGGCGAGGAGCAAGTGGATGTCACATTTGTGGAAGGGGAAGGGTGGATGAGCCAGAAAGGGTTGCAACGCCACCTCGACATGCACAGCCTCCACACTGCTCCCTTCCACACGTTCACACACCCCAGTGCTGCCTCCCCGCATGCCAGTCTCCCTTTCTCTCCTCCCCCTCCCTTCCCCCGCACACATTGAGTGTTCTTCCCCTCCTCTCCCTCCCCCCCCCGCCCGCTGCCCCACCTCCAGCGCCATGCAGCTGACAGTCCGGGCCGCCCCGTCCACCACATCCAGGTCCCCCACACTCTCACCGCTCCTGGAGGGGGGAGGGAGGGGAGGGAATGCTGTATGAAAAGTGAAGCAACTGGAGAGGGGGAGGGTCGCGGGGGTGGCGGTGATGGTGAAGTTCGAGGGAAGGGTGCCGTTCAGTGGTAGCCTCGCCGGACTGCCCAAGTAGCCCCTAGCGCCCCATCCACATAGCCCCTAGCCCCTATCATTTGCCCCATACTCCTAGCCCCTATCACTTGCCCCCTCCCCCGCCCCCCACCCCCACCTGAGCGTGTTTGCGTGTATGGGCGGCAGGTGCCCCGGCGGCTCCTCCAGAAACACCCCCAGGCTGCCCGCCAGCACGATGAAGATGCCGCTGTCGGAGGGGTCGCCGCTGCGGAAGAGCACCTCGTGGGGCGACAGAGAGACCTGGGAGGGGAGGGGGGAGGGAGGGGGGAAACAAGAATACCCATGTGTGGTGTGTGGGAGCAGGGGGAGGGGGAGGGGGGGGCGGGTGACAAGAGGGTAAGGGATCTCGGGGAGGCCGGTTGGCGGGATGGCGCGAGAGTCTCCTTCCTTGACCCGCCCACACACGACCCAGCCACCCACCCTCTTTGTGGCCCGGAAGAGCTCCCGCGCCTCCTCCACATCCAGACACGCGAAGAACTTGGTGGACTGGAAGAAGGCGGGGGTGTCGGCACTGGGGGGCGGGAGGAGGTGGGTTAAATGCACGCTACTAGGGCGGCGCGGCACTAGCAGCAAGACTTGCGGGCGCTGCAAACATGCTCTACGGGGGCCCGGCCGGCGAGTGAAAGACAGAGCATTGAGATGGGGGAATAGACTGCTTACCTGGCGAAGAGGTGGGCATTAGCGGCTGCAGCGGCTGCAGCTGCGGCAGCCATGTCAATGGGCTCCGGCCCCAGGGCTGCCCCCGCTGCCGCTTCCAGCACATGCTGCTGCCGCTGCTGCTGTACGGCAAGGAGCGCCTCTGCTGCTGCGCTGGTGCCTCCGTCGTGTGAGATGCGCGGGCCGCACATGCCATTGATGTCCAAAACGCTTTGAGAAAGGGGCGGCGGCTCCTCGCCTGAAACGGCATGTGCGAAATTTAGGCATGCATGGAAATGATAGATGGTAGGAGGGCATGGGTCTGATTAAAATGTCGTTATAGGGTTGGGGTTTGGAGCGATGGTTGGAACTGCTGCTAGCGCACCTTCCAGCGAAAACAGCGGAAATCCACCATGGTCTTCGAGCCAAGCCGCAATTGCAGCTGTAATTCCCCTGCAGGCCAACCAGGTCCATAGCACATCGGGTCAGCTCTCCGACATTGCGGTTTGGGTAGCCCTAAAGCCATCCCCAGCACGAACTGGTACACCTTCTGACAGACTTCCATGTTCTAGAAACGCTCCCGTTGTATTGTTCTAGCCCATAAAGGATACCGACGCAGCCGGCTGCTATGGCAAAGGTGCGCTTGAAGTTTGCATTCCTTTTCCGCTCAAAGCTCGGAATCTCTATCTGGTCGATAATGTCCATTTCAATTCAGCAGAAATGTGTTCTTCCTACGTCATGACTCGTCAGCCCTATGAAGTTTGGATGACTGAAACGACAACGTTAGGCACGGTGTCAGAATAGCCACAAGCGTTTCTTAATGTCGAGTATGCGCTATATAATAAGGTTCTCTTAGCACTGACCGAAAACCGCGAAGCGTATGTGGGTCGCAACGAAGCGTGTTGCGTGTACACGCGGCAAACGGAACCCCGTACATAGGTAGTTGCGAAGCCGTAACTAGTGTACATAGCCTACGTGGCTCACGTGCATCGTGGTGCGTAACACGTGCAAACTGACAGCATGATCGTAAAGATGGTGGCGCCTTTTCCCGACGTTTCGCACGCTGACTGGCTTGCGTTCTTGCAGACGTCGGCCGTTGCGACGCTCCTGCCGCTGCTGCTGCTTTTAGCTGGCAAATGGGGCGCTTTCGATAGGATTGTCTTGCGCAAGGCGCTTCACATAGGTACCACGAGCGTTCCGTGCGTTTGCTCCCTCGTCAAGGTTCTTGCACGCTGCCTTGTGTCACTGCGTATGCCGACCTGTCGCGCAACCACCTCATCAATGCATTTTCTGCCTGCTTAACAGCTGGCATATGTAACTCCTCAACCATGCGCTACTCCCCACCGCATGCTCTTCACTGTTCTGCCACAAATCCTCAAGCCCCCCAAGCAATTACTATACCGGTACTCCTGTCCCCGTCCTCCGCACCTACCACACCATGGGTACCTTGCCATGTCCAGGCATGGGCGCTGTCTTCATGCTGCACTGGCCGCTGTACAGCAATGCTCCGTACGTGCCGTACCTCTGTGCCTCCATACCCCTGGCTGCAACCCTGGTGTTTGCGCTCGTGGGTCTGGGCTTGGTGCCCGGAGGACCGCTGGTCCGGGGCGCGACGGTAGGTTGTGGAAGGTGGCTGCGTGTGAGAAAGTGCCCTGCTAATGTCCCTGTACACGACATGTTTGTTAGTCATGCCCGCGTGCCTGTGTACTACACCACCCCATGTTGCATCTCCCATTTACCCCATGGTGGAGCCTAGTCATACGGTCAGCCAGTCTCTTCCTCTGTACCCACCCTCCTACGTCCTACCTGTTATCCCTCCTACCCTCCCAGCGCTCCGGGCGGCGCCAGGAGCTGCTGGCGGGCCCCCTGCTGTACGGCGCCGTGCAGGTGCTGCTGACGTCAGCCTTCTGGAGGAGCTCGCCCTCGGGGGTGGCGGCGCTGGCGATACTGTGTTTTGGGGACGGTACGGCGGAGCTGGTGGGGCGGTACGGCAGGCGGCGGCTCTGGCACAATCCCCGCAAGGCGAGTTCCGCGATCACGCCCCCGCCACCTACCCGAGTGACGCCCCGGAGCTTCTCATGCAGTTCTAAAGTCCTTTGCATACATCACGTGCTGCTGAAAGCTTGTTCTGCAACCAACCTGCTACCCTCACCTCACCACACCCACTAAACAACAATGCAGATTCCAATCCGTTCATGTTTGCCCTCCTTACATCCTACACCACCTTCCAGACCTGGGCCGGCAGCGCAGCCTGCCTTATAGCGGGTGCAGCCGCCGCCGTCGCCTACACGCTCCTCTTTCGCCGTCTGGGCTCCTTCCAGCGCCCCCTGCCCACGTGGCAGCTGCTGTACGGCTGTACGGCAGCGGCGGCGGTGGCGGCGGCGGTGGAGTCGCTGCCGCTGGGGGCGGACAACCTGACGGTGCCGCTGGCGGCGGCAGCAACGGGGGTGGCGGTGTTTGGGTTCTAGTGTGGGTTGTTTGGATTCTAAGTAGGAAGTGTGCATGGGGGGTGGTTCCGTACGAGGACTGTGTCGTACGGGCTGGTGGGGGCAGTCAATGGATGTGCGTGTTGTTGCGACTTGCGAGAGATGCGGGTGGGGCGGAGTGGTATTGAGGTCGGTCTATTGAGGTGTCTGGGGTAGCGTACTTGTGTGTGGGGGGGAGGGGGTCGGTGATTTGGACACGCTTACGGTGTGCAGGCGCAGCTGCGCGGGGCCGTCACCTGGCTTGCACTACCTCTGCTAGCAGTACTTCTTACAGAGTGCACGTGGCCACAGGATGGGAGACAGAGAAGCGACCTATCTATGGCATCGGGACGGAACTCCACCTATCTATGGCATCGGAGGGTACTTCACGATGTTGGACGTGGCCCCAACTGACAGCGGCCCTACGGCAACCGAACGAGAGCTAATACTTCTGCGGCCTGTGCGCGTGACATGAAACGTCCAAAGAAACAGTCGCAAGCGCAACCCTAAGAGAGAACCCCCTCTCGGCAACCACGCACGCATGCGCTAGGTGTAGTACGACAGTCATGTGTCATCAGACACGCAGCTTCCTAGCCCTATCTGTTATCCTATCCCTAGAGCGGGTAGAGCCGTATCTGCCTCTGCACACTCTGTGTACCGGCTGTGCTGCAATCTGGCAGTCTCCTACAATGTGTCACAGAACCAGGCCCCTTTAAACACCCCCTGCCCTCAACGCTCCTGCTCTCTAACAACGCAGCTCACCGTCCCGAATCGCCGCCTAGCGAATGAGCAGCTCACTCCCACTCCACACACGCCTTCCCACTCCACTCTGATACACGGCATACACCCCTCACTCAATACACGCCCGCAGCGCCCCAGCATCCTCTCGCCAGCCATTGCTCCCTCCCCACTCCCCACTCGCCGAATTCCATCACTCAGCCCCTGCGTCCACTCCCCCTCTCCGCAGCTGTCACGGCCGCCAGCCTGACCTCCAGCAACGCCGCACACGCATCCCTGCCCGCCGCCTCCGCTCGAGCCCACTCCCCTGCCGGCACCGCCACCAACCGCCACCCACGCGCCGCCAGGCACCGACTACGGAACGCCGCATCCCCCAACAACCTCCGCCTCGCGCCGCCATTCGTCGCAAACGCAGCATCCGGCAGTATCTCAACACCCACCATCACACCACCGAGTCCCACTCCTTGCGCAACCCGGAAGTGCCCGTCGGGTGTCTCGCACTGTCCGAACACCGGAAGTCCAAGGGACTCCAAAGCGGCCGGCAGCATACGGGAGGTGTAGATGCTACCCGCGCCTACGCCGCTGCCAGGGTGACGCCGGCGGGGCGAGAATAAGGGTGAGGGTGAGGCGTGCTGTGGCGGGGAGATGGCTCGTGGGGTGGCGGTACCTAGTGCGGCTGCGTGCCAGGCGTCGGCGGCGCGGGCGAGCAGGGGCGCGGAGAGGGAGGGCGGGAGTTCCTCACGAAGCGCGTGAGCGAGACCGGCATCGCTGGCGGCTAGGAAGGCACGGAAGAGGTGGCAGGCGGAGGCGGTGTCTAGCGCGATGGAAGCGTGGGATTGGGAGGGGATGGGGGATTTGGAGGTGTTGTGGCTGCCTCTCCAGCCTCGAGTTGACTGGTGGCCGTTTCCGGAGGAGGCATGCGAGGTGTGAGGGGGCTGTGAGGGTGGCGTGAGGGTGCGGCTCAGCGCCCAAGTGAGGCAACGCACGACGGTCTCGCTGCGGAGGGCTCCTGCGGCCGCCAGCGAGCCCATCAACTGACAGATGCTGCTAGCCAGCGCCCCCGCTGCGGTGGATGGCGTTGCGGATGCTCCCTCTGTGACAGGTGCCCTGGCGTCCCTGTCGCTGGCCTGGGGTACGAAGAAGCCGCTGGCGTCCGCCTCGTTTACAGCTTCGTGCAGCAGGGCTTCTAACAGGAACGGCCCACCTTCCTCCCATTCCCCCTCCTCGTACTGCTCACCAGCCGCGTCGCTCCTACCATGCTGCCGCGCAGTGCCACCTCCCCTCGCCTGCCGCGCGAGCGCGGGGGGAGGCTGCAGCAGTGCGGATAGGGTGAGCACGCAGGGGTGCGCCAGCTGCCTGCATGCAGCATCCAAGAAGCCCGGAAGCCAGGACAGCAGCGGAGGCGGGGGCGGCCCGCCGCCACCACCGCCCCCACCACCCCAGGACTCGTTGTAGCCCGCGGGACTTGCTGCGGGTGCGGCTGCGCGCACAAGCTGCGCTGCCCGCCGGTCTAGTGCCGACATGATGCGGTCGTCGTCGTAGCGCAGCGCAGCCAGCGCGCCGGCGAGGGAGGCCAGCTCGGAGGCCTGCAGGAGGGGGATGAGGGGGGCAGGATGTAAGGAGGCGGGTAGGCAGGTAGGGGTCAAAGATGTACCAAGAACCACAGGTTAGGGCAAAGCAGGTAGGAGAAGGGCTATCAACCCTATCATGCTCCACAGCAGCTGCGGCAGCCGCAGAAGGAGGACAAAAAGGGTCTACAGGTATGCACCAGCACCAGGTATGCACCGTTGCACGCCCTCCCCCAGTACGGCAGCACCCCTGCTGTACCCAACCATCCACCGTCAGTCCGTACCTTCATGACCGGTGCCAGGGTGGGCGCCCACGCCCGCAGCGCCGCCAGCACATCGGGCGGGTACCTGTCGGCCGCCGCCAGCCCCTCTAACAGCGCCGCCAGCGCCGCCGCCAGCACGCGGCTCTCGGACAGCTGCTTGCCGCTGACACTGCCGCTACTGGTGCTACTGCTTCCGGACCTGCCGGCACTTGATGCTGTTGGAGAAGATGTAGGATTCCCCCAAGGCCCCGCCCGCCCTGCCGCGGCTGGAGACCAGGATGAGGATGATGATGAGGAAGGAGAGGTGGGGGCCAGCGGCGCAACACGCGTGACGAAGTCGCGGAGGAGTTGTACGGCAGCAGCCGACAGCGTATCGTACAGCTCCGGATCTTCAAGCTGCAGCGTGCCGAAACCCTGGACCATGGCCGCGACGGAGTTGAGCGCCGCCTTTAGGTCCAGCTCGCGGGAACGTGGGCCCCGTGACGCCACCCCCTCCTCGTCCTCCTCAGTGCCGCCAAAGGCACGGCTGCCCTCACCGTAGTAGCCGTGCCCCTCACCTCCGTCTTCGGAACCGGGGGGCGCCTCCAGCACCTCCAATGCAACGCGCTTGGCTTGCGTCGCCAGCGCCCCCAGCAGCAGCGCGTGCGGGTGTCCGCCGCCCGCAAAGGCACGCACCACCGCCGCCACGTCCTTACCATCGAGACCACCGACCCCGCGGGTCACTAACGCGTCCGCTGCCGCTTCGTAGGCCTCGGGAGCGTAGTAACCTGCCTTGGCGCACAGCCGCAGCATCGATGCCAGCTGCTGCGGCGTCGAATTGGCATGGCGCTGCACCGCGGCGTCTAGAAAGGCTCCGGCGACCCACGGGTCAGTCAGGCCCTTCTTACAGAACGCCTCCGCGGCCGCCGCCAGGCCTTCCGGGTCCTCATAGCTTGCACGTCGTACAGCCACGTTGTATATGACTCTGCGCAGGTCTTCTGACAACAGGCCCAGCTGCGCAAGCGCAGGAACCAGGATGGTAACGTGCGAGAGGTTGGCCATGTGAAGACGGCCGTACTGCTGTCGGGCGTGGCTCGGCGGGGCGGGCACACCGCGGCCATCTTGTTGCTGTTGCTGGTGCTGCAGCTGAGGGCGCGACTGATGCGGCGGAGGCTCTCGAGGGTGGTGGCCATGGTGATGGTGGTGCGGGTCTCGTCGTTGGTGCCGTACGGGTGGGGAGTGGGAGCCGGGTAGGGAGTTGAGGATGGTCGCGGAGCAGCCGGGGGCCAGCGACTCCAGCACCCGTGCCAGGTGCTCGGGTGGGGCACGATGCCGTATCAGGCTCCAGCCCTACAGCGAGGAGAAGAAAGATGCATAGCTTCAAAGGGGAGATTCCAGAGGGTTATGGCACTAACCTAAAAAGAGAAGAAGAAGCCGTATGGAAGCACAGTAGCGCAACTCTTAGCTCACGCTCACCCACACCCCCGCCTCACCTGCAGCAGCGCCAGTATGCCCTCCATGTCCGGCCCCACAGCTCCCTCCAGCGCTGCCGCGCTGTGCACCGCCACCTGCGCCCTCGCGCCGCCCAGCAGCTGCTCCCGCCGCCGCCCGCCGCCCGCCGCGTCCGCCGGCAGCGCCGCCGCCTCCGCGCGCGCCACCCGCGCCAGCTGCAGCACCGCCAGGCAGCGCAGCTGCGGGTGGAGCTTGTAGCGGTGCCCCCGCAACACCTCCTGCGGCCGCAAAGGGAAAGGGGGGGTGATGGCAAGGGCGCTTGTAAGGGTGAAGCCACCTCGCCTAAGTGCAGCTGTCCTCGCATCATACCGCACCATGCCGCTTCCCCCCTCCCACCATGCCACCACGCACCCGAAGCTGCTCCAGGGAGGTGGCCGCCAGGATCTCCCCGCGGATCCGCCGCGCCTCAGAGCTCACGGTGGTCATCCCGCGCAGCAGCAGCCCGGGAGCAGCAGCTGCTGCAGCCGGTCCCGGGAGGCTGGCAGCAGCAGCAGCGGGTGCGGCAGAGACCCCTGTCACAGGTGTTGGCACAGCTGCTGGGGGCATTGGTGTGTGTGGTGTTGTTGGCACCAGCAAGCTGGATGGCGGTGGAGTTGGTGGTATGGCTGGTGAGGCTTTGGATGATGCGACTGTTGGTATGGCTGTCTGTTCCAGTTCGGACGAGGACAAGGGTGTAGCTGGCGAGGGTTGGGGCGGGCGGTCTGCTGGGTGAAGGAGAAGGACCGGGAGTGGCGGTGGCGCCGAGTGTGATGATTGCGGATATGCGGCGAGGCGGTGCGGGCAGTGCAGCATCAGCAGGGGCTGCTGCCGTGTTCGCGCCAGCCGCAACAGCTGCCAGAGCTGCAGCGTGCCAAGCAGGGCCGAGGGGGCGCGTGTCGCAGCAGCAACGGTGTCGGAGGCAATGCTGCTGCTGTAGGTTGCAGGTGGTGGCACCGGCGCTGCTTGTTCGTGGGTACTGCCAGAAGACAGGAAACCCTCAACGCTAGTCCATTCGCAGCCAGCATGTTCGCTGGGTATTGGGAATGTGGATGAGGGGAGGCTGAGGGTGACAGCAGCAGAGGTCACGGTTTCTCCGGAAGCATCCTGGGGCGTGTGTGGCGGTGTTAGGTGCGACGTGGAAGTATCAGGCTGTTGCAGCGGCAGCAGCAGGCAGGAGGCCGGCGATGAGGGCACAAAGGCAACGGCACCTCCATTTGCCGACGTACAGGACTGCATCCATGTCCTGGGGAGGCAAACGGGGCAGCGCATAAGCTGAAGTAAGCTTAAGAAGCAAGTGATGGCTTTGCACAGGTGAACGCAACCACAACACCCCGCGTCGCATTCTCCTCCGTTTTTAATTAAAGGTTATCTCCCCTTGCCCCGTTCAGCCCCTCCCATGTAATGCGACTTACATGATCCTTCCAATCCGTCCAACCGCTGCTCTCTGCGCCAAAGGTACCGCCTCCATAGCGCCCATGGGGCTGCAGAAAGCGCTTGGACGACTGACGGCTTACCTGCCTGGGTAATTACGCAACACTTCAAACCGTGAGCCAAAGGAAGCTAGCCACGTCCCTGCTTCAACGTCGGCAACTCCTTGCTCATGCCGAATGAAAAGACTAAGGCCACGACAATACGCATTTCTTGGTACACTGTAAGACCTGTGTGACCTCCTAACTCCGCAACCAGCAATTTGCACGGACTAGAAAGTACACCGCTTGCTATGCCGTACGCGTGAGTGTCATTGCACTCTGTTCAGCTTTATCTGTGCAGAATTTCTTCCACACTATATAGAGTACTTCCTCTGCCCGTCAGCGGCTTTCAACGTCGACACAGGGTTGTCGGAGCTTCGGCAGCCGTTTAGAGTAGACTGAAGCTCTAGGAAACAGCCATGGCTTCCCTGGTGAGCTACCATTGCTGCAGGAGATAATTTTCTAGGTTCCGAGCTATCGAAGTCTGACCTTTGGCACCCTGATGCGCACTTACTTCATTGCAGCTGAAGCAGCTTGCGGCGCCCATCTACAACCGTATGGGTGTAGCCTACCGGGCTGCTGTGGGCCAGAAGCTTTCCAAGTATGGCCTTCGCTTCGATGACCTCCAGGACCCTCTGAAGGATGAGGTGGGAAACTTTGTGTCTTGCGGCATTTCCCGGCGACCGGCCCCTGTTAAAGGCTGGCATGCCACTCCTTTGTTCAGGATGTTATGGAGGCCCTGAGGCGGCTGCCCCCCGACGTGGTTGTTGCCCGGAACTGCCGCCTGCGGCGTGCTCTGGACCTCTCGGGCAAGCACGAGAGCCTGCCTCAGGAGCTGCTCGAAAAGCAGACGCCGGAGCTCTCCTACCTGACGGTAAGGCTATAATTTTGCTTTCATTTGCATTTCAGATTTCTTAGTGACTTCACGGTTCAATTACATTCGTTCCGCAGGATGTCCTGGAGGAGGTGCGCGCCGAGCGCCGCGAGCGTGCTCAGCTGGGAGCCCCGGCGCCATACACCCGCGAGTACTACCTGTCGCACTAAGTGCCGCGGTCACAGCTTATCGTGTATTAGTTTAGGTGGTGTCGATACGCGAAGATTTCTTTTCGCGGCTCTGCTGTTGTATGGACGGGTTCTCAACGCTACTTTGTTCCTATTAGGAGGACGTGTAGGTGTTCGGTGCCGTGTGCTCTGCACATGCATGGTGAAGTCCATGACGGTGATGAGAGCTTGTCTACACGGCTGCATACCTTTGTACGCTGCAGTTTTCCTTAACGCTATGGCATGTAACATCTGTGGAGATGTGGTGAAGAGGTAACATAGAGCTGTTGCCTTCGTGCTTTATAGGCACGGCTAACTATCCACAGAAACATGTTGTAAGTGAAAAAGCGCTTCTGGGAGGCATCCCAAGCCACTGAAATTGGTCCTGAAGACTTCCGCGATAAGCTTTGTGCAGCAATGGCATAAAGTCTTGTTCCCCTTCGCTGGGTAGTAGTATCCCCCTCCGTGCCCAAGCCAACGCCATATGATATTGAACACATAATTATTACAGTGAGATGAAACACAGAGAATAAGGGGGGCAGCGAGAGATGTCACTGGCGAATGCGTACGGCTCTCATCTGACAATCTTTACTCTGTTTAGCCAAGCCTGCAAGTGGAGTCCTATTATTACACCTAGACCCCGCAGATCCGCAATATGTAGCAGTGTTTAGCAGCTTGTTAGGCGTGCATGCATACTACAACCTTCTTGCTGTTCACCCAAATGACTTAGGGATTGTGAACGTTGCAGCAACTCGCTATGGAGTGCCCTTGTCCGACAAGATGGGCGAGCAACAGAACATGGACTTGCTTTCCTCATGAGCGCTTACTTGCAAATTTTCGCCCGAATAAGGGCTTTGCGCATGCAATTCGTCGACGACTAGCTTGTCAAGGCAGTCACTCAAACGGATCTTATGACGTCGGCTTAACACGGAGTCAGGAGGGACGTCGGCAGGTGCGTTGGGCGGCGCTCGACTAGTCACCTGGCGCTGCCACAAGCAGATGCAAGTATTCCAGGTAGACAGAATTGATGCTGAAGATTCCTGCTACGTTGGATTTGCAGCGTGCCCGACGCAAAGCTCCGTCGGATGTTGCCCCATCGACATCCTCGCCCTCGCCGTGGAGCCCCAGCGAAATTGCGTCCAGTCGCATGGAATGGCTGCACGGAGCCAAGGAGCAACCCTCGGAGGTTCGTACTGGCTGCGACCCTGCAATCAATGCCACCTTGTATGTCTCTAATCCCCCTACTACAGCCGTGCCTATCCTCTCACACACCACATCCATGCATCTTCCCTCTACCGGTCCAATTGTGATCCCAGGCACCAAACCATTCCTTTTACACCCTCACCGCCACAAACCAGCAGCTTCTCTTGCAATCAACCAGCCCGCAGTCCGCACCAAGCACCCCGCGACGCATCCCCATGTGACCCAACCGCTCACTAACCCCCATGCCCACCCCCACGGCCCCCACCCGTCCCATCACCGCAGGTGCTCCTCTCCGCCCTGCTAGCTCCCCAGCAGCTGCCCCCGCAGCGGCTGCCAGTGCTGCTGGCGCTGCTGGAGGGGCGGCCCGACCTGCCAGCCTGCCTGCGCGCCGCTGCCGGGGGGCTGGGCGCGGTGGCGGCTGCGGTGACGCGCAGTGAGCTGCTGCAGCGGCTGCTGCCGGGTGGACGGCTGCATGAGCTGCTGGCAGAGTGGGTGAGTGGAGGTCTGTTGCTCTGTTTGGGCCGAGGCGAAGAGGGCGAGAGCGGATGTGAGGGAGTGGCGCCGTGATGCAGCGGGTGTGGTTGTCCTGCCTTATGAATCCTACCTCTTTCTTGTAGGAATTGCAAGCACAAGCCAGTGTTGCTTCGTGGCTCGCAGATTTTCCCCCTCCCTTCTATCCCTTCCTGGCCCAACCAACACCCCACCCAGGTCGAGCTGCATGCTGCTGAGCTGTCCCCGGCTGAGCTGCACGTGGCAGCCCGCCTGCTCGCCTGCTGGGCCCCGCCCACCGCTGCCGCCCTGCTGGCGCCCGCAGCAGCAGCCCTCGCAGCAGCCGCCTCGGACAAAGCGCTGAAGCTGGGGCAGCCAGCCGGTGCTGGCAGCGGCAAGGACGGCAAGAGCGGCAGCGGCCGGAGGAGTCGGTCCGCGACTGCGGCTGTGGTGGTGGTTGTGGTGGATGCGGGGGAGGTGGCGTTGCTTGCAAAGGCGTTGGAGCTGCTGCATCCTTGGCTTTCCTGGCGGCTTCCAGGCGTGCCACATGGGGCTGTGGGAGCAGGGACGACAGCAGCAGCGGCAGCGGCGGCTGGAGAGCCCTGCGATGGCTTGGAGGGCTTCCCTGGGCGGCTAGGGACGGAGGATGGGGACGAGGGGGAGAGGGAGCAGGAGGGCTGGTCCCCTAGCAACGAGCAGGCGGAGGCGGTGCTGGCGAGCGCGAAAGCTGCCGTACAGGCGCTGGTACTGCGAGCAGCGGGTGGTGGCGGCGCTGTGACGACGTCGACGGCAGCGGGGGCGGGGGCGGTGGTGACGGATGCGGCTGCGTTGCATGCGGTGGTATCGGCGGCGGCGGCGTATGACGTGGAGGTTCCGTGCGACCTGGCGAGGGTGAGCTGGGGGTTAAAGCAACTGAGCCGCGTGACTGTGTGAGGTGTGGCTACTGGTTAGGGGAGTCGCGACGGGGAACGCAGTCTGTGGCCAACAGTAATAGCGGGTTTGGGCTCTGTTTCGAGGGCTGTGAGGACTGGACGCGCGAAGGCACAACTGGTGATCGCGGGACTTGCGCACAGATGTCTGAAATTCCTTCCAGCTACTACTATATCCTCCCCGCTAAGGAAGGTGTCCTGAACTGCCCTCCACCTGCCGTCCTGCCGTACAGGCCGCCGCCAGCCTCGTCAGCACCGCCTCCACCTCAGCCGCCTCAACCCCTGCCGCCGCCGCCGCCGCCGTCGAAGCCTCCGATGATGCGCCAGCGGATGCCGTGACACAGCTTGCAGCGCAGCTGGCGGCTCAGGCAGTCGCTGCATCTGCCGCCGCTGTCGCCGCCACCACCGCCGCCGCCTCCGATGTTGGCGGCGGTGGTGCCGCCGGTGCCGCACCCCTGAGTGCTGGGGAGGTTTGCGATCTTGTGTCGTACCGTCTTGCTGCAGATGTGGGAGGGGAGCAGCATGTGGCTTTCCTAGGGGGGCTTGCAAACAGGCTGCAGGACCTGCAGCGGCGGGCGGCACCGCTACAGCCGGCTCAGCAACAGCAGCAAGGGGGGCAGGCAAGAAGGGATGGAGGTGCCGGAAGTGAGGAGGAAGGGCAGCCGCAACGGCGGCGACGCGTCAGTCGGAAATCAACGGGCACGGCTGCGGAGGCGAAGGGTAAAAGTGAACGGTTGCCGTACTTGGGGCTCCTGGAGGGGTTAGGAGCCAGCGCTGCTGGGATGGGCGCCACCGCACTCGCGCTGGCGATGGGATGTACGGCGCAGGCGATCAGCGTTGTCAGAGGCGCCGGTGCTACCGGCACTGCTGATGCTGCAGTAATACTACCCAAACGTGGCGTTGACGAGGATGTGACGGAGGCGGCTGTGGTACGACAACTCTTAGAAGCGGCCGCAGCGCTTGCTTCACCCTTAGCGTCAGGGCAAGAACAACAGCAGCAGCGGGATGGTGCGGATGCTGGCGACGATGACGAAGGCCAGCTAACCGGGGACAAGCTCTGCGGCCTGGCGGCAGCAGCGCTCCGGCTCCAGCGGATGGGTGCTGCCCCCGGGGCTGCTGCCGCCGCTGCTGACGGCGGCAGCGACGCCGTGTCTGCCGTACTGGCGGCGTTGCAGTCCTCGCCATCCTCCTTACAGAATGCCAGTGTGGATGCGCTGGCGGCAGTTATTGCGGCGGCGACCGACGTTGACCTGAGTGCAGGTACGGCGGCGGCGGTGGCGACGGCGGCCTCAGAGGAGCTTCGTGACACAGATGCTCTCCGGGGGTTTGGCGGTAGGGACGACCAAGCGCCCTCCTCGTCCTCGTCTTCTCCGGACCCCTTGCAGCCAGCAGCGCTGCCCGCTGGGCTGCTTGATGCCCTGCTAACGCAGCTGGCGGCAGCGGCAGCGGCGGAGGCGAAGGCCAAGGCCGCCGCTGACGCCGCTGCCGGCACATCCGGCACAACACCACCTCGCCTCCGCCGTCGCCGGCAGCCCTCCACACCGCAGCTTAGCTATGAGCAAGCGTTCGCAGTTCTGGCGGCGGCCACGGCGGCAGCGGAAGCCGCCGCTGGCTCCGCACCTTCCACCTCCGCCGCCGCCGCCGCCACCACCGCAGCGGAGCCCACACCAGATCCACAACGCGTAGCGGGGCTGCGCGCCGCCAGCTACGTTGCATGCCGGGCGTTGGCGCTAACTGTACGACAATTGGACTCCACCTCCGCCGTACGGCTGCTGCAGCTCGTGGCCCGCAGCCACAAGGCCGGTGTACGGCCCGACTTTCCGCCGCTCTTGTGGGCCTTGCATGAGCGTTTGCGGGTGTTATCCTCAACCCTGAGTCCTGCGGGTTCCTTGGATGTCCTCCGGGCTTGTACGGCACTCCGGTGGCGACCCGCGGTTCTGTTACGAGAGCTGGTGCTGCCGCTGTTGCGGTGGCTGCAGGCTGGGGCGGATGCGCACACGGGCGGCCTGGGTGCGGGTGCGGTAGCTGCGCTGCTGCCAGAGGACGTAGAGGGGAGGAGGAATGTGAGTGGGGATGCTGGTGGTGGTGACGTTGATGACGCGGCGTGGAGGCAGGGGTGGCGACGGCGGCCGGAGGAGGGGGTTCTGCTGCCTTGGACGCCAGCAGAGCTGAAAGAGGCGCTGTTGCTGCTTGCCAGCCTTGAGTTTGGCGGGCAGGTGGCGGCGTCGTTGGTGAAGCTGGGTGTCGGCGCACTGCTACGGTCCCATGGGTCGGCGGTGGGCGCTAGACGTGCAGGGAGCGGTGGAGGCGCCAGCGCGCCGGGGGCGGTGCTGTCGCCGGCGGATTTGTCGTTGCTGCTGTGGGTGTGCGTGTCCATGCGCTACCGAGGGGCGGCTTTGCTGCGGCAGCTGCTGCAGCTGCTGCTCCAGGTGAGCGGAGGGGATGCGGAATGGGCGCTTGCGTGGCACGCTGCCTGTCTGTTTGTCTGGGTCTGCAAGCAGCTGAAGATCTCTGCAGAGCTCAGGAGGAGGATGGCGCTGACACGGCCGCATAGCGCAGGATCGCTACCCGTATCGCGGCCGAGTCTTCTCCTGCTGTCGATCTACTCACACCTCACATGACCCCTCACCTCCGGCTCTCCGCGTTCCCCTCTGCCCACACAGGTTCCCAGCCCGCAGGTGGAGGTGCGTGTGGCGGCGCAGGCGGTGTGGGCGGCAGCTCGGCTGGGGGCGGTGAGCGAGCGGCTGGTGCGCTGGGCGCTGGCGGCCTGCCAGGGGCCGGGCAAGCTGACGGCAGCGGCCCCGCAGAGCCTGGCACTGCTGTGCTGGGGCCTGGCGAAGCTAGGTGCGTAGCCCCGTACGTTATGGGTTGCATGCGGAGCGGGTTGCTGCGGGGGACCTTGCTAGGTTACCGGTACTACCGTGTAATGAGATGTATACGGTAAGCTACAATGGCGGAGAGGACAGTTTCTAACATGACGCTACCATCCGTTGTATGTGTTAAGAGCCTGTTCCGTTCCGTATCTTGTATATGTCATGCGGATGTGTTAGTGTTACCGTCCTGGTTGCGCATGCCCATGCCCGCCCCAGGTGTCAAGCCGCCACGAGGCTTCATTGTCGCGGCCACCACAGCCACCCTAGCCCAGTTGCAGCGCTTCAAGCCGCAGGAGCTAGCCACCACGCTGTTCGTACTCGCCACATGGCGCGGCCGCCTTGACAGCGCAAACGGCGAGGCAGCGAGTGTGGTACAACACGTCGTTGCGACGCGTTCGTTGTACGACGGCCCAGAGTTGTGTACGGCTGTTTGGGCTCTGCAACGGCTGACGTCGGCTTCTAGCACGGATACGGGCTCAACAATCGATTCTCAGCTTGACGGCACGGAGGCCCCTGCCGTACCGCTCAATGCCGCCGCGCTGGCGGCCATTGAGAATCGGCTTCTCAAAATCCTGGCCGCCAGTGACCCACGGGTCGGCCTCAGGATTCCCGACCACCACCTCCTCCGCTACTTTTCCGCCTGCGCCGCATCTGCCGCTGCTGCTCCTAACGCCCAGCAGCGCCACCGTCCGGAGCGTCTCCTCAGCCTCTACTCCACCTCCCTCCTCCGTCGCCTTCGCACCCTACGTGCATGCCCGTCGTATGCCCCCCCCGTCCAGCAAAGCTCCAAGTTCCTCTGGTCGGTCGCTCGCGTCATGTCAATGTACGACATCCGAGATCCAGATCTGCTTTCCTCCCTGGAGTTGGCTGCGGCGCATTGGCAGGGGCTGCTGCAACCGAGTCACCTAGCGGGGCTGCTGTCCGACATGGCTGCGCTGGGGCACTATCCGCAGCACTGGGCGGCGCGGGGGCTGCTACGGCGGGTTGGCTTGGCGCTGCATGTTGCTAGTGTGACGGAGGCGGGACTGCTTTTGGAGGCGATGGCGGCGTGGCGGGACCGCATGCGACCAGAGGCGACGGCAGCGATAGCGGCGGCGGCGGCGCCGCCGCCGCCGTCGGAGGCAGCGGAAAGTCGCCGGATGGAGAACGAGGAAGGTGGTCTTGAGGATGCCGTGGCGGGGGAAGCGGAGCAGGGAAACGGGCGGGCGGCGGTGGCGGAAGACGGGGGTGAGGCGGCGGCGGTGTCGGAGAAGCTCTCGACGCCGCAACTGCGCGGGCCCACCCCCCAGCGGCTTGACTTGCTGCGTCGAGTGGCTCTAGCCAGGCTAGAGCAGCTCTGCGCGGCACCGCCGCTGCCGCCACCGCCGCTGCCACCGCCCTCATCTTCCTCAACCCCTCCATCGTCCCCCACTTCCCAAGCACAGCAGTCCCCAAATATGTCTACCACCACCGCAGCATCACTCCTTGCCAGCGCCACCCCTACCCCCACTCGGCCAGGTGACTCCTTCCCGGCATCCGCGCCGTCAACCCCCTCTCCGACGGTCTCCTCCGCCACCCCTTCCGTCGCCGACGCCGCCGCCAGCATCTCCCTGGATGACTCCATGCGGCTTCTGACAGCCCTTGCCAAGCTTCGTTGGCACAGCCTGCCGGTGGACACTGCGCTGGTGCGAGCAGCTGCCGTACTGCCGCAGCACCGGCGGCGGCGGGTTCCGGAGCTGTCGACGCTGCTGTGGGTGCTGGCGTCGCTGCAGCACGACAGCCCGGAGCTGGTGGACGAGCTGCAGGTACGGCGATTGGCGGCAGTTGGGAGTTGCCGTACTAGGTTTACTGCTACTGCTCATGTTGGCTGCGAGCGCGAGGTTTTGGGAAATGCTGTAGCTAAGGTGCTGCCGTTGAAGGGATATGCCTGGCCCTTAGCATGCCCTTAGCATGCGCACTTCTGTATGTTAACGGTTATCACCTTTCCCTTCCTCACCTCCGCTGCCCTCGCGCATCCTTCTCCCTTGTCACGCACCCAGTCGGCGTTGCTTGGGGAGAAGCCGCAGCGGCCGTTAGCTGAGGAGCTCGCCTTGCTCGAGGCGGGGCAGGCGCGGGGGCCGTCAGCTGCAGGGAGCGGAGGAGCAGGAGGGGGCAGCCAGCCGGGTGCCACTCCAACCCCTGCTGCCACCACACAGCCCGAGGCTGCAGCGGCCTCGGAGGCTCTGACGGCGGCGACGGTGCCTGCGGTTTCGCCTGCGTCTCCCGCTCCTACTGCGGGAGAGCCTGTCCCGGCACAGACGGAGGAGACAGCGGCGCGGGAGTCAGAGAACGTGGCACCAGCGCAGGCTGCCTCCAGAGGGTCTAAAGCAGCTCAACCTGCTCTGCCTGAAAGCAGCGGCCCTGCAGCGGAGGCAACCCAGAAGGGGGCCGCCGTAGGGGAGCCCCATGCAACCGTCGTCGATGCATTCGCTAGCAGCAGCAGCAGCAGCTCCGCCCAGGTAGCCATGGAATCTGACCGCTTAACGGGTGCTTCCGCAGCCGCCGCCGCCGTCACCGCAGCCGACGACGACGACGCAGAGCCCAAGGATTGGGAGCGAACTGCTGTCGACAGTGGTAACGGCGTGAGCAACCCCAGCAGCGGCAGTAGCCTCCTCTCCCGGCCCATCAAACCCCAGCAGCCAGCAGACACCACCCCTGACCCAGCGACCGCTACCCCGGCGCCATTCGACCCCGCTGCTGCCACGGCCGCTGCCGCCGCCGCACTCAACCAGCGGCACGTGCAACAGCTGGAGGGACCCATGGGTCGCGACATGCTGCCTTCGGAGCCCTGGACTCCCGTGGACGTCTTCAAGGCCCTATGGGCTTGCGCCAAGATGAACCGCCACCCTGGGCCGCACATCCTGGCGGCGGCGGAGCGAAGCTGGATGTCGTACACGAACCCGGCGGCGGCGGCGGCTGCCGTACCGCCGCCGCTGCATGCTATCACGGGCCTGCTGTGGGCTCTAGCTGTGTTCCGGCACCATAACGGCTCCTTCGCCCAGCGCCTGGCAGCGCAGCTCGCAGCGCGGTTGCAGGAGGGGCGTGAGGGCGGTGGTGACGGCAGCGGGGGTGTGGAGGCGGCGTTCGGGCGGCAGGCGCTGCAGGTGGCTGCATGCCTGCTGGCGGCGCAGGCGGATCGGGCGGAGTCGCCGCTGAATACGTCACTGGCGCCGGAGATAAGGGCGCGGCTGGTGGCAGCATGGCGCGCGAGGCTTGCCCAGCGCATGGCTCGGCCGCCGAACTGGTGAGAAGGCTGTGGTACATGTCTTAGTGGTTTAGTAATACACCGGCCGAGGGAGCGTGGATATGTAAAATGATTTGGACGCCGGTGTTGGTTGCTGTACCCATGTATGGCCCCCAACTGCTGTGTGCTACGCGTTACTCTGCAGGTATCAAGCTGATATCCTTTCGGTACTGCGCAAGATGGGCCTTACGGCCGCCGCCAATGTAGCCACCCCGGATGGTTGTGCCGTTGTGGACGTGGCCGTTGCCCTGATGCCGCCGCGACCCACGGGTCTGCCCGGTGCGGCGCCTGGCATGGCTACCATGATGACGGGGCAGCCGCCTAGGCTGCTGGCGTTGGAGCTGATTGGCCGTCACAACAGCGCTGCCAACAGCCCTCGGATCACTGGCGAGGCGGTGATCAAGTATCGGTTGCTGCAGGTGAGACTTCTTTGCCGTACGATGTGCCGCTGGGTGGGAACCTTTTCCAGCGCGCATGGCGCTGCATGTCTACCCCCGCAGTAATCCTCCTCTTGCGCATGTTTCTTGCTGTTGTTTACTCCTCTCTTTTCTTCTTTGCCCTCGCCCCTGCCATCAGGCCCGCGGCTACATGGTAGTCCCTGTACCGTGCGATGAGTGGGACCGCATCACTTTTCAGGACATATGGACCAAGATCGTCTACCTGCAGGCAAAGATTGAGCGGCGGACAGCCGTCGTGAGCGGCGGCAGTGTTGGGCCGAGCGCGACAGCGCAAATAGCGCCTCCAGCTCCGCCGGCTGCTGCCGTGCAAGCAGGGGAGCTGGTAAGCGCCAGGGCAGGGCTTTAGTTACGAGGGATGGGGTGTCATGGGCTGCCAGTACTGTAATGCGACACTGAGAGACTTAAGAGGATTGTGAGTGGAGAGGACTGCAGGTATGGACGCATCGCTAGAGTTGCACGCATGGCTTTTAGAGGTGCATGAGGGATGTGTTTAGGATTTCTGACTTGACAGTGAAGGAACTCTCCGAATGGTTGAGGTGAGGTAGTACCCAAGACGTCTTTAGCGAGCATGGATGACATCAATCGTGTTGCAAAGGTGTTTTGATTTGCCCTGTAGGAGGGCTGTAGTGAAGAACGGAAACTCGCCTTGCCACATCTGGGAGAAACGAGCAGCGTTCTTGCTTGGCGGTTGTTTAATAGAGCTCGGACATGAGTGGACAATGGACAGGCGTTGGAAGCTCAGGGGCGGTTTTCGAATTGGTTTGAGATGGCAATCGAAACAGCTCTATGGTCTTGCTGTCCGGAAAATAAGACGGTAGTCCACCGCTGTGTTGTCTGAGTGCTTGCACTGGGTAGTAACTGACACGATTGTCCCACGGGTCTTCACAAGACCGACCGCAGTTAGGGAAAATGTTTCCCTATACTGCACACTGCACAGCCAGCACAGTAGGAGAAGCCAACACGGACCCGGACACACTGCGCTAGGCTGCAAGCCTCGGAGCCGCCACATTGGTGGTGTCCCAAACGTCGGTAACATGCACGCACGAAGAGAAAATGAACTTGAACTAACACACGAGGACGCTCAACAGCACGCTGTGTAAGACCTTTTTGCGGCACACATTTACGAGAGTTGAAGCCCTGTTGCTTGACGCAACAGAAGCAGGTCTGTTAGCCATTTTGAACTTAAAACACGGATCACAATGCCGAAGTGCGGCGCTGTAAGGTTAGGGCGAAGACCCCGATCGCCTGACGTCAACACATGTATAAAACATCCAGTACACGTTCCGGACCACCGTAAGCCAAGGTCAGCTGCTAGCGGCGACAGGCCCCCCAGCCAGTTGCTGCACCAAAAGTCGCGCCAAGCCCTGCACCTGACGCAGCCCGGTCGCAGCACCGTCCTCGCCTTCCGGCTGGTCCTGCTGCTCCTGTTGCGGAGTCCCGCCCTGCTGCACAGCCCGCCGCAGCACCCCAAGCCCCTGCGCATGCTCAGCTTGCGCCGCTGCGTCTTGTACAGGCGCGCCGCCTGCCCTGCGCCGTGCCGCAGGCTGCAGCGTCTGCGCCATGCCCGCCGCCGGTTCCTCAGCCCTGCACAGCGTCAACAACACCGCAGCGCCCAGGGAGCTGATAGCTGCCTTCGCAGCTGCGTCTTCCTCGCCGCCATCCTCCTGCTGCTGAACAGCACCTTCCGTCGCGCCATTTGCGTCAGCTGTTAGCCACCGGCTGGCCAGCGGTGCCAACAGCAGCATGGCACGGCCGTGCGCCTGTCCATTAAAGACGCAAGGGACAGGCCGTAAGGACACATACAGGGAAAACATGTCTGCCATCGGCCACTCTCATCCGCAAGCTGTCGTAACAAAACAAATACAACCCGACATGCAGGGCAACGTGCTCTCCCTGTCGTACCTTCCGCGCAACGCAGACCCGCACGAGGACCGTTGCCATGGTGCCCACGGCAGGGCTCTCCCGCTGCAGAAGCTCCGACAGCTTCGTCGCCTGCTCTTTCTGCGCCTTCTCCTTCGCTGACATCGCTGCAGCCGCCGCCTTCTTGCCGCCAGCGCGACCCGGCCGCTGCACGTCGCTGGCACCGTCGTCTGCGTCGGCTCCACCTGCTTGGTCGTTGCCCTCGACGCCGTCGTTGTTGCCTGCGGCCTGGGGCTGGAGGATGTCGTCCAGCTCCGAAGTGACCCGTGGGTCATGGGTGAGCGTCATGCCCGTTGCGGTGCTCAAGGTGTCCAGCCAGCCCCCGGGAGCGACCTACACAGCACCGACCGAGAGGGTGCATTGAGAACCGCTAAGCTGACTGAGCATCGACGGGAGCCAAACAGGAGTTTGTACGGCTCCTTATCTACAGTACGGGAGGGCACGTTCCTTCACCGCCGTCCTTTGCGCGGAAACAACCTGTCAATCCCCACCTCCTTCGTCAACGTAAGCAGCTCGTTAATAAGGTCAGCAGCGCCATTCCGCACCTGCAGGTAAAAAGATGCAACGCAGCGGGTGTTGGCCTTAAGCATAGCAGTCGGTAGTGTAGCAGCTGTATGCACAAAGGCTTACGACAGGTTTACAAAGAAAGCCCATGCTCCTTATCCCGCCCAAACCCACCGCTCCCTTTAGCAGGTCCGCAACGGCGGCGTCGCACAGCAGCGCCACCAGCACCTCCGCCAAACGCCCAACCGACACGTCCGGCGCAGGTGGCTCCTCCACATCCGCCACCTCCTGCCCCTCGGTATCCTCCTGCGCGTCCCGTTCGTCGCGCACCGCCTCCATACGCGCCTGGAGCTGCTGCGAGGGCAACTCATCAGCGTCCTCGCCTGCATCGCCGTCAGCAGCAGCCTTCCGCCGGCGGCCGAAGGCCGGCCCCGGCGTCATAGCGCCGCCATTGGCACTGCTGTCAGGGGCATCTTCAGACGCGCCTTTCCGAACAGCCTCCGCCAGCTGCTGGGCCAGTAGCAGGACCACTTGCAGGCTGCAGGAGACGCAGGCCTGCTGTTGCTGCGAGCCGCCGCCTTGGCTGGCAAGGGCGGTTGCTGCAGCGTGGACGAGCCCCGCCTGCGTGCTGCAGAGGCCGGCAATGGTTCCGACGTACTCAGCGCTCATGTTCATAAGGTCGTTGGACTGCACAAAGTGCAACACGCGCAACAGGTCGTGGCTGTACTGCAGCGCCGCCAGATGGGCGGCCAGGCTTTGGCCTTCCTGCGGTAGTAGGAAAGGGTTGCGGAAGCGGACCTTTTACTTGAACGTGAACGAGTGCCATTTTAGCAGGTGTAAAGCTGTGAAGTAACAATATGATAGCGCTGATGCCATAACCCAGGCATGTCCGGCACTCACCACGACCAGGCTCGCGAGCTGGGCACACGTCTGAACCGCGTAGTCAATGACCGGCACGATCTCGTAGAAACCCTGCAACAGCGCATCCTCGTCTCCGCCATCCTCCGTGGGCATCTGGCTCCTGCCTCGCTCCGATGCCGCCGGCGTCTCAGCCACAGCTTTCTTCTTGCGGCGGTCACGGCCTGCTGAGGCGGGTGTTGGCTGCACCGAAGGCGCCTCAGGTGCCTCGATGGCCTCGGTCCTTGGCCTGGCGGTCCACATGGCCCGATGCAGGGCAGCACGACAGTACCGGGACAGAGCGCCCCACGGGTCGCCCAGGTGAAGGGCGCGGTCGTCAGCGTTGTCAGCCGAGCAGGCGGTCCCGGCGGCGGGTGCACTGTCAGCCTCATCGGCGGCGCCCTCCTGGGCCATGCTGTTGATGGCGTCGGCCTCCTCGATGGCAAGCTGGTGCATGGCCTGCATGGGATGCCGTGTGTAAGGCAACAACTTGCAGTTATGTGGACACAATAAATAAGTTCTGTACGAAACGTCGTTTTCACGTCTTTGCCACCCACGGTTGCCACACATCTCCGTGTCCAGCGAGTAGGGAACTAGCACGCACCTGGACCATGCCGCCAAAGTCGGGGTGGTCGCACAGCAGCGCGCGCCCCTCCTCCAGCTGCAGCAGCAGGCCCACGCAGCGCCCGGCATCGGCCGCGAGCAGCTGCACGTGTTGCAGCTGCGTCTCGCACTGCCAGCAGAACCAGTCAGTCTGGCAGATAGGGGCATTTAGGGGCAAAGCGGATGCGATGTTAGGGTATCTTACTATTTCATATGCGTGTTTTTCACAAATTGCAGGAAATTGACGGCGGGTATCCGTATTCCGTGAAAGGGGTCCAGAAGCTTGAAGACATTCTCACCTCTGGGATTTCCTGGAGAGCGGGCCGTAGGCAGTGCGTATGGCACCCCACGTCGCAGCCGTCGCAAAGTAGCAAGGTGTCGGCCGGCTCGGGACGCCTGCAAGTCATTGCAGTGTACCGGACGAACCAGGCGATAAGCACATGCAATGCAGCAAGACAGGGTCTCAGGCTCCTTCCCCCTCAACTCCAGCTTCTCCGCAACCTTTCCCATGACCTTACTTGCAAGCCACGCAGACAACATTGTCCGCGTCGCAGCCCTCTTCCTTGCCGTGGCCAGCCTTCCCCACGTCGCCGCCACCAAGGATCTGGTCCAGTAGATCGCGGCCCTCGCCGTTGCAGCAGGCATCGCGGTCGCCTTTACCCGCCTTCGAGGCCTTCTTCGGTGCAGCTACAAGGAGGGTGTTACCGGCGGTGGCAACTGTTAGGCCTTGGGGGCATATAGACGAAATGGGACGAAAACAGGAGAGCAATGCAGAAACGGAAATCGAAAGTGAAAAAGGATGTCGTTTTCGCAGGTTACGGACCTGGTTTGCGGATTGGCTGCGGCTCCCTGACGCCCAGGGCCGCCGCCAGCATCGCTGCAAGCTTGGGACCGGTGCAGCCAGCTGCCAGTGCCTGAAGGATGGTAACCGGTGCATTAGCGGATGCTGAAACAGGGCTGCAGGTGTGTTCACGTGGCATTCGAGCAACTGATGATGATAACCCCAAACAATGGTAGAAGACCCCTCAGGTGCCATTGCGTGCACACCCGCCAGAGCTACCATGGACTGACCTTCAGGAACTCCACCAGCAGCCCCACGTCCCGATGCTGAGACGAAGCTGAACCGTCGATCTACGCATGTAGAATGGGGAATGGCACGTGGTTAGAGACGTGTCACGGGTAGTAAAGCCGTGATGGTGCGTGCCGCTGCATATGTGCGCTTCTCTACAGCGCACAGCTTCACCCAAGCTCAGGTAGCGCTGCAATCCTAGCACCCTCACCTCCATGGCGTCGTCGCCACCGCCCGCTCTCAACCCTGCAACACACCAAAACGCAAAGGGTTCAAAAATCTTGGTTACCTATGACGTACCGGTAATGACTGGGAGCATGTTCATTACTACCATGGTTAACGAGCATGCGAGAGGCGCCCACGGCGCATAGCAAGGAGAACCTCACCAGACAGGGTGCCCTGCGCCAACCGATCAAACAGCACAGCCCGTACGCTTCGTGCGGCAGACGTGAAGTACAGGGACGCCACAAGCTTGAGCACCAGCTTCCTGTAGCACCAACCGGAACAGCCTTCAGTTACGCACTCAACGGGAGAGGACTAGAAACCCTGCGAAGTGGCAAGGACAGGCCGCTAACTCCCCACGTGCTACAAACTCACACAGCCTTTGGTTTGCGCAGTGTATCCTCGGCCGTTGACAGCAGTTGTACCAGGCTGTCCTCGCTGCTCAGCACCGCCCCCACATCCGCCGCGCTGCACTCCTCGGTGTTGGCGACCGCGGCGCAGATCCCCTCCGCCACCTGCACCAGGCCCTCCAGAATCGCCAGCCAGCCCTCCTCCGTCTCCGTGATGGCATCCTGTGGGGTGTTGGTGCGGCGATTGAAAGCACAGGGGTTGATGCGGACCGATGACCAGCGCAGAGGGAGGTGAAAAGAGGACCGGAGTTGAAGCCCAATCTACTTGCATGGCGCGCGTACCTGTAGGACTTCCTCGTCGCTGACAGCGCTAGCTGGTTGCGCCCCGCTGGCATCAGGCGTGTCGTTGTTGTCGGCTCCCTGCAGTGCAGGTACAGGTAATAAGTGAGCAACCCCATCATTAATTGGATGAGAATAGGATGGAAAAAAGGAACAGCGCGGTGGCTTGATACTTGTCCAGCAACGTCACAGGTCGGCGGTCCACTCTGTTTACCTGCTGGTCGGCGCCGTCGTCGTCATCTAGGTCGTTGGGCGATCCCGCTGCCTTCTTCTTAGCGCGCTTCTTGCGAACCGGCGCCTCCTGACCGCCTGCCCCCTTCCCGCCGCGCTGCTTGGCAGCACTTTTGGCCCGCTTGTTCGCCGGTTGCTGCTGAGCGGCGGCGGCCGCCTGCCCCAGCCCCGCCCCAGACGTCAACAGGTGCGAGAACAGATCCCCAAAGAGCTGCAGGATCTGCTCCAGTGGGACAGAAGCAGTGAACTCAACCTTGCCCTTGCCGCCGTTTTTGACCCGTGGGTTGCTCGGCAGGAAGCGGGCCACAAGGTGGCGGCAAAAGGCCAGACCCGCCTCTGGTTTGCTTCGCAGTAGGGCTCCAAGGCGGGCCTGCAGTAACAACAGCCGGGATTGCTAGGATAAGCCTTCACAGCAACGCGCTTACATGATGTAGCCATGTGACACCCAAACACGCACCGCGCCTTCTTGTGCGTTCGGGAAATAGCTGGGCACCAGGATGCGCGCAATCTTGCCCGCCACCTCCGGGTTTGCGTCCACTGCCAGCGTCTCCAGGAGGTGCTCCAGCGACACCACACTCGAGATGGGCAGCCCCCGGCAGGTGCCGACCCCCACGAGCAGGTCAGCCAACGCGTCACGGACCTTGGGGTCGCTGTCGCACAGCAGGTCGGCCAGACCAGGCAGGGCTTTCTGCATGCAGGAAAGCCAACGGAAGAAAGGACGTAAACAATATTCGCAGCTTACGACCTCGTATGCCCAGTATAGGTAACCTAGCCGGTAGCACCGGTAGGAACCGAGGATTACACTGGAGGACCAACCAGCAAGGTGTCCGTACTAGCACCGGTAGCCTAGCATGCAGGTGCCGCGGTCCTTACCTTGAGCACCGGGAGCGCGTGTTGGCTGTCCAGCAGCGAGCGCATGCCGCGCAGCACGGCGATGCGGACATCACGCGAGGAGCCATCAAACGCCAGCTTGCCTGGGGTTGAGAGGCACGGGGATGCGCTCCGTCATTAAGCCTGGGCTGCGGTACCAACGAGCAACTGGCTCATACGCGCGCTTTCACAGCAACCGGAACAATCAAAACAGCAAGCCTGCGTACTGCTCTTGAAAGTCCGAACGCACCGGTCATGTCGCCAATCATTTTTGCGCTGGTCGCTGCCGGGATGATCTCCCAGAAGAACTTGAGACAGCGGCAGCAGCTCTCAACCGCCGCCTCACGCACGCTTGGGCAGGCATCCCCCAGGCTTTCCAAAAACAAGCCCAGCTGGTGCGTCATGCGTGTGTTGTTCTCGGCAGCGCCGGCCTCAGGATCCTGCAGACATAGAGGCAGCGGAGTCCTCACCGAAACATGACGTCAAGGACATCCACTGTCCTGTGCCTCTACTAACCTCTTACAGACAACCGTATGGGCACTGCAGGAGCAAATATCCTACTGTTGTTCGACCCCTTTGGAATGCTTCTCTGTAGCTGCATGTGGAACCCCCTGAACAGGCCCCGCCTTCAGGCGTCTCACCACAATGGGAAAGGCCGCCGCAAGCAGGTTCACGGCGTTGCGGCGCACCTCCGCGTTGGCGGCGGCGAAAGCCCGGGGCAGGATGGGGTCGTACAGCCGGACCAACGCTGGGTTGATGCGCTTCTCGAGGTTCCTGGTGAATAGGGACAAGCATGTACGATATGAGGGAGAAAGTTGCGGAGGTTGTATGGGAGAAGCCGAACCACGCTGCAATGCGATGTGTGTCACGGCGCCGCCACCGTGTTACCGTTACGGTGGCAGCACAATGACACTTATTCCGCCGTTACCCGCCAGGGCCGCTTACTTCTGGCTGTGGAGGCCGTTGAGCACCGAGCGAATTGCCTTTGCCAGGCTGGCCGTGGACGCCGTGATGGCTGCCTGCATGAGCGTCTGTATCTCCGACTCCACCTCCGCCGCGCAGGGGCCCACCGTGTCGCGCCACGCCCGGAACAGGATCTCGCCGTATGCGGCCAGCGTGGCCGGCTGGTTGGACGGGATCTGCGTTTGCATGGCGGCATGGAGGGGCCCTTCCATAAAGGTCCTGCGGTCTTACCCACGTGCGGTAGCCCCTGCTACACACAACCATGGAGACAATTGTGAAGCAGTAGCACACACCACCTACCTGGTTCCGGATGATGGCAAACAGCTCGTTGGTCATTTGCGGCTCCAGGCGGAAGCACCATGCCACGAAGCGGCGGCCTTCGGACTCGCGCAGGAACGCCGGGTGGAAGGCGGCAAACAACAACAGCGACTTGGTGTCTTTGATGGTTTCGTCGTCCCACTCCAGCAGCTCCATTGCGTCCCGCATCGAGTAGCACAGCTTTATGAAGGAGGTCTTGGGCTTGTGCAAGCCCTGGACAGCGCGACACTGCAAAAAAGATAGTAGAGCAGACGCCCGTGAAGTGCGGTTTAGGTGCGAGCTGAAGGACCATGCAACACGTGCTCAGCCAGTAAATGGGAGGGATGGAGCTTTGACTGAGTGTCCAGGAATCCTGGATCCCAGCTCTACCTTGCCATGCCCTTGTAAAGTAACGTATCCCCGAAACGTACCAGCAAGTAGGGAATGGCCCGTGTAATGAGGAATTCTTTGTCCACCGCTCGACGCTCCCACCATGAACAGCACAGCTTCAGCGCTGCGTCCTGCAAGTCGATGACCAAGCTCTCCAGCTCCGGGCACAGGTTATTCTGTTCAGGTACGTGCAGTAGGGAAAAGGGGGACAGTAGGGGAACCAGTGGGCGTGGAGAGGCACCATGGTGTTCAAAGGGGCAACAAAACCAGCGCGCATGCGCGCCCTCGGTGTAGCATTCCACAGTCTAGACGAACAACATGCTAGAAGGAAGATGCGTGACACTTGCACAGCCCTGACTGTAAAACTCACCATGAGGACGTAGTCATGAAGCATGCGTGCGGTGTTGACCAACGCGTCACATGGCTGTTGTTGGCTCCGCATTAAAAGCTCGTGCGACAGCAGTGCTGCACCATAGAGGACAAGGATGGCGCCCTGCAATAGAGCAACGGCGATGGCATTGTGGAGCATACTTGTCAAGTATTGATAAGCAGCAAGCCGAAACTGATGGCGTCGCGGCTCAGGGCCCCCCTATAGGCTCCATGCTATGCATGCTACCCTGGCGGCCCATATAGGCTCCGTGCTATGCATGCTAGCCTGCCGGCAAAGCGGCTATGCGAAGGGCATGTAGGCCTTTCCAGGCTTGGTTGGATTCATGCTGAAGTGCGATTGAGCTTGCGTGCGCTGTCGGCTCGCGCATGTACTGACCTCCACGTCGTATGTGGCGTGTTGCTCCTGCTCCTGGCCCGCATCCAACTCGGGAAAGACAACAAGCAGTGCCGCCTGCACTTGTTGCTCTAGCGCTGAGCAAACATTAGTGTACTGTTGGCGAGTCAGCTCAGCCACGCCATCCACGCCAAGTTTCCCCCTCTGCACGCATTACAGTCAACCAACAGCAGCACATTGTGACCGTTAAGACGCCTGTCCCAGTGCGTATGTTTGCCCAACGCCTGAGGAGGTCTTATCGCACCTTCCCGAGAAGACGTAAGAATGAACCAAAGGATTCATCGGAGAGGTCAGAGACGAGGACCGGGCCGGCTGACCTAGCACTCTTCCGCGGCATGGCTGCGTATGATAACTTGCTATATTACAAGCTGCGCCGCCGGTCAGATTATTAAGTAAACTTTGCGTGAGGACTGGAGTCAGCACGGTCACCTATGCGTCGCATGGTGCCCTTTTCATTCAAGCTGTGTCTCTTCGGAAACGTAAGGACATAGGTATAAAAGTAAGACAAGGTTGCCTTATAGGAAGGAGGCGAGGAGTAAGCAGCCATGCAGCCTCTGCCGCAAGCGCTGTCATGTTCAGCTGTCGGATGAGTACGGCATCCTAAAATTCCTATTTTGTTCATCCTTTCTAGCAGCGTGCACAGTCTCACATATGCATCTGAAGTAGTCTTTTGACGCTTACTTAGACAACGTACACCACGCACAGGCATTACTGTAGAATCTCACGCGTCCCGGCTGCACAAATTCAACGAAGACTCTTCAAGCACTAGGAGGCGCTGGGTATTTACAGCGAACGAAATCTGTGCATAATCAACTTGGAGCTAAGCCTAGGTAGCCTGCTACCATGGAGGAGGACTTTGACAGAGAGATTAAAGTTGTTGTGCTGGGCAATGGTGGTGTTGGCAAGACAAGCATGATCCGGAGATTTTGCAAGGGCGTCTTCACCGACGAGTACAAGAAGACCATTGGTGTCGACTTTCTGGAAAAGGCTCAATTCGTAGACGCGCTTCAGGAGGAGGTTCGGTTTATGCTATGGGATACAGGTATTTATCTAACGGCGGCATTATCCTAAGAAATCCGTATTGGTGAAGCCTGACCGACCCGCACGCCCCTCTTCCCCTCCCGTTGCACAGCCGGCCAGGAGGAGTTCGACGCCATCACGCGCACCTACTACCGTGGTGCCGGTGCTGCTGTCATTGCATTCTCCACCACTGATCTGGACTCCTTCAAAGCGGTTCCAGGGTGGAGGGACAAAATTAATGCGGAGTGTGGCGATATCGCCATGTGCCTAGTGCAGAACAAGGTGGACCTGATTGATCGCGCAGTGGTTACAGCGGAGGAAGTGGAGGCTATGGCGCGGCAGATGGGCCTGAAGCTCTACCGCACCTGCGTCAAGGAGAACATCAACGTCACAGAAGTGTTCGGGTACCTAGCGGAGCTGCACCACAAGAAGCTGCAGACGGGACAGCTTAGCCAGCAGCCCGCGGCAGCTGCAATCACGGCGCCGCCTGGGTCAGCGGCAGCAGCAGCGGCGGCAGCAGCGGCAGTGTCTAGTGCCCCACCGTCAAACCCACAGGCTGCGGATGCTGCGCCTGCGGAGCCTGCACCTGTGCGCTCGGCGCCCGTCACCGTCAACCTGCAACCCAGCAAAGTGCGGACGAAAGGAAAGAAGTCCCTAAAGGACAAGCTCACGGCATGCTCCATAGCATGATACACGGTGCAGGCTAGGGTAAGCAGCGGCTGTCCCAGGCAGGGGTGTTGGCATGTGATCTGGGTTCGTGCAGGCGTGTGTAGATCTCATCTAGGGCTTGGAGTTACGGAGTTCCGTAGTCAAGATTTTGGGCGGTTCTCTCATGGACGCTCACCAACGAGTACACTTGCAAGAATTGTGTGCGTACGCTGTGCAGCTGAAAATGACCCCTCAGCGTGCAGTCTTGGGGCCTTAGACACTGCCATTTTCCATCATTGGCCTGGTTGGCGATGAATTTACTGTCTCCCTAAGGTTCTTGTCCCCAGTCATCCAGCAATCTGGTGTTTGAGTACATGTTTTTGGTGGGCAATCTGTCTTGGACGATGACGCTCTAACGTCGTACATACATGTTTGACGTGTGGACGTGTGATGGAACCATCTACCATGCCACGTCAGTAAATACCCAAACGGTTCAGTCGAAGCAGCGGGCCCGCTCCATGGCAATGTGTAAAGAGTAAAAGAATGGACCGCCCATGCATAGTACTTCTATGCTAATATACCCTATTAAGACGGGCAGGTATAGATCTTCACGCTTCCTAACTGCATGCAATAGCCATCTTCTAAGCTGCAGACGATACCGCCCAAGCCCTGTACATCAATCCCACGACCAATGCAAACGTCTTGAGAACACTCACATCATTTCATTTAGGTTAAGGCAACGCTGAACCACACAGACATGCACACCCGTCCCGAGGGACGCGCTGCCGTTTAAACACCTGACAGCGTAAGCACGCATTTACCAATAACACACAACGCTGGTGTGGACCCATGGCCCACTTTCCTGTCCTCACACGCTGTTCATGGGCACTGGAAGCGGGGAAGGACAAACAAGTACCCCGTTTGAACCACGCTCGTAATCTCCACAATAACCTTCAACAGGCATAACAAGACGATACAAAGTTGAGCTGACCCAAAGCTGGTTAAGCACGCTCCGTCTGCACGCCAAGATACAGTGAACGACACTCACAGCACGCTCTCGAATGGTAAGGGTAGCCCGCCGGTACACGTACGGGCCCAATGCAGGATACCGTCCTGCACGCTTAACCGCTTATGACAGGTCCGGCTGACGGATAGCAGTGACGAGGCGGTTCCAGCGGCGGCCCTTGGGGTTGACCTGGTGTGCATGGGGGGCATCCTTACTGTCAGACATGTCAGTCAAAGGCTACGCTTAAGGACGTCTTTCCATAAGCGACATCCAGTACATGTTCATAGGTACACATTGTGCGTGATTGCGTGATATCGAATACCAACACGCCATGTACAGCTGGTTACCTTGCGTGGCGCCTGGATGATTGTCGGGATGGGCAGGTAGACGTAGTGCGTGTTGACCAGGCCGACTGTGATGTCCGTCAGGCCCGCAAAGGCACCGTGTACGGCACCCTGGCCCAGCACCTTGCAGTACACGCGGTCGTTGCTGGTGGTTGGCACCGAACGGATCATGTACGAGGGGTCAATGTACTTAATGTCGGCGTCACCCTGCAAAGCAAGGGAAAACACATGATGGGAAGACACAACGTCAACGCCATATCCAGGCCCGCATCCTTTAAAAAGGCAAGTATGCAACGGATGTGAGTTCGAAGGTATCGGCGCCCTCTCTTAGGACAATCAGCACAGCCTAACTTGTCCAAGGTAGCAAACTAGCGAAGGCGTCGAACAGCTTAACGGTTTCCTGACCAACAGGCCTCTGCATGCACGTAGGGCGGCTCCCGCACAAGCCCCACCTTGAAGTACTTCTTGAACTCGTTTTTCAGGAAGACGCCGATGTCCGCCAGGATGGGGTTGCCGCTGGCGTCTGTCCCACTCGAGCCGTTCTGTTGCGTGGTGAAACACAGGTACACAACCGCCCGGCGGCGGAAAACACGTTGGCAAGGAGGTGGTTATGCGGGGAACAAGCTGGGGGCCACAAGAAGGCTGACAGTAGAGGAAGCCGGCACAGCATGCCAACCTCCAAAACGCCAACAGTAAATTACTCTAGCGCGCTTACCATGAGCAGGTCCTGGCCCGCGCCCTCCGCCACGCAGACGACGCAGTGTCCCTTCTTCTCAAAGACGTGGGCCACCTGTGGCAAGACGGCCGCAACGCCCAGAGAACACGTCAAGGCAGGTTGGCCAACACATCCAACACGACATGCAGAGCTAGCTGCGTACTATTGCATGCAGCTGAGGAGCAAGGCCGTGCAGGCTACACCCCTGCAGCTGCAATGCCGCACCTGCGCGCAGAGCTTGTCCATGCGGAATGGGATCTCGGGTATGAGGCACACGTCCGCAACGCCTGCAGGAGAAATGTGGCATAACAGGAGGGACATAAGAAGGCCGTGTAAGGACAGGAACACACACGAGTGTGAGTGCACATCTAACCATGTCTGCAATGTCCCCACCGCCCCTGATGCTCCCCCAAGCGACCCACCAGACGCCATGGAGGCCTGCATGGCGATGAAGCCCGACTGGCGGCCCATCAGCTTCACAACGCCCAGGCCGTTGCGCGCACTGCCGGCCTCCACCTGCAACAGCGGGATGAAACAAACCATTGATTGACCGTTACATTGGGTCCCAAGAGCCCCAAGGAGAGAACACGGGACGTTATATAAATGCGTGCCATGACCACAAATGCATAGGCGGCAGGCACGGCCTTGCTCTAACGCTCCAGGACTGTAACAAGCGTTGGACTAGCGCGCCACATGCTTCTACATAGCGAGCAACTCATGCAGGCAACCAACACAGGCTGCGTTTGTCCCACAGGCTAGGGACCGCCAGGCATGTAGCAGGGCGTTACCTTTGCGGCTAGCAGCGCCCTCTGCGCCTCCTCCACCGCCGTCTCGAAGCCGAAGCACTTGTCAATGATGAGGATGTCGTTATCGATGGACTTGGGCACACCCACCACGCTGCAGATCACGCCCTGCGCCTCGCACTCCTCCTGGATGGCGTTGGCTGCCGCGTTACCGCCGTTGCCGCCCACCTGCAAGACAACACAGCATGGCCCGTCGCCGTGTGTTACCAAAGGTACCAAAGTCGCCATTTGTCGAGGAAGAAAGCGATCTGGCTTTCGTAACGCGAGGAACCCGTGAGTTGCAAAGACCATACCCGTAATCAATCCGCAATGGCCATCGCCATCACCCGCCACCCGCACCCACCACAAACACCATGTTGAGGCCCCACAGGTCGATGCGGCGCACAATCTCCTTCACGTCGGCGCCACCGCGGCTGGTGCCCTGCAGCCGGGCACAGGGGAAGACCGAACTTATACCACGTGTGGTTGAAGAACGCTGGGCATATTTCAAGTACGCCACCGAGGTCTAGCGGCTCGGGAAAGCGGCCTTGCCATCCTTATCCCTTCATGTCACCCCACCAGCATGGTGCCGCCCTTGAGGTGGATGCCGTCCAAGTAGCTGCGCGTGAGGTTGATGGGCTTGGCGTCGCGCTCGTAGAAGCCGCGCAGGCCGTAGCGGATGCCCAGGATGTTGTCCTCCGGCACTCCGTAGTCCGTCAGCGTGTAGACGATGTTCTGCGGGTTTGTGACGCGGGAGGCGGCAAGGAGGAGAGCAGGTGGGCGCGACGGCGCATGTAAGGGTGGATCCAGATGTAAGCAGATGGTGGTTGTCCAGAGACCCTAGGATCCGTGCGCGGGTGTTAATTTGCAAGCGTAGCAGTTTAAAGATAGGTTTGCGCTTTTATTGCCTTCACCAGTTAAAACAGGTTCAGACGTCGGCACATCGTGTCGGTATATTTCCGCCGGCAAGGGGTTATCCCAACAGCCGTCACCGAGCTGGTCTGGCCTGTGCAATCACTTACTCCTGCCAGCGCTAATGCTGTGTACGCTAGCCACCTTCACGCAACCAGTGTGTGCATGCTGCTTGCCAGCCTGGGGACTTGGCTATTGCCTGGAACAGCCGGCACCTCATCCTTCAGTCGTCGGGCTGACAGACCATCCCAGGCCCCGACATTTAAAGGGCTGCCAGACACCGGCCTTTCGGCTTACGACACAAAACGCTGGCACCATGCGTCCCAGTCCCGCCCCACCCGCCTCCTCCTCCGCCCCACCTGGACCACATCGTTGAGGCCGGGGCACAGCCCACCGCAAGTAACCACCGCCGCGCTGACCTGAGGGGAGTGCGGGAGGCAAGCAAGTGGTTGCCGGTCCTGATGTTGGCTACATTAGGAGGCATGGGCATGGGGATAGCCCAGAGCTGCGATGAGTTACGTGCTGGCGTTAGGCGCTAGACACGAGCCATGGCCGCACCTGCTGCGGGTCAAAGTAGATGGTCTTCCGGGGTCCGCAGCGAATGGCCCACTCAGGCAGCAGCACGCAGGACTCCTCCTCCCCGGTGGTCATCACGCCGTGTGAGCAATAGGAACCTGAAGTGGCAGAGGAGGGGGTTAGGAGGGCAGAGGGTAAGTAGCAAGGATGTGGGGAATGCATGCTAAGGGCAATAGGGTGTTATAAGTTGTTCGCCAGCGCAACTGTCAAACCAATTCGCCTGCTCCGTGCAAGTGTCCAAAGACGGGGGAAAAGGAAGGGACGCAGAAGTTCAAGAACCTTGCCTTTTCCTGTCAACCAAACCCACCGGAAGACTCTGACGATTCGAATTCCACGGTGTGTAGCCGAATCCGGTCGCGGTCCCCAACTGTTCATGAGAGAGACAAGGGGGATACTTAGTTAGGTACCGGCACCGGCTTGACGGAGGGGTGCACCAGGACGCAAGCAGGCTGGGCTGCTGCCATTGAGCTAGCGCTTCTGTTAGTCTGCCGCTTACCGAAACCACCACCCTCGTTGTTGTTTGCGATGAAGGGGCTGTCCCTGTGCGAGCGACGCCACAGTAGAAACGGGGTGAGCAAGGTGGGCGACAGGCCGCAAGGCAGGTGCCTGAAACGTCATGTTCTGACGCACCTGGGAACAAGGTACTGACGCAAGTTCTTAAGCTCTAGCACATCTGCGATGTTCAGAAGTCGGGTAATTAGAGGAACTAACTGAATTGTGATGTGTACCAGAAGCAACTCGCGCGCGTAATCGACACGCACCCTCGTCATCGACGCTGTCTGTTGACGAAACTCGTCCTCCACCGTATGGAGTGCTAAAGTAAGGAGTAGGTTTTGGTGCGGCAGCGGGCTTCGCCGCTTGCTTGGAGGCCTCCGAAGTCTCCGCAACACATGACACCCGCATGGAGCACCGGCTCCTTGCTGACCGGCAGGCGATAGGGGCAGCCCGAGTTACACGTTGTACCTTTGACGCGGGGCTCCATACTCCGCACCCAACTGGCAATTGAAGCCGCATTTTAAGAAAGCTTCTGGTCACGTTTCCTTAGCCCTCGTCAGGGTTTCACGTCTCGCAGAGGCAACTGCAAATTTGTGAGAAGCAATTCACGAACGTGCAACAACAGTAACCCAACCGCATACACGCATCGAGGGCATCAAGTTCAGATACGGCATTTCCGAGCGGAACCAGAACATTACATGGCTTGGTAGTTTCCTTACTGTTCAACCAGTCTACAGTAGTATGTTATACATGTTCATGCCCTTAACCTTCTCGTTAGCTACCCTTTCTACGCTAGGGCTCTGAGATTCTGACAGTGGTGTGTTCACGCTTGTAAACCGAATTTCCCCGGTATATGCCTTTGATATGTTTATTATACTGTAGAGGACATGTAGATAACTGGGGCTGGCCCACGGGACTGGCGGGCCGGATGCTTGCCATGTCAGCTAGCCAACCTGCATAACCCGACAGTCTGGTTTGCCTTTGTGCCCCTTGTCTGTTAAGCGGTGCAGGTCTGCAACCTGTCTGGCATTCAACCCCAACGTGCCGTACTTCGCCACAGTTGCGCAACCCGCGGCGGTTCACTTCGCAGCCCCATGTACCCGCACCAACCCAACAACGCACCAACCTTACGCCACGAGACGTAACGCCTGCTCCATGACACCCTTCAGGATCTATCTCAACTGAAACTACCTTTCGTAACAAGGCCCAACTGGCTACACCGCCAATGTCCAGCAGCTGTGTTGGCTGCTGGCCTACAGTCCACTACCTAATGTTGAGCCTCATCGCCTGCCGCCAGCCCCCTTCTCAGCGCCTGCCGCCCGCCCCTGTGCGTCGAGTCCTCCATCCGCAAAACACCTTATCCGCCATACACACACTCGCGGCCAGTTATTTTAACACACACACTCCTCCGCACTCCGCCTTGTTTGCTCTACTCCTGCCCCACTGCGGGCCCCGGCAGCCACTCCACGCTGGCAGTCACCGCGTTGTGTGTGCGCGGGTCGCGAGCAACCAGCGTGATCTCCGTGGCGCCGAAACGAAGGTCGACCTGTAAGAGTTATGGGACGTGCGCGGTGATATTCACAGAACTTCTGGAAATGCAAGGAAGGATGCGGCAGGATGCGGAACACATTCTCCAAGACCCGTCGAACAATGGCCATGTACCAGCCCCAACGCAGCACACTCTTTGCTGACGTGCTCTGTCGTTTAGACATGTTGTCAGTAGCTTGAACCGGTGATGCATATTACACCGCCGTATGCAGGGTAGAGTGGGGCTTTTGATGATGCAAGAAGCCTGGCACTATACCGGTACCTCGAGGCCGTGCTCCCGTCGATGCCCAACTCGGTCGCCCCACCCCGGCGGCATGTCCAACTCCACGTGCGCCAGCTTCCGCATGCCCGGCTCCCCGATGTAGCGCGCGGTCGTGCTGGTTGTGGCATAGAGGTCGAAGGGGACGCGGGCCTGCTTCCGGCTGAAGGGGATGAAGCTCTTCGTAATTACCTCGTCCGCAGCCACCAGCTGACCCCGCTGAACGTACGGGTGAAACGAGCCGCCTGCAGCGCACAGGGCCGCGGCACTTTGGCGCATAAGAGCTTGTGTCAGGTTCAAAAACGTGCGCATCTGCAACCTCATCGCTGCAATGGGCGATGCGCATGGGCTCGGACAAGCACGCAACGGGAACCTACATGCATGGTACTCGTTGTCGTCCTCGTTCCACTCCTTCCTGGGGTAACCACAGCGCGCGTTGCTGCTGGCATCAATATCCGTCCAAGATGGTATGCAAATGTTGACCCCGTACGTGAACCGGCAGCGGCGGGCGGAGATGCGTGTCGGTAGCTGCCCAATCATCACCGCTCCTGCGGGATGAGCCGGGTGATGGGGCCATTCTTTGTAAGTACTCATTGCATTGAGCTTTACGGTTTTGGTGGAGGCATTCCATCTTCCGCTAAGACACAGCCAGCAGCAGGACTCGGCCGGTAGGCACCCTATGCACAACGGTTGTCTGGTTGCTAAGCAACACATCAACGCATGCCTCCCTACCAAACCGCACCATGCTCAGTATCCTCCCTCACCCGTCACCACCGCCGCCTCCGGGTTTCTGGGCATGACGAGCTGCAGCCCCCGCTGCTCGGCCATCGCCCGCACCCTCCGCTGCAGGTAGGCGCAGTTGGCCAGACCGCCCGACAGCAGCACCCGGCTGCACGGGCTGCCCGCAGCTGACCCCGCCGCCAGAACGGACTCCGCAGCGGCCAGGATGCGACCCACCACCGGCTCCAGAACCTGCGCTTCAACCACCGCCTGCTTCAACACCAGCTGGCCGTCGACCGACACCGAGGCGGGCCGGGGTGACAGCAGCCGCATGAGGCCCGGCGGCAGCTGCAGCCGCAGGTCGCCCGAGTGGCGCTTCTCGTTCTCCCACTGATTGGCGAAGTTCGTCCACTCGGTGGGATGGGTTTTCTTCCAGGTGACCCATGGGTCGGAGCCCACCAGGGAGCGGATGTGCTCCCACGCCAGCTCGTCCACGGCGCACCCGCCCGCGTCAATGCCTGGGACGGAGGTAGGGCAACGCATGCGACAACTCGGCACATGGTCTGCAACAGATCATATTAGAATAATGCTCTTTGCGCGCCACCCTCTTAAGCCCCCAGGTCCCTTTTCCCCACACAACCCCGCCCGCACTCACCCGTCCCCACCGCCTGCTCCTCCAGCCTCAGCTCCCTGCCGCGCCCCAGCACCCGGTGCAACGTGATGTCCGCCGTGCCGCCGCCGCAGTCCAACACCAGCAGCACGTCGCCATCGGTCAGGCAGGCGGGGCGGGAGGTAGAGGAACCGGTCTTGCTGGTGCCTCCCTTGGAGGAAGAGTCGATGCCCTGCTTGCCGTTGGTATCCGTAGCTGCTGCTGCAGGGCTTACGGGGCCGACCTCTACCAGCCCAGTATCTGCCTCCGCGTGTCCGTCTCCTCCGCTCTTGTCGCCCTGGTCATGGGTGGTGGTGGTGGCTGCCCCGCCTGGCCCTGCCGCGGTGCCGCTCCTGCCCTGGTGGAAGGCCGCCGTCAGCGCCGCTGCCTCCGGCTCCAGGGCGAGCATGAAGGAGTGGGGAGCGGCAGCCAGGGACATGCCTGCATGCGGGAGGTGTGGTGCATGCAAGGGGTGTGCGCTACAGCCATGAAGAGTGGGGGTTCTGGTCGGCCTAGCAGCGCGCATGGGCCACACCTCCCGCAGGTGGGCCTGCCACCCGCACACCCACCCGCCCTGTTCGCTGCCTGGCGCATCTTGGACTTGGCCTCCTCGTCCCACATGGCGGGGACCGTGAGGCACCACACGATGCGGGCGGGATCCAGGGGGGCACCGGCAGTGGCAGCCCTTGGAAGGATGCGTTTGGTGGCGTACCTGGAGGTGGGCGGGGGGGGGAGTGATGTTGTGTATACGGAAAGGGAGTGATGTTGTGTATACGGAAACATGGACTGCTAAGGCGACACACATGCAGTGACATGCAAACAGCAGTGAGCCGTGCAAACCTAATCTGCTGCCGGCTTCCAACAGGGATGCCACGCAACCCACACGCACACCCCTGGGCAGCAGCCACCCCCACCCAACTCACTTGCGCAGCTCTGTCAGGTAGTCCGCCACCACCTGCGTCGCAGTCAGGCCGGGCGGCAGGCTGGGCCGCACAGCCGCCCCCTCCTGCTTGCCCGGCTTCAGCAGCAGCTTGAAGGCCTCGAGGTAGGTGAACTGGCCGCTGCGCCGCTCCGAGTCGGACATGTCAGACCAGCGCCGCCAAGCAGGCCAGCCCCAGGCCTCCTGAGAAGGGTGGGGGTGCGGGTTGGCGGGAGGGGCGGGAGAAGATATGCAATGGTCTAATGGTCTAAAGCCAACATTAGTACCCCAACGCATGGCACATTTTTGCGTATTTCAGTCGCTAACGCCTCGCAACAGGCAGTGGCGAGCTAGATTCAATTTGTTGAGTGAAGGCTTGACGACAAACCGTACGAAGCAAATTGGGAAACGTCATGCCCCAACAAATGACCCGTGGGTCACATGGACAAGTTCGTAGGCAGCAAGCAACACTCGTCAACCCACCACTTTGATGCCCTTGTAAAGGATGGCTGAGCGCGTTTTGGGGTCGCTTGAGGGCTGGTCGGGCCATGACTGATGCAGCAACACGCGTGGAGTCGCTGACGAGTTGGTCACACCATCAAGCGTGGTCTCCCGTACTTCACACTCGTTAGCCCCTTCGTTGTCATCCAACATGCAGAACGCATAGCCGGATGCGTACGTGCCAAAGTCCACACCCACTACCCATGATGGCTTAGGCCAAGCGCTACCGGATTGCGTTGCTGCATGGGAGGAAGCTGGATTCTGCTGCGGCGGAGTCGTCCTGGGCTCTTGGTGCTTTGCAGAAGCGCTCACGCAGCATCGGATGGCACGGGTGCTGTCGCTGTGCGTGCGCTTAATGGCGGCATGGGAGCTCCGTCGCTTGAAGACAGCCGCGTTGCGGTTATTGCCTGATATGGCACGCATGCTACATATAAGCCTCTGCCGCCAAGCTCAACGTATTGATGGGTAAAAGTAAGGATAACGGGGCTTTCGGTGGATCGGCTTGAAGGCTGCCTTTGCAGGGACAGGGCACGCGAGCGCAACGGTTGATTGCAGGCTCTGTTAGAAACGCTAAAGCCGCGAACGTTTTCGCCCTCCTAAACGTTTATCTTTCGTTCTCGCAGCAAAGCCTCGAATTTAGAACTGGTCTGAGTAGGACAAATTGACGCATTCTGACAAGCATACCGTTGGCCACGTGCATGTACATTGTCAAAGGAATGTCGAGTGCTCAGCCTTGCTTTGCCTACGCCTAGCTAGGCCTGCAGCTTGCTTTCATGGACTAGGAAGAATAAGACTAGCAAGGGAGTCCTACCTCAGGAACTCTTGGCTGGGTGGGCCTGTTTCGTTGCCACGCGACACACACGCATTCCTGAACGCAGCTTGGCGCACGCATTACGGGCTTTTCCCTGCCGTTAAAAGCACCAGCATTACCTATTAACATCCATCTTCTTGGTTACGTGGCTGGCTTCTTCGTCACGCTGTTGACTCAACCTCAAGCCCGCGAAAGCTGCACTTGCAAAGTACACCCTGTAAGCCGTGAAACACACGGTACGGCCTCGAAAGCAATTCCGAAACAGCCCGCTTTGCGCTTACACCTTAGTTACGCGCTTGCTTAACCGCTTAAAGCCGCTACAAAATGCCTCCCTTGCGAGCAGACTGTCGGAGTGCGGTCCTCAGCAGGCCGCTCCCGATAGGCTCCCGGCTTGGCGGCCGCTGCTCGCGCATGTGCCATGTTCGGGTCCTGTCTTCGGCAACCGAGCCCAGGAGCCCTCCGCAGCAAAAGCCTACTGCAGCCGGCGGCGAAGGCGCACGGTCCAAGCCCGCTGTTGTTGTTGGCGTAGATTTTGGAACCTATGCATCTGGATATGGGTTTGCCAAGTTGGCGGATACCGGTTTGGGTGGAGCAGCCTCTGGAGCTCCGGCAACGGCGGAAAGCACGTCAGCAACCGCGGACCCAAAAGTGTTGTTGCACCACCACTGGCCGGAACAGCCCATTGAAGATGCCAAGACGCGAACCGCCATTCTTTACAATGGAACCAAAGTGGTGGGAAGGGGCCTAAATCAGCGCCAGCAACGCAAGTGACCCACGGGTCGCGCTTTGAGCGCAGACATGCAGCCGGTTAACGAAGTTATGCGGCTCGGCAGTTACGCTCCTGCAGGAGCCCGCGACGCTGAATTGCTTCATTTCTTTTCCTTCCCTATGTAGTTTTCGGTGCAGGTATGCTTTGTAGCGGGTTTGGCGTCTTTCACACTTCCTCCGCTCCTCCTTCTCGCCCCCACCCTCCTCAGGAGGCCTGGGGCTGGCCTGCCTGGCGTCGCTGGTCTGACATGTCCGACTCGGAGCGGCGCAGCGGCCAGTTCACCTACCTCGAGGCCTTCAAGCTGCTGCTGAAGCCGGGCAAGCAGGAGGGGGCGGCTGTGCGGCCCAGCCTGCCGCCCGGCCTGACTGCGACCCAGGTGGTGGCGGACTACCTGACAGAGCTGCGCAAGTGAGCTGGGTGGGGGCGGCTGCTGCCCAGGGGTGTGCGTGTGGGTTTCGTGGCGTCCCTGTTGGAAGCCGGCAGCAGATATAGGTTTGCACGGTCCACTGCTGTTTGGTTTCAATGCTTGTGCGTTGGCTTAGCAGTCCATGTTTCCGTATACACAACATCACTCCCCCCTTGCCCGGCCCCAGGTACGCCACCAAACGCATCCTTGCAAGGGCTGCCACTGCCGGTGCCCCCCTGGATCCCGCCCGCATCGTGTGGTGCCTCACGGTCCCCGCCATGTGGGACGAGGAGGCCAAGTCCAAGATGCGCCAGGCAGCGAACAGGGCGGGTGGGTGTGCGGATGGCAGGCCCACCTGTGGGAGGTAGGGCCCAGGTGCGCTGCTAGGCCGACCAGAACCCCCACTCTTCATGGCTGTAGCGCACACCCCTTGCATGCACCACACCTCCCGCATGCAGGCATGTCCCTGGCTGCCGCTCCCCACTCCTTCATGCTCGCCCTGGAGCCGGAGGCAGCGGCGCTGACGGCGGCCTTCCACCAGGGCAGGAGCGGCAGCTCGGCAAGGCCAGGCGGGGGAGCCACCACCACCACCCATGACCAGGGCGACAAGAGCGGAGGAGACGGACACGCTGAGGCAAATACTGGGCTGGTAGAGGTCGGCCCCGTAAGCCCCGCAGCAGCAGCTATGGATACCCACGGCAAGCAGGGCATCGACTTTTCCTCCAAGGGAAACACCAGCAAGACCGGTAAGGCTCCCGCCTCTTCCTCCCGCTCCGCCTGCCTGACCGATGGCGACGTGCTGCTGGTGTTGGACTGCGGCGGCGGCACGGCGGACATCACGATGCACCGGGTGCTGGGGCGCGGCAGGGAGCTGAGGCTGGAGGAGCAGGCGGTGGGGACGGGTGAGTGCGGGGATGTGCGGGGGAAAGGGACCTGGGAGCTTGGAGGGTGGCGCGCCAAGATCATAACATTATACGGCCTGTTGCAGACCACGCGCCGAGTTGTTACATGCGTTGCCCTACCTCTGCCCCAGGCATTGACGCGGGCGGGTGCGCCGTGGACGAGCTGGCGTGGGAGCACATCCGGTCCCTGGTGGGCTGCGACCCGTGGGTCACCTGGAAGAAAACCCATCCCAAAGAGTGGACGGCCTTCGCCAACCAGTGGGAGAACGAGAAGCGCCACTCGGGCGACCTGCGGCTGCAGCTGCCGCCGGGCCTCATGCGGCTGCTGTCACCCCGGCCCGCCGCGGTGTCGGTCGACGGCCAGCTGGTGTTGAAGCAGGCGGTGGTTGAGGCGCAGGTTCTGGAGCCGGTGGTGGGTCGCATCCTGGCCGCTGCAGAGTCCGTTCTGGCGGCGGGGTCAGCGGCGGGCAGCCCCTGCAGCCGGGTGCTGCTGTCGGGCGGTCTGGCCAAGTGCGCCTACCTGCAGCGGAGGGTGAGAGCATTGGCGGAGCAGCGGGGGCTGCAGCTCATCATGCCCAGGAACCCGGAGGCGGCGGTGGTGACGGGTGAGGGAGGATGCATGGAGGGTTGGATTCCTGGCAGTGCCGGTACACTTCTAGATGGGATACAACGTATGAAAGCGGATTGGTTCAGATCCATGCAGCTGCGTTCCCTCACTATGGCATTACGTGCTCCTGCCTACGGTAGCATGCCAAGCGGATGTTTACGGTGTGATGCCCTTTGCGAGCGGCCTTCACTCCATGCATGCCCCCCCCCCTGCAAGTCGCAAGGAACATCCTTATCCTCCGTTTCGCCGTACAGGTGCCACCATGTACGGCTACCGGCCCTCGCTCATCTCCTCCCGGCGCTGCCGCCGGACGTACGGCGTGTGCTGCCGCTCGCTGTGGACGACGGCTGACGCGGAGAGCCAGGCAATGTTCGGCTACCCCGGCAAGATCTGGAAGCAGGAGGATAACAACTACTTCGCGGGTAGGTGAGGGGGGATGAGGTCGGGGGCTGTGTTGGGCTCTTAGGTGTGTTGGTATTCCTGTGAGAAAGGTCTTGCAAGCAAAGGGACGTGCATCACAGGCGCTCGAAGTGCGGTTTAGGCACCACTGGCATATGTACGAACTAGAGCCTGCTAGCGTCGAAACCATGGTACGCGGTCCACATGAAGAACGGGCGTGTTGGGCTCATGTAGGCATGTGTCTGGCCCAGAACATGCGTTACTAAGCCAGCCGTAGCCCATATGCTTCACTTAGAAGCCCCCCATGCAACCCCCATGCGGTCCCATGCATACCATCCCATGCCTCTCCATGCCGCCCATGCCCCTCCATGCCACCCATTCTGTCCTTGCCGTCCGTGCCGCCCATGCCGCCCCGCCTCAGAGGACGTGTTTGAGGAGTACGTGCGGCGGGGTCAGGTAGTGCGCACGGATGAGGTGGTGACACGCACCTTCTGCCCCACCAGCAGGTATGACACATGCATGCATGCGCGCAGCAGGGGACGTGGGGGGGGGCATGCATGTTGGGGGATGCCGGGGGTTGTGTCATACTTTTGGGTTGGTGCTGCACACAGCCCAGGTGGCTACTTGGCTACATGCAACTTGCGGGTGCCGTTGTGCTCCTTACCCTACACCCCGCACCCTCCCTCCCACCCATACGACGGACCATTACGTCCCGTTCCAGTTAACACTTTCCGCGGCTCAGTTTCATCTGCCGGGTAATCCCTCCCCCCCCGCAGCACCACCGCGGCCATCGGTATTGACCTGTACTCCACCTGCGCCGACACCGCCCGCTACACCAGTGAGCCGGGCATGCAGCGCGCGGCGCAGGTGACCCTGGAGCTGCCGCCGGGCTGGCAGCAGGGCGTGAAGCACCGCCACGAGTACAGCATTGAGGTGCGGGGAGGTCTGCGGGGCGGAGGGACGAAGGGGGACGGAGGGCTGGAGAGGGACCGTCGCTTGACTCGATCCCAAGAGTATATCAGCACTGATTGTGGCCCTTGTTGCATGCTCACGCCCCGCATGTGGCACCCTCTTTATGCTCCTCCGCCCCCAGGTCGACCTTCGTTTCGGCGCCACTGAGATTACGCTGGTTGCTCGCGACCCGCGCACACGCAACGCGGTGACTGCCAGCGTGGAGTGGCTGCCGGGGCCCGCAGCGGGGCAGGAGTAGGTGACGAGGGGGAAGGGGGACGGAGTACGGGGTATGTGCCCCCGGCCGGGGTATCATGGTTTGGAATGAGAAGAAAATATCTTGGCAGGATAGCAAACAAGCATGCTTCTTTGTTGGTGGTTGTAATGCAACCGTTGCGTTTATCTTCCATCCGTTGTGCGCAATCGTCGTGTTGATACGACACCGGGCTGATGCGTGGTGGCTGTGGCGACCCATGGGTCATTAAGCCAGGAACAGCATACATATCAATTAACCAGCTGATGTCACATGGCTAGTCCTCGCTAGTCTCTGTGTAGTGCTGTTGGGCGGTGGGATATTTGGTTGGTTGCGTATTCGCAGTGGCGTTGAATCATACGCCCACAACGAGGCAATACGCTTTCATTTTACAGATGTTACGTTACAAATGGAATGCGTTTACCTAATAATGTACAAATTGTAATTTGTCCGCAACAGACAATCAAACAAACAACTAATAGTGGTATACAAACTACACGTTTCCTCCGCGCGCTCTCCAACACCAGTGGTCTTTTGCTCCGCTCAACTTCTGTACGCAGAAATCTTCATCGGCACCGAAAGCCCTTCATCGGTTTCGACCCGCTCATCGTTAGATCCGCGCGCCCCCTCACCCGAACACACCCCCGGCATCCAGCACACCCAGTGTCCATGCTCACGCGCACACCACACCGTCTCAGCGCGCATAGATTTCTTCTGGCTTCTGTGCGAATAGATGCCTACATCATATGTAACTTTACGTCCACATCACATCCACATCACCGCCGTACAGTTCTACAATCACAGTACAGAGGGAAGAAACACGTTTACGTCAGATGCAGGAAGCAAGCCCCTCCCGCTCAAACCATACAAGTCGCAGCCCTGCCCCTGCCCCTGCCCCTGACCCAAGGGGACAGCAACTATCCTAGAAGCTCTACCTAAATGGGCACGGAAGCCTCTCACAGATGATTCTTCACACGCTTGCACAAGACGCAGCCCGTCACCAGGGAAAACTTCAGGTGACCAACATCCCACTGACCTACACAGGTTCACACCCTACAGCTGGCACCAGTACACCCGTGAGCTCGCCATGTCGCAGCCGTAAGATAAAGACCCAGGGGAAAATGACACACGCAGCCGTTGTTGTCACCTTGCGTGACTCACCTTTCATGGGAGTGTTCAGATCAAAGCAAAGCATAAAGGCAGGAGAGCGCGCGCTTGCATGCAAATGCCACTCGTCACAGGGGGTCCTGTCGTCCAGCCGACCACACCATGTCCACATGGCAGTAAGGCAGAGCGTCCTGCGAGGGGGGGGGTGTCGTACATCATCACACATGACGACATGACTCGTCCTACATCACACACGGTGCTACACAGCAGCATAACCCCCCCCTGGCGCTGCAAACTAGCCGCCTCCTGCCACAACTCCTTCACAACAGCAGCCGTGCGCAACCGTGCAATCCCCACACGCCCCCTGCTTCCTCATACACACACGCTCCCCCCCGCTTGCACCCCCCCCACCTGCAGCACCCGAATGCTCCCCAGCGCCAGCTCCGCCGTCTTGTCTGTGCAGGAGAGGTACAGGTGGCGCAGGCTGGTGAGGGGGGCCAGGGCGGCAAGGGCGGGGCCGCGGGAGGTGAGGTCGTCCGACTCCCACACCAGCTGCCGCAGCAGCGGGGGCGGACGGCAGCCCGACAGCGCCGCCAGACCCGCCTGACTCACTGAGAAGAGCAGGCGGGCGGGGAGGGGTTAGGCCAACGAGGGGTATTGAGAGAGTCAGTAGATGGCCGGAATGCGCGACTTGTTTACGTCGAGCCGTCAGTTCATGATGCTACCTAGTTTCTGCTTCGAGACCCAAGCCGACTCCTGGTTCCGCGCCCCGAAAGCAACACCCACGTCAACTCCTCATGCAGTCAACGTTACAACGCAGAACCAGCCCCCCACCAGCACGCACGTGTCCCCACCTCACCAGCTAACCATCACGCACTCACCCGCCCTGTTGCCGAGCGCACTGACGGTGAGCGACCGCAGCGACCGCAGCTGCACCAGGCACCCGGCCAGTGCGGCGTCTGACAGCCCCACCACCGCAGCCAGCCGCAGGTGGCGCAGGCAGGGGCCGCAGCGCCGGGCTATCTCGGCTAGTAACGGCGGCCGCACCACGCATGCCTCAATGTCCAGGGAGGTCAGTTGCGACAGCGGCAGCGGCGGCGGCTGGGCTGCGGGCGGAGGGAGGAACGCGGGGGATGCAGCTGCGGCGGCTGGTGGGGTTGCGACGCCAAAGGCTGGAGAGCCCAAGCCCAGCGCCAGACCAGGCGGCATCGGCGGCGGGGCTGCGGCGGCGGCGGCGGCAGCCGCTGCTGACGGCGGCGGCGGTACGACAGCCGCCGCCGCCGCCATCGCCTCAAGGTCGCTGAGCTCAAGCAGGAGGTTGTTCAGCTCCAGGGATTGCAGTCCGGCGGGCAGACAGCCCAGGTCCAGCTGAGGAGGCAGCTCCAGACCGCGTCGTGACAGCCGACCCAGACCGCCAGCACTGCCGCTTCCGCCGCTGCTTGCAGCTGACGGTGCTGCGTCCTGCTGCTGCTGCCCGGCTGCAGCAGTGGCGGTGGTAAAGCTGGTGTTGGTGCTGGTGCTGGCGGTGGGGGGTTGCTGCTGCTGCTGCTGCTGCTGCCCCGGGTAGCGCTCCACCAGGATGCCCAGCTCGCGGAGACCGGTGAAGCTGGCGAGCACCGTCAGGCCTGGGGGAGAGCAGGTGGGGGTAGGTGGAGGGGCCAGGGAGGGGGGGCCAGAGGTAAGGCTGGTGACGTGAGTATATGTGCGTGACCTGTAAGTAGTCATGCAGCAGTAGCCGGAGAGGCTGTGTGGCGTCGTGTAGCATGCACCCGTTGGCATGCTGCCGGCAGTCAACAGTGCATGTGTAAAAGACAACGGACCACTAAGCGCAGAGGGAGCAAGCGGTCATCGCGGTGTCTATACCGGTAAGGTGTATCACGGATGGAATGCACCAACGCCGAACAAGCAAGCTTTGCATGCAAGCAAGCACACCCGCCCGCCCACCCACCCTCCGGGCTGTAGTCCTTGCGGCTGAGCGCGAGGCGCAGCGAGCGCAGCCGGCTCCAGCGCCCCGCCAGCGCCCGCAGACCCTCCGCAGTCACCGGGACCGCAATGGAGCTCTCGCCGAAGCGCCGGGCCTGCGGGGGGGATAGAAAGCGGAGAATGAGCGGCATGGGGGCTGCGACATACGAAAGTAGCCTCTCCTCCCTTCCAATCAGCCCACCGAAGCTTTCCCCAACCCCACTCAACCCCACCCCACCACAGCACCTTTTCCTTCCCCTCCCCTCTACCCCCCCCCCACACACACACCTACCCAGTTTTCTTAACCCACCCACCCACCTCCGGGAAGTACGCCCGCCGCTTCTCCAGGTGGAACCTCTGCAGTGCCGCCAGCGCGGTGAGGCGGCTGAGGTGGCAGGGAATGCAGTGGTCGGCGTTGCTGTACACAGCCATGCGCAGCTCGCGCAGCCCGGTCAGCTGGGCCACCGCCTCGAACAGCGACTCGGAACCAACCCTGGGGGGGGAGGCGGAGGGATTGGATGGGAACTGGGTCGAAAATCAGCATCTCAAGATGGGTTTGGTTTGCGCGGCTGCTAGTGTTTCGCTACCTGGAAGCCGGACCAACGCCGCAGCAGGTGGGATAGGGTGGCTGTGCACGCGGGTGCATGACAGCGGCCTGCAGCCTGCATGCAACAAGTGCCTGCACGCCAGCTGCCAACCCGAGTACCCCACCCCAAGCCCAACCCCGCCCCCCCGCCCCCGCACCTGCACGCCCCCACATCCAGGTGTGTCAGGTTGGCCAGCCGGTTGCCGTAGTCCGCCAGCAAACCCTGGGTGACGTGCCGTGCGGGGGCCAATGGGGGCGTCAACATGGGGGGTTGGGGGGTTGGGGGCAGCAAGCAAGCAACTGGGAGAGCAGCTGTAAGGAGTACTGGGGGTATTAGGCGTAGATGGGTACTCGTAACAGGAGGTAGTAAACAAACGGCACAACGGCGGTGATGAAGCTCCAAAATGCCGCCTCGACACTGCGTCTTGCACCCGCGCCCTGCATGATGCCGCATGGCGCCGACCCCAGCCATTCGCCCCCACCAGGACAGCACCCGCTGCTAGCCCCCCTCCCCTTCCCCCCTCCTCACCCTCACACCCTCCCCCACCTGCGCCCGCTCCGTCCACCGGAAGCTGAGTGACAGGCTGCGACCCGGCTTCACCGCACACAGCGCCTGGCGGCTGGCGGCTCCGGTGGGCGCCTGCGGGGGGCGGGGCGGGGAGTGGCAGGGGAGTAAAGCGGCAGGGGAGGGTTGGTGAAACAGGTGAGCTGAATGGGGCTGAACGCAACCCTGTGTAAGGATTTGGGCAGAGCGCGAAAGCCGGTGCACTGGCAAAGAGCCAAGTGGCGCAACACTTCCCCTCATCCTCACCTCCTACCTCCCTTCGTCCCCCCCCTCTATGGTAAAGCCTCGTCATACAGCCCGTCAATTTCCACCTCCCCCCCACCTGGTCCAGCGCCAGGTCCAGCTCCGCCAGCGCCGCCAGCCGCTCCAGGCAGGCCAGCTCGTAGCCGCTGTCGCTGTCCAGGGAGCTGATGGCCAGGCGGGTCAGGCGGGGCAGGCCGCGCGACAGGGAGGACAGGCCGGCGCTGGTTAGCCTGGGGGGGAGGGAGAGGGGGGAGGGGAGGTGGGCGGGCAGAGGGGGGAAAGATAAGTGCAAAGAGAAGCAACTGGAGTCCCAATCCCATGTACCGACTCATGCAGTGAGCGCAAACGGAGACACTGCCGGGAGGGTAGGATGGTGAGGATTGATGTGAGGAGGGGGCAGTGTGAGAGGCTTGAGGGGGCGGGGTTTGGCAGGAAACGGTGTGGGGGTCAACAGACAGAGCGGGGTTGCGCGCGTTCGGTTGTGCAAGGCATCCATCTGGGTCACGCCCATCTTGATGGCATCGACCTGGGTCAGCCCGATCTGGGTCGGAATGGAAACCCCACTCAGCCACAGTCACAATCAACCACCGGGGCCAACAGTCGCCGAGCGGCCACCCTACCACAGCACAAGTACGCAAGTACGCATATTTTCATTCTTATTCTACTTCCACACAGGGCGCAGGACAGCCTGCCCAACACGGGCAAACCCGCCCCACCCCGCCCCCCACCCACCCCGCCCCCCACCCACCTGTGCGCCCTGAACTCCAGCACCTCCAGGGAGGCACAGCCCGCCAGCACCGGCATCTCCTCGTCACCCAGGCCGTGATGTACGGCAGGCAGCAGCGTCAGCGACCGCAAACCCGCGCCACCGGGTGAGGCCCCATCCGCAGCGGAGGCAGCAGCCGTAGGCAAGGTACCCGCAGCAGCAGCAGCGGAGCCGGCAGCCAGGCCTGCCAGCAGCTGAGCAGCGGCCTCGCGGCTGAGTCCGCCTCCGATGATGGAGAGGGAGGTGAGGTGGCGCATGGAGCCGATGGCGGCTGCGGCGGCGGGCGGCAGGTCGCAGCCGTCGCGGAGGTGCAGCTTGAGCTCCTGGGGAATTGGGTGGGGCGGGGTCAAGGATCATACCAGACCATAGGAAACGACATGTTAGGGTGGGGTGGCGGCAGGAGAGGTGGGAGGTGGGCTGGGGTGAGGAGGCTGCGGGTGCGGGAGGAGCGGCAGTCGAGGCAGTAAGGATAAGTGGGTTTTGAAGTTTCTAGATGCGCAGATTTGCATAACCGTGCCCGCTTTGTTGGAAACCTGACCCAAATCAACCGCGCGTCGCCGCGAATTATCCTTACCGACACGCCCTTGAGCTGCTGCACTAGCGCCAGGTTCTGGTGCAGAAGCTCGTCGGTGATGTGCGTGTTGACATGGATGACACAGCAGCGCAGGTGGCGAATGAGGCTGGCAAGCTTCTCCATCTTAGCGCGCCAAAGGCTGGGGTCGCTGTGCATGTCAAGCTCCATGCTGGTCAGGCCTGGTGGGAAATGTGGCACAGATGGCGTTGTGCAAATGGTTAACTGACCTTGCTCGATGCCTGACAAAGGAATTTTAGGTAGGAGGGCCTACCTGTGGCAATATTTGCTTTCCATGACTTGCAGACCATAGCCGCGTTATGTAGATGGGCACCCTCCGTTAGCTTGGAGCCTATCATCTGCAGGGATGGGGCATGAAAAGATACTGAGATCGATCTTTCATCAATTGGACATAAGGCTGCAACCACGGAACAACACTCTCGGTGACTATCTGCAAGAATGAGCGAAAACAAGCTTACTGGGAAGCAATTTACCCAGCCCTACCAGTCACCCCTCGTGCCATACCTCTAACAGTTCCGGAGGCAATCCCGACCAGTCCTCCCTTCCATCATCATAGACGATGTCAAACGACGCTTCACGCAAAGCCAGTAGACGTCCGTCTTCCATTGCGCGAGGCACTGCTGAGCTGGCGTGCAACCGTGGAGTAAAGCTCGGCCCACTGACCAACGGGACTCAATTGCATTACACTTGTAACCGTAGAGCCTGCGCGACGCAGTGTGTGCTTCTTCCTCAACGACAACGGGTGTTGCCTTAGGGCTTGATACCTAAGTTGCTCACTGTGTTCCCCCGGGAAAAGATGCACAGGTATTATAAAAGAGTCTCAAGAAGCTGCTAAGAAAGATTGTGTAGATTGCAAATAGGCCTTCCCTACTGCGCGCCCGACCTCGGAAGCTCGTCCAAATCACGTGCTACCGAACACCGGCAATCTTCTTCTTCCCTTCTTCTTTCCTTGGCACAAGTGTTGTAAAGGTTACACCTTCGCGTATACTATTGGTACAGGTCATTTTCCCTTCGGCTTTTAGGCAATTTGCAGGGACCGGGTCTATATTTTTCCCCCCTTGGGGACCCCCGCCAGAGACCCCATTTCGGGCCTAAAAACAGTTCAAGGGGCACAATTCGATGAGTTCTACTACCCCCGGGGTATCTCGGGCCCGGGAGGGGTATGAGGTACAGAACTATAGTTCCGCACCCCTCCTGCAATAGGTATTAAGTAGCTTTTTTGGTTGCAGCCCTGAACAAATGCAGGTGATACCGGTAAACCGCTTAGCTTAAATATGATCAGAGTATTAACGCATTAATAGAAAACATAGCTTAAAGGAGTATGTTTCAAGAAGATTGCCGGTGTTCGGTAGCACGTGGTTGGACGAGCTTCCGAGGTCGGGCGCGCAGTAGGGAAGGCCTTGCAAATATAGAGGCAACGGCCGAACTGAAACTCCCAACCTTTGCCGTAACAAAAGCAAGCATGACAGTTTGCCGCTATGCCAGCGCTAAGCAAGTTTGCTGTACAATCTAGCACGCACGGGGCAAGGAGTCCTGAGTACCTCCTTTTCCCCTTGGAGATAGGGCGTACGTCAGGAGCTTGTTTCCCATGCAGCCCTCCTACCCGTTCATGTTTATGAAGAGGTTGACGGCTCTTACGTTATGGAGCTGTTAAAGCCTACGAAAAGGATTTCGCGAGGAAGCTCCGAATCAAGACCCTGTTCCTGACCAATGTCAACAGCGAAGCGCTGGAGACGAATCAGTACTCGGATCGACGTGGGGCCCATAATGTCACTCATAACCCCGGGGGCTACCGGGTAAGGCTCTAGACTGCTGCGCATGCGGCTTGCCATACTTGTCACGCCACTGCCATACCTCTCCTTCGCTGTCGCCCTTCGCAACACCCCGTTTCTACCCCATGCAACAACAGCTAGCCGCTATCAATCTAGCCAGCCCCAACGTCCCATACAGGAAGACACGCCACATCCTTCGTCGACTCTTACTCACACCAACCTTTTAGCCACCAGGGGCTCGTTAAAGTCATCCCAACCTTTTGTCGCCACGTGCCTCCCAACGAACACACACCACCACCACTAAAAGAGCAGCGAGCAACTCCTGCCTCAGTCACCGCAGCAACACATCCAGCATGTACGCACACGCCGCACCCACCTGCAAAGGCGCGACTTTAGTACATACCTGAAATCCCTGAATGCGCCCATTTGTGCTTCGGTCCATGCAAGCGCTATCCCTCCTTCACCATGTCGGATTCGCCCATTCAGACATCGACACGCCCTTGCGTGCGGCTGCACTCCTGCCCTGCTCAACCATCATCGTTTCGCAGTAGAACGGGAGGGCGCAAACGTCCGGGTGCTAGCTGCCATAGTGAGAGTGTAGTAAGATGAAAAACAACAGGTTGAGTCTTTATTCTATAAGCACCCAAGCTTTACTCCATATGTGGAGAGCAAGCCGTGCACACGCCTATATACCGATTGCCCTAGAGACACCTTATGGCACCGTGCTACTACCCGACAACATGTCCTGCTGACACACGCCCCCACCCGCATCCCACCACACACGAACCACCATGCATGCATACATCTCCCCTCAATCCAACCGACCCAGCACGGCTCACTCGCTACCCCCTCGTCTGTTATGCCTCCGCCCCACTCCTCCCTAATACCGGTACTCCCATCCCCTCTGAGTACTGCCACTGCCCTGACCTTATGCTGCTGCCGCTGCTGCCGCTGCTGCCGCTTCTCCATCCCCATCCCCAGCGCTCGTCTGCTGCTGCTGCTGCCGGCACTGCTCCCATCCCCCTCCTCACCCCCTTCAAGCCCTGCTGCTGCCGCCGCTGCCCCCACCCCCTCACGCCTTTGCCATGTACGCCGCATCCTCCGTGCGCACCACGATTCGGTCCCCGGTGCGCACGAATGCGGGCGCCATGACGCTGATGCCGCCCTCCACCAGCACGTGCCGCGCGGAGGAGCCGTCGTCCTTCTCCACGGCGGGCGGCGCGTCCAGCACAGTAACCGACACCTTGTGCGGCACGCGGGCTGCAGGGGCGGGGTGGAGCGGCGGGGCGGGCGGGCAATGAGGTACCGTAAGCAACAGAGGGGTGGCGCGATGGCTTGTTAGGGCACGATGCGGAGTAATGAAAGATGTACGGAAGGAACGGACACGTGCATCCACCCCGGGCCCCAGCGCCGCCGCCCGCCGTGCCTCACGCACCCGCCACCGGCTCCCCCTCGAAGAAGCTGACTGCCACCGTGAGCTCGGGTGCGGCCAGCCAGCGCCGCCCCTCCCCGAACAGCTCCGGAGCCAGCACCGCCTGCTCGTAGGAGGTGCCGTCCATCACGTGCACGTTGCCCGCCTCGTCCTGGTACAGGATCTGGGGGGTGGGGTGGGGTGTTAAGAAACTGGCCGCGAGTCGGTGGGGTGTGTGCGGAGGGGTGTGCGGTGCGGGGATTAGAAAAACTGAGCCGCGGAAGATGGGGTTTGGGGAGAGGCTTTAGGGGGAGGCGGTGGAGTCGAGGAGAAGGGTGTATCCAGGTAAGGGTGCATTGAGGGCAGTGCCATGGGAGCTACATCAGTGGGCATCAAACAATGCTCAATGCCCACCGACCAAAGCCCTTCCGTTGGGCTGTCTCAATTCATTATCGCAAGGTACGGCAATCCAGCCCCCATGCAAGCAGTCAGCAGTCCCCCCACCTGCATGTCCTTAGTGTCCACGTCCGCCAGCTCCACCTGCGTGTAGTGGGGTGGTTAGCAGATGAGACTCACGTAGGGGTGGGGGGATGCTAGCAAGTCAGCGTCCGCACACAGGTAAGGTGCATGGATGACTGATAGCCGGCCGCCTGACAGCTGTCGCTCCTAATGCCACATAGTTTTATCCATCCTGCCCCCATGACAAACTCCCCTCCCTTGCCTGGTCATCTAGCCGCAGCTTCTCCGAGGTGCGAGCCCCCGAGGCCAGGTCCACCAGGTCTAGGGACACGAAGCCAGCAGCGCGGGCCTGCCCATGCATCCAGTGGAAACGCGCAACGCGGAAAGGCCGCCCATCCCGCTGCACCAGGTCCCCAGCGCGGACCTGGGGGCGGGGTTCAGGGACATGGACCAGGAAGGGGCGAGGTTACAAGACGAGGTGCACGGCAAAGTTGGATGTCGGACAGGAGACGGTTACAACCCGGAGACTGGTGTAACAAACATTAAGCGGGATGAGCCTAACTGTCCATGTGCATGGCCGCCGGCAAGCCGAGGGCGCTTTTTCGGGATGTGATTGATTGCCCGTACCGGTACCTGTTGGGCTGGTTTCTTCAGGCCCCGGACCAATTGCGCCAATGCCGGTAACCAGGAGGTAGGAGTTGCTGCTGACGCCTGCGAGTCCAGCACTACGCTGCCATGGCAAGCCGCAGCTAGGATGGAGCGCTGTCCGCGCGTCAAGAGGTTACGTACCACTGGCAGCATTGCGGCGATTACTATTAGATTTGCAACGAATGGCGTTGTCGCATGTCAAGATGAACCATCGCGGGCAGCAGGCACAGCACGCCGTACATCTTGTGATTGGGTGGAGCAAAAGTGTGGAAAAGCCAGCAGTCGCTGTTTAATATTGCAATATACTCGAATGGTAATGGAAGCGTAGTAGGAGGTCGTAAAAACCCGACATGACAAATGGATGAATTTGAGGAGCTAGGAGACGAGTTTCCTGATATACATTCTTTATTCCTGTACTACAACGACCTCTATTTTGGAGGTGTTCTGCTTGGAAACACCACGGTGGAATGGAGCAGTAGCCGGATGACGCTGTGAGTTGGCGAGTGCAGGCTAGGTCTTCGCTTGCCTCTGGACTTCAAGGTCAAAGAGCCCGTTCTAGCAGCGCTCTGAGTTATGACATTCAACGGTCCCAATGAAGCGCAGGTGCGGAGGCATCTGCAAGTATCATCCGCTAATGGGGTGCCAGATAAAGCTCAGCGAGCCCCTTCTCAAGGTGAGCACTGTGAAGCACTCTTCACGATTGTTGATGCCCAAGCTGCTTACATTACAATTCTCAGTCACACACTGCAGAAGCTCTTAGCCCTCCCTTTTACTCTCACCACCCAATTCGCAGCTACGTCCGGTGCGCGACATGAAGATGGTAAGTGTCGTCCATCAGTCCTTAACAGCTGTCCATCTTCCCCTCACGCCCCTCTCTCCATGCGTCACGTCACTCCTCAAAGGTGCTGCTTCACGAGATGATCCACGCACACAACATGACGCTTAAGATCCGCGATCCGGATCCGGGCGGCCACGGCCCGCCCTTCCTGGAGCTCATGAACAAAATCAATGTCAGCACCGTACCCGATCCGCAGGTACGGCTGGTGGGCATCGCAGGACGGTACGACACATACCTGGAATCATGGATGCTTCAGGTTACAGACACGCTTGAGGACAGTTCCTTACCAACCCAAGCATTTGCACCCACGGAATCCACTCACAGTTTCAACTGTTGGTTCCGCTTACCCTTGCGGTTGTGCATTGTGCTGTTTCCCGCCGCTTGCCGCAGCGGCCGCCCGGCGGCTACAAGATCACCACCACGCACTCCATGATCGGCGAGGTGGAGAACTACCGCACGCACTGGTGGGAGTGCGAGCGCTGCCGCAAGGTCATCAAGCGCTCCATGAACCGCCCGCCGCAGGAGGCGGACTGCATAGGGTGCGTAGGGATACCTGGGTTGGGTGTGCTGTTGGGCACAAAAGCCCTACATCGCTATACGCCGTACATAGTAGATGCATAAGAGATGGTCACACAGCGGCACCAGGCAGCTGCTGGCGCACGCACCTCCCCCCACCTCCCCCCCTCCGCCAGGCGCACCGGCAGCCGCGGGCCCAGCTGCCGCGACCCCAACTGCGGCTACCACACCCACATCCGCCAGTGCGGCGGCGCATTCATCAAGGTGCGCGAGCCCGACCCCAAGAAGCCCACACGCAAGAAGTCACCCGCTAGGAAGCCCGGCAGCAGGCCAGCGCTGGCACCCGGGCAGCAACGCATCGACAGCGTCGCAGCAGGCGCAGCGGGGGCTGCAGCAGCGGTTGCAGGGGCGGGTGCAGGGGCTACAGCGGGGCCTTCCGGCCGCGGCGCCAAGCGACCCGCGAGTGCACTGGCGGAAAATAGGCAGGGGAAGCCGGCGCCTGGTGCCGGCGCCAGCGTGCCGAGCGGTGGACCGAGTGGGAGTCGAACTTCGGGGGCTTCTGGGTCGCAGCAGCCGACACGCTCGCAGCAGCCGACACAGCCGCGGCCGCACCACCACCCGCAGCAGCAACCGCTGGAGCGGCTGTGGGGGCAGGTCCGCGGAACCGCAGGCGGGTCAGGCGGGTCAGGAGGCGGGACGGACGCCGCGGGTGGCGGTAGCGGGGCGGCAGGGGCTCCCGGGAGTCCGGGGCGGCCGGGGAGCCAGCAGGCCGGCGGGTCGCGCCGCGATCCCAACTTCCTGCCGCCCTCCGTTGGCAGCTTCCCGAGCCCCAAGACCCACAAACCAGGTAAGAGGTGCTAGCGTGCCACCACTGGGAGCTAGGGGGGCTGTCCCTTTAAAGCATGACCCGTAAGACCCTGGTGACGTGGTGTTCCATGTGACATGTCAGACCACTGCATCCGCCTACGGGCTCCCTGCTCCTCCTTGGCCCGCAGCCCCTTCTGCGGCGCCGCCCGCCGCTCCTGCCCGGCCCCAGTCTGTGCCACCGGCCCATCCAGGCCCGGAGGTACCGCTGGCAGCGCCCGCAGGGCCTGCCACAGCAGCAGGACCCTCCGGCTCTGGAGCACCCGCCGGTGCGGGTGCGGTCCAGGCAGGCGCTCCCTCGGCGGAGGAGCTCAGGCGGCGCTGTGCGGAGGCGGCGCTTGCCAGGCTGCAGGGCGCAGGCGGGTCGCGACAGCCCGGGTTGCCGACTGCGGGGGTGGGAGGAGCGGAGGCGGCGGTGAGTGAGGCAGCGGCAGCGAGGCGAGGAGGGCCGGCGTCGTCGTTGGCGGAGGGCGTTGGGGGCACGGCGGAAGGGAGTCTGGGCCAGAGAGCGGGTGAGACTGCGGGGCGGGCTGAGGCGGGGGGGAGCATACTGGAAAGAGCCTTGGTGGCGATGGTGACAGAGGGGTCGGTGTGTGTGTGCGTAGGCAGGGGTGTTACTAGAGGCATCGGGACAAACTGGAAGAATCACCTGACGGCTGAAAGATGGTCATGTGGTGCATCGCAGGTGGTGCTGCTTCTGCCGGACCGTCAAGCAGCGGGGCGGGTGACCGTCAGCAGCCCGGGCCTCTTGGGGGGATACCACCTGCCCCGGGGTCTTCCGCGGCACCGGCGGTTGAGGTGGTTGAGCTGCTCGACGACGATTCAGATGATGACAGCGACTTTGTAATTGTGGCTTGATAGCTGCGTCCATTACGCATTTCGGTTACTCGCGATCCAGCGCCAACAGCAGGGTGAAGCAAGTTCGTAACGTACTGCACCTGCGCTGTACTTCGCCGGCGCTATGAACTCCAATGCAGTGTACGCTGTGCTTGCGGTGAAATTGTTAACGCAACAGATGCGTTGGCTATGGCTGGATGGTGTGCGGAAGCTTGGTCGGCCCTCGTCTAGCAAGGCGCATCGGCTGAAACCTGTTGTACGGCGTTTCTCAAGTCCGACGACGACCAAACCAAGCTCAAATGTCCTACACATCTCCTTCGTGTGGATCATGAGCTAAACTCAATCCCGCTATGCTATCTTTGGCACGTACCTTGTAACAGTTTGCAACGTCACGCTTCCAGCCCACTTATCCGTGCTGCCGAAATACTTTGTATGGCTTTGCATTTATAACCAACATGGCGCAAGTCGCTTTGACATAGACGAAAGCTGTTAACTGAAGACCTTTCGTTAGGTCCATCCGAGGTGGAAATTACAGTCTGTTAATGGACAAAGTCTTCTGAATGTTTCTACAACTCTTTCGGAAACTTGGTGCTCGCCTGAAGTGAGGAAGAAGCCTAATTATGCTCTTGTCAGGGCGGCCGCCGTATCTCTGAGAGTTTTTGGCTTTATAACTTTGCAGGGAGCAATCGGCTGCACGGAAATTAGAACGTGGAACGCTATGCGGGAAGCAGGGGGCAGACGGCGAGCCTCCGGAAGCGAACTTGCATTTAAGCAAGCCTGACTTGACCGTCGTCGCATCGCACTCAGGACCAGACACAGGCGTTGCTGTTTATAAGCAATTTACGCCAGGTGCGGAGCTTTTTGTTTCGGCGTGCCCGCGCCTTGGGAGCAGCTTGAGTCAGCCGTTCTGTGCCTGCTTCTTCTTGTGACTTGACTGTATAATTTTCATCGCTACGTTGTCATTTGTCGTGCAGACCTCCAGGTGTCGTGGGAGGACCCCCTTGATTGGGCCTATGGCATTTCCGTGTCCATGTACGACCTGGGGCCAACGGGCCGCCGTAATGGAGAGCCTGTGGCTGATTGCTTCGGCATTCTGGCCTATCCGGAGGGGGCCGTCCTGGCGGTGGCGGATGGCGTGAACTGGGGCGAGCCGCCCCGCCGTGCAGCGAGGTGTGCCGTACTCGGATGCCTTAACCACATGCACCACGCTCTAAAGCAACACGAGGGTAAGTGGATCGGAGGGGAACAAGCATGGGGGGGCAACGGGGAGGCTGGCCCGGAGGTGCTCAAGGATCAGAACCCCATGCCATGTATCGAAACCCTAGTTCCGGGTTCCTCGTTATGCCACATCCTCGATTGCTGTAAGAGGCTCTCGGGCCCGTTATTGGTCTTGGCCGCCACCCGCCTACCTCCCTCCACAGCAAGGGAAGCAATCCGAGCCCCTCGCCTCCCTCCCCTCACGCCCCAGGCGACTCCTCCCTGGACAGCCACACGGTGTTCCGGCACCTGGTGGACTCCATATCGGCCGCGCAGAAGCTCATCCTGCAGCAGTTCGGCACCCTCACCACGCTGGTGGGTGCAGCCAGGGGCAGTACCGGTACCCCTTTGGGGCCCGGCCCGCGGGTCCAGGCTCTAGCCCGTATGTGCGTGGGGTGGCAGGTTGAGGACACCAGCCCGTGTGTGGTCGTCCTTTTCCTGACCGCACCTGACTACTGTGTAGCGTCCAACTCCAAGCGCGCCTGGTGCTCTTCCATGCAGGTGGTGAGTGTAGTGCTGCCGCTCAAGTGGGTTCGCTCGCCGGGCCGGTGGGCCGCCATCACGCTCACGGTGGGGGACAGCGCCGCCTACGTCTACCGGGCAGCCAGCAGGACGGTGGAGGAGGTCACGGCGGCGGCGCATGCGGATGGAGCACGGTAGGCGGGGGGCGGTGGGGGCGGCAGGGGGTGGGGGAAGCGGAGGGACAAAGCAGACATGGTTACACGGAGTCACCCGGGGAGGGAAGGCGTGCTGTGTTGTCCACATCCCCGTGCTCACCGCCCCATGCGCCGTGCCCTACACCCACCACTGCTTGTGTGCACGCATTCTCACGACCCCTCATCCCTGCACCCCACCACCACCCCCCAGCGACCCCCGCTGGTGCCCCGGTGCGCTGGGCTACGCCATGGGCGAGGAGCCCGACCTGGCCAACATGATGCTGTGCCTCACATTCCTGGACGAGGGGGACTTCATTTTCCTCACCAGCGACGGAGTGGCCGACAACTTTGACCCCGTCATCCGCAAGATAGCGCGACACCAGGTGCGTGGGTGGATGCTGAAGGGTGGGCGTGAAGGCACCGCAGGCGTGTTTGCGTTCGGGCTCAGGATGAAACAGCCGCCGCGTTAGCGCAACGCTGCATTTCACAATGTACCCTCCTTTAGTCGTCGCCTTGCAAGTACAAACCCTAACCCTTACGCGGTCCGACCACTGCTTTGACGCAGGTGCTGGAGTCCACGGACAATGACCTGCCCGCCCTCTCTCCGGCGGAGTGCCAGGCCAAAGCCATGGACCTCCTGCGGGAGGTGCTGGTGGACGCAGACAGGCGCCTCTCAGCAGGAGCGTCCCGCACTCCCACATCCAGCAAATCGACCCACGGGTCATCCACGCCCGCCACATCCACACCTGCCACGCCCACGGCTGGTGACAATGCTAGCAGCTCTGAACCCGCAGCAGCAGCTGACGGCGGCGATAGGGGCACCGCAGCAGCCGGCTGCAACCACTGCCATGTCGGTCTGGGTCGCGGCAGCCGCAGCGGCGGTATGACAGCCCGGGGGCTGGCGGAGCAGCTGCTGCAGCATGTGTACGAGGTGACGACGGAGCAGCGGCAGCATGTGGAGGCGCGCAGCCGCGAGCGGGAGCGGGAGCGGGGGCTGTCGCGAGGGGAGGGGCCGTGTCTGAGCACGGACGGCAAGCACGGGGGGCTGATGGGGCTGGCGCCGTCTGCGAGGCCGCCGGGGAAGATGGACCATGCGACGGTGGCGGCGTATCAGGTAGGGCACGGGTAGGGAAGCCAGCAGTGGCAGCATCCTGCTACCAGTAGAGTTATATCACCCTCACGCTAGCTACCTGGAGGTGGAAGCTGTACTGCTGGCCGCTATATACCCACTTACTATCCACTTACCGGTAGCTGCTCTGCTGTTCAGCATGTCCCACCCTGCCGCGCCACACCCTGCAGGTGGGTCGTCGGAAGCCCAATGAGGTGGCCCGCAGCCGCGCCCGCCTGGAGAAGCTGCGGCAGCAGCAGCAGCAGGAGGGCGCGCAGCTGCTGCCCTTCCTAGCAGCGCAGGCGGCCTCGCAGCAGCCGCCCGGACGGCAGACCTCGCCGCAAACCACCTTCACCACCACGTCTGCGGGGTCTGGGTCTGGATCTGCTCGGTCGTCTGGTTCGGGAGCGGGGTCTGGTGTAGCTCCGGGGCCGGCGGGGGGCCAGGCGCCAGTGGGGCCGGTGGGGTCGGTACCAGCGTCCGGACCGCCGCCGCACCTGGCACCGGGCGGAGTGGCGGTGCCTGTGACCGTAACAGTGACGGACACGGGGAAGGAGAAGGCGGTGGGAGGTGAGGAGGGCGGCAAGGCTGCTGCAGGGGAAGAGAAGGGGGGCGCAACGGTGGGGGTGTGCAGCTTTGACTCGCCTGTAGCGTGAGGATGCGGGCTGCGTTCTGGGCTTCCAGTGGTGGAACCATTAGAAGACGTGAGAGTGGGGCTGTGGGAGCTGGTTCGGGTTCGAGGGTTTGGAGTGGGCTCGTTGTCGTGCTGGGGCCGGCAGGTGGGTCCGGTAACACTTGCGAGGCTACTCGCAGGCGGGAGGTGAGGGGGGTTTTGCGATGTCCTGGACTGCGGGTGGCCCCAGCGGCATTCCTCCGCCGGTGTCTGTATATCTTAACACGAGGAATGAATGGCACAGAAGAAGAAGATGGGGCTCCTAGTATTACGCTTTGGAGGCTTACGAGGCGGTCGTTGCGCATTGCAAGTGTACAATCCGCTACCAGCCATGTAGTGGCCTCTCTGCTATACATGTGGCATACTACGAGTTATGGGTCGTAAGCGAAAGCCTTTACGCGCACGCGCATAAACTGCCGCTGGTGTTTTCGATTGTAGCTCCGTAGTGTCTGAGTTGTGTATGGTTTGCACCCGGTTTGCAGTGCTTCAAGGGCTGAGTGCTCAGCACGAATAAGCGTGGCCGGCTGACGCCTTTCTTCCAAACAAAACACATGTGGAGTTGGTTTATTATGTTGTCGGCTTTCGTAGTTGGTTGGTCGAATTGGGGCCTGGCCGTTGCTATGGCCTTTCAGGATCGGCTTCTAAGCCGCTGTTACTGCTGCTGGCTTCATTTCGTTAAGTTCAGTTTGTTCGTCGCGTTCGTACGTGTGGTTTATGCAATTTCTCCGTTGTTTTGTGGCGTTGTGTTTTGGAAATCGCGTTGGCTAGGGTGCTGCTTGCTGGCGCTTACGTTGCGTGTGGCATAGCGGTCAAGGTTTCCTTTCATACTTGACAACTGTTTGCTTTCTTTCCGTCAAGTGCTGTAGGTAGGTGTTTGGAGCGGCGCTACTGGTGTTTTGGTTTCAACATGACGCTAATAAGCTTCATGGGTTGGGACTTCCCGAGACCCACCGGTACACACGGGGCGTCAGTTTTGCGGCCGGTTGCTGTGGCACAAGGAATGTTGTCTCATTGGAATGGTATTGGAGGAAGCAACAACAAGAACTGGGCCCCGTAGCTTTCTTTGGAACAGGGTGCTGAGCTGTACTGGGCCAGGGCCAGACGTGGTGACTGGTGCTTTCGGTTGTGTGGGGTAAAGAAGAAACAACTAAGTGACTGAGGGATAAGGCGTCAACATGGGGTGGGGGGTGGTTGTGTGTGGGGGGGGAGTGCTGCATGAAGAGAGTTGCCTGGCGCAGGAGGAACGCGATTGCGTTTGGAACATACTGGGAATGCATGCGGACGCGTGAAGAGGGGGCATGGGTAAATGCATGCTGAAAACTGGTGCGGAATTTCTCAGGCGTTGGGCAGCCAACTCAGATAGGGGCAACAATGGTTGTGGTGTCGTGACTTTCCTGGCGGGTCGTGAAATTGTGCTGAATGAACTGCTAGGGCTTGCCAGGTGTTGATTTAGAAGCAGTAAGCTAGCGGCACGCGCATTTTGGCTAGCTTTGTCATGTTTGGGTTGAAAGGAGTGAGAGCCATTATCATTCAAAAGTGAGAACCGTTGTCATTCAGCCGCGACGCATGCTAGCCACTTGGCTGCAGAGGCACATGTTAACAAGGCGAGATAAGGTCCTCAGGCTGGGCGCCGCATAAATCCAAGAACCAAAAGGAAGGGGGCCGTTGGAGAGGGCGTAGGCTCTGTCGTGCTGTCCATCCACAAGGGACCATTGGGTGTACCGGTAGGTTAATTTTTGGAGATGTACTGCGCTTACAGGTGACCTCTGTTTAGGCAGTTACGCAAAAAGCATCGGAGATACACCGACGAGTGGAGGGAAACCGACATGGCATGTCATGACGTCTAGGCCTAAGGGCCAATAAGATAACAGGAGAGATAGCGTTTGAAGGTAATCACCTGGCAACAGTAGGAAGGACAACGAACCCAAGCTTATTGCGACACGGCCTATGCGGTTTTCAGTCCATAACCGCATGTCGTCCTAACCCATCACCGGCACAATACATCACGGTACCCTCCCGGCACATTGGGCCTCAAGCTAGGAACCAAGCCTCTCTTGATGCAGCTCAACTTGAGACAATACAACACCTAGTAAATAACCATTGGGTTGTACAACAGGACCTCCCCGGACTTTGCCACCAACCATGCACACAGTCATTTGGCCAGCCTGGAACTATCCTTGCAGGAGAAACTTGACAGGCTTGCATCCTGCAACATGGTATCGTACGAACGAGAACCAGATCGGTACACTTTGGTGGCGGCAATTTTGCAGCGGGCATTGGCCTGGTCAACAACTACCTTCCAACCGAGGACCACATGCATCGATCGCCCCTCGCATGCAACACACATGTGTCCAAAACCACGTTCGAACGAAAAACAGTTTTTGCAGAAAGTTCAAGTACGGTGCACTCTGTCACACACATGCGAATGCACCCAGCACTTATTACGGTATGCGCACGCGGGAACACCCCCAGACATTCCAGCCCAAGTATTGGTTCCGGTAGTACACCCACACTCTTTGTCTCAGCCGAAAGCCACGTATTGCGAGGAGGGGCTAGCCACGATTTAGGCAGCAGCCTCCGAAACATACTTAAAACACTTCGCTACGGCACCTGCCGCACTGAAACTCTGGGTGCTCGACGACCAAAGATTTTTGTATGGCATTGTATGACATTGTAAAACACACAGACAACGCGAAATTAAGCGAGCCGTGCAACCCGGCACAACCGTTACGACACCGTTACGACATGGTACTCGGTGGTCCGTCAATGGGTGGGATATTCTGTGCACGCATTTCGGTTCCCGCACTCCTAACATTAGACTGTCGGCCCCTGTGACCATGGCTGCAAAAGGATAGTGGTGGTTACGGGGAGTTGCCTGAACCGCCTTTCCATTGCTCCATGGGCCCATGACACTTGGTGCGATCATTAGGAAACACCGAACGACTAACACATGACATCACCTTTGTACGCAACGTCGCTTTAGACGTGATAGCCAATCCTTTCCTTCGAGATTGCCATGCAACATGCTGGTAGAAACGCGGCAACCCGGACAGCAGCGCGGATGGCGGCCTACAATGAAAGGTGATCAAGGAATAGGACTATTAACTTCATCACGCATGCAGTGACGCGTTCCCAGCTAACCGCTGCCACTCCAGTCCCAGGCCCTTACTTTCTACTCCTGCTGCTCCTACTGCTGCTCCTACTGCTGCTCCTACTCCTGCTCCTGCTGCTATCCCTGTCGCTGTGAGGACATTCCACAATAGCTACCGCTACCTCTACCCCAGATCTCGCGCGCCGATAGCCACCGCTGTATCTCTACCGTATCTCCCCACAGCTGCTGCTCCTCCTGTTGTCGTAATCGTTACCGTCGCCACTGCACTCGCCCGCTGGGCCTCCGCTAGGCAGTTCACATGGAGCGAGAAGCCTTCCGGCCCCGATCCCGAGCTATCCACGGCCTTAAGGCTGCAGCTGCTGGCTGACAGGTTACCGTGCCAGGGGCCAGGCGCATGGCTGCTGAGGCCGCTGCCAGTTGCTTTGAAGGCGGCGTGAGATTTTCCGGTGGGCTCTGAGAGACCGATGACGACGACTCTGGGATAGGGTTGGATAGGGTTGGGGATAGCGTTGGGGGTGTGAATGGGTGGTTGCAAGCTAGCGGCCTGCAGCACAGGGCAGTAAGCGCACATACAGCATATGCCTGCATGCCGTCCAGCGGGAGCTGGCTAGCCAGGGCGCCAACCCTACTACACGAAATGCGGATTTTTTTTTGTGGAACTGAAGGTCGACGACTGGCAACGATGCAGAGCAATGGCTTACCCGTGACGGGCCTGTGCCTCGCTGAGCGCGTCTGAGTCGACTGAGAAGGAGCGCCGGCGGTGCCTCCAGAGCAACAGCGCAGCGCACACCAGCAGCAGCAGCGTACCTGGGGGTGAGTTTGGCAAGCAGGCAGGCAGGCAGGCAGTAAAAGTGATTGGAGATGCATGGGATGGGTATAATGGTACCGGCTGCAGCGACATTCAGAAATGTACGGTATTAGCGGCCTGAAGGTCCCCACGAGCTGCTTCTGCCCATAGTATCTGAACTTGATGCCGGGCGAGCAAACACAGTTGCGCTTGCATGGTGGCAGCTTAGCTGGAAATGGAATGGCAGCTTCCCTCGGGCATCCACACGCTACACACACCTCCAACAATGGTCATTGTGAGGATAATGACCACTGAGTTGTGATCCAACCCCTTGCTCCAAGCGCTACCGTTGTTGCTGATGCTGCTACCGGAGTCCGCATGATGCTGCTCCCTAACCAACTCCCCCTGAGCTGCGGAAGGGGCTGTAGCAGCACCCACCGCTGCCATTGTAGCAACCTTTGTTGCTGCTACTCCCAGCAGCTACTCCGAGAGGATTTGCGTTGCCGTTGTTGCTGCTGTGTTATACGCCTCCCAACGAGTGCCGAAGCGCGGATATATCCGTACAGGATTCCTTATCTGACGGCTTGACACATGGCTGGCCATGTACCGTAACAGTGGCAATGTTGACAGGCTGGGGGTGCACGCGGTACAGACGCAGGCTTTTCAGCAGCCGAAGGCGAGATCGTAGGCTGGGTTGAACTCGAATCGCGAAGGTCTGAGCTGCGGACAATTAAAGATGGCGTGCAGTGACGGAGATGGCACGGCAGCAGCGGTTAATAGCGTCTGTGGCTACCATAAGGCAAACATGCCGTGAAGGACCAGGTATCATTCCAAAGCGCCATTGGCTTTCTGTGTGACTTAGCAAACGCCCTGGTCGTAACCGCGCGGCAGCATTGCCGGACCGTTGTAACCATGAGCTGACGTGCCGGAAGCACGATATCATGCAATGCACCTGTAACCTAGCCATATGATAAACGCGATGCCGCCCATCTTGCTTTCGTCGGGGTTTGATGCGGGGCTTGCCCCTCGGCCTGATGTTGGAAACATGGGGCTCTCGGACTTTCTACGGCGGCGCTCGCTAGCTTTTGTGCTACCAAAGCAGCTTATATAGTATCGGGGAACTACTCCGTTCCACAGGGCCGATAACCAGGACATATACATCTTTCTGCTCGCCCGCCCCGTCCGGCAACCAGTCATGGGTTGCACCCAAATCGGTTGGCAGCATTGGAGACCTACAAAACCTACCTTAGAAGGCACTCCGAGCCGAATCAATGCTTGCCACGGTTGCCAGGTGCATGCGCAATAGTGTGACTTGGACAATCAGGACCTCGCTATACGGTTAGGAAAAGGGCAGGTACGTAAGAGCAAGTAGTGGGAGATTTTGTAAAACTCCACAGCGAGATGAAGTGTCGAGTATTTGCCCGTCACGAGTACGGCAACCTCCGGACGTCGAGTTATGACATAGACAAACGAAAGAGACAATGAGGTACGTTAGCCTAAGGTTCATGCTCGGCATTAACAAGGTAATACTGATGGCCACAGCTAGGCACCTCTGGACTTGAACCCTAGCTGGCGAGAGCAACCGAGCTAGGCGAACTGAAGCCCTGACATGAAACGTCACTGCCAGACTGTATACATGAACTATCGCAACCAAAATTGCCAGCTGTTGCGGCTATTACAGGTTGTCGAATACCCTTAGTAAGTGTTAAGTGCTTACAGAACAACACGACAAAAGTATGGGTGTTGATATTCAACAAAAAAAGTTGTTAAACCTATCTGAACTCACGTCATAGTAGACGCGCGTTAACACGTTAACGCCTAACAAGGCGTGTAACCTCGTTCTGATCCGCGCTTTTTCCTATACCCACAACCTGCGAGCACCAAGGATTGATCTAGCCACGTCCGACACGTTCTCTGGTAGAGCGCTCATGACTTTTCCACGGACCCTCTTCCACCCCAAACCTCAGTTCAAGTACCCCACCATGCGTCACATTAAGCAGTTCTCTCCGCTCCCCTCAGCTCCCCTCTCACGTAACTTCACTCCGCTCTAGCCACTCAGCAGTCCTGATCTAATGGCTATACATCAAATCGCACTTCGCTCCTCTGCTCTCTGCGCCTGCGCCGTATCGCGAGCATTACAAGCTAATCGTGTTTACCACCACACTCCACACTCCCTCATGCACACCACGCCTTCGCACCCCACCGACCAGCGCTCATGACACCGCCCACCTGCAAAAACTCGTAGGCCACTCAAGTCAAGGGC